TTAATTAGATTAGTAAGTTCTTTACTATTAAGATCTTCTATATCTATAAATATTAGATTACTATTTTTACTACTAAAATCTTCTAAAGTACTAGGATTTAAATTAAGATCTTTTGCTTTTTTATATAAATCTTTAGTTAAAGTAATTCTAGGACTTATAATAATATATATCTTCTCTTTAAAGGTATAAGCTAATAATAAATATAATAGGCTTTTTCCGCTACTAGTTTTATTAATAAAAGTTAAATAAGTAGTATTATTAGTTAAAGCTATTAATGCTTCTTTTTGTTCATTATTCTTAAAAGTTACTTTAGAATCTTTATATAACTCTTTAATGTTTAACTCTAATAAATCTAAAGATATACTACTACTTATACTTAATTCCTTAGTCTTAGTAGTAGATTCTAGTTTATTTACACTTAATTCTAAAGTACTATTCTCTTTATAATCGCGTTTATCTAATAGATTAAAGAAAGACCAATATTTTATACTAAATTCTTTAACTTTATTAGTTAAATCTTTACTTTTTAAAGTATTAAAAGGATTTTCAATATTAAGGTAATGATTTAAACTAGTTCTAGTAGATCTATTAGCTTGTCTATCTTCGATTAAATCTTCTTCTTCGCTATTATTATTACTACTATTACTACTATAATCATAATTATTAAATTTAGTTTTAATTATATAATTAATAATCTTTCTATAAGATTTAATAGTTAAACCTTCTTTAAATAATAAACTAGATTCTCTCTTTAAGATCCTACTAATAGTATTACTTTCTATTACTTTATTATCTTTAGTTAATAGATAAGGACTAGAATAGTCTTTAAAGTTATAGTAGTTTTTATATAAGTAATCTTTAAAAGGTATTATTAATACTAAGTATATAATTAATAGTTTACTTAAATAAGGCGGTAAATAGCGTATATTTGTTCTATTCTTCCTAGTAATATTATTAGTCTTACTATAATTAGTAGAAATTATAAAGGTATTATCTTCTTTATTATATATTAGACTTCTAGTTTTAGTTTCTATATTCTTATAAAGTATAGTAGTTAATTCGGTTCCTCTTAAAGGACCTCCGCTATATAAATAAATAGCGAGAGTTAAGTATTCTAAAAACCTATTAATATTAGTATTAAATATTTCTATATTAGTATCTTTAAATCTTAAAGTCTTAGTATCTTTCTTTATATCTTTTAATAGTGTTTTATTATAATAGGTTCCTTTAGTTAATAATTGAGTTAAAAAGTAAGGCCTATTAGTTTTAAGATATTTTAATTCTAAAGTATCTATTATATAATAATCTATATTACTTATAAAGGTATTATCATTTATAGTATTAAAGTCTATATCTAAAGAATCTATAGAAGTTATCTTTAAAAGCTTCTTTAGTAAAATATCTTCTAAATTAATATAAACATTCTTAAAGAGCTCTTTAATCTTAGTAATAGAATACTCTATAGTATTATATTCTATAATATTTAAACTAGTTTCTTTTATAATATAATTAGTAGATTCTCTTTCTTTATTTAAAGCTAAGAGATAAGGCCTTAGAATACTAATGAATTCAAAGTAATTATTAGAACTATTAGTTAAATAAGTAGAAAGAAAATCATTAAAATCATTATAAGTATACTTTATATTATTTAACTCTTTAAAGTAGAAATATTCTATAGTAAGTAGTTTACTATTATAAAGAATATAACTAGTAAGCTTTCCTATTAGATCTATATTTTTAATCTCTTTAGTATTAATATCTAGATTAGTTATAAAGAAGTAGCTTAGAACTATATTATTTAAACTAGTATTATTATCTAAAGTTAAAGTAGTATTATCTTTAAGTAAACTAATGTAAAACTCTATAATATAAGTATAAAACTCTTCTTTCTCTTTAGTTAGTTCTTTATCTTCTAAATCTATTAAATCTAAGTTAAACGGAATAATATTCTTTAAAGCTTCTTTAGCTTCTAAGTTAATAGTAAAGTTCTTTACTAAATCAAAGTAAGTTCTTTCTTTACCTATTGTATTCTTATATTTCCCTTTAATATAACGTACTTTAATAATAAAGCTAAGTAGTTTAGCATAATAAGTAAAGTAAGTCTTAGTAGTAGACTTATTCTCTAAAGGTATAAAGTCTTTAAATACTCTAGTATTACTACTATTATTTTGATTTAGCTTTTGTCTTAATCCTAAGCTTATATTAGTGATTTTAGAATGTATATAAAGTAAACAATCTATAATAATATCTTCTAATTTATTATAGTCTATTCTATTAAAAACACTTAGATCTTTATCTTCTTCTTTAATATTATATACTAGATTTACTAAAGACTCTCTATCTTTATCTTTTAAAAAGATATAAATATTAGATTTCTTAATATAAGAGTTTAAAAGTCTATTATTATTAATATTTATATTATTATTTAGTTTATTCTCTTCTAAATTCTCTTTAAGATAATCTTTTATAATATCTTCTTTTAAATCTAGTTCTTTAGAACTATTAGACTTTTTAGAAGTAATAGATTCTATACTAGAATTAGAACTATTAGAGTTAATATATAAGTTAGTACTAGTATTCTTTTTACTTATATTAGGTATTTTAGGTATAAAGTATAGTTTAGTATTTTTATTATTACCTTTAATATATTGTAAAGGAACCTGATTTATAATATAGTTTACTTTAGATTTACTACTTTTATTACTATTAAAGTGATTAGTATTAAAGTGAATTCTAACTTCTTTATAATTAATATTAATATAATTACATTCTATACATTTATATCCTTTTAAATTTAAATCTAACTCTTTAAAGTAAAATAGATTAGGCTTTAAAATATCTTCTAATTTAGCTAAGTCATTAAATTCTAGTTCTTCTATATTAGTTTTAAGTACTTCTAATTTAGAAGATTCTTTATAACTTTTATAAATAGTAAAATGTTTATCTTTTAAATGTTTTAAATAGTTATTTCTATCTAGATTAGTTTTACAAATAGTACAAAATAAAACTTTAATTTCTATATTATAATTTAGAATAGTATTCTCTATATTATTAGTATAAGTACTTTCTATAATAGTAGAATTATTATAAGAATCTCCTTTAATATAATCTTTATTATTTATAAGTAATTGATTTAAAGTAATTAAATCCATTTTTAAATAGTTAGTTATAATTAAAGTAGTTTAAAGTAGATATAAAAGAAAAGACAAAGATAAAATAAAAAGAGCTTTCTTATATATTCTTTTTCTCTTAGTTAAACTCTAATATAAACTTAAAACACTTTAATTACTTAAAATAACTATTTTAGTTTTATTAAAGTTTTTTTTTAACTTTTCTTATCCTAATCTTTTAAATAAGTACTTATTCTTCTTTTCTTTCTGTTTTCTTTTATTAATTAAATAAAACTAAAATAATATTAAAAGAAACTATTATAGTTAAATTTATTTAAAGTTTAAGCTAAAAGGGTTTTCGAATGTACTTTAACTAGCTTCTAACTTTTTAAGTCTATTAGATTTCTTTAAACTAAAATAAATAAATAGATCTAAATTCTTATAATACTAAAGGAGTTTTTATAAAATCTATTCTTTTAATCTCTTTACTTTATAAATCCTATCTTTATAAACTAATATTTTTAAAAACTCCATTTATATTTTACTTTTTAAAAAAACTTGGAGGTTTTAGTAGATTTTCTATGGAGTTTTTTAAAAACTCCAATGTAGATACAGTTAGGTGAAGTTGTGAAGACGAGAGGAGTTGACCGAAAGTTTGGGACTTGCAAGGTGGCTTGGTCTGGTAGAAGGGTGCCATTGACGATGTCAAGCGACGGATATCAGTAGAAGATGTGCTGGGCAGAAGCTTGTCTTACAACTAGAGATGGCGCAGAGATGGTTCCAAGCCTCGTCATGCTCACCGTGTGTTGTCTGCGCCCTCCGTACTGTGATGGAGCAGCCTTGCCCCACCCGCCTTCTCTGCCGCCACCATCGCTCTCTCTCAGACGCTCCGCTTGCCGCGCGACTCAAACGGCAGCATCAAGGAGAAGACGACTAGCAGTCCAAACAGTCCAGCACAGACGAACAGCGGCGCAGTGGTTTCGACGTTGGCGTACGAGCCGATCAGCACGCCGATGATTCCGCCCACGCGATTCAGGACAACGTTGAGGCCATAGCCCGTGGCGCGATGTGCCGACGGCAGGATCTCCGGAGTGTATGCGTACAGGCAACCGTAGTAGATGTTACTTGCAGCCGTGATCGCACAACTCACGCCCAGGTTTTGCGCGGGAGTGCGGATTTGTGTATAACCGAATTGAAGTACCATGGTGATGAGGGCGCCAATGGCGAGGGTGCCGCGGCGGCCGACGAAGCGTGTCTCGACGAGCACGCCGGCAATCATTGGTCCAAAGAGCCCGGAGACCTGGTTGATGGCGTAGTTTCTCCATACTACGTAGTTGCTGTCCGAGCCAACCGCAGCGCCTCGAGATTTCAGATAGTACGGCAAGAACACGCTGTACAAAGGCGAGACCATGCCGATGACAAACCAGTTGAGTATGATCATGATGGTCGAGTACATGAGCAGCTTCGTCTCGAAGAGGCCGCCGAAGTGCTTGCGCAGACGGAGAGCGGACCAGACGGATTTCTCGGTGTGCAGCACACGGCCTTGCGATTGGAGCGTCTCCAGAGTGAGGCTGAGCGGGCGTTTGTACTTCTCCGAGATACTGAGTACGACAGTGTATGCTTCTTCGTCGCGGTTCTGACTGATGAGCCAGCGCGGAGTCTGTTCTTCCGTCAGTGAGGAACGTAAGGTGAAGGGGACACTGCTCACCTGCTGCATTTTGACGATGAACAAACGAGCCACGGCCATGACGAGGACGAGTCCGCCGGCGGTGAAGTGAAGGTAGCGCCAGCCTGTCAGTGGTCAGTCGAGACCATACACGAAGACAACCTTATGTACCCATGTTGTCTGCATTGGTGCATTCCGCCACGGTAGCATCCGGAGCGCAAGAGAAGTTGCTGAGATAGGCCTTGGGACGGATCAGCAAGGCTCATTCACGTCGGAATCCGTCTTACCCAAGCCAAAAGCCCGGTGATTGTGTATCCCACGGCCCACCAGAGCTGGAACATTCAGTCAGCCTCGATTCCTTGTGCCCAATCCAATCGACATACCGCCATGAAAGTCTGCGATAGTCAGCATATCTCCACATTCCCTCAGATGAGACTACTCACAACTAGCCAAGCGTGGGTGCGAGGGAGAAACTCGAGAAAGTTTGTCGCATCGAGAATGTAATTGCCTCCGGCAGCGGCGGAATAGATGGCGACCCTGGGACAGTGATCAGACAGCGCCGACAATCAGTCCCCTCAGCACTCACATTGCGGAGAAAGAAATGTAATTCGGCATGGCGCCGGCAATGACGACGAAGATTGCGCAGATGAAGAGGCTCGAGTTGAACGCCAATCGTCTTCCGATGATGTCGGCAGAGAAGCCCCAGACGCCAGCGCCCACCAAGAGCCCGACTTGGGATGCGAGTGGAATGCCTTGGATATCCTTACTCGGCATGCCGTACTGCTGAGCGACTACCATATGTGAGCAATGAAACAGGAAAGACGGACGAGTCAAACGCACCGGCGGGGTTCGCAATACTCTGGCACACAACGAGCAACTGCGCCGCGTCAGCGACATCCTCGTTCAATCAGAAACACCTCTTACACTGTCGACCGCGTAACCAAAGCCATTGAGGAAGAAGAGCTTCCACTGCCACGGCGTCATTCCAACCTGGTCGATGGCATCGTTGATGAGAGCCATCTTCTTCGCCAGTACTGGATCAAAGTCGGAGGTATCGAAGACATCCTTTCCAATGTCGACATCGCTGAGGGAGGTGGTTTCTTGCTCGGTCGCCACCGTTGGGGGAAGCGTCTTCTTGTCGTCCGCCATGCTGAGGTTGAAGAGAGACAATCCCCCCTTGCGTTCAAAGTCCGCAACATCGGCTTATATGGAGCTGACTATGGACCGGGATTTTCTTCTAGACCAGCAGCCATATGCAGGTTTCGGCATCACGCCAGGTCGCATGTCCCCGGAGCGTGTTGCAACGCAGCCTCGCCCAAGCACGCGATCAAGCTTCGCAGGCTCGCAATATCGTGAGAGCTTCTTCGTATTGGTGACAGCGTGCGACATGCAGGGTCAGCTGGCACATCATTGCTCGATTCGATGATGCCACGCGAGGGAAGTATCGATGGTGTGATACATGTCCTCTCAACGGGGGAGGGATAGTTTCGCGCAGGCTCCTTCGCTCGGCGGCTCCGTCGATCTCATGCATAGTGCTTACGCCGAGCGAATTGGACACGACGATTTTGGCCCTGAGGACGATAAGATGAAGAGCTGGAGAACGTGGGCGAGGTGGGCGGCGGGGTACTTCTGGCGTTTTCGGAAATATATATTCTGCTCCGACGCCGAAAGTCTCCAGACTGTTGCTTGCCGTACTTCACCATGGTGCACCATCTGCCAGTGACCGACAAGGTCCTTGAATACAGGGCGCCGTACCCGCTCGTGGAGCATGTTGAGCCGGCCAAAGATCGTGCTTCTTGTGCCGATCCCGAGAAGAAATCGCTTCTGAGTGCTGCGACAAAAGTCCGCCACTTGACGCCATGGATTGGAACGGAATTGGTAGGAGTCCAGCTCAACAGGTTGACTGCGGAGCAAAGGGATGAGCTGGCACTGCTCGCCGCAGAGGTATCGTCTTCCATGCTCCCAAGCGATCGCACGCTGATCTCTACAGCGCTGCGTGGTCTTCTTCCGAGATCAAGACATCACAGTCGAAGAGCAGTACGAGCTGACGAAACATTACGGCATTGTGAGCCGCCTCCGACCCTCGTTCTCTCCCGTCTGACTTCCCCCCAGCAAGACCGCGACCCAAATCAGCAAGATCCCCGACATGTCACCATCATTGGCCGCGATTAGTACGCTGCTCGATCCTCACACAGCCACGATGCTGACAGTCTCCAGCGACATCCGCGAATACGCATCGTACGGAGCGGACTACCACGCAGACCACTCCTTCGAGATCAATCCGCCCGCGTATACCATGCTGAACATGCTCAAGACTCCGGACTTTGGAGGAGACACGATCTTCACCTCTCAGACGGCGCTGTACGAGAAGCTCAGTCCGACATTTCAAAAACTGTTTGACGGACTGCACGCTGTCCACAGCTCAGAAGCTGGGTATGTCGAACCGCAATCCCCCCTCGATCGACGCTCACAGTACCGTAGCTACATTAATACTCTGGCCAACGGCGGTGCCCCCTTCCGTGGTCCCGTCAGAAGATCTCACCCGCTGGTCCGCACACATCCAGTGACGAAACTCAAGTCGCTCTTTTACAATCCATCTTTCGTGATCCATCTCGAAGAGCTCAAAGGGCAAGAAGCCATCCACACCTTGAACTTCTTACGAGAACACCTTCACGCCGCCGACGATCTGACAGTCCGGTGGAAGTGGGAGCCTGGAAGTGTAGCGTTTTGGGATAACCGTGTTGTTGCCCATCGCGCCATTCCCGGTGGATATGAGACCTCTCAGCGTGAGGGCAAGCGGACGGCAGTCTTTGGCGAACGTCCGTACTACTCGCCGGACAGTCTGAGTCTTTCGGAATACAGGGCGAAGAATGGGACGGCTCCAGCACCAGCTGTCAACGGACCTCCGGTTTTGAATGGACAGGTCAAAAGAGAGGCAGAAAATCTGTAGACTACAATACCTTAAGCAGGTTGATAGAATTATTGTTTGCATCGTGATGAAGGATCGTTCAACACTTCGTGCGGGGTACTGCCGTCCTTACCCGTCTTCACTACAATGGCAAACCAGGATAGCATTTGGGCGGCGGCGCACGACACAAGCCATGATCATGAAGTCCTGCTGTCTCGCGAGCGGTCGCCCGGGGTGTGGGTGGTGACTCTGCACGATCCCGAGACGCACAACACGCTGACTCCAACGATGATGGGCGCCATCGCTCGCGAGCTCGATCGGCTGAACAGTCTGGAATCCGACGAGGTAAAACACAATGCACCGCGCCTGAGCCCTTCCTCACGAGCCTTTTAGATCAAAGTCATCATCTTGAACGCTACTGGCAAGTCGTTCTGCGCCGGCATCGATATCAACGCCATTCGTGACAATCCCGGATTCGCGGCTTACTGGGTTCGAGCAGTCGACCCATACTACGCCGTCCAACAATCGCGAGTGCCCATTATTGGATGCGTGCAAGGTGCAGCACTAACGGGCGGTTTCGAGATTGCAATGAGCTGCGACATTGTCCTTGCGTCAAAGGAGGCTGTCTTTCGCGATAACCATGCGATGTGCAAGTTGCGGCCTCCCTTGGCTACCCGCCAGCACTGACTTGCATTCCAGACGGCGTCCACGCGATCCGAGGTCTCTCCCAGTTGCTCCCCCGAATTTGTGGTCCATCAAATGCCAAGTTAGCCTCGATGGCCTCCATGCCAATTCCAGCATCCAAAGCTCTCGCTTGGAATCTTGTCTCAGAGGTAACGGAAACACCGGATGACCTCCTCCCAGCCGCGTTTCGCATTGCTGGAGGCATCACGTACAACAGTGGAGCGGTACTTCGTGCGCTCAAAGCCTCAATGCGAGAAGGATACGCAGTGAATTTCGGAGACGCCGAGAAGCGCGAGCTTCAAAGCAACGAAGCATACTTTGCCAGTCTCGGCGATGACCAGTCTCGAGTATTGGAACAAGGGGCTTCTCGCTTCAACGAAAGAGTTGCTGAGCTCAACACGCCTGACATGAAGATGCGTGGGGGAATGGCAGATTGACTGTAGATGCTCCCAAATGGTTGCATCATACTAGGCTACACCTCGTGACATGTCAGGAAGCTGATACGCAACATGGTGCTCAATCCAGCTGGAGCACTTTTCGTCCTCTAACAGCACCAGGTCATCTGAGCGCTTGAACGTCATTCCAGGAAGAGAGTAAGTACTCGTATAGCCAAAGCACTGCGCGCTGTTGCAGAGAGCCATAAAGCCTTTGTCGGTCCCTCACCACGATCCCCATCCGGGGTACACGAGGTATTGGATTCGCCATGCCAGACGTCGATGTCATTGTCGCTGCGACCAGTGCAACAAGATAGTGAGGAGAGTAGAACGCGGCTGTACCGGAGATGTCGGATGCAATTTCGCCGACGGTACTTAGTGCATCGGCTGCAGGTCTCGCGAGCCTTGTTCGTTGGCCCTCTCGTGCTCTGCATATGCTTCACAGCCGCCGCAAGCCTCGGTTGCGTTTCCTAACGGCAAGGATCCGACGATACTTCGAAGTAGTATGTTCTTACAGCCTGTACTCACTCGACGCCCGGTCTCGTTCGAGCGATTTATCGTGCAATGGAGGCGGAGAGATGTCGTTCGGTGATCACTAATTCTCAGCCGCACGGGAACATCTTCGAGCCTCACTGATTTTCAGCCGCACAGGAACATCTTCGAGCCAGCGTCATGAAGACTCTTCGAAATCGCAAGCAATAACATTTTGCTGCAATATCTCGTCCAGTGCATCTCGAAAATGACGCCCCCAATAGACACCCACATCATTCTCGTCCACGGGTCATACCACACACCCTGGCACATGCGCTTCCTCCAAGATGCACTCGAACAGCACGGCTACACAACCTCTGCCCCTGCTTTGCCTTCCATGGGCAATCAAGCCCTCCTCTCCGACGATGCTCATGCAGTGCAAAAGGCCATCGAAGCCGCCGCTGCAACCCACTCCTCCATCCTCCCAGTCTTCCATTCATATGCTGGAGCACCAGGCGCGGAGGCCATCGCCGCCCTTTCCCCAAGCACGAGAGCCAAAGTCGTCCGAGTAATCTACTTGGCAGCCTTCATCCTGCCTCGCGGTGGAGCCATGTCGTCGCCAGATCCCGACGCGCCGCACCCGTGGGCAATCACGTCCAATAACTGGCGCAGTGTTCCCGAGCCTATCCCCGTCTTCTACAACGACATGAAAGCGTCGTTCGCCGCCCAGGCTGCATCCCATTGTCTTCCACAATGGTTTCCCGCGCTCTTCTCTCAAACCACGTCCGAGGGCTGGCGGTTATGCGAAGCGACATATGTAGTTTGCACTGAAGACTGCGCCATCCCGAGGCAGATGTTTTGGGAGGGGCGATTCAAGCCGTTGTTGGAGGAGACGGATGTTCGACCGAAATGGCGATTCTTGGAGATTCAGAGCGGGCATAGTCCGTTTTTGAGTAAGATCGAAGAGACGGCACTGCTGTTGAGACGAGAGGCGGGGGAAGATGTATAGAGAATCTATCGATCCACGGCTTTCATAGACCTGGCCTTGAAGAATTCGTAATCTCCCATCGCATCGTCCACGAAATGTTTCATCTTCGCCGCATTGCTCCATCCAAGCATCCATTTCTTTCTCGGGAGACACTCACTTCGAGATTTCACTGGCAAGTATGCCCTCGCTTGCGAGAGAGTGCTTTGGAAAACCTTTGCATGTGGATCTACATCCTTATCCCCAGTTGATTTCCAGCTCAAGACAAGTCCTGCAGGATCTCCACCAGCAACGATACCAGACGTGCAAGAACATCCGGACTACCAAGAACATCATCCGCGTTGACGACGACAGGACGATGTGACTTCTCGGCTGCTGCAGCCTGTTCCAATCAAAGGTGAACCATCTTCAGCCATTTCATCGTCATGTTGATTTGCTGTCAAGCCACCGATACACATTAGCGATGCACCTAGATTCTCCACCAACATCCATCATAACGTCAACTTCCGAGCCCTCAGATACTCGTAATCCGGCATAGCGGCATCGACCAATTCTTTGATCAAACGCGCGCGTTCCTCCCCAAATTCTTGCTTCCATTTCACCTCCTCATCCGGAAGGATAGGTGGCGGGTTCGCCTTTCCTGGGATGATCCCGGTGGAGTTCAGCAGTGAATGCAGTAAATGCACCACAACCGGACGCATGCTGGCTTTCTCCTCTTCTGTGGCGCGCGGCCAGCTGAAGAGGGCACGTTCTGGGTCCAGGCCGACCTCACTGCACAGCTTTCGCACCAGATCTGGGCTCGTCATGTAATCTTCTGCTTCTACGACGACAGCCTTGACACCGTTTTGAGTGTACCAGTCGTAGAGAGCTCTCTGCCAGTGCATATTGCAAACGAAGATCAAGTTCGAACGGTTGGCATCACCCTCGATGTGGCCCATGGCGCGGCATACCGCTGGTATGACCCACGCCGGATGACGAGTGGTGAGGATGACGGCAGTGCCTGGTTTGAGCAGGAGATTGTCGGGGATCATGGTGAAGTTGATCGGTTTAGAAGGAGCATCAGAGTTCCATGCGTGTCGGACATATTCGAGTGCCGAGTCAATCGAGGTGGCAAACTGTGCATGCTCGTGCACAAATAGCAAGTTGCCCTTTGTTTCCCATTAGCAGACTTCTGATCCACGTCCATCGCTCCACCACATACCTCCGCTTGAGTCTCCTCCCAAGCCTTCTCCCATGTAGCCACCCCGGCATTGACCGCGTCGACGTAAGGCTTGCGCGTGTCATCAGGTATTCCAGCTTCGACCGAGCTTTCCAGCATCAATTGAGCCTGAAGCCGTCTTGCGGGTGACATTGGGTGGAAGAGCGACTGCAGACGTGGTTGATTCGACAACATCCGCTCCAGCAGGTGACATGCTGTCCGAGCCTGAGACCAGAGGATTACTTGGGAAGGCATTTTGGTCTAAGCACAGACGTCGCCAACACACGAGAGATTGTTTTCGGTAGCATGGTCCTGGGGCATCGTGGTCCTTATACGGAGCCGTTTGGATATGCCGTCAGCTTATGGGGAAAAATCATGGGTGCGGCTGAATGACGTTGCGGAAGTCGGCGCGTATGCTGAGTGAGCAATCCGGAGAGTCTGAGGAAGTTGCGCATCGATGGACTCAAGTCAGCAGAGCTAGAAGGAACGCCCGATTTGCGGCGTTTGAACAACGTTGCGCTTCCAGAGGGGTTGAGACAGCAGGCTGTCAGCCTTCCAACTTCGCCCAATCAGTTTCTGCAACGAGCTCTGCAATTCATTGCCAGGGCGTCAAAGCGTAACGCTCCTAAAATAAGTAGACACACTCTGCAGGCTAGCTAAGCAGCGATCGACCTTTTCCCTCGCATCTTGAAGAGCCGCATCTAGACCATCAGAACCTGCTGACAGCCACCACGGAGCAATGTACGTCTCCAATCGCATCAATGTCTGTGTGAGCTTCCACTCCCTCGTGCTTGGAGATTGGCCGGAAAGGCCTCCGTCATCAGTCGATTCAGCAAGCTTTTGTAATATGGTCGTAAACATGTCCACCGGCCAACCTTCGTCGTCCTCCTCGAGCGAGACCACCGACTTGCCCATAAACTCTTGCAATGCTGGAAAGAAACCAGAATACTCAAAGTCGACGATTCCGACGATGCGCAGTGGTGATCCTCCTACCAAGACATTTCGTGGCGACAAATCGGTGTGGGAGAAGACAAAAGCTCCCAGATCGTTGTGCAATAAATTCGGTAAATTGAGGTCAATGAACTTCCGAAGGCGTTGAAGTCTCCCATTCTGTCGATTGGGTGCCAGGTAGCTTGACGTTGCGAGCGTGTCCACCGCAAAGGCGAGCCGATGCTTCCAAAAGGAAAGGGTAGTATCGAGTGGGTCGCTGGATTGGGATCCGATTTCGAGGACGCCGTGTACCTGAAGGGAGGGCAGGCCGTGCCCAGGCTGGTATGCGACACTGATCGGTGCTGTCGCGTCTGCTGCAGAACGAAAGTGCAGATTACCACAGTAACGGGAACGCGGTATATTTCGTCGCCATGTAAGAACAATCTCCGCAAGCTGCTTCGCGATTGCATCCCGCTCTTCCGGAGTGGCCGTCGATGGTTCCAATGCCTCGCCTTCGAGACGGGTCATGAGTATCCAGCCGGATGGAATGTCCTTTCGCATGATCTCTATAGGGCGAGCCAGGCCCACCGAGGCTTGCTGAATGCTCTGGCCATCCGGAGACCATGCAATCACCCGAGGGGTGGGAATGCTCGGGCAAAGCTGGCCAAGCAACAAAAGACTCGCTACTTCGTTTTCGATTTCTGCTGGGCGAAATGGGCGACCAGCCAGTTTGAGAACATACCGCGGAGCTGACGGTGCTGTGGACGTCTGCACAAAGTAGATGCGATTGTTCCAGGACTTGTCATGATGTAGACATTCAATGGTTACGTTGCTGGGCGGCGCTGGTAAGCACTTGGATACAATGAACCGGATTGCGTCCTCGGTCAGGTACACTCCGTAGGCGGGATGTTCGGGAGGAGTAGCCGTTCCATCACGGCTAGTTTCCATTAGGGATCTCCAAGTCGATCGTTGGTGGGATGCAATAGTCGGCAAGGAGGGTTGTCAGACAAGGTGGGACTGCACTGCGCCACACCAAGACTTTTGGCCAACCCACGCCAGTACTTTGACCGCGGTCATCCATCTTTCTCTTTCACCACCACACCACCGACGATGCCTTCTTCACTCAAAAGAAAAGGCTCCCCCGGCCTTGAAGACGATGTCGACTCCACCAAGCGACACCTGAGCGAGAACGAGTCCCCGAATCACGACCAAGACGAAGCAGTCCCGAATCTCGAGCACCATTCCGATGAAGCACCCCCATCTTCCTCTGCGGCCACTGACAGAGCGGCTCGCTTTGCTGCCCTTCGCGCACGGAATCAATCTTCGCGCAAGGCCAATTTGGCCGAGACCAGAACAGAGGCTCGCCGAGCAGCAGCCGACCCCTCTCAACTCCAAAGTCTCCAACGCAAAAAAGACATCGCCGAGCACAAGCTGCTCAAGGCGGACGTGGAAGCGGATGGCGAGGATTTCGAAAGGAAGAGAGCGTGGGACTGGACGGTGGAGGAAAGCGAGCGGTGGGATGAGCGGATGAAGGAGAAGGCGAGCAGAAAGAATGCAGTGGGCTTTGCAGACTACCGAAAAGAAGCGGGCAAAGTGTACGATCGTCAGATTCGAGAGATGGAAAAGGGCAAGGAGAGCATGGAGGGCAGACGTGATGCATACGAGCGGGAAAAGACGGAGGCGATCGAGCGCAGTGTGCGATCCGGGGGCCTCGAGATTGTCGAGACGGAAAGTGGCGAGCTGATTGCGGTGGACAAAGACGGCAGCTTCTACTCCACGGCCGACTCGACTGCGTCCTTTACAAACAAGCCGGACAAAGCTGCTGTTGATCGCTTGGTGGCAGACATTCGCAAAGCCGAAGAAGTGCGCCTGCGCAAGAGACGGGAGAGAGGAGGCCGGGATGAGACGGACGGCGATGTCACGTACATCAACGAGAAGAACAAGCAGTTCAACCTCAAGCTGGCGCGGTTCTACGACAAGTACACGTCGGAGATTCGCGACAGCTTCGAACGGGGGACAGCAATCTAGAGTGCCGCTATCGGTATTGCACCTTTTGACCTCCTCTCTTTTCCATCTTTGCTTGCCGCTTGCTTTGCCCGCTGTTCTCCTCCACGGTCTGGCCTTGTCCCATCAACCCTCCCATTCCTCCTTTGACTTTTGAATATGTTCCGAACAGCGAGTAGACTGTGTACACCGGCACTGCAGCATACAGCCACCAGGCCCAGGTCCCAGCCAGTGTAACCAGCACGATGCATCCCCAAGTCCAGTACAACACATCCCACATCCACTCCGTCAGTCCCTTTGCTTCCAGATCCTCGCCAGCACGTTTCAAGTCGCCATTCGCCGAAAAGGTTGGGCGCGCGAGACGCTCAAAGTAGATTTCGATTCCGAGAGCTGGCAGTGCGCAGAGAATGTATGGAAGGAATCGATAGCGACGTCGGAAGAGGAGCAGAGAGCAGAGAAGATATGTTGCATGAATGGCGAGGGTGATGAGATGGGTGCGATTCAAGGTGGATGTGTTCTTTGCTGCCAGCGTTTTCAAGGATTTCTATAGCATGGTCAGTTGAGTCGTGGGCAGCAGTGTCAGATGGTGCCATACTTGTGCCATGATGTCGTCGTCTAGATAAAGGGAAAGGCGTGCATTTGTAGACAGAATCTATTTGATGCTGCAGAGCTGCCTGTGGCGCCGTGGCTTGACGGCGAACTCTTGGCGTGACCTCGAGTGGCTGGTGTGGCTGCGCTTGCCGATCGTCGACTTCCATCATAACAAAGGCACGAGCAACGACGACCTTTCACATCTGCATCATCCTTCACGGCCGCAGCGGCCTCGGCGATCTGCGAAACTGCATTCCAGCGTTCTCCATCAGCATATGACAACATCCGCGTGCAAATGCAAATCCACGGCCCGGACATCAGCTCAATCAAAGATGTTGTGAACGACTCCAAACACGCATGAACACCCCCGCCCACATGCCTTGACGGTGCATACAACCCTCACAATGTCTCCCACCGTCCAGCTCCGCTCCCAAATCTTTTACCACCTCGACTTCGACCTTCTCGAAACCGCCAACTTCCTTGCTGGCCGCTTACACGCCCTCGAACCTCGAAACCCCGACTCCTCCCACCTTCTCGCCCTTACATATCTCCGGCTGCGTCGCTTCAAAGCCGCCTACGACTACAGTCACAGATACGGTGCAAACGGGCGTCACCTCGGTTGTGCATATGTCTTCGCCCAAGCATGCCTGCAATTAGGCGGAGGCAGAGTTGTGGAAGGCGCCAATGCCCTGGAGAAATCTCGCCCACAATGGACTGGCAAGAACCACTTCAACAAATGCTCCGACACTCACCGTAGATGCTTGCCCGACGCAGCGGCATGTTGGACAGTACTCGGTCAATTATGGAGAGCTCATGGAGATGCGAAGAAGGCGGGCGACTGCTTCGTGGAGGCCCATCGATGCAATGCGTTCGTTTGGGAGGCGTTCCAGGGTCTTTGTAAGGTTGGTGCAGACCTGAAAGTGCACAAAATGTTTCAACCCAGCTCGGACATGGTCTCGGCATCAGCAATGGACAAAGAGGAGGAGTTGAAGGCGGAGACACAGGAAATTGCACGACCGCTTTCGACACAACTCAACTTTAACCAGCAAGTCTTCACACCCTCCGCCGATCCTCTCAGCACCACCCCCAAGATCTTCGGAGACTTGGCCCCGGATGTAAAGCACCGGAATGCTCCCGTCAAAAGCACCAGGCCCTTTCCGACGACATGGGACACGCCTGTTGGTGAAAGCACCGTCTTGGATGAGGATATTGCAATGAGTGGGGTTGTTCTGGATGATGCTGAAATAACTGCCCCTCCAGCCCCTGCACGACGGCCGCGAACAGGACAACAGTTTGATCAGACCATACGGCCGCCGACGCGAGTACGTGGACAGTCTTCAGAAAGGACGTCAGAGAGCAGCCAGGCGCACATTCAGCCTCCAAGGCCTGGCATCGGTGGTCACAAGCGAACAGTCTCGGGCCAGCAACCTGCTGTGGATCCTGCAGCAGCCTCATCACAGCCGAGAAGAAGCAATCGACTCTTTGGACAGCATTCCAGCACGAGATCGGGCTCTTCCACCAGCAGATCTACCGCTTTCGACTCAACGGCTGCCTCACTAGCCGGACGCGTAAACTCTACCGCCCCTGAAAGACCAGCGAAGCCGGCAACAGGTGCCAAGGGCCGGATCGGGAGTACGGTGGGCAGGGTGGTGAGCGGCAATCGCAAGATGCTCCCGCCCGATCGAAACGAAAAGGACACCAAACGAGCGCCGAGTCGCAACAGTGACAAGAGCGTTCCCACAATCACGGCATCCACCAACCAGCTCGCTGACCAACAAATTCAAAAGCTCCCTCCATCACAACCCAAACAACCAAGCGAACCCTCTCCAGCCTCGTACGAATCACTCATTGCCATCCTCGATCCCCTCCGTGACCTTGCGCTGGGAGTCTACAGCACCACCCGCTTCGACACTTCTCTCGCTATCCGTACTCTCCGCGCACTTCCATCCGCGCAGAGAGACACTCCAGCTGTCCTTGCACAACTGGGCAAGGCACATTATGAAGGCGCCGACTACAAGTCCGCCGAGGAGTGCTTTGCCCGGGTCCTCAAGTTGCAGCCGTCGCGGGTGGAAGACATGGACGTCTACAGCACTGTTCTTTGGCACCTGAAACGCGAGACCGCCCTGACTTTCCTCTGCCATCATCTTTCTGAAACCGATCACGCCGCTCCAGAGCGGTGGGTGGCTGTCGGCAATGCTTTCAGTCTGAGCAGAGAGCACGATCAAGCCATCGCGGCATTCAAGAGAGCCACGCAGGTTGATGACACCTTTGCCTATGCCTGGACCTTGATGGGTCACGAATACATCGCCAACGAGGAGTTTGATGCCGCGCTGTCGAGCTTTCGAAAGGCCGTCTCAATCGACCGGAGGGGATATGGCGGCTGGTATGGCCTGGGCAAGTCGTACGAAAGAATGGGCAAGCTTGAAGAAAGCGAGCGACACTATCGAATCGCGGCCTCGATCAATCCGTCCAATTCTACCCTTCTGGTATGCATCGGTGTGGTGTTGGAGAAGCTGAGGAATAAGAAGGCAGCACTGGCGAACTACACACGAGCACTGGATCTGGCGCCGCAGAGTGCACTGGCACGATTCAAGAAAGCACGGGTGTTGATGCATCTGCGACACTGGCAGGAAGCATTGGTGGAGCTGGAGATACTGCGAGATCAGGCCCCGGACGAAGCAAACGTGTGGTTCTTGTTGGGCAAGTGCTACAAGGGGCTTGGAGAGAGGGGAGAGGCGCTGCGGGCATTGACCACGGCGCTGAATCTTGATGTCAAGGTGAGTGCCGGTGATGCACGAGTCCTCTTACATTTTACTGACCATGAACACAGGCTGCGCCCTTCATCAAGGAAGCGATGGAGGCGTTGGACGAGGACGAGGAGATGGAGAGCGACGAGGACTGAGGATTGTCCGCTCGTTCGGGGACCAGTCTTCATTGCGGTCTGGTATGCTGCATTATCGGCGTTGGGGCATGACTGCATTGCAAGGCATGGCGTACTATACCTAGACACGGGCACTACGAATTGTGACGATTGTGTGTGTGCTTCGAATGACTTTCATCCCCGTGACAATTGTGTGATATACGTCCGTTCAATCGTCCATGCCTCAATGTGCAGCACGTGAAGTCTTCCGAAACGGGAAAGCCCCACTGAAAACAGGATCTCATCTTCACTTCTCGACTCACGCTTCCACACACCTACAACATTCCCCCCAAATGGCGCCGTCCACCAGCAAACGGGTCAAAAACTGCAAAATCACGCGCCACTTCATCGTCGGCAATGAAGCACACGTCCTCCCACATCCATCCTACCCCGATCCACCCCCAGACGGCCACACAAAAGGCTGGAAAGTCTACGTTCGGCCGCTACCAAACGGCCCCGACATGACGACATGGCTGAAGAAGGTGCAATTCAAACTCCACCACACCTACGCCGATGCCAGTCGCACCATCGAAGCGCCCGGCCCGTTTGAAGTGCAAGAGACAGGGTACGGGGAGTTTGGCGTTGAGATTCGGCTGTTCTTTGCGCCAGAGGCCGGAGAGAAGGCGGTGTATCGCGAGCACTATCTCTGTCTCGCACCGTATGGGAGTGAAGAGCAAAAGGCACAACAGGAGCGGGAGAATAAGACGGTGGCGGAGCGGTTGGAGACGGTCGAATTCAATGAGCCGACGCAAGAGTTCTTCAAGTCGCTCACGTCGGAGGATCAGTTCAATTGGCTCAAAGTGAAGAAGGGCAGGGGCAAGGGAAAGAAGCCGGAGTATGTGTTTGAAGGAGATGTCGAGCCTACTGCACAGCTACCGGAAAAGGCACCTGCTACTGATGGGGTGGGATTGGGAGCAGGCGCCGCATGGAGCAGACGATACGAACAACAGGTGTGTCAAGGGCTGGCGCAAAGCTTCAAGGCGGTGCAAAAGATTGTGGACGAAGAGATGAAGGAGATGCGGCAGCGGCAGAAAAAGACCAAGGAGCTGAACGAGGCCATTGCTTCAAAGTGATGATGGTCCTCGTGATGGGACATCAAATTTAGCGATGGAGTTGGGCGGCATGAGCTAGCGTTTGGGTGTCTTCTGAATTATTCCCTGTCCGCCTCTCGTATCTCCCACTTTGTCCCCTCTTCCGTCAATCCATCCCAGATGCCTTGCGGGAGGAAGTTGCCCGTCTCCTCCATAAACTCCTCTCTCATAGCTCGATCAGCGTCGAACAGCCTGTTCAAGTCCTTCTTGGCCTTCTCGACGACTTTCAAAGTCTGTCTCTCCGCTTCTCGCCGTCGGTCGACCTCGCGCAACAGCTTCGCGTACCCAGTGAGAAACCCATCGTAGAAAGCGCTAAGGGAAGAGAGCTCAGCCGTTTGCGAGTTGATCGTCGCCTGGATACGTTGCCACGATGATTTGAAAGTATCGACGGCATGAACGTGTGATGGTAGGATGACTTCCTTCATCTCATGCAGCATCACGAGGACTTGTCGAATTCTCCCGTCCGTTGCTCTCGCACTCTTCACGTGTCGTGTGAGTTGCTCGTACAGGCCCTCTTGCTCCAAATTTCGATCCTTGATCTCGCCAGCCACGTCGTCTACCTCCTGAGCATCATTCTCCAGCACGCGAAGCATATCACTCCGCTCCTGCTCGGAAATGGGCTCTGGCGCTGTCTTCAGATAAAGGCTCTGCTCGACGACATTGGCATCCTCCACCGCCGTCTCATCCGCCTGCAGCACAGCTTTCTTGGCCGCTGCTCCCCCACCTTCCGTATGCTTCAGGGCAGTGACACATAGGTCGTAGTGCTTGACAAGACTCTCAAGCAGAGTGGCCATTTCCGCTGCATGGTCTTCGATTCCGCGGAAAATTTGAGACATGCTGAGAGGTGGCTCGTCGTAGATGGTGCCGATATCAGGAGACAGCTTCGACTGATTTTCGTTGGTTATGAGATTCGAGATGGTCCTCAGAGATCCATTGAGCTTCTCCACGCTTTCGTCCAGCTCAGAGCGTGAATCGTAAAAGGAGTCAATCAACGCACGCAGAGAGGTTTGGAGATCGGTGTGATTGGTATCGTCGATGAAGTCGAAGAGCGTCCTTTCATCGTCGTCACCCTGTCCTTCAGATGTGTTTCGCAGCGAGTTATCCACCACCGTCTTTCGAAGCTCATTCACCGTCCTCTCCAGCCGATCGTTGGCCACATCAAGTCTCTCGATAGTCCGTTGAAACTCTTCGCCAATCTCCTCGCCAACCGCAGAAATGCTGTTCTTGACAGCCTCCAACGTGTCGAGCTGTCCATCTACCGTCCGGCGTACGAATGCATTGCGAGCATTGAGGACTCCAATCTCTTCCAATAACGTCCGGGAGCTGGTGACGAGCTCGTTCGCGCGCCAGATGTACTGAGTCGAAGTGAGGGAGCGCTTGGCAGCGGCAAAGTGGTGAACGAGCTGTTCCACGGATGGAAGGGCGTGTAGACTGGCGCTGGGAGATGCAGGAGGAGAGGCGGATTGCGCATCGGAGTCGTCAGAGTCGTAATCCATGATGATCGTAGCCTCGTGTCAGTCCCATCCCGCCTTGTTTCCTGTCGGCACACAATGCAGATGACCACACGGACAGTCCAGGCACATTGCCCAATACTGCTCCTCCGCTCATGTCACACACGGTAAAGACATAGTGCCATCAGGACGAAGCTTTCAGCCACGTGCTGTGGCTGACGCTAGCATTCGGCACGCGGACACTAAAAGTGGCGCCGACTTTCGGCGGGGCGACGGTTTTCCTTCGCTCCTTCCCCCAGAAGCGGAGAAGTCCTCGCGACGACTCGAGCACAACCAAAACGCCATTCCCAAGTGCCGAAAGCAAGAGCTGCCGAGTCTCGACTTCCAGCACCTCCACGGGCCAAGGCGCAGCTGCCTAGAGCCAAACCAGGCACCCTCGACACGCGCAAGAACCAGTCAGGACAAGCGACGGGCTGGAAACGGCTAGAACGAATAACGCCATCCCTGCCGCACCCTCTTTCCCCAGCACGACATCGCGCGAGCAAGTTGCGCAGGCCGCGTCCAGCGCCAATCAGCTTCCACCGCTTCCTCTTCCGTTTCGCCTTCTGCCGCAAAGGCACACGTCGTGCGCCGAGACCCCATCCTCGGCGTCCGTGTCACGTCCAACGGTACACCGTAGAGGAGAGGAGGAAGAAGGCCGATATTATTGCGGCCAGCCGCCGCCACCGCCACGCCTCGCTCCCTCGCATACCTCACGCCCCCTTCACCACCCCTCCGCCAGTCGGAGTGCGACAAAAGGGCAGAGGAACTGGTCATGTCATCAGCACGCGATGATCAAGCAGGGATCACGACATCAACGCGGACTACTCCAGAAGATGACAATATCCGCCCATTTCTCCTACCACATCTCCCAGACTGCGCCTGCGAACACCGCGAACATACTCCCTGCTCTCCTCACCCTCTTCAACCCGCTGGCAATGTGAACGACTCCGGCAAACTCCCTTCCTCCAACGCCAGGGACGGCGAAGAAACCGTAATGCCCTTCCTCACCCACCACCTTCCTTCGCAGTACAGCGCCCTCGCAAACCAGCCTCAGAAAGAAACCTCTCCCGAAGACATCACCAACACGGCCTACTGCTACCGACACCGACCCGATCTGAAGTGCCGACGCCAGGCAGACGAGCCCTCCATGGCGCTGTTGCAAAAAGATCTCGGCAAGCTCTCTCACACCGACCAACAAGCCATCTCCCATGTCTGGTCTCTCTTCTCCGCCGCGCCCAGCAAACAACGCAATCTCATGCTCCAGGGCATCCTCACCCAGTGCTGCTTCCCCCAACTCTCCTACATCTCCGCCAACGTGCGAGAGTTGATCAAGGTCGACTTCCTCGCCGCTCTGCCTGCCGAGTTGGGCTTCAAAATCCTCTGCAGCTTGGACACCACGTCGCTATGCAAGGCAGCGCAAGTCAGTCGACGGTGGCGGAGTCTGGCAGACGACGACGTGGTCTGGCATAAAATGTGCGAGCAACACATCGACCGCAAATGCACCAAATGTGGATGGGGTTTACCTTTGCTGGAGAGGAAGAGATTGAGGATCGAGAAGAGACAGATACAACTTCGCGCGAGCGGTCGAGGAATCAATGAATGGTCTCCCGTCATCACTCCCATCTCCGAAACCTCAGCGAACCCCCTGGCCGACATCTCTGAGCCTCCAGCTTTAGGACCATCCCAGCTTGTAAGAAAGCGAACGAATGAAGAGGGCGAAGCATCACCCGACTCTACGAAGCGACTACGCTCATCACCAACGCGAGAGGATGGCCCTCTTCCCTCCCCCGACCTCGCCGTAGAGCCTCTGCCACTGAGACGACGGCCGTGGAAAGACGTGTACAAGGATCGGTTCCGAGTGGGCACAAATTGGAAGCACGGCCGCTTCACCACCAAAGTCTTCAAAGGTCACACCAACGGCGTCATGTGCTTGCAGTTCGACGACAAGGTCCTCATCACTGGCTCCTACGACACCACCGCCAAGGTCTGGGATGTGCACACCGGGAAGGAAATCCGAACATTGAAAGGCCATACGAGCGGGATTCGATGTTTGCAATTCGACGACAGCAAATTGATGACTGGCAGTCTGGACAACACGATCAAGCTGTGGAACTGGAAGACGGGGCAATGTCTCCGAACCTTCCCAGCGCACAATGCAGGCATCACCTGCTTGCATTTCAGTGGACCGTGGGTCGCGTCTGGCTCCATGGACCAAACGATTCGTGTCTGGAATTCCGAAACTCAACAAACCTTCCTCCTCCGCGGCCACACCGACTGGATTAACAGCGTCAAGGTGGACGAGGCCTCTCGCACACTATTCTCGGCGTCTGACGATCTGACCGTCCGGTTGTGGGACTTGGACGCCAAGCGCGTGATTCGCGTCTTCGAAGGTCATGTAGGAGGAGTTCAACAAGTCCTACCCCTGCCTGCAGAATTCGAACTCGACGAGCACCGTAACATCCACGGTCTAGTCGATCGAGACGACGATGTCAGCAGCAACGCGTCGGGCAGCAACGAGCACTCGTTCGGCGACACCAGGCGAGATGCGTCGTTGGAGGAGCCCTTTTGGCCGGCAGAACCCGAGCGTCCAGCACCTCCACACTACATGTTGACGGGAGCGCTGGATTCAACGATCCGCTTGTGGAATGTGCACTTCAACCAGCACAAGGACGCCATCGAGCGGAGTGCGCTCCAAGACACCGAAAGCACCACATTCAAAATGCTGCCCACCGATCCTCTGACCAACTCGCATACCCCTCGCGCACAGGCCTGCTTGCGCACCTTCTTCGGGCACGTCGAAGGCATCTGGGCCTTGGCAGCTGACCACTTGCGGCTCATCTCCGGGTCCGAGGACCGCATGATGAAGGTCTGGGATCCACGTACTGGCAAGTGCGAACGCACCTTTACTGGGCACCGGGGTCCGGTGACGTGTGCTTGGCTCAGCGACAGTCGAGTCGCAAGTGGAAGCGAGGACTGTGAAGTTCGAATGCTGTTCTTTGGCAATTCTTGACTTTATTCCCCGAACGCAGCGATTTGGGTTCTATACGATTTCGTTTCATTTGAGAGTGAATTTAGCGACGGCGCTTCTTGCAGAGATCGGCAGGGATTGCATACCGGTGGGCTTTGCTTGATGAATGTTATAGCCAATGTATGAATCTAGTGATCCATGCATCATCTCTACTTGTATCCCAACGACTGCACTCTTACCCAACTGGGAAATGAGGATAGAGTTTTGTCGGCCGGGTTTCTCTTGGCATCGTCCATCCACATTCCACAACTACTCAACACGATCATGGCCACCAAAGCACGCAGCTCCCCAGCCGCGGTGTCGGTGAGTCTCAACGACCTCGAGAATGGCAATGTCTCGCTGCAGCAGCTCGAGGAAGCGTTCGGCCCGGAATCACTGGGCATCATCATCGTCAGCGACCTTCCGCCAGCCTTTGTGGAACTCCGGAGAAGTCTCTTGAGTTATGCCTCGTATCTTGCCAATCTCCCCGCACATGAGCTGTGTAGGTATTATCTGAGCGGCGCAAGAGCTGAGACGACTGACATTACTCCACAGCAAAGGTCGAGTTGCCAGCGACGAGGTACAATGTAGGCTGGTCGTGCGGCAAGGAGACGCTCGCGAATGGCCGATACGATACCGACAAGGGCTCCTACTATGTCCAGCCCATCCACGATGCCGCACTGGAAGACAAGGCGAAGCGGTTGTATCCCAATGTCCCAGAATTTACCACACCAAACGTCTGGCCGGATGAGAGTGTCTTGCCCGGATTCGAAGAAACGTTTGAGACGCTCTGCCGTCTGATCGTCGATGTTGCTGCCGTTGTCGCTCGGAACTGTGACAGGTACGGCGTGGCGAAATTGCAAGACTATCAAGACGGGACTTTGGAGAAGATTGTGCGAGGAAGTGCGTGCACGAAAGCGAGGCTCCTGCATTACTTTCCATCGAAACCGAAAGATGAGCCCAAAGACGGCCGGCCTGACTCCGCCATGGCTATTGACGACGACTGGTGTGCAACACATCGGGATCTGGGCGCGCTTACGGGCCTCACGAGCAATATGTTTGTAGACGAGGCAGCGCATCCTCCTCATCCCCACGCGGACGGCACTCTTCCTCTCTTGCCAGAGCTGGACAACCACCCCGATCCCAAGACAGGCCTCTGGATCAAAGACCGCTCAGGACAGACGACGCAAGTGAACATTCCGCGAGACTGTCTGGCCTTTCAGACGGGCGAGGCGCTGGAGATTCTCACTCGGGGCAAGTTCAAGGCGGTGCCTCATTTTGTACGAGGGTCACGGCATCCGAAGGCGGGGTCGATTGCACGCAATACGCTGGCCGTGTTCACGCAGCCGAACTTGTGGGAGATGGTGGATGAGACGAGGGATTTTGCGGCCCTGGGACAATTTGTCATGGATAAGACGTACTGAGACTCGAAGTTCGCAGCTATCTATCCAATCGTACCTCACCTTCCCAGGACAGTGATCCGTTTGGTGAAGGGATTGACCACCGGATTGTGCAGCTCGCCGATGGTACTCATGCATGCGGCAGCGGGATCGCCACTCGCCGTCAGACTGCCTTCCCAGTACTCCTACATCGTTACGTTAGCCAGCAGCTCACACCAGCGGTTCTAGCAAAACTCACATTGCCAGGAAAGGCATTACCATCCCATGCATAGCTCAGCACCAGCAGCTCCTCGTCGTTGGCAAGCTTCTCGGCGGGGTTTCTCTTGCTGAAGATGACTTTGATGTCTTTCTTTTCTGCAGCACGTGAAACTCGGCTCTGACATGCTTTCGGCGCAGTGATCCAGGCGAATTCAATCGTGGAAGTGTTCGGCAATCTCAATTCCTCGATGGCAGTCGCAAAGGTATCGATGTAGTACTCGGCCTGTTTGTTGTGATACTGCCATACTCCCAGGCCCAGGCCAACGACGTATGTGTATGCGGTTTTGGCTGCTTGCTTCGCGCGAGCATCCGCTTCCAGTAGCAGCATGTCCACCGTGATTCGAATCCGGCCCTTGTACATGCCACTGTCGAAATCGGCTTCGGGGTGCCTCTTGGCCCCAAAGAAGTCCTCGAAAATGCCAGTGAGTCGAGGGTCTTGGTGTGGGTTGTCCGCCTTCGCAAGCATATAAACCGAGTCCATCCGATCATCACGTTCAAAGCGAGCACCCACCAGGCCAATGATGACGCCTCGCGGTTGGAATGTTCCAGCCTTGCCCTCCTGCCCTTGGTTATATCTGTTGCCGTCGTTGATGAAGTAGGAAGGACTGCTGACCCCGATCAATGACCCCAGCATGATTTCATCGTAGGACAGGTATTTTTCCAGTGTGAGGTACTTGTTGAGATGCTGCTCGTCAGTACCGTTGCGGTCCCACTCGGTTGTCGTTCTTCCCTTCGGCTTCGTGCCATCCCGTAGCATGGTGTGGTCGGTGCCGTTCATGAAGACGAGAGGTCGCTTTTCGATCAACCGGGTGACGAGATCTTTCCAGGTGAAGGTCTTGTCTGTCGCGTACAGCGACTTTTCATGTTGAGAGCCTCTCGCTCGTTTGTGTTCGAGGAACCTCCCGGCGAGTTCGGGGAAGCGGGCATGGACGATGATGCGCGTTTCCTCTGCGTCGCGGGCCACAGTGGACTGATCGAAGTTTTTGATGGAGTTGGCCGTAATCGGTGGCTGGACCACGAGTTTCTCGAGGGATAGAGAAGACGACATGGTTCTTGTTTTTGAAACGTGGATGAACAAAGTCAAAGGAGGGGGAGGGACACGAGGCACAAAGAGGATGGGAAGGCTGAAGTGGCATTCCAGGCTGCAGCTCAAGGTTACCCAGCAACATTCTCCGCCTTCCTCTCTCCATCAATCCCAACCGTCCCTTGCGCACGCTCTTCACTTGATTCTGAAGCGGCAAATAACTTTGCAATGGCTTCAACGGTAGTATTTCCACCAGACAGAATCACACCAACATTCCACCCCCCAGGTCCAGCTTGTTCCTCCACCAGCTTACGGAAGTCCTCGTTGTACAGCACCACCGCCAAAGGCACAGCAGCACTCGGCTCAATGAAGAGTTTCGCCCTTTCCATCACCAGTCGTAATGCGCTCTTGATCTGCTCCTCCGTCACGCTGTAAATCCCTTGCAACTTTGTCTTATCCGAAATGATGGACCACGGAATCTCTCCCACCGGCGTGCGCAGGCCGTCGGCAATCGTCAGCGTCTTCACCTTCTCAATCCGCGTTCCCTGCTTCAACCCCATCTCTGCATCGTTTGCGCCTTCAAAGTTGGGCTCCGCGCCGAAGACTATGATCCCAGTGCCGGCGAGAGCAGTGCAGATGCCGCTAAGCATACCGCCGCCTCCAATGGGGGCAATGACTGCGTCCAGTTTCTGCTTGCCGGGGACACCCAGGCTGGAATCTCGGAACAGTAGATCCTCCACCTGCTGTTCAAGTTCCAGCGCTTGTGTTCCCTGCCCGAGGATGATGTTGGGATGGTCGTAAGGAGGAATCAACGTCGCTCCGGTATCTTTGATGACTTGTTGAATGACCGCTTCCCGCTCGTCGCTCGTTGATCCTGAGAAGATGACGTTGGCACCATAACTTTTCGTGCCTGCTATCTTGGATGGTGTGCTGATTGAAGGCATGACGATGTGAGCGGGCACATTAAATTGCTTTGCGGCGAGGGCCAACGCTTGTGCATGATTGCCTGTAATACGTGACGCAGTAAGTAGATGGCTCGATTGATGAGAAGTGATAGGTAGTATGCCTCACCACTACTGTGCGTACAGACGCCCCTCCGCCGCACTTCGTCAATGCCATCTTCCTCGATCAGCCGGCCCAGTGCGTGAAAAGCTCCCCGAGCCTTGAAAGCCCCAATCTTCTGCTGGTTTTCACACTTGAAGAAGAGCTTCACCTTTGGACGAGCATCGGAAAGAGCGTGCGTTCCGTTTGGTGTTGCACTGCGGTTCTCAGATCTCTCAGACTGCGGCGTCGAAGCGATGGTGTTGATGGTTTGACAAGTGACGACCGGTGTGCGATGGATGTATGGCTCGATGCGTCGATGCGCCTCTTGCACCGAAACACGAGTCAACGGAGGGCATTTTGAGAGGTCCATGATTGTGTATGCATCAAGCAAATCAATGACAGGTGCGAGGGACAATATTTCGGGCGGAAAGTTGGAGATGGACTCAGCTGAACGCTAAAACACATGGAACCCGCCAGAAACGAAAGGAGAGCAGAGATCTAGTACGTGCAAACCCGACATGCGATCGACATACTTGGCAACGCCTTGTCTACAGCAATCGATATATTTGGAGGTCTGAGACTCATGGCGAAGAGGAACGATAAGGGCAGGGATAGCACGTGGGAGGCATTCGACGTTACTGAGTGGTTGGGCCTGCTCCTCACGAGTACGTCTTGTGCAAGGCTGGACACCGAAGACTCGGAACTGGAGTCGAGGAGATAGAGAAGTGTCAAGCAGCATTCCAGAACAGCTTCAATACGGATATAGTTCTGCAGCGACTCGCGTCAACTCGGCTGGTTCCTCCGCCTGCAGTACCAATACCGCTCCCCAGCCTTCTCCGCCCGCGTCTCTCCACCATCTCCGCCATGGTCGGCAACGAGGTAGTAACCGTGTGACGCCGCATGATAGGTGAATCGGCGCAAGCAATATGAGTGTTCAATGGGGTGCGATGGACTCGTCTCGCACGAATGAACTGCCAGACAAGCCGCACGGCTGTCGATGCCACTGAGTCGTGTCAATGTTCACCAGGCGCCATCGTAGAGCAGGCTCAGGCATGTAGCGAACTGGACTCGACATGGCGGCGGAGACTGCTTTTCCATAGCTTTCAGTCTTTGTGTACCACAAATCGCAGAGACCGTCTTCAAGGCGCCTTGCGAAGACTGTTGTAATGCTCGCCCAGTCCAAATCCATGCTTGTAGTACGCAAGCCACATCGTCTTCTCACTCGCACTTCCACCAGACTCGATCTTCTCCACCCGGCCAAAGTCTTGCAGGACATAAATGTCGGTGGCATACGACTTTGCGAGAGCCATCAATTCCAACTGCCCGCCCCATTCGCCAGTGTTGCGAATCTTCCCAACGTATTCGGGGAATGGTTCTTCCAGAAAAGGCTCAAAGTCTTCCCGATGTTTCTCAATGTACTCCGCCGCCACTGCTCGGACGCTTTGGTAGGCCGCAGTCTCGTTGATGGTGGCTGCGAGTGGAATATCCAGTTGATGCAGCTGATCGGCAACAGCAGAATAGAGACAGTGTCCGTCCGCTCGGATCTCCTTCTCCTGCATCCCCCGCTCTTTCATGGCGTCCAACATCCTCGTCCGCTCCTGCTCCTTCAAATCTGGCAGGCTCTTCGCCTCCTCCGCCGCCTGTCTTAATAACTCTTCCTGCTCCGCTGCTCTTCGTGCAAGTCTCGCTTTTTGCCGATTCGGTTTCTTTGCCTGACTCCCCAGGGAGCTTGCTGTGTCTGGGTGTTCACCAGGCTCGTTCTTCCCCGCATCGTCGTGGGCAGTCCCGTTCGTACGCGGTGGCTCCGCGTCTGCCTCAATGCTCAGGTCCAGCAGTTCGTTGCTCGGTACATCGTCGCCCACGGCTTCTCCGGTCAGAGCTGCGACCTCACTCTGCTGCCTTTCCTTGAGCTCCGCCTCCAGCCTGTCGCACTCATCATTCACGCCTTTCCTCGTCTTCTTGTTCGCCTGCTTCTTCTTCTGCGTGATGCGACTTTGCAGGTCGCGCTGCTCTTTGCGGTGGCGGGTTTGCAGCTCTTCCATGACTGCAGTTGAGACGACTGTTCGTCTCCAGGTGTTCGGCTTTACCGCATTGTAGTGCAGGGGGAATGTGTTGGCGCAGACACTTCAAGATTGCTCAGACGAGAAGATGAAGTTGGGCATTGAAATTCCTCGGCTCCGGATCGTGAACTTCACCTCGTCCCTGCAACACAGATCAAACAACACTTCTCGCAAGCAATGTGATTAATCCAATGATCCTTGAAAGAATCCAGATATTTCAAAAGCACAGTGTCAACATAATTGCTACATACGCGCCATAGTCCCGACTGCTACACTCATCCTCCATAAGACTCTACCGCCCAACCCCTGCACTGCCATTATTCCGCCGCTGTTTCAATACATACGCCTCCCCCATCCGAACTAACCCTACCAAGTAAACCGCATCAACCCCGGATTCAGCGCAATCGGCAGGAAAAAGTGCGCAACAACAATCGTGCTCAACGGCCAGATGGAAAAGAAGTAATCAATCCTCCACAGCGGCGGCGCGAACCTTGCCATGACAATCATCATAATCGCACACAAGAAGCAGAAGATGAAGGTGAACTTGAACTTGCGGATGATCTTGGGGACCTCCTCGAAGAAGGTGGTGTTCTCCGCTTCCTTGGACGTCGCGCCCCAGCTCATGTCGATGCTGAACATGTGCGAGAGGAGGGCCTGCGAGACGTGCAGCGAGATGCCGCCGAGGAAGATGGTCAGGAGGGGGATCCAGGTGAGGTTCTCAATCAGGGCGCGCAGTAGTGTCTTTTCCTTCGTGCGGTAGCGTAGCACTGCCAGCGCGACGTTGCCCATGGCGGTGAAGACGATGATGATGGAGAAGTACACCCGGAAGCTGTCGAGGTAGTAGTGGTCGAGGTAGCCATTCAACCAGCCGGTGAGGAAGTAGTTTGCAATGGTCAGGATCCACGCGGACCCAATGGCGTAGTACGTGCCGATGTACGCCATAATGGTGATCTTGGAAGGCAGTGGCATGCTGGACTTGAGGAAGTTGGTGAAGAGTTTGGTGAATGGGCCGTAGCGGAACCAGTCCTTGAGAGGGTGGAAAATGAGCTCGTTGCAGCCGTAGGCGTACTTCTCCCACCGCGCCAGCTCGTCGTAGACGGTCAGCGAGACGCCTTCTTGGAAGCCATCGCCGGTGTATCCACCCAGACGGACGAGATAGCCGGCAGTCTGGAGACGGAGAGCCATGTCAAAGTCTTCCGACACCGTGCACTCGGACCAGAACTTCTCGCGATGATCATCGGGACACTCGTATGCAATCTCTTGCACGGCGGCCCAGCGGAGGACGGCATTGTGGCCGACAAAGGGAGCCACGTCTCCGGTGGCAACGGCGAACCGGATCTGAGTGTAGACCAGATGAGTGAAGAAGGTGATGCCGCGCTCAAAGAAGGAATCCGTCACATTCATCACTCCAGAGGAGTACTGGATGATGGCAACTTGGGGAGACTGCTCCATCTCCGACACGCAGTCCAGGAAGCAGTCCTCCGGCACGCGGGTATCAGAATCAATGATGAGGATGTAGTCACCCATGCGAATGTCGCCGTCAGCCCAAGTGCGGCCTTGATCGTCTGCAACAACAGTCGCCAGCGCCTGCTGATACGCTGCAGTCTCTTCATCTTGACTCCAATCGTCGTGGCGGTCAATGGCCCTCAATATATCTTCCACACGCATGCTGACCCACATAGCATAGTTCATGTTCGAAGCCTTCTTGAACTTGCCCCGACGGAGGAACAATTCCTCCCCCTCCTTCGGCTTGGGATTGTGCTTCGGACGAGCGACCCAACCCATGTTGTGCTCTTCGTAGAACTCGCGACGAGCACGCGCGTCCTCCTCGGGAACGATCTGCATGCCATCATCATTGACGAAGATATTTGCAGTCCCGCCTTGCATCTCGTACGTCGACATGGCTGCTTTCAAAGAGCGAACGGTGGGCTCGATGACGGCGTGCAGTCCTTCTTTGTAGACCGGAAGTTGAATGGTGACATGGGGAAGCGGACCTGCGTCACAACGGAGGCGTCGTGGTGGAAGGCCGGAGTAGAACTTTGTATTCTGATGGACTTGATTGACAGGTCCAATCATCTGGGCGACGTTGCCGACAAGAGCCTGGAAGAAGAAGAGTGATAGCCAGACGACAGCCGGCAAGGCCAAGAAGAAGGCCAGACGAACGTAGGAAGCGTCGATTTCAGTCTCGATGGCGACGGAGCGGAAGCCAGATCCAAGAGCGAGAGTGGTGAGGCCGAGCGTGCACGCGGAGATGATGGGCATCAACATCATGATCTTGCGAGGCTTCTCCAGCGTGCCCTTCTCCACGTCGCCTTCTTCGGAGGTGGTGTCTTTGCCGCTGCTGGAGTCGGGATTGTAGTCGGAGTCTTCGTCGGGATCATCGTTCCAGATCATCTCCATCAACGCCTTTTCGATCTTTTGTGCGCGGTCCAGCAGGTGCCGGGGCTCATCGTCCCAGACGACAAGGATCCCGCGGTCGGCGATGAAGGCAGCAAAGTGATGTTTCTGGCAGCGTGGCAGAGCAGAGATGTCGGGAAGTACCTGCAGACGCAAGCCGTTCTTGAGGGGAACATAAGGCTTGTCGTTGCGGTGAAGGAACAGCTTGATGACTCTGGTGTTGACGGTCATTGCCACTCGCACATTGAGTGCTTCAACGTTCTTGAAGAAGCCGGAGGGGTGTTCGATCATGTCCGCCGGGCAGCAGGTGTAGGCTTGACGAGCCTTCTTCAGCACCACTCCCTCGTCCGCTCCACCAGCTGTCCAGAGTCTCTCCATCTGTTGCTGGTACAGCCAGTTGACCATGACGTCGCATTTGATTTCGTGAAAGTCGACGATTTGGTCGGTAGATTGGTTGCTGGGGAAGCTGGCTTGATCGGTTGGGTAGAGCGAAGCTGGTCGAGAGAGGCCTGGAGATCCTGAGGCGGAAGGGGGTGCCAGGTCTTCCTGAGTGTGTTTTGACGGGCGATGGTCGCCAATGAACTTCTCAATGGATTTGATGGTGCCATGGCTGTTGCTCCTGGGCGTCTCCTCGACTTCCGCCGGCTTGATGTACGATAACAGGCCCATTGTGGAGCGCTCTCGAGATGTGATGTTGAGATGATGCAAGGTGTCCGCGGGGGGTTGGAAACGAAGGAAGTGTATTGGAGAGCAGCAACGAGGGCTTGCAGATCGATCTCTCAAGTCTGCAGGATGGATAAGGAGGAGACAGCAAGACTGTGAGAGGCTGATGGAAAGGAGAGAGCAGCGTAGGAGAGCAGGGAAAGGGGATGGGGATGCGGGAGTCTTGTGGGTGAATCATTCTCAATATAGCAATAGTACTAATGCTGTCCAGACCGAATGGAGGCAGCGGGTGAGCATATCGGGACCCATCCGCGTCGACCAGGCTTCGGAGAGCCAGGCCCGCTGTCGACGGCATTGACAAGCACGGGTGGCGCAAGGCAAGGCTGATACCGGCATCGACACGTTTGGAGGATCGAGGCTGGAGAAAGGAGATTTTGTTTGCCGCAGTTCCTATGCGGATGGCAGAGTCGTAGTTGTGGGGAGATCGGTGGAGTCGTGGAGCGATATGGATCGCGGATATTGATAGATTCTAGAGATGCCGTCGGGATAGGCCGCTGTCCATGGCGGATTGTGGGCTAACCTGACCCAGCCGTGCGGATCTCCTACTCCCCCTGAAACCTGTGACGTTCCTTCGGGATGTTTCAAAGCACATTCGCGGGCGTTTGTCCGTTTTTCGGCAGTGGCCCAGATTTTTAGGGGCTCTGTACACGTGGGTGGAGCTTGCGGTCGGGAGGCGCACGTTTGGCTGCGATTTGCCGAAGCCACCACGGCTAGGTGCATCTGGCTGCGTTGTTGGATGGCTTCACTATCGTTGGTATCGCGGAATCTCGATCTCACGGGAAGCTTGTGTCAATTGAGGCGCAATGCCAGCGTGGATGGAATCCATACACCTGGCCACGCGCAAACACGACCCCGTTATTCGGCAAGGCTAGATATGAGGTCAGCAAACGTATTCCCATCATACCCATGCATCCAACACTCACCGATAAGACACCACCGTATCAATTCTGTGAGAGTTGGTAGAGAAGCTGCGCAGCATGACCTTCTCCGCATTCTTCACTTCCTTTGCATCGCTGTCGCCCCACTCCAGAGGCACTTCGGAATCCACATCGGCATAGACGAGAACGTTGAAGGTGCAGTTGCCGTCCAGCATCGGGAGGAAGGTGACGGAAGCGGTGATTTGCCGAAACAGAGCCTGGATGTCCTGTTGGATCTGCGCCTCCGTTTTCTCGTCGGGAGTCGTTTGCTGTGGATTTGCGGTCTCGGGCGAGGAATTCTCCTTGTCGGCCGCGCCCTTGCCGGACTTCTTCTGGGAGTCTGCATTCCCAAAGATGTTGACCTTTTTGGGGATTAGCATGCGATTCAGAGATGGAGGGACATGACATGACACACATCGAATTGCCACCTCTCCACGTGCTCGCCCGTCTCCTTGCTCGTGATGACAACGACGAGCTTGGAGATTTTGGACTTCTGCATCCACTTGCTGAGCTGACCCATGATCTTCTTGATGTACGCCTTGACCTGGTCGTCAACCGTCGTCATCATCGTGAGGCCGTATTTCTTGACACTGCGACAGTCAGTACATCATCGGGTAAGGGGCAGTAGTACATGAGACATACGCGGAGAAGTCTTCCGGAGGATACACGCCTCGTTGAAAGAGGATGGTGTTGATGCCATACTCGAAAAACTCTGTTACGAGCTACAAGACTCACGTCAATATGCGCGCACTTCACCATTCGAAGTAGAGGGTATGCGCACCTTTGCCGAACCCTTGATTTGAAGTTTGTGAACCTTTGCGTTGTCGGAGCTCGACACGGGCGCAGTTGATGAAGGCATGATAGCGGAGGCAGGCAGACGGTTTGATTTCTTTCGATAAATGTGTGTCTGCCGTCAATGCTGGCGCGGGGTGAAATTGAAGGGGAATACCTATGTAGAGGGAAGTCCATAGGTTTGAGGGATGGACGTTGGCGCAGCAACGAAACCTCCAAGCCTCCGCCGTAGACGTCCGAAGCCGCTTACATAACGACCTCGAAATTCGATACCCTTGACTTCGACTTTTGAGCAGCTCAAGCCACAGCATCCCCTTCAATACGTTTCGTCGCCTGTGAATGTCATGCAACGATGCCTTTCGACGTCACATAACGCGTTAAGCCATGTGCGAACGACTCGCACCCTCATCCAATCGATCATCACCCATCCCGCTCGCCGATTCACCACCTCCTGCCCACGTCTCGCCGGCCCATTAAAAGTCCAATCCGAACTCGAGCGGCGCATCTCCGACATCCCCATCGAACGTTTCCGCAACTTCTGCATCGTCGCGCACGTCGACCATGGCAAGAGCACGCTTAGCGACAGACTGCTGGAGCTCACGGGCACCATCGAGCCGGGAGGGAAGAAGCAGTTTCTCGACAAGCTGGATGTGGAGCGCGAGAGGGGCATTACGGTGAAGGCGCAGACGTGTTCGATGGTGTACAAGTACAAGGGACAAGACTATTTGTTGCATTTGGTGGATACCCCTGGACATGTCGACTTTCGCGCCGAAGTTAGTCGGAGTTATGCGAGTTGCGGCGGCGCCTTGCTGCTCGTTGATGCATCGCAGGGAGTGCAGGCGCAGACGGTGTCCAACTTTTACCTTGCTTTTGCCCATGGATTGAAGCTGGTGCCAGTGCTCAACAAGATTGACCTGCCCTCCGCCGACACGCAGCGTACCATCGAACAGCTCTATGACAACTTTGAGGTGGATGGATCCAATGCGGTCATGGTTTCTGCCAAGACCGGGCTCAACGTCGAACACGTCCTACCGAACATCGTCGAGCAAGTGCCGGCCCCGACTGGCGCAGACAGCGCACCTTTGAAGCTACTCCTCGTGGACAGCTGGTATGACAATTACAAAGGCGTCATTCTTCTCGTCCGAATCTTCGAAGGCACCGTCAAAGCCGGCGATAGAGTCTACTCCTTCGCCACGGGCAACGAATACATTGTGGGCGAAGTGGGCATCATGTACCCTCTCGAGACACCACAGACTCGACTCCGCGCCGGCCAGGTGGGATACATCTTCTTCAACCCCGGCATGAAGCGAAGTCAGGAGGCCAAGATTGGCGACACCTACACCACCGTTGGCAACGAGAAAAAAGTCGAGCCGTTACCTGGGTTCGAAGAACCGCAAAGCATGGTCTTCGTTGCGGCCTTCCCCACCGACCAAAGCGACTATGCGCATCTTGAGGACAGCATCAATCAGGTGACGCTCAATGACCGCTCCGTCACAATTGCAAAAGAGAGCAGCGAAGCACTCGGGGCGGGCTGGCGTCTGGGCTTCCTAGGCACGCTACACTGCTCCGTATTTGAGGATCGCCTTCGTCAAGAGCACGGCGCTAGCGTCATCATCACGCCGCCGAGTGTGCCCTTCAAACTGGTGAAGAAGGATGAATCGGAAGAGATTGTCACCAACCCCAACCTCTTCCCTGACCCCACGCAACTCCATCAGTTTGTGCAGAGGCTGGAGGAACCGTACATCATGGCGACGATTACCGTTCCGGAGGAGTACCTGGGCGGCATCATTGAGCTCTGCGAGAGTAATCGTGGCGAACAAGAGTCTTTGACATTCTTCACGGCCACTCAGGTGATTCTCAAGTATCTACTGCCACTCGAGCGCCTTGTAGACGACTTCTTCGGCAAGCTGAAAAGCACCACCAAGGGCTACGCATCACTGGATTACGAAGACGCCGGCTACCGGCCGAGCAGCATCACGAAACTGCAGCTGCACGTCAACAAAGTGCCCGTGGACGCCGTGGCACGCGTGATTCACACATCGCAAGCCGAACGACTGGGCAAGGAATGGGTGTCGAAGTTCAAGGAACACGTGCAGCGGCAAATGTTCGAGTTGGTGATTCAAGCGGTGGCGGGGAAGAGGATCGTAGCGAGGGAGACGCTGAAGCCATTCCGGAAAGACGTGACGCAGAAACTGCATGCGGCGGATGCTTCGCGGAGGCGCAAGCTGTTGGAGCGGCAGAAGGAGGGCAGGAAGAAGCTGAGGGCGGTGGGAAATGTTGCGATTGATAACAAGGCATTCCAGGCTTTTCTGGCCAAGTGAATGATCAACACACGCATGATGGGGAACGACGTGTGATGGGGTGGAATCCCCCAGCCCTAACACGGCTCGATTGATAATACGTAGGCAACCCCGCCATGCCCCACCATCAATGAAGTACTTTAGCACGGCAATGACTGCAATCGTGAACCCTCCATCATGCCCCTTGTCAATCGTATTGCTCGACTCTACCCAACTGTATCCTACCGTGCCTATACCCACTCCACCGAAATGTCCTCTGAAATCATCCTCTTCGACTTGCCATCCAAGGGCGACCACCCGAAATGCTGGTCCCTCAATCCCTGGAAGGCCCGACTGGCACTGAACTACAAAGGCGTTCCCTACAAAACCGAATGGACAGAGTATCCCGACATCGCGGACAAGTTCAAGCAATACGGGATCCCCGCGAACGATCGCAACGTCAACCCCAACGCCGAGTACTCGTGTCCGGCCGCGCGCTTCCCGGACGGCAGCTACGTGATGGACTCGCGCAAGATAGCGGAAACGCTGGACAAGCTGGCGCCACAACCATCCCTCCACACGAACAAGGGAGAACTGATTGACCGCGTGCAGCAGACGGTTCTGGGCTGCCAAGGCGCGCTGGCGCCGCTGCTCATGCCCGCCGTGCCCGACTTGCTGCCTCCGCGCTCGGCTGAATACTTCCACGCCACGCGCGCCAAACGCTTCGGCATGCCGCTGGCCGAGTTTGCCAAGAGCGACAAGGGCGGGGAGAATGCGTGGAAGAACGCGGAGCCTCACCTTGCGACGTTGAAGGACATTTTGGCGGAGAAGGACAGCGGGGTGTTTGTGTTGGGGGGAGAGGTGTCTTTTGCGGACTTTATCATTGCTGGGTTCTGGGATTTCCTGCGCAAGACGAACGAGGAGGCGTTTGCGCGGGTGATGAAGATTGACAAGAGGTTTGGGGAGCATCACAAGGCGTGTGCCAAGTGGTTGGAAGTGGATGATTAGGGTGTGCTATTCTGATGTGTTAATCGTCACTCGATTCCATATTGCCACCACAACCTCGAGTTGTTCAATCCACGACATCGGGTCATCGGCACGGACGGCGCGTGGTGGATTAATCAGCGGAAATGGATGACTGAGGCCAAGAATTGAATGTTCCTCCGGCGCAAGCGTTGTGGTCGGAGCGTCGGGGTTTGCGAACACGCCCATCCTTGACCAATCGAGCAGCAACGAGGGTGTGCATTTTGTCCGAGACCGGTGCGCGATCTGCTGCATCTGCGGATTCTTCTCATCTCATCTCCTACCTCCATCTCCCCCTCATCATCCTCTTCCTCCCTCCTCATCCATCCTCCAAGCCGCTTGGAACTCTGCTGGTGGCCAAGAGTGCGGGGCCGGGGGAAATCGACGCTGCTTCTGGTGAGGCGTGCAAGCCACGCCACGCAGCAGACCCTGCTTGCCTGCCTGCCCTGGACCTGGCCGGGAAAGTACAATAGTACCTCGCGCTATCTCTACCCGCCAAACCCGCCCAACTAATCTGCACCTCGCCCTCGTCGCATGACGGCCGTGGCGCCACACCCTCCTCATCTCATCGCAGTACACCTTTGCGCGTCCGGCTACTGGAGCACCAGCGGCCGCCGAAAAGCTTGCCCGTGTGTCTCCACTCCACGCCAACCATTTCGCTCCGGTCTGCATCCATCCCTCTCTGCATCTTTGAGGAGATCCCACCACGGTCGGATGGCACATCCTCGCTAGCACATAGCTCCAGGGGCCGTGTCGGCGTACGTGTGCGACCATGAAGCCTCCGCCAAATCGTGCCAGCACTGCGCCCGTCAGTCCCGCATCCCCGCAGACGCCCTTTACCCCCAATGGCGAAAAGAAGGCCGGCTTTCTACGGCGACATTTCCACCGCCGGAGGAGCAGCGTAGTAGCCGTGCCCCAGCTGGCTATTCCTCAACCACCCGCCAAGCAGCAGCAGCAGCAGCAGCACCAACAACACGAGCAATTACAGCATCGACCCCCGCCTTCTCAACCCCCGACATCTGCCCATTCCTTCACTCAACCACCCCTCTCCGCCGACAGCAAGCACACCTCCGACGACTCCAAACATGACAGCCTGGAAAGACCAGAGTCCGCTGGCCGAGAGTCCGTCGAGACGGATGAGTTCCACGATCCCCCGCGCTCCTCCTCCAAATCTAGTGGTATGGTCCGATTCGCTCCGGGCCTCGATCTCCCGCCCGCAGCACGTCCGCGGCGAACCAGCTCCGCAGGCACTGCGGGCACCGGCAGACGTGGCTCCATCTACCAGCGCTTCCAGGGCGGCTACACCGATGGTGTCGACGCCGGTGTGGGCTCCAAAGCCCGCACGCTTTCCGTCGCCATTCCTCACGAGCTGTATGTCGACGAGTGTCGCCTGGCCGAGCACTTTAGCGTGCTTTCCCGCGCCGGGAAGAAAGACATTGGCGAAGGCGGAGCGGCCGTGGTGCACCTGATGCAAAGCAAGACCGCCGGACCCGGCAAGGTATTTGCCGTCAAGGCCTTCCGCGACTGGGAACCCGACGAAGAACTCGAGCGGGAGTATGTGCGCAAAATTAAAAGCGAATACGCCATTGCGAAATCGCTCGAGCATCCCAACATCATTCAGACATACCGCCTATGCCACTCCGACAAGAAGTGGTTCCACGTCATGGAATACTGCGACCTCGGCGACCTCAACGATCTTATCAACAAGGGCTACTTCTCGCGCGAGGACCGCAATTGCATGTTCAAGCAACTCCTGCGCGGAGTGGAATACCTGCACAGCCGGGGCATCGCGCATCGCGATCTCAAATCGGAGAATCTCCTGCTCACCTCCACCGGCTGCCTGAAACTCGCCGACTTCGGCACAGCGGAAGTCTTCAGCGGCATGCATCCCGGACTGCGAGGGTGCAGACGACAAAGTCTCGTCAAAGAAGAAGATGAGGTGCGATTGTGTGCGCCCGGCCTCGTGGGCAGTCGACCCTACATGGCGCCGGAGATTATCGAGCACGAAGACCGATACGATCCGCGAGCAGTGGACATCTGGTCGTGCGCCATCGTCTACCTCACGCTCTGCATCGGCGGCACACCGTGGGAGTTTGCCTCGACGGACGTCAAAAACTACAACATCTTCTGCAGCACGTGGGACACGTGGTACGAGCGGTACCCCGATCGCCTTCTCACAAAGGAGCGCGTCCTGCCCGCGTTCGCGTACACGAAGCAATTCGCCATGCTGGACGACATGGGCACCAAGTGTCTGGTGATGGGCATGTTGCATCCGGATCCCAGCAAACGGTGGTCGGCCAAGGACGTGTTGGAGAGCAAGACGGTCGTGGATTACCCGTGTTGTCAGCAGGATGGATACAGTGACGATATTAAGACACGACAACGCAAAGCGATGCACAACCATTGTCCGCCGAAGCCGGTCAAGGGGTCGAAGTTCTTGAAACCCAAGTGAGGACGACGACAATTGGCTTCACGAGAGAGATTAGATACATTTGCGAGATCGACTTCAGCACACCACTCTCTACCAAAGCTCCCAAATGGCGGCTGGAAGGACTTGCCGCATGATATGCCAGTGCCGAATGGCGCTCTGCGCCTGCTGGGTATAGTACTTCATCTCATCACCCGGACGCAGAATCTGGTACTCCAAAACGGCGGATCGGTTGGAGGAGTGTTGGAGCGGGAATGGGATCTCCAGATTAGCACGCGGGAGCAAGTGGGCCTCGCGGCTTCGGCTTCCCAGGAAGTCGGTGGGGGCGGGTTGGCGGAAGGTGACGGGCCCGGGCGAATTGCGGCAGAAGATGACCATGTTGATGAAGTCTTCGTCGCGCACGGCATGGAACTCGTCAAAGTCGCCGCCTGCTTTCCTTCCGAATGCCTCTTCCGCCGGCGGCTCACGGTAGATTTTGCACTGGCCGTCAAAGGTTTTGTCAATGGTATTCAGCACACTAGTCGTCAGGGGGAGTTTGGGGTCGCCGGCGTAGTTGAGGGCAATGGCGCCGGCGGGCTGTAGCAGCGAGCGGAGATTGTATAGAAAGACGTTTGTGAAGAGGTTCAGCGGTTCTGCGCCGCCTGTGAAGACGTCGTGGATGATGTAGTCGTATTTGGTCGTTTTGTTCTCCGCGGCGGAGCCTACCCACTCCATTGCGTCGGCGACGTAGCTTATGTAGGTCGGTGGGAGGCCGAAATGCTTGACGGCGTACTGGTGGATGATGGGGTCTACTTCCACAACGGTGGTGTTGATGCCGTGGGCGAGTAGGGCGCCGGGCGCAGTGCCGGTGCCCAAACCGATGACTAAAGCGGATGCCTGCGAGTCGGGGACAGAAGGCTGGAGATCGAGCAATCGCACGGCTTCCAGCATTTCAAAGACGGGATAGACGGGCTCGTCCACGGTCCAGCCTTCCAGTTCTCGCCTCTGCGGCGTGAGAAGCCACTTTCCGCCTAGGAGAGAGTGGTCGCAGCGGAGGACACGGTAGTTTGTGTCGAGATTCTCTAGCACGGAGAGGTAGCCCGTGTTTGACCAGCTGCGGTCGAGGAGAGACCAGTTGTGTGAATGGAGGGTGGAATTGAGCTGGTTCAGCGCAACCTCCGTCTCGAGATGCGGATTGAAGTAGATGGTGTGCAGTAAACCAGGTAGAGCACCCATCAAGCCCAACTTGGAAGGGACGAAGAAAGCCATGATGCAAGCCAGGATCAACTGCAGCGTGACGGGGACGAAGAAGCTGGAGACATATGCGAGGCCCGGCAGACTCGAGCGGGTCCAGGCGGTGACGGTGTTGATGTGCCAGAGGCCGAAGATGGCCGGGGCGATGAAGCCATACCATGCGCCATACCGCGCCGCGAGCTGCAGTTGCTCGACGGCTTCCGCGCAGGCGTACACCACGAGGACGAGGAGGATGTGGGAGGTGAAGAGGCTGACGACAATCGGGCCGACCTGTGGTCCAAGAACGCCGCTGAGGCGGGAGAGGTAGAACTGAACGGGGGGGATCCAGAAGGCGTATGTTACTGCTGCCTTCCCAACGAGGCCGGGTGGAATGTTTTCGACAAAATGGCGGAGTCCAAAGCCGGCGACGACACTCGCGATGAGGAATTCCTGATGGTTCATGTCCACCTCTAGGCTGCCGAAGACGGGCGCCAAGGCGGTTTGAGAGACGGCGGCTGAGATTCCGGCCATCATGAGCAGGACAATGGGAACGGCGAGGTGCTCTATGAGTAGATTGACGGTCAGAGGTGGTAGAGCTGGCCGCGTGGCTGGTTGCGCCGTGGGTTGCACATCTTGTGCCGCCGGCGAGTCCGCTTTTTCTCGTCGTTTGGGCGGCATGGCGAGAGTCCTGGAAGCACAAAGGTGAGGGAGTTGTTAGGATGGAGAGCAGGAACGAGCGGTAAAGCAGTCAAACGCGCAAAGGTGTCGTTAGCGTGAGGTTACATCAAAACGTCCGTCAAATTTCGCATTTCGAAAAGCGCCCATATCCACTGGTAGGCGCCACGAGCACGACATGACGAAGAGCTGGTGAAGAAGTGTATCTGTAGAGGCCTCGTTTCAACATTGCGTGCATTTGTGGGTGTTTCAATCGCACGCCGTCTTCTCCTCGGTATCTGGTGAGGATGTGCTTTTGAAGCTCTCCACTCGCTGTCCTCCGGTAAGGTCATCCCGTTTCAACCCTTCACTTGTTTCATGGCATCCCGACCGGTCCTCACCGTGACGTTGCTGAGCCTCGCCCGGCACCATGTCAACCACGTCCGGATGAACATATCCGCACAGAGTCTGGACACTGCTGCCCTTGGTTGGAAAGGGTGTCCCGTATAAAGAGCATTGGCATCTCGGCGCCATGGCACGTGAGCGCATGCCCTTCACAGAAAGGACCGAGGCTGTCAGTATACTTCGAGATGCCCATGGGGTAGGACGTACTCCGACATTGGCAAGCTCGGCATTGGGGCGCAAGGACAACCTAACGGCCCGGCTTTTCGCATGTTCAGGAAGACTGTTGACGAGCGTCGCAGGCAAATGGGCGGCTGTTGGCAGCCTCGGGAGACGGACAACCGAGTGAAATGGAGACAAGATCTTCTCATGGCATCTTCCGGTCCACTCGGCGCCATGCAAGTGTGGCAGGACGTCCAAGAGTCTGCTTTGACCGTGACTATATGTAACAATGGTTTGGCCACCACTCGAAGGAGAAGTATTCCACCTCTGGTTCACTTCTTCCGACCTTCCCCTCATCCTGCAAAATGGCCGACCACGAAAAGATCGAATCCTCCACGCATCACGAGGAGACTGTCAGCAACCCGGATATCATCAAGCCGACAGAAGCAGGCGATGAAGCTGCAAAAGTGTTGAACAGCTACGATGGTCCCACGTCTTGGGAGGTTGCCGAAGAACGGAAGCTGAGGCGCAAGATCGACTGGCGCCTCATGCCCGTCCTCTGCTTCACCTATGCCCTTCAATACTACGACAAGTCGATGTTGTCTCACGCCGCATTGTTCGGATTGATTGAAGATCTGAAGCACCCAGATACAATTCGGGCTGGCTCATCACAACCGTCACAGCAGCCGCAGCGAGCGTACTGATCCTCGTCTACCGCGCGCTTTGTATCTGGGACAATCGCCGGCGAGACGCGTCGGGGACGATGGAACGCTTCGACCACGCCTACGAAGATCCCACGGATAAAGAGGTACGCGCAAACACGATGACATTGTAGTGGCATATGTCAACAGTCGCACAGAACCGTCAATTCCGATACATCATGTAAGGGGAGTTCCGTAAGTAGACAGCAGAGTGGGGGAAGTATTGTTGTCGTCGTGCTGTAGTCGTGGCAGCGTTTGGCACTTTTCATCGAACGCGGCTGCTCTTCATCACTACTGCCCGTCGATGGGCACAAAGTAACCCCCTCTACCACTACCATACCGCACAATATTTCCTGAAGCAGGCACCACAAAAGTTCGGCAACGTGCCAGCCATCTTCCCCATGATCGCACAACCCACACACTCGGCCCAATCCGCCGTCCTGTTATTCGACGCAATAGCCCGGCCATCATCCAACAGCCCGTACAGCACCTCGTCACCCATCGGATCCGGGGTGCGACCGTAGTTTGAAGGGTACACGACGTCTCGATTAGGCATGTACACCAGCGTGATGGTGTCGGTCGTATTGCAGCCGAAAAAGACGTTTCGGTTGCCGAAGCCGTGCTGGACAAACGTCGGCGGATCGGGCACGGGCGGCATGCGGGTGAGATTGTTGAGCTGCGCGCGTAGGTAGGTGCCGTGCAGATTCGTGCCGTTGACATAGCCGTCTGTTGTCTCGCCGGAGTTGTCGGAGACGAAGAGCACGTCGACGTCACGGTAGAGGAGGGGCGTGATGGCGACGTCGGAGACCAGGCCGCCGTCGACCATGTTGATGTTGGGATACTCGCTCACTTTGGGGGAGGATGAGGAATTGTAGAAGGGATTTGGGTAGCGTGCGAAGAGGCTTCTGTTCGACGGGAACAACAACTCCGCGAGCTGATGCGACACGTTGTACTCCGCGAAGATGGTGGGCAGCTTGGCGTTGAATTCCGTACAGTTCAGGCCGAGCACGTTACCAGATGTGGCAATGGCAAACCCTGTGTTGTCGTAGCCGGTGACACATGTTCCCGCACCAGTATATGGCTGAGATCCAAGATAGGTGATGTTGACAAATGCAGAGATGCCCTTCTCCCACGAGCCAAACTCGTACGGGTTGAACTCGTATGCCGGGTCGGAAAGATTGGAGAGTGGGCAACTGTCGCCAAATGCGTTCACGCCTCCGGCGGCAATCATCGGAAACGGCGAGTGGAATGTTTGGAAGATTGGCTGGGCGGTGATGTCTTCAAAATGCGACGCGGGAGCACCTTCTGCGCTCAAGAAGGAGTAGGATTCAAAGCGGCCGAATAGATCGACGTAGGAGATGGGATAGCCCGCCAGAGCCTTTTGAAAGACTTGTCCACGGATGATGTTCCTGGTCATATTGTACTTCTGTGTGCCCTTGCCAAAAGGGATTGGCGACTCGAACCACAGGTGTTGAGGGACATGCCGTCTTCTGTGGTGCATATCCAGTTGGTGCGGCCGATGCGAGTTCCTTGGTCGAAGAGAGCAAGGCTGAAGGCAAGGATGTGACATCCGCACAAACGGCGCCGGCGTAGAGAATGAAGGGTAAGAAACGCATGTTTCGCCAGTGTAATACGGTGAGGATTTCAGACAGCAATGTGAACATCGGTGGGAGGCCCCTGGTCTTTATAATGCGACCAAGACGATGACGATGGAAAAAGGCGGCAAGCTGGGAGCGTGAGAAATTTCCCACGAGCAACGAGCGCAATCATTTCCCTGGCAGGACACCGCGCAGACGTCAGCATCGCAACCACTTCTGGACATGGTAATAATGCGCCTGCTCATCACCCTGGCCAGGAAAATCGCTCAGTCAAACCGTTGGCCCGCGGGAGGCTTTCCTCTCTGGATATCCAAGCTGTTGGCCACGGGTGCAAGCGAAAGCTCCAATCCTGATGCTGAGTCGATACGTCGCGTCGCATGGTCGATGTCATCTTTAGCCACCTGATAGCAGCATGTAAGCGAGTGGTCACAGATCCCTGCTCAACAAACTTGGTATCGGACCAGAAGAGCCCTCCGCAAATTCGACTTCGCCCTCACCCATGGCTTTGTGAGCGCGCCCTGGCTCATTCGCCCTTTTGCACTACGTTGACTGCAAAAGGGCCCCCAGGTGTATACAAACGCTCAAGGAGGGTAGTTCCATTCAGGCTAGCCACATGCAACTGTGCATGCGCAGCGGCCTGCTTGTGAAGCGCGGGCGCCTGCGACGATGTGACGATACTGTGCAGGGCGAAGAATAAGCTGCAAGAATCGAAACCCCGGGATACGGCATTGGCTGCGCCAGTGGGTCGCGGAGCACGCAGGCCGATATCGTGAGGGAAGTAGTAGGGGATCGCGGCGAGGATGCACTCTGCCGAGCTCCGGATGTTTTGTTGCGCTCGAATGACGATATCCGCGAGGCCTGTGTCCATCTGTCGCGCAGGCAAAGACTCCAGCATGCGAGCGGCTTGGACAACGACCGTGTCTACGCGCAGACGTGTGGCGTGGGAGTCGATCCACAACTGGACGTCGGCCATGTTGGGGGTCTTGCGAAGAGCCGCACCGTCGGCAAGCGATGGAACGTGTTTCACATGAGCATGCCATGCGCTTCTAGCCTGGACAGGGAAGGGCGAGAGGGGTTGTTGTAAGTCGCAAACTTTACGGTTGATTTGCTGCGCAACCCGCAATATGCAACGGAGCTCTTCGAATGAAGGCGACAAGAACGCTTCTCGCTTCCGTGCCTGCAGCTCAGCCAGATGAATCATGCAAATGGTTAGAAGCCGCGATCTGGAGCTCTCGAGGAACTTGTCGGACTCGCACAACAACTCCGGGACGCGCATACATTGCAAGATGCAGTTCCGGATGTAATGCCATCTGACAAGAGTGTCCAATACCATGCTTGTTGGTGTTCTGTTGGTTCCATTGACGCGCTGACAGATCAGCGCAACTGCACCGTCATCGTGTTTGAAGCTCGCCGGGACGAAGGTTAAGCGATCCATGGCCCCCATCTTATCTTCGTAGTTGGCTAGGAGCATGACTGTCAACACCAGTTCGTCCGGTATGTCGCTACGATCCGCATTTTGAATCGCTGTGCGTGTGAGAGCAAGTGCACGGCGATAACTATCACTGCTGAGTGTGATCGCAGTCCTCGACTTCGCCGATCGGCCAAAGTACACCAACGCCATGGATGTCCATGCCGCTTCGAGGAGTAGGCGCGGCTGCTGATCGACAGACTTTCCGTCGTAGAAGGATAGAAAGCCTTGGAAGCCAAGGCAGTAGTCAGAAGCCAGCCACGGCGGGTTTCTGGAACAGTAGACACGATACTTCTGTAATGCGAACTGTGTGATGGGTGGGATTAGGCTGGGTTGACATATGCTAAGTGCACATGCGGTCTCCGCGAGATATTCCAGGGGCATGGATGTGGGCGCCGCGGGTAGGATGGCTGCAGAGGAAGATTCCTCGGCCGTACGAACAGTGTACCGGGGAGCACGGCGCCCACGGGGACGACGCTGCGTTCCCGGGGCATATTGGTTTTCCGAGTGAAAGACGAGGGTTTTGGCATCAGGCACCCACCAGACACAGGCTGAGCCACGAGTCTGACATTGTCCACAAGTCGGTCGGAGGCCGTCGCACTTGTTGCATCGACCGTCAGTATGGGGCATGTTGCGATGGACCGCGCAGACAGTATACCTCGATGTGCTTCGTTGCGCATGCTTCACACCGGGTGCGAGGCCGCATGACAGGGCTAGTCTCTCCTCAATGTTCCCAGTACCGCGCTGCAAGATGACTTGGATACGATGCCAGTGTGGAAGACTGTCATCACAAAAAGTAAGGTAGCTGCGCATTGACGGCGGCAGACGGATGTAGAAGCCGCGTTCCTCATGGCGATCGCGGTGCTTACTCCGAGAGTCATTTTCAATCGACCTCAGCTCACGACCGATTGGGCCAGTGGCCGCGGGGGCCAAAAGCAAGAGGTGCAGAGAGTAACTCCATAACCTTTCGTATCTGATGAACCTTCACGGCTGATGGCCGTAGGGTTAGGGTTGATTCTCGGCCCCACCCGAAATGCTTGGCGGCGCTTGCTCGTGCTTCACGTCTCGCGTCATGCGTGCAATTCTCACGGACTACCTCTCTCTCGAACATCAGAGCCACCACACAATGGATCGCGCTCTTGATGACATCATTGGCGCACGCCCAGTATGTACTAGATGTCGTGGCCTCTTCGAACATGTCGACCGGATGATGCTGACGTGCAGCAGCAGCGCACTCGACCTCCACCCCGCCGTGACCCCCAACGATCTCCTCCGCGGCAGCCGCCAAGGGCACCGCGTAGAGAGGAATACCCCCGAGATGGAGTTCGAAAGGTTGGTCATTACCTTCTGCCTGCGCCCGCTTTCCTCTACTAACCATCCCACACAGGTGCCTACTCCCTCCACCCATGACTTGTCCGTTCCTGTGCGATCAGCCTCTCGATCTCCACCTCGTCCAATGCGTGTCGACACGGCAGAGCCCTGACCACGGCGGATCGACGTGACGCCCAAACGTAACTGTAGCTAACCAGGCCCTCCCCTCTCTGCAGAACCGCCGAGACGAGCGCGCTAATATCGACTCGTGAGTTCACTCAATGGCCCCACGGCACGAACTCGGAGCTGACGATTGCAGCGATTGGGTGCATGATCGCTATGATGAAGAGCGGGATGACAGGGTGTCCGGCAGACGTCCAGGATATGACGACTTTGATCGATCAGCCCGACCTGCAAGACTGGAAGAGTACGTGGGGTTGTAACAATCGTTACGAGAGGGCAATGGTTGACAGATTGAGCGCAGGAATGGCACGAAACTGAAAGTCGACAACATCCACTACGAGCTCACCGAGGCGGACCTTCACGTACGTTTGCCATACCCGATGATCCCCTCGCCCTTCATACTGATGCAATCACCAGGAGCTCTTTCAACGCATCGGACCCGTCCAATCGATCAAGCTCCTCTACGACCGCATGGACCGCTCCGAAGGCACCGCATTCGTGACCTACAACGATCCCCGCGACGCCCGCGACGCCATCACCGAGTTCAACGGCTGCAATGCAAACGGCCAACCCATTCGCATCGCCATGATGCCCACCGCCCCGGCAGGAGCGGCGCGAGGAACACTGTTTGACCGCGTGGAGCGTCCGGCACGTAGTCTGTTCGACCGCATCCAGGACGGACCGGATGTGAGGGGCGATGATCGACGGGGAGACGAGACAAGGAGACGGAGAGGAGAACGTGGCAGCGCGAGTCCGCGGAGAGGAGCGGCGCCGGATCATATCGATCGCTACGTCCCAGGAGGTGCGCGTCGGTCTCGCTCTCCTGTCCAGCGCAGGGGTACACCACGCGAAGGAGGGAGACGACCCGGCCAGCGACGCGAGGAAGGCGGAGGTGGTAGGGGAGGCAGACGTGGCCGAACGGACGGTGATGGTCGCCCGCTTGTTGGTGGCCGCCCACGCAAGACGGCGGAGGAGCTCGATGCCGAAATGGCGGATTACTGGGGCAAGCCGGGCGAGGAGCCAACAAAGGCCAACGGTGCGGCTGTGAATGGGAAAGCTGCAGCAGCGACTCCTGCGGATGATGACATCGATATGATCGAATGAGGAAAGTAGAGACAGGTGGGCGCTGTAACATAGCTACGTGGGTTTCCGACTTCTTGACATAGCGTTCAAGATCAACGCAATCCAGCATCATTCGGCCGCGAGGTTCAGTCTTTCCAACTGCTCAAACAACCCGCTGACTCCCCCGTCTTCCACCTCCTCCTCCTCAACAGCCCCTCCAACCACATCCTCCACATCAAGCCACCCCTCCTCCAACGCCAGCCCGACCAAATCACTCGCAAACCCCAACTCCCCCGCCTCGCACAACCTCCCGGGATCAAGTAAATCCTGCAAAGAGAGAAGAATATACTCCAAATCGTTCCCACGCTTCCAACGCGCATACTCCTCTTTCCGCTTTCGTGAAGGCGCTCGCTCTGCGCTAGGCCAAGCGACTTGCTCGAGGAGTTTGTAGAGGATGTAGTGCAGCCAGATGAGATTGGTGATGGGGTGGTAATGCATCCAGCGGCCGTCTTCGCTTTCCGCGGGAAAATGAGCGGCGTATGGATCGCCACAGAGTGCTGCGCCGCGCATGTAGCGGTAGATGTCGTACTGATATTCCTCCGAACTGTCGCCTTCGAAGAGCGCCGAGTCGCGTGCGAGGTCGTGGTACGCGATGTTGTCGTCCTGCATGCGGCAGCGAGAAATGGTGTAGTCGATGATGGTCGTTTCCACGTCCGTGAAGTTCAATTTGCGCTTCGCATCGATTGGCCCGTCGTTATTCGCAGCAGGTAGATGCACGCAGATGTTCCCCAGATGCAGGTCGCGGTGCTCGAACTCCGCGCCCTCTTCCCCCTTTGCTAAGGAAAGCACGACTTGCCAAAACACATCCCAGACGAAGAAGATGGACGTACTGGATTGTCGCTGCTCCACTAGCCGTTCGAGATCGATGCCGGCATCTTGCATTTCAATCACGGCCCACAACTGGTCGGAAGCGTAGCTTGCCCTCTTTCCAGGGTCGGGGAAATGGCTGAGATCTTTGTTTCTCGCTTGCTGCGCAGCGTTGAAAGCTTTGTACGCCTGTGCAAATACGGCGGGCGGTCGACCCTGGACGATTCGAAGGTCGCGGAAATTGGTAAACCCAGGAATCGCGCTCATTCGTTGGAGGAGTTTGACTTCATTCGCGACGTCTGCAGGAGAACTCATGCTGGTTGTCTGTCTTGCACTCGTCGCAGGTTTCCGCTTCGAACGAAAAGTACTTTCCGAGGGACGTAGGGCGATGATTTTGAACACCGACTCGTCGCTGCGGTCGATTCCAGATATCCTCTCGCGCAATGAGAGACGGTAGACTTCGCCAAAAGATGCCTCTGCGATCTTTGTGAGTTCGAAGTGGGCGCACAGTTGATCTGCCCATTCTTGGAAGCTGATCATGTCGTGTGAGGAGATTCCAATCAGTTCGAGGGAGTCGTCATGGTCTTCTTCCACGGCTGAATGGCCAGCTTCTTCGTAAAGTACAACCTCCCTCCTCCCTCCCTGACCCTTCTTTCCCCCGTCCTCACTCAAACCCAAACTCCTCTCCATCCCAACATCAACATTAACGCTCACCTCCCCCAAGACCCCCCTCTTTCTCCTCCCGCCACTGCCCTTCACTTCATCTCCAAAACTCAATAGCCCCAACTCCTCCACCACCTCCGCAACGCTCACCTCCGCCGCGGCCGGGGACTTTCGCGCAGGGCTAGCCAACACCGCATGCGGATCATATACCGCTCGAGATCGCTTGCCGTAAGTTTGGCGGGGTGGCATTGTATTTGCAATGCTTCGACGTACCGCAGTCTTCCGAAGAGGCTCGAGGTGCAGGTGAGGTGACACCGTTTACCTGCGGCGCGGCTAGCGTGGAGGCGCATAGCAACAGCCGCCCTCGGCGTCCACGTTGCGCGGGCCGGGCCTTGTGTTTAACGTTAATTGGGGGTGCCAATTCCAGCTTGCAGATATGGCATTCACATCCTCAGTCAAGCAAAGAAAACACGAATGAGAAATACTTCGCACAGTTCAAAACTTAGGAAACGCTACAACCACGCGAATGCAATGCTACTCGGCCGTCTCCGAACCATCATCGCCTTCATCCCTCTAGTCATAATCGTTGCAATCGTAGTGATAATGATAATCGTCATTCGTCGAATGCTGCTCCACACACTTTTTCCATCTCCACCTTCACCTCATCTCCGATACCGCCTGCCGCCATCCCTCTCGATAAACGTATCCCGTTCGTAGAAAGAGTAGCCTCCTCCTCCACTGCCCCGCGGCGGGGGAGGAGCAACAGGCGGCAAGGGGGGAGGGAAAGCTCGGTCCGACTGGTATTGAAGTTCGCGAATACGCTCGTGGCGTTCGCGGCGGATGTCTTCTGTAATTTCCACGAGGCGCACAACATCGTCCTGTGTCCGTCCACGTTAGTCAAGGTGCTTGTCGAGGACGCGGCGTGCACTCACGTATTGCAGATACTCCATGACGTAAAAGTATCCCTCGGACTCCTGGTACTCGTATCCGCGCTCCTTAATCGCCTCCTCAATCACCAGGTCCTTGCTGATCTCCGTCCACTTGCGATCGCGATTGCTGCCGCGGCTCGTCTCTTTCTCGATGCGAGTCTCGGTGACTCTCGTTTCCCTGAAATCGTCTCGGGCGCCTCCGCCACCTCCGTACCCACCTTCGTACACGCGACCGCCGGCGATGAATTGACCTTGTCTGTCGCCATTGTATCTCCCCCACGTGAGTTCTTGTCTTGCACCGCCGATGCCATCCATTGCCACTCTCTCTGTGCCAGGTGGGATATCCGCCAGCCCCCAGTCGCGCGTCGCGCCATTGTACGCTTCGCCAGGATACCCACGAGAAGTAATTCGATTGTTGTAATAATCGGCTTCTGCTGAGATGGTCTCGGATTCATACCGCCTACCGCGACCGCTAGTACTGGCAGAACGACGCAAGTCCGTGGTAGTGCTGCTGACGACTTCGCGGTTGGAAACGGCCCTTTCGCGCTCCTTGCTATCGATGTCGATGTTGATGTTCTCGTCAAAGGGTCTCCCGTTTCTGACGCCTTTCCGTCGGATCGAAATGTCAATGTCTTCGTCCTCTTGCACTGGGGCTGGAGGAGGGGGTGGCAAGGGGTCGGGGATTCGCTCCACGCCATGATCAATGGTGCGGTGGTGCGTGATGACTTCTTGGATGATTGGCGGGCGGAAGATGGCAGGTTCTGGCGGCGGTGGCGGAGAAGGAAGGGGTTCGGGGGACAGACTACGCTCCCTGCGCCTGATGACGATCTCTTCCTTTTCGTAGTCGCGGGGTGGTGGAGACGGAGAAGGCGAAGGAGTGCGATGTTTGCGCACAATCCACTCTTCTCGATCCTTACGAACCAGCGCCCCGCGACTAGAAGAGCGGTGTCGCAACGGAGGTGGACGGTCACTGCGCTCAGTCTCGCGAATGTCAATGTCAATCTTCTCTTTGGTGACTTCTCCACGACTGCGCTCCGTCTCCTTGATGTCGATGTTGATCTTCTCTTCGGTATTGCCTCGACGAGGAGGAGGAGCCCGGGAGCGCTCGCGAATGTGAATGTCTTCTTCCTCGGCAAATTCGGCGCGAGGGGGTGGAGGGATGCGAGATCTGGATCGCTCGCGAATGGTGATTTCCTCCTTGTCGACCACTTCTCTGCGCGGCGCGAGGTGACGTGAGCGAGTGCGATCCTCCTGGAATACGACCTCTTCATCGTTGCGATGCCTCGGTGGGCCGCGGTCTACCTCCTTCTCTTTGATTCGGATGTCAATTTCTTCGTCTCGACGAGGGCGGGGGCGATCTCGGAACACCAATTCGTCCCTCTCATGCTTGGGGCCAGGCGGACCGCGTGAACGCTCACGATGAATCACCTCCTCTCTCTCCACCCGCTCATTCTGCGTATTGGCGCGAGAACGCCCGCCTCCTCTTCTGCCAACATACTCGTCCTCGTCCCGGGTCTCCTCTCTGATCACCAATTGCCCAGCGTTGTCATTCCGACCGTAGTCCTCTCTCAAGAAATCGGGTTGTCGCGGCCCTCGTCTGCCCTGCGAGATGACCGTATCGCTTTCCCTCTCCTTCACCACCGTTTCGTTGCGGCGAGATGGGCCTTGGCCTTCGTATTCGTAGCGAGTCGCGCGGTAGTCGACGTCTTCCCGCTCCGTTCGGCCACCTCGGCGGTAGTAATCGGTTTGACGGTCGTCGTACCGATCGGTCTCCCGCCGAGACATTGTCTGCAGTGGAGGAGAAGAAAGTCGTGTGGGATGAGTAGCGTATGCAGCTAAAGCTGTTGGGAGGAATGAAGGCGAGCAAGAGAGCGTTTCGCGCTGGAGGGAGGGCGGCGGAGTGGCGGAGTGGCAGGGCTGGCAGCTTCCCCAAAGTGCAGTGCGGTGGAATCTTTCGTTGGGCTGACTGCACTTTCCTGATTCGACAGCATGCACTCACCGCCCACGTAAGGAAGGAGCGAGGAGAACAGTGAAACAACAGCCAAAACTCGCGCCAAGCTCGCTCAAATCATGATGCACGAAGGACAGCAGATACGCAGGCAGTCGGAGGAAGAACACGGAGGAAGGTTGGCAGCAGACAAGCTTGCAAAAGGATGAGTGAAGTTGGCGGGGCATTTGTCCATCCAACCACACCGCACTTTTGACTTTGGTGACACCCGCCACACCCATTGAATAATCTCCGCCTCCGCCAGATCGCATCGCAACCCACCAACCACCATTCGATGGAGTCATCTACCAAGCAATGCCCAAACGCTTACCTCTTACACCATGCCGGGTGGACGAAAGAAAAGCTCGCAGGTAACATGACGTCTACTTATCCGCACACTCTTCCCTTTCGATCCTTCTCAATCGATGAGTCGAATCTCATGATGAGCCATAGCACCGCCTCTCTCTCCTCTGTCTACATCTCAAAACCAATCTCCTTCCTTCTCTCACTCTTTCTGCAATCCACAATCTTACAAAAAGAACAATCTCATCCAAAAATCATAAATAACCAACGGAAACTCAGAGCCACACTCACCCACCCACAATGCGCAGACCAGGCAGCACAACCCCCATCATCCTCGACGGCACCACGCTCGAAGGCGGCGGCCAACTAGTCCGCAACGCCCTCTGCCTCTCCGCCCTCACCGGCACCCCGATCGAAATCCACAACGTGCGCGGCAGCCGACACTCCGGCAGCGGCGGGTTGAAAGCGCAGCACCTCGCATGCGCCAACTGGCTGGGGAAAGCGTGTAATGCGCGAATGGAGGGGGCAGAAAGGGGAAGTCGGAAACTCGTGTTCATGCCTGGACGCGGAGAGGGGGGTGGGGAGTCGCATTTGGGGCATGCGCCTGTTTTCACGAAGGTGATGGAGGAGGGGAAGCCGTGGTATGAGTGTGAGTTTGACATTGAGACGGCGGGGAGTACTGGATTGGGGCTGCAGGCTATCCTTCCTTTTATTCTGTTTTCGCATTTACCTTCGGATATTCCTATTCGGTTGACGATGAAGGGCGGGACGAATGTGTCTGCATCGCCCAGTTACGAGTACGTCTCGCAGGTCTTTCTGCCGACGCTGGAGAATATTGGATTCCCGAAGATGACAACAAGATTGAGCAAAAGAGGGTGGTATGCAGGCGGCAACACAATCGGAGAATGGACGCTCGAAATCCCTCCGCGAGAGACCCTCGTCCTACCAGCATTCACTCTCGCCCCCTCGTCAGCCCTGGAGCGATACGAAAAAGACATCAAACACCTCCACGGGACCTTCCTCGGCCCCCAAGCCCGACACAAAGAATTCGTGCGCGACCTCCTCACCACCATCACCCGACACTTCGGCGACTCCTACACGCTAGAAAACAACAACCTCACCATAACATGCGAAGACACCCACGACGCACGCCGCATCTACTTCATCCTCGTGGCAAGCATGCCCTTCACGCCAGACGAAAGGGACACTAGGACCTACAAACTCGCGCGCGACTGGCTGTACGAAGACCGTAGGCAGGCCTTCACTGCTCCGCTGGCCGAGAGGGTCGTCAGCCAGGTTGCAGAGGACGTCAAGAGTGGGGCGTGGGTGGATGGGTGCATGCGGGATCAACTTGTCATTTTCCAAGCGTTGGCGCAGGGAAGAAGCGAAGTGCACCCGGGTGTGGATCAGGATGAGGTGTTGCGGAAAGCTAGTATGCATGCCGAGACGGCGGCGTGGGTTGCGGGGAGGCTGTTGGGCACGAAGTGGGAGGAAGATAGATGTGTTGGTGTTGCGTTTGGAAAAGGGAGGACGGATTCGGCGAATGGGGAGGTGGATCTTGCACGAAGATTGGAGGAGGCGATGGTGTTGAGTGAAAAAGGAAAAGAAGATGCGACATCTTAAAGAGGGAAAAAGATACCATAGCTTCTCAGTCTAATGCGAAACATGACCCAACCCATCCCAGCCGATCATCAAACTCCACAACACAGAAGCAATCACCGCAACGAACCAGCCGAAGCAGCTCTCGAAACCCCAAACCCCATCGCTCAACGCTCGATCGAATAAAGAAACTCAAAGAAGCCCCAACAAACCCAAACGTTCAAGGCAACCCATCAAACATCATCCTCGCATCCACACTCGTCCGCAACCCACTCGGCCTACTCGCCCGCTCGCCCGAAGAAACCGAAGCAATCGAAACCAAGCTCTCGCTCGAACCGTTCTTCTTCTTGTCGCTCAGGCTGAGCCGCGCGAATCCCGCGGCCATGGGCGAGTAAGTTTCCGGCGACGACGTGGCGAATTTGGTCAGGGAGTCGCCGCTTGCGCCGCCCATTGAGGACCCCCGCGGGCTGCGGCCAGCATCCAGACTGGAGCGGGAGGCGAGTGAGGATGATGAAGCGGAGGAGATGGAGGCGGTGGGTGACGTGGCGGGGGATCGGGAGTGAGATGGTCCCGGTGCGGAAGGTTGGCTGCGGTGGTGTCTGGCTGTTCCTGGCGGGACGGAGGAGGCGCGGAGGGGCAGCGTGAACAGGCGGCGGCCTTTGCACGCCGTACAGAGGTTGGAGTTGCTGTGGAGCAGCGGTTTGGAGCAGCGGCAGACTGTCTCTGGCATTGCGGAGGTTTGTTGGGTTGCAAGTGCAGCTAAGGCAAAGGTGGCTCGTCGATGTGTAGTAAAGGAGTGGTTTCACTCCAGGTACTCATAGATGAGAAGAAAGGGCGAGTGGAAGAAGAGTGGCCCATACGAATGCCGCAGCCCTCTAACAAAGGCGCGCGAAATGGCAGACGGCTGGGCGAGGGAGGCAGCACCTTGTAGGTGCGGTGAGACGGTAGTCAGACTGGATGGATGCCGAGCGAGCAGGTGTACGCGGCGTTGCGAGCATGCGGCACTTTTTATATGGCCCCTGGGCTCCTTCGGGTTTGTGCCGAAAAGGCAATGACGTCCCTGCGCTTGTCGTGCCCTGCCCTCCCATACTACCACACCCGACACGGGCGTTCGGCGGGTCTAGGCGTCGCGAAGAGGCGGGCCCCGCCCTGCAGTAGCTGGGTTGGAGGGCCGCGTGGAAAGTCGCAAAGTATCTCCGCGGTATGTGGACGCGGGTATTGCGGTGGTGGGAGGTGCGAGGTGGCGTTCCGGGTCGGATTGAAGCCGGGGGAATTGGACGTCATCGCGGCACATTTCCTCCCCGTCCACGTCGCCCATCGCACGAGGGTGGACTACAAGACAATGCACTCGTAGCAGCGCCCACTGCAACTCGACTGCCAACATTTTCACCTTGGCGTAAGCGAGTGGATACGGAAGAGTTCGCAAGGAGTTGCCCACATGATGGAGCACAGGCAAGGTACGCAAGCAAAACAAGCCTTGTGGCACACCTTGAATAGTGGGGCAAGGGTACGCGAATCGATCTCAGGCGAGGAGGATATATCGGGATGATACGGAGGGTGTGGCCTGGAAGAAGACCCTGAATGTAACCCTGAATGGTTGCAGTCTTTTGTTGTCGCGCTCGCATCATCTCGTGTTGTTCCTCCGTTCCGCCTTAGCCATAGCGGATAGGGCTGTCGACGTATCGCTGTCGATCAGTAGATCAGCACGTGGACACACGGACATCAATAACGATTCCGATCCGCTCCCGCGTGGAAAAGACGGCACTCCTAGCCGTGCTTCCGCCTTGGAAGTGACGTGAGACGAGGACACGGGTCATGGTGGAGACATAGCTGATGATGAGGGTGGGTGTGTACAGTGTTTCATTCGTGGTGTTATCTCATAGCTCCGTCAGATAGGTGTTCACGCCCACCAGCGAGAAGCAAGCGTAAGTTCGTTCGACAATCCCTGTCGTATGCCTTGTTTCCTCCATGCCCCGTCGTCTTTCCAGAAACGCCTTTTCCGCAATGCATGGGAATTGTCCAACCACGTTTATTTTGACTCTGCTGCCTCCAGCTCCACGTATGCAGGCGCATGTTCGTACGCCGGCGGACATTCGGCCTCCGTCTCTTTGGGCATGAGTTTCTCCAGGTCGTCGGACTCGTCGTCTTCACTGCCCTGCCCCCGGAAGGTGCTGTGGTAGACGCAGCCGACCACACGGGCGAACCCGAGGGCGATGTAGCTGATGAGCAGCCCGACAAAGATTCCCGCGAGGATTGGGATGACTGGGGCATGTTAGCATCTTTGCGTGCAGATGATAGATGGTCGTTTACTTACGCGTGGTGATGATGCTGCCAATGGCAACGTGGAGGAAAAAGTGCCCATGTCGTCCATGCTCTTCCGGCGGGCCCCACGGATGCGATCCACCGTGGGGATGGTGGTGATGGTGACGCTCGTGTGGAGACTGTGGAGCAGGGATATGAATGTGTCCCAGAGAAGGAGGAGGTGGAGGATGGTGGTGATGGTGATCGTGGTGGAAAGGATGCGGGTGTGCTTCAACCTTTGACTCTTCAGCCCCGACACTGTGGACTCTTGACTTCCGTCCAGGGCATGCAGGCTTATGCATCGACCCGAGCCGGCTTTTCACAAAGTCGCGCAGGCTACACAGGATGTTTGTGCATGCAGGCGCCGGAGGAGGAGCAGGTGTGTCCAGCTCAGGTACAAAGAAAGACGCCGGATCATCATCCTCGCTAGCGGGCGCGGCCTCGCTGCTCACGTCTAGAATGTACAGCTCGCCATTCTTCATCTGCAGAACCTTGATCATGATGACCGGCATATCAGGCATATCCTGCTCTCCCAGCGCCAAGATTTGGTACTCAAAGGTAGTAGTGAGATCGCCGTCATCCGATGCTGGCTCCGGGTCCGGAAACTTCATGCCCAACGACGTGATTTCGATGGGAAGCTCGGCGCTGGTGGAGTAGGAGATTTGCGTGGCGTGAGGACGTCGAAGGTCATCGAGAGACCTGGCATCCCAGGGATATACGATCTCGCCGGCAATTTCCAGGTGCTGGAGATCTGCGGTGGTGCGGATGTCGATGAGAATTGCGTCGATTGTAGCTTGCATGCGCTGCCAATCGCTAGCGCCATCGATGTCGCTTGCCACGGGAAGAAGGGAGCATGAAGGGCATGGAATGTGGACGAGGTGTTCCCGGGAGAGGGCGGGAGGGAGCAGATCATCGTTGCTGGCTGAGGAGAGTCCTGGCGGTAAGAGGAAGCCCGCGGCCGCCGTAGTCCACACGGCGGCTGCGAGGATGCGCGCAGTCATGCCCATGATGACTGGTGAAGAAGCGATCAAAAGAGGGAAAGGTGAGGTTAGGTTGACATGTGGATGACGGCGGAAGTGGGGAAGAGAGGGCTATAAAGGAAGAGGGCTGTCGGAAGAAAGGATTATGTCAAATAGGCTGCTGCACCGCCCGTGTTCGATCACTCATCCCCCACAGGCACGGAAGGGACGATGGATGGTGCAAGAGGCGCTTGCGTAAGTCTCCGGCCACGCTAGGAGCCAGCCCATTCCTCCCGCCAACCACGAAACTCGCAAACTTTACGTCGCGGCCAATCAGACGCCAAGCTTCGTCGTGTTCCAGCTCCCTCTTCCTCTACCATTCCGCTCCCTGCCTCACCAGCGTAGCACCTCCTCCGCGTTAAGAATATGGCCAAATTAGGGCCCAGACTTCTTCAGTATAGCACGACTCTTTTTGGGCATCTCATATAGTGCAGCGAAACCTCACCTGTCTCGTCAAGTGCTAGCATCGATGACGCCAATGCAGACCATGATGCCGAGGGCCAAGACGACACCATGGGAAACTGCCGAGCTGTCTACTATCTCAGTTTCCTCAGGCTGAAGAGGCTGTGAACGGGAAGGATATTCACGGCTGGAAACTCACGCCCTCCCTCGAGTTTGGTAGACGGGCTGTCTCGTGCCAGACTTCCACATGCCGAAGCCACGCCGCCGCCGAACCATCACGGATGTCAGAAACACATATTTGGCATGGTTCAGGGGAGCATAGGATCAGAAGAGGAACGACCAGCAGCCCATCCTCCCCAATCCAGCAGTTCCAAGGGAAATTCCTCCAACCACGGTACCGCCGCCCACGCAGTCGGATTGAGGCGTTTTTTTCTCACATTTCTCCGACTCCTGGCGTCGCCTGGCCACGTGGGATTTTCGCCGCGCGACCCATTTTCGGCGGACTGTACCGTGTTTCCACCAGGCACCGCTCCGGTGGTTCGTTGCAATTTTTCTACGTTTGCTTGATGGGAATGCCGAGGACCAACCGGCTACATCTCTTCGGTCGGAGGGCAGGGCATGACCGTGAGGCAGTCGAACTGCACGTTGCTTCTTTCACAAGCCAATACATCATCGGTCCACCCTTGGCAGGCCCAGAGACACGAGAACTGTAGACAGCATGTGTCTTTGACTGCGCGATTGGGGTGTAAGGCGTTGCAGATGTCGGCATTCCTCACCACACTTTCGTTGGCGGTATATCTAGCGCCTTTACCATCTTCCGTAGCAAGGCGCCAAAGTACCGGTGGAACAATCACCTCCACCGCACAATGTATACGAGAGTGCGACTCGTAAAGCAGCGATCGCATACGGAGGACGCCACATGTGCCGTTGCATTCCAACCTTCGGGCTGGTATCGCAGCTTCGCAAACACATTTGCCCCAATCGTATAGTAATGAGGTTCTCTTGGTAATAGTGTCATTTTCTCAATACTTGCCTCACAGAATAACACATCGATGCCGGTCTCGGCGCCGCCGATGCGGCTCATAATCATCCTCATCATGATCATACCTATCCCGCGTACGCCTCGACCGTCTCGAATCCCCACCGCCGCCACCACTTCGCCCACGCGACGGCGCCCCCCGCCGCGAAGACGGATACGCCGCCCCCCTCGCCAAATCCCGGCGGATGATCTGACGACACACATCGACAAACGCCTCGGTGACGTTGATCCGGCGGCGCGCACTGGTCTCGTAGTAAGGCACGTTGCCCCAAGCCTGGGAGAGGGCGAAGGCGCGGGAGCGCGAGACGCGGCGGTCGTCTTCGAGGTCGGACTTGTTGCCCACGAGCACGATGGGGACGTGCGGGTCGTTTTTGACGTGCAGGATTTGCTCGCGCAGTTCGGTGAGTTCGTGGAGGGAGGAGAGGGAGGTGATGCTGAAGACGAGGAGGAAGCCTTGGGCCTCGCGCATGTACAGTTCTCTGTGTGGGGTGAGTCTGTGCCATGTTTGGATATGAGAAGGCTGTGTGAATACCTCATCGATGCTGGGGAGGGTCAGCGTTTGTTCGGTCGGATGATAGTAGGGGATGGGAAGAACATACTGAACTGCTCCGTACCCGCCGTGTCCATAATCTCCAGCATGACATGTCTGCCCTATACGTTTGTTCTTCAGCAAGGGATTCTGCCGTCATTCTCACAGCATATGCATACATCAACGTTGATTTGTTTCCGGTAGGAATCCTCAATCGTGGGGTCGTAGCTCTCAATAAAGACGCCTTGCACGAATTGGGCTTGAACGGGTCAGTAAGCAATTGGAAAGAGGATGTCCTGGGTAGATTTACCCGTCAAACAGGATTTGCCCACTCCGCCAGACCCGATGACTGCTATGTTATGTTCTCTGCAGGATGCAAGTCAGACGCCGTGTACAGTCAATGCACGGATCTGGTCGAACCTCTGGTGTCCAGCGCGCGACATGGCACCTTGTTGCCGGTAGATCGAAGGTGAGCTTGCATTTATCGCTCAAGAACTTTTCCGTTCGAAGCCTCGGGGGAGAGTGTGAAGGTCGATGATATGGTTGTTGCTTCGAGTGACGAGTCCGTTTTCCGGGTCCTTGCCTGGAGGCGAATACGAACGTTGCAGCAAACTCGACGAGTAGGATTCCAAAGCACGGCCGCAGTGAACAACACCCGTCTTGGACGAGCTGGTGATACGAGAAAGCGGTGATGGGCGTTGTGGTTGGTTGTGTGTTCCGGTAGTACAGCAGACAAATCACGAGAGTGCTTGGAGCTTATGCGAGAGAGGTGCCGGGCAATGCGTTCATCACTCTACCCTTTCCATGGTTCGTGGGCGGTAGGACGAACCACATGGCAATGCGCCGGCTTTTAAGAAGGGCGCTTTTCTGGGTGCGGCCTGTCGTGCTTGGGGAGGAAAAGTATAATCGTCAATGGCAGGCAAAACTGGCCGCCGCCGCGCTCATTCTCAAAGCAAAGAAATTTTTATGTGGTAGCTCGAAAGGATTCCCTTCCCTAGCGGCCGCGCTGCCGTCGGCGCCACTGCAACACGGGTGAAGGAGAGAGGTCGTTTGGTCGGAAACAGTGCGTGGTTAGCACGCGAACCAACCCCGACCGGAGGCGAAAAGAAATGCGAGGAAGTGGCCAATGGGGTGGTATACGAGTGGCCATTCGTCGGGGAGAGGCCAATGGTGCATGCCCGTTTTTAGACCAGATGCAGCATGCAGCCAGAGCTTCCACTCATGATGCTTGGTTGCTTCTCCTCTCCCGCGCCCCCAGCTCGCCCGTCTACCGGCAGCGGAGGGACGAGCCGGCCGCTCACGAGTCGACCCGGGCGTGCAGCTGATGAAGCGGCGCTTGCGTCGTCATCGAGGGACGTTCGTTGCTCGCCCCCGGTCATACACGCAGCTTCGAGAAGTCGGCATTTGGCGCAAAGAGAGCAGAGGATCGCAATTCAGGCATGTAAACCCACCGGACGAATCGAGCGCCGTTGCTCTCAAGCTTTCCACCGGCGCAGGTACGGAGAGACTTTGGGAGTGAACTGAGTTGGGTCTGGAGATCGAGGGCACGGCGCGGGTGTTTGCATCGCCAGCACATCGAGCAGTCCCAGGACGCAGTGCATTCAACTAGTCCAAGAAGAAACAATGCTGGCCCCGAATCGGGGTGCAATGTCAGATGAAGTCATTGTACAGTATGCAATCGTTGCAGCAGCCTTCCAGCATGCAAGATGCACTCGGGATGTTTCCGCACACACGTGATTGGAAAGTTTAAAGCCACGTCGGGCTTAGGCTGGGGAATTTGAGGATACCTACGCCAGACTCGCGAATCGCCAGCGACAGCAGCATAGTCAGACCGATTCTCTCGCAGCGTGAGGATTCCGTACATCCATCATGCTTGCCAGGCTGCTCATTCTCGCCGTCTCATCCCTCCTCCTTCGACCCGCCCTTGCCGTTTTCGCCGATGAAGCGTGGAACATCGACTATCATTATGCCCTGCTAGGCGAGCCTCAACAAGACACCACCTTCTTCCACCAGCCCTATGCCGGGTCTCGCGCCTCCCTCGTATACACACTCTCCAATAAGGGCGCGCTCGGTGCCGTGAATCCAAGAGATGGATCACTGATTTGGCGACAATTGCTCGCAAGCAATGGCAGCACATCCACCTCGACCTTCCTGAGAGCCGGCGAGAATGCAGATGTTTTGTTCAGCGGCATTGCATCTCAAGCCGCGGCGTGGAGTGCTGGAGATGGGAGACTTGTGTGGGAGGTCAATGTCGCGGGCGATGTGAAAGACGTGGAGATACTGGAGCTGAGTGATGGCTCAGCGACAGCATCCGGCTCGAAAGACGCCCTTGTCCTGTCTGGAAGCGATTCTCACGCTCTGGTGCAGCGGTTGGATGGCGCGACGGGGACAGTAAAATGGCAACACAACTTGGAGAGTGGCGACATTCCTTACCAAGTCTCCGCATCAACGACCCAAGTCTTTGCCATCCTTCTTCACAAGACTATGCTTGGATATTACAAGATCAAAGTGCTATCGTTGGATCCGGTGACCGGACACAAGACGGATGAGTACACGCTGAGCTCGGAGAATGAGCTCACCAGCACCGACGGAATCATTGCTGTCGGCGCCAACTCCGCATCCCCCATCATCGCGTGGACGGATGCAACTCATTCCGTACTGAAGGTCAACATCATTGGCACAAAACAAATTGCCTCCTTCAACATTGAAAAGTCCGGCGAAGAAGCGGTACAGCAAATCCAGATCCACGCACCGCACCACTCCACCGCCCTCGCACACTTCCTCGTCCATTTCCAGACTGCCACGAGTCATTGGGCGGAAGTCTTTCACATCGACCTGAAACGGAATAAGATCGAAAAGGCATACGACCTGCCTAAATTGAGTGGAAAGGGCGCCTTTGCTACAAGCACCTCCGACGCCAACGTCTACTTTACCCGCGTGACAGATGGAGAGGTCATCGCCCTGTCGTCAGCCTCACATGGCGTTCTGGGTAGATGGCCTATTGCCGGCTTCGGGGTCGCTTCAGTGCCTGGCGAAGCCATCGAACCCATTCGAGCAGTATCCGAGTTGTCTATCAAAGGCGACCTTGTATCTGCCATTCGAACTGCCGTGTTACTCTCTACTGGCGACTGGATACTGCTAAGAGAGGGAACTTCAGTGTGGCATCGACCGGAAGGGTTAGCGGGAACCTTCTCTGCAGCATTCTCCGTCCCAGCACCGGTGGAGAGCTTCGTGGAGAAGCTGGAGAAGGAAGCGAGCATCAATCCGGTGCAAGCGTACATCCTTCGAATTAAGCGCCACATCGAAGACTTGCAACACCTGCCTGCTGTGATTGTGACTTTGCCTCAAAGATTCATCAGTGGGTTTCTGGGAACCAGTGCCGATGGCGATATCGGAAGCGACTCGTTTGGTTTCCATAAGATCATCGCGTGTGCCACCGAGGGCGGCCGCCTTATTGCATTGGATGCAGGGGCTCCGGACAGGATTCTATGGAATCGCAAGATTGGAAACGTGGCTTTGACCGAGTCTGCACTGCAGTCCCCGGCGTTGGGTGTTTTCAGCTTGGCAGGAACCCCTGGTATCGGTCCGCAATACTTCAACGCGAGCAGTGGAGCGGTGCTGCCCGGGTTACCCTCGACGTCTCTTGCGAAGGAAGCCGCCGATTCAGACATTTCTCAAGGCATCCAGTTCACCCTGGAAAACGGCGGACTGCAGGCGTACGACACGAACGCACGACAGTCAGCATTGTGGAGTTTCGCACCCATGCCCAACGAACGCATCATTGGGCTAGTCTCTCGACCCGTGAACGACCCCGTTGCCTCTATCGGCAAAGTATTGGGAGATCGAAGGGTGCTCTACAAGTACCTCAATCCCAACCTCGCCCTTCTCACGACCGCAGACGACAAAGCCAAAAGCGTCAACCTCTACCTTCTCGACACCATCAGCGGTTCCATCATGCATTCAAGCTCGCATCAAGGCATCAATCTCGACGATCCAATTTCCTCCACCATGTCTGAGAACTGGTTCGCCTACTCTTTCACATCTGATGCCTCTCCCCTCGCACCCAAAGGCCACTACCTAGTCGTAGGCGAGATGTTCGAATCGCTCGTCCCCAACGACCGTGGCCCCCTCAGCGCCACCACCAACTTCTCCACCCTTGATCTCAACCCCCAACCCTTCACTCTCGTCCACAGCTACCAGATACCCGAAAGCCTCTCCCACCTGACCGTCACCCAAACCCGCCAGGGCATCACATCCCGCGCCCTCCTCGCCGTCCTCGCCGACTCCCACGCCATCATCTCCATCCCATACATGGCTCTCGACCCCCGCCGACCCGTCGACCGCGACGCCACCACCGACGAGCAAATGGAAGGCCTCTTCCGCTACGCGCCCGTGTTAGAATTCGACCCGAAATGGTACCTCAATCACCGGCGTGAAGTGGCGGGTATCAAGCATGTCCTCACCACGCCAGCGCTGATCGAGAGCACGAGCATTGTGTTTGCATATGGGCTGGATGTGTTTGGCACACGGCTGAGCCCGAGTTTCAGCTTTGATATTCTGGGCAAGGATTTCAATAAGTTTCAGATGTTGGCTACTGTGGCGGCGTTGGCGGTGGCGACTGTGGGTGTGGCGCCTTTGGTGAGTGTCACTGCTATTCCTTGGTTACTGGATTTGAGTGGTCGGCTAACTTTGTGCAGGTGATGCGCAAGCAGATCAATATGCGCTGGCAATTTACGTGATGCAGAGCTGGCGGAAGAGTGAAGTCGAGGCATGCATGCAGTCCATGCGATAGTGGTCCGGACGAAAGAAAGACTCTAAGCTCCGGCTCTCCCACCTTGCGTGATGAAGGGCCACCTGAGATCAAGGAGTTGTTACTACACTCGCAGCAGGCCATACCAAATTGGTCGCATTAGGCATAGCGTGTACAGGGAATGCATCACAAGTCAATGTCAGCAGGAGTCTGCGTGTTGCAATCTCCGGCCGCAGTCTATTCCTATTCGGACTCTTTGAGAATAGTGTGTGATCTGTCCCTTCTTCAATCTGCTCTTTTGCATGAAAGATTTCGAGCGGTGTCTGCGTAGTCCCACGCGGAAAGCGATGTGGCACCGGCCGCCGTGATGTCATGACGATATTTGCGTAACTCCGCTGCTAAATCCGCCGTCCTTGCACAACGAGAAACGATCCCAAACATAAAAGAGGACCTCCAACTCATCCCATTGACAAGTGAAAACACACCCATCTCACACCATCGAAGATACCTACCATTCCTCTAAAGCTATGGCCGACCAAGTCAAGTACACGCAAAAGCTGAAGGGCAAGAAGGTGTTGGTGATTGGCGGATCATCAGGTTCGTCGTGTCCACTCATCTCACCTTTCAATATGCTAACGAGCCACAGGCATCGGCTTCAGCGTAGCAGAAGCACTGGTGGAGAATGGCGTGACTGTGATCGTCTCATCGTCCAATCCTTCTCGCGTCGAGCAGACCGTTGCCAAACTCCAAAAGGCGTATCCATCGTCTGCATCCCGTGTGTCAGGGCACGCATGCAACCTCGGCGACGAGGAGAAGCTCGAGGCGAATATCGTGGAGCTGTTGGAGAAGACGGGCAAGTGCGATCACATTGTTCATACGGCGGGAGATTCGTTGGCGCAGATGCCTTTGGCGGAGGTGAGGTGCTCAACTTCCCACGTGACTGAGATTGAATACTGACAATTCACGATTACAGATCGACCTCTCTAAGATCAAGCAGGCAGGCATGGTGCGCTTCTTCTCCACCCTGCTACTGGGCAAGCACGCGCCCAAGTACCTCACCGGCGGGCGCGAGTCCAGCATCATCCTGACGACCGGCGGCGTAAGTGAACGCCCCATCCCGGACTGGGTGGTGGTGAACGGGTACGCCACCGGGCTGCACGGAGTGTGCAGGGGCCTAGCACTGGATCTGAAGCCCATCCGCGTCAACCTTGTGTCGCCTGGCGCGGTGAATACGGAGTTGTGGGCGAATGCGGGCATGTCGGCGGAGCAGGCGAAGGGCATGTTTCAGGCATTTGTGAGTGTTGTCGTGTGTTGCTTTACTCATCACTGTTACTTTACTCATCACTACTGAATGAGGCTGACGTGCGGTGTGTCTATCCGTGTAGGAAAGCAAGATGCCAACGGGCAAGGTTCCCGGGCCGGAAGATCTGGCGGAGGCGTATCTGTATTTGATGAAGGATAACAATATCACGGGGACGGTAATTTCGAGCAACGGTGGGCATTATTTGGTCTAGTTGGAGGTGATTCGACTTTCTTTCGAGATATAGCATGGCAAGGCTGTGTATACGGGATGGATGCAACGTCTCACTGTAGCTACTCCAAGTTGGAATTGAGTATGCTGAAGTTATCTTCATAAATGTACAGATTGATTGACATACATCTGATTGTTTTATCGGCGTAGAGTGAAGCAGTCAAGTGCTGGCGTGAATATGTAGTCACCCAGCCAATGACGTTTCTGCCTCAGGCCATCAGTGGGGTCCCATTGCTCTTCCCCCACACATTTTTGGGCCAGATCGGAGCTCCACCATCACCTCCTCCAAACAACACCTTGCAGAGCACACGAGCAATTTTGGACGCCGAACAGTACACTTTCCTCCTCATCTTACCCCCTGCAACGTTACCTCATCTCTCGGCCCGTCCATCCCCCCACCCTCCCTCCAACTCTATCACATCCACAGCACACTCCCCCCTCCATCCGCAAACATGACTCAAGAAGGCAGAGTGAAGAGCGTGCTCTCCGGCGACACCTTGATCCTGCAAAACAAGGCGAAACAAGAACGTACCCTCAGCCTCGCCTTCATCAACGCGCCCCGCCTCCAACAAGACGAGCCCGGCGCCTTCGAATCCCGCGATCTGCTGCGCAAGCTGTGCGTGGGCAAGGTCGTGCACTTCCGCGTCCTCTACGCCATTCCGCAAAAGACGGGCGGTGGGGCTCGCGACTATGGTGTTGTCACGCTATCTACAGGCCAGGTGCTGCCTGACTTGATTGTGCAAGAGGGATGGGCGAGGATTCGCGACGATGCGGATCGGAAGGCAGATGCCCCTCCGGCTGCTGAGTTGCTGGAGAGATTGCAGGCATTGGAAGCCCACGCCAAGGCGGATGAGAAGGGAGTGTGGAACGCGAGCACCAAACCCGTTCAGAATCTGCGAGACCTCCCGGATGCTAAGGCGTTTGCAGAGGAGCATAAAGGCCAGGCACTGGAGGCGGTGGTGGAGCGAGTCCTGAGCGGTGATCGACTCATTTGCCGCTTACTGCTCTCTCCCACTCAACATGTGCAAACTACCGTTCTTCTTGCTGGTGTTCGAGCGCCCACGACCACTCGTACCAACCCGTCAGACGGCTCGACGCAACCCGGCGAACCTCTTGGCACCGAATCGCAGGCCTTTGCGGAGGACCGGTTATTGCAGCGTGGCGTACAAGTACGGATACTAGGCGTCTCACCAAACAATCTCTTGGTTGGAGAGGTCCGTCATCCCGTGGGCAACATCGCCGAATTCCTTCTCAAAGAAGGTCTAGCGAGATGTGTCGACCACCACTCCACCCTCCTCGGCGCCGAAATGGGCAAGCTTCGACAGGCAGAGCGGTCAGCGAAAGAGCGACAAGCCGGTCTGTTCAAGAGCCATGTCTCCGCACGTCAAGGCGGCGGTGGTGAGAGCGAAGCCGTTGTCAGCCGTGTTGTCTCCGCGGACACCATCCTTGTGCGCAACAAAACCGGACAAGAGAGACGCATCAGTTTGAGCAGTATTCGTCAACCGAAGCCCACCGACCCCAAGCAATCGCCATTCACTGCGGAAGCAAAGGAGTTCCTGCGAAGACGGCTGATCGGGAAGCATGTCAAGGTGACGACCGATGGCAAGCGTCCGGCGACTGAGGGCTATGACGAGCGCGAGATGGCGACGGTGTCGCAGAACGGCAAGAACGTGGCTGTCGGCCTTGTGGAGAACGGCTATGCATCGGTCATTCGCCACCGCATGGACGACGCAGATCGCAGCCCCCTCTACGACGATCTCCTCGCGGCGGAGGAGGCGGCACAAAAAGAAGGCAAGGGCATGTGGAACCCTAAACCACCATCACAACGTGTCTACATCGATTTCAGCGAGTCCCTGGAAAAGGCGAAACGCCAACTCACCCTCCTCTCCAAGCAAAAGCGCGTGCCGGCCGTCGTCGACTTTGTCAAATCCGGCAGCCGCTTCACCATCCTCATCCCGCGCGAAAGCACCAAACTCACCTTTGTGCTCGGCGGCATTCGTGCTCCCCGCAGCGCCCGCGGCCCCAACGATACCGCCGAGCCATTCGGACAGGAGGCTCACGACTTCGCCATTAAGCGATGCATGCAGCGTGACGTCGAAATTGACGTGGACGACACCGACAAGCAAGGCGGTTTCATCGGTACCATGTACATCAACCGCGAGAGCTTCGCCAAAGTGTTGGTGGAGGAAGGTCTGGCATCGGTGCACGCCTACAGCGCGGAGAAATCGGGCAACGCCAACGAGCTGTTCGCAGCAGAGAAGAAGGCGAAAGAAGCGCGACGTGGGATCTGGCACGACTGGGATCCATCGCAAGAAGCGGCAGAGAATGGCGACGACGACCTCCTGGACGGCGCAGAAACGAACGGCACCAACGGCCACGACATCACCGCCCTCCCCCCGCGCGAACGCAACTACAAAGACGTCTACGTCACGCACGTCGACCCGACCAACGCCCGCCTCAAACTCCAAATGATCGGCGCCAGCAAAGCCAACCTCGACACGCTCATGAAGGACTTTGCCTCCTTCCACCTTTCCGGCTCCAACAACGCCTCGCTCCCCCAGCCCCCAAAAGCAGGCGACATTGTGTCGGCGAAATTCTCGCAAGACGGACAATGGTACCGTGCGCGCGTCCGGCGCAACGACCGCGAAAAGCAAACGTCCGAAATCCTGTACATCGACTACGGCAACGCGGAGACACAGCCCTGGAGCGCCCTGCGCCCCTTGGACGCCAACAAGTTTGGCGTGAGCAAACTTAAACCCCAAGCTCTCGACGCTGCGCTGAGCTTCCTCCAATTCCCCGTCACAAATGCAGAGTACCTCGCCGATTCTGTCGCTTTCCTCTCCGAAGTTGCATTGGACCGCGACCTCGTGGCCAACGTGGACTTCACCGACGCGCGCGATAATGGACTGCTGTGGGTGACGTTGATGGATCCCAAGGCGGCCAGCACGGTGCAGCAGAGCATCAATGCGGAGGTGGTGAGTGAGGGGTTGGCGATGGTGGGGCGCAAGTTGAGGCCTTTTGAGCGTGCGGCACCGGATGTGGTGGGGGATTTGAAGCGCCGGGAGGAGGTTGCTAAGGGGGAGCGCAGGGGGATGTGGGAGTATGGCGACTTGACGGAGGATTAGAGCGGTTGGCATAGTCGCGAAGGCATTGGCAGTTGCATAGCATTGAGGCATGAAGCAGATTCAGGAGCAGACCAAGACAAAATCTACCAATGCTTTTCACCAATCTTCTATATGCACCATTTACACCCCCCCTTCCCCAACACAACCTCCACCCCAAGCAAGCACAGAGAGCGCCCCTCACCCCCTCATCGTATTCTTCTTCTGCCCCCTCTTCCTCTCCTCCGCCTTCTCCCGCTCCAAAAACTTCCTCTGCTCCTCAGCCCCCATGCCCTTCAGCTTCCGCTCGCGCTCCTCCTTCTTCGCCTTGTCGCTCGCACTCTTGCGCTCCTCCGCCTTCTCCTCCTCGTCGAGGCGCTTGATCTTGCGCTGCTCTTCTTCGCGCGTGGCGCGGATTTTGCGTAGCGCTTCCGGGCGGAAGTGGGCTGTTTGCACGAGGGTGTCCGGGAGGCGGAGGTAGAGGGTGAAGAGGGGAGTGAGGTTGGGGATTGTGGAGGTTGTGGGAAGTTTGGTTGTTAGGGTGAGGCGTTTGCGGGGAACGAGTTCGTTGAGTCTAGAGAGTGAGTTAGCTTGGGGTTTTCCAAGGGTGGGTTGGAGGTGGACGTACTTCTTGGGGGCGTCGATGGGTTGGTCGGTGATGATTAGTGCTTCTAGGTCTTCTCCGCATTGCTCAATGGCTTTTACCAACTCCGGGGTGAGGAGGGCGTCGGTGACTTCGGAGCTCTCGCTCATGACGGTGGCCCACTCGGGTAGCTTGGCGTTGTCGCGGGTAGCCGTCAGACTGAGATCGTAGCGGTCGTTGCGCAGTTGCTGCATGAAGTCCTTGTGTACTACTGCCCACACGAATCCATCGTAGCTGCTGTTTCCACCTGCAGTCGCATCGGGGAGCATGAGCTTCTCCTTGCCGTCGAAGACATACGTCGTCGCCAGCATCCTCTCCATGGGCGTGGGAATGCTCTCGAAGAGAAACGACAAGACGAGCTCAAACACCCACAAAAGCGGATTGAAGCGCTTGTGCAGGCTGATCTTGACGTCGGTGAAGGCGGCATTCTGCCTTCCAGTGGCATACGTAGACCACTCGCTCATCTTGCCCTGCTTGAGCTTCTGCTCCGGCGCACCGGCACTACTCGCCGCCTCCTTATCCTGTCCGACCTGCGCATACTCGGCCTCAAGCAGGGGAACAAAAGCCGCAGCCCAAGCCCTCATGCGCGCCTTGTTGATCTGCGTGCCGACGACATTGACAGCCACGACGACGAGCAGGATGGGCAGGATGACGAATTCCTGGTAGAAGTCTTTGTACGTCACGCGCTCCCACACGCGGTACCATTTGGTGTACGGGCGGCCTTGGATGCCGTACGGTGAGGAGATGAAGCTGCTTAGGCCGCCTGCTGCGGCGGTCGGGGCGGCGGAGGAGCCGGGGAAAGCATTGGAGGCGTGGGAGGGGGCGGCGGGGTTGGGGGCGGCGGCGAAGTCTGCGAAGTCTGCGGCGGTGGTGTTAGAGGGTGGCATTGGGAGGGTAGGGAGGTGGGGGGAGTTTTACCTGGGTCTGCGGGTGCGGCAGGGGCTGGAGCAGAGGGATTGAACAGCCCGTAGAGCTGTTTGACAAGAAGCGCCATGAAGGAGTGTGGTTGGATAGTCAATGGGCGAAGGGCGGGAGGGATGAAGGGGATGGAGGAGAGGAGTTGGGATGAGGTGGAGATTTCGATTCGTGATTTCCCGATTGAGTAGCGACCTCTCCCTCCGCTCCTTCCTTCCCTTCCCCTCCAACCCCACCTTGCATGCGTACCTTATCCCATCCCACGTGCAGGCGATTGACCGCCGTTTCTTGTTATTAGGCAGCCAAAAAACCCCTCTCTCCCTCTATCTTGTTACTCCTCCTTCGATATCTTGATTATGCATCAGCATTGAGCAAATACAATTCCCCACTTCACTGCACTGGACTACACTTCGTTACATCTCCTCAATCAAAATGGAAGACTACCACCCCCACCACCCACCACATCACCACCACCCTCACCATCCTCATCACCCAGATCACGGCCCCAGGCCCAGCGCTCCTCCAACGACCCACTCCACCAACTCCTTCTGGCACTCAGAACCCTCCGCACTCCTCACAGGCCATCGATCCACCCGCGACCTGCCCAGGACAGCAGATGTAGTAATAATCGGAAGTGGCATTACCGGAGCCAGTGTGGCACATCACTTACTCACTTCCACTCACGGCGAAGGAAAGAAAGGACAAAGTGTTGTGATGCTAGAAGCGAGAGAAGCATGTTGGGGAGCTACAGGAAGAGTCAGTCCCTCATTCACTCGCCCCTGGTTCCTATCTGACTACGACTAACCCCCCCAGAATGGCGGCCATTGCGTTCCCATGCCCATCGAACACCCGGAAGACCCAACAATAGGCCGCTTCGAACTGGCAAACTACCACGCCATCCAATCCCTCGTGGCGAGCAAGAACATCGCCTGCGAATTCGTCGCGCAGCCCGGCGTAGCTGCAATTTGGGATCAACGGACTTTAATCGGCGTCGAGCTGACTATGCTCGCGATCCAGGAGAGTGCGCCTGATCTCCGCCAGACCATGCGCCTAGTGACGGACCGAGACGAACTGGCGAAGCTGCGTGTGCCCACCGCCCTTGGAGCAATAGCAAGCAGCGTGGCGGCGCGCATGTGGCCGTACAAGTTTGTCGCGCGCATCCTCGAGGATCTGCTGACCTCCACCGAACTACACGGGAGCTTCAATTTGCAGACGCTGACGCCGGTGGAATGTCTTGCGCCGTACGACTTTGATCGATGGACGGTCAAGACGCCTCGCGGCTGTATTGTTGCGTCTAAAGTGGTGTTGGCTACGAATGCTTACACTTCTCATCTCCTACCGGACTTTGCGGATTTGATAGTGCCGTGCAGAGGACAGATGAGTGCACTGACGCCGCTGCCGAGTGTAGAAGGCGACAACAGGCTCCTGGCGAACTACGGCTTTCGAGGCGACGGGATGGACGACTACCTCGTCCAGCGACCCAACGAGAGTGGAGGTCAACTGATGTTCGGAGGCGGGCGCCAGCAGGGCCGGAGCATGGGCGTGACGGACGATTCGTTCATCAGCGACAAGACGGCTCAGTACTTGCGAACGCGTCTGCTCGAAGCCTTCAGCCTGCCCGAAGGCAAATCGAACAGCAAAGCGGGGAAACACACAGAGTTCAAAGCCGAGTACGAATGGACGGGCATCATGGGCTTTTCGCGCGACGAGCTTCCCTGGGTTGGACCGGTGCCCGGCAAGCCGAATGTCTACCTCTCCGCCGGCTACACCGGCCACGGCATGCCTAACACCTGGCTCTGCGGCAAGGCGGTCGCGAGGATGGTGCAGGCCGACAGGACGGATCACATCGAGGATGCATGGGAGGAGTTTGGTCTGCCGCAGGCGTATGTAGCTAGTGTTCGGCGAATGGCGGATTCGAGGCTGCTGGAAGAGGTCGAGGCGAAGGACTGGGCGGAGATGGAGCGAGGGCGGCGAAGGACGGACAGGCCGCATTCCGGGTATGCATGAGCCAGTGTTGCTTCTTGGAAGGCAGGGGTGATTTTGGTGCTTGTTGTTGGAGTAGTCGAATGTTGAAATCGTCCTCGTCGTCAAGGTGCATTGAATACCAAGCCCACCCCATCATCACCCGCCGTCACAATCCGCTTCCCACCACCCCCCTGCACGAACCCCAGAATGCCCCCTCCTTCTCCACCCCCTCGATGCCCCTTCCACTCCCCCGTCATCCCCCTCCCAGCAGCAGGAGCAGCCGCCGCCGCCGTCCCACCCCTCACATCCCACCGCCTCACAACCCCATCATTCCCACACGACGTGAGCAGATGATTACTCGGATTCGGCGTGCCGAGCGGCATCTTGACAAACTCGACTTTAATCACCGCCTCCTCGTCGTGGGCGTCGGGGATGTGCCTCCGCACGGTGAAGTTGTGCGCCGCGTCGTAGAGCGCGATACTCCCATCTACACTGCCCGCTGCCAGTAAAGTCAAAGGCGGCTGGCTGAAGTCTAGAGTCTCGATACCATCCGTTTGCGCCTGGAGAGAAGCCAAGATTTGGCCTGCTTGGCCTGCAGCAGCTTGCTTTGCTCCGCCCACTTTACTCGCTGCTCCAGCTCCTTTGGCGCCTTTCGCAGAAGAAGGCGAAGACAGACGCGGCAGCCCGACGACTCTGATATTGCCCTCCGCGCCTCCAACAGCTACAATCCCGCCTCCAGGCGAGATGGCAACACTGTACAGTCCGCCATCAACATTGAACCGCTCGTCCGCCGCCGTGAGCGCAATAATAGCCTGTCCTCCATTCGGATCCGTGACGCCCGCTGCAGCCGCTTCGCCGAAAACATCCCACACGTACAAACTGCTGTCCTCGGCAACAGTAGCCAGCAACTTGCCATCGGGCGTCCAAGCTCCAGCGGTGCTAGGCGCTTGGTGCAAGAAGAAAGACTGCACGATTGTGAGCGGGCTAGAGGGATCCGAGGCGTTGACGGTGTACACCCAGACGGAGCCGTCTTTGGCGCCGAAAGCGATGGTGTTGGGGTACGCGGCGTGCGGGCAGGGCGCAATCCAGTTGACTTCTTCGACTTCTTTGGCGGAGGCGAGGAGTTTGGCAGGCGTGGTGGGGGTGGGGGTTGTGTAGGCGTTGAGGGAGCCGGCGAGCGTGCCGGTTACGATGTACTCGCCTTGAGGCAGGGTGAAGCTGATTGCGTTGACGCTTTCGTCCTGCCCTTCTAGTGCAGCTAGGATGTCCTGGCCTTGCCGCTCGACAGGTTGAGGAGTAGTTACGAAGCTCTTGGGGAGCGGAGGGCCAGGAGCAGGCGTGCAGTCCCACACATACGCCATGTCGTCCCCTGCTCCGGTGGCTACAATGTGCGGGAGAGTGGGGTGTTGGGCGATGCAGAAGATGCTGTCTTTGTGGTGGTCGAAGTGGGCGGCGCTGTCGTTTTGCAGCTGGATCTCTTCTTCTCCTCGCTCGCCTTCGTCCCCGGAGTCCATGGCTGCATCGCCGTCTTCTTCTATCACTTCCTCCGCCTCGTCGGGGTCTAGCATGACATCGTCCTCCTCTTCCTGGCCGTCGTGGTGTTCGTGTTGGTCTGCCATTTCTCGTGCGTCTTGCGGTGTTGTACTTCAAAGAGTGTGGATTGGGAATGCCAGTCAAGAGTATGGAAAAAAGATTCTCTGCTGCTTAGAAATGCCCAAATCGGGTTCAAGTGAAGCTTAATTTCAAGCTTAAACTCGACAACGAAATTCACGAGCAACAACTCATATCGAGACAACATGCAATACTTTTGGCTAGGCTACTAGCTGACAATTTATGTCCACGAGACCAACCAACTACACCTCCGGCGAAATATACGTATCCGCCCAACGCAAAGCCCGCACCATGCGATCCCTCACATGCATCCGCTCCACCATCCGATGGCCCTCGCGCGGATACGAGACAAACTCAAAAGGCAACCCATGATACTGCAGCGCACGCCTCATCGCAACAGCCTGCTCAACCGGCACGCGCTTGTCCTGCTCGCAGTGCATGATCAGCATAGCAGGCAGCACGACGCCAGAGTCAATAGCATTCTTGAAGCACCAGATGGCGCCTCGGCGTGTCCGGGCGGTGGTGGAGCGCACGTCGCTATCCCAGGGTGCTTCGCCCGGCTGGCCGAGTTCGAACGTCAGGCCCATGTCGGAGGTGAAGCGGAGGGTGTCGGAATCCGTGGCGCCGGCGCCGGGGATGGCGGCTTGGAAGCGCCAGCCGTGGCCGTGCTGGCCGTTGCGCACGCTGGCGAGGTAGGCGAGTTCGCCGCCGTGACTCCAGCCGCCGATTAGGACGCGGTCTTTGTCTGCGTAGCCCTTTTCGATTGCGAGCTGGGTGAGTTGGATGACATCTTCGTAGTCGTGGATGCCGATGTGGCTGCGGGCGGTGGCGGCGAACTTATCACCATGCCCTGAACCGCCTCGGTAATTGGGCATGAGAAGGCCGTAGCCCGCTTCGAGGAGGACTGGTTGCCAGGACATGGTGTGTGAGTTGAAGGCATCGGTGCTGCGATTGTACGGCCCTCCGTGGCATATGACGGCAGTAGGAAACGGGCCTTTGGCATCAGTCTTGCCCTTGGGTTTGGCGGGGGAGAAGTAGATTGCGTCCAGCTCGACTTCGCCGTCGGATGACTTGCATTTGATAACCGTGGCCGTGCCGAATTTGTAATCTTTGAGAACGTCGCCGTGAGACGAGACTTGGATGTGTTGTGTGCCTGTTTCATTTGTAAAGTAGACTTCTGCCGGCGAGTTGACGGTGGATTTGACCACGGCGAGAAGAATCTCGTTGTCAATGACGTTCAGATTGGCATCGAAGGAGGCGATGTCGTTTTCATAGCTCCGCACCATAGTCTTGTCGCCGAATGTTGAGAAGTAGGTACCCATGCCTTTCTTGGTGCAAAGCACAAGGTCAGTCTGGCCGAATTCGACAAAATGCCCAATACAATCGTCGTCGCCGCGCAGTTCGCGCTGGAATATCGGACGGGTCGACGACAGATCGATTGACCAAAGAGCCTGCGCGGAGGAGAGAAACGTCGGATCGACGTTGGCGGCGAAGTAGAGCGATTTCCCCGCCCACACTGGATTGGTGATTCCAGAAGCGAAATGCTTCACAAATCGGATGCTTCGCGTTTCGACCCCAATGACGGATACAGAGCATCCATCCAGACACTCGCTTTCGATGCCCGGCTTCTTCCTGTGGAGGAAGGCGATGCGTGTGCCATCGGGACTCCAAGCCAGTCCGGTGACGTGCTCAGCACCTTCAACCAACGTCGTGACCTTCTTCGTTGCAAAGTCCACGATGCGTAAACGAGAGAGGACGAGATTCGCGCCCCAAACGTTGGCATCGTCTTTGTCCTTCTCGCGCTGCCTTCGCTCGGGAGTCTTTTCGTCGGCCGAGATGTACGCAATACACTTGCCATCAGGACTCCAACGAAACATCTCAATGGCACGCTCGTTGTCCGCAGCAGTCAAAGCATATGGCTCGGCAGCAGCGGCCTTAGGCCCCGAACTGAGATCACCATCTTCCGTTCTCGAAGCATCCACAGCCCCTCCCTTCATCGGCAAGATGTAAATAGCGCTCGTCTGACCAGGCCTCTGGCGGTCCGAAATAAAAGCGATGGACGTGCAATCGGGCCGCCATTCCGGAGCGGTGTCATTGTACTCTCCCGACGTGAGCGGGCGAGCCGATTTCTCGACTCGCGTTTCCCCCAGCCATAGCGTCGACACCGCGCGGTCTGCGTGCTTTGGACGACAAATTCCCGAGGTGGTGTAGACGACGTGTTGGCCGATTGGTTCGATTTTTACATTGTTGGGGATCTGGAGGTCCAGCAGATCGTCGATGAGGCCCATTGCTGCAAATGAGTGTGGTCTGGCGAGTAAAACGGGGATCGTCTCGTCCGAGAATCCGGCTGGAGAGAGCTGTTCCCGATTTCTTCCCAGTGGCCAGTGGATAGAGAAGGAATGACGAAAGGAGGCAGATTTGAACAACCACAAAGACCGGGACGGACGATGGGTGCTGAAGAGAAAAGGAAGGAGGATGCGATGTGCGCTATACGCTCTATAAAAGCCAAACGTTCGTTAACTTGCGGGCGGCTGAAAATCGCGAATTGCTGCCCGAATCCAGTCACCGCCGTCCGCAAAAGGTTAACATTACCGAATGCAACTCACTTCCCTTTGACTCACGCCAGACCGGTTACACGGAATGCATGTTGATGCGCGAGGAGCCGAGTTTGGTCATAAGCTCTGCATTCACGTTTGAAGTAGTTTGCCAAAGGAAGCGGAAACCTCCCTCCAGCTTTGCGGAGCAGATGTAGCCCATTGGCGTATCTTTTTCACTCCTTCCAGATCTTCCGTCTGATAGAGTGGAATCCAGGTCAGCGCACTGGTCGAACACAATGACGAGAAGAGAGCACTCACCATTCGACCAACATTCGTCGTCCCGTTCAACACACTCACCTCTCCCAACCCCAGCACAAGCCCATACAACGCCACCGGCAAACCAACCCCCACCTCCCTCGCAACCGTCTCCACAGCTTCCGATTTCAGCAGTCGCGGGTTAGCCGTCAGCGTCCAAAAGCTCTGATACCGCACGCCGTTGGCCGCGCAAAAAGCCCGGATCTCGACGTCGTACCCGCTGTCGGCGTAGAAGCGGTTTTGCACGATGGCAGGCTTGACGCGCGCAAAGTCGTAGAGTGACTTTAACACGTCGATCGAGTAGATGTTCGAGATGCCTAGGGTTCGCGCTCGCGCGGGGACGTGCGACTCCATTGCTCGCCAGGCTTCTTGCGTTTGCGCCAGACTGGGAAACGGGGAGTGTAGGACGAGGCAGTCGAGGTAGGCGTCTGCCGTGGTTTCGGAGTGGCGGAGATTGTGGAGGGAAGAGGCGATTGAAACTGCGAGTTGATCGGTGATGTTTTGCTGGGCGTCGTATGGCATTCGTCGAGGGTCTTGCCCGTGGATGGATGTGAATTTCGTTTGGATCTGCAGACAGTCAATTCAATTGCCATTCCACGTCACAGCTGCATGTTGACATCGACGCACGTAGAGGTGGCTCCTCTTCAGCCCTCCCTCCTTGATAGCATCTCGGATGCCCTGGCCAACGAGATCTTCTTGATAATGCTTCGGTTGCGCAGCGGTATCGACGCCCGTGAATCCGACAAGGAGAGCTTGTCTAACGAGCTTCCTCGTCTGGTCTTTCTTCCAAGCTGTTCCGTAGATCAAAGGAGGGATCTTGGCCGCTGTTGACGTGCTCATTGTGGATGGAGCATGGAGCTTTCACGTTAATTCTGTCATTCGGTTCAGGGCCACGAGTCAGCATCATCGACGCTTCAGCGGTAACGACAACGCGACACACGAATGTTGATGTGGATGGAGAGAGGACGGGCAGTTGGACGGTCAGTGATGCGAGGAAACATCAAAGGACGAAGGCTGTGCTGATAACAACGCGTCATACCAACACCTACGCATAAGCTCAGCCTTTCCGAACCTCACCTGTCTAGTACGAAGCACTCTTTCATTCAAGAAGCTAAGATGTCCACATCCATGAATCAATCGATCATCGAAAGAACAGTCACCAATTTCGCCTCTCCAACTTCATCCCAAGATGATCTCAACCCTCCATCACCGTATCCCCATCCACATCCCCATCCATCTCACCCCTCCATCACCGTATCCCCACCCATCCCCCTCCCCTTCTCAACAACACAAACCCTCCCCCCAACCTCCCCAATCTCAAACCCCCTCCCCCAATTCCGTCCACAAACCCCACAAACCCCCGGAACAGGCCAACAAACATGCTCCCCCCTCAGCGCAAAAGGCCCCACAACCGGCATGAGCGGCGAAGCACCCCAAACCCGCACATCCATATCCCTCGCCGGAATCGTCACACTAGCCGGGAGCAACAACCCCGTGACGAGCGAGAGTTGCGCAGGCGAGAAGAAGCGCGGATTCAGCTCTGTCCAATGAACCTCCTCGGGATCTAGCACTCTTCCATCAGCGAGGACGCGTTTCGCATGCTCCTCATCATCGCAAAGGTAAGCCTGCGCGAACGCACTCATGCTCTCAACCTGCGCGCTCCGCGGATAAGGGAAATCAACGTACAGCGCCTCCCTCTGCTCGGCAGTAAGTAGGCGGAAGTAAGCGCGTTCACGACCCTGGCACGCGTCGTCAGCCATATCGAAAGAGTTTCTAGGCTGGTCGTACGGTTCGTCAGGAGACTCAAATTCCCCTTCAGGCTGCACGGCGTACTTCCAGCGGCAGTGGATGAACGCGCACACGCCCGGGCAATAGGTTTTGGGGTCGAAGATGCGTGTTGAGCGTCTTTGGGAGGGAGGATCGTTGAGGTGCGGGTGGAGGTCAGCAGGGCAGAAGAGTTCGTTCTGCGCATTGGTGGAGGCTTGGGGACAGGGGCGGGAGATTTGGAGGATGGTGCAGCCGCAGTGGAACTGCAGCTCTTGGAAGATGCACATTTGTGCTGAGACTGGTGGGTGGTGAGACGGCTGGCGGATTGGTGAGTGGTCGTCTGAGTGGGCGGAAGGTGGAAGGGGAGGGTCAGGGGGGGTATATATGTTCGTGTTCCATGGCTTTCTGTGCGCTGGAGAATAGCCACAATGTCATTGTCATGCTGCATCCTCTTTGTCCTGCCATTGTCAAGAAGTTGAAAGAAGAAGGGGAAAAAGAACAAAGAAACACCACTTCACTCGGTCAAGTTCACAACCCACCACACCAACCACCAACAACCAACAAGAGACAAACACAAACCCTTTCAGCACATGATAAAAGAACAAGATACGATTCGTCTTTCTTCCAAATAAATAACCACCACCGCCCGCCACATGTATGTCTCGACGGCGAGAAAAGCCATATACAACTGGGGTATCGCCCAATCCACCAGCACAAGAAGCGCAAGCAAAGAACAAAGAGAAAAAAGGAAAAATATTACGCATTACCGCCCACTCTCGAATGTTTCCCTGTGATGCAAACTCAATCATTCAACCCAAACACCCGCCTCAAGCCCCCAAACTTCTTCTTCTTCCCCGTCTTCGCCGAAACAATGTACGCCGCCGACTTCTCGCGCTCCCCGGGCTCCGAGCCCTCCTCACCAGCCTGAATCTGCACTCTTCGGCCGCCGCCAGCAGCACCGCCCGCACCGCCCGCCAGCGCACTCGAAGCAGGTAATTGCTGACTCTGACTTCTAGGCGCCAGGTCCGGACGGAGGGTATGTGCTAACTTTACGGCGTCGGAGGAGAAGCCTTCGCTCGTGGTCGGGCGGTCGGGGGTCCCTGTTACGCTTGGGGAAGTGGGGCGTTGCCAGGAGTCGAGTTCTTGGTTGGAGAGTTTGGGTAGAGCGGAGGAGGGCGTTGCGGGGGCTGCGTTTCGGTTGGACATGTACGAGCTGCCGCGGGCGAGGGCGGACGGAGGGGGAGGTGGGACGGCGGCGACGGGCGTTGCGTCGGCGAGGTAGGAGCTGTTGCGGCTGATGACGCGCTGGCTGGAGTTTTTGCGGAGTTTGGCCATGGGGGGTCGGCCGGTTGGACTGGTGGGTGTTGGACTCGTAGGACGTTCGATGATCCTGTTGCTGTTCGCCTGTTGCTGCAGTTGCTGTTGAGGGGAAACGGGAGTCGCAGGTGGACTGGCGGATCCGGTGAGCTGCTGGATAGACGAGGAGCTGTTGCGGTTCCGACGAAGGATGCTGCCCATGAAACCCCTGCGCTTCTTCTCCGGCATGGCGAACGTGATGTCGCTGGGTTTCGATGCCGTAGACTGAGGTGTGTCTTCCACGCCACCAGCTGGCTTGACTCTCAAACTACCCTTCTGCAGCAAAGCTCCCTCATGAGGGCCTTGGTTGGATGGCGCAGCAGGGCTCTCAGCCATTCCAAGATTTCGTCTCGCCAACGCCATCACTTTGTCCACTTCTGCAGGGTCCTGAGTTAGTCCTCCCTTCTTTCCACCCTTTCGTCTCGGCGCATCATCCTCCTCTTCCAAATCAGTGGAATCGCCGTCTTCCCTGTCTTTGCGTCGAGGAATGCCACGAACAGGAGTTAGATCCGCTTTTCTCACACTCGAAGGAGCAGGCCCGCCATCTTCATCGTCCGAATCAGCAAATCGACTTTTGAAGAACGATCGCTTAGGCGCGTCATCGTCCTCATCATCCGAGTCCGCAAAGCGGGATTTGTATCGGGGAGCAGAGGGCGCGGGCGTTTGCCTAGACTGTGTTTTCCTCGCTGCAGCAGGAGGAGCGGCCGTAGACCGCAACGTGCTTTTAATCACGGGCTCTTGAGATTGCACCGAGGAAATGGAGTTCTTCCGTCGTGAGAAAGGATTCGGCGACATGGAGCGGAGCCGGCTGAACCTGCTATTACCGGAGCTCGGGGGAGGCGATGAGGGTCGTTGCTCGATTGGACTCTGCGGTCGTGGCGATTCATAGGCAGCAGCATCTCGCATGCTTCCGCGCATGGTATACCGCGCTTCATTCCCTCGGGCTTTGCGTCGCTTCTTGAAGCTGCTCTCCGAGTCAGAGTCGTCTGCCGCTGCCAACTCTTTCTGCAATCTCGTGCTGAATTGTGCTGTCTGCGCTCTGGTCTGTTTTTGCTGCGGTTGAGCATTCTTCGTGCGTGAAGTCGGATATGCAGAGCTCTGCGCCTGTGTCCGTGGCGCCGAAGTCGCAGGTGCACCCATCGATGCTGGACGCAAGCTCTTCTTCTGCAATGCGGAGTGCGAGTCGTCACGAGCTGGCGCTTCACGCAAGGAAGACGTCAATCGACCGCCCTCCCTCATCGACTTTCGCATATGTCCTGAGCTGGCTGAAGAGTCCGCTCTGGAAGGACCGGTCTGCGCACGCATCGACTTTCGCATCGTTGGCACCGGTTGCACGCTGGTGGCAATGTTCCCATTGACACCCCTTGCGGCTTTTGGCTTTGCCGTCCGAGCAGGCTGCATGTCATCATCTTCATCCGATGAGTGGTTCGCACGCTCGAGCTCTGCTCGTTTCTCCTTGGTAAGCTGAGACCAATACGCGGTAGCCTGATCCCAACTCGGAGTCGAAGGGCTATCGTTTACGTTATTGGTAGGCGCCGTGGTTCGCGTTGGGCTTATTGGAGGATCCCTGGGTCGTGAAGGAGACAACGGGACAACTGGACTCTCCACAATCGCATCCAAGCTGGCAAAGCCACCCGGTCCATCATCTTCAAAGTCGGAGGGATCTTCAAACGCATCGCTGAATTCGGCATCGTCCGTGTCTTCGTCAATAGCACTGAGTCTCCGGTCGGACGTCGTCATTGGAATGGACATCGAGTCCTGTGCCGCTCCATCAAAAATCTCTGGTGTTGCTTTCGGCACCGATGGCTCAGCGACAATCGTTGCAGGCTCATCCGCATCCCCAGCCCAACCTCCCGGCACAGAAATCCCTTCCATGGAATTCCGCTTCGAAACTTCTTGTGTCGGAGGGCTTAAGAATGACCCCCTGTTATCCTCGTCCAACTTGGGGGTTGGAGGAAACAAAGCAATGGCAGGGGGTTCTTGCGCCGGCACATTGTCCTGCTCCACGGTAGTCGGAGCAAAGTCTCGAACCGTCGGTGCTGTGGAGTCGCTAGCCGGTGCGGTCGCCGATGCAATGGGGATGACGGCTGGGGCTTCCTCTGGGATGGACACAGGAACATTCGCCTCGCTCGCATCATCGCTCTCATAGCCGGCACTCTCTTTAGAAGTCACCTCCGGAGGCACCGGATCACGACTATTCCTCAAGATACCAGCAATGGCGTGATCACTACTCGTCCCTTGGCTAGAAGGAATCATCTCCGTGACCTTTTCCGCAGGGTCTGGCTGCACACGGTCCCTTCTGACGCTGCCGAAAGAAGGCAGCACCTGTCTCGACGGCATCTCGACATCATCATCGGCCCCCATTTGCGGGGAGCGATTCAAGATGGGAGAGGGCAGTAAGACTGGAGCCGCTCCCCCGAGTGAGTGCTCATCGAAACTGACACGCACAGACTTCTTCTTCTTCGCACCATCTTGCGCGCCCATAGAGGGACTCTCGCTCGTCTCGCTCCCAGGGCTAGTAACCCGGTGGAGGCCAAGGGGAGAGAATGCGGCGATTGGAGAGGCGGTCCGGATCGACGACGCCGGGCTGTGCTTCATCGCCGACTTGCCAGGTGAAATGTCTCTGGGAGGGGGAACATGGATCTGAGGCAAGAGAACCGGCGAAGGTGAGAAGCGGGCTGAGCGTTGAGGACTTTGAGAGACGTTTCGTCCTCTCAAAGCAGCATCATAGCCGACACGTGGAACGTCGAGACTCGACGATCGTCCGTGGTCTTCGGGTCGAGCGGTGTACGTCTTGGCCGGGAGGATGGTCTGCTGCTGGGTGTTGGTAGCTGGTTGTTTCGCGGGTGGCGCTGCTGCCTCGGCCTCCTCTTCTCCTCTAGTGTCTTCTCGAACAACGGATGGTTGCTTGTGCAGGGTTGTAACGGTCGGAGAAGTCGGCCTTTCAGCTGTTTGCGCATATCGGGCCGGGTTCTTTGGTGGAGGCTTCATTGAGCCAGCTAGAGCAGATGAAGGTCGTTGTCTCTGCGATGTAACTGCGGCAGATGCTCGCGTGGGGCTAACAGAAGAAGCGCGAGCAGCTCTCACGGCAGGAGGGAGGCTAGATGCCTGCGACTTCGGCACGAATCTCCGCGAGTTCGGGTCGTATACTGTTTCCACCGTGGGTCTTGTTGGAGATGGTGGTGGCTGGGCATCCGCGGCGGACTTGTATACAAAGGATCGGGTGTTGGGATCGTACACGCGAGATGGCGCGTTGTAAGATGTGCCGGGCTGGACGCCGTAGACTCTGCCCGAATCGTTGTTCGCGTTTGAAAGATGGCTTCCGGCCGCGGACGATGTTCGACTGGCTGGAGCGGGCTGTCTGAGGGTGGAGGGCATGGAAGAAGTCTGCGCATCGGGGCTGGTTGGGCGCTCGCTTCTAGTAGCCTGGTTTGCGGATTCCGCGGTCTTTGGCAGGGGTACGGCCTTTGACGCACCACCCGAATCTGCCTCTGCGCGTCTTGCAGCGAGATTCTTGGCGAAATCGGCATGTGCTCTTTCCAGCTCGTCCCCTTCCATGACATTTGACAACCTCTTGGCTTGCAACGAGGTACTGGGTGGGGGCTGGTCCGCACTGGAACTTCGTTTCCCCTTTGCCGGCGGAGGCGAGGTGAAACGGGTGGTCGTCGAGCCGAGACTCGATGCAGGACGCATGGGCGAGGCGGGGGATGGGGCGCGAAAGGTACGCTCGGTCATGGAGCTGTTGCTATCGGTTCTGCGCACGCCGGGCCGTCCGTTCAGACTCCCCACCACACTCATGCTGCCTTGTGATGAGTTGGAGTTACGTCTGATCATGCGCTTCGTCTGTATGCTTCCGACGGGTTCCGGGGTGGAGGTGTGAGAGCGAAGGGCAGCCGCGGCGGCGGCGGAGGAGAGGGTGCCATTGGCGGTGGGTTGATTGAGCCGACCAAAGGCAGAGGTGGCGGCGGTGGTGGCAGCAGCAGCGGTGCCAGGATCGATGCGCTGGAAGGAGACAATTAGCGTGGTGATGGAGGGGGATGGATGAAGAGGTGGTAGGTACCGGGTTAGCGGGAGAAGGGCGGCGACGGCGCGAGAACATGTTGGGCTCAAAGAGGTGCGGGTGGATTATCGAGGGTGTGGATACCAGCTCCGGGGGTACATAGGCATGTTGTGGTAGTGCTAGGGAGATGGGGGCATTGTTGTGTTGCTCTCCAAACACGCCTATGGATGCTTCGATGGGATGGGGGTGGGCGGTTCGCAAGACTCGAGGAGATGGTAAAAGAGTGAACACGAGCGTGCAGCTGCCGGCCGTCAATTGGAGGGGATCGAGATGAGGTGGGGATGAGAGGAGATGGAGTTGGGCGGGAGTAGTGAGAGAGAGAGAGGGTGGTTGTGGTGAGGAAGTTTTGGCGGTGATGATGGTCATCGATGCGCTTGGCCCGCGCCCCAATAATTTCCGGAGATCGAGCTCACCACCGCCACTCCACCGTGCTGCAGTGTGGCGCAGGTCTGACATCACATCGTCGCACTCGACTTCAAGTCATCCTTTGTCCTTCCGTGGGTATTCCGATTGGATCGAGTCGCCTTGTCTTACATCCCGAGTGATCATTCTCACGTCTGGGCATGTTCCGCCTTGCCCGTGAAGGAGCCTCTTCGACCGTGATCGACGCTCCAAACCGAAGCGAAGCTCCGCCGCCCGCACAGTCCCTCGGCGGAGCCTCTCGAGTCGGCCCGGATGTCCGCAATACCTGGCCTACAGCCATCGATACTTGCTCACATTTCAGTTATGGCCTCAGGCATCACAGGCGCAGCGAAAATGTATGTAAAGGCCGCTCACATTGGTACCGGCGTCAAGAGCAAGGTCACGTTTAGGAACTCGACACTTGCTCAAGAGAGACTGTCGAGAGATATCCTTGCGCTCGTGGACTCGATGGAAACATAGAGAGTGCGGATAGTACAATAGATGACGCGCACTGTACATTAGAATGTCATTCGAAGAAAGTATTGCGACATCGTCGACACTCTTCCCCCAACATCTCCCCTTCCGGGCGCGTTTCTTAGAGATCGACAGATCCCAGGGTATGTCCAACACAATGCGACCCTTACTTCCCTCCCAGCCAGCTGGAGATGCCGCTCTTGGCCTTGCTCGCGCCCTGTATCGATCACGCACATCAGTATGCATATATCTCTCCACAAATGCAAAAGACACTCACCTCCGTCACGCTCTTGTCAAACTGGTCCACGGCGGCATTGAGATTGGTGCCGGCCTTGGAAGCAACCTTGTCGGCCTCGGCCTTGGCGTCGTTGGCCGCATTCCTCGCTTTGGCGCTGATGTCCGATGCGGCCGCTTCGGCGTCCTTCTTCGCCTCTTTGCCGCGACCTGGGAGTTCATCCTTGACCTTGTGCGAAAGCTTGTTGGCATCGGCTGTGGGGGGAGAAGACGGTGCTGTTAGCTGGTGTGACACGGACGATAAGATATGCACTGCCACTCACCCTCTGCCTTCTTCTGCGCAGTCTTGGGGTCACCGCCAGCTTGGTACAAGTAGTAGCCGACGCCGCCCGCAACGGCCAGACCGCCGACTTGCCACGCTCGTGCAGACATGTTGTTGATTGGGTGGGATGGATGGAGGTAGGGCGATGGTTTAGGAGGTGTAGATGATGGAATTGATTGATGGTGGTAGATGGAGGGATGAAGTCAGAGGGGCGAGAGCAGAGGGAGCTTGGGCTGCATAGCAACGCCAATCACATGTCGGCCAGCTTGCACGCCAAGGTGATGTCATCCGCCGTCCACTTGCTCTTTCCCCAGATTCGGCGTCGCCCGAGGGTGTTTGGGGGTCTGTGCGTGAGTCAAAAGCTGGCCGGCGGTAGGCTGCATTGGTCCACGTTACGTGCATGATGTCTGCATACCGCATGGCTCAATCAGGCCACAACTCTCTGTCTGTCAGACACCTCGATCCCCTCCCTTCCCAACCACACTCCACGAAGAGCATGAATGCATGATGAGTCGGTCGGAAGTCTCTTTCGGAGACAACCATGCCGCCAGCCATCACCGCATCAGCCTGCCCTCCATCTTCCGACACCGTACTGGCCCCGACGGCAGTTTCATGGTGACTCCAATCAAGCTGGTGGATAGGTAACGGATCCCGCCACAGCCCATGATCATCATCATCAGCAGCCCGACATGTCGACTCCCTCTTCCGTCCTCAATTCCCTCCGCAACGTCCCCACCGCCCAAACCATTCTCAACGAGCACCACATCTCCCTCCTCGACCAAGAGCGGCCAGCACAGAATGGGGATGCTGAACGCAATTACAGTGATGAGCCGCCGACCCCAGCCACCCCTAGCACCCCCGGGCCGCTCACTCGAAGACTCACCAAGCAGTCGATGAAACGGCAATGGAGCGAGAGAAAGTACGCCAAATACCAGCCGGACAAGTACCACATCCACGAAGACCCGCTACCGCCCGATGAAGACCCCGCGAATGCCCCACAAGCCGGGGAGGAGGCGTCGCGCATCCAGACCAGCATGCTCGAGCGCAGCCGTGCCAAAGCTAAGAGCTACCTCAAGCGAAGGGGCACCATGGGGCAACGGAAGAACGAAAACGACAGCGTCGTCGACATCCTCTACGAAAATCAACGCGGCATGTTCCTCTTTGGCATCCCCAAATACAGCAGCTCCTCCCTCCTCCCCTCCGATCCTAAGCCCTGGCAGAACGCGCAGTTCCGCACTTCTCCCGTCGACATTCGCAATGCTCAAGTGCCGGATCCGAGCTGGGAGTGGGCGTGGAAGAGCTGGTTCGTCGATATGAGCCGTGATGTCGACGAGGAGGGGTGGGAGTACAGTTTCATGTTCAAAGGAGGATATGCGTGGCATGGCAATCACCCCTGGTTCCACTCCTTTGTCCGCAGACGCCGTTGGTTGCGAATGCGGAGAAGGCGAGACGTGCATCACCATACGAAGGAGAAAGCGCACGAACTGACGGCCGAGTACTTTACTATCCACCCCAAGACGGTGCGACCAGCCAGCGAGGACTACAGTCGCATGGGCACGAGCGAGATGGCAAGGATGAAAGAGAGACGCAGGCGGCAGGATGAAGTGGAGGTCGATCAGATGGACATCACCAACATTGCATCTCTCATCTACGTCATGAAACGTGCATCTGTCGACAGGGAGAAGCTGGTTGCCGTGCGCAAATTCACCGATGGAGCTGGGCCAGAGCTGTACTATCTGTCCGAGCGCATGCCCGAGATCATGAATCTCCTCGTCTTTCAATCCTCTCGTCGACAATTGCTGGCAGACTTACTACACCGCTTCGATGCCGCACACGAACGTCGTCAGAGTCTGGCAGATCACAAACACGATGATGAGGAGGCGCAAAAGCAGCATGGAGAAGCCTCTCAACAGGCCGAGAACCTGATCAATGCGGTGAAGGCGGCGGACGAACAGGTAAAGAGATTGGAATACTGGTCTGATATCAAAAGCATGGTGCATGGCGGAGAAATACTCCACGGCACATCAGACGGCGACTGGGACCGCGCGAGATGGCAAGGACTACGTGATGCATCTGGCAAAGGGAGCAGTTTCGCAAGCAAACAAGCCGCGAGCGAGGGCGCGCCTAAACTACACGCCCACCCCGAACACCCTCCCACCGAGGACGACGAAAGCGCCTTCACAGCACCCAGCACGCAGAGCGAAGGGGGTCAAGTCGTGGCCATCAAACACCCCGGCAAAGACAGCGATACAGGCCATGAGACAGAAGGCTACGTCACAGCCGCCGAGTCTGTCTCGGAGATGCCAGGAAAGAGCCCACGGAGCAACAAAGGCAAAGCCCGCCTGTCAAATATAGACGGCGTGCTGGAAAGTCTCGAAGACGACGCAGCCGAACCCCCCTCCACTCCTCCCCGCCGCACGAGCCGGCCCTTCCGCTCCCCAGCAAAACAAAACGTGCGCATCGTCGACCCCGTGCCGGAAGGCCTGGACGAACGAGACGGTAACGGAGGCGGAGGCGATGGCAGCTGACTAGCCGACTCGCCGAAGCGACCTGCCAGTCCTGCTGCGAGGGGATGGTTTAGTTGGAGAACTGGCGGCAGCAGCACGGCGAAGCAGAAGCGCGCCAAGTCCATGGATAGTGTGCGGAGTACGCGGACGACGGAGAGTGCGAAAGCCTTGAAGGTGCCAAAGAGTTGGGTTGAGCAGGCTTTTTCTTGAAGTGGCATTTGGGTGTCTGACGTTAGCGAGCGAGGCATCGTGATGGTTGATTGATTGTGGGAGATTGACATGCGTGTATACCATGTTAGTTGCGAAGCATTTTATTTTTCACACATTACTGCCATACCCCGTTCTCCTGCTTGCTTGTTTTTCATTCAAAGACGCCAGCCGGGGAGACGGCGAGCGGCGCCGCGGATTCGGAGCCGAGGCCGAGACGGATATGCCAGCAACTACGTAGGTGTGTCCACACACCGTGCGAGATCGCCCACCGGGCACCATAAAAGACAAAGGCCATGCGCGCAGCAAGCTCCATCTCTCCCTTGCAGCCACACTTCCTCCCACCATGAGCCAACCCGCCCTCCAAGGCGCCGCTGCCCTAGCGGTCTGGGGCAGCGTGTCGAGCAACGAAGTCGACGAAGCAGCCCTGAACGACTGGTGGACGAACGAGCACCTGCCCGAACGCATGTCGATCCCGGGCTTCTTGCGCGCAAGACGATACATGGCGCGCGACGAAGCGGCGTCCGCGTCCGGGACGACAATAACGCGATACCTAACGCTTTACGAAACGGAGGATGTGCACACGCTTACGTCGCGGGAGTATATGGCTGCTGTGAGCAATCCTACCCCCGGGACGAGGCTTTACCTCCCTCGGTTGCCTTCGATGGATCGCGCGGCGTGTAGAGTTGCGTATTCCGAGCGGCGGGCGGAGTTCGCGCACGCAGCGTGGAAGACCACGGGCGCGCTGATGGGGATGATGGAGTTCATCGTCCCCGAGTCCAACACCGTCGCCGACGCAGTCGAAGCGATCAAACCCGCCTTCACGCAATGGGCGCAAAACGAGCGGAGTTTGATGTCGTGCAGCCTGCTCGTGGAGGACGCGGAGGCCTCTGCCCCGGGGAATGGAAGCCAGGCGCACTTGAATGGGAATCTGGGCTCGGCGGCACAACGAGAGGGAGGCAGTCGGTGTATGTTGTTGCTGGAGTTTGCCAAGACGTTGCAGCCTTTGGTGCAGGATATGGGGGTTTTTCTGGATCAGTCGCCGTTCTTCGATGGGCCGAAGGTGATGCGCTTTTACCAGTTTGTTGCGGGGATTGGGGCGTGAGTTGATGATTGTGATGAGGCATGCAATGGATCGTTGTTCATTACGGCCCTGTTCCTTGATTTCCGATGTGTCTGTCTACTTGGTGATTTCTCCTATGGCGAAATGCAAGTGCATCGCAATGCCTCTCGTGTCGTAAAGCGCAAAGCAGACATGAGGTCATGTCCGGCTTCGGAAGCGACATCCACATCCACCTCGGACAAACAATCAAACCACACCTCATCGCCACACTCTCCCTTCCTTCCCCTCCACATAACCAATTCAATGCATACCTGATCGACCATGTCTAAACTCTCCGAACCCCTCAAGGCACTCATCAACGCCGCCCACGCGAAACCAAACACCCTCCCCGCCCCAAGGAACATCCGCTCCGTGTACGAAAAGATAGCAAGCAATGCCGCCGCGAAGAAAGTCGGCATGCCAGCCTGGCTAACGGCGTCGGTGAGTTGCCTCCACCTCACACAAGAGGGGTTCGGGATGTCGAGACTAATTGATGATGGATGCGTGCAAGGCCGCCGCGACCTTCACGATGAACTCCCCCGAATCCCTGCTCGAACTCTACCGCCTCGCCTCCTCGCCCACGTTCAAAAAATCCGACACGCACGGCGTGTACACCGCGGAATTCATGCGGGAAATCGGGCTCAAGTGCATAGGTCTCAATGGCGTATGCCTCCCCCTCTGACATTCCTAGCATCCACCCAAGCTGAACGAAACATCCAGGTCCCCCGCACAATCAACTGCCTAGGCGCCTTCTTCGCCGGCCTCCCGCAAGAAATCCAGTCCGAACTGCTCAAACGCCCCGCGCGCCGCTCGCTCAACAGCGCCAATATAAACGACGTAGTCGCGCGCGGGAAGTGGATGTGGAACGACATCTACGCGCCCTTTAGCGACAAACTGACGGCCAAACTCGCTCAATCGCACCCTGATATGCCGGTGTTTATTATTGAGGGGGAGTACGGGGCTTTATTCTCCAACCCGCCATCTTCGGAAATCGATACCGCTCTCCGCCCGAATCTAGGCCGCGTGCTGACGTCCGTGTTCGCGATTGCGGTGTTGAGAGCGCAGACTGGTGTCGGGCCGCAGGTGGTTAGTCATGTATTTGGACTCCGGAAGGCTTTTGATCACGGAAGTGCGGAGGCGGAGGGCGAGGTGCCTGTCGAGGGGGGGAAGTGGTTGGCGAGCGATGAGGGGAGCGTGTGGTTGTTGGAGCAGGTGGATGAGATTATTGCTGCGCTGGGGGGTGGGGAGGGATCTTCTTTTGCGCCGGGGCATGCTGCGCGGAAGGAGAAGGCGAGGTTGTAGAGGGAAATACTAGAGCGTGGAAATGCACGCTGTGCTTTTGCTAGGATACAGGTCTATACAGGTTTTCGTGCTGCGGTGATATCATGCTGCCTCAAGCCTACTCCATCTGCCCCAACTCGGAAGCGACCTCAAACTTCGCCCCAGTATTCTTCTTGACATCATCCACAGTAACATTCGGCGCCAGCTCCGTCAAAGTCAGGAAGCCTTTTTCGCGATTCACTTGGAAGACACACTATGCACACGTCAGTAACGATTTAGGGAGTCCAACGAGACGAAACGCACCATATCTGTAATAATCGTCGATACAACGCGCGCACCAGTCAACGGCAGCGTGCAATTTTGCACAATCTTCGGGCGCCCATTTTTGTCGACGTGGTCGGTCAAGACGACGATTTTGGTGTTGTCGGGATTGCTCACGAGGTCCATTGCGCCGCCCCTGGATCATCCGTGTCAGTAAGCACGCTCAGATGAATCCAATGATGAATAATGTCACTCACATCCCCTTGAACACCTTCCCGGGAATCATGTAATTCGCCAAATCCCCATTCGCACCCACCTGCAGCGCCCCCAGCATGGAAACATCAATGTGGCCTCCGCGAATCATGCCAAAAGACTCGGAGGAGTCGAAGGTCGAAGCGCCCTTGACGAGCGTGACAGTCTCCTTGCCGGCATTGATGATGTCCGCGTCGATTTGGTCTTCGGTGGGGTACGGGCCCATGCCCATGATGCCGTTCTCCGATTGGATCCACACGTTGGAGTTTGGGGGGAGGAAGTCTGCTGCTAGAGTGGGCATGCCGATGCCGAGGTTGACATAGGAGCCTGGCTTGAGTTCGTGAGCGGCGCGCTTTGCGATGCGGTTTCGTCGTTGCAGGGCGGGATTGTCTTTTGCTTCGGCCTCCGGGTCGGCGTTGGGGTCTTTGAGTTTCTTGATTTCGATGACTTTCTCCTCCGTCGCTTGGACGATGCGGTCGATGAAGACGCCGGGAAGGTCAATGTCGTCTGCCTCCAGCTCGCCCACAGGGACGACGTGCTCTGCCTCGACGATGGAGATTTTGGCGGCCTTGGCCATGAGCGGGGCAAAGGACTTGGTGGTGTAGCGGAACTTGCAGTTGCCCGATTCATCCACCTTCCAGGCGCGTAGAATGGCGACATCACCCGTAATGGCGTGCTCCATATTGTACACCCGGCCGTTGAAGATGCGCGTCTCCCTCGCATTGCCCGGGACAGTGACTTCGCCCTGCTCGTTGAATTTCTGCGGAATGCCGCCCGACTGGATCAGCGTGGAGACGCCGGTGGGAGTGTAGAAGGCGGGGATGCCGGCGCCTCCACACCGCAACTTCTCCGCCAGGGTGCCCTGGGGCGTGAGTTCAATGGAGATCTTGCCGGTGAGGTACTTCTTCTCGAGCTCCTTGTTGGCGCCGAGGAAGGAGCAGATGGCCTTTGTCATTTGGCCTGATTTCACTAAAGGGCTGAGACCGCCTCCAACGGCCGTGCCGGCATTGTTGGAGACGCAGGTGAGGTTGTTTAGACTCTCGCTCCCTCGCCGCTCGAGGGCTTTGATGAGGGTTTCAGCCGTGCCGCACAGGCCGAAGCCGGCGGACAGCACGGTCGAGCCGGACTTGATGTCGGCGACGGCATCGTCGACGGACGAGAAGAATTTCGAGTGGCTCTTGCCCGTCACCTCCTTTTGCAGACGGGTGGTGCGGTGGAAGTGTCGTCGTCGAGTCGATGATGACAAGCACACCTGCTTCGCTACATGAACGTGCGGGCTGCGAGACGACTTTGCCAGCGGCCGGACGGTCAGGGTGCAGATGAAGTCCATCCTGGCGGGCTGTAGGTGACCTGATGCCTGGTAGGTGAAGGCGAGCAATGGACCGTTATAATAGTTCCAGGTCGTGTCGAATGCCGTCCCCGGGCCGTTGCAGCGCTTCCCACCAACGACATCGGCAGTCGGCGTCGGGTAAATGATTTGCCGGGCAGTTCGGGAAAGGGCCACGGCAATCTTTCCGCAGTCCACCCGCCGAATGGCCATGCAATAATGACAGCGCTTTTTCTGCTGTTTCTTAAGATCGATTGCTTAGCAAGCTTGATGTGTGGTTGGGATGGTCTTGGGCCGGAGTCATGCATGCAATGTAGATGTGGGAATGTGCCTTGCCCAAGAATGTGTCACCAGCTAGGCTACCTGGTTATTCCACCACGGACCACATAGCCTCGATGCCATCTGCATAACCTCCGACGATACAACATCACCCGAGAGGCATCGATAAACTGACGAACGGCTGCTTTTTCGTCCTCACCCGCCCGCCTCGCAATCAGCGATCCGTACCTGATCTGCAGCACTATGCGGCTCTGCGGCTACAACAAGGAGCTTGTTTGGCGGGGCCGTTGCTACGTCACCGCCAATCACACCCTGCTGTGACGTCTTTCTGACTGAATAACCTCGTGTTTCTGATGAAAGGTATGTGCCACCACGCGGATGGCATATGTCCGTGAGCCGAGCTGCTGCAATAACTTGCCACCGGACCCCCCGTGGAGTGCAACACCGGTGGCAAGGCTGCGCTCCTTCTATTTAACTCTTTGACTTTCATCCACCACCCCCTCCTGCCTTCTCTTTCTCCCTCGCAGCCTCGCCAATCCCTCCTCCCACCCCACCAACATTGCTTTTGCCACGCCACCACCCTGCCCACCATGACGACCTTGCTCAAAAAGGTCATCCTGGGCGAGACCTCCCTACAAAAGAGCGCCTCCCCCAACCCCTCCTCCGACCGAAGCCCATCCACACGCAGCCCAGCGGGAAGAGATTCCTCCGAAGACCCCAAAGACAAGACCATCCCCCCAGAGCCCGTCCAGCTCGCCACTGAAGGCGACTTCTCCCTCAACGAGGCCGAAGCACCCCTGCAAGCACACAACCTCGCGCGCGCCAACAAGCGCTGCAAAGCGCTCAAATGGGACACCAAGCTGGCCAAGGATGCCGCCGCTTATGCCGAGCTGCTCGCGCGCACCGGCATCCTTGAGCACTCGGGCATCGAGACGGCGGGGGAGAATCTGTACCACGACAAGGGCGAGGCGACATTAGAGCAGGCGGTGGACGCGTGGCTGAGGCAGGAGACGCTCTACGACGGCAAGGCCATTGGCGCGAGCGAGTCGGGGCTGCGGGAATGGGGGGATTTCAGTACGTTGGCATCTTGCGACCTCGTCGCTATGTACTCCAGCTAACTCTGCTTCTAGCACAATGCATGTGGAAGGATACGGTGTCCGTGGGCATGGGTCGGTATCGCGATGAAAAGTCGGGCCAGACCTATGTGGTGGCGAGATATACCCCTCCCGGCAACGTCAATGGCGAGATGCCGTTTTGAGTCTTTTGTGATTCTCCGCAAGCACAATGGAGATGGGAAGGAGGGGGAGTAGTCAACGCATGGCAGCGGTGTTTCTTCAAGCTTCACGCGGCGAAGCTCTACCACGGGGCGCATGATTTTGAGCGTATCGAACTCAGCCACAAATGACCAGGCATGATTGTGCAAGCGCGCCTGCTCAGAAACTGTTCTAATATCCTTCTTCAATCCCTCATACCGTCGATCAAGTAAAGCATCCAAGGCTGTGTAGCGGGGTGGGCTCAGCCACATCTCCCACGTATTTCACCCAAACTTTGTCACTCTCGACATCTCTGAAACTCCCCACGCGAATATGAAGACGTCAGCAGCCTACAGCGATAATCAAGAAGCTCTCCGGCTTCCACATGGACCTCCTCTCCCACAAAGACCGCACGCCAATTCCAACCATCTCCATACTACTCGACGATGAGCGACGGAGCCCTTTCCGCCCCGGCGAGCCCGTCCGAGGCACCATCACACTCCACACCCCAACCCCCCGCACGATACAGCACGCAGAAGCCCTCTTCTTCGGCCGGACAGTAACGCACTGCACGCGCATCGGCGAAGCAGGGAACTGGGTGGGCCTGCTCGGGCGCCGGAATTTCAGCACGAACCAAACGATCCACTACCACGATGATGCGAGTCTGCTGCGCTTCACGCAGAACTTGGCCGACGCCGTTACGCTGGAGCCTGATAGGCCTTATTCCTGGCACTTTGACTTTGTGTTTGGGGATTCGGCCAAGTTGGTTGGGGCGAGTCCGTGGCGGGGGCCGACGACGGGGACGGGGGTGTATGCGCAGGGACTGCATCCGCTGCCTCCGTCTTGTGATCGCACTTTCAATGATCAGTACGTGCTGCTGTGTTGAAGTTACCGCCTTAGAACACGTGCTGACTGTTTCAAGCCACTATGCCAGGGTGGAATACTTCATCCAAGCAGTCTTCTACTTCACCGACACCAACGCCGCTCTAACCGCACAGCTGCCCTTAGACTTTGCGGGAAACGCCCCCTGGCCTGATCCCAATAGTCGAGTCGAAATCACAAGGCCTCCAGAAATCTTCTCCAGCCCGCGCTTGCTCAACGACCAGAAGTCTTCTCTCCGACACAGTTTGAAGATTGGAGGGGTAGATGCCCCATCGGTTCGCGTAACGCTCAAGACGACAGTCAACACCCAGGTCATCGCGGGCTCTCTGCTTCCCCTCGACGTATGCGTTGAATTGACCGACTTCTCCACGTCCGCCATCTCCATTCCGGACGTGGAGCTGCGCATCAAATCGTGCAAATTACATCAAGTCACCTTCTTTCGTGCTCGAGAAGTGCGCGCCCGCTCTGATCCGCCGGAATACCAGGAGATCGGGGAAGACAAAGTGTCGTTGAGGAGCATACCGGAGCAAATCGCATCAAAGGGCGATGTGAAACCCCACTCAACTGTATATTCAGCTATCTTTCAAGCCGAGATCCCCGCCAGGCTGGCACCTAGTTTCCGCACATTCAACATCAACCACAACTACCAATTATCAGGGGAAGTGGTGGCGACAATCTGCGGCAAGAAATTCGAGCAGGAGTTTGGGATCGAGAATATCATTATGCATCCGCGGACATGAGAAATCTATAATGTCGCTCGTCTATAATGTTGTAAAGCCAACTCTAAGCATCAACCAAGTTCCTCTTCATCTGCTCCACCTGCGCCTGACTCAACCCGCACTGCTTCACAATATACTGCTCCGCGCCCCCGAAATCATCGCGCAACATCCCCAGCGCAGCAAGCATGTTTTCCTTCTTCGCGCTCACCATTCGCCACACGCCCTCCTCGTTGTCAGAGATTGCAGGGTTTTTGAGAAGGCGTTCCACAAAGAAAGGCTTCAACTCCGCCAGCCCTTGATCAGTGAGCGCGTACTCGTCCGCCGTGGTCTCGGCATCGACACCCGCCAGCTGAAGGAGAAGCGCAATACACACGCCCGTCCGATCCTTGCCCGCAGTACAATTAATCAGACACGGCGCCGGCTTCTGCCCCGCCAAATGAGCGAAAATCTTCCCAAACGACCCCTTCCCATCCTTTAGAATATCATGATAAGCCCGCACCCACCCCTCCGTCCCGGTGGAAGTGTAGTCCTTGTACCGCACAGCAACTTGCTCAGGCCCGTAGTCCTTGTCGGCAAACACGGGTGTCCAGCGGCGTTCGATCCCGGAAGCACGGTAGGCGTCGTCGGTCGCGACTTCGAGCCCGCTCCACTCTGGGCCGTCACGTTGGATTTCAGGCGTGGAGCGGAGGTCGAAGATGACTTTGATACCTGCGGATCTGAATTAGAATATGATGCATTTGCGAATTGGGGGTAGGTTAGGTACCCAGCTCCTCGCTCATCTTCTTCCGCCCACTATCAGTCGGTTTACTGGGATCCGCGGACCGGAAGACGAGGCCGCTTCTGATCTCTTTCCCATCTGAGGTGCGGGTGCCGCCAATGTCGCGGAAATTGGAGATGCCTTCGATTTCGATGAATGGGGGTGAGGGGAGTGTTGTCATTTTTGCGGTTGTGTGGTGGGATTTGAATGGGGGGTTTAAATTGGCGGGAGGTGAGGTTGAATGGTGAGTGGAAGGTTTGGGTGTCGTTGAAAGTTGGCCTCGGCTGACGACTGCCATTGTTCGATGGCTGGCGGCGTGGTTGCATTGAATGGTGGTCCCAACTCTGACAACTTGACGCATTCGGCCTTTCGTAAGGTGAATGCCGAGCAGGCATGGAAAGACTGGCCGCCTCGGCCTGCCAGACATGCCGCTCGCAGAAGGTACGGACACCGCAGCTTGCTGAAGCCATTGAACTTGTTCTTACGGGATCATCATGTTCCAGCTCAAGTGTTCTCGCTCTCTCGGCAAGTGCCATCGATGTGTTCGATTGGGGAGAGATTGCGTCTACCTGCTACCGCCAGATCGCAAGGAGATAGGCCTCCGACGAGCGATCAAATCGAGGGCTCAAAAACGTGCGCTCGCCAGTGTCACATCTGTCGATGACACCCTTCCTCCACAATCGGGCGCCGAGCGAACAGCATCCTCGGACAATGATGTTTCGTACGAGATCAACGAACGCGACGTCGCCGTCTCAATACCCGACCTGTCTACCCAACAAGCCTTGATCGACATCTATTTCTCCCGTACCTTCAACGCATCAGTAACCTTCCACCAGCCTACCGTCCTACGACAGTGGAGAGCTTCGCAGCTTCCCCAGATCCACCTGCTTTCAATGTGCGCCATGGCAGCAAGGTAACACGCGATGTACGACTCTCCCACCCATGGCCCCTCTAACCACTTGTCTGCGCTAGTTTATTGGCCCCAGGCTGTGTTATCCAAGGCCGCGAGCAGCTACTCGGTCGGCTAGAAGACGCACAAAAGCATGCACGGCAGTGGGCGCTTTGGGTCGGCAATCAAGTCTTGCAGCTGGTGCAACAGCCAAACCTCGTTGTCGTCCAAGCGTGCATCGTAGTCGCAACCTATTGGATCTCGCAAGGCGATGCAAATCGCCACTCTCTCTTCTCAGGTAAGTTCATCTCTTGCACATCCGCTTCAATCCCAGTGGTCCACCCAGGGCTGAGATGTTGGCGGTGTGTAGCCATTGCAACGCGCACGACACGCAACATGTTGCTGGCCATGGTCAGAGGAGACATGCGGTCCAACACGTCGGCCACGTATGCTGAAACAATGCGTCGCTGCTTCTGGGCAGCGTGGACTATGAATTGCGTTGTTGCGGACCATTACATAGTCGGCACGGCGATTGACCCGGTAGCCCTGAGTACCCCCCTCCCCATCTCAGAAGGCAGTTTCCGCAGTGAAACTCCGCAAAATCAGGGAACGTTAGCGAGCCCCCATCGTGTGAATAGCCATGACAGTGCGCCTCTGTCGATCGCAGCCGAAACCATCAAGTTAGTTGCAATATGGTGAGATAAGAAAGCCCACCACCAATCGAACTGGCGGATATCTGACCACGTTCCAGGTCCAGAGTGCAGGACTTTGTGCAAACAAAAGGGGCAAGCCCTGCGCAGAAAATAGTCTCCGATCTCCTCTCACTCGACCAAGAGCTGAACGCCTGGACCTCCAGCCTTCCGTCGGCATTCGACTACAACAAAAGGAACCTCTTCGAGTACCTCGTGGTCAAAGGGCAGTTTGGCTACGTGAGCGCGCACGCCCTCTTGCATCAATGCCATCTGGTACTCCACGCATCCATCGTCCCGCGCTTCGGCGGCCGAATACCGCGCGATGCGTTTTCCATCGATGTGGTGCGCAGCAGTGCGAGGAGTGTGTTTGAGAGTGCAAAGCAGCTGTCCATTATTGCGAACGACCTTGCAGCCTTGGAATGGGAGCCTGCCTCGCTATCGCCCTTCTTCGGCTGGGCCATGTATGCTTCGGCGGCTATCCATCTCCTGACTCCCGCCCAGCCGGACGCGCTTTCGGCGGCTACTTCTAGTTTGAGGGTCCTCAAGGGCATGAAGCCGTACTGGCAGCACTTGAACGTATTGGTGAGTGCGCTGTCTGCGATCACTTTCATCCACTATGCTGATAACGCCGTCTGGCAACAAGTGGGACCGCATCCAACAACTCCTCCCTCCTTCTGCAGATGCAGGCGCACGTTCAGAATTGCTGTCCATGTTCCAGGGCCCGTCGGCGGCCCCGTCTGCGCGCGGGTCAATGCGACAAGACCCTTCTGTGCCATCTGACAGCTTCGACCAGAACCTGCTCGAATCGGGGCCGGAATCTTTGGTCCCATACGCCATCGGCCGACGGGCAGTAAGCCCTGCTGCAATCAAAGCCACGCAGCCGAGCGTACTCACTCCGCAGATCACACCAACGTCAGAGCCGGTCGTGCATCCTACCGACGCCGTTCATCCGCACGCGGAAACACTTCAGAAGACCCAAGATACGCAATCGTGGACATCCCAGGCACATCCATCTGCACTCACTCTCCAGGGCGAGCAAGACACAATCGCTTGCAATGACCTGTCAATTACGGCAGCCAGCATGCCCTTCATGGACGAAGAATTGCTCTGGGAAACGGGACTCGGTGGCTTCTCGTTCGACGGCTGGCTTAATCCGTCGCTGGACTGGACCGATCTTGAGCTGTGGAGCGAGACGAGTAAAGGCTATTAGAAGCTTATAGTAGAATGTCTTACCTAACATTATAGAGAGCCATCCTAATTAGCTTCGATTGGATCTTGGAAGACTGGCGCTACTCCGACTTACCGTTCTCTAGAACGATGTAAAAGCTAGGCAAGGTAGTATGGGCTGGCTCCGGTAGATTGGGCAGCCCATGAGCGAGAATGTGTGTTCTATGCGTAGAGCTTAGGCAATTGACGGTGCTGAATCTTTCTCACCGGCTAGTCATGTTACATGATCAAGCATAGAGCCGAAAACAGAAAAAGGGAGTAGAGATCGACGTAAGGCCAACCTTTGTCAGCCTGACGAAGCAATGGATCCCCACCACAGCCTTGCAGCCTCACGATGCAGGTCGCCATTGTTCATGTATATCCTCAACAAAGTCAATACGTTCGACATTCGATCCATGTACCTCGCCATATATCTAGCAAATCAAACGAACATCCGAAAAGCTCCACGCACCAGCCCCCCCACTTCCACCACGAGTACATCCGCCGCCCTCACAACTTCGGCCCCTTCTTCTTCAGCTTCGCCTTCTCCTGATCCCGCAACAACCTTCTCAAAATCTTTCCGCTCGCACTCTTAGGCACGACATCGATGAACTCCACCCCGCCCCGCAACTTCTTGTAATCCGTCTTGTGGTCCGCGACGTGCTTTTGGATCGCCTTGCTGATTTCGTCGTCGGACTTGTCTTTGACGCTGGCGTCTTTGACGACGAAGGCTTTGGGCACTTCGCCTTCGCGCTCGCTGGGGATGCCGATGACGACGCAGTCGTTGACGGCCGGGTGGGCGAGGAGATGGGATTCGAGTTCGGCTGTGAAGAGTGTTAGTTTTGTCATACCCTATAATGAAGGTTGCATGGGCTTGTCATACCTGGAGCGACCTGGTTGCCTTTGACTTTGATCAATCTGTTGAATGAGGTGTTAGTATCACCGCAGCGCAATCTCACGTGATGAGACTTACTCCTTGATTCTGTCCGTGATGGTGACGTGATCATGTCCCTCCTTGCTCCTATTAATCATCGCCTCGTCTCCCGTCTTGCAATACCGTCCGTCAGCAAACTCCACGAAAGTCTCGTCAGTCGCCTTCTTGTTGTCCAAGTATCCCAGCACCACCGACGGCGATTTGGCGCAAAGCTCTCCGACCTGCCCATACTCCGTCACCTCTTTTCCTTCTGGAGTGACGATGCGCACGGTGTAGCCCGGTAGAATGGAGCCCGAAGTACCAAACCAGATGTCATGCGGCTGGGTGGAGCAGACTACGGTGGCCGTTTCCTGCGATGTATTAGCAATTGCGTGACAATGAGGGAGACGGCGAACGTACTGTCATGCCATATCCTTGGAGAAGAGACCATTTGGGGAACTGTTTGCCAAGCGCATCGGCCGTTTCAGGACCCAGAGGTGCAGCGCCGGTGAAACAGGCCCTCACGGAAGAAACATCGTATTGGTCGACTGTCTTTTTCTCCTTCACCAAGTGGATAATCATGGGCGGCACGAGGTACAGCATAGCGATCTTGTAGTCCTGCACGACGCGCAGGAGCTCCTTGAACTCGTATTTTGGAAGGACGATGACGCCGTCTCCGCGATACGGGCCGACGTGGGAGATGACGACCAAGCCGTAGATATGCGACATGGGGAGGAGGCCGAGGCAGGTTTCCGTGTAGGATTGCAGGTTGTTGGCGCGCATAATCTTCTCCCGCGTCGGGGTCTCGTGGGTGGTGATTTGGATCGTGTTGGCAATGACGTTCCGATGCGAGATCATCACGCCCTTGGGCAGGCCAGAAGTACCGCTGCTGTAGCAGAGGAAGGCGGTGCGGCGGGCACCCTCGCCCCTCTCCCAGCGTGCGTCGGAGGGCTCTTGCTCGGGAAGCTTGGAGCCGGCTTTGATCAGGTCGTCCACAGTCCTGAGGCCAGGGTTCTTGAATCCTTGGGTAAACTTGTCCGCCATGGGGAGAAGGAAGATCTTATCATCAGGGATCTTGGCTTTGGTGATGCCCTTCTTGCAAGTGTCGAGCAGCGGCAAGCAAGTGAAGATGGCCTTGCAGCCGGAATGCTGCATCTGGTATTCCAGCTCGCTCGGGCCGTAGGCAGCGCTGACGGCGCTAACAATGCCACCGAGCCTGTGCACCGCCCAACACAGCGTCAGGTAGTCGATGGTGTTGAGACTGAAGCAGCCCACCACCTTGTCCCATTCCGAGCCCTTGTGCGGGTCGAAGCCAAGCTCTTTGGACAGCCCGCGCGCCAGGTGGTTCACGCGCTCTTTCACTTCAAAGGCGCTGTACGTCTTGCCTGTTGCGCCGCAGGTGAAGGGCGGCTCGGAGTAGCCGATGGGATGGCGGCTGTAGTTCTCATCGAGCATGAATCGCTCGAGCGAGATGGAGTCGGGGATTTCGGGGAGTTCTGGACTCCATGATGGAGGTTTGAACCCTTGGAAGTCTGGATTCATGGTGGATGGACTGGTTGGTGTTGATTGGGAAGGGGAGCGAAATCGAGGGAGGGATGGGTTCGCGAGGAGGTAGCTCTCGACGAACAAGATCAGACGGAGGAGGAGAAGGAGGTAAGAGCGAACGTAGAGAGGTGGGTGAGTTGGTGGAAGAAAGGATAGAGGTCCAACCTGTCAGTACAATGCGGCGACATCGAGCTACATCTAGACCGTCGCTCGCTCGCCCTTTGCCGCGGAAGATCGGTGACCGCATCGACCACGCTCGCGCAGCCGAGGAACTTGGAGCTTGGGCGCCAAGGCCCAGCCCCCAAGCCTCGCCCCGCAACTCACGTGCCACAAGCTGGAGAAGGCGGGAGTGAGCATCGGCTTCTCCGTTCCGCTTCACCGGCTCGCCATGTCTCAGCCTTTCATTCGCCGACGGAGAGAGAGTACATGTAGAGAGTGTGCTTCATAAAGATCATTGATGTGCAGTAATTATGTCTATCAAACACATTACTATCGAGCATGTTCCGTCAATCTTTTTGCCATGCTTTGCCCATTCCAGTCTATCAGTGTGATATGCTTTTCATGTTCCCATTATACCGTAACATCTAACAGCTCTTCAAATCGTAGATGGCATTGCCAGCAGAGTTGAAGATGCCGAAAGACGGGTTCGACGAGTAGTCCTGGTAGACGTACCAGAAGATGTCGATCTCCGAAGTGGCCTTGCAGAAGACCTCACGCCAGTACTTGCGGGCATTGCCGATGGAGGGGACGGCAGCACCGAAGTTGGAGCCAGACACTGGCCATCCTGCACATCGTTCGTTAGTATCGTTGACTGACATGGACCAGCAGATTTGCACGACTCACCAGTCTCAGTCACCCACACCGGCTTCCCTTGAGCAACATTCTTGGTGTTGTTGACCGAAGTCCAGAACACCGACGGCGCATCACCAATGGAGGAGTACTGAAAGTAGGGGTACCCGTCCATGCCGAGGAAGTCAACAGCAGTGATGACGGCCGAGTTGGTGGAGTTCACCCACGCAGTCCACGTATCAACGTGACCGACGGGCTGCGTAACGCCGTATTGTCGGACCATTCCACGCACGTCGTAGACCTGGCCTGCAAGCGTGGAGGCAGTGGTGTCGCCGCGGTAGAGGTCCTCGCTGCCGACAGAGATGGCGTAGATCCAGCTGTGGCCGTGTGCCTGGATTGCAGATTGCAATGCCGCTTTTTCGGCGGTGTAGTGGGCCTCATCTTCCGTCCAGACACCGACGAGGATTTGGGTGCCGGTGCTGATGGCCGCGGGAACGGCGAGTGCAAGCTGGTTGCAGTCGCTGGACGCGTACAAGCGGACAGTCTTGATTTTCTGAGGGAGCGCCTGGAGCTTTTGGAAGGCGGTGGTGTATTGAGCAGTGGTCAAGCATGAGCCATCGGGGTTATTGGCGGCCACGTTGAAGCCGGAGGTGAAGGCTTGTGCCAAGGAGAATGAAGCCGCAAAAGCGGCGAGGGTGTTGGTGAAACGCATGTTTGCGAGAAGTCGCTCGAGTCAAGGGATTCGAGAAAGAGCTGGCCGCGTTGTAAGGCGGGTATGACGAGAAAAGGACGCAGATGCAATGACCGCAACAAGCCAAACAAGACAAATGTAGAGGTGAATGAACAGTATGCAGAGAGAATGAAGTGGAGAGGAAAACTCGACGGATGTGGTGGATGCAATAAATGCAAGTGATAAAATGGGATCGGCCGCACGGCTCTGGTGGCGCCGACTAGTTCCACATGCACAGGCGCCATTCGTCGAATTTATGGAAATGTCCTTCCCGAATCGGACGCATCCACGCGTAGCAGGGTAGGCGCGTCTTGTTGGGGCCCCGGGCAAGGTTTGACTTGACATGCAGGAGCTGCAAGCTTTTGTACAAGGTTGGCAAGTTGTAAAGCAAAACAGTCTGCTGTTTCAAGCAGCTCCCCTGAGTCCTGCCGAGCTCTGGTCGATGCCAGGATGAAGAAAGCGAGCAGTTGGCGGTCGGTTCGGTCGGCAGCATAGAACTGGCAAAACACGCGGCTCCTCGGGTATCGGAGCGTTGGGTGGACACGGTCTTATTTTAGGACGACGCTTGACGAGCCTAAAGGCGCGCGTGGACTTGCCGAGCAGGACTGGTGTTTCGGACCGCAATACATACACTTCTCATCTCTCCGTGCTACACCGAAATCAGCCCTCACGTACTCTTCCATCACCACCGTGTGTACATGTACGGAACGAGCCTGGCATGAATGGCAGATGACGGTCGCGAAGCTGCATCAACTCCTTCACTCCTGCCTGCTGATTCCGTTCATCACTTCACTGTTGGAAGTTCCTGTCAGCAGCACGATGAAGTGACATTCCCCGTTTGCATCTGTCTCATTGTAAGAACACAAGGCAAGAGCGACCACCACTACTTTTGGCAAGTACACCTCATGTAGTTCACATCAAACAACGGTCAAGTATGGTTTCCCTTCCAGCACACTCCTTGGCATATCTGCATTCAATCTCCCAATGTCACTCACACCCAGGCGCGCATTCACGTTCGGCCTCTTAGAGCGCTTCCTCTAACGCTTGGCCCTTTGAGCGCAAGGCAAGCTGCATTTTGGACAAGCTTCTGCCTCTCACCCTCCCAATCGACCACCAGCAACATGGGAGCGCGCAGCACACGAGGCAAAGAGGCCGCGGCGACGACTACGATCACCGATCCCGTCAAGACGCCCGAAAACCACATCACCAAACCCAAAGTGAAGAAGCCACCCGCCCGCAAAGACTGCTCCACCTGCGGCCGAACCCTCTCCCCGGGCTCCTTTCCCAAAGCAGCCACCTCCAACTGCAAGCACAAAGCCACCGCGTGCAAGGCATGTCTCAAGAAGTGGATCACCGCTCAACTCGACACCGTCACCTACGACAACCTCGCCTGCCCGGAATGCCCGCAGCTACTGACCAACCAAGACGTCAAGGCCAACGCCACCAAGCCGACGTATGAGCGTTTCGAGGAGCTGGAGCGCCGCGGCATCGCAGACAACACTCCCGGCTGGCGTTGGTGTCTCAATCCGCGATGCAGGGCGGGACAGGTGCATGTGCCGCCGGCGAGTACGACTTCCAAGGACAGCAGCAAGAGCACCAAGAGCGCGTGGAAGTTCTGGAGTAGCGGGGAACACAAGGCGGAGCCCAACATCTGCGATTGCAACGAATGCGGTGCGAGAGCTTGCGTGCCGTGCGATCGCATTCACCCGGAGGCAGAGTCGTGCGCCGACTGGCAGAAGCGTCTCAAGGGGTTCGCGGCGGAGGAGAAAGCGACGCTGAAGGCCATCGCGACAAACTGCAAGCAATGCCCGAACTGCAGCAAGAATATTCAACGAAACGGAGGCTGCGATCACATGCTTTGTGAGTGCGCTCCACGCCCTGATATGCTGACCCCTCGATACTGACCATCATTCTCCATAGGCACCCAGTGCAGGACAGCCTTCTGCTGGCTCTGCCTGACCACGTACAAGGACATTCACACAAACGGCCACGGGAAGGGATGTGCCTACGCTAAGCCTGGAGCCATCGATCCACACGCTCCCAATGCGGCGATGCAGTAAGTTTGCGAACGGGTTCGTAAGCACTCTGGCCCACGTTGGTGAAGTGTTTTACATGCCTCTTGGCTGCAAGCAGGAGGATATCGAGTCTGATCACGCTGCGTATTGCGGCGACCGCGAAATGGGCCGTAGCTGCATCCGGACGTAAGTAGTGAGAGCAACGAAACGGCGAAAGTATGGATGATAAGGTGTGATGCGTAACTTTCGTCATACGGCTGAAGTGGAGGATTCCCGTCCCCAAATTTTACGGAGTCAAGCCTCGGGACGTGAGCCTTTAAATAAGGTATTGCTGGCTGTCTCTCCCACCTCGTCGTCGTTGCCATTTCCAACCTATTGACGCTTCTATCCCAAACATTGTATTTTGCCGAGGTCGAGATGGCAACACGGCAAACATTCACCAAAGACGAGCTCGGACGGTACTTTGACCGGATCTGCCTGCCGAAAGCTCGACGGATCTACGATGCCTCCCAACTAGACGACCAGCAAAAGCTGGCCTTCCTCAATCTCATGCAAAAGCACCATCTCTGCAAATGTCCGTGGGAGAACATCGTCCAGCACTACTCCTGGCACAAAACCGTCTACCTCCGCCCCTCGCATCTCTTCCAAAAGATCGTCGGAAACCCGGGCCGCGGAGGCTACTGCTTCGAGAACAACTTCTTCTACCATCTCATCCTCCGCAGCCTCGGGTTTCCAGCCTACATGTGCCCATCTAGAGTCTACAAGCAGGGCGCCGGATCGTATGGAGGCTTGACGCACGTCGTCAACATCATCCCCCTCGCCGGCAAGAAGTACCTGCTCGACGGCGGCTTCGGCGGCCAAGGGCCCATCTGCGCCGTCCCGCTCGAGCATGGCGCGGAGGTGACGCAAATCGCCCCGGCGCAGATCAGGCTGATGTTCGAGGCGATTCCCAACTTCGTCGACCCGGCGCAGAAATGCTGGGTCTTTCAGTACCGGCACAATGCCGCCTCGCCTTGGACGCCCATGTACTGCTTTGTGGAGTTCGAGTGCACGCCGGACGATGTGCAGTCGATGAACTTCTCGCCGTGGTTGAGTCGGAGTTCTTTCTTTGCGCATAAGGTGGTTTGTGTGCGGTTCACGACGGATCGGGAGAAGAATGATGCTGATGGGCCGGGGTCGCCGGGCGAGGCGGAGTTGGAGGGGGAGATTGATGGGCATATGACTATTAACAATGATGTGGTCAAGTGGCGGCGAAGGGGGGAGAAGGTGGTTGATGTGCCGTTTGAGAAGGATCAGGATCGAGTGGATGCGTTTAGGAAGTATTATGGCATCATCCTGTCAGAAGAGGAGCAGGACTCTGTCAAGGGCACGGCTGCTATGATTGCAGGTGGAGCGATGGGTGCGGATGGCGACTCTTGAGTCGGTCCTTCACGTGATGTTCTCTCCTTTCACAAAACAAACGGTGGTGTTTGCGTGGCGTCAAGTGAGTTTCGCGTCGCTACCACCTTCGACAACTCTTCACTCATTCTTCGACAACTCCTCACTCGTTCTCTTGCGTCTAGTCGCAGTTCTCTTCCGCTGTGGAATACCGACATGGCTGGAACGGCCCCGAAGGAAATGGACAGCGGCGACAAGCCGTTGACCTTGTTCCAGGCACAGGAACTCAGGGAAGCTTCAGAAATCGAACGTGACGAAATGGTGTGCTGGTCAGGGATACAGGTCAAACGGGCACAGCAGTCGGTCGATCTGTTCAGCCACCCCCGCCAACGCGGCTAATGAAGGCCAGACTTTTCCACAGTACTGCATATTCCGACCTCACGATCTCCTGTCGCGGCCACGAGTGGAAGGTGCACAAATTCCAGCTCTGCGCGCAGTCCGAGTACTTCAGCACCCTTTTCGCTTCAGGGTTCAAGGTGAACTCAACCCCTGCAAATTCAGATCGATGCCGACGGTGACTGATCAACTGTTTGTAGGAGGCGCAAGAGAATCGCATTTCTCTTGACGACGACAGTCCAGGTGCTATCGCCGCGCTTCTTTGGTACTGCTACACCGCCAAGTACATCAGTCAAAATATCGAACGGGATGGTCCCTCACCCCTGCTATTCGACACTCGCAACTACCTGACGGGCGACAAATTCCTCGTTAGCGGCCTCAGTGAGCTGTCGTACCAGAGCTTCACCAAGCAGTGCAGGCTCGAATGGATGTCACCTGCTTTCTCCGAGGCCGTTGCGCTAATCTATGATCACGGCCCAGAACGGAGCCACCTCAAGACCACGGTTGTGGAGACGGCGAGGTCACACTTGACGGAACTGTATGCCGACCGCTCAAAGTACAAAGAATTCCACGAGTTGCTGCTTGCCACCCCTAGCTTCGCGCTCGATCTCCTGGCAGTGATGAGCAAACAGCCTTTGGACTACGATGTCACGCTCAGCGGAATATGCGCAGTCCACGTGCAGCTGAAGTGCCCTTACGACGGATCGATTTTCAAAACGCACTGTTGTATCGGGCAGAACTCATCGATCAAGTGTCCAGATGGGCATGAAGGATCTTTTCTGTGGTGGAAACCTCACCAAGTACATTCACCAGTGCCGGACAAGTACGAAGTCCACCTGAAGTGCCCCGGCGAGTCTTGTGGGAAATTCATCAAAACCCAGGCCTACCTCGGAAGAGCGACGAGTGTTGTGTGTGGTGCTTGTGGAAAGACCGCCCTCAGCCGAAAGCATATGGTCATCACCCAGTGAAGTAGGGATCTCCTCACTTTGCTTTTGTGAGGTGATGCGGATGAGTTCGATGCGGGAGAAAGCAAGTGCACGTGATCTGAGCGCGTGGGCTTCTCCATGCGATTGGCCTTCAAGAACGAGCAACGTCGCACAACGATGTCAATGTCATTCCGTTTGATGTCAGTTTAAAGTTTTCACTTCATCTCACTTCCTTCGCCATTCTTCCATCCTCATCATCCTGTCACCCTCGCCATTCTTCTACCATAATTTTATTTGCTCCATCAGCATCATTCTTCCGCGTACAGTATTCTTCCAACCCCTGAGCATTCTTCCGCATCTGTTCTTCGCCCGCTTGTACCCACCGCACTGTCGAAACGGTGAATTTCAAACAAAACGCTGCAGAAGTGAGCTGAACATCCAGCAAACTCACGAATGCCCGCGCACATCTGAACTGACAGCGTCTTCGTCGACTGGAATACTGAGATCTCACCATCGCTTGTAAAGACAGCACCGAGCCTTGGGCTTGACCCAGGACTCGCTCTTTCATATATTCAACATCCCTGAGAACCGTCAGGCCACTAGCGAACGGAAGGAAGTAAACCACGTTGTCGAGTGTGTAGCTTGAAGACTAGATGTACTTCTCCCTCGTAATAAGCCATAACGAGCCGCGGATACAACATAGGACTCGCTATACTATACATTCACGTTCGTGAGAACGCCAACCCTCGGCAGGCGGAAGAGGTGAACCAAAACGCCAAGAAATGTCGTCCGCGGAGTTGCCCGTTTGGGAAAGCTTCAACTTTTCGACTTGCAATCTTCGCACCTCGTCCCATCAGTTCGCCGCCGCCGTCATTATCGCACAGCGACCACGCCTCCCTAAAATGCCTCCTCGAATATCGCCTCGACACGTACAGCAGCCGCTTGTCTGCCAGTGCTTTCGCACGCGGCCGCAGAGCGCACCTCCTCAATCGCGCCTCGACTTCGGTCCTTCTCGACAATTCCACGCCTCATCTCCCAATGCCACCCGACTTCGCCGCGACATGTTCGCTTGGCTCAAAGGGCCGGGCAAAGCATTTCGAAAGCCCCTCCCTGGCAGCAGCAACTACCTCTCCGCCTACGACAGACAGGGTAACTTGATACGAAAAGGACGAGAAGAGAGGGATGACCGGGGGAGATTCGCCGACCTGGGAGAAGACGAGGTTGTCCTTCAAGCTCGCGATCGACAAGCGAAGCTGTCGGAAGAGGAGATACAGATTCGAGCGAGCGAAAGAGAGACGAGACGCGCTGAGCTCAAGGAGACGGAAGATCGGGATGGTCTTCCTAAGGAAGGGGCGCGCGATCTGAAGCCCTACCCATTGAATGCACAGTTCAAGAGCCAGCCGGTGCTGTCGGAAGACCTGAGAAGGGCGATTAATGAGCTGGTCACGGAGAATGGCATCGACTTGAAGGCAGTGAGTGCTGCATTCGGGATCGATGTGAGAAGAGTCGCCGCGGTCGTGCGACTCATGGAGGTGGAGAAAGCATGGGAGCAAGAGGTGAGTGTGTGTCTTTTCTTTCTCAACCACAACGTGTACTGTGATGATTTCCAAAAATTCGATTAGTCTTGAAGACTTCCACATGGTTAGCAAGACGGCTCTTTGAGCACCTCTGATCGCACACGCATTGCATCAACAACAAGGAAATTGGTCTGGCAACATGAACGCTGACACAGTCATCAGGGCAAGCCTTTGGCCAAAGCATACAACGACGCCGTCCTCGCCATGCTGCCAACCACCCCCTACCGCCCAAGCAATCCGCCCGCACACGAACCCATCAATGATCTTCCAGTCCACCCATGGACTCGCCAACAAATCTTCCTCCCAACCAGCGAGTCCCGCGTTTTCACCCGCGCCGACGCAGCAAAGACCTTCCACCCCTCCCTCCTCCCCGCCGACGAGCGCATCGCCCACCCAGAACTCGTGCAAATCGCCAAGTGGGAGCACGAAGGCTTCGACCGCGAAACGCGGCAGCGTCTGATGCGCGAGAAGGACTCCGAATCCGTCGCGCGGAAGGAGATGAAGGAGTACAAGCGGAAGCAGTGGGAGCGTCGGACGCAGGTCACTGTTCCGGGTCGCAGGTGGGATTTCAAGTTCCAGGATATCTCGGCGGAGAAGGTGAATAAGGATGGGAGAGGGCATGAGGCGGTGGGGATTAGGTATGGGATGCCGCATGAGGATCGAAAGAAGGGGCAGTTCAAGATCCCGACGAAGGTGGAGTGAGTGGTGGATGTATTATACCAGTGGACAGAGAGCCGAGAGAGGTATGTAAGCTCTGCCTCCATAATGTCGCTCTTTCCCGAACATCGCTCCTTCCAGATTCCATCTCGGGACGTCCCGGTGCTGCATGTGCCTGCCAATCGTCAATTTTGACGCGCACATTCATTCTCGACTTTCACTCGTACACCACCACACTCGTGCAAGATTCATTTTCTTGTCATGACAGCCATGGCAAGCACCGGCAACACCGCAGCAGCCAACTCCCAACAAACAAAGCCCAATGATAACCTTTACACTGCGACTCAGGAGTATGTCCTTCCGCCGCTTCCTCTGGCCGTCACGTTTTCGCGTATGTCCACTAACTTTTCCACAGCTTGCTTACTTTTCCTCGCTACTCGGATCTCACCATCACCTGTGGCAATCGGAAATGGCGAGTACACAAGAGCGTGGTGTGCCAACGATCGCCCTTCTTCGCGAAAGCTTGTGAAGGAGGATTCAAGGTCGGTGTCGCGAAAGCCAGCCGGGTGATTAGACCCTGACATCCAGCAGGAGGGCAGTTCGGGAGTTATCAATCTGGCAGAGGACGATCCGATCGTCGTCAACGAGCTGATACGCCACATGTATGCCTTCAAAATCGATGATCAAGCTGCACTGCCCTGGCTCGGCTCCCTGGTGTTCATGGTGCACGTCGTTATCATCGCCGACAAATACGACGTTCCCCGAGTCGCCAAACTGGCGGAGACTAGATTCAGCGAGCGAGCCAATACGGATTGGGCAACTGACGACTTTGCCACTGCCATTGAGCTTATCTACGGCTCCACTGCTCTGCTCAAAAGTGAACTGCCCCGGTGCGTCGTCCGCGTCGCGCTAGCTCATGACCACGTCGTGTTCGCAGAGGGCAAACGGAATGCCATTCGTGCTGTGGCAGATCGAGTACCGGAATTCGCCACGGCGCTCGCTTCAGGCATGCACCACAAGATCGCCCTGACAGCGCAAGCAGTGCAAGGGCTCAAGTCTTACCAGTGCAAGCACTGCCACAATGTCGCGTTTGAGAAGAACATGCCTGCCAACCTCAATATCTATTGCAGGTCGTGCAATACCTTTTACCCGGAGTCAGGATTCATCGTCTCCACTGTCCTCAACTGAGATGATAATGTGGCTTTGGCAGTACGAAAAACGCGTGGAGATTGAAATTACGGCGAGGGCAAGGACTACTACCGGGCTGACGTCAAGAAACCATACACGGTGGGATAGCGAATGTACTTGGTCTCGGGAGTGCGATGCGAATTAGCTAGGCTAAGATGTATCCAACACGCAATGAAAAGTCGTCAGCATCAGACACAAGCGTCACCTATCTCACCAGAACAGAACGTCGGACAACCCCCTGGGCGTTATTGCGGCTCAGGAATAAGCTCATAGTCATCCTCCTTTGGAAGAAGCACCGCAGCGCCGACCACCGCAAGCGCATCAACAAGCAGTACAATCCAGCTGACGGTGCATAAAATCCAAGACTTGTCCAGTTCCCAGCCCACGAAGAATCGATTGTCGTGTTCGTACAAGTAGGCCTGCGCTGAGATCAGCATCCATGGCGACTTCCACGCTCCACTACGTTGACTTACCACCAGCGCCATAGCAATCAGCTGCGCCGCAGATATAGAGCCCAACAGCCCCGCCAGCACCTTCCACCCACTCTCCCTCTTCCCCCTTCCGCCCAGCAAGATAACAGCATAAGCAACGACCACCGCCAACTCCACCATCACACTGAAGTTGAGTAGAAAGCCCGTACTCCTCCACATGTTACAAAAGTACGCATCTTTTCCCTGGCAATCATCGTCTTTCGGAAAAGGCCTGCACTCGCCGGTGATGGACGAGCAGCGCTGGTGTAGACCGTAAGTGACTCGGATGGTGTCGTTGGTGGTGGGCGAGGTGTAGGACACCCAGTTTGGGAGGAGGATGGAGGCGATGGTGCAGGCTGTTGCGCCGAGGAAGACCCAGAGGGAGATTCCGTAGACTATGCGGCGAGTCATCTTGGAGGGTGGGTGTTAAGCATGAGAGAGGGAAGAGTATTTCTGTTGCCTCGTGGAGTGAAGTCATATCAGAGCGTGACTGGATATCGGCACGCGGTCTGACATCTACGCACAGCGATGGCATCGCTCCTACGTTGCAGGTTCGCTACACTCTTTCCCTCACCTTCGTGCTTGATCTGTGCGACAACAGGTGCTCGCTGTAAAGTTGCTTGCATCAAATGACCATATACGCTCCAGCAGCGACTCGATTTCATAGCATGCTGCCAAAGGGACAGCCCTCCGCAACCGGCCGACATACCCCGCGCTCACTCATACGTAGTCAGCCGGCCTGCCGATCCTCAGTTGTTCAGTTGTAGGTCTCCTACGACTTTCTTCCTTTAATAACCCGCTCCTCCTTGAATCCATCCTATCTTTGATTCCGTTCTCTTTTCACCACCTGACCTGTCGACGGTCTACCGTTGTACAACGCCGTCCTCCCCGCGCCTAGGAATACAAGTCCTACGCGACTTCGCACCAACCCATCATGGGATCCATCGGCGAGGCTTACTCTGTGCAAAGAGAAGCTCAGAAGGTGTTTGAGCAAGGCGTCCTGCAGAACCCACTCATTCCCAAACTCCCGGCAGAGATCAAAGATGCAGCCAAAGCCGTGCACTTCACCGGCAGCCCGGCGCCCATCGTCCCCATCAACTGGCGTTTCGCCGAAAGTGCATCAGTATTGAAGGCTTTCGAAGCTTCTCTCCTTAATGTCTTGCGGTTGAGGAAGTACGGTGCCATGTTCTCCGACGTCACCATCAATACCAACCATGCCTCCCTCTTCACCATGAGTCTGCAGCTGGCCAAGGTGGTTGAAGCGAATGGAGAACTGACCGGAATCCCTCTTACCAATCCAAAGGCCCTGCAGGCGTGTGGATTCAAGAACCAGGATTTGCATGATGTGAACGGTGCGATACAACGACACTTGGCCACAAACATCTACAAGACCAGGGATGGCAAATTCTATCACGTGCATGGTATGTATGCCCACCGCCATCAGCGTGCTATGAGACTAACACCTTCTCAGGAAGCATGAACCCGGACCCGACTCTCCAAGCGCTAGGACTATCTCTCTACGGCGAGAAAGGCGACACCAGAGACACAGTGGTCGATCGCATCCAGAAAGTCGTTGAGCAACACGACTCTGCCGAACTCGACCGGCTGATCAACGACCAGTACAAACAAGCCGGCACGATTGCATACACCGTCGAAGAGTTCCGCAACTCGGAGCATGGCAAAGCAAACGCGCACGTCGGGCTGTACGAGCTTTCCCGGCACGAAGGCTCCCAACAGCCGGCCTCCTGGTGGCCTGAACAGCCGTCCATGCCGTCTTCTGCATCTCGTCCGCTCGCCGGCCTCAAAGTCGTCGATTTGACCCGCGTCATCGCCGCCCCGACCATCACCCGCAGTTTGGCAGAAATGGGAGCCAGCGTGATGCGGGTGACTTCCCCGAATGTCACGGATCACTGGGGGCTGCACGCCGATCTGAATTGGGGCAAATGGAATTGCTATCTCGACCTCAAGAAGAATCCGGAAGATCGAGCTAAGCTGGCGGAGCTGATTAAAGAAGCGGACGTTGTCGTCGAAGGTTACCGGCCCGAAGCGATGGCGCGGAACGGATTTGGGAGGGATGACATCTTCGAGTTGGTCAAGGGGCGGGATAGAGGAATTATCCATGTCAGGGAGAATTGCTACGGTTGGTATGGGCCGTGGGCTGGGAGGAGCGGCTGGCAACAGATCAGTGACGCCGTAAGTTGGGTCGAGACGATACTGCTGATCGACCGGACCGCTGACTCTTGCCTGTAGTGCACCGGCGTTTCTCTTTCGTACGGAAAAGCCATCGGGAGTAACGACGCTGTCACTCCCGGCTTCCCCAACTCAGACTACTCGTAAGCGTGCCCGATCCTTCTTCGCGTATCACTCTAACACCCTGCAGCACTGGCATCTCAGGCTCCATAGCCACCCTACATGCCCTCATCCGTCGCGGCGAGGAGGGCGGATCGTTCAGCGTTGACGTAAGTCTCGTCACACGCTCGATCCAAACGCAACGCCAGCTAACACGTGCACAGTGCGCCCTAAACTACTACAAACAATGGCTCATCAACTCCGTCGGCACCTACCCTCCCGAAGTATGGTCCGAACTGTGGAAACGACACGGCTCGCCCACATATCGCCATTACCAGGACATATCCCAAGTCATGCCCGACACGATGGCGCGGTTGAGAAAGGAAGACGGCGAGGAGATCTTTGATCCTACTTTCTTTGAGCGGCGGCAGTCGAAGGCTATGGGGCGAGAGTTTGTGCATGTGAAGCCGATTGTGCAGTTCAAGGACGATGTGAGGCTCGGCTTTCATGTTGGGTGTCGGTCGAATGGGCTGGATCAGCCGAGATGGCCTGAAGATTTGGGGGTGGAGGTTGTTGAGTAGCACTGTTAATGCAATCATTTACGTCGTCCGTGGCATCTTCTTGTAACACCTTTATTCGGGAGGATGACGGGAGGTCGATGACCGGCGGCGCCCAAAGTTGCAGCCGCGCGAACGAGGCGCGCTAAATCAATTCCAGGCCGAGGCGAACCTCGAAGTAGCTTACACTTTTGGCATCTCTGCAGCCTCGCATCCTTTCCAAGTGCTGGTGAAAATCGATGCACATCGAATCATGCCTCGTATAGCGACTTGAGTGGGCCAAGGATTATCATCTCATCACGTCGGCCTTCTCCCCGCCCGAACTTGATGGATTCCCGCAAATGCTTCAGGATTGAGGGACATTGCAGGCGGCGATGCCTTCAGACACAAGACCTGTACGCTTCTTATCATCACGCCTCGACGAAGCTCGCTCTAATGCTGACGACTCTTGTAGACGCCGCATCGTTTTCTGCATGGCCAGCGCAAAGCGCAGCCTCCAAGCAACGAGCAGGCTTCCACGCCCAGACCACAGGATTCACGCTCCATCGGAAACGATGAAGATGCTCCTCCTCGCAGTCAATTCGCACCGCCGCCGCGCTTTGCTCCTGGCCGGTTGAGGTCCACTGCCCCAGATCCAGCATTAGTATCGCCACCCAAATCAACCTTTGTGAAAGCGCTGAAAGCGAGCGCCCGCCCAACCGAGGATGTTCAAGATGTTCCAGATGGGAATGATGAGGATGACGAGATGCTAGATGGCGGAGATGTAGCACAGCACGCGAAAGGGCAAGATGATGCGCAGTGGAGTATCGAGACGGTGCTCTCGCCCAAGCGACGTCGAGTGGATTACGAAGAGGAAGCAACATCAACCGCATGGCCTCGATTCAAGCAGGCAGGGGCTCTGACATCGGCCATCTCAGAGCTACAATCCACACCAGCATCAACACTGGCAGAGGCGACTACTGCTCATCGACCCGCGTTCGTCCGACCGGCCACGCAAGCGCCAGAGTCCCTCGAACCCGTGGCGGAACTCTTCTCACCTCACAGACGAGGGCAGAAGTTTGTTCCTGGAGGCATGGCGGCAATGGTACAGCAGTGGGTGCTTGAGACGGGTCAAGCGGCCGCGCAAAGTCGCAAAGTACAAGGCCACTCGACAGCGGAGGACTACGTGATGCGGGGACAAATTGAGGGGAGAGTGGAAGGAGATGGGCCATTCACTGCGTTTGCCACGCTGGCGAATGGAGATGGTAGGAGTTTGTTGCTGGTAGGGGGTGATGGGGCAGGCAGGAGTGAGGTGCGAGATGGAGTATTTGTGGGCATTCGGGCACCCGTGTGGGATTTGGAGCTTGATGGGAAAGGATGGATGGTGGCCGTGGACTGGCGAGTGTTGCGCGAGAGTTGACGAGTGTCGATCAGGTCAACACAACACGAAGAAAGTGCAGCATTCCATCACTGCCAAGATGTTGCCAACAAAGATGCCGCGTAGTTGAATGATGACGTCCATCGGATCTCGCCATTGAGGGTAGGAGGAATATTGTTGCCTTGGAGAGGGAGGCATTGGCAAGCGATGTTTACTTTCTGGGCGGACGGCTGTGCGGCTGGTGGGGCCCGTCGCTCTTTCCCATCCCAGCCCAGCCCCACGTATTTAGAGTTTCAAGCCACCCGACTTTATTATGTGGCGTGCATCAAAAACACCGCCAGCTCCACAGCCTGTTCTGGTATGTACATTCCACCACGCATGCACCTCTTTGTACCTCCGACGTCGAGATTCGCCGGGAATCCCCATTGACGAAAGAGATGTGTGCACAATAGCGGGTCAAGCAACATCAGCGCAGCCAGTTCCAGCAACGGCTCGACGTCATTGCGAGGCACTGCTCGTCCCGCACCTCGCGGCAGCCTCTTCGCAAGCCTTGCGAACCATCACCATCTTGCCACGTCCTTCATCAACATCCAACTCCCTCCCTCACCCCAACACGGACTTGCAAGTCAACATGGCCACCAAACTCGCCAACCCCAGCGGCCCCATGCTGAACCCACACACCTCCGGCCTCTACGCTGACATGACATTGGACGGGCCCGAGGTTGGCACACTCGTGGTCATTGTGGATCGAGCAAAAAACCTGCCCAACAAGAAGGCGATGGGGAAGCAGAATCCATACTGCGCTGCAAGACTGGGCAAGGAGGCCAAGAAGACCGACACAGATCTCAGAGGCGGTCAGACGCCGCGATGGTGAGTACTTGTGCCCATTCTCTTCACAACAATCACACTAACACCACGTGTCTCATAGGGACCAAGAACTTCGCTTCATCGTACACGACTCCCCCGATTACCAAAAGATGAAGATCTCCGTCTTCAGCGAGGACAAGAAGACCGACCTCATCGGCGAGGCGTGGGTGGACTTGTCGGCAGTCATTGTTCCGGGAGGCGGCAAGAACGATCTCTGGCAGGCACTTCAATTCAAGGGCAAATACGCTGGCGAGATTAGGATCGAGCTCACCTACTACGACGAGCGACCGCGACCAACTGAGACGGCGAATGCACAAGAGTCAGCACAAGCATTAGGCAACGATGCCCCGAGAGTCAAGCGAAGACCGTTGCCGAACAACCCCGCCGCACGACATGTCACTCCCGATACCATTCCGGAGAAGGCGCTGCCTGGGCGAGCTAAGCACGGCCCCAGGGAAATCAGAGCGCCTCCGAGGGCCAACTCCATGCCGCCCGATCTCGACTACCCACACCCCCAGCAGTGGTCCACAGCTCCTATCGAACCTGCATACTCCTACTCAACACCTCCAACCCAAGCTTACGCCCCGCCAGAGCAGTATGCAGAGCCTGAAAGATATGCGGATGGGCCATACGGCCAATATCGACAGCCCGACTTCCTGCCTCAGCTGCCGCCTACGAGTCGACGCAGCCTACCAATGCGTCCGCCCCCGGATGCTAGTGCACCTGTCGCTCCACCCCAGCCTCAACATCAAAGCCATCTTGCCTTACAACACTCCCACTCGGCGCCAGTCGTCCCGATGTTGCATGAAGAACCTTCACAGTTCGAGCACGGCTATCAGCTGCGAACGGATTACCAGGACCCGATCCCGGATGTCGATTATCAGTACCAGCAGTTGCAAGAGCGACCTCGTACCAGTGGCCCCGCCCCTGGATGGCACGGACAATACCCACAGCACCTTCCAGAGCTGGCAGATCATTCAACAGCGAGGCCACCTCCACCACCAGCGCATAGCAACAGCTCTCCCATTGCGCCGCGAAGCAACTTTGTGCATCAGTCGTCTCCAATCGCCCCGCACGTTCACACTCCGCGACATACTCGCAACAATCTGAGCCTCCAATCGTCTCCACATCAGACTATCGAACGGAACTACGTCACTCCTCCTCGACCCCCCATGCAGAGCTCACCGCACGCACCTCCATCCGCCGGATACACTCCTTCACCCCAGCCCCGCGGTTACGACAACCCTTCCGCTGGCCATTCTCCTGGCCAAACGCCGTCCCCTTTTGCGAGGCAGCACCAAGCAGCACGAATACCGATGACCCGGCACAGCATCAGCGATCCGTACGCTACGACCGCGCCGTCCCGCCCGCATCCACTCTCCCAAGAACTGCCAATCTCGCCTTATCCGCAGCCGGGCGACCGCCAGGAATACTTTGCGCCATCATCGCAAGCCATCGAAGCCCCCTCAGGCTACCAGACAGAATACCGAAATCGCGAAGGACTGCCTCTGATCAAGCCTCGGCCGGTATCTCCATCAGTTCCTCAACCACAATCTCTACCAGCATCTGCCTCGCGGTCACGAAGTGCCTACGACATCCAGTTTCCTATTCGCGCATTCGAGTCGTCGAACAACAGCCCATTGTCGACATCGACACTCCCGCGCCTCGACCTTGCATCGGCGCAGACGCCGAATCGCCCTAGTGAAGTGCGAAAGTCTCTGTCGCCGGAACACCAAACTCCACAAAGCGCGGGAGCAGTGCCGTACTCGCCCGACAGCTTCAATGTGCACAACCCCAACGCGCTAGCATCCAGTGCGGCAATGACGCCCAACGGTACCTCGCCACTCACCCCATATCAGATTCGACCTGGTACTGAGGCCCTGCCCCGGACACCAACCGACGGACCAATCCTCGGTTGGGACGGGAAGGAGATCGATCCGTCTGATCACCTTCCTGTGGACTCGTGGGCTCCGGAGCCGGAGAAGAAGACGCCAGTCCGGACCTATGGTGCTGGTCGTGAGCGTGATTTCGGACCTCGCAGCAGCCCCATCAGCAATCCCAACAGCGGCAGCAAAAGCTTGTCCAAAGACACGGTAGTCAGTGTACGCATGGGCACGCAGGTGTTGACTGCAGAGGAGACACCCACGACACCCCCGCAATCGTCACCCACATCTCTCCGCAACCGGCTTCAGAAGAAGATCAACCCTTCGTCGATTCTGAAGAGCAGTCCACCGGCGCAGCCGTTGCAGGAACGGCACAACTTCAACTCCGTCAGCGTGCCGAATCCCTACGATCAGCAACAACAGGAGTACAGCAGCAGCAGTTTCTCCGACCGGCCCGGGTCCAGTGGAGCTGGGAGACAGCAGGGGTATTACGGCAGCTACGCGGCCATGTCGCAGGATGCGCTCTCGCGCGAGATCTCCAACATCGATCTCGGCAGCGGCGGGAGGCATGCGCGCAGCGGCAGTGTACCTGCCCCAACGGCTTTCGTTCCTGTGCGGAGCCACAAGGACCGCAAGACGTTTTATTAGATTTTTCTTTACTTGCTAGACCTGTGGGATCAAACAGGAATGGTAATTGCCTTGGGTTAAAAGGGCAACATGGATAGACGATAGACCCATGAGATAATGAATGTTCTCTTTCGGCTCAGACACTGATCTTCTCATTGATGATTACCGTATGCAAATCTCCTCTGCTTCGTCCGAATCTTGCCGCCTATCGCTCGCGAGTGTTGCCCTGCACATCATCACTCCCAGGATTGACCTCCGCCTCAATGGCAGCCTTGTCCTCCGGCCCACCAGGCCCATCGAAGTCGCGCGCCTTGTAAGTTCTACGCAGTCACAACAGTCAGCATCACCATGTCTTTCGATCACTTTGCTGGACGGGAAGACTCACTGTCCCGTAGCGGGATTCACGCCCCCGCCTTCACTCTCCGGGATATCCCTGTTGTCTCCCTGCCCCGAAGCAGCGGAGCCATACACGACTTCTGAACCGGGGAATTTCTGCTCGACCGAGTCGTCTACGCCGGATTCCTGCACATCATCAGCGCCCCTGCCCTTCATTCTGAGAGCAGCGTGCGGGGGAAAGAGGGGGGGAGCGAGGGAATACGTACAAGCGTGCTATCACTCGCCCCGGAACTCTGTCCGCCCGCTGGGCCTGAGACTCCGCTGCCCTGTCCGCCTTGGCCGGTGGTGTTGCCTTTTCCGCTCTCGGCGCTGTGGCCTGTTTTGGCGGCGTTGGAGTTGAGGTCGCGCTCGGCCTGGGCGGGGTGAGTGTGTTAGTTGTTTCCTTGAATGGGGAGGGGAGGGGGGCACGTGAGGGGTACTCACTTGCTGCGCGATCTCGTTGAGGTCTTGGTTTTTGAAGTTCTCCGACATTGTTGATGATTTGTTGATGATTTGTTGAGAGATTGAACAAGAGAAGATGATTGATTGACAAGTGAGAGAGTGTGTGTGAGGGATGGATTGAGAAAATGATGCGGTGGGTTGGAGCTCATGAGGCTGACATCATCATGCGGTCAATCCAGCTTCCCCCGAGCTTTCGAGTGGCTGCGAATGCTAACGCTTATGCAGGTACGATTAGGTAAGATTGGGGGTTTTCCGCATTGTTCTATGCAGCATGAGGTGGAAGGGATGTGGTACACGCTCTACTACTGCCCAATGGGCTGGTGTGGAAATTGTTGAAGCAGAGAGCTGCTCTCTTGATGACGCTCCTTCCCCAGAGCCCCACCACGTGGAATGTGGAGAATGCACGTGATCGGATCGCAACACACACCTCACTTCCCCCGTCCTGCATCCATCCTCTATGACATTCTGCTTTGAATACGCGCACGCCCAATCAGCCGGCCGCAATTTGATTGCAACATCACGGAATCACTCATATCAGCCCAAAAGGGATATCCGGCTCGCCGGATTCCGCATACCCGCGACGATCGCCCGTCTTTTTCGCTAGCTTCAACTCTATACACTTCATCCAATCTTAGATTCCTCGGCGCACGTGTCGGCCACCCACCCACTCTTCATTCTTCCGTGCTTGCGTGTCCTTCAGGCATCTACTTCCCTCCGCCGCACACCCACCTGGATTGACACACACCTCGCCGCCCTGGTCTGACGCGCCCGCATCGTTGTGAGGAAATCCCCCGCCGACACCACTAGCCTCGCGCAACGCCACACACAACCTCACGCCACAGCGCAAAGCATCTTCCACCATGGCAGCCAGCGCAACAGTCCCCTTCACAATCACCTACACGGCCTCAGCAGGCGGACTGACGACCGCCACCGTGCTGGGCCAAGTGCTCAACAACGGGCAAACAAACTGGATTCCCGCGAGCAACGGCGACGCAATCTACCTCAACACCGCTTCCGCGGGCGGCGAATCGGCGACCGTGTTCGGCGGCAACACTTACTACTTGTCCACTGGCGCGCCTGTCCCTGACCAGGTGACTGGCATCACTGCTTCCGGGACGCCTGCTTCCTCCACTGGGTCTTCTGCCAGCGGTGGCAGTGGCGGGTCCTCGGCCTCCCCCGGTATGGTGTCGACTTCTTACCAGAGTATGTCTTCTGGATCTGCTATGACTAGCGCGTCGCCTACGGGCTCTTCTTCGTCGTCGTCACACCATTCTGGCGCGGTGAGGAGTGTGGAGTTTAGCCAGCTGGGCGTGAGGATGTTGTATGCTTTTGCTGCGATTGCGTTGATCGGAGCCGTGGCTCTGTGAGAGTTTTCTTCTCAGAGAGAGTGAGTGTTATTTGTATGGTTTCGAGGAGACGTGACGAGATAATCTTGTTCTACACATGTTGTTCTTCAATACTCCTAGATATTTACCTTGGACTTACCACATTTACTCATTGACCAACTCATCGAGGGACTGCCTCGATTCATGAACATGCTCGATTTCTAATGCCTACACCGAATTACACCATGCCCAGTCACTCGTCAAGCGCCCCAGGCCGTGTACCATAATCTAAACGACTGCCCCGAAAAGAAGCTCCATATGCATCCACTCAACTCCAGTTCCCCACAAGCATCGTATCACGTCGCCGACCACACACTCATCTACTTCTTCCTCCCTTTGCTCTTCGTCTTGCTCCCCCCACCCGAGCCTACAGTGTCCTCGCTCGCGGCGCGCGACACACCATTGGGAGTGCCCTTGACGCCGTTGATGGCTTTGTTCTGCATCAAAAGTCAGTCAAAAGGCTCAGCTAGTCACAGTGGATGGGACATACCTTGGCAGCACCCCCAGTACTCTTCCGCTTCTTCCCCGCCGGCTCATCCTCCTCACTCTCATCATCCTGTGCCCGCTTACTCCCTGCATTCTCCTTCCCAGCCGCCGGGCCCTCAAACTCGCGCGTAACAGTCGTGACAAGCGTCGCACAGCGTCGACTCAGCTCCGTCGGCGTGCGCGACAAGAAGAACCAATCGAAGCGGAACAGCGGGCTCTCGCGAATCTCGTCGCGAATCTTCTCGTACAGCCCCTCCGAGTCCAGCCCGTACTTGTCCAGCATGACGAGCAGGAAGCGATCCTCCTCCTCCGTGTACACCTTCTTGTTCGTCGTGCTGACGGTGTAGCTGAGCTTGAGCTGCTGGAGCGGCACGCGGTACATTTTGATCTTCTTGTGCAGCATGGCTCGCTGCGCGGCCACGCGCTTCGTCTTTTGCTCGCCATCTTCGATTTGCATAATGTACTTCTCCCAGGTGTAGAGCTCGCGATACCGCTTCCAGAAGACTTTGGCATACTCCTTCACCTCCTTTTCGTCTTTGCTGTCGACTTCCAGCGCAATGTCTGCATAATTGGTCCGTCCGGACTTGGCGCTGCCGTTGATGAACTGTTGGAAATCGCGCTTGTTCCAGTCGCCGAAGCCCTCTTGCTGGAGCGTGTTCTTCTCGGCTACCTCTTCTTCCGTCAGTGGCTCGGCTTCGTCAATCATCTTTTGCTCCAATGCCTGGTCTTCCAGTCTCGACTCCATCTCTTCCTCCGTTCCGTCGGGGAGCGGGGCCTTGATTCCATGCTCCTTGCGGAACCACGCCGTCTCCTTCTCCTGCAAATCTCCGAGCCGTGGTGAGAAGAACTGATACTCGTGCATGGCCATCTGCTTGGGCGCACGAGGCACCTTTGGCTTCGGATCCGGGCGCGGCCCACCCGTGGACAATGCAGTGCGGTAGTACTTGTCCATGGAATAGCTCTGCTCCTTCCTCTCACGCTTCGAAGGATTGATCCAGTTCAGCCCAATCTCCTTCTTGCGCGCATTCACAAAGCTCTCGCCGTTCCAGTCGTACGTGCCGGACTCGGAACTGAACTTTTGCAGGTCGTCGATGCCCAGCTTCTCATACTTGGCGTTCATCACTTTCGTCCGCTCTTCACCCTTGCGAAGGATATCCTCGAAAGCGACATCAGTCAACTCATCCTTCTCTCCAAGCGTGCCCATGCCCTCCTTCTGCTCGAAGATGGTCTCCGCGCCATGTTGGATCATACCAAGAAGCTCGTCCTTTGAAGCTGCTTGCTTGGCCTGCTGTTGAGCGCGGCCTTGTTGAATGACCAGCTGATCCAGACGTAGTTTCTGCGCAGCACGCTCCAGCACTTTCTCTTCGATTGCGTTCTCAGTGACAAATCGGAAGACGACAACCTGCTTCGTTTGGCCGATGCGGTGGGCACGATCCATGGCTTGCAGATCGGCCTGAGGGTTCCAGTCGGAGTCAAACAGAACGACAATGTCGGCGGACGTCAAATTGATTCCGAGACCACCAGCACGCGTGGTAAGCAAGAAGAGAAACTTCTCCGAGCCTTCCTTGTTGTATTCATCAATCGCGGCAATACGATCCTCATGTGCTGTCGAACCGTCGATACGGCAATACTGGAAGCCGCGCATGACGCTGTAGTCCTCGAGAATGTCAAGCACACGACTCATTTGAGAAAAGATGAGCACGCGGCTGCCTTGGTCTTGCATCCGGCGGAGCAACTTGTCCAGCATGACCATCTTCGCTGCGTTCTCGACAAGATGTTCGTCTGTGGTGTATGGTGGCCCCGGCTCAGCTCCATCGAATAGGTAGGGGTGATTGCAGCACTTGCGCAGCTGCATGACGATGTTGAGCAGTCGAGTCTTGCTCTCCTTGTTGCCCGCCGCTCCGTTGACAGCATCGATATCCTTCTCGAGAATGCTTTTGTACCATTTGATCTGCATTGCGCTCATGCCCACGTACAGATTGATCTCTTTCTTGGGAAGCAGGCTCTTTTCCACATCGCTCTTGACCCGACGCAGCAAGAAGGGGCGCAGGACTTTGTGCAGCTGCTGAACCACCTCGTCCTGGTTTGCATCTTGACTGCTGAACCATTGGTCGAAGGCTTCGGAGTCGCCAAAGACGTCGGGAAGGAGGAAGTTGAGCAACGCCCAGAGTTCATGGAGGTTGTTCTGGAGTGGCGTGCCGGTGATGAGGAGGCGATTGCGCGAGTTGAAGATGCGGATGATTTGGGCCAGAGCAGACTCCTCGTTCTTGATGCGATGCGCCTCGTCAATGATGATGTACTCCCATGCAAATTTCTTGAGATGTGACTTTTCTCTCAGAATCATCTCGTACGAGGTGATGCAGACGTCGAACTTCTCATCGACGAGCCGCTCATTGATTAGATCGTGGCGCTCATCCTTTGCACCTTGTAAGACGAGCACGTTGACCTCGGGGATCCACATCTTGAATTCTCGTGACCAGTTGTCGAGGGTGGATTTGGGGACCACGACGAGGTGTGGGCCAGTGATGCCTCTGACGAAGCGAAGATATCCGAGGAACGAGATGGTCTGCAGCGTCTTGCCGAGACCCATCTCATCGGCGAGAATGCCAGAAATACCGTTCTCGTGCAAGCTGATAAGCCAGTTCAAGCCGGCAACTTGATAGTCTCTCATCTCGCCATTCTGAATGTAGCTGGGGCTTTCACGGAAGATGGTGTGCTCCGCCTTGCCCTCCTGCTTCCCTTGACGCAGCAGCTCGGCGTCTTCCTCCTTCTCCGTTCGTCTTCGTCGGTCACCCGCAGCGCCGCCTTTTCGCTTGCTACCGGCAGCCTTGATCAGCTCTTCCTGATCCTGGCGGTCAATCTCTTCCATGATGCCACGAATCTTGGGGTCGGGATTGGTATCGATGAAATGGCGGAAGAGGTCGGTGAGGCCAAGCAGGTATCTGAAGCGGCGGACGGAATCATCCTCCTTGCTCTCGCCCAGTCGCTCGTGCTTCTTGCCAAACATGCTCTTTCGGAGAGCGTTGCCCTCCCATCTCTTCTTCCGTCCATCAGTAGCGCCAGCATGTTCGGGGGCGACGCTGCTAGCACGCGTCCCCGTGGCCTGGGATTCGGAGTCGGTGTAATCGGGGGTGTCGAGCATCTCGTAATGCTGGGGCATGGCGCCGTCGCCCACTCCTAATGCCTCCGTACCGTTCATAGCGGGCAGACCAGAGAGGGATGAGTGTGGGTGGAGTGCGGGAAGGACGCGCCCGTGTGGTCCTGGAGATGGACCTCAGACAATTTTTTTGGCCAGGCCCTCGAGGCGCGTCTTGAAGTGTTGATTCGAGAGTACACAGCCTTGTGCAATGAAGCCTTTGATGATGGCGATGGGGCGTGGTGATGAACGCGAAGGCAATATCGTGAAGAGGGTGCAGGCGATGAGGGAAAGGGAGAGGAGGGAATGGGTTGTGGGGGCGTCACGTTTGCACGAGATGTAAAGTCAAAGCACAAGGCAAGAGCGTTCCGTTCTTGGACGGCGCGGCGGACGTGCCGTGCAGCGCGACGGCCATTCCCGCCCCTCCTGCTTCGCGAAACATGCAACTCTGACCAATCAGCGCCGAGTACGTCTGGCAAGACGCACATACCTATGCTCTAAAGCAGAGGCGACATCGTGAGGCAGAGGACAAAGGATGACGAGACCATCCAATAGGCAAATCCTGATGAGAATGTAGTGTGATCGAAGACACGGACTGACGAGACTTCTTGGACATACCAGCTGACGTTTCACAGGTACCTAGTAATGACAAAGAACAGACTAAAAGGATCTCCATTCACGCGTACAAAAACATCTCCAACTCCTCGCTTAAGTAGAGATTGAACCAGGCCTTTCGTCCATAACATCTTACAGCTTCACCTCCCGATCTTGCTCCATCCCCGCCAGAACCGCCTCCAACCCTCCGTTTCGCAACCGCGCAAGCACAACAGACATTCCGAGCTGTGCCTTTGGCTGACTCTTCTCGGTTCTTTGCAGACTGATGGCTTCGATGGCTGATCTGATGGCCCCCGTAGACCAAGTGCTGAACCATCCCTGTTTCGCTGCGCCTTCTTCTGCCTCGCCTCCCGTCACAGATGCGGCGGATGCCTGCTCACCCCACCGCTGCCGCCTCTTGCGAATCTGCTCTCCTATGCGAGATTTGAGTCTCACGCTGACGGTAACATCCGTGCTTTCCTTGTCGCCACTCGCGGGAGGTCTTCGATAAGTCTGTCGCTCGATGACGCTCAGCACATTGTTCCAGTCGAGATTCCGGCTCTCCGTCTCCATCCATCCTTCTTTCACATCCACCACGCTCCTTTCAAGGATGAAGCTCTGCGTGCTGCCATCCGGGTTCGTCGTGCCTACTGCACTCTTTGGCAGAAGCTTGACCACGGCGGGTGGCAACCGGCTCCGCTTGAGGTGTAGTCGTACAGTCGTCAGGCGCTGCGTCTCCGGGTTGAAACTTCGTGAGATGGTGTCTGTGGAGGCGACATGGCGCGAGTAGGGATTGGGGTATCGTAGGAAGTATGCGAGTGTGACGGCGGAGAAGGGGTAGTCGTAGGAGTAGTCGGTGCTGTAGAATTTGACCATCTTCGCCGGCCGCCTGCGCTACCGCATTCGCATCGTCTGAGTTGTCGGAGGAGGGGTATCGCGGTAGGAAGGTGTGTGCGGATGGTTCGGGATGTTCGTGTGCGATGCAAGATGATGGTCGTGTGCGAAAGTTTCGAGCAGTCGCAAGTTCGCCGTCATCCTCTCGGGCAGTGTCCCGATTCGGCTTAGGCGGATAAGTCTCCTTTGTCAGCCAGCCTTGCAGTCACGTGGTCGTGGCGCCGATTCGTGTTGCAGCCATTATTCTGTGGTCAATCAGGATACCACAGGTCAACGGTGCTGTAGGCATGGTACAAGTTCACGATTCCAGTGAAGACAAGTACTTGGGTGCGCTGAATCTATCCGCAACAGCGAGGTGCATTTGGCTGTTCGCGAATCCTCCAATTGGTTGGCGGCCCGTAGCGTGAGCACCATCGAGCGAGCTTCCTTACAGCAAAGTTCGGAGCTTTCCTGAATTTCAATTGTCACCGACACACCATAGTACCCGTCCCAACAAGGTTTCCCGCCGAAACACATTGCAGGCTCTCAGCAACTTCCACACGATGGCGAGCCAGGAAGCAGTCGGCGCACCGCCGGAGGTGAAGGCCGAAGCCGAAGCAAAGAAGCCCACGAAGCAGCAAATCGATCCCTACAACGTTGCCGGCGAGGTCGATGAAAGCGGCAATGTCCAAGCAATTGACTACGACCGCCTGATACAAGAGTTTGGAGTCCAGCCGCTCACCGACGAGCATCTCCAACGCTTCGAGAAAGTCACGGGCAAGCCGGCACACCGATTGATGAGACGGAAACTCTTCTTCAGTCACCGAGACTTTGACAAGATCTTGGATGCGTATGAGAAGGATGGAAAATTCATGTTGTATACCGGCAGGGGGCCAAGCAGTGGGAGCATGCACTTGGGCCACACTGTTCCCTTCCTCTTCACCAAGGAACTACAGGAGCTCTTCGATGTCCCACTGGTGATCATGTTGACGGATGATGAGAAGTACCTCTACACACGGAATAAGAATGATGGACACCAAAAGCCTGGCAATGCAGTGGAGGATTTCCTTACCTTCGCCCACGAGAACATCAAAGACATAATAGCATTGGGCTTCGACCTGAAAAAGACCTTCATCTACAGCGACTACGAATTCCTCGGCGGCCACTTCTACCTCAATACATCAGAGTTCGCGAGCATGGTCACTTTCAATCAGGCTTCCGGGGCCTTTGGATTTGGAGGCAGCACAAACATCGGCCTGATCAACTACGGCGCCGAGCAGTGCGTCGCCGCATTCCCCTCCTCATATCCAGATCTGTTCGGATACAAAGACTATCGAGCACCGGACTACGACCTCAGTGCCAAGCGACGACACAAAGCACTTGCATCAATCCCGACACTCATTCCCTGTGCCATCGACCAAGAACCCTACTTCCGCATTCTTCGAGACCGATGTGAACGCATGACCGATCCTCATCCGAAGACCTCTCTCATCATGTCCAAATTCCTCACTGCGCTGCAAGGAGCTGGAGGAAAGATGAGCGCATCCGATCCCAACTCCGCCATTTTCATGTCCGACACCCCTAATCAGATCAAGAACAAGATTAATCGGCACGCCTTCTCTGGGGGGCGGGAAAGCCTGGAAGAGCATCGCAAACACGGCGGTAACCCTGACATCGATGTTGCCTTTACCTACCTCAGCTACTTCCTCGAGTCTGATGCGGAGCTCGAAGACTTGGCCCAGAAGTACCGTTCGGGGGAAATGCTTACGGGCGAGATGAAAGCGAGATGTATTACCGAACTGCAGAAGTTCGTGGCAGACTTCCAAGAGCGACGGGCAAAAGTCACGCACGAGGTCATGCGACAGTACATGACGCCGAGGAAGTTGGAATTCGCGGGTAATCCCAATGCTACCAGACCCAGTGCAAAGGAAGAGGCAGTGAACGGAAGTGAAAACGGTACTGCCCCAGCGGCAGAGGCATCCGCGGCGAGCAAGGATGGCAGGGGAACGAAAGGGGAGCGTAAAGCGGCGAAATTGGCAGCGAAGAAGGATCAGAAGCTTGCTTCACGGCCGAAGGCAGATGATGCGGCAGAGCCTGCGCCTCAGTGATGTTGGTACCCTTCAGCTAAAGGTTGTCCAAGGGACGTGCCTCGTTGGCAGCTGCTTTGCCTCTCGGCGTAGCGGTGAAGCAGCCGTGCCGCGACTTGTTGGTGGCGTTTGACCCGCAGCACGGAGCGGCATCTCAAGGAGCAATATTCCCCTTAACGAAAGAGGCAGTGACCTTGCCGTGGCAGAAGGGGGGGTGGAACAAGGTGGTGGTCAGCAGATGTATGAGTACGGAGCAGCGTTCTCGCCGCGGTTCAGCCGCTTTGGAGGAGGCCCATGCATCACCGCTATTGCACGTTGGTGTAGCTGGGCAAGAGCTCCGCAGCGGCACGGAACAAAGAATCCGAAGGGATTGGCCAAAGCTGCAACCAACATACCAAGCATAGCCGCAACCAACCATCGCCTTGCCTCGTTCTGCCCAACCCCGGCGCCAATTGCATGCTTTCTCTGTTCTTAGCGCCCGCCTCGGAGCAAATACCGCTCATCTACCGTACCGCCATTGACAAGAGCAAAATAGCAGTCATGTCTCACAGCATTGACATCTACGCCATCTTCAAATGCAGGTGTGCGGGAGGCCCCTCTCCTGTTGGTCGCAGATACGTACCACCAGGCTGTAGCGCGCGTCTACGATGATACGGCCGTTCAGGTGGCGTGTCGAGGATGGAAGCCGGCGGGATGACCATTCTTCGGCTATTCCGTGGCCACGGGAAGATCGTAGCCCGTACGAAGCTCCATTTCCATTCTCACGACATCTCGGTTGAAAATGTTTTTGGTGATGAGTAGATAGTCTCATAGCGTACCTTCCCCAAGCCCAGGATCTTCAGAACCCATTCCCCTTCTGGCAGCTTTCGCGATGAACTGCCTCCGATTGGTCGATTCCCTACGCCAGCCCTAAGGCTTCGCCCCCGAACATGAACCTCAGCCTTTGTAGCAAGATATAAGAAGCCCAATGCGATCAATTTGAGAACATCTCGTCTACACTTCCTACCCCATCGTACCTCTATCCTAATATCATCATCGCACTCTATGGCCTCGCTTTTTCCGTCATCCGACTTCGGTCGTAACGAGTCCACCGGTCAACATCAACTCGTCCAGACGCGATATCCGAACGATGAGATGTCAACTATCCCGCCTCCCCCGTACATCGACGAATCCCGACATCACAATATGTCCCACTTACATCCGGGCTACGCTACGCACGCTCCAGCACCAGAGGATGAATCCGACGCCCAAGACTCTGAGATCCTGTCCCTAAGCTTGCGTTGGCTTCCGTCGTCGCCACCCCCAGCCTACAGCCCATCACCACCGCGCTTGCCACGGATTGTGGCAATTCCGCAAGTCGCGCCAAACACCTATCGATCCGGCCCGATGCCGTACCTCCGTGCCTACGCCCCAGAGCTGGCGCATCATCAAGTTGATGTCCACGCCTTCGTCGGCTTCATCGACGGCTTAGCCATCGCGCAGAGCCCCAATCCCCCGATCAAAGCGGTCCAGGCGGCGGGACAGGTGATGGGCATGGTGCCGCACCACTGGGCACAACTAGCCAGCGCGGCAGTCGGGCTTGCGTCAGGCGCAGGCAGCGCGGCGGTAAGCGTGCTCCGAACGAAGAAGTATCTGCAAGAGGCCAATGCGAGGTTCTTCGCGCCACGCCAGCTGCGAGCAGACGTCATTTCGGACGAACAGCTTGCGGAGTTGTTGCGCCTTCCTCATGGGAGGGGCGCTTTGGCGCCGTTGGATCGTGAGGCAGGGTGTGTTACCGTGTCGGATCGAAGGATCGCAGCATTGGCTGCGTATACAGCCGAATTGACAACCGATGTCCCGCACCCTGCTGTACCGGATAATGTCCTTGACAAGATCAGCGCCAGAAGCGTACAGGCCACCTTGCGCAAGTCGAGATCCGACGCCGACAAGAAGGCCGAAAAGAAGGCCGAAAAGGCCGAAAAGGAAGCGGCCAAGTCGGCGAAGAAGAAAACGAAGGGAAAAGAAAAGCCGAGATCGAAGTCAAGGTCACGTTCGCGATCGAGAGATAAAGGCGAGGCGTCGGATTTGGAGAAGGCGGAGAAGTTGAAGTGGGTAATCGTGGATGACTTGTGAGATATGTCTTCATTGGCGCGGAAAGGGCAACAAGGTTTGGCTGGCCACCGACCATGTGTTTCCGGTCAATATAATTTGTTTCAGCATTCGTTCGACCCAGTGTTGTTGTTGGGAATGTGACTCTCGATGGAACACAGTCCACGCCATTCGCAGAGGGTAGAGGAGGGTGAATTGCGTGCTCATCTGACCTGCAGCCTGTGGGATGTAGTTTTTGACAATCTTGCAGATATCCATGGCCGCGGTATATGCGAGGCTTTTGTGCTTAAAGTCGCCGTCGTCTCCAGTGTGTAGCCAGGTCAAGCTCACTGCCAGAATCATGGTCGCATTGTAGATGCAGGCGCAATTCGCCACAAGCGTTGTCGAAAAAGTGAGGACAGATGGGATAATGTTTCGATCGTCAGGGTCTTCATTCGGCACCTCGCATGCGTGGCCGCAGTTTTGTGCATCCCACTCCTCCCGCCACTGGGGAAGGAGATCGATAATTAGCTGAATTTCATCGCGCGTTGTCGCGCCCGGTCGGTCGTGAGATATGCGAGACTTTAGGGTGGTCAAATCCGCAAACGAATCCAGCAAGCATTGCATACTATCCTTGGACGAAGGATTGGCCTGCCATGGAATCCGCTTCCAAGCAGCTTGTGAGAGAAACGTGGGTGAAGACGACGCCAGACATGCCAAGCAGACGATGAAACGATTTGTCTCAAACAGCTTCAGACTGAATGGATCGCAGAATGAATGCGGCCCACGTATCTCGATGATCTTAGCCAGCCCCAGCGCATGACGGATCCAGCCATCGTGGCTCGAAAGCATGAGCATCTCGTAGAGCTCGAGAATCATGACGGCCAAGAGGGTGTCATTGCTCGAGCGTGCGCTTAGGAGGCTGAGGGCATGCTGGAGCGATCGCACGGATTCGAGATAGGAACGGGTGCCCGACATGGACAGCTCGGGCAAGCCCCTGGTCTGGCCGACAAACGCTTGTGCCAGCGTAGACAGACACTTTCGTCCGAGGGGAAACTCATCACAGTCGGCGAGAAAGCCGGGCCATGTGTGAAATGGCGCGGGAGATTCGGATGAAACCAGACGGTCTCTCATGAATTCGACATGAATGACGTGGTACGCGGACGCGACGAGGCCATCATGAACGGCTCGAGGCATGAGCACTTGAGAAGGAATCGTCGACAGTGGCTCTCGCTTCGCTACCTGGGTGAGTTTGCTCTGCACAAATTGCACCGTGGTGTACTCGCAGCTGAAGCCATCTTGCTGGCATGACCGACACGTCGGTCTCGTCTCGTCTGCGGAAAGCTCAAGCGATCAGAAACCGGCGGGCTGTTCGCTAATGATGTCTCTTACCACACTTGATTTTGCGTCGACGACAACTGACGCAGCCATTGGACCGTCGCATAATCTTGCGTCGACATTGATGTTCGCAGACGAAACCCCTCCGAACCTGTCTTAGGTTCAGCTGAAAAGAGGTAGCCAAGAGGCTAACTCGCTGTCACTTGCCATCCGAACGAACAAGGTTTGAGCCGCGACCAAACGCCGCCTTGTGCTATTGTAATCAACAAGTCAGGCATCTTTGGCATATATATATAGAGACGAGACCTTTTCTTCTGCTTCTGCCACTTTCCACTTTCCACATTCAAGAATATGGTCCAGCATGTCGAACTTTGGTCTCATTCGCGAAGACACCTCTCGCGCCGTCTTGCGCGCCATTCCCATCCCCAAGCTCCGCGACGATTATATCCTAGTCAAACCCGTCATCGTCGCTCTCAATCCCACCGACTGGACAAGTCTGGACGCCGTGGGGAAAGACGGCGTGCTGAACGGGGTCGATTATGCGGGCATCGTGGAAGAGGTGGGCAGCAAGGTGACAAGGTTTCGGAAGGGCGATCGTGTAGCTGGCTGTTCGCACGGCTGTATGTGTGTCCATGCTCCAGTTCTCCAAGTGATCCAGAAAACTGAATTGCGCGCAGCAAACGAAGCAGATCCCGAGACGGGGTCTTTTGCGCAATGGATCATTGCCAAAGGCGATATCCAGATGCACATTCCGGAGAATATGACGTTTGAGCAAGCCGCTGCATCGTGTGGGAGCGGGAGTATATCGGCCGGGCTGGCGCTGTACAAATACCTCGACTTGCCATTGCCCGAGGCGGAAAGGGATCCCGACAAGACCATTCTCGTTTACGGTGGTAGCACGGCCACCGGGTCGGTCATGATACAATTTGCAAAGCTGTAAGTGCTTGTTCGTATTCGACGCCTGCAGTGGACACTGAAAACGGACAGGTCCGGGTGGACGGTGGTGGCCACTTGTTCTCCGAAACATTTCGACATGTTGCGAGAACGAGGTGTTGATGCCGTTTACGACTACGTAGGTTCAACCTCTCCGAGTTATACGGAAGTCCACTGACACTCCCAATGCAGAGAGACCCTACTGTCGGCGAGAAGATTCGCAAAGACACAGGCGGGAAGATTAACGTCGTCGTGGACGCAGTCGCCATCGATTCGAGCGCGGCGATCTGCGCGCAAGCCATCGGTCCCGGTGGTGGGGTATACCTCAGTCTGCTGGGTACCGAATGTTCCCGACCGGACGTGAAGTCGATTTTCTTCCTGGCGTATGGATGCTCTGGCGAAGCGTATATTTGCGAAGGCGAACACTTTCCTGCGGATCCTTCCATGTTCGATTTCATGGTTTCGTTCGCGCCAATCAGTGAGCGGCTCCTGAAAGAGGGCAAGTGGAAGACACATCCCACGCGCCTGAGACCAGGCGGGCTGATCGGTGTCCTGGATGGGATGCAAGAGATGCGCGAGGGCAGAGGGCCAAGCGGTGAGAAGTGGATCTACCGCGTCGACGATACGGTCTGGCCGAGCTGATGGTGGATTCGGCGGTTAGCTCAAGATGATATCAATCTTGAGATCAGCCATGACCTCTTGCCAAGATATGTGCGTGTCCGGGCCAGCTTCATCCTGCCGCCTCCACACCTCCATCGTTACTTGTTTGGCATTTGTGACATTTGCGATCCCTAGGCGCTCCCGGAAGATAAAGTACTGCATAGTCCGGCTACGCAGCTCTGGATTCTCCGCTGCACAGGCAGTAATGAAGGCTGGCCACATGATTCCCGAGACATCGAGACCAGTCTCAAGCTGCGTGATCTCTTCGATGTGTGCAATGGCGCAAGTGACAAAGTACTGCATGGCGCTAGATGTACGTCTCCGCAGCGCACTACCAAAGTAGATGTGGCATGCGTAGTGAAAAAGCATGGTGTGCGCATGAGCCATCCTTTCATACATTGTGGTAGGTGACTTCAAAACGACATGCCTCGGATCACTCCGGTATACTGCAAGTTCGAGCTCGTTGAGTGCATTGTCGTCGGCAATTTCCTCTGCAGAGACATATTGATTGATCCTTTCAATTATGACCATGGTTTCTTGAGTGACGCCATATATCTCGTCGACGTACCATTTCTGCGGAGACTTGACGGTTTCAGCAGTGGCCGAGATTTGCAAGCGGCGTTTAGGTAGCGGAAGACCGTTGGCGAGACGACGGTGGACAGGACGAAGGGATGCGACGATGGAGAAGAGTTGGTAGAGAGTTGCTGCACTTCGAGAGCATCGCCATTGATCAAGATCGACCGTATTGAGCCAAAGATCGGCCCCTCGCAGATGTACGCGCCAGTCAGAAGAGTCGCCAGTGAATGCAGGTATGACGACCAGGAGCATAATCGTGGCCAGGATGGCTTGCTGTTCTTCGAAATCGGTACTTGAAAGCGCTTGATTCAGGTAGTGTGTGCTAGAATTGAGGTATTGGAGGTGAATACGATGGAAGGCTGGGAAGTCTTCCTCGCGCAGAGTGGACTTGGACGCTGCTGCGAGTGCGTATAGCGCGGCAAGCAAGGCGAGATGAGCGGGAGAGTTGCTGTTGAAGGTCAAAGCGCTGAGGGCGCGCGGGGTGATGATATCCCGGAAAGCGTTGTCCGGACGGGGGAAAGCTGTCATCGCACCACTGAGGAAGCATGTCCAATGGTGCATGAGCAATTTCTCATGCTCAACCCGGACTGCCGAGGAATTCAAAGCAGGGAAGATGATGGTCGGGAGTGCTCGTGCCATTCCAGCAGCGAATCTTGCACTGTCGGATGCCACGGCGATGACGCTGCACGTTGTGCGCGGATCTTCCACAACCTCTGGTTGATGTTTGCCGAGACGAAAAACGGAGAATAGATCGACGGCGATGGCATTCTCGCCATCAGCAGATTCGATACATGACAGCGCCTGGTCAACTGCATCTTCGCTTAGAATAGGTCTCCGACTCAATGCAGGTTCGAGCATGTAACGGCGTCCGGTCCCGCTGTCCTCGCCGGGCCAAGTCAATCTGACGCCATATCCGCCGCATCGCATGCCGCTCCACTGGCAGCGTAGACATGCCGGTCGTTCCAGGCCACATTTCAAGGAGCGTTGACGGCAGGTACTGCAGCCAGTGAATGTCTTTGTCCTCTTCTTTGCCGCCTGATCCGGGGGCAGGGAGCGTTTCAAACGCCGCCCATTCGCCGGCCCTAGCGCCATGAGCGCATCTTGATCTACAGAGAGGTCGCGCGATGGACAAGCAGCGCAGAAAGTATGGGTGATGTAAGCAGTTCCTCTGCCAAGGAAGTCGACAGCGAGCGCGGCTGAACTCTAAGGGTCGAATAAAGAAGACATGGGATTCTGCGCAGTTGGGGACCTAGGCGCTTACAAATACTCCAATACTGTACAGCGCGCATCTTCTTCAGCCCTGGTACGTCGAAGAAAGTTGGCGCCGGAGTGAGGCGAAGACTGTTGCCTACATGTACCCATCGTATAGTACCGACTTCCCCCGTCTCCAATGCACCATGCAGATCTGCAACCAACAACCCCGTCCACCTGTGCCGTCCAAGCTCTACCTCTATTAGGCAAGGTTCGGGGGCGGCAATCTTGTGCCGCCCAACAACGTTACGCTATTCTCTGCGCCTTTCCGCTTTCACACCTCCTCAATCTCGAAAGGCAACAACCAACACGATATTCCCGCCCTCCTGCGCCAACGGTTGTGCCGCAGAGAAGTTTGCGGGAAATGGGACAGGGCGAACGCAGCAAACGCATGGCCTCCATCTGCGCCTCATCTCACAGCCCTGGTGTTGGGAGGATCCCTCGGGGCGTTTGTGCCACGTTGACACGTGCCGTCTGTTTGCCTGGGACGGGATGCAGGTGAGAGCTTTGCTTGCTGCTGACGGCGGGAAAGGGCAGATTGCGCCTTGCCACGGCGAGGTACAAATAACGTCGAGGCTGCATGTCTTGTATTTCATCTCTTCTGTTTTCACAGCTCGTCTCTTCTTCTCTACTCTCCTTTCATCTTGCAAAGTTTCTATATCGCGACTGAGACAGCATGCTCCTCCATCTGCTCCTCGCCTTTGGCTGCGCCGTGCAGTCTGCACTCTGCATGCCCGCGCAGAGCCCCTCTGACACAGTCGATGCCGGCTCCCCTACCTCCCCATGGGGACCAAGCGGCACGCCGCATTATCCTCATCGCAAGCCCTTGACAATCGAAGAGCTCCAAGCCCGCCAACCTCTCGACGGCCTGCCCTCCAACAGCAACGTCACCCTCGTCTACGCCGCCCTCGGCATCGGCCACCAAAACTACACCTGCAACGGCACAGCCTACGTCCAGTCCAAAACAGGCGACGGCGCCTCCGCGCTCCTCTACGACGTCACTCGCTTCCTCGAATACAACCCCAGAGAAACCAAGCGGCTGGCGCAAGACTGCAACTACGCCGCCTGCAAGTACCCGCAGATCCTCGACAACCTGCTCGGCGACCACTACTTCAGCGCGCTGGTGGAGCCGACGTTCAATCTCACTCGTGCTGAGCCGCCTAGAGTTCTCTCGGCCGTCAAGACGGATGCTGTCACGCCCAACCCGAAGAATGTCGCTTGGTTGTTCTTGACGGCGAATCCGGCGAATGATATCACGAATGGGTTGAAGGAGGCGTATCGCTTCGATACCTATCGGGGCGTCGCGCCGGCGAGCTGTGATGAGGTGGGGGAGACGGTTAGCGTTGCTTATACGGCGCAGTACTGGTTCTATGATTGATCGATGGGCACGATGTCTGGGTAATGGATGGCGAGTGATGATCAGGGCTAGGTTCTTCGGGCGGGAGATGGAGTTGGGGCGTAGGTTTGGCAATTCTACATGCCAAATGCAGCGTGTCGGTAGTCTGTGGAGGTATATGTTCGGTGATCAACAAATGAAGTACTACGCATCTACTTTCATGCGCATTTCGCTGCTGTAATTCAAAGCAAAAAAGCAGCGACTCTCACCATTCGAACTCGCGACCTGCCAAAACTTCACAAAAAAACAAACTCCTTTTCAGGAGGAAAGCAAGGCGAGACTCGTAGGACCCCAACAGGTTTGCATTTTTGGCCGCCGACCGAACAGATCAATTGACGCTGCCGGTCATTGGTTAGGAGTCACAAGTAGATGATTCAATATATAGACAGTGTATGTTGTTCGTAAGGCTATCGCGGGCTGCTCTCACCTCACGGCGACCTCCGATAAGCTATGGATATCCACGAGTCCTTTCCGTCCTCACCTCAATCTTTCCCTTCCCTCCCTCTCCCTCCTTTCATAACATACTCTCTCCAAACGAAATAAGAGAAATCATTCAGTATACCAATCGCACATCGTAAGCCAAATCGCCAAATCCCATTTCCCAAAAGATCCCCAGGCAGAAACCATGGCCGAACGACCCTTCATCACCTGCCACGTCCTCGACACCACAACCGGCAAACCCGGCGCCAACATCGCCGTAACCCTCCGCCTCCTCTCCCCCGCAAACCTCACCCAAACCCACTGGACAGCACAGACAAACACCGACGGCCGCGTTCCAACCTGGACCTCAAACGGAGCCGACAGCGTGAACGACGTGGTATCCAAAGCCAAGGCGCAACTTGCTGGTGCTGGTGCTGGGGATGAGGAGCAAATGCTGTGGAGCCTGACGTTTGAGACGGAGGCGTATTTTGGGAAGGGGAGGACGTTTTGGCCGGTTGTGGAGTTGCGGTTTGCGGCGCGGGGGGAGGAGGCGCATTATCATGTTCCGCTTTTGCTGGGGCCGTGGAGTTATACTACTTATCGGGGGTCGTGATTGCAAATCGCGTGGATGCATGTTGTCACGCTGGGGATTAGATTTGCAAATGGCAGATTATGCAGGCTTAGGGACTGTGTGATGGCCAGGGACGGCTAATAGATTGGTTCTACCTTACACATGCCACAGCACGAGAATGAGAAGAGTTCCAAGAACATTACTGCATACGCTACGTACGAATCCTACGCCGAAAGCGATGGGTAATCAGCTCGAACTAATGTACGCCTTCGAATCGCACGAAAACGGGCCGCGCACAGCACCCGTGCTGTACTCGTGGAGAATGTCAGCAACGGCCGCATATGTACCGCAGCCTGCAACGTGTTAGTGTCTTTCCAAAATACAGTTGATAGGGACGAGAACTCACCCAGAACGATAATGCCAATCATGAGCACCACAGTATTGAGAATCGACAATGTGATATTCTTCCATCCCCTGTACCACTTGCCCTCTTTGATCAAGCAGAACCAGAACAGCGCGGGGAAGTAGAAGGTGAAGCCGGAGATGAACAGAGCGGAGATAAGACCCAGCAAATCATTGAAGAAGGGGACCGCCTCGGCGATAACCCATGCAATGAGGGTGATGACGGCAATCAGCCCGATCCACACCATCCAGCCCTTCATATTGTTGATGTAGCGAATGTGGGAGTTGGAGAATGCGCGGCCCATGATGTAGCGGCCGCACACTGTACCATTGATGCTGCCGCTGATGAAGATGACGGGGAGCGCGATGCCGAAAGCGATTCGCGAGACGGTCTCGGGCGCGGAGAGGATGGCGGGACTGCTGACGTTGGGCCCAACAAAGGCGTAGATCAGGGCGCCGGTGATGGTGTAGATGAAGATTTCCGCGAGGCCGAGCGCCCAGATGGACTTGACGTAGTCGGTGGGCGTGTGCATCTCGGCCATGAAGCTGAACTGGCAGACGGCGAAGGAGTAGGCGAAGATGATGTTGGTGGTGGAGAGGAAGACCTTGTAGAAGGTGATGTCGGGCGGCGGCCACATGGTCCAGGGCACGGCGGCGAGGCCTCCCTGCTGCTTCGATGCTTCGACGCCGGTGGCGATGATGGTGATGCCGATGGCGACCAAGATGGAGACAAAGTCGATGTACCCCAAGATGGCGAATTCGGAAAAGGTCGGGGGAAGTGCCAGGGCGAAGAGCAGAACGGCGGACAGCGCGCCCCAGCCTAGGGCGCAAATGTCCAGTTTATTGACGATCTTGATCCATGCGATGGTGCCGGTGAGAACGTGAGACCCGACAAGGATGACCAGCAAGAGCACAAAGAGGACGCCGGTGAGTTCATACCCGAAGCGGCCCCAGATGAGCCCGACGGCGTCGGCGTAGTGGTCGACGTAGGGGTACTTCAATTTCACCTGGCCGACGACGTAGCTGGTGTAGATGGCGATGAGGCCCAGGCCGACAGAGACGATGACACCTGCGACCATGCCCAAGGAAGCAAAAGCAGACGGCACACTCAGCGAGCCGAGGGCGATGGCCTCGACGATGAGGCAGATGGTGAGCTTCTTCCATCCCAGGCGCTGGTACCGATCCTGCTTCTCGTAGATGGAGTGCCTGCGCTCGGCATCTGCGGCGTCATCGAATCTCTCGTGCTTGCCGTTGGGATAATCGGGAAGAGCGGCGTCGTTGTGGATGTTGTTCTCGTAGCGATACGAACCATTCCCGTTGGCGGCCATGCTGCCGTAGAAATTCCCACGGGAGCGGAGGATGTTGTTCGGGGAGAAGTCAAGAGATGCTGGGGGACGAGAGAGCAAAAGATGTTATATAGTTGAGATGAGCGAGGGAGGCGATCCGATGCGCGCACAGATCGACGATGCTTGCCCTTGGCCGAAATATCCGCAGTGGGAAGGAATCCACGTGAACGGACAACCAAGATTCCGATGGCAGAAAAGAGGCTGCTTTACCCCGCGAATGGTAATAGATATGTATGTTCGACCAATCGTCACCGTGTCGCCGGTCATCAAAAGCATCCAACCCGGCAGAAAATCAGATTGTGGGCGGCGACAGCTCGGAAGCATCATCAGGCGTTTGGGGCCATGCGCAAAGGATGCGAGTGCGAGCTGCCAACTGCGTCATTCCGCATTAGCTTTCTGGGGATGCAACCTTGTTCGGAGCCTCGCACGCGAGCAGCCTGTTCTTTGCATGTGGAGTAAGATGGATATCTGACGAGTAGGTTGACGGACGTGTAAAAGGAGAGCAGGTGGCGATGGCTATACTTCCAACCACTCCACTCTCCCCCTTGCTCGCTGGAGTGGCGAGAGCGAGGAGAGATATCCGTCGAGACAACGACGGCTGCTCGGGCCAAGGCTCCGATGCCCATCTCTTCGAACTTTAATAAGCCGCATCCCTGACGTCTCGAAAAAAGAGAACGTCCTTTATGTAGATACGGTACCTCGCATGATAAGGCAACCTCGATAGGAAGTGGATCGAGCATGTTCCAACATCATTCCTCTGAAATCATAGACGCCTTCCATTCACGCCGGGATATCAGCACGGTTCGGTGTGTCATCAGCATCGCCATTTTTGGCCCCATTTGTCCTCGACCTAAGCTTGCGAAGCTCTCGCTGCTGGCGACTCTCACTCTTGGCATCAAAGTACGCTGTGGGCAGAGCATTAGAGGCACGATCCCTATCCCAAAGCTGCAGATTTGACTCACGCTTCTCTCCAAACACTGTTGTCCTGATGCCACGGCGATTCTGCTGATCGTAGAAGCCTGGAATGACTCGATGTAATGTGCACCTTCACGCCGCCGTTAGCCGCGTGATGGTCAAGCCTTGCCGCGTGAGCTTCTTCCCAGCCTACCGATTATCCCACATCGCCACACTCCCCACCTGCTACTTCCAGCGCACTTGATGATCGTCTGCGGAATGGATGTGGTATTCCAGGAATTGCTGCAGATAGTCTGGTGACATGTCAACACCCACAAAGCTCCGAGCCCGCTCTGCGACTCACCTGACTCCTTCTTCTTTAGCTCCGCGAACCCCGTGACGAATTCAGGGTTCACATTCAATGACATAGGTCGAAAATCGTGTCGTATTGCAGTCTCGAAGTGTGCACCGCATGTAGACCGTCGAGATGATTCTTCATGGCGTCGCTCAAGGCATCGTAGAGGCCGTATTGGCTGACCCACGCTGTATCACCACTGACTTCGGGATGCTCTTTCATTCGGAGCATGGAATAAGAGGGCGGGTTGATCTCGAATGACGTGTCGGGGTGAGAGTCTTCTGATGGCCACGGGGTGTATGACAAGATGGTCCTATGTCTATCAACAATCGAGTCTCGCATGTATTCGAATTAGCTGGAGAGGAGAGCGGTACCTATGGTCTTCTGTGCTGCCTTTGATTATCACGTGCTTTCGGTCTTTCTGGGCCGGATGTCGGTCGAGAATGCCTTTGGTCTCCAGTCAATCCCCGAGTATCCCGACAGAACGGTGGCAAGCCTCACCATAATGTTGAAATAGTTCCACTTGCTTCTCCGTAGTGAGCTCCTGATCGCGAAAGAACACAACACCTCTCTCAGTCACCAGCAGGGCAAGCTCATCTAGCTGTTGAGAAGTGAGTTGAGAAAGCTGGACATTCTCCAGAAGCGTCCCTATCGACTCCGTCAAGTCTACTCTCCTGGCCACGGCGAACAGAGCTTTCTCCTCCACGTCCGCGCACGCAGCCCGGTCTTTATCGACGGCGATTGGCTGGCGTACAGCCTCGGGCGGGACATGGCCGGTGATTTTTGGGTTGAAGTGAGGATGGAGGGTGTAAGGGAAGCCAGAATCGGGAGAGACGTGTTTACGAGCTTGCAGGTGGGCCATCGTTTGCCTCTCAAGATGCAAAGAATGAACAGAAAGACAAGGCAGAGACGACGATCCCGATGCGAGTGGATAAAAAGACGGACGGAGAAGAACAGCGTACTGTACCTCTGATGTAACGACCACGCCAGTGAGCACGCACCTGCAAGACTACACGACAGCGGCGAGATCCAAGAAGCCTTTGTCTAATCAGGTGTGTTGGCGATGTCGTGATGAAGCTCCGGGTTGAGACGAAGCGAGCGTGGCGCTGACTCCAGATCTCACTGTGGCTGGTGCACCCGATCCTTCTGCCGCGAAGTCCAGACCACCACCACTCAACAGACATGGCATGAAATGTGACTAGCCTTCGACCACAAAGAACATCCACAGCGACAGAGGAGGAATGCATGATGCTGACCCCAACCAGGAGGACGCGCCATTACTGGAGCAAAACGCGGCCTCGCAACATCCCGAAGGGGCCATAGAGCTGCAGCCCCTGGCGCAGGGGGAGGAGCATGACAACGACGACGACAATCTGTCCGTGTCCGAACTGCTTTCCGAGGACGGATTGAACACACCACCGAGTGACTCGGCCGGGAAGGATGAGTTCATCTGGACGCCGGCGGAAGAGCGGCGAGTGTTGCTCAAGCTTGACACGTCGGTGATGCCGCTTTTGATTATTGCTTTCTTTGCTTTGCAACTTGATAGAGGTGAGGCTCTGACCTTTTGTGAGTGAGATTCGGATTCTAACGACGACCTTGTGCAGGGAACATTGGCAGCGCAGTGACAGACTTCTTCCTTGAGGATGTTGGAATTACCCAGAACCAGTTCAATGTCGGGCAACAACTTCTTGCGCTCGGGATTGTGCTGTGGGAAATTCCAAGTAACTTTGTAGGTGTTTCCTGTGCTTGTGGATTGTCTACAAGAGACTAATCAGCTTGCTCAGGTGTTGTATCGTGTTGGGCCGTCGGTATGGCTCAGCGGACAGATTGTCGCTTGGGGTGAGATGTTACTGCGGGATAGACTCCTGCTCATCCATTCACCTGGGACGTCTGCTAACTGCGATTGTAGGCCTCGTTGCCACCTTTCAGGCCTTACAACATGGCAAGTACAATCTAATTTGCCGCAGTTGCCGTGCTAACACCAGGTCCAGGGTACCCTGCATATCTCTCCACCCGCTTCCTACTTGGTACTTTCGAGTCGGGCTTCATCCCGGCAAGCCTATTCACGATCTCGCGCTTCTACAAACGGGACGAGACGTCGAAGCGCTTTGCGTGGTTCTTTATTGGCAACCATCTTGCCACGGCCGTGAGTGGCGTGGTGGCATATGTGAGTATCTGCGGGAGATTTGCTGTGCTGGTAGTCAACACTGATATGTTCTGTGAAAGGGTATCCTTCATCTACGAGGCGTACTCGAACTAGCCGGGTGGAAATGGCTCTTCATCGTAGGCATACTTCTCCTGCAATGAGCATACTCAATACTAATGGTCGACAGGTCGAAGGAGTGTTCACTATCAGCATCGGAATACTCTTCATCATCTTCTTCCCCCGGAGCGTCCAGACTCCGAGCAGCCTGACAGGAATTCGCTACTTCAGCGACAAGGAAATGCGCATCCTCCTGGAACGAGTGGTGCGAGACGATCCAAGTAAAGGGAACACACGCCGTTCCATCTCCAAAGCGGAAATTTGGAGCACCGCGACGAATTGGCGCCTCATTGCACATGTCGTCGCAACAGTGTGCGGACTTGCACCCGGGTCTGCACTCATGGCTTATGGCCCTCGATTGGTGATTGCGTGGGGCTATGGTCGTCTGCAGTCGAACGCGATGGTTTCCATTGGCCCTTCGATCGGCCTGCTATTATGCATCGCGTGGGGCATGCTCGCCGACCGGTTTAAAAAACGGGGAGCAGTGGCTCTCGCCGGGCTATTCGTGTGGTGGCTCTTCCTGCTCATCGGACGATTACTGGTCTACTCCGACAATGGACCTGCTCACTTTGCCGCCTTTGCTATTGCGATTGCCTTTCAAGGCACATGGCATCCCGTCAATGGATCGTGGATGGCTTTGAACGCCCCCACGGCGGGAGAGCGATCCATCACCATGGCAATTCTCATTATGAGTGCGAATTCCGCGGGGATTATTGGGGGACAATTGTTTCAATCGGGTGATGCACCGTTGTATCCCATTGGATGGACGATGATCGTGTGCCTTACATCTGTCGCGTTGTTGGCGATGATTGGGGCGAATGTTCAGTATTGGGTTCTCAATCGGCGGTTAGTGAAGAAGGGGTTACCAAAGCGGTATCATCCTTGATGTAGACTTTATAGATGTGGACGTAGGGTTCGCAACATGACTCCATTTGAATAGGAGGAAGATGTGCAGAGGCAAGGAGGTGCACCAGCGTCGTTTCGCCCAATGCGGCAATTAAATGCCGCGAAACGAAGACGCCGACGCACGGGGGAATTTTGGAGCCAGCGCCAGGAGAAAAAAGGTATTGGCAGGAGTCACGGGAGCGTTGGGCAGGGAGAACCAATAATTCAAAAACCCGCCATGGCCTAGACAAAGAGTGTCCACCCACCCACCCACACGTTCGTTCCAATTCAACATTACCGCGGGCACTGGCTCTCATTCAACATGCTCTCCAGGCCCTCGCCGTCCTGCCTCCTCCGTGCTCCGATCCGCGGCCTGCTGCCTCTGCGCCGGCCCGGGAGAATTAGGATTGCCTCGCGCTCTGCATCTGCTTCTCTACGTCACTTGAATTCTTCTCACTCACCACTCCACCCATTGTCCGCTGCAGCTCATGCACCCCACGGTCGTGCCGCCTCCCACCACGACCCTCACCCTCCCTCCTCCTCCACGACTGCCATGACGGCCACCAAGATCGACGGCACCGCCATCGCCAAGGGCATCCGCGAGCGCATCGCCAAAGACATTGCGGACAAGCAGGGCAAGAACCCGCGCTACAAGCCCAGCCTGGTCATCATCCAGGTCGGCGAGCGGTCGGATAGCAGCACGTATGTGCGCATGAAATTGAAGGCCGCAGAAGAGGCGAATATTCAGTGCAAACTGGAGAACTACGAAAAATCCATTGGCCAGGTCGAGCTGCTGCGCAAGATTCAGCAGTTCAATAATGATCCTAACGTGCATGGCATTCTCGTGCAGCTACCCCTGCCCGACCACATTGACGAGTATGAGGTGACGAGTGCGGTCGAGGGCATCAAAGACGTGGATGGGTTTGGAGCGCAGAATATTGGAGAGTTGGCCAAGCGCGGCGGCAAGCCTCTGTTTGTTCCCTGCACGCCCAAGGGTGTCATGGTTCTGCTGAAGGAGAGCGGAGTGGATGTCTCTGGGAAGACTGCTGTCGTCTTGGGCCGGAGCGACATTGTCGGTGCCCCGGTGAGCTACCTGCTGAAAAATGCAGATGCCACTGTCACCGTCTGCCACTCCAAGACGAAAGATCTGCCCGCCGTTGTCAAGACTGCAGACATCCTCATTGCGGCCATTGGCAAGCCTCATTTCGTCAAAGGCGATTGGTTGAAGCCGGGCGTGGTGGTCATCGATGTTGGAACGAACTTCATTGCGGATGACTCTCGAAAGAGCGGGCAGCGTCTGATCGGTGACGTGGACTACGAAGAGGCTGTGGAAGTCGCCAGCCAAATCACACCAGTCCCCGGAGGTGTTGGACCCATGACGGTTGCCATGTTGATGCAAAACGTCGTCGACGCCGCCGACACTGCGTGGGAGCGGCAAAGGAAGCGTCACTGCGTGCCGTTGCCTTTGAAGATCGAAAAGCCCACGCCGGCCGACATCAACATCTCCCGTGCACAGCATCCCAAGTTGATCACCAAGCTGGGCTCCGAGATTGGCATTGCTACTCACGAACTCGAGCCGTATGGCGCTTACAAGGCCAAGGTGTCCCTCGATGTGTTGACCCGTTTGGAGCATCGTCGCAATGGACGTTACATTCTCGTTGCCGGCATCACCCCAACACCATTGGGCGAGGGCAAGAGTACCACTACGATCGGCCTTACTCAAGCGCTAGCCGGCCAACTCGGACGTGTTGCTTTTGCCAATGTCCGTCAGCCCTCTCAAGGACCCACGTTTGGGATCAAAGGAGGTGCAGCGGGTGGTGGCTATAGTCAAGTCATTCCCATGGACGAATTCAACTTGCATCTGACCGGCGACATCCACGCCATTACCGCCGCTAACAATCTTCTTGCCGCCGCCATCGATACAAGGATGTACCACGAGGCCACGCAAAAGGATGGAGCATTGTACAAACGCCTCGTGCCCGCGAAGCAAGGCAAGCGCGAATTCCTGCCCATTATGTTCAAGCGACTGAAGAAGTTGGGCATCACCAAGACCAACCCCGACGACCTGACCGAAGACGAGATCCGACGATTCGCCCGCCTGGACTTTGATCGCGAGACTATCACGTGGCGACGAGTGCTCGACGTGAACGACAGGCATCTCCGTGGCATTACCATCGGCCAGGCACCCACGGAGAACAAGGTGGAGCCGAGAGAAACGGCGTTTGACATTTCCGTGGCATCGGAGATCATGGCTGTCCTCGCCCTCTGCACATCCCTCGCTGACATGCGCGATCGCCTTGGCCGCATGGTTGTCGCAAGCAGTAAAGCCGGTGATCCCATTACCGCAGACGACATTGGCATTGGCGGGGCTCTCACCGCTCTCATGAGGGATGCAGTCAAGCCGAATCTCATGCAGACGCTCGAGGGGACGCCAGTCTTTGTACACGCCGGTCCCTTTGCCAACATCTCCATTGGCAACAGCAGTATCATTGCCGATCGTGTTGCGTTGAAACTCGCCGGCACCGAGCCCGAGGAAGAAGCGGAGCGCAACGACAAGGTCGGCTTCGTCGTGACGGAAGCCGGCTTCGACTTCACCATGGGCGGCGAGCGTTTCATGAACATCAAGTGCCGCAACTCCGGCCTCGTGCCGGACGTAGTCGTCATTGTCGCTACTGTTCGCGCGCTCAAGGTGCACGGCGGAGGTCCAGAGATCAAGCCCGGCGAACAGCTAGCCGAAGTCTACCGCACGGAGAACGTCGACATGCTTCGTGCAGGCTGTGTGAACCTGGCGAAACACATTGAAAACGCGCGCCAGTTTGGCGTGAAAGTGGTCGTCGCCATCAACAAATTCGACACCGACGCCGACGCCGAGATTGCCGTCGTGCGCGAGGAAGCCATCAAAGCCGGCGCCGAAGACGCCATTGCCGCCTCGCACTTTGCCGACGGCGGCGCGGGCGCCGTCGACCTAGCCAAAGGCATCATCGCCGCAGCGGAGAAATCGCAACCAGACGACTTCACGCTCCTCTACGACGACAACGGCAGCATCCAGCAGAACATCGAGACCATCGCAAAGCGCATGTACGGCGCCGCGAGCGTCTCGTTTGAAGAAAAAGCGCAGAAGAAGGTCGACACCTACACCAAGCAGGGTTTCGGGCACCTGCCCATCTGCATCGCCAAAACGCAGTACTCGCTCTCCCACGATGCGAGTCTGAAGGGCGCGCCCTCCGGCTTCACCGTGCCGATTCGCGACGTCCGCATGGCGGCCGGCGCGGGGTATTTGTATGCGCTCGCGGCGGATATTCAGACTATTCCGGGTCTGCCGACGGCGCCGGGGTATTTGAATGTCGAGGTTGATGGGGAGACGGGGGAGATTGATGGGTTGTTCTAATCGCCCTTTCTCTCTGCTCGTGCATCCTCTTTTTCATTTCTGTGAGTCGGAGTTCTTGAGGTTCGGGGGGGCCATCCGAAGTGATACCACTGTCAGCCGTTTCATCACGGTGGCACGAAAGTCTTAGAGCTGCTGCTGCATTTAGGGCGCGCGGGGGAGGGAACAGAAAGCAAGCAAAGGCGTGGGTGATACTTCGTCTCAACGAGAAGTGCGCGGCGCCTTTGGTTTTTTTCTGGCGGGCGTTAACGATTTTTACTTCAACATACGGGGTGGCGGTGGGTGTGGTCGACTGATGTCTTTAACGATCAGTGTAGACGTGCGTGAAAGGGTAGACGGTAGAAATGGCATGAAGATGATTGAGAGCATCCTCGATACGCTGTGTCTTACGTGTGTCTTACTTGAAGGAGAATAATGACGCGGTGGAAGAGATTCAATTGATGCTACCAGGTTCTCATCCTCCCGCATACACAACCAGCACTCATCAAAGCAGTGCTCCAAAGGTATCTCAATAAAGCAAAGGTCGAACACAATCACAAGTCCAGTGTGAAAGGAGACCTGTCCTAAGGCCGTAACCAGGCAAGGAAGACCCCCCTACCTCCTAGCAAAACAACACAGCAGCCCACTCTTGCCCAAAAACCACACGCACCCCGTAAACCGAATGAGTGACAACACAGCCGTGCAAAGCAGAAGAGCATGGAAGAAGTCCGCGGTGCGCGTCGTTGCGCCGCTCGTGAACCCAAACTCAGACGCGCTCTGCGACGTGATGAGAATGGCGAGAAGAGCATTGGAGAAGATCCACAGCGAGACCAAGCGCGTGCGGAAAGACTTGTACGAATCCTCGAGCGTCTTTTCTGACTTCTCCTTGGGCGCGACGTACGGCGCGAGCGCGCGCTTGACCGTCCGTTCGAACTGCAGGTCCACGTCGGCTTGCGTGAGGTCGACTTCTTCCACGACTTTGCCCTTGCCGTCGCTGGCTTTTTGCACCTGTGCGGACGGCAGGGCGTCGGCTTTGTCGGAGCCTTTGGTGCCCCACGAGACGTCGTGCCAGTTGCTGAAGGCGTAGACCATGAGGACGTTGATGTAGGAGGACATGAGCAGCAGGTACTGGCCGAAGGAGGTGAACATATGCCAGGGGTCGAGGTAGAGGAAGGAGGCGACGAAGTAGAGGCCAAAGGTGGCGGCGAGGGCGACGATGATGATTCCCGTGCCACCGGTGGAGAAGAAGGACCTGAAGACCTCGTCCGCGCTTTCACCAGTGAATCCCAGGCCGTGCGAGAAGGCGATGACGACGAGGTAGAGGGAATCGACGATGACGTAGATTTGCACGAGGCCGAAGAAGCAAAAGGACATGATGTAGCTCCATTTGCTTCCCTTTGGTCGATTGCCCAGCGCGAGGATGAATTGGAGGAGAAGGAAGGCAAGATAGAGGTATTGGATCACGGTGTTGACGATGGGCGTCGCGGTGTTTCCGAAAGGCCACGCTCGGCCGCCATTAGAAGTCGACGGGGCCTTGCCAACCAAGTCTATTATGACAATGGTGGTGAGCCAGTACGACGCTGTGGATTGTTAGCTTTGTTTTGGGAGGGCTGCTTGCGGTTCATACCTAATGTAAACCAGCTCAGGAATGTCGAGAAGATGTTGTAGCAGAATTGGATGTGGAAGAAGAACATGCGGATGATGTTGTGGCCGGAGCGATACATGCGGGTGAAGTGCATGAGGGAGTAGAGGGTGGCGGCAAAGGAGCCATTCAGCCATCTTCTGCGCTGTCCGATGAACTCGGGCGCTCCTTCAGGAACATCGGTCTCGCCCTTGGCCGACTTGACATAGGTCAAATGCCATTTGCATCCAGCTTTGGCGACCAGTTCGAAACACAGGATGCGATCCTCGGCCAAGAACATGTTCTTTTTGAAGATGTTCATCCCTTCGATGCCCTTCGGTCCCAGCTTCTTGGCAAGGGTGTGGTCACCGTGGAAGTACTGCTCGAGCGGGCGGCCCACGATTGCGCGGTATTTGTAGGCGGAGAAAGCACCGGGAAGCACCGACACATATCCGAACGACGATTCGAGTGGCTTGTCCAGAATATTGGAGATTTTGTACTCAAAATTTTGTGCAGCCACCAGAGGGTTGAGCAGATTCTTCCAGCCTCGACCCAGCAAGGCATGGATTTCACCACACGCTCCACCAAGATCCCGGTCGTTGTAGAATGCCTCCCAAAGGGCGAGGAGGGATTTGTGGCCGGGCTTCGTTCCGGCATCGAGGAGGATGCAGACCTCGGGGTTGAGGATGCGGCCAAAGGCGTTGAAGAGCCATCTGTGGGAGTTGATCTTTTTGCTATTCTTCTGTTTCAAGCAGAAGATGAATTGGACAGGAGGGAGGGTGGAGGAGCCATCGTCGACAGGGCGGATGAGCTGCTGGTTCGGCGTGACGGACAATTGCGTGGTGTACTCGAAGATGTGTGCCACCGTCTCTTTGCCGTCAATGTCTTTCTTCATGATGCCGTCTTGGTAGATACCAATGGTGGCAAGGACATCCAAGACGCCCTTGTCACACGGATCAATACCGTCAAAGACCAAGCACACGACGATTTTCTGCCACGCCGGGCCGCCCTTGTTCCAGAACTCGCTCTTCTTGAGGTTGACAATATCGCGGATGTTCTGCATGACGCCATGCAGGGTGCGCGAGGTGAGCACCTTGTCCTCGTTGTAGTATGTTATAGCGATGAGGAGCTCGGTGAGACGGTTGTACATGGCGGGGCGCAGGTTGTAGCCGTTGTTGAGGGTGAAGTCGTCGGGGTCGCAGGTGGCGGCGGTGTAGCGCAGGTGGGTGAATTCTTCACTGCCGCTCTCCAAGTCGTTGCGGTACTTGGCTTGCACGGCGTTCTGGATGGCGGAGGGGACGGGGTAATCGGCACTCAGGACGGCGCCTTGCACGAGCTTACGCTTGCGGGTGGCACTTCGCTTCATGTTGGCCGCGTTGCTCTGCATGGGGTTCTGTCGCTGCACCCAGGCGTCGGAGGCGGCAGTCTCACTCTGGGCATAATCACTTGGGCGGGGCGGGCCTTGGGAGAAGGGCGGATTGGGAGGCATGCCGTTGTTGTAGTAGTCGTGCCCCTGTTCGTGGTATCCATTGTATGGGGGTGCATGCTGAGTGCCGCCAGTGTAGGACTCTTCAAGATGATAGCCGGTCGGCTCATGTCCGCCGGGGGTGATGGCGCCGGTGGGCTCATCGAAGGGGCCGTGGAATGGGCCTTGAGGGGGTTGATGTAACAAAGCGGCTTGCTGTTCGTCATCGTGGAGTGGGGGAGGATAACCGTACTGCAGAGTGTTAGGAGGGTTGGATGTTGAAGGGGATGGAGCTTACTTGGGTCTGTTCGTGATAATGATCGTAGCCTGCATGTCCTTGACCTCCTGGGTACGCCATGTTGTCGGAGTCCTACCAGCGGAACGTGCAGACAGCAGGCGGGGAGGAGGAAGGAAGGAAGGAAGGGCAATAGGTGGGGAAGGAGCGACGGTGTTTGACACGCGGGGAAAGGAAGGAGGGAGTGAGTAGGGAGGAGGTCAGGTAGGTAGCAAGAGGAGGAGGAAGTTGGTCGTGTGTGTGCAACAAAGGAGAAAGGCGAAGCGGTAGGCGGTGCAGTGTGGTGCAAGCGACTGGAATTCACTATTGTTGGAGAAGTGGGACCCTGCCTTTCGCTGGCGGCAACCAGTGAGACAGCTCCACCACGAGATCTGCAACAACGCGCGGGCCGCCCCCTGAAACTGCGCGGCTTGCAAGTCTTGACGGCGCGGGTTTAGAGATGACGACGTGCACTTCCAGCAGAGACGGGGCGTTTCAGGTTGGGGGATGAATGCTGGTTCCGCGCAGAGCCTGTTCTACGACACGACGGCACATTCCTCGCATTGCCCGTGCATGTGCATGGACGTGCATGCACGCGTTTATAGCATTCAGGTACCAAGTATAGACTTTTGCGGCTCAGCCACCCACGCCACCGTGGATCTCGTATGCATCCCCGCCGTTTCACCGTTTCCTCTCCTACAGGGCTCGCTCGGATCTCGGATGCTTCTCCTGATGCCAGGCGCTGGGGGTTGAGAGAAACGAGGCATGCATGCATATGGGCAGACATGAGGCCGTGACCCCGACACTCTCACCCACTTGCTTGTGCTGTAGGGCTCTCCTGTCGCACAAGTGGCTGCAGCGCCACACTGTCTCCCGCCTGTCCGTTGTGGGTGCGTGCGGATGTGCCCGAGGTTGAACGAGGCACAGGACGCCGACCTGACCTCGCCTAAGCATACTATCCTGAGCAAGTCCACATAATGGACCTCACCCACGGCATAGCAATTCGCCCTGAGCTCGTCAACTGCACCGAGCTGGTACTCGTCTGCTGCCACGCCACGTACGTCGGCGATGGCTCCGACACGGGCGAGGATCAATGGGTTCTCCAGCCCTTCCAGCGCTCCCATCCCGAGACGGGCAAGCCGAGTGAGCACGAAACCTACATCCAACACATCCTGTGCGGCGCATTGATGGTGGAGTCCCGCCCACAGGCTCTACTAATCCTCTCCGGCGGCATGACTACCCATTCCACCTTCACAGAAGCAGAAGGCTACGAGAAGGTCTTGCACCGTCTGGGCAGCAGATGGGATGCCTTTCAGCGCTACGAGCTCGAGAACTGGGCGACGGACAGCTACCAAAATCTGCTCTTTTCCGTCCTGCGCTTCAAGCAAGTCTGCGGTCGCTACCCAACCGCCATCACCGTCATCACCCACGCCTTCAAGGTCGATCGCTTCCTCGAACTCCACGCCCCTGCCATCAAATGGCCCGCCGACCGCATTCGCGTGCAAGGCATCAACCCTCCTTTCACTTTCCAGGAGCTTGAGGAAACCGAGGACGGGGAGGCGGAGCGGGCATTCGACCTCTTCGTCAACGACCCGTACGGAGTGCAGCCATCGCTGGCGAAGAAGCGACGCGCGCGCAACTGGGACGCCCACATGCTTGCCGATCTCGCTTCTCAGGTCGACCCCGCGGTTGCGGAGCTGCTGTATTGGGAGGGAGGCAACACGGGTCGCGACATCATTCCCACAAAGCTTCCGTGGGAGGTAGAGTGACTGTCACCCAGCAGACAAGGGCTTTTGGTACTCTCTCACTGCAGCTTCATATCGATCCATGCGGATGGCTCCCGCCGACCAGATCAACGTCGCCCTCACCATCACACTCGAAGATGGTTGGTCTGATTTGAGGGATTTGAACTCTTGATCCTTCTCAATATATCCGACCACATTCACCCACGCGCCGGTCTCGAGCTGCCGGTGGTCGACAAGCTCTAGGACATTCTCCACATTGACTAACGCGCATGGCACGCTCGTGTTCACCGCTGGATACGCACTTCGGAGCACGAGTTTGGCTTGGTCGGCATTGTATTCATGAACACTGTGTGCGTTAGAGATGGGCACAATCTGCTGCGACCTCCGTCTCTGCGTACCATCCGAGAAAGCGGACCTTGGTGCCTGATAGTACTTTCGGTAATTGCTCCAACAGCATCAACCGGCTAGGCTCCGGCATGACTTTGTAGCCCTTGTCCCAGAACTACATTCTGTCTTGTCTCGGGTTCGATGTCTCGTAGCAAAAGTCATGTGAGGGTGTAGGGCGAATCGGTTCAATTGTTTGTTGGCTGGTTGACTCGCGTACGCCGAACCCAAAGCGGCGATTGCCCAGCGGGTAGTAAATGTCTTGGCACCGCTTCACGTCATCTGGTCACCTTGTGGCTTTGGATTCATCTCAAGCGATAAGGCAACACCATACCACCTCACCACCACTCTTCCCACGCACATTCATCCGCAGCTCACAGGCAGCCGTGCTCAGCATCATCGTCCAGGCCAACCTTTCACCCCAGCCGCGGAACCGCTGGATCCCGCCCTGCCCTGCCTAGCCACCCTCTACCCATCTGCCACCCTCCCCCTCGGCGGCGGCGGTCCCTCTAGCGACAGGCCCTGTCGCTGAACACCCCCCTTCCCCTCATCTCACTCGTGCGCACATTCGAAAACACCACCCCGCTCGGCCGTCAAGATGTCGAACGGCTGGGGCATCGGCAGCTTCTTTGGGGGCGGCGCGCGGGCGCAAAAGGACACGACGAAGAATGCCATATTACAGCTGCGAGGCACGCTCGACATGCTGTCGAAGCGGGAACGGCACATTCAGAACCAGATGGAGGAGCAGGACAACGTGGCGCGGAAGAACGTGAGCACGAACAAGACGGGTAGGTCACGCGACGGCTAGCCACGCATGGGCGCAGAATGTAGCTGACTGTGTGAATCTCTCTTGCAGCGGCCAAAGCGGCTTTACGGCGGAAGAAGAATTACGAACACCAGCTCGAGCAAACGCAGGCGCAGATGATGACTGTCGAGCGCGAAATCTCGTCCATCGAGACGGCCAATATCAACAAGGAGACGCTCGACGCGATGAAGAATGCGCAGCAAGCGATGAAGAAGATCCACGGCGGCTTGACGATTGAGAAGGTCGACGAGACGATGGAGCAGTTACGGGAGCAGCATGCGGTGGGAGAGGAGATTGCGGAGGCGCTGACGCAGGGCGCGCTCGCGTCGAATGTGGATGAGGATGAGTTGGATGAGGAGCTGGCGGAGTTGCAGCAAGAGGAGTTGGACAACAAGATGCTGAAGACGGGGACTGTGCCGGTGTCGGATCAGATACAGAGGCTGCCGAATGCCGCGGTGGGAGAGCGTAAGTTTGATCGAGTCGGCTATCAGTGTCTACGAGCTGACCAATATCTCCAGCACGAAATCGAGTGGAGGAAGAAGACGAAGAGGAAGAGCTCAAGAAACTGCAGGCCGAGATGGCGATGTGATTTTGGGGGGTGTTTTCTTGCGAGCGAGACCGGGTGCACCATTACTACTTGACTCTTTCCACTATGCCCACGCTGTAGTTACGCTATGTCTGCGAACTTGTAGAAGCGATTTGAATCTTGATGCCCAATCCATAACCAACGGAAGGAGTACGCGGGGTGATTTACAGTCCGGCATACTCAATACCATGTCAGCCTTGTGGGGCCGGATCGACGACGGAGTACCTTGCTTGATCGACCTAAAGTGACTGACACTTCTTCCTCTCGCCTGATCTGCTCGTAATTCGCATGAAACCCCTCGATAATGACATATGGTTCGCATATGAAAGGAAATGGAATATGGCAAGCCTCGATTCGGCAAGTGCCATGAGGTAGTCCACAATTCCGTGGACCCAAGTGGGGCGCGCCGAGTGAATGCGCCACAAAGGTGGCCGGAGAGCCTTGCTTCTCGCCCACTTCACCTCACCTCACCTCACCCTTCCCCCCGGAGCATGCAGAGCCTGCCTATCCCCCGCGCGTCATCGATGCATGCCGAAACCGAGTGCCTCAGATCGCGCGCGAATGGAGAGCAGAGGCTTCAACGCCGAAGAGCTGCTGGCCCCCGTCCAGCGCAAGCGCAAACGCACGGGCAAGGCGTGCGCCAGCTGCCGGGTACGATAACAGATCCCCTCCCCCGGCCCATCCCATCGCGTCCCATCTCCCAGTCCCTTCTGGAGGTCCTCGCGCACCGTACTGACCAATCTCTGCAGCGCCGCAAGACAAGATGCACCGGCGGTATCCCATGCGACGCGTGCCGTATTGGAGAGATGAGTAAGCTCACGCCACCCCACCCCTTGCCCAGACATGCTAACAATCGGCTTGCAGCATGTTCATACGATGATCCCGACCGGAGGATGACGGCCATCGAGTACATCCAGTCTCTGGAGAGGAAGGTCGAGGAACTGGAAGGCCTCCTGAATGACCACGGACATCGGCCCCTCAAGGAGTCTTCAAGTCCTTCGACTTCCCCAGGCGCAGCGAACGACCATCCGCGATCCGTGCGATTCTCATCCGCCCGGCCGCCCAGTACCAGCAATCCTTCAACCGTGCCTCCTGCGCCCTCCCCTGGATCTTCGGCCAATGGCGATGATGAAGACTTTATCGAAACCATGATTCGCAGCCAGGCCGCTCATGAAAACAGTTCTCTCCAGGGCCATCGCGGTAGTTTTGCGGGACTGAGTCTCCTACAGAGGATGCACAATTTATGTCGACATGTCTACGCCAGCCAGAAGCAGCCCGATGCCGAGGTTCAGCAGGACGACTTTATCAGTGCTTTTGATTTTGCTTCCACCGACAGCGAGTCTGCCGTTCCGACTGAGGCTTTCACTCTTCTGCCGCCCAAAACCGCCTTCGATCATGCGGTAGATGTGGTCATGAACGAAGCGTGCTGCATCATGCAGTTCCTGGACCGGGCGAAACTGGAAAAGCTGGCGGCAGACGTGTACAGCGAGACCTACTCTGCCACGCCTCAAGAGAGCCGCAAAGCTTTTGCTCTAATTTACGCCGTCCTCGCTTTGGGCAGGCGCTTCGATCCTACTTCGCCGGGAGAATCGGCCAATCCGCACATGATGAGAGGGTATGCCTGACTATCGTCTACTCCTGCCCACTTGATCGCTGACGAGCCATAGGTTACGATATTTCCGCGCCAGTCGGACTTTACTCGACCCGGCAAACTGCCGCGACCTCACATCTCTACAAGCACTCTTATGCATGATATTGTACACGCAAGTGTCGTCCATGATCTCGACCTGCTATTCATGTGTGTGCCCCTCACGTCTCGTGCTATCGCTCGACTGACATTCCATTAGATATATGCATGGGTGTAGCTGCGGCTCTACAAATGGGCCTATTCACAGAGGCCGCATCCAAAGACCTTACCGAAGCCGAGAAGCTACATCGCCGACGCATCTACTCCGTCCTGAACATCATGGACACCTACGTCACTACCGCCTTGGGCCTACCACGAACACTCCGCGATGTCGAGTCGGATTTTGTTCTTCCCCTTCCCAAGCAACCCGAGTCCATGAGATATCCATTGGCCGGGACCTACGCCCATGCCAAACTCATCCAGATCCTAGCTCTGGCGGTAGACGCCAATCACCCCGTCACCCGCCCGATCAGCGAAAAGAACGGCTTCTACGGCGTAGGGTACAGCAAGATTACCGCGACGGAAGAACAGCTCGAGGCATGGTTTGCCAATTTGCCTCAAGATCCCGTCATGGACGCCGAAGACCCGGTGTACATCAGGTATGCTCTCTACAGCCCCTGTATGTTCTCCATCATGCTTAACGAAAACACAGATCCCAACTCCACCTCCGCCTCGCCTACGCCCACGTCCAACTAGTCCTCTACCGCCCCTTCCTCCACCACGCCCTCCGCAACATCCCCCGCGACACCCCCACAAGCTTCAAAGCGTACGCCTGCGGCAGCGCGTGCATCAAAGCAGCCATGCAAGTCGTCTGGCTCGCGGAAACGCTCGAAGCATACCACTCCTTCAGCGAGGCGCACTGGTTCACCACGCTCATCATCTCCACCTGCGCCGCGTGCTTGGTGCTGTTTGTCGTGAGCAACGAGAACGACCCGACGCTGCAGGAGACGGAGGCGGCGGTGAAGCGCATCAAGAGTTTGTGTCTGCGCCATGCCGATCACAACGCTAGTATGCAGCGCTGCTTTAATTTTATCGAGGTGAGATTGAACTTTGTGAGATGGATGAATTACCGCTGATCATCTTTGCAGGCCGTCCACCCGGACAACCCGGAGCCACCTGTGGAGATTGGGACCGCGTTCGACGAGTGGAATTCCGAAGTCTCGCATACCTTTACGGAAGCGTATCGTCTTCCTCACGACGCCGGTTTGGAGACGCACGAACGGCACGGCGAGGACGTGCTGCAGGCGTTGAGCCTACCCCAGTTCCGTAGCTTCTTGAACAATCGCATATAGATGAGCAAGAGAGAGAGAGATACGCGCAACGAGCCCGATTTGTTTGCTCTGATCACCATGTGAATTTGTGTTAGAAACACACGTTTTGCTGCGAAAAAGGAGGGAAGCCTCGCTGTCGACCCTGCAGGCCGTGGTATCTCAGAAGGGAGTGTCTTTTGAACTGTAGTAATGCAAGAAAGATTGAGAAGTCTTTTTCATCTTCCCCGGACGATGATTGTGCCTTCCCCCGTCCAACGCCGTGCCAAAAAGCCATGCCAACGCAAGACGAAACGGTCATCGTCCGTCTCTCTCTTCCGGGTCAGGGTTGAAGAAGGAGAAGCGCATTCGGTGGAGCTGGAGAGTGTTAGCTTGAGAATGAGCTGATATGCGAATCGGAGCGAAACATACCGCCGGCAACTTTGGCACCACAACCGCAAGCGTGGCCAGGAAATTCACCATAAACAAGCCCAGATCATAGCGCGTGTAGTGCGTGCTGACGAGGAACAAACAAATCGGCACGGCGAGCAGAAACTTCTTGGCCGGCGTATACTGGTCCTCGTCATCAATCTGCTCCCACATGTTGAGGTTGTCGTAGGCTCCCGCGTTGAATTCGAACGGGATGCCGCGCACGTAGTGGAACATGAGGTACGTGGCGAACATGTAGGTGGCGTTGACGAGCGTCCAGCTGGTTTCCTGCGAGATGGAGGGGATGATGTCGTAGAGGATTTTGAGGAGGAGGATGAGGATGATGTGGATGAGCCAGGCGCCTGGGGGAGAGTAGGGGTTAGTATGGAGCGTCTTTAGAAGATTGTGGGAGAGGACACACCCTTTGCATTCACCCACTGCGAGTTTAAATTGGGAAGCACGGCCTGATCACTCTGCTGCTCCAGGCTCTCGGGCGGCTCCTGATACATCAAACTACTGCTCCGCCGCCGCCGAGTCTTGTCTTTGGCATTCAGCGCCATCTTGCGCTCGGCGCTCTGCACCACCGCCGGCGCAGGCGCCGCATCCTCTTCCACGACGGCGTGCATGGGCTGCGGCGAGGCGGATGAGGAGCGGGTGGTGGGACCGGGCTTCGCGCTTTCGGCAAACGTCAGCCCGGTGTGGCGGTGGAGGAGCGTGGCGGACAGTTTGGCGGGTTGGGCGCTGCTTCTGCAGCTGCTGGGTTTGCTGGAGGGGGTTCTGAAGGGGCGGAGGATGGAGGGCGGGGTGGGGAAGAAGTCGAGAATCGCCAGTTTGACGGCAGGCGGCGGCCGGGATGGTGGGAGGGGAGGGGTGGTACGAGGGGTTTGGCGTGGTGCTCGTGTAAGTTGTCCTGAGCGGAGGCGTGACGAATGGAGTTCGGGAGGGTGGTAAGATGCGGGTGTAAAATGAGGTGGTGGAGGGGAGAAGGGAGAAGAGGGAAGAAGGCGGACAGTGAAGGCGAGAGAGGATGGAAGATGCGGGAGGGGATGTCGAAGTGCTCTCCGTGTCACGAGGGAGGCAGCCGGGGGTGAAGTCAGTGGTTTGATGAACGAACGCCGTCTTTGCCGGATGTGTCCTCTCAGCAATTCCAGGCTCCGCGCCTTAGGTAATCAGGGTGCCCGCGTGTCCCTGCGAATCCCGATCAGTTTTAGTCGTGGCTACTCCGCGTCAAACTATAAATAACTTCCTACGACCTTCTGGAATGCATTGAATGCAAGGAGATGAAGACGGATTTATATGCTGCAGCAGAGTGCGAGGGCGTAGGCCAGTGGATTGAAACTCTGTCTGTACATCTATCATCGTATGAATGTCATTCACGATCTTTGAGACGTCAGTCCCTGCTTCAGCAGACCGATCAACTCATCAAGCCTAATGTCAAAACCAAGTCAGTATGCGTCAAATCGTGCAACACAAGAGAAAACATACCGATCAATCGCAACATCCGCCCGCTCCTCAAGCTCTTCCTTCCCGCTACTCCGGAGCAAAACAGTCAGAGCACCAGCCGCATGGCCAGCCGTGATGTCGTCAATCGAATCGCCAACCATAACCAACGGTAAGAGATCTTTCCTCTCGCCAGCCGAGCGTTGTTTCTCGTCGGCATCTAATCCCCACGCGCGAGCAATGTGCCACAGAGCTGCCGGGCTGGGCTTCGGCGGGCGAAAGTCGCGAGTTACGATCGGGGAGAAGGGGTTGATGTGGCTCGGGATGTGATTTTGCAGGAGATGCGTGACGGGTGCGCTGTAGTCACATTAGCACTGATGGCTGTGGCGGGTCGAATGAAGGCGCAGGACATACTCGAAATTCCGCGTGCAAATCCCCTTCTTCACGCCCTCGCGATCGAGAAACTCCATCAGCGAGACCAAACCCGCCTGCGGAACCTGCTCCGCCATCGCCTGGCTTTCAATCGCCTTGATCTTGTCGAATGCCTCGTCTTGCTCTCGCGGCGGTAGGCTGTGGATGTAGTCGAGGATGTCCTGATCGGCGGGGATGGAAACGGAATCCCTCATCAACTTGAACATGTGATTTTGAGGCATGCCTGTCTTGCGTCGGCCACACGTTCAGTCCTCTGTGCTGACAGTGTGTTGAAGACGAGATCGCCTTACATAATGTGCCATCCATGTCGAATATAATGCCTTGAAGTTGCATCTGGCCGGCTTCTGCGTTGGCTTTTTGGCCTAGCGGCGCAAAACGATGTCTTGCCTGCTTCGCCATTGTTGTGCTGATTGTTCGTCGTGAGATTTGCGTTAATAGAGGAGCAAGGCACGTTGTGCGAACAGATTTAAGGAGTAACATGAATAGAATAAATGCAGGGATGAGAAGAGGACGAAGGTTGAACTGCACGAGTGATGTCTTCGACTTGCCCAAACCGGCTAGTGACAATTTGAGATGCCTCATTCACGTTCGACTACACCCACCAAACCCGGGGTATTACATCGCCTACAAAAGAATCAAAGTAACAATCCAGCCTTACTCAACGCACCCACATCCCCACCAGCCTCAACGACCGCCCGAATCGCCGCTTGGCTAAGTCTGCGTCGCTTCTCAGCCGCTTCCTTCTCCCGCTTCGCTTTCGTCTTCGAGCTGCCCGACGGTGCAACTCCACTGAGCAATTTCGTACTATCGTCCGGCGTGAAGTTGACAAATCCACTCCGTTCGACATGCTGCGGATGTCGGGGGGTGGAATTGGTCGACTTCGTTCTGCGATGTCGTGATGCTCGCCGTGTTCCTGAGGCTCTCTTCGATGATCGCGGCTCTGTCGTTGGCGGAGATGGCGACTCGGAGCGGTCGTATGATCGCGTGTGACGATGGTGCGGCGTACTTGGAAGGCCGTGCAGGAGCTGTTGGTTGTATGTGGTTTCAAACTCGTTGTGCCTGTACATGGAAGCTGTCGGCGGACAGACTAATGAAGGCTCACAGCTGATTCCGAGACCATTGCTGTTGGCCATGTGGTTGTTCTCCAGGGTGGGTAAGATGCCGAGAGGCAGACCGCCCATCGGTGCATGAAGCTGTGTATACGGTGATGAAGTCTGCAGTGCATCTGCAGTGCACCAGACAGCACTATCCGGTGAGGTGGAAAAGCCAAAGTCGAAAGATCCGATTCGGTTGGTAGTCAGCAACGTGGCCTGTCCGTTGTACAGCGGAGCAGTGTCGTTCAGCGGGAGTGATTGCTGGCCATATTGACTCGCAGGATAAAGAGGCGGGGGTTCAAAGTAGGAGTTGTGTGCATGCGCTGCGTAGTTCACCCTCGGCGACGCGATAGGGGTATGGATGTACGTCTGCTGGAACGACTTTGTCAGAGGCGAAATATGCTCGTCGTAGGCGGAGTATAGTCGATCAGACCCGAGCGCAGCAAAATCTTCATCATATGGCGTCCTCCCAGAAGAAACGAGCGGCGCAGGCACTGCCGATGAAGGTACGCGGAGTTCGTACTTCTTCGGGCTGGCCTTGACCTTGTCCGTCCACACATCCCTGAACCCCGAACGATAGCGCGAGGGGTCCATCATCTTTGATGGGCTGGCGCTGCACTTACGCGGACTAGCGTGCGGATTGGCAGAGCCGGCTACTGCTCCTTTCGTCACGCCTGTCGGTCGGCCACGCGACAGCGAACGGGATGTAATGTTGCGCCTCTTTCCGTTTGCGGCGGATCTTGGGAGTCGTTGCTGGCTGTAATACGATTGGTCTGTTGGCGATAGCGTGACAAAGGGTGGCGAAGGATGTCCCCCGAGGCTCAGAAAGTCGGGGTGGGATTTGGTCGTTCTCAGAGTTCTGGCTTCACACTCTGCAGCGTTCCGTTCAAGCGCGTTCAAAGTCTTTGTCCAAAAGTCGACCGGTGCTTTGGCTTGGGGCTGTAGAGGATTCGGGACGAGGGGCTCCCACGAAGGCATGGGTGATGTGGCTTCCGTATGGTGGCTTTGTTCGCTTGACCCCGAAAAGTCGAACAGGTGGACCGAGTCATTCGAGCTGTCTCTTCCATGGTCGATCTGCCGAAAGCCAAAGAGGTCATCGGTCTCCAGATACTCGTCCAGGACATTGTTGCAAAGGCTGGACCATTCGGGTTCTTTGTTTGACTGCCGGATCAGGTAATCGGGCTGAGCCCTGAGCAAAGCCATGTCTGTGATGTCACGGCCAACGCATGCTACTGCAGTTGTCGCGATCGAGGATTGAGTAAGGCCGTGTACAATCTTGCCAGTTAGGGAGTGAATCAGGAAACGTAAGACGTTTGCGTCGTGAACCGGGAATGGTTTGGTAGAATGTCCATACAGTGAACAGGGGTCATCTCGACGACACGACATGCAATTGGCAATGGTAGATTCCTCAAAGTAACCCCAGAAACCACAATGTTGCCGAGTCGACATGATGATAGATGCTGGGCAAGCTTGTGCAAAAGCTTGCATTCCTATCTGCACGTGGAATGCAGAGGAATCCGAACGCCAATAGGGGAAATTATCACCCCTCGCTCAGTGACCTCAAGATCTACCCAGTCTTGGGAGTTGCATCAGTCTCGCCCAGATATTAGAGACATTACTCCAGCTCTGCAGCCTCCACCCGCCGCGCCGCAGGGGCTTGCGGCACATTTTGTGGCTGCAAGTCTTCTCCCTGTGCGGTGGATGTCTGACCACACGCCTCCATATGCACGCCGAAAGTGCCCATTGGGCAGGTACAGCGAGTCGATGCAGTCGGTGTGCTCGACCAGGTGGCAGCATGTGCAGGAGGCCCTGGCTTGGGCTCCGTGGAAGTGTTGTCCTCGCTCACCGCCCGAGTGTGCTCAGGCCTGACAAAGTTCAAGTCCGCTCGTGTTGCCTTCTCGATGATGCTGTCACAGAGTGTGGCATGCGACTTTTTCAGATTTCGCTTGACAAAGCTGGTAAGGAACACGCTGCACTTGAGGTCCACCACCTCTTGGATGTACAGACCATCGCGCGGCTTGTTCGAGCCAATCTCGACCTCCTCCCTCGGTTCTCCCGGCGCGTTACCCCCAACGGTCCAGCGGCCTCGAATGTCAACGCCGCCAGCGGCGAATGTGTGCGTCTGAAGGCCAGTGGGAATATCGTAGAAGCCGGCCTTGTAGCTGACCTCGCCTTTGATGGGGGTATAAGGCACATAGGTGATCATATCCGTGATTTCATACCACACCATCTCTTTCGCCTCATCGGGCGTCGCACTATCGTGGGGCGTGGTGAGTTCGTGTCGCAGGACGAGTGGATTGAGCTGGATCATCTGGCGGTGGTTGTGCAGATGCGCGATGGCGGCTTCTCTCGTGACGGAGGGTGGGAGTGGGGTAACATGGTTCATGCGCGTGAGCCTCGACATGCTGAGGGAGGGTAGGGCGGGACGAAAAGTCCATTCGCCTGTGTTGGTCATCCAAGAGGCGGATGGCTATATAGCCATGGCAGAGATCGGAAAGCAGGACGTGCTGAGGAGGCCGAGAGCCCGAGAGCAGCGCTTCCCACCAGTCAGTGGTGAGAAGGTGGCTGAAGCTGAAACCGCTGGGTGCCGGAGGTGTAACAGAGTGGGTTTGATGCAGCGTTGCGTGAGAGCATAGCACTCGACACAGATGCAATCAGCTGAGGTTAAAAGAAACAAGGAACCTCTGTTGAGACCGATGCATCCTTTCCAGGTTTGGTTAACATGAAGCCATCCTCAATCAGCAAGCCTTGCCCAATCCGGACGCGCCGAGGTCCATGCACGTGAATCGCGCCATGACCACTCGTAAAGTCCACAAGTCTCATCAGCGAACGCATGACGACACTCTGTGATGAATTTGCGATGATCTAATGTGAAAGATCGTTCTCAAAAAATGTGCAACCCTTGACCGTTATCGTTCAGCTCCCTAGTACAGAACCTCGGACTGGACAGGCGGCAGAACGAAGGCATCCAGCCCGCAGATACGGCTTCGCCCTTGGGAACGACTCACTCTACTCCTCGCCGCGACTCTCCCTTTTTCTCTTCAAAATGGCCGTTTGGGAACAGATAGAGGCCACGCCATCACACGTGACATATCTAATCCTCTCCACCTTTCTGATCTCCTACGCCCTCGGAGCGGCGTTCATTCGAAATCGCCTACATCTCAGCGAGCCTCCCATCGCCCTCCTGGTCGGCATCGCCCTTGGTCCAAAGGGCTTAGGCTGGCTGACGCCGAACCTTCGCGGCGTGCTGGGCGATCACTGGAAAGACAATGCTGCAAACTCAGAACTGGGTGGATGGGGCTGGGGTGAGCATCAAGCCTTTTCCTTCCAAGTTCCGCGTGCTGATGCATTCCCTCAGGTGACGATGTTGTTCAGGAAATGGCGAGAATAATCGTCGGTGTACAAGTCTTCACAACAGGGTTATCCCTACCTCGGCACTACATGAGGTATGGACGCGTGTCTTTTCCACCGTGGCAGAGCTGATCCATAACAGGAGACACTGGAAATCGGTCCTTTGGCTTGTCGCTCCTATCATGGCCGTCAGCTGGCTCATCTGTGCGGCCTTTGTGACCTTCATCTTCGATGCTGATTTTCCAACCGCCTTGACGATAGCCGCGTGCCTGACTCCGACGGATCCAGTGTTGTCGTCGTCGATTCTCTCCAACAGCCAGTTTTCCAACAGGGTGCCAAAAAGAATCAAGGACATGCTTTCCGCGGAATCCGGAGTGAACGACGGTACCGCGTTCCCCTTCCTATTCGCTGGACTGGTTCTCCTCACAAAGGACTCAGCTGGCGAGGCGGTGAAGGAATGGTTCCTCATCACGATCCTTTGGCAATGTTGTTTCGGATTGCTCACTGGGTTGATCCTGGGAACCGCCGCCAACCGCGTACTGCGAATCAGTTCGAAATCCGGATTTATGGACCCTAGCGGATTCATCGTATTTTATTTACTTCTTGCGCTGCTTTCTTGTGGAATTGGCAGCACGCTTGGCGCTGATGACTTTCTGGTCGCCTTTGGCGCAGGCTACGGCTTCGCTCGCGACGGATGGTTCTCCAAAAAGACGAAAGAAGCAGATCTGCCCGATGTCATCGACTTGCTGCTCAATAGCGCCATGTTCGTATTCTTAGGGTCATTGATCCCGTGGTACGCATTCGAGCCGACAACAATCACGCCGAGCATTACCCCTGGCAAACTGATCGGCTTCTTAGTGCTGGTTCTGCTCTTCCGCAGGCTGCCGATTATCCTTTGTTGTTACCGCTGGATACCTGACATTCGCACCCTCCGCGAAGCGCTTTTCTGCGGTCATTTCGGACCCATGGGCCTCGGCGCTATCTTCCTCGCCATCGAAGCTCGCGCTCAGCTCGAAAATGGGACTTCATTACCGGAGAAGAACCCTCCAGAGTATGGCTACCCATACACAAACAGAGAGCGCGCCGTTCATCTAATCTGGCCTCTCGTATGTTTCATCGTCCTCGGATCCACCATGATTCACGGTTTGTCGGTGGCGGCGATGAGCGTATATTCTCATTTCAAAAGACCAAAGGAGAACCGCGCTGGCATTTTGGCGGCCGAGACTGATCCACTCGAAGGAATGGAGCATTCAGACGAGTATGGCAACAGTGCGTCCGAAGACAGCGAGGACGATTAACGGTGCCAAAATCATCAGCGTCTTGCCGGAGTGTACATCGTGCGAGTTCTGTGGCTGAGCAGCTGGTCCAACTCGCTTCTCATCTTTGCCGCCAGATCTGGAGAGAAGAAGGCCACGCCCAGTTCTTGCGACGTATACCAGCTCGCTCGATCCATGTTTCCGCTGCCGAATATCACGACTTCTTCATCGGTTATGGTCACTTTGATATGCGACTGCACAGGTTCTGTTGCAGCGTCCACTGCCCTCGGATCGGCCGAGTAAAACTGGACGGATAGCATTCCTGGGCTCGCAATCAATCCAGACTCGACATCACTGGAGTCGGCATCTCGTCGCTGCATCAATCGAGCGTGTCGCTTCACCAATTTCTTCACGCAGCGTTTGGTCGTCGTGCCGGCGGTGAGGAGCTGCTCGAGGATCATGAGGCGCTCGCTGGTCACGACGGCCACGGTCACTCCTCGCTTGAGCGCGGCCAGGAGAGCGGACAGGACGGGCGGAGAGGTCAGGTTAGGGGTTTGAATATAGATGCTTCTCTTGGCATCTGCGAATGCGGCGAGAAGGAAGGTATTGAGCGGTGTCTGCGGAGGACGAGGACACGAGTTCCAAGGAAGTGCGAACTGAGGATTCCGATGGTGCGGTGAGAGGAGGAATACGGACGTGATTTCTTTCATCTCGAGGGTCGTAGAAGTGAGACAATTCGGACCGCCAGCCACCGGTCTCCTCTCCGTACTGTCGCCGGCGCGTCCACTCGTGAACTTCAGGTTCCGGTCGCCATCACTAGCCCAGAAACCCTTCCAGAAATTGACAAAATGGTCGACGATCTCTCCCCGTAACTCCAGGCATCCCTCGAACCAGTTTTCCCAGCTCACGTTGCAGCTCGGCAGCAAGACCGTCGCCCGATCGACGATCACGAATTTGGGATGCATCACGCTGAACGGCAGCACGAAAATACTCTTGATCTCGAGATCTAGGCCTTTGAGGTCCTCTGGCCGCGGAAGCCCGAGTTTGCGGTTGCACTCCGAAGGCGCGTACGTGCGGCCTGAGAGCGAGGTGGTGTGGAAGAGTTTCTGGAAGAGAGAGCTGGAGGAGAAGCAGATGCGGACTCGGATCTTCTTTTGCTGTGTTTGGCCTTTTCGTGAGAGGGCGAGTAGTGTTTCATTGAGTGCGTCTAGTGTCCCCGAGCGAGCCCAGAAGCATGTCACGATAATGATTTCTGAATGAGCCGCGGAGATTGCGGGCAGGATGGAGTTGGCGTAGATGCTATGGCCCGTTCCAAGCGTGAGATTCTTGATTGAGGCTGTGGTGATCGGTTGCGGAGAATTGGCGGCGCGCTGCTCTCGCGGAGAGACGCTGGCCAGCCATGGCTTTGCCAGAGCTGGACCGGACATGGTCATGAGTCTAAATGGAACCGCATGAAGGCTTTGCGGAAGTCCGGCGGGTCTTAACGATCGTTTTCTCGGAGTGGATGTGCCGGAGACGATGTTATCATGTTATTTCTGCGAGGTGTTGACAAGTGACGTGAAGAGGTGTCGTCTGGGCATGGTCGACGCTACGCCCGCTGCGGATTCATACTGGCTGTCTTCATGTTCCAACAACAACAACGAGACTAAGGACTAATATTGGGAGAACAAATTCATGTACATGGGCCAGCAGGGCCAGCAGAGCACATCGAATGCATTCGTCAAGTACTGCTCGTCTCATATACTCTATTCCATCCTCCTCGCCCCAACGCCACGCTTGCCTCACGGAACCTCCTCTGTCGACCTTCTCCTGGTGCCAATCATCACTGCGGTGGCACGTACGGATGGACGAGCATTTCACTGAACTTCGAGAGGCTTTCCACGCCTCTTATTTCCGAAGTAAGCAACGGCATTTTGACGACGTGGAAATCTTCGCCATAAAGATCATCGATCTGCTCGAGATATTTCTTCTGCATCTTCCGTCTCGAGTTGCATTGCTCGCAAGGGTTATCCATTTTTGGGTACAATAATTGATTGACCACTAGGGCGTGGGTGTCGATCTGATACGTGCCGAGCTCCTGGATCATGCGTTCCGTTTCGTAGAGCGAGAGGAACTCTGGTATCATGACGGGGATGAAAGTGCACAAATCGGGGTTCTTGAACTGCTTGTTGACCTCCCCAATCGTGCCTCGCAAGTCCTCCATCCGTGCCAGCACGTCCTCAAAAGACTGGCCGTTGGGAAGCCCACCGCGGGCGTTGACGAGGTTGCCGATCATGCCGCCGAATTGCTGTGATAGCTGGCTCAACTTCTCCAGCGCCTTTTCCATCACGGTAGGAAACTGCAGGAAGCGCAGGGTGTGGCCGGTCGGTGCGGTGTCGAAGATGATCAGCTCGTACTCCATGCCCTTCACCTGCTTCAGCACTTCCGCGAAGCTCATCGCCTCATCCACTCCTGGGATTGAAAATGCCATGTCCTGAAACATATTGCCAACACCTCCCAAGCCACCCATGGCATCTTGCGCCTCATCTCCTCCCGCGGCAATCAAATCGTTGATGCTGCCGTTCGGGTCAATCTCCATCGCGGCCAGGCCGGGCACGCCTTTGACTTCTTGTGCATCTTTTCCGAACTTCTGGCCAAACGCATCGGAAAGGTTGTGTGCCGGGTCGGTGGAGATGAGGAGGACAGATCCGCGTGCTTTGGCCATTTGTATCGCAAGGGAGCAGGAAGTGGTGGTTTTCCCAACGCCCCCTTTTCCTCCGCAGAAGATCCATCTTAATGACTTCTGATCGACGATGGATTGGAGGGAGGGATCAAGTTCGGTGTCGGAGTCGGCCATCGTGGCTGTTGTGTACTGGGCTTGATCTGAGGTTGGGGAAGGCTTGTGGGCGGATTGTTTGATCTTTTGCTCGATATGCGGCGAGAGGTGGCGGGTGGAGGAAGCGGATGCTCGGATGCAGGAGGACAGGTGGATGCAGAGAGTGGCAGGAGAGAAAGTTGGTTGCGGACGACGTGTTGCCCTTGACGTATGCGGCAGGTGGGCTGCAAGAGGACAAGTGTGGCTTGAGCTTCACTGGACAACGTCACACCAGCCACACTCGCCACAAGTCCATGACTTCGAAATATCTCCAGCATCCCATCTCATCTTCATCGCCCTGCTTGAGTGGAGGATCGAACAATGCCAGACCGCTAGCACATCTTCCATCACATGTCGTCCGGACCGGGTTCCTTGCGCCAACTCTGGTTTCGATGGAAGGCCCTCAACCTCCCATGGAGACGCCAGTTTCTCGTTGGATTCGACTTAGCAGGAAACACTTTTTGGCAATTTAAGGACGCGATCAACGCCAACCGCCTGCGACGTATCGTCAAGTTCTCTCGCAAGACTCATCACGCAGACGTCAAGATCAGTCGTATGTTCAGCACGCCCAATCAACAGCGACTACTGCTAATATCCTGACCAGCACAATGGTATCAATGGCTCCACCACACCCGCGAAGCGGCGCCGACCATTCAAGAACAGCAGTATGAGGTATCAAGACAGCATATGATGAAGCAGCTTGCTGCAGAGGCCGACGAGCGATGGAAGAGCAAGCCAAGCTACCTGGATCCGCCTTCGCGCCAGCAGCCTGTCCCGGCCGTGGCATCTCCTGAATCCGCTTCTCCACCGCAGCCAGAGCAAGTCGAACAGCAGGGTGTCAAGAGTGGTGTGGGAGATCATGAGGAGGTGAATGCGGCTGTGGGCAAAGACAAAGGCAAAGCTCCAGCAGGAAAGCCCGCTGGGAAAGAGCCTGGGCCGTGGGATCGAGCGCAGCGCGGCGCTCCCAGTGAAAAATGGCAACCTGCGAGCTGGACCCCTGGCATTGCGCAAAGGCGGTGATGAACCATGGTGCAACAACAATGCATTGGCGGATTCCAGTATATACGAAAACAACTGAAATGCTTACAGCCATGCCCCGCATCTCTTGCCGATCAATCAGTCGAGGGAACACGAGATTCTTACTGCAAAGAGCTCTCTAATCTGACTGTCTTTCTGAGAGGTGCGCGGCAGTCATGAAAGTCACCTCTTGATCTTCATATCACGCACCAACTGATATGGGCAAGAGCAGACTGGTAGGGATGCCAAGCGCCCACCGCTGCCCTCTCCTTTACAGCATCACTGACGAACGCAGTCCATAACATGGACAGAAATGCACAAGACCAGGGTTTTAGCGGAGACGTAGCGAGTGTGGTGCAAGTCATCTTGGCACGTCTCTCCAGCAATGGCGCAGACGGGCTCGCCAGCGCCTTCCTCTATTGATGTATGCAATCTTTCTTTGTTCTCCGAGACCCCTCTCTTGACCATTACGATCCTCTCACTACGACAAACAGTCTTCGGATCAAAAGGTCGGGGTAGATCAAGAGCTGGATCCCGTCATTCCAAAGAACAATGATGGAACCTGCGCCGTGGTCAATCAAGGTCGGCGCTCACGGGCGAGCACCAAACGAAACTGATTAGGACATGAAAGCTCGGCTTGGGTTTCAATGCATTCTCATTTACTCTTTGCTCATTGCCTATCTCGAGTATGCAGGCGACGCATCCACTATCTAAGAGCAGTCACGAGCCATCCCATACCATTCCTCCGTCTCGCGTGATATTCCCATCTCCATTTCGTACCTGCTTACGCTGTCGGCAAACTCGCAACCGCGCGCACGGCATGTGCTGAAGCGCAAGCGTTGATCTCCTAGCTCAATATCGAGGCGCACCGAAGATGCGGCACATCACCCCTTCGGATTGACCGTCCTTGCTCACGTCAGCTGCAGTGACCTTGGTGTTGCTAGCGTTCGCCATCTCTCTCATGAAGTCCGTCACTGGATTATCTTGTCCCATCTCCTTCTGATCGTAGAATGGGACGATGGCAGCACACAAACGCTCGTCATCGCGATCTCCAGGACGCAGCAGAGCATGGAAGTGGCCTTCGATGTTCATGGGTCCGAGGCGGCTGACTGCACTGAGGTAGGCGTTCAAAAGGCTGGCCGGAGTGTCGTACACGGGATGTGTCTTGTACCAGATGATGCTGGGATGGCATGGATAGCTGACTCCGCGGATTGCGAACTCTGGGGTCATGATCAGAACCCTGACCCCTTCTTCGCACTTCTTGAACTGGCGAACGTAGACACGGCCCTTTCTGTTGTAATTCGAGCCAGTGCACACGCGCACCTCCGATGCAGCAAACACACCCTCATTCACCAGGTAGTCCGCGACACCCAGGCAGCTCAAGCGCTTGTCGGCAATGATGAGGTAGGAGTGATCGAGCTTGCCTTCTTTGATGTCCTCGGCGATGATGCGTTTGATGCACTCGTTCCTGGCCAGCTTGTCATCGTTCATCGTTTGCAGATCCGGCGTGGTAACTTTCTCATCGGCAGCCTGGGTGTTGTCAGTATGTATGAACGAGATAGAGAACAACCAACACGTACAGTATCCTTGGAAGTCATCATTGGTGCGGTGTTGGTACCTCCCTCGCTGGCCGTAATTCCCTTCTCCATGTCGTTTCGCGTCGCTCGGTGTTGTCGGGACGTTGTTTGTGGCCAACGGCGTTGTTTGTAGACGAGTTGAGATGAATGAACGCTGGACGGCAACCCACTAGAGACAGTTACAAGACAGCCTGGACGAGCCCTTGCGTGTACGTGCGCGCTCGGGAGGTTTGTGCTGCGAGGCCTGTATCATTCAAGAAGGGATTTAGATCCGGCTGTATATCGAAACTTATCTTATACATTCTCCACCGCCGGCAACGCTAGCGGGCCGCTCCATAAAAGCTGGATTCAGATATCCCGTGCTGTGATCGGATGTACGCAGCGCGATCAAACTCGCCACAGCCGCCGGCTCATATCCGCTAAGCCTCAGGTTCAAGCCTCTTTCAGCCACGCCGCCAGCGTCCACGAGCTCTGTTGGCCAGCACTGTCGTTGGGAGCACCTCCCTGGTCAGGTCTAATACTGCGGGCTTGATTGCAGGCTTGGAATGTTGCATCCATCGGGCTCCAGGGCTGAGAGGCGGCGCCGTGGGCGGGTTTGCGCAGATTTGATCTTCGGGTCTCGATGCTGGTCCGTACAGTGTCAATTCGCTGCTATCAATCAACTTCGTGTACTCCAGCACGACTAACACGGAATCAGTGGCCTTGTTGTTCTTTACTTTCTCGCGCCAAGTGCTGCATCTCGGAAGGTGCTCGATGACCGGTTTTGTGTCCTGGAGATGCAGTTCGCGCGCGGTTTCAAGGCCTTCCTTCATACTATCATTCAGACTCCAGTCAACTTGGCCCTGTCTTACTCGAACGTCCCAGTGAAGAGGGTCGACGCCGCTCAATGCAGCTAGCCGTTGTCCGGGATGGTCAGCGCTTGCGTCGCATTAACACGCAGGCTGCCATCGCCGGCCTGTTTGAGAGATACTGAGATGTCTGCGATGATCGTAGACATCAGGAAGACGGCCGAACAGGATCGTCTCAGCTTCAGCGCGGTGGAAGATGGCGTTACATTCCGCGTCGCATGAGGTGAAGTCCAAAGCCGTTGCGGAGTGGAGCCGTTTGGGCTGGCTTCGCCGATCCATCTCCACAATTCCAACCACGTTCCAGACTCTACCTCAAGGCTGCGGAGACCCTCTACAGATAATGCACATGCATCATCTCATCGCTGAAAGCATTGAAGACGGAAACACGACGACATCTGAGTTATTACAGTTACCTCGTCAGCGAGGAGATGCGGCCGGCCGCGCCACACGTCAAGCTTGAAAGCTACGCGGCGGAATTACTTGCAGGAAGACGAATGAACGAAGAAAATAAGTCTGATCGCAGGATTGAAAAGTATTCCTTTCGATTGGCCGTATCAAACGTTTCGCTAACTCGCAGACATACCACATGAAGACTTCAACGCCTGTCAACGCGCCCTGAACCCCGACACTCCATTCACGACCTCCGGTCTTCAGACTGCTCCGGTGTTCACGAGCCCTTGGCAGTTCCCGACGGGCCCGATGAGATCGTTGTGAGATCAAGTTGTCCAGCGTCCTCGGTATCGTAATACGTTTTCTGGAGATCCTCAAACTCGGCATTAGGATCCATCTCATTCCCCAGTTTCAGCTTCTTCGTGGTGACTTTGATGCGCTGGATGACTCGTTGCAGCTTCGTTCTTTCAACGCCCTTCTTCTCCGGAAGGCCAAGTCCTTTCAGTATTCCAATCACGGCGGCGACTCCGGTGTTGATGGCAGCCAGCGCGGAGATTGTCGAACGGCTGAGGCCCTCTTGAGCGCCGACGGTGATGGTGAGGCAGAAGAAGATCTGGAGGAAGATGAAGAGAAAGAACAAGAAGCCCGAGAAGTAGTATTCAATCTTCGACCTTCGTTCGGCGGCGACGAGCTCGTGATACAAGTCTTCCTGGGCCTGCTTGGGCGACATGGGCTTGTCGATGTTCCCAACGAGAATCTGGAACGTCTCCAGTTGACTATATCGTTTGTTGGTGTTTGGCGACATTGGCGCCAGGTCCGTCATCCCGGAGGCGACAGAGGTGGTGTTGATGGCAAGGCCCTTTTCGATATCGAGATTGTCCATGGTGGATGAGAACTTCTGGAATGACAAAGTAATTGTTTCTGATTGAGCTTATCTGGACTGTTTCAACAACGAAGAAGAGCGCGAGGACAAGACGGCGACATTTATCACCCACCTGAGCCATGCAGCCCTCTTATCCTGCAGTGTCTAGAATGGCCGGCAACATCTCGGCGCATGATCACACCACAGCCAAAGGCTGAAAACAGCGAGGTTTGCAAAGCCCAATGCAAGCCCGCAAGACTGTATGCATATCGGCGAAAATCACGGAACTGTGCTGGCAGCCACATCACCAGACTCGCCGAGTGTTTTTCCGTCGCGCCGACCCTCATAGGCCCGTGGCAGGTTGCGTGCAGCAGAGCATGGCGGCTGTGGCTTGCGTAGAACAGTCGCGCCGCTGCGAGGGTCTGCGGGGTGGCATGTCTTCTTCGGAGCTCCGTTGCCTGCCCAAGGGTCTAACACGCAGTACCTCGTGTTGATCAGCCGTGTGCAGAGAGCGTACACTCTTGGCGGTACTCTTGGTATCCTGCAAGTTCGCCTAACCAGCTGCATCTTGCCAGTTCAGGAAGGAACAAGCCGGGGTTCGAGCACCCAATGCTCCCGCATCAAGGGAGCTGGGTTGGATGGAGTGGGGGTGAGTGGACGATGATCGACGCGTGCTGCAGAGTTCTTTGTGGTGCTGCAAAGTGCGTCTGCGGGGAAGGCGCTTCTAGATCCTCACGTCACCAGTCGTCTTCGCAAACTCACACCATTCCTACGCCAGCTTCGAGTCAGCCTCGAAAAAGAAATGGGAAAATCAGTGTGCTTCGACGTCCTGGGCACGTGCTTCTCCTTCGAGGCTGCAATCGACGCCATCGAAGATCGGCTCGGCCCAAGGCTGAAGGCGATTGGTGTGGACCCCAAGACACTCTTCTTTTCCTGGTTCTATGCCGCACAGCGAGACTTCACTTATACGAGTGTTGTGGGCGCGTACACGCCAATTGCGGAAGTTTTAAAACATACGCTTAAACGGTATCAACGAAGATTGCAACCCCCGAATGACTTGCTCCAACCGCTGACCGTGTTTCTACGCAGGGCATGTTACATCGTTGACTTGCCCCGCGAGCAAGCGCCCACCGAAGATGACATCGCGGCTGTGATGAAAGCAGTCACTTCCCTAAAGCCACGCCCGGGTCTCAAGAAATGCTTTGATGGCCTCCGCACTGCAGGCTGGGAAGTATACGGCGTGACGAACGGCGGCAAAGAGACGAGCCTGAACTACTACCGGCTCGCCGACATCGCGCTCGAGCCCGACCATTTGCTTTCGTGCGATGATGTCGGAGCGGCGAAACCGGACTTCCGAGTCTACACGACTGCCAACAAGCATCTTACATTTCAGGGAGTGAGTGATGCTGAGGGTGACAGATGGTTCGTAGCAGCGCACGCTTGGGACTTGATTGCCGCGAGGAAGACGGGATTCAAGACTGCGTATCTGGGGGATGAGGAGCATGACGCGGTGCCGGAAATCTTTGGACAGTTCGACTTGTACCTGGAGGGCATGGAAGATTTGTTGGAAAAGCTCAAAAATCTTGATTAGTAGCAAGGAGGACTCGTTCTCGGTAGATTGTCAAAGATGAAGGCTTATCGGTTCCCTTCTCACTTCTTTTCCGGCTCTCGCTGCTTTCGAGATACGCTGGACTGGCAAACGTTCGAAAATGGTCAACCCCGATCGATTGACTGCTGTCTATGCCTAGAAGTAACATCTCGCTCGTGTCGAAACCAACGAAGTAGCCACGTTGACCACCACCGTCTGGACCCAACCCCTCACGTCTACCCGGAGAACAACCAGCAGAACCGTGATCAACCCTCGAAGATCTATTGATAGCTAATTAGTACAACCATCCCTATGACACAAAGGATCAAGCAAGACATTCCACCATGAGCTTCTGGTAATCCCCACTCGTCTCGCTCCTGACCCTCGCCGCCAGCTCCTGGTGATAGAAGTGCTTGTACGCCGCCTTGCACTGCCGTAGACGCTCGGGATTCCAATGGACCGCAATAATTCTGCGCACCAGAGCCTGATCTTTCGTGCCTGCACCCTTCATTGCGGCGTACAGGAGGTCTGCGTCTTGCTTTGCTGGGTCTTCGGCGCGGTGCAGGATGAAGAGGAGAGCATCTTCCATGTGTCCTGAGAATTCTTTGCGGATGACGTCGTCGAGGGCGCGAGAGTAGCGGGCTTTGTACGCGGTGGAGATGGCGCGGAGTTGAGCGTCGCTGCGAGAGGAGAAGATTTGCGAGACGGCGATTTGATCCGCGCCGCGCTTGCCTTCGGTGTCGCGGTAGAGCTCTTGTACGTCGGCGTCGATTTGCTGCGGGACGACGGGGGTGGATTCCTCGTTGCGACGCGCGGCCATGACCATGTCGAAGAGGCGTTCGGTTTTCATGGACAAGTCGCCCTTGACGTCCGATTCGAGCGAGTGGCCGAACATCTGGTGGTAGTGCTGCTTGATGGCGTGCAGGTCGGCATTGGAGCGGCCGAGGAGGACGTCGTTCATGGCGGACTCCTTGGTGCCGATGCCCTTGACCGAGTCGCGGAGTTGGTGGCAGTCTTCTTCTAGAGGCCCACGGATGATGCCTTCCAGGCCCTGACGGAAGTAGCCGGAGGTTTCGCCATGGACGTCCTTCATGAGGTCGCGGCCGATATCACGGGAGTTGTGGTAGGATGCTTTCACGCTGGCGACTTGTTCTGGTTGGAGATGCGCGAGGGTTTTGATGAGGGTGTTTTCATCGGTGCCACTGTGGAGAAGAGTCAGTCATGGGTTGAAGGGGCTTCTTGAGATTGATACAATGCTTACAGTCCCTTCATCGCACCGCGTAACTTCTTGGCGGTGTCATGCGCATTGAAGCCGGGCCCGTCAGGAGCCATTCGTCCAGCAACGTAGCCTGGAGATGGCGGAACAGGGGGGCCAGATGGAGCCCCGTAACCACCTTGAGCATAGTTATTGGGTGGTGCTCCATAATTGCCCTGTGGTTGACCATACCCGCCGGGTGGAGGTGGTGCGCCGCCGTACTGACCGGGAGGCGGGCCGTGATTATACTGGCCATGTGGCGGGGGAGCTCCGTAGCCTTGCTGTTGCGGAGGAGGGTAGGCTTGATTCCACTGTCCAGGTGGGGGTCCGGGAGGCGGCTGGTTGTAGCCCTGGTTCATTGGCGGACCTTGCCCGTAAGGCTGTTGAGGGGGCGGATAGCCGTCTGGTGGGTATTCTGGAGATCTGATTAGCTCGATACTTCATCAAGATGGTGCGCTTCGGGGATTTTACGCTGATGACCGCCTGGAGGCGGACCATAGTTGTTGTAAGACATTACTGCTTGTTCGACTGATATGAGGAAGTTGCAGAAATGCTGAAGTTGAGAGAGGAAGACTGTTTACTCGCCGAGGATAAAGACGAGGTTATGAAGAAGAGAGAAACGACTTGCCCCCACCAATCGTGCTTGCCTAGAGGTGTGGTCGTAATCGCCGCCAAGTCAAGAGATGTAGTGAGGGAGCGGGGCTGTGCCTGTGCCATGCATTTTACTGCCTCACCTCACCCACGTGTGCCGACACGCATCATCGAAACACAAGGTACTAGTGTAGCAATGGAAGGCTGAAGACGCAAGGCGGTGCAAAGTCTAACTCGACCTTGCATCGACGCTGCTTTCGCCGTGGCGCAGCGTGAAGAAGGCACTGCACGTGATCTTCACTCTGCTTTCCACTCTTGGCACTTCTTACGTCATCGCTGGCCTCCCATTACCTTGACGTTTGCCCGAGTCTTACTTCATCTTTCACCTCACTTGACCTCTTCCGATTTGATCGTCGCTGCACGATGTCAGGCGCACTTGATGAGGCATATGCCCCTCCGAAGTGGGACGATGATGGAAAAGCCACGAAAAGTTAAGCCGCTCCCCGCCATCTCCTACAACTTCACTCTCTCCCATCTCTCTCTCTTCCGTTCTCCAGTCGCGAGAACACATATATCTACTTCCCACACAGACTTCGCTCGAGATCAGCTGATCTAGCCTTGCATAAACTGGGGTCGCCTCGTTCAAACGCACGAGTCATCTATCTCATGGTCACGCGCTGTGAGGCTGAGACCGTCTCCTTATAATCCCGCAATCACCCCTCATTCCCACGAAACATTCATCCTAGCAAGAACACGACCCAGCAACCTCGACCGCAGCCATGTCGCAGTACTATCCACCATCCGATCACGAGCATCGCTCGACGGAACGATACATTCCTGATAACTACCAACACGACCGACCAGCGACACGCCCCTCCCGCGGGCCCTCTTTCAACAACGTATCGATTCCCTCCATCCCTCCAAATCCACAGCACAGCTCGTACGGCCCGCCACCCGTCCAACAACACCACCAACCACAACCGCCGCCAGCTGCACCCGGCACCTACCCACTCCAATACCCACCGCCCGTCCAGCCTTACCCTGCGGCGAACCAACTCCACCCTGCCGCCAACCAACTCCAACCATACCCCACCAACACGCCCCCGCAGCCACAAACATACCCTCCAAACCCCCAATACCAACAGCAGCAACAATACCCTCCCAATCCCCAATACCAACATCAACAACCATCATACCCCTACGATCCCCACAACTCACCCCCAGGCCTCACCCCCTATCCAGCCCCCCACCGCGCAAGCATCGCAGACGCCGACCGGCCCACAAGCTCTCGCTCCCACAACAGCCACCGGTCCAACTCTTCATCTTCCCCCGACCGCCACCACCGCCATCGCGATGATCAAGACTACGACGATGCGCCCAAGAAACACCATCACCACCACAAGCATGGCGATTCTTCGTTGAAAAAGGTGGACTCGCATCGCCCCACTATTGGCGATAGTCTGTTTGGCTTCTACGATTTGGTCAAAGATGCGTTGGGGCCGCGGGACAAGGCTTGATGGACAGGCGAGAGCCATCTGCGGGGACGACAGGACTCAAGATGCGGAGAGATGGTTCCAAACGATTGATGATTATATAACGGCTGGCCGTTTGCTTTTTCCTTCAAGATACCAGATAGTGTCAATTCCTCTCTACCTTTTTTTCCAAATCTAACCTACCAAATGTGTCTTCCCATCCTCACCTCCACCCACTTCCGCCACTTCTCTCCTTTGCAACGCAATCCCACTCCCACACTCTCCCCTCCTCATCTCCCGTGTAAATGGCATTCGGCCTCGGCAGCACAGCCGTGATGCCGGCGACAAAGCCTCCCTCATCCTCATCTCCCCTCCCCTCAGCCGCATGACTCAACCTCCTCACCAGCTGCAAATACCAACTGCCATCAATCAGCGTCGTCAGCGCCCACACATTCGCCACTCCCCCCGCATGCCCCGTGACGATGAGTTCGCGCGACACCCACTCGTTCCCCGCGCCTTCGTAAAAAGCGCAGCAGAGGAGGCGCTCGTCCTCACTCTCGCACACCTTCTGCCTCGTCAAGAGGTGTCCGTTCAGCGTGTACAGAAGGAGATGCGAGTCTTCGCAGAGGAGAATGTGGCCGCTGGCATTGCTGATGCTCGCTGCGCGGATTGCGGGTTGGCCGGCGGGGTGCAGCACGCGGATGCAGTGGTACCTGTTGAGGCCCCAGAGGAGGACGTGGCCGTCTGCCGAGGCGGAGAGGAGGGTGCTGAACATGCGGCTGGCGGTCAGGATTGTGATTGGCGTGCGGTGGCCGAAGAGGTATTGTTTGGGCTGGAGATCGATGTGGTCGCGCGAGGCGTGGATGTTCCAGATCCCGATTGTGCAGTCTGCTCCGCCCGTTGCGAGGATTTTGCTGTCGACGAGCGTCGTTGCGGTGATGGGGCCGATGTGCGTGTTTTCGTACAGGCCGAGGAGCCGGCGGGTATGCGCGGAGAAGAAGCGGATGCTGTTGTCTGCGAAGCCGATTTCCATGTATCGTTCGCCGTGTGGGAGCAAGTGGATCTTGTGAGGGCCGGAATGCAAGAGTCGTTCTTGGGTAGGCGAGAAGGCGAGGCTTGAGATCTGCTCGTCGCTGTGGAGTACCGGGTCTGGTAGTCGGGCCAGGGATTCGACTAATGCGTCGAGTCGTGCAGGAGCCGATTTTTCCAGCTCTCGCGAGGGATGTGATTTGAGAAAGACCTGATGTGGAGTCTGACCAAACGAGTGAATAGCAGTGATGCTCGCGAGGCGTTCAACTGGATCATCAATCGTATCCAGATCCTTCGCGCCTTGGTACGTCAGATGAGAAAACACATTCGTAGCTTCCACCGCAGCTTCTCCCCGCTGTTTGAAGCCAAAGACCAGATCAATCCACTTGTGCAGGTGTTCACTGACGTACGGGCTCTCGAGCGCCTCGCGATGCTTGGACACGAAAACGAAAGGGTCGCCTTTGGCCCACGGCGGTAGTTTGACGTGATTTACAGCCTCATCCCCAGCTTGTTTCATGCCAAAATCGTAGCCGTTGACATTGACGAGGAATTCCGGTAGGTAGAAGAATTCCGGAATGAGCTCACGCACGTCGCCCATGGTATCGCGTGAAGCAGACAGCCAGGCCTTTTCGATTGAATCAAACAGTCGGTCAGCGTGATCGAACGTCCCTCCTTGAAGCAGGAGATACGATTGAACAAAGGGCTGCAGGCGAATGAGATACGATGCCACAATCATCGCCGAGGAGTAGTGTGTGCCGTAGTGGAATGGAGGGTCTGGGCCGCCTTCAAACTCCTTGTACCTCGTCTTGTACTCTGTCGCACGCCCTCGAGTCTGACATCCCATCGGCTTGGACAGATCTCGAAACGACTTGGGATCGTTCAGATCCAGCTCTTCACTCGAGTAATCTGCAAGCACCCAAGGAAAGACGGGATACTGCGTCAGATCGTTGAACGTCCTGCCGGCAAGCGTATTCACCAGCATGAGGTACTGGAAATTGGACATTTCGCCCTTGACCCATTTCTTCGTCGCCGTGTGTGTGGGGAGGTTGTTGAAGACGTTGACAAACTTCGACCCCAGCGACTGAGGAATCTCCTCGGGATTTCGCAGAGTATCCAGACGCCATGAGTCCTCACTCGCAACAGTGATAGAAGTGTGGACTTGAGGGGCTCTAACGGCGATGGCGTTGTAGAGGTCATCGCGGACCTTACTCGACATGCACGTAAGCAGATAGCTCCGCCCATCGGTGAAGAAGATCTCCATTGAGACATCTCGAAAGAGGAAACGGCGCTTGGATATGCTGAGCACCTCCGTCCAAGTCCAGTGTCGTGTTTGGTGATCTCCAAGGCTGTGCTTCGTACCGCGAGAGCCAATATCCTTGCCCGTCATCCACTGCAGATAAGGGTCTCTTTCGTCTTCCGGAGCCTGCGACACACTCACAATTTCGCCATCCGATCGTTGGAAAAAGTTGTCTTGTAGATACAAGCACTTCTTCCCGACCACCAGTAAGCCCTCGCAAGCTTCGAGTCCCACAATCCGCGAGATGTTGTGGAGCTGCTGAACCATATCGCCTCGCTCGAGACTGGTCATGACTTTTCGGTTCTTATCCTCGATAATACCGTCGTCGGCCTCTCGGGGATCGTCCACAATCTCGAACTCGCCTTCCAGTAATTGCTGCGACTCGCTTCGAGGCCTGCCCGATCCGCCTTCTCCGTTCACCAGCGGTGTCACCGGTGCGGGCGACATGATGTTATCGGCCATGGCCTTGCCAATGTCGGTATTGATCGCAAGGTTGACCGTGAGCCGTCGCTCCATGGCCTTTTGCTTGGGTTGGAACGCTTGATGCTCACTCGTATCACGAATCGTGCGCATTCGCATGCGATTCACAGCTTCCGTCTCGTCCAGCTGCCATTTTCCATTGGTTTTGTCGGGTTGAATTCCGCACGGCTGTGTGACTTGCTGCTCGAGGGTGGAAAAGACCGTCAGCAGATGATTGACGCTTTCTTGATGATCTTGAAGGGCTCGCTGCAATTTCAGCCTCTCCTGCGAGTGTACGTTTGACCGCCAGTGGTTCGTCGAGATTTCGTAGCGATGCATGAACTCGTCTGCTTGCGATTCTTCCATCTGCCATTGCCGTAGCTTGTCCTTTCTTTTCTCCAATCTACTTCGCGCCGATTCCTCGGTGCGACGATTTTCATCGGCGACGAAATCGGCCCAGGGCTTCTTCAATGCATCCATAAAGACTGTGTCCAAAGCTTGACGATTCTCGTCTACCCAAGGGAGGAACTCGTCGTCGTCCGTGGAGCACATGTTCATGAAGCCGGTCGATAGATGACGGTGTTCAGACCCGGCGACGTAGGTCAACAGCGTCGCTGATTCCGTGGGCTTCTGCATGAGCACTGTTCGCCAAAGGCTTGCGGCGGCCAAACGGACCGTCTGTGCATCAGACACCAGCTTCATGTATAGTAAGAAGCATATGAGTCGGATGAAGAGCGTCTCCTGGTTATCAGAAGAGAAGAGGATCGTCTGCCAGTAGCTCATTTTGTTGAGAAACGTAGTGGCTTCGGTCTCGTTGATGGACTCGTCCAGCTCCGACAATCGCGACAGGCAGACTCGGAGGAATGCAATCCGGATGCTGTTGATGTTCTGGCTGCAAAGGCGCACATTTTTGACCATCGCCACTTCTGATTGCTGCAAATACTCCAAGAGCTTTCCGGAAAAGTCGAGGAACGGCTGAGCCCCGTCGATGAACCAGCCTTCGAAGACAGCTTCGGACATGTGTTGACAGAATCGAGTGAGATTCGTGAGCACCCTGGTCTCAAGCAGCAGTGACTGGTTCAACTGTAGATGATTCCACAGCTGTGTGAGCGTATGGACCATCACGTAAGACTGAAAGTATGCCTGGTGCTCACGGAATCCCGGTGGTACCTTTTGAAACAAGCCAATGCCGTTGAACTTTTCCTTGTTGCAGATCAGGTCGAGGAAGATGCTGACTACCACTTCAAGCAGCGATTCCACGATGGAGTTCCCTGGGTTCATGGCAACCGGCTCAGCTCTCGTCGGAACCACCGCAGGCCTCAAGGGTGCAGCAGGTGTCTCCCGAATGGGGTTGATAAGCACAAACGCGGACATCTTCCTGGGAACCTGGATCCGGATGGGCGCAGACGGCGAAGGTGTCCGACCGTTTCCATTCATGTCGAGGCTACGCACCGAAGGCGGACGCTCTCCAACCGAATTAGAATGTCCCCTCATCTTGACAGCCTCGCCCTTGAAAGATAGCTCGTCCTTTTCAGACTGCAGTTCCGTTTCTGCAGACAATCGGTCCGATCCAACCAACACGGGATACAGGACAAATAAAATCTCCTGTATATAGCGCGAGCTCACCGCAAACTCTCTGAAGTTTGCGCTTCGACTGTACAGCTCGCTCAAGAATTGCGTGACAGTCTTGAGAATTGCAAAGTCCTCATCCGCTGCATTCTGCTTCACCACATCCCGTAAGCCAGCTTCGAGCATGGCCATGATCACGGGCAGGATTTCAGCATGCTCCACATGGAGACTGTCATCCACGACAAATACATTCACCAGAGAGAAGAGGGTAAAGTCTTCAGCTGGATGGTCGGCTGGAAGAGCAACGCCAAACAGGATTGCCAGACAAGACAGCCAGATTGTAGTTGATCGCCAAAAGCCCTTTAAACGAGCTTTCAAGGTGATGAACCCCCCGTTCTTCTCCACAAACGGACCCTTGAAATCGGTTCCCAGGATTATCAATGACCGAGCCAGAATCTGTACAGTCAGATTGACCACTCGGACATCGTTCTCCGCGAGCAGGTGGAGGAGCCATCGATTAGGCACGGCCTTGTTGAATCGCCGTAACGCAATCGCACTTCGATCTTCGCGGAGATATTTCTCCAATAGCCCAAGCACGTGAATGGCGAGCTCGCTACGACTGACCCCGAGTTGTGGTGTTGATGAGCCTGAGGATATGGATGGCCGCGAACCGCGAATGGCCCTTGCCAAAGATGCAGTCTTTGTCCGCACATTCACAACGCTAGCCATACTCCGCATGGTCTTTTGAGCGCTTGCTCGATCCTCTTGGAGCCCGTACGCCACAAACATTGCCAGCTCTCGAAACATCGGACTTGCTGAAATGTTGTCCAGCAGAGCTCGTAGTGCCTCCATCAGTGGGGAAATTGCATCAGGTAGAAACTCTTCCGACTTCATCGCTTCGATGAGCTTTTTGACGACGCGCATCCTAACCAAGCGCTTCTGATTGAAGGTACAGTGCTTGTTGCGAGAGACAAAGTGGACGAATTGGGTATAGTACAACTGCTGAGTCTCGCGGCCGCATCTCCTCCAGGTGTCAAAGTCGACAAGGAGTATTCTATACGCCATTGGGTTGACAATCATCGACTCCTCCGGGTTGTGTCTGTCGTAACCCATAAAGTCGAGGATAAGCCGGAGAAGTTCGAGTGGTAGACTTTGTCGATCCTCAAAGCTGAGTACGGGTGTAGCCTTTCTTGCGGAACTTGCTGTAGCAAGCGTCTCGAATCCCAACTTTTGACGTATAATGGCAGCGAGAATGCCAAAGCCATTGCCCTTTTCCATGGATTCGCTGATACGCCAGTTGTCCACAACGCATTCGTAGAAGATCTGCACAGACTGCAGGAACGCTTCTTTCGTTGAAGCAAGTTCCAGGAGTCTGACCAGGCTTGGGAGACTGCCGCTCAAGCGCCAGGTTGCATCGTCCAGGGCTTTGGGGACCGCCACAACTGGATCACCAGTGAGGATGCCAGTTCCATACGAGCGAGCCATTGCATCATTGATGTTTGGGATTGATGCGTTGATGGCAACAGCCTTTGCTTTTTGTGCGAGTTGATGATATCTCGCCGCGGCTTTGCGATCGAGCTGGTAAGTGCCACGGGTATTTTTGGGTGTGGTATCGTCGTCAAACCCGATGACAGCAGTGGGGTAAACGCTGAGAAGGAGTCGAGACTCTGGTGCAACATCACTTCCACGCTTCTCGGTTGCTGTAACAATGTCCGACTTCTCCGACTTGTCGGGATGTAGGAGTTCGTTGTATCTGTTCAGCTCTGCCGATGCTCGGTAGGTGAGGAGCGGCCCGAGACAGTCCTGTAAGTTCCCAACATATCTCGGACTGAGGCGGTGGGAAACGGCGACGAACTCGTCCGTCAGTGGAGCCGCATGCAAGTGAGCTCTTGCTAAGGACCACCGCGACATCACTTCGTTTGGCCCATAACGGAGACCGAGGTCGTGAGGAGTGCCGAAAAAGGCTTGCACTGGGTGGGTTCGGCGGGCATTTTGTGCGCCGGATGAGTTTGTGCCGCCCTTGGGATCAAGTTCCTGAGGACTCTCGGGATACGCACATTTGACTTGCTCTACAAACTCGCCGTCCACGAATAATACGGCGGTGCTGTTGATGGAGTCGGAGTCATTTCTCCGGTGGACGAGCGCGAAATGATACCATCTGTCCGGCTCGAACCGCATCGATCTAAACCGCACGCTGGGCGTTGAGGAGCGGACCGAGGTTTGCAGAATCAGCTGCTGGCTATCCTTCTCCAGGTACGTCAGAATGAAGCAAGTCTGGGTGCTGTCGAAAGCTCCAAACAGGGTAGTGTGGCAATTCCGGTCAAAGTTGTCGATTCGCATCCAGGCAGTCAGGGTGTAGCCCACATTGGGCGGGAAGGATCTCGGGAGACTTGGGAACTCGATCGAGGAATAGCCGTGCGGTGTCAAGTCGAACTGGATGAAAGGCGGCCATACGGAATCTTGAAGTGTGGCCAGTGCGAGTTTACGTGATCGGTCCGAGTCTGCACTGCGGTCGAAAAGGAGCGCAACATCGTCAAGCTTTGGGAGACCAAGAGCAGTGAGGGTGGAGAAGAGCCTTCCGAGACTGTTCTCGGTCTGAGAGTCGGGTCGGGCATCGAGTAGGCAAGGGAGTATATCAGACAGTATGCCGGTATTCCACAACGCAACTCGATTTCGGGGGCTGAGTTCGGCAATGGCTGTGACAATTTGGAGAAACAGCAGTGCAGTCGACTTTAATTCTTGAGGGCAGCCGTCGGCAGTGAACTTCAAGCTCAACCGAATTGCCACGGAGCAAGCCTCTGGGTTACTCAGCACCTCGAATCCAGAAAAAGAATGCAGGATATCAGGATCGCTTGGAACGCTGTTTTCAGGGGTTCGGGCTTGGTTGATGTCAATCGAGTCCTCGCCTAGTGCAAAAGCAAGGAGACCTTGGAATAAGGAGCTCAAAAGCAATGCTGGGCCTTGAGCGTCGAGAAGCAAAAGAGCGAGGGCAGTGACCCTTTCCTGCAATCTGGCCCAGCCACCATTGTGGATTTTGAAGTACTTCTTGTTTCCGCGGTGGTCTTTGATGGCAGCGGACAAGACAAGGAGAGAAGATCGTAGCACTTGTCCATAGCTTGCAGCGCTTCCAATATGGAGATAAGGTCCAGGGGCAAGTACTTTGAGGAGAACTTCGAACCCATGTCCGTGGCGAAAGATGTCCTTGGAGGAGTCGTTGCCCTGGAGTTCTTTCCTTAACTCCTCCAGCACGCTTGCTGCTTTGATGAGAGATTTGCCGTCTTCAAGTGGCACAAAAGAATCGACACTTTGCAGTAAGGTGGCCACGGCCGAGTCTCGCTCTGTTGCATCCAGTGCCCGTGTGCCGCCCCGGGATGATGCATGGGCACGCGCAAGACTGACGCGGAGAGCCATTTTACATAGGAAGATGCAGGGCCGGGTCTCTCACTCATTTCTGGGAGAGACGGCCTTTTGCACATCGGCCTGTGGATAACACTCGGCCAGGGCCAATCCCGTTATTCAACGTTGCCGCCGCAGGAGCCCATCAGATTAGGCACGTATATTTCAAGGACTCCTGTTCCGCAACGCCGTTCGACCGGTCGAGGGACAATCAATAAAATCGTCCAGATCGTTTCATTCGGGTCACGTGCGTTTCCCCACTCGTCAGAAGCGGCCTGAAAGGGGTGATAGCAGGATTGCCGGCATGCTACAAGCGCTGTGGTCTTCGAGGAGACGTGAGATGCGTGGCTTACACGGCTCCTCCCGCCCGTTCCGACGTGTGGCGCAGGCCCGGGGCGGGCGATTGCAGTGAAGCGGCGGGAACGGGTGGCTGGGAAGTCGCATGCGTCATGTGTGTCACGCGGGCGGAGATAGCCCGCCCGCCAACGAACGCTGTTGCCTCGAGGTCACGCTTATCGCTGTCCGCTCCAAGCTCTCACCCTCACCACCCTCACCACCTCTTCCCCCTCATTCCTCATCCTCCGCATCTTGGTCGATACTGTATCTTTCAGTGTCGATAGGCTCCTACTTGTCATCCTCCTCGACAGACCCCCCACCTCCCCGCCAACATGAAGGGCGCCGCTGTGTTGGCGCTTGCTGCCACCGCCCTCGCATCACCCCTCTCCATCGCAACCATCCACAGCGATGCCGCCCCCGTTATCTCCGCCACCAACGCAAAAGAGATCCCGGACAGCTACATCATCAAGTTCAAGGACCATGTCACCCAAGAGCTCGCCGCCGCTCATCACGGCTGGGTCACGGACCGTCACACCGCTCTCCAGGTGCAGAAGACGGAGCTCCGCAAGAGATCGGGATTCGAGGGCATGGAGTCTCTCTTCAACGGCCTGAAGCACACCTACAACATCGCCGGCGGCTTCCTCGGCTACTCCGGTCACTTTGATGAGGATGTCATTGAGGAGATCCGCCGTCACCCGGACGTAAGTCACATGGTGTGATGTTTCCATCGTCAACGACCGTACTGACTCACTACACAGGTCGAGCTCATCGAGAAGGACCAAGAAGTCCACACCTTGTCCTCCTCCCACGAGCCCGAGCTTGAGAAGAATGCTCCCTGGGGTCTGGCCCGCATCTCTCACCGTGACGGCCTCTCCTGGGGCACTGTCAACAAATACCTCTACTCCGGCGACGGCGGTGAGGGCGTTGATGTTTACGTGATTGACACCGGAACTTACACCGGCCACGTCGACTTCGAAGGCCGTGCGCACTGGCACGCCACCATCCCCGACGGCGATGAGGACAAGGATGGCAACGGGCATGGCACCCACTGTTCCGGCACTATCGCTGGCAAGAAGTACGGTGTTGCGAAAAAGGCCAACGTCTACGCCATCAAGGTCCTGCGCTCCAACGGCTCTGGCACCATGTCGGATGTGGTCAAGGGCGTCGAAGAGGCCTTGAACGCACACAAGAAGCAGGTTTCCAAGGCCAAGGACGGAAAGAGGAAGGGCTTCAAGGGCTCTACCGCCAACATGTCCCTTGGAGGTGGCAAGTCTCAGCTCCTCGACGATGCGGTCAATGCTGCCGTTGAAGGTGGCATTCACTTTGCCGTCGCCGCTGGCAATGACAACGCAGACTCCTGCTCATACTCCCCGGCCGCTGCCAAGAAAGCCGTCACTGTTGGCGCCTCCACCCTTCTCGATGAGCGTGCGTACTTCTCCAACTTTGGCCCGTGCAACGATATCTTCGCCCCCGGCTTGAACATCATGTCCACCTGGATCGGCAGCAAATACGCCGTCAACACCATCTCTGGCACCTCGATGGCTTCCCCTCACATTGCCGGTCTTCTGGCCTACATGCTGTCCCTGCAGCCATCTAAGGATTCCGCCTACGCCCTTGCCGACATTACCCCGAAGAAGCTCAAGGCCAACTTGATCTCCATCGGCACGGTCGGTGCACTGAGCGAGGTGCCGTCCGACACTGACAACATCCTGGCCTGGAACGGTGGTGGGGAGTCCAACTACAGCTCCATCATCGAAAAGGGCAGCTACACCGCCGCCACGCAGGGTGTCACCATTGAGATGGTCCAGGAGGAGATCATGAACGACGCCGAGAAGGTGGCGGAAGAGGCTCGTTACCTCACCAAGAAGATTGAGCAGTTTGTGTCCGAGGAGATCGCGCAGGCTCTTCGAGAGTTGAGCGAGGCTTAAGTTGCAGTCGCAATGCATGTGTCTCGCATAATGGACAGAGGAGGATTGTGCAAAGCGAGCTTGCGGAGCAGGTGGAGGAGCGATTGTCGAGCCTCAATCACCGCATGATGCATCTCGTGTTGCAAAGATGTACGTTTGCATATTGAGTGCTTTCTTTTGTCATTTGTCTCATACGGGGCTCGTGGAGAATGGAAGCCCAAGGGGTTGCATAGTAGTGAAGAGGTGGTTGAGCCGTTATGGGCGTTGATAGACGGGTGTATTGCAAGCCCTCTACCTTCTGTTTACTTCTCTCCACTATCAATTGCCACTCACTTCAATTGCAGTTTCTTCTCATATACGAGTGATCCCTCGAGCAACGGCGCCTGCCAGATCCATCAATGACCCTGCGGAAGGAGTACGAATGCGAGCATTTCACCCTCTTTCATCCTCCATCCACCTCTTTTCCACGGCATGTCCAAGTCGCATCTTAGAAACATTGCGCACGCCACACAAATCCCAATCCGCAAACATGCTCGCCCGCTCGCACAGCACAAACACCACCCGCCTCCACCGAGCCAAATCCAGCTCATCAACGCACACCGATCCCTTCTTGAGCCGACAGCAAGCTGAACACGCCGCCGTTGAAGCCTACCAACGAGCCCGGCAGCAAGGAGACGAGCCGCATGTCTCCCCTGCCGCTTATCGGCCTGCGCCGCGGAGGTTGGAGCGCAGACGAAGTCAGATTACGGGCAAGACGGAGGGGAGCCATTTCGAGGAGGCTAGGCTTGGTCGACGGAAGTCAGGGCATGCGGGGAAGAAAGATCACGCTTCTGCTGTGGTTTCGTCTTCTGCTTCTGCGTCTTTGAAGACGGGATTCGGAGGGGTTGGACCACGTGAGAAGCGAGATAGTGTTGTTAATGTCGATGGTGGGAGTGAAGAGGTTGTTGTCACTCGGAGGCGGTCGGTGATTCAACCGTCAGCGAGGATAGCTCCTGAAGCTGGTGGGAATCACTCTTTGCCTCCGTCGTCAACGCGAGTGCAGCGAAAAGCGCAGACGGAGTACTCTGACGGCAGTCCGCTTCCGCGTCACCATGGCCGACATCATCCGCCTACCTTGCAATGTCGGCCTTCTCCCCATGGCGGGTATAGCGACAACCTCGTCGGTCTCACAGATTTCGGCCACTGTGTGGAAGCCGTGAAAGCCCACACCACGTCTGATCCAATCATTCCACTGACCTCCGAGGAGCTGGCTTTGGAACGAGACAAGATCTTCCAGGACTTCCATCGAAGGACCAAGCTACGAGAGCGGACGTCGTTCATCCTCGCTCCATTTCAAAAGCGTCAAGGATCCAGCATCGGCAAGGGGGGTTTGAGTGGTTACGATACCAAACTGCCGCCGTTCAATTTTGCCGATGATGGCGCACCCCCGCTGCCCTCTTCTTCACCACCGCCTGTTCCACACACGGAGATTGCGGTAGACAGGAAGAAACGCAGCTTCTCCAACTCCCTCAAAGGCCATTTCATGAAGGTGTTCAGAAAGCCGTCTCGCATCCCCAGTGGACTGCCAGCCCAACACGTCGAGGGGAGGCACTTCCACTTGAAGACCGAGATCATCTCTTCTTCTGAAAGGTCATCCGAAGTGGAAGAGGCCACGGATCCGTTTGCAACATTCAGCCAGCAACTGTACCAAGCACCTACACCAGACGTACCAGTCGGAAGTGGATCCAGCCGGACTGCCTCGACCGCTGCTGGCACATGGAGTACTCGCAACGGGACCGACTTTGGGAGTGTGCTTGGTGAGAGCACTCAGCTAAGACGAAGCGACAGCGTATCGACGCTCCGCAAAGCATCGTCGTTCTTGAATCACTCCGTGAAGAGTCGGCTTCGTCGACCGAGTCAGGCGGACTTGCTGGCCTCGGAGGAGAGTGCCGGCTTATTCTCTGCTTTACAGGAGCGTATGCAACCGTCAGAAGATCCCATGGACCGGGATGAGGAACCCACGCCTATGAAGCCAGGCTCGGCGATTGCTACTCTTCCATCCCAGCAAAAGGTACACTCCCACTCATCACGGCTAGGTCGTTGGGCAGCTCCGACGATCCGCCCCGTCAGTCCAGATAGACAACCGTCGAAGCTCCACATTCCTTCGCCAGTAGCAGAAGTGCTGAGTCCGGATGCGGCACCGCGGTCATACACTAAGACGAGTGGAGCTCAAGACGATGGACAGACGGATTCCACACCACGCAGCCAGTTGCAGCGACGACCAGCGATGAAAGCTTCTACTCCATCCCAAGAGCAAATCGCCAGACGCGTCGAGCGATCCCGAAATAGATGGCAAGGCCCGCTCGACGAAATCTCGCCTCCCGCGCTGCGAACAAGGACGACGGCAATGACAGAAGACAATCCATATGTCCTTCGATCATTGAGCCAAGCGCTGCAGCATCCTCAAGGGGTCCACGACTTGCCTCATCACGCTGAAGTTGGTGTCTTACCAGCGTTGAGCCGTGAGAAGATCCTCTCGCCCAGTATTTACTCTCAGGGATCGAACGAGTCAACGCCGCGTCAAGGTGCGCCGCTTGGCGAGGAAGGCAAGACCAAGGTGACGATTACGAGCCGAGAGGTGAGGAGCTATTCCATATCGCCTGCAAAGCGGGCGCCGGATGGTCACCAACGTAGTCAAGGTAGTCAAGATTGGCGACGTTGGCTGTCAAACGAAATGAGTGCGTTAGAAGCTGGCTCGGGTGGCGAAGGGCTTTCGATGCCGCAAAGCTTTCCAGAAAGTGGCGGTATTGGAAGAGACGTTGATCTCGGTGTCCCAGTCCCACCAAGCATCGCTGTTTCTCAACGTTCCGCCTCGCATGCCGCTTCTCTGGCACCCTGTGACGGCATAGCCAACAAGCCCGAGGACAAGCCACCAACACTTTCGACCACCGACATCACAGTACAACAACGCAAAGCATACCAACCCAAGTCCGCTTTCGAACTACGCGCGAAATACAAAAACAACCACTCACAGAGAGCAAGGCCGATCGAGGTGCGGCGTAAACCTACCACCATCAGCGACAACATTCTAAGAGAAGACGTCTATCTCCTCGAAGACACGACTATCCAGAACATCTCCGCAGGGCCATACGCTTCTCAACATGAGCAGCGACTCGCATCGTCGGGCAACCATGCCAGCGCGAACAAGGAGAACTCGCCATTGGAGAGCGGCGGTGCTACATTGCGGGCAACGTCGAGCTCGCAGTGGCTTGCAGCCGGTAGTGGCAAGCAGCAACAGCAGGCCAGGGCTGTGTCGAGGAAGCTCATGACGACAGGCGACGGAGATGAGAGGGCTGTGAAGCGCTCGCCTTCATCTACGACGGCGTACGCTGGGACTAAGTCCGGGGCAGGAGAAGGAGCAGGAACAGGAGGCTCCTCGCCTGGCCAAAGACTTGTGACGAACTGGCTAGACGGGCGGAAGTCGAGAGAAGATTCGCCGATTTTCGTGTGACTTGTTAGTCAGGCAGTCGGGGTGTGTTGGAGTTGCGCTCTATTTCTACGATGAAGTGTAGTCGAGATCGAGAGGATTAGCCAAGCGCGGAACAAGGCCGACGTGGGCGCGCAATTTGCCGACATTATGAGGTAAGCAGAATCAAGAATCAGCTAATTGCCGCAAAACATCCCTTCCCAATCGCCATATCGGGGCGTAGCTACATTGGGAGGAGAGGATGTTTGTAATACACGTAAGACGCAAAGGGCCAAGACGACGGGCAATGACATCAGACGATGATAAAAATGGCGTGGTCGCCTCTCTGTTCATCCAGCAACCGGCATTTCAAGACGGCGCCGTAGCCGTGCGCGCGCACTAACTCTTCCGCCACGAGCCTGGATCCCATTTCTCACCCATCATGCCACCACAACTACAAAAGGCCCTTGCCCTCCCGCGCTTGTCTCTTTTCGCGCGTCAATTCCAACCAGCCCATACTCCTCTCCCCATTGCATCCATCAGACAATCCACTCTTCGCTTCAGCACCACCCCAGCCGCCAAAATGACCCACGACACCACCGGCCTCAAAGACGCCATCAAGCACCGCCGCACCATCTACCAACTCACCAAGAAAAGCCCCATCTCCGACGAGAAGATCAAGGAGCTCCTCACCCTCGCCATCCAGGATGTCCCCTCCTCCTTCAACTCGCAGACCACGCGCATCGTCGCGCTGTTCAAAGATGAACACGACAAGTTCTGGGACCTGGTGGCCGGCAAACTGAAGCCCATAGTCGAAGGGCAGGGAGGCGACTGGAGCAAGTCCGAGGCGCGGCTGAAGATGTTCAAGGACGCGTACGCTACTGTAAGTCTTGCCACTCACTCACTCCCAGCTCGGAAATGGCCAGTTAACATTGCTGTCTAGATCCTCTTCTATGAAGACAAGGCCGTCGTCAAGGGTCTGCAGGAGAAAATGGCCGTCTACGCCGACAAGTTCCCGCAATGGTCGGAACACACGTCCGCCATGCACCAGTACATGCTGTGGACGGCGCTGGAGACCGAAGGCCTCGGCTGCAACCTGCAGCACTACAATCCCATCGTCGACAAGGAGGCCGCCGAGACGTGGAAGGTGCCGGCGGAGTGGGAGCTGATTGCGCAGTTGGTTATTGGGCAGCCGGCTGAGGGGGCGAGGGAGGGGCTGGCGAAGAAGGAGATGAAGCCGGTGGAGGAGCGCCTACATATCCATGGGGCTTAGAAGTGACTTGTAAAGTAGAGGATAGATGAGACTGCCACGTGCATAAGCGGATTAAGTTCTTCAGAAGGATATGGTATTATACATGAATCGAATTGTTGCTTTTATCCATTGCTGGCGCTCCGCTCCATTCGTCCCTTGATGTACATATCGTGGCCCTCCACCGGCGGCGAGAAGTCGTAAATTGTTGCTTCTGCTCGCAGACTGGTAATAAGGTGCGGGAAACTTTTCTTTAGAAATGCAACAAACATCCTCCCTTCCGCCGCTTTTTGTCGATGATTTCACGGCGATTCCACGCAATCATGCTGCAACCTCCACTCCGACCTGCGCCGCTTCCCCACGCGCGTCTCAAAGTGCGGCGAAATCGAAGACGCCTCCTGGGCCGTGTGAAGCATGGTGCTTTGCATCTTCTGGCGGTACGCATCCACTAAGAGATGGCCATTAGAAGGGGAAACTTTCTCAAAATTAGCCGACAACGACGGAGGGACTAACATGATCGCTGCAGGAAAAGCGTTCGCCCATTGAACGCTCGTGCCTGACCCCAGCTCATGCGATATCCGATTTCATTCAGCGTCATCTCCTTGCGGCGCTGCGATGTCCTCCGCGAGGGCACCGACATGCCCATTTCGGAACCGTCCATCAACGGCACCTGCACCATCGTCTTGCCGCGCGTGGGCAGAGTGGATGAAGCTCCTTCGACACAGTCGTCGTCGTCTCCATCCCAGATGGGCAGCGCTCGTGACGAATCCGTGGGTGAACCGTCATGTCTCGGGTAGAAAGAGCGAGGATAGACGGAGTTGGTCTTCAAATGCGCGTCCGGCATGTCGTCCATCTTGACCTGGTCGAGGACCAATCGCACACGGACACGTGTCCCTCGCTGCTTGTCCTCGACCAGAATAAACTTCCGGCGTTTGGCCTCTGGGACATCGCCAAAGAGTTTTCGTTTGCGGTCTTCCTCGTGGTCGTCGTCGTCGGCGCCATCGCGGGCCACACGTGTTGACATGGTGGAATGGGGTGGATGCATGGGGCTCTGAAGAGGTGGCATCGCGTTGGCGCCCGGATGCGGCGGCATGGGGTACGTGGGGTAGAAGTTCTGGGCGGATCGCGGTGTGGCAGGCAGCGAAGATACGCCATCCGTCACTTCTCGTTTCACGTGCGCCTGAAGATGATGTGGCTGCGTGTAATCATTGGGGACTAGAGAGTGTCAGCGCCGGAACACGTGGTCGCAAGCATGGATGGTGAAGAGAACGAATGCCATACCTTGCGCATTGCGCATTGCCTCATTCTTGACATCTTGCGGGCTCGATGGCTGACCAATACCCAGTCCCGGCTGCGATCCCTTCCTCGTATTCACCTTGGCCATCCGTCGAACTCTTCTGCTTCGTAATTTGGGGTCGGTGTTGCTGTTCCTCCAGCTGTCCACGGCGCGCTGAATCAGTCCGCGCTTCTCGCGCAGGGGCGGGTTGAGCTGCGCCAGCGCCCACCCAATTTCGTTGCAGTCGCGTTCGTAGTTGAGCCGGTTGCCTTTGTATTGATCCTTGTCGCAGTTGGCCCTCGGGTACACGCAATTCGCGGTCTTGAAGTCTGCGCTAAGGTCATCGGTGTGGATATTTGCCACATCACATCGGATGGTGTACTCCATCTTCACGCGATCGCGGGAATACTCAAATGCAATCCACTGCACGCCGTTCTCGTCTCGGCGCACGACAGTGGGTGTTGTTGCCGGTATCGGACCGGGTGCAGCAACGTTGTTGGGTGTCGACATCGATGCTGAAAGGGGTGGGCCGCCTGGTGCCACGCCCTGGGCCGTGGCCGTTTGAGGATCGCCTTGCAAAGGCTGAAGGACCGGAGTCGGCCGTTGTAGCGCGCCCAGAGACTGCTTCGTGTCCATCATGCCAGCTGGTGAATGTGACGATGGCAACTGCGCTTGCTGCATCGAGTGCCGATGCTGCTGGTGGGATTGCTGTGACACGTGCTGCGATTGCGGTTGGGGTTGTGCTTGGTGATGTTGTTGGGGTTGTTGAGGTTGCTGATATTGCGATGGTTGGTGTTGTTGCCGATAATGATGCTGAGGCGGAGGTGCCTGTTGCTGCTGCTGTTGATGATGTTGATGTTGCTGCTGTTGATGTTGTTGCTGCTGCTGCGCTTGTTGATGGTATAACATCATTGGCGGCGGGGCTGTGGAAATAGGTGGATGATAGGCGGCGGCGGAGTGCTGAGGATACAATTGCGGCGGGGGATACGACTGCTGGTGGTAATACATTTGAGGCGGCACTGCCGGCATCGCGTACATGTGCCTTCCATGGGCGTCGGTCTGGGGAGAATGAATGGAAGCGGGTGAGTTAGATTGTGGGGTCTGATAGCTGGACATGGCAGGGTAGTGTTGACGATTCATCGTTGCGTGAGTCGCCATTGACTCTCCCGGATCTGGGATGGTTGTCAGTGGTGGGTGTGCAGGCAAAAGAGCAATGTAGTATGGATAGCGCGAAATGACGTGCCACCACATGATGACAAACAAGCGAGGAATAAACTCACCGGGCGATGCGTAACTCGTCGAATTGCTTTGGATACTGTACGGGCTGGGGTGCGTGGCGAAGTAGTTGGGCTCTCCAGATGGGTGTTGAGGGGCGTTTGGGAGCGATCCGACGTAGGGCGAGTGATACTGCTGGGGAGTGAAGCCTTGTTGGGAGGGGGCCGGAGAGGCGTATGGCCCAGGAGGTGCTGGCTGGAATGACGGATAAGCTTGCGTGCGCGGCGAACTCGTCTGATGCAGGTTGTTCAGGCTTTGCTGTCGCGGGTGCGGTATGCCAGTGATGCCGTGCGGTGCGGCATTCGCTGGATTCTGATCGTCAAATGGGATTAGCAGGGAGTCAGGCGTTGCCTGGTAAGGCGGCCGGCTAGCAGGGTCGTGGATGGATGTACAGCACGCAGCTGAAGGGGCATAGCGGGGGAGGTGTCCAGTGCAGGGGATTTGGCAGGTGATTAAGGTTTCCAGGGCTGAGCAGCCGAAGGAGAAGAAGGAGGGTGGTGAGAAGGGAGTGGACGGGCGGGGAAGGGTAAGGTAGGGGGAGGGAAAGGTCGGAGGGAAAGAGGGTGGTGAGTGAGGAAGCGGGGGAAGCATGCGGTGGGTTGGGAGGGCAGGTGAACAGGGGTGCCCCCAGTGAGCCTCAGCGTCGGGCGGGAACGTACCATAGTGAAGCCAGGCAGCGCAGGATGATGGGGTGGATGACGATGCGCGCCGTCCAACAATGCGCCGGCCTGCAGTAGGCCTGTCGTTGGAGGTTTGGGGGCTCTTCAAACGGTCGCGCAGTTGCAATGCACAAGGTTGCCTGCACGCTTGCGGATGGCGGGCGGGGAGCGCAGGAGGGCGCGAAAGTCTAAAGAAGAGGCGGTCGGGGGCAGCTGCAAGAGCATATGTGGCCCATGGGGGTGCATGCGAGCGACAAACGGCCTGCTTGCTGTCTCGCCCGAGCCGGACCAGGTTAGAGGATGGAGCAGCGCGCGAGGGCGGGCATGGGTGAGGAACAAGGAACAAGAGCAGCAGCAGCAACGAAACGACGACGACACCACCAACAACAACAATGGCCGGGAGTTGGTTTTATTGGACCTGCAGCAATCGGCGAGGGGCGGAGGGTTAGTAAGGGTGTGCGCTGCGCGGGTGAAACATGAAACCCTCCTGCCGCCGTACAGCTGACAAGCCGCCTGCCTGATTCTCATTACTTTTCCCTCCGATCTGTCGCCCAACGCCCGTCCGACACCTCTAGGCAAGCTGGAGCGGGCCCCGTCCAAACCTTCGGTACTCCTTGCACGCATGAGGCCTCCGATCAGCGCTGCCTAGCGCACTCCACCTCCGTTTCTCTCGCCCAAAAACAGGGCAGGGGCCTGCGCTAGGCCGCGTCGGGCAAGCGGCAAGATTGGAAGGAGCAGAGCGTGCTCGCCATCCCGCTCCGCCCCTCTTGTGCCAAGGGTGCCCGGCATGGGAGTGGGAGGGGCCAGGTCGACGCTCGATTTCTGCCGGATTCGGAGTGAGTCTCCTCGTGTGTGTGTGGTTCCGGCGCGGGTCTCAGAGCTCACATGCAGTCAGACGATGTACCGCATGAGCGAACAGCGCATCACCCACCACACAACAGCGGATGGATGCCTCCGACGCGACACTCTGGCATCATTCTTACACGTCGAAAGCGACACTCTACCGCCCTATGCTCCTCGCGTTCCCTGTGACAAACGTTCGTACAGTACCGGTGGAAACTCTCTGCACGCCAGCTCCACCCTCACCGCAGCCGCTAAAATGCCTGAGCTGTAAGGGTCAGCACCCGGCTCATGCATTCCGCTGATCTTTACTCGACCTTGCACCACCTCCAATCTATCTGACGCTGCCCGCCCAGCGAGGCTCGTGATGATTCGTCGCTCCATCCACGCTAGCTTTCGGGGAGACGGTCGCCTTTCGCAGCAAGCGAACGAGGTTCCTCGGCGCGCTCAAGACGCATGATGCAGCTCTGGCCCGGCATGTTCTGCTTCAATCAGCGCGCGTGCTCTATCTTCACATAATCGTGGCGACGTGCTTACTTCCTACGACGTAGCTCCACCCCTCTGCAGACTTTTCGCTAGCCGCGGCTACGCGGGGTTGACGACAGCGCTAGGAGTGGACCGCCATGCTGGACCAGAGTTCGCCTTGCCCCTCCCTGCCAAATGGTGGAAACGGTGGGAACTGTGTGTCGTTTAGTGGCCACATGGCTGCCACGCCCGGAGCACCCTGCTAGCTCTGGCACACGCACCACCCGACCGTGTCACCGCTCAACACACCACCACCACTCAGAGTCGAGTGCCTGCCTTCCATGTCACGCAGTGTAACAACACTGCCGGCCCCGACAATCCCCGTCCCGGACATCCTTGTAGAAGCGGCTAGTGATCTGCATCTCGCACGTGGCAAGCACCCAACAAGCGACAGCCCGAGGTTGCGCATACCGGGTACACCAACCCCGTCCACGAGTCCGTCACCCACTCCCAGACATGAAGGAAAGTGGTCGGCATGATAAGCCTCTTCCTTGATGCAGCCTTGCCCTTCTCCAAGCCGGGAACCCTCGCCCGCAGAGCGATAAAAATGCCTCAAAGGCTTGGACGGTCTCCCATGCTCGCCTCTAACTCTAACGCCCCCGTCGCAAAGTCATTACTCGTCCCTGCATCCCATTGTTGAACAAAGCCTCGATGGAGGCATGCATCACAAGTTGATCTCTTCGAATTGCCTCCTTCTCGTATTATTGCGCAAAACGCCGCGTCGACCGCCGCAGTATGTATTGACGGCCGCTAGTCTGAGACATATCTCCGAGTCCTCCATTTCGTGACAGGTCACATGCGGGGCCACGAGAGCACTCCCACGCCTGAATGAGGCAAGCCGAGACGACGATCTCGCGTCTGGGCACCATCTTGGACTCGCTTGATACTGATTAAAGTAAGGCACGTATGTGGTAAGCTGCCACACGACCCATTGCTCGGGTTGGAATCTTTCCGTCGACGCACTTGCGACTGTGTGGCGTACGGCAGGCTCCACCTTCCTACTGGGGTGTTGCATTGCGACCTCGCCGGATTATTACACCGCGCTTGAGGAACGACAAAGCCAAAGTCCGGGAGATTGGCAGGACCGAAAGGGTGTCAAGGCTTCTGGGTGAGACAGCAGTCACGAATCTATCAGATCATCGGCTGTTGAGTAACAATTGACACGGTGTGAAGGGCGTGCATTTGCCATCGACGAGTAGACGCCTATGGCGCAATGACAAGGTAGTGGCGTTATCATATCTCGCAATGACAGGTGCGTTATGTTCACTTGTCTTTTCCATGCGCTCGGGTCGGATACGTTCTCTACATGTCTTTTCCATTGCGACATCTGCCAGGAAACAGCCCCTGTAGATGACAACAAAGGGTGTCACATGCAATGGGCAATAGTGGATGCTCAAACCGGCTTGTAGGACACAGCGCCGGAATCAAGTCGATCTCATGGAACGCAAGCGTCATGCGCACCCCTGGTTGGCCCGCGCCTAAAGCACCCTGAGCTCGGTTGGACTTCCTTGCGCCGGCTGCGTTGGAGGTGGACCAGCTCGTGATTGTTGACATGTATACCCCGTCTCCCAACTGTGCAGCATCATCCGAAGGCCTGGATTGTTGTGCAGGGTCAGTGACGATTCCATTCTCTCCACCCCATTGCTTGGCAGCGCATGGCAGAATGGGGTGGTGAGCCTGGGGGCTGATAGTTCCCATGAATCAAGCACCAGGCGGTCAAAAATCTTGAACGCCGGTCTGGCCAGTAGGAGTGCCTTCTCCTAAAAATTCCTCATTTTCTTCGTTGAGGTACTCCTCCAACCTCGCCCGATCCTCGTCGTCGCGGTGGTCGTACTCGTCGTTCTCGTCGACAGTCGCATAGTCAAAATCGGCATCGTCGCCTCGCAAGAAGCGCAGCCCCATGATCTCCTCCCATTTCGACCAACCTTCGTCCTTGTTACTCGGCCGGTCACTCTCGTCCTGCTCTACCGCTGTAATGGAGCCATCCCCAGCCCTACGGTATATCAGGGGGTTGTTAGGATCTGGATGATCCAAGGCTTCCAGCTTGGCCTCTGAACGGACGAGGTTGGCTTCAAGGATGCCAGAGTATCCGCGCAATCGCCCTTCACTCTCGCGTTCGGCGGCTGTCTGGAATCGCCGGATCAATCTATCATAGAGCAAGGGATCTGTGAAGTACATTGATGAGAAGTGGAGAAATGAAAGACCACTCCCCAAAGTGCTGCCTACCTGCTAGCTCGAGGCTCGATTCTTTGAAATACTCTGGATGGAGATCAAGATACCGCTGCCGTCGATTCTTGATGCGGACGCGATTGTCTTGGGGCTGCTCAAGCCCGCGCTGGGACCCTTCCCGGTCCGCGTATGATTGTGGCGCTTCTACATCCTGTGTCGGGAAGTGTGGCATGGTCATACGGGAGCGCTCAATCGCGAGCTGAGAGTGTGTATTGAGGGGTGAATGGTGGTGGCAACCTGAGGCGCAGTTCAGCGAGTTACGAATTTAGTCTTTGTGGCTGACAAACCCCCGGACCAATCGCGACCCCGCGTTGGACTAGGCGTTGCTACAGCCACCGGGCAGGCTCCAAATAGATACGGCGATATTCTCTCGTCGCAATCCTTTTGTACGTCTACTCTCTGTTCTGATTGCCAACTGGTCCTGTGATGTGTGCTGTCGACTTTCCGCAAGGCATTGCTGGACATACTGCATGATGGGAGAGTGAAGTGGTGAAAAACAACCCGAGCTGCTGAAACGCGACTCAGCCTCATCCGCTGCACACGAAACAATACTAGGTCAGCAGGGGCAGGGGACGTCACTAGCCCGTCTGTTTGTGCTTCCTTTGCGCTTTCGTCAACCATCAGCTCGACAAAGGATCGTTGTCAATCAGCGTCGCTCTCGCATTGTCTCGCAACTTGATCACAAGAACGATCCGGACGGCATCACGGAATGGCGAACCGTCAGTATGGCATTCCGCCAGGATGGGACCAGGCCACGTCACAACCGCAACCAATGCGATTTCCGTATCAGAGCGAGGATTTTGGTCGACAGCCTCAATACCAGCAACCTAGACAACCACAAACGGCACGATCTCCTCCTCGAAAACCGGTACCTTCTTATGAGGCCAATGACTTTCACTCACCTCCACCAGCGCCTCCGGCCCATTCCAGCGCTCCACGCTCACCTATGAGGAATTCCTTCCAACACCCATCGACTCCAGGCAGGGATCTCCGGGCTCCGCTCGTCGGCGGAGGCGTGCTCGAAAGCCCTGGTGCTTTCGCTTATCGTCAGCCACACGGAGACGATTCACACGTTTTCCGAGACATTGACAACCTTTACGGCGGACGCATGGCGTCACCTTCACCTTCACCTGAGCTTCCAAACTACCCTCTCTCTCCCTACTCTCCCAGACGACCACTCCATCGACCTACGGATAGCCAAAGCTCAATAGCTCCGCTGAGGGCACACGCTGCAGCTATGCCCATGGATGCTGCTCCCTCTTTCCAAAGAAATGGACCTGCCCCGGATGTGAGTGGCGTTGGCTACAGCTACGGCCAGCACATGCAGCAAGGACGAGCATCCCGGCTGGAAGGCTACGACGACTTCGTTGATCCGCACAGTATCGCTGATGACGGTGATGACGGATTCGAACCAGTTCCCACTTCACGACGCGGTGTGTTTGCAGGTGCAGTGGCGGGCGCTGGCGTCGGAGCATCCAGATCCGGTCCTGGCATACTCAACGCTTTTGGATCGCGAGACACAAGTGGGAACTATGGCAAAGTTGCTGGAGGAGGCGATCCGGAGAAGAGTGAATGGCTGCAACGGCAGACTGGGCGAACTCACCGACAAAAATACATCTTTGGTGCGCTCGGCTTGTTCATCGTTCTGGCCATCATCGGAGGTGTGGTAGGAGGCGTGATTGCGACCAACCCAGGCAGCGCCAAGTCTGGCTCCAAGTCCACTCCATCATCGCCCAGCGGTGCCTACACACTGCACTCATCCGAGGTGCAGGCAGTCATGAATAACAAGGACCTTCACAAAGTCTTTCCCGGAATGGACTATACGCCGTTGAATGCTCAATATCCAGCATGTCTGACCGTCCCGCCAAACCAGGATAACATCACTCTTGACGTCGCCGTCCTCTCCCAACTCACGCCTTCGATCCGACTGTACGGCACAGACTGCAACCAGACACAAATGGTGCTAACAGCAATCGACCGCCTGGAGATGAACGACACAATCAAAGTCTGGCTCGGCGTGTGGCTCGAGAACAACGCCACGACCAACACGCGCCAACTCGACCAGATGTACGACATACTCGACCAGTATCCAACTTCCCACTTCGCAGGCGTCATTGTCGGCAACGAAGTCCTCTTCCGCAAAGACATGACGGCCGCTCAGCTCGGCGAGCAGCTTTTGATCGTGAAGAAGAATCTCGCAGCCAAAGGCATCACACTACCCGTATCCACTTCCGACATCGGCAGCGCATGGACTAAAACCATCGCCGCCGATTCGGACATTGTGATGGGGAACGTGCATCCCTTCTTCGCCGGGGTGAAACCCAACGTGGCCGCATCATGGACCTGGTCGTTCTGGCAGAACAACGACGTCGTTGTCGCCGGTCCGGCATACGGGAGCTATCCCCGGAGTCTGATTTCGGAGACTGGATGGCCAAGTCAGGGCGGGAACGATTGCGGGACAGGAGTGAAGTGTCCGACGCCTACCGAAGGGTCGATTGCGGGTATTTCGGAGATGAACGTGTTCATGGACACGTGGATATGTCCGGCATTGGCGAACGGGACGACATACTTCTGGTGAGTTTGAAGAGTGCCTGCATTTTCTGGGAAGGTCTTGCTGATCTGAGAAAAACAATAGGTTTGAAGCTTTCGATGAGCCATGGACCACGATTTTCGACGATCCAACGACGGGTGATTATTGGGAGCCTCACTGGTGAGTTTGAGCATTCGTCAGAAGCCAATATTGTACAGTGGCTAATTCTTGGTGTTGTTAGGGGCCTAATGGATGTCAACCGCAACATCAAGGAAGGCTTGACGATTCCCGATTGCGGAGGGCAGACCGTGACCAAGTTCTGGTGAGGGAGCGTGCAATTCCGTGACATGTGGGCAGGGGCGTATACGGCAGCGATGGGTAGCGTAGTGATGCATTTATTGCGAGCCTGGGAAGCCGGCGCTATGGCACGTGTATTGAAAAGAGATTCGAGGTTCGCTCAAGCTTTCCATCAGGTTGTCGGTCGTGGCGATCCGGAGCACGTCCGAGGGGCAGCCCCCGCCATCCCCCACCACCCGCTGCCCCGCCGACGTAATCGGCATTTGCAACCCAACCTTCACATGCACCTGCAGCTTAGACCTTGCCTATCCGGCTCCATGGTGGCTGGGGATTGCACTCGCATCTCTACCAGCTCCTCTTTCCTATTATCATGGCTCCCAATCAACTTCGCATGACCATCCGTACACCTTCCACGCTCACCGCCGACGAGTGCGATCCGAGCCCGCCGCCCGTCGAGATGATTCACAACCTACCCCTCCGCCCTCTCCGTCAACAACGACCAACGCCAACCCCGCCAAGCGCCGTCCAGCGCGTTCTCAACATCCCCGAACTCCTCGAGATCATCCTGCTCTACCTCTCACAGAAAGACCTCCTCCTCTCCCAACGCACCTCCCGCGCCTTCCGCCGCACCATCCAAGCTTCCCCTCGCCTCCAAAAGTCCCTCTTCCTGCTCCCAGACTGGAGGCTCGAAGGCCGCGCGTTCAACGCCTACGCCAAAGACCAGCCAAATCGTCCGGGTCGAAAACCAGAGAACAATAGACTCCTCCTGCGAGCGTTTCCCACGAGCTACCCAACCGTCACGCTAGTCATTGTCAACGACGGTGACGGCGTCGATTCTACCACGACTAATCCAAGAGACAGAAGACCCTCCGAACACTGGAGCTGGGACGTGTGTATTTCATTCCCCGCCGACCGTGCTCCCAACACCTCCCCGGCCGTCCTCTACCCCGAAGCCTCCTGGCGCCGCATGTTCCTCTCCCAGCCTCCCTGCACATCTCTGCACTTGGTCCGGCGATGGCAGCGGAGCTTGAGCCCGGCAATTGTACGGGAGGATGGGATCAAGATGGGCGAGTTTGTGGACGAGGCGACCAAGACGAATTGTGACTGGCACCAGAGTTATATCAGCAGTGACCGCGACTGGCACTTTGAGGGCAATATCCGCTGCTCTAGTGTGACGGGCGAGGAGGGTGAAGTGTAAGTGCGTCTTCTTGCCATCTCGGTGTGCGGCAAGCGACTAATGCGTGGTCTTCATGTGTAGGGAGCGCACAAGAGCAGAGGAGTTTACAGCGAGGTTTAGGGAGTATCTTTTCAGTCGCAATGGGACTGCGCAGAATGGCTGGAACGGACCTCCGCCAAATGGCTGAGGATGGGAAATTCATACCGCGCGTTATGCCTTCATAGTCAACGCCACCCAATGCAAGCATGCCCAACAGCTATTTCTTCCTCCGTATATCCTCGATGCCATCATTCCGTACAAAGCGCTCATACTCCGCATCGCCCTCCCCGCCCCTCGCCTCCATCTCCCTCCCATCCGTCCCTTCAGTGCCAAAAGCCGGCTTGCCAGCATACAGCATGCCCGCCGTCTTGCGCTCCCCGCCACCCTCCAGCTCCGTCGACGTAGAGATGGGTTTGTTGCCGCGAAAGCGCTTGCGCATGTCGATCTGTCCGCGCTTGCACTGTCCGTAGCCGTGTTTGAGCTGCTGGCATTGGGTGGGGAGGGTGTCGGAGAGGGGTGGGCGGAGGCAGTCGGCGGGGGTGTTGCGGTGGATCATCACACAGTCGGATTGTTGGAGGCAGAGGGCTAACGCCGCGCCTGTGAGGGCAATGTTAATGGGAGAATCCTGGAGGCGAAACTGCGGTGGTCTTTGACGTACGGATGTCTGTGCAGGAGGCAGGCATGGTCTGCGTGGCCACGCGCAGGTGGCGGAATGAGAATTATTATCGTCTTGATGGGATTTGGCAGGCTATTGCGCACATCCTCAGTCGACAGATGGATTGGTGGAACTTTGGTTGTGCTGAGTGGAGACAGGTTGGTCTTCAGAGGACGATCAAGCTTCATCGCTGTCATGCAGGGCTGCAATTAGAGTTTCCATCGGAACGCACGGGCCATTCCATGCTGGACAATGACGACAGTCCATCTTCCGCCAGCGCGATGTGCGCTTTACAATACCGCGACTTCAACTTCCTAGCTCTACACCATCCGACGTTCTATACGGACGATGCCTACACCTCACAGACCCTATCAATAACCTCCTACCACACCACACAACATGGCGCACATCCCCTTCATCGGACGCCTACACACCTACGAATACGTCGCGCTCGCCCTCTCCTTCTTGCTGGCCTTGATCGAACTCGTCATTCGCACAATCACCCTCCTTCTCCCCACGCCCATCATCCGCTTCTGCTATCGCGTCAGCCGCAATGCCTTCAACTCCCTCTCCTCGCCGTACTCCCGCCGCGCGCGCAACAAGAAGAAGTCCGTCTCCAGCCCCATCGCGCAGGCTCACGATTTCGTCGAGCTCTGCGAGTTGTATGGCTACTACGCGGAAGAACACGTGGTTCAGACCAAAGACGGCTATCTCCTTGGCCTACATCGTCTAGCATGGCGCCGGGGCGAGGAGGACATGAGCGTGAACGCCGGGCCGAACTCCATCCAAAAGAAATGCGTGTACCTCCACCACGGCCTGCTCATGAACAGCGAAGTCTGGGTCTGTATCACGGAGAAAGAGCGCTGCCTACCCTTTATGCTCGTCGAGCAAGGATACGACGTCTGGCTGGGCAACAATCGGGGCAACAAGTACAGCAAGAAGAACATGCATTACGCGCCCACCTCTGTCGAATTCTGGGACTTCAGCATGGACCAGTTCGCGTTCCACGACATCCCCGACAGCATCAACTACGTGCTCTCCACCACCAGCCAGCCTAGTCTGAGCTACATCGGCTTCTCGCAAGGAACAGCGCAAGCCTTCGCCACCCTCAGCATTCATCCCACGCTCAACAGCAAAGTGGATGTCTTCGTCGCCCTGGCACCTGCCATGGCACCACCAGGCCTCGCCTCGGGGGTCGTTTCCAGCCTTGTCAAGACCAATCCGGAAATTCTCTTCCTCCTCTTCGGCCGCCGAGCCATCCTGGGCAGCACCACCATGTGGTCCGCCATTCTCTATCCCGCCATCTTCTCCTGGTCCATCGACAAGTGCCTCCTTTTCCTCTTCAACTGGAAGAGCCTCAACATCTCTGCGCACCAGAAGCTCGCCGCCTACCCCCATTTGTACTCCTTCACTAGCACGAAAAGTGTAGTGCATTGGTTCCAAATCATCCGCAACGGCAAGTTTCAGATGTTCGATGACGAAGTCAGCACCCCCATGAGTTTGAACCAGGGAAGCAAGTACTACAAGGTCGCCAAATTCCCCACGCGCAACATTCGCACACCCATCGTGCTGGTGTACGGCGGGAGTGATAGCTTGGTGGACATCAAGCTTATGCTGAAAGAGCTTCCGCGCCACACTGTTGCGAGGTGCATTCCGAAGTATGAGCATTTGGACCTCTTGTGGGCGAGCGATGTGCACGAGCTTGTGTTCCCGCATGTGCTGGAGGCGTTGGATTCATATGCTGTTCCCGAGAACACGAAAGCTAGCGCTCTGGGATGGAGAAGCACTGGACTTACCAGGCACGGGTCAAGTCCGTTGTTGAACGGGTCACAGCCGCCGGGATATTCGGAGGACGAGAGTGTGAATGGACGACTACTGCTCCCAGCTGCGTCAGGCGCTGATACTCTAGAAGATCGAGAACCGACTCATCACATGGGCATGATGGAGGGGAGCGTGGATGAGCACATGGACGAAAGCGACTACGAGGACGACATGGATGCTCTAGCCCTAACGCCACCACAAAACGCACAATTGCCCCCAATCCGACAAGCCTTTTCTCTACCAGCGGCGTTGGAAGGAATTGCAGGTCCGCCTCTGACACCCACTCGACAACAGCCTGAGCTAGAACAGCGCTCAACCCCAGCAGAAGACATCTCAATCGACAACCGAAAATTCAAGAAAGGCGTGGTACGTTCTCCCAGCAACATGACGACAGCATCATCCCTCGCGACCGTCATGCCCGCCGGCGCCGGCGCCGGCGCCAGCGCCCCTCCTACAACTCCAGCTGAGACGAAACGCAGAGTCCTCACGCCTAGCCAGCTGCAGACTCGTGAGCGCAACCGCCGCAGCCAAGTGAGCCAGACTAGCGACGGTCAGGTCACTGTTGTTGCTGCTTCGCCGACGGATTTTGCTATTGCTAATGCTGTGGACGCCGAACGGGAACAGGAGAGAGATGGGAAGAGGATTGCGCCCGAGGGATGGTGGTCGAATACGAGTGCGAGCTCGTTGGGGAGTAAAGGGGGATGAGGCCGCATGCTTTGGATGGTGTTCAGGGTGACAGTGTTGGCATTGATTAGATGAGAACGGCTCCGCGAATCTAGGACGACAGGACGCTGGTTTGTGAAATCTGAAAGGGGATAGGCTGATCAAGACGTGGCTGTAGTCTAGTCATGGACTTGGCAGCAGGAAGCGCGACTGATCCCGTTGGGCTGAGACATCTAGTGACCAGGCTTGCGCGACATTGGTCAATACGATTACAGGCCAAGATATAGAGGCATTAGATTGTGAGCGCAGCAGCGAATTTGTTCGAGCAAATTGAAGTCGACTACTTCTTCCCTCGACTACTCTGATGAACCAGCTTCTTCTTGACGTGCTTTGGTATCTTCTCCTTCCGCTTCTCCCGCTTCTCCTCCTTGACAGCCTTCTTGTGCTCGCGCTTCGCATCTTTGTCTTCGAACCGCTTGCCACGCGGCGGCCCGTCTTCTCTCGCCGACCACTCGGAACCGCTTTCGTCCTCCTCGCCATCACTGCCCTTGTCATCGTCTTCGCCATCAGCATCACGTCCTGGAGCATCATCGCCACCGGCCACTTTCTCCGCCAGCAGACTTTGATACACGAGACTGTCGCCCTCGCCTCGCTGAACCTTGTCCCCGTCGCGTTCAATGTCGTAGACCTGCTGTAGCGTCTGCGGGATGTACTGCTGCCGAAACACCTCGTCGTCCACTTCTTTTTCCTGCTCGGCCTCCTCGCCTTCGCCTTCCGGTTCCCTCGTTGCGTACAACTTCTCCAACACCTCTCTCATCCCCGCCGATTCTGTGGGTTCGCTCCCTCCTACTACGAACCCGAACACCGCTCGCTCCGAAAGAGTGTCCACTCCTTTCCTCGCAAAGAAGTCGGACACATTCTTGACGTCCATGCGCAAGAATTCCAACGAGCGCGGATGGTCGTGCTCCACGCTCTGGCTGACATCAATCACGTACAGCTTGCGCGCATGGTAGAGCAGATTGTACTCTGACAAATCCGCGTGCACGAGCCGACACACTCTGTACATTTTCCGCATATGCCCCAGCAAATCGAGATAGATCTCCCGCCACTCGCTCGCGTCTTCGAGCTGTACGTCTCGTAATCGCGGGGCCGGCCAGCCCTTGCCGTCGCCGATAAAGCTCATGACGAGGACGTGTGCTTTTAGGTAGACCGGGTTCGGACAGGGGATGCCGGCGGCGTGCAGACGGCGTAGATTGCGGAATTCCTTCTCCGCCCACACTTTCACCATGGCGCGGTTGGAGCTTTTGTTGTAGCCTTGTCGGAAGCGGAATTCGCCCGAGACGTACTTGTCGCGGTCTTTGAAGACGAGAATGCTGGTTTTGTAGACTTTGATTGCGCGGTGCTCTGTGCGAGGAGTAGGCTCTTCTGCATCTTCGGTCTGAGGAGGCATGGCGACTGCGTGGTAGACGTTTGCCTCTTTACCAGTGGAGAGGACGCCGTTGATCTCAGCGACAATGTCACGGTTGAGCAGCTGCAACAGGATCATGCGTGTCCGGGGATCGAGCACTTGCTCGCTCGTGGCGCGATCGCTCTTCTCCGCGCCGCCGTGCATCTTGGTCACGCCGGATTCGACATCGTTAAGTCTCAGCTTGGCCGCGTGCTTGGTCAAGCTTTTGACGTGGTCGTCGATGGCTGCTTTGGTGTTGAGCTGCGGATTCGCTTTGGGCTTCTGGGTGTCGGGGATGGAGGTGTCGTTGAGTTTGCGTTGGCGGTTGTAGGCTTTGGTGTAGTCTGCAGGGTTGGCGGCTTGGAGTTCGGAATCGGAGAGTTCTTCTTCGGATGGCTCGAATAGGTCGTCATACTCTTCATCGTGTTCATCGTTCTGGTCGTATTTTAAGTGATCGACTGGTTGACTGTCTTGCGGGATCTGAGGGTTGTCTGGTTGGATTCCCACATAGCCTTGGTTGGCTACAAAGGTGTGCGGTGGCGAAAGACCATGCGCCGGATCCGTCGCCTGGGTCGCCATAGTGTGCTAGATTCAAATGCACTGTCCAGGCCCCTGCTGTGAGACTGTCTCGATTTATTCAGAGCGTGGCAAATCAAAGAGGCGACAAGAAGGCAATCTTCAAAAATATCAAACGTCCAGCGCTGACTCAGTATTCCGCGCTCTTTTGGGAAAGTGGAGCACGGGAGTGCCACAATTCCTCCCCGCACACCTCACTTCATCCTTGCTCCAGTCACACACACCTGTCATTGGTTGCAGACGAACAGCTCGAGAATGGCGGCCAGACGGACGCCATCGGCCTGTCTGTTCTGTCAGTCCCGGCAGAGCCTGACTGGCAGGCGACGTATACGACTCACCGGAAGAAGAGGACTGGAAACAAGAGCAGCCCGACCTGAAGATGATGGGATGATATTGAGCACACCGCCAATTGGAGTGCAACAAAACGACGGTCCAGTCCTTCCTATGCAGGACTCCATACGCCAATGGAGGCTTCACAGTCCGGTGGATGAGATACGAGAGGCTCTACTGGGATTCGATGCACTTCACAAGCGCCGCGATCTTCGCCTCGAGGTCCTCCGCAGCCTGTCAAATCCCTGGCCTGAGCCTCCCCGCGGTCCTCCGGGCCCGGCCAAAAGCCATGTCAAGACTGCGGCCCTTCTCCCGGAAGCCAATGCGGCCCCTGTCCCACATGCCATCTTTCGACAGCGGCTCTATTCGACCTTGGATCGCAAAGCCATCCGAAAAATCATCCGCGTCCAACTTCTGCGCTGCGAACGGCCCGAGGAGATTCTAAGGGTGATAGCAGTCGCCATGCAAAACAAGCTCGTGGCTCAGAACATGGTCGTCCTCAGCGAACCAATCACTCGCGCTCTCTACCGCTGCCGGAAAAACGTCTCCGACCCGCAAGTCTTGCGTACCCTCAACATCATCGTCTGGCGATTCACCACAGCCGGCTACCGCGTCGATCCCTCCTTGCTCCAACTCGGCATGAAATTCGCCGCCCGCTCGCGAAGTCTACCGGCCATGAAGAGATACTTTAAACTGTCACGAGAAGCAGGCGCGGAATTCTCGAGTAATGTCTTTCGAAGCGTCATCGCCAAGTTCAGCATCGGGAATCGTGGCTTGGGGGAGATTAGAAACGGCCGATGGAGCAGAGAGCAGCTTCTGCAAGTCCTGACCGGCTTCGAGGACGAGAGACATCTGCCGCCAGACCAGCAAAACCACCTCGGGACGTTCCTCCACAGGGACAGCTGGCAATACTTACACGGCTGGGTGGCGGTACTCGCGCGCTGCAAAGATAGCGAAAGCGTGTGGCGCGAGTGGGAGCTGTGGAAGCAATCGCCTGCCCGCACCCATCCCAAGAAACTCCAGAGTCAGAATCCTCTCGTGACCAGCAAAGTCCGCGGCGACCATTGGTTCATCGAACAAATGTCCCTCGCTGGTGACCTGGAGAAAGCATGGACGATCTTCGGCGAGTCAGGAATGCCGTTCGACCGGCTCAAGCTTCGCGTCAAGGTCCGCTTGTTGGAAGGAATCGAGCACGCCACCATTCCGAAGGATGCTCTGAGCGATGCGCTGCTGAACAAGTACGACATGGATCTCGCAAAGATTGAACGCGCGTTGGGCGTGCGCTGGGTTGCGAGTGATGACGGCGAGGGTTCGCACGAGCTGTTCACAGATCAAGAAGAGGCGTTGGAAACTCTGGGAGCCGATGACTGGAAGATGGAGTGCGATCTCGCGTTTCCTCAATTTGGGTTTCCGCAGTCAGACGAAGAGGGGGCGATTGTGCCGGAGAGGTCGGAGAGGGCTCTGCATGACGCGGAGGAAAAGGGGCCTGCCGATGGCGACAGGGCTGTGTGAAAGTCGTTACGAAACTTTCGGTATCACCTCATGAATGAATCTTCATGCATTTCTTCGGCACAAGACCAACGGTATGTTGATATCTGCTCTCAATCAATCCCCAACTCCCATGATGAAACCTTCAAGTTCTCACCGTCCTCTGGAATGGGTTTCCACGGTTCCTTTCAAGGACAGTGGCCAGTACCCTCCAGAGGATCAGAACACCTCGTATGCTCGTTCATCGCATCTACAGAGTGGCAGGCAACATGCACGAACAAAGAGAGCACTGATACAACGGATCTTTACAAAATCACTTGTGTTTGCGATTGCATCCCGAATCTCAGAGCTAACGCCACATGAATGCAGGTCTACATACTCACGACACCCCGGCAAGCACAGCCATGACTCCTTTCTCACTTCCCACCCGTCTGTCCCTCGACAAAATCCAACGCCTGATCACGCGAAACCACATCGATAGAGCTCGTCTTGTGCAAGTAGCTGACTCCGTAGCACTTTTCCGCCACCAGCAACATCTCCGGCCGGAACGTGGTGCAAATAAACTGCCCCGTCTGCGCACTCTCCTGCAACAGCTGCGCAACAGAAGTACGATACTGTGCGTCGAGATTCGCATCGATTTCATCAAAGAGGTAGAAGGGAGCGGGATCGGAAGCCTGGATGGCAAAGATGAGCGCGAGGGCGCAGAGGGATTTCTGCCCGCCGGACAGCTGGCCGATGCGCTGCTGCTCGTCGTGCTTGCTGTTGAAGGAGACCGAAATGGCGATGCCCGTGTAGTTTTCCACGCTCCTTTCGCCCCCGTCTTCGTCTTCGTCCGACTCCACTTCTTCGTTGCGCACTTGCTTGTCGCTTCGCTTGCCGATAATCAATTTGCCTCTCCCAGCCGGCACCAGGCGCTCGAAGATGCGGTGGAATTCACGGCTGACTTGTCGGAACGTCCTCTCGATAGCCTCATCCTTTCTCTGATCCAGGTGATCGATCAAATCCTGAATGCTCTCCGCCGAAGCACTCAGTTCCTCTCTCCTCTTCTCGAGCGAGTCTCGCTGCTTCTCGAATTGCGCAAACTGCTCAAAGGCCTTCTTATTCACATGGCCGTACTTCTTGAGCGCATCTTGCACCTTGTGCAGCCGTGTGGTGACGGTGCTGGTCTTGAGATTGGTGTATTGTGCGGTGAAGGCGACGTCAGGCAGGGCGCCTAGATTACGAATGTCGGTCGATACCCTTGCAAGGTTGGCGCTGAGCAACGCGCGTTTCTTCGCCGCCTTTTCGAATTCTTTTTGATGGTTGCGGATGGCGCGACGCAGGTTCTCGGACTCTGTCTGCTTGTCTGTGTGCCTCTGCTCTCGTTCTTGGAGCTGCTGCTGCGTCTCTTCCGTGCTGGCCTCGTTCTCGTTGAGCCTCTTGTTCACTGCGTCCAGTGCTGCCGAAATCCGCTTGAGGTCTCGTTGCTGCTCCTTCAAATTCGTACTGCTCCCACTGCCGTCTAGAGAAGCACCGGGGTCCATCGATTGCAGCTGGTCCAGCCTCAATCGCAGATTCTCTCTCAGCTCCAGTTCGATGTTGCTCTTCTTGACCTCCAGCTCAGATCGCTCACCGCTGACCTGCGCATGTTGTTTCCGCAAGTCAGGGAGTTGGGCGCTCAAGGATTCCAGTCGTTGCTCCTCCTCATTGCTGAGCGCTTTCTTAAAGTCACCCTGCAATTCGGCCTCGTAACCGCTGAGTTGCTCCCCTAGATCGCGCACCAATCCTTGCACAGTATCACGCTGCTTCTGTTTCCGCTCAAGCTCATCACGCTTGGAGTTGAGGACTTCTTGCTGTCTGCGCAACTCTTCCCTGAGTGGCCCGTACCCGCCCTCCATCTGCGCTCGCCTCTGCTCGAATCGCTGCAACTCGCTCAACGCTTTCGTTACTTGCTGACCCAGCGCATCGAGCTGTGCTTGGATCTCCGCTTTGCGACTCGCATCTTTCTCGTACGCTGCCCGAGCCTGCTCGGCGCGCTTCATGCCGTCCATCCGTGAGTTGCGCACGTCGTGCCAACCTCCGGTCAAAGCACCCTTCTTGTCGGAGCGGTCACCATCTGGTGTGATGGCACTGACACCATGCGAGCGGGCGTATTGAGCAGCGACTTGCAGATTTGGGCAGACAACCGTTTTGCCAAAGACCTGCTGGAAAGCCTTGTCGAACTTCGCGTTGTACTTGAGCTTCGTGATGAGATGGACGGCATCGCTAGCCTTTGGGATGTTTGCTGGCTTGACTTTGACCTGCGCGAGAGGCACAAAGGTCACACGACCCAGCTTGTCCTTCTTCAGCATCTCAGAGAGCCGTGCAGCGATTTCGTCATTATCGACGACGTAATTGAAGAGCGAAGTGCCGGCAGTGACTTCGATGGCAGTCTTGTATTTGTCACTGAACTCGAACAGCTCACCGAGTGGCCCATGAGCTCCCTGAATGTCGTGCTGACGGACAAGGCGCCGCACATTCTGAAGACCGCGACTCAGATTTTGGTCCATCATGCGGCTCAAGAAGTGCTCGGCCTTTTCGAGCTCCTGACGTGCGTTGTCGATGACGGAGTCCAGTTTCGCCTCCTCACGCCAGAGTTCCTTGCGCTGGTCAAGCAATTGATGCTGCTCTTCTTTCTTTTGCTGAACTTCCGCCGAGATCTTTTGCTGTTCGTCGCCACGGTTGTCAATGCGATGGTGCATATCAGCGACCTCTGAATCCAGCGTTGCGATTTGTGTCTCCAGCTCCGTAATCTCTTCCGTTGTCTCAAGAACCACGGCCTTGCGTTTGCCGAGAGCCACGTTGACATCGTTGATCTCTCGTTGCAGATACTGATCGCGATCACGCTTGGACTTGAACTGGTCCTGGCGGCCTTGCTTGGCATAGAGACGCTGTCGGGTGGCCTCTGCCTCCTGCATCTGCCGCTTCAGCGCCTTCTCCTGCTCTTGCCTCGCTGCATATTCCGGCATGATCTGTGCAAGTGCAGCTTCTCGTTGCTTGATCTGGCCCTGGACGTCGCGCAGATCCGTCTCGTGTTGCTGTCGGGCTTGTTGAGCGGCGGCTTGATTGGCGCTGATGGACTGCACATCCAGCTCAATCTTCGCCTTCTCTCGCGCAGTGTCCCGACGCTCGCTTTCAAGCTGGCCTTTCTCCTCCACCAGAACTTTGAGCTGCTGCTGCAACTCCGAAATCTCTCCCTCGATCTGCTCCAGCTGAACTTCACACTGCTCGAGGGCCTCCCGATTCTCATCAGTCTGCTCCATCCCGCCCTCGCGATTCTCGCTCAGCGTGCCCAGCGCGTCTTGCAAAGCGTCTTGTTCGCCCTTGTAGATTGAGTACTCCAGACATCTTCGTTCACGGTCCTTCTCTTGATATGCGCGTAGCTCTTCCTTCTCCTCCTCTAGTTCCTCGAGGCGATTACGGATGGTCACCAGCACTTCGTCCACTTGCGAGCGCTTTTGCTCGGTGTCTTGCATGATGCGCAAGGAGGACAATCGCCTTTCATCGTACACGTCTGTGCCGGCCACTTGCTTGAGCAGCTGCAACCGATCCGCATCTTTCATGTTTGTAATCTTGCTGACGCGTCCCTGCGGCACGATGTAGTAGGGATTGCTTTTGCTGAAGCCGGCACTCTCAAGCATGTTCATGACTTCTTGCTTGGTGGTGTTTTTGCGATTCAGGCTGTATTCATCCTTCTTCTGTCCGATTGTGCGCCTCAAGATCACTTCCGGCGTCCCGGTGGGGAATCGCTCATCGGCATTGTCGAAGATGACCTCAACATAGGCGTTCATGACCGCGCTTCCGGCGCCTTCATGTAGCAAGTTCTGGCGGTCCTCGCGCATCAAGTGATCGTAGCCGGCGTCGTTGAGGACGAAGCGGATGGCGGCGAAGAAGTTCGATTTGCCGCTGCCATTGCGACCGACAATGACATTGTGCTTGGGCGAGAAGGGCTCGATGACAGTCTGGTCTTTGTAGGACTTGAAGCCCTGGATGATGATCTGTTTGATGTACATCTTCGCGTTGTGATGTCGTGATCGGATATGGGATGGTGCGCGGTTGGGAAGGGTGGTTATGATCTGACTATCATAGTCACCGCACACATCTCTTGACCGTGACTGGTTGGTGGTGGTGAACGGTGGGTAGCGCGGAGGTCATAGTCAAGCGAAGTCCAAATGTCGAGACGCGTCCGGGAAGTTCGCGTTGCGGGACGGTGAAGGCCCGTGCGTCGCAACGACTTTTGTCCTCAAGGGTCGCATCGCACATGAGAGAGAGGCTCTCACTTCACTCTGCATCATCTTGCGTTGCTCTACTCTTCAAAGTCGCAAAATAAATCGATGACACGTGCACAACCCTTGTTCCTGTATCCCTTCACATCGCTCGTCGATTCAGACTTCCAATATGGTGTCTGAATCGAATCATTGATGAATGAAGCGCTATTCCATCCTTCCAACAATGTCTAGACGATGACACAAACAAAGGCACTAGCCTGCGTTGCTTGTAGACAGCGAAAGCTCCGTTGCAATCGCCAGACCCCCTGCGCAAACTGCACAAGATCCGGATCAACATGCGTGCCGGGGAGCACGGCCCAACGACAACGGAAACCCAGATTCCCTGAACGACAGCTCCTCAATTGTATACGCTCGTATGAGTCGCTACTGCGTCAGCACAAGATACCGTTCCAACCACTGCACGACAAAACAGCCGTCCAGCCGTCTGATTCGGCTGAGAACACCCCAAGCGCGGAAGTGAAGCTCTCCAGTCCGTCGATTGGAAGCGAAGCCGCTGCAACGCCCGGAGTCAAGTATGCACTGCAGGACAGTAAATGATTGGTAAAGGCGACTAACATGTCCAGGAATTTTTGGGACACTATCAACCGTGGCGTACGTGTCTGAGTTTCAGGGGTGAACGAAGCTGACAGCTGAAGCAGTTCCGGGATGGCGACAGTGCCGGCAACTCGGAAGAAGACGCAGTACCCGAAAGTGCTGTCAAGAGGGAGTGGGATCAATTCTCACCGGATGGCGACCAGCTTCTCTTTGGTCCTCGCTCTCCTGTCGTGGATCTTACCACAGCACATCCTACACCAGTGGAGAGCTTCAAGCTTTGGCAGATTTACTTGGATAATGTGAATCCGTTGCTGAAGGTCACGCACACGCCCACGTTACAAGGCCGCTTTGTCGAAGCGATCGGTGATATCAAAAGCATCACTCCTTCCTTGGAAGCTCTCATGTTTAGCATCTACAGCATAGCCATCCTGAGCCTTACCGATCAAGCATGTGAAGACAACTTTGCTGCTGCGCGGCAAGAACTCCTACAGCGATTTCAGCTTTCGTGTCAACAGGCATTGTGGAAGTGCAACTTTCTCAGATCCGATCATCGGGATAGTCTCACAGCCTTGTACCTTTATCTTGTAAGTATGCTTTGAATTCAGTGTGTCACCTCAAAACTAACCCTTAGCAGGTCTCCATCCGGTCGAAAGTGGCGCCTCAAGCTCTCACTTGCATGCTTGGAGTCGCAATCCGGATCTCTCAGCGCTTTGGTATCGATAGTGAATCGTCGTTGGCCACGAAAACTCCCTTCGAGGCTGAAATGTGGCGGAGGTTGTGGTGGGCGCTGGCAATATACGATGCAAGGGTCCAAGAACTCGCCAGTGTCAAGGCTTCGACTCTCAATCCGATCTGGGACTGTGCAGTTCCTCTAAACACGAACGACTCCGATCTTCGACCCGAAATGAAAGAAGCATCGCCATCGCAGAACACGCCAAGCGAATCCATACACGTGGTTGTGCGTAGTGCGATTGCTCATGGTCTCCGACATACTGCTTTTCATCTCGACCTTACCCGACCAATACTGAAAAGTCTCGAGCACAAGGCTTCATACGGCTCCGAAATTGAAGAGCTGCAAGATCGGATTGAAAGCCAGTACCTCAGGCACTGTGACAAGTCCAACTCAGTTCACTTCATGACAATCTGGACGGCAAGAACATACCTCACCAAACTCCGTCTCCTAGAATGCCAGTCACTATATCTCACCTCCACAACTGGTCCTTCCAATCAACAGCTCGAAGAGATGGCCAACCTTGCACTCCGTGTTCTGGAGTGTGATACAACCGTCATGACCTCCCCTTTGACAACAGGATTCGTATGGCTGAATCACGCCAACTTCCCATTCCCAGCATACCTACACCTGCTCCAAGATCTCAAGAAGCGGCCAGGCACGAAGCACGCTCAACAAGCTTGGGAGACAATGAGCGCCAACTTCGACACCTGGTTCGGCGCACGATTCCGGCCGGATAGCCCTTTCTTCCGCATTTTCGCAAGGCTTGTGTTGAAGGCTTGGGAAGCTGGGGAAGCGGTTCGCAATGGGACAGGCGGCGGGAAATATGTGCTGCCAAAGTTCGTTGGTATCATTCGAGATGCGCAAGATGAGGATGTGCCAGCCGCATCAGATGCTACAGCCAACACGCAGACCGGCTACGGGAGCGGCATCGAGAATCTCCAAACCACCATGCCAGTGTCTGTGAATCTTGAGGGACCATACAAGCACGCGGATTGGATCGGCTACTACGAGTTGGCATGGCCAGACATGTATAACGACACATTAGGCACTAATGTTCCGGCGGCTGAGATGATGAGCTTCGACTGGGCTGGGATGAGAGGATGGTCTGGCTCTGGATACGGATGAGTCCGTACCCTCGCAGGGTGGCTTTGTCTATGGAGTGACATCCTCCACAGAACCTCTACTTCCTCACACTAAAGCTCGGTGCTGCACCAAACGCCGACCACACCTTGCACAAATCATGCATCGTGAATGAACAACTGCCCCTCTCAAAACCTCAACCCCTGCTCCCTTTCCCTCTCCACCTCGAATTTGAAGTCAAAGTACGGCGGGTCGAAGTGGTGTACTCGCACATATCCGTCTTCGCCTCCGCTGCAATAGCAATGGCCTGTGGGCGACACCGCGACGTAGTTCAGCGGGCCGAAATGACCCCTCACACGGCCAATCTCCTCCTCAAACACCTTGTGGTAAAAGCGCGCCTCGAATTTTCCTTGTCTGGCAGAGGTGGTCGTGACGTCCATAGCCGCCTGACCGCCGCCCAGAATAACGTACTGCGTAGGTTCGGGAGTGATGGCGGCGGAGTTGAGCGGCGTGTCTGCCACGTATGTCTTCAGAACTTCGAGAGAGGAGGTGTCGTGAAGTTTCGCCGTCTTGTCCTTGGACGAGGTGATGAAGTATGTCCTGTCTGCGCTCCACTGCAGGTCGGACACGAGTTGGTTCTCATCGTGACTGAACGCCGTGTGGATCAATTCGCCCGTCTTCGCATCCCACTGCGAGATACTCCCGTCCTCGTGTCCGGTCACAATGTACTTGCTGAGGCAGCTGATGCCCGCCACCGTCACTCGCGGCAGCTCATCGACCGTAATCCGCAGGCTAGGTTCTTCCGTTTGCGACGCCTCGGGATCCGGGTTGATGTCGTACACGTAGATGTTGCTGAGGTGTCCCGTGCGCTTCTCCGTCAACGCCAACAACTGCTTCCCGTCTTCGCTGAACTCCACTCTCTTCACCGCGGTGGGGTAGTCCCATGTCTTCAGCAGCTTTCCGGTCCGTACTTCCCATAATCGCATCGTGCTGTCTGCGGCGCCCGTGGCGAGTAATGTGGTGGAGGGATCGACATCGACGGTCCATAACGCTCCTTGATGGCCCTTGTAGGCGCCGAAGCGCTCACCGTTTGCCGAGTACCATGCGCAGACGAGATGGTCTTTGCTGACGGAGAAAATGAGGTCGCCTTCTTTGGAGAATCTGGCAAAGGTTAGCAGGGCTGGGTGGAGGGGAGGTTGGGGGTCATAGCGGCTTACTTCACTTGGGTCAGCGCTCGCTCGTGCCCTTGGAGCAGGATTGGTCTCATTTTGGCGAGTTGGGAGGTGATTGTGAGGGCGAGTAGGAAGTTACTCGTCTCAGCGGAAGATCTCGAAGGTGGGTGGCGCGAAATCTTGGCGCCCCACGCGGAAAAATGCGCCACCTGCGCCACAGCAGGGTCAACTTTATTTGGCGAGCTCTCGATGTTGTGAGTTCCATTCATTCTCTCTTCAACATCGAGAATGTGACCTCCACGATACCATCGCTATTCCTCGCCGCCAAAATGCCCATCTCCATCCTCCCTCCTGCGCCGCCCGCTCCTCCCCCAACATCCCTTCCTCCCACCGACTCCGATTCTGAGATGGACATTGACGATCTCCCATCTGGCCACACCAACGCCTCGAGCACTGTGATCACGCCGGGAGAAACGGTCACCGACGACCCTCAGTGGATGCGCGGTCACGGAACTTTTGCGCCCACCGACAGCACGCTCATCTGCTCCACGCTAGCCGGTACTTTACAAAAGACCAACAAACTCCTCTCCATCGTTCCTCTGCGCGCAAGATATACACCGGAGATTGGCGATCTGGTGATTGGAAGGATAGTGGAAGTGCAAAGCCGGAAATGGAAGGTCGATGTGGCTGCGCCGCTGCTCGCACATCTCCCCCTCAGCTCCATCAACTTACCCGGCGGCATTCAGCGCAAGCGAACGAGCGTGGACGAGCTGAACATCCGCTCGTATTTCAGCGAGGGCGAGTTGATTGTTGCAGAAGTCCAGTCTCTGTTCCAGAGCGGGGCTGCGTCGTTGCACACCAGGAGTTTGAAATATGGCAAGCTTCGCAATGGATACTTCCTTGCTGTCAGTGGTGTCGGCGGCGGCTCTGGAGTGGTTCGCGCGAGGAGACAGATCTTTTCCATTCAGACCGCAAGAGGAGGGGAAGTCGATGTCATCCTGGGCGTGAATGGGTATATCTGGCTCGCGAAGCATGTGGACGAGAAGCGAGAGGAGGTGGGGTTGAATCGGTTGGAAGAGACGGCGAGTTCGGCAATGTACTCCAGCCAGAACGACGAGATTGGGGTGGAAACGAGACAGGAGATTGCGAGGATTGCAGGGTGTGTTCGCGCTCTGATCGAAGGGGCTGTCAAAGTGGAAGAGGAGACGGTCAGGAGAGCTTACGATGCGGCTGTGGAGTTGGACGACTTTGAGGGAGGTCTTGAGATCCCGGCGCAGCAGCGAGGGAGGAATATCGTGCAGGTCGTGCTCAATAGCGGGTGACGGAAGGCAACCTTTACCTGGGCCTCAATGGAGCCAGACGAATGATGGCCACACTCTGTGGAAAGGCACGAGGACGTGGGTTGTGAGCAGGAAAGCACGTTGATCGTAAGTCATCATCGCGTCCAGACTAGATGCCAAATCTGATAAGAATACAGGTGCACCACCCAGTCGGCCAAAGCCTTATTGCCACCACTACCCGTCTGCGACGTGTCTTTGCACGGATTCAGACAACGAGACAAATTAAACCCCCGACGGCGCGGCCAACTCCTCCTTGGTCCTCTCGCCGCGTTTCACGTCGTGGTGTCCAGGCGCGCCCAATTCCTCCTTGGTCCGGCTCTCCTCGCCCCCAGTACTCGGTGCGGCCAATTCCTCCTTACTCCTGTCCCCGCGTCCCACGTCGTGGTGTCCGGGAGGGTTCAGGTCTTCCTTGGTGCTGTCAACGGTATGTCGACTGGCGGGCTGCAGTTCCTCCTTAGTGTCGTCCTCTTTGCGTCCGCTGCTGGGCGCGGCCAGTTCGTTGGTCGGCTCATCTGGATCGAGATTGTGCCTGTGCGAGCTGCGAGGATGTGAGTGGGGGGGTTGACAGAGGGTGGGAGGAAGATTGGGTGGGCAAGGCTTACAACGCGTCTTTGACCTTGTCCTTGACTTTCTCCATGTTCGGCGGTGGTAGGCTGATGTGTTTTTTAAGTGTCGTGTTTTTGACGTAACTGCACGGGTCCAAATCGTCTTGTGTCTGCAGATGGAGAAGAAGCGGGGTGCTGGCCGATTAAATACCCCAAGCAGACCTGACGTGAGCTCGCATCCTCCCCTTCCCCACCTCTCCAATGGAGCTCGCAGTCAGGCGCCTGTGACGACGTGTGACGCACGAAAGCTGGGGTCGGTAGCGTTGTATCTCGCCATTCCGGCCTCGCACCCTTCGATCTACGACCGGCTTGCGTGTGCGCCACGCTGATCTCGCATCCTCCCCAGTGTTTGGATGCGGGGAAGACGTCGCGTGAGGATGTTTGCTTTCTCGATCCCCCGATTTAGCTTATCTTTTGCATGGGAGGGCAACACTTTGGGCCAATTGAACCGCTGAGGGCCGTAAGTCGGATCTACTGTCCGCTCGACCCTGTCGATTGACCTTATGAATAGAGCGGGGGTTTCTTGCTTTGTTAAGCGGCGCGGGTGAGTGGACAAGGCTGATGCCCATGGATAGGAGTATGCGTGGTTGGTTCACATTGTCGCAGAATACTACCCAAGCAACCTATGTATACCTTGGCAGATGCGGCATTCTGCAGTGCAAGATGCTTCTAGGCAGGAAGAACAGGTCCCGCGAGATCCTGAATGATCCTGAATACCGTAGCAGCGCAGTGCATGGACTAGAAGATCTCTGCACGCCTCTCAAACGCCTCTTCCACAGCTCTACGGCGCCACACCACCTCCTTGTACCGTCCTCTTCAGCTGGGAAGTTGAGTAAATGCCTACGGTCAAGAATAGGTCGAAGGTGCTAATGATGGCGGTCGAGAGTTCCCATTTACGTCAGGGCCTGCCATGCGGCACAGCCACGACGCCCACGCCGCCAGCACAGCCATCACATGCGAAACCTTAAGTCGGATATTCCATCGCCACGCCATCTCCTCCTCCCTCACGCCTTCACCTTTCCCTTTTCCCTCCGTACTGCTTGCATCAACCCATTTGTCGTCAATCATCATGGCGCCCCTCGAGGAGATGCAGCAGGCCCAAGTCAACCGCTCCATCCGCACCATCAAGGCCGAGCTCGAATACCTCTGCGATGCCACCGTCATCACCCCCCAAACCCTCTCCGACCTCCTCTCTCGCATCCCGCCCCAGACCGCCCTCCACGCCCCCATATCCGTCGGCGCTCTGCCCAACGCTATCCCGCAAAACACCGCCACCGGCCTCCAGGCGCCCATGAACAACCTCAACCTTTCTCGCACGCAGACGAGCGCCAGCAGCATCAACGAGAAGCAAGACTCCTCCTACCAACCGCCCGCTTCACCACAACCTCCTCCACCAACCTACGCTTCCCAACCACCGCAGGCTTCATGGGCTCCGCTGTGTCAAGCCACCGCTCTCTACGCCTACACCTCTTCCGATGCCGGCGATCTCGAACTACAACCCGGTGATGCAGTGAGTGTGACGGAGTACATGAATGCCGAGTGGTGGAAGGGCCGGTCGAGCCGCACGGGCGCAGAAGGCATCTTCCCCCGAAGCTATGTCAAGGTGTCGGAGGAGAAGGCGCAAGACAGCAACACATCCACCTACGCCAACAACTACGGCAATGCGCCGCTTGAAGGTCAGCTCTCTCTCACGATTACCCTGTCTCATCATACTGATTACAGTCATCACAGTCTCGCAAATGGGCGATGGCACGGGCAGGGTGCCCAGCAAGACCCAGGAGCAAGGCAAGAAGTTTGGCAAGAAGCTAGGCAATGCTGCCATTTTCGGCGCTGGTGCCACCATTGGGAGTAATATCGTTAACTCTATTTTCTGATACGATTCGACGAGAGTGCTTTTCTGGAGGTGTATCGAGCCTGGAGTTGCGGATTTGGAAAGTAAGTGTGCTTTTAGATTTCAATCGGTATAGATTGTAGTGGCAGTGCAATCGCCATGCGGCCCACGGCACTCCTCTCGCGGCACTGATTTCGTTTCAAGTCATTGCCATCATGATCATCGTCCCTCCGCCTCATAGTGTACTCAGGGAATCGACCGAGTCGACGCTGTCCGAACTGCCACTCGCCTGCTCCACATCCTTCTTGCCCACCACCACTCTCAAACACCACCCACACCAACTGCGATTCGCCCCGTCTTGCTCCCTCCTTAGCACCTTGCCCGCCACCCTCTCATCCTCATACTCCTTCACAATCGCCCCAACCCGCACCTTTTTCTTGATCTTCTTCTTCACCTTGCCGCCCAGACCCACAATCTCATGCGTATTGTAACTGTTCCCAGCCCAATGATGCCTGCAGCCGCCATCGGCCGCCGATTCTATCAAGCCTTCGTGCGCCGCCAGCTCGTCCGCATCGCACTCGATTTCGTTCACGATGATGCGCGCATCGAGACAGTTGCTGCCGCGCCCGCACTCGACACCTTCGTTGCCTTCGCCTAGGCCGGCACCTACACCGCCGCAAGCCGAGTAGCGCGCTCGCCAGGCCCAGCCGCGCAGGTAGGTTGTATTTGCTGAGCGTAGGAGTTGGCCACATGGCTCGCAGATCCAGACGCCTTGGTGTTCGCACGCGCACGGTTCACGGCTGTATCTGGTGGGAAGACTTTCGTGTTCGTCGCTGATGGACAAGGTTAGCTTGATCTGTGCGGATGCGGGGAGAGGGTGGTGCTTACTCGGCGACAACGGCATTTGTGACGGTCAGGCGTTGGATGGGGCATTTCATGCAGGTTCGGCAAAGCCGGCGATGTCTTCCTTTGATGTCGCGTGCCGATGGCGGCTTCATAACACAGTTCTACGCGAGATCATTAGAATGACGAGCAGCAGACGAAATGAGTATAATGGCGCACGCACCCTGCAGACCGCATCGCCGCACCGCCGGCACTCCCCTACTTGGTCCCTCGCACAAGTGCCCACTCTGCCACTTGTTATCCGTTGGGAACCACACGCGCGCCACTGTTGGACACTAGCAGTTAGTGCCTTGCCCAGACGAGCACCGAGCTCTACGGGCTCGTTGCGACAGCGGAGAGTCCGCTGCATGAGCAGTGTCCGATGCTGGAGAAGGTTCTCCCGGAACTGCCTGCAGGTCCGGGAGAGCTCGTGTAGGGTGTTGAGGTCGACATATCGCACGAGCTGGGAGATGATGCTGGATGACGGGTTAGCGAGATATGCAAATTGTTCTGAGTAGGTATGGACGTGTAGAATGGAGTTGTGAATCGATGAGGGATTTATGCATCGCCGGGCATTCCATTGCAACAATGCCACAGAAGCACAGGAAATACTTACGGATAGCAGGACAGTAGTATTGAGAGCTTCGTCACTTCCCCGTCTGCTCCAGCCTGGCAATCGTGCCACGGCGCATCCCCGACGAGTGGCAGAGGGAGTGGGCGGTGATGATTGAGGATTGCATCATCTACCAAGCCGTCCGTCTCGTCGAAATCCACAAATCTCACCATGCTGGGCGGGGGAGAACGGCGTCATTCAAGGTGGCATCTTGGGTCGAAGCCGGATTGACTTGGGAATGGTCAGCATTGAGTGAAAGGAAGTAGAGGGAGGAAAGGTAGCATCTTGGCCGTAGGGTTTCGTCGAATCGTGAAACGGACGCGTCCAACATGTGACACCCCCAAGCCAGCCCCGTTTATTGCCTCATTAGGCCGTGGGAAGCCGCTTTCCCCAGTGGTGTAATCGTCTTTGCCTTGCGCCTTGGTCGTGTGACAATTCGCCATGATCACTTGCCCGAGGCACAGAGCCTTATGTTGGTCCTCCGCTGACGGATATCGTGCAATCAAGGTACAGTACCTAGCGCATCTCTTGACTGACTCTATCAATCTACTGAAGATGCGAAACGCTCCAGCTGCGCTTCCTCGACAATGCCATCGCCCCGCCGAGGAGCATCTCTCTTGAACCATATTAATTGTGCAATTCACTCGGGAGCGACTACTCAACCCGTGCGTTCAAGATCGGGGGGAGATGGAACCAACAATTCCGACGCCGTTTAGATGCATGGCGGGGTTTGAAGCAGCAGGTGCCAGGCCTTGACGAGCCCTCCATGCGCTGGCCCGATCAGTACACCAGTACCTCCCATTGTCAACCGCATCTTCTCCACTAAAGCACCTAGAATCGTGCCCTATTCCCCAATGCATCTACTATCGAGAGAGAGGTCCACTAATCGGGGACGTGGAAGGTGCTGCGGGAGGCTGGAGCAAGGTGCCTTAGTAAGATCGCGCGCCAATTGACGCCAGCACAGTAAGGGAGTTCGGAGCCGAATGACCCCCGCAAACCAACATGGATTTATTATTAGAACCCGCACGCGCTCCTCCTCGCGGCTCAGAAGATCTTTGCTGGCACACAACAACGCTCGAGCGAGTGCATTGTGGCCATGGCGGTGCGGGACAATGCGAGCCCTGACAAACCGTCCTCGCTACACGAAGCTGAGACTCGCATCACGAAGCGTTACCCTTTATATACCATGATCGACAGTGGGACACACCAAGGCACCGGGCATGCATTGAAGTTTCTCGGAGCGCCCGACCACCTCGAATCGACTCATCATTCCCGCTCCATCTCGACCTAAGCACCCGAAGCACCCGAATGCCGTCCATTGCTTTTGCATTCCGGTGAGTCTGTCCGACCTATGGCGATGTCGCAAAACTAAGAATTTCGCGCGAATTGCATCGCTCGGGGATAAGACGGCGCCTCTGCGGGCTTGGACGACAGGGCTGACCGCACGGGCTTTGTGGTTGGTGTCCACGTCCTCTGCCGGGCGCCATCACAGAGGCAAAGGGGAGCAGCGACAGAGCGAGTGCTGCAGAGCAGCATCGCAACACTGGTCCATAATTAGATGCCATCGCGAAGCTGTTTGCGGCATCAAAGACGAGGTTGCATCCTCCGTCTGGCCCGTTGGAGCGTTGCCCAGCATCCGGGGTCAATACTCCCTCCTCCTCTCCAGCAAACCTAACCGTCTGAGCTTTAATTTCCCGATCGACAAGTCGATCCGTTTGGCTGCCGCGCGAATGATGCAACATCAACCCGGCAGCGGATGCCTCGTTCCTGGCATGACATGCGCGCGCTGGCCCTCTTGCATTTGACTCAGCCTTGGGCCGGCGCCTCGATGGTAATTTATCCTCTCTTACGCTCCACCCTATCCACTCTCACTCCTAGTCTCCCACCTCTGCCTTTGCGCCATAGGGCTCATCTCCAAGCCACAAAGACCTGTTTCAGGTCGCAGCCACTCAAGACGAACGTTTCTTTACATACCAACGTACCTATCTTTCATTACTGCGTGTACAGACCAACAGCATAGCATCTCCGCGCCGCTGATTGGTGAAGGGTCGGCCGGCCGATCATCCGTTGGTCGCGCTCCTCGTTCGGCGTCCCATCTTTCGACTCATTGGACAGACGGCCGCTGCCTTGCAGGCTGTTCTAAATGCGACCCAATTGTTTCAGGCTTGTCTGATTGCGCAAACCCTCCCATCATGCAGAAGTCAAGAGCACACGTCGCGGAGGCCCCAGTCACAGCGACCACGGGCCCATCGACACAATGCAACAAAAGGCGCCCATCGTCCCGCCAGTCAACAACAGCCGCAATAGTCTCTGAGACCGCACGACAGCGAGCTGACCAGGCGCCCTGCACTTCCCCCCAATTGCAACCCGGCCAACAGCCTCCTCACGAAATGCCAGCCCCGGATGCTGCTGAAGACGTCCGTCTCACTCGGACCGGCCGAATCAGCAAAGCTAGCAAAGGCCGACGCGTCCATACGTGTGAATGTGGAAAGGTGAGTGGGCATGCCTCTTCGGATCGCGACGAGCATACTCCATCCCCTCGTACAGATCTTTCGTCTGATGGATCTGACTGTTCTTCAGACGTACACTCGCAATGAGCATTTAAGGTGAGACATCCGTCTTCTCGCAACCGACAAGCCATCCATGCTGATGCCGCTTCCAACAGCCGACATCAACAGAGTCACAAGCCAGACGCATTCCCGTGTGGCATCGCAGATTGTAAGCGGTCGTTCAACCGAGAGGACCTTCTTGACAGGCACAAAGTGCGACAGCAGTAAGTTCCTCATGGAAACTCCTCTTCCCAACGCGACACTGACTGTTTGGTCAGTGGGGTTCCGTCTTCCATCAGTGATGCGCATTCGTCGCCGAGCATACAACAGCCTCTCCCTACGAGTGAAGGTGGATGTCAGTCCACGATGGCGGCACCTGCTGTGCAGCCATCCTTTGACGAACCCTCGTCGGAACACATGCTGGTCCCAGCAGCATCTCAACCATCACATGCTTTTGAACAGTCGCAATTTGATTCGAGGTACGATAAACTGCGATGAGAAGCTCTTTCTCCCCCTCCAGCTCCTGGACGGTTGAACGCTCCTTGGGTGGCAGAGCGCATCGTGTCCGCACAAGCTGACCGCATTTTTACAGAACCCAGGGCCAACCTCTGCACGCGTTTCAACATGGTCCAAGAGCCCCGCTATCAGCCGTACGATACACCAGCAGTGCCGACCTCGATGCCAGCGGCTACACGTCCGACTCCTCCTCCATCGCATACTCCTCCGCTGGCTACCACTCACCCACAATACACGGCGGTTTCCACCCATACTATTCAGCACGAGATCACAACGAGAGCGAGTCCTCCGACGCATCGTACCGAGGACATCCACCACGCGCTCACCAATCGCCCGTCGTACCTCTTCCTTCAACGTCCCATCCCCTCTACGGCTGGAACACAAGCATGCCAACCTGCAGTGTGCATTTCCCCACTGCGCCCTCCCTAGCCGAAGAGCAGTACAATGCCTCGTTCCCCACAGCCCAGAGCTACATCCCAGTCGATCAAATGGTGCGGGGATACCGCGGCATGACCGAGGATTCCGGACTCGGCGTGCAAATCTACTCCCCGGAGATGATCGCAGGCGACTCTTCACCTGGCGCGACGACGGCAGATGGATACATTGAAGGACACTGGACGGATGTCCAGCCCTGCTACCCAGTCTTTTATCGCCCATCTGTCGATGTCGCAAACACCTCGCCGCTCGTCAACAGAGCCATGACGACGCGAGACACGGATACACAGGAATCTGAGAGCGGCAAGAAGTAAGCATAGAGCCCTCTTGAGTGCCGCGTTAATGCTACTCGAGGAGGGAAGAGCGTTGGGAGGCCATGACTGCAGAGAAAGCATTGAAAGAAACATCGGCGTACACGGTGCCAAGAGCGTGCTGGATTGAACGAGGAACGTACTACAAGCATGCAACGAACATCATTTCTGCTATCATGAATATCGCATTCGACCGTTGGGAGGTTTAATGATTGCGAGATGGAGAGCCTCGGAGTTTGGTCACTTCGTGTGGATATGTTAGAGACGTGGACGGTGGAATCACGATTACCTTAGATACCCTTCTTATATGAACAGTGAGAATTGGAAATACCAAAATCTGTGTATGAATAGTCTCCTCAATTGCCAACATGTGTTGCCATTCTGGAGCGGCTAAAAACGAAAGGTGCGAGTCACGTGCTCATGGAAACTCACAGAAGGTTGATGTCATCTGCCTAATAGGGAAACATCGGTGTTTGCTACCAAAGAATCCAGCCATCTTTTTCTCGCCGCCCAACACCACCACAACCACCCATTCCACAACAACCACCCTCACCCTCCTGCCTATCGAACACCTCCTCACGAGCAAGTGCTCTGCAACCTCTTCCTCCAAAATCTACCAGCAGCACCACCGTCAACATGAGCGATTGGGACACAGTCACCAAGATCGGCAGCAAAGTGCGAGGAGCGGGCGCCAGTGAACGAGAGACGACAGTCCGAGGCAAGAGCGCACTGAACGCCGCACAGCGAAGCGGAGCAATAGTAGGGACGGAGAAGAAGTTCTCCACAGCAAACGTACGTTGCCCATAACACACCACCCGCCCCCTCAACCTGCTAACGCCTTGTGTCCCCCAGGCCGGCGCCAACCCCGAAGGCCAACGCCTCACCAAAGTCGACCGCGCAGACGGGCCGGTAGCGACGAAAAAGGTCCCCGACGACGTCTCCAAAGCCCTCGCCGCGGCGCGCACCAGCCTGAAGAACCAAAAGGGCCAGACGATGACGCAGAAAGACCTGGCGAGCAAGGCCAACGTCGACGTCAAGTATGTTGCGGACCTCGAGCGCACGGGCGCCGACTTCCCCAGCATGGATGTGGTGTTGAAGCTGCAGAAGGCGGCGAATGTGCGGTTGACGGGGAGCAACATTGGGGAGCCGATGCTGGGGCCGAAGAAGAAGTAGAGGGGGAATATAAAGAGAGGGCTTGTCTTTTGTGTTTTGCGTTGCACGAGCTGGACGACGTTGAGGGTATGGAAATATTCTTGAGTTGTGCGGGTTGAACGTGCATTCAGCTTTCAAACATTCAGATCCTATGGACTACTCGCGCCATCGCTTGTCTCAAACTCCTGCTGCTCAAGCCATTCCGCCCACCCTTCAGCCGTACACCTCCGCTCCCGATCCTTTTGTAGCGCCAGCCGACAGCAGTCTACAAAATCTTGACACGCCTTCAACCGCTTATCTACCGCGGGGTCCATGCGTGCAAATCCTAATGGATCACCCGACTTGATCGCCTCCCTAAGCATGAAAAGGTTGGTGCCACACGCAGCTTTGTACGGCGAGCCACCGACGATGATGTAGAGAAGTGTAATGCCCAGACCCCAGACGTCGCTTGCAAAGGTAGGTTGGTTGAGTTCTTTCTGGATGCGAAGTTGCTCGGGCGCCATGAAGTCCCACGTTGCTCCGGCGTTGAGCTTGCTGTTGTCCTCGTCGAGGAGGAAGGAAGCGGAGAAATCAATGTAACGTGCTCTCAGGACGGGATCCTGGCGACCGGTATCAACGATGTCGAGTAGGATGTTGGCGGGTTTGATGTCGGCGTGCACGACTCGCATGCTGTGGAGGAAGTGCAGACCCGCGATCAGATCTCTAGCTAGTCCCGGGAAGAGTTGTCTGACCTCAAGATGTCGGGATAGCTCTGTCACGACGTTGAGACGACCGGAGAGATCTTCAAGAGAGCCTCCTATCACGCCTTCAAACACGAGGTTCGAGTTCCGCGGGTCGAGTCCATGGAACGCGACGATGTGCTCGTTTACTCTGGGCGCAGAGTGGAGGTGATTCAGGATCCGAGCTTCATGTTCGAATACCGATTTTGCGTCTGGACGGGCTGGACATTTCACAGCTACCACACTGCTGACTGAGGTGGCATGATGTCGGTTCGGAGTGCTTGGAGGAGTAAGGGAATCGCGGGAAGACGGTGGAGGGGAGATTGGAAGGGATTCCGCGAGATACACCGAGCTCCATAATCCGGATCCTATTAGTCGGGCACGGTCGAGCTCGTAGTCGATGCGAGAAAAGTCGAAGAGCATCGTGTTACTTTGATCGTGTGAGGAGACTGGGGTTTCGGTCGTTGCGCCTTTGACGGGCGTAACGGGAGGCGTGGGCATTGCGGAATTCAGTGTTGGCTCAAAGGCGACTGATGATTCGGCGGAATTTCGAGCAGATGGCAGTGCAGGATGAAAAGTGTTCCGTGGCTTCGATGAGAAGCCGTAGCTTGATATGCTTCTTTGGCGACCATCTTCAATGACACCGGAGTCGATGTCGCGTGGGACGGGATCGACTTCACTGGTGGCCCTTAATGGCAGTGGACGAAGGTGTTGGGGAGATGCATTGCGAATCATTCCATCCTGGTTGGTCCGCCCGGGCGATGCGTGGTCGGTATCGAGTGTAGCCATGAGGTGATTAAGAAGAGGCTGGGAGCTTCAGCGAACGTCGGTCGTAGATGCCGCGAGTCAATGCATACCGCGGGAAGGGAGTTGCGAGAACTGCGGGACAAGAAGGAAAGATGGAAGAGACTGTGTACCGATGCTGGACATGCGCGGTTCATATATCTGCATCGTTTCCTCGACAGAAGCGCCGTTGCAAGAGGCGTCTGGACGTCATTAAACTCTGGCCGGCGGCAACGTGCGGGTCTGGCCAGCGCGATTGGCCATTGGCTGCTTATGCGCCTCCGTTGTGACTGTGAGTTCCCGGGGGTTTGGGATGAAGACCACGCTTCCAGCATGCCATAGAATTGTTCAGCCTTGCAATATCTCACTATGAGAGAGTGTTGGTCGAATGATGTTCAGCAGAATCAGCAAGGCATCACCATGATGACTGCGTACATTCTGTACCGGGTGTAGCGCATGTACCAATCTGCCAAACTCTAAACCAACGCGGTTGGCGGCATTTCGCGCGCGTCTTCCCAGCCCCACCCCACATCGTTCAACCTCACTCCTTGACGCAGCCGAAATTCCCTCCAACTGCACATCTTTTCTCTTGCATCCCATCTCATATCATCTCACGAGTTTATGCATAGCTGCGAAGCGCATTGACAATGGCCGGAACGAGGAAACGCAAGCACGTATCAATCGACGAAAACTCCCTTCACCAGCAAGACATCAAGGCCTTTGGCACCGTTCGCAAGCCTCGTCAGGACAACGATGGCCAAAAGAAGAGAAAGACCATCCACAACCGCCAACCTACCCCTCCATCGTCTGCTCCGGCTGTAAGAAAGTTGAAGCGCAAGCTGCAGCTTGATGACGACTCCGACACCACGCCAGTGCTCCCCATCGAGGGCAAAGATGAGCCGACCGCCGATAAGCGAAGCAAGACCAAGGCTACATCTGTACAAGATACACCAAGCAAGGCCGCTGCAGCCATGTTCACCAAACTTGAGCTGGGTGTGAAGGTGGAACCCATCCCGTTTGCGCTCGGTACGAAGAAAGCGGTGTCCACTTCTCCGGCGGCCGATGAGACCGCCAATCAAGATTTGCCAGAAGAGCTTGAAGCATTGACTCACCTAAACACCGCCTTCCTCGCCGCTCTCTCCTTCTACTACGCACACAACGGTTCCTCTTCTCCTTGCGAAATCAGCTCCCTGCTTCCCGTCATCACCAAGCACTGGAAGAAGCGCACCGTCACCCTCGATGACCTGAGGCGCATCTTGGCGGTGCTAAACAAGGACGATGGAAGCTTCCATCTGCAAGACTTCGGCAGAGCTGGCATCTGCTTGACCAGAGTGCAGCCGCGCGGCCGAGCGACAAAACGTACGGCAAGCTACGTCGATGAAGCTGAGCTCAAGGCCGAATTCGAGGTCGCGCTCCGACAACGCTGGAATTCATGGCTCGCTCAGACGCCGAAAGAGAATCGAGACGCCACCGTATTCCTCGACCAGCTTGCTCTCGCCGAAATCTCCCAACACAGCTCGGTAGAGAAGGCCGCTCCTCTGTTCGCGCGTGGTCAGCAGCGTTTGGCCGACATCAAGGCCAGCCAAACAACATCGAAAGCCGAGGCAGCTCACCCTTCCAACCTCGCGAAAGACCAGGCGCCTTCGCTCACCCCTCAGAGCCGCGGTTCGAGCCTCCTTGACCGCATTCTAGCCAAGCAAACCCTCACAGCTTCCCTCCCGGCGGGGCCGACCAGAGATCAACTGGAACGCAAAGCCGCACTACACCGAGTTGAAGACGTAGCACGCGTGCTTGACCTTCTCTCAGCCGGTCGAGCCCGCTGCAGCTTCAGCCTACAAGCTATGCATCAGCACCTGCAACAGAGTTTGCGCAGTCCGATTAGCAAGGAGGAGGTGGAGAGATGTCTTGGTGTCATGGCAGAGAATATCACGCCGGAGTTTGTCAGTTGTGTGCAAAATGGGGGCGTAGCGTGCGTGACGATTACGAAAGGTGGCAAAGTCGGATTGGAAGAGCTGAGGTTGAGGGTCAAAAATGCGCTTGGGTAACTGAAAGTGGGATTGGTGGCGTTGACTGCCCATGATATCAACTGCAAGAATGAAGAAGTATGTTCAGACTACCCCGTGAGTCCTGGATGCCTCCTTGACTTTGCTGCCGTCAGCTTCGGGCATCGTCTGGCAGGTGCAGTGTTGACCGCATGTAACAGTAGGCAATGCAACCACTGGATTTCACCGGCCCATGCGTTTGCTGCGATGTCATGCCAGCGCAGCCTTGATCCGTTCCCCCTGTCTCCATGCTGGCGCTCGATAAGGACGAATGAAGCGATGTGGATGGTCTCAATTCCGCGGGCCCAGGTCCCGAGGTGCACCGAGTAGTCTCATCGACCTCGTGATGGCAAGTGCTTCGCGGAGCTGGATTCCAGCATGTCGGCTCACTCCACACACGACAGCGAAGGCACCGGGAGAGATCATGCAATGTATCCTGCAACCATCTGGCCTGCCAATGACGTTGCAGACGACATTTAAAATTCGGGTGGCTGGGGAAGGACTGGCTTGTGTAACGGGCTATCCTCGGACGAGACCCGACTGCGCTGTCTGCACGCCCTCTGAGCAACTGCCTCACCTCACAAGATATCACGGACTGGTGTCAAGACTCATGCGAGCAGGCAGCTCAATTACAACCACATCGCCGCGTGCGGTCTCGCATGGAACCTTCCGTCGTCTTTCCGCGCGTGCGTTTCGTCTATTTGCGGATCCTATTGTCGGTCCAGGTGGACTTCACAAGTTCACTCCGTCTCATGTGCGCGCCCCACGACTCATGCGACGAGGTTTGCTATTGTCGCTCGGCACGACAATAACCTCGCACGAGAGTTGGAACTACTTAATCCCCCTGTTTCTTCTGCTGCTTCCTGACTTCTTCTTCCTTTCCATACATCCGATTCCTCTACCCCTTTCACTCTGTCCAACACAACCTGCAAACCCCCCTCTTTCCCAATCTTCCCTTTCACTCAGGCTATCACGCTCTCTGGTAGACGTGCTCCAAGCCAATTCCCCATCCTCGACTTCTTCCAACTTCAACAAACTTCAACCACCATCCTTTCAGCCAACAAACAAGGTGCAATGGGTTCCAAAGTCTTTCAACACAACCTCGCTGATGACCTTGAGGCGAAGACCTCTTCCCAGATCCGTGAGATCGTCAAGAACCACCCCGGCGCGTTCACAGCTGCGAATCAGAACTATTACATCGACGACATGGATAGCAGCAGCACATACCACGCCAAACGTCAAGCCGACATGACTGCAAACGCGACAAGCAACGTCTCCTCCAAAGCTTCCAACGCGACTGCCACCGCCAACGGCAAGTTCAAGATGCCCGCGCCGGAGAACCACGTTTCCAAAGCCCCTCGCGCCGCAGAGAACGACATCAGCCCTTCGCGCAAGTCGAAGCGTCTTGAGCAGAAGGCCGAGAAGATGGCCGATGAGCAAGAGTCCAAGGTGACCATCAATCCATCTACAACGACCACGAAGTCCGCAGGAGCTACCTCTCTCGCCAATGTCACCACGCCGGAGAAGGTCACCAGCAAGAACGCAGTCAAGTCCGCTACTCCTGTCACAAAGCCCGTCACTCGCTCTACCTCCGCTGCCAGTACTGCCAGCGCTGTCAGCAACGATCTCCCTGCCTCCAACGACCTGTCAACCAACGGCAACCGCAAGAAGGTCAAGACGCAAGCTCCGACCGCTACACGTGCCGCGTCCGCTGCCAATGCCGTCAATACCGCCGCGGACGACAACGAATCCGATGACGCCAACCACGCCGCGGAGGACCCTGCCAACGACGAGCAAGAAGAGGGCAGCAAATTCATCGGCACGCCCACTGGACGAGGAACATCGCTCGAGAAGCCGGAAGGCGGCCCCCTACCCGCGCCATGGCCCTGTGCTGAGCGTGACTGCAAGACGGGGCAGACGTGGTGGCCTCGCGACGGCAAAGACAGCTACGGGCGCAAGGTGATTTCTCAATTTTTCGGCCGCAACAAGCGCGAGACTATGGTCATTCCTCCGGAAGTCTGGCACAACTACTGCCGCAAGCACTACCAGACCGGTGTCTACAAAGCCAAAGCCGAGAACAACAAATGCATGTATGTCATCCGCAACATCAACATGCAGCTCGCGCGCATCCAGCTCTGGCGTCCGCAAGCCACGTTCCAAGTGCAACCCGACAAGTACGCCAGCGAGCGTCTGACGAAGTACTATCTGATCAAAGGCGCCAACGGGCCGGAGACTGCTGCACAGAAGCTAGCCAATGCCAGAGCAGCCGCGTCCAGCGAGACGAGGACCAATAGGGCAGGCAAGACAGTGAAGCTGAACGAGATCGACAAATGGCCCATCGACCACCTGGTCTACTTCAAGGAGCACTTCACCAGCGAGACGGCCGACCAGTCTTTCAACGACCTCAAGGCCATCATCGCTTGGGTCATCGGTCTTATCGAAGCTGGAGAGATCGTCTGCTTGCCGCCGATGGAGTTCTTGATTGCGGAGCAGGCTGCCGGCGAGACTGTCAACGACAAGGACAACAACTACAACGATTGGCTTGCGCTGGAGGATCCCGAGGCTTACGGTGACAACGATGACGACGAAGATGAGGAGGAGACTGAGGAGGATGCCACCAACGAAGCCGAGAGCCGTTCCGAGGCCGCTGGCACTGACGACGACGACGACGACGAAGAACAGCTCAGCGACGACTTCGACTTCAAGAAAGCTGTCAAGAACGTCAAGACAGCGCTCCAAGCCCTCTCGCCATCCTCATCCACTTCCTCCAGCAACAGCCCCTCCAACACCTTCACCTACACCCCCTTCGAGCCTTCCTACCCCGGCGCCGTCCCTGCGTCGTCAACCTACTACACCAAGCCAGGCTCGGGGATGAAGCGCAAGTTGTGGGAGAGCTACGACGAGGAGGATGAAGCGGTGTTCGACGCGTCGCCGTTGCAGAAGAAGTACAAGGCCGACATCTCGCCCTCGCAGAAGAAGCGCAAAGCAGATGTGGATGCGGACGACGAGTACGCGGTGATGATGGAGGTTGAGAGGCAGTACCAAGCGAAGAAGCGCGAGCTGCACACACAAGCATTGGCGTCTCTCCCGGCTTTTGTGCCGTCGACTGTGAGCGCGAAGGCCGGTCAGCTGAAGGGGATGGCGGGTGGAGTGGTGGCTTACGCTTTTTCTAATGGCATGAAGCGCGGCATTGACTTTGAGGAGGATGCAGAGGAGTTTGCATACTCGGGCAAGCGGCGTCGATCTTTCTAAACGACTACAGCAAGCGCCAACAGGGTACTACAACAAAGGGCAGATTTGTTGATGGCTGGCTATGGGAAAGCGAGCTGGAAGGACTGGCAGCAAGCGAGAGATTTCTTTCATCTGGGACGGGTTCGATGCGTTTGCAATGGCGCGGACACTGGCGTATGGCTGGCGGTACTGAATGGAGTGGGATCTGGCACGGCACATGGGGTTACACTACGAGAGATGTATCTCGGGCGATTCGATGCGGGTATTTTGGAGTTGTCTTACTATTAGCTTGAGGAAATATTGAGACATAGTCTTGCTTGAACAGCATCTCCATTCCCATGGGACCCCACCAGCAACAGCATGGTTCAAGCCAACCACGGCTCCAGCTCCTTCTGAGTCCAATCCCAGAGCTTCTCCGCCAACTCATCGTTCCCACCTTCGCGCTGCAAGGCCGTCTTGACCCCAATCGGATCATAGTACTTTCCACTCTCCACCTGCTTCGCACCCGTGCCTAGAGGCGCAGTAGCGGCCCACTGCTGATTCCAAGCACACTGCTCCGGCGTCAACATCTTGTAAAAGGACGTGCTGTAGATTAACGCCCTGTCCATGAAGCCCCGCGACGTCACTAGTCCCGTAGCAGATACGCCAGGGTGGATGGAGACGGAGGTGATGCTCGGATGGTGGCGAGCGTAGGCGCGCGCATACAGCAGGTTGGCGAGCTTCGACTGCCCGTAGCGCACCCAGCCGCCGGCTACGGGGGAGATGTCGCTCTGAGGCGTGCGCGCTTTCTCAAACACAATGCCGCCTCTGGGGTGCAGCATGTAGCCCTGCGACGAGGTCCAGATGATGCGCACGTCGGCGGGGGAGGAGGCTTGCTGTGCTGCTGTTCGCTCGAGGAGCGGAGTGAGAAGGGTGATGAGTAGAGCGTGGCCGACGTGGTTGGTGCCGAATTGGATTTCGTAGCCGTCTTTTGTCAGGGTTGGAGGGAGGGCCATGATGCCTGCATTGGCGAAGACGAGGTCGAGCCGGTCTAGGCTGTCGGTGAGAGTTTTTGCTGCATCTTTGACGGACTGCAGAGAGGCAAGATCGCATGGAAGGAAGGTGATGCGGGCATTGGGTTGTTTCTCCTTGAGCTTGGCAATGACTTTGTCGGCGGACGGTTGCGATCTGCCGGTGAAGTAGATGTGGGCGGCGTTGTGGGCGGCGAGGGAGGCGACCGTTTCGGAGCCTAAGCCATTTGTGCCGCCAGTAACGAGGACTATGCGTCCGGCGAGGTCGGGAATGTCTTTTGGCGGGTCAAAATCCAGTTTCGGAGCCATGGCGTGCAGGATGGACGATGGAGGGAAGAATGCTGCGCCCGAGCGAGGCGGCGATCACTCTTTATAGTGGCGGCAGGGAAGCTTGATGTGTCATTGCATGCTGCGGGAACGGAGCCTGTGTCCCTCTCCGTTGGGAGAATTGGGAGGTGACGTTGGGCAGGCCAGAAGCGTTCATGGCGCCGCGCTTGTTCGCACATCAATCTGCCATGATTGGACGACGCCGCGATGGTGCAGGAGAGGGTGTGCGCTCGCACTACATGTTCGAGAGACACGCCAAAACAGGCAGGTGGGTGGAGTAAAACAAAGCGTATCCGCCGGGCCAGCGTTTGGTAAAGAATCAAGGCCACATTACTTGCGCCGGATGGCTAATCAAGCTCCGCTAGCATGTAAACGCTCTGCCTCAAACTCCTGTACCCATTTCCACCGAAGCAGCCCGTGCTGTGTTTCTAGTATTCGTAGTAGTACCCGTCGCAGTCATCATGGTCCCCATAGTACTCCTGATGGCCGTACTCGTCACCGGTATCCGCCCTCACGTACACAAAGTCCGACCCCTCAACATCATCTTCGACGTGAGCGTAGCGATCGTGCTGCTCGGGGATGGTGTATCCAGTGCGCTCGTCGACCTCGCGGCGCAAGCGATTGGCCCCCGTACCGTGAGAAGTGAGAGGGGTGGCGGGAGAGCCGCTTGATGCACGCTCACCAGCACGGCCGCTTCTCTCCTCAGCTGCAACACTCATGCGCTGGAACCCTTCGCTCAGGTCGTCCAAGCCACCACCGTAGGTCGCGGCTGTCGAAGGAGGAGTGTGCGCTTGACGCTCCCTGGCAATCCTGTTGATCATGTCGGGCTTGTCGTGGGCCGTGAACATCTGCTTTTCCCAGCCTGATCCGTCGGCTTTGGTGTAGCGCGCGCCACCTTTTCCGTTGTTGTCTGAATCAATGACAGGGTCAGCATGAATACAAGAAGCACAGTGGTGAGGGTGGGCAATCTGAGGAGCAACCGTCCACGTTGTATCATCCGAATGAAGGAGGGGAGCATTGCAGTGGAAACTAACAGTACGTAGCGCCGTCAGGGTGCGAATAGAAATACGATGAATCTTGATTTGAGTAGTGATAGCCGTAGGCCAGCGAGCCGTCTTTGAGCTTGTACTCGCGAGTGTCCCAGCGATTGCCCTACCCCTGTTAGAGATGTGGCATGGGTATGAGTGTTTGGAGATGTGCGTACCTGGGAGTTGATGCCGCGTTCGATGATCCTGTACTTGCTGTAGTCCACGTTGGAGGGAGATGCCTTCGCCGGCAAGTCTTCCTTCTTGACCTTGGGAGTGCTCTCACGGCTGCCCTGAGGGCTCTCGATCTTGATGGCGACCATGTTGAGGTGTGGTGAGTTGCTCAAGTGGAGGTTGTGGAATTGGAGGAAGAAGAGACAGACCTGGAGGCCACTGAAGAAGAAAGAAAGGAGGGGAAAGGAGGTAGAGAACGAGACAGAGGAGAGGGGGAGGAATACCTTCGTTTGGCGCCCGGTCCACTTTCTTTACCCCTCCAGTGGAGTTGAATGCAAGTTCCCGTTAATGGATGGAAAAGAGTGGAAGTCACCATCGACGGGAAGCAATCAGCGATCCGGGAAAGCAGCATACTGTACCAGCCAAGAGGGCACCACCAGCGGTGCATCAAACACCTTTGAAATTCAGCATACGCTGCCTCTCGAGACAACCAAAATGTACCGTCGAACAGTCGGTTCTCGGAGGGATTTCCACCGCGCAAGTAGCATATGCACCAGGCCGCAAAGGCAGGCTTGAAGCAAAATCATTGGGAGAATGGTCCAGCAGCTAGTAGGCAGAAACCTGATTTTCTCGTGACACCATCTCGTCATCTTTCAGCAGACCACTGAAATGGTTGGTGAGGTGTAGGAGGAAGACAAGGGGCATCTCCCACGGAGCTGCTGTTTCGTTGATTAGATAATCGACACGCGACTCCGGTCCGGTGCGTGTTCCGAGCTAGCGGCCAAGAGGCCTTCCACGACGCCTTGTAGCAATGGCAGATCCGATGAACGCCACACTGGGGGCGTACCGTTGATCTCGATCATGTTCGAGCGGTCATCACAGCAAATCAGAACGTTCCCCCGGTTGCCGAGGAGTTGGGGGTTCATATGATCTCCTCGCCAAGGCGAGCGCGCCTGCGACTGGGCATCGCGATCGGCTGCGTATTTGCCTTTGCTTTCGTCTACAAACTCTCCTCTGAATCTTCTTGGCATCTCATCAATGACAGCTCTGGATCGAAGGCACCAGCGAATGCCACGCTCGGCTTCGGCGGCATATATGTGGTCTCGGGATCGGGTTCGGAGAGACTTGACAACTTGGAGCAGGCGGCTGCTGTGACCGAGCTGAATCTAACGATACCGACTCAAAAAGAATGGACGGATGCAGACGTTCTCAACTTTCGCTGGAAAAAAGCCCCCCAAAAAAGCAAAATTGGCGCCGGCAGCATCAAGTCATGGCTCAGTCATCGCCTGGTCCTGCAAGAATTCCTCGACTCCGGGCTGGAAACGGCACTGATCATTGAAGACGACGTAGACTGGGATATCCGACTTCGCAGCCAGCAAATCCCGCTTACGCAAAGGGCAGCCAGAGACTTGCTGGATCCGCGCTCCAAGTCGCCGAAGAAATATCCCTGGGGAGAGCCGCACAGCTGGGACGTGCTGTGGCTTGGGCATTGCGGCGATTACTGGAATGAAATAGATCTGGGCGTTGGCGTGGGACATCACCACCCAGAGCAGTTGAACCGAATGCCGCATGCCATCTGGCCGGACGAGACGGTCTCCTACTTCACCAACCTCCACCCCTACACCGCCTCGCTATTATCGGCACTTCGAGTGCCGGAGAAGCATAGAGTTCTTCATAAGTCCATGCAGCCCCTCTGCAGCTTCGGCTACGCTGTCACGCGTACTGCCGCGGAGAAACTCCTTTCGAGCGTCGTGCCCGCGCGCGAAGAGGATCTGCCCGAGCCACCAGCATACGCCTACGACCAGGCCATGATGTTCGGGTGCTTTCAATTGGTCATCCGCTGCTACTCTCTCCAGCCCGAACTCTTCCACCACATGCTTGGCGAAAGCCTGGTCGGCAAAAGCGAGGAGCACCACTGGCTGTCGCCCGTGGACGTTGCTGGGTCGGAGCAGTTGCTCTACCGGGGCGAGACGAGCAATATCGATTGTGGCTTTTGGTCAGGCAATTTCTGGTGGAATGGCGACGAGAAGAAACTGGACTTTCTGCGTCGCGAAGTCGGGCGGAAGGGGCGATGTCTCAAGCCTGGGCGTGACACGTGACGTTGATACTTCACATGTATACATCCAACACCTCAAACATATGTACAATCAACTACCAGGCTACGTGCCGGAAGAGATGATCCACTACTACTTCTTCTACCACCTAGCCTGTAGACACAATGCACTATCTCCCTTGCAATAAGCCTTACCGAGTTTCGGACTCAATCTACGGCCTGCTCTACTATATATTCCATGTTTACGAGAAGCGCCAGGCCGCCAGCGAGTGGAAGAGGTGGACCACTTCTTCTGGCATGTAGCCTGCTACAGACCAACAGCCCAGCCGGCAAGCTTGTTCACCAGCTCCCTGTCATAGTTCGGCTGCCTGTCCGTGCCGTCCAACGAGCCAAGATAATTTGTAATATCTCTCCCATCAAATTCTCTCTGATCAAAACCGTTGCCCATGAAGGAAAAATGATTTTCATCCCAGTACTCAATCTCGAAGTCCTCATACCGCGGTCGTTCCATCAGGTGCATAAAGTGCAGGCGCGAGCCCGGGTACACGACCGTCTGGCCATCAACCTTGCCCTGTTTGAACCAAGAACTGCACGGGCTGGTCCACGCGGTACGCTGGAGGAAGAGATCGGCGTGCTGGCGGAACATCTTGCTCTTGTCCATGCGCGGCGTGTACGACTTGATGTTCTCCACCTGCGCTTTGGTGATGACGTCGAACATGTAGCTTGTCCAGCGCTCGATGAGCGGCATGAAGCTGCCGTGGCCTAGGGGGCCGTAGGGCCCGCAGAAGGTGAAATGATTCGGGAAGGTGGGGATGGCGATGGAGAGGTAGGAGGTGACGTCGTTGGGGGGCCAGAGTTGTTTGAGGGAGACGCCTTTGCCGTTGACAAAGGGGAATCTAAAGCACGTTAGTAGGGCGATTGAAGAATGGTGTTCAGGATCGGGATTATACCTCGTCTGCCAGGTGGTGTCGAAGCCTAGAATCATTAAGGTTAGCGAGTGCTTTGTCTCACTCAAGGGCGATTCTCCCGAGAACTTCTTACCGGTGGCACAGATCAAGACGTCTACCTCATGCTCCTCTCCCGCGGCGTCTATGAACCCTCTCTCGGTGACCTTCTCGAGATGCTCGGTGAAGATCTTCGCGTTGGGCGCCACCAGGGCTTCGAGATAGCCAGGAGCGGGTGTAGGCCGGCGGCATCCAGGGTTGAAGTTCTTGGGGATGATGTTTTCGCATAGTCGTTGATCGCCCTTCAATTTCCGGACCATCTGGTCTTCACTAAACTCTCGAGCATCTTTGGCTTCTTGTGAGCCTTTGATGATGAATTTGAAACGTTGGTTCAGCTCGTTTTCGATCTGTGTGACTGTCAGTGGAATCGTCGAAGTCATGGATCAATGACTATGGCACAACTCACGTTCTTCCTGTACTCGAGGTACTTGAGAGGGTTGTCTTCGAGGAATTTCCTCTGTTCCTTGGTGTATGCGAAGTTGGCACCATCTTGGCCAGCCCAGCTCTGGGCGAAGCCTGACTACGAATCAGCCATGGTTGCCAAAGGCGTGGTGTTTCGAGAGAGAAGGCGTCTCACCAGCAGTGATCCAGATGGGATTGCGAATCCAGTGATACAAAGTATCAACCTTCTTCTGGATGTTTGCCACAATTTGCACCCCCGAGGATCCCGCTCCAAGGACGGCGACTTTCTTGCCATCCAATGGGTATCCTTCTTCGTATTGCGCGCTGTGCATTAGTTTGTTCTTGAATGTCTCGAGGCCCGGAATCTGAGGCCACTTGAAGTTGTTCAATACTCCGCCGGCGTTGATGAAGAAATGGCACTCGTCGTCAAACACCTTGTCGTTGACCATGTCTCGCACTTTCAGGATCCATTTCCCCTTCTCATCGTTCCACTCCGCCCCCTCAATCTTGTGCTTCAGCTTGACGTATTTGTAAAGGTCGTTGTCTTTGTAAAGTCCTTGAAGATACTCCCAGATTTCCGGGGAGTACGAGTAGTAATGCGTCCAGATTTTGATCGCCCAACTGAACTGGTAGTTGACACTGGGTATATCGCATGCACAGCCAGGGTATCTGCATCTGATTTTAGTATGTGATTGTGTGCTTATATTGCATCGAACAGCCGACTTACCTGTTCTCCAGCCACGTCCCGCCGACATCGCGGTTCTTCTCGCTGTTTGCGGGTCAGCACAGATACATAAGAGGACAGAAGTAGCCCTCAGAGAGTGGGCGTAATGACTTACTACACGCAAATGTCAATATTCTCCATTTGCTCCTCGGCCTTTTTGAGAAAGTTCACGGTGGACGCGGCGGCGCCCATGAGGACGATGCGCAGGCGGCGTTTCGTCCCGTATGGCTCTTCTCGAATGCGATAGCCATGCTCGTCTGTCTCGGGGATGAGATGGCCATCGCGCTCGCTCGTGGGATCTTCGCGCACGATGTCGGGGATGTCTGCGTTGGGCGGGATGTCGTGAGGGCCGTCGTGTTTAATGCCCATCTTGAACTAACGAATTGGAAGACAATCACGAGTCCAAGAATAGATGATATCTGAGAAAGGCAGCAGGATGGGAATTCGAAGGATGCAAGATTGCCACACGCAAGGTCAATTGATGTCGTCAACCCCAGATTTGTGTGGGGAAGTGGAGTGGGAGGGCGGTAGCCTCGGGCATGACCCCTTATTTCCGGGCGGGAGTAGTTCGACTTCCATTCCAAATGCTAACATCAAACCGTCAGTGTCAGTCCTGATGCCTTGGAACTCGAGAGGTTCATTGAAGCGCTGTCTGCTCACCTGCACGGCAAGTTGTACCGCCGAGCATATCCCGTCGTGGAGGACCATCAAAAGCCTACTGCACGCACTCGACACGGCTCTCATCTTTAGCCTTGCCGATTGGAAGCTCACTCGCCTCCATAGCACGCGCCTCGATGCTATCCTCTGCCGCCATCTACAGAACAAGCGCGTCACCAAAGACCCGATCCGCGAGCACGTTTGGCTGACGTCTCAGCTCATCTATCGCCTTGCTAAGGCCCTCGTCGACGATGCCCTAACGATGGGAACGCGGTCCTGGGATGTCACTGTGGCTCGACTGCTTGGCCTCGTTATGTAGACTGCACTAGCAAGTCGCACTGGAGACTTCCGCCAGTCGGAAGAATGGGTGGGACACAAAGATGTTTACATGACTTGGGACCACATCAAGATCGTCGCTACCGGTGACCCCGCTGAAGATCCCCAACTCGCCGCCGTGATTTCCCTCGTCTACCGCAAGGGCTTCAAGTATGAACCCTTCCACCCTCTCATGATCTACAATGCTGACTGCTCCAGGAAAAACGCCAAAGGCACCACCAGAGTCGAACTGCACCAGCTTCCTGACGCGCTCAACCTTGTCGACCCCGTTAAGCTGATCCTTGTACACGCCCTTCGCGCTCGTGCCGTGGTCGAGACAAACTGGACAGATCTGATCAATACCACTCTTCGTCGCCCCAACAAAACTGTGGTCTGGACCAATGGATCTTGGCCACTCTTCCCAGCCTTCGCCAAGAGCGGCACTGGCCTCGACTTCACCAAGCCGGGCAGCGCCCGCCAGCAGCTACATACGTTGGCGATCGCAGGAGACCTGGTTGGCCTGGTGCAGCGGCTATGAGTTCACGACATTCGCCGTGGCGCAGCCTCCGATCTCGCCAGCGCCGGCCATTTGGGCATGCCTGGTGTCGTAGTCCAAGCGGCGCAGATGGCGCTGGGCCACAGTTACAAGTCGATGGCTATGGGCATCACGAGGAATTACGTCGGCCGTTCGAAGGTCGACACCTGGCAGGCTCGCTTGGTTGGTCAAGCAGGACTCGATGCTCCGGACCCCTTTGGCCCTGAATATGCAACCAATCCACGCCCGCGAACGATGAAAGTGCGGGCTTCGGGCATCATGTCGAAATGTGCGGACGACGGTCTGGACCCTCTGCTGGAACGTGAGCGCCGGATGCAACCAGGAGAGTGAAGCAGGATCGACGACAGACGTGGGTCGACGCGGAGCATGCATTGCTACAGAATGGGGTTGAGCCCTCGCCGCCCTCTGACTCTGACGAGGCCTAGCCTTCTTGAAAAAGAGGAAGACGAAGACGACGAACAAGAAGCGCGCTGGAAGACGCGGAAAATGATCTTGGCAGTCCCCGCACAACCTGTGCCACTCCCGCCCGTTGTCGGGTATCACCAGCGCTTTGGGGAACGCGCAGCTCCGCGCCCCAGCACTCCGCTACCCAGCACCCTCGGCAGCAACCCACGAATCTCCATACTTCCTCAGCCCCGCTCTTGACGCCGAGACCGAGGCCGAGGGGGGTGTCGAGCAGGATGTCGAGGATGATGCCGAGGAGAATGCCGGCAACAACGACAACCTCGCCCCCGAGTCCCGCGACCTAATGCATGGCTTGGGCACGGATCTGGGCTTCCTGCCCTCCGACGGAGTTACACTCGAGACCAACGAGGTCCTAATGGGGCACACCATCGACGCCCTCGCTACGGCCGATGCAGCCAATGAAGTGTCGGCTTCTTTCATCTCAGGAGATAGGTTGAGGTATGTGCAACGTAGTCGGCCAGTATGTGATTAGTAGTTAGTCCCGGGCGGTGGTAGCTCGACTTCCAGGAAGGTGCTTAACTCGCGTTGTACGGTGGCCATTCCATTCGATGGGGTCTGCGTGGATCATCTCATGGAGACTTGCCTGGCACGAGAGGCGTGAACAGTGAATGTAAGGGGATGAGGACGGCACGGCGTGGGGAGGGAGATGGTGAGCATATTGAAATCACGGCCAAACCCCCGCACAGTCGCATATCCAGGAATCGTGCATGCCCAGTATATGAAGTCTCTCTCCACAAGTACTTGGACGAGGATGAAAGGTTGTTTGCGTGTTGTCTCGGTGTCTGGTGTTGCCTGAGGCAGTAAACACCTCAGGGCTGAGATGGCCCGAGCTTGCACCGGGTCGGAGCTTGGCGGCGACAGCATGCGGGCAGGGCGAGGCGGGCGGAGGAATAGCTGCCTCAGTGTTTCAAGCATTCCCATCCTCTCGCCCTCGCATTCGCAGCGACGACACATTTCCTTCCCCTCTCACCTCTCCACTGGCACGAATCCCGAGTCGCATTGACCCCCCGTCCGACCCCGCGACTGCCTCCGGCCCAACAGGACCGCCTCCGCATAGTCAAGCCAGAGAGTCTGCCGCCTTAGCGCATTCTGTTGGCCATGTCCAGATGATAAAGAGCCACTAGAGGACCGGGGAATTAGAAGTGTCATACCTGCAGTAGCCTGCGCCTGGGTCGACCCCCCAATGCAAAAGCCAATCGCCGGACCATCCATGTCCGCTGCGCCAAACCAACACCTTCCTGCAGCCAGGAAGCTGCCGCCATCCCCCGCCTCTACGGGCCCTTCCCGCACGCGCAACACCATCCGATCCCTCCTCGCCCCTTAGACTCGTCAGCATGTCGTCGCAGAGAAACAGCACGGGCGGCAATCCCCCTTACCTGAGGAGTCCGCAGCAGCAAGGCTCCCCCAATCCCAACAATCAATCTCCGCAGCCAGGCTCAAACGGAGGACATGCGCATTACGCACAACCCCAGTACCCCGGACAACCAACATACGGCTATCATGCACCTGCTCCGCCCTACCAACCTCCGCCGCAGCAGAGCGGAGCGCAAGACACCTACGCCGCCCCCGTCCGGCAGTATTCGGTTTCCGCCCAGTACCCGGGACAAGCACAATACCAGTACAACCCGCAAGACTACTCCCAGTCGCATCAGCCGCAGCCTCTCATTTCTCCCTACAATCCGCGCAATTACGTAGACACGGGCCAAGGTGCATACAACCCCCAACACTACGCCCCCAACTCCGCCTTTTCCCCCACCTCGCCCATCGCAACTAGTGCCACCAGCGGGCCCCTCGACACCTTCGCCTATCAGCAGCAAGCGTCTTACCCAAATCCAGCACATCAATTTCCGCAGTCTCCGCAACACTCCGTTCACAGCCCTCAACAGTCCTTCAGTCCTCGATCACCGACACAACCGATAGGCTATGCCTCCAACTACGCTCCTTCCCCTCCGCACCAGCGCTCACAATTTGCGTCCCCAATCTCGCCCATACAGGCACAGAGTGTGCAACACCAGTCCGGCAACTATTACCCCAGCCCGCCTGCTCGTCAATATAGCGACACTCGACAGTCACCATCCCCGCTCTATCCCACCTTTTCCCATGCATCGGCCTCGTCTCAGGGCATTAGCCCGGGACCCACGCCTCCCGTGCATGCGCCGTCAAGAACGGGGACTCTTGGGCGTCATCCCGATTCGCGACCGTTGCCCATAACACCGGAAACCGACACCGAGGCGGACTACTTCTACAACGCCAACGATGCCCCGACGTACCTCTCGCGTGAGCAGCGAGAAGCTGTCTCGCAGCAAGAGCTGTTCCAGCAGGTCGAAGATGCCGTCAGGGGCGCCCCCGGGCGGCCATCGCACAGCCCCAGTATATCTGTCAGCCAGCCGCCGACCGCTCCAATGCGGGCATCATCGGCATCACTGTTTGCACAGACACAACCTGGCGCGGCGCGGTCCGAGGGAGCTCTCAACGGCCACCTTCATCCCGCGGCCGCCGAGCATGTCTACAGCAGCGACAGTGACGCGGAAGCGGCGCAGGGGCTGGCAATGATGCAGATGGCAGATGAAGACGAAGCTCGGAGGCGACAGAGTGGCGGTGGTCAGACACGGTTCGGCAGCGGCTACGCGTCTCAACGAGGCTCTCTACCCCAACCTCTTCCCCTGCCGCCCGAGGCTAGCGACAGCGACGACTATGGAGCCGTCGACATGACTTCTTTCGGCGGCTATGATGTGCACATGGCGTATGGAGGGGATCCAAGCACACTTGCTGTTGGAGGCGAGATGAATGGGTACAACCATTACAGCCAACCTCCTAGTCAGCAAAGCTCCATGCGTAGAAGCCATGCATCGCAATCAAGCCAGGCGAGCCGCGATTACGAGTATGCGATGAACTCCATCCACCCGTTCCGGCCGTTCAACGCGCCTGCGCGGGTCGATGCCGGAGGCACTGGTGGCTTGTCCGAGCCGACTGCAGATGGAAGAAGGTTGAGCTACGATGAGGGCGACGAGTATGCCTTCTTGGAGGGAGGGATTCCCGATCGCTTTCCCGATGAGCCGCCGGACATCTTTTACCAGCCTGCTTCGACATCCTACCGACCTCTTCCTGCACCTCCCGGAAACGAGTACATGCCACCGCTCCAAACGGACTTCCGGGAGGGCCAGCCTCCATCGCCATATCCAGCTGCCCCAGACGAATATCACACACTGAATCAACACGGGCAATGGGTTCCCAGATCGTCGTCGCTCATGAGCCACCCGACCACCCCACATGCAAGTCAACCGTCAAGATCCAAGACGGATGCTGAGCTGCGAAAATTGCCGCCCAAGAGCACGCCCATAACACCAGCTCTCGATCTGCCTTCGCTGCCCGGCAAACGCTTCATGCCTTCCCAACTTGGTGCACCCGCGTTCAAGAAATGCGAGGAGCCGTGGAGTCTTATGTCGATTCTGAAATGGTTGCTGCAGGTCACCAATCCGGAGCAGGTTACGGAATTGAAGGAAGCGGAGGTCAAGGAGGCGCTGGTAGCACTCTTCACCAACAAAGTGCCCACGATGAACATTGCGGATGCGGAAACGCTGAGCAATCGTGTGGTGCAGGATATGTACGGCGCCGAGACGTTGATCGCAACGGAAGAGTGGGTCAAGGTCGTGCCCGGGCCCATGTCTGGTGTCATCTTCCAGTTGACCGGCACTGGGTGTTATTCCCCGACTCTGCACGACCATGTCATCCCTGGACGATGCTATTCTCATCACTGCCAGCGCACTCTCAAGAAGGTGAACCTGCTCGGGCAGAAGCTGAGGACATCGGAAAGCTGGGCAGAGTACTATCGTCTTACGAAGGAGGATGTCGAGGGCAAGGACAAGAAGGAGCTTGAGCGACAGTACATGCTGCACGAGACTGTCACCACGGAAGAGACGTACATGGAGCAGCTGAGTGTTCTGCGCACGCTATACCGTGACGCTTTGTCCCGTTCTGAGCCGTCCATCATCTCGCCGAAGCGGAAGACGAAGTTCCTCACGGACGTCTTTGGCAAGTTCGATGCGATCCAACAGGCGAACGAAGAACATCTACTCCCTCAGCTGAAGTATCGGCAGCAAGAACAAGGGCCATGGATTGTCGGCTTCTCCGACATCTTCCGGCAATGGATCCGGAAAGCAAAGGCGGCATACATCGACTATGCCGGTGCGTTTCCCGGCGCTACATTCCTCGTGCGGCAGGAGATTGATCGCAATCTTGACTTCCGAACGTTCATCGAGCGCGCGAGGAGTGATAAGAAGTCTAATAAACTCGGCTGGGACACGTACTTGAAGGCGCCGATCACGCGGCTGCAGCGGTATACGCTGCTGTTGGCCGCGGTGTTGAAGACGATGAAGACGGAGAGCGAGGAGAAGGCCAATTTGAAGCTTGCATACGACGAGGTGAAGGCGGTGACGCTGGAGTGCGATGCGCGAGTGGCGGACATGCAGACCAAGGTGGACCTGATGGACCTTCAGCATAAGCTCGTCCTGCGGCCGGGAATGCAGAATGCGGTCGAATTGAATCTGGATCATTTCGGGCGCGAGCTGATTCATCGTGGCGATTTGCAGCGAATGGGCGGGAACCGCTTTACGTGGTTGGACTCGCACGGTCTGCTGTTCGACCATTACCTCGTGCTGGCGAAGACGGTCTCGCAGCGGTCGGAGCAGGGCGGCAAGGTGGAGAAGTACGATGTATCCCGACTGCCCATCCCGATGGACCTGCTCATCCTCGAGAGCGCGTCGGACCCGGCAGTGCAGAAGAGTTCGTACATGAAGGGCATCACTTCCGTTCGCGACGTCACTGGCAGGACGTCGACGCCCCAAGCCGGTGGCGATACCAACAATCTCGGCCGCGTCCAGTCGCCTACTTCTCCCGCGCCGCAGCTCCAACACACCAACACGGCTGCATCGGGCGCCAGCTTGACCACGGTGACGACGCTGAGCGAGAACAAGGATGCCGATAAGATCATGTATCCCTTCAAAGTCAAGCACCTCGGCCGCGACACCTACACGCTCTTTGCGCCGACGGAACAAGCACGGCGCGAGTGGTGCATGAAAATCACAGAGGCCAAGATCAAGCATGCCGCCTCGCTGTACAACCAAAACGCCGAGCCCTTCAAGCTGCGCGTCATGGCCGATGCCGCGTTTGTCTTCGATGCATTTGCCGGCACGGCGGGTAAGGCGCCGACGATCAAGGGCACGCCGGTGGATCGCGCGATCCAGGAGGTTGAGCAAAAGTTCAAGGAGGTGGGCAAGCCGGGGCCGATATGTCGGGCAAGAGTCAATTGCGCAACGAGTTTCGCCACGCCGCACCCCGAGAACAAGCAGATGGTTGCCGTCGGCACGGACTTCGGGGTGTTTGTTAGTGAGATGAATAACCCCCGAGGCTGGTCCAAGGTGAGTTGCTCGTTGTGGTGTCGTCCATGCGGGCCATACTGATTGATGAAACCCCAGGCAATCTCCATGTCCCGCGTCACGCAAGTGGCCGTGCTGGAGGAATTCAATCTGTTCCTCCTCATCTCCGACAAATCCCTCATCGCCTACCACCTCGACACCCTCTTTCCCACCGGTGCCACCACCACCCCGAACGATACCGCGTCCAAAGCCCCGCAAAAGCTTTCCGGCAGCAAAGACGTCGGCTTCTTCGTCACCGGCCGCATGAAAGAGCGCGCGCTCGTCTTCTACAAGAAGCGTGAGAATCTCGCGTCGGTCTTCAAAGTGCTCGAGCCCGTGTATCAAAAGTCGACCGAGCGGCGGCGTGGCATGTTCCGCCGCGGCAACACCGAGTTCTTCCGCGACTACGACGAATTCTACATCCCGGCGGAGTGCACGGGCATCAACCTCTTCCACTCCTCGCTGTCCGTCAGCACCTCCAAGGGCTTCGAGGTGATGACGCTCGAGCGCAAACAGGCCATGTCTGTGCCTGACCTGTCGGCGCAACATGTACAGAACATTGCCAGCCATATCAAAGAGGAGAAGGCGCTGTCGATGCTTCGCTTGAGCGATCAGGAGTTCTTGCTCGTGTACGCGCGTTGCGCAGTGTACATGAACAAGCACTCCGACGTGTCGCGCTCGGTGATTATGGAGTTTGTAGGCTGCGCGCAGTCTGCTGCACTGTATGGTCCCTATCTGGTGCTGTTCGATCGCGACTTTGTGGAGATTCGCAATGCGCAGAATGGCCGGCTGAAGCAGATTATTGCAGGGAGGGAGGTGAAGTGTTTGGATGATGGGGGCAGCTGGTCCGCGGCGGGAGGATCGGGAGGGGGAGGGAGCGAGAGTGGAGGGCGCACGGTGAAGTTTGTGATGCAGCATCCGGAGCAGGAGAAGACGCAGATTGTGGTGGAGTTGTTGTTGAATGAGAAGATGAAGGAGGGATTGGACTGAAGCGGGGTGGGATGATTTGGATGAATCAGGGGCGTTTGTTTGGATCTCGAGACGATCTTGGCTAGTCGGATGGGTTTGAGGCGGCGATAGGTGTTCATGGCGTATGGCGAGACGCGCGAGGTCACTGGGTATGGGCTGAATGGAGGGATCAAGACTTGGCCTTGATGGTCAATCTCGTATCAACCGTGTTGCTGTATACTGTCTATCAATACACGCTTTCTACGTCCCGGTTCTGCTCAACAACCCTCACTCATCGTCTTTGGGAATGTTCGTCCCCGTCTCCTCGTCGTTGGTCTTTTGCCTCTTCCGATTGTACTCCCGCACCGTCTCCGCGTCCGTGTCCTCGCATAATTCACTCTGCTGGTTGATGCCCGTCCACTTGGGCAGTCCGTCCGGCACGTCGACCACCCGCTCGGGATAGAACATGTGACACGTGGGTTTGAAGTCGTCCTTGGCCTTTTGAGTCTTCAAATCCAGCAGACTGGGGAAGAGGAGAATCATGTTCCGGCCCTCGTCCATGATGGGGCTGTGGCAGTAGGAGCAGCGCACTTTGCAGGGCAGCTGGTGCGCAATGGACTTGCTGGTCGGATCGTACCATTCGAGATCGTGGTGGCCGTGGTTGAAGTTGATGTCCTCCTTGTGGAAGATGGCGGCCCATTGGAAGGGAGCGGCGTGCTGGCTTTGACACGTCGTGCAATGGCACAGCTTACTCGCCAATGGCTTCTCGCGGCTGAGCTCGAACTTCACTTTCCCGCAGTGGCATTGGCCCGTGTGCTTTGCTTCGAAGTGCTCGTTGGACTCGTGGATGCGGTAGGGCGCGTTGTACTTCCATCGCTCCTTTTCGTGCACATCCTCGGCCTTCTTGTCGGCGTGGGCTTGGTCGTTGGACATGGCCCTTGTGGGGGGCAGTGTGCGGATAGAGTTTGCGAGGAGAGACCTTAGTGGTTTGAGGAAGGGAGTGGATTGGGTGATGAGGAGACGACAAGGCTGCGGCGCGGAAAGGAGAGGACGTAGAATTCTACTCGCCATGGGAGAGGGAAGATGCTTTTGGGTGGAGAGACTGGGATACATGTGATGCCTACGTTACCTGTTTCGAGGACGAGCGGACGCTGCGCCAGACGCGACTGCTCGCGTGCCACACATGGAAGGCTCATGACATTGAATGACGCGGTGATGAATCGGATTCGAATCGATGACGGTTCCTGAAGATCTTCAACCCACCCAGATCTGGGCTCCACTAAGCTCTTAGGTAAGCCAGCCCCGCCCCCGCAATGCTCTCCCCGTGCCATCCATCCTCATCGCTTCATCTTGAGAGCATCTCACTCGGGAACCAACCCTCGATGACGCCTACTTGACTCCGACCTTCCTTCTCCGTCTCCCTCTAACCCCACACAATGTCCTCCACCTTTAGCAGCAGACCCCTCTTCCCGAACCTCCCGCCTCCAGCCGAATGCCTCGCCATCCTCTTCGCCTGCACCCAACTCACCGTCTTCGGGCTAGGAGGCCTCGCGAACCCCATAGACTGGTCGAAAGGGTACGGTCTGCCAATTGTGCGCGCCTCGGATCTCCGAGCATCTCGAAACAATTCAGCCTCAGGTCAGCAGCAGCAGGACGCCGCAGCCGAGGCAGAGAAGACGCAGATAGCGCTCGTGAGCGCGTTGGCCACAAGGAACATACGGCATGCGGCGTTGATTTTGGCGCTGGCATGTTATGCGCGTGATCGCCGCGCTGTAGGACTGGCACTCGCGGTGAATTGCATCTCGTCGTTGGCCGACACGTGTATTGTAAGGTGGTTTGGGACCGCACAACAAGTGAGTTTGCACGTAGGGGGTTTGCTGAGCTCGGCGGGGTTGAGCATGGTGTTGTTGAAGTGGGGGAGAGACGATGCCTGGTGGTGAGGCGGTTGAAATGATCTAACATTTATGATGCCGACTCTCCAAACTCCGGATCACGCCATCTATGTTCTACCTCGAGCCGCGGGCTGTCATGAAACGGGGCCTACACTTTCAACTCGGCGTCCACGATGTTCTTCAGCGCGTCACGGTACCTCTCCAAAGCGGGCTGCACCTTTTGCTGCACCAGCTTCTCGACCAGCTTCGCCGACCTGCCGGTGAAAGTATTGGGGTCGATGAGCGCTGCAAGCTCCGGCAGAATGGGCTGGAAGAAGGCGCGCTTCTCTATCCGCTCCAGAAGGTCGTTCGCCTTGCCCTCTTGCTTCACCACCTTTCCTGCTTCGTGGGAGAGGACACTGTTCCACCAGAAAGATTAGCATGGGGATACACACGCGACGAGAGGAGTGCCATCCTACCGAATCTCCTCATGAGTTTCCTGGCGAGAGTAGCCCCGCTCGACCATGGCCATGATGATATTCTCCGTCGCCATGAATGGCAGCTCCTCCTCGATGCGCTTCTTGACGATGGCCTTGTTGACCACAAGCCCAGAGGAGATGTTGTTCAGCTGCTCGCCTCGTCAGAAATCGGCATACTACAATTCCAGACACATGAGACTTACGAGGATCAAGCACGCATCCGCGCAAAGGAATGACTCGGGCAATGTAAGCCGCCGAATCGCCGAATCATCCAAGCTCCGCTCCAACCACTGCGCGGAATACGTCTGCTCCACGTCGGCGCTGTAGTTGCGCAGCTTGCGCCCCAGCGAACACAATCGCTCCGACCGCATCGGATTCCGCTTGTACGCCATCGCGCTCGAGCCAATCTGGTCCGCTTCAAACGGCTCCTCGAGCTCCTTGAACATGGCCAGATGTCGGATGTCGCCGCCCACACGCTCGCACGTGCTGCCGAAGGAAGAAAGGGCATGCACGACGTCTACATCGATTTTGCGCGAGTACGTCTGGCTGGTGGAGATCTCGGCGGCGGCGAAGCCGGCCTTCTTCGTGACAAGATCGTCGAGCGCGTCGACCTTGGCATCGTCGCCTTTGAAGATGGCGAGAAAGCTTGCCTGGCTACCTGTGGTCCCCTTAACGCCGCGGAACTGCGTGAGTAAATCATCGCGAGCGCGCTCCAGATTGCGCAGATCCATGAGCAGATCGGTGATCCACAGACTCGCGCGCTTGCCAACCGTGATGGGCTGGGCGGGCTGGCCATGGGTGTAGCCCAGACACGGCAGATCACGGTATTCGAGGGCGAAATTGGTGAGACGCTGGATGACGCCGGCGAGTTTGGGCAGCAGGGTATTGAGGGCGTCGCGGAGGAAGATGAGATCCGCGTTGTCCGTCACGTAGCTGAAGGAAATTAGTCTTCTCACTTACATCTAAACACAGCCTGGTTAGAATGAACGAGACTCACCAAGACGTAGCCCCCCAATGAATGATGCCCGCCGCCTCCGGCGCCACCAAGCCATACGTATGCACATGCGCCATCACATCGTGCCGCCGCCGCTTCTCCTCGACGGCCGCGACGTCGAATTCCGCATCTTCGATCCGCGTGTTCGCGCGCAACTGCTCCAGCGCCTTGGGCGAAATGTCGAGGCCGAGTTCGGCTTCCGCTTCGGCAAGCCAGACCCAGAGCTTGCGCCAGGTTGTGAAGCGGTTGCGGGGGGAGAAGATGTGTTTGATTTCGGGGGAGCAGTAGCGGGAATTGAGGGGGCTGATGGTGGTTTTTGGTTAGTATTGTGTGCAGTGCTGGCCAAGGGAGAAATTTTTGACAATGGCGCTGGGTGGGTGGGTTTGGAGATATCAGCTCTTACTTTTGGTATGTGTCGTAATCTGTCGCCATTTTTGCGATTCAGAGGGACTTGTCAAAGCCAGGTGTGGATTAGATGAAGGCCGTGGTTTGTCTACTCCAAAGAGCCCTTGCGCATCTTTTTGTGCGTTTCGATAAGTGAGGTGCAGATTGAAGCTCGGATAGTGGAACGCGGGAAGTCTCCAAGCATTGGATCGTCACGCCGTACCAATCTTGAAGGGCTGCTGTGCACAACTTTGCCTCAGCAATGGCAAAGGCGAGGAGGAATGAAGGAATCTCATGAGTTCAAAATGAAAAAGGACTGGGTAGTATTGCAGCTACTCAATCCGTCAGATAGCCCTCCACCCGCCACTCTGTATATGGATCGTCAGAGTTCCCTTCCACGCAAGTGCCGTCTCTCATCCATGGCCGTCGCTCGTAGAAAATCACAAGTAGGTATCATCAATGAAAAAACACCCCAGCGCCGTCGCAAGACAATAAACAGCTCAAACACAGAGCAGATCGAAATCAAAAGCAAGTCATGAGTCCCGCCGTCGCAACAGATGTTTCGCCGTCTCCGTCACGCTGAACCCGCCGAACAACCAGTCGTTACTGTGGCGGCCGCAGTCGGAGAAGGTGCCGGTGGGATGATGGCGTTTGGCTGGCTGCGAGCCTTTGCGCTGCGAGGAGGTTGATTTGATGCTTTGCGGTGGTGGGGATGAGGAGGAGAAGAGCGAGGAGGAGGCTGATGATGTGGAGGCGGAGGAGGATGATGTAGAGGGTTTGGGGCTGCGGGAACGACCTCGAGTTTCTTCGAACATGGCGGTTGGGAGTGAATTGTGGGTTTCTTGTTTATTGGCGGTGGAGGTTGTGGACATTTGTTGTAGTCTGCTCTGAGACTGGAGTGTGTGTTGGCTTGCAATAGGTGTCCCGGCGAGGTGTATGCTTGACGGCCGATGAGACTAGACAAAAGAAACGAAGATGAGAGTACGCGAGAACTAAATACCATTCCACCTCACACACGTGTCCCGCGCACAAATGTCCCTCACACATGCTTTCCGCGTGCGTACCAATCACCCACGCCCATGCGTACGCAAGTGCGGGCAGCCGAAATGGGGACCCCAAGAGTGCAACGCAAGATCTCATGATTCCGATGCGGGACCACAGCCAAGCGGCCGCGCGCCAAGCGACAGAGGCGGAACAGGCCACCATCGTCGGAAGCAATCTTAGAAGCAGGAAAGCTTACCTGCAGTTGAGTTCAGGCACCACCGGAATCTCCAATGGAAGGGGATGGAATTCGTGACCAGCCGCGGGGCCAGCTGGAGAGTTTACGCATGCCACAACGCGTTAGCTCCGTCGGAATGCACGGGAAGGTGAAGGAGAGTGGAGGATGCGGGCGGGATGTCGTGCGGTGAGTGGAGGAGGGCGACGGGAAAGAAGGGCCGGCCGATCTGGCTATTCTGGTCACACGCACGGCCGTAGGGCTGGCATCCCACTTCTAGACGTTGCCGTCCCTGATGCGCCATTTTCCCTCCACCTTCGCCGTGCATGTCCGATGCTCGTGATTGATGACGAAGAGTGATAGGAGGGATCTCGCCTGATGAAGGGAGTGCCCTTGGCGAATTGAACTGCTGACCGTCACTCTTTACTTCAGCTGAATGTCGAGTCCATTCGATTTGCCATTGTTCTTTGGCGAACTTTCTCTTGGTGCGCGATATACAACAGTACTCGCCTTTACATACCGTCAAGGATTAAGCCAAGTAGAACATGACGGCGGTCAGTCAGATGAGTGGCTGACGTCGGATCTTGGCGTGCCTGACACACTAGACGACCAAGCCATGTTGACAGACGTCCCCCAACTGCACACCAATCTGCCTCCGCACAAGAAGACTGCTGACAATCCATGTGATTGGTGCAAGGATGAAGAGGCAGTCCAGAGCAGTGACATTACCATTCATCATACAAACCCACTAAAAAGCCCGTGGACCACGAACAGATGTGTAGAATCTCGTAATGGCATCGGTCGCCATGGATCGAAGAGTCCAAAGGTAAAGCTATCTCAAGGCAAAAGACGAATCGCTCACAAACACGCTGCATCATTGTTACCGAGCCCATATGCAGAAGGAAAACCACCCCATCACTTCTTCAAGCACTCCGCGCCGGCTTTCAACATTGCCGTAGGCATATTCACATCCTCCTCCCCTCCAACCCCTTCCTCGTGCACAATCGGCTCAACAAGATTGAGACTCGTCCGCTTCTTCGCCGCCTTTTCGCGCTCTTCCTTGAGCTTGGCCTGCTTCTCCTGCAACTTCGCCATCTTCTCCGCCTTGATGCGATCCTTCTCCTCGCGCTCGCGGTCCTTGCTCTTCTCCGCCTCGCTCTTCTTCGCTTCCTGCTCCGCCGCGTAGTCCTTCCACTTGCGCCAGCCGTCGTAGTCGATCAGCGCCTGCATGCAGCCCCACTCCTTCACTTTGCGCTCCAGCCAGACAAAGTTGACCGGCTTGGTCAGGAAGTCGTTGCACCCTGCCGCTAAGGCTTCGTGTCGATCAGATTGGAGGGAGGAGGCGGTGAGGGCGACGATGATGACGGGGGATTTGAACAAGCTTTCCGAGACGAGCAGGCGATCTGTGGTGCTCGTTCTCTTGCCGTCGTCTGCCCCTTTGTTTGCCGGAGAGGCTGCTTCATCTCCTTCTCCGTTCTTGTCCTCCCCGTTGCCGAAACTGCTCCGCTGTTGCCCCAAAAGACTATCGTCGACTTCTCCAAACACCCCGATTCCATTCACGCGCTCCAAGCGCCGGATCTCCTTCGTCGCTTGCAGACCATTCATGACCGGCATTTGGATATCCATCAGGACCAAGTGAAACCCACCCGCCATCCACTTGTCGACGGCAATCTGCCCGTTCATGGCCGTCTGCCACCGCACCTTCAGCCGCTTCATCAAGCCCTCGAGAATCTTCAGATTGATCGGGTTGTCTTCCACGATGAGGACGTTGATGGGCGGCACTGCGGCAGATTCGAGCGCGAAGCTGACGGATGGAGCGGAGGCATCGTTCTTGCCCCCTTGGCCGCGGGAATTAGCTCGGTCTTCTGGTGTCTGTTTGCGCGTCTTCCGCGGTCGTCTTTGAGGAGCGTGAAGGTTCATAAAATTGGCGTTGTTCGGCATGCCGGATGGAGTTGGAGGATTGGAGTTGTTCTTGTTGGTCGGCGGGGCCTCGGGTGCGGGCGGAGTGGGAAGAGGGGGTGCGGGCGGTGGCACCGCGTTGTTCATTTGCTCGGCCGCGGACGAGTCCATGCGCGGGCGAGTGGATTGTCGATGAGGGGCTCGGGCCTGCGGGTCACCTGCATTGGGTGCACTGGCACCTATTACGCCGGAGTTAGGTTGGATGAGGGTGGGAGAGGCTGTAGGCTGACGGCCGTACTTTGGACGATGTTGATGTCGCCGGCTGGTGCTACCTGGGGATGGCAAGGGAGGGAGTTGGCCGGTATTGAGAATGGAAATGGATCGGGGGTGCGTCTCCGACTGTGCAGCGAGGGGCACATGATGCTGGCTGGAGCGACTGTCGTGGCTTCCCGAAGTTTGCGGGATGGTGCTCGGGACGAAGGCGGGCATGGGTGGGAAGTAGTCCGTGCCATTCTCGAGCGGCCGGTAATCGTCAATGGCATGGTAGTTGGGGTGCATGTAGACTTTGGGCGAAGGGCGGGGCGTTCTTCGTTGCGGAACATTAATGATCAGGGCGTCGTGCACCGTCTGGCCCTCCGGATAGTATGAGTCCAGCGTCCTGCACATCTGCTCTTCCGGGCCCAGTACTCGCTCGTTCTTGACGACCCCTTGTTCCAATCTTGAAACGATGGAGAGGGTCATGTCCGGCGCATCGAACGTTTTGCCGAGACTATTGGCATACTTTCTCAAGATCATCTCGCGCACATCGTCGACCAGGTCATCTTCTTTGATTACCACCAGCGTCGCCGACGCGTCGGGTCGCTTGACCCAAATCTTTCGTTGCACCATGGCGGCTGTGGGAAGGGAAGGGTGGTCGGTCAGGACGGGGGAGTCGAGAAGGTGGGCAACAAGGGGCGCATTGGTACCACTGACAATGCTGACGGGGCGTTCGAGGGCGGTGGATGAAGGGCGGTGTTCGGTTTCTGGGGAGGACAACGTGGTAGGGAGCTCGGAGGGAGATTGAGTGACAAGATCACTGTCACTTTGGGGGGTGAACTGGCGCTGTTCGTCTGGAGTGGGGTCGAGGGAGGTGCTAGAGGCATGTCAGATCAGTTGAGCTCGGCGGGGTCTCGATGGAAGCGATCTGGGTGGTGATTACGCACTCGACACTGGCGGGCTCGACGTCCCTCACCTCCGCTTCGGCGACTTCAGGCGTGGCCTGCTGAAGGACGAGGACAGGAAGCTTTCGCAGGCCCTCCAGCTGCAAATCTTCTGCAGACGCTTTCGCCGTCGTTTCCTCTTCACCGAAACTCACGCTCTTGCGACTTGAGTGGTGGCAGGTGGAAGGCTCAATGGATGAGGCGGGAGACACGGCTTCGCCTTCCAGTATGCTCTGTGTGCCGCCTTGGGCCGACAGCAAAGAGTCTTTGCGCTCCTCTTTGACGGATTCTTGGATGGCAGGCGTGGCGCTGCGAAGGAAGCGTCGCCTCAGTCTGGGGAGGGAGGTGCTTTTTCTGACCGTCTTCGGCGAAGCGGCGGGTGAGGACGGGATTGCGGGAAGGCGTGGAGGGGAAGGAAGAGAGTTGCAACGTTCCTGTGGAGAGGGGGAGGCGATGGTGGGGTTGGTGGTGGGAGTTGAATGGTCTCCTCGTGTAGATAGACGACGAAACAAGTCCGCAGGCCGGAGGCGGGCCATTCACCTCGATCCCTTCCAGCTCATTCCGCCGAAGGTTTCGGGCGGTCGAGGTTTAAAAAGGGTGGATCCCAGCTGCACGGAAGCTTGTTTCCAGCAGGGCAACCCTTGACGACCTTGTCAATCGTTCTTTCTGAATGAATGTGATGAAATGTGAGGATGGAAGAAAGGAGAAGGAGGTGAGAATGTTTGTAACGGTTGGGCTGAAGGTCCCTGGCCGTGGGAGGCGCATTCCTGGCAAGTTCACTTCCTTGATCTGCCTGCCTGGCGAGTGATCCGAGCGGCGGAAGTCGCGATCGGGATCCCGCGCGGCTCCGCCGTCGTGCCTTCCTTCATTAAAATAATGACCAACCTGCAGAATTCCAGCCGGCATCGCTGCATGTGCTCTCCTACACACCCGTTCTCTTCGATGTGCCCCGTGTAAGACGAATAACATCACATGTGTGTCTCCTTACAGACCCTAAATATGCCTGCCGCGTCACCTCGTGCCGAACTCCCGATTAAACGCCCTCCCAATCACCAACTTCCTCACCTCCGTCGTGCCCGCTCCAATCTCATACAATTTGGCATCGCGCATAATCCTCCCCGCCGCCATCTCGTTCATGTACCCCATCCCGCCCAGGCACTGAATCGCGTCCATCCCGCACTCCGTCGCCCGCTCTGCCGCGTACAGAATGGCACCCGCGCAGTCCTGCGTGCGGATGTCCGGCGACTCATGTGACTCGTCAATGTGTCGTGCCACACTGTACGTGAAGGCTGCACTGGCACGGTACTTCGTATACATGTCTGCCAGTTTGCCCTGGATGAACTGGTTGTGCGCGAGCGGCTGCCCGAATTGGTGGCGTTCGTGAACGTAGGGGAGTGTCACGTCGAGCGCGGCCTTCATCAGCCCCAGTGAGCCGGCGGAGAGCACCAGTCGTTCCAGGTCGAGGCCTTCCATCAGCACACGCACGCCCTTGTTCAGCGAGCCGAGGATATTGGAGGAGGGGACGAAGACGTTGTCAAATACAATCTCCCCCGTGTTGCTGCCCCGCATGCCTAGCTTGTCCAGTTTGCGTGCGCAGCTGAAGCCCTCTGTCGCCGTCTCGACAATGAAAGCCGTGATGCCTTTGCTCGCGGCGTCGGGCTCCGTTTTGGCGTAGACCACAATGACATCCGCGTCGGGGCCGTTGGTGATCCACATCTTCGTCCCGTTGAGCACATATCCGCCGTCCGTCTCCTTGGCCGTCATCTTCATGCTGACCACATCCGACCCCGACCCGGACTCGCTCATGGCGAGTGCCCCGATCTTCTCGCCCGAAAGCAAGCCGGGAAGGTACTTGGCCTTTTGCTCATCGCTGCCGTTCAGCTGCAGCTGGTTGACGCAGAGCTGAGAATGGGCGGCATAGGACAATCCAATGCTGCCGCTCGCCCGGCTCAGCTCCTCCAAGATGATGCAGTGTGCTTGATATCCCATCCCGAGCCCGCCATACTGCTCGTCGGCCGTGATGCCCAAGAACCCCGCCTCGCCCAGCTTGCGCCACATGTCGTTGGGGAATTCATTGCCCTGGTCGGTCTGTTGTGCCACGTCGAATGTGATTTCCCGCCTCGCAAACTCGATGGTCCGCTCTCGCAACTCCTCCAGCTCGTCGGGGGAAGGCGGGGTGAAGTTCTTGGGGTGCTTGATCGAGGCATTGCGCGTGGGGATGAAGACGGCGCGAGGGGCGGTTCGTAGGGGTGCGCGGACGCACTGCAGCAATGCTGCTCTACATGGTAGTAACGGAGGCATTGAAGAATCTTCAAGCACACGATGGCTGCAGAAGAAAAAGTTCAAGTCTCCCGGTGCGCCACGGTGATGTCCTGGCAGGCGGCTTGCGGGGAAGGGATTGGCAACAGCCCGGCTAGAATCGGCAAAACACCCACTCCACCCGCGAAACTTCACCCCGGCACAACATCTTTCAGACATAAAATCTTTCTTGCCTGCATCGACTGGCATGTAGGCAGAGTCTCCAATGGCTTCCCGCGTGCCCTTAAGGGCCCTCGCACGCTCCATCCACCACGGTCCTCGGCGGAAAGTGGACGTGTCGCAACAATGTCGCGTGCAACGACAAGCCGTGTCAACATACACCTCTCCCTTCCAAGCTTCTCAGATCTCCATCGTGCAGTCCGCGGTCGACACGAACAGCGAGCGATACCGTGAGAATGCGGCCTCGATGGGCGAGTATGTGGATCGCCTCACCACGCTGCACGCGCAAGCTGCACAAGGCGGATCGGAGAAGTCAAGACAGAGGCATACGGGTCGGGGCAAGATGCTCGTGCGAGATCGCATCACGGCCCTGATCGACCCTGGCACGAGCTTCCTCGAGCTTAGTGCTTTGGCGGGATATGAATTGTACCCTGGCGAGGACGTGCTTGGAGGGGCCATGGTGACTGGCATTGGCACGGTGGAAGGGGTGATGTGCATGATTGTCGCCAACGACGCTACAGTCAAGGGAGGCACTTACTACCCCATCACCGTGAAAAAGAGTTTGAGAGCTCAGGAAATCGCTCAGCAAAACCGACTGCCTTGCATCTACCTCGTGGACTCTGGTGGTGCCAACCTGCCGCATCAGTCTGACGTCTTCCCGGATCGTGATCACTTTGGTCGAAACTTCTACAATCAAGCGCGGATGAGCATGATGGGCATCCCCCAGATTTCCGTCGTTATGGGTCCTTGCACGGCAGGCGGTGCTTACGTGCCTGCCATGAGCGACGAGAGCATCATCGTGCGCGAACAAGGCACCGTCTTCCTCGGCGGCCCGCCTCTCGTGAAAGCTGCTACGGGTGAGGAAGTCACAGCAGAGGAGCTAGGCGGCGGCAAACTGCACTCCGAAATCTCCGGTGTCACCGATTACCTCGCCGTCGATGATGCCCACTCCATCGTGCTCGCCCGACGAAGCGTCAAGAACCTCAACTACCCCACCACTCCCAACCCCTCGCAAAAGCCCACCTGGACCGAACCTGTGCACGATCCGGAAGAACTGGGCGGAATTGTCGGCACCAACCTCAAACTCTCCATTCCAATGCCCGAAGTAATCGCGCGCATCGTCGACGGCAGCGAATTCTCCGAGTTCAAGCCGGGCTACGGCAGCACGCTGCTGACGGGCTTTGCAACAATCTACGGCCATCCCGTCGGCATCATCGCGAACAACGGCATCCTCTTCTCCGAAAGCAGCTTGAAGGGAGCGCACTTTATTGAACTCTGCTGCCAGCGTAACATCCCGCTCGTCTTCCTGCAGAACATCAGCGGCTTCATGGTTGGCCAGGATGCGGAGAAGGGCGGGATTGCGAAGAACGGGGCGAAGCTGGTCATGGCCGTGGCGTGTGCCGAAGTACCCAAGTTTACCGTCATCGTCGGCGCCTCGTCCGGGGCGGGCAACTACGGCATGTGCGGTCGCAGCTACAGCCCGCGCTTCTTGTGGACGTGGCCTTCGGCCAAGACGTCCGTCATGGGACCTGACCAGTTGACGTCGGTGATGGAGGCGGTGGGCAAGAATGTCGACACGGGCTTGCGAGACCGGATTGAGAGAGAGAGTGATGCGTTGTTCTCCACGGCGCGGATTTGGGACGACGGCATCATCCCGCCGAGTCACACGCGCCGTGTGCTGGGCATGGGACTGCAGGCTGCGTTGGGAGGCAGTGTAGAGAAGAAGGAGACGAAGTTTGGAGTGTTTAGAATGTAGGAGGAAGGGGCATGATTGCATTGCATTCTGTATATCTCTGTCTCCCTTGCGACCACATGTATGCCTCGGTTGGGTAGTTTGCATCACTGTAGAACATGACAAGTGGCAACCATGTTCTTGACGAAGAAGATGTGCAATTCATACCTTCAGGTTGACAGCTGGAACTCATGTCAGGCAGAGTGGAGCAAGCGAGGATCGGCCCAAAGCGGACTGGTCCGTGTGGGCTGGCGGACAGCTTGCTTCCCGACGAGGCCTTAGCGTGGCCCAAGACCATGGCCCATGGTTGAAGCCGGACAGACTAACGAGGCACGAGGCTGTGATTCGCGGAATTCCCTCGCCGCCGGTGCGCGGGCGGCAGTGCAGCTCTTGCAGCCGAAGCAGCGAGGCGAGCATGGCGTGCAGCGGGCGCGCATGGGGGTTGGCGGCAAAGTTGGAAAGGGTGGTGTGGCGCTGGCCTGCTCGCGTTCGCGCCGCCCGCGCTCGACCAATGGCGTGCACAGCGGTTCGCAGCAGTCGCCCGTTAAGGTTTTGCGGCGGAGGGGCCTCGGGGTCGTTCCTTCCACACAGCCAGCATCAGCGTGGAATTGAGGGCTCGACACGGCATGGCATGGCGCCAGCAACACGCTCTCTGCCCTGCGCTCCAAGACCTCTCCCCTCGCTTCTTTCTCCCTGGCATGCCAACGTCAGATGCGATACATCAGGCATGTACCGACTGACTGTACACCCCAGGCATACCACACAGCCCCCTCCTTCCTGCCCGGCATAAGCCTTCGAGTACAGGCGCAGTGCAGGGCAAGCAAAGAGCGACCCCTCGGCTGCACCTGTCTGCCGTTCACTGCTCTCCCACCCCGCGATCTTTATCCACCGCCCATCATTGGTTGCGCCGCCCAGTCAGACCCCTGCTTTCTCTACACCTCTTCCCCGTCGCCAGGCGGCCCTCTGCTCGCGGTCTTGTGGTACGGTTGAATCTTATTCTCAACTCTCACACTCACCTCTGCTCTTCCTCTCTCCCACTCCCGTGTGCGCGCGTCGCTGCTACTCCAACCTCGCCCTCCATCTCCTCCCCTCCTCTTTCTCTCTCTTCTCTGCCCTCTCCCCTCACCCTCACCCGCATCCGCCTCACTGCAGCCGCTGCACTCGACCCCTGCAAGGACCCCACCATCGTCCCCACCCTTCAACCTCAACTCATCTTTTGCTTGGCAGCCAGTAATCGCACGCGCGTCCGACGACATAGCGCATCGCATCGTATCCCCCACCTCCTCCGAACGCAGCGCCTCTCCGTGTTCGCACCGTCCGCCAACTGCGCGCGCGATCGCATTGCGCTTTGCGCCCAGATCGCGGGTCGCCAAGCCAGAGGCCCGCCGTTCAGAAACCCGACCCTTCTTCGCCATTCACATGCGCCCGCCTTCAGACTTGACGACATCGGCGTTGCGAGTTGAACACATCTTACCACTCTCCCACCTCTTCACCTAGGTCGGTCGTGGCCCGGATCCGATCTGACCCGGTGCGACCACGGTGCTTGGCGCGTCTCTGACCTCGCATCCAGGCTTAGACGTCAGCCTGACCATACCCCACCCTCCTCTACATTCACCCCAAGTCTCTAGAATGAGCATGAGCATGAGTGACGCGGCGCCGGCGACGAACGGCATGCGCTCGCCTCACTCCTCTATCTATTCGCGCAATCACTTTGCCCCGACCGGCGTATCCCCACCAAACTCCTCATACCGATCCGATAATTACACGCAAGGCCAGCCGCTGTCCAGCTTGGGCACGTCTCCCACCGCCGAACGTCATGCGACGGACCGAAATGGCGCAGGCCCTGCCTTGTCTGCTTCCACTTCCGACCCGATGTATTTTGGCGCAGGCGCGCGGGCAGGCTCGGCCATCCTCATTCGAAGGCTGTCTCGGAATATCAGCAGCGAGACGCTCTCTGGCATGCTAATATTCGCCGGCGACCTCGTCGACACGGAGATCGTACGCTCCCCTTACGCCGAAGACGAAGGCTACGCGACCGCCATTGCTCGCTTCCAGTCGCAAGCCGGTGCGATTGATGCACAGCAGAAACTACACGGCAAGCCCAACACGGCCAAGGAGGCGAATATGATTGTCGAGATACACAGTGCAGGTGTGGCTGGTGCCTATGATCGGCGGAACACCATCGATGGCACAGCCTCTCGCACCCAGACAAACTCCTCGTCTTCCGCTACAGGCCCCGGTGGGTTGCGATTCAACAACTCCTTCCAGCCTCCGGATCAGATATCCCCGCCCCTACCCACCTCGAGCTCCGGAGGCAGCGGGGAACTGCCCATGCCCGAGACAAGTGCGCACTTTCAGAATTTGTTTTCCCCGCAATCGCCCCTTGCGAACGGCATGGATGAAAGGCATCGGATGTCCGGCAAGTACACCATCAACAACGACTCCGCTGACGACGAAACGGGCGAACTTTTGAAAGACCCGGTGGCTTATGCGAAAAGCGGGCAACAGCCACCACTCAGTCGACGAACAACAAATCCCCAACTCCCGCTCTCGCGGTTTGGCAACCTTTCCCTGAGCTCCAGCAACCCCCAGTCTCCGCCGAACCTTCCTTCGCCTCTCACAACGAACGGCATGAAATCTCCCCGATCGACCCAGAACCTGCCCCCTCCGCTCTCCCCGACCTCGTACAGCACAATGCCCTACCCCCGGCCCCAATATCCGCCCGTCAACCCCGCCGATCAGAATCCCCCTTGCAACACGCTCTACGTTGGCAACCTCCCCCTCGACACCTCCGAAGACGAACTCAAAGCGCTCTTCTCCAAACAGCGTGGCTACAAACGCCTTTGCTTCCGCACCAAACAAAACGGCCCCATGTGCTTTGTCGAGTTCGAAGATGTCTCGTTCGCGACGAAAGCGCTGCACGAGCTATATGGCCACCCGTTGCATAATTCCGTCAAGGGCGGCATCCGCTTGAGTTTCTCCAAGAATCCGCTGGGCGTGAGATCGGGGCAGCAGCAGGTGATGAACGGGCTGGGACTGGGAGGGCAAGTGATGAACCCCCTAGCCATGGCGCCGCCTGGATACGCTCCGGTTGGCAATGGAGGCGGAGCTGCACCTGGGGGAGGTGGAGGTGCGCCGTTCAGCGCCGCTTCCGGCCCGCCGCCTGGTTTGGCTTCACCGCCTGGACTACTTCATTCTGCCATGCCCTATCGTCCTTCGCAGCAACAGGCGTCCATGCATCCTGCATCTGGCACAGGCATGGAGGGCATGTTTGCCAATCCGTTTGGCCTACCGACGACGCAGGACTTTACGCCTGCGCATCATATGGGCGGCGGTGCCGCGAGAAGCCCCCTAAACGGGCCCGCCGGAGGATTGCAGTTTCCGACGCGCGACGGCAGACCTGGATATACGGATTACATGCTGGGGCGCTAGTTCTCGTTCAAATCACCGCGGGAGGGAGGAAGGGTTATTGAACATCGCGTTCCGTCACTTGCTTTCTTTGCTTTCCTTTCTGGCGCTGTTCTCCATCTGCTTGCACACTCCATCATGAAGGCATACATCTGGCGCGGCGATCTGGCGCGCGGCACGAGAGGCATGGTGTTGCCATTCATCCATCACTCATTCATTTGCCAAAAGGATCTCGTTTCATTTTTTCGCGCACACGGGGACAGATTGGAAGGCGTTTCCGGAAAACAACCTCACACAGCGCGGACACAACATCATTTCGGGACGGGAGGGGCGCAGAACAAGGGAGGTGGGGGCACAGGAACAAAAACATTGGTCATTGCGCATTTTCTGCTTTCATTGTTCGTTGGGGGATTCGACTTGTGGACGGCGTACTTGCGTGGAGCAATCTCTTGGACGGGCGGTCATCTTTGTTGGAAAAAATGGGGGGAGGAACAGGTGTTCCTCCTGCTGGTTGGGAGGTCAGGATTTGATTTTCTTTGCTTGTGGGGAGACGGGCGTCGGGTGGAGAAGGGCGTCGGTCGTTTTGACTCTCTAGCACATGGGTGCGAATGGGGAGACGTGGGCGGGTATCTGGTTTTTCCTTGGGTATTGCATAGAGGTCGTATCGTTCATTCGAGTCGGCGAGAGCTCTCCCTCCTTGCTCGTAGTAGCTCGCAATTCGGACACTTGCATCATCTCGTGCTGTTGAGAGCCCCCTCATCTCCACAGCCCATATGCGCCCTCAGTAAACTTCCACAGCTTCACCGTCCCATCCTCACTTCCCGTGGCATACAACTTCCCATCAGGCGAGAAGCACGTGGTCCACACAGGCCCATGATGTCCTTTGCCCGTCTCCAATTCCCGCTCCGAGTCCCAATCCCATACGTGCACCCACGTATCCGAGGGACTGCCAGTCACAAATTTCCTCGCAGCACCATTGACCGCCACGCTTGCTACTTCGCGCTCCGTCCGGATGTGCTTGATCAATTGGCCCGGCTTGCCGCCGTCGAAGATGTAGACGTTCTTGCCTGCAGCGACGCTGACGACGCCTTCGGTGGCTGTAGCGCCAACGCCGATGTTGAGTTCGCAGGAGGTGGGGAGGGCGTGGATGGGGTGGGAGGCAATGCTGGCGCGGCTGCGCAGGTCCCACCAGCGGATGTTCTTGTCGTCTGAGGCTGTTACGAGGATGTTGGAGTCACGGGACCAGATGATACTTTTGATTGCGGCTTGATGCTCTCCTGTGCCGACTTCGTAGCACGGGGTGGTGTCGGCGCCGTTGGAGGTAGAGGGAGAGGTGGAGGCTGTTGTTGGGAGGCCATTGCTTGCTCTTGACAAATCGTAGATTCGTAGCTTCTTTTCCATCCCGCCTGTTGCTAGGATCTGGGGTCGTCCTACTGGAGGAAAGGCAACGGCTCGGACGATGTGGTCATGTTGGAGAGTGTGCAGCGTCTCGCCGGTATACGTGTCCCACACTCGAGCGGAGAAGTCAGCAGACCCCGTGGCTGCAAGTGAGGCGTCATCGGACAGACGCGCGCTCCAGACTGCGCCTTTGTGACCGAGGAAGGTTCCTATCCAATCCCCCGTCAGGCCGTCGCGGAGCATGGGATTGTTGTCTTTGCAGGCTGAGATCATGTAGTATTGCGCTGCGGAGCCGGGGGTGTGGGTGAAGGAGGAGAAGGAGACGTGGGTGATGGGTCGGGAGTGGCCATGGCAGGTGAGCGGGACGATCTTGGTGGTTTCTGCGGCGCAGTGTCAGTGTGTCCGGCATTGGGGTGCGAGGAGAACGGGAGCAATACCAGATGCTGCCTTGGTGTCGTCTTGCCGTGTGAATGCAAAGTCTGCCATGGTGCGTGGGGAATGAGGGATTGGGTCGATGGTGACGAGGAATGTCGTAGGAGGTGGGTGGAAGGGAGGCAGGACAGAAGAGAACGGCGTATCTCGTGAAGTCGTAAAGGTCGTGAATGCGGCCGGGCAAGCAGAGGCAGGCAAATCTCGTGAGTCTATAGTGTACAAATCAACGCCGTGCGCACCATAGCAAGTGTCCCGACGAAGGGCAGAAATGAATGGACATCAAAGACGAAAGGAGAAGAGAGGGGGACAAGAGGAGATGCAGGAGAGGCAGGCAGAGGATGTGTAGTCGATGCACACCTTGCGCTAGTCGATGCAGCGACTTTCTTCGCGTGCGAACTGGTCCATGCGCGGCTGTAGTCCACCGTACAATTTAGAGTTCGCGCCTGCGGCTCGCCCCTGCCAACGCTCGTGCATAAACACCGACCTGCCCGCCCTCCATCTCAGGCCATCTCCCCACTCACGACTACACCACACAGCGCTGACCGCCACGGCCCTCGACTCCCGGACATCCTGGACCACTGGCCAACTACAAGGACTGGACCGACGCCCCGAAGACCCTGCTCCCTGGACCCCACACTGGACAACGCAGCGTAACCGCGGACCACTGAAACACCAGGAGTGCAACATACTCACTTCACTTGCAACCCGACATCGCACGTACTACACATCACATCCCGCTACCGTGAGACATCTACCCGTCTCCCTACAACCCGCAGAAGCGTCGACAATGCGCCCTTAGCACCGCATATATCGAACGCCAATGACCTCTTCCCCCATCCGGCCAGGCGCAAGCCTGGAGGAAGCACTAGACTATTACAAGCGACAATACGAACAGCTGGAGACCGACCTCGCCGAGTTCCAAGCTAGCAGCAAGGAGCTCGAAGAGCAGCTCGAGCGCGACATCGAGAATGCGGAGAAGAGCGAGCGCAAGCTCCGGGAGCAACTCGAGAAACTGACCTTCGAGGTGGAGGAGTGGAAGACGAAGCACAAGCAGGCCAAAGCCGAGGCAAACAGTGCCCAGAATGCTTTGCAGAAGGAGATCACAACCATACGGGAGAGCAATCGCGCCATGCAACTCAAGCTACGCGACATCGAAGTGGTGAACGACGATTACGAACGCCAGGCTCGAAACACGGAGTCGAGTCTGGAAGACCTGGAGAGCAAGTGCAACGTCGCCATTGAGCGCGGAGTGTTGCTGGAGGAGGAGGTCCGATCCGGGGAGCAAGAACGGGAGGCGTTGAGGATAGAGACACAACGGCTTCGCGACGAGCTATCGGAGCTGAAGGTGGAGAGTGAAATCACGCAGGAGAAGCTCCGCCTAGCTGATGCGACCGTCGAACGACTGCGTTCGCGGAAACCGAGCCCATCGACTGTCGAGAACTTGCGCACCAGAAGTCCTGGTAGTGAGGTCAGCCGTGTTACGCCTTCTTCACCCTCGGCATCCACGCCTCCGCCCAAGTCAGACACTGCTTCGGAAGCACTCACGCCTCCATCGCCCGCGCTCTCCGACGCCCTAGTGAACGGAAGAGCGGATCCTAAACCTCCGATACGCCGATCTGCCCTTCCGGACACGAGTGCGCCACCACGTCCAGTGCTCAACGGGCCTCGAGCGCAACTGAGGCAGTCCAGAGGGCCGTCAGCGACGTTCAATCATGCTACAACGAATGACCCCAGGGCGATGAGACCGCCGCCGTCAAGACCACGGCCTGTACCCCGCCCTAGCAATGTCGCCTCCGAGGGCCTCCCTCGCTCCGACTCACTCTACCAAATCCGAAATCTCCGCGGTCGTATGCAGAAGATTGAGGAGCGCGTGCAATCCGCTCGCGCAAAGCTGCCCCCGCCGAAGAACATCACGCCAAAGGGCTCGCCGCGCAGCACCAGCTCCGCCCTAGGCGACAACCTACCAACATCCATCACAATGCGCAGAAGCATCCGCCAGCCGAGCAGCAACCTTGATTCGCAAGCGGACGGCGCATCTTCCGATGTGACTGGCGCGTCCGACACCCCAAGCAGACGCCAACGACAGAGCTACGCCAAACGGCCGTCGTTCGGCTTCCCTCGCCCACCGTCCGCTGCATCAGACCGACCAGTTTCCGCCCACGATCGCCCTCCTTCAGCAGCGAATGTACGGCCTGCCAGCCGTGTGAGCATGGCATCTAGTTCATCAGCACTCAACAATCGCCCGGGCAGTAGAACAGGAGCTCACACGCCGATGAGTCCGCCACAGCACCGGCGCACAAGCACCGCGATCCTAGACCGAGCTGGCAGTAGGCCTGGCGGCGGCGCTGGCTACAGCACTACCCACCGCACCCACCGGCCGAGTGCGAGCGTGGGCGAACTGAGACGGATAGCCGCGGCGGCCGCGGAGAATGACGACAGCAGTATCAGTTCAAGCGCGTACTACGCCCCAACGAGTCCCACTCGCTCCAGTGGACTCCAACCTCCTGGCACCGCGGGGAGAAGACAGAGCTCGGGTCTGCCGCAGCCGCGGGGACTTGGGTCGCGGGCCAGTATGGGGTTTAGAGGTGGAGGGCGAGCTGGAGACGATGACGATGTTACGATTACGACGGGCATGATGAGGTCGCCTCTTGGGCGGAAGGGAGTGGTGGGGGATCTGGGGGATCTGGGGGAAACGTATTAGAGGTGGCAAGACGGTTATTGCTATGAGCAATGTGCAGATACCGATTCTGCGACATCCCAAGCCTTTTCTGTGTTCAAAGTGTTTAATGCCTTCCGATTTCGTGGTTGTATCCCATGTTTCCGAGTTAAAAATAGTAACCCGACCGGGAGATCACTTCAACGGTGGTGTATCGCTGTCAAAAGGGGAGCAACATCACCAGCAATCACATTACGACGACCACAAGACTTGGCAGAGTAGGAAATTGGGTTGGATGCTTGCGAGAATCGGGTGGGAAGATACAGTTTGGAGGGCGGAGGGTGGAGGGTGAGGTACCCGTGTACACTTGCTTCTGCAGCCCGACGCTTCGGCATTACTCGCCCCGCGTCATTGAGCCTTGCCCCAACGCGGCTCCGCGCTCTCCTCAACCGCGACCATCTTGCGCCCGCCCAACGCACGCGGGCTCAATGTGGACGACAGCCAGGAGACACTCTTGCACTGGACGAGTGAGAGGTGTTCTGCTCCTCGCGCATGTCCACCGTATGCGATGACGGCTGCTCCGGGCACAAATTCAAGGTATATTTGCGTCGGGACGAGGAAGGTGCAGCTTGCCTAATTCGGCTCGGCCCAACATGTCATCGCGCTTTCCGCGCCCGTTTTAACAACGTAACGTTTGGTGAAAATTTAATGCATCATCATCCAGCAGCTGCCCCAGCTCGTCCCAGCGGTTGACCCCTACTGTCTGCCTTCTCCACCTTCACCACTCTCCCTTCCATCTTCTCTGCTATCCTCGATCGCGCGCCGCTTTTCCAACAACCTCCATACCATCCTAATTCCCTTCATCTTTGTGTTTCCTCGCTCCTTTCCCCGAGTCTGCGCGCCACCCCCCGACGCTCGTATTCCCGCGAAGCCCCCCCGCAAACTTTAGAGCATCTTTTGCGCTTCGTCTTGTTTCTTCTCCTGACCCGCACCATCATTTCTCCGAGGCTTCACGCAGACCACCTCCTCTCCACGTCTGCCGCACTCACTGCTTCGCCTCGTTTTCGCCACCAACACACCTCACTCACTGCATGACCTCGCCCTCCAACATGGCCGACGCACAGGCCGGAGCGCCCAAGGTCAATGGCACTACAAATGGCACCTCCTCCAGCTATGCCGCCCAATTCGACCTTAAGCCCCATTTCATCGGAGGCAACAAGCTCTCCAAGGCCCCTCCCAGCAAAGTCAAGGACTTTGTCGCCGCCAACGATGGTCACACCGTCATCACCAACGTAAGCAGTCCCTTCGAGAGCTGTGGCTAGCCCTCGGCCATGTACTAACTCGAGTCCCAGGTCCTGATCGCCAATAACGGTATTGCTGCCGTGAAAGAGATTCGGTCGGTGAGGAGATGGGCATACGAGACATTTGGCGATGAGCGGGCCATTCAGTTCACCGTCATGGCCACGCCGGAGGACTTGGCCGCCAACGCCGACTACATCAGATTGGCCGATCAATACGTCGAAGTGCCCGGCGGCACCAACAACAACAACTACGCCAACGTCGAGCTGATCGTCGACGTGGCGGAGCGTATGGACGTCCACGCCGTCTGGGCCGGCTGGGGCCACGCTTCGGAGAACCCCAAGCTCCCCGAGTCTCTCGCCGCTTCGCACAAGAAGATTGTCTTCATTGGTCCTCCGGGATCTGCCATGCGATCGCTCGGCGACAAAATCTCCTCCACCATCGTTGCGCAGCATGCTGGTGTCCCGTGTATCCCGTGGTCAGGCACCGGAGTCGACACGGTCTCTGTCGATGAGCACAACATCGTCACGGTCGAGGACGATATCTATGCCAAAGGCTGCGTCACTTCCGTCCAGGAGGGTCTGGAGGCAGCGAGAAAGATTGGCTTCCCCGTCATGGTCAAAGCCTCCGAGGGCGGTGGTGGCAAGGGTATCCGCAAGGTCGACGATGAAGAATCTTTCCCCGCTCTATACAAGGCCGCTGCGAGCGAGATTCCCGGCTCGCCCATCTTCGTCATGAAACTCGCCGGCAGCGCGAGACATTTGGAAGTCCAGCTTCTCGCTGATCAATACGGTAACAACATCTCCATCTTCGGCCGCGATTGTTCCGTGCAGCGAAGACATCAGAAAATCATCGAAGAAGCTCCGGTCACCATCGCGAGCCAAACCACTTTTGCAAAAATGGAAAAGGCCGCAGTCTCGCTGGGAAGATTGGTCGGCTACGTGTCTGCTGGTACCGTGGAGTACCTCTACTCGCATTCCGACGACAAGTTCTACTTCCTCGAATTGAATCCCCGTCTGCAGGTCGAGCACCCCACGACTGAGATGGTGTCTGGCGTCAACCTCCCCGCCGCCCAGCTGCAGGTCGCCATGGGTCTTCCCCTCCACCGCATCCGTGACATTCGCTTGCTCTACGGTGCCGATCCGCACACTTCCACCGAAATCGACTTTGGCTTCGAGACGGAAGACAGCTCTTCCCGACAGCGGCGTCCGAGGCCCAAGGGACACTGCACAGCCTGTCGTATCACTTCTGAAGATCCCGGCGAAGGTTTCAAGCCGTCGTCCGGTACGATGCACGAACTGAACTTCCGATCGAGCTCCAACGTCTGGGGTTACTTCTCCGTCGGTGCGGCCTCCTCCATTCACAACTTCTCCGATTCGCAGTTCGGACATATTTTCGCGTACGGCGAGAACAGATCGGCGTCGCGGAAGCATATGGTCGTTGCTCTCAAAGAGCTCAACATTCGTGGTGACTTCCGCACGACTGTTGAATACCTTGTGAAGCTGCTGGAGACTCCAGCATTCGAGGACAACACCATCACCACTGCTTGGTTGGACGAACTGATCAGCAAAAAGGTGACGGCCGAGCGACCGGATCCAATGATCGCCGTCATTTGCGGTGCAGTGACCAAGGCACACGCCGCGAGTGAAGCGTGCATGAATGAATACCGTCACGGCCTTGAGAAGGGACAGACGCCCAGCAAGGACATCCTCAGGACAGTCTTCCCCGTCGAATTCATCTACGAGGGGATGAAATACAAGTTCACCGCGACACGCTCTAGCATCGACAGCTACACCCTTTTCATCAACGGCAGCAAGGCTCTTGTTGGTATCCGTTCCCTCTCTGATGGAGGCCTCCTGGTCCTTCTCGGTGGTCGGTCGCACAACGTCTACTGGAAAGACGAAGTCGGTGCCATCCGCTTGTCGGTGGACGGCAAGACTTGCATGCTCGAGGAGGAGAACGACCCCACCCAGCTTCGTACACCTTCTCCTGGAAAGCTCGTCCGCTACACCGTAGAGAACGGCGAGCATGTCGGGAAGAACCAGGCCTTTGCTGAAGTTGAGGTCATGAAGATGTACATGCCTCTCCTCGCTCAAGAGGATGGTATCGTCAACCTCATCAAGCAGCCAGGGGCCACCCTCGAGGCTGGCGACATTCTGGGCATCTTGCAGCTGGATGATCCGTCCAAGGTCAAGTCAGCCCAGCCTTACCTCGGCCAGCTTCTTGACTTTGGTGAGCCTGTCGTTCTTGGTACGAAGCCGCCTCAGCGATTCGCCAATCTCTTCCGCATTCTGGAGCACATTCTCCAGGGCTATGACAACCAAGTCATCATGAAAGACACCCTCAAGGAGCTCATCTCGGTCCTGCGAGATCAAGAACTGCCCTACGGCGAGTGGGCTGCTCAGGCATCCGCGCTTCACGCACGTATGCCGCAAAAGCTCGATTCTGCTTTCGAGGAGATTGTCAAGCGTTCGCATAGCCGCCATTCCGAGTTCCCTGCGAAGCAGCTCCAAAAAGCATTCGAAAAGTTCCTGATCGACCACGTTGCGAAGGGCGATGTTGATGTTCTACGATCCACCCTCTCGCCTCTCGTGGAGATTATGGAAAAGTACACCGACGGCCTCAAGGCTCACGAGTTCCACACATTCATCAAACTCTTCGAGCAATACTACGCCGTCGAGAGCATTTTCTCCGCGCGTCAGAACCGCGACGAAGAAACCATCCTCTCCCTGCGTGACTCGAACAGGGACAAGCTGAGGAATGTCGTCCAAGACGTCCTCTCGCACACACGTGCAAGCGGAAAGAACAAGCTCATCGTCGAGATCCTCGACGCATACCGCCCCAACCAGCCGGGAGTTGGCAATGTCGGAGACTACTTCAAGCCTTCCCTTTCGAAGCTTGCGGAGCTGGAGGGACGAGCCACGGCCAAGGTTGCCCTCAAGGCTCGTGAAGTGCTCATCCAATGCGCCATGCCATCCCTGGAAGAACGCACACAGCAAATGGAACACATCTTGCGTTCTGCCGTCCTGGGATCGCGGTATGGCGAGAGTGGCTGGGAGCACCGAGAGCCCGATCTCGATGTCATGCGAGAAGTGGTGGACTCCAAGCATACCGTCTTCGATGTGCTGCCTCAGTTCTTCATTCACAAGGATCCCTGGGTCTCCCTAGCGGCGCTGGAAGTTTACACTCGACGTGCCTACCGAGCTTATCAGCTCAAATCCATCGACTACAACGTCGCCAGCGATGCGCCATACGTGCTCTCGTGGGACTTTGCCCTGCGCAAGGTCGGCGAGGCCGAATTCGGACTTCCGATAGCATCGGGATACCCGTCTGCCCCTGGCACGCCTGGAACGGGCATGTCCTCGCGCGTACACTCCGTCAGTGACATGACATACCTGTCGCGTAACGCCGGTGGTGCCGAACAGATGCGCCGTGGTGCCGTCGTACCTGTCCCCTTCATCGACGAAGCGGACGAGTATCTGATGAAGGCTCTGGAGACGCTTCCCCGAAGTGGCGAGCGAGCAAACGTAAACAGCCCTCTTAACCACCTAACGGCAGATCTGTCGCGTTCGCGGACCCCTCAGCTTGCGGTCTCTAGTGCCGAGCAAGAAGAGGAGCTGACAGCAGTGTGCAACGTCGCTGTCCGCGATGCAGAGAGCTTGGACGACAACGAGATCCTCGGTCGACTGAAGCCGATCGTCGCCAGCTACAGGGACGAGCTGCTCGCCCGACGGGTTCGCCGCCTGACATTCATCTGTGGCCACCGCGACGGCACATATCCTGGATACTTCACCTTCCGCGGCCCGTCCTACGAGGAAGATATCAGCATTCGTCACATTGAGCCCGCTCTTGCCTTCCAGCTTGAGTTAGGCCGTCTGAAGAACTTCCACATCAAGCCCGTGTTCACGGAGAACCGCAGCATCCACATGTACGAGGCGATTGGCAAGAATGCCGAGAACGACAAGCGCTACTTCACCCGCGCCAGCGTGCGTTCCGGACAACTTCGAGACAACGTGCCGACTGCGGAGTACATGATCTCCGAGGCCGATCGACTCATGACCGACATTCTCGATGCAATGGAGATTGTCGGCAACAACAACTCCGACTTGAACCACATCTTCATCAACTTCTCCAACGTCTTCCCTCTGGATACTTCGGAGGTCGAGGAGGCGCTGGGTGGCTTCTTGGATCGCTTTGGTAGGCGCGCTTGGAGACTTCGCGTTACTGGCGCGGAGATCCGAATCGTCTGCACGCACAAGAGTACAGGCGAGCCTGTGCCCATTCGTGTCATCATTACCAACACCTCGGGCTACATTGTGCAAGTGGAGTTGTACGAGGAGCGCAAATCGGACAAGAGCAACGAGTGGTTCTTCCACAGCGTCGGCGGCACCACCAAGATCGGCTCGATGCATCTGCGCGCCGTGTCTTCGCCTTACGAGACCAAGGGCGCGCTGCAGCCGAAGAGGTACAAGGCTCACATCATGGGCACGCAGTACGTCTACGACTTCCCCGAGCTGTTCCGCCAGGCTATCGAGAACAGCTGGACCTCGACGGTGTCGCAGCACCCGGCTTTGAAGGAGAAGCAGCCCGTCCGGGGCGAATGCATTGAGTATAGCGAACTCGTGCTGGACGACTCGGACAATCTTCAGGAGGTGAACCGCGACGCCGGCACGAACAATATAGGAATGGTCGGCTGGATCGCCACGGCAAAGACTCCTGAATACCCACGAGGACGACGCTTCATCATCATTGCCAACGACATCACCTTCAAGATTGGCTCGTTTGGACCGCTTGAGGACAAGTTCTTCCAGAAGTGTTCTGAGCTGGCACGCAAGCTTGGCATTCCGCGCATCTACCTGTCTGCCAACTCGGGTGCTCGTATCGGCATGGCGGAGGAGCTCATCCCCCACTTCTCCGTGGCGTGGAAGGATCCGGCGAGACCAGAGGCTGGCTTTGAATACCTCTACCTCACACCGGAGAAGAAGGCTCGTTTCGAGGACGGCGCGCTGAAGCACGTCATCACGAAGGAAGTCAAGATTGGCGGCGAGACTCGCCACGTGATCACCACTATTGTGGGCTCAGAGGAAGGTCTCGGCGTGGAGTGCTTGAAGGGCTCTGGCTTGATTGCCGGCGAGACGTCGCGCGCTTACGACGACATCTTCACGATTACGCTCGTCACCTGCCGCTCCATCGGTATTGGTGCCTACCTCGTTCGTCTTGGACAACGTGCCATCCAGATCGAAGGCCAGCCCATCATTCTGACTGGTGCGCCCGCTCTCAACAAGCTGCTCGGCCGTGAGGTCTACACCTCTAACCTCCAGCTTGGTGGCACGCAGATCATGTACAAGAACGGCGTGTCACACATGACGGCCGAGGATGATTTCGCCGGTGTCTCGAAGATTGTCAAGTGGATGTCTTTCGTTCCTGACAAGAAGGGCAACCCCGTGCCCATCTCTCCTTCCGTGGATAGCTGGGACCGCGACGTTACCTTCTACCCCCCGCAAAAGGCCACTTATGATGTCCGACATCTCATCGCCGGCCAACAGACCGACGAGGGATTCCAGTCAGGTCTCTTCGACAAGAACTCCTTCGAGGAGGCTCTCGGTGGCTGGGCGCGTACCGTTGTCATCGGTCGTGCTCGTCTCGGCGGCATCCCTGTTGGTGTCATCGGTGTTGAGACTCGATCTGTGGAGAACGTCATGCCGGCCGACGCGGCCAATCCGGAGTCGATGGAGCAAGTCACTAGCGAAGCGGGTGGCGTCTGGTACCCCAACAGCGCCTTCAAGACCGCCCAGGCGATCCGCGATTTCAACAAGGGCGAGCAGCTTCCTTTGATGATCCTCGCCAACTGGAGAGGTTTCTCTGGTGGCCAGCGTGACATGTACAACGAGGTCTTGAAGTATGGCTCGTACATTGTCGATGCACTGGTGGATTACAAACAGCCTGTGTTTGTGTATATTCCGCCTTATGGAGAGCTTCGTGGTGGCTCATGGGTGAGTTGCAATTCCTTGATCGAAATGATGCAAAAGCTAACGATATATGTTAGGTCGTCCTCGATCCCACCATCAACCCCGAGTTCATGGAAATGTATGCCGACGAGGAATCGCGCGGCGGTGTGCTCGAGCCCGAGGGCATCGTGGGCATCAAATACCGCAAAGACCGCCAGATCGAAACGATGGCGCGCCTGGACGCGAAATACGCCGACCTTAAACAGCAGCTCGCGGCCAAGGGCCTGACCTCCGAGCAGCAGAACGAGATCAAGGCCAAGATGACCGAGCGCGAGAACCTGCTGCTTCCCACATACCTCCAAATCGCCCTGCAATACTCCGACCTGCACGATCGCGCGGGCCGCATGAAGGCCAAAGACGTCATCCGCTTCCCGCTGGTGTGGTCTCAAGCCCGTCGCTTCTTCTACTGGCGCCTGCGCCGCCGTTTGAACGAGGAGTACGTGCTGCGCCGCATGGCGTCCGCGCAGTCTAAGGATCTGCCTTCCTCGCGCACCACGAATCTCAAGACTCTGTCGGCGTGGTCGGCGATCCCGAAGTTCGACACGGACGACATGAGTGTTGCGCTGTGGTATGAGGAGCAGCGCAAGATGATTACGGACAAGATTGAGGGGGTCAAGACTGATGCGATTGCGTTTGATGTTGCGGCTTTGCTGAGGAGCAACAAGAATGGCGGGTTGAAGGGTGTTGCGCAGGTGCTGAGCATGCTGCCTGTGGAGGAGAAGGAGGAGGTCCTCGCTTGGTTGAAGAAGCAGTGAGGATGAGATTGTGATTTTTCTGCTTGTGTAGATAGGGTATATGGAACAGATGGCGATTTGGGGGAGTTGTGTATGCGTATAGAATGTTCAATATGCGTTTCTTTGCTTGATTTCGCTGGCAGCTGTCCCTCTCAAACTTGATTCGGTATTCGTGCCGCTGATCTCGTGTTCGCTCGGCCCCTGGACTTTGGCGACCTCACCTCACTTGCTCGATCCCACAACCTTCACGGACTGATCGATCTGCAAACATGAGTGAGAATGGCAACGTCCGTCGAACTAGCACAGCACAGGACCACTTGTTACAGGCTCTACGACAGTATGCTTAATCTCAGCCATGCTACTACGAACATCAACGGACGATTCCCAGATTGAGCGAGAATGAGAAGTACGCGGACCTCACGGTCAGCTGTGGGACACGTACGTGGAAGGTGCATAACGCCGTCGTGTGTCCGCAGTCGGACTTTTTCGCGAAGGCGTGTGATGGAGCGTTTATGGTGCGTAAGGGCGACGTATCGTACACCATGTTCAAAGGAGATGCATTAAGCTGACAATGGAGGGCGCAGGAAGCCAAAAGCAATACCGTTAGCCTCGTCGACGATGATTCAGAGGCAGTAGCGGCGATGATGCACTACTTCTACCATTGCGACTATCACACCCCGGACCATGGCTCCAGCAGTACCGGCCCTTTAGTGCTCGAAGTCCGCATCTACGCGTTAGCCGACAAGTACTTCATCAAAGCCCTGCGCTCCCTAGCATATTCGAAATTCAAAAGCCGCCTCCGCCGAGAATGGAGCACGCCCGCGCTCGCCGGGGCACTGCGTGAGGTCTATTTGACGGGCAAGGCGCAGCAGGCTAAATTTCTCCGCAACATCGAACGGGTTTTGGTTCAGCATCTTGAGCTTGTATACCAAAACGAACAACATCACGACCTCTACCTCGTGCTGCGCGACAATGGCCATGCTGCTTTGCGCGTGGCTATGATTCTAGCAAATGAACTCGATTGGGCGCGGCCACCGGAAGGTTTGAAAGGTTCGGCATGAGGAATCTAGGCTGAAGAATATGAGGTCGTTCTCGGGCTACTCAATATTGAGACTTCACTTGACGCATACTTCACTTAGGGAACACTTTGGACATTCACAAGCAACCGTGACGACGATCTGAATCACGCGCTAGTGGATTCCAGCCTCGTTTGTCTCGCTCCTTCCTCGTTGGGGAAGCTAAGCACCCGCCGAGTCGCTCCTTCCATGGTCGGAGGTCCTGGCAGCCGCTCCTTCCAAGGCTGATGAGTTGACACGTGGTTGCATGACATCGACTTGGCACTCTCATTTCACTTCACTTCACTTCACTTCACTTCACTTCACTTCACTTCACTTCACTTCACTGCCTACATCAAACACCTCTCCGACTTGGCGCCACCACGGATCGAAACAAATCACCTATCTCGGAACGGCCTGTTACACCCATCATGTCAGCGTCATCGGCATCAAGCTCATCCGAGAGTGAAGACAGTGATGTCAAGCCTGGACATCATGCTTTCCACCTTGGCCTGCAAGAGTAGGTGGTTTTCCCGTGCTCGAGGCAGGTGCGGTGTAGCTAATAGACGTTCTTCAGGCTAGGGAAGAACGAAAAGTATGCGGACTTGACCGTAAAGTGCGGACGGCGTTCCTGGAGAGTTCACAAGGCGGTCATTTGCCCGCAGTCTAAATTCTTTGACAAGGCCTGCGATGGAGGGTTCAAGGTATGCGGATACCGAGTCACTTAATGAACCGCCATGCCTTAATATTGACCTCTGACTCATAGGAAGCGCAAAGTAACATCATCACGCTCGACGATGACCCAAATACCATAGCAGTCTTGATGCACTACTTCTACCATTTCGAATACAACGTCGAAGATTATGCGCTCGGCGTCGCACCTTTGGTGCTGGCTCTACGCGTCTTCGCCGTCGCCGACAAGTACTTTGTCGAGCCACTACAGCAAATGGCATTGAACGACATCAGCGAGCGAGTAGGTGGCGAGTGCGACACCCCGTCCTTCTCACAAGGCATCCGCGAGCTCTATACTATGAGTCCGATACACGTGGAGGCGTTGAAGGACAATTTCCTAGACATCGCTCGTCAGTCTCCGGATCTCTTTGTCCAGAAGGACAAATACCCCGAATTCCAGACCGCCCTCGAAACTGTTCCGCAGTTCGCAATCGACGTGGCAATCGACAGTTAGTGTTGAAGTCGGTTGAGGATCTGTCGTGGTATTCTTGCGCAGGCCCGGATTGTCATGAACTGGGACTCAAGTTCGCATTGAATCAACGGCCAGAGTCTGACTGGGAATGGTTCTGTCCGTGCGGATGCGAAACGGACACTGGCGACGCTCCCGAAGTTCTTGAGGATGGCGATCTACTTGATCCACTCGAGAAAAGGAGTGACTAGATTGCATCGGGGTTGCAATTGAATGAGCATTCCGCGTTTTGCATGCACAGCGATCATGCGATCCGAAGAAGATACTCAGCCTTGCCGTAGTTGCTGTACTGCTCCGCGCATCTCACAGACCAGAAACCCACGATGCACCCCACCTCCCACTTCTTCACTGCTTGCACCACTTTATTTGCTTCCCTCCACAAAGCAACACAGTAAGGATCCCACCCTCGCCATGATCCGCCATACGCCTTACTCCTCCCAATAACCCTCAATCACTCCCTCACGATGAACACCATCCTCTTCTACACCCTCGTCAGCCAGGCGGGCATCCTGCTCCTCTCGCAGGGCATGCTGCTTGCCGGACACTACACCCACAACCCACGCCTCGAGTTCCACGGCCGCACGATAGCTTCCTTCCACGCCCTCGTCATCTGTGCCACCTACGGCACCATTGCCTCTGCTGTTCTCAACGTCGTCGGCTACGCAGGGCTGGGACAATGGACGACAGCACGCAGCTTCAAATGGACCATGCTGCTGTTCACGCGCTTCTGGTTCAAAATCGACGACCCGAATGACTACCTGAGCAACACGAGGCCGGCGGTGTTTGTAGGAAACCATCAGACGGAGCTGGACGTCCTGTTCCTCGGCCACATGTTTCCCATGTACTGTTCGGTCACTGCCAAGAAGAGCTTGAAATATACCCCGTTCTTGGGATGGTTCAGTATGTTGCACTTCACTTCACCCTTCCAACCCCTAGCTCTGCAACAAAAGGAACTCCAACATCTAACCCCGACTTAAACAGTGGCCCTCAGCAAAACCGTCTTCATCGAACGCACCTCCCGCGCCCAGTCATTCGCCGCCTTCGATGCCGCGGCGAACGAAATGGCCACCACCCGCCAATCCGTCTACATCTTCCCCGAAGGCACCCGCTCCTACTACGATCACCCCGACCTCCTGCCCTTCAAAAAGGGCGCCTTTCACATGGCCGTCCAAGCCCAGGTACCCATCGTGCCGGTCGTCGTCGCCAACTACTCGAATCTGCTGAATGTCAAGAAGAAGATATTTCGTGCGGGGACTGTGCCGGTGAAGGTGTTGAAGCCGGTCGAGACGAAGGGGAAGACGAAGGAGGATGTGCCGGCTTTGCTGGAGGAGGTGAGAGGGAAGATGTTGGAGGCGTTGAAGGGGTTGACGGAACATGCGAGAGACCAGGGCGTTGCACTCAAAGCGGAAGAGACCGCCAGTGCAAAGAGCAATGGTATGGCGAGAAGTACTGGAGCCGATGCTGGAGGAAGATAGCCTCTCTACCCTGCTTTCTTGAGAAGACCATGCTGCTGGGCATGGCGGAAAAGTCACTCCAAGGCGAGATACCCGAGTGCGTGATGACCAGTTTGGGGAGGGACATTCAACATCAGCGAGGCGTTACAGCGATATTCACAAGAAATACTACAGGATTGCTATTGTATATATCTCGAAGTCATCCACTATTTGTTCAAAGCATTCCCGCGCCTAGTATGACGTAGCCGGAGCTTGGAAGAGGGGAATTGAATGGAGAATGGAAGATGCTATCCAGGAATGATAGTCAGTAAGTGGATGGTGTACTGTTTCGTCTCCTCATTTGTTCTGCTTCTCTATTCTCTTCCCGCCCTCTGTCGTTTCGCCGCATTCCGCACTTTAATCAACTGACAATCCACATGGCCATGGAGTCCAGACGAAAGGTGGCCCTCATAACAGGAGCGACAGGCGGCATCGGTAAAGCAACAGCAATCGCTCTGGCTAAAGAAGGCGATTATGACCTCGCCCTACACTACAGCAGCGCCAGCCAAGAAACCCGAGATGCCCTCGCAGCAGCCATCCAGAAGACCAACTCAACAACGAAAGTCGCCTTCTTCCAAGCAGACATGGCTGACTACACCGCGGTGCGCAACCTCCACTCCGCCGTGACATCGCAATTCGGTCCCGTCGACATCCTCTTCAACAACGCCGGCACAAACTCAGGCTACAGCGCAGTCACTTCCCTCGCCGACATTCCCATCGAGATCTTCGATCAAACCCACCGCATCAACACCACCTCCGCCATCCTCCTGACTCAACTCTGCCTCCCCCACATGGAGTCGCAGCAATACGGTCGAATCATCTTCTGTAGTTCTGTCGCTGGCTTTACGGGCGGCGTTGTCGGGCCGCATTACGCTGCGAGTAAGGCTGCGCAGCATGGGTTTGTGCACTGGCTTGCGAAGAATGTGGCGAGGAAGGGGGTTACGGTGAACGCTGTTGCGCCTGCGTTGATTGGGGATACGGTGATGATGGGACGGGCGGACGATGAAGCTGTTCAGAAGAGGGCGGAGTGTGAGTTCTTTCTTTCCTGTCATTATTGCTGTGTGCATGCTGAATGAAAACAGTGTTACCTGTTGGAAGACTCGGAAGGCCGGAGGAAATTGCCGACACGGTGGTGTGGATGGTGAAGAATGCATATGTCACCAACAAGGTGATTGGCGTGGATGGAGGCATGTATCCTTACTGAGCAACATGGTCATATACGAGCATACATCAACTTGGATCCATTCGGCAATAAGACACTGCCAATATGGTCTCGCAATCACGTGCAGAGGCGCGAGCCTTACGGCTGGCTCGGCGGTTTCTTTCCCGAATTGGCAATGTCCGTGCGGATATTTAGTCAGCCCCGCCGATTGACGTCGTCCGCCCTTGGCTCCATTCCTTCCTTTATATTTCCTTTGCACGTCTCCGTTGCACATCGGACCCCCTCCGATTTATCTCAAGCAGACGAAGCCATGGATTCCATCAAATCCCTCTTCGCCCCCGTACGCACAGTGCTGGAAAAACTGGGCATTCTGAGCCCCCAAAACCTCTGGAATGACATTCTTCAGCAACACTGGCGCGTCAATGCCGTCCTGCTCATCATCATCACCGCCCTCTTCGGCTGGATCATCATGCTGACCCTCGCCCGCTACATCGACCTCGCCCCCGTCAAGCCTTCCGACCTCCTCGACGGCGTGGTGAGCAAGCCCGGCAGCCCTCCCATCCCTCCTCCCACCGAGATCGTCAGTCTGCGCGTCTACCCCATCAAGTCGTGCCGTGGCGTTGAGCTGCAATCCACGCGCATGCGTCGCACCGGCCTCACTCTCGACCGCAACTGGATGTTCGTCACCACCTCCGACTACAAATTCATGACCATCCGCGGCGACTCCTCCATGACCCTCATCGACACCGCGCTGGTGGAAGGCGACGACCCCAAGGATCCCAGCAACCAGCAGCTCGAAATCTCCATCCATGGTGGCAGCCCCGACGACCGCATCCGCATCCCCGCCTTCCCCACGCAGGAATGGCTCAAAGCAAACACCACCCTCCGCCCCGTCGAGATCTGGGAGCAGGAGACCGACGGCTACGTGTACGCCGAAAAGTTCAACACCGTCTTCTCCGACTTCTTCCGCAAGGAGGTCGCGCTCGTGTACAAGGGTCCGACCAAGCGTCTGAACCGCATCAACGGCCAAAAAGACATGTACGGCGAGGACATCGCGACCAACTTCCCCGACGTGGTCTCATTGCAAATCGCCAACGAAGCCAGCATCACCGACCTCAACCGCCGCCTACGCGAGAAGCACGGCGAAGAGCTCGGCGCGGCTCTCACGATCGAGCGCTTCCGGCCCAACATCATCATCCGCGGCCGCGAGGATCACCCCTGGGAAGAAGATACGTGGAAGCGCATCCGCATCACCACCACCCTGCCCTCCGAAAACGCCATCTACAAAATCGAGCTGGACAGCATCGCACGCTGCGCACGCTGCCAAGTGCCCAACGTCAACCCCGACACGGCGGAGAAGCACGCCAAGGAGCCGTGGGATGAGCTGATGAAGTTCCGCCGTGTGGACTCCGGCGGGCCGGCGAAGTTTAAGCCTTGCTTTGGCATGCTGTGCATCCCGCGGCGGGAGGGGAAAATTGCGGTCGGGGCGAAGCTGGAGGTGCTGGAGACGACGGCGAATCATTTGTATAGCGTGAGGAAGTTTGCGGATTTGTGATGGCCCCTAGCTTATGGCGAGGCTTACTTTAAAGATCTTGACACCGGCCGGGATTGGGATGCATCGTTGGGGGGCATGAGGTAACGAACAGACAGCTCACTCAGCAATGCAAACAGCAACACGTCTAGTGTATACATTGCACTCTCATGGATATAAATGTGTGTGTAATCCCGCTACCCACCTCATCCTCGGCATGCCGCAAAACGTAATCCTCGGTGAGAGGCCCCGCGAAGCGCATGCTCCCGCAGCAAACCAGCTAAAATCAATGGTATATCCGCGCCCTTCCGCCGCCTCCTCTACTTCATCACCCGGTCAAAAGTCTCGCCCTTCACGGACCCACCACTCATCGAACTCCTCACATTCCTCTTGAAGCGATCGCGATCCGTCTGCAAATCCGCCGCAGCCTCCTTATTCAACGGATCACTCGCATTCGGCTCGAGGAACAAGAACTGCAAGCCGACGATCACGGCATTCAAATTGAGCACCGGCTTCCAGTCCTCGCGCAGGATGTTGAGGCACACGTTGCCCTCGAGGTCGATGTTGGGGTGGTAGATTTTCTCTTTGCACTTGACTTTCGGCGGCTCGTGGGGGAAGGTGGAGGGGATGGCGAAGGTGAAGTTGAAGACGCCGCCTTTGTAGAGGCCCTCGTCGGGCGTGAGGGTGAGGGTGAAGTTGAGGATGTCGTCGGCGTTGGGGAAGTGCGTTTTCATCGTGCTGCCGAGCGCCAGCTCGCCGAGGTCTGTTGTGGCATCAGTGACTGCCCTTCAGGTTTGGCAACACCGCTGTGCCGTAGCCGGCCTTATCTCACCTTTCTGCACTCTCAGCTGAGCCGCCGTGACCTTCTTCTTCTTCGTCTGCCCCGCCGCCGCCTCACTCTTCTGCTGCTCCTGCTTCATGCTCCATATCTTCAACATCTTGCCAGCGCTGACCGTCTGCCGGGGCGAACCTCAGCTGCGCCTTGAGTTTCCCTCTGTTCGGATGCAGTGGCAATCAAGCTCCACGTCCGATAAGCCCGAGCGACGCTCTCGCCGCACTCGGGATAATCTTAGGGAAGTGATGTAGGGATCAAAGGAACGCCTGTGACGTGCGATTAGGGTGTTGGATGGACAGGCGCAGAGGGTAGAAGGGTGTGTGTCAGAGGCGGCTTCGACGTATGTGATAGGTGAAGTAAGTGGCTTAGTCATGCCCGTAGGCATTCACATCCGAGATCCGGGAAATCATGAGCACGTGACACCCAATCATGCCCTTCCTTTTCATCCAAGATGGACTTGCTTTCAGAACATTGATGCAACCAGAAGACGGACCGGATTCCAAGGGTTGAGAGTTCATTATTCGCAATCGTAGCTACAAGACAGAGCCAGGAAACAAAAGCACAACGCCCCTCCCCTCCCCTAGCAGTTCAGGACCCCAGTTACCAAAGAAATCAAGAGCAGACAGAACGGAGCACACTACTTTCCACCAACGAACAGTAGCGGAAGCAGCACACTTCATCCATCCCGTTGTTCGTGCGTAGTAGCATTCTTCGCCGCAGTAAAACTTTCCACGCCCCTTCGTATCCCCTCACCCCATCGATTCACTCCTCAAGAATGATTCGTCTCGGCATCCGAAGCGTCCAGGACGTCCCAGCCCTCTTCGTCAGTCAAGAATCCATCATCGGCATCCTCGCTCTCCTCGTCATGCGCGCTCAACACCCCGATATCATCGCCGAGGTCCTCAGAGTTCTCCTCGATCGACGGAGACGCAAGGTCCTGCACGGCAGTGGGCGTGGGCGAGCCGGTGGCAGAGCGCTCGACCTCTCCGGCCTCGTTCTCGACGTACGCGGCCTTTGCGGAAGAGGCGGACGACTGATGGATGCTGCTCGCAGGGCTCTCCTTCTCGAGCTTGGGGAAGACCATCTGGCTGCCCGAAAGATCCTCCTCCTGCTCGGCCTTCTTCTCCTCAACCTTCTCCACGGGAGCGGTGGCGGGCTTCTCAGCTTCAGCAGCCTTGGCTTGCTGCGCCAGAATATTGAGCCGGTCATCAACCTCGGCCGACTCCTTCTTCAGATTCTTCAGCGTGGCCTCACGAGCACGCTTCTCCTCACGGATACGCTGGAATCGAGCCTTGATCTGCTCACAGCGGATCTTCGCCGCCTCCCTGCGCGCTTTGGCCTCTTCTTCGTTGCCATGCTCCTCCTCACGGCCCCTCGCCGCCGCCATCTTCTCGATCTGCGCAGCCTGCTGCTCCCGATGAGCGGCCATTTGCGCAAGGACGTTCTGACGATGACTAGCGTCGTACGCGGGAGGCAGGCTAGAAGGGTTGGCCATCGGCTGCTGCTGCTGCTGCTGTGCAAGCATCTGGTGGTGTCGGGCAAGATGCATCTGTTGCTGACGAATGGCGTGCATGCGAGACAGCTGCGCCTGCTGATGGGCGTTGAATGGCGCGTTGAATGCGGCCAAGGGGGAGTACAGCTGCGGCGCAGGCGTCTCCTCATTTTTAGAGGCCTTGACATCGACATCGCACCACAGGCGGTGGCCGAACGGAGTACCATCGGCAAGCTTCATGCGCCAGTAGCTGATGTTCTTGCCCTCGCGCATGGGGGCCTTGAGGGTGATCTTGAAAGCGACGCTCTCTCCAACGCCAACTTCCCGGCCGATGACGTTGCTCTCGCTAGCGTTGGCAATGTCCGAGACGGCAGATGGGCGAGTATTGTCGACATCGAGCATGTTGTCCCCTCCCACAAAGCGGACGCTGCAGCCAGCTGGCCAGGCCTGGGGGCCGGGGTTGCGCATGGTCCACACCTGGGTGAAGCGAGCGCCAGGCTCGACGACGGTGCCATCTTTGATGCTGTCCTCGACAAAGTGTGCATGCACAACAGGACCCGGAGCAGGGAGCAGTCTCGTCAGCGCCACCTCGGCCGATGTGGGGGTAGCAACCTCCTTCTTCACCGTCGGCATGATCTCAGCCATCGTCTGCACCTGAGTGGCAGCGTGGGTTTGCTGCACCGGTGTGGTCTCCGTAGACGCACTCCTGGTGGCCGTCTGCGCGGAAGAACGGCGGTCACCCATGACGCGTGTATTGCCACGAAGATCCTCATTCTCCGTCGTAATGCTCACGTTGCGGACCGGGGTCTTGAACTTGATCAACGGATGGGTGCGATTGTGAGTGTTGCTTGGCAGGGCCTCGCAAGCGGCACAGAAGTCGGTGTCGTGGCAAACGGCGCACTTGTAGCGCACTCCCGAGATGTAACTTGCATCTTTGCCGGAGCAGAGCGGGCCATCACAGTAGATTCCGAAATGGCGGATGTAAGGAGTCTGAACGTTCGCAATGGGCGTGTAGATTGCTGCGAAACGGTGGCGGGGGTGGGTAGCACGAGCGTTCTTGACACACTCATTGCAATAGTCCCAGTCGGGGCAGTTCAGGCACTTGTGACGAACACCGAAAATGCTCTTCTCGCATCCATCGCAGATGGCACTGTGCCACACGTTGCGGCCTGGAGCGAGCAAGGCTGCTGCGTTTGCAGTGAGAATGGTCTCGGCAGTGGCTGGCTTGAAGCCGTGTGCGGGGTGGTGGCCGTGCTTGTTCTCGCCATGGCACTTGATGCAAAGATCGAAATCATCACAAGACGTGCAAGTGACGAACTGGTGCTCTTCGTGGACGATGACGCAGTTGTTGCAAGTGCGAGTGGGGGCGATAGTTTCCCCGGATAGAGTCTTGGTCTCATCGGTGAAGGCACCGGGAATGGCCTTGGGAGCTTCGGGCTCGGCGGGAGTCGTGGTCAGTTTGCGCGGCGAGATACGCTCGGTAGTGCTGTTGATGACCTTGCCGTCCTTGATGAAGCGCTTGATCAGCCAGTGACCATCGCCGGGACACAGCTTGCCGAGCGAGACGCAGCGCTCGCACAAGTCGTAGTCCCCACCATCGCAGATGCTGCAGTGGTAATGGGCGTCGGCCATGGCAGCATCACACTCGTTGCAGTAGACCGACCAGGGATGTCCGACGGGGGCAATGACAGCGGGCTCGCGAGTGCGGAAGGCGAGGCCACCGTGAGCCACCTTCTGATCTTTGAAGTCCGCCACGAAGGGGCGAGGAGTCGGGGCGTCAGAGGTGTCGACGGGAGTTTGCTGAGTACCGCGGGCCTCGCGGAACTCGAAGATGCCGGTTCCAACAGAGCGGCCGTCAATAGCAGTAGAGTCACGCGGGGTAGCCATGGCAGCCGGGGTGTGAACGATCAGGGGCTCCGCCGTCGTCTCTTTGACCTCCTTCTTGGCGGTGGTCGATCCCTCGACGACGGTAGCCTTCAGACGAAGCTTGAGCTTGGCTTTGGCGGCACGGATGAGGGTCTTGAAGACTTGAGGGTTCTCAGGGTCGAGGATGATGTAGCCGCCGGCGGAATCGGAGAAACGTTCGAAGACGACGAGGTGCTCGGGCTTGATGCCGAGAGTGTGGCGAAGCTGTTATTGCCGTGTCAGCAGGAGTCACAGTCTGTTTCTTGGATGACGTTCGATGGAGTGATGGAAGATGAAGGGAGGGTGTTGCAAGCGCCCCCCTTGTGAGGCTGCCGAGCTTCGGGCGGTGAGGGCATACCTTATCAATCAGCACATTCGCACCAAGGTCCCTCAGCGGCAGCTTCAACTTCTTGAGGCTGTCGTTGAGCGAGACCTTGATGGTGATGAGGGTGTCGGGAGAGACGACGTTGGTGTTCTGGGCCGTGGTCGCCATGTTTGCAGCTGAGGCCCCGAGCTGGCTGGCTGGCTCAGCGGCGGGCTGGAATGACGTGACGCGGAGATCGTCAGGCAGCAGCTGGGAACGACTGCTGCGAGCGGCCGCAAAGGGTAGGGGAGATGGCAGCAGGGAGATGGAGGAGGGCGATGGAGTGATGGAGGGCGTGGTGTGAGAGAGAGGTGAAGTGTAGGTAGGTGTGGTGGAGGATGGAGGAAGGGCGGGGGTGTCGTTTGGGCGATGAGTGACTGGAAGCTACGACGACACTTGGCTGCCTATCGTGCCGTAAGCGGGGCTCGTGTCACGCTGGCACGTCCGCGCACGGACCCGACCTCCTCCTCCCGTTCATGTGTGAGCCTGAGGTGTCGACCACTTACAAATCGATGAAGATACGACGTGAGGCAGACAGACACCACGCAGCTCATGGATGCCTGGACACGTTCGGGCCAACGTCGGTCACTTCCAATCACCCTGTCGCCACAGCAGGCTGGAAGGTAGGCCCTCATGCGTGAACAGGTGTCATAGGGTATCCAGAAGCGAATCAGACTCAAACTAAACAGGTGACTATGTACGCTGCCGCTTCCCCTGCGGTGGTGCAATCCTAAGAATGAGTGTTGCATTTCAGAAATAAAGCCCGGCATGACCTTGCCACAAACCCCCGTCAGAACCCCCGGAAACGCCTGGCTGGCTACGAGAGGTTCCCCCAAAATCAAACGCCTCGACAAATACCTGAGAGTTAGGTACCGAAAGTAAGCGGCCGTGATCGAACCCAGGAGGTGTTGGAAGGCGTATGACAGGATACAGCGATGCTCTGAAAGCTCCGGCATCACTGCTGCGGCTGTCCGGAGAAGTACGCGCCATCCTGTCCGCCCGATCGCACAGGCGGATAGTAGTACTCCATCGAACCTTCCGGCGCAGGAGTCGGCGGTGGCAGACCGGGCATCGCATATGTCGGAACAAACCCTTCCGCCGGTTGATACTGTTCTGATTGCTGCGCCTCCGATGCAGGCACATAGTACACCATGCCGTTACTCTCGTGCGCCACCATGCCTGACGGAGCTCGCTGGACATCGTTGGGCACAGAGGATGATGGTTGGGGTAGTGAATGTTGGTGGTGATGTGGATGTTGCTGCTGAGGCATCTGTTGGCCGTGCGCACCGACCATGTAGCCATGCTGTGCACCCATCGGATACATGGGCATTTGCGCGTAGCTATGAGGAGCAGATTGGGGATAGTAATAAGTCTGCGGCGGCGGCGCTCCATACGGCGCGTAGTAAGCGGCTTGCCCAAAGGGCGGTGGCTGAAAGGTGGGTGCGTGGATTGCTTGCTCGGGAATGCCCGTCAGCGGCGTACCGGCTTGCAGTTGCGGTGGCGAGACGAGGTGCTGCGGGGAAAAATATGGTGCCGGCGGCGGCGCCGGTTGCTGCAACTCATGCATGTGAGCGGGTAGTTGATTCCGGAACGGCTGTGCGTCTCCCTGCTGTGAAGGGGGAGGCTCGATCCCACTGACAGAGATTGTTTTTTGCGGACGAGGTTGGTGGACTGTCGTTGTCGGAGTGCCAAAATGCGCCGGCTGTTGAGGCGGTGGGTACGAATGCATCTGCATCATACCGATGGGCGTTTGATGGCCAGACAGCGGGCCGATGGGGGTCGAGACGCCGGAGAACTGCTGGGAGCCTTGACCGATTCGGGATCTGCTGGCTCCCATGCCCGCTATGGAACTCACCGGTGAGAAGGCTGCCTCGCGAGCGATCCCGGCCATGGAAGAGCGCCGGCTGGGCGCGACGCTGCCAGAGTATAGGCTGCCACCGTACATGCTCGTACGTCTGCTAGAGTAGCCGTGACCACCAACACTCCTTTGATAGGAACCGCGGTGATAGCCGGATTGATTCGGACGGTTCTGGCGAGGAATAAAGATGAAGGATCGCTCGGGCGACGGGAAGACGTAACGCTGAGTATGTCCAGGCAGAGAAACACGGACGGGCTTGTCCCGTCGTAATGGTGGTCGATGGTCGGGCAGCCGGGTATATTGCCTCCACGGCACTTCGGAGAAGGTGACGGGGGCTTTCGATCCGGCCAAGGCCACTTGGATGCGTACCGTTCCAACAAGTTTGGTGGTGGAGAATGAGACCCTCCGACTTTGATCGGGGTTCACGGGGGCTGAAGCCTTCGGGAACAAACGGGTAGAGTCAAATCGATCGTCCCGAGGGGCGTGAGGATGCACCTGGGCCGAAGGTGTGGTTTGAGGGTCTTCGTTGATGGTATCGTGGAGGTCATGTTTCCACGGCTGCTCCGCCCCTCTTTCCACTGAGGGCAAGTGATGGGCAGGGGAGTGTGGACCTCCAACCCCACCTCCTCCCCTTCCTCCTCTACCGTTGCGGGCCTGCCAGGCTCCTCGTAGCGGAGGCCCTTGTCCATTATTTTGACCGCGAGTATCATGCATGAAGAAGTTTCCTCTGTTCGGGATGAAGGCCGGGTCAGCGTCCCGCTTTCTTCTGTATTCCTCGTGCTCCCGCCTCTGCTGGTCCACAGCTCGGGCAGGGTGGCCGTTGGGGGCAGAAGGTATGGCTGACGGAGGAGCAGCCGACTGCCCACTTTCGAAATCAACGGCATCCTGGCCCTGCGCATCTTCACCAATGCTCAACCCGTTCATCATCGCCCGAGTATCAGCCATGGGTTTGAAGCTCGCTGCGGTCTGATGAGGCTCCGCAAGACTTTCGTTGCCGCTCTTGACATCCTTATTCCGTGGCTTCCTGGGCTTCCTCGACTTGGAAGACGGTGAGGACGGTAGATCCTTCGGAGCTGTTGCGGCAGTCGCTGCGACGCCAGCTTCTGTATCAGGAGGGCCTTCCACGCTGCCCTCTTCACCCTCGTCATCCTCGGCGTCGCTCAGCACAGATGCTTCGCTTTGCGAGTCCTCCTCCAGAGCGGCAGGGCCATCGTCATCCTCTTCTTCCTCATCTGCGCGCCTTCGCCGGCCAACAAGCGATCGTACAGTCCGTCCGGCAGCCATGTCCAAGAAGCGGGCATGTACTTCCGCGACGCTCTGTCACGGAAGGTGGTGATAGATGGGATGCAGCGTCAGACAATCGAGGAAGAGGAGCAAGGCGGGTTGGCGGAGTCGAGGAGATGGGCCGAGTCGGCGGCGCACAGGGTGCAGGCGCGGCGCTGGTTCATCTCAGGCGTCCAAATGATAATTTACAGAGAGAGGGAAAGACATGCCAAATGATAAAGGCGGCAGTCCGCGGGGAAACGATGACGGAGGGGCGATGGAGAGGTGCAGAGTGGAGTGGGAGGGCGCGGTGAATTCTTACGTGGCACAGGCAAGTAGGAAAGAGCTGGCTGTGGCTCGAGCGTGGCGCAACGTCACTGCTGCCTTCTCCGCAAATCCACTCCACGTGATGCCGCCTGCGATGTCTCCCTCTGCCGCCTAACGACGAGCCATGCTTGAAGTTATTGTAGCGACTGTGCAAGCTTAATGTAGGCACCAAAATGTTAGGAAAGTATACTGTCAGGTAAGGCCACTCCGACCTCTCTCCCTCTACTCTCTATCGCACCAGATCGGGTGTTGCGCCTCTACATCACCCGCCATGCAGGCTGCGAGTCCCCTTGAGCTCCTTATTCTGCAAGAATTCTCCAATGACGGCGTGCCCGCACAATGGGCCTCCGGCCAATCTGGCCCACGCTGTTGGGGAGAAGAGGACCATGCCGTCATTGTTGCGGACCCCGATCGCCCCAGGCTAGAGAGGTTCTCCGCCGCTTTCAGCCCAGACGCGAACTTCCTCGCCGTTTCCTTGGACCGGCGAATCAAAGTCTACGACCTCCATTCCCGCGAGCAGAAGGCGGATGTGCTCGGACATGAGCGTCCAATCGAGGGGCTACACTGGCTGAGATTGACGAATGCTCAATCCACTTATGGCCCCGGCGTAGTGTACTTATTGTTCATCCAAGGTCAACGCTGCTATGGAGACTCCACGGCTACGCTTACGCTGGCCACTCTCGCCGTGGACGCTCGAGGCGGCATCATTGATCTCATCGCCCCTCTCGACATCAGTAAGGTGGACAACGACGCCATGCAGTCGGTATCCACACACCTGGGCCCGCACGGCGACATCTATGAGGCAGATACCCTCAATGTCCGCACCCAACTCCATCAAACCCCCGACCGCCGTGACCTAACTTTCAGAGAGCAGCATTCTCTTGTTATCTGCGGTCGCTTCACCTCTTTTGACTCCCAGATTTTCAGCAACGACGGCAGAAGAGTCATATACATCGCGACTGGGCACACCACTCAGCAGGGGACACGTATGTATCAGGACGGTCACCCGCCCGAAATTGTTGTCTGGGACATTCCGTCTGGCGCAGAAGTCTGCCGCCTGCACGGCCATAGAGACAAGATCGAGTGGGCAGGCTGGGCGTTAGGCGACCAAAGCATCGTGACGGCGTCGTGGGACAACGGGTTTGCAATCTGGGACGCCGAGACCGGGGAGTGTCGGCACCCCATTGGGCCCACTGCGAGTCGCAACTGGGCCGGCGCTGTCTCGCCCGATGGGGAGCGCGTGCTGCTCTCCGGCAGCCATGAGTTGGGGATATTCATGGTCAGCACCGGCGTGAAGATGGTGGACATCGACCGCACCCATTTCATGCCTCGCGGCATGAATTTCATTCGTAAAGTCAGCTGGAGTCCGACCGGGGATGTCATCGCCATCGGAGCTGAGGGGCCGAGTGTGGTGCTTCTTGATCCCGCCACGGGCGAGGGTCGCGTTGTCCTCGAATATGTGTACGAACACCCGGCTTTCTTCGCTTTCCGCACACCGCAGTGGGCGGACGGTGGGCGGAAACTGACTGTGCGAGGAAGCGACAGCACACTGTTGGTGTGGGACCGCGAGCGGAATTGGAAATGGAAGTTCCAGCGGCGTGCAGGCACGAGAATGGACCAATCCGAACACCAAGTATGCTACCTGAAGAATCTGAACACGATAGTCAGTGTGACGGGGGACTACACCGTGCGCTGGTGGAAGTTGTGAAGAATTAGGTGTAATGGCATTACTATCATGAGTCCTACGAACCACCTGCAAAAGTACGACGGGCATCCCGTCGAATTACCATTCCAATACACTCCGACACCGAAGCCCCATTTTATCCGTTCATCCTCGCGAACACTCCTCGCCACCATCACAAATGACAATCACCAATCAAACTCCTCCAAGTGCAGCTCAATATTCGGCGCCTTGGAGGTCGTCAGGCTCTTCGTCGCAATCCTCGCCGAAGTCAGAAGGCCTGGCGGTCCGGAACCGGCAACAAGCACACGTTGTCGGCCGTTCAAGTCGGCGATGGCGGCAGCCAGGACCGTCTTGATATCCGGTCGCCCGTAGTGGATGGCGTCGTGCGTGCCCTTGCTCAACTCCTTGGAAATGGAGTGGACGGGGGAGATGTCGGCGTCGCTGGCAGAGCTATTTTCTTCCGACGCTGCGGCCGCGGCACCCTTGGCGGTTACGTAGATCGACACGCGGACGTGAGGGGAGTTGTTGAGGGCGAGCAGTTCCTTCTCGAACCACGTGAGGTAGTCTGTGGGAAGACAGTGGGTCAGTTTGCTGGCTCGCATTGTTATGCATGGGCAGTAGGGAAAACCGTACCTCGTGTCTTGATAGCCCAGATGAAGTCGAGGGAGTGGGTGGCTCCGGCTTCCTTATCAGCCGTCCGCCTCAGCCAGTCCATGGCGAGGGCAACGGTGAAAGTTGCACCGCTGCCGCCTCCCACCAGCACGACACGGTCGAAGCGTTCCACGGACGGCACATGACCGTAGGGGCCTTCAATGCCCGCGCGGAGGGTACGGTTGGGGTGCATTGTCGCAAAGTGGTGCAACGACTTGGTGAAACCGTTGTGGGCGCCAATGACGAAAGTCGCGGGGTTGCTGCAGGCGAGGGTGAAGGGGTGGGTTTGGAAGGGGCGGATGCGAGGGATGGCGAGGAATGCGTGGGACGCCGGTCGGCCGTGGATGGCGCGCTTCATGATGACCTTTGTTGCGCCTTCGGGCAGGGCCACGAGGGTGCACTCGTTGTTGTAGCCGTAGAAGAACCACTTGCCCCATCGGACGAGACGGTCGGCGCCCCAGATGCATGCACCGACAATGGGGAAGGTCTTGGCGGCCCAGTTGATTTGCGAGACGTGAATGAAGGCGGCGATCAGAACCATCATGACGAGGGCGATATGGGCGAGGTAGAAGAGCTCGTACCATCGCTTTCGGACGAGATGGTTGGCGGTGACGGCGATGGCAAGGAAGGAGAAGCCGGCAACGGCGGCTGCATGTTGCCCGGGGAGGTTGAGGTAGTGCTGGTAGCCGATGCTGAACAGGTAGGAGACCATGTTGGTGGAGTGCACGATCATGCAGACGATCGTGGTGTAGCCGCAAGCGCGATGCAAGATATTGAGGATGTCGTACGATTGGCCAGCGATCGGGGAGAGGGGGGTGTTTTTGAGACCAAGGAAAATGGTGAGGACCAGATTGCACAGGGTCAACCTAGCGTGCTGTCAATGACTCGTCCATCAAGCCGCTTGAGGTAGCGAAAACTCACCATCCGCATCGCATCGCATAGACTTGCTGGGCATTGGCGGCTTTCCAATCGATATTCGTGAACATGATGACCAGGTTGATGGCAATGTACGCAATGGCGAGAAAGAAGCGGCCGGGAAGGAAGGTCACTCGCATGAGCCTAAAGCCTCTTGAGAAGCGAGTGAGAGGCTTGTGTACGCTCGCCATGGAGAACTGCAGAGAGGTGTGCCGCATGATGACCGACATCCAGTGGACGACAACGCATACGCCGATCAAACCACAGATGCCCGCCGTCCAATACTTGGTGTATTGGACGTCGAGGTCCTGTGCGGGGATAGGGCAGATGTTGACCATGCTGGGCAACGCGAGGGGGGTGGGAGGGCGGAGGCAACAGACGGAAGAAATGGGGGACGTGGGAAGTGGAAAGGAGAGCAATAATAAGAAGAGAGGAATCGACTAAGTAGTATGGGCGAACGCTGCCGTGGCTTTATAACTGGCAGCCTTCCTGCGCGCGAGAATGGGGCAACACTCACGTAAGAGCGGCTGTGGCAGAAGCTTCCTCAGGCGGGCATGCTGCATCCAAAGGGACACGCGTTGGCTAGGCTCATGATGACAAAGGGGGTAGCCATTGGTGAGGATGGTCATTGCCCCATTGGCGGCGCGTAGGATATTCCAGTGTGCCATCAGGGCTGCCGAGCCACCATGGAATCTGGGACGTGGCACAACGGCGGCGGCGGTGGTGACGGCTGCTGATTGTTCGCAAGGCGCCGACTCATGCTCACTAATAAGCTTAATCGCGAGTGCAGGCTTGGGGAACCGAGCCGCTCTATGCCAGTTGCAGAGCATGCCGCGCTCTGCGCCGTCTGCAGTTTCTTTACGGCGCTCTTGGTTGGTGTAGCCCGGCACCAGCTGCAAGGAACATCCCAGACGAGAAGTCGCTGCCCAGAGAGGCCTCAGCAGCGTTGTAGGCAGATGGCGAGAGTGTCGAGGATCAACACGCCACTTGGAATATGGACGATCACATTGGTCTTGGAACTAAGCCTTCCGCTGTTGGTGTTCCGGCCGAGGCCGCGGCTTGTATTCTTCGCGCATCTATTTCCGGGAGGGCGTAGCGCACATACATTGTGGTTGTCGACAGACTACGCGACACAGCCGCGACGGGTGAAGTGATGTGGTGGATTTGCTCCACTCCCCGCCCTCTCACTGGCGCGGAAGCTGGCGGCCTTGGAAAGCTTGTTTGAAAGCCAAGCCCGCGCCGCTTCTTAATCCCCGTCAAGCCTTATCGCCCTCTTTTCCCTCATCCCATTTGCGAGTTGCAAGCGCGAGACGAAATAATTGTCATACCGTACGATCAGCATTGCACGGTGGTACCAGGCGACATGACGGCGCTGATCACCTCGCCAGGGCATCCCGCCTGCACATCTCGCGTGCGTCCACGGTCCTTCGCAAGGCTCGGGCAGGGCGAAGCTAGCGTATGCCTTCCCATTTGGGACGCATAGCCTTATCTCACATAATGGGGAGTAATCAGCAGTCATGAGCGAGCAACATGGAATCCTCATGGAATCCCACCGCCTCCTTGCATTCCGGCGTCTCACTGCAGGTTCGATGACGACACCTTCGTATTGCCGCCCATGCCAGCAGACGAATCGCCTTGTGCTGAATGACCGAGCTGCGACCGAATGGAATTGTGGTGTTTCAAATATGCTTCTTACCGTCGATCAAGTCGTACAAGCTCGATGCAGTGCATTCGCCGGTTCTTCATATAATGCTGAGGAGCATGGCCAATTAAAGTTGCCGGTGAGGGCGGAATGATCAGTCAGACGGTCCTGATCACAATGGGTAACCAACAGCCTGATTGGCAACGGCGTATTCCACATCCTCCTCCGCCATTTGGTAATGTGCTCCGCAACCTGCCCAAAGAGTGTGGTGAGATATGTACAGATGAAATAGTCGCCCAGATGTACGCAAAGAGGTCGCTAACCGGGGAAAAAGATGAAAAATCCAATATCAAGCCGCCATCAACGCAGTACCCTCATTCCCATCACGACCAGCAAATCCGACTTCCTGCATCGACAAGTCCATTACCCCCTTTCTCGTCTCCATGCTAAGCAGTCTCTGCCTCAGCACGGCAACTTCCGCATCAAGCACCTCTCGATTGCCCCTCAGCTTGGTGTGCTCGGTGTTCAATGCGAGGTACTTCTGCTGCGTGTCCGCCAGCTCCTGCTTCAGCGCCGTGAAAGCTTCATGCGACGCCGCGCCGCGTGTCACGCTCGCGTTATGCGTCTTCTGCAGCGCATCGAGTCTAATCCTCGCGGAGGTGAGGGCGGACTTCGTCTCCGCCAGCTCCAGCGAGACCGAGGCCATACTCTTCGCCGAGTCACTCATGGAGGCCTTCGTTGTGGCGAGCTCGGCGGCTGCGTTGGCCCTGCTCGTTACCAGGTCGTGAGTGGCGACCTCACGTGCGGCTGCTAGTTCCTTTTCGGCAGTTGCTCTGGCTGCTTCGAACCTAGCACTCAGCTCGTCACGCTCCATCTCCGCCACCCGCGCCTTCTCGGCCAGGGAGCCCATGTCCATCTTCAACCGCTGAAGCTCTTGCTCTTTCCCGTTCGCCACCGTGTCAAACTCTGCCCGGTGTCGTTGCAGCTCCACCTCCTTCGTATGGCTCTCCCGCTCCGCCTTCCGCATTTGTTCCTCCAGCTGTGCTGCCCGCACCTTTGCCTCATCCCTCTCGCGCGTCCTCGCCTCAACCACTCTCCGCCTCGCCTCGGCTTCGTCATTCTTTGCCTTCAATTCCGCCTGCAACTGAGCAACATGCTTCTCCCTCTCCAGCTCCAACGCAGCAGACAGCCGTTCCAGTTCCGCATACTTCTCGCGAAGCGTCTCGGCCTCGTTGGCAAGCCGCTGCTCCTGCGCTTTGCTGACTTCGAGGCCTTTGTGCGATTGCGCCAGCTCTTGGTCCCGATTGGCGAGCGCGGCCGTGGTGTCTTTGTAGCTCTCCTCGACCCTTGCGAGCTCCGCCTTGTGGGCCTTCTTCGAGGCGCTATTGCCCATTGTGCCGGCCACTCAAATAGCTACATGAAATGACTGATGGAGGGTGATGGAAGAAAGAAAAGAACCCCATTCAACAGACCTGGTTCACATGAACACCGATCCCCCTCAATCCATGGGGCTGATCGGCTGAAACAGCCATCACACCCCCCGACGTCTGTCAGATGAGGACATTGCCAGGTGCAAAGAAGGTTTAAGGGGGTGTCCAACGGTCACCGAAACGGGACAAGTGAGGAGCAAGACGGACATGGGTTCCTTGACATGTTCAAATTGATTTCCGCCTGGATTGGGACTCTTGTCGGGATTAATTGCCATGCTAATTTCATGGCCTGCCGTGAATATGATCGAAGGGAGAGTCCTTCGTGGAGTGAAGTGCCGTCCACGTCGAGTCTGCGTGCAAACCTTATTGCCGTCTGGCGTGACGGCTTTCTTCCACCACAACTCTACACGACTCCTACACGCATGTGGGCAGTCTCATCCGTGCGGACAAGGGCAGACTTTCCAGGTATTTACATAAACACAAATAGATCTCGTCCAACAAATCTGCAGAGCATTGTATGCCGCCTAGATCCAGGCCGGCGACTTACTCCAAGCCTTGCCCTTCCTTCAACAACCCCACTCCCTGCTCTCGCAGTATGAACTTCTGGATCTTGCCGCTCGCCGTTCGCGGATAGTCGTCCACCCAGAAAACATACTTGGGCACTGTCAAACATTCGTCAGCCCAGGTCGTGATTCATCAATGTCTTCACAGGCGTGTCCACTCACCCAAATGCCCACTCAACTTCTCTCTCACCCAATCCCTGACCTCCTTGGCCTCCAACTTGCTGCCCTTCCGCTTCACCACATATGCCGCAACCACCTCGCCATACCTCTCGTCTGGCAAGCCCACCACGCTCACCTCCGACACGGCATCGTGCGCCAGCAAGCAATTCTCCACCTCGAGCGGGTGAATGTTCTCCCCACCGCGGATGATCGTGTCCTTGATACGACCCGTAATAGACACGAAGCCCTCCTCATCCATGATTGCCTCATCGCCCGTCAACATCCAGAACTTGCCGGGCTCCTTCTCATCCGGAATCATGGCTTCTTTCGTCTTCACCGGATCGCCCCAGTACTCCTTCATCACCAAGTATCCCGCCACCGCCAACTCCCCTCGCTCCCCTATGCCGACCGTGCGCGACTTGTCGCCCGCATCCACCACCGTCGCCTCCACATGCGGCAGCAGCTGCCCGCACGTGTCCACGCGCTTCTGCAGCGGGTCGTCGGTGCGCGTCATGCAGCTCACCGGCGATGTCTCCGTCATGCCGTAGCAGATTGTCAGCTCCTCCAAGTTGAGGATGCGGTGCAGTTTGCGCATCAGCTCTGCCGGCACCGAGCTGCCCGCCGCAATGCCCGTGCGGAGATGCTGGAAGCCCTCGTGCGCCACCGTGCCGTTGGCGAGCAGGTCGAGTTCCGCAAGGAACATGGTTGCTACGCCGTAGAGCGCGGTGCCGCGGTACTCCTGGACGGCTTTCAAAGAGGCAAGGGGGTCGAAGGCCTCGTTGGGGAAGCAGATGGCGGAGCCGTGCGTGGCGGTCGCCATGTAGCCCAGGATGCAGCCGAAGCAGTGGAAGAGCGGGGGCGGGCAGACAACAACATCTTCCGGGGTGAGCAGCATACGGTCGCCGATTTGGATGCCGTTGTTGAGGATGGAGCGGTGGGAGAGACAAGCGGCTTTGGGAGAAGAGGTGGTGCCGGAGGTGAATTGAATGTTGACGATTTCGTCCTTTTGAAGGTTTTGGTCGGGAAGGGCGTGCTGGGAGTCGTGAGAGATGGATTGGAAAGGCACCGCGGCTCGGAGCTCCGACACATCCACCCTGCCCTCTGAATTATCCACCAGAATGATTTGTTTCAGCGACGGAGCAACTTCAGACTCCAACTTGCTCCCTTTGATGTTGGGCGCAATCTCCGTCAACATGGATACATTCGACCGCGGTGGTTTGCGCGAGAGGTTCGTCTCGGCGCCGATGAGCAGATGGCTCGTTTCGAGATGATTTAGAGCAGAGATGACCTGCCCGGAGTTGAATGAGGGGTTCAGCGGGTTCAAAATGGCGCCGAGCTTGAAGAGGGCATAGGTAGCAATGGCAAACTCCATGTTGTTTCCCAGCGACACCGACACGCGATCTCCTTTCTTGACGCCGATACCCTGCAGGCCGCGCGCCAGGGCGTTGCTTTTCTTGTCGAGCTCATCGTAGGTGGTTTGCAGGCGTTGGTGTCGGGTTATAACACTTCCCTTGTGGCGTTAACTCTCTGTGCTTTATGCTTTTTCTCGTGGGAGGGTGGGACGCACGCGGTTCGATCGCCGTGCTGAGAGACGATGCCTGCGAAATGCTGTGGGATCGTGCCTTCGAAGAGTGGCGGCTGCGGTTTTGGGGGTCAGCTATGGAACGCGTCGAGCAGCATGCCATTCGAGCATGCACATACCTCTGTCGGCCCTCTATCGTGAGCCGTGGTCAACAGGCCTCTGCTCCATGTAGTGCGGAGGGTGGCGACTGTTCCGACCCCACGACCGCGCAATAATCGTGGCAGCATTGTGTCCAGCTGGCTGCATCGGGCAGCGTAAGGTGCTGGGAGAGCGCGAGGTCGCGAGGGAAGTCGGGAGAGCAGTCGTTCTAGTCCGGGGATGTGGAGTCCAGAGCTGCGGGGAAGGTTTACCCTTGGCGCTCCCGAGGATTCGACAGTTACCCGAATGGGAAGCAGCAGCAGCCTCGTGCATGATGGGCGGGAAAACGGGGTCGCAGAACCATACCTTATGAACGAGACTGTACTCTTTCACCAAGAGAAACTCCTACTTTACATCCCCTCCCTCCCCGCCCATTGGCCATTACCCATCATGCACGATCTCGTGTGAGCACGCCCGCCCCATGCCAGAATGCATGATTGTCCCGAGTCCGAAACACCCGCACGCCCACCAGTCCTCGCAAATACGCCGTCCCATTATACAAAGGGGTCACCTACCCAACACATCCCCACCTCTGCCTCCCATGCGCGGCTGTGGTCAACTCAAAAGTCGGCAAACATGTGGTCGTACTTGGAGTACAATTCCTGTACCGTTCATGATTAGATCAAAGATCCCAGACATGGTTCGTCTGATGCATCATACCTTGGTATAGGGATCCCGGTGCACCGGCTCCGCATCGTAATCATCAAAATTCCGCGTGTCGTCCGCACTGCGCAAATGCGGCACAATGGGGCCCTGCATCTTGCGATGGTACACGGCGTCCCAGTCAATGTTACGGAACCACGGGTGCTCCTTCACCGTCGCCGCCCCGCCCTTGACATTGCCCAGCCGCTTGGTCACGTCGACGGTGCACAGGCCGCCGATTATGTCTCGCGCGTCATTGCTCATGGCCGAGGGATAGCGAACTTTGCCTTCAACGATCTGTTCGTAGATCTTCATGGGGTTCTGGTCCCAGAAAGGCGGTTGGCCGACAAGGAACTCGTAGATGAGGATGCCAAACGCCCACCAGTCGACGGCCATGCCGTGCCCGGTGTTTCGGATGACTTCCGGTGCCAGGTACTCGGGTGTTCCGCATAGCGTGTACGTTTCTCCTGCGATCACGAGTAGGTTAGCACTAAATCAACCTCGAGAACGCGGGAAATCACGCACTATCTTCTATCTTCTTGGCGAACCCAAAGTCAACCAGCTTGAGATGCCCCTCGGCATCGATGAGGATATTCTCCGGCTTCAGATCGCGATATGCCACGCCTTCCTTCTCGTGCAGAAACTCGAGGATGAGGACAATCTCGGCGGCGTAGAACTGCGAGGTTTGCTCGTTGAATCTGCGCGCGCGGCGCAGGTAGGAAAACACCTCGCCGCCGGGGCAGTAATCCAGCAGCATGTAGAGGGTGTCGTTGTCTTGGAAACTGGCAATCATGGTCGTGATAAAAGGGTGACCGGCGACAGCAGCCAGCACATTGCGCTCGTTGCGCACATGCTCCACCTGCTTGAGGCGGATGACATCCACCTTGCGGAGGATCTTGAGCGCAAATACGCGATTCGCCGCATTGTTCCCCGCGCCACTCGCAGTATCGCCGTTGTTGTTCTTCTTCGCAGCCACTCCAGTGCCACTGCTCGCATTCGCAATCTTGGCCAGCCAGACGCGCGCAAATGTGCCGGTGCCGAGGGTCTTGATGCAGTCAAAGTCCTCCTTGCGCAGGTACTTGGACGAGTGGCCGACGGGCTTCTTGCCGGGGTCGGCGGCGACCTCGCTGGGCTCGAGCGTGTTCTTTTCCGGGTCCCACTCGGCCAGCTTGGCTTTTTCCTCCTCGCGCGCGGCGTACGAGGCGCGGTCGGCGCTGCTGGAGCTCATGCGCTTGAGGCGCGAGGAGACATTCTGCACAATTGCCGGCGCCATTGCTGGCGGGCGGGGCGGTGAGGCGCGGTTTCCACCACCACCACTGCCGTGCGTGGGGAGCGGGGTCGGGCGTGCGCAGAGAGGGCGTGATTGAGCGCGATGGACGACAGGACGAAGGTGCGGGAGCCAAGCTGTCACTAGCAAGACATCTCTTTCGCCGGCCGGGGCCAAAGCCACAGCCTCCAAGCCCGAGGGGCAGATGCTAAGAGTCAGGCGGGACTCGTGTCGAGGTGGTGGAGGTTGCAGAGCGGAAGGTGAGCGGTGTGTGCAGGAGGTCAATGGCCAGGGGCGAGCGAGGTGCTTTGAGAGCGAAGTCGGATCTTTGGTCGGTCGCGTAATAAGGGTAGTGACTGGAGCTGTCTAGCACCTGATTAGCACCTTCTTTAGCTCGGGTAGTAATTATCGGGGCAGGAGCTACCCGCGCACCGCGTTCCCAATGTTGCAACGGCGGGACACTCGCCGGCAGCCGGTGACATCACCCACCCGCTGTCACGAAAGATTGTGGCAGACGCCCCGACATGCACCTTCACGCGCGCGGGCGGCATATTCCCGTCGCGGCGCATCGAAGGATGAATACCAGTGCAGAGGTATCTTGTCCCTTTGACCACGCACAACGTATCACAACGAGTATGCGAGGACTTGAAACACATCGAACATCAAAGACAAAACTCCACCTTGTATGAAAGGCTTATAAGGCAGTGTCACTCGGGTCACCTCAGTCAATCATAAGCATCGCAGCGAAGGCTATCAAACGCTTTGCAACTCCCCCAAAAAGATACTCCCGCCATTGCCCGTTTTTGCAACCATCATCGATCCGATTGAACAACCGCCACTTCAGCCTTGCCCTCGGCCCCAGAAGTCCAGCGAGGCTATCACATCCTCGCCTAGCTCGTCTTCATACGCGTAGAGGATCTGAAAGCACTCGTCAGTACAGCAATTCCACGCCCCGTGGAGAAACAGGACTCACCTCGCGATTACTCTGATGCAAGAACCGAATGTTCTTGTGCGTCTGAATGCACACCAGCCCGCCGGTATCACTCTGCCGAATCTCAATAAACTCCGGCTCAAAGGCAAGAATGTACTTCTCGCCCCACGTGGCAAAAGCATTCGGGATCCCCTCCCACAGAATCTTCCAGTCGCCGCGCGCCCGCCAGCCGTTCTTGTTGACGTAAAAGGAAAAGTCGTTGTAGCACAGCAGGAACTCCGACGTGTTGCGCTCAATGTAGATGGGCTTGACGTTCTCGCGCTTCGCGACAAAGTCGAGCGACGTGTCCGCCTGGTCGAGCAGGGATTGCGTCTCGAGCGTTTCCAGGCTGACAATCTCGAAGCCCTTGGCCCCGCCGACGCACAGCTTGCTGCGCAGGAAGTGGATGCTGTTGCTCTCCATTGGAATGTAGAAATCCCGGAAATGCTTGAGCACGTCTTGCCCCTGCACGAGCATGCGCGCCAGCCCGCCGCGCCGCCGCTGTTGCCGCCCCGCGGCGTCCAGCGGCTCAAACACCTTCACCGTGCTGGAGAGGGAGTGGCTCTTGACGCAGCACACCAGCGTCGTCCCGTTGCACATGCCGGCGCTGATGTAGTTAGCATGGCAGATCGGCTTGCCACGAGGCGTGCCCGCGCTGTCGTCCTCCAGCGCCTCGAGCGGGATCGCGTACACCGCCTTGTCCGCCAGCACAATCAGGATCTGGTGTTGCTCGAGCACTTCCAGCTGCGTGACGAGCTTGATGTTCAGCATCTTCTTCGGCTTGATACTGGCGTCCTTCGGCCGGCTCTCGCTGACATACACGCCCAGATCGGTGCCAATGACCAACTTTCGTCCGCCGTCGATCGGTTGGCAGCAGTTGACGCGCACTTGCGCGGTGAAGAAGCCCTCGTTTACCTTCGTCATGGTGAAGATCCTGTGCCGTTCGCTCAGCTTGTTCTTCTGCGTTTGGATGTATTCCATCCACTTCTCCCGCTGGATCTGGCTGGTGCAGTAGAGCGTGATGTCGTATCCGGCACGGCCCAAACCTTTGAAGGTGATGGGGTACCCTTGCTCGCCCACTGCTCTGGGAGCCGTGGTCGTGCGACCAACACCGGGAATCATGGACGATGACGGACGCTTGGTGATGCCCAGTCTGGGCAGGATGGTCTCCATTTCCTTGATCTGCAGCAGTTCGAGGGGAATCGGCTTGCGGTACACCTTCATCTCCTCTTTTTTATTGACAGTCTTCACCCGCACGAGAAGAACGGCATGATCGAACAGATAGGCGACAATGTCCGCGGCCTCGCTGGTCGGCGTCTTCTTGAGATTGCTCTTGAAAATCAACTGCCGCGTCTCCTCGGTGAGTTTGAGATCCTGCGGCAGTATTTGGCCCCACTTGAGTTGGGAGTTCAGACTCATCAAGTTGTAATGGTTCTCCGCCTTCCCTGATTCTTCGTTGACGCGTTTCAAGATCTCCCGAATTGCCTCGATTGCTTTGGGGATGTCGTGCTTGTCGGGATTGTCGTCGCTCGTGTTTTTGAGCACACCGTCCAGCAGTAAGGGGTATCGTGCCAGTCTCGTGGTCGGCTTGGTCAGGTAGCCGTTCAACTCCAGCTTCCGACTCTCCTTCAACCTCTCTGTTTCGTCTACAAATCGCACAAAGGCCTGGTTGGAGCTCTTCTCCTTCTCGAACTCAAACTTGCCAAACAGCTGATTCGCGCCGTACTTGATGAAGGGTGAAAACTGCGTGACATACTCCACGAAGATGTCGCCAACGTTCCGCACCACTGGATTCTGCTGCTGTCGTCGGGTGAGGGCAGTGGCCATGCGCGAATTGACATTGTGCACTTCCTGGCAGTTGGAGAACACTGTTCGAATAAACTTCTCCCGTCGGTGCTCCGGAATGGGCGAGATGTCTGGGGAGCGCAGGGGCTTGATCCAGAAGTCTCGGAGATATTCCAGGTCCTTGACGAAGTCGCGCTCGGTGTACATGATCTCGGAGATGACTTCCTGCCGCTTCTTTTCCTTCTCGCTCACGCTGTCCGACACCTCCTTCGAGACGGTGTTGATCCACAATTTCTGCTCGTTTTCCACCTCATCGTGCAAGCTAGATCGAGACGTTTCCCGCTTCAGTCCAGGCGTGATTCTCATATTCAATCGTTGCTGCTGCTCGAGCCTACGCGGACACGCGATGGAGTAGCACAGGTTGTCGCGACTGCATGTCGGAGAGTAGCACTCGGTCAACAGGGTGAAGACGCCATTTACCTCTGGTGGCTCCTCGTTCAGCGTCTCCTTGAATTGGTAAATCTCATTCGGCGAGTCCCGTAATCTGTGGGCGTACGCGACCTCGTGAAAGAACTTCTGCGCATCTAACGATCTGCCGAGTAGAAGCGCGAGATTGCGATCCGACGTCCGGATGATGTATGCGATCAGGTCGACTGCCTCGTAGCCACTGAAGGCGGTTTTGTAGATCAGATTGTCCTTCTCCTTTTCCGAGACGGTGACGCGATCCTTGAATGCCTGCGCGACATTGGACAGCATCGCGCCATAGACGAGCGAAGGTCGCTTTTGCGCGACCATTGTTCCCGCCTGCGATGACTGGCCTTGGCTGTTTGACCGTATGGTAGTGCCAGTAGCCGACCGCGATGGTCCAGGCGGTTCAGATGGTGAGACGATGGTGGACGCCATGGACATGGACCGAGAATTCTGACTTCCGACGCTGCCAGGCTGACGGCCGGGTGGAAACGCGCCATTTGGTTGGCGCTCCGGGGTGGACCCATTGGTGAGAGTGCTCTCGGTTGCTACCGCGTCACCGGACTCGCGCTTCCGGTTCGGTATTACCCTCCCGCTCTGCGTTTGTGTGTAGTCATTGTCTCTTGAGTATGCGGACATGGACATGGTCCGCTCGTCTCCTGTCCTCTCCGGTACCACTCTTCCCTGGGCAGTAGTACGCGCAAGATGATTGTGGTGGGACTGCTGGCGGAAAGCGGACGGTGGCGGCCCACCGGGATATTGATTGCTGGGTGGTTGATACATCGGGCGCGGGTTCGATGCGAGCGACTGCGTTCGGAAGTTGTCGTGCATCGGTGGCCTGGGGCCCGGGGGTCCGGGAGGGCCATACGGGCGGGCGGAAAAGGAGCGTTGCTGCGGATATTGCCCTGGGGCAGGCGGCTGTCGTGAATCCACGCGTTGTGGCTGGCCATACGGCACTCGATCGGGCCGGATGGGTTGAGGCATGTTCGGAGGGCGTCGTTGCGGGGAAGCGTTTCCATTGGAATAGCCATTGCTGGGTGGGTACGGCAGGGGAGCGTTGGGTGGCATGGACGCATTTGGAGGGTATCCATTCTGCGCAGGCCCATTCGACATGGGGCCGTGCGGAGGAGGAACAGGCAGTCCGTTGGGCAGCTGGCCAGGTCGGACGGGGGGAGCGCGAGGGGCATAGCCGTTAGTCATGCCTGCGCTCATGGTAGCGGCGCGCTCCGACGGCGCGTGCGACGGGGCAGAGGACATCGTCTGACTGCGGCCAGCACCGGGCGGGGCAGCGCCGAAGATGTTGGAGAAGGCAGCATCTCGCTGGGCGGAAGACGCAGAGCCGCCGACACCGCCGGGCTGGCGAGCGTGTTGCGGCTGCTGGTATTGCGCCATGTCTCTTCCTCGGCACTTCCAGGTCTTCTCCTGCGTTCAAAGGGTCCTGCGGCGCGGAGTCTCCTCGACATCCGGCCTCGTGGAATGGGAGGCCGCCGCCGTGAACGCGGTCCGGGCGTTTGGGGGGGTCACGATCCCGTCAGGCCCGCTCGTTATCGCACTGGATAGCCGGCTCGCGGGGAGGTGTCAATCGGCGAGCACGTGAGGCGCTACTGCGGATAGCGATGATGAGGGAGGAGAAGAAGGAGGGAGGGCGGCAATGCGCTCGGGAGGGTTGGGGGTGGTGGATGTGGTTGGAGTTGGCAGAGGAGCTCTTGGCTTTTCAGGGATTAGTTAATACCCGTCCGCCGTCCTAATGAATTCGGACCCTGTCGGGGCACCCGTTCCCGAGCCGCGTGGGATGGAGTGGAGTGGAAGGGAGAGAGGCCGGTGGCGGCGGGCGTACGATCAAGGCTGGGCAGGCGTTCAGCAGATAGAAGGGGATGTGAAGGACGGTCAAAAGCGGAGAGAGAGAGGGAGGGAGCGTGTGCGTGAGTGAGTGTGGCATGCATGCAGGGCCCCCGTCCGCGAACTCAGCTGCCCCATCATTGATGAATCTTGGATGCCCTGCGTCGCCGCCATGCAAAGGCCGCGTCCGTGCGGCGGCTACTCCCGCGCAAACCGCCCGACCTGGCACGACGTCTTTGTGAAGCTGCGTGCTGCTGTCGATACCGCATCTGCACAGGACAACGCCATCCCCACCCGTCGCTTCACCACACACCCTGCCCCGAGCAGTCCGAGAGGCCACCCTGACGACGACTGTCCATCGCTCGCTTGAGCACGACACCAACATGGCAGAGGCAACGTCCGAGCTGGCCCCCAGCTTCGCCCCGTTCATCGGAATGGCAGGCGTGGCCGCTGCAATGATCTTTGGATGTGCGCTTCCCTGACCTCATAGCACCCTCATATGCTATATGCTGATAGGGTTGGACAGGCATCGGGGCCGCGTACGGCACCGCGAAGTCCGGCATCGGCATCGCAGGCGTGGGAACCTTTCGATCTGACCTGATTATGAAAGTACGTCTTTAATCTCCTCCACTCCACCCCTCTCCTTATCCACCCCTGCTGACACCGATGTGCAGTCTCTAATCCCCGTCGTCATGTCGGGAATCATCGCCGTCTACGCCTTGGTCGTCGCCGTCCTGATCTCAAGCAACATGAAGCCTCCGCCGAAGCTCGAATATGGGTTGTTCAATGCCTTTATGCATCTGGGATGCGGGCTGAGCGTGGGACTTACGGGAATAGCAGCAGGGTATACCATTGGGCAGGTGGGAGATACGGTATGTGCATGATGTGGATGATGATGGAAAGACGTGTCCGGGGGTGAGGGGTGTGCTAACGCTGCGTCAGGGTGTGAGGGCATACATGCAACAATCACGGATATTCGTTGGGATGGTGCTGATACTGATCTTTGGAGAAGTGTTGGGGTTGTATGGGTGAGTTGAGACTCCAAGCTGTTGCGCGTTGATGAAGAGAACTGACATATCCAGGCTGATTGTGGCACTGATTCTAAACACCGCCGCCTCGGGTTAGAGGGCGGCAGATATGCAACAAGGCAACATGCTGTTTCTGTGGGTGATGGAAACGGCACCGTTGTAGCAACGAATGTACAGTACAATTGCATAGCGAGCGGCGTCGAGATGGAGGGAAACTTGATACGTGTGCTCCACCTCCTCCACCGCCATCTTTCACTTCATTAGGCTGCGGCAAGTCGACGGATGTCCGGGTCCGGGTGCGTGATGCGGAAACAAGCAAGGCCAATCGCACAACCTTCCAAGGAACTCCCCCTTAGTGCACAGTTTCAAACGCCGGACGCCTTTAGCAAGCTGCGCAAATGAATGACGCGGCAAGCGCAGTGCTACAACAATCCGGTAGATGAAGATTGTCGCCTTCATTTGGTATCTAGAGTTCGACAAACAAGGTGACGGACGGATGCTTGCGCAAGCAGGGCCAAGCTTTGGCTTGGCTTCCAACGTCGTGTTTCAGGCGGCACATGCCGGCCAACGGCACCTGCATCTGGGAATTTGTCGCGGTGACACGGCAAATGCAAGGTCGCGGACGGACAGAAATGCCCAGAGGATAAAGAGGGAGCAGGGATCCTTGCCTTGCACGAACGCCCCCGGCATCGTCTTACCCGGCGCTGATACGGGTCTTGGCGCGTTGGGGTGTGAAGCTTGGTTCTTCAATTGCGTACGTACCACACTACGTAACTCGGCGGATCAGCACCGGATCGACGCTGTCGCAGAAAGCGAAACGCCTTGCGAATCACCATGGCCTGATACCGTCGTCTTTCCATTACTGCACTGCGCTTCATCTGCCTCCGTTTGCCCTCATCTCTCCCGCCACCCACTCGAGGCTGTCGTGCGTTGCGACGTGCATTAGAGTTCCCGCCAATCACGCCACACGCTTCGCTGCAGTCAAAACACCGTTGCACTACTGGCTGTTGACGCCATGTACATTTCCTGCTTCGTTTCCCTCCTCTCCCAACATTCCATCACCGCCCCTTCGACCTGAGCGCAAGCGGCGTCTGCATCGCCTCCGCCCCTTGCTCTCCACCTCACACCTACGATCTCTTCTCCGCCGTCCGCATTCCCGCAGTCGACCGGGCGTTTGACTGGCCACACCACACTGCAACCTGGGCTACCATGCTCACCTTTCGCCGGGCCCTGGTGGTCGCCGCGGTCCTCCTCACACTCTTCCTCCTCTTGCGGAGTAATCACCCCTCTCGCATCGCCGTCGCCGCCAAACGGAAATCCCCCAAACCCACCGGCACCTACCACGATAACAAAGTCCTCCTCGACAGCCTCAAGGAGGAGCTCTCCAAGATATCCCCCGATAAGCCCACCACCTCCACGTCAGATTGGCACGGCGACAGCAACGACAGGATTGCCTTGGTCAAGAAGCCCATACCGCAAATCCCCCTGTCAGACTTGAAGGCGCAGCCCTTACGCAAGCAATTGGCTTACGCGTTCCCCTACGACCCTGCCAGCAGGTTTCCCGCCTACGTCTGGCAAACGTGGAAGTCCACGCCAGCGTCTGCCGACTTTGGCGAGGACTTTAGAGCGTCAGAGGCATCGTGGACCGCGCTACACCCCAACTTTGTCCACGAGGTCGTCACAGACGCCGTGGCCGTCCACCTCATCCGCCACTTCTATGCCAGCATCCCCGAGATTGTGCAAGCTTACGAGGCCCTGCCTGAGCCGGTGCTCAAAGCGGACTTCTTCCGCTACCTTATCCTGCTGGCAAGAGGAGGCATCTACTCCGACATCGACACCACCGCGCTCAAGTCTGCGGTCGACTGGATACCGCCAGAAGTCCCGCGGCACACGTATGGCTTGGTGGTCGGCATCGAGGCGGATCCCGACCGGCCCGATTGGAAGGATTGGTACTCGCGCCGCATCCAGTTCTGCCAATGGACCATTCAAGCAAAGCCCGGTCACCCCGTGCTCGTGGAGATCGTGGCGGCGATTGCGGAGGAGACGCTGCGCATGAAGGCGGCCGACGAGCTCGACAAGAAGCACATGAAGAGCGTCGTCGAGTTCACCGGGCCCGCCATCTGGACGGACATGATCTTCCGCTACTTCAACAACCCGGAGTACTTTGACATGAGCACGAGCAAGGGCAACATTTCCTGGGAGCGCTTCACGGGCATCACGACGATGAAGAAGGTCGGCGATGTCATTGTGCTGCCCATCACCAGCTTTTCGCCCGGCGTGGGACAGATGGGTGCTATGGATGAGGATGATCCGATGGCCTTTGTCAAGCATGCGTTCGAGGGTGAGTCTGTCTTGTTTCTGCGTCACAAGTCACGTGCTGATTGAATGGATCACAGGTACATGGAAGCCCGAGAGCGAGAGGCACATTGGCAGTGACGGCTAGCAGATCAGTAGAGGCCGTCGAGACCGAAGACCGATCGAAAGCGAGCGTATCTACGGACGCTGCCCCGCTCCACGTGGATGCCTGCGGACCCCACGCCAGCGCAGGCCGCGGAGGCGATCCGCCTTTGGGAGGATGCTGCCTGGAAAGCTGGGAGCTTCACCACTAAAGATCATATTGCCGGTACACCGCTACAGCATAGGACGTAGCAAAATGACTTGCATCGCCATTCAAGTGCTGAATGGCACGATGCAATTTGGAGGGGGATGAGACGGCTTTGGTATGTGCTGGATGCCTGTGCAAGGGCATGCATTGGTGCCTACTCTTCATCATTGCCTGGCATGGCGGCGGCGCTTGTTTCATAGCAATTCCGGCTTTACTGAAATACGAGCGAACCACACTTCCGAGTCCGAGTCGCTTTGGCTGATGCCTACCTCTGCTAATAATCAATCACTGCCCACTTTCGCGTAAGAAAGTCACGAGAAGGCGCACAGCGCATCAATGGCTTTGCACGTGCAATATGTCCAACCACAGGGAGTGGGGAGTGTCCGCGTTTCAGGTGATTCGTTTCATCGTAACAGGTTAACGAGTAGGTTCGCACATTGCAGCGCTTTGCCACGATTTCGTCTAGACCGCAGCATCCGTCGCATTGGGTTCGTCAGCGAGCGCGCGCCGACACCCGTCAAGCGCCACGCAAGCGAAGCAAATCACGACGGCTTTGGTTTGCGCGGCTGCGCTAGTCCGCTTGCGGCCTAGTATAAGGCGACAGAATTCCGACCAGTGTAGGGAGCTAGGCCGCCGAATTGTAAGACGCCCCCCGAACGACCGCTCAAGCGCTGGGATATGTCTGCAATCCGATTAGAGGCGAGTGCATCGCTGCGACACATCTGCAGCTGCGCGAGTTCGTTGTGCGCCGGCCGTCGCCAGCGATAGATAGATCAGAGCGCCCGCGACAACCCGCCGACTCCGGGGCATATGCAGATCTGCACCCACCATGGAGGCTTACAGCAATGCGCACCTCGCGCATACCCGCACAAGCCATCTCACCAAGCTGTACAGCGATGCGAAGAAGAGCGCGCTCACCAGCCTCGAGGTGCAGCCGAGCGTGACCCAGCACTTCACCTCGCTGCATCGCAAGTTCCGCATTCAGAAGGACCGGCTCATCACCTGGGGCCTGGCCTGGAGCGACGATGAGAAAGGGCCGGAGGGCAGCATTGACGAGTCCGTGGCCAAAGCCGGCCTGACCGAAACTGTCGACAGCGTCCTGCGCAACATCAAAGAAGTCACCGAGGAGGCCGAGCGCATCAAGGCTGCCAGTGTGCCCGGCTTCATCAACAAGGCCGGCGACAAACCCCTCCACCCGGAGCCCTTCGATGAAGCCCGATATGAGGATCTCCTCCGAGACTTGACCACATCCATCGACACTTTGTACGACCTGTCGCGATCCCGCAAGGCGCTCGCTAGGGGCGAATTGCCCACCTTCAGCGTCCCGACCGCCGACACCGGCAAATTTGATTCGCAACCCGCGGCGGGCATCACCAAATCTTCCTCAATCCGAAAAATACCCTTCCGACGGCCGAGCCACGCTTCTTTCGCCTCTGAGCTAACGCTTGTCAACCCTCCGCCGTTCATCCGGCCCAACCTTTCACCATATGCCGGTCTACCGCCGCGAATCGATGTCCGTGCTTTGCGCCTGCCGGAAGAAGGGCCACCGCCGTATGAGAGTCTCGGCGTGCCTTCCACGACTCGACTCATCGGTCGCCTCATCCGTGCAAAGGCTACCGAGTCTGTGCAGAATGCGCTGGGCAGTACCGCCGCAGAGGTGCCGGTGCTGGTTGAGTATGCCAATTTCGACTCGACCTATCGCGAAACGGGGGTGCCTCCTCCCCTACAGCGCTTGGAGAGCTTGGCCTCGTTGCTCGAGCCCATGCGCGCCGAATCACAGACAAATCTAAGTCTGCTCGGCTTCTTCGAGGATACGAACCAGTCTCGAATCGGCCTGGTATACGACCTGCCATACTCGGTTCAAAACCGCATGCAAGGCACCGTGGACAGTGCGGGGCAAGACTTGGTGCCGTTGAGCTTGCTCAAGCTCGTGCAAAAGGCGAACAAGGCGCAGACCACAAGCATCGACAGCATCGTTCCGTCTCTCGAAGATCGATTCTGCATCGCCCTTCGCTTGACCGAACAGCTGCACGCCATTCACAGTCGAGGCATCGCTCACGGCAACATCAACAGCAGTAGCGTCGTTTTCACCACCACGGATAACGAGCCCGCTTTGAGTCGCCAGAAGCAACTGCGATTGCCGCTATGGGCGTCGTATGATCTGTTCTCGAAATGCACGGTCGAGGGTGTGCGGCGGCCTGTCAATCTCAATCTCTACCGCCATCCTGAAGACCACCCGCAAAATCCCGGTCGCAGCATGAGCGTCGACCTCAAGTTCGACATGTACAGCTTGGCAGTCGTGCTTCTGGAGCTCGGTCTCTGGACGCCCCTTGGGGATCTCTACAAGGCCAAGTACTCGCCGGCGGATTTCAAGTTGCGACTCGACCGATTATGGATCCCCAAATTAGCGGCACGCTGCGGATCGGTGTATATGCGCGCCGTCCAGGCTTGTGTGGCCGCGGCGGATGACTTGGATCTCAGCGGGAGCACTACGGTGATTGAAAGCGCCTACGAAACCCTGACCCGCAACCTGCAGCGCTGCTGTACGCTTGACGAGAGTGCGTCTGCGGACCCGCTGACGCCTATCGACGAAGACGTCGACACGATTGCCCCTCCATCGCAACCTGCGGCCATCAAGCGCAAGCCGTTACCAGTCGAGCCCGCTCGTCCGATACGCCAGCACTCCGAGCCCGGCGGTCTGCATAGGACACATTCCATTTCTTCGGCAACCTCGAGTGTCTCGCGCCTCTCCTCTGTTCCCAATTTCCCGGCTGATGTTGCCATCTATGCCAACACCGCCCGATCCAATACTCATCCTGCTCTGAGGCCGCAGTCGGACAGGGCAGAGTCGCCGCTCCCAGAGGGCAACGTCCAGCCCAGACGTACCGTGCAGCAGCATTTTGTTCCGAAGCCATCGTTCAAGGAGTACAAGCGGAAGATTGTTTTGATTCAGCAGAAATGGAGAGAGCACCGGGCGCGGGCCGTCCAGTCCAAAGAGACTGCGCTTCTCCAGTCCAAGGAGGTCGAATCAGCAGCAGCGCAAGAGAAGGCTAGGGAAGCGGAAGAGGAGGCCATGGCAAACAAAGAGCAACGAGGAAGGGTGAAGCGGCATGAATTTCCCGAAGTTCAACTGCCCCCCGCCCTGGTGGACGATTGGCACAGCGGGACATCAGTCCGACTGGCGAAGCTGGTCGAGCGGGCGTTGAAGGGATCACCCGAGTCCTCGTCGATCTCGCTGACTGCCTACGGCGAGACCCTGGAGACGGCTCGCCCGACCTTCTTGATCTGTTGCACTTCCACTGCAAAGGTCAAGCATGTGTTGAAGCGGCACTTCAAATTCGATCCGGCCATTTGCGATGTGCGTGTGAAGAAGGATGAGATCAAGCGCTGTCGTCGACCGAGGAGGCGACAACGGACCGCGGATGAAGCGTACAGGAGTATGGCGGCGAGTGACGGTGGATTCTATGAAAAGGCCGCCAATCCGGATTACCAGGAGCGTCCCATCTGTGGTGCTTCCATCGGCGCCTTCAGGGATGAAGAGCATCTCCCGCCCGTCTCATTCGGGGGAGTCGTGTTGGTTGACGGACAGGCATACGGCATGAGCGTCCATCACATGCTCGAAGCGGATGACGAGTCCGAGACGGAAGACGATCCTGACGACGGCAACATCTCCGACGCCTCCAGCGTGCGTAGCTTCGAATCCGTCTCCTCCGAACCCGATGACGAAAGCACCGTGCGCCCCCCGTCTACCATCCCAGACGTCCCCTCCAGCGGAGAAGGACACGATGGCGACTCTGCCGGCATCGTCCCTGGCGACATCGAGGAGATCGCCATCACGCAACCGGCGCTTGACGATGCCATTGACCTCGACCTGCATGTCGACGAAGACGACTCCGACTCCGACTCGGGCATCGACGAAGACCACCTGCTCTCCTACAAACTCGGTCAGGTGCACGCCTCGTCGGGGCTCAAACGAACGCCCGCCTCGCTCGAAGCCGGCTTCAAGTCCATCTCCCAATCCCTCCCCCAGGAGATCGACTGGGCCCTTTTCGAACTCATCCCTCCCCGCTCCCACCCCTACAACATTGTCAAGAACGGCAAGAAATTCTGCACGGCCAAGTCGAGCACGCGGCGCAACACGCCGCACTCCTACCCCACCGCCATCAAGCGCAGCTCCGACCTGGCATGCGCCAAAGTGCACTGCCTCGGCCGCACGAGCGGGCTCGCCAGCGGCGTCGTCTCGTCGACCATGGACCTCGTCAAGATCCACGGGCGCAGCACCTTCTCCGCCTCGTGGACTGTGGCGGGCCAGTTTGGCGTTGGCGGCGACTCGGGCGCGTGGGTGATTAGCAATGACGATGGGAAGGTGTGTGGGCATGTGCTTGCTTCTCGCAAGGGCAGGACGTACATCTGCCCGATGGACCTGTTGCTGGAGGATATCCGCGTGACGCTCGGGGCGGATCGCGTGGCGTTGCCGCCTGTGCCTGCTGGGTGGAGTCGGGAGGCGGCTGTTGGGAGGGGAGAGGCTTGGAGTCTGGCAGACAGGGTCGGTGGGATGAGGATTGCTGGGGGTCGTGGTGGTGGGAATGAGGAGATGGGCGGAGGCGTGCCTCTTTCGCCAGAGGCTTTGGGTGGTGGGAAGACTTCGGGCGGAAGTGGGATGATGCGATCGCTGGGTGCCGTGGAGGCAGCCGGATAGAAGACGTTGGCTACTCGATCGTCTGAGCGGTGTAGTGAAATCTAATTTGACCGTTTATTCTTGCATGTTCGCACTTCAAACGCTGTTACCTCCCCGTCTAGTGAGTTTGGAGAGGCTGCGGCAATTGACGGCGTTGAAGCCTTTGAATTTCAATTCCGACTTCGCTGCGTTGCAATTCAATATGAATCACTCTTCGCCCTCCTTCATCCACAACATCTCTAGCATACATGATCATGTCTTCCTCACGAGCCCTGCTTTTGATTGGAAAGCTTCATCATGCGCGGAAAGAGTGGGAAGCGCTGAGTTCGCTGGCGACGTTGAAGGTACGTCACCCTCCCTTGATCAACCATCAGAATGAAACCACACGACAATCAGCAGCTCAATGACTAACATGTCAAGCACAACAGGAGTATCCGAGCGGCGACAGGCCCGACTTCCTGCGGAATTGCGCCTCAGACGCCTACGCGGACGTGACAGCCCTGTACCGCTCCAATGACTCGACCAGCATCACCGGGCCCTTTGACGCGGAACTCGTCGCCGCTCTCCCGCGCAATGTGAAGCATATCTGCCATAATGGAGCCGGATACGACAATATTGACGTCGAGGCTTGCACGAAACGCGGGATCGCGGTGTCGAGCACGCCGATTGCTGTCGACGACTCTACTGCTGATAGTTAGTATTGCTGCTGTTGGGGTTCTATTCTGAATGGAATGAAACTGATGACATGAATCTACGCAGCCGCCATGTTCCTCATCCTCGCCGCCCTCCGCCGCATCACCACTCCCTTCCTCGCCGTGCGCGACGGGCGCTGGCGTGGCGGAGAGAAATTCACCCTCGGCCACGACCCGAAAGGCAAAGTACTCGGCGTCTTGGGCCTAGGCGGGATCGGACGAGCCGTAGCGGCGCGAGCGAAACCGTTTGGCATGAGCGTGCAGTACCACAATCGCAATCGCTTGTCGCCTGAGCTCGAGGATGGAGCAAAGTACGTTGGCTTCGAGGAGTTGTTGCGGACGTCGGATGTGCTGAGTTTGAACCTGGCACTGAATGCGTCTACGAGACATATCATTTCTAAGCGGGAATTTGAGATGATGAAGGAGGGAGTGGTGATTGTCAATACGGCAAGGGGCCCGATTATTGACGAGGCGGCGTTAGTGGAGGCGCTGGATTCGGGCAAGGTCTTTTCCGCGGGCCTGGATGTGTTTGAGGAGGAGCCGAAGATTCATCCTGGTTTACTGAAGAATGAGAAGGCGGTGCTGCTGCCGCATGTGGGAACGTCGACTTGGGAGACACAGAAGGCGATGGAGGTGTTGGTTTTGGACAATCTCAAGTCGGCGACGGAGGGGAAGGGGTTGATCACGCCTGTTGCGGAGCAGAAGACGAAGAGGTAAGCTGGGGGATGCGGTTGGAGTGTGTCATGTACTCGAGTGGCTGATGAGTGTGAGTTGTAGTTCTCCGCGAGCCGGTAAATTATAGAGTCGATCATAGAATACATCTCGGGTGATGATGCATGTTGTATCTACACACATCTAATCCATGTTGATGCAGAATAAAGTTAAGCTTTGGGTTGTCGGAGATCGGAGGCCGGGAAATAGGAAGGAACATTTGGATGAAAAGGGAAGTGGCAGGTTGCTAGGGCGATGTTAGCCCCACCAACCCCGTATTTATGTCAACGCAGCCTCATGCCCCAACCTCACGAATCGCACAGCACTTCTGAAGACTCGTCGCCCTTTCATCTGCCACCTGCCTGCATCCAACCTCAGACACACTCAGCTCAAACCCACCGAACTAGCCCTTTCCACCATCACGAGCAGTCCTCCAACCCCTTCATCCCATCCGACTCAATCAGCTTGTCAGTCTTCCGGTCGAATAGATTTGGAAGGCTTTCAAGCCGAGTCATCTTGAACTCGCCAGGCTGGATTTCGACGCCAGAGTCCCGTGAGTTCATGCTTACCTGCAGATGGTGATGCCTCTCTAACACCCTCCTCAGCATCCCGTTCAGCGTCTTTCCCTCCACCTACCGGAACGGACAGACGTCGGACACCACTACCGTCCAGGCCGACGCCCACCTCACCGTCCAAGGCGCCGGACGGGACCGTGTGAACCAACAAGGTCAATTCACCGACACCCAATACACCCGCGTCACTGAGCGAGACCACGAGCGTTACCGTCCGGGCCACAGGGGCAGGGAGGAGGATATCAACGTTCACATCCACGACGACCACTACCGGTGAGTCCACACCACTCTCGCAGCACGCTACTCGCTCTGCTCGATACCACATTATGCGTGAAGTCCATCTTGTCGACTGCACTAGTTTTGCTAGTGCCGTGTCAACCAGACAACAATTCTCCGCATCCTTCGAATATCTTCCGCAGTACGGAGATTTATCGAACACACACGCTAACTTTTACCCGTTGCACAACAGCTACCGCGAGCCCTACCGCCGCTATACCGACACCCAGATCGACGTCGACATCGCCGAGCGTGATCACCGAGACTCCTTTGCGTGGAAAGAGAGTGGAGACGTAGAAGTCGATCGAGCCAGGATGGGTTACTACGATAATGAGGGTCAGTACCATTCCTTCCGTAGCGGACTCCGACACGCTGCAGACAACATCCTCCATCCATTCCAGGGTACATCGCACCGACATACACACAGCCAAGCCCTGCAGACATACTGACCTCACGCCAATCCAGACTCCGTCAACGTCCACGAAGACATCAACATTTCCGAGCGCAGCGGCGGCCGCGGCCACCACCATGGCGGCATCCGCGAACGCACCACCGTGCGCTACGACACCCGCCACACCTCGTCGCGCAACACCGTCACCATCCCCTGCCACTTCATCCGCATCGGCGACATCCTCATCCTGCAAGGCCGCCCCTGCCAAGTCATCCGCATCACCACCTCCGCCGCCACCGGCCAGCACCGCTACCTCGGCGTCGACCTCTTCACCAAGCAGCTGCAGGAGGAGTCGAGCTTCATGAGCAACCCCAGCCCGTCGGTGTACGTGCAGAACATGCGCGGCCCCGTCTTCAAGCAGTACCGCGTGCTCGACCTTCGTGAGGAGGAGCGCCGCGTGGTCTGCATGACGGAGACGGGCGATGTCAAGCAGGGTCTGCCCGTGTTGGATCAAAGCAAGTTGTTTGAGAGGATTCGCTCCAAGTTTGCCGGGGGCAGGGGAAGCGTTCGGGTGCTGGTGATTTCAGACGAGGGATCGGAGCTTGTTGGTAAGTCTCATCTTGCCTCTTCGTCGTTTCCAATCACGCCTTGCTAACACCTTATCTAGTGGACATGAAATTGATTCACGGCAGCCGTTTGTAATCGCCGGGCTCATGCTTGACTGGTTGAATCTTCGAAAGGGCGGGAGGAGTTTTCGGCGTGTGTAAATAGAGCACACAGACAGACTGTGAACCGTATGCATAGCAAGTAGCCGTACAGTATAATATCATGTGCAAACCACCTACCGTCCTTTATCCATTTCCTCACTTTCGCACCTACATTATCTGCGGTGACACGAAGGCCGTTGCGATTGAAAGACGTGCGGAAGATTGACGTATATCTTTCCCCCATCGTCCATCCAGCGATGAGGCATTTCCGCTAGATATCAAAACGACATGAATCCAAATCCCCTCTCCTCTCCACCTCCTCCATCACAACCTCAACCATCATCCGCCTCTCAATCCCCCACACCATTCACAGCCGCAGCATTAGCCGCAGTATTAGACGCCACACTCGCCGATGACGCAGGCGCAAACGCCTCGCCATTCCCCCCCGCGCCGTAAGCGGCCGACGAAGAAGCAGACGGCGCGGCCCCAGCAGCAGCAGCAGAGGACGACGAAGGCGCCTCGAGCAACTTGGGCGCGCGCGGCTTGAACTCGTCCTCGCTGTCTTCGTCTTCGTACTCGTCTCGCGCTCTGCGTTCACGGCGACGCGCGGCGGCTGCGCGCCGTTCCGAGCGTTCGTCTTCGTACCGTTCGTCTAGTGTGTCGACATCTGATTAGCAAGGCCGTCCACCTAGCAAAGGATACAGTATTTGGGGGAGGAAGCATCAGGGCATACCTCGAAGCTCCTTTGTGCGATCGGCCAACTTTTGAATCTCCGCTTTGGTCAGTACGCGCAACACAATGACGAAATCGAGGCGCTCCTCGAAGCGCTCCTTCGCCTCTTCCAGCGCTTCGGGGTTGACGAGGCGGCGGTCGATCTTGGTCCAGCGGGCTCCGGGCGGGATGCCGGATTTGGATGCCTGGGTGGAGTTAGTGATAGTGCACGGTGATGCGTGCGGATATGCGGTAATGGGAACTCACATCTTTCAACGGCGCAACTCCCTCCCGCACCTGGTTAGGATGCTCGGGGAACTTCTCCGTCGGCTTCTTTAGAATCCCTCGCGGCCGTCTGCTATCGTCCTCCCCTTCTCCCGCCGGCGGATCGACGATTCGCACTCGATTCTCTCGCTTCTCGGACAAGGAGTTGTCGATGATTTGCGCGCCGGCGTCGTTGGCTGCCATAGGTGCATCAAGGATGCTGGGTTTGCGGTGCAGACCCGGGCGCACGGTGCTGACTGAGCCGTCTACGCTGTTATTGTCGAAACTGCTGTCTGCGGATGTGGGCGGTTGCTGGTGGTGGTGGTGCTGGGCGTAGGAAGCGTCAGAGGAGTAGGAGCCATCACCGGTGCGATGTTCGCGGTCGCGGTCGCGTTGTCGCGCTTCGCGTTCTCTCCGCCGCCGTTCGCGGTCAGCGTCGGAGTCGGTGGGGTAGTCGTCGGAGTTGTGCCCGAGTTCGCGCTGGACCTGCTCCAGGCGGCGTTTGTATTCTTCGTCCGCATCTACGGCCGGAGGTCGCGATGGCTCAGCGTACGCTCTGTCATCGTGCGTGCGTTCGAAGTCGCGCTCGGTGGGGTCGCCGACGGCTACAGGACGAGGAGCAGAGGGGTCGGGATGGTCCTGTTCAAAGGCGAACCCCAACCCGCGCTCGTCATCTGCGGGTCGGTGGCGGTCTCGGTCGCGCTCACGCTCACGCTCACGCTTGAGACTCCCGGCCCCCTCTTCGCTCTTGCTGTCCTGGGAACCTTTGGGAGCGGCCCTCGCGCGATCATCCTGGTTTGATTTGTCGACGGAAGGTTCGCGAACGCGTGTGCGCTGCTCCCGTGCGTGATCGTCATTGTGGTTCTTGTTGTGATTCGTTAATCCGTAAGCAGCAGCTGCACCAGCAGCCACACCACCGGCGACAGCGGCAGATGGGCCGAGAGAGTCGCCCGAGTCCCGTCCTCCTGGAGGGGCGGTGTCTTTGCGGTCGTAGCCGGCGTTGCGGTTGTCACGATAGCTGTCCCGTCTGTGATGGTGTCTATCTCTCTCGGCATGAGGCTGCAGCATTCGCTCTCTTTCACGCTCTCGTTGCTTGTCGACTTCATAGTCGCTGTCGCGCTCACGTTCCTTTCGGCGATCCCGCTCATAGTCGTCATCGCGGGCGTAGGCATCATCTCGTCGTCGAGCCTCCTTGTCGCGCTCTCGTGGGTAATCGCGGTCATCTGCTCTCTGTCGATCTCGCTTTTCGTGTTCATGGTAGGTGGTTTCTGGCGCAGTGTCGCGGCGATGGGGTGGGTCCACGCTGGAAATGAGGTTTGCATAACCCGAATCGCGATGATTGTTGTTGTCTCGTGTGAAGCTCTCGTCGCTGCCCCGGCCATGACGATCTTGGCTGTCACCCCGGATGCCAAAGCCTCGCCTCTCCACGCTGCGGTCGGGCAGTCGGGTCATGCTATTCCTGCGTTCGTGCGGGCGTGGCTCCCGAAACTCGAATTGGTCATGCCGATCGGGGTGGGCGGTGCCAGCAGTCGTGTAGCGGTCTTTGGATGGCACTCTGGGGGCGACATAGTACGCATCGGCGAAGCCTCTCGTATCCGCGTACCTCCCTCGCACGGGAGACTGGGGGAGGCGGGCTTCGATCGGGGAGTACTGCTCCTTTGCTCTGGTGGGTGGCGACTGCGTGCGCTTATCGCGCTGGCTGCCCGAGCGTGTGAGGACGTTCTTTATCTTGTCCCAGCCTCGGGTGCTCACAGGGGGTCCCGGGTCCCTGGTCGGGCGGCGAGGGTCAATGGCGGGATCCAGCATGCTGACTGGCCGCTCTCGACTCCCTCCTCCCGCTCGGTCGATGCTGTTGCGACGAGGCCTGGCCTCACGCTCGCGCCATCTCGGCTCCGTTTCTTTGAACATTCCCGCGGCATCCGTATAGGAGAAGGAGTCGTCGTCGACCACGCTGTTCTCTCTCCCCCGTGCAGCTCCGTTCAGATGATATGCTTTCCTGCCACGATCCTTTTCCAACGGGATGCCTTTGTTCCCACTGCGTTCATATCCCCCGCTCTCCCTGCGTTGGTGATGTCGGTCTCTTCCTGCACCGCTCGACAGATTCACATCAGCCACCAAGTTGGCCGTACCGTCGTTGACGCTGTACACCTTGCGAGTAGTCTCCTTGCGTGGAGGCTCTTTGGACGCGGCAGTGGTGACATGGTACTCCCTCTTCTGCGGGCTGGTCTGCCGCGCATACTCGTTTTGGATGACAGTGGGTCTTCCGCGACTCGAGGCTTGGATAGTGCTGGCGGCGGATGTTCGGGGGACTTCGACAAAGGAGGAGCCGCGGGGTCTGGAGGAGTAGGAGTCGACGGACCTGCCGGAGTAGGAATCGTAACGCGGGTCGAGGCGAGTGGTGGAAGAGGGAGGGGGATAGTTGACGAATGTCTCACTTGAGATTGGGATGACGCCAGCGCTGCCCCGCGGTGAGACATTCGACTTGTATCTTGAACGGTATTCCTCCTCGTTCACTCTGCTGTCGGATGTTCTCCCCGCGTTTTGTATCCGCCTCCCTCCTGGAGAGAGTGTGCGGGTGTTGTATGCCATGATGAAGGTCGTGGGGGGTAGGGACAGTGGGGGATAGCGGAGGGGAGAAGGAGGCGGAGTGATGAACTGTTGAGGCTGCTCGTTAGCATCCGCAAGTGCGGTTATGTGGCTGGGCAGGGGATGCAGGGGATAGATGCAAGTTTGGTGAGGCTGAGAGTGACTGGACAGACCAGACACCGGGTTGAAGAAGCAGGCGACAGTGGCGACAGGGGTTGAGGTGGTGCAGAAGAGGGCAGACATAGGGGTGCGTCGCGAGGTCGAGACACTCACCAGGCGGAAGGGTTGGTGCCCGAGGGTTCACAGCAGCAAGCAGGGCGAAGGAGGTGGAGCGAGTCGAAGGGTTGCGCCCTGCTTGTCTTCTTGGCAGTCGCTTGCTGGCGACGAGGGATGATACGTCAGGTCAGGTTGGTAGACAGAGGAGCGGCCTCGTCGAATCGCGAGTACTCGAGGGAGTGCTCCCAGGACTCGAGGGACGTGTAGTGAGTCTGCGCCGACGAGTTTAAGCTTCCGTGCCGTCATGCACAGTGGGATGTCAAGCGGCCGTTGCGAAAGGGCCGGGTGGTTTTGCTTTAGCCGTGCGGCGGCGGCATGCAGGGTGAGGTCATGCTAAGCGCAAAGCCCAGATTGATGCGGTGATATGAGGTTAGGACTACGACGGCATTGTCGAAGAGACGAAGGCTTCCTCGTCCACACGATCTCGTGATTGCCACGGGGCTGAAGACGTTGCACCTGACGCCATGTGTCTGAAGATGTGCTCAGTTAGATCAATTCAGACAATGTAATAGTACATCCAACGTTCATCACGAGACAATCCTCCCCCTCGGTCCCCCCCTTGACAATGACATCAGACGCCGATGAAGGATCTCCATCCCGTTTCACCTCGCCTCACAACCCGCCCATTGCGAAACCACCTTGAAGTCACAATCGCCCAGTAGTCATTCGAGGAGTTTCACACAGCAGACATGGCCCCTAAAATGATCTTCGTCGCCAACTCGCGCAAGGAAGGTAACAGCACGTCCAAAGGCCCGGACAACCGCTTTACCGGCGACGTCTGGCTCGACTCCATCTTCAACGACAAGCAGAATACTATTGCCAACGTCACCTTTGTACGTCCATGACCTGCCTTCTCCACCCGCTGCCAGGTTCCATCGCACTCTAATCAGCGAAGCAGACTCCCTGCGCCCGTACTAACTGGCAAGTCCGGCTTGAAGGAAGCATATTGGTTCTGCTGGCTGACGACTAATTTTGTGGGAGCCAGGCACACGCACGAAGGCGGGCAGCTCATCAAAGTCCTGTCCGGCAGCGGCTGGGTCTGCGATCGCGGCGACAAGCCCAAGCGCCTGCGCGTCGGCGACACAGTCTGGTGTCCGCCCGGCACGGAGCACTGGCATGGCGCCGACGACGAGTCCATGATGAGCCACTTCGTGCACGCGCACGGCGCTGTGGACTGGTTAGAGCCCGTGTCCGACGAGGACTACAAGGCGAAGAAGTAGAATGGGAACGAGTAATGCAATCATCCCAGCTTTCCTTTACAGCTCAGCAATCTTACACGCAAAGTCAAGCCATTCCTATGTAATATGACCGATTACGAACAGGCACGTTCATGCAGAGTCCAGACAGTTCAGAAGCTTTGTTGGCATCTCCTTCGTCGTGAAGCACCGTGCCATCTTCTCCCGTTTCCCCCCCTCCTCCTCTGAGAACGTCGCCGGTCTCGCGCTCCGCGGAGCAAACAGTGATCACAAAGCAAGGGCGCTCATCTGGACCTGGCCATGCATGAATCAAGCTTGGCGATGCTAATTTACGGCCGTCCTGGCGAATGACAACCCCTCAAATCAGCTCAAGCTTCCCTCTAGGGGCATGGGATTACCCGCCCACGGAGCAGATAGGCGGTGCGAGAGCAAAGGCATCCATCTGGACCCGCCATTACCACGGATAGGCTCGACGATGCCACGATCCTAGTCAAGGTGCTCATGTAGATATATAAAGCGGTGGCAATGCCGCGGGCTTCGTCTTGAGCCCCATCGACTCGGCCTCAACTTCACTTTAGAATGAAGCTTCCCCTTCTCCTTCTGCCTTTCGCGGCGACAGTATTGGCTGGGCCGGGTGGCTGGCCCCCCAAAGGCAAGCACCACCCGCCGAAGCCCTGCACGACGTCGAAAACGACCAGCACCAAAGCAACGACGACGTGAGTCGGGCGCGGCGCCTTCTCTCTTCTTCTCCAGTGCGTGCGGTCTGATCTAGGTACTCTTAGTACGACGAGCACATCGACGTCTTCGTCGACTGCCTGCCCTACCCCACCAGTTTCGAGCTGCGACTATAATCAATTTATAAACGGATGTGTATGTGAGGTTCAAGGCTATACTGGAAGTTGCGTGGCAAATCCAGATGGCTCTGGTTATTATTGTTACGCCCCGTAAGTCACGTGGATGGTCTTCCGCCGACCCGTCGAAAACTGACTGAGTGTTGAAAAGGGCCTCGTAGTATCTATCCGTGATTCCGATGTTTTCTTCATCACATTGATCAATCAAGAATAGAGAGGAAACGAGGAATGCGATCATTCGCTTTTCATTCATCCCCGTGACCACGATTCGTCGACATTCTCGTGAATTTCACACCATTTCGCCATTCGGACATCACAACGCGATAGGAAACAGCACATACGCACACGCCCGTGAAGATCAACAATCCCATACCAGTCCAGCGGCCTCATTCCCCCTCATTCCCTCCCCGTCGCCCTCTCCGCAACCCTCCTCGCCCCCTCGGTGACCGTCTCGCCCAGGTTCGAAGCGCGCTCTCCCGCCTCATCCACCAACTCCCTCGCCCCATCCTGCGCCTTCTTCAGCTCCTCCGGCCACTGCTTCGTCAGCCTCAGCAGCAGATAGTAGCTCTGCAGCACCGCCACCTGCGCCCGCTCCTTGACCATCATCGTGAAGCCGTGCTGGATGAAGCCCTTGAGCACCTCGGCCTCCACGCCCGAGTACAGCCCGGCCACGCCCTCTTCACGGTAGATCTTGCGCAGCGCGACGAGAATGGCGTACTGCGCGGCGAAGATGGAAAAGACGCGCTCCAGGCCGCGTTTGACCTTGCGCCGTTGCGGCGTCGCGTTCAGACTGGGCTTCTCCAGCAACTCCATGCTCTCCTCCTCCAGCGATTCCTCTTCCTCGCTGCCGATGCCGCCCGACACTTGCGCGCGAGACTTGGCCAGCATGGCCGGGTAGGTGATGGTGGTTGCAATGGCTTTGGACAGCGCCGCGAGCAAGAAAGTCATGCCCGGAGTGGGCCTCTCGCGCTGCTCTCGCGGGAGCAGACGCGTAAGAACATTATCGACGGCAAAAGTGATGGCGGGGTTGAGGGTCAGCATGACTGCTTCGCCATAGCCCGACCAGAAGCCCGCGAGACCGCGCTCGTTGTAGATTTGGCGGGCAATGTCCCGCACCGACGCCGGGTCGGAGCCAGAGTTGGGATCGCGAGCGTTCACCAGCGCAGCGGTCTGTTGCCGCGTGACGATGTTCTCAATGGGCGAAGTGAAGAACTTCGAAAACGAGCCGGCAGCAACGCCCACGGCCAGCTCCTTCACCACGGGGATTCTGTTGCCTCCATTGCGCTTGTGCTCTGCCTGCCGGATGTAGTTGTACGCCAGGAAGAATAAGAAGGAGTCCAATATGCCCTTCGACACATCTCCCGCCACGCCGGTGTAGAAAGCGCCGATGCCGCCTTCGGTTTTGTGGATTTTGCGTGCGGCGTCAAATAAGCCATCATACTCTTTGTCCGCACTTCTGGCCGCGCTGTTCGCCTCGCCCTTCTGCCTCAATTGGCGCTGCACCTGGAGTCGGGTGATGACGAGGCTCAGAGGGTAGAGCAGGGATTTGGCCGACGCGGTCGCCACGCTGCCCGACAATGCATGGCCTAGAGCTGGCAGAGCGGGACCCAGGCCCAAGGAGCCTCGGCCACCTTGTTCCTGTTCGAGGTGGTAGCGGGTGAACGCATCCTGGTGAGGGAAGTCTTAGCATGGGGTGAGGAGAAGGGGATGGCGGCTAACTCACGACTTGCGCCGTGTACTGGCCAAGATCGTCCGACATCTTGATACGTTCCAATAGTGAGAATCTGGCTCTTGCAACGGCTTCAATCTAGAACTGTTGTCCGGGGGAGGTCAGATGAGCAAGAGAGAGTCAAAGTCGAAGAGGTCGAAGCAGCTCACGTCCAATGTAGCGGCAGAGGCAACAGCAGCGCGATATCCAAGCTGCACGTCCAAGAGCGGCACAAAGAGGGGCGAGAGGCGTGTAACTTGTAGAGAATGAGGAGAAGCTCAAGCGGTCATCACGGTCGGAGGACGTGGTTGGAGCGTCGAGGTGGATGCGAGTGGATGAATTGGCTACGTCAGACAGGGATGTGGCCGGCGAGGCGTGGACCGAGGGAGCCAAGCTTGCCCGTCCCGAGAGCTACCCCGGATTCGTGGCGTTTGAGGTGGAGCAAGCACTCCACTTCCACATTGGAAAGTGCCTCTCCTTCCTTGCTCGGACGGCTTGTACAGCACACCTGCATCTCCTTCCATCCGCTCGTTCCGTTGGAGAAGGGTCCATCTTGTGAAGTACACTCAAGAGAGCGGGGTTGGCACCGAATCATTAGCTATGAGATGCATTTGCTCCCTGTTGTTGCACCACTCACAACCAGGCAGAGGCTTCTAAAATCTATTCGAATCGCTACTATGCAAGCCACAACGCAGTCCCCTTCATCAATTTGCCACGACGAAAAAGGTATTGGTGACTAAGCACACGACCATGACCAGCACGCCATAGATCGCCAGGGCCAAGCTGGCTTTCCGCAACAGTTCCCTGCTCCACTGCCTCCCGCGCACTTTTTGTCTCCAGCTGTCTCTCCATGATGAATTGCCTGCGTTCGCAGACGAATGCGTGCTTCCGTCCTCCGAGCCCGAGCTGCCGTCGTAGTCCTCGTCGTCTTCATCTTTGAGTAGTCGTTGGTGATGCGGGGAGTCTGGGCTGCTGATCTTGTAGTAGAACAGGCCGGGGAGAATGAAAGAGATCGAGGTCGATCCAGTGCTGCCGACGTATGCGAGCACGCGATCCAGACTAGACACCGTCATGGCGACGATATAGCTCAAGATGATGATGACGGTGGTGAAGATGGCGAATCGAAGCTCGCTCATTTCCGCGGCCTTTGGCTGAATGACGACCTTCTTGTTCAAGAGAGAGCTACGGCTCGGACTGCCAGAGGCCGGAGTGAGCTCGTCGGAGCTTTGCTTGGATCGCAGTTGCTTGGGTCGCCATTTGCTGACTGCGTCCACGCTTGCTCGGCATGGGTGGATTTGCAGTGGGTAGCTGAACATGACCAGAACCACAATCGCCGCCCTGCCGATGGTAGAGAAGACGGATGGTCGGTATTGAGCAACGATATTGCCGATGATGTTGCTCCCGAAAGACAAATAGCCGGTGACCGCCACCAAGACGTAGATGCTGGCCGACATCCCGTTGGATGCGAGCACGACCCCCGTTGTTCGGAATGGGCTGTTGTCGCGAATCTCGTTCAAAATTGAGAACATCTGTCGCTGGTTAGCATGGGGTGCAGTAAGGTGCAGGGCGAGAACGGCAACATACATTCTGATGGCAAGTATATGCGAAGACGATCACAGGGAAGCTTCCCAGCGTAGGAATGAGCCCTTGCCATTGAAGCCAGTAGATGTCCCCTCTGACCGGTCTCGTGTCTCCCGATGCGAAGTGGTAGACCACAAGGACCACCAGATAGGCAATGGCGAACAATGCAATGATAGATGTGTACTTCAAGCTGTCCAGTCTGCGAAGAAACGACAAGGGTATCACGATGATCCTGCACGGCGATTAGCATCAATGCCCGGTCTCATGATGCGGAGGAGATCTCAAGTCGCATGCGCAGTGGAGACTCACATGAAAGCTGTGATCCAGAACCGTCGGTCCAAAAGAAATGCTGCGGATCCAAGCTGGTCGGCATGAGCGAAGCCCCTCACCACACCGGGCATCAAATCTCCAATGATGATCAGATACGAGACTGCGACTCCAAAGCACTTGACGGAGATGGCCGCATCAAACAGCACGGCAGCATTGGGATACGTCATCTGACTGAGGGCGAAGAAGGACGCGGTGCCTCGGTCAAGGTATCGCGCACATCTCGTCTGCAGGTAGAGCCCGAGCCCCGCCGTCAAGCCGGACCACAGTATGACAATGACCCCCAATAATACTCCCATGTTGCCCATGGCGTGCGGCATGGCCAGCACACCGGCGCCGACGATGGTGTTGACCAGGTTGACGACGGAGGACCCCCATGATGCGTTGCCTGCCGTGCCGCCTCGCTTGGTGTTATTGCGCCGGCGGGCGTGGCTGTCTTGAGAGGGAGATCGGCCGGCGTTTTGCTCGCTGCTCGGAGGGGAGAGGGAGGAGTATGAAGGCATGGTGAAGGGCAGAAGACGGAAACCAAACTGAGTGCCGTGTCGTTCGTTGGCGTCACCGCGGCACCATCAGGGGATATGCGATGGTGTGGGAGGATCCAAGAAGGCGAATTCGGGGTGTAGCGACCGTACGGTCCCGAGGAGTGCAGAGGACGCTGTTCAATGTGAAGATGGAAGAGAGTCGTGGAGCGCTGGCGGAAGTCTGACGATGAGGTGGCGCACTTGCCCCGTCCGGGTCCGTCCGCGACAGGCAAAACTCTATTTCTCGACATGCCGTCTTGACACCACGACATATGCAAGCGCGTCTCGATAACAACCTCAAAACACATCTGACCTAGATGCAACCCATGTGTGCGCAACGGTCTCTCCTACCATGGCGTTGCAATCGGAAGTGACAACAGACACCCTGTCACTCCTCGAAGAACGCCTCCGGATTCTTGACTTCGCGCTCAATGGCGACCAATCCGCAGCAGATCACGAAACACAGGCGGCAGCAGGCACGAGCGAGACGAAAGGTCCCGCCATCGCACGGCTGAAATCACTGGAACGCTCGCTGCAATCCCTCGCGGCCAAGTCGACCACCGTCAACGACGTGCTCTCCCTGCACGCGAGACACCCCGATCTCTTCCACGTGCGCGACTCCACCAATCTCCCCATCTCCCTGCAACCCGCCTCATTGCTCTCACTCGTCCTCGCAAATTCTCAGCTCTACCTCTCCCTTTCCAACAAACTACCTCAACTCCAGGAGACGTCGATTCCAGACCCCGCCCAGGCAACCAGGATGGTCGCACTCGGCCCGCGCATCGAAAAGGCACTGGCAAAGCAGGACTCGCAGGCGAGCGAGCTTGCGGATCTGAGGCTGCGGAGCGCTAGAGTCGTGGAGTCCTGGTACGAAAGCGGCGTATTGGGCATGGGGGAGCGGTGGGCGGACTGGGAGGAGCGGTTACGCGCCGTCGAGATCGCGGTGCGCAGACGTGAAGCTGCTAAGAAGCGGGAGGAGGCTCCTGTCTGAGCGGACGAGCCTTCTGACCATGGGAGTCGTCTCGTCTCTCGATATTCTGGAGGCCTTGCGAATGCATTCTCTGCAACCTCCCAGCGTGTAACCAAGTTTTGGCCGACTTTACAATCAGGTGCCGTGACCGGCTGAAATGCTTCACCATGTAGGCCCGTCACGACCTCGATAGGATGCGCTTCAGCTCGACCCTCGATCATTATGCCAACAAACAGAACCCGGTCTGCGTCGCGCATGAAAATATGGCGACGGGTGCGACCGCCAATTCATGTCCGCGAGATCAATCGAGGTACGTGCGGCGCCGCACTTCTTTCGCCAGTCCCCGACTAACGCACGTCGAACAGGCACGCAGATCAGGAAGTAGCAGCTCCGTGTAGCGCAGATCGATGGTAACTTCATTCATCGTATTCCAAGAAATCCTATCTGTTGATCTTGGGCGGACTATGTCGTCGAATCCACCCCAGATCCATCTCCACCCCCTTCAACCCGCGCGCCCGCCGCGCAGTGTGAATCTGCATACACGCATACGTCAGCCGACACTCCCTCTCCAACCAGATGCGCGCCCTCTTCTTCTCCGTATCCAGCTGCGTATCCCAGTTTGTCGGGTATGAACTCCCAGCATCGATGCCACCGGCAAGCACGTTGTTGTCCGCTGCGATGTCGCCGAGATATTTCATCACGTCCTGGACTATCACCATGTCGATGATGCCGGAGCCGCGTGTGCGCTCCGCTTGTCCGCTTATGCCTGCCAACGTCGGCACCCAGCCTTGAGTGCAGCGGACGTAGTGTAGGTTCTTCCAGTTGGAGGTGAAAACGCAGGGCGTGGGGGTGTGCCTCGTGGACGTTGACCACTCGTCGTCTCCAGCGAAGACTACTTGCACATCGTCGGAGGAGGACGCCAATCTCCCCAGCGCCGGTGCCCAGTCTTCACAGCCTTCGACGTCGAGCCACTGCAGACAGAGAAGGTGGGTGCTTAGTTGGCGGAGAAGTGAAGTGGGCTCGCTCAGGTCGTCGTCGAGGTTGGAGTAGTAGTGCGAGCCGCCGGCCGTGACATCGGGACTGTGTTGGCTTGCCACGATGGTGGTGGAGAGATTTGGGGTTAGTGTTGGACGGGGCCAATATGCTAGTGAGAGGTGGGTGATTTGAGGGATCGATTTTGAGAGGTGCAGGAGGTCTCGCCATGAGACTGTTGGGTTGGGGTGGGATAGACAGAGATGTGTTAGATTGGCGAATCTTGCAGTCGGAAGGCCCAGTGTCAGCGCCGATTGAAAGGATTCGGCAATGTCCCAGGACTCGACGATGGCGTCTTTAGTGTCTTCGGCGGCCGAGGGCAATTGCATAGATTCGAGCAGCTTGCTTAACCGTCTCACGCTGAGATTGCGCTGCCCAAGCAGGCCAGCAAGATCGAGACACGTTACCGGATCGCTGCCCTGGAGGAGTATCTGCAAGGTAGAGGCATCGATCGTGGAACCCATACCCCCGACATAAGATATAAGTCTCAGCCGGAGTCGTAACGGTACGTCCACCAGGAGGGCGTGGTCCGCCGGTTCCAGCAGATCCCATGCTTCGGCAAGAGACTTCAGAGCGAGATGGCTGAGGGTCGATGGTCTTTCATCGACGGCATCGTCTTCCAGACCCGCGAGACGGGCGAATCTTAACAACGGCATCGACCTCCTGCGCCCAGCGGCATCAGCTTTCTGATGAAGCCTCAAAGACTGACGACAACCACCCCCCGCCAGCCAGCTCTTCGGAGGAGCGGGACCAGGTGTTCGCCTCCTCTCCCTCTCCCGCATCCTCAAATTCGCCTTGGGCTTGGGCGGAGCAGAGGCAAGGAAGCCCAGGATATCGCGGACTGCAGGCGGCACTGACCTCTGAGCCACGGACTCGGCTAGTTGTCGTTTCTTCGCTTCGGCATCTTTGGCCTCAACTTTGCGCAGCTCGCTGAGGCGTTCGTTGACGGTACTTGTCGGTTCATGCCCATGTTGTGCTGCAAAGGGTTTCGACGAAGAGCCTTGGAGTGGTTTGAAGTTGTATGTCCGCTTTTTGGGCATACGTAAGAATGGCGACACACCAGATCCGGGACAGAGGTATGCGTGAGCGTCCAAATCTATAGTCTTGTATTCAGATCGTCGTTTCACGGGTGAGTCAACAAGGTTCGTGATGTTTGCACGAAGGGAGTGGCGGATCAATCGACATGCAGTCATCGTGACCGTCAACGTCGGCGCTCAACCCTAACCCTAGTCCTCACCACTGACGTGCAATCCGGATGCTCACTCTTCCGTATCCTCCTGCAAAGAGTACAACATGTAATCTAACGTAGGCCCGTCACTCAACAGTGGCAACTACTCTTCAACAAACAACGAAATGGCCTCCCTCATTCTACGACCGCCCACCTTTTCCTCCGCCAAAGTGCCACCGGAATACCGAAATCCATCGATTCCCTGGCTCAGCGAGGAATGGCACGTCACGCACTCCACGCTGCCCATGTGGAAGAGTAAACGCAACGTGCGCATCAAGTACACGGCTCTCGAACCCAACGATCCTTCGGTAGCGAAAGAGAACACCGACCGCCTCGACGACCTCGTCACATATCAAAGCCTCAAGAGCGACAAGGTGTCCAAAGTCGAGGGTGTGGATAAGGTTGCTGGAGCGGGGGACAGCAGAGGGGAATGGGACTGGCGGGGCAAAGGGTGGCTGATGATTGCGAGCAGCCATTGGGAGATTCTGAGTTGGGGCGAAGAGGAGGGCACGGGGAACAAGTATGTGGTGACGATGTTTGCGAAGACCCTGTTCACCCCGGCCGGGATCGACGTGTACTCAAGAGATCGGGGTGGAGTAAAGCGTGAGACGCTGGAGGGCATCAAGGGGGCGCTCGCAGAGGTGCAGGATGACAGTGTGAAGAAGCTAGCGGGGGAGATCTTTGAGATCAAGATTGACGATAGTAGGTAGGAAGGGCCGAGAGTGTAGTGTACGCGACAGGACGTAGCGATTAATGATACCCAATCTGCCATTGACTTGACCACATGTCACTTGGTAGCACGAGAAACACCTCGGGGTGCTACTGTCACAAATGAAATGCAATGAGCCTTGATCGCACGGAGTTCACTTGCGAGGACCAGTTGGATTCCGAGTATGCCTCTGTCTTATGTACAGACTTCCAATGTTCTCCTGCAGGCCCGGAAGACCTCTCTCTGCCCGTCTAGCTCTCCTCTTTCTTGCTCGGCTCCCACACGGTGTTGTAGCCAAGCACTTTCCTCGTCATCATGTACATGGCACCTGCACGGCGAATGGTCAGCACCGACAGCAGATGTCCTCGTCGTTGCCGCACGTACCTGTGGTGGTGAAGATCAAGAGAGCGTAGTAAGGGTACAACATGGCTTTGGCGCGCGGGCCCTGATGGAGGAATGTGTCAGTCTGAGGATCGCTTCCACCCCTCGCCATTCTCTGCCGTCTTTCTCCAACGCACCTTTTCCCACTGCCGGAGTCCGTCATGAGTCTGATGTAGTCTTTGCCACTTTGGCACGTCGTTTCGGGCATTGAGGCCTGGGAAGTTCATCCTGCGACAGGGTGTTAGTGGGTGCCGGAAGTGCGCGAACAGCCCAATGGCATGAAGCAATGCGACTTCGTGTGGGTGGAAACTTACCCTGCCCGCCTGATGAGTGTCGGACGCATGGCTGAAGGAGTCGGCGGTATTCGAAGGGCGGAGGATGTTGAAGCAGAGCAGGAAGCTGTCGGGAGAAGGTGCAGTTGCAGACGGCAGCAGCTCGCGGAGCCATCCGAAAAGCTTGGCGTGGAAGCTCGGACCACGACATCCGACGTCTCGACATCCCCATGGCTTTATGATCGCGTGTTGCGCCAATGCATCTCATGCCTTCGACACTGCTGCTTTGAGTCGGAGCATTGATGACATGGCTCCAGATAGAGGCCGCTTTGCCATGAGCGCACCGCCATGCGCCCTTCACTCGATCAATGGCTCGCAAAGCCAACCACCACCTGCTTTCTCCGGCGTCTACTGACGGCGACCGGTCCAGCTCACTCCCCTCAGCGACCAGCCCTCCTGAACAAGCATCTCCGTCCTCGGCTACGAACCTCATCAACTCTGCACTTGTCGACAAACGATCAGCTCGCAGCCGAAACCAGCGAATCGTCTACCTCTCGCGTGCGTCCCGGACAGGCTACCCATTCTGCCGGCAAAGCGGCCAGTAGGAAAGAGCAGGATGCAAGCTATGCGTTTGGAAAAGTGCGCTTGGTCTCTAGTGATAGCCCAGCGGAGGAATCACCACGGGCAGACCAGGCTCTACAAGATGAAAGTAACGCCATATCGTGGATTCGGGTTCTGCAGCGTGAACACCAACAACAAGGGCATGACGCTGTCGCGAAAGTATGGCGAACTATGGCAGCGCATAGAGTGCAGTTGCCGACATCTGGACTACACGCGACCATCGCATGGACAATATTGCTGAGCCCTGGCTCGATCGAGGATGAACCCCAATGGAACGGACTGCTGGTGAAGATCATCAACTACGCGAAAGCTCTGAGAAAGAACACTGGACAAACCTACCCCGCCATATACCAATGCGTGTTGACTCCTTTCTTTCGCTCGCCCTCCACACCCTCCGCCCGAGTTATCGTGAAATGGCACAAACGTCTTCGCAGAGCTGGTTTCCAGCCGCCCGGTTCTGCTGTTCTCACAATCCTTGACGCCGCATTGCAGAGCCCACTTGGTAATGAGGCATTGTGCGCTCTGAAGACGATATACGAGTCCAGTGGCCAGCGAGATCTGTACGACCAATGCATTCTCGTTGCCTTGACAAATGGTGACGAGGCGAAGGCGCTCTTCCTGCATCAGATGTGCCTAGCTGCTGGCGATGCCCCTAGTACGGAATTCTTCTCCAGCTCCGGCGTCCAGCGCCTTTTCGACTTGGATGGCGACAGATCTCTCCCGATGGTTCAATCGCGTCGCAATTCGCCCTCGCGGACGGACAAGAACGCTCCATCGCAGCCCCAGGTTGCATGGCCGAAGATAAACAGGGAAGCCATGAACGTCATCATGGGCGACGTGCATGGAATTCGACCCAAGGAGGTCAGCGATCACTTCTGCGCGCGTCTGCTCGCCACTCGCATGTTCTCCGTCGACTTTATTTTGAAAGGTTTATACACTCTCGGTGTTCAAACCTTACGCCCGTTAGCCGTGCGAGAACTGGCCGTGCGTGTCGAGTCGTCCGACGAATTTCGGAAGAAGCTCGACACCTTGAAATCACTTGGAATACGAATCGGCCACGAAGTATACTGTCAAATGGTGCTGAAAGCCAGCGTAGAACAAAGCATAGGCCTCTGGCAGGTCCTCCTTACACCGGATCAAGACGTTGAAGCCTACAACAATCCGTCCCTCCAGGAATCGGCTCTGGCTACTGCTCTCGAGAAGCAGGAATGGTCGCGCGCCCATACCGCGCTTGTTGCCCTCTCCTTCCATGGTCCCGAAGCCGCATTCTCGGCGTGGAATCAGTTCTTGAAGCACCATGCACAGCTCCAGCACGGTCTACCTGTGACGAGAATCGTTGCGGACATGCAAAAACTCAGGATCCCGATGCACAGTGATGTGATTCATCATATCATGCGGCACGTGCTTCGTCAGCGAAATCCGGGACGGCGACAAGTAAAGGGGCACCGGCAGGCACACATACATGATGACGTCTTGTTCGTAACGAGAACTCTCATGGAGTCCTCGGAGGCTGGCACGCCCGTGCACCCCGAGGTCTGGCTGGAGTTGCTTAAACGATTCGGGATGGAGAACCGCTGGGATGAGGTGGAGCGCTTTGTGCACTGGCTATGCAACCACTACCGTCTGACAGACCCGGAGGAGCAGCGTCGCGCCCCAAAGGGGTTCCGTCACTACAAGCGCACGCTTTACCACGTCCTCAATACGACTACGCAGCAAGCGTTGCTTACATGGGGCTTCAACTGGGCTGTTGAGCGTAGACGGTTGAGCATGGACCCTTACGCGCTACCAGCCGAGAAACTTCTGGCAGACACCTTCGGGCCTCTGAGCTCGCAAGGCAAGCAGAAGCAGCCGGGAGAGCTCGTGGATTATAAGCCCCTCCGCCCACTGCCTACTGCAGAAGCTATGAACCATCCTATTCGAACTGCCAGCCCAATCTCCATTGCGAAGCCCACTGGACATAGCTCAGACTACGAGCCTCGCAGCAAAACAATCGCCGCGGAACCACCTGGAGACCTGACAAAGACTTCTAGCTCGTCATCGGCCGCCGAGCTTGTGCAAGGACTCACAGGAGCCCATCGAGATTCCATCATATCTCAACCTACCGCGCACCTTTCTGAATATCTGACACGCATTGAGCCTCCCAAGCCGCGCACTCTAGAACCCGTGCAAGACCTGGAGCCGCGCACCAGACCACCCACCGCAACGCTCCTGGAAGACTTCGGAGAGCCCACCCGCACGTCACCGAAACCCACGGAAGACTGGGCTCGAGGGCTGGAATTGCTCCTGCGGCTTCGATCCCGAGGCGTCCCTGTCGAAATTGCCGCAGTACGCCGGGCCTTCCGCCAACGGATGTGGGTTCTCTTCGGTCCGGCCTTCTCGGTTCTCGGGCGCAACAACCGTGCGCGACGCTTGAATCGCCTGAGTCTAGTGCACTACATCCGGCACGCGAATGAAGTGTGGCCGAGCCTGGTCGATTGGATTCATCCGGCGCTGCTACAGCCGGGGGCGAACATGAAGTTGCTCGCCTTGAAGTTCTTTGGCGTCTATCGCTCCGTCGATTTGAAGCGGAGGACGTTTGTCGATGTGAGGCGGTGGCTGGGCCAGATGTCTGAGAGGCAGTTTACTACCGAGAAACGCTTGATTCCCATGAAGCAGCGCGAGTGGCAGAAGAGTGGGCTGGCCATCGTGGGCGAGAAACGATCGAGGAGGCGGAGTAATTATGTTGATAGCCGGCGGCGGAGCATGACCAGGCCGCTCACCAGTCAAAGTACATAAAAAGTCTAGAACAGAGCACACGCTCTTACTGTCCGTGTAAATCAACGACGAAAATTCACTCCAAGCTTCACCCACTCTCCTCCATTGCATCTATCGCTCGCTGCTCATTGATGGAGTTCGCATCCGCCACCCAGTCCGCGATATACTCGGGGACCTCCTTGACGCGATTATACTCAGCTGCGACCGGCTCACCGAGGGTTTGATACGCAGGCACAACGCCGACCCACGTCTTGTCAGCAACATCCGCATTCGTCATATCCGGCTTGTCGTCGCTGGGCCCGCCGGCGCGCACCTTCGCCGACGCCGTCTCAATGCGCACCTTCAGCACGCCCGTCGACTCGAACTCCACCTTCGTCGGCGGGCTGCGGCTGTTCTCCCAGCGCTCAGGCATGGAGTTGTTAGTAATGAGGCGCAGCGCGAATTCAATCTCGGCCTGGTCGTCGATGAGCTGGCCGTACCCGAACGCGACGGCGGAGCGGTAGTTGCAGCTGTTGTGGAAGGGGGCGAGCGCCATCACGTAGCCGTCGAGGATGGTGGCGCAGACGGAGAGGGCGACTTCGCCGCCGCTCGTGAGCTTGAAGAGGCGCGCCACGCTCGAGCCGTGCAGGTAGATGTGCGGCTCGTCGTCGTCGGGCGATTGCCCGATTGCGCCGAGCATGGGCAGGATGGTGGGGAAGGGTGGGCCGGACTTCAATGGTGCGGTGAAGGAGACGTGCAGGATTGGACAGTCGTTTATGATTGTTTGGACGAGTTCTTGTTGGTGGTGGGCTGGAGGGGTGGCAGTTAGTATTTGTTGTGTTTTGCTACGTGGAGGATTGGTTGTACATCACATACTTCGTTTGTTCAACCGCACACCTTTGCTCCTCTCATCGGGTTGGTAGATTGGTACGGGTGCCATTGCGAGAGTTGGAGTGGGAGCGAACCGAAAAAGACAGGCAGACAAGACAATGGAGGGAAAATGGAGGTACTGTGCGTGGCGGTCCCTTCTTATATCCCCTTTCCAACCGGCACTGACTGTGTATTGAAGACTCAATGGCTTCAAAGGAGCAAAGTGGGTGTGGTGGAAAGGCCGACGTGGTTCCGACCAATAGCCAGACTCGCAGAGCTGGTGTGTCATGCCCATTCCGCGTGGACTTGCCGGATGCGGTCACTTGCCGCCTTTTCCTTGCGCGGCTTCCAGCAAGTGAAGTGAAGTACAGGCGTAGGGCGTAGCAATGTCAATGCAAAGGGCGCTCGTGGCGGACTCATTATGGCGGAGCTAATGTGAAGTGCATTGCCGCTCTGCGTAGATTAAACACAAATAACCATCCCAAAGCTGTCTATAAGACTACCGGGTATAGGCATTCACCTCGCTCAGCGCTCATAAATCGTCCCTCATCCCCCAATACCCGATTCAAATGACATCCAAAACGCCGCGCTTTTACCAATCGATCTCCAGCGTATATCACCTCACTGGTGCTCGTGAGACACTCCAGGATTCACACTTCGATCCCACTCAAAGTTCTCCAACCACTGCAGGAAATCGGCGTCGTTGGCAGTCGGGAAGTACAGCGATATGTCGTCGTACGGCGGTTCCGTCGATCCAGGCGTCGGCGCTTGCATCGGCGACAGAATCTGATCGAGCACCTTTTTGAGGGCTTTGCGGCCCTGGTTGCAGATGGAGTAGCTGCCCTCGCCCGGGCTCACGGTGGCCAACGCGGAGATGAAGACGCTGAGGTCTTGGATCGTCTCGGAGCGCGGAAGGATGTCGGGCGTGTGCATTCTCGTCTGTTCTTGTTTCAGGAGCTCAATGGCCATCACACCGGCCGCCGGAAGACCATCAAGGGCCATCTAGTGTCGAAGGTTAGCAAAGGGCTTGTATAACGAGAGGACGCAGATGCTCACCAAGCCTGTGATGTCGCCCTGGAAGTCTCGGAGGAAGTCTTTGCGTGATTGCGCTAGGAGCACCAGCTTCAGCATGCGTCGCGACTTCGGTATCATGGCCCGGGTGTCCGCGCGTTTGCGGTTGACCAGCGCGCGCTGCAACAGAAACTCGGTGTGTACAATGCCGATGTGCACACAGAGCGTAAAGATGGCCGTGACCTGTTTGGCGAGCCGGCCTTTTTTCACCCGAGTCGCGGTGTTGAAGGTGGCATCGCATTCTTCAAGCACCTGCTCCGGAGTGCGGCGCATAAAGTCTGGGTAGCTGGAGCGTGCCTGCTCGAGCTTGTAGAGGATCTGCTCGGCCTGCGCTCCCACGTCCTCGTCGCCAGAGCCGAGGGCGATCTCGAGGATGTCTTCACGGATTCGCATGTTCTGTAGCCAGACCCGCGACCATGTGGCCCGACCTTGAACGCCGTTGGTATTCCATCCGTTCACGTCCAGCTCAGCCAGCGCCGCGTCGAGTTCCGCGCCCTCCAAAAAGAGCTGCTCATCGGCTAGATCCAGGGGGAGCTCGATCTTGCAATACCGGTGCGATAGCCGCGGCGGGCGTCCCAAGAAGGTTGAGATCATCTTGTCGTGCCCATAGGCAGATGCAAACAGTCTCTTTCGGATCTCACACAGAAAGAAGGGGGTATCGGCATCCGGCGCGGTGAGTTGGTGCATACCCATGGCTACGATGGCGTCGCACACTTCGCCAGTCCGCTGCCAAGCCGTGTAATCTGCGGTGGTGTCAGTGTGAAGGCGGCGGAGAAGAAGGGGACGATGTACGTACGGGCCTCGCCTTTGAGACAGCTGACGAGAATGAGATCCTCAAACATGAATGAAATGTAGATGTCGTTCAACACCTCACTCTCGTAGCAAAAGCACAGGCAGAATTCGGACGCCTTGCGCATGCGCTCGGCGAACGTAATCCGGTCGACATACTTCTCGATGATGGAGTCAAAGATGGCGTCCCAATTGCTAAGATTGACGGCGATGAGGCCGACGACGTTAAGAATGGTGCCCACGACTTCCCATCGTAGATTGCGGCCGGAAGGAGCTTTGGCCCATTCTCGAGCGGTCATCTGGCCGTGGACGTTCATGGGCTTGCGCGTATTCCGCCAGACGAGCTCCGAGAGGCTGTAGAGCTCTTCTGGTTTGCCTTCTTGAAGCACGGTGCCGAACTCCGCCCAGAGCTCTTCGGTCCAGATGCGAAAGGTAGGCTGGAGATTGACGGCGCCCTCGGCAAGTTCGAACCAGCGCTGGGTGAATTCCTGGTAGATGGGCATGTCGCGAAGCAGACTGAGCACTTCGGCGCCTTGCTTAATCTTGTCTGCTGCAACGGGGGGCAGGTGCGAGTGGTCATCGGCTTCGGGGATGACACCGATGCTGCCCGCATTCTCGCTGAAGACGGCATTGTAGCTGGTGGGACCCAAGAAGCCAGCCTTGCTGTCTCGGAAGGACATGGTGGAGCCTTCGGGGCTGGTGTACGATACCGATGAAACCAGACTGCGATCGTCGTAGACACTGGCGGGGGCCGTGGGCGGCTGCAAGGGCGATTGCAGCAGCGATGCGTGGGGCAACGACGTTGCGGACAAGGCGGCGAACGAGTGGTGGTCTAGCAGCGGGATGGAGGGGGTGGTGCTGCTGGGCGGACTCATCAGTCCAATCGGGGACCTGTCATGAGCTGGCAGCAGGTCTGTCGGGCTCGTCGACGCCAGGTCTGGCTGCAGCGACGGGCGCAGCGGCGCGGTTGGGGACGAGCGCTGTTTGGTGAGGGGAGCGGGATGGTAGAAGCACTGGCCGGGCTTGTTGCGACGTGCGCAGCGGCCGCAGACGGGAGTACGGTGGTCGCAGCGGAGTTTCCCACGTCGACACTGCGGAGATGGTTAGAGATGTTGCAAAGATGGGGCGGGGGAGATGTGGAGGAGGAAAGAGTCAGATAAGGTACATACAGGTTCACAGCTGAAGAGCTTGCCATTGCGCCGATAGGCAGGAGTCACGCCGGACACGTCTGACGTCTGCTCCAACGATCCAGAAGCCATTGGAAAGGACAAGCAACGCGTTAACCTCGCGGGAGTGCGGAGATTTGAAGGCGTACGTGGTCGAGTGAGTCACCGCGTGTCAGGGCGCCGCGGGAGCAGGCAAGGTCCGAATGGGGAAGTAGGTGATGAAGTGTAGCGGCAGAGGCGTGTGAGCAGAGGTGATGTCGACAAGGGTACTGATCAGGCAGCAACAACCTGCCTCGCTTCACGTGTCTTGATGGCGTGACGATTGGTGAGGAAGAAATGGAGGCCTGAGGATGCTCCACAAGGCGACAAATTGGCCCACGTCAAGCGATTGCGCGGCTCGACGATCAGATATGCAAGCAGACAAGGTCTAGAAATGCAACGAGGGGACAACGTACGATAATGGCATGAGGGAAGAGCAGGCAGCAATCCGAAAGGCTTGGTGGTTTTGTAAAAAAGGTCGGGCAGGGCTGCCTCGTCGATCCGCCGCGTCGTCTACGGAGTTGGAGAGAGCAATACGGACTTCGGAGCTCGGAATACGATGCTGCGGCCTGGCCAGGTCGATCGTCAGCTTTGTAATCGACACCAGATCTGCTCTCAGCTGACGACACCCTCGGTTCTGTGGCGCTTTCACGGTTTGTCTACATGTACTGATCAGTGATGTAGGAAGGTAGGCGGTGTCTTTGTGCAAAAGATGGAAAGCAGTCGCGACGGAAAGGTGGTAAGAGGAAGATGGCAACGGCAGGAGCGTGGAAAGTGCTGCTTACCTACCTCTCGCCGCTCCATTCATGTTCCCTGCATCGTCTGCACATACAATCTCTTCAGTCCGTACACCTAATAGACATCATCATCAATCGAATCTATACCTAAGCTCCTACGCATATCGTCCTTCATCTCGAGTCCTATCAATCTCTTCACCTACTAGACCATGACCAAACTGCACATCGCCGCTCTCGGAAGCTCCTTCGCCGCAGGACCTAGTATCGAACCCATTGAAAACAAAGCGGCAGGCCGCTCTACTCGCAATTACGCTCACCAATTGGCGGAGGCATTGGACGCGCAATTGACGGACCTGAGTGTATCCGGCGCAACGCTTCTCAATGTTCTCCACGACAAGCAGACAATGGGAGGTCAGACATTCGACGCGCAACTCGACCATCTTCCAGCAGACGCAGACATTGTCACGTTAACTTGCGGCGGCAATGATCTGAATTACATTGGTGGCCTCGTCTACGACTCGCTCTTGTCCTACCTGGGGCCGCTTAAGAAGGTGGTTCCGGGCCAGACCAAAGACCCTCCGATTCAATTGGACGAGCTCCGGAACCGCTTTCTCGCCGTGCTCGACAAGATCCATGACATCGCGCCGAAAGCAAAGGTATACCTCGTGGAGTACCTCACCATCATCGGAAATGACACCCGGCCGTGGCTGGACATTGCCTTGACGGCGGAGCAGATGAAGCACTACGCCGACGTGGCGGTAATGCTATCCACCGCATACAACGACGCGACCAAATCACGGTCTTTTGCTGAAATCCTACCCGTGGCGAGGAGCAGCAACGAGCACGCGCTGGGATCTCGAGTGCCGTGGGTGGAAGGCTTCAACCTCTCGATGCTGATGCGCGGCGTGGCTCCATACCACCCCAATCTTGCCGGACACACTGCTATCGCGGAAATGCTGAGAGAGCGCGTATCACAAAACAAGTGATGCTGGATAATGTCGGGGTGATATTGTAGAATCCTAGATGTACATAGAATATTCGTCTCAGCCGCTGGCGGTGATACGTAACTTTGCCTCGGCTTCCAAATGGGGTTCACGTCGGGGGCATCCCAGCTGCGGTGCAACACACTCCACCTGATTGCGAGACCCGCAACATTCTACAACAGTACATGTTCCACGACCCTTGGTATCTGGGGTCGAGAGATCTTTACGATGCCACCACCCGACAACGGAAATGAATACCTCCCCTTCCGCAAACTCATTGCGCTCGAACGAATTAACCCCCTCACATATCGGAGCATCGCTCTGGCATTTGGCCCTGCCAGCAGCAGTCGCACGTACGGCGGCCATGTCTTCATGCAAGCTGCATATGCTGCAGCACAGACGGTGAAGAAGGAGTTCGTCTTGCACGTGAGTCAACCACCATTCTACCTCGCCGATGCCGACGTTAACCCACTATGCAGAACGTCACTGGCTGGTTTCTGTTGGCCGGCAAAGCCAACGAGAGATTCATCTACACCGTCCGCGTACTGCGAGATGGAGGCTACTGTACCCGTTCGGTAGACGTGATGCAAGAGAGCAGTCCGGATATCTGCTTCACCTGCACTTGCTCCTTCAAGAGTAAGCGGCGCACCCCTAAAGCTTGCCTCAGTCTAACATCGAATGACAGAGCCCGAGAGTGCAAACGCTGTCAACCTGAATGCGTCTCAGTCCATAAATCTTACCGAGAAGTTTGGCGCAGCTCTCAAGGGCAAGCGTCCGCATGAACACGAAGAAATGTAGGCAACTTTGCAGCACGAACTGCCTCGGATTATTGTTTACTGACAAGCCTCGACAGGCCGGGCATTGACACGCCATGGTATGTACTGACGCCGTGTCCCGGAGATCTTCTACTAACGCAGAACAAGGTACTGGGAATTCATCAGAAGACACAATGGATACACCGAGCCCTTTCCCGGTATGCATGCGCACAGTCGATGGCGGCGCTGATGGCATCAATCACCCACGCTGACTCGTCATAGGTCTGAGCCTGCGAAAGGTCAACATGGATGCGTACAAACACGTTCCACCACTCGAACGTCGACATCTCAAGTATTACTCGGTCATCGGCGACATGCCGACGTGGGAGGAAGACGCGAACATGCATGCCTGCGCGCACCTCTACGCGAGCGACCGCAACAGTCTCTTTGTGATTTCGAACCATCTGGGCGTCGGAGATAATTACAGTTCGATCGCCAGCCTAGCGCACACGGTGATTTTCCACAGTAACGCCGAGGAGATGAACATGATCGACCCGGCAACCGGCCAGGCTCGCTGGTTCTGCCAGGAAGCGTGGGCCGGGGGGAGCCGGCATGGCCGCGGCATGCATGAAAGTCGGATGTGGAGGGAAGACGGGCTGCATGTTGCCTCGACCGTGCAGGATGGAATGCTACGCCCGCGGACCGAGCAGAGTAAGGGGAAAGTGGGCTTCTCGCCTGATGGGATGATTGAGGGGATGGAGAGGCGGAAGGCGTTGGGAAAGCTCTGATGATTGTATTTTGCTGTCCCGTGAACCGGCAAATCTAAATTCAACCACGTTTCCGGGCTCTTGCATGCTCATTCTTGGGACGTTGTGAGGGCCGCGAGCCCAGAGCGCCGGCACTTGCCCTTTTCCTTGGCCAAGCGGTGTCGTAGAGTGACAGCCGCGGGATACGAGTTAAGCGAGGCTGCACCCGAATCCTTCCAGCGCCGCGACGTCAAGCGCTGCGCCATTCACCCGCCATTAATTCTCCTATTGGAGTTGCTCCTGACACTCGTTGAACCTGAGTGCCGTACGCTTCGGTAAACACATGGCAGTCTGCCGGCCGTATATCTGCCCAGCTACAGGCATCCTGTCCTAGTAAGTCACCAACTTTCTGCTGCAATCCTCTCGATCACACACACAATCTGCCTCTGTATCACGCCATTTGAGTGAGAGAAAGAGAGTACTGCAGTGACAAGAATCCCATCTCTTCCCTCCCGCATACCCCAAACACACTACACCGTTGAAGCCATAAGATTGAATTGAGAGCGAGCGTGAGCAAGAAGTCATCCACACGCCAGGCGGTACGTCTTGTGCAGGTCCAGGAATGGAATCCTCGCTAACCACATCGTCTCTTCTACGTGTCCTCGCCCTAGGTTTACTGACCGTCCCGGCCGCCTCCTTTCCTTATCAGCTTGACGAGCGTCCTGGATTTCATGGCGAGCCACCCATCGGTCCACCTTTCCACGGCCCTCCGTTCGGAGGCCCGGGCAGATTCCCTCCCGGCGCGTCTGGATGGAGTGATCCCGTCGGGACTGGCGGATGGGGATATGGCGGACAGTCATTTAGCCCCGTGAGAACCAGTGACCCGAACAACGCGGCCACCGACTTCATCCAAGGCCGCACCACTAGCACTACCCAGAGTGTTGTCACCAGCACTACCTTCAGCAGCTCGACGCACGGCCCGAAGCACACGACAGCGAGTTTTACCAGCACCCAAGACCCGGTCTCTACCGCCCTATCTACTACCAAGAACCGCACCAAAAGCATTACTGAGACCTTCACGTCGATCACGAGCACCAGTCACGCCGGACGCAGCACCACCAGCACCTCTAACTCCACGAGTACCATCTCCACGACCAGCGCAGCTCGCACTAGCACAGTCTCTGGCCTCACGACCAGCACAAGCACTACTCGCACACGGCGCAGGACCAAGAGCTCGACAGCAGACCCTGTACAAACCACCTCTAACTCCACGACTACCATCTCGACTACATCCGCGACCCGTAATAGCACAACTTCCAGCGTCGCAACGAGCACAAGCACTACTCCCACTCGGCGTAGGACTAGAGGCCACAAAACGAGCGCTTCGAGCTCGAGCACATCTACCGTAAGCACCTCCAACGCTACGAGCACCATCTTGACTACCATCAGGAGCCGGACGGGCACGGCTTCTGGCGCCACGACAACCACGAGCACAACCAACACCAGGCGCAGTACCACGAGCTCCACGAGCACCAGCACCGCCTCTACCGGCACCACGAGCTCAAGCACCGGAAGCACTACGAAAACCACAAGCTCCACAATCAGCACTCCCACAAGCGTCGTCGTGCCTGGGGGCCAAGGTTTGGGTGATACCTACACACTGTACCAAGGTGCTGGTACTATCCAGGCTGGATGGCCGGGGTTGAACGACTGGATCGACTTTGACACTATGTGGGAGAACAACCAAGCCTTGATCAAGCCATCGTGCTCTAATCTGCAGGAGACCCTTGCCAATGATTCCCCGGACGAGATTGAAGGCATTTTGAATGCGATCAATTCCGTCTCGGCCTCGACTGGTGTGCCTACGCAGTTTATCCTTGCTGTCATGGTAAGCAGCTCGTCTTCTCAACTTCGTCTTCCATTCCTGACTAACGAAATCCACAGATCGAGGAGTCCAAAGGCTGCGTGCGTGTGCAGACGACTTTCAGCGTGCACCCCAACCCGGGATTGATGCAGAGCTTCAACGGCACAGGGACGTGCAACAACGATGGAACCGTCCGCGATCCCTGCCCCGACGGGGAGATCAGGCAGATGATCAACGACGGAGTCGCCGGGACTGCTTCAGGCCCGGGCCTCGTGCAGGACTTGACGGAGGTTTCAGTGACCGACGTGAGCCGGTATTACAAGGCTGCTCGCCTTTACAACTCCGGCTCGATTCCTACCGACGGCAATCTTTCTGGACCAGGCGCCAACCCATGTTATTGCTCCGACATTGCTAACCGACTGACTGGATGGGTGCTGGCTACGACGAAATGCCATCTGACTAATACAGTGTGAGTGTTGTCTGCTGCAACTAATTCGCATATTGATTTACGAAGCGCGCTGGGGGCGGCGTCGGGCGCCCGGTCCGGCATAGAGGGAATCGGCCTGGCTGGTCATGACTATCAGGATGTCTCATGTAAAATAGATACGATGCGTACGATAATATGGATGTCGAAATAGAATGTGCAACTCACTTCAACCATCTTTCCGTCCCAACTAAAGAAAAGTGAGGTACGTCACCCTCGGCCGAGATAGGAAAGTGGTCAACACCAATGACACGCCACGTGTGTTTCAAGTTTCTTTCGTGCGCGGCTCGTCATTCCCCCGTGTCCAGACACCTGAGCACATGACGACGCATCCCAGCAGACCGCACATATCACAGTAATGCTAATCTGCCTCCGCATCCCTTCTTCTCCCACCAACAATGGCAATGGACGCCCTCAAAGCCAAAGCGAAGAGTTCCCTGTCGCGCGACCCGAGTCCGCACCCAGACGAACCCGACAAGTACAGGCTCCTGGTGACTGCCGGCCCATCGTATGACCCTTCTACTCACCAGATCGTGCACGTCAACACCGACACGGCCACGTCGATCGAGAACGAGTTCATTCGTGCCAAGCTGAAGGTGCGCATACGAGGTTACCGCGGCCTGCCTTCATCATGCCCGAGCAGCAGCCCTTACTTCGAAAACGCCGCGCATCTCAAAGATCAATACAGCATTGCGTTCAGTTTCGTGCCAAAGAAGGACCTACCCAGCTTGGATGCCATTTGGGGCAATGACTTCGACCATCCCGTTCGCGACCGTTTGCCACCCGGCTTCAACACTGCCTTTCGCATTGTGAAGGAATTTATCGATCCCGGACTGGAGTGCGATGCTTACGCCGATGAGCCATGGCTTTACGGTCCAGCCCTCTCGTGCTGGTTCGGACTGAGGATTGGAGAGAAAATGGAGCCTGGCACGGAGCTACTTGAAGCGCCCGAAGCAAACGATGTGCTCAAGGAGGGAGCGGACGGCAGTGGGGCCGACATTCGACAGCAACACGCACTCCCAGACAACAACGAGAAACGCCGGAAATTCTTCCTGTCCAAGGCCCATCGCGAGGGATTTACGTTTGAAAAGGACCGCCTTTACCAAGTCGACTTCTTCAACCCGTACCTCGACTTTGGCAATTTCGCGCTCAAGTTGCCCGGATTCAGCATCAAAGTGATCAAGTACATTGACGAGAAGAGTCATACGCTACGCTATGTCTTCAAGAATCGAGTGACCGAAGAGGTCTATCTGTGTGTCAATTTAAACCTCTTATGGGGCGATCAATTGCAGCGAGCACTGAAAGCGGATGAGACGCAGTTGCAGGAATTGGCTGCGGCGAAACTCAACGACCACAATGGGACGACTAAGAATGATGATGTGGATTGAGGCAGGGGGCTCATCAGGGTACCAGCATACATTGTTCTACAAGCGCGGCGTTTCACAGGGGAAAGGAGACATTCACATCAACGATGTCTCACCACCAAGTAGTGGGGAGGGTTTGCACATGCTATGATACAGTTATCGCTTCAACGCGGCAACGCCCAGGGTCGATAGACCGACGCCAAAGAACACTAATCGTGCATCGACTGCTACAACATTCCTCGTCTCCAGGTCCGAGTGGCCAATTCCTCAATCTCCTTCACCTCCACTGGGCCTTTGACCTTTTCGTCCTCCAGCCCTTCAACGATAGCGTTTGCGACAATGTCGGCCTTCAAAGGCTTCGCACCACCGGCACCCATGAGCCACGTCAAGTTGCCGCCGGTTAGAGAGTTTGCCAGAAAGCCCCCGTATGTGACTGCGGCCATGGGCATGGTGAAGGATCGAGATGAGTCGTATAAGAAAGGCGCGCGGATGAAGAGGGATCGCATCTTGGGAAACGCCGAAGAGATTGTATCTTCGGCCTCGCGTTTGGTGGAGATGTATCGACCTGGTAGGATTGGCGCGCCAGCAGCCGCAGAAATGTAGACGAACGATGGAACGCTCGCTTCGTTTGCTTCGCGAGCCACCAAGATGGCAGAGTCCCGATTCATAAGCTCGTAGGTCAACTGCCCATCGGACTCGCCGGCGTCAAGTTCCTGGCCTGCGCCTCGCTCGAGAGGATTGACATTGCTGCCCTTCTTCGTTTTTGAGAAAGCTCTCTGAAGTCCAGCGATCGGAGACTCTTTTCCGGTCAACACGCCCTTGTAGTCCGCCTCCAGGAGAATTCCCATGGAATGCACCACCGCAGTCGCGCCTTCAAGATCTTTCTTGTACGACTCGGGCTGCAGAATGTTCGCGCTTCGCCAGGTTACATTTTTGGACCACGCAGGTGCCGTCTGATGAGAAGAGACGCTGGGCCAGTTTGGTTCGCCGGAGCGAGAGACACTGACGACGTCCCAGTTGTGCGTGCTGGCTGCTTTACATATTCTGCTGCCCAGAAATCCGTTGCCGCCAAACACGAGGAGTTTCTTCTTCACGGCGGTCGTGGAGGTGGACATGATGTTGTGAAGCGTATCCCGGCGGTATCCGTAAGTTGATGCGAGGATTTAACATGTGTTGACCCAAGGCAAGCCGGAATGGTGATGTCTAGTTTCCATTGAGTTAATTCAAATCCTTGACATCACCAGTTCCGACATTCTCGGATCAACCCGAACCTGCAGCGCCGGCCCGGAACTCTAACCCAACCCGAGACCCTAACGCGTCTTCCCAGGGAGTCTGTAGCTACTTGCTGCAACAACTATTCATGAAATCACGAATCAACCGAATTGGCCATGGCGACAGCGACGTCAACCCTCAGAACTCACGAACAACCCCGCCCGAGCAGCTCTCGCCGAAAGAAGGAGCAGCGCACCGACATCTGGGGCAGCCTTCTTCGCCAGACCCGCGAGGCGCAGGCACGCAGCAAGACGCAGGCCGTGCAGACACGCCAGCTCCTTTTATGCGGCGGCTCTGCAGAAGACCAGAGAATCTTTGTTGAGCGCTATGTCGCACGTCCCCCGCCCGCACAACCACCACCCCGTTCCCATCGAGATGAGCGGGCCCAACCACCCAAGGGAGTCGTGAGGCTGAGTAACCGCTTCGCCTGTGGGTATGGACATGCCACCCTCTTCTCTCCGCCACAGCCGAGTAGCGGTCGATCGGGATTACTGAATGGAGAGGCGGAAGAGGTGGCCAAGGTGGAGATTCATACAATCCCGGAAGCCGAGGGTGCATACGAAGACACATTGAGAAGGCTCATGTCTCCCAGACAAAGAGCTCAGCGGGCGGCCAATGACGAAGAGACGGACGGGGGTCTCGGAGACGAAAGCGAAGCAAGACGTCCGGCGGTGTGCATACTCATGAGCTGGAGCGAGCCTTGGCTATTCCTAGACCGCCTACGGCGCTGGCTTGCCCTTCTCTCTCGCGCTCTACTACCATCCACCTCTCCCAAAGACGAGTCCGCTATCGAAGTGCTCCAAGAACACCGAATTCGCCTTGTCGTGGCCCTCCAACACACTGACCAGCAGGAAATGCTGCTACGCGAATCCTACACCGAACAGACCTTTGACTACGTCTCTCAATGCTTGCGGACGTGCCTGCTTCCACTATCCGCCGCTCTCGTATACGTTCCAACCAATATGCCTCCGCAGCCGCTCGGTGGAGCCTTGAGTGAAGCACAGAAGGTCCTGTATACCTCGCTGGACTTGAATGTGGCGGCCTTGCAGTCCAAGGTGGGGAAGCTGGAAAACGCACCCAAGCACAATGTTGTCGATCGCATGGCGATTGTCGTGCCGAGTGGGTGGGACAGCGTCGGTAAAATCCGGCTGCTCTCAGAGAACTTCAGCCCCGAAGCGGTCTTGGAAGGCTGGACGACTGATCTCGCAATCCCCATCTTCCCGTCCGAAGAAGAGCACGAGACAGATGATGCTCCCGACGATGCCGCAGAGGCGGACTCAAATGAGCACGATCTACATGCGAATGGAGGCGCTGAGGTCTACGAGTCGGGCCCCCGGCCCCCCTCTCTCGTCAGCTCGCCTCCACCTTCTCCGCCCATGTCCCCTTCAAAGCTGCCCAAATCAGCCCTTGCAGACTACGAACGGCGGGTCCAAGATCCCAATGCTCATAAGGCTCCCCCTCCGCCCGAGATCGAGGTCACCATGCAACCGACACAAGAATTTCTGGCGGACATGCGCGCTCAACTTGTGCAATACGAAGCGCAAGACGCCGAGAAAGGCAGTTTCGCGAGCACAAATGCTGGCGCCCTCAACACCAGCAAATTCAACCTCAACATCGCCGGCGCAAACGCTACAGGCGAGGCTCTTGACAACTTGGGCGACGTGAGCTTCAACGTGGGAGGCGTATCGTACAACACTCTCACGGCGGGCGAGGCCATCGAGCGACTGAAGCGGCCGCAGCTGGCGTCGCCCCGATCGGATTCCAAGTCTGGGACGCCTCGGTCTGCGAGGCGCGACCAAAGCGGGACTCAGGACGGCGACTTTCCCACGGAGAAGTTGGAGGAGTACTTTGCCAGCTTGATCAAAAAGGGTGGAGGAAGCCGAGGGAGTACGCCGAGCAAGAGCTAGAATATTACGTGCTTGTGCTGGTCTTTCTATGTGACTCGTGCGCGAAGAGGAATATTCACTAGCCAGAAAGCACGTTCTTCAAAGCCTCTGGTTCACGCGGAATCAACCTGACCTTGAAACTCGGCGGGATCGCAGCAAGATGCCAGGGCTCCATAGAATCCCCCAAAGGGTCCATCGTTGTGAACCCCTTGTCCTCCGCGTCAAGACTCTTCTCAATCTTGAACGCCCAGATGAGTCTCAACAAAAAGATGTATTGCTGTCGGTTCGCCAGATGAAAGCCAGCGCACATTCTCGTACCGAACCCATACGCGGCGTGTGGCAGATCTGGGTCGTCTAGAAACCTTTCGGGCCGAAAGGCGTCGGCGTCCGGCCCGTATAACTTCTCGTCTCTGTTGCAGGCCCAAGCGTTGAGGAAGACAGTCGTGCCTTTGGGGATATGCATGCCATTGTACTGGATGTCCTTGAACGCCGCGCGTGGGAGGGATAGGCGAAGGACGGAGAATGAACGGAGGCACTCCTTCACCAAAGCATTCATGTAAGGCACGCCGGTTTCATCGTCGGTGTTGCCCCAGCTTTCGCTACCATGCGCTTCGACGATGGCGTTGTAGGCCTTGTCTTGGATGTCCGGACGGAGAGCCAGTGTGCCAACGGCCCAGGCGATCGTGTTGACCATCGTGTCTAGGCCTCCCGAAACCTACGACTGCTGCTCAGTCCCCCTTCACTCGAACAGATGTACGGAAGGACGTACCATGCTCATACTTATGCCTAGCAGATCCACCTGGTCCAGTTTTGCTTCATCGTCTTTGATGCAGTTTACCTGGATACAGGGCCTCTCCGTGCCCTTTTCCATCCGCGTCTCCATTTCTCGACTAAAACGGTGGAGATATGCCAGCCTCCGTCTATTCGTCTCTCTCGCGGTGACACTCTTCTTGTTGAAAGGCAAGAGTCGCAAAATTGGTATGAAGTCTTGCGTTGATCCCAATGGAGTCTTGATCCTCGACAACTCGTCTTCGGCATCGATGATCTCCTCCAGCAGCCCTGCATCCGGCGGCAACCGAGCGCCGTAATTGACTGTCATGGTCAGATCCGTCACCGTCTTCGAAATACTGTTCTTCGGATCGAAGGCGATCTCGCCTCCCTCGCCTCGCTCCCACAAGTCGGAAATCAAAGACTTTGTGATTTCGTCGATGAAGGGCAGGTAGCTCGCCACCCCGGGACGATTCATAGCGCTCATAGCGGTCTTGCGACGTCTTTTGGTGCTCTCACTCCACGGCGTCGTGCCGATGGAGCTGGCAACGCTGGACAGGACCGAGTGGAAAGTGTAGAAGACCGGCTTGTCGATCAGGCTGTGGCCTTGGCCTATGAAGACGTCTCGGGCGGCTTGCATGGAGTTGAAGACGACAATCGGCATCGTCCCGAGCATGATTTGAAAGACTCCGTGATCGTATTGCTTGCCCCATTGTCGCAACGTCTCTGCGGGGTCGTGTCCGAGTTGGTAGAAGTTTCCAACGATGGGGTACCCCGTCGGACCTGGTATGGTTGGCAAGCGGACTTTTTGGCGATAGAGCTCGGTGATGAGCACGTAGGCGACCGTGGTGACTAAGAGGAGGACCGCGAAGGAGACGAGCAAAGAGGAGGGTGTGACATGTGCGAGGGAAGGCAATGAGAGGCCCAAGTTGTCAAGCAGCATGATGAATTGTCTGATGTGTAAAGACGTTTACTTTCAATCAATACAGTCCGGTGGCCGCGATGAGTGTGAGAAGAACAACGATTACCTTGCCGGGGAGGGGATTGAGAGCTCCCATTGACGGATGACACGACACGCATCTATCAACCTCGACCCCTTCCACCCCGCACATGCATCACGTGAGTACAAGCAGTACATGACGGGGTGTCGCCGATGTCGCTGGCCGGCAGCAGCTCCATGCCTTCTCTATCGTAATATCATGGCTCTAAATCAATTCTCACGGTTGAGACCCTTTCGTCGATGGGCAAAGTCTTCCTCGGGAATGTCCTCCACCTTTTCGGTCTTCTTGAGCTGGACACCAGATCGCTTCTCCCAACCCACTAGGGCCTTGGTATGGTCGGCCATGGGCTCCACTTGCTGCAGTGCGTAGTCCAGATAGCCCTTCAACAGACCCGGCAGATCGGTGGTGAACTTGTTGTGCTGCATAAACTCTTCCGTGATGCCCAGGTCTTTGACGAGCAGTGCCAGTCCAAAGCCCGAGTTGTAGCGTTGCGTGACACCATCTCGGCGGAAAGTGTCCATGGTCGGGAAGTTGACGCCGGTGCCGACGTTCAGGACGTCAATCATCTGTTGCGGGTCCAGGCCGTACTTCTGCCCCGTGACAAGGCTGTCGCAGAGGGCGCAGATGCTGCTCGCCATGATGTAGTTGTTCAGCGTCTTCATCGCATGCCCATTCCCGAGCTTGCCCATGTGGAAGATGTAGCTCGCCATACAGCGGAGAATGGGCTCGACCTTTTCAAACGCTTCCCGCGAGTCCGAGCCGACCATGAGTGTGCTCTCGCCCGCATCGGTAGCGTGCATGTACGTCTGCGTGATGGGAGAATCGACGAGTTGGAGCTGGTGCTGCGCGAGCTCTTTGCCCAGCTCTTGCGTGTCGAATGGACTGCTCGACGACGTATCAACGATGATTGTGCCTGGCTTGAGCCCACTCGCAATCTTGCTGTCGCCGAAAAGCACATCTCGGACGACCTTGCCTTGCGGCAGCATGGTGATGATGACCTCGCAGTCGGCGAACTGCTCCGGCTTGCCATTCCACGCCGTGGTGTTGGGCCATTGTTTCGCCGCGTTTTGCACCTTCTCTTGATCCGAGTCGTGGACGATTAAGTGGTAGCCCGACTTGGGAATGTTCGAGGCCATGCTGAAGCCAGCATTCCCGAGGCCGATATAACCGACATTCTTCACCGACGGAGCGTGGCCATTGGTGTTGGGAGGCATGATGACAGAATACTAGGAATGCAGTTGGAGGAGATCAGACGAAAAGATTGAAAACAGTTCCCGAAACAATAGTTAAAAGCACCCTGGCACCGTTGGTTTGAAAGAAATCAACGAAGTCTTGTCAGCTCACCTCGTATGATGCAATGTCGTCGGTTATTGCACTTTTGCCAGCGGCATCGGCCTGCTTGCCTGCCTTCCGTTGGACCCTCCAATTGATGGAGACGCGGGGTGCAGCCGCCTCGCCGCGCCGCTCCACAGCAGATTATTAGCCTTTGATTGGTAAGTTCTTCATCAAACAAGAGTCGATGATGTGAGAATGACTTTCCCGTCGCCAAACGTGCTTCCCCTTCGGACACGGTGCTATGTCGGATAAATCGGTGCTGGACCGTGTAGAACGCCGGCCAGAACAGCTCCACCACGACAAACTCGACGATGGCGACAGGGCGTTGTCGATCATTGGCGATGAGAGAGTGGTTGTCACAGAAGAAGACGTGAGTCTGTTTCTTGTAAAACACTCGATGCTCTGGCGCTCAGCTGATGGCGCGGCTGGTGTAGAACAAGCGAATCAGACGGAAGACCGACAAGACCATATTGACCATATTGATCTGGGTCTACTTCTTGCAGATTCTTGACAAGACGGTTCTTGGATACGCGGCCGTCTTTGGCCTCGAAAAAGCCACGCACCTCACGGGCAATCAGTATTCACTCGTTGGCTCAATCGCGCCAATTGCTCAACTGGCGTGGCAGCCATTCTCATCGTACCTCATCGTAAAAGTGCCCCATCGAATCCTCATGCCCTCGCTTTGCCTGGGATGGGGCATCGCACAGGCGTCCATGGCGGCATGCAAAAATTACAGCGATCTATTGGCAACTCGATTCTTTCTCGGCCTCTTCGAAGCAGGCTGTCTGCCCTTGTTCTCCGTCATCACCGGCCAATGGTTTCGAAGAGCAGAGCAGCCGCTGAGAGTGGCCGCATGGTATTCCACCAACGGCATCGCGACAATCGTCGCCTCCGCCCTCTCCTATGGCCTGGCTCACATCCCCTCCACCACTCTGGAGAGTTGGCAAATCATCTTCCTATTCGTCGGGTTGGTAACTATCGTATCCGCTCCGTTCGTCTACTGGAGACTCGACAACGACATACCCTCCGCACGCTTCCTGACTGAGGAGGAGAAGCCGAAGGCCATTGAACGCCTGCGAGCCAACCAGACCGGGACTGGGAACCGCGACTTCAAGTGGTCCCATCTCCGTGAACTCGCGCTCGAGCCGAAGACGTATCTTTGGATGGGTCTCGCCATGCTGAATAACGTCGGCGCAAGCGTCACCAATACCTTCGGCCCGTTGATCCTCGACGGTCTGCATTTCGATCCTTATACCACCAGTCTGCTCAACATCCCATTTGGTGCCATGCAATGGCTCGTCATCATCTTCGCCTCGTGGGCCGCTCAACGGTGGAAAGTCAAATCCGTCTTTTTGTTCATGCTTACACTCCCCGTCATTGCGGGAGCGGCGATGCTGTACACCATCAGCCACACAAAGTCCCATGAGGGCGCTTTGCTGGCGGCATACTATCTGCTTGCTTTCCTCTTTGGCGGCAATCCTCTGATTGTAGCTTGGATTGTCGCAAACACCGCCGGCACCACGAAGAAAAGCGCGGTGCTGAGCCTTTACAGTCAGTCCATCCCTCGCGCTCCCGTTTCGTACAAGCCACCACTTGTTACAATCTCATGGTAGAACAATGCTGATTGTGTCTGCTCTCGCCTCCTAGATGCATCCTCAGCCGCAGGAAATATCATTGGGTGTGTATCCTTGTTCAGGCAGTGACGCATGTACTGACATGTCAACGTAGACCTTTGTTGTTCCAATCCAAAGACGCCCCGAGCTACCTTCCCGGCCTGCGAGGTGTTCTGGGTATCTTTGTTGCCCTAGCCGCTTGTACGGTCCTTCAGGCCGTCAATTTGACCTGGCTCAACAAGCTCCAGAAGCAGAAGAGAGTGAAGAACGGCAAGCCCGGCGAGATAATCGACCAAAGCATGCAAACGCATTATCATGACTTCGATGAGCAGCAGATGAGCGACATCTACGAGACAGGCATCGCAGAGGGACGCACAGCGGAGCAAGCGCCGCCTCATTCGAAACTGGGCGGGCAAGCCTTCCTGGATTTGACCGATCGCATGAACGACGAATTTGTGTATGTGCTTTAGAGCAGCTCTGCGATTATTCCTCATTTGATTCAGGCCGTGTAGCTAGTCGTCAGCGAATTGCCTCGTCATGTATTTTCTAAACCCCCGGTTCGCCAATCCCCATTTTCCGCCATCGATGGGTACAAGCTCGAACATTTGCCACCTCGAGTCAATACCGCCTCCCAGGACGTATAACACGGCACCGTCGTCATCATTTCGCCCCAGCTCCTTGCCCGCAAACGCCACGATGCCCTTCGGCGGGCGACCACTTTGATCCGTGGGTAACGCCGGCACAGGATTTCGCACACGCTTCCGCGTTCCATCAGGTGCTGTGGTCCACGAAGACGCCACCCCACCCTGCCAGTGTGGAGGGTCGTTACCGATGTGAAAGGGCAAGTTTGCCACGCTCCGGACGTCCTTAAATATCCTGGGAGCGAGAGCCGAGGATTTGAACGCAGACATTGCGGTCACCGTCGGTTCGCGACTTGCGGGAGAAGCGCTCGGCGGAGGAGGTCGTAGTCCATAGTACTCTTGTATGCTGCCTTGATGTGCAGCCGTCATAGTGGATGGGCTCGAGCGACCCGAGAGGAGGTTTCTGTCCTGACCGGCCAGTGCACCAGAGATGGAGTTCGAGTAGTTGCTACGATGGTGTTTGCCTTCTCGAGACGCTGGTAAAGAGCTCTCCACTGGTAGCGCAGCGGCTGAATGAACTTCGAATACATGCACGGTCCCCTTGTCGCTGGTCACGGCCAGCCATCGTTCGCGTGCACTGAACGCCATGCTGTGAATGATGGCCTTATCAACGCCTCGTCGGAACTCCGCAGTCTGGCGGAGTGTGTTGGTCTCATATACTCGAATGAGGGTCCCTACCTCAGAAGCGGTGGCAAGCGTCGATCCGGTTGGAGACAGCGCGACAGTCCGCAGTGCTGTATTGTGTGCTCGCAGCACTCGCTTAGAACCACCCGTCAAAGACACCAAATGAACTTGACCTGTGGTCTGGGCAGGAAGCACCAACAAGTCGTTGCTCAAACTGGCAACACCAGCGGGATTCGGGGAGGTAGGATGGATGGATCTGACTCGATTTGGGCCTCTCCAAGGTGCAGGGTCTGCGTCTCCCGTCTCGGTGCGCGCATCTTCATGGTTATCATCGAGTTGTGGCGAGAGGCGCTGCTCAGCCGGAAGCTCTTGGTATTCGAAGACGACCGCGCGCTCTAGCAGAAGCACCACCATCCATCTTTGATTGAGTCTCAACCCGACCACAGGCTCGTAAAAATCTAGTTCTGTGACTGAGACATTGTGAAGGCAGTCCCAGAATACCACGACATTCGGACTTCCGCCAGGAGTGCGGCCGCCAGCGACATAAGCAATATATCTGTCATCGAGCGCCGCGGCGATCGCCACGCCGCCATCTTTCGGAAGCCGCGGCTTGGATGTCGTCAAACAATTGTCTGAACGGAATACCTGTATGCCGTCGGACAGGCCTGCGATGAAGCGATTGCGGGAAGCAGAGAAGGAGAGACTAAGCACAGCAGCAGAGGTTGATCGTTGGATAGGCGTTCGGGTGTTCATCTTGCCGGGCCTGGCGGAATGGTACGAGTGAGAGGAGTGGAATCGTTTCGCCGGGTAGAGGTGAGGCCGTCAGCACTCGCTCAACGGGTCACGCGCTGGCCGTGGACGTCCAGACGGCGAAAGTTGGCATGTTGCCAGCCCAGACAAAGCCCCCCGTTGCAAGTGGTAGATGATGGGGCTGTGCGCATCTCACAACCGAATGGAGAAGGCCACACTTTGTGGTTGAGCAGAGCAAGCCAGTGGTTGCCTTGGTTTACCAAAGCGTATTGCGGCAAGGCGACCGAGCCAAGGACATGTCAAGCAAGGTGGTGTGGCACGGGCTGGTGTCAGGCGCGTGGTGAAGGTGAGGCTCGGATTGAGTTTGGCCAATCGGGAGCTCCCGCAGATTAGGGTTTGGCTAGCTGGGGCATGCGCGGGCGTGCGTCCCCCTTTTGCAGACGGCTTCGCTGAAAATTGATGATTTGGCGACGGCCTCCTTCACCCCATCATCCATTGCGAGCCTCATCACCCACAGTCATCGCCATCGCCATCTCCACCATCTCCATCCTCCTCTCTCGCCCTCCCCCCGAACTCGGCGAAGACCACGCATCCGATCAGCGATCCAGAGGTGAGTACCATCGAATTGGGTTCACGCGTACCGTTCCATCCTCCCATCCAACTAGCACCAACGCTCCGGATACTGTCCCGCCATTCCGCTCCCTTAACCCTGACGAAAAATCTCCCACCCTCTCCCCTTCCACCCCCTACCCACCGACCACTCCACTGTTCACGCCCGCCTCCACCCTTTGCTGACCCGCGCAATGGCTTCCAGTCCCTTTTTCACCTCACCCACCATCGACGCGCCGCCCCCTGCCTCCAAATTCGGCATGTCTTCCAACTTCATGCCCGGCCCGAAGATGCGCCGCAAGAAGAATGCCAAGAAGGGCATCCAGTTCTGCCTGATGGTCTGCGGCGCCTCTGGCACCGGCCGCACCACCTTCGTCAACACCCTCTGCCAGAAAACCGTCCTCCCCCACATCGACTCCGATGCGCCCCCCTACCTCGACGGCGAAAACACTGGCGAGCCTTCGGTCAAGATCAAGCCCGTCACTGTGGAGCTGGAGCTAGATGAGGAGGGCACACGGGTCAGCTTGACCATTGTCGACACCCCGGGCTTCGGTGACAGCATCGACAACGAGGCCAGCTTTGGCGAAATCAGCAGCTACTTGGAGCGCCAGTATGATGACATCTTGGCCGCCGAGAGCCGCATCAAGCGAAACCCGCGCTTCAGGGATAACCGCGTGCATGTGCTTCTCTACTTCGTCCAGCCCACCGGTCAGTCAAAGACTATACTCCGCGCGGTAGAGCTGTCCATCTGATTATCTGACAGGTCACGGTCTGCGCGAGCTGGATATTGAGCTTATGCGCCGCCTCTCCCCCCGCGTCAACGTGATCCCGGTCATTGGCAAGGCCGACTCGCTCACCCCGCTCGAGCTCGCCGAGAGCAAGAAGCTCATCATTGAGGACATTGAGCACTATCGCATTCCAGTGTAGGTTCAGACGCGCCCAATGGCTTAAGCTGTCCATTCTGAATTTCCCCACTGACATATTCCGCAGCTACAACTTCCCATACGACATCGAAGAGGACGACGAGGACACGGTCGAGGAGAATGCAGAGCTTCGCGGCCTCATGCCCTTTGCTATCGTCGGCTCCGAAGATATCGTGGAGGTGGACGGCCGAAGGGTGCGCGCGCGGTGAGTTGATCCTATGCCGCGCTTCCTTCCACGAACTTGTAGGCTAATACCCATTGCTCAGTCAATACCCCTGGGGTACCGTGGAAGTGGACAACCCGCGCCACAGCGACTTCCTCGCCATCCGCTCCGCTCTCCTGCACAGCCATCTTGCCGATCTCAAGGAGATCACCCAGGCATTCCTCTACGAGAACTACCGTACCGAGAAACTCTCCAAGTCCGTCAGCAACGCCGCCGACGGTTCTGGCGGTGCCGCGTATGGAAGCGTCGAAGATGGCTCTCTGGACCCGCAAAGCTTGGCGACTCAAAGTGTCAGGCTGAAGGAGGAGCAGTTGAGGCGAGAGGAGGAGAAGCTGCGAGAGATCGAGAGCAAAGTGCAGCGTGAGATCAATGAGAAGAGACAGGAGCTACTGGCCAGGGAATCGCAGTTGAAGGAATTGGAGAGCCGCATGATGAGAGAGCAGACGCCGAGCCAACCCACCGTTGAAGAGGACGAGTCGGAGGCTGGCGCTTCTTAAATGAGCGGTGTGTGTATTGTACGCACTGCATGTCGCATCGACGCTGGGCATTCGCGACCTCCATGAACAGCAGCTGGCTATCTTGTCGCAAAGGAGACTGTCCTGGGAAGAGGGAGAGGAGAATATGATTTCTTTGTTACCTGTTCTCCCATGCCCCCACAAGCAAGCATGGTCTCCAATGAGGATCACAGATGAAGATGCAAAAAGCGGCGCGAGCTGAGCATCATCTACATAGAGTGCTACCTTTCTGTCGTTTTCAGTCCACTGTTCATAGTTCTAGCCTTGGAGTAGCTTCTCCTTTCTTGCATGCGGTTCTCCTTGTCGACTTGGAGCCTTCTGCGACTCTGGGAAGAGCGACGTTGCTCGAGGCGTCAGCCTTTGAGCGGGTTGTATGCGCTGCGTTCCCCATTTCCCCGAATGTGCTTCAGTAGCACGACGCTCCTTCGCCCCGCCATGAACCAATGCCGGGCCTAATGTTACGCGAAGCCATGTGATATCTTCCCGAACCTGGGGCAAGGGGCGAGGCTGCCCGACGTGTCCACCACAAGGCACGACTACGCACCTGCGTGGCTATTCTGACCAGCCGTGCTCAAATAGAGGCGTAGCAACTCGGCGTGGCGGATGGCATTTTATCCGAACAAAAGCGTGCTGGCAAAGGTGCTTTCATGCTTCATTCGGATTCATCGGACTGGTTGTGCCTGCGCCAATCTCACCCTTGCCCACCATTGTGTTGCCCTTCATGCTCTTGCTAGCTGCCGCCTTCTCACCCCGAGTCTTACCGCTCGTCCCTGCGTTTTGATGAACTGGAAATCGGACGGCCTTGAGGGCATTCTGTGTCTGCTGCCCGGTGGGCAGATATCTCGGCTCGACCAGTCCAATCTGTGTCAGAGATTTAGCACAACTACCCTGCCAGCACACGCTCAAAGTGAGAACATACCATCGCCAGCAGCCTCCACACAGTATTACTCGGCTGTGCACCAACTCCAAGCCAGTATTTGGCACGCGAGACATCCACCTTGATCTCTTTCGTCTTTCGATCGCCTTCCTTTGCGCCGGGCGTCTCTTTGGGAACGGGATCGTACATGCCCAAGACCTCCATTGGTTTGGAATCTCGGGCTGAGCGCGCCTGCGCAAGGACGATGTTGTAGATGGGTCGGTGTCGTTTGGCTCCGCCCGGGCCCGGAACACGGGCGAGTCGAAGACGCAGGACCATCGTGGATGTGATGTCGTGGCGGTTCTCGTCCTGGATGAAGCTCACACCGAGAGAGGAGGTCGGAAGTTTTGCTGAACCCTCGCTTAGTCATGACTTGGCTACACACGCCACTACCGCGCTTGTACTTGGTATTTTCCTCGAATACACCTAACGGACAGACCTTGCTCGACGCATCCAGAGTCCACTGCGATAGCCTGTGGCTCAGTTACTCTATGCCGTTGTCGAGCGACGCATGATTATGGTGCCTCAGGCTCGGTGGGTGCTTCCTTTGATTCGGTTGAGGTTCGAGGTACGTCAAACCGCTGACGACGACGTTATGGGTCCAGATGGCGCAGCACACTCCTACCCGTATCTTTCACGTCTCGCCTTTTCTTGGGGTGCTATTTGCGTTTCATTGTGAATCTCGTCCATTCCCATAAGTGTCTTGATCGCATGCAAAGCTTTCTTTGGTGATTATGCCCTTCGTTTTCGATCCCTGAAATGACTTCCATCATGTCTTGGAAAGCATACCTCGCGCTCTGCGCTTTCTCACTCGTTCTTCGCCCTGCTCACGCATACGGCATTGCACGATCATCGACGCCTTGTAACAACAGTCCCAGCCTCTGCAGCAGATCATACGATAATGTCACCTATCTTGGAGCCCACGACAGTCCCTTTGTTCGTGACGCTTCTACATCTTACTCAGCCAGTGGCAATCAATACTACAACAGTACCGTACAGCTCTCGGCTGGTGTACGGCTCCTGACCGCGCAAGTCCAGCTTCAGGGCAGCGCATTGCACGTTTGCCAGTGAGTTTATCTACGAATGATTACCTTCGTCTACCATAGCTAAACCTTGTCCAGTTCGAGCTGTGATCTCCTCGATGCCGGCCCTCTGAGCACTTGGCTCGCAGAAGTGCGATCATGGATGGAGTCGAACACGAATGAGGTCGTCACAATACTGTTGGTGAATGGTGCGTCGGCCTCTGTGCAGGAGCTTGCGCAGCAATATGAGGCAGCCGGAATCACCACCTCCTTGGCCTATACGCCTACCGGATCGGATGCTCAGAGTCAGGAGTGGCCTACACTGCAGTCCATGATCGACAGTGGCAAGCGGCTCGTGAATTTCGTCGACTACATTGGCGACAACTCCGACGCCCCGTACATCATGCCGGAGTTCTCGTACATTTTCGAGAATCCATACGACGTCACTTCGGCCAGTGGTTTCGTGTGCGGAATCAACAGGCCGCCGAGCGAGAACGGTAGCACGCCCACGCAGGTCATCGCCCAGGGAGTCATGCCGCTTATGAACCATTTCCTGTATCAGGACATTGGTCTAGGGATCCAGGTCAGTATCGCATGATAGTGGCTTGCAGAGCAACGGGCTACACCCGGAAGAATCAGTGAACTCTGCTGACGCGTTATGTCCTGGCGTGCAGTCACCGGACGTGGACGCTATCGACACCACCAATGCCCCGGACGGAGGCGTCGGTAGCTTGGGCTACTCGGCAAGCCAGTGTTCGGAGCAGTACGGCCGTGCGCCGTCGTTCCTGCTGGTGGACTTCTTTGTGAGTTTCACTACTCCCGTTTACCTAGTCATGCTTGTGGAGTTACTGACGCCAATGTTGAATAGAACGTCGGTCCCACCATCGATGTTGCCGATCGTCTCAACGGTGTCTCCAGCCCCGTGGGACGTACAAGTGCTCCAGCGTAAGTGAAGCCGGTTCCTCGAGTCGCGCTGCCTGTGCTGACAGTCTTTCGTGTGTCTCGTTCAGAACATCCAGCTCCAGTCCCGGCGGTGGCAGTCGCAGCACCAGCACTAGTGCAGGTATACGGAGGAATTGGAATTGGACGATGTGGATTGTGGGCCTAGCGACGTCGCTCGTGGTTACGGCGCGGTGAAACGAGCAGACCAAGGAGTGGTGAGTTTCGGAACGTGCATCTCCAGCGTAGCATGTACTGCATTGTAACATAGGTAGCCGGGCGATGGAGGTTGTTTTCGTCGGGCTAGAAGAGGGGAAGGATGCATGCATGAAATGTGTCTTGCCGCTGCTGTGGAAAGAAATACAACAACTGTCAAACCATCCGGAGAAGTTCGCTCATGCGCGGAACACCTGAAGTTGAGTGATGCAGCATGCAGACAGGCAAGCGCCACGCGAGCCGGCATGTCATGGGAGACTTGATAGGGGTGAAGGGGAAAGCAGGTCACGCATGGCCCACGTCTCTTATGCTGTGTTCGTCGGAAAGGTGTTTAGGCCGTGGAAGCGTGGCGCACTCCGCGGCCACGTTCATCCACGGCATGGAGACGTGTGCGATCCCGAGAGCCGAGCGGTCGGGACGAGCACGGCAGGCATGGTGCACGTCTCGTAGATGCTCGGCCGGGAGAGTTTGTGCAACGAGAGTGTAAAGCGGAAAAGGTTCACGCCAGGCCGCAAGAGAGCAAAGCAACGAGTGGAAGCGGAGGGCCAAGCAACGGACAGGGGGCCAGCCCCGCGCACGCCTGCTTTTGGTAATTCGTCGACACGCCCCCCTGCTTCAGAATGGCGTAGGCGAACTCGCTTACCCTCCGCATGCCGCCGGTGTGGGTTTAGGGCGCTGTCATCAGATGTCGCCCACACGCGAAGGAGGCTGCGATCCGCTCCTTGCGTGCGTCTGAACCCCACCCGCATCCAGCCAATCCTTTTTCTCCTCTGTCAATCATGTGTCGCCGCTTGTCACCCAGCACCGTCTTGCACCCCGGTCGACCCCCACCGGGGTACGAGATGCACAAGCCGATCGAATAGGCAGCGTGCATGTTCGTTGTGCGCCAAGTGCGTGTTTCCCTTACGTGGTGACGACGACGACAATGCTGGTGAGAGGGATAATGGTGCGGTGCTGGCGATGGCGATGATGCGACACGCCTGCCCCGAGCCGAGCATTTGGAACCGCCTCGACTTCGATGGGGCTGGACGAGGCGCGCATCATGCATGCAGCATGCATGTCAAGCTGCAGTCTCCGCCACCCGTCCGACGAGTGAGAGCGATGGGCGTCTCGTCGGTCGCTCACAATCCTCCTCCAGCCCAATGTCTCGCTCCGCTGCATGCCAGCGACCCGCCGCTCCCCGGCTGATTTGCCCTTTGCCAACTGGCGCCCGCAGCTCGATGCCAAATTCCTCGCGCGCGTCTGTCGATGATTACCTTTTTACAAGCTTACCTGGCCTGGTCCCCCGGTCGGGCGCGTGTTGACGTCAACGACTTGGTGACAGCGGCTACGGGCCTCCCTGCATCTTACCGAGATTGTACGCCCGACATTCAACGGTAACGCGGGCCGCTTGCCCTTCTGTCGCTGGCGACGGAATGGGGCCAGGGAGGGCCCTGTCTGGTGTCGCCCGCCTTTCGCGATCCCGATTTCGACGTGAATCTGATACCTGGTTTGCGGGGAAGCGGGTTACAGACTTGTGCAGCAGCTCCTGCAACAGACGTGTCGGTGAGTGTTTAAGCGACCGTTGATAGGGGCCCACGGTCGTTCTCGTCTGCACGAAGGCGGTCCCCAGCCAGGCACATGCCGGAAGTGTGAGAGAACTCTGCTCCTCCCAGCATTCAGCGCGGTAAGATTGCACGCCCGCCCGGGTGGACTCGAGTGGACTCGTATGGAGGAGTCGGGGTGGATTCGGATGGAGACGCGTTGGTGTGGACAGAGCCCTGCTCGTCGCCGGATCTTGGCCAACAACGGTTAGGATGACAGCTAGACCGCCGTTGCTGGCCCGCCCATCATCGACTGGAGCGGTCGATAAACGAGATCCTTGTTGCTTGTTGGACAGCCCCGGCAGGGCAAGGGCTGGGCTGGCATGCACGTACCCTTTTAGTGCCGCGCACGACGGATGTACCAGCGCGGTGTTGAGGCTCGTTTATACCGGCACGGACGCCACTACGCCGGAGGTAGGTGGGCAGAGCGCCTGCAGCCATCTTTTGGCTCTAATGCATGCAACTCGCGGTCGTTAACATCGTTCCCTCCTCCCCCGACCTGCCTGTCAAGCGACGAGATCGTTTGCTGAAACGTTCTCTCTTGCCGACGGTGGCAGGCCCTGTCACTGTCACTCATTTAATCCTCATCGCCTGCCCACCAACGTCCGTTCGGAAACAATTTTGCGTGACAGCACTGCTCCTCCCACCAACGAGTAGCTGTCGAGGAAAACAACACCGTCACCATCCTCCTTGCCTCTTCCCTCCGTCCCCTCACGTTAGTACGCCCCTCCGCCAGATCTGACGCATGCATGCATACTCATTCGCCAGCACAGTCACGAAGCCCCACGTTGCCACGACCTTTTTCACGCTGCTGCTGCTTCCGTATCCCACTGCGCCCTCGCTTCTTGATCATCGGGATTTCCAATGGAGTCCCTTTCGCTCAGGAACGAGCAATTCGGCAAGGGATTGATTTCCAAGTTCGATGACCACGCCTCCGGTCGCTGGTCACCCCGCCTTCCCACCCCCGAGACGTCTCGAAGCAGCTTCGAATCCCGTGAGCCCTCCGTCAACTCGGCAACGCGAGAAGCCTTCATGCGGTCGCGATCAGAGATGATGGGCCCGCACATCGACACCTCCTTTGCAAAAGCGAGGATGGACTGCGGAAGCCGGGATGCACACGCACCGCACTCACCGCCTTGGGATCCTTCCGACGCCGACAGACCATCACTGCCACCTTTGAAAGCGGTATGTCCTCTACCCACCTCGATGCACCTTGCGAACGTGACTGCTAACTGGTGTAGCTGCTCGAAAACACCATGGCTAGCCCGCCTCGCACTCCCAAAGTCCTGCCAGCCCCTCACCACTTGAGGCCGTTTGAGCCCAGCTACAACACCGACGTCTACAAGCCCGTCTCCCTCTATCCAAACAAGAAGACAAAGGTCGAGGACACGCACCACCAAGCTCCCGTCCATGCTTCGGCCGCCCACGCATCTCACCCTTCCATGATCAGTCCTCAGAAGCCATTCGGCGCCAGTGAAAGACGGCCCAACTACCACGACGGCGTTGCTCGTCATCCATACGATGAGTCGCCGATCCGCCCGGCGCACAACAATGGCAATGCTCCTACGAGCTTACCCCCAATGTATGATAGACCACATTCCGCTGGAGTGAAGCGTAGCTGGAGTGGTGGCGTGGCATCTCCACCATATGACGCCCGCACTTCGCACTATCGAGGGGAGGACCTGCGCTACTCGCAATATCCCGATGCACAATACGTGCAGATGCGCTCGCCCGGACAGGATCGCATGTATCTCACGCCAACGCCCGATGGCTACAGCCGAGTCGAAGGGGCGGCACATTACGGACGCGCCGAGCATGGCCCTACACACGGCCACCCACCCCCTCACTCCGAGTATCGCTTCTACGACGATCAGGCCTACGAGGGCTACCCGTCGACGCGTTACGAGTACTACTACCCCAAGGCGCGGAAGCGAAGCAACCTGCCCAAGCACTCGACGGAGATCATGCGGGCTTGGTTTGACCAGGTAAGGCACCACGATGCCCCACCATCCCTTACTACGCGCCCCCAAGCTAATCGCGCAAGCAGAACATCGGCAACCCGTACCCGAGCGAGGACCAAAAGGCAATCTTTGCCAACGTAAGTACACCACCCCATGCGTGCCGATGATTCGCGAGACTAATGTGCCCGCAGGCTACCGGCATAAGCTTGACGCAAGTCAGCAACTGGTTCATCAACCATCGCCGACGATGTCCGGAGTTACGAGACAGACGCGCGGAACGAAGGAAGGTTTAAGCAGGCAATGTGTGTGGGTTTCCTCTTTTCACGAGCGATGGACCCCTTTGGTTTCAATGGACACGATGCCTATGGAAACGAATTGAATAATGAATGGCAAACATATATAGCCAGACGTATGGAGCACGACTCTCTTCTTTCATTCACCGTGTTGTACGTCGACCGCTCATCACTCCCGCGCTCTGCATGGCAGGCAGCAGTTGGGCAGGATGAGATTGCTTCCCGGGCGCTACGCAGACTCGCACAGCTTGAGACACGGCGGAAGCCGGTGGCGATGCACCGAGCACATTAGCCCGCGGCATCGGCGTGGAATGACTCCACCACAAGAATTTAACATTCATGCAAACTGTGCCGGCGGTGATTAGTGATTTGAAATCACACCTGCACCTTGCACGCAGCCGGCGCTCCATCGAGCGTCACGAAAAAGGAAGAAACGTTGCGCCAAGCGCCCGGATGGACGCAGCGCCCGCCACCAACACGCCCTGACGCATGGATGCCAACCCTACACCAGCCATCCGCGTGACGATCGATCAGAGCGAGAGCGCGTGACAGAAAGCTAATCTGACGAACTTCCCAGCTTTCGCACGATCTGCCCAGTTTCGCGGAAGCGGCTCCGATGGATGACAGGCTCTAGGGAAGGATCCTTGCTCCTGGGCCCCACGGGGCCAAAGCTAAAGGCTAGTTCCACTCTAAACTAACCTCCTTTGATGACCCGCGATGCCTCTTTTCAGTCAAGGGTCAGCACCCGCGCTCGGACTGACGTGCGGGGAGTGGGAATATCTGGGGTTCCGCTTGGTTGTCCGCAATCGAGCAGCGATTCAATCATCATAAGGTACATAAGCCAGGTACAGAGTACTGCGGCCAGCCGCTACCAGACCGAGCTGCCGAGGTTGGGCGCTCCAGATCGCTGCCAAAGTCAATCGTAAGCCAGCCAACTTGGACCGATCGTGGGCTCCCTCCGATGCCTGATGACTCTTGCATTACTCCATTATGCATGCACCGCCCGGCGTGCTTCGTTGCGCTGCCGCCGTGCTGCCTTCTCGCTCACCCACCCGTCCGGACGCTCGCCGTTCTGCCAGCCGGCATCGAGCCGGCGTTTCCGTCTGCTCTCCCTCGACGCAGCCACACTGCCACTAATAACGTCTCTCGGAAGTACATTGGCGGGAGCCGGCTGGACGGAGCTCGGCCACGGCACCAGTCCCGCTTCGACCAACAGCTCATCAAAGTCTGGGCCTAGCGGGAACTGGCTAGTCAAGGAAGTATGGTCGCAGCACGGCGAGTGCTTAATTGGCAGCAGCCACTCGTGTAAGCTTGAGCCAAAGACGGCTTGAAAGTTCCGCCATCGACTGCCAAGATCCCATGGATTCATCCCCGGCAGCGTCTCGAGGATCGCAAATGTTCGTGGAGCAGGGGCGGGTAACGGGGGCCGGTCTGTTGCGAGGACGATCGGGTACGTCACAGTGCCTTTCCAGATCCGGTCTTGGAATGGCAGACGGCTTGCTTGCCGCGATGTCCTCGTTACTTGTAGATTTGAAAAGTAACTCGAGTGACTCGGTTCGTCCAAATCGGATGCGAGGGGTGGCTCAATGCGCTCGTTGCCCATCTCGCCAATCACTGTTGGTGGTTCTGTCGCAGATCGAAGCGGTAGGCCGCTCGACAATCTCTGTAGCTCAGGCGGCAGGAGGACCGCAAGGAACATGGTCCCCGAGAAGGCATCTAAATTCTCGATGGTGGTGACGTTCCTCAAAACCATCCAGAGACTGTTGCCGAGGATGCCAATGGTAAAGATGGTAAAGAAGCCTGCAAGGCCGAGGGCGACGAGCCACTGAACCTCTAATGAGCCCTCGCCTCCCTTTGCGACAAAGGCCGCCAGAACGGACATTGAATACGCGGAGAGCAGGAAACTGTAGAGGTTGAACTGAACGAAGAACTTGTAGCTTCGCTCGCCGATGACGCCTCCAACCCACGGACAGAAATGGTCCATCTTGCGCGTACATCGGCCAGCGTCCTGGCTGTGGTGTGTGCGATCTGGTTTCCAGTTTTTGCAGCTGGGGCACCAGATAGGAAGCCCTTGCGGGTCGCACACGAACACATCGCGCTTCCAGAATTCATTGAGGCCGCGGGCAAGTCCTCTTTCGGAGTCTGCTCAGAGCGCGGACTGGATTAGCGAGGGCGCTTGGATGGCATGATCTCAACCGTCTCGTCATTTGCGAGGCTGCTCGCGAAGCGTACCTTTGGGTTGGGAGCCAATGGAGATCTGTCCGGGATCGCGCCACACCACCATGAGAAGGCGTAAATCAGTTGCGAGTACGGCGATGAGGAGGACATAGTAGACGATCGCGATCGCTATACCGGTTCCAGTTCGTGCAGGGACATCTGTGAAGCGCGTGGTTAGTGTGTTTAACGCGGGGGGTGGGCACGGAGAGCATACTGCGAGGTGGATTGATGAGATACTGCGTAACCAGAGGCCCGGTGATTGTGTACGACACATAGGCAATGATGGCCAGCAGGAAAAATGGTATGGTCTTTGCAGTTGCAAGATTGGCTCGGTTTCGCGCCTCCATTGACTGTCATCTCTCGCGAGGTGGACAAGGTGTAATGCTGGCGGTGGCGGCTTCCTCCCGGGGAAGTGCATTCATGCCATGAGGCCCGCCACTCGCATCCGCGATTAGGATGGGCTGATTATGTCGACCAACTTGGCGCGAGCAGAGGCGTGTGACAATCATGCGACCGGATACCTTAATAACATGAAGCTGTTGTTTCTGTTGTTCTGTCACGGGGAAAGCGCTGCACGTCATTTGCTCCGAGGCGTGGATCTAGCCGAAGACGGTTAGCCAGCCGCGCGAGTGGTGTTGGCATCACCACCTCACGTTTCCTTTCCGTGGGATACAGCTGCCGCGACAACCACATTGATGCGAGCGAGTAAGAGACTGATCAATCAAGTGGGCATTGCTTTTGCTCCCTCGCGTTCCTTCGCAGCCATGTCTGCAACACAAGCCCCGAAGGTGAAGAAAATTGGACCATTGTCTGCCGACGAGTACGTTGCATCTTTCCCACGCCTATGTTGGACCATGCATTGATACCTGACAGAGCGAAATGGACGGAACTTCGAAAGATCGAGGTCAGTGCCTTTTTCCTTGGAGCGTTGAGGTTGTTCCTGCCGCTGACTATCTCGCCTTTAGTGGACCGATCAGGTACGAGCCATTAGCAGTCAGCCCCTCCCACACGACTCTAACAACGCATCGACTAGACTGGCAAAGACCGAATCTGGGAAGCAGCCGCACGCAAAACCCGTGGCAAAGGAGGCGTTGATGCCGTTGCCATTGCCCCGATTCTCCGCCACCCTCACAATCCGCCCTCCACCATGATCATCCTGCAGTACCGGCCGCCGGTCGAGGCAACGTGCGTCGAATTCCCAGCAGGTCTCATCGATGAGGGCGAAACGCCAGAGCAAGCTGCCGTGCGTGAGCTCAAGGAGGAGACGGGCTACGAAGGCAAGGTTTGTGCCACAAGTCCCATCTTAAGCGCGCAGCCGGGAATGACGAACGCCACTATGCAGGTAGTTGATTGCTCGCCCACAATCGTGTCGGATCCCGGATTGACCAATGCCAACATGCAGGTGTGTCAACATCCCGCTGACTCCCTAGTGTCGACAGTGTTCACGGCGGTCAAGCTTCTACTGACTCTAACCAGATGGTCACGGTGGAGGTCAATCTATCGGAGGGAGACGACAAGCCTGAACAACACCTCGACGATGGTGAATTCATTGAACGGGTCATCGTGCCACTGCATGAACTCTACGACAAACTGCAAGGTATGTGAAGATGATGCTCGCCATGCAACGTTGCCTTCTAAGTGGTGATGTCGTCAGCGCTTTCCAAGGAAGACGGCAAGATCGTTGATGCGAGGTAAGCTTGGTCTACTCCCTGAAAATCGAGAATCGCTGACGTGATATAGGCTCTTCCACTGGGCGCTGGGCTTGCACTGGAGTCAGCGACTGAACCTCAAAGGCTGACACATCGTCGTTGAAGACTTCACCGCCCGAGGCTACGTGCCGGACATCTACGTAGCCTTTGTCGCTTATGGGTGGCACTGTGGCTCTCAGTACTTACGAGCGGGCTGAAATAGCGGAATCGTCTCCATCAAGATCAGGCAGAGATGAACAGGGCAGGTGAAGATGGACTAGATTCCTGAGTACAACGATTCGGGAAAAGGTCGATTCATGAACGTCTGTCTATCACTGTATTACGAGGCTCTATCTTCGGGAAAACTGAGGACCAAACCTATTCAACCCCTCGCAAAGTAATTGTACCCACTGTTCACCATGTCAACCGCCCTCTTAGTAGCTGCATCTTGGTTCTCCTCAAGCAAGCCAAGCCTGGCATTATCCAGCTTGTGAGAGAAGTCGCCGCATCCATCTTTGTAGAAGACCCGGGTGTACATGCGTGGTACGTAGCCACTGAAATCTCCAGCCTGCATTGCATCGTGAGCCTTCTTCCACCTGGCCTCGGCTGGTTCATGCTCAATGGTCCAGTCGGACTCCTTGTCGCCAGTGACTCGGAGAAGCGAGTCGAGCATGTCTCGCTGCGACACGAGGAAGGAGGAGACGAAGACATGCTTGTTCTTCCACATGCTCAGATATGGGCCCTCATCGTTTTCGTCCTGTGGCAGGATTGGAAGCGAGAATACGGCGGCGACGGCGCGTCCACACTGTTTCCATGTCGACGCGTTGATCTTGGTCTCGCCATCGTCGAAGAAGGTGGCTTTCTTGTTCTTGATGTCGAAGCCGTAGGCATCGGCAGAGACGGCGAGGCTGTATTCATACCAGAATGAACAAACGAGACCGACCCAGCAGCTGACGCCTAGTTTTTCAATCTGTTCCTCGGCTGGCCAGACAATATCTCCGACTCCACTTTCCTGCATCGAAGTCAGTCGATGCAGCGCACACGGGGTATAATGGCCAGCCTTACCTTTGCCATTTCCACTTGACCTTCGACATCCGCAGTATATTCGTTAGGCATGATCCAAGGGACTCCGGCCTTGGCAGCAGCATTGACGAGTTTGGTCTGGGCGTCGCCGGCACGGATGCCCATGGTGATCACGAGGGCGTCATGGCCGGTCAAGGCGTCGATCAAGGTCTGCTCGTCATCGTAGTTGACTGGAGCAGCCTTAACGCCATCTGGCATTTTACTCTTGCTCTCCGCCCGCGTGATGGCCGTCACATTATGCTTTCCGCCTTTCAAGAGTGCGTCGACGATGTACTGGCCAACAGAGCCAGTCGCTCCCACGACGGCAATGTTCTTGATATGGTTGCTGAAGCCCGCGGGCTGGTCTTTGGCGTATTGAGGAGACATTGTACGGAAGATGGAAAGAGGAGGAGGGTATTGAGCTGGCAGGTTTGGATGAGGAATGACAGAAGTGAGTGTGATAATGGCAACTTTTAATGTATTGTCTCGCCGGAGGGAAAAGAGCTGTTAACCCCGAGTACGTCGGCCGATAGAGAACGTTGTGTAACACGGCGGCGATTGCAATGCTAGAAAAGTTACAGCCGGCACACACTGAATTAATTGCGGATTTTATCAAGGTCGCAGATATCCGAGCAATGTGTAGGCAGAGGGGAGAAGACGAGGTGGAGATTACGTCAACTGTGAAGAACCCCGACCGAAAGCTTGATAAATCCGAGGCGAGAACGAGCGGAGGTTAGCGGCCGCGGCGGGGCGGCTCGTTGCCTAGTCTCCCTTCGGGAGCAGCCGGAGAAACAACACCGCCCGGGCGAGACGGGAGTCGGAAGGTGATGCGGTCACTCTGCATCGCCGACAAGCTTCGAACCTGGCCGGAAGAAGAAAAACACCAGCAGCCAACCCTACACACAACCTCGACGGCCCATCGCCTACCACCACACTCTCCATTCCTCCTTGGCATCCTGAGGGTAAAGAGACGGACCTGAGGGGCGGATTAAATTGCGCCGTCGGAGAAAATTTCAGCGGTAGTGGTCGGGTGATACTGTACTGTGGCATCGCGAGAACAGGATGCGCGTGGTACTTGGGCGCGCCGCATTGTCAAGGCGATAGGAGCATCTTCGCCCTCTCCACCACAAGCCAGCTGCCGTCATGGCCTTCCACTTCAACTGGTCCCCGCTCATCGCCGACACCGACCGGGTGCGGCAGATGCTGACCTCCTCCCTCAACAAATCGCCCAAGCCACCCATCATCGTGGATGACATCCTCGTCAATGAGCTGAACCTTGGTCGTACGCCCCCGAGCCTGGAGATACTCGAGGTCGGAGATCTGGCGGAGGACCGCTTTCGAGGCATCTTCAAGGTGCGCTACGAAGGCGATGCCTATCTCACGCTCAAGACACGCGTCCAGGCGAATCCGCTCAACACCTTCCTCAGCACCAAGCCGACATTCGCCAGCCCCAACCCGTTGGCGGCAGGGAGTGGCTTGACCATCCCTCTACAGATCACGCTGTCCGACATCAGACTGTCCGGGTTTGTGATACTGGTCTTCAGCAAGCAAAAGGGCATCACTCTGGTCTTTCGAAACGACCCGCTCGAGAGCTTGAAAGTCTCCAGCACCTTCGACAGCATCCCCTTTGTGCGCGACTACTTACAAAAGACAATCGAAGGACAGCTGCGAGTCTTGTTCATGGAAGATCTGCCGGCGATAATACACCGGCTGTCTTTGCGCGTCTTCGACTCGGAAGGTCGCAGCATCGGCCCTAGCGGCGACCGAGAAAAGACGGACGATTTCCTGGCGGCCTCCGATATCCCCTCACCGACCACTCACGACCCCTCGGCACCGTCCACGATGGACGACGGTTCATCCGCCGAGCCTGTCTTCCCATTCGATATCCCCACGGAAATGTACGCTACGTTCTCCCAGAAGAATCTGCTTAGGCTGGCAACGCTCAGTGAAAGCCAACGAACTCTGAGCCTCTTCACCCCTCCCATCAGAGACGCTGTTTTTCGAGCACGGGCCTGCGCTGCGGAGCGGGACGAGCTGAACGAAGACCATGCGACTCCACTCCAGAGGCCCACGACCTTGAGCGCACTGCAGTCTACACTGGGCATATCTACCATCAGCGGATTATCATCAGCGTCTTCATTCGCTTCCGAAGCACCCTCATATCTCTCTCGGCCCAGTATCACGAGTCTCCCGTCCGTGTCCACCACGTATAGTCTGGGCAGTGGTAGCCGGCGGTCACATCCCACCCGAAAGCGGAAGAACCGAGTGGTGAATCTTCGTCGGCACCGTGATGGTGCTACGGATGGTGCGTCAGACGGTGTCAGCATCAGTAGCGGTTACGAGGACTCTGTGAGCAGAAGCGAAAGTGCCAGTGCGTATGGCTCTACCGCTCCTGTTAGCGCGGAGGATAGCACCGTTCCAACCAGCGCACCCGCAACGAGTGTACATCCGAAAGAACGCGAAGGCGAAGTGGACACTCCCCACGTCAGTCCGAAGAAGAAGCGGGATCTCGAACGAGCGCACAGCACCCTCGACCGGGTGATATCAAGTGCGGACGGGCCTGCAGCACTGCGGCCGTCCACCCCTCAGTATCTTACCAATCCGCAGATGCTGGACGAGGATGACACTCCGCGTGCCTCGATCTACGTAACTGCCGAGCGTAATAAGCCGGATCGGGTGCCGGCAGCAACCACACCATCGGAAGCCGCCAGGCTGTCCCCACTTCCACGGTCAGCATCCGAATTGAGCATTTCCGACCTTGTCTCGGCCTTTCCAATGCATGGCAGCAGTTCTGGAGGCATTCTGGAGCAAGCGTGGATGATGAAAATGGCGAATGAAATTGCCAAGAGAGTGGCGGAGGAGAAGCACCGGCACGGGGCCAAATGGCAGCAGCCGGATGCAAGTGGGCATGGCGATGCCCCGCCGGCATACGTGTCGTAGTCGGATGGGCAGGGAATACGCATTGACGTGGGCTCACGTGCCCTCCCTTTCTTATTGATATTTGCGAGCGAAGCATTTGTGTGGTTCGGCATAGCGGTATGACGACGAATCAATGAACTACGATAGCTTAGGTTGATACCTCACTCCACAATCTCAACTCCCTTGGCGCATGCTTATGCGCACAAATCGACTTCCAAACGTCCCTTACGCAGCCTCATCCCCCTGGAGTAAGCGTTCCACAGCCTTTACTTTGTCCTCCGCCGTCTGACGCTTGTCTGTCCGCGAGCCAACACGGATATCGCTCTGGATCCGGACAACTCCGTTCGCGTGCAATAAGCTATGACATTGACCAATAATCTCCATGACCTGTGACCACGAACCCTCTTAGACAAAGGTCAGCACGAATAAGGTGATAGCCAGATGGGTCGTGCGGGAAGACACACCCAGCGTTGTGCCCGCAGAGTGCATGTGGTATATCACTCCCGACTTCTGGAGCAGGCGCTGCACTGCGGCGACCTCTTTCGAGACCGAGGCCGTCGGCGTGCCAATGGGAATGAGGCAGAAGTCTAATCGGAATGAGATTAAATGGTCTGGATCAGGTCGAGAAGCGGCATCGACTGACCAGCGGTACACGCCGAGGGAGTGGGGAGCTTTGTAGGATCGTCGTCGGGCATTTTGGGAGAGAATGGACTGAGGTCAACCGCTGGTTGGGAATAATCGTGAGCACTCATATATTCGTGGGAGAGTGCGGGAGAAGTTGGTGTGGAGAGGTGGAGCTGCATGACTGACCGCACCAAATTCCGGGGTGCAGCCACTTCACCTCTTCACCCTTGCTGACTCTTGCCTTCCGCATCCATGGAACCTACGCTCTTCTTGGAAACGACATGTGATCAGAGATGGCCGGTGAATATTGCGAATCGTCACCGACCCGTTTTGGCCGGCACATAAGCGAACGACAATGTCGGTAGAGGTCTTCTACACCGCGCATGAACATCCACAACTCCATGCCACGAAACCTCCTGGACCCTCTGTCCGGTGCATTCTGAGGTACCTCGCCGAAGGCGGTGCGAACTTTGTGTTCCACATATTGCCACGGACCTCCGACGATGCTCTACCGCCCGCTCTCGAGGGGAGAGTACTCCGCTTGCGTAAGGATCTTCCTCATGTCCAGAGCGCCAAGGAGCAGGCCGAAGCTTTCCAACGGCACTTCGAACCTCTATTTGCGCCGCAGCATCTCGTCCAGCCCGAGCTCATAGCCCTTGGCGACGGCTTCTCGTCTCTGGTCAACGCAAGCCTCGCAACCCTGGAAAGATCTGCCGGCCGCGACACCCACTCCCTCTCTCGACACGAAACATATGCATTATTACTCGCCGACATGACCTTCAACGCTCCTTGTACGGGGTTCCAGATGAAGCCCAAGTGGTTGGCTCCATCTCCGAGCGCTCCCCATGGGGCGAAGCGATGCCGCACATGTGCTTTGCGCGCATCGCGAGTCGCTCACCAGCGCTCTACTCCCACCGATGCCCAAGCATTCTGTCCGTTGATGCTCGTCAGCGATGATCCCCGGGACAGAGAAACCGCTGCAAAGATGGTCACGAGCTGCCCCGTTCTTCAACGCTTCCTGACTTACGATGCATCCAGCTTATTCTCAACGCTGCGTGAGGGTCAAACCACCTTTGATCCTCGGGGAGTATTGGCGCTTACCGCGGATGCAAGTGCCGTAAATGAATTGTGCAAAGCCATGACGTTGAGAGACTGCACGCTTTTCGCCAGGCATACCTCTCATGGGCCGGTCGAGGCACGCTTGGCAGACCTGGATCTAAAGCAGCCTGCAAAGCTCCCACAATGGGCCAAAATCGAGCAAACCTTGACCGAGCAAGGCTGGTACACCAACGAGGAGGATCCGCAACATTGGAGTAGAGAGCTCATGTGCCAATTGTCTCGAGGGGTCAAAGGGGTATAAACCTACCCTCATCTGAGAGCCTTGATCGTTTTCTATGCACGACAATCAACCATCATCTCACGTTCGTCGCCAATCCCCAAATTGGCCGCGGAAGAAGATGGCAATGTCTCAATAGCACATCAGGTCGTCAGTATCTAGTATGGGGGCCACTTGTCGGGTATGAGTCCCTCCGAGTCTCTGCCACAACAATACATGCAAACGGTGATGGTGGAGAATCAGATTCACGGAAGTCTCAGACGCTCGTTCCAAATGGCGAGAGCCTGCGGGGAACATCAACGGACGTAGCAGCGCAAAACGGCGGGATGAAGCTGAAGGCCAATCGTTACATGCGGGCGAATACGACATCGTTCTGCTCGATTGCCGGTGTGGTCGCTAATGTGTACATTCTCGGGCAGGACGGCAGGGGGAATGCGAAGAAGCACCGGATTCTGATCCAACGCCTCCAGACTTGCGATGGTTCATTGGCATAAGAGCTTCTCACAGTCGGCGGCGCCGCGTCAGTCGAGATTTGCGCTGGCCGACGACTGAATGGACGGAATGATGCTTTCGGTACTCTCGCGCGACAACAACATGCGCATTCGCAAATGAAGCGGACTGTAGGATGGGCGAATTGCGAGGAGTGGCCGTCATGACGAGGCTGACTGAGACCGTCCAATGAGCTCGGACCCAGTGCGCTTTCGGGTCTGACAACGCTGTCCAATCAAACGCCCATCCTGTCAGGCACTAGATCTGAACGCCATCGTGTGCAGTCTCGCATTTCGACAACAAAACATCACAACTCGCTACGCTAGCAAATGGGAACGAGAGTCGATGGAATCGCGCGTGACTTATGTACAATCATTTTACATGCCCGGTCTCACAAATATTTCAGTGGCTCTTCGAACCCCCGCGACGATGCCACCCACTGCCGCTCCATGATGGTCCAAGGCCGTGCTCAATGAAAAAGCCGTTCACTTGCGCGTAAGTGAATGGATGTGTGTATTGCAAGTTCAGTCCGTGACCGCTCCCAGGAACTGCCAGTTTCGTTAGTTTCACATTTGCAAAGCTCATCAACACTGGAAGCGTACCAATAACGGTCTGGTAAGCCGAAGCGTTTGGGAAGAGACGCTGCGCTGCAGCTGGGAGAGTTGGATATCCTGTGAAAGACTGATCGCAATTACCTCCGCAGAATGGAAGGTCGTTCTGGCCGGAGATGACCAGAACCGGTCCGGTGAATTCAGTAGGCGGTCCGTCGGCAGCACTGCCAGCAGTCAAGGTCAGGAATTCGCCAACGGTCGGTGGCGCGCCGGTGCTCGCCAGGAATGGCAGGATGGTTGGGTCGAACTCGTTTGGTCCCAGAAGATCTTCTTCCAGAGCAGCCGTGCCCCCGGGCGCTAGATAACCTAGCGGGTACTCCGGAATCAACGGTTGCGCTTCGACGAAGTCGCTGGCCAGTTCGAAGAAGTCGAAATATAACGATTGCGTCGAGTAGCCGGTCAAAGCTACGCCATCCCAAACATTTGGATCCATCTTCAAGACGCCCACCGTCTGGATGGATCCGAATGAGTGTCCTACATGCAGCACCTTCTCGAACTTGGGGATGCCTTGAATGGAGCCCTCGCGTAGCATATTGGACAGAGATTCGAGGGTTGCCATCTGAATCCAGCTCTGCACAAAGTTCAAGGGATCGCCATGCTGAGACTCCCCGATACCGAGTCGGTCGTACGCAAGTGTTGCGAAGCCGTAAGTCCCGACGGCGACATTGGTGTAAGAGTAGTTGTAGTTGTTGAATGCCAGATTCCAATAGCCGCGATCAAAGCCAATGCCGTGAGTCAGCACCTGGATGACATCCGGTGCGCCTGCGGCCGGCTGACAATACGTTGCGGTGATGTTGAATGTTCCGCTGACAGTTGCGTACTGCACACAAATCAGCCCGTCGTACCATACTCTGCTACCATGTGACATGAACTTACCCCTTCCAAGCTGGCCTGAGTGAAGTTCGTCCCTTGACGTGTGAGTTCCAGCACGAAGTTCGTCACCTCCACCTCGGTCTGTGGGTTCAACGACTCGGGGAATCTTCCATTCCTAGCTGAGGCAGTGACGGGAATCGTCAGATTGGTGCAACTCGGCTGGCTCACGCAATGGTTGACGAATAACGCCGCAACGAGAAGCACTATGCGTGCGGCCATCATGGTGGAGTTGAAAGATTGCAAAGATCTTGTTAATGAACAAAGATTGATGGAGTAGGGGCGTTGCTCGACATCATTTATATCACTCGTCGACTGCGGCCTAAGTTTGTCATTACCTTACTCACGATTTACGTTTGAAGTGTAAGCATTTCTCACGGAGGATGTGCCGCTGAACTCCACGAAGGCTGAATAACTGATTGATAAGTGTTGACAAATGGTGGCCGTATTCTCGTAGTGCCCTCGCCAATGCAGCTCCGCTACATCAAAAGCCTACCAGCGGTGGTGTCGACACTCACAGCCTCGTCGTGATCAGCTGGCAAGGCTGGCGAGGAGCTACGCTTCGACATCTACCCTACAAGCAGCGACAGTACACTCAGCACTGTTCAACAGAAAGCTTCCAGTCTCGATAGAGTTAATTAAAGCAATCACGATCTATACTCTACAATTCTGATAGCTCCATCTAGATCGTCTTTAAGCCAGCCTTTGCAAAGCGCACCAAGCCGGTGCCACGACGGATAAGACAGGCATTACGCCTTTCGCAGCTCAAAGTCTCGTGGTCCGGTTGGGCATGGTTCCAAGGATTGCACCACACGTACCTACCGGTCGAGCGCTTCCCAGGGATCGAGACCAGGTGCCTTGACAAGCTTGCCCGACTTCCATATGTGGGTGATGTTCTTGGGGGATCTCAACACCTCCATATCATCCAGCGGATTTTGGCTGAGCGCGATGAAGTCTGCATCGTAGCCCACTCGGATTTGACCGCTTTTCGGCCCTTGTCGACCTAGCGATTCCGGTCCGTTGGCTGTCGCTGCTTCAATCGCCTTCAGAGGCGTCATGCCGGCCTCTACCGCGTAGACAACTTCGCCGCCGTTCAATCCCGGGCTAAGGACCGTTCCGATCCCTCCAAACAGATCGGAGCCAATGGCACACTTCACGCCAGCCTTGATTGCGTCTTTGTACGCTTTGAGGTGTGCTTGCGCGACGACCTTTGCTTTCTCGAACATCTCACGAGGGTACTTGTCCTCATTGTCAAGTATACTGCGTATTGGCGTTATCTGCCTTTTGATTAGCAACTCTGGACGTCGAATCATGTTGATCCTCACTCCCCAGGAGCTACTCACGGTGGCTACAAGCATCACATCATGCTTTTTCATTTCTTCGTAAACCTCATCGTCGCCAAATGAATCGTGCTCAATCACTTTGAAGCCGGCACGAATGGCGGCTAGAATGCCGGCTTTGCCCACAGCATGCGCCGCACAGACGAGGCCCATCCGACTAGCTTCGCTGACGATGGTCTCGAGCTCCTCGTCAGAGAATTGCTGGAGCATCGGATCATCATCTCGGGAGGTGATCCCTCCGCTTGTCAACACTTTGATGATCTTGGCGCGTCGACGCAAATTCAGGCGCACGGCTTTGCGGCACTCTTCGAGTCCGTCGGCCAAAATCACGCCAGACATTCCCGCATCAGCGCCGGGAGCATTCACGCTGAGTCGTTGCCTGGCGCTGGCATAAGAGACTCTGGAGGTTCTTGATCAGCTTCGCTTCTGTTTGGCGGTGCTTACACGAGACTCACTCAAAGACATCGCCGTGTCCACCAGTCATGCTGATAGCAGCACCGGCTCCATACAGAGTTGGCCCGAGAAGCAGCCCTTCGTCGATCACGTTCTGGAGCTCCGGAGCATAGCCACCCAAATCCACGCAAGAGGTGAAGCCCGCATAGAGGGTGTCCTTCAAGGCTCGGGCATTCCTCGCGCCCGCCTCGATGGGATTGCCTAATGCCATGTTTTGCATGTCAATGGGCCGTTTCGGTGATGCGCCAAAGAAATGCGCATGACATTCCCACATTCCGGGCATGAGTACCGGAACATGTTGCAGATCTACCTTCGCATACTCCGCTGGAATGGAGGTGCAAGCGCCGACATAAACAATCTTCCCTTTCTCGGAAATCACAGCTTGGTTTCGAAGCGGTTTGCCACGCCCCGGGAGTAGGCAGCTGGCGAAGAGACCGGTGGCTTGGTGAGTCTTCTCTGCCAGAGGCCGCGGCACAACAATCCAGTCACACATTGCGAGACGTTAGGCTCGGTATCAAGGCTCGGACGGAGGGAGCAAGAAAGAGAGAGCGGCCTGTCCAGTCTGCTGCCGTAAGAACTTCAATGATAGACGTTGGCGCATTGCCAGGCATGTCAGCAACACGAAGTCTCCATTGATACCCCACATTGTGAGACGAAGGTTTCGGCTCGTCCCAGGCCGCCAAACCTTAATTGCCAGGCGAAGCTCAATTCGTATTCAGGGTTTCGAAATTTTGAGTCGGTGAAGCTTTCCATCCCCACCGCATTGCACCATTCTTGCACCTACAAACACCCTCGCTCCTGCGGCGTGGTCCAGAGGCGTGTACAGCATGAACGCCTAGTCTTGCTCGCCTCGTGTGCGTCCCTAATTGTGCTCTTGACGGCCATTGGGCGGGTGAGAATACCCCAACCAGAATCTGAGGCATTGCCGCTTCCAATCATGGACCCTCCTGCGCCCATTGAGACCTCGCGTGCGGATGCGATGCTGGCAGTCGACGAGAATGGGACACTGTCCCCTCCAGGCCGTCGAGAGATCTACACTCCTCCTCCGCAGAAAGACGATACAGATGTCGTCCGCATGGCCCCAGAGCTCAACGATCCTATCACTAGTGTATACGAACCTCCGTCTCTTCAAACGCCATCCACTGTCCGGACGAGCTCCAAAGGTCGGCACGAAAAGTCTCCCCCAAGCAGCCGGGATTCACTGGCAGGATGGCTGCGGCAAGGCATGGTCGATCACCAACTCGGCCTATCGATGAACCTCATCCTCCTGATCGGCTTCAGCTGGCTCCTATTTCCCACTCTGCGCGGACGCATGGCTGCGTTCTACTCCCTCGCCTACCCCATTGGGCAGGGAGACTTCGGACAGGGCCCTAGAGACTTGCAGCTCGTTGGCGCTCTCGTCGTCATCTTCACTGGCATCCGCGCGTTCGCCCTCGACTACATCCTCATCCCTCTCGCTTCGCTTCTTGGAGTCAGGCGACGGAAGCCAAGAGTGCGGTTTGCCGAGCAGAGCTACTTGCTGTTGTACTATTGCATTTACTGGACTTGGGGCCTTCAGATCTTCATGAAGGCCACTCCCTCCTCCCTCGCAGAACCGGCACTCACCCTCGAGAATCTCCTCATCTCTCTGTGGACTGGATACCCACTCCTCCGCCTGGACGCAAGTATGAAGCTGTATTATCTCAGTCAGCTGGCTTTCTGGGTCCAGCAGATCCTTGTCATCCACATAGAGGAGAAGAGGAAGGACCACTATCAAATGTTGACTCACCACGTCGTTACGATCGCACTTCTCTCCACCAGCTACGGATACCGACAGTGTCGAGTGGGCAATGCCGTGTTGATCTGCATGGATATCGTGGATCTGATCTTTCCAGTAAGTGTCACGACCCCTGACAGTTGACCAAGCGCTAACTCTGCACCCTGCAGCTCGCCAAGATTCTACGATACCTGGGACTGCAAGCAGCGTGCGATGCAGCCTTTGCCCTCTTCGTCGTCACATGGCTCGCTGCGCGACATGCGGCATATTTGACGATCTGTTGGAGCATCTACGCTCACGTAAACGAAGATGCCATGTCGTACGGTACATACTCACTACGGCAGTCGACGGAGACTGGCCGAGCTTCCGGGGTCAGGCTTTCAGCGGACGGCGGACGGGAGGTCTTTTCAAACGTCTTCCAGCCTTTCCTCGATCCGACCGCAGAGACGGTGTCGTTCAACGCACGCATTCGGTGGACCTTCCTGGGGCTGTTACTCGGGCTGCAATGCATTACGCTCATGTGGTTCGTCATGATCTGCCGCGTAGTCGCTCGAGTGCTGCGCGGAGAAGGCGCCGATGATTCACGATCGGACGATGAAGAAGATGTCGAGACGGGACCTCAGCCGACTCAGCCAACGTCGAGCTCCGTTGCGGCGAAGAGCAAGCCTTTTATCGAAGTGGAAGCGACCGCGGACCAACTCTCCTTTGGACAGGGGAGAAGGACGGGCGCGGAGCAAGTGAGCAAAAGGCGGAGCAAAGGCTTCTCATCTGGCCTGAATCTCGGTGATAGGAAGGAAATTCTCAACCGGATTGGCTGCTTGAGCGACGAACAGTTGGCACGAGAGCGTGAGAAGCGTGAAAGTAGCTCGAGCGGGCGATAACGCCGGCATTGCTTCTTGGTGATCCTTGAGCAAGCGGCACAGTGAACTTCGAGCAGATTCACATCACTTGACGATGAAATGGGAAGTGGCGGCGGCGAAGTGCGGATGCATCAGAGCGAGAAAAAGATATTCTCAATGCCCATTCCACCTCATCACATGTCTTAAATCAAGTCGTCCAAGATTACAGGGACCATCTCCAATAAGTGTCCCGGCTTACATTGCTTGACGCCCAACTTTTGGAAAGACTCGGTACTTGTACTCCTACGCTATCTTGCCGAGCTTCTACCAACAACATTCCAATCAACCAACATCATCCCCCTTCAACAGTATCAGACTCGTCTCGGAGGGCGGTTAGAGCGCAGTTACCGCAGCCACAAAGCGCTCAGTCCTCTCAGAACCAGTCGTCATCGTCACTGTCGAACTCTGCGTCGAAAATGTTAGAAGGCCACTGCGAAAGGGTAAGATGTCGGTCATGCAACTCACTGGCCTTGGTCGGCAGCTCGTCGCCGGGCTTGAATTGTCCCCAGGCGCAGAACACTCTGACAGACCTAGCACCATGGGTCCAGTCGCCATACAGGCCGTTGGTCCCATTCACGGGCAAGTCATCCATGAAATCGATGCAACCCGATTCGTACTGTGTCTGGACTGACCCATACGTATAGCCATCCCCGTCACACTCGGTGCCCGTATACCTAATGCACAATTCGTCAGTTGCTGTTGCCGAGCAAGGAGAGGGAGCGGCCGATCCCGCCACGGAAAGGGCACGCGACAAGATCACTTACACGGCCACTGTGCAGCGAGGGTCGTCGAAGGTGGTGTCCCAGTGATGCAAAATGCCCCCAATCATGGGCAAGGGATCGTGCGGTCGCACGAAGTAGGAACCGAAGATGTGATCCATAGTCTTGCAAGTTCCACTCTTCAGCTTGTGTTTCTGTTCAACAGTAAGCGTACCGCATGACGGGAAGCGAGTGGGATGTATCGTCGACGGGACGCTGCACATCGAATATGCACCAGAGGGGTTGCAACTTACGTCACCCTCGCCAGCGCAGTTGGAAGAAGAGTATTTGATGACGTCGATGGTGAGGTTGGGGTCGTCATCTTCCAAGTCGGGGTCGTCCTCTTCGTCGTCGCGCTTCACGACGGCGTCGTTGGAGATGGCCATATTCGCAGCGTCATCGAAGGAGACGGCAATACCGGAGTTCTGCAGCGCAGCGGCAGAGATCGCAGAGGAAGGAACATCAGCGGCATGGATGGCTAGATCCGTGGAGCTTGCATCTGGGATGACGGCGGCCTTCACGGTGGCGACGACGGCCAGAGAGGTGGTGATGATAGTGACGCGCATGTTGTCTTGTGGTTGTGGTTGGCTTGATCTTTCAGGTATTGTTGAGCTTGAGAGTGAGGTAACGAAAGGAGAGATGAGGCTAAAGCGATGAAGGAAAAAGAAAGAGCAAGCAGAAAGGACGAGCTTTTATACCCTTTGCTTTGGAGAAAGGCCACGAATTCGCAGTGCGGTGCGCGAAGCTAGAAAACTTATCTCCTTGGGTCGGCAGAGCTTGGTCGGTCAGAGCCATGGTGAAGAGATGGGGCACCCGTGTAAGGAGGTTGGATGTAGGGGCGGAACATGAGTGTGGTGGTGGCCAGGAGTGCCAACCGTGGCTGTTGAAGATGCTACCCGCCTTTCTTCTCGCCATCTAACCTTGCACATCGGCGTGATTCGTTCATGATAAGCACATCATCGTAACAATTATCGTTGTCTTCATTTGGCTGGAGCGAACATTGCCACTGCGTCCAGATCCGGCGGGTCGAATCGCCGCTCTCAGCTTCGGAACAGCGTCGGACAGCTCTTGCATCTTTGCTGATATCCAGTTCGCACGGACGCATGATAATCAGATATTGACGCAGCGAGTAGAAACGTCTGTATTGATTTCGACCCTCTCAACTGCTGAAATGTGTGTCTCAAACCGTTCGACGTTCCGTGGTATGCCGATGGCCAAATCGATATCCAGAGCTCCGTCGTGCGGTCCTCGGACAATGCGAGCCATCGTAATCTTGGCGCGAGAATACGATCAGCACACATTCTAACCAGACCTTTTGGACCTGACGGCGCGGTTGGCCACCCACGACACAATATTGTACCGGAGATGAGGTGCGAAAGCGCATGAGCCCAGACGTCACAGTTTGGAAGCTTGGCCCCTGATTACCTACACATCGCCTTTAAGAAATGTACCTTACGTAGCAGGTATTGAAAGAACACACATTGACTGAACTTCGGGCTTTGGCTGGATTGATTTGAGTTGCAAGCGTGACAGCTGATCTATGCGTGCTCTCAATTCTGGCCAGACGCTCTTGCCCTGACATTGATCGTTGTCTGATACGCCCTTCGTGCGGGCCCGCATCCGAGATGGAGCAGCGCGCAGGGCGGTTCTGGGATAACCAAGCACCAAGCGCATCCCTTCATCCCGCCTCTAGCATCTGCACCATCCCCAGCGTGCTTGCGGCCCTTTCCGCCAGCTCAACCCCCGATCTCACTCGCTTCTGCACCCTCTTAATAAGCCGGACCACTTCCTCGCCCTCCTCGCCATCCTCCGCCCACTCCACCAGCTTGTGGCTGTACAGATCGACCAGCACGAGCATCACGTCGTAGGCCAAGTAGACATTCTTCGGCGAAGCAATGCCCTTGAGACACCATTCGAGAATCGATACCAGCTGCTCCGCCCGCCGGCCGTCAAGGGCAATCCGTAATGCCGATCGGTGTCGAAGCGCTGTCACCAGAGTTACCACCTCCGCGTTCTTGACCGTGCCATCGTCTGGCTGCAACACTTGATCGAGCGCCAAGCCGTACTCGCCTCCACGTAGACTTCGCTGCCACGCACTGAGCTTCTTCATGCTTTGTCTTGAGCGCTCGTTGCCCGTGATGACAATGTCCGCGCCTTCGCCTTGAAAGTCTTTGCCACGGTCGCGTGCGCGGACGCCTTGTCGGAGATCCTTCTTGCGTTGCTTGCGTTCGTATTCATCACCTTCACCCGCGAGCAAGGCTTGCATCTTCTTCTCCTTTTCCTTTGCTCGAACCTTCTCTGAGCCAGCTAGACGGGTGCGCAGTGCTAACAGGCCGGACTGCAGTCCAACGGCTAGATGCCTGTCCTCAGCTCCGGCGTTAATGACGGCGAGAGACAGTATCGGGGCTGAGTACTTGATGCCCCCAACGACTTCCCAGGATGTGACGTCGTGAATCTTGACGTGGCCGTCCAACGCTCCGGTGAGGAGGCGGCGGGAGTTTTGCGCCGTGCTCAGAGCGGTTACGGTCTTCTGATGAGCACGCACGAAATGCTCGGGTCGGCCGGCGGTGAGGTTGAGAATGCTCACTTCGTTCCCGGCAGCTGCAGCGAGCGTTGAGGCATTAAGTGGAAGGATACATTCGATTGGCGCGGCATGCTTGAATGTCATCACAGCGCCCTGCTGTCTCGAGTCCCACAGTCGAACGGTCTGGTCGTAGCTACCGCTTGCAATCATGCTCTGCTGTTCCGGCAAATAGCAACCAGATCGCACGTAATCTGCATGCCCGACTCCGGTCCATTTGGCGACGTCTTCTGTAAGATCCCACGCCCTCACTGTGCGATCGTCCGAGCAGCTCATTAGGTCGGTGAGGACGCTGGGGTTCCATCGAACAACGTGCACGGGTTGTCGATGTGCCTGTGCGCCCCTCCATTGTTTCAGAATCGCTCTGCTCCCGGTGTCGAACGCTTGTACAGTGCCACTGTCTCCGCCCGCCAGTAGAATGCGTCCATCTCGTCTCAAGACACCGCTACGTGCAGTGTCTTCCAGCCCAAACCGACTGATGCTTTTGACCAATTTGCGAGTTTTGATGTTGAAGATTTGCACTCTGCCGCCGCTGGTGACAGCGAAGACGTCGGCTTGGCTGCCAGAGGGATTGTGTGTGGGCGTGGTAATAGAGGTGACGGCGGAGTTGTGAGGCGACGGCAGAAGCACTTGGTTCTTGAACGTCTTCCAGTATGCTTGATCGGGGGTCAGCGCGGCCGGTCCTGGCGGTGCGCGAGCGGGCAGTAAAGGCCGCACTTCGGCCGCCATCCTCGCGACTGTCTTCGGTCTGTCGCCGTGTTATGATGTGCAGTTGTTCATGGATGTACGTTCACACCGCAGAGAAGCTTTCGAGGTTTGGAGATCTTATCTGGAAATTTTTGGCTGACGGCAAGCGGCGGGCGATCCCGTTCATCTGCCGCTGTACCAAATACTACTATATCGTTCTTCCTGGCCCATTTGTCCCATCTCATCGAGAAAAGTGGTATACTACGCGCTGCTGATCAAGTAGCCGCCGAGAATATTGCAAGAGACCGCACAAATGGCCATCTGAAGAACACTGAAGTCAAGCACACCGTACCGAAGCGCCGCAAACATCATGCGATTGAAATGGGGAACTGCCTAGGACTATGCTGGCCGTCGGCGAATGCGCACTGACATAGAAGCGCAACCGCTCCGCTGCTTGCATATCCACATACAAATTGTACCACCATCGCCACACTATCCTTGCTGTCTCTTCCGCTTGCCCACTTGGGCAGAGAAACCAGTCTTGATCGCGGTGACACTCCTCCGACTTCCACACGAGTTGCACGTGACGAAGTACAGTCTGTTCTCGCCCTTGTTAAGTTCCGTGTCCATGCTTCTGCAAGTCTTGCACGAGACGTATTCCAGGATGTATCGGCGCAGGACGTTTTCGATCTGCTTCTGCTGGAAGCGACCCTTGATGACTAGGCGTCGGCTGCCGTCCACGGAGCCGCTGGTACCCAATTCCGCGAACAAGAATTGAGTGACATGCTCGTCGGTTCTCTTCATGCGCTTGCAGATGTCCGCGATGTTTGCGAAGATGGTCTTCTTGTTGCCTTCACGCAGACACTGCGGGGGTGGGATCTTGTAGGACTTGCCGCCGGCGGAAGCGAGGTCGGGATGAGAGTCGTGAAGAAGGGTGAAGAAGCGGGAGAGCAGACTTTCGTAGTTGATGGGCTTTCCTTCGTCGTGCGCCCAGATACCCGTGCCTTTGATCGGGTCGCCGTCTTGCACGCCGGCCACTTCATCCGCCTTGGTCTCGTCGTCGGCAGGAGTGGCGTCTTTGTCTTCGCCCGCCTCCGCGAGCTTCGCCTCGAAGTCATCGTCCGCGGTCTTGGGCTTCTTCTTCTTTTTCTTCTTGAGAGCACTGAGGTCCAGGTCGTCCACATCCTCTCCCGCCGCCTTCTCCTCAGTCACCGCAGTCTCGTCCTCCTCCTTCTTCGCCTTCTTTTTCTTCTTCTTCGCCAGGCCCTCGAACATGGCCGTCATCTCATCCACTTGCTTGTCCTCTGTCTCGCCGTTGGCTGGCAAAGAATGTGACTCTGCGGATTGCTGACGGCCCAACGTCTCGGTCGACTCGGTCACTTGTCCAAACTCGTCCACGATGGTTTGGCCTTCGGCAAAGGCCACGCTTTTGCGCTGCTTGCGCTCTGTGACCTCGGCCATGATTGTGGCTTGGGGAGGTTGTCGATCTGTCGCAGCCAGTGTATCGTTGAAGCGATGCAGGTGGTGGGTGGCCGATCGATTTCTGAGCAGAGAAGTGAGTTTGACTCATGAAAACGTCAAGTGTGTGCAACTTCCACCTCTTGCCTCAGGCTTCCATGCGGCGGCCCGCTCCCGCGACTAACCAGAGCTTAACCGGGTTTGGAGACAACAAGAACATAATGCTCGGTGTCCATTCAACCACACACTGCACTCCTTGTCTTTCATTCAAAATGTCCGGTCCGTCCTCTTCTTACGCGGAGATTGCTCCGCCCAGCGTTGCCGACAGCGATGAAATCGATTCCCTCCCGTCCTCATCCGCCGGCTCATCCACCTCCGTCTCTCCCAGCGAGGAGTCCGATGCCGAGCGAGAATGGCGGGAAAGTCTACAACAGTTGGAATTGCTATTGACAATGGTGTTGGTGCCGTACCTCGGCAAGTACTTTGGAAGGAAATGTGCATATTGGGGTGAGTGGATCCGAAGCATCTGTCCCTCGAGGTGGGCCATTCAAGGGTAGAAGAGACCACACCGCTCACACCTTTCTCACTACTAGGCTGGGCCAAGTTTATGGAGTGGAAATATCCCGTCAGCGTGGAAATTACGAACCCAGGACTCTTCAAGGCAGCTGGTGCTGTCGAGGCCGTTGCTTCGCTGTGAAGGACCGTGGGGAACAACATCCTCACCAACATCTCCCTCGGCACATCCTAGACGACCAAGCCCGACCATCCCATCAGACTGATGCGAGCAATGAATGTTGTGCAAATCGTGCAGCAGGGGAAGGTCTAAAGTACAAATGAAGGTGGTCTGACCGTGGCGAGCCATCTCGAATACTGCATCTGTCGCGGATGAACCGACCCCGCGCCCCAGCATCATGCAGACTCTCATGAGCTGAGAAACTCCCGAAAGGCACCGGTATGTACTCAATTTCCACCGGGATGTCAGGTCATCGACTTTGGCTAATCAATGCCGCAGATATGCGCATGCATGGAATGCTACAACCGCGCCGGGTACTTGTGTCGTGAAGTCGGCCGTCTGGGTGGTGGCTGTGGAGAGCGCCGTGGTCGCGTCCCAAGCTTACCCGTAGTGGATAGCGCTGCTGGAGTCTAGATTACAAAGGCGTGAGCTAAAAATGCCAAATGTCGGCGAAGTGGTTGACCTCAATGCCAGAACTTCAAGTGAGCTTGCTGAGTATGATGTGAAGCATGTCAAGGCAAGCCGTTGCTCCCGTTGAGATGAAACAAATAGGTTGGAACAGGATGATGGCCGTCAGACGAATAGAAAATACACGCCAACCCGTAACCGCCGAATGCTGGATATCCTCGACCCGTCAATACCAACACCATAGAGCAAATGCTTGCCAAGCGGGCAGGGAGATTAGCGAACGCTGATGTCTGGCAACATCCCAGTCTACGCCCCAGCGTGTGCAGAAAGGTAGGCTGCCACTGCGGCCGGGTTCCGAGTTTGCATGTACACCGTTCCAGGTCCTAGCAGTTGGTCAGTCTCAGGAGTTCAAGGGGCTTACGACTCAACATGGCTTACCGGTAAACTTGCACACCAGGCCTTCTCCCGCACTCATGTTACTGATAATACCACCGCTCGCGATTCGTTCGAGCACGTAGTTGCAATTCCAGGCCACCAGATGACCGTTGTCCACCACGTACAATTCCTTGTCTTTCAGATCTTTTCGAATGATTGCGCCCATGCTCATGATCCAGCAAATGCCGATCCCGCTTATCTTGTACACAAACAAGCCCTCGCCGGAGAACAGGGCCTTGCTGAGGCTCTGGCGGACATACTCCCTAACAATGCCCTGTGTGGAAGCCATGAAGGCATCGCGGCCCACGTTCCACGTCTCGTTCCCGGGCAGTCGAAGATTGGTGACGTCGCCGAGGGTATGCGGGGCGAGTAGAATCTCGCCGGGGCCAGTGTAGTGGCTGTGTGCGATTTCGCCACCAATCAGCATCTTCTTCATGCTGAACTTGATGGCACCCTTCAGGGTCATGGTAGGTGACATGGCGATCATGAGGCCCGGCTTCACGGTCAATGGGCAGCCGATAGCCAGCTGGATGGTGACGATGGTATTGGTGTCTCGGTGGCTGATGCGATAAGAGCCGCCGTTGAAGGTGCCCGTGTCGTCCACGGTGGCACTCGCCCCGACGAAGCCCATGCCCATTGGCGACATGGGGCCTCGCATGCTGAAAGGGGAGCGTGGGGAGAGGGGCATTTCGGATTCCTTCACTGGTTCCTTCTGCTTTTCTGGAGGATATGAGGTGGCTGGAGGTGCGGCATAGACTGGAAGGGCCTTCTCTGATTGAGATGCAGCAATGGCGCTGGAATTCTCAGAGACGGGGGGGCTGATAGAAGGGGGAGCGGCGAAGGTTGGAGGGGAGACATGCTGAGCTGGCGGCTTTCCGGGCGACTTGGGCGTCTGAGGAGGCGGTGGGTAGTAGCTTTGTTGAGTGATTGCTGGAGGCGGCTCGAAGTGCTGGTGCTCTCCTGGGTCCGAGTCAGTGTGATGTTTTCTTGGAAGGTGGCTGAAGGTGAATACCGGTTGGAATGGAAGGAGGTGGAGCTGGAGAAAGGCAATCAGCAATCTGTAGTCGTCGCCAGCAGCAGTGAACCTACGAGGATAGAATTGAGCAGACATGATATCTGACTGGCTCGCAGAGAATCGCATGACACTGCAGTGAAGGTGGAGATGCAATGCTATACGGCACAGGAGAGATGGATCGACGAAGAGAGCGAGAGGCAGGAGAGAGAGGGAGAGATGCACGAGAAGACAGCAAAGATATATCGAGACCAACCAACCTTGCTCATTCCCGCTCCTGGGGAGAGGAAGCACGCGCATGGCCCAGTGTCGTGTCGTTCACCGAGCTGCACGGCCATTCAAGCATCCCATTGGCTGCAAGACTGGCCGCGAGCCGCCAGCGCACCACAGACTTTGGGGCTGGCGCTTAGCAGTGAACGATCGGCGGTGTTGGGCAAGCGGCAGTCGGCTGCTGGGTGCTCGAATGGTATGGCATGGTGTGGCGTGGCATGGCATGGCATTTCGCACGCCTCCCAAGTGTTTGCAGATGGTCTGGTGAGCTGGTGGAAGATGTTTCTGCAAGGTGAGGAGGCGTTTGTGGGGTGGCAATGGTGGGGATGGACCAACACTGCCGGAGACAATGGACCAATGGCGAGCCTTGCTACCCCGGAATTCATCGCCATGCACGTGCTGACCCGAGTCCACGTCCACGTGCACGTTCAGCACATTCGAGCGCACCTCATGTTGGGTGTCTGTCGACTCTCAACGGTTTTGTCGCGGTGCAGAGCAGGCCCTCGCTTCTTCGGTCCGTCGTGAGTGATCCTTACCTTGTCATCACTGCACAGCCCCAGGTTTTAGTCTTAGGTATGCGAGCTGACGGCGACGGGAGGCATTGGAACTCCGCAAAGTCTTCACGCTAGGCTGCATTGGTACACCGCCAGGAATCGGTGTCGAGTTGGGCGATGAGTAACAATCCGGCCGCCTTAATGCCGCCTGCCCTGCTCGCCCGGCCCTCGACCTTTTCCCCCATCCCTCCCTTCTCGCCGCATCACACCGTTGCGTGCCGCGGTCGCAAGCTCACCAGCGCTCCCACGCTTTGGACGTGAGCAGTCACACCAGACGACTCCGTCACTCTCCGCCAGCCGGAAATCATCCTCAACCCAACCATCAATCCCGACAAATATCAATCCTCCCCGAACGACCAACATTTCCGCCGAACCCAATGGCTCTTCCGACCACCATGGAGCTCCCCACCTACTGCGTCTATCGCGAAATCCGACCCGACGGCTCCGTCGACCTGGCCGCTCCACTGCACTTCTTTCCCCCGCTAGGCTCCGACGAACTCTTCGACGCCCTGCGTTCGAAATTCCCTCATCTGAAGTCCCACTCCGAAAGAGTCGGCCAGGCCAGCATGCAATTCTTCCTCGAAGAAGACCTGAGCCAGTTCCCAACTCCCCTGGCCCCACCCTCCTCCACCAACGTCTCCCCCTGGGAGCCTTCCCTACCATCTTTCTGCTCCGAAACATCGGCCTGGAGCAGCCCGGACGCTTTCGATCCCGCGACTCCACACAGCTCGCCGCTCTCTCACCCTCTGAGCCGGCAGCAGTCCATGGCCACATCCGCCACTGCGCCAACCAGCGCCACTCCTCCCGCTCTGGAGCGAATGACCTCGGTTTTCACCCTCGCCGACTACCCTCAACCGAAACAACACGTCCGGCGGAAAATGACCGACCAGGAAAAGGCCGACTATCGCCAGCGTCGTCTTGCCAAAGCCTGTGAAAAGTGCGCAAAGAGAAAACGAAAGGTAGCTCTCCCCTTCTCTGTTTCCCGTTCCATCACTTACTCATCCCATCTCTAGTGCACTCATACCCACGAAGGAATTGAAGTCGCCTCACTCAAGACGGCAAAAGTGGTCAAGCCCAATGCTGCATCGCTCAAGAAGTCTGCGGCACCAAAGCTACCCAAGATCCAAGATGCTGATGACTGGGCCATCCATCCTACCGCGGATTTCGGCTGCCCACCCTCACACGGCATGAGCTCGCTGTTCGACGAATCTGGCTTGCAGCTGTCCGACTCTTCGTCGGGTCTGGACTTCGATGACCTGCTCGCACCTCTGCAATCACAATGGCCATGGAGCGATACCCCCGATTGGACGCTGCTAGATCCGACTCAGGACGCATCGGTCGCGGCGCACGACCACACACCACAGTGCCGATCCAATCGCTCCTCTACCCAACCATTCGCCCTATTCGATCAGCCGGAGCCGACATGGCAGGGGAATCCCATAGCATGTGCCGACGGAGAGAACTCCCACGGTCGCGAACCGCAACTTTGCGAACAGACTGCGCCATCTGCAGAGGCATCAGTTCTGTACCAGCCATGTGTGAACCCCACGCTACTTCACGATCGCCGCAATCAGCAGGACACGCGCCACGCGGGTAGTCCTGATTGCCAAGACGACATACCACATGTCTATCGGAAGAGACGTGCGAACGGCCATGCCGGAGTAGACGAGCTGCTACAAGGGACCCAAAGGCTCATTGAGACTGCTGCGGATGGCAGGAGTCAGCAGCGCTCGCCCTCGCTGGCCGTCAATACGAAGTCACACCAATCCTCAGAGACGCTTGAGCGGCTTCTGAATCACAATCCGCAATCGGAAGGAGAGTCGCATAGGCGCGATACCAGGAACGTCAGAGGCCTCGGCCTCGTCAGTGCGCCTGGTCTCAGCCGCGGCATGCTCCAGCAGAACAGCTCCACGTTAGAGACTCGGACGCTAGGCGAAGGCATAACGTCCAGTGTTGATCCACGAACTCAACTCTACATGCTCAAACGACGCATCCCGAACGCTCTACACAGCATTGTCGATCGCGACAACTCGGGCTCCTCTATGAATGGAGGGCCAACGCTGCAAATCCATATGACTGCAGGGCCAACCCTGCAAGTCATACCTCGGGAGCAGACGTCGCCAGAGCAGCAGTGCGTGCGTGCTGAGACAGGCATCGCTGCTGGCGTCAACGGCCCTGTGCACACTCGTCCACGCGCTGCATCGGTGAGCGGCTTCGCTGCGGGCAGTGCAACGCTGCAGCAGCAAGGGATCTGCGAAGAGTCCCGCCTGTCTGATCATGTGCGCCGCCGGGATCACTTTGGTAGAGGACTTTCCTTTGGCCTGCAAGCTTTTCGAGCCGTGGCTGGCTTGGTTTGCTTGTTGGCGCTTTGGTCCAGGTTTGCGTCGCTGGACGCGAGCCTTTCCATGGCGCTGCTTGCCCTCTGTGTAGGGCCTGTCTTGGAAAGCAAGGGCAGCGGACGGGTGGGCGGAGTCGCAAGGCTGCTTCCCGCGTTGCTGACCGCTTAGTTGAGGTGGTATAGCACGGCTCTGGTCGTGCTACGCAATAGAAGGTTCATAGACAAATGGCATACAAATTTGCATGCGAATGTTTACTCAAACTGTCACTTTGATCCGTCTCGCCGTAACGCAAGGCTTTGAGATGACTATGGGATGTGTGCTATGCACGCGCTCGAGTGCATTTCTCCCTTTTTAATCCTCCTCGACGCTGGTTAACCTATCAACCAAAGCCGCTTCTCTCCTTGAGGACACTTCCTGCGCGAGTATCAGTTCCGCTCCATAGAGAGTGTCTACACGGCGAGAGGATGCTCACCTCGATGGCCGGCGCGGCCGTGTGCCACGCGGCCATCAGCAGGCATCTCAAGGACAATTCATTCTGCAGCCTGCTCCTGAAAGCCAACCTGTCCTTGCTGGTCTTGATGGGAATCTTATCAAAGCCTTGTGTGCGGTAGTTGCGGATGAGATGGAGCATCATGAGCTCGGGAAAGTCGTCAAAGGCCTTCATTGCCAGCGCCTGCGCAGATCGCCAGTAGAAGATGGCGCTGCTCACGAAGCCTATGCAGGAGCCGATGGTGAAGCCCACAGCTGCCAGCGGGCCTACCCAGGCTGTAAGATACGCGGTGGTGACACCCCCGAGAGCCTTGGAGTCGAAGAATGTGTCAGTGAGGATGGGTTCTCGAGCGAAAGGCCAGGCTCAGTACCGCGGAAGCCATGTTGCTCGTCAACATATTGAACATGAAGATTCCGCGGCCACTCGGGGCGACCCAGCCGCCTACCGATCGCAGCAGCGAGGCAATGGACGTGGGGTGCTGCTCGTCCTACAGAGAAGAAGTCAGCGAATTCTCATGTGCCGGATCGACGCGTTAACGCAACGACTTACATTGGCCAGCGACATGGTTGGATCTCGAGGCGTGTTTTTGAGTGAGGTGCACGTGATGATGGGATGTCGGATGTGAATTGGATTGCCTCGGTGTTCGAGACGACTGACATCTTGACGCCTGCCACGCTCGAAACGACCCCGGGGCTCTTCTCTTGGCCGATCGGCGTTCAGCCTCACCTCAACCATTCGACCGGCGCAGTGTTTGACGGTCTCGATGCCCTCGAGACGGGTGTACAGACAATTCCATGCTAGCGATGGGACTCTCACTGTTGCAGAGAAAAGCGATGCTCGTCATTGCCGGTGCAGATTCCCTTGTATTCGGATGGCCGAGTTCCAGGTAAGTCGATCATAGAGTGATCTGCCGGACAATACATCACCCCCCACCTCCCCCGCATCATACCTCCCCATGGGCGTGGCGAAACCCGGGGTTAACTACACCGCACGTCCAACCGAGCTCCCTAGTTCTCTTATTCCAGATTCAGTCTACTCTTCATCCGCAGTCATCATCTACTTCTCCCTTTCCATCAAAGCTAAGTTCTGGACACGAGCAATCGACATGGCGCAAACCAACGGCGTCAACGGCGCACATGAAGCCGCTAAGCCTGACTACGATGTGATTGTCGTCGGCGCTGGCTTCTCCGGCATTCGAATCATCTACGAGCTGAGGAGATTGGGTCTCTCCTACAAAGTCATCGAAGCGGGCACGGGTGTCGGTGGGACATGGTATTGGAATCGTTACCCCGGCGCGCGAACCGACTCCGAGAGCTGGATCTACATCCTCAACTTCTCCAAGGAGATCAACCAGGAATGGACGTGGAAGGAGCGCTTCCCGCGCCAACCAGAGGTGCTGGAATACCTCAACTTCGTCGCCGATAAATTCGACATGAAGAAGGACATCCAGTTCAACACTCGCGTCACATCGGCGCATTGGGATGATGCGAAGACCCTTTGGAACTTTGAGACCGATGCTGGAGAGAAGCTCAACAGCAGATGGTTCATCTCAGCGACGGGTATTCTGAGTGTCGGTCGCGAACTCCCCTTCCCGGGCGTCGAGAACTTCAAGGGCGAGTACTACAAATCGTTTGCCTGGCCCAAGAAAGAAGTAGATTTCAGGGGCAAGCGAGTCGGCGTTATTGGGACAGGAGCGACGGCGGTGCAGCTGATTCCAATGATCTCACAAGAAGCCAAATCTTTGACCGTCTTCCAACGCACGGCGAACCATGTCCTGCCCGCGCGTAACCATCCCCTCACCGCCGAGCAGCAGAGAGACATCAAGGCGCGCTACGACGAAGTGTGGCAGGGTGCGAGGAGCGAGATCTTCGGCATGTCTTTTATCGACTCCCAATTGAAGATGATGGAGATCGAAGACGAGCGCAAGATTCGCCGGGTATTGGAAAATGGGTGGGAAATAGGCGGATTCAGGTACATCTTCGAGACGTTCGCAGACCTACTTACTAGCCAAAAGGCGAACGACATCGCCTCGGATTTTGTCCGCGAGAAAATTCGCTCGATTGTGGCAGACGAAGACACCGCCGAACTGCTGTGTCCCACCCACGCATTGATGGCGAAGAGACCTCCGCTCGGCCATCACTATTACGAACAGTTCAACAAGCCTCACGTCACCTTGGTCGATGTGATGAAGAACCCCGTCAAGGAGATCACCGAAAAGGGAATTCGGCTCACCGAAAAGGACCAACGAGCTGACAGTGATGAGTTTGAATTTGATATCATCATATTCGCTTGTGGATTCGACGTGAGTGGAGAATCGAAGAAGAAATGAAGGAATCCTGGGCTGACCTCGCTTCAAAACAGGCCGCCACCAGTGCCTTGGCAAATATGGACGTTCGCGGCCTGAACAATCGATCTCTCGGAGAAGAGTGGAAGACCCAGCTCGAGACGTACCTTGGGATCTCCATGGAAGGTTATCCCAACCTCCTCATGTTGTCCGCGCCACAATCGCCATTCGCAAATTTGCCCATCGTCCTCGATAATACGGCGACGTGGATCTACACCGCGCTGAAGTTTGCGCAAGACCATGGACACACGAGAATGGAGCCGACGAAAGAGGCCGTCGACAAGTGGTGTAAAATGCTTACCGATGTGTATGAAGGTACTGTCTTGCCTGAAGCGGCAACGAAGGTGAGTGAATCTGATTTGATACGTCTGCTTGAAGGGACACTCTCTGACCTAAAATTCTCAGGCCGGATCATGGTACAGTAAGACACCCCCATTCACCAAATCACCCTTGAGATGCACCTACTGACCGCAGACTCCAGTCGGAGCCAACGTTCCCGGAAAGCGAGTCGCTCCCCTATTCTGGTTTGGCGGCGTGGTGAGTTACTTTGAAATTTGTGACAATGAGATCAAGAATGAATTCCCCTCGATGATTATGGCTTGAGTATGTATGAGATGACAGCGGGATGGATGACGGAGTTTGCGATTCAGATATGGGCTTTACATCGATACGAATACCACGCAATCACAGTCGCTGAGATCAAGGGTCATTTCTCCGAGCTGTGCTCGCCAGCGATGGTGGACGCATCAGCTCCTCGAGCTCAAGCATTTTGGAATTGTTCGTCGAGAAGTCGACGTCAGTAGACCTCACCGTCTTATGATCGACATCCCCGTCGACCCATCCAGCATGGTACTCAAGCCCAGTGTTTGCCCTCCATTGATCCACCAGCCCCTTTGCCTTCAACGGGAGGAGCACTCTGGACGGAGCCTTGAACCACTTTGGCTGAATGACAAAGGCAAGCATGATGCGTGGGTTTGCCGTCCGATTGGGAATTCCAGCATGCCATAGCCGGATGTCTCGAATGATCAAGCTGCCCTTTTTGCTGCACGGATTGGTCGGAGGGCTATGCTGCCGCCTTTGCTCCACTAGCTCAGGCTTGATATGCAGGACGCGCTCGCCATCGTACACTACATGTTGATCCGCGCAGCTGTCATGGTGGCTTCCCAACCATACCTCCGTGCTCCCGTTCTGAATGCTCAAATCGCACAAAGGTATGTTGATCAAGTAGGCGAATGGGAACGCCGGATGTGGCTTCTCAATGTCGGAATGGACTGGTTGACGTCCGTTTGCTTTCAAAGCAGTGTTGCCATTGGCGTAGTGGCAGACTATCTCTGGTCCGAGAATGGCTTTTAAGATCGAGCACGCCACGGGGTTGGCCCAGACGTCTTGAAACATCAGCTCCGGATTCAATGGTGGGGCTTGATCCTGGGATGGTCTCAATGGTCAGCGATTAGTATCTTGTCTTGATGGGATAGATTGCTGACCATGTTCCGAGTCTGCCTCCCAAAGTTGAAGTGATGATTTGGATTTTTGGCAATCTCAAAGGCTTCGGGCGCAAGGACGTCGTTCAATGCGTCGAGATGGCTCGTCTCAATCGCATTTTCGAGGATGAGGATGCCATCGCGATGGAGATACGTGAGGGCTTCAGCAATGAGTTCGGGGGACGCTATACCCGCCGCCCTCGCCGTGTCTGAGACATGCACAGTATGCACTTCTTGATCGTAGAGCGTATCAGAATGCGTCCTCTTGGGCATTATGGGACCGCAAGAACGCGTCTAACAAATACGAAATCCACCTTGCATCGAGCCTTCCGTGATCAATCGTCATCAAGGGTAGGTGTGGTGGGATCACCTCATAGCCGATATCGGTGCTTGCTTGTCTATTCGTCCGCGCATCAGGTACTTCCTCAAACCATTAGTAACCAACACATAATCAAGATGGTCAATTCAAAGGACAAACTCGCTGGCAAAAAAGTCATTGTGGTCGGGGGAACATCAGGGTAAGCGCATGCTGCCTTGTGGACCGCAGTGAGAGCTGACACTTGGTCAAGCATCGGAAAAGGTGCAGCCCTTGCTCTCCTGGAACATGGAGCACACGTCACGATCGTGTCGTCTTCTCAAGACAACATCGACCGGGTGTTGAAGGAAGTCAATCATCCGAACTTCCAAGGCAAGGCGAGTGCTCATCTGCGGTCGAAGGGCCCTTGGTATCGACAACGAGACTGATTGGACGAAGGTTGGCAATGTTCGTGACGAGGCATCCTACACCGATGCGATCAAATCTCTCGCCCCGGTGGATCATTTCGTCTACTCTGGCGTAGACAAGATCATCCGTGGTGCCATTGCAGAGGCCGATCTCGAGGAAGCGAAACATTACTTTGGCGTCAAGTTTTGGGGATCCGCCTTGACGGGCAAGAGTAGGCAATCTCCTTGCATACGTTCTGACTTTAGCTGAGATTCGACGCAGTCGTTTCGAAATTCGACATTATCAAGCCTGGCGGTTCTTTGACATTGACCTCCGGGACTGGAGCGATGAAGCCTGGGACGACCGCTTCGATCGGAGGCAGCTTGAATGCCGGATTGTTCACGATGACTCAAGGCCTCGCGAACGAGTTGAGGGAGAAGAAGATCCGAGTCAATTGTAAGTCGAGACCAGCGGGGCTTCGATCGTAGAAGACTGATCATTGTAGGCGTCGTTCCGGGTGTTGTCATTACTGAGCTCTGGGATAAAATGGGAAGATCGAAAGACGAGCAGAAAGAGCTTTTCGAGAAGACGGCCAAAGATCTGCCTGTCGGGTTCGTGGCCACTCCAGAAGATGTAAGTGCAGTCGGCCCGCAAAACCCAATTACCACTCCCAAGTAACGATGAATTAGATCGCGGAGGCCTACTTGTACTGCGTAAGTGGAGGGCATCATCTTCGCCCGAACAACAACTGACATCCACTTCAGCTGAGAGCAGATTATGCAAACGGCACTCTGATCACGATCGATGGAGGTGAGTTGTAGACCCCCATGCTTTGAATATCCGGCACTGACTTGGTTTGGAGGCGGTATTTTGTGATTGTGGGCATCTCAAGCACCTCTACACGCGCGAATCTCATTGAAGTTTGCTTTGATCGGCAAATGGTATCTTGATTATTGCTGCCTATGGGCTGCTGAGAACCCGCAAAGTGATAGGTAGGATGAGCACGCTTCAATCGTCAAAGACCATCTTCTTGCCTTGCGCCTCCACAATACCGCCGCTCGATGCCTGCGTGGTCGCTGTGGCGCGTGCATTCATCTTTTCGTGCCGCTTCCGACGATCTTCTCTACGTTCTTCACTGTCCGGCTTCCCACGCCCAGTCTGGGGTCGAAGACTCTTTTGCTGGCCGTTGGAAGCGCTGTGAGGCCTCGCGCGAGGCTGGGCGCTATCACCATCAACCGGGACGATAGCGTCTCCGTCAGTCGCAAAGCCGTCGTCATTCTTCTGTGCCCTGGCCTCTTTGCCAAAGCGCTTCTTGTACCTAGTCTGTGCGTCCTCTGCAAATTCGCAACGCAATTGACGACCATTGAGGCGATTGATGAACCATTTCTGTGGCTTTCGTTTGCGTCGCTTAGTCGTCTTCTTGCTTTCGTCGGCACTGTCGTCTTCGTCTTCCTCCTCGTCTGCATCGCCCTCAATACCCTTGAAGATGAAGCCCTTAACGGCAGCCTGCGCCGCCTCGATAGTCGCAAAGCGCAACCAGCCGAAGCCCTTGCACTTCCCACTATCCTCAAACGTTGCCAGAAAGATGTCCTCGATCTCTCCGGCTTGAGTGAAATGCTCACTCAGCTCTTCCCGCGTGACATCGAAGCCTAGATTTCCTACGAAGACCCTCTTCGTCGGTTCCAGACCCTTTGCATTTCCGGGAGCATCGCCTTCCTTCTGCGCGTCCGTCTTTGCGGGGCGGCCTTCGAATGACTTTGCATTCTTGATCAAGACTCTCCTTCCGTTCAAGAGCTTTTCACTGAGCTCCAACGCTTTGTCGAGGACGACTTTGGTTGCAAAGTCCACATATGCAAAGCCCTTGTTTTGCGCTTTTGCCGCGGCACCCTTCTCTTTGCCCTGCGGAGCAGAAGTGGGCATATGCAGTCTGGTTATTTCCGTACCTTCGATGCCTCCTTCGTCTAAAAATTCCCGGAGGCGCTCCTTGGTGACAGTAAATGGAAGGTTTCCGATCCAGATGCCGTACTCGCTTCGCTTGTCGGACGCTTGCGCATTGGTGGAGGAGGATTGCGTTGTGGCCGGGGTGGCAGCTGGTGCCACTCGGTCCTCAGAAGCATCCTCGTCTGGCGCTGTCGGTTCGGTTGTGGTCGAAGGTTGGGGTTGTGGTTGAAGCTTTGCCTTCTTCTCTTTGCGCTTCGCCTTCTTTGATGCAGGCTCGGGGAGATTGAGATCGATTTCGAGCTCTTCATCGACGACGGCCCGCTTTCGCTTTGGGGTCGTAGAGTCCACCATACTCTCTTCTTCCGTTCCAGACATCGTGTGGTGCTGTGAACGAGTGGGAAAGGAGCGGCTTTGCATCTGAAATTTATTGGATGAAGTTCGAGAGCCGAATTTGGCGAGGGGTGGGAGTACGGAAGGCGACAACGCGCAGCGCGTGCTAAATCCTCCTTCCGCAAGTCATCTTTCTGGACCCGTCCTTCATCAAGATGTCCATTCAATCATTGCACTCATCCCACCATGACACGCTGACCCACAATCTGGCCCCCAATACGCTCTACCTGCTGTCCATCTGACCTCACATCTCGCCGTCGCAAATCCGGGTAGCCAGAGGACGCCTCCAACACAATGTCGGACTCAGAAAGCGCGCCGGCTGCAACCCATCCTCCGGTTGGGGGTAAGACCCTACAATCAATCGAGAGACCGCGGTACAAGTCATGGCGCAAAAAGTATCGCAAGATCCGACACAAGTTCGACATGGTGCTGGAAGAGAACAAGCAGCTCTTCAGAGAGGAGTACAAATTGTTCGGCACGGCCAAGAGGCTACGGGAGGAATTGGAGTATGTCAGAGCCCTATCGCCTGCACCTTTACCCACACCTATGCTGACGCTTTCCCAGTGGCCTCCTCGACCTCTGCCTCGATCTCAACCAGAACCCACACCTTCCTCCCGACCTCCGCTTTGACATCTCCCACGATCTTCACCCCCCCGACCACAGCCTAGTTGCGGCTGATATCACCCCTGAAGAGGCCGACAAGTTGATTTCCGAATACGAGTCAGCGGTGAGGAGTGCGCAGATCCCCATTCTAGATCTTCACGTCGTCCGGCAACAAGTGAATGAGCGTCTCGCCACGCAGGGCGCGGAAGCGCTTCACTCCCTGGAGAGCAGCGTGTCACATCCCGTCGCCGGCGATTTTCCGGACGACATCAAAGGCAATTATCCCCACAACTTCCTCGACCCGGACCAGGAAAGCGATTATCTCAAGACTCTGGACGCCAAGCTCGCCGACAGCCTCGCGCAGGCCGACTCGGAGCAAGACGAGAAAGACAAGCATTGGGCGGGCTGGACGGCGCGCGAGTTTGAACGGCATATGGAACTTCACAATCCTCAAAGCCAGCACAGCTGGCTGAAGGAGCACGCCGCGGAGCACGCCAAGGGAGGACTTGACGAGGACTACTTCTATCCGCCGATCAACGAGCTTCCTGCCAAGCCGGCGTCGGCGAAGAAGCGAGCAGAGAAGGGCAAGACGCTGGCCAAGCAAGTCGGGGATCGAGCGGTGGAGAGGATGACGAGGGAGGGATGGAGTCCGAGCGCTGCGAGTGGTATGGACGAGGACGAGCTGGGGCGGGATGAGGGGCTTGGGGGAAAGAAGAAAGGGAGAGGAGATGCCGACGGGACGTTCAGGCTCAAAGGAGGCAAGGGCGGGAGTACCAAAGGGAAGAGGAAGAGGAGTGGAGAGGAGGGTGGCCGGGACGGCACACCCAGTGGGGGAGGGAAGAAGGCGAAGGTGGAAGTAGAGTGAGCCTTTCAGGCAAAGTGCTCTCAGTGGAAGATCTGAGCAGTTTGGAGAGCTGCCTAGTCGCAGAGTCTTCTGTAGCCTTTCGAGTATGATCCGAGCTGTATGTGTATCATGCCTCGCACACGCGCTTATGCCACCGGCGTGCCGTGATTGGTGATCGGTGCCTGCCATTTCGGGACGGACGGCTCGCGCTGGCCCGTGCAGGAGAGGCGGACGGCACAGAGCGGCGATGTCATTTGCTGCTCCACCAAATCACTGCTCCCTTTCACCACTTCCGCGCCGAAATGAAGGGACGACCGCGGGGGCTTTCACACGATACGTCATCCTGGCAATATGAGTGGAAGGCCGCATCCACCGTCAAAATCGTAGGTCATGCCGCTTCTTCTTGTCCAATCCTGTTCCCTTCTCGCATCATCGACATATCTCGCGAGCACACTTTTCACCATGCGCGGACTATCGTCGTTTATCCTGGCCGCGCTGTCGAGTGTGGGGGTGAGAGGAGCCGTTGCGAGCAGCTGCGTCCTCAACCATGTCTCGACATCGCCGCCGACTGGTTCCGCTGAAGTCGCATTGCAGAGCTACAGCTATTGCGGAGGCACTCTCAATGTCACCGCGTACGTCAATAATTTGAGCTACAACAAAATTGTGACGTTGTACTTTACCAATCGACAAAACGAGAGCACACCATTGTCCGCTCTGTCTCTCGGCTACGAATCCTCCGTACCCAACAGCAAATTCGAGTATTGGATCGCGGCTGCTCCGATCTGGACCGACGGGATTACACAACTACTCAACATCACCTACCAGGACACAGACGACGGCCAGACGTACCATCAGCTTCTTGATCTCCATGTCAAGGCTACTGGGGCTCCTCCGCCCACTCTCCCTTCCCCTCCCGCGCCCTATGCTACCCCGAGCGGTTTCGGGAACGACGTTACGCAGTACCTGGCCGTGGAGAGCGGGTCTGAAGCCGAAATTGCACAGACTGGACTCTTCCGCAATGTCAACCCAGCCGTCAAGGGCGCTGTAAATGGCACGGTCGTTGCGGCTCGAAGCGGTCCATTTTATTCGCAAACCGAACCAGACTACGCCTATAACTGGGTCCGCGATGCAAGTCTGACCATGGACGTGGTGCAAAACCTGTACTCGGCAGCCACCAGCAAAACCGCGAAAGCTGCGTACGAGCAGGTCTTGTTCGAGTACGCCGTAGCCAGAGCTACCGAGCAAACGGACCCCAATCTAAAGACAGGACTTGGAGAGCCCAAGTTCTACCTTAATAACACAATTTTCAGCGGGCCCTGGGGAAGGCCCCAGAACGATGGTCCTGCTACGTCGGCCATCACGTTGATGGAATTTGCCAACGACTACTTGGCCAGCGGTGGGAATGTGCAAACGGTCAAGGAGAAGATCTACAACTCGTCTGCCTACCCTCACGTTGCTCCCGTCCAGAAGGACCTTCTCTTCGTTGCCAGGAATTGGTCCTGGCCATCGTATGATCTCTGGGAGGAGGTCCAAGGCGACCAATTTTACACTAGGATGGTCCAGCGACGAGCACTCGTGAACGGTGCTTCGTTTGCCCAGAAAATGGGCGATTCGGCAACATCCTCGACGTTGGCGGCAGCTGAGAAAGCACTGACAGCTACCATGTCTCAATTCTGGGATCCCAATCGCGAGATCATCCTTTACGCCTACAGCCCCGTCATGGACAATAAGACGAGCTACCTCGACACCGCGGTCATTCTCGGGATCATCCATGGCTACGCTGGGGACAACGTTTTCTCCTACACGAATCCTCAGGTGCTGTCCACGGCCGTGAGAATCTCCACAAGCTTCATTGACGTATATCCTCTCGCGAACAAGACTCGCTCCATCTCCGCGGGTCCTCTTGGCATCCCCGTGGGGCGATACCCGGAGGATGTCTACAACGGGACAGGCACGCAGGTGAACGGCGGGAACCCATGGTATCTCTGCACGGCGGCGTTCTCACAATTCATGTACGCCGCATCCTCCGAATACGCCGCGGCCAAGACCATTTCGGTGACGAATGTTTCCCTACCATTCTTCACCTACTTCGCGCCCGAGGCGAAGTTGCAGGTTGGGAAATCTTATTCTTCCACCAGTAGCCAGTTCAAGCAGGTCATCCAGAGTCTGGACGGCTGGGGCGACGCTTTCATGCGGACCATCAAGTACTACACGCCGGCGGGTGGAAATCTGCATGAGGAATTCAACCGCAATACGGGTGCACCGCAAGGGGCTTCGGCGTTGACATGGTCCTTCGCTTCTGTGCTTACCGCCGCTTTTGCCAGAGCGGAGCTGAGAGGGAACGGGTCGTATATCGAGAGTCTTGCGAATCTGGGCTTCAAGGCCAATTCCTAGAGTCAGCTTTTCGTAGCGTAGACGCTTAGAGAACATCTATACAGCGTGTCGGTCAAATGCCGCATCTCTTTTGTTTGGAATCAGCCAACGTCGCCGTAGTGTCTCTCATAACGTGCTCATCGTGGAGTAGAAGCTGGAGAGGTGGCACAAGGCCAGCGAAGACGGCCGCAGGTCCGGCGCTTTATTAATCGTAGATTATAAAGACGTTTAATGTGCAGTTACACTATAGGTGTGTACAAGTTTTATGGAAGACTCTATGTCACAACTTGCTGTCTCGAGGCATAGGGGGTGTCTCGGCGGCTAGAATATCACACAACCACCTCTCCGCCTCTTTCCGAAGAGGAGACGAGAACTCATGCCTTGCCTTGGCGTCGACAATATCCTCCAACTCGGTACCTTGATCGTTGAACCAACCGCCGTTCTTGTCCACGGCTTTCTTGAGCCACGTGAGAAAGGGCTCCGACTGCTTGTACGGAACCAGCCCATCACTAGCCCCGGCCAACGAGATGATCTTCTTGCCGGCCAGTCGCTGGGTCATGATGGGTCGTAATCTGGCCTGCTCCGCTGGAGATGGCGTGTGTAGGTGATCGTCGCCGGTTACCATGTCGAGCTCGCCGAGCAAGATTCCGGCGGGGTCAAAGCGCTCTATGGCATCCACCAAGGATGGAGGAAAGTCTTTGGAGCCCACAAAGTGTCGCCCGGGAGGGTCGGTGCCCACCGCCGACTGTACTCGACTTCGTATCGCCCGATCGGTCATGAGTCGAACGTAGTCCGGACATCCCACCACGACCATTCCGGCGGTGATGCGTGGTTCGTTCAATAGTAGCACCCACGTCGCATGGCCGCCGAGACTAACGCCGCCGCAGATGTGCTGGCTGATCTTGAAGGGCAGGTAGTTGGGAAGGTGGGTGATGAGGTGGGAAACGTCCAGGGCGGTGCCGGTGTACGTGTTGAACATGTCGGGGCCGTGACTGGGGTTTCCCTGCTTCCAGCTGACATTTGCGAGGTTGTCCAGCATTCTGGACCCATGGTTGCGATGATCGATGCACACGCAGATCAGGCTTTTCTGTCCGGGCTTGCGTTTGGAGTTCCAGGCGTGGAGGAAGGCGCCGGCGACCAGGCCCATGCTGTCTTGAGTGTCGCCGCGGCCATGGAGAAGCCAGCAGCACGCCACCTCGCCGGGCTGGTTGGGCAGTTCTTCCAGGCCGTATACAGTTACCAGCAGCCCGGAAATGTTCAGACGTCTCCATGAGACGGGCTTGACGTCTTTGAAGGCCGGATGGGTCATTGGCACGGGCGAGTCAAATGGGGAGAGAGTGGAGTGAAGTTTGAGAGCGTGCTTCCACGTGAACGTACTGCCGCCGGCCATGATTCGGGCGGTGTCAATATCTATTGCACGAAAGGATCATGCGTTTGCTAGGGTAGACGAGTATGGAAGAATTGAAGAATGCGCATGGGAGGAAGTGAAATGGTGGAGGGATGTAGCGATGCACGACTGCCTTAGGTTCTGAATGACTTCCGAGGAAACGCCTCGGCAAGTTTCACAGGCCTCTTCATGAGCTACCTGGGATTCTGGGAAGAGGGTGGTTGTGGTGGTGGAGATGGAGATGGAATACGATCGTCGCCATCCCTTTCCAACACCGGATCTATCTAAACTGTGGTTGTTGACTGCATGGCAGATTGCAGAAATCAACGAGATCCACGGAATGGGGTGGACAGAGGAATGGCGGGCTGCAGGCCGGAAATGCGCGTGAGAGCGTGTTCATTAGGTAAGCTCCTCGCGGGCGTCACTTGAATGGAACGCGTCTTCCCGCGCGTCGAGCTGCCGTGCATTTGCTGAAAACACCGCGACTTCTTCCCGCCCGTTGAACCACCGCTCTTCTTACTCTACATCGCTATTGCACTGTCTGTTCTTGCATTCCCTTCAGTTACGTCTCTCATATATGTGCATGGTTCCTCCTCCATCACGCTGGATGTAACGACATCTACTGCAATCAGCATGTCCACAGCGTCCTCTTCCCCCGCCAGCAATCGCGATGGCGCCTCAACTGTCGAAATGTTGACTCCACGGACCAAGGTCGCGCGAATGCTCGCAGACATCGACGACGAGATCGATAATGCCCCCAGCCCTTCTCCGTCTAAAGACGCGCAGGTTGGACGGCCTCTCACAAATCCCGACCTCGATGTCCACCAACTTCCAGCCTCCTGTGAAGCGTCTTCCATGCCCACGCAGCACTCTGCATCCGACTCGGAGGAAGATGATGAAGAAGAGATCCGAAAACCACAAGGTCGCGCCGCGAGACGCATGCTTCACACCAAGAGCAACACGTCTTCAGCGCTGGATGTTTCACCTCGTCAAAAAAACCCTAGCCTTCAACAGCCCGCCGCCGGCTCCGATTCCGATGATGATGACCTCTACTCAGCTACCCCTATGAAAATATCCAGCCGCGCCCGGTCCGACTCACCATCCCCACGCGGAACTGAAAGCGGCAACGGTCTGTTCGTGAGCCCCGCCAAGTCCATCGGTGCGCAGAGCGAGGATGACCTGCCTACCAACCCGTTTGGAGGCAAAGAGAAGCTGGCAGAACTGGTGGCACAGAAGCGAGCCGAACGTTTGGAGCGAGAAGCCGAGGAGAAAGCACGAAAGAAGGCTGCCGCCCACGCCGGACCCTCCTCAGACCTGCCAGACGAGATGTTTGAAGATGCCCAGGATCCTGTCGATCCAAACATCGAGCAGATCATGTCGGACGCCACTCGTCCATCCCGAAAGGCTAGCAAGAAGGCTCTCCTGGAGATGGAGCGCGAGACGCAACGATTGACACGCCAGCAAGCTCTGGCACATCAGATGAAGGTCAAGAAGAAGTTCACCACCACCGATCTCTTCGCTAAGTTCAACTTTCGCCAGTCACCTGCCCTGCCGCCGACCGTGATCGCCGAAAAGGAAGCTGGAACCTCTTCGGCGCCCAGTAGTGATGACATCGAAGAGAGGGAACCGGCCAGCACACCCCCCTCGAGCCCGCCCACCCCCTTGGATAGGCAAAAGAGTCTAGTGGATCACGGAGCTCTGAACAAACTCGTACCCACGCAGCAGCATACTGTTGCGGCTTTCCTCGAGACTGACGCCGACGATGAAGATCTGCCAGACATCGCGGAGGTGCTCAAATCATCACAAATACCCACGGCCCGGCGTACGTCCCCGGCGAAGGAAGCTGTGCAGGAGAACAGGGGGCTCAAACTGGCGCGGCTGGGCAAGAAGGCTATGCGACAGGATGACAGCAGCGATGATGATCTCGATATTGTCCCCAATCTGCCAGCACATCTTCAAGTGTTTGAGAAAGCAACCGGCTCAAAAGGCGCGAAACGATCTGCCGACTCGAAAGCGATCCAGCATCTGAAGCATCTTGCTCACTTGCACGTAAATGATGTGCCGGCGCGTAAAAAATCCTCACGTCCATCTGTCGCCCCACAGACATTGGACCTTCAGCTTCGTAAGAAGGCCAAGGAGCAAGCACGCCAAGCGCAGCTGGAGCGCATCGAGGAGCTCAGAGCCAAGGGTATCGAAATTCAATCCGTGGAGGAACGAGAGAGGGAAGCAGAAGCTTTCGAGGACCTGCTTGAGAAGGCTCGGCAAGATGCCCTCAAATTGAGGCAGGCGGAGAAGGCTGTAAAGAAGGGCGCCGACGGTGGGGATGCGATGGTGGCGAGTGAAGACGAAGACGAGGACGAAGATGAGGACTACTCCGACAGCGGCAGTGACATGGAGCAGGATGGGAACGATCTTGTGGATGCTGCTGCCGAAGAGGCAAGCGAAGAGGAAGAGGAAGATGAGGATGAGGATGAGGATGGAGACGACGAGGCAGAGGACGAGGATGTGGAAGTGGACGAGGCACCTGAGATCGCTGACGTGGACAGTAACGAGCAAGACGATGTGGCTCTCGATCCAGTTCTGGACGGCACAGACGATACTAGAACAGAGCTCGCCACTCCCGCAGCACCGTCTCGGAAAGCTCGAGTCTCTCGAGTCATCAGGGATGAAGACGACGAGGATCTCGTATCATCCGAGCACGAGGATGCGCCATCCACAGCCAAAGCGGACGACCCCTTCGCAGCTTTCAACTTTGGCGCCGCAGGTAATACCGATGCATTCTTAAGCCCGACGCAAGCGTTCAATGCGACGATGCAGACACCTACGCAGACGACGCAAGAGGACTCGTATGATATCTTGCGACGGATCGCACCCCCTTCTGTTGCTGCACCACCAGACTTCCTCCTCGACTTGGACACGCAAATGGATGACGAGCCGCAGACGGTCCCCACAGATGAAAGCCAAGTTCCTGAAAGCCAGCGTGTTGACTTGCAATGGGAAACTCAGCCCCCTGAAACTCCTGCACCGGCGCATCTGAAGCGCGGCAACTCTGCTCTCACTGAAACGCCCGGCTGGGAACCATCACCAGATCCGGGATTACCGTCTCCGTGGGATCTACAGCTCAGAGGAGAGTGGACTGCTAGTGCCGGTGTGGAGCACGAGACCCAGTCAACCGTTCGCCTGCGCGTCAGCGAGTCCCCCGCCCCTTCCCAGGCTCCCGATCGACGTGGTCGTCTTATTCGCAGGCGAGTGGCAGAGTCAGACGAAAGTGATGAAGATGTCGTCCCCGCAGCATCTATCCGCGCAGAGAAGAAGGATGCATTCCGTGAGATGCGGCGGCGTCAAAAGGAGGCCTTGACCACCGCCGAACGCGCGGAAGCGGACAAGGAGATGCGCGCGATGATGGACGAGCAGGCAGAAGAGTCCGAGGATGAGTACGCAGGTCTGGGTGGCGATGACTTTGTGGCTCCCGAAACCGAGGAGGACAAGGAGATGATTGACTCGTCTCACATCGAAGTCGATGAGCGAGCGATTGCCGCGCACTTTGCAGAGCGACAGCGAATTAGCGATGAAGCCGAAATCAGCAAGCTGTACAAGGAGGTGACAACGGGTGGGTTCAGGAAGAGAATGGGAGCCAACGCATTCGATTTGGAGGAAGACGAGGATGAGATGGCGGCGAGAAGGAGGCAGATGAGACAGCAGGAGGAGGCGAGAAAGAGGAAGGCGCTATTGAAAGACGTCAATGTCGCCTCTCTGGCTGAAGGCAGGCAGAGCAAGGGCAAGAATGCGTTCCTCAGAGCGATCGCCGACGATGATGGGGAAGACGATCTGGTCAAACTCTCGAGCGATGAAGACGAATCCGCGTCAGCTACCCAGAATACCAGTCAAGCGTCGCAATCGCGACCGACGAGCCCGCTGAGGGAGACCAGCGGGAACAAACGTCGTCTGCCGCCGGCGGGAGACGACGTCGATAGGGAAGGGCGACCAACGAAGCAGCGACGGACTCGAGATTCGGCACTCAGAAGACCAACGAGCTTGCTGCAGGTCCAAGAGTCCGTCAGCTTTCTGCTCGAGGAGCCCAACGCGGCCTTCATGTCCGGTGCTTCCGCAACGGAGCTCCTTTCGGACTCTGAAGGTGAGGAACCAGCGGACAGGGCATCGGACACCGAGGACGACACCGATCTTGTTGCAGCGGAAGCAGCGCGCAGCAACGATGGCGGCTTTGCTCCGAACCCTGCTAGCTTCGAGGCGAAGATCGTTAATCCTGCACCCATGCCGGCGGTCCATCGTCGTACAGCACCGAAAACTGGCATTGTGGACCGTCTATCGTTGAAGCGAATGGTTAGTAACCCCGAGAGCGCCCATGGCCGAACAGCCTGGGCAGCAGGACCGACGACGGGCGGATTCAAAGTGCCATCGCTACTGCGCCGCGCGACCACCAATGTGGCTACTGGAGCCAACGAACGTGGAGTCAGCGTCCCGTCGTTATCGCGGGAGAGCAGCGGGGTGAAGATGGGAGGGACGAAGAAGTCTTCGCTCGCGTATCAGGCGCGAGCGGAGGAGAGGCGGGCGATTGTTGAAGCGAGCGCGAAGAGGCGGGAGGAGAATACGGCGAGGATCGCGCAGCTGAGACGGAATAGCAGCGCTCTGAGTCGTGGACTTACTGGCAGATTTGAGTAAAGGGAACCGAAGCAGTAGAAGTACCGAGTGGCCGCAGAATCTTCACGTTCATCTGGATCTGCCTCTCCAACTGACTCGATAATTGGCTTTCCGCTGCTTCTTCTCCTTTCACTCGATTGCTATTTCTCTTGGGACTTGGGAGCCGATGGAATTTTCTTCGTCTCCTTCGTTGTCTCCTTCGTCGCATCCCTCTTCGCCTCGCTCTCTGCCTTCACCTTGTCGCCTATCTCCGCAAGTCCGCCCATAATTTTGTCCGCGAGCTGTTCGTTCTACTTCTCCTCCGTAATCCCCTCCTTGATCTTCTTCTTCTCAATGAAGACAGGTAGGTTGTTGAGATCGACCAGCGCTTGCAATTCCGTCGATAGCACGGGTAAATCAAAGTCTGGCTCGGACTCCGAACTCATGTCATCAACATCTCCTACATGTAGTCATAGATGTTAGTAGATAGCAGAAGAGTCAAGAGTCAGTCACTTACGCGCGGCATATCCTGTTACCGGAGGCCTGTTTATCGGCACCCAGATCTCACCACCTTCGGCGCTCTTCGTGGTTGGAATGGTGGCTGCGAAGTCTCTGAGTGCGGGTGCAATGGAAGATGCTGGATCGCCATCGATTCGCCGCTGTTTCTCTTTTTTTGTCCACTCCCAGAGCTTTTTGATCGCCGTGCGCTGTTCTGAGGAGAGCGGCTCGGAGAATTCAGGCGTACGAGGTTCTGGCACACTAAATGCATGCAGTGCCATTAGGAACCCTTTTGATGCCTTGTCGCGGCTCTCGTGGGCGCGGGCAGGCTCGTCTTCGGTCCGAGGAGTGTCGATAACGCCTTCACACGCAATCTGTTTCTTGTTGGCTGCGTAGAGAGCGCTGAATTGGGCGTTGGGGGAGGGATTTGGTTCTCGCGCGCTGGCTATCTTTACTTTGCGTCTGGGTGCCATCCTCTCGATGAGAGATGGATGGCTCGTAGAGGGACGTGTAGACGTTGTGGGTGTAGCACATCAGTTGCAAGGCTGTGGTGTAAGTGAGGCTCAGTGAGCCGTTCGCATGCTTGAAAATTAAAGTACTGGGACGAAAGTCGTGAGCTTGAAATTCGGCTGCCAGACATGACCTTTCTTCCTCGTACCCTGATTTCATATGTTGAACACCTCACTTACTATCGCATGTGTGACGATACGAGATGGATGGATTGAGGCGGCAAAATATCCCCTCACCCACTAAATCGTCAATGTCAATCCGCGAGCACCTGCGATCCATTCACCGACACAATGTCCACACCCTGCGACATGCCCCGTTGGCGGAGCTGTCAGGCTCACTCGGAGATCTGGGAACATTGCTGCCTTTGATGATTGCCATGGCCATGAATGGGTCCATCGACCTACCGAGCACACTCGTTTTCTCCGGCATCACCAATATCATCACCGGCGTGGTGTTTGGTGTTCCTCTACCTGTTCGTCTTGAGTTACAGTTGACGGACGAGCACTAAACGCGTCTGACGGTATGCAGGTACAACCGATGAAAGCCATTGCGTCGGTAGCCATTAGCCAGCATTTGAGCAACGAAGAGACTTCCGCCGCGGGGTTGGTGATGGGCTTTGCCGTCCTCTTACTCAGTGCAACCGGGCTGCTACGATGGCTACATAGGGTGGTTCCTGTGCCTGTGGTGAAGGGCATCCAAGTGGGCGCTGGCCTGGCTTTGGTGATTTCTGCGGGCTCGATGATTCTACCGCTGCACTGGACCGCGCCCAGCTACGACAATCGGCTCTGGGCCATCGCCGCCTTCATCCTGCTAGTCATCGCGGCTCTTCTCCCTCGTTTACCTTATGCTCTGGTCGTCTTCGCATTCGGTATCATTGTCGCTGCGGTAGCCGCCGCTCCGGCTGGGGGTGCTTGGGAAGGAGGCGACATTCATCTCAAACCCATCCGAGGCGCGGGACTTTGGCATCCAGAGCTTCGTGTCCCGGGTGGTAGTGCTTGGAAAACAGGGGCCATTGATGCCGCTATCCCACAGCTGCCACTTACCACCCTCAACAGGTTCGATTCCTACCTACTTCCCCAATGCTCAGAGGTAGCTAACCTGTCAGCAGCATTCTGGCAGTGACTTCTCTATCTGCCACGCTGTTCCCCGACTACCCACCCGCCCCATCTACAACATCTATTGGCTTGTCCGTGGCGATCTCCAATCTGATAGGGTGTTGGTTTGGTGCGATGCCTATCTGCCACGGGTCAGGTGGCCTGGCGGCTCAATACCGCTTCGGGGCTCGCAGCGGTGCAAGCATCATCATTCTTGGGGCGGTGAAGCTTGTGCTGGGCCTATTCGCGGGATATGCCATTCTGCCGTTAGTGGCGCGCTTTCCGCAAAGCCTGCTGGGAATCATGGTGCTCGCGGCGGGCGTCGAGCTTGCCAAAGTCGGGCAAACGGTGCTCAACACCCCCGACGTTTGGGAGCAGGTCGAGGCAGATCACGGAAGTTCAACAGCGGTGCAGAACACGCCGGCAGACGTGGAGAGGGAGAGCAGAGAGCGGTGGATGGTGATGCTCATCACGGTCGCTGGCTGTCTGGCATTCAAAAACGACGCGGTTGGATTCTTGGCTGGGATGGTATGGTATTGGGCGTTGAGGGTGCCGGGATGGGTGTCGAAGCTCCGACACAGGCGTGGGCATGGATCAATCAGGCTGAGACACGACAGTCCGAGCAGGGGGTAATTCCGATGAATCAGTACGCGGCAGGGGCAGGCTACGTGCCAGCAGTGGGTCACCACTTCCGCTCGCTGACGGCCTGCGACGGCCTGGCGCTTCTCGCAAATATCGAATACATAGAGTATAGCAAGCCCTAGATTGAATCCGAGGCTCGTTCAGGCTTGTTGTAAGGGAGACGGTCCATTTCTTCTAGCACGAACCACTTCTTCGGGCACGTAGCCTGGGTCGTGACGGATGTACGTGGATACGGGCCTTACACGTGAGACGTCACACCCAGCGCTGTGGCACATGTGCAGGCGCGCGGTTGTGTGAAACACGGCGCTGAGAGGATGCTCCTACGCTGCTGTCGGACGTGGTGGACGGCGACACGCTGCATCGTAAACTCGGCAGCGCGCCTGACGACGAGGAGTAAATTGTTAACGGCTTGCACGTCACACGTGAGCGTAGATGGGGAGAGAGCATGACATCAACAACGCCGTTACGACAGCGTCAGGTGCCGCGAAATGACAAGAAACACGCGCCGGGGGCCAAGCGTGTGTCGGGTCCAGATCCGGGGGCGACAGGGCCAAGGTTTAATTGGATCGTGTCCGTTCCGCATCCAGCCTGGGCGGCCCCGCTATTTTTAACTGCGCCGCCTGCCATCTCCATCCCCGACCTCATCTCACTCACCCCCCGCCCGCGCGCACCACATCGCCCAAGGGAGGCGCAGTGACGGCACCCAGCGCATTCCCGCCTTACTTCCAAGCTTCGCTCCACCTTGAAATCCACTCTTCTGTGATCGACCTTGCGTCTTGCCTTCCTCCTCCTGGCTTGAGCGAGCTCGGGAAACATTGCTACCTCGCTGAGCGGTGTGTCAACAAACCACCACCTCATCCCCTCTTGGGCTGCCGCACAACTGGGAATCCCGACACCATGCTCGCCACCACTCTCACCTCCGCCGTCCTCTTCGCGGCTACTGCTTTAGCCGCCGTCCCATCAGCCAAAGTGGTAATTGAGACCAGCCACGGCGGCGCGGGAACCGACCTAACCAACACCACCATCTCCATCCCCCTCAACACCGTCTACCACAACAGCACCGCGCTCGACCAAGTCTCCACCCTGTACCTGACCGGCACCTCTCTCACCCCCTTCGACAGCGTCATCTGCACCCCCTGGTCGCAAACCGACGGCTCCGGCACCAGCGGCCTTCCCTTCAACAGCTCCGCGCCCAGCTACGTCTCCACAAACGACGTCGTGGTGCGCTCCATCGTGTGCATCTCGACTTCCGTCGCCACCAGCCCGGGTGGCCCGGGCGGCGCGGGCGGCTCCTCCATGACCGCCGCCTCCTCCACTACCCTCGTCACCCACACCGGCACCGGTTCCACGCAGACCGCCGCCTCCACCCTCACAACCGCCACGCCCGCGAGCGCCACTTCCGCCTCCAATCCTTCGGCCTCCCAGAGTGCCGGTAATGCGGCAAGTGGCCTGTATCTTTCCGGCGAATTCTTTGGCGGCTTGGCTCTGGCTGGCTTTGGCGTGGCATTTGCACTCTGAGCTAGGGTAGCTTGGTTTATGCTTTATTTACCTTTGAGACTGGCGATGCGAGAGCTCTTGAGCTTGTGTGGACATTTACGCGAGACGTGGTGCCGCCAGGTGCTTTTGAGAAGCACGCTTTCTAATTTCAATGCCAGACCAAATCAAATTTGATCCTTTACCGACGTGCAAGTTTGCACGTCACTGACACAAAACGCTCAACATAAGCAAGTCTAGCGTACGAGATTACCCAGCTCACCGTCCAAGCACCGTCGCTACCGCTCTACTCCAAAAGCCCAGACAATTCGTCCAAAAGGGTATCGCACCTCCTCCTACTCCGTTTCATGCAATCGTCAACGCTTTTAATCCTCCACAGACATGGCCCGAGGGTGAATTGGACCAGCCAACTAGGGCATGTCCAGGTAAGTAGTGTTCTTGCGCCGCGTGAAGATCCCGCCCAGCGTCGTCTTCTTCTTCGTCTTCTCGCTCTTGCTCGCCGGCGCCTTGAACTCCCTCCCGACCGTCGGCGCCGGCGCACTGTTGGGATCATCCGGCGGGCCGGTGTTGCGAATAAAGTCCGACAGATTATTGGTGTGCAGCAAGGACGTACTGCCATATCGATTTTTCGAGCCCGAGCTCTTGGCTTCCGGCTTCGACTTGTTGGCTACGGCTTTGGAGGTGATTTGGGCCTGCTGGCTGCCCGGCGCAAGTCCGGCTGTGGCGGCGCGGGGGCCGCCGTTGGCCGGCATTGAGCGCGTGCGTGTATCCGCGACATAGCCTTGCTGCTTGGCCCGGGCATCATTGATCAGTCGGCGTGCCGTAGGGCTGTTCGGGTCGATGAGCGGCTTCACCGGCCCGCTCGAAGGAGGCTCCTGGTTGCGTAAGAAGTCCATCATGCTCTCGCTTCTCTGCGCGGGCTTCTTTGGCATTCCATACGATAGGAGCGCTTCATCGTCATCCTCGTCCTCGTCCTCATCTTCATCGTCGTCGTAGTCAATGGCGTACGGGTCCTTGTTGCGGTATCTCTTGCGCGAGATGTTCGCCTCCTCGGCAGACACTTTCGCCTCGGTCGATATGGCTTGTCCAACTCCATTGGAGTAGCCATTCGAGCCTTGATTGACACCATTCAACAACGCGGAGCGCGAGTTGGTTGATGTTCTTAGCGATGCTGTTTGGATGGACGATGCGGTCTGATAACTCGAGTCCATCTGCCTCTCTGCGCTGGGTCTAGCAGCATAGTCCGAACGGACCGAATCCAAGGTCGCTCGAGAAGGCGCCATGGTGCGAGAGACGCGTCGTTGGCCATTTTCATTTGGTCCGGAGCGAATGAAGTCAACTAGGTCCGAGTTCGCATTGTTTGCGATTTTGGCGCCACGCGGTTCCATGTTGGACTTTGCTCGCTGCTGCGCTGGGATTGGGGGAACCGGAGGTACGGTGTCGTTCCCGTTGACTAGATTCCTGCTTCGACTCGGGGCGGGTGAGGTGGATCGCGAGTTCGATGCTCCTTGGATGTGTGCGGAGCGCAAAGAATGTAAGGATGCTGTGGACGCATTCGGCAAGATCGGACGCGCAGAAATCTCTTTGTCCGGCGCGGTAGAGCGAATGAAGTCCGCAAAGTCTCGAGTCGATTCCGTGACCACTCGGGCCTCACGAGCCAGCAAGCCGCTGTTGCGATGACTGCTCGTGTTTCGTGGCGTCGGTCGGCTGTGGGACCGGCGGGTTTCGTTCGAGGACTTGCGATCGGTCGCTCCAGCCACGCTTCTCGGAGTACTGCTCCTTCCTGCTCGGGTAGAAGGTGACAACGGCGCTTGCTTTGGCGTGACTGGAGTCGCATCCATCTCAACAGGAGACGGAGACGATCTAGCGTAACGGACAGAACTATCCATCTGGACGCGGTGTCAGCGTTTACATTCCACACAACGCCCCTTGCTCTACTTACCGATCCATCCCGAACGTGCACTGGCGTCAGGGTGTACTTCAGCGTCTCGCCGCCCTGCACAAATGAATCAAAGTCTTCCGGGCCTCGAATGGATGCACTGGTCACGGCCTTCTCCGAGGCAGTGGCAGAATTCGGCTCGCTGCCTTTCAGGCCCGCCACCCTTGCCACGGCTGCTGACGGAGGCAGGGATGATGTGATTACAGGAGTGAGGGTGGGTTTCTTGTTCGAGGGTTGCTGTGGTACAACATGATTTGTCGGCGTTCGCTGAGCGGGACCGTCCATCGCTTCTGGATGGTCGGGCGCGTCGTCCTCATCGGGAAGGAGGTTCAAGAATGTGCGCGGCGCAGGGCCTGGTGACGCTCGCGGGGAAGGTGTGATGGCCTGTTTTTCTTCGTTGCCGAGGCTGTACGAAGTACCCTCTGAAGTCGACCGCTTGAATGCTGGGGCTGCGGAGGCGGCCAGGCCGGACGGCACCTGCAGTGATGCATCTCCCGAACCTCCGTTGACGGCAGTCTTTGACTTGATGTCGACCAAGCTTTTCTGGCTATCGATCGCGGCACCGTCTTGATAGGGTGACGCATGCTGCGAGGGTTCGAGAACGCTGGCAACCTCCTTTTCCGTCGACGGCTTGGATGTCTGGTCTGTAGATTTGCTGGCAAGTGCCATGCCGGCGGCAGTACCAGCACCCGCTACAACGCCGACTGCAGCACCAGCGCCCGCCAAAAGGCCAACCGCAGCCACCGCCGAGCCTGTCGCGAGCGCGGAAGATATGCCCTCGGGCTTTCCCTGTGTTGCGACTGGGGCTTGTCCGTCACGCGACACGTCATTCTCAGTCTCGTTGGCCGTTGGTTCTGGCTCTGGCTGCTGGACCTGCGTTGCTTCGGCTGCAGTCGCATCCTCTGGAAGTTTGTCATCCGCATGCGCTGTTTCGAGTGCAGTCGAGTCTGCGGGATCATCTTCTGTCCACATTGATGGGGGGGTAGGGGGTGGATGAGACATTGATCGTGTACGAGAAACGGTAGAAGTGGGCGCTGTAAGTTCGGGATCTTTGGAGTTGGCAGCTCCTGCGTTTGCGGGGCCGGCTGCAGCAGAGGACGGCAGATATTCGTGGAAACTTCGCCGACGGTTGCGTGGGGTTGAGGTATGCTTGCCATTCGGTGTATCCGGGTCTGTCGCCAATCCTGGCACTTCAATCTCATCCACGTCACGGACGGCATCAGCCATGGGAAGCGCGACCAGGACAGCCAGCGCCAGCGCCGGATAACCCTCACTGGCGGGAGACTCGGCGTCTTGCTCGGCCTCGGGATCTCTCGCCAGGCCTGGGACGACAATTTCATCCACATCCTTTTGCTGCGAAGCCATGGGCAGGGGGATGAGGGAAGCGAGCACGTGCTCGGGATAGGGGCCGTGTGCTTGCTCAATGCCATCACCTTCGCCTTCTCGGTCGTCTGGATCTTTCGCCAGGCCCACGGCAGCGATCTCATCCAAGTCTCGTGCGGATCCGCCAGTCATGGGAAGCGGGATATTGGCCGCAAGGATGTGCTCGGTATAGAAGACGTCGGGTATGGTGTCTTCGGGGCGGGCTCGTGATGCTGGCCGCGAATCGAAGCCGTTGCTATGGTTGCTCCACGCCGAGCTCATGTTGTCCCGCCGTTTCGATACCGGCGATGGCGAAGATGTGTTCTGCGCAGGAGCGCTGTTGCGCAACGCCTTCCTCCACGTGCGCCACAGACGACCGAGGGAGGCGTTGAGCGCGATCTTCTCGACGTCGTATTCCTCTACCATGACGCTCTCCTCTGCCGCTCCAACGGTCGAGGTAGAACGGCGGCTGCGGCTCTGTCGGTCCACGCGGGCGAATGCCGCCTGTCCAGCGACCTGAAGCGCCTGTTCTGCAACATACTCAATCACAGACGTCAAGAAGATGGCAGCGGACCACGACACGAGGCCACTGTCCGTGGAAAAGCGGCGCTCGGTGTCGGTGAAGAGTACATCTCTCTCCACCCACCGCTGCTCGTCCTCGTCCTCCATGTCCCCCAAGTGTATATACACCATGACTCGCAGGCGAGTCCGCTTCCACACCAGCTGAAGATCCCATTTCCGCCGCGCTTCCTGCACCTGGTGTTTCCCATCTAACTCTTCCTCCTCTTCGCCGCCGGACAATAGCTCAGCGAGCTCGGCATCGGCGCTGCTTATGGCCGCTCGAGCCAAGCGTTGCTTCAACACTTCTGTTACCGCGGGCCGAAGGGCGAGCATGCTCGTGGAGCGGGCAAGGGAGAGGAAGCTGTGTAACAGATGGTCGAGGAATGCGTTGATGAGGGCCAGGGCGGGCTCGGAGAAGTGAACATCTTGGCGGTCGGCATCGTCTTCATCTTCCGAATCGCTCGACGGCCGCTTCCTCGACGCCAGGTGCTCGCTGACGACTTGCGCCGCGCCGGCGGGGCCGACGTAGGCGGGCGCGGGCTCGACCTTGACGGCTTTGCTGGGGAAGTGGTGAGTAATGCCGGAGACGGTGGAGTTGTGGTCCGACTCGTAGCTCATCTTCCTCGACATGGCGGGGAATGCAGCATCGACGCCGGAGGAATTTGGGCGGGAGGGCGAAGAGGCATCGGGGGTGATGGGAGAGACGAGGTGGTCGACATTTCGGTCGTACTGCGTTTCCTCCATTGGCGCAGCTTGGCCCGCGCGCTCGTGCGGTGGTGGATGGTGGAGGAGTCGATCAATGGCTGGCTGGCTGGCGGGTTGGCTGTGCCGTGTGGGGTGGGGCTGGGTGGATTAGCTGGAGCCAGGGCGCAACACACGGATGCAGCCTTGCATGCTGTCGACACGGGGCCTCATTGAAGGAGAGCGCTTAGCCTGGTGGAATGAGCGAAAGATGCGAGGAGAGTGGGCAGAGAGGTGGCAGGCATGGTAACGTCGTTCCAATTACCGCATGCGGCGGTCTGCCTGCACGGCCAGCGAATTACACTTCAGGGCCGGCGAATGCTACGTGCATGGCGACGCAGCTAACCTGCACCCTCGGCCGCTAATCTTGACGGCGATTTGATTTGCATTAACCCCACCGAGCAAGCCCGGCGGAGATGAATGTTGCAACAGACAGCGATCGGCACGGATCTCGATAGACGGCCGTCGGGACATGGATGCCGACTGGGGCCAACTGCAACCGAGACATGGGTGGGAGGTAGCACGCCTTTTGTCGATGATCTCTGGAACCCTGTTGCGGGTGACTCACCTCATCGCCGTGCTCGATCGGAGGGAGCGTGCGGGCCACGCAGCTGCGTGCGACACGGAATTCGTGGCCTGGCGTGCGCCACCGCATGTCGGGGTTGCGCCCTGATGCAACGCTAGCGAACCCCATCGTGGGGGTTGGAGATGAAGACGAAAACGAAGAAGACTGGTCGGGATCGCATTGCCTTCTGACTGCTTCCACTCATCTGTGCATGCATCGTCAAGTGGGGTTGCGATTGACGTTTCGTGTTTGACATGTGGAGGATCGAACAAGGAAGGCGACATGGAAGCTACTGCCAATCTACTGCAGGGGTCGCGTGGTTTGGGGCAGCTGCGACCGGCGACACGCCTGCCCTGTTCTGGACAGCCTCTCATTCACAGTAGTAGCATTTCTTCTAGCAGCCGTCCTGCATGTACCATCTCCCTTTCAACAAGCCTCAACAAGCCTTGGACTTAGTCTACGGCCTGCTACACTGTATATCTCGAGTTTGCGAGAAGTGCCAGGCCGCCAGCGAGCGGAAAGGCGAACCACATCTTCTGGCACGTAGCCTGCCGCGAACCTCGCCCCATATGAGTGAGCCACCACTCTCTATCAAGCACCCTCCATCCACATGCAGAGGTACTCCGCCGTGTCACTCTTCACGCGTCACGCATCGATATGCGTCGCCTGTCCATCCCGGCCAGTTCCAAATCCAGTCCTGACCTGGCTGCCCCCGCGTCTCGATACCGCCATGCGAAACCACTGAATCCCGCGCTTCTCGACCTGTGCCAGGCCACGCTCGAGGAGAAGCTATACTCCCAAGCCTTCGCCCTCCTTTCAGCCGCCCTGACTGCAGGCACGGGCAGCTTGGCCCCGGCTCACCTCCCTCCGCCACACTACCTGGCCTTTGCTGCCACTCTCGTCGTTCACCCCCAGCTGACCTCCCGAACATCCTCCACCGACAAACACGCCGCTGCCGATGACGCCTTGAGGTATCTCCGCCACGTCAACGCCATTCTCGGCCCACGCAACGCGTCACTCCATCACGCATTCTGCTTCAATGCCGACGCTCTGTCCTCCCGCTTCCAGCGCGCCAAGTCCCGAGCGTCGGAGCTCATCAGCGTGGAGGAGGACGTGAACGATGCGTCCCTCCACTCCACTTACGCCAACCAAGGCTCCTTATGGAACCAAGCCCCGGACTTCTGGAGCATCGTTGGCTGGGCGCTGAACTGCGCCGTTGCTCATCCTAAGAGATGGGCGAGATGGAAACTGCTACTTGCCTTCCTGTTGGATGTGCTCGAAGACGACCTGGCCGAGCGGCTACCCGCCGCCAAAGCCGCTTACCAATCTGGAGGTACTACGGCCGTTCAGGAATCACTCAAGGATTCACTATTCGCACACTACCTATCACTCATCGGCCAAGGACGCAACAATAAACGCAGAGTAATGCGTGCCATCTTCGCAAACGGGTCGTCCAAGAGTCTCGCCGAGTTTGGCGAAATCTGGCGCAACGAGACGAAGCCACCCAAGCAGCCTCGGGAAGACCTATTCGCCAAACGTCGAAAGCTGGACCTCGATAACGGCGAGTTCGGCGACTACCTCGACGAGTCGGATGAGGACAGTCCAGGCGGCTCCTTACGCCGCTCAAGATCTGCAACGGCTATCCACAGTGCCCCGCGGAGCAATACAGCGACTGACGGTGGGGAAGAGAGTGATGAGGAGTCCAGCGACCGCAGACCCACAGACGACACCCCTCTCCAGACTGATGTGGAAGCATGGGGCGGCATGGATGCAGTTCGCCTCCGCCAGCGACTCCTCGCGTTCCTTGCGCACTTCTGTGCTGCCAACCCCAACGGCTTCCTCGACAGCGAGGATCTCTTTGATCTGTACACCGAGTTCATCCGCCCCCTGCCGCTCCCAGTCTTCCAGCAATTCACTCTGCCGGCGAAAGCGTATCTACCCCAACAAAGCCAGGCCTCCCTGAATCAGATGCTGCTGCGGCCACTGCTGGTAGCCACTGCACCACCGTACAGCGAGACTCCTCCCACGCAAGGCGACTTTGAAACATACTACGCCCCTCATGCGGCAAGCAACACAAGCGCGGTCGACAATGCCAAAGTCAGTCTTCTCCTTGAAAGTCTGCTGAGGTCGCTGTGGACCACTGGCGGTTTGGCGGCCACGCGAGGCCTTCGCAATCTCGTCCAGCAGGGCATCACAGCGCGCACCGAGAAGACAGGGTGGGATGGGAGGAAGAAGGTGGGCTTCAAGGCCAGCGCGGACAAGGAAGCGCTGAATGTGCTGAAGTGCTCTTCTGAGCGCATGCAAATGATGCTCGATATGACTACATAATGCCTGCTAGCGATGTTACATGTATAGAGACTGCATTTGACACGCAGCGTTGGAGTTTGACACCGCTTCACCAGCTATACCACTGCCTCTGCGTCGAGATGGGCCGGTCGCGCAGAGCCGTCCATACCTTGTCCAGTCTCCGTCGAGTGCGCTTCTCTTCGCGTTCCTCATACTCCCGGATGCGAGTGGCCTCTTCTTTCAGAAGCAAGCTCAGACTCGTGAAGGGCGTTCGCATGATGAAGAGTCTGCCCTTGGCTCGATAGTCGGGCAATCTGCCGTACGGTCCCCGGCCAACCCATGCCTGATCGATGTAGATGCTGGAGCGATCCGAAACCACATGGCGCTTGCCGCTCTTCAGGCGGATGTGGAGTTCCTCGTCTGCTTTCTTTCCCTCTGCCGCAGTCGCGCCGTCGGAACTGCTTGCGTCTTCTGTACCGTTCACCTTGCCCAACCCCATGCCGCGCGTCACCACCGCCTCGTCTCTCGCCGTCTCCAGCTGTTTCCGAATCTCCGTCGCCGCCTTCTTCTTGCTGAAGCGCATCTGCAAAATGGCATCGTCGACATTCTTTCCGGCGATCTGGCGCGCGAGCATGCCCAGCTTCTTGACGGATGTCTTCATGTTGTGGCTCTTCACCAAGTGCTCGCGCTCGGTGCGTTTGATGAACTGCGCCTTCGAGAGTCGCCCACCTTTCCGCACCATCTGGATGACTTTTTTGCGTTCCCATCGTTCGCGGGAATTGGGGTCGGGATCGAGCACTCGAAGGGTGGAGCGAGGGTCTCTTCGTTGCCGGCCCTCGTCCTCTTCTTCTTCACCCTGTTCGATTGCTCGCGCTCGGCTTGCCATTGCTTGGGCTCGGCGGTCGTCTTCGAAGATGGACGAGGCGGCCAGATCACCGGGTCGGGGAAGCGCCGGGGTCTGAGCAGTCTTGCCAACATTGTCCTTTTGGTATTGCTCGATCAGGGGATTGGAGGAGCCCTCGCCTTCATCGGCTCTCGTCTGAGCACTGATGGTGAAGAGGCGGGTGGGATGGCGTGGACGAGTGGGCAGGGAGCGGCAGAAGAGACCTGGCGACAATATTAGTGGTGCGCGAAGGGAGAGAATGAAGGGAGAAGGGGGAGACTCACATCTCCACGCAACGCCACTCGAGTGCATTGACACGCTCATTGAGGGGTGGAAGGGGGGATGATGAGCGGAAGAATGCAGAGGGCGGATACTGTAGTGATGAATACTGTGCAGACGAGTCGTGAAGTCTTGCTCGGAGCTTGGGCCGAAGGGTGAGCAGGTGAGGTGTGCCTGCAACGGGACTTTGCCGGTCGGCACACGGCAACGTGTTGGTGCGTAGCCTTGGCAGCGCAGATCTCCCGTTCTAGACTGCATCGAGGCAGGCCTCGTGCGTGCGCGAACTTCTGCCCCGTTTCCTCCTCTGCCTCTCCTCCTCCTCACTCCATCTCTCCCTCTCCTCCCATCTCTCTCCGGTCCCTCCGTCGCTCGCGTGGCGCATTCCCTTCCTGGCCATCCTCCGCGCGGACCATCCGATCCCAGCGCCACGTTCTGCACGCGCCCGTGCGAGCTGCAGCACGCCTACGACACCCAGGAACCGGGCAGGGATCAAATCTCGACATCTGCCGGAACCGTCACCAATTCTAACCAGAACCTCGTGTATTCGCATTGAGTCGCCGGAATCGCGACCCACTGAGACTTGCACCTATCATCCCACGGGCAAAGCTCGGAGACGGTCCTTCCGATCGCTCACACGTGCCCTCCGCCCGTCCATCCGCCTACTCGCTGCGCACCTCGGATCCCATGGGCTTATCATGAACGTCGTCGCTCTGTTGGTGCCGGTCAGTTTGTGGACGGTCTTTTAAACGTGTCTCCGCCTCAGCCGAAGAATGAACATCAACGCTCTCCTCTCCCCCTCCGACTCTCCTGCCCGCGATGATTCCTCGTCATCGGCCAGCCCGCCCGCCAAGGCGGCCACGCCCTATGCTTCGCGCAAGCGCTCTGCGCTGAACAGAGAGGTGTCGCAGGAGGAATCGCGCTCTCCCGAATCTGACAGGTCAACTGCTGCCTTTCCCTCAGCCTCTTCCCACGCCTTCCCCGGCCCCTCTGCTTCGCGCGGGACAGTCCCAAATTTCCGCCCCCTCCATCCCCCACCCACCAGTCATCCCGCCGCCTCCTCTAGCGCTCCTCCTCCCCATGGAGGTGTGGCGCAGACTCTCTATCAACCTATAACCTCCGCTCGGAGAACTTCCTCCACGCCCCAGATGGAAACGTTGGCAGGTGCGTTGATCTCCCCAAAATTTAGACTTTTCTCGTTGGTAACACAAAGCATGCAAAAGCTGACTTCCCGCTTCCAGACTTGGCCTCGATGCAACGGCAACAAACCACCCGGCCTCTCTCAGCCAACAACTTCCGCTCTTCCGTGCCCAGCACATCGCGTTCACCTGCACTCAACCCCCAACCCCCACCCATCCGTCCGCAGGACTATCTGAGGAACTCTCGCAAATCCGTCGTCGACCTCACCATGTCCGAGGCGGCCGCGCAAACGCCGCCCCCTCGCGCCGTTGCCTCCAACGTCCTGTCCGAAGCCCAGACACAACGCGTCACAGATCTGCTCACCTATCTCGCCGACAACTCATACGCGTACGACTCGCATGTGGAGCTCATCAACATCCTCCATGCCGCCTTCATCGCCCATGCCGCACCTTCTGCGGACGGTGCGCCGCCAGACCAAGGAGCACCCCCTCCCGACTTTCCCCTGCTCACCGAGCTACGCCAAGCTCGTGAAGCCATGGATACGCGGTTCGCCGTTGGCGAGGATCTCTGGGATGACTGGCTGTCGGATGAGATCCGCGTAGCCACTTCAAGTGAGGAGCGTCTCGCCATCACTGAGCTGTTCCAGAAAGCCGTGGCAGATGAGCCGGCGTCGGTCAAGTTATGGCAAATGTACGCTGGCTGGGTCTGGATCAACTACGTCGCATGCAACACCACTTCTTCCCCCGATCCCGCCTCCCACTCGAGATGGACGGAGGAGGACAAGGCGCTCTGCAAAGACCTCTTCACCCGCCATCTCGTCATTGATGTGTTGGAGCAGGCCATTGCATCAACCCAGTGGCGTGTTGACGAAAGCCACGTGGTCTGGAACCGCTACGCCGAGCTGGTGCAGGAGGATTTCCCGACTACGCCCAAGCCCGGCGAAATCGAGCGGCTGCGTGGGATGTACGTGGCACGTTTGCAATTCCCACACGCTACGTGGGAAGAGACGTCGCAGATGTTCTGGTCGATTGTGTCCAAGTACGAAAGCGGGAATTGGGAGGCCATCATGGCAGAGGTTCAGAGTCTGACGGGGCCGGCCAAGGCACAGATGAGCCAACGCGAGCCCCACGAATCCAATCTCCAGAGAGCCATCGACGCAGGCAATCGGGATGACATCTTCAACCAATTTACTCAATACATTCAATGGGAACGAAACCGCGAGAGGAAGCAGAAGAACCGTTCGGCACTGGACAAGGAGCTGAGGAGTGCGCTGTATGAGCGGGCGCTCTTGCGTTTCCCTACCCATACAGAGTGGTGGATCGACTACGTGGATTTTGTCATCAGCTCGGGCTCATCCACGCCCGTGCTGCCGCTTATCGAACGTGGAACGCGACACTGCCCGTGGTCTGGTGAGCTGTGGGCCCGTAGGATCCTTCAGTTGGCCGTCGACGGTAGGCCACATCATGAGATCGAAGCGACGAAGCATCGCGCGACCAATTCCGGTCTCCTCGATGTTGGCGGAATGGAAGAGATGGTAAAAGTCTTGCAACAATGGTGTAGCTTTCTCCGAAGGCACGCCTTCGCCACGGCGAGCTCCGAAGACGACATTGATACGGCAGAAGTGGGCATCACCATGGCTCTTGAAGACATTCAACAAGCCGGCAAGAAGATATATGGCAAGGACTTCCAAGGCGACCCATTGTTCCGCCTCGAGCAAATCCAGATCAAGTTCCTGTCTGAAGCCCGTCGCTTTGAGGATGCTCGAAAGATCTACCAGAACCTCGTGAAGACGCAGAAGAACTCGTTCGATTTCTGGTCGAAATATTACAACTGGGAGCTGTGGATCTGGGGCTACGATCGGATCAAAGATCGCACTCGCGTCGAGACCCCTGACAACGGCCCGGACAAAGCGTCTGCTGTCCTCCAAGAGGCATTGTCACAGCGTGAGATCGACTGGCCCGAAAAGGTCTTGGACATGTATATCAACCACTTCCAGCAACACGAGTCCGGGCAGAGATTGCGAAGCGCCATTATTGAAGCACGAGAGGTCGCGAAACACTTGGCTTGGCGAAAAGCGGCCGAAGCCGCGGAGGCAGCCCAGGGCATGGAAGCGGCGCAGCAGGCGGCATCACAAGCGCAGTTGGAGGCCAAATTGGCTACGGCGCAGGGTGGTCAAGGTGGTGGTTCAGTCGCAGGCGACAAACGGAAGCGAAGCGATGAGCCCCCCTTCAACGGCCATAGCGAGAAAAAGACGAAGACTGAAGAGCAAAGAGCAGACCCCAGCGCACCTGGAAACCCTGCACATGAGCCGTCTGCCTCGTCAAGTGCTCAGGTGAAGCGCGACCGCGAGCACAACACCATCACCATCAGCGATTTGCCTGCAGATGTCGAAGAACTTGACGTGAAGAAATTCTTCCGCGACATCGGCGCCCCAGTCTCGATTAACATCCGCCTCGATGAGCATCGTGACACCGCGACCGCAACGGTGGAGTTTGAGGCGCAAGAAGACGTGCTGGCGGCCCGGACACGTGATGGCAAGATGCTCAAAGGGAAAGAAGTGCGTATTCAAAGCGGCACCCAAAGCACGCTTTACGTGGCGAACTATCCGCCCGAACACGACGAGCTGGCCATCCGCAAGCTGTTTGAGAGCTACGGTGAAATCTTGAGCGTTCGGTTCCCGTCGCTCAAGTACAACAACAGACGCCGCTTCTGCTATGTACAATTCTTGACATCTGACATGGCCAAAGCAGCGGAGGCTGCAATGGACGGGAAGATGCTCGATGGCAGTCACAAGCTGCTGGCCAAGATCTCGGACCCGGAAGCGAAGAAGCAGCGCGCGGGTGCGCAAGCCGAAGGCCGTGAGCTGTTTGTCAAGAATATCGAGCGGACCGCCCCGGATGAAGAGATCAAAGCGTTCTTTGAGAAGTACGGCACGGTCGTCAGCATGAACCTGGTGAAGTTGGTCAACGGAAAGAAGACTGGAACCGCCTTCGTCATCTACGCCACCGCAGACGGAGCCCATGCCGCGCTCGAAGCAGACAACAAGCCCTTCCACGATCGTATCTTGCACGTCGAGCTCGCCTCCGCCAAGGGCCGCGCTGCGCCGCTCGACCGCGCAAAGAAGGAGAACATCATCGTGAGCCAGGCTCACTCCGCTTCGCCCGAGCCGGACGCAAATGGTCGCCGCAGCTCAGACGCGTCGATGCACTCCAGCAACAACCCCGCCGACGAGTCCTACAAGACGGCGCGCGAGCGCAAAATCGCCATTTTCAATCTCCCCGACACGGTCAACGACGCTCGCATCCGCTCCGCCATGGAAGAGCACGGCCCCATTCTGCAGATCCAGCTGCGCAGACGCGACAATGGCGCGATTGTGGAGTTCAAGAACGTCCAAGACGCCTTCAACGTGCGGCAGGGCGTGGACTGTGCTGCTCTCGGCGCAGATGTGAAGACGGGCGACGTGGCGGACTTGCTTACGAAGGTGAAGCAGAGGCAGGATGGCGATGGGCAGCAGCCGTCGTCGTCTGCGGTGCAAAGGGGAAGTGGTCATTCAGCCGCAACTGCAGGGGACATGAGACCGCCTTCGATCGTTCGTCCAACGCAACGAGGTGGAAGACGTGGCGGTCTGGGTTTCAAGAGAGGCGGCCCCTCCGCTGTGGGTGCGGGCAGGAGCAGTGGTGAGACGACTACTGTTGCTGATGCAGCCGATGCACAGCAGCAGGGGAAGCCTGCGAAGAGCAACGACGACTTCCGTAACATGTTCATCAAGAGCAAGGAGGCCGCTGAGGAGTCGAATGCGGGCAAGGAATGAGGAGGCTTCGACGCGGCAGACGCTCCGGCCTTGGAACGCGGGAAAACTTTGATAGCTCTTAATGTAATTCCGCTTGACCGTCGTCTTTCTCTCCGCCTCATACGATCATTCAAAACGGCAGAAGGTGGCCATTGAAAGAGGTCTAGTTGTGTGGATAGAGCTTGAGAACAGGGCGAGTAGACGAGAGTCGAATGAGACACAATGAGCGACCGAACTATCTAGACACGTGCACCGCTACGACCTTTCATCGGAAGTCACTGATCTGCCAGCACCACAGCAGCCGCGCAAACCAGCGATCCTCGCATCGAGCATCATCGTGCCATATCTCAGAACTTCCATCCTCCTACATCATGCAGTCTCGCGTTTAGGCGCGGCTCATGACACCCCAGGCGCGGATCTTGTTGTCCGTGTAGCCGGCGAACAGCGTCTGGCCATCGGCGCTCCAGGCCAAACTGACGCACTCGGGCTCGCGGCTCTTCTTGCCGACCTCCATGTATTCGGGCTTCAGCTCATCCACCTTGCTCTTCTTCTCCAGATCGAAAATGATGATGGAGCTGGAAGTGGCGGCGCAGAGCCAGTAGCGGTTGGGGGAGAAGACGAGGGCGTGGATCTCGTCGCCGGCGGCAAGCGAGTAGAGGTGCTTCGACTCGTTAAGATCCCACAGCATGGTGGTGCCGTCCTTGCCACCGCTGGCGCAGAGGGAGCCGTCGGGGGAGATGGTGACGGTGTTGATGTAGCCAGTGTGGCCGATGTGGTCGGTCTGGATGCGGCAGTTGGCGAGTTCCCAAACCTGTTGAACGATGAATGTCAGCGACTGCTAATGCAGGGTGTACAGCAGCAAAGAGCTGGAAGCTGAGGGCAGATCAGAGCGCCAGTGAAGGCAGGTTATGTCTCATAGCCCGAAAGGCTCTGAAGTAGCAAATACGTAATAAAACGACATCATATCACCCAACCAACTAAGCACTCGAATGAAGATGTGACATACCTTGACGTATTTGTCCCAGCCGGCGGAGACGATGACGGGGTTTTGCGGGTTGGGGCTGAATCGCACGCAGCTCACCCACTCGGTGTGGCCCTTGTCGGTGATGGTGAACTTGCAGTCACCGAGGGTGTTCCACAGCTTGATGGTGCCATCGCGGCTGCCACTGACGATCTGGCGGTTGTCGGCGGAGAAGGAGACGGAGAGGACGTCCTTGCTGTGACCGACGAAGCGACGGGTGGTCTGGCCGGTGCTCAGCTCCCACAGGCGGAGAGTCTTGTCCCAGGACGAAGACAGAGCATACGCGCCATCGGAAGAGATGACACAGTCGGAAACAATGTGGGAGTGGCCGTGGAGGGAGCGCTTGGGGTAACCGTAGGAGGTATCGTCACGGGTCAAGTTCCAGATGATGAGGGTCTTGTCACGAGAGCCGGACAGAAGCATGTTAGGGCTGGCGGACAGTCAGATTCATTGCGCTCTAATAGTGTGTCGAGGCTAGTTGGGTGAGCGTACTTCTCGAGCGACGTAGCCAAAGACGTGACCCAGCCAGTGTGGCCCTCGAGGGTGCCGCGGAGGACGAGTTGTTCAGCCATGATTGGTTGGAATGCGTGGAAGAAGGGCAAAGAGGCAGGAGATAAGTGAGTTGGGGAGTGGTGCGGGCGTGTTTTGGTGGTCGCAAGCTTGGAAAAAGTCGTGAAGTTCAGGATCCAAAAGTCTGAGACCCGTGGTGGGAGCGCCAAGATTTCACCAAGCTTAGTCATCACAACCTCCGCCGGCAGATATGAGTGCTGATGCTGCCTCGACGATTGCACGAGTGAAGCGTGGTTTGACAATTTTGCAGGTCGCAGAACACACGGACACACTCGCTGGTCTGGATGGCTAGACGGGCATATATTTTAGCGCCAGTCATAGAAGTGAACGCGTAAAGTTGAGGACATACTTATCGAAGGTTCATGCTCGAGATATCTCCACCAACGCCTCGCTAAAAGTAACACCGACCACTCGTCTTTGGGAGTGTAGACCGATTGCACGCCTCTTCTTTGAACTTCTCCCACAGTCCTTTCATCCGTCGTGCATGCCTTGTCCGCGCCCCATTGGCGGAGGACCACCTCCGAATCCATTCGTGCCTGGTGGAGGACTCATCTGTGATCCCACCTGTGACCCTGGGCGCGGGCCTCCCGGTGGACCTTGGAAGCCGCCGCTAGGAGGGAAGCCGGGGGGCATAGAGCCTGGGGGAGGGAAAGGCATGTTTTGGGGCGGAGAACCTGCTTGTCCTGGAATAGGCGGGAAGCCAGGCGGCATGCCCTGAGGCGGCATGGGAAAGCCTGGAGGAAAGCTCGGCATCCCGCGTCCGCCTGGTTGTGGGAGGGGAAAGCCCGGAGGTAGTGGTGGCATGCCTGTTTGTGCTTGTGAGTATCGCCGCTCATGCTACGAGTGGGCAATTTATGCGCTGCCACATACCTGGTGGCATGCCATGTCCACCTGGTGCCCCGGGCATGCCGGGAGGGAAGCCCGGTGGCATTCCTGGAGGGCCAGGCGGTCCACCTGCGGCTCCGCCCAACGCTGGTGGTGCACCGGGGAAGCCCCCAGGCGCATGTTGTAGCATAGGATTGTTCCCACTCTGTCCTTCTGCAGCGTATGAATTGGTGATGGAGTCGATGACGCTCTGTGCCTTTTCATGCCCGATTTGCTGGTAGTAGTCTACCACGTTGCGCAGGTGGTTCCGGCCGCTGTTGTGCGCTTTGCGGACCGACATCGAATCGTGCGTGAGGTAGACATCGCAGTAGTCGCAGAAGAATTTCGGCATGATTGCGAGTCGCTTCGATCGAGGTGTAATCGACTCCCGTTGCTGCGGCAGTAATGGTGGCCGACGTGCCGTGCGGGGAGGGTGATGGAGGACGGGGACTTGAGTTGGGTTTGGAAAATGTGAGAACGTGAAGGAAGCTCTGGTTATGCGAGGGCGCGGTTTAAGCTTTGAGCTTAAAATCAACGGGAAGTTGCTTGCTTACCTAACCAGTGCGCGTTCGCACCGATCTTCATGCCCTGGCTTTGCCTTTGGCCGCACAAATGATTCACGAATGCGGATGAATCATCGCCTGTTAAGCTGCGCGGGTCGAGCAATCTCTCAGCATGCAACTATACCAAGGCCTCGCCCAGATCTGACGCAGTTAGCCCGCGGAAACATCGCTAGCATATCGAGTCCACGTTCAAACACGAGCAGCTTCAAGGATTGCAGGCACTCTTCTAATACCACCACAATGGCGATGAATTTCGGATCGGACAACTGGGCGGGAGCCCATCCAACGATTGCACAAAGCCTGGTCACGCACGCCACCGGATACGCGAAGCCATACAGTGAATCCGAACTGGACGCCGCTGTTGTGGAGCGCTTCAAAAGCGTCTTCGAGCACGATGACCTTACGGTCTATTTTGTTGCCACCGGTACAGCAGCCAATTCTCTGGCTCTTAATTGTCTGGCCAAGCCGGGGGCTGTTGTATTTGCACACCGCGAATCCCACGTAGTCGTGGACGAGTGTGGCGCGCCAGAATATCTGTCTGGCGGGCAAGTACGGCTTGCGCAAGTGGATGGTCTCAATGGCAAGATGGATCCGGCCAAATTGCGCACCGAAGTCGCTCGCTATGCTGCCTACGACGTGCATGGAGGACGACCTGTGGCCATCAGTGTTACGAATCCCACCGAGAGCGGCACGGTCTACTCCCTCGAGGAATTGAATGAGATCAGCGCGATTGCCAAAGAATACAAACTGACACTGCACATGGACGGAGCTCGATTTGCGAATGCCCTTGCGCATCTCGCCGCCAGTCCGGCGGAGGCAACTTGGAGGCGAGGCGTGGATATTCTCTCCTTTGGAGCCACCAAGAACGGGTGCTGGTGTGGCGAGGCCGTTCTGTTCTTCAACAGCTCCCAGCAAGGCCGATCGGAAGACTTTCCCTACATCCGCAAGCGCGCTGCCCAACTCTTCTCCAAGTCGCGTTTCATCTCGGCTCAGCTGGACGCATATTTGAAAGACGAGCTCTGGCTTCAAATTGCACAGCATTCGAATAGACTGTGCAAGAGACTCGGGGAAGTGTTTGCATCGGCGGGTGTGCGACTGGTGCAGCAGCCTCAAGCCAACGAGCTGTTTGTCATTCTTAACCAAAAGCACGCTGCGCAGCTTGAGGCGAAGGAAATCGTCTTCCTGGAATGGCCGACGCCTTCCACGGTGAGCATTAAGCCAGACGAGGTGGTGTGTCGATTTGTTACAAGCTTCGCAACCACAGATGCCCAGGTCGAAGAGGTGGCAGCTGTTCTGTCTTTCCTAGGTACACCGAATGGTCATATATAGAGATAGAGCACAACCTGCAAGCATATGAGAGAGGCCTGTGTTGCGCACGTGAGACCGCGATTTAAGCTTTGAGCGTAATTGGGAGCACGCGCCAGCCGTGCGCGGAGACTGATGGCGGCTGTGAAACCTGAATACCTTACCGGAAGTGCCCGCCTGTCGCATCTTTGAGAGAGCTTCACAATCAACACAAGTCGAAGCCTGCCCCAAGCCTGTCATCGCCCTGCTCGCATCGTGGGATGGTGGACGATGGCAACCATCACGCCAACCAGCGGCGTCTGGGCAGCGATGTCTTACCAGCCTCCGCGAGGGCGCTGTAACTACAAGTTTTCCCTCGTGTTGCCAGCATGTCCCTGTCTTCGTTTCATGCTGCATCCCATCAAGGTGACCGATCGATTCTCATCCGCAGTCGACGAGGCTGGACACTGACAACAAGCGAGCAGGCGGCTACATCGTTTGAATGTGATGGATGTCAACACCACGCTTCCTTCCATTCGCTGGAGAACAAAGAGGAACAGGCCATCCTTCAGAGATGGGAGGAGGAGAGTCAACAGGAGAATCGCAAGGGTGTGCCTCAACAGTCCCTTCCCGGCGCAAGTAGGAAGCGGAAGAGGATTGCGGAGACGAGTCACCAGACCCTCGGTCTGCCTGGGATCTTCGAGATCGTCGACGACAGCGATCATAATGACGAGACGAGCAATGCGGCCGCAGGACAGCTACAACAAGAGCTGGTGGGAACGGAGCGGAAGAAAGGAGGCAAAGCTGCCAGATGAGCGCAGCCGAAGGTCAAAAGGCCACATTACTCAGTTTGACTAGTGGACATTGAATAGTCAGTCGCTGGCCGTTAGAATATTGTGCATGACGTTCAGGGGCTTCGCAAACGGCATTACACATTCATCTGTGGGCTGAGACGGCGCGGAAGCACGAAGTGCATATGCTCGGTACCATCGCCCCCGAAGCGGCAATCGAGGACATAGGAGGCATCCGAGAGCCCGTCGCACCCAAGACAAGACATCGATTTTCTCGACGATTGTGACTCTCCGAACAGCTATAACGATTCCAACTAGACCATAATGTGGCGTGCCACGCTCGTCCACTAACTGACAAGGTGAAACGGCCAAGTGAAGCGGCGCCAGTCGAGAATGAAATGATCGAGGTTGTCTGCTCTTCCACCTGATTGGCTGACGCGCCACGACAAGCCCCTGAACCGCAAATGATGAGATCCACCGCCCGCCGCCGAAGCATGTCGCCACTGCATATCGAGCCCAAACCGCCATACAAGCACTGCTCATCCTACTAAGCATCGCCGGGACAGCCGCCGGCCGTGAGAAGGTGCGTCTCGGTGGCGCCCCTCGCCGTCGATCGATGTCCTGCCATCCCTATTCCCGCGGGGATCGGCATGTACAAGTAGTCGACCACGGTAGGCACGCGCGACAGGTAGGCATTTTGTCCATTCATCCCTCCCTTACTCCTCGTTCCCTCTCCCTCTCTTCACCATGGCGTCGCTTCATTTCCGCCATGCCAGCGTGAACACGGCCTTTGAGCCGCATCTTCACACTCAGGAATCGAGCACCCCCCGAGCAAGGACCCCGTCGGGCCACGATCGTGGCCGCAGCCTGGGCTCGGCGGAAAAGGCAGACGAAGTGGTGCGGCCGCTGTTGCAGGATGCCGCCAAAGACATCTACATCACCCTGCCCTCCTCCAAGCGGCACAATGGTGTTCTGCTGACGCTACTATGGATCATGTCCTTGCTCTTGGTCTCATTGTTCACTTACCTCGCCTCCAATCGTCCGCCGTCCGTCAATCCTAATGGCACCTTTCTCACGGGATACACGACAGATTTGCGTGAGCATATCCCCAGATACCCTGCACATTGGATGATTTGACTAACAAAGCAACAGGCGAGGCCCGCTCGGCGATCCGCGTGCACAAACAGCACTTCTACGGCAGCCTGGATTTCAGGAGCCACCGTGGCTTCGTACCGGAGGGCTCTCCAAGCCTCAAGTACATGGGCGAGGGTGACGAAGTAGATGCAGCCTGGGATGAGCTGACCAAAGACCGCTACTTCCTCTTGTCCGAGGCCGAGGCGCGCGAGGCGTTCGGCAACCCACCCAACAAATACTGGAACGTGCACCACGGCGGCTACGTCGCGGGCCTCGACGCGCTGCACACTCTGCATTGCTTGAATCATCTGCGCATGAGCCTCTACCCCGACCATTACCCGCAGGACCCGAAGGACGGACGGATGCACAACGCACATTGCGTCGACCATCTGAGGCAGCTGGTCATGTGCAATGCCGATCTGACCCCCGTGCCTACTCAGTGGTTCAACGGACTGGAGAGGAATTACATCAACTCCTCGCGCGAGCACACCTGTCGCGACTTTGGCCGGGTGAGGGAATGGGCGACTGAACGGTTCAATGGGACGACGGCGGTAAAGGCAAGGAATCGGGATGGGTCTTTGAGGGCCAACTTCTACGAGCCCTGGACCCCGTAAGCATCAATTCTGGCCGAGCGAGTGGGTCATGTTCTATGGATTGGAAACCGGGCAATGTGGAAAGTTCATTTGGTTGAAGAACGAATGCGATGGGGTACTTATGTGAAAGGTCACGCTAAGAGACTTCCGCGTGGACGACTGAAACCCCACCCAGCCTCACGGGCTATTTTGGTCCCAGATACTGAGCCCGTTGAAGGCAGAGGGTAACGGACCAATGGAGAGTACGAGCGCGTCGTTACCCACGAATGCTGAGCTCCCAGATCTCAGCTGCCTCGACGTGTAACAGCAGCCCGAAGATGGTCAAGGGATGCCGGACTTGCCCGTACTCGCCCGTATTTGATCGAAGCGGGTGAGATGGAGGAGGTGCAACTGCGTCGACATCTTATATGCCCCGCAGCGTCGTCAAGAGTGGCGCAATCCCACGCGGTTTCGATGCTCGGTGGGGTGGTGGGTTGGTGTCCTGGGTATATAGCAGAGGAGCCGCTATACAAAAGATCAAAGCCAAATCCGGTGCCGAAATCCAGAGGACTTGCAGTTGAGCGAGACTCAGTCCAAGAAGCCCATTTCATCATCCATGACCCCCTTCAAGCCCCTCGCCTGCCGATGCACCCCGCTGTTGACTGGTGGCCACGCTTTGTGCCGTTTGCGCAGTGCCTCTGCATCGTCCAGCGCTTGAGCTAGATTGTTCAGTCTCCCGTAGACGACGTATTCCTGTTCCGCCAGTGCTTGAGCGAGGTCGACTTGATGGTTGTCCAGAAGCTCAGCGTTGGGAACCACGATCAAGGGCACGGAAATGCGCAAAGCGTCGAGAATGGTTCCCGAGCCTGTTGGTGGGCACGAGTCAGCCACATTCTCGGACCGGACCACAGTCATGGGTCGTTCATCATTACCAGCATGGCTAATCACCACTCCCTCGTTTGCGCCTTTGATGCCCTGGCCCTTTGCTTGTTTCATGTATTGTCCCAGGCCGTCCATATCCAGATCGAAGCCGGTGATGTTCAGTGTCGATGTGCCGGCATCCCGTGCGTGACGCAGACACGCGTCGAACAGACCGTCGCCATCTTTGCCGTATTGCACCCGCAGGTCTGTGTAGCCGTGCGACTCCAAAGCTTTGCCAAAGTCGACCGAGAGCGCGGCGCGGATCAAGCGATCAAACGATGCCGTCGCGCCAATCGTAACGAAGCAGGTCTTGGATGGTTTGCCCGACATCTCGACCCGAGTATATTTATACTGCGCGCATGGTATGTGGTGTTGTTGGAAGCAGGCAGATATGTCACGCAGGCCAAGTCTGGCTTGATTGGGAAGCTGGCCGCGGAGAATGAGTGAAGCTCGGGCCAACCCGCGGGAAAGTGAATTTCTGCCCGTCATCCCCAATCGCAGCACCTCCAACCTCCATCCATCCCTCACCGACCATGGCCTCCTCGTGTAAGCGAATATGCCTTCGTGCATCTCCGCAATGGTCGTTTCGGCCCATCCTACTGCTCCAATGGCAGCCGAACCGTCCGATCTCCACCACAACCTCCCGCCCTTATGCCCAAGGAGTCCAGCAGAATGCGAAGCAAAGCGATGCGCCCTCGAATGCGCAGCTGGACGCACTCGCAAGCCAGCCCGGCGTCAAATACACCATCACAGAAGAGCACGATGACTTGCAGGGCGCGGCGTCCGACGGTCTCACGAGTCTGGCCCACCGCGAACTCGAACAGCACAAGGAGCTGCGTGAAATGGTACGGATAGCCGCGTGGGAAATGCCGCTGCTCTCCCAGCTCGCCAAACCCTTCCACCCTCCCGAGGCCACTCAACAGCCCCTCCGATGGCGATACACCACATACCTCGGCGAGTCGCATCCCGCCGCGAGGAAAGTCGTGGTGGAGTTCAAGCCACGCTCCCTCAATCTCGACCGCCCGCAGCGCGTCAAACTCTTGAAGCTCGTGGGGCCGCGGTACAATCCCACCACAAGGACGGTGAGGATGAGCTGTGAGTCGTTCGAGACGCAGGCGCAGAACAAACGCTTCCTCGCCGACACCATCAACAAGCTCATCGCCGAGGCGCAGGATGGGACGGCGGATTCTTTCAAGGACGTTCCGTTGGACCTGCGACATCACACGCCGAAGCAACGCCATCGGTTTCCCAGAGCCTGGGGGATGACACCGCAGCGGAGAGAGGAGCTTGAGGGGAAGAGAAAGACGTTGCTTTTGGAAGAGGGCAAGAGAATTGAGCAGGATCGATTGGTCAGTGGGGCTGCGACTCTGGAGGCTAGAATGAAGCAAGATACGAGAAAGGTGGCACAGCCCGTCATGGTCTCGGCGAGGACGGGGAAGACAGAGAGGGGACAGCAGAGAGGGCGCAGATAGTGTCTGGGTTGTGCATGATATCCACCAAATCACGCTCGACTTTCCACCTCCCACCTGAGCGCTCACTCCTCCCTTCCTTATCGTTCGCGTAAGTCTCTTGATCATCCCTCATCTGCTTGATCGTACGCGTGGTCGTTGTACATCCTCCAATGCAAATTCGTCGTCTGCTGTGATTCGTCGTCGCTCTGCTGTGCCGAACCCTTCCTCGATAGAACAACACCCTTCAACACAATGCTTTTGACGGAAGAAGGGAGAGACAGAAGTAGCGCTCTCGCCATGTCTGCTGCCGAGGGCTTCCGGGTGTCTGAAGCTGTCGCGCCCAATCCATTGTCCTCCATCACAACATCTTCAAAAGAGCACGCCACATTCAATCCACCTGTGCTTGCTCCGATCGAGCTGTCACTGCTGCTGAACGCCCTGCTTTCCTGCCTCCCCCGAACGCATGATGGACATGCTGCGTTCACCGATTCCACTCCCAGATCAATCTTGTCCCAGCATCCATTCGAGAGGCCGGCTTGGGTCGTGGCTCGAATGCAGGGATCGCCGGAGATTGCCTGCTTGCCATAGCAGCCACAGAGTAGGTGGTATTGGGTTGAGATGTAGCACATCGTCGAAAACGGGTGGAGGATGGTGTTCGAAAGGCGATCGAAGACGGAGTGGATGGCCGCGCGCGACACGTGGAGGAGAGAGCGTGTACGTTCCATCTTCGGCGCTGTACGTAGCCGGCCATTTTTTATACTGGACAAACTTCTACGGCCTGGCGCTGCGTTCGTTTGTCTCTTGTTTGTATGCAGACAATGCCATTCACGACTGCATCTGCCTCACGCCAGAGATCGCGAGTGAGGGTGTGTTTGTCGGCTGTCTTCTTTGTGGCCGGGTTTGTCATCTTTGCGGCAGTCCAAACACACAAAGAACGTAGAGAAGATCTCAGAGCGACCCAGAATCCAGATCGTCACGCCAAAAAGGCTGTAAACGCTGTCTCAGCCCCGGGTACGCATCCATTCTATCCAACCTCCAAGACCACCGCAAACATCGAGCGCCTTTGCCAGTTTCCGTGCTTGCTCCTGGGAGTCGGAGTTGTTGGCTAGCATGACTGCATCATGGTTGGTGACGGCAATCTCTGAATTGGGCAACACCTGCACGTTGACGCTCCCCACTCGCCCCCCATCGTTCGTTGGGAAGGTGATGTTCAAAGTCGGGAGAAGTAGTGTAGAGAGTGCGATATTGATTGGAACCTTGTCTCGAACAGATGCGGTCTCGTGATCCGCAAGGAGGTCTTGTAGCGTGAGACCGTTTGTCTTGCGCGCATCAGTCTTCGAATGTTTGCTGCCCGTGAATGTTGCTGCGATGAGGGAACCAAGACTTGCCCATTGTCGCAAAGTCGGCAAGAGCTCGATGAGCTGGCGAGGATGGGAGAAGGGGAGCTCGTACAACTTCAGTCCGTAGTCGGGTTTTGCAGAATGTAGGGTGTACTCATGGGTGACTGTGCTCTCCACCCCGTCCCTCTGCGAGAGCACCACGTGCTCCGCGGTAGTCGTGAAGCCCAAGGCAGAAGGCGAAGGCCGGCCGTCGCGCGTAGCATCCAGGAGTAGAGCGGGGTACTGTGCCGGTATAACCAATATCTCAGGGGGTGAAGCGCCAAGAGAAGATAATACGTTCAACGCCACCTGGTAAGGCAGGACAATTGGAGGGTCGAGCTTGGCAGTGAAGCGCAGGTCGGGAAGCTTGGGCTGCCCGTCGACCGCCATAGTCGTCGCGCCTTCATTGGCGGCAAGGAAGGTCGGAGCTGGATCTTGCCACGGAATCGTGTCCATCGCATCGAAATCGGAGACTTCGAGGCTTGCGGGGAGCCAAGCATCAGATACGCGCAAAGATGGGTAAAGGCCGGCCAGCGATGGTTCGGCTTCGATGCGGAGGGCGAAGATATCAGCGTTCGAAGACCCATCTTTCCAGCCCATCCTCCTCCCCTGATGCCAGTACTGTATTTCCAGTCCAATCTTGCCGCGTTCATGCATCACAGGCTTGCCACTCTTCTGACACGCAACCTCGGCCGCAATGTCGTCGGCGTTAGAAGATGTTCCGTCAGGATTAGAGGCTTTCAGCTTCTGAACTTCGTGCTCGTACAGTCTTCGCAGGCTGGAATAGATCCCGGTGATTGCTTCGAAACAATTGACGCCGCCCACACTCAGCCTGTCTAGTCTCGCCAGACGCTCGAGGTTTATCGCGAAGCGGTCAAGGCGGGCCTCAAGTGGAAGACCATCAGGGACCTGCAGATCTTCCCAAAGCACCTCAGCCGCACGAGACTGTTGGTCTGTAAGCGCCGGCACTTCGGTGCCGAATTCTACAGAAACGCTCTGGGGCACATGGTTCCTCAGGTTGAGATCGATGGCGATGTGTGCCCCAGCGGTTGAGAAAGGCCGATTTCCCACCCTTCGTTCCTTTTCTTCCAAAGTAAGCTTTTCGGCGTCGATGTCGCTCTGGAATCCCACTCTGCGAGCGAGTCGAGCAATACCCTCCTCACTCACCCTGCCCTTGGGCCGGCCGATGGTCTGGAGCACCTTGCGCATCTTCGCGCGGCGCTCATCATCCTCGTTCCGTCTCCCGCCACTAGGGTAGAGTCCGAGGTCGCTCAGCGTTGGCATCATCCCCACACCGCCGACACGCGGCGTGGACATGTTCAACCCGGCCGGTGTGTGGCCTTCCAGCCCTCCGGGAGTGTTGAAGCTCAACATGGCAGCGGTTGGTGAAGAAGTGAATCCACTGGAGCTCAAATTATGCACCATCGGGGTACCTGCTAGGGTCTTGCTGCCAGTGGAGCCGGTGGTTGGGTGGTTGACGGGTGTCTTGCTCCCTGCTTGGCGGTTCTGGGCTACCGGAGATGATGCATGGTGAAGGTGGGACGGGGTGGAAACGCTTCCCGATGGACGCTTGGATGGTTGCGGCGGAGTTGGGGTGGCCATGTCGGTCCAGTTGGAATGGGGAAGCGGAATAGGTGTGGCATAGACGGAGAGACACGCGGTCTACAGTGACTGCGCGCGCTATCTTACCTTGACAGCCTGCTGAAAGATGTCCGAACATGGAAGGACACTGAAGTATGCGCGTGTGCACGTGCAGGGGAAATGACTAAGTGTTTATGTCATCACATCACGTGCTTTCAAGGCATGTCTCTTGAAAGGCTCTCAACAAAGCGTGCCCATATTCTCTTACTGATGACACAGGAATATGACAGAGACTCGGAGGACAGACAGGTTCGAGACGGCATGGATGGCGTTGTATGCACGTCTAATGACAGCACGATTGAACACGCAAAGGAGTAACAAAATCGCGCACGCACGTACCCAGCCAAAAGTCGCGCACCTGCGTAGATCCTCTGGTGGCATTCCATCCAATGCGACACAGCCGTAAAAGCGTCTCACCTTGTCACCGGAGAAACGATTGTATTAAGTAACGCCAAGTCCACGGCCAACGTTCCGCTCCTGTCGTGGAGGAGGTCTCATGCAGGTAGGTGTGACGATCACGTAGCGAGGCTCCGCTCCTGCCATGCTGGTCATTGCAAGGCTCGCGCGCGAGACACATACTACAAGAATCTCCTTTCTCCATCCCCCTCTCTTCTCTTGACCCGGCAACGACACACGGACGACGCCATGGTTGGAGTACGCCGTCGTTCTACCACACGGCCGCCTGTCGGCATCAAAATACACGTCGATCGGAACACGTTCAGCGCTGGAGACACCATTCAGGGAACTCTCGACATCACCACCACTACCGATTTTACCTTTACCGATCTTGACATATTCTTTCTCGGCACCAGTCGGTCGATAGTCGAGCGTTTTACACCCACGGCGAGATCCGGTGGGCGAGAGGAGGCCTTCCATGTCTTCCTGAGTCTCGCACAGCCTAATCTGAAGATATACTACCCGCCGCATCACCTCCTGAAAGCCGGCCAGACCTACACTTTTCCCTTCCTCTTCGGTGTCCCGGACAGACTGCTACCACGTGCCTGCAAGCACGCCGTCGTCAACGATGCAGTGCGAGACGCTCATCTCCAGCTTCCTCCCTCCTTTGGCGACAACGACCTCATGCGCAAACTAGACCTTCCCGACGATCTGTCGTCGGGCAACGTCTCCATCAGATACGGAGTGTATGCTCGGCTATCGCGTTCCGAAACCTTTGAGGACGACGAGAGGGAAACGGTGGTTCTCGCAACAAATGCGCGAAGACTGCGAATCATCCCAGCTCCTCAGACACCGTCGACGATGTCTCAACAACCAGATCAGCCTCCCGTTCGAATCGAGAGGACCATTCGAAACAAGGGCCTCATCAAATCCGGGGCTCTGATCATCGAAACAGAACGACCACAGACGGTCTACATCGCGTCATCTCCTGCTCAGCGCAAAGACAGTATCTCCACCACGATCAAAGTAGCACTGCGCTTCGATCCGATCCACGATGGACACTCCCCTCCGCGATTAGGACGACTGGTGACGTTGCTCCAAACCTCCACCTTCTTCGGAACCAACAAAAGGGACGGTTTTCCGACGCGGCAAAGTGTCAAAGAGGATATGGCGCAAGCAGTGCATACCCATCACCACGTCCTCTCGCGACGCAACGTGGCCAGTGTGCAGTGGACAAAAGTGCGCGATCAACAAGGCGAAACGGCAGAGAGTTCTCAAGAGCACGCGACACTGGGGCCGAGCAAGACGTACAAAGGGGGGGTCTACTACGTTGCAGAGGTTGTTGTGCCGTTGAGCCTGCCCGGAAACGTGACGTTTGTACCTACGTTCCACTCGTGCCTCATGAGCAGAGTCTACAGCCTCGAGTTATGCCTGGGCGTGCAGGATGGGAACATGCTGAGTCGAGCGATCCGTCTACAGACGGCGCTGGAGCTGTCGACCGACGCACAATCCGACTCGCCAGCCTACGACGCTCGACAACGGCAAGACAGCGGGTTCAGCAGTGTGGATGACGACAACGACTTTGCAAGGCTACTCTCCCGCTCCGTCGATGGGCAACGACACGGTAGTGTGCTGGGATACGGGCATTGGGGGCTGCGGGTGGAAGAGCTGCCTGCATACACGCGATGATGGCGTGTCGCGGACAGGTGGGCGACATGTGCAACATCGCTTTACGGAACCACCACATGCGCACGCATCATGCCGGCATACTCCTCTCCGGACTGATTTCCGCCTTCACGTATGGCGAAAATGCCGCAGGGCGGAGGGGAAACCGACGCCAATCGCTGCCACCGTATCGGTCATATCCCGCGGCCAGCGACCAAAAATCGCGCAGCGCATATGATGAGAACAGGCTGAGCAAGCGGAACAAGCTTTCACCCCATTAATCAAATCACCCGCCCTAGGCCAGGGATACGAAGGGCCAGGTAGAAAGGAGGGAGGAAAAGTGGGCGGGAGAGGAGGATTCGGGTTCACCAATAGGCAAAAGGCGCGGGCAAGCCAGCGTCTCAGCAGGCGTTGGCTCCATAGCGGTGTGCATGAGGCATTTTCAGCATTGGACGTTGGCGAAACGAAGATTTTCGCTAGGACTGAAAGGCAACGCGAGCGATCTGACGTCGTCGCGCTAGTACCGAGCCGTGTGCCTTGACACATGGAAATCAGAAGCTCGGCTCCGCTGCTGATGCGGGAAATGATTGTCCTTCGCTGCAAATTTGCTGGTCCCTTGCCATCCCACAGCCGTGTGCATGCGTGTCCGCACAGCCTTCTTGGGTATCGCGCAGTTGCCCCCCCCGTTGCAACGTTGAGAGCGATCCCAAAGACTGGACCTTGCAGCGCATGCCGTGCACGCGCATGAGCCTTCCAGACGTGGATCCACGTGGAGGAAAAAATGTGGTGCTCTTGCTTTTCCTGCTAGATACATAATATCCCGGCGGGCCACGTCCGTTGTGTTGCCTTTCGCCTCGTCTTGTGCGTCTCCTCTGCTCTCAATCGTTCCCGTGTAGTCGCCTCACCACCACAATGTCGGACACGGATTCGAAAGAGAAAGGGTTCGACGCTGCCGAATACCTCGAAGCACAGCCAACCGTTGCTGTGCGCACACAAATTGCCTGGGACGATGATGCGGAACAACAGCGTGGTCGTCGATTCTCCCAATCCAGCCGGCCGGACCTTGCTCGCTCGACGAGTCGCGATTCGATAAGCAGCGTGCGTAGTCGCACTCGCAATGCGAACGCCGGAATCCCCATCGAATTCCGCACGCTCTCCTTCAACGTCTCCCAATCGCGCTCGCAGGCCCGCGGCGATTATGATTATCCCACCAAGAAACCGGTCGCGTTGTCGTCGACGTGGTGGAAGAGGAAGTCCAAGGATGCCGTTCACCCCCACGACAGCGGCAAAGACAACCGGGTCGAAACGTTCTCCAAGGCCGACGAGCACGTCGTCGCCATCGATCAACTCTACCAACGACTGCGAGTGTCCCCGACGCAGGGCTTGAGCAAAGAGGGAGCGGCGAAAAGACTGCGCGACGATGGCCCCAACGTGTTGCCTCAGCGTCGCAAGAACTACATCAAGACCCTGCTGCGATATGTCTTTGGCGGCTTCTGCTCCATCCTGTGGGTCGGCGTGATCATCTTCTTCATCTGCTGGAGGCCCTTGGGTGATCCCGATCCCGCTCCCTACAATCTCGGTCTCGCCGTCCTCGTCATCATCGTCATCGTCCTCCAGGCCTGTTTCTCTGCGTTCCAGGATTGGTCGACGGCCAAGACCATGAACTCCATCCTCGACATGCTCCCATCTGATGCACACGTGCTGCGCGACGGCGAGTGGACGACCGTCCGCACCCACGACGTCGTCTGCGGCGACATCGTACGCATCAAGATTGGAGACAAGGTGCCCGCCGATCTCCGCCTCGTCGAGACTTCTGGTGATATCCGTTTCGACCGCTCCGCCATGACTGGCGAGTCGGAAGAGGTCGAGGGCTCGATCGAGACCACCGACGACACCTTCTTGGAGAGCCGAAACATCGCACTGATGGGCACCATCGTCACCAACGGTAGCGGAATGGGCGTCGTTGTGCTCACTGGAGCTCGCAGTGTCATGGGTGGAATCGCCAAAGCGACGGCGTCGGTCAAAGACAAGCCGACTTCCATCCAGCAGGAAATCACGCGCTTTGTGATCATCATCGTTGGCTTGACCGCTTGCCTTGCCGCTCTGATCCTCTTCACCTGGCTCGGCTGGGTGCGCAAGTCATACCCGGGCTACATGAATGTCGTCGACATGCTGGACGATGTGATGGGCTGTGTCGTCGCTTTCATTCCCGAGGGCATGCCCGTCGCAGTCGCCTTGACTCTCATGATGATTGCCCGACGCATGAAGGCTGCCGACGTTCTGCCTAAGAGCCTGGGCACGGTCGAGATGTTGGGATGCGTCAACGTCATCTGCTCCGACAAGACGGGTACCTTGACCGAGAACAAGATGACGGTCACATCCGTCGGATTCTTGGACGAGTCGATCAGCGCGGCCGAGGCCACGACTCGGATCCAGGACGGCAACAAGGTCGACGCCCTCACGAAACTGCATCGTGCAGCACGTCTCTGTGTCGATGCCTCCTTCGATCCTCTGAGCATGGACCTGCCAATCCCCGAACGTTTGACGCAAGGCAACGCCACTGATGGCGCGGTACTGCGATTTTCCGAAGCGGCCATCCCGAACTCGGGTGTGCAGGAGACTTATCGACAAGTCGCCCAGCTTCCATTCAACTCCAAGAACAAATACATGCTGACCCTTCACGATGATGACGACGGAAACGACGAGAAACAACAAGAAAAGAAGACATTCCTGGCCTTGGTCAAGGGTGCACCGGATGTGCTCTTGCCAAAGTGTTCGTCGTACTTCTCCTACCACCAAAACAAAGTCCTCCCACTTGACCAAGAGGCACGTGGAATGCTGTCTGCGGTCCAGACAAAGCTTTCGTCCAACGCTGAACGAGTCATTCTCTTGACGGAGCGCCGATACGCACCACAGGCCGCCCTGGGAACGAACGATCTGACCCGCGAGCTGGGCGAGAACTGCTTCTCCGACCTCACGATCATTGGAGTGCTGGGCATCTTTGATCCGCCTCGTCCGGAATCCGCTGCCACGGTGGCGACCTGCCGGAGGGCCGGCATTCGATTCTACATGATGACCGGAGACTACGGATTGACTGGCGCTGCCATCGCTCGACAGATCGGAATCTTCACTGGCGAGCGCGCCCCAGATACTTTTGCAACACTTCAAGAACGACGTTCGCCGGCCACCTCGCCGACCAAGGATATCGAGCCTGATTTCTCGTATCACTCTCTGCTGTTGGAGGGTGCGCAGATCGGCATGCTGATCGACGAGGACTGGGACATTGTGTGCGAGTACGAAGAGATTGTGTTTGGCCGGTGTTCGCCGGAGCACAAGATGCGCATCATCCAGGAATTGCAGAAGCGAGGGAAAGCGACGGCGGTCACTGGTGACGGTGTCAACGACGCGCCCGCCCTCAAAGCTGCGGACGTTGGTATCGCTCTCGCGAGTGGCAGCGATGTTGCCCTCGAAGCGGCAGACCTCGTTCTACTGGGCAAGTTCGACTCCATCATCGAGGGTATCCGCTTGGGCCGCCTGGTGTTCCAGAACTTGCAAAAGGTCATCAGCTACCTCTTGCCTGCCGGCTCGTGGTCCGAAATCTGGCCGGTGATTATGAACGTCTTTGTCGGCGTTCCCCTTCCGCTCTCTTCGTACCTGATGATCATGTGAGTATCAAGATTCAACTTTTCCCATGCTGTGTATGTTCATGCTGACCTTGCCATCACAGCATTTGTGTGTTTACCGATCTGTTCATGTCCATGGCCTTGATCATGGAAAAGGAGGAATTCGACCTGATGAGCCTGCCGCCGCGCAACCACCGCAAAGACCATCTGATCAATCTGAAGATCTACGCGCAATCCTACCTCTTCATCGGCGTGATGGAGACGATTTGTGCGCACGCCATGTTCTTCCTCTACTACTGGCGCCATGCGGGCATTCCGGCGTCCGCGCTGTTCCTCGCTTTCAACAAGTACTCTGCCGGGTTCTACGGCTACACGGAAGCAGAGCTGGAGCACTTCAACATTGTCGGACAAAGCGTGTACTTCATCACGCTCGTGATCCTGCAGTGGGGCAACGTGCTGTCCATCCGCAACAAGCGCCTGTCGATTATCCAGGCGGATCCGATCCGCAAGGGGCGTCGCAACCCGTGGTTGGTGCCGGCAGCGCTGGTGGCTCTGGTGATTGCCATCTTCGTGACGGAGGAGCCGGGCTTGAAGAAGCTCTTTGGCACGGGCAGCGCGCCGTTGGAGTTCTACTTTATTCCCATTCCCTTGGCGTTGGGCATTTTGGTGATGGATGAGTTGCGCAAGGTGCTGGTGCGGTGTTGGCCGAGCGGGCCGATTGCCAGGATTGCGTGGTGAGGAGTGTTTTTGTTAGTGGATCGTACATGTAGAATTGCCTACATATGATTGCAAACGTCTGTACGAGCAGATGATCTTGGCCTTCTCACCTCTGCTTGTCAACAGCGCATCTGCACGGAGTGAGAGCAGACCCGCCAGCAGCCTCAGGCATGACAGGCACCAATTCGGCAGTAAGGCAGACACAAATAGAAAGATGCTTGCCAAGAAGGTGACCAAAGGAAACCAGTGAGCCTGCGCGGCGATTGGTTGACTGCATCCTTATCAAGGTTTCGGCTGGCCCCGGCATGCGGGTGCCCGGCGAGCCACCCGTCTGGTGTGGCGCATGCGACGGCCATACCCAGAAGGGTCTTTGGGTCCGGCTGCGGAGATTGAGGGCGAGATGGGCATGCTGCATGACACACGGAGGAGGATGATCTTAGTTGATGGGAAATGGGTGGAGGCTCGGCAATTATCAGAGGATTGGCGGGGAAGGGCGCGACTGTCGCAAGGCTGGCCCTGAGGGATAATCGATGTTCCTGGGGGGCAAACCTTATCGCTGATGCACTCCAAATATGACGCACGCGCGGCAAATTGGGGCAGGAACTTGATCGTGCAGTCTCCTTTCACCCAGTGGACAGATTGCGCTTGCAATTGCCGTGTCGAAGTAGCGGCAGTGGTGTACGCAGAGGGTTGGGTTGGAAGTGCCACAGATGGCCGGTGCACAAGATAAAGAAAGCGGGCGATATCGGGGCGGTCGTGGGGACCCAAGCACCAGACGCCTGGGCATCCGGGGAGTTGACAAAGAGAAAAAGGAAAGTGATGAAAGGGGAAGAGGCGTGGAAGGGGTGGTGTCGCGTGCGTCCGGTGGTTCAGCACTGCGTCTCCTCCATATTCCCGCCACGGGCATGCCACGGCGCGCGGTCCCTGGATGGATGATCGCATGGCCGCGATTCGTAAATTCGGTGACTTGACGTATCCGGCGCTGCTTATCGCGCCCGCCCGCCCCGGCTTTCTGGGCAACAGGCCATCTCGCGCTTCTTTATTCAAATAAATATCATCGCGCGCTCAACTCCCTTTCCTCTGTCCACTCTCCATTGCCTCACGAAGCATCCCTCCCACTGCCTCTCTCGCTCATCCCTCCAAACCCACCCAGCCCATCTTCACATCTCCCGCAAAGATGGTGCGCAGCTGCCACGTGCTCCTTCCCAACCGTGCCACGTACTGATTGCTTTTGCAGGCCGAATCAACAATCGTCTCCGACACCGCCAAGGTCAGTTATTCCTCACCCTCCTCGCACGTCTTGCTCGGCCTCGTACTAATGCGGCGCAGCTTCAAAAATACCTCTCCCTCCCTCAGCGCGGCAAGGTGATCGCGGAATACGTGTGGATCGACTCGTCCAATGGCGTCCGCTCAAAATGCAAGGTGAGTGATTATTCCTCCTGTCATCTCCGCCCATTTCGTTGTGGCCTTTGCGTGTCTTGCTCGAGGCGCCCTCGTCAAGGACGACATCACCAAACAGGCGTCGCCCCGAACTGCGCCGCCGCTTTCGGGGCGAGCCGGCCTCAACGATTGGCCGCGCTAGGCCTCCGCCGGCTTTGCCCCATCAGAAACTCTGCCCCGGCAATGCAGACCCAAATGACGCATGCGCGAGTTTCATCGTGCAGCCTGAGATGCGGCATTATGCTGACCATGGCATGTGCCTTGTTGCGTAGACCCTCGACAAGCCCGTCACCAGCCTGAAAGAGCTGCCCGAATGGAACTTCGATGGCTCCTCCACCGGCCAAGCCCCTGGCGACAACTCCGATGTCTTCCTCCGCCCCGTCGCCTACTTCCCCGATCCCTTCCGCCTTGGCGACAACATCCTCGTCCTCGCTGAGTGCTGGATGTCGGACGGCAAGCCCAACCAGTACAACTCTCGCCACGATGCCAACAAGCTCATGTCCAAGCACGCCGCGCACAAGTTCTGGTTCGGTCTCGAGCAGGAGTACACCTTCCTCGACTCCACCAGCTGGCCCTACGGCTGGCCCAAGAACGGCTTCCCCGCTCCCCAGGGCCCCTACTACTGCGGCAACGGCACCGGCAAGGTCGTCTGCCGAGACATTGTCGAGGCGCACTACCGCGCCTGCCTCTTCGCCGGCATCAACATCTCCGGCACCAACGCCGAGGTCATGCCCGCCCAGTGGGAGTACCAGGTCGGCCCCTGCGAGGGCATCGACCTCGGTGACCAGCTGTGGATGTCGCGCTTCCTCCTCCACCGTGTCGCTGAGGAGTTTGGCGCCAAGGTCTCCTTCAGCCCCAAGCCCATTCCCGGCGACTGGAACGGCGCCGGTCTTCACACCAACGTCAGCACCAAGGAGATGCGTGCGGACGGCGGCATGAAGCACATTGAGAAGGCCATGGAGGCCCTCTCCAAACGCCATAAGGAGCACATGAAGGTCTACGGCGAGGGCAACGAGGCGCGTATGACTGGTGGTCACGAGACAGCCGCCTTCGACAAGTTCTCCTGGGGCATTGCCGACCGTGGCTCGTCCGTGCGTGTCAATCGTGCATGCGCCGAGGAGGGCAAGGGATACTTTGAGGACCGGAGACCGGCCTCCAATGCCGATCCTTACCAGATCACCGGCATGATTGTCGAGACTGTGAGTAGCCCCTACCCTGCCATCTTTTCGCCCAAAATACTGACGTACCTCAGCTCTGCGGCAAGGTCGAAGGCACCGACATGTACACCACCGCCACCCAGGCCGAGGCCCAAGTGCAAGACATGCCCGTCATCCAATCGAAGCCGTAGAAGACGTACAGTTCGAGACATAGACGGAGGGGGATTGGAGAGGGGGAAGGAGTGCAATGACCGTTATGATACCTTTCTGTGTGCGTGTCTGATGTTGTACCACGCTGCAATGGATCCGAGCAACATACCTAGCGCTCCACCGCGCCCAAGAGGGCCAAGTATGTAAATATTCTGTATTCTTGGTTGACTATTGGCTCGCCAGCCAAGTCTAGTGATTAGCATGTCAATCACCACATGCCCTTCCTTGCACCAAAACTCTCATTGTCACTAGATGTCCAGGCATTCGTCTCATTCGTCAGTTCACCACGGCTGCCACGAAGTATTATCTATTACGGGTATCATCATCTACGCTATGCTGACCACAGCCCTGAGCGGGAGACGCTCCTCCTTGCCCGGCGTCATACCCACGGGTGTCTTGTCCACCTCTAAATCCTCCAGTCGCCGTCCGTCCGCCATGGTATTGGCCACCTGCTTCGAATCCTGCCGCTCCTCTTCTCTCTCGCTCTCGTCATCTCCATCATCACTACTGTCATCCTTGTCCTTCTCCTTATTACTCTTCCGGTCTCCACTCCCCGACCTTCGCTCCTGTGCATCCATCTCCAGCTCCTTTCGATGCCGCGCCACCAGCTCCTTCGCCAGCCGCTCGCCACCATCTTTCCCCTGCTTGGTGAAATTCACTCCCTCGAGCGCGCGATTGACATCCCAGATCCCCTTCTCTCGCTTCGTCTTGTATCGCCCCAGTAGATTTCCCTGCACCGGCCCGAAACTTTGTTGCGCCGTCTCCAGCAGCCTCAGGTAGATGGACCAGCCGTGCGTGACCTGCGTCCGGATCTTGTCCAGCTGCTCGCTCGCTTTCTCTCTCTCTTGTAACTCCAGCAGTTCATTCTTGCCCTGTTGGAATCGACTCCCTCGAAGCAAAGCCTTGCTCTCGGGATCCTTCCCCTTCTTCTCCACGTGCTTAATCAGGCCTTCGACGAGAAAAGCCGGCGGCGCAATGAGCGCATTCGCATTCTTGAACACGAACCCGCCCAGCCCTTTTCCAATCCCGGAACCTAGCCCGGTAAGCTTTGACGACAGCGTCTCGCCATCCTTCCACTCTGATTTCGGCAGCGTCACGAGCCCCGTCCAGCCGTCGTAGATGCCGTATGCAAACTCCTTGCGCGCAGCAGTCAAGCCGGATTTGACGCCGTGGATCTTGATGGGTTTGCGCACGGTATTGTCGCCCCAGAGGCGAGGGGCGTTGTGCGTTCCTTGAGCGAAGGCGACGGCGAGGTCGTTGGGCATGGTGAGCATTGCTATGCCGGCTCGTTTGACGCCCCAGTTGAGATCCTCGATGACTTCCTTCGGCAGAGGTTGCGTGGGATCGGCAGATAGGGCGGAGCTGGCCGTGGACGTCGTCAATTGTCGATCATTTGGTGGTCTCAGACTGCCATCTTGTGCTTGGGGCGGCGGCTCTGCTCGTCGTTCGGCCTCTGCGCGTTGTCGCTCGGCTCTGTGCTTCTGCTTCGCTCGCTTTCTACGCTCATGCTCTTCTCGATGGCGGACATGTCGGGCGATGCGCACTGGCACCATTCCCACGCCCTCTCCAATCCCATATAGCGAGCTCTTGAGCGCTTCGGCACTTCCAGTGATGGGTTCCCCCGGGCCATCAAAGTCGTTCCACGCCCGATGGCGTATCAGCTTCAACTCGCTCCTGTTCACTTTGCCCTGCTGAAGCAACAGCTCCGCAGCCATTGCCGAGAGCCGCAAGGATGACTTCTTAACCTTCCACACGGCCACGCGGTCTTGCAGGATGGAGCATCTCATGCTGTGGCGCCCATTCAAGGGTAGGTGACGCATGAAGGATTTCACCGCATTCTCTGCGCCGTCGCCTTCCGCACTAATGGAGTCTGCAATCTTTTGCACATTCTGCTGCGCCTCGTCCGTCAGACATTGTTTGATGCCTTCAGCCAGCTTCTCAACCGTGAGCTTCTTGTATGGGATGCACTCGAATGCGCCAGCTCGGGCTCCGGCCACCATGTTTCCCCAGAACGGCTGATCGCCGAAAAAGGGCACAATCATGGTGGGTTTGGCACACTTCAACCCGATAGCCGTTGTGCCAGCGCCGCCATGGTGAACCACTGCTCGCGTGCGCGGGAAGAGCCAGTCATGAGGAATATTGCCCAGCATGAAGACGTTCTTGGGCGTGTTTGCATTCGTCGCGCCAAACCCACCCCAGCCCTTGCTGATGAGAGCACGCACACCAGCCAGCTCGACGGCCTTTAGGATCATTTCTGTGAATGCGTTCGGATCATCGACGACGATGCTTCCAAAGCCAATGTATACGGGCGGCTCTCCAGCATCCAGAAACTCCTGCAAGTCGTCGGCCGGTTTGTAGTCCCGTGCGAGATCCAAGAAGACAAAGCCCGCAATGTCGATTTCCTTCCCCCAATCCTGCGGCTTTGGGACGAGTGAGGGGCTCCAGATGTATGTATACGGCACTTTGGCACGGTACAATGCTCCTGGTGCCCACAGTGAGCTGACGGGCTCGAGGTGAAGGGTGTGTTCGCGGAATTTGTTCACGATGTCTCCGAGTCCTTGCCAGGTCATCTGTGTGGTGCGAATAGTCAGCGAAATGGCCTTTGTGCTGGTCTCGATGGTACGAAGAATCATCACTCACCATTTCCACCAGTGGGTAGCTCATCAAATTGACATAGCCTGTGTCCACGTTGCTTTTGCGATACTTGATGTTCGCCAATGGGTGCGGGAACTGGGTAGTTGGTGTGTAGGGGAACGTGAAAACAATATGCAGCGGTATCCCCAGCCTCTCTGCAATGTGAACATGGGCCATACTTGGCGGATTGGCGATGATGGCATCCGCTACGAAGGGTAGGACTGGCAGTTCCTTGCCGTCAGCACCCTTCGCTGGCCGACCTGGGGTGATGCAGGCTTTCCAGAAGCCTTCGAACATGGTCCCCATGTCTGCTCGTCGCCTGCCAATGTCGCCCCCGCGTATCGTGGAGACGTTTGGGATCAGGCCAGGGTTCTTGACCATGAAAGCCATAAGTTCGCTTGGGTCGCCGCCGATACCAAAGAATTCCAGGCCCGTCGCTTCGACGAAGTCTTCAAAGACGGGGTGCGTAGCGATGCGGACGCGATGGCCGTGCGTCTCCTTGAGGATCTTGCCAATCTTCAGAAAGGGCTGAATATCCCCTCTGCTTCCGATGACCATGACGACGATGTTCATCTTGGGCTGGGGGGCGGAGAAGTGCAGCGAGGATTTCTCTCGCTTTTGTTCGCGCTTGATGTCCTTCTTGCTTGTCCGTCCCGACTCGAGGCCTAGCTGCTTCCGAATGCTTCGCCCCAAAGCCCTGGAAACGTAGCCGCTCTGTGCGGTCTCTTCCATGGATATCTTGAGCCTGCCGTCTCTGCGCGAAACTTTGCCCTTGGTACGGAAGAATTCGTTGTTGATCAGAAAGCGTCGCCGCTCCTCGCTGTCGGGTTGCGAGGCTCCCGATCGCGTTCTCCGTGCATCGGTTTGCTCGCTCGTCTCGTCGTCGGATGAGCTCGACGAGTCCCAATCCTCGTGCGCCATATCGAAATGATATTGAAACGTGCCATGGTTGCCAGTGCCCGGCTTTTTGCCAGGGAGCAGATAGCTGGATGGGAATGTCCTGCCAGATGGCCTCGATCTTATGGCAGGCGCCGTCTGTCCTCGTAGCGCGGGAGGTCTTGACTGGCCATTACCACTGCTGTCAAGCACATTGCTCGTGGGTGCTGATGACTCGACCTCCTCTAAACCCTCGCCCGTCCGCACATCGCTCGGTGCAAGGGCGCGCTGATCGTCGGCCATGTTGCAACGCTCGTTGATAATTAGCAAATTGCAGGTAACATGCTGAGAACAGCCGCGAAGAAGGATCAGAAGGCAATAGAGCTCCAGTAACTTTAAATCAGAATGGTTCTCAGGACAGTGGCAAGCAAAAAGTGAAAGTAAATCATAGATATGGCTGGGCCGGGATGACCTCAGAGCTCGCGTGGTTTTAGGCTTCTCGCCTTTCCGCGAGAAGCCGCACGCAGATACGTGATGAAGTGATGCAGTGCAATACTGACTATCGACGCCACGGCTGGCTGGATCAAATTTGATTTGTGACCTACTTATGCGGGTTTAGGAAGATACCGAGCGACCGGAGCCATAAATATATTAGGGATTTCTCATTAGAATTAAGTGATAGTTGCAAGTCTAACCGAACAACACAAATAACGCCTCGCAACATGCTGCTGAATGCGAAAGAAAATGAAGGACCCCGATCTGATGTACATGGAGAGTTTTTGACTGAGAAAAGGTTTCCAGAAAAGCGCAGTCCTTGCGGACAAGATGTAATTCGCGCCTTGTCGTACGGCCAGGGCCTGAGAAATGGATGATGGGTGACAGGGTTGGACGGTTAAGTATATGCCTCCATCAGTCTGGCGGTATCAAAGCGATTAGTCAATGTGATCTTCTCGGTGTTTACACCTGGCTCATGGCTGGCCCACTTCTTCGGATGCCGCTGGGACGGATGCCGCTGCCGCGGGTGTTCAGGCCGGAGAGGACGGTGGAGACAAGGAAGGCGAAGAAGCCGAAGAAGAGGAAGGCGTCGGAGGCTTGCGCTTCGGTGCATCGTCCGGATTTGCCAGTCTTCACGCCGTTGGTGATGTGGTTGGAGTCGAGATAGCCCTGTAGCGAGGAAGCGATGGTCAGTGTACTGAGAGGAGAGCGCACGTGTGAGGGTGCGCGCGTACCTGATTGCTGCAGCTATGCACGCCCAAGTCGGCCGCCAACGCCACCGCGCCGCAGAACCAGAAAATGGTGTTCAGGATGTCGAGGATAAGGGGGAACCAAGGGGAGATGGAGAAGTTCTCCCAGATGGTGGCGGGTAGGAGGTAGAAGAGCGAGAGCATGCCGAAGACAGAGCAGAAGAGGCTGTAGTTGACGACAGAAGGGCTGTTGTGGGCTTCGGCGACCATGTTGCCGACAATGGCCATGACGAGGAGGGCCCAGAGGAACTAGGCGATGAGGTTAGCAGATTGGCGCGGAGGAGGTAAGGGCGTTGCGGCGCATACCTGGAGCCCTCGCATGGCGATGTTGAGGGGCTTTGCAAGAGACATGGTGGCTGAGTGGTGGTCAGGTGGTGGTTCTAGCGATGGATATAGCGATGACGAGAGGGCTGGGCGCGTAGTGTCGGTGTGGTGTAGGGATAAGAAAGAGGGAGCAAGTGAGAATGGAATAGAAGGGAAGAGTAATGCCGTCAGCGCGAAACAATTTGTCGGCTACGCCCAAATCAGACGGCGCGCCTCTACGTCATCCCACCCAGAGCTCGGATTGGCCCGGGAGCTCGCAAAACCCTAACTCTACCTCTTCCCGAACGTCCGTCGCTGCACGGTGATGATGATGGTCATCAGGGAGAAGATCAAGCAACTGGAGCACAACGTCACTTCCTCCCTAGTTGCCGGCTACGAACGAATGCATCATCCTCCGATTCTTCTCTCCCTTTTACTGAATGGGCCCCCGACAACACTGCGCAAGGATGATCCGTGTATACGCTGTACCTTGCAGTACATCCGAATTTCGGCCGCGTGCATGCGGAAGCGTGGAAAATTCCCCGGCGCTCATCGTCATCAGCATCATCATCGACAACATTGAGCTATACTGTACTCCACTCTTCGGGAGGCGATGGTGCTCTAGATCTCTGTCCCTGCAAAGGTATGGTATCCCGTGAGGTTTTTCCCTGACCGGAATCAACCGCTTTCAGACCCGAATCTGCTCATCTCATCCGCACGGTTTTCCTGAGGAAGAAACATCTTTCAGAAAGCCAATAGACAACTCCCTTGCCCTGTGTGACCGATTGCCTTCATGTTACCAGAAGGAAAATTGCTCAACGAAAAGGGCAAACCCTCAAAGGTAGTACTGCTTACCTCTCTTTCCTTCATATCAACAAGCTCATCACGAAAGAACACTGGCCGGACTCTGCTCGATTTTGTTGAATCAAACCGAACGGTGGACGAGATTCCTCAGCATCAGGCTGCGTATTTGGGTATTGCTCGCTTCATCGACACCAACGGTCCCTTAGTATCTATACCTTCTGCTTTTGGCCCCCACGATCACTCCTCTCGATGCTCCTCGATCATGACAAGAGCAAGAAGCATGCCGCTGTTCACAGCTAATTCATTTCATCTTTATCTCTCTATCCAGCGTTTGGGCGTCTCGGCAACTTCTGGCGTGGTTTGATCTACAGCAAGGGATGGCTGTACCACCCCCAGGAATGTATTTCTTGACCGCAACCTCCGAACAATAAGTTTCTCCCGTTTCTCCAAGTCCACCGCAAGTATGGCTACAATATCCCAACCCGAGATGATGCCCAGTTCTGACGACAGAGAAAAAGGCCAACATGCCAAAGATGAAGAGCAAGGCTTTCTGTCCAAGGAGTTTGCCGTACAAGACTCGCCCAAGGGGGATCGCTTCAGCTACAAATTTTGGATCGCAACGACAATCAACACACTCTCGACGGTTTCCATTGTACGCGGCGCCATTTGAGCTGCAGCCGCCAATGAAAGTAGGCTAATACAACGCCTTCACAGATTTTCGTGAATAAGCGCATCTTCGAGACCGAATCCCTCCGCCACGCCCAGGTCACTTTTGCCGCCTTCCACTTCATCGTCACTTCGGCACTCCTCTACATCCTATCCCGGCCAGCCATCAGTCTCTTCCAAGCGAAGCGCGTCAGCCTGATCCAAATCATCCCACTCGCGCTCGCCATGATCTTCAATGTCGTCCTGCAAAACGCCTCGCTGGCTTACTCCACCATCCAATTCTATCAAATCGTCCGCACGCTGCTCACCCCTTGCGTCGCGATGCTAAACTACGCGCTCCACCGCATCACAATCTCCGCGCGGATTGCCTTGACGCTCGTGCCGATATGTCTCGGCGTGGCCGTCGTCTCGTACTTCGACACTCTGGCCGATGGCGTGGACGACGCGAAACGCACGACGATGTTGGGAGCGGCTTTCGCCTTCTCCGGGGTCCTTGCCGGTGCCGTCTACACTCTCTGGATTGTCAAGTATCACAAGGCGCTGGAATGCTCGAGCCAGCAGCTCCTGTTGAACCAAGCGCCGGTCAGCGTGCTGTTGATGATGTTCATCATTCCCTTCTCGGACAACAACACCGGTTGGCTGGAAGTGACGACACCAACTTGGATCTTGATTTGTTTGGTAAGTGGCAGCCATGACGTTTGACTTGCGCCTGCTGACGGTGTCTAGAGCGGTATTCTGGCCTGCATCCTCAACGTATCTCAATTTGTTGTCATCGATGAAGGAGGGGCCTTGAGTAGCACGATTGTGGGCCACTTCAAGTCCTGTTGCATTATACTGCTGGGATGGGTTTACAGCGGCAAGTCGCTCACGGATTATAGCGTATTTGGGGTTGCGCTGGCCATTGGAGGGATCATTTCGTACGTGTAATTTGTCGCTCTGGCAATACAACATCTCGCTAACCTACCCAGATATTGTGGTGTCACGCACCGTGAATTGAGGAAATGAGCAAGATCCTTGAATTGAAACCACGCCGTAAATCGATTGAATCTATGAGTCGTCATCGTCTGCGGTCGTACACATTCCGAAGGTACCTTATTTAGCCGGTGATCGAAGTCAACTAGGCACCATTTGGCAATGGTAGAGCTCGAAGCGCCAGACACCTCAGCGTCATGGCTGGATGAGACTTTCCTCATTCGTCCGCAGCCTCATCAGCATGCCCTCGCTTCCGTAGCTTCTCCACACCGTAGAGCAGCTCATCCGTTGCCAGGTCACTCCCAGAGGAAATTTGAGTCCGATTAACACGCTGCAACTTATCGTTCAGCGTGCCAGATTCGAGAAGGACGACGTCTCGATGGGGCGATGAGCCATGAGTAAGTCGAAAGGCCTGCATCCGCTGCTTCTCTTTGATGCGGGCATCCTGCGACATAATCATGTGACCGGAGACAAACGCAACGTCCAGAATCGGATGGTCGAAGGCACTCCAAGACCATACCTCATTCTCCGTGTTCTGCTTGAGAATCTCTGACGCTGGCAGAATGGCTAGTCTGCGAGACTTCTCAGAGGCCGCAAGGACGACGTCACCGATATCAGATGGTCCGAACCAGAGTCCAGAGATGGCGATCGAGTCTGTGTCGAACACGCCTTGCAGAGAGAGCTTTCTTAGCAGCTTGCATTCCGACCAGTCCCACACTCCAATCCAATCATCTCCGCCACCACTCAATAGTAAAGTAGTGCCGGGGATAGGACAAATCTTGCTGACGAAATCTTTATGTCCAAGACAATAGCCCTCGATGATGTGGGACTGAGGTGGTCCCCTTGTTACACGGATGTGCTCGTCTCGGTCCGCAGTAATGATGTATTTTCTTGGCTTTCCATTGACTTCCTGCTGTCCGTAGGCGAGATCTGTAAGCATCGAGACATGGCCGAGGAGAAGTTTGTGTTCGAAGGCAAGTGGTTCTTTCGACTTGGGGGTCAGATTCTTCTGATTTTGCTGAGCAGCCAGGGCTCGAAGATTGCGTTGCGTGTGGACTGTTTTGGTGGTTGCTGAGGGCTGGAATGGCTTCTTCTCGACGTGCTTGTGTTCAGGGGCAGTCACCTCGCTGGTGGAAGTGGCATCCGAGTTGCCATTGGCTGTATCATCGACGAGTAGAGGCAATGAATAGACGTCGCCGAATTTGTCGCCAACGAGAATAGTGCTGTTGTTGGGAAGAACTTTGACGGCGCAGGGGCGCTTGGGCATGCTCCTGCTGCTCAACTGCGCTAATTCTCCGGTGTCGTTCACGGACAGAACGTGAAGAGACTTGTCGTCGGTGACGACGAGGACGTATTGATTGTTCGGGGAAACAGTCAATTTGATGATATTCTTCGCCGATTGATCGCTTGGAGCAGTCTTCAACTTCTTCGTAGGTCGCTCGTTATTGTCGTTGGCTGGCGAACTGGTCGATGTTGTTTCCTAGCCTGCGTGTGAGAATGCTTGCCTTTATATGGGCAGACGGTAACTGACCACAACTTCTGATGAAGACCAGTGTGACACAATATCGCCAGATGTCAGAGATACCGATTGCAGCTTTGGACCGCAAGCGGCGATGAGGTAGCGGGTGTCAGAGCTTGCGGCCGGTGGACACACCGTCGCAATGCATTGGAATGGCTGTTGCATCTTTTGACACCTGCGCGCTCGAGTTTGATTTCGTTCTCGAGAATATTTGAAGTTCAGCATATTGAAAAGTTGCTGCCTCAGGCCGTAGCTGGTGTCCGAATTAGGCTTGGTGGCGGATCTTCCCATCGCCAAGAGACGCTGCCGCCCACATCAATTTGAGCGACGTCGAATCTTGCGGCCCACGACGCTCTTCCTTTTTCATCTTCACCACACAACACGCCTTAAATCGAAACACCCGACCCTATACCGCACCGACGCTATGGGGGGCAAGACAGCTAGCAAGTCCGTCTACTTCGACAAGCTCAAGTCCCTCCTCGAGGAGTACAACAGCATCTTCATCGTCACCGTCGACAATGTCTCGTCTCAGCAGATGCACGAGATCCGCGCGAGCATGCGCGGCCAGGGTGTCGTCTTGATGGGCAAGAACACCATGGTATGCATCAAGAGCTTGCGGGATAGCAGGGAATGGTTGTGCTAATGGCATATCACAGGTCCGCCGTGCGATCAAGATCTTCATCAGCGACAACCCGGAGTACGAACGCCTCCTTCCCCACGTCAAGGGCAATGTCGGCTTCGTCTTCACCAACGGCGACCTCAAACAGACGCGTGAGAAGATTTTGAGCAACCGCGTGGCTGCGCCGGCTCGTGCTGGTGCCGTTGCGCCCGATGATGTCTTCATCCCCGCTGGAAACACCGGCATGGAACCCGGCAAGACCTCTTTCTTCCAGGCTCTCGGTGTTCCGACCAAGATTGCGCGTGGTACCATTGAAATCACCTCCGACCTCAAGCTCGTCCAGGCCGGTCACAAGGTCGGTGCCTCCGAAGCCACCCTCCTGAACATGCTCAACATCTCCCCCTTCACGTACGGCATGGGTATCTCCCAGATCTACGACCAAGGGCAGACGTTCGAGTCCAGCGTCTTGGACATTGAAGAGTCTCAGCTCCTCAAGGCCTTCACCAGCGCCATCACGACCATCGCCACCATCTCCCTCTCCCTCAACTTCCCCACGCTGCCCAGTGTCATGCACAGCTTGGTGAACAGCTACAAGAACCTCATCTCGGTTGCGCTGGAGACGGAGTTTGAGTGGGACGCGATCCACGAGCTCAAGGACCGTGTCAGGAACCCTGACGCCTATGCTTCCGCCGCGCCCGCCGCCGCCGCCGGTGGAGCCAGCGAGGCCGCCGCCGCCGCACCTGCCGAGGAGGCGAAGGAGGAGGAGGCTGAGGAGAGCGAGGAGGACATGGGCTTCGGTCTGTTTGACTAATCTCACTCTGCAGTAGTCGACATATGCGGTAGAGTAGGACCATGCGAAATGCAACGACTTTCTACCACATCCGAGCTGTCTATTTCACTTCCGTCCCATGCCGATGCATACTACAGTTACACCACTCCAAAGGTACGTCAGCTCTGTTGTTACCCTCGTACCTTCTTCACAGGATTAGAAATATTTAACTCCAAGATACGTCTCTGACGATTAAAAAAAGCAACAACTCTAATTTTTTTATGATCTACCACGCACACATCTATCTCTATGGAAGATAATGAAACCACGCTGCAACAGACGCTGACTGATTCAACCTTACAGTGCCCATTGCATTCATACCAGCCCCAGATCAACCCTCAACCAGTACACCTCCCAGCCACTCTTGCCCCCCAAGCTTCTACACATGCCTTCACTCTCTTGATTGCCCACAATCACGTATCCATGCGCCCACCGCGGCAACCCATCTTCCTGAAACCTCTCCATCTTCTCCTTGAACAGCTTCGTCGTAATCGTCTTGGCCAGCCCTTTGCCCCTGTACGCCGGCTCAACATGCAACGTGGTCAAACTCCCATCCAACCCCACGAACGCCCATGATATCGGCTGGTCAGAGTCGCGGGGGAAGATGGCGAGATTGGGCAGCACAGCCATCGTGCGGTCCTGCCGCGGAATCTGCGTGCGCGAGCGCACCAGCGCGAAGTCCTCTCTCCTCAATTTCCCCCAGCGTAGTCCCTCGGGCAGCGTACGATCCCTCAGAGCATCGACGTCCCAGACGAAGGTGAAGTTCGGGTGATCGGTCTGGAACTTGGAACTTAGCACGCCCAGCTGCTTGAGGAGGGGCAGGCTGCGCTCGTGCACCGCGCCCCAGAGCATGATGTTGCTGTCCTGCGCGTGACCGCCGTAGTGATTGCGCGAGAGGCCTACGCTGTCCAGGTCGTCTTGCTGTGAAGTGGTGGAGTTGTGGTTGGCGGCGCGGGCCTTTGCCGCCGCCGCTGCTGCCGCGTCGAGTACATCCTGGTGTATTGAGATCGGGACGGGTAGATTCTTCATTTCCTGGACCAGTTCGCGCATCAATGTCATCGCTCCATTTCTACGTTCCCCGTTGGAATCGTCGCGCTCTTCGTATTCCCAGCTCGCAGCGAGCCAGACTTCCGATTCCGGACGACAGGATCGATCCACAAATGCCATGAGCCATGGTGCCTCCGCGCCGTCGTGCTTCTCCGAGCTTGCAGAGGTGAGATCGAGGTTAGTGAGGAGACACGAGGCGTCGAAGAAGCGGCCGAATTGCAAGCGGCGATACAACGGAATGCTGGCTGGGAGATGGGGCTTGAGAATCTTCAATGCATTGGCTAGCGCTGTTGATGCTTCTGCGCCCCCTGTAACGGGGAATCTGTTGACGGACATTGAGGATGACGGGGACTGGATTCCACGAGGTGGTGTCGCGATTGGAAAGGTATATTCTCTATCACGCGGTGATGCGCAATAAATGCACGGTCCAAATCCGTTCAGCTTGACTCACCAGCTAATTTACCGAATTCGGCAGGAGAGATACAGTTTGGGAGCCTTATGTTGTCGTCACCTTTCGTACATGTAGACGGAGATTAGGTAAAACAGACTGTGCGAGGGGCGGGGATTGAAGCGATTCATTGAGAACCTTGATGGAGCTACACAGCAGCAGACACTGTATATGAAAGCAAACCGTCTACCGCTCCAAACGCCCAACCCAGACGATATGAATACCGGCCGTCCTGCAACCCATTATGCTCGTGAAAAACAGGCCCGACCATCCAAAGCATATCTTTGGTAGCGGATCACAGGCATGCAGCTCGGCGTTGCTGTGCCTCACGCATGTAGACACCTATGAGCTCACCCTCCGCTTACTGCGAAGCACACTGCACACGTTCTCCGCCGCCCATTTCGTCATCATCATCGTCCATACCGGCCGCTCCTCTCGCTCGCCCGCCTTCTTGCATGGGATCGACCTTCTCAAGGGAGTAGTCTTCAGTCATGGCATCTGGCGGGGGCACGGCTTGCGGCCGTCGGGGCGGCAATACAGACTCCAGCGCTGCGACTTGTTGAGGGGTCATGGTCGTGGGGAAGCCATCTTGGCCGGGTGGTCCTTGGATGCTTTCGGGGAACTTGACGTCGAACTGGACGTAGAGATTGCCGAAGTCGTGGTGGCGGTAGGAGGGCATGCCCTGTCCACGGATGACCTTGATCTCGCCTGCATATTTGTCAGCCTGATTCACATGCTGATCAGTGGGGAGTGGCTTACCTGGTGAAATGACCTCTCCGGGCAGGATCTCGACAGTCAACCACCGCTCATCGAGATGTTCCACGTAGATTGCTCCACCGGCGAGGGCAGTGAGGAGATCGATCTCGGCGTGATAGAAGAGATCATCACCGCGACGCTGGAAGCGCGGATGTGGCTTTTGCTCGATCTCGAATTGGACATCGCCCGGCTGCACGCCTGGCATCTGGTCACCCTCTCCTCGGAAATCAATCTTCGTACCCGTCTGCACTCCGCGGTCGACATGCACGTGCAGCACTTTCCGCTCGATGATGGTCTTCTTGCCGTTGCACTGCTTGCACCTGTCCTTGTCGCGGATGGTCTCGCCCTCGCCATTGCAGTCCGGGCAGACAGTCTGGAAGCGCTGGATCATGGGACCCATTTGACGCATCATAGTCTTCATTCCCTGCCCGTTGCAACCCGTGCAAGTCTTGACCGCGCCCTCCTTACCACCGCGGCCCTCACACTTGGGGCAGATGACGCTCTTCTGCAGCGCAAGCTTGGACACTTTGCCGCGGTAGATGTCCTCCAGCGACACCTTGTGCACGTGGTGAATGGTCCGCGCCTTCTTGGGACCGGGGTCGCGCATGCCTCCCATGCCGCCGCCGAACATGCCACCAAGGCCTCCACCTCCGAAGAATTGGGAGAAGAGATCCTCGGCTGACATGCCGCCGGCGCCCATGCCACCTTGCTCTAGCCCCTCTTCGCCATATTGATCGTATAGCTGTCGCTTTTGAGGATCTGAGAGGGCTTCATATGCTTTGGAGATTTCTTTGAACTTCTCGGCGGAGGAGGGGTCGTGGGCGTTCTTGTCGGGATGATGCTTGAGGGCGCCTTTGCGGTAGGCGGTTTTGAGTTGTGCTTCGGTGGCGTCGGGGCTGACGCCGAGGAGGTCGTAGTATTTAGAATCTTTCACCATGATGGGCGAGGGTGTCGAGTATTACTGTAGCGGAATGTGACGAGCAAGGCGGGAAAGAGGAGATGAGGTCGGGAGGTGGTGAGTGTGACTGGAGGTGGGGTATCGAGAGGTTGAGAGTGAGGAGGTGAATGGAGGACGAGGAGGAAAGCTGTTGGACTGGATCTGTCAGCGAGACTCCAGGCAGAAGGAGGTGGAAATTGTGGAAAAGTGAATAGAGAGGAGTAAGTGGGCTGGTGAAGAGATGGCGAAAAGAAGCCGGCAACGGCGATCTCGCCCGCACAACCAACCCTCCTCCCACTTCTCTTCACTGTGCAGGTCATACTCACATTCAACTCCGCTCTTGCGTATACTCCAGATGGTGGAACGACGCGGGAAGGAGAGGATATGTCGTGAGTGGGTGGCGAAGAAGGTAGCTCTTCAGTGTCGAATGCGTGATCAGCGAGGCTGCCTTTTACTCGGACAAGGATGACTTCAGCGTCCCTGCAGCCGTGACAAAAAATCTCAAGCAGCCGCTGCAGTTGAGCGGCGGCCCGTGCGCCTCCGCACTTTCGATGGGTTTCTATCGCTGACTTGGAGGCTGAAACCTTATCTTATCACCCGGCGCTAGCGGTTCATTACATAAGCCTCTGTCACCAGGACTGCAGACGTCCGACAACACCGCATGCATGGACGATGGGGGTATCTTGCATTCGTTGCCATAACGTCATGTTCTCGTCGCACTTCCAAATCAAGCCTCCACTTCTTCACTCGCCTCCGCCGCCGCCGCCTCCTCGGCCTCCTGTTCGGGAGCGGCAAACTGCTCCAACACCTTCACCACTGCAGCGAAACTCTCCCCCAGCCCATCGATCAGGCGGTCGAGCTCCGCCTGAACGACATATGGATCGGCACCTTCGCGCAGCACATCCGGGTCTGGTCCTCGCACTTGTGGAAACTCGATCTCGGTCAGAAGATTCTCGTAATCCACGACGCTTCCATTTCCATTTGTGGTGATCAGCAGTGGAGCGCGGCTCTCATCATAGGAGTCCTCATATCCCTGCTCGTACTCGGAGTCGGTGCCACTGAAGTCTGGCCATTGAGTGATTTCCGGTCGATCGAGGCCGAATGCTCCGTTCATCTGTGCGCGCCCGTATTCGAAGTCGAACACATCGTCGCTCGCTGCTGTTGACCCCCGCTCCGCCTCTGATCCCGTGCTTGATAGGCTGCTGCCCCGCTCGTGCATATGTGCGCTGAGCTGTTTTCCTCGATTCATTTGTCCGCCATCCGATCGCCATTGCTTGTGATGCGAAAATCGATGGCGGTCAATCTCGTTCTGTGCGGGATCCTCTTCGAGGTCGAATGGATTCCCAGACGTCTGGTCGGTCATGGTCGACTCCGCGAGAGAACTTGCCGTTCCCGGACGCTTGATCTCTGCTGGGTCGCTGAGACCCAGATCAAGGTCGATCATCGACTGAATCGAATCACGTACGGGTGTTAACACCGTAGCATGTTGCGATGCATGCAAAAACTGCCCAACTGGCTCAGTGGCGCTGTGCTTGAGTGCTGGGCGAGAGCTTGGGGTAAGCTCGCTTACCTTTCCCCCCGCTGGTAGGGTCATTTGTGCGTCGGCCGATGTAGTCCCACCTGATTGTGTCGCTGGAAACTTCCAGTCCATAGTTGCGCGATGGGATGCTGCCTGTGTGGCGGGGAATTTCCAGTCCATCGTCGCGCGTTTGTGCCGGTCTTCTTCTGTCTCGCCGTCATCGTATCTCTCCTCCTCGTCTGCTTCCCCCTCGCTGGCCGAAGCTCCGAGACTTTTGGCTTTCAGTGTGGGGATATCGCTAAAGTCGAAGTTGAAACTGGGCGTGAGGTCTTCTGCTGTAATAGCGTCCAAGTCTATGAGACTCTCGCGTGTCGGCGCATGCGCAGTGGTGTTGCGTAACGGAAGATCCGAAACCGGTGATATGTCGACCGGAGTGTGGAGCTCGTATGGCTCGCTCTGTGGGGAGAAAATGCGATCGAGTGAGCGCTCGCCACGCTCTGCGCTCATTTCTTGGTGCCTCTGCTGGAGTTGCTCGAACTGCGAGAGATTGGTTTGGAGCGGTGGAAGCTCGTTTGCTCCAGTCGTTTGAATCCGAAGATCGCCCGGGGAATTTTGCTCGAAGAACATCTGGCTGTAACGCTTCTCGAATGCTTCATTGAACCTGTCCGAAGTGCTAAAGTTCCAGTCGCCCATCTGTTCTTCGTCGGAGGAGAGGGCGTCTTTGTCACCATCATCCGCAATCGGAGGGGCGCCACCAGCGAAGAAAAGAGACTGGCGCCAGCCCCCTGAGTACTCCCAGGCTTTGAAGCGGTGAATGAGTTCCACAAGCTTCCTAGTAGCGTATCTACGAGACGTGTTCACGATGTAAGGATGGCGGAGGACTTGTTCGGCTGTTGGGCGCTCTTGGGGATCGCTATTGAGGCAGTATGCGACAAAGTCGCGCAGCTCCGCTGAGTATTGCTCTCCTTCCAGGCGAGGCGCGTTGAGGAGCTCGTTGCGAAGGTTGTCTTGCCTCTTCACTGCATTTGGCGGCTGCCCAGTGGCCATCTCATAGACTGTGCATCCGAAAGACCACACGTCCACCTCTGTACCATACGCCTCGGCCACCTGGTTGCCAGTGCCGTGGATGAGCATCTCACGAGGCATGTAGTGTGGCGTGCCGATCATCGTCTGTCGCTTGGAGACTCCATCGTCCAGCACGCCCACGATGCCGAAGTCGCCCAGTTGAATCTCTCCATCCTCAGTCACGTAGACGTTGGTACATTTAATGTCGCGGTGGATGACGCCAATGTCGTGGACGCTCTTCATGGCGAGGGCGAGTTCGCGCGAGATGGGAATGATGTATTGCTCCTCCAAACCAGGATGTGTGGGCGGCTGGGCTCGCATAAGTGTACGAATGCTACCTCCCGTACAGTAGTCGCTGACAATCCAGAGCTGCTGTTGCAAGTCGAATGCTTCGTGAATCATATTCACGTTCCTCGCATTGCTGTCCTTAAGCTGCTGCAGGATCCTGACTTCTTTCTGAAAGTCGCGGATGGTGTCGTCTTTGTCGAGGCTGTTCTGCTGGTAATCGACGACGTCGGTGTCGACAATTTTGATGGCCACGAGTTCCCCGGTGGCTCGTTCTTTGCATTTGTACACGCGGCCAAACGCACCCTTGCCGATGAGCTCGATGAAGTCGTACGGGGGCACGGCGGTGTTGGTGCGCTCGCAATTCGTCAAGATTTGCTTGTAGGCGTCTCTGGCTTCCTGGATGGCCTTTTGCTTTTTCTCGCCTGCCAGCGACGAGTCGGGAGCCAACCTTGAGCGGTCCATGTTGGCGGTGGTAAGTCAGCTGAAGCGTGGCACGCGACTCTCGTGCTTGTGGTTGAGGGCCGAACGTGCAGGTAGATGAGCAAGGCGCGCTCTATAGATGTTGTTCGAACGGAGTTCACCTGGACTAGTTCACGGGCAGGCAACGAAGATGCATGCTCTCAGCGAGTCGCCGCATTCTCGATTCACCTCCAACACCCCTTGAACGGCGATCTCAGGCTACCGACAAAGGCTCCTGAACGCGCACATGATCCACAATCCTTTGAGCAATGACCATCCGACCAGAAATGTCTTCCGCATACACTCGTCGAAGCGGGCAGAGGCAAGCAGTGGATGATCGGATTTCCTCACGCATGCATCGCTGTCGAGGCTTTCATCCAGGAGTGTCACGTCGGCTCTACCCGCCGCTAATGCAACCTTATTCCGAGTTATGGATGCTCATCCAAGCATCAAGTGACGTTTCGCCAGCACAAAAACAGGGAATGTGAGGACAACTGCCATCCCTGATGTAGGACCATGCGCCAGTCTCGGGTTCATAGACCTACTCCCTTACCACGACAAAGAGCTAAGTGACCGATTCTCTTCTTCGCGTCTTCTCATTCCATCATGTCGAAAGCACAGCCCAAGGCCAACCCGACCAAGAAACCAGTGCCGGCACCGGGGAGATCCCAGGCGTCTGCCACTTCGAGAACCCCCGCCAAACAAACACCAAGGCCGCAAATCACGAAACAACAGGCTCCTGCCGTCAAGAAACCGGTGCCCGCCCCGACCAAACCTCAGACGAAAACCACAGGACCAGCAAAAGCACCAAGCAAGCCAGCAATCAAATCCTCAACCCCCGCCCCGGCATCGAAGCCAGCGACCAAACCAGCTTCACAGCCAGCAAGACCAGCTGTGAAAACAGTCTCTCAACAAACCGCACAACCGGCGAAAGCCGCTCCCGCCCCTCGAGCCCAGCAACCGTTGTCCGCGACATCGCAAGACGCTGCCCCGAGCGCGGGCAACTGGATCAGCCGTACGGTGCAAGGCCAAGTCCAACGAGCAGGCGACTATGCAGGCGGCTTCGTCAACAGCATTGGAGATCGAGTCAATAAAGTCGGAGAAGGGATTGGTGACAGGTGTGGAGCCTCCTGATGTCCCTCGCAATAAGAACATGCTAATACCCATATCCTCCGCAGCATCGCCAATCAGACTCGAGGCTGGGGCCAGGGAATAGCAGGCTATGGCAACAGTGTGAAAGATGCCGTGGGCGTGGGCGGGCCGCGTGTCGCTACGGCTGGTAATCCCCTCGGCATCGCGGGGGAGGGCTCGAGCAAGGGCAATACTGCGAAGACGAGTGGGCGGAGCGCTGGGAAGGGAAGCGGTACGAACCCGCTCGGCCTGTCATCGTGACCCGTTGCAGCTTGACGGACTCTCATGCTCCCAGGAATGTGTGGCGGTCGGAGGAAGTAGCCTTTCCGAACAGTTTGTGAGGCTACAGCACTTTCGTTTCTGAGTATGCTCTGGATGAAGTTGAGCACATATCTAGTATATTCCCTCGTTCGACGCACCATGCTATGCTCCTAAGATGAAAGCCGCGCTGTAATGCTCAAGTCATGCCGCCATTGTAGGAGATGAATGACGACCTATCCTTCCCGAGCGCCGCGCTGAAAAAAAAACTGAAGATGCAGAATCACAAAACAAACAACACCAGAACTGTCGTGAAATCGTGACTCAGTGCGTAGAGATCATACTTGCCACAGGCAAGTGCTCATCTTCCTCTGGAAGCGATGCAACGTCGCTTTCATCGTCATCATCGTCCTCCGACGACTCGCTGTCCTCGTTGTCATCTTCCCGTTTCATTCCGTACGGCAATTTCCACTCATTGTAATCGCTCGCCACCCAATGCTTGCTTTTGGGCAAATGGTACGGGTCGAAGGGAAAGTAGGCCTCCAGCCGATGATGCGCCTCGCCCGTCTTACGGTCCCACGCCGTTTCCCTCCGACCGATATCGAGAACGCCGTTGCTCCCATAATAGGAGACGGCTTGGTCGAGTCGCAAACGCTTGTTGGTTTCCAGAAGCGGGAATACAAAGAGAAAGCGGAGATGGTTTGCAATCTTTGCGAATTCGCCGACAATGGCTGGCGAGCAGACCTTGAGGGGGTTGAGGGAGCAATAGATGTTCGTTTGCAGCGTGTCTCGGACCCCCGGAAGCCAGGCTAGGTCGCGGCCCTCGGCAAGAGTGTCGTCCTCGCTAAAGTCGCGACCATCAAGTTCGGGAGTCGTGGAGCCCGTGGCCAGATCTCGCCATCTGAAGCAGAAAATATAGAGAAGGGCTTGAGCGATCGCGTAGTACAACGCGTAGCTACGGCGGTCCGGTTTCCGACATGTAGGTGCGTAGCGTTGTCGCATTTCGTCGAGATAGTGGCACAAGATGTCGAAGACGCGCTGGACCGACTGTCGGGGAATGTGGGCGCCGCGTGCCATGAAGCTTGACAGATATGCGCAAGCCGAAAGGCGGAGTGTCGGGGTTGCCGCATCGTGGATCGCTAGCTGCAGGCAACGCTCGGCGAGGAGGTCGGTATGAGCTGGGGAGGACTGGGAAAAGTGGAAGAGCAGGAATTGCGCGTGCCGGGTGCGATTGGGAAGGATGTAGTGGGCGAAGTGAGACAAGAGCTGCTGATAAGCGGCATTGGACTCTGCAGGTGACCCGTCCTGCACCAGTGGTGTGTAGTAGTCGAAGAGAAGATCGAGGGTCCCGTCCAGTTTCTCGATCTTCATTCGAAGCTCTCGGAGCCGCTCCTCCTCTTCGGTCATTGTCACCTCGGATTCCGAGACTGAATCATCATCACTGTCGTCGGAGTCCTCCGCAGCATCGTGAACACGTCTTGATCGGTTGTGTTGCAAGAGCTTCTGCTCTGTCTCTTCCTCCTCTTCCAGATCCTCCATGTCATTCTGAATTTGAACGTCAATGCTGACGAGCCGCTGAACGAGCAAGGCCAGGATCTCCGCTTTTGGCTCCGCATTGCGGTCGGCTAGGCGTAGTAGGTGTTTCTGATATCTGTCGTATCACAGAATCAAGTCAGCATATCTTTAATCTGATAAATGGGTCGTCGCAGGAGCAATGGCACATACTGTAGGTACGATTTTGTGGTGGCCAGGTCGTTAGGAAACTCGAGTCTGAGAGCCTGAACAAGAGCGGAATTGGCGGATGGTACTTGCAGGAGCAAGATCTTGATAAGTGAATGAAGCCTTGCGAACATTTTCGTGCGGGACACGGGTGTTTCGTCAGGCAGCTGACCGAGGGATGCCGGTAGCCTTGCGAAGTGTGGCACCAGCCTATCCACGATCGCCGGCACATACTTGACATGAGCTGTGGCAAGGCCCCAAAGGAATTTGGTGAAGAGTGCAACGAAAGCTTCGTCTCTGCCGAGCCATGAGAGATCGAGAATGGCAATGACCAGCTTCCCACATTCGCCCAGCGAGCTCATGCGAGAGTCGATGGCTACGATGTACTTCTTGAGCAGTGTCGAAGTCCAAGAATCGCTGGAGAAGGCATCCTGGCGGAGCTGTTGCAAGAGTTTGACGTATGGCGCATCGTCTCTTTGCTCTGCGGGGGCAAGATGGCGGCGGATTGCTTGAATCACTTCCTCCTTAACCAGATCATAACTCTTCTCCGTCCAGTCTTCCATGATGCGGATATCGACATTCGGATCGAAGGCCACCCTCAGCTTCTTGGTGGTAGTGGACAGGGCAGACTCGTCATCGGTGTCTAGGAATGAACTGTCGCGCTTCCCCGCGAGTGTAGGCCGACGGGATGGGGTGGCTGGCGGAGGCATGACGCCGGCGGGCGCAGCGAGCGAGACCATCGTGCCGGCCGGGCGATGGACATGAATAATAGCGGAAGGATGAGGGGGAAAAGGGTGGAGGAGCGGCGTTTGCGGTGGCTTGAACGAGGGTGGAAAAACTGGTCGTGTGAGGGAGAGTCGGGAAATGAGGATTAAGCTTTTTTCACGTCGCTGCTAGCGCTTGGGCGGTCAGCCACGCTCACGTGCTCCAGTCGTGGTGGACGGGGTGAGATGGCGGTCGCGAAACATCGCGTCGCACCGTGAGAATGCATCAAGTTCGGCATAGGATGGAATGGACAGGGAGGTTGTGTGCACGCTTCTACTCGATGTTCCCGCGCAACACCGCCGACTCTATGCGATCTTGCGTTTCCACACGCCGATCGGATGTCGGATGTCGCGAGTCCGCTCAGAAAGCGAACGTGGCTTTAACCCTTTCGAGCCAGTACGCTATTATTAACCAGGCACATCCTGAACTTTTCGAGACGGCATACGTCGACATCTTTCATTCTACCCTACCTGTCTTCGCCTCCGCGCTGTTTCTCCTCCTTCGCCATCTCCGTTCGCACCCCCGACGCTTCTGGGGTTCAATGAGCGCGACTGTCTTTGTTCGCGGCGCAACTCGCTCTCGTCTTCTTTGATGCTTCCTCCTTTACGATCTCCTGAATAGTAATCTCGCCAGAAACCATTCACGACGCAAGACGATCTTGAAACACAGACCGCAAGCCTCTCAGCCACCATGCGGAAATCTGCGGCGCACTCCTTCTACCTCGCCGTCTTCTCCCTCTTCGCGGGGAGTTGCACAGCACGAGCGGCTTCCGCGACTTCACACTCTCACACCAGCCCTGACATCTGCGCTGTACGCATCCCGCTCACAGTGCTTCTCCTGCTCCTGTGACACCGCTAATCGATATCCAGCTCAATCCGCAAGCAACCGTCTCCGACGCTTGTGCCTCCTACTCCGACCTCGACAAGCTGAACGATCGACTGCATTCATACGTGCACAACCTTGCGAACAACACCGATTTCTTCTCATACTACCGCCTGAATCTATACAACAAAGAATGTCCCTTTTGGAGCGACGAGAATGGGCTGTGTGGCAACATCGCCTGTGCGGTGACCACGGTGGAGAATGAGGAGGATGTGCCCGCGATATGGCGCGCGGAAGAGCTGGGGAAATTAGAGGGCCCGCAGGCGAAACATCCGGGAAGACAGCAACAGCGCGAGTTGCGGCGGCCATTGTTGGGGAATCTGGGAGAGGACGTTGGCGAGAGTTGCGTGGTGGAATACGATGATGAGTGTGATGATCGTGATTACTGCGTTCCGGAAGACGAGAGCGCAAGTGCGAAAGGAGACTACGTCAGTCTTGCAGAGAACCCCGAACGGTTTACGGGCTACGCTGGAGAAGGGGCACATCAGGTGTGGGAGGCCATCTATCGGGAGAACTGCTTTTCAAGGCCCTTGGCCCGGGATCAAAGCGGAATTGCCCCCGGACTATCCACAGCACCTCCGTCCGGCCTTTCGCCAAACCAAGCGCAGGCTGCGCTGGACTTTAAGCAAGTCATGAAAGCGCATGGCCGAGAGCAAGCGCTGCAATCGGGAGAGCTGGAGGATGCCATGGCGTTGGAAGATGAGTGCTTGGAGAAGCGCGTCTTCTACCGAGTCATCTCGGGCATGCACGCGGCAATCTCCACCCACCTCTGCTACGACTATCTCAATCAAAGCACCGGCGAGTGGGGTCCGAATCTTCGGTGTTACAAGGAACGTCTACACCAGCATCCAGAGCGGATCGCCAACCTGTACTTCAATTATGCATTCGTGCTCCGGGCGGTGGGCAAGCTGAAAGACTACGTGCAGGACTACACCTTTTGCACCGGCGACCCGATTCAGGATCAACGAACGAAGCAGATGATCCGCACTCTCGCGGACGCGATCCCCTCGGGACCCCAAATCTTCGACGAGTCCGTCATGTTCCAGGACCACACTGCAGATGGGATCAGCTTGAAGGAGGATTTCCGCAATCGCTTCCGTAATGTCAGCAGGATCATGGACTGCGTTGGATGCGACAAGTGCCGACTATGGGGCAAGGTGCAGACGGCGGGATTTGGGACCGCGCTGAAAGTGCTCTTCGAATTTGGAAATGGGAACGCCGGGGAGGACAAGCCGATTCTTCGGCGAACGGAGCTGGTCGCGCTGATCAACACATTGGACAAGATCAGCTCTGCGTTGAAAGCCATCGATCACTTCCGAGAAATGATGGCGGCGGAGCTCGCGAGCGAGAGCAAGATAGCAGAGGTGATTCAGCCCAGTCCACAAGCAGCGAAGAAAAGCGCGCCGGAGACATTTGACGATCTGGATGCATTGGACGACTTCGAAGACAACGAGCGACACCGGGAGAAGACGGTGGGCGACGATTTTTGGGAAGAGTTTGACCTCATCTTCCGAGCGGGCAGGTACATTGTGCAGAGCTGGATTCAGATCCCTCGCATGACGGGCTCGATTCTTTCTCACGAGCTGGCGAGGTTTTGGGACTTTTGGCTGGGTAGGCCAGTGAGGCCGCGAAATTGGGGCATCAAGCTACCCACTCGCGAGGACCTGTACGCTGATGAGCTGTGAATGGGGAGGCGCATTCTGGGCGGCATAGCGTGGGGTGTAAGATGTACAGACCGATAGACCGAAGTTGTAGCCGAGCCTTGGTAAAGGATCAGCGTTGCCGTTCACTCGGCCCGGATGGTCACATAAAAACGTGCAGGGAAGCGTTCCCCAGAAGCTCACCGTTTGCAGGGTGGAAGCGCTGAGGTGCCCACAACCACATTCAGGGGTTGATTCGTCCAATCAGCGGGCGAGAAATGCGGGCGGACCGTTGGTGTGCAACGAGTGGGGGCGTTTCAGCGACGGGTTAAAGCGGGGCTAGCGCGCTCTTCCAGGCACTCGATTGGTCTACTCCACCAACAAACGGCGGGCGAGCTGCACTGCTGCTGCAACCACGATGGTCTGGCACACCTTCCCGCGCGCAGACTGCATGCACCCGCTCGACTTTTTCACCTCCCACGCTCTCTTTCCTTCACCCCAAGCGCCCATTGTGCATTTTACTTGCTGCAGCACATCGGCACGCAGTCACTCCTTCCTGCTTCATCTTCCTTCTCGTTCTCTTGACCACATCACTCTTTTTCCTTCGTTTCTTGTCTAGCCGTGTGCGCCATCCCTCGCATCCTTTGTCGGGTGGTGTCACGACTGCTTTTCCCTGCTCCGGCCTGGTGTCTTCCCTTCCCTTGCAGCACTGCTGGTGATCTGGTCACCTTCCTTACAAACAGATCCTCACGCAGCTTTTGGGCCCCACGATCTGTGATCGTCCTGTCGATAGAGAGCAAGAGCAGAGCCTTATATCTCGTCCACATTACAACCTGACCGGCCCCATTCGCCTTCACCCCATCGCTGTTTGATACAGCGCACTCATGGCCACCACCATGTCGTCATTCACCCGTGCCTTCTCGCACAAGCGCAACACTTCCGAAGCCGCCCCTTCTGCCCCCACGCAGCGCACTCGAGCCTCGACCTGGACTCGTCCGCAAATCTCGTCTCCGGTGGTGTTGATCTCCACATCCAACGCTCACGTCAAGAACGCGCATGCCATCGCCGGCACCCGCCCCATTGAAATTCGCAAAATCTCCACCTCCTCCTCGGTCTCGTCCATCTCCAGCCGAGACAGCGATGATGGCTTCAGCAGTGCCGTGTCAGAGCACACACTGACCGATGCTTCTTCCGTCAACGACTCTCCCATCGATGCGGAGCCGGAGACGAAGCGTCTGTCCTACTTCAAGCCAACTGTCATCGATGTCGGCAGTTCGAGCGTTGTATCGCCGGAGGAATCTCCCGATCCGGAGGCAACGCCCAAGATACCGCAGCGCGCTCCATCGCACTCCAAGTCGGCGCACGAAACTCTCCACCGTAAACGATCGGTACAACGCATGCTGCAGCATTCGTCTTCGCAGAGGAGTACTCCTCGCAGTTCAGTCGATCCCGCCAGCCCAGCCCGATCGCGCACCGTTCCCGCTTATATTGGCGAGTCGCCTCAGGAGACACCGTTCGACGACGAGCTTGCGCAACTCGACGAAGTCGCTCGCGATTTTTCCAATACCATGCGAACGCCTGAAGAGGATGCGGATGTGATGCAGATTGAGAAGCGCGGGCTGGCAAGCTTCTCCGCCACCGAGTACATGTCTGAGATTCAAAGCCTGGTGCACAACCTCTTTGCAGATGAGAAGTCATGCTTCATGCAGCTGGGAGGCTTTTTCTGAGCTGCTTTGCACTGATGGAAAACACGCAATCTGCGACGACGGCCATGACTTTGAAGACTTATTTTTCGAACTTGATTTTGAGATTCTTCGTGGGAGGGTGTTGATATTTAGATTGTCGCCGCTTGCGACTTGCCACTCCTTGGATATGAAAACAATTTGATTCTTGTTTAGACTGATGAACGGGGTTCTGTTTCTTCATCTCCACCTCTCGTGAAACGCGCCATCGCTCCCAGGTGGGGATATGGACACGTGCGCAATTGACAAGGCATTGTTGTTTGCTTTCTTTGCCAAAAGTATCCAGGCAGAGCACACGTATCCCATCGTGCCAGTAGAGTATTTGATGGACCTCGAGCAGCCTCATGAATTGGGAGAAGATGAAGGGCAGACGCGAAGCTAACGCGAAAAGGGTTCCTGCTTAGCTCCCGCTCCCGCTCGGCCTTTCCCGCCTCGGTCAAAGCCCCTCTATAAACAACCGCCCACACAGAAGTGACACACGCACCGATCGACACTTCTCCATACCCACCGCACCCTTCAGCGACCACCACGTCTCGCCTGCCAGCCGCGTGCAACCCGTGACACGCTTTACTAAACGTGACTGGTCGCCTAGTCCTCTTTTCCCTGCGCACGCCTAAGCTCCTCGCGTGGGAGGCCAACTTCCACAACCACCATGGCAAACATGGACATCGACTTCACCCGCCGCAACAAGAAGCCTCGCCTTCTCACCGACAGCGAGCGAGACAAGCTGGACGAGTTTGTCGATTCGATTCACTACTCTTCGCGGTATGCCTGCTTTGTTGTTATTGTCCCTCCGAATTCAAGTCGGGCGCTGACGTGTTGTTTTCTTCACTTGCCAGCTACAACGACGACCACTTTGAATACCGCCACGTCCAGCTGCCCAAGCAAATGCTCAAAGCGATACCCAAAGAGTACTTTGACGGAAGCAGGGGCACACTCAAATTACTGTGGGAGGACGAGTGGAGAGGCCTGGGCATTACACAGGTACGCCGGAGACTCTGAAAACAATCCCTGTGCAAAACACCTGCTGACGGGACATTTAGAGCTTGGGATGGGAGCACTACGAGGTCCATGAGCCGGAGCCACACATCCTTCTGTTCAAGTAAGGCCGTAGCCATGCCTGCTATTACGAACCTATCGCTGACCACGTTTTGCAGGAGACCTATGAACTACCAACCCCCGACTCACTGATGCTTCTGCTGGGAAGAGAAAGAGGAAGCTACACTACTTCGTTCGGTGATACTGGCCCAGTCAAATGAGCAGGCTTTCACTGTCGCTTCTCGCCTCGGTCCTGGGTACGGCATTCGAAATTCAGCCAGAGTGCGGGAGGTGTCTGCGAGGGAGGGATGGCAAAGGACTTCATACTGCATGCACGGAGTTGGGTCACGGAACGGGACATGAGACATGGACGTATGTTGCTGCGTGGGTTTCGGCGGCCAGCGTATTAGCATCGACGGCACGGTGGTTGCTTCTGGGACTTTGTGCATAGCCCGCTGCTACGTTCGGCGTATCAGACGGCTCCTCAATGGACGATCTCGCTGTTGCTGAGAAGCAATGAACCACCTTCTCCTGCCGTGCAACCGTCTACATTGCCTCTCGACGCTCGGAGATGAGTCTGACGCAGCAAACTGGGTGCTGCCGACGACGATTGTGTGTTGTGCGTCTAGTAAAGCGCCACGTCGGTATTCGCCAACAGCTTCTGTAACCACCGAGTCTGTTGCGTCTGACGAGACTCTATCGTTTGGCACGCAAAACTGAAGAACTACCAGAGACATCCTCCACTTCCCGCGCCTCCAAGCCCGCGCGCTAGTGCAACCAGGCTCAGCCTTCTCCAAACGATCTGCGGAGAGCTTTCAGATGGCGAGCTGACTGCAATTATCCATCTTTCCCCACGATCCCACTATTCGCGTTTGCCTGTAGTAAAGCGATAATTACACCGAACTGTCACGTCGCGAGTTGCGAGCAAGACTTCCGAAAGCACCTGGCGTGTGGAGATTGTCCATCCCACCGGCCCGCTCCGCCGAAGCCAATTTGGACTTCATCTTCTCCGGCTCGTTAGATCGACACTCCGCGATCACACCATACTCCTTATGAAGCTCATCATGATGGGAAAACTGCTGCTATAATGAAATTTATCGTTGATATTGTTGAGACCGATAACGCCGTAGTGTACTGAGGAAGAATTGAGGGGAGGTTTGAGGGGAAAGGGGAGCTGGAGAGAAGACACGTCAAGACGAACAAGTTGATTGTCCAAGGTTGTTGCCTAGTGTCTCATCATTGCTATGATTCAGAAACCTCCACAAGCTCGAAACCACAGGTTAAGGAGTCAGTGTCTCAACCATCTTCCAGCACGCTCCACTCAACATTCTTCATATCAGATCGGCTCCTAGTTGGAGGTGGGGCCGGTGGGGTCATAATGGTAACCAGGGAACTTGTTGAAGAGCGTCTGGTCGTACTGGTTGATCTCGGCACAGCTGAGGTTGCCGGCGAGAGGGGTGATGTAGTTGTTGACCAAGTCCGTGATGGCCGAGAGTTCACCAAGGAGGGTGGCGGCGGCATCGGGAATGACGGCCTGGATGAACTGGGTGTAGAAGCAAGCGGCCCCCGAGGAGTCCTGGTAGTTGAGGAGGTCGGCGGTGTTGTACACGCCGCCGGTGAGGTTACCAAGATCAACACCCTCGTAGGTGTTGACGCCGTTCACGTTACCTCCAATGCGGAGGGAATTGGGGTAGGCGGCGTAGTTGACGGCGACGTCGTCGAAGACGTTCGCGGCTTGGTACTCGTTCAGAGTGGAGCGCTTGTACCTGGTTGAGGTGTTAGTGGTTGCATCTCTTACAAAGTAGGAGTAATTCGCACCAGTTGGAAGGAATTCTGCTCGATCGATTAGTGTTTGTATCATCGAGAAAGGGAGTAATGGCACTCACCGCTCGTTACCCGGAATCCACTTGAAGTTGGGGTAGTCGCCAGTCACGGCAAAGAACTCTTTGAAGATGGCGCCGTTTAAGTATCCGTTCGGCTCCTCCGCACTGTGGTTGCTCATGAAGTTGATCACAAAGTTGTACGCCGCAGGAGCAACGACGGTGGTGGCGAATGGAGCTGCAAAATAGTACGGGTTGTTGGCCACAGAGAACTCGACGTTGGTCAGGAAGTGCTGCGCGAAACCATCGAGAGTGTATCGATCGTCCGAAAGACCCGTGGAATAGGCCTCCGCGAAGCGGGTGACGTTGAGGGAGTAGGCATCTCCGTGGTTAAGGTAGGCGTCGTTGCGACCAATGGAGGTGCTAGAAGTCGTAGGGTTAGCAACGTGTTTGTCTCGTTTGGGGGTGTTGGAACAAGTCCAGTGTTCCGATCAATTTCTGATCTCGACAGCTGAACGAGTTCTCCGTAGAAAACACGCACTCCCCCTCGTAATTATTGTGGCTGTAACTGATTCCCTGTGCTCCGCCGAGCAAGCCGGAGGTCAGGGGATCAGCAGGAGGTGGGCCACCAATAGACCACGTGCCCAGGACTGGGTCACCATCAAAGATGATAGCGTACGCCGCCAAGGCTGCAGCCAGTGTTGGAGCCATGCCATAGGCGGCGCCGAGACCAGCGACGGTCTCCGCAATAGTGGCCACACCACTGTGGGGAAGGTAGTTGTGGTTGGCAGCGGCGTTCAAGCCGGGGCAGGGGCCTATGAGACGCGTCAGTATATGCCATTGCTCATCTCGTACTTCTCAGAGTATACCTCGGATGTCGCCCTCCTGAGGAGGAGTCCACTCGTAGGAGCCCGACACGCTGACGAGCTGAGATGCGCCATCAAAGGTGGTGCAGGGGATCAGGCCACAGTTGCCACGGCCCTTGCTCACGGCGACAGCAGCGGCAGTGGAGGGGACTCCGACTTGGCGCTTCTCGAGCATGTCGCGGAGCATGGCGTTGGGGAAGGCTGCGGCCGGGCCCAAGAGGCCAAGGGTCAATGCGAGAGACTTCATTGTAGGATGAGGAGTGAAGTGCAGGAAAGAAGATGTAAAGGATGGAAGCGAACTTGCTCTGTGAATCTCAATGATCGGGGCGCGAGGGAGACTTATATACCCCTATGCATGGTCTATGAGATGTTGCTGCCGTTAGGTGCGATGGTGGATGAAGGCTCATCTCTTCGGATTTTGATAGCCGTGATGGCCATCGTTTGGGCAGCAACGCCAATCAGAGTCCGCACATTACTGTGCTCAAGACCCGCAAGGGAGATCCTCGCGATGTTGAGAGACGATGGCGTGCTACCTTCCGTACGAGGAAGGTGCTAGTGCATCCTGCATCAGGCAAGGCTGAGGGGCTAAGCGATTAAGCTGCCGGCACGGGGCGAACGTATAATGATCCGTTGGACACCAATCACCAGGGGCGCCACCGGAAACAGTCTGGTAGTTTGCTATTGCCGGATGGGTTCCTGGTTAGCTTTCAGCTTTGACTTGAGGGATGGTTGAATATGGATGCAAACACGGAGTCCAACGGAGGCTGGGTCTGTCGTTACAACTAGTTGCTTTGCGCGTAAATCGTTGTGAACGGAGCGGAGAAACACAGGCGTCGTTCTTCGCTGCGCGACTGCTGTGGCTGGAAGGCTGTGGGGTCGTCATGGCAGGCTTAAGATTAAGCGTAAATCAGGCCAACCAGACGCCAGCCGACTCGTCTGGGGTGACATATGGAGCAATGATCGACGAATACGCCATCGCTCGCATGTTTGCATGTGGTTGTCCAAGGGTCGCCCAGTGGATCTCAGGGTAGATGCAGCGGATGTCGTGCTGGAATGTTGAGCGGACCGCCAAGCCAGAACCGCATGTGCCTCGGTCGAACGAGGACTTCTGAGCATTGCAGTTCACACACTTTGATGCCACTCCCACGCTGGCTGAGGTTGATTTCAGGCGATTGGCCGCGCCTCGGAGTCTCACTCTCCCTAAGCTGTCCGTGCATGCTGCACGGCGTAGTCAATCAATCCAGCCTTGCGTGTCCCCTGGTTCCCTTCGAGAATGTTTGGCTGTGTACAGCACCTGTTGCTATCAACGAACGTGAGTTTCCGTTAGCATACATGATGCACCCCACCAGAAAAGGGTCTGAGGAGAAGGCAGGCAAGCGAGGAGAGTCGTGGCTCAGCAGGGAACCCGACGCTGCAAGGCTGATAACGCCATCGTAGAGTGTGAAGGCGAACGTTTCCTCGGGCGTCCACAAGTGACTCCATCACCAATACTTAGCTTGACACGCTGCATGCACTCGCCATGGATGAAATGAGGTTGGGCTGAAGTAGTGCAGTGATCGGCAACAACGGGGTCAATGCAGGATGATCGACGGCGTGTTATTAAGCACGCGCTATGGCGTCCTCGGGCTGGACTGGGCCGCCCCGCTACCAAATTCGGAAGTCGCGCGTCCGCTCATCATCTTCGACCGTTTTGATGCTATTGGATTTTCGGAACTTTCCCCTTGACTGATGGGCAAACAGCCTATGTACTCTGTCCTTTCCGCAGGCCGTCGACCGTTTGGCGAGGTTATTTCCCCTCATCGCTCGACATCGTGATGAGCACTTTTGTATGCGTTTCGTAGCTTCGCACTTCACGTAGGTTCGCAGACTCCTAGGTCGTCCGCCACGCTCGCTTGACAATGACGTTCTTTCTCCTGGCCATTGCATATTTCGCAGCGCTTGCCTGCAGCGCTCCTGCCTCCAAGTTTACCTTTTACAACGTCGAGACCCCTTTGGCCGGACCTTGCGACCTCTGGAATGGACCAGATGGCGCGATCTGGGTATTGCGAGACCGCACGCGTTTACTGCCCAGTCTGGCGGCTGACAAGCATCGCAATAGGTCGATACCCTGCTTGCCAACAAGATTGTGAGGGTGGACCCATCCTCTGGCGCCGTAACGGAGTACAGCATCCCGTACAAGTCAGGCTTGCTTCCCACCTCGGTGCTGCCCTCCAGCACGCAAGGTCGTGTTGCTCTGGCTTGCGTTGTCCAACCCGGATATGACGGTAAGATGTATCTCGCAACTGGTATCCGCGACCAGATTGCACGGATCAACGTCGAAACCAAGGAGGTCGAGGTCTTTGGCTACGTAAACCTCGCTGGAAACTTGGAGCCTCTCAACGATGCATGGCCGGTTGAAGAAGGCGTACGCTCTCATGAGTATTGCAGAGTGCGAGGCTGCGCTGACCATGCCTGCAGATGTTCTTCTCTCAGACGAGTGGCAATGTGATTACCCTTTTCAACTACAACACCACCGAATTCAAGGACTATCCCCTTCCTATTCCCCTCTCCGGCCCTGTTGGAATGAGGACCGGCTCCGACGGCGGTTTGTGGTTCTGCGAGTTCCTCGGTAACAGGATTGGACGTCTGAACTATACAGACGGAACCATCAAGGAATATCCTGTCCCGCCAACTCTTCTTGGACCGGGAGTTATGCGCGTCGAAACGGAAGGCCGCTACCTGTGGTTCACGGCCCTAGAGGCCAGCGCTCTCGGGCGCATCGACATCTACACCGGTGAAATCACTGCATACACGATCACGAACGGCGCACTCTTCCCCGTGGAAGACACAGAGGACAGCAAGGGCAATGTTTGTAAGTTCAGCCCTCGACCCGCCCATTCGTGTCTCCGCTCGCTATCCTGACTTTTGTAACCAGGGTTTACTTCCATTAACGACAATGCCCTCAACTATCTGACCCCATCTACCGGCAAATTCACCTCCATTCAAACGCCAGGCACTCTGGTCTCTCTTCCCCTCAGCCTTCCGCCTCACGCCGATATTGCCATTCACTACGTCCAAGCAGATAATTCGATTTGGTTTACGGAGCTGTCAGAGAACAGGATTGGACGCTACAGTCTGTCTTGACGATGGAAACAATTGCTTACGCATTACCTCAGACTGTCTTGAATGGTTTGATTTGATTGCTTACAGCTGATTGATTCCTTCGAGCTGGTCTTCGATTTGATAGCCACTGATAGTGTGCAGATAGCAGAAAAATCAGTTTCATGCCATTCAATCTTCTTGACGATCTTCCACCCGGTATTGCTCGGTTTTCCCGTACCGAATTTCCTCTGATGGCTGGGCTGTCCATTCTCAGAAGAGCGAGGGTCCCAATCGCTTGCACAACCATCGATCCTCGTGCACCCGCCCTGTTCACGGCATACAAGCTTCGAGGATGCATGCACACCTCGGTGCTTGCATGATATTGAGCCCGACCTGAAGAACTTAGCCGTCCTCGTTGCTTCAGCCACCACGCGTTGAACTATAGAATTGATGCGTCGATCTCCCTTCGGAGTAGTCCTAATCCATCTTGGCGGATCTCAACGCATCTTTTCAGGTTCGGGCAGGGCTCTCGCTTGATGGTGAGCCAGGTACGGGCAGCCAAGTTGTACTGAGAACCGCCATCTCGCCGCCATAGGTCTAGACTCAAAGGTGGTGACATGCGAAACGGCTGGGCTACGATAGGTCAGGCGAATGCCGGCGTTCAGTCCGCTTAGCCTCTGTTGCCAGGCCGTAGCGATGTTTCTGTGGATCACTTCGATGAGCACAAAAAGCAACTGCATGGCGCAATCGATGTTCATGTCTACTATGTTTTCGGATGGCTCTCGAAGCAGAACACGGATAGATGGCTCTCTTGGAAGTAGCTCCATGGTCACATTCTCCTCCATACTGCGGTCTGTTCTGCGGTCCGCCGCTCGGTTGCACCACTCCGCTGCTCTGAACTGCTGTCTGCTTATTGAATCAGAACAGTGTTGCCCCTCCCACTCGCCCGCGATGAACACGGCCCAGAGCACTCAACAGCCGCGTCTCCTCATCTCCATCAGCTCTCCTTGTATGGTTCAAAGGCTGCAAAATACTGCTGATAGACGCAGAAGGAGGTGGGAACAGCGCAACGCTGGGTTGGCAAATAGTTCCAGCATCAGGCATGGTGCCATTGGCGAAGTATGCTCTGATTGCCCGAGCAGCACACAGCGACGGTTGAGCAATCGAGGTATGCTGAGGAGAACGTGGTCAGTTGTGTGAATGAGAACGTGAGGCGGATGGATTGGTGACCACTCACACCGTAAGCATTGACTGTCAACACCCTGCTGCCTTCAAAGCCGGCACTCGTATTCATCGCCGAAGCGAGAGGCGTCAATGGGTCGTGCGTGTTTCCGACGAACAGCAAGGGGTTCTTCGTCTTGACATTGCTGAAGCTGCCGGTATACGCTCCCTTTGCCTTCATCTTCCACTGCACGCATGGAATCACAACGGGAATTGGCTCTTGAGCACCGGCAACATAACTCGTGGCCTCGTACGCCCGAAGAAGTGGCTCGATGTCCGACAGGTTGCTCGCGCGGAGATTGGAATCGCTGCAGCGAATTCCTTGCAGCGCTTCTGTACCTTGCTTCTCAGGGAACACGTTGCCCGCTGAGCTGAATAGGCCATTGATGTCGTTGTAGGCCTGCACATAAGCCGTCAAGTTGCCAAGCAGCGCAGCGTCCAGGAGAGTGGCCAAAGCCGGCCAGGTGTTTGGAGCGTAGAGGGCTTGGAAAATGCTCGTTCTGAGAGCCTCGTAGGTGACGAGTTCAGTCGGCAGGGTGTAGCCCAGGGGGATTGGGTTGTATTTCACTTGCTCCAGCAGAGAGGATATGGTGTTGGAGAGATTTGTGGCGGATGCTCCGTGTCTCGCCAGTGGGCATAAGTCGGGGCTCTCAATGCAGCTCTTGAAGAATCCCTCATACACTGAATCCGTATCCAGCAGCTCTTGTGTACCACTAGCAGGACCTCATCGTCAGCGCGAGTGACTGAGATCGTCCACGAGACGCTTACCTTCCCGAGTAGTACTGGTCGATATTCAGTACACCGTCGAGTACGACCTTGTCCATACGATCCGGAAACATCGCCGCGACCGTCGCCCCAAGCGCAGTGCCATAAGAGAAGCCTACGCATGTCAGTATTACTCTTGCCATACCAAGCGCTGATTTCAACGTGCCATAGTAGCGCAGCAGCCCATCTTCGCCCAGGGCGTCTACGATCTGCATCATATCTCTCGCCACGAAGCCAGTACCGATGAGTTCTCCAATGTCGCCAGCCGTCTCGTAACATCTCGCAGCCAGCATTCTATTTACAGCCCAGCTCAGCCCTGGTGCGGTGTCCGAGTCCGTCAGCTGTTGTGGAGATAATACAGCGGCCAGATCCCGTTCGATCGCTGTTGAATAGCAGGAAAATGGAATGGTCTCGCCGGTGCCGCTGCAAAGCTATTAGCATACATCGAGATTATATCGGGCGCATTCGCTCATACCGCGGATCGAAGCCGATCAAGTCGTATTCGGGCCCGGTGATCCTGTGGCACTCAGCCAGTGTTATGGTCAAGAACAACTTGATCACATCTTCTTACAATGACAGAGCTTCACCAGTTTCCAGTACGAAATTCCTTGCCCCCTCTCCCGGACCACCAGGGTTCACGAGGATGCTCCCCTTACTTGGCTGCTGGGTTGCAGGGAGCCTAACCATGTTCAATGTGATGGTTTTGTTGGAGCTGGCGTCGGTGTAATCCAACGGCACCTCGAGTGATGCGCATGTGACGGGGACGGTGGTGTTCACCTTGCAATCGGACCATGTGATTGACGAAGCAAGAGAAGTCACAGCAGAGAGGAAGAGGAGAATAGTAGAGCGAAACATGATTGTGAATGGAGTTGCAGATGAGTGCGCGAGAAACGTGAGATAACAAAAGACATGAAAGACGAAGAAGCGGCATACTTATGGTATCTCGGAGCCTACCTACGTAGTGAGCTGGTCGGTGTACATGGCCTTATTGTACGTGTGACGTTGTTGTACCCTGATTGAAGTGAAGCATGCGATTGGCTCCAGATTCCAGCTCAGCCTCGTGGGGCTGAGCGTCGTATCTTATACGATCGGCTCGTGCCGCGGATACTTCGTATTCGTTTAAGCTCACTGATTGGTCTCAATATGAGCGCCGTGCCGGCTGGACGATAATAAGTCAGCATCCATTGTGCTGAGCAGCAGAACCGAAGACGAGAGCAGCAATCGCAACCATAGACGGCGAGGATGGAGACGTTTCGCTGATCGGGTCCACATGGCAAGCCCACCACTTTGTCCGTGCAGAGCACCACGTTGGTCGTTAGTACAGAGAGGCGGCATGTCGGCATGAGCTTAGGTCCTTGACCTTGATTCTAGCATCTGCTCGATGCCCCTGAGAAGCTAGCACCTGATGCTCCCCGACTCAAGACGAATATCTGAAGATTTGTATCAACAAGCTGACCGACTTGCACACCGTCCCTTTGCGTAAGCTTCACTCTGGCTCAATCCCAGCGGCCCAGACATGCGCTTATCCATACCGGCGACTGTATGCACTCTTGACAAGGGCACTCCACGGTATTGAGTAGCCCCTGGATGCCATATCCAAGAGAGATACAGCATGACATTTCTCACGAGGCCTTCTGACCACACGATAGTATGCACATGGGCCAGTCCGCGCACTCCCCATCGGAAACCAATGTCGAAGATGCCGTGACACCCGAACGCCGAATCAAGAGGAGGTCCGCCACGCTTGGGGTCCGAGACGAAAGTGCGGGGGATGATGCTTTTGTCCTTACCGGTGTTGGGGAAATTCAGGCGTAGGGAGTGTAGAAAGCAATGCACAGACAAGCGAGGTGATCATCGCGTACCAAGCAGGGGCGTCGAAAGAGCACTCATGCCCACTGCGTCCTAGTGTGCCCGATGCCAGAGCGCGTGGAGGAGGTTGGGAGGGTGAGGTCGAAGGTTTGAGGCCGCTTAAATGTGCAAAATGAAAGCCCCCAGAGTTGGGAGGCGCTAAAGCGACCCTTCCCCACAAACTAGATCCGTTTAGGCGCGGCCATCTTCGCTTTTATCCTTTGCTTAATTTTATTCCCTAACCCGACTGCAGATCGCATCCTCGCACTACACCTTTTGCCCACCAGCGTCCAATCTCCCCCACCTCCTGACCTCGAGGCTCCGGTGGGGTGGTGGGGCCACGCGCGAAAGAAGCGTGGCCTGCCCACATGCCGATGCCTCCATGAGCGCTGCCATGGGGTCGCAAGGCTGTTGGGGAGTAGAAGTTATAAGAGGTTGGTTAGTCTCCCTTCGTTCGCGCCGTCCATCACCATTTCTCCACTTCTTCTCAAGCCATCATGCTGCTCCTCAAGGCCGTCGGCGCTCTTTTGGCGGCCGTGTGTGCAGTAGATGCGCTCTCAATTGGCGGCCGGCGCATGAAAGTTAATGTCGATACCCGGGATGTTGCTGCTGCTGCCCAGACACTCGTTACGTTTGATGAGGTACCTATCTCACGCAAGCAAAGATGGCAACCCTATGACTGACTCTCTGTACAGACATCGTTGTTTATAAAAGGTCAACGCGTCCTTTTCTACTCGGGATCATTCCACCCCTTCCGCCTGCCCGTCCCAGGCTTGTGGCTGGACGTCTTTCAAAAGATCAAAGCCTTAGGATACAATGGCGTGACGTTCTACATTGACTGGAACCTCCTGGAGGGCACCCAAGGCCGCTTCCAAGCCGATGGTATCTTTGCGTTGGAACCCTTCTTTGCCGCCGCGCAGTCGGCTGGCGTATACCTTTTGGCTCGCCCTGGCCCATACATCAACGCAGAAGCGGCCGGTGGCGGTTTCCCAGGCTGGCTGGCGCGCATCCCGGCCACTCTACGTACGAGCGACCCCGGCTACCTCAATGCCACCCAGCTGTACATGACCGAAGTTGGAGCGATCATTGCGAAAGCTCAAATCACCAACGGCGGTCCGGTCATCTTGGTTCAGCCTGAGAACGAATACTCCACTGGATCGGCCTTCCCCGAACCTGACTACTTTGGCTTTGTCGAGCAGCAACTGCGGAATGCCGGCATCGTAGTTCCACTCATCAGCAACGACGCCGGGCCGTACGGCAATTTCGCCCCAGGTCAACCAGATGCTGTCGACATCTACGGCCATGATGGCTATCCTCTTGGCTTCAACTGTGCGAATCCGAGCGACTGGGGCACCGGTTCGCTTCCTACCAACTGGGCTGATCTTCATGCCGAGCAGAGCCCGAGCACGCCCTACTCCATCGTGGAGTTTCAAGGCGGTAGTTTCGACCCATGGGGTGGCGTCGGCTTCAACAACTGCGCGGCTCTGACCAATGGCCAATTCGAAAGTGTCTTCTACAAGAACGATATTAGCTTCAAGGTCTCCATCTTCAATCTGTATATGACGTTCGGAGGGAGCAATTGGGGTAATCTCGGTCATGTAAGTTGATTCCGATGCACGTTGACGAGGCCATTTCACTGATATCTGACTACTTACAGCCGGGAGGCTATTCGAGCTACGATTACGGCGCTGCAATCACCGAAAACAGACAAGTCTATCGTGAAAAATATGGCGAGGCGAAACTCATCGCAACTTCCCTGCGCGCCGCCGGGGATGCCTACTTGACTGCCATTCCTCAGAACAACCAAGACGGTGCTGGAGCGTACAGTGGAAACAACAACGTCTTTGTCACTGGTGTCTTCTCCAACACGACCAAGTTCTTTGTCGCCAGACAGTCTACCTACTACTCCACGAGCACGGTCGAATACACCCTTGACTTGCCCACCAGCGAGGGGAGTATCACCATTCCACAACTAGGAGGCCAGCTGTCCATTCAAGGGCGTGACTCGAAGATCCACGTCGTGGACTACGACCTTGCTGAGGGAACAAACTTGCTCTACTCATCCGCCGAGATTTTCACCTTCCAGCAATACGGAAGCAACCGAACTTTGATCCTCTACGGCAACCCTGGCGAGCGACATGAATTCGCTGTCATCAACGGCGGGACCGCAAAGCTCGTAGAAGGCCCGAAGGTCGAAATCCGGACCCGGAAGAAGGTGGAGACCGTTGTCAATTTCACCATCGGAAGCTCGCGAAACGTCGTCAAGTTCTCGAATGGCCTCACCGTATACGTTGTCGACCGCCAGTCCGCCTACGGATACTGGGTCATCGATCCTTCTCCTTCTGCCAACACTCCGTCTTTGCCTATCGTCAACATGCCGTCCGGATATCTCGTCCGCAACATCACTTCCAACGGCGGAACGATTACTGTAGTTGGAGATCTCAACGCCACGACTCCAATCGAAGTCATTGCAGCGCCAGGTGCCAAAGCAGTGACATTCAACGGAAAGCAGCTCAAGACCACCGTTGATGCAAAGACCGGAACGCTGAATGCCGTCGTGACATACAATGCGCCGAAGATCACCCTTCCGGACTTGTCCACGATCAGCTGGAAGACCATTGATGGTCTCCCCGAAATCCAAAACTCGTATGACGACTCGAAATGGCCCAAGGGAGATCAGGACTACACCCTCAACACTGAGCGCCCGGATCTGAACACGCCCACGTCTCTCTACTCCTGCGACTACGGGTTCCAAACCGGATCCCTTTTGTACCGCGGTCACTTCACGGCCAATGGTAACGAGACCACCCTGCAAATCTCCCCTCAAGGAGGATATGCGTTTGGGTACAGTCTGTGGATCAACGATACCTTCCTTGGCAGCTGGGACGGTAATGCCAACAACTACTACATGTACGAAACGTTCAATCTTCCGACGTTGAAGAATGGCTCCGACTACGTCTACACCCTCCTCATCGACCACATGGGCAACAATGAGAACTACGACCCGGGCTACGACTACATGAAGGAGCCTCGGGGAGTGATGCAGTACGAGTTCAGCGGTCACAACCTGAGCGACATCACATGGAAGCTTACGGGCAATCTCGGCGGCGAAAACTACATCGACCGCACCAGAGGCCCCCTCAACGAGGGCGGCATGTGGGCGGAGCGTCAGGGATACCACCTTCCCGACCCACCAAGCTCGTCGTGGAACACCAGCAACGGCCCGACGGACGGCATTGACCATGCCGGAGTGCAGTTCTACACCACCCAATTCGATCTCGACTTGCCGGAGGGTTATGACATTCCGATCTCCGTCGACTTTGGAGCAGAGTCTTTGAACACCAACTCCAGCTACCGCTGCCTGGTTTTCGTCAACGGTTACCAGTTTGGCAAGTTTGTGTCAAATATCGGGTGAGTTCGGGGTGTCTTCCAATCATCTATTAAGATCCGACTGATCTGACTTGTCATCTCAGGCCTCAGACTAGCTATCCGGTTCCGCAAGGCATCTGGAACTACCAAGGCGCCGTAAGTCATCTTTCTCGAGCACAACGTCGATACGGTAGTACGGCCGCTAATAGTTTGATTATAGAATACTCTTGCGATGAGCTTGTGGGCTTTGGATGCGGACGGAGCGACCCCGCCGTCATTGAATCTCGTCGCTGACGCCGTGTATCAATCGGGTTACGGCGCAGTCGAGGCCAGTCCCCAGCCGCCATGGCACTTGCGCAAGAGTGCATACTAAAGCAGCCGGCTGCTTGGTTTGGGGCGTGTTCTGCTTTTTTTTCGTTCACTTCTTGGGACACGAAGACCGTTGGCAAGGATCTCTGTCACTTGGCGGAGTCGCGCCGTTAAGATACCCCGAACAGATGTGGTGATGCGATCGCGTTGCTCCGAGATGGCAGTATCATACTCTATTTACTCGTCTCTCAGCCGTGATTTCAAAAACCATGTCAAATACTTCGTGAGTGCCAGAACGCAAGCGTCTGCTGTTAGTCAAAACATGACCGGCCTGTAGCATCCATTTACCGTGGTATGCAGCGCGTGGCTCAGCCTTGGGGCCAAAGCTTGCGCCGCCGCCTCCCCTACACATCATATCGCTATCGTCTCACTCATATCAACATGGAGATGTACACTCATTCACCGACTGTGAGTAGTTGGACACCCTCGTAGGACGGACACGGAGAGGTACGTGGATTGTTGAGAAGAGTGGCGTGGAGATGGTGCGTTGTAGTGGTGTTCTAGCCAGGTACGGTTTACGTAATGTTCTTCGCGAGCCACTTATCCCAGTCTTCTTTGGTGAAGGAGCTAGAGATGCCGCCCTCGACGACGCCCTGTTTGTGGGGTGGTTAGCATGTGCATGTGAAGAGGACAGCGTGGTATGATATCGCACATTGAACATCACCGTCGGCGTGACATGAACTCCAACCAAGCGATTTGTCTGCCTTGCGTTAGCTAGGATGTCCGGGCCATGCTTCATCATAATGCACAGACCTTGGTCATGATCTTAATGTCGTCCGTCACCCCATTGCCAATATTGGTGTTGCCATCCTTGTCCGGCTTGTCTGGCACTTCCAGCAGTTGGTAGACCTTCTTGCTGTCCACGCCTACATCTCCTGCAATCTTTGCCAACCGCTCATATGTCTTGTTCCGCGCCTCGTTCACGACGTTGACATCGAAGAAGTCCGTCTGCTTCTCGAACAGCCTCTCGGAGAAGTCCCAGAACTTGTCCGGGTTGGTTCGGAGCACTGCGGCGCCTGCCTCATGGACGAGCGTAGAGGATGGATGCCATGGCTGAATCTGCTGCCGGAAGATGAACTGCACTTTGTCGGGGTACTTTTGCTTGACGAGCGGGATGATCTCGTAGAGGGTCTTGAATTGTTTGGCCGAGAATGGACAGACATAGTCCAGGACTGTGGGTCGGAGAGCGATCAGTTCAATGACCATGTGTTGCAAGTGGGAAATAGGCGGAATTACAAAACTCTAGCGTATGTAACGTCTTGCCCGAGCCGCTGGGCACGAGCTTTTGGCCTGCAAATCTCGGGTTCAGGGCCATGATGACTTGGAGTCAGCGTTGGGGAGATGCAAATGGGCGAAAGAGATGTCGTCGGTCTTGAGTTGAGAGTCGTTGCTTCTTCCCTGCCCGTCCGGAGCTTCCCGCAAACGTCATGCGCAAAGCTCCCGTCGCCATTGGGGGAGCAAAAGCTAAAGAGCTTAAGCCAGTTAATAAGGCGGGGGCGGGGAACGGCGCTCGGCGCGGATATCTGATACATCTCGTTTAACAAGGAGCCGGGCGGGCAAGCGAAGTCTGGCGCGGCAGTTTAGCTGGACGCTCGTGTCACGTACGTACCGCGAGGGTGGGGCGGATGGCGCATCTGCACCCCATGTCGTGAAATCGAACATGTCGGCATGGCCCTCCTTCTCTTCTTCCATGCCATCTGCTCCCGGTGAATCGAGGTATGTCGTGCACGGCCTCGCCAGCCGCTCGCACCTCTCGCTTCTCGCTGCTCAAGCTCTTCTCATTCCATCTGTGTTTGCTGCCGTTTGCATGGCCGGCCGCCCAGGCGCATGACATTCAGCGCATTCGATCCGATCCTTCGCTGTCTGATACCCAATTCTTCTCCTACCTATCAGTACGCACTCAACCCCGTGCTGCAAATGGCCGATTGCGAGCGGCTCAACTGACCCCGAGATTGCAGAGACCTGACCTTAACGCGCCGAAATGGAATGTAACCGTGTACGACGAGCAAGCTCTGGCGCCGGGATACTGGTTCGTATCAATCTACGACGGCGACCGAACGTTTGTCAACGTCGGCAACTGGTCCGGGCCGTACATCTACGATCAAACCGGTGAGCTCATCTGGAGCGGCGCGACTCTCGGAAGCAGCCGTGAGCGTTATGAAGGCTTCGACTTCAAAGTCACTCAAGTCGATGGGGAAGACTCGCTCTCGTTCATCCATCCTCGGGACTGCGCCGCAATCGTCCTGGACCAAAGCTACCAGGAGAAGCGGCATCTTCGTATTGGTGACGCCGCGTCTTCGAAATGTCAGCCGCTCATGACGAACATCCACGATCTCCAGATATACGACAAAGACGATGAGCTCATTATCATGTCAATCACTCGCGACGAACTGGATCAGCATGACATGGCCGTAGTCAATTTCAACGGGTCTTGTGCGGTTTACCACAATGGCTTCCGACTCGCCAGCCTGAGCACTGGAGAGGTCTTGTGGGAGTGGTCATCGGACAAGAACATACCTGTGAGCGAAGCTCTCGTGACTCCAAATAACTGTGAGCGTGGCTGGGACTACTTCCACATCAACTCGGTCGAACGGCTTCCGGACGGCGACTATCTCGTTTCTGCCCGGCACACCAGCACCGTTTACAAAATCTCACACAAGGACGGCGCAATAATATGGCGGCTTAATGGTCACAATTCCGACTTTGTCTGGATCGGAGACGGTCAATTCTTGGGACAGCATGACGCCAGACTGGTCTCTCACAACGATACACATCTACTCATCAGTCTTCTCGACAACGCGATGGTTCCATGGCCGCTTCCAGGAAACTCTGCGTTCGGCTACCCCTATGCTCGCGGCTTGATTCTCGCTCTGGATGTGAGCAGCGACCCCATGACTGTACAAGTAGTCGCGCACTACGATCATCCGATGAAAGAGGATTCAGACTCGCGGGGTAACATGGAGCTGCTACCCGGTCGTAACGTCTTCCTCGATTGGTCGGAGCGCAGTCCGTTGACCCGGGAATACCTCACACCCAGAGTACTCATCAGTGAGCATGCTCCGAATGGAAAACTGCTGCTGTCGGCCTCCCTCGATATCGTCGTCAAGACCTACCGAGCCTACAAGTTCCCCTGGATCGGCAAGCCGAACACGTTACCCAGCGTGCATTCTGACGTAGTCTCGGTCGGTGACGCGAGCCAAACTCGGGTACACGTGAGCTGGAATGGCGCGACGGAGGTGGCAGTTTGGAACTTGTACGGAGGAGCGCACAGGGGCAAAGTCAACAAGCTACTGACCTCGGTGAAGCGAAATGGCTTCGAGACTGCTCTCACGTACGAAGGCTATGCAGCGTTTGTCACGGTGGAGGCGCTCAATCAGCACGGCAACCGCCTTGCTAGATCTAAGGTCGTAAAGACGATCGTACCCTCGGGATTCGTGGCTTCTGACGGCATAGAGGAACCTGAGCAGATACAAGATCATGCTCATACGGATCCTGAACATAACGACGACCAAACCACGAATGGCGATACGAACTCGACAGAAGACATGGCCTCGGACGATGCCGCTCTTTCCCATGACAACATGGGATCACACGACGAAGCAGAATATATCGATGAATCAGACTCGACCGACGACATGAGTGTGGATAATGACACAGCCGCCGCTCAACCCTTTGATTTCACTTGGATACTCGCGCTGGGAGCAGGACTCCTCGTTTGTCTGACGGCCTTTGTGGCCACGATAATATGGCGCACCGTGCGGCCTCAATTCTACGAACCACTCTCTAACGACGACGGCGCAGAGCTGGAGGAAATGAGAGCTGTGCGCTACACAGACTCGGACAAGCAGCTTCATCCTGGCGAAGACGATGAGCAGGCAGAGTCGCCGTCGGACCCAGCGAAGGGCTCTGATGCTGGTGAAAAGGATGGCATGGGGGAAGGATTCGATCATGAGCAAGTCCTACTGACGGGGACGGACGGGGTGAAATGACGGGATGCAGACTTCGATACAGGAGGGCGGCAATTTGCCTGGCCGTACGAATGAAAAGATGGTTTTCGCAAGGTACATGTACAGTTGTCATTCTCGCTGCCAATACGGCTGATGCGCCCAGCTTGACAGGCCTTTAAGAGGGGTGTGACCGGGCAGAAATGCAATCATGCCCGGATTGGGAAGTCGCGATGGGGCGGCGCATCGAGACCTCGATCGTGCCTTCCGTATTGGTGAAATCTTTCCAGGCTGCCATAAGCGAGAGCCTCAACACCTCCGACAAGGCAATGTCTTCTCACCTCATTGCCATCCGACACCACCTCTAACCATGGGCATCCAGACGCTACCGCAGTCGACTGTGCGGACTCTGGGGGCGTCACAAGTCTTGAACGAACCAGCATCGGTGGTCAAGGAACTTCTCGAAAACGCTCTCGATGCTCATGCTACATCCGTATCAATCGAGATCTCGGCCAACACCCTCGACACAATCCTAGTGCGAGACAACGGACATGGCATTCCGCCGCCGGATCGCCATCTCATCGCGAGGCCGCACTGCACGAGCAAGATCTCGGGGGAGGACGATCTCCACTCCATCGGCGGTACCTCACTGGGCTTCAGAGGTGAAGCACTGGCCAGCGTTGCGGACATGAGTGGCTCCCTCAGCATCAGCACACGAGTCGAGGGAGAGCAAGTTGCCACGGTGCTGAAGATCGATCAGCGCGGCGAGGTCGAGGGCACAGATCGAGCATCATTGCCGGTAGGCACCACGGTCAAGATCACCGACTTCCTCAAATCGCATCCAGTGCGGAGACAGATCGTGCTCAAGGACACGGAAAAGTGCTTCAAGAAGATCAAGCGCATGCTGCAGGCCTACGTCTTCACCAGGCCAAACGTACGCTTGTCGTTACGAGTGTTGAAAGCGAAGAACGACAAAGCCAATTGGACGTATGCTCCCAAAACCGGTGGCAGTGTCGAAGATGCAGCGCTTAAGGTCTTAGGTTCTGCGTGTGCCTCTCAATGTGAGTGGTCAGTCCTGGAATGTCAAGGTTTCACCGTGCAAGCTCTTCTTCCACGGCTGGATGCCGATGCCCACAAAGTCAGCAACACTGGCGCCTTCCTTTCAATTGATCGCAGGCCAGTCTCGACTGCGCGAGGCACTCCAAAGCAGATCATCAAGCTCTTTCGAGAAGCTTTGAAGAGCACTGGTTCGGCGTGGGAAGGCGTGAAGGAACCGTTCATCTACCTGGACATATCATGCCCCCAACGCAGCTACGATGCGAACGTCGAACCGGCCAAGGACGACGTCCTCTTCGAGAACCCTGATCAGATCTTCGATGTCGTGAGAAAGCTCATGACTACTGCGTACCCAGTCCAAGAACCCGTCAAGCAACCTAACATTGTCATTGAAAGCGATCCCATCGAATCCGCTCCCTGCGAACTGCTTTCAGAAGACGACGACTTCTTCACCTCACTTGAGGACCCATCATGGGGGAATCCGAGGTCGAGAAAGGAGACACCAGCGGCGTTGCGCCTCGTTCCGGATGAGTTGATCGCAGAACCTGCCGGCGTGGGCGAGACATATGATGAGGGTCCTACAGGCTTCGAGCCGATCCCCAGGTTTCGAGCAAACATGTATGGCTGCGACAAAGGGGACATTGACCACCTCTTCGCCGCCCCTCCATCTACTGCCCCGACTCAAGGCGAGATTGAGGAGCTGGAACAGAGCCGCAATGATATGCATTTGTCAAACCCCTGGGTTATGGCAAAAATGCATGCAGTACGACGTCAGGGTGTGCATGATCTGGGAAGTGATTACAGACCGACACCTGGCAACACCATGGAAGATGATCAGGACATCAGTCTCCCGAGCAGCGATCTGTTTAAGGCCAATGGCTTAGCCACATACGGCTTACCCACTCCTCGACCATCTTCTCCATTGCGATCTCCGCAAAAGCAGCTCCCTCTCAATGTCCTGCAGGCTCCCGTTGCACTTCCGGATCCTCGATATTCGTCAAGCTTCATCGAGCCGCCCATTCATTTCCCGGTGTCAGAAGGCGAGGCTGCCATGTCCTCACAACTGTCGAATGTCCAGTCAGACACGCCACTTGCGGCTATTCCCAACCTCAGTGCTAAGGCGCAGTCCGCTTCAAACAGGCGACAACAACAGACGAAGCTGAGTCGCCCTTTCGTGTCCCCATTGAAAACGCAGGGGGCGAGGGAGAAGGTCTGGTTCGATCATCTCGAGGAGGAGAATCGCAGGCCTGCTCGCTCAAGCAAGAAGCGCCCCTACCACCACAACCGTGGCAGTCTGGTCACACAAGGCGATCTCGGCGATTTGACTGAGGATCCTTATCCGCTCACTCCACCGAGATGCAATAGAGACATTCGTGACTTTGTCATGAGAACGAGCGATAGCACGGGCGCTGTTGCTCACAACAAGCCGGCGCAATTTCAGAGTAGCGAGAACTCAGTTTCCAACCATACGAGAGAGGAGACATCGGAACCCAATTCTGCTGCAATGGAAGCTCGCTTCAGACAAGAGTTAGAGAACGAGCCTCGACCGAGCAAACGTCGTAGATCCAGCAACGCCCGCATCCTCCGAGAAGTCAGCGGGAACTTGGATACTATGGCCATCGACGACGAAGAGCCTCGACCTCCTCCTCGAAAGCGCACAGTCTCCCGCCGTCGACGAACAACGGACAAGTTCAAGATTCCACGTACCAGATCCTCACAGCTGCCCCTCGAGCGGATTCCTGCGGAGCAAGGCACTCTAAATCTGGCGCTCACTCTTTCGACTTCCTGCCGGTCTATTTCACGTCTTGTCGACATGGCTGAGGTGGAAGCTCCGCTTTCCAGTTCCAGAGAGGACATTGAGAATACGGCCAAGAGCTTCGGTCAGACACTTCTTGCAGCGGACGTTGCAGAGTTGACTGAAAGACTGAAGATGCTTCTGAACGAGTGTGCTCCCGGTGGTGAAGAGGTTGCTGACGGTCTGGCTGCGATTCTCGGCAATGCGATCGACGCGAGTGTCGCACACCTTGTGAACGATTATGTCGCATGAGGAAGCTGGGAAGGTTTTACTCATTTGCTCCCGATCTCATCGTAGCTGCTGCTCGCAGATGTGTTTGTTCGTTTTACTTCTAGCTGGCGGGGCCGCAGCAAGGCTGTCGGACGTTGCTGATGTACTTTGACATCGCCTCTGAAGCACTCAATGGTGTTTATAATTCGCTCAATTTTAGCTACACCTGCTATAGCCTCATTCAAACAGTATTAACATAATCATTCCTTAGTTATCTTGTGTCTTTGAAAGCAAATACAGCTTACGAAGGCGCCGGGCGCCGAGTGATCAGCGTCGAGAATGGCGTGCTCGGAATCCTCTCACGGCGCCACTTCAATGGCACAAACCTGGCAAAGCAGAGATCATCATCGCTGGACTACATTTCTTTCCATTGAACGATACATGTAGTCAGTCCACCTTCCGATAAGTTGCAGCCCGTGCGAAAAACGAAAATTCGATCAAAGATGTCTGCCAACAACCAAAGCAATGGCAGCGGCGTCCATAAGAAGAAGAGTTTGATTCTGAATGCCTTTGTCGAGATGTGTACGTTGAACAGAGCCCATATCTAGCTAGCTACCCCTCTTCTCGAACGGAACATCGTCTAACAATGCGGCAACTCTCTAGGCAGCGGCCACCAGTCGCCCGGCCTCTGGAAGCACCCACAAGACCAATCGGCCAACTTCAACGATATCGAGCATTGGGTCGAGCTGGCCAAGTTGTTGGAAAAAGCGAAGATTCATGGCATTTTCATCGCGGATGTCTTGGGTAGGATATTTCGTGGGAGGGTTCAAAGACGCAGTGGCTAATGTGCGAAAGGCGGGTACGATGTCTACCAGGGGCCGAGAAATCTCGATCCTGCGATTCGGTCGGCAGCGCAATGGCCTGTCAATGAGGTATGTGCTGATTGATCGTGGGGTTGAGTTATAAGTGCTGTATGCTGATGTCTACTCGATAGCCCTTGGCCGTCGTCCCTGCAAGTAGGTCGGCACTTCAGCGATACTGAAACTCTGATGCTGATGTAGTTTGTCCTCGCAGTGGCAGCAGCAACCAAAAGCATAGGAATCGGAGTAACGGTCGCGACGACCTACGAGCCACCTTATCATCTCGCACGGCGCCTCTCGACCATCGACCATCTGTCCAAGGGCCGCTTTGGCTGGAACATCGTCACGGGATACCTCGACTCGGCCGCCCGAAACCTGATTGGCAAGGAACAACCGCTCCACGACAACCGCTACGAAGTCGCGGAGGAATACATGAAAGTCATGTACAAGCTGTTCGAAGCGTCGTGGCGCGACGACGCCGTCATCAAGGACGTCAAGAAAGACATGTTCAGCTCTCCCGACCGCATCCGCGAGATCAACCATGTGGGCAAGTACTACAACGTCCCAGGCCCGCACATTTGCCAGCCGTCGCCGCAGCGCACGCCGCTGTTGCTGCAAGCGGGCACGTCGAAGGCCGGCAAGACGTTTGCGGCACAGCATGCCGAGGCGGTGTTTGTGGCCGGACATTCGCCTAGTGTGGTTGCGCAGAATATTGCGGAGATCCGCAAGATGGCGCATGAGCAGTTTGGTCGTGATCCGCACAGCTTGAAGTTCCTTGCCATGTTTTGCCCCGTCATTGGTGAGACGGAGGAGGAGGCTGTGCGGAAGTTTGAGGACTATCAGCAATATGGATCGATTGAGGGAGCCTTGGCATTGTTCGGTGGTTGGACAGGTGAGGCTGGACTGACCAATGATAGATTCACACATGGCGCTGACACTCGAACAGGGATTGACATGGCACCCTATGGAGACGATGAAGAACTCCGACAAGTCGAGAGCAACGCAATCCGCTCAGCAGTTGAAGCGTGGTCGAAGTCGAGCCCCGGCATCGCAAAGTGGACGAAGCACACGGTCGCCAAACACATCACCGTCGGCGGACTCGGCGCCACCCCGGTCGGGACACCGAGTCAGATTGCAGATGAGATGCAGCGGTGGGTGGATGAGGCGGATGTCGACGGCTTCAACCTGCCCTATGCCATCTTCCCGTCGTCGTTCGAGGACATCTGCAATCTGCTGGTGCCGGAGCTGAGGAAGCGGGGAGTGTTTCATGAAGACTATGAAGTGCCGGGAGGCACGTATCGAGAGAATTTCTACTCCAAGGCCGGCCAAAAGCTGACACTCCCCGAGCATGTTGCCTCTACATATCGCTGGAAGGCCGGGGTGGATCAAGCGGATGCTCCGATTCCTGAATGATTCTGGATGGCTATCGAATGGGTCCATAGTTGTGAGCAGACCAGACCAGGTAGATTAAAAGGGACGGCTGGCGCTTCTCACCCACCATGATGATGTGCATGCAGTGGCCGTGGAGCAGTTCAGCCTCGTCAGAGGCGTCAAGACCTCAACTGCCAGAGCCAGCAGGCTGGATCTGCGCGCTCGCTTGTTCTGCGCCGCATAGAAGCCGCAGACGCGTCGATTGGCCCTCACGAGCAACGGTATTTGGCATTTCCCCCGAGGGAGGCCCAACCCCTGAACGAGACGTGGGAGAAGTCCGGGAAGGGCGGGTCTGATTGGCCAACGCCTGGGGAATTTAAAGTTGCAGATGGCCAAGCTTCCACCAGGGGCTCGGGGCTAAACCTTCGTTCCTTCCCTCGTTCCTGAACTCTGCCTCCGAAGGGGGCTAGCTCGTGGAGTCGCGACGTTGGAACACGAAAGATCACGCATCTCTTTACCCGGTGGAATCTGAGCGACCACTTTGTACGCCGGCCGTCGTCCGTCTGTCTGTTGGCCTCCCCTCGCCCTCCATCACTCTGTTTGACAGCACCCACACTGTCGTCCGCTCGTTTACCCCATCCAATCCCCTTCCTTGACATCACTCCGCCCGCGGAGCGTGGGGCTCAGCTGCGCCAGCGCGACGTACTGAAACCATATACGCCCCCCACTTGTTCACCGAGGAGAGCAGATCTCTCAGCAGCACCGCCATCGACCATCCATCCCTCCTCACATCCTATTCTTCGCATGGTTATCGCAAACGCAATCTCGCGTCTCAAACATGGCCGATAAACCCTCCAACCCGCCCCTCTCCCTCGCCGACCTCCTCCGACCCTCACGACCAGAGCTTCACATGGAACTCCCCCCTCCGCGCGCCGGCGAGCAGCCTCCGGCCCTCTCGCCTCTGGATGCATTCGCCATGCAATCCCGCCTACTTGCAAAGCGATTTGAAGAGCCGGCAGGCGATGGTAAGCGGATAAGCAGACTTAGGCACTCGGACGTGGCACGAGAGATTGCCAATCGCCCGGACTACTTCCGAGTCCTCCAAAAGAATGGCGCCAGCGGCAGCGACGATGGCATGAGCGATGTGGTGGAGCTGCCAGAGGAGGGCAGTCCGTCGAGCAAGAAGGGTGGGCTGGTTTTGGGGCAAGGGAGGGATCGGCCAACCAGTCACTATCCGGTCTTGGGCAATGCGGCTCGAGAGGAGAGGAATGAGCGATCTTTCAGATCTCATGCCCAGCGCTTGTCAACACCGTTTGAGACTCCCAATGAGTATGCCGAGGGCGACGATCAGGGAAAGCCGAGCTCCACGCAGCCTGATTACTTTGGCGGCAACCTCCCGCGCGCCGCGTCGCCCGAGCAGATGGACAGGAAGGTGATCAATGTCCTAGCAGCATCTCCTCTGCCCACGCCCAGCTTGACAAACAGCGTGGACTCGGTTCAGTCAACACAGCAACCACCCACACATCCTGGCCTTCCTCGCACTCTGACGGGTGGTTCCAGCCGCTCGCAACGCTCCCTCGCGCCACCCCGATCACCCGCCGTCCCCAAATCCCCACGAAGTATCCAAAGCGTTCGTTCAGTCCCACAAGATAGCGGGGACGAGGATGGATCAGTACGCGCGGCTTCCCGACAGTTCTCCGGCAGCAGTGGCATGTCGAGATCCAGACCGCAGTCACCTTTCTCACCTTACGTCAATGGAGTTCCTCCCTCTCCCTCAACCATGTCCGACTACTCCATGGCAGGCTCGCAAAGAAGAACCTTTTCGAGACCAATGAGTAGTGGAGGTAGCAGACCCGAACGCGACGCCAGGCCATCTCTCGACACAAGACCTTCCCTGGACACCAGACCCTCATTCGACAGTCGCTCATCCTTCGACACTCGGCCCTCGGGGGATTCAGCACGACAGATGCCTCTGCGCCCGAGCCAAGATACGCGCTCCGAGCCGCCGTCGCGCCAGATGTCGGCGGATGAAGGCGGAACGCCGTTCGCTACGCCTGTCCAGGCCCCTGTTTCCCCATTCCAAGAGGACTTGGATCTGAGGCCACCGACCTCGTACACTTACACGAAGTTTCCGCTCTCCCGCCCGCACGACGCCGAGCAGGAATCGAAGAGAGCGCAGAATTCTTGGTTGCAGCGCGAGTTTACATGGGATGGACAGACGCCGGAAGCTCCGCACTTACAGGCAGCACCAGCTGGACGGGAGAGAACGAACAGCGACGGTGGAGGCCTGCGAGCCCCGCAACGATACGACTCTCCTACACTATATGGCCGCCCGTCTCTCGACCAACGAGAGCGTAGACCAAAGGAGCGGAGCAATACAAGCTCGAAGCAGAGGAGTCAATCCGTGCCGAAGAACCGCAATCGCGCCATCCCACGCACGCTGGAGAAGGCGAATGCGCTCCAGAAGTCCTCGCCCTCCGTCCGCTCGGCCAAGACTGACAGCACCGAGCGCACGATCAAAGCCATCCCATTACACGAGAGATCGCCATCCACCGAGCTCACGGCCGAGGAGCATCTCGATATCGGGATCAAGACGCATAGCGATGGCGAGCTGAACAAATCCACCTACCACTTCCGACTAGCAGCCATGGCCGGCCTGTCGACTGGCATGCTGCTATATGCCCTCGCGTGTCGGCACGGCTGGGGCATGCGGCCGAATCAAGAAGAAGGGGTAAAGTGGCTTCGCAAAGCCATCGATTCAGCAGGCCTGGAAGTGGCAGATGTGGAAACGACGCTGGAGAACTCAAGCCAGCCCGGCGGCGATCCCATCGCGGAGGCGGCGGAGCGCAAGAAGCGCAAGGCGCAGTTCGCCCTGGCCATGTACGAGCTAGGCGTGAGCTACATGAACGGATGGGGATGCGCGAAGGATAAGCAGCTGGGGCTGAGTTGCTTTGAGATGGCGGGCAACTGGGGTGATTGCGATGCGCTGGCCGAGGCGGCGTTTTGCTACACACAGGGCAGTGGGTGCAAGAAGGATTTGAAGAAGGCGGCGCAGCTGTATCGCAAGGCGGCGGAGGGGGGCATGTCGATGGCGGGGAATAGTTGGTGAGTGGTGGCTTTCGTGGCCTTCGCTGGCGTGATTGTTTGCTGACCTGTTTGCGTGTAGGATTTACAAGGCGAAGTACATGGACGACGGTGGAGCGCCCAAAGCGCAGGAGAAGGCGAAAGAAAAGGAGAAGGGGCCGGCAGAGGTATCTTTACCTGCCTCGGCGGCTGGGAAGGATGGGAGCAAGGAGGCACCTATTGGGCGACCGCGCACGCGATCGATCTGGAACCGCAAGAAGCAGGCGTGAGATGGATTGGAGCTCTTCGTTCGGGTTTGGGATATGATTGTTATGATTGTTCTCGCGATGGGGAGCGGGGCCACGGGAAACGCAGCGTGTCTGCTCACATTAGTACCTTATTAGTCGTAGTTGCACGAAGTCACGCCTCTCATGAGCAATTGTCGGAGATGGTCCATCAGGCTGGAGCTGGCTGAGGCTAGAACGGATGGCCGGGATCGCCGCTGACGTAGTCGCTCATGTGGCCTGCACGGAGAGGTCCCGCTGCCCCTCAATTACGAAATTGCTAAATGCCTCAAGCTCGGTTTGTTTACCTGGCCCGGGGGACACTCTTGCATCAATACCACGTGCAGGCGTTTGCGAAAGACAATCCACACTTTTTCCTGATTGAGCGGCAAGAGGCATATCTGGTAGCAAAGATGTCGAACGACAGCGGCAACAGCGAGTTTCTGGAGTTGCAGAATGATCAGGGTGAGTTTGCCCACGAGTTGGGGAAGGCGCTTTCCACCACCCCGCCCCTTCCCCCTCCCCCTCCCTCCCACACACGCGGCAAGTGCAATGGCTGACTGGCATGTGATATCACGGCAGAGAGCTCGGTGAAGACGGCATCGCACACCGAAGTGTCGGATCCCAACAGCGATTTCAAGGGCGACAACCTCCTCACGGTGAGTGGCTTGCTCGTGCCTCTCCGCTCGCTGTTATCTGTGCCACCCCCCACTTTGCGCGCGACCCCGCCACGGCAAGACAAGCTTGCGAAATCAAGGCTTACTTCTTGCGCGTCCCACGCTACGTCACATGCTACACTCCTCTCCCTTCCGCTCTTTACCGCTGCCTCTCTACTACTTTCTCCCTCTTCCTCTACACTTCACTCACCTCACTCACCTCCTCTTTAATCACTCGAACACCACCACACCAACTCCCCCACATCAACTCCGGAAACATGTCTGATTACGACCAACAGGGCGACGACCAGCAGTCGGGCGGCAACTACGGTGGAGGCAACAGCGGCGGCGGCAGCGACTCTTACCAGCAGCAGCAGTCATCTGGCGGAGACGGCGGCAGCGGCGGCAACTACGGCTCCGACTCTGGCAACACTGGCGGCGGCTACGGTAACGACTCCAGCAATACCGGCGGCGGAAACTACGGTTCTGGCTACGGCAACACAGGCGGTGACAACTCCGAAAACGACTCCGGCAACACTGGCGGCGGGTACGGCGACAACTCCGGCGACAATTCCGGCAACACCGGCGGAGGTGATGGTGGAGACGGCGGAGACAACAACGCCGGCGGAGACGACGGTGGCGAGGGTGGCCAGCAGAGCAAGAAGGGCGGCGGGCGCGCGGACGAGAACCCAGAGTCCATCCCTACTGCCGGCGGCGAGCGCCTAGGCGAGAAGCACTGGGGCGAGAGCAAGATTGTGCCCGAGGACCCCAAGGCCGCGCGCCAGGACGACCCGAATGTGTCGAGCAGTGATGGCCAGCCTGACCGTATGTCTTCCCCATCACTCCCCTCGGTGTAATCTTGTAGCGTTAACGCTGAAGTAGAACAAACAGCCGACAACACCAACCGCAACACCGGCGACTCGGGTGATGGCTCGGGCGACGGCGACGGCGGGAAGAGGAGTTTCATGGACAAGATCAAGGACAAGCTTCCCGGCAGCCACGGATCTGGTGACAACTCGTCGGGCGGCAATGACAATGACAACCAATACTAGGCAGCCCGACGAAGGAGGATGAGTGAGTGAGGATCGTCTTGGATGAGTGGGATTGAGCTTGCGACATCCCCTTCCCCTCCGCGGATGCATGTGGAGGTGGGACATTTTGCTGTTTGTACCCTTTGCCCTTTACCTCATGGTCTCAATCACGGAGTGTCTTATTTCTGAAGTCTCCCAGTATCTTCACGTGCTACCTCAGGTTTGTGCAGCACGAGATCACGGTCTGTGCCAGGCTTGCTACTCCCTTTGCTCACTTCGTCTCTTTGTCAACTTCACACTTCCCCTCACATTCACATTTTCCTTCACATCTATGTTTCCTCCACGTCCATATCTCCTGCACAGTGAATTACCTTCACATCCATATTTCCCTCACACACTTTCCATTCACAGTACTTCAACCGGAGAAGAATACAAAGCCTCGTTTCTTTCTCCTGAATCACTTCTGTCTTCCCAACCAACCTCACTGCTACCACTTCCAAGATGGAAACAAGCCTGGAGGCGCTTATGGCCTTGGACTGCGGTCCGGACGGATTGCAAGGGTACAAGGATGAGAGGCAAGTGCTCTTGGAAAGGGTTGAAAGGTAAAATCCCGCCTCCGTCAGTGATTCTGCTCTGCTAACACACGCTGCAAGCCTGCTTCGCGATGGCCCCGACAAGGACTTCGTGATCATCTGCGGCGAACGCGAATGGGAAGTCCACTGCACGGTCTTGCAGATCCATTCGAAAGTGCTTGCGGCCGCGTGCGAAGGAGGATTCAAAGTAAGTTGAGTTCGCGAAGACTTGCGAATGAGGCAGCCGATTGACTTGCCTGCAGGAAGGCTTGGAGCGTCGCCTCGATCTCACCGATGAAGAACCCTCTTGCACGACCGCTTTAGTCGACTACCTCTACCACCTCAACTACTACGCCACCGACCTTGACGCCGAAGCAGGCGGGGCTCTAGGCCTCCATACCAACATGTGCATTCTCGCCGATCAGTACGACATGCCCCCTCTCAAGACCCTTGCGATCGAGAAGTTCAAAGCGGAAATCCTGCGTCCAAAATTTCAAAAGGACAGCTTGTCACCCGAGGCTGCACACGATCTCGCCATCGCGGCTACATCCGCATACGACGCCATGGAGCCGACCACTGAGATCCGGGAGGAGATTGTCAAGATCGCAATCACCACAAAAGCGCTCTCTACTACGAACACGACGGAGTCCGAGCAAAGTGACTTCGAAGGAGTCGTTCGAACACGAGTAGAGCTGGCCGCCGACATTGCCGCCGTGCTGACGAAGATGTGTCTCATCGACCGACCAGTCCCGTCGTCGCACGAGTGTCGCTTTCGCTGCCCGGCTTGTGCTGCTACCTTCATCGCGGAGCTGAGTGAAAGGGCGCTCGGTACGGGTTTCGGGAATTGTTACCAATGTGGGGAGAAGTTTCGGCTGGCAACATGGCGGAAGCATATTGTGAACCGAATTCTTCACGCTCACCTGGAATAGCCGTGCATTTCTCTTATGAATGGTGGGCACTACTGCGTGCTTGATAGAAGCGTTGCTACCCGGCGGACTGCATGCTTGCGGAGTCGGAAGTGTGGCTACATCAAGTTCTTGGGTAAGAGAAATTTGTACCCTTTGCTCTTATCCCATGGTCTCAGTCCATGGAGTGTCTCTCTTCTCGTGCCTTCACGTGCTTTATCAGGTTTTGTTTGCGCGGCGTGTGTAAGTGGCTGCCCCAGGTTTGGTGCCGCGTTTGCTGTTTGAGTTGTCAAACGGAGGTGTTATTCTCCTTGATATCTGCCTCGACTTCACATTCACACTTGGCCTTTCACCTCACCCTCGAACCTCACCTCAACCTTCTTACCGATATCTCAATCGCACATTTGCGAAGTTCCATGAACTGAACATCACACCGCCAGCACCATACTTCGCCATCACCCATTACGTTCTCTGGATTACTCCATCCAATGCTTGTCGTTCCACATCGTCCTGGTCTTTGAGACGAACTTCTATCTCGAACGTCCTCTGATATGAAACCGAAGATGCCAGCGAACAGGCCGAGAGGGCTCTCGCCTCCGTACGATTGGGGTGCCAAAACGCTTGTGCAGCGACTTGGAGGGTAACATCAGCGCTCTCTCCTGTGATGTGGACATTACTAACCCGGGCTCAAAGGTTATATCGAGACGTCTCCACCGTTGACTTCAAGATCGTATGCGGCGAGCAAGAATGGATGGTCCATCGCCTAGTGCTAGGATTGCACTCAAAGGTGCTTGCCGTCGCCTGCAATGGGAGATTCAAAGTAAGTACTGCACTTGTTCATGTTAGCGAAAGACAAAGCGGATAACTAAGTTGCCGGCAGGAAGGATCAGAGCATCAACTCGACCTCTCTCACGAAGATGGACCCTGTGTGCTCAGCCTCGTTCACTATTTCTACTTTTTCAATTACGCTGCTCTTCACCTTGAAGGCAAAGCAATCGGCCCCTTGGAGTTCCACACGAAAATGGCCATCCTCGCAGATAAATACGACGTCGGGCAACTTAGCTCTCTCGCAACCAAGAAGTTCAAGCAGGAGGCACAGCAGTCCAGATTCAGGACGGGCAATCTCGAGCCGGTGGATCTACAAGATCTTGCCAATGCAGCCACTTGTGCCTACGATGCTACGGACCCAACAGATGAGATACGAGCGGAGATTGTGAAGCTTGCCATCACCTCGAAGCTGCTCTCCACCGAAAGGGAAGAATCTGAGCAGAACGACTTCGAGAAAGTCGTCCGAGCTCGGCCAGAACTTGCCAGCGACGTTGCCGCAAGGGTCATGAGCGGCCTTGTGAATCATGGAAGAGTCGCTTCGCCTACTGAGAAACGGTTTAGTTGCCCATCATCGGCGTGCAATTTTTCATTCATCGCAACAATGGACGAGGCTTGTACTGCCATCGAGAACGGGTCTCGCGGCTATTCTTGCTACAAGTGCAAGCAATTCTACCCGGTGGAGCTTTGGCAGAGGCGTGCCTGGGATTAGATCACTCATGCTCATGCAGCGTGCTTCTGCAACCCTACCATAGCGAGCTGCAAGCCTGCAGATTCTTCAAAGCATCGGAGGATGGTGCAGGCATGCTGGGGGAAAGAAACACGAGGAGTGGCGAAGGCAGCAAGGTCCAACAGGCCTTCGGAAGTGGTGGTATTCGAAAGAACGGCTAAGTAGAGAGTATTGAAAGATTCCTCATGAAAACCCATCAGGCATGTAAACGTATCATCAGATTCCACTCCGCGGCAATTCATACTCCCTCCTGGTCAATCTTTTCCCAAGTAAGACTCTCAATCTCACTCCCGTGCATGTCTTCTACGACCGGGGGCGCCGATTTCCGAACCACGCCCATCATCCACGCTACTGCGCTCGCCGGCATCCAATTCCCGATAAAGTCATACGCCAGACTGCCGCGTCCAACATGCCAGGTCCGGCTTGGCCGCCGGGAGACAAGGGCGTCGAAGACAGAGTCCTGCAATCGCCGTACAGGAGTTGCCTTCAGCCTTGCTCCTGCGGAGCCCTGCCAGTGTTGACGCGCGGTTATGGCAGGAATGTCGATGTTGCCCAGTTTGAAATGGGATAGGTATACGCCGGACTCTTTCAGCTCTGCTGCGAGGGAGGCGGTGAAGCCTTCAAGGGCGCCGTAGACAGTACTCTCAATCCCGTGCGCGGGAGGCTTGAGTGACGGAGTAACTGAAGGTGTGAGAATGAGGATCTTGGCCTTGTGCTCTGTGATGGAGGGTAGGAAGAGTTGAGTGGTGGCGATGGTGTTCAGCACTTTGGCATTGAGCGCATCGCTCCATTCCTCGGAGCTGATCTCGTCGATTCGCGCGAGAGTGCTTTGCGTATCAGGCACGATGATCATGCCGACAAAGTTCAGCTTGTGTGGCTCGGCTTCGTCGAATGCTAGGTGCTCTCGGGCCAAGAGGCTGTGGAAGCGCGCGAGTTGTTCCTGCGCCGCGTATGGATCCACGAGGTTCAGCTGCAAGGGCAGTAGATCCACTCTGTTCTGTGTCCGGATGTAGTGCTCTTGATCAGGCGTATTGGTAACGACATAAACCACAAAGCCCCTCCTCTCCAAATCCATGTACAGCGCATTCGTCAACGGGCTCGCCACCGCACCGGCAATCACCACGACATCTGTTCTCGCGCCGCTCGCCGACTTCTTCGCCCTTCGCTTCCGCCGGTATTGCTTGTTGTTGACGTATACCAGCGCGCCGACGGAGCCGGTGAGGAGGAAGGTAAGGCAGGCGGCGGTTAGGGCTTTATGTCGGCTCATCCATCTCTGGACGACTTGTAGGGTTGTCGGGGGCGGTAGTCTCTTGGGAGGCGCAGGGGCGGCACGGTACATGCGGACATCGGCGGGCATCCATTCTCGGAGTTGGTTGGTGACCAGATCGAAGTGGTGTTCTACCTCGTCTGCGATCTCGTTGAACTGCCGCCGCGCCTGATGTAAGTGTTAGTGGGAATGTCTCCTTGCGTGGAAATAGGGCGGGCAGTCATACGTAGTCGAAGAAGTGTTGCGCGTCCGTCATGGTGTTTGCATCCGCTAGAGCAAGTAGATTCGTACTCCTTGGACAGCCTTGGTGGGATGTTGATGGCATGTGATGTTCACGGCGTGCACGGACGCGATGGCCTGTCACGCTGTGCGGGGCGGGCCGGGGTTTGGTACAGTCAGCCAGCTGCACAGGCCACGCGTGCTGCGCCCAGCCATCATCATCTTCTGATGACGGAGGTCAACCCGGTCAGGCAACATTGACACCGTCGCATATCACTCAATGCTCTGAACGTCCCTCCCTTCTGCATCAACCAGCTTGGAAATGTAATACTGCGAACGCTTGGAACCATATCCACCACTCTCCCTCCCCTTCGACATCCCCAACCCGCCTCCTTCCGCCATGCCTTTCAACGAGTTCGCCTCTGCTGCCCGCTCCCTCTCCCTCCCCGTCGATGACTCCGAGGACGATCCTATCCTACCCACACATACTCGGCGATCCGAACAGGGCTGGCGCAGAAGATCACCGTCGGATCCTGACAATCTCATACCAACATCGCAGACAGCTCGCACCAAATGGCTGCAACAGGCGGAAGACTGGCAGCGGCACGGCCTGAGGATGTGGTCGAGGTTGACGCCCTTGCAAAAGGTTGGGCTGGTCGTGCTCAACATCGCACTCCTCGTCCTGAGCATACTCTTCCTGGTGTACAACGAACGCATCTTCGCCGCCCTCGGCACCATGGCTAAAGGATGGCGAGACCTGACCGGCGGTTGGCTCATTCTCTGGGCCCTGACCTTTGTTGTTTCCTTCCCGCCACTGATCGGGTTCACTTCATGTGTGACCATGGCGGGCTTCGTGTACGGGATGAAAGGCTGGTTCATCATCGCGAGCGCGACAGTAGTCGGATCGACATGCGCTTTCATCCTCTCCCGCACCGTGCTCCGCAACTTCGTCAACCGGTTGACCGAGAAGAACAAACGATTCGCCGCTCTGTCTCTCGTTCTCAAGCACGATGGTCTGAAGCTCTTGACCATGATCAGATACTGCCCTCTGCCTTACAGTCTCAGCAATGGCGCCATCAGCACGATTCCTACGGTAACATGGCAGAACTTCGCCCTTGCAACGGCTTTCGCAACACCGAGACTTCTCCTCCACGTGTTCGTGGGCAGTCGATTGGGCAGTTTGGCAGAGAATGGAGACAAGATGGACGGCAAAACGAAAGCAGTCAGCTATGTCAGCATCGTAATTGGTATCAGTGCCGGCCTCGCGACTGGATACGTTGTTTACGTCCGCACAAAGGCGCGAGCAAGAGAATTGGAAGCCGAAGAAGCCGCCGCTGCAAATGCGATGCCTCCGCCCAACGGTGGCTTTGCGGATGATCCGGCCGAGCAGGATGCTATCGATGTGCTCCGAAGAGGCGACGACGATATCAGCTTGCATCAGGCGTACACTGATGATGCTGAAGCTCGCGAGTATCGGGACGAGTTCACAGACGACGAGGATGCGGAGGAGCAAGACGTCTTCGACATTGGCGATGGAGAGGGTGAGGAGGAAGAGAATGACCGCGGAAGATTCGGTCGATAGCGGCGATGGTGTTGCTACGAGCTGTGTTCATAGCACAGGGACTTGAGATACTAATCATTAGAGATAGACGGAGGAAACGCTGCGAATCGTTACAGCCATTTCCAGTTTTTAGCACGCTCATCTCCTTTCCATACCTACGTTATGTCTTGTCTTCATGGAAGCGGAACAGTTCCAGGCAAAGATAACAGGACAAAAGTCGTGGTATGGCAGCTCCACGTGATACTCTGTTTGCCAAAATTCTGTCCCCCTCGTCAACTCCGCATCGCCTCACATCGCCCACCTGGACACCCCCGTTTGCGGCATCGCGGTAATTGAAAGCCACTCACTCGACGCATCGGACTGTCTCTAATCATCACAGCGACGCTCACTGCGCCTTCAACATGTCGGACGGTAGGCGACTCTCCCGGCAAACCTCATCTAACCCCCGAGCTAATCCATCTCTCGCAGCCGACTTCGAGCGCGTTCGCCAGGCGCAAGTCGAGCGGAATGCCGGCAAGAAAGGCGGCAAAGGCCTCGATGCCGCCGGCCAGCGCAACAGCTCCACCAAGGCCTCGCTCACGGCGAACTTCGACACCGAGCTGTACGGCGAAGACTCTTCCAGTAAGTATGCAGGGTACAACACCTCCATCGCGGTGGACGATGATCAGGACATGGATATGGACGATGAGGGCGGCGACGGGCGGCTGGTGGGGCAGTACACGGCCACGGCAGCTCAGATGAATGAGTGGGCGCATGGTGACACGGCGGAAGAGGATATGTTGGAGAGCAGGGAGAAACAGGCGCAGATTGCGAACAGAGAGACCGACTATCAGAAGAGGAGGTTCAAGCGGGACCTGAGCCCTGAGCGGGAGGGAGACCGCAGCTACCGTGAGGTCATGGCTGAGCGGGACCTGGAGCGCGAGGAAGAGAGAGTGAAGAAGATGATCGAAGACAAGAACAAAGGGAAGATTGAGGATGAAGAGGATGATACGGTCATCTCCGGGAAACAGCCATTGCTCAAGGATGGCAGTGCCGAAGACTCCGCAAACGGCGTCAACGGACACGAGGAAGTGAAGCCCCGGACACGGAAGAGGAGATGGGACACATCTGCGGACACCCCGGCTACCAACGGCGAAGTGGCCACAAATGGCCATGCGACTGATGGCGAGGTTGCTACGAAGAAGTCTAGATGGGACACCACCCCGGCAGTCAACGGCGAGGCGGCGCCCGCCAAAAAACGTTCGAAGTGGGATGAAGTACCGTCCGCGTCCGGAGCGAGTACTGCAGCTGCAGTAGCTGCACCTTCGCAGTCTGCAATGACTTTCGGAACAGACGTATCATCCCGGAACGCCGCCATCTCCGACGAAGAGCTTGATGAGATGCTACCGAGCGAAGGCTATCAGATCTTGACCCCTCCACCAGGCTTCGAACCTGTGCGCGCCCCGGCCAAGCGGCTCGTGCCGGCTCAGCCTGCCAACACAGGCGGATTCATGATGCAAGAGTCAGTCGACCCTCGATCGATGGGCAAGCAGCTACCTTCCGACATCCCTGGCATCGGTGATCTGCAGTTCTTCAAGTCGGAAGACATGGCATACTTCGGCAAGCTGGTCGATGGGGCTGATGAGAACGAGCTTGGTGTGGAAGAGCTGAAGCAGCGCAAGATCATGCGGCTGCTGCTCAAAGTCAAAAACGGCACGCCGCCGATGCGTAAAACCGCCCTACGTCAAATCACCGACAACGCACGCCACTTCGGCGCCGGCCCCTTGTTTGATCAGATCCTGCCTTTGCTCATGGAGAAGTCCTTGGAAGACCAAGAGCGCCATCTTCTCGTCAAAGTCATCGATCGCGTGCTGTACAAGCTTGACGACCTGGTCCGCCCTTATGTTCACAAAATCCTGGTCGTCATCGAGCCGCTGCTTATCGACCAAGATTACTATGCGCGAGTCGAAGGCCGCGAAATCATCTCCAATCTCTCAAAAGCAGCGGGACTGGCACACATGATCTCCACCATGCGTCCGGATATCGACCACGTGGACGAATACGTGCGAAACACCACCGCTCGTGCATTCGCTGTTGTCGCCTCTGCCCTCGGCATCCCAACCCTCCTACCCTTCCTCAAAGCGGTTTGCAAGTCGAAGAAGTCGTGGCAAGCACGACACACCGGCGTCAAGATCGTCCAACAAATCCCTATCCTCATGGGCTGTGCCGTGCTACCTCACCTCAAAGGCCTTGTGGAGTGCATAGGCGACAACCTGAACGATGAGCAAGCCAAGGTGCGCACGGTGACCTCACTTGCTCTCGCTGCTCTTGCAGAGGCCTCCAACCCCTTTGGTATCGAGAGCTTCGACGATATCCTCAACCCACTGTGGACCGGCGCGCGTAAACAGCGCGGCAAGGGTCTGGCAGGCTACCTCAAGGCTGTCGGCTACATCATTCCGCTCATGGACGAGGAGTACAGCAACTACTACACAACGCAGATCATGGAGATCCTGCTGCGCGAATTCCAAAGCCCGGATGAGGAGATGAAGAAGGTGGTCCTCAAAGTCATCAGTCAATGCGCTGGCACTAGCGGTGTGACGAGCGCCTACTTGAAGGAGACTGTGTTGACCGATTTCTTTAAGAGCTTCTGGGTCAGACGCATGGCTTTGGACAAGAGAAACTACAAACAGGTAGTCGATACAACCGTCGATCTCGGCAACAAGGTTGGAGTCGGCGAGATTGTGGAACGAATCGTTGGCAATCTGAAGGACGAAAGTGAAGCGTACCGCAAGATGACTGTGGAGACCATCGAAAAGGTTATCTCCGCAATGGGCGCTGCCGACATCGATGAACGACTGGAGGAGCGACTCGTAGACGGCATTCTGCACGCCTTCCAAGAACAAAGTGTCGAGGACATTGTGCTGCTTAACGGGTTCGGAACTGTGGTCACTGCGCTTGGAACCAGGTGCAAGCCGTATTTGCCCCAGATTGTGTCGACCATCCTCTGGAGACTCAACAACAAGTCGGCAACAGTCAGGCAGCAGGCTGCTGATCTGATTACGAGGATCGCCGTGGTGATGAAGCAGTGTGGCGAAGACGCACTCATGGGCAAGCTGGGCACGGTGCTGTATGAGTATCTCGGGGAGGAATATCCGGAAGTGCTCGGATCGATCTTGGGCGCGATGAGAAGCATCGTCACGGTGGTCGGCATTACTAGCATGCAGCCACCCATCCGTGACTTACTGCCGCGCCTCACGCCGATTCTGCGCAACCGACACGAGAAAGTGCAGGAGAACACCATCGATCTCGTCGGCCGCATTGCCGATCGCGGACCCGAGAGCGTCAACGCGCGAGAGTGGATGCGCATCTGCTTCGAGCTGCTCGACATGCTCAAAGCGCACAAGAAGGGCATCCGGCGCGCGGCCAACAATACCTTTGGCTTCATCGCCAAAGCCATCGGCCCCCAAGACGTCCTGGCCACGCTGCTCAACAACCTCCGCGTGCAAGAGCGCCAAAGCCGCGTGTGCACCGCCGTAGCCATCGGCATCGTCGCCGAGACCTGCGCCCCCTTCACCGTCCTCCCCGCCCTCATGAACGAATACCGCGTGCCGGAGCTGAACGTGCAAAACGGCGTGCTGAAATCCCTCTCCTTCCTCTTCGAGTACATCGGCGAAATGGCAAAAGACTACGTCTACGCCGTCACGCCGCTGCTCGAAGACGCGCTCATCGACCGCGACCAAGTGCACCGCCAGACGGCCGCGAGCGTCGTCAAGCACATTGCCCTCGGCGTCGTCGGCCTCGGCTGCGAAGACGCCATGCTGCACCTGCTCAACCTGCTCTACCCCAACCTGTTCGAGACGAGTCCGCACGTCATCGACCGCGTCGTCGAGGCCATCGACGCCATTCGCGTCGCCATCGGCACCGGCGCCGTGCTGAATTACGTGTGGGCCGGCTTGTTCCACCCGGCGCGCAAGGTGCGCACGCCGTACTGGCGCTTGTATAATGATGCGTATGTGCAGGCCGCGGATGCCATGGTGCCTTACTACCCGCCGTTGGAGGAGGATCAGTTGAGGCGGATGGAGTTGACGATCATGATTTGACGCGGCGGAGCAGAAGGACTTCGCATTGGGATGTGCTGCGGCCGGATGTGAGAGGTGTTCCCCTCGGCCAGGGCTAGCAAGGAGTTGAGTGCGGGAAGAAAAGAGGTTGTAGCAGTAGCTGAGTGACTGGCCATTGACGCTGGGTACGATAGCAACGTGCAACGAGTTTTGAAAATGACTTCCACAGTTTGTATAATCTGAGGAAAATCAAAGGGAGGCGTGATGAAAGAATGCATTGCGGATCGCGCATCACCGAGCGACTACTCGTCATGCCAGCTAGCTCCAATAGCGATGCAATAGTCTTACAAATGAAAGGCCATCTTCCCTCGGCTGCTAGATAAGGTATCCAAATGTGTCCATCGAAAAGAAAGGTCAAAAGGTAACGTCGCCATCGTGGTTCGTCGTAGTCAATCTTCTTGTTTGGAAGTCGTGAAAAGGGGAGGGGGAATCTATGAAAGTGGATTCGGTCACGACTGCTGCGTCGCGGTCCCGGCCTCGAGAGCGGCGGGCGTAGTCCTTGTTGCGGCATCCGCATTCCCATCGCTTTGCTGCGCTCGTCTGCCCAGTCCCGGGACGCGGAAGGTGGGCAATCGAGTTCTCCAGCCGCTTGGGGCGTTGGCAGAGTCATCAGTCGCCTGGGACTGGCCCTGTCGGCGACTCTCCGCGGGATCTTGATACAGCGGATCTTGCGCTCGCCTCAAGCGATCACGGGTCCGCTGCCCCGGCGACACGGTGAAGATGTCCCTGTGATCGCCGAAGCGACGGGTTTGTGCCGGGCGGAGGATGGAGCCGCCGTAGCCCATTCGCGCGCTTGGACCGTAGCCCATTGCCGTTCGGCCGCCCATCCATGCCGTTGGCGGTGGCGCCATACCTCGTGTCGAACGTCTGCTTCGGCTTTCGGATGCGGCGCCTGGATTGGGATCTTCGCCATCCGCTCGCGGTTTGGGGGTGTAGTAGTCGGCTTTGCACAGCGGGCAGCATGCTCGCCGGCCTGTCAGCCAGGGATCGACGCAGGCGCCGTGGAAGGCGTGGCCGCAGGTGAGGCCGCGCACGTCGTCATCGTCTTCGAGGGTGTCGAGGCAAATTGCGCAGGTGTCGCCGGGCACGGCGAGCATTTCTGGCGGCGCGGCGGTACGGATCGGGTCGTCTTCGTCTTCTTCGTCCTCTTCGGGAATGGTAGTGATGGATTGGTTGCGGAGTGTTTCGGGTGGAGGCGCGGCGGCAGCGGTGGGTGAGGATGCTGAGGGCGATGCACCCTCCGCTTCCACCTTGACCATCACCGGTGACTTTTCCGGGGAGGGTGCGTCGGCGGCGGTGTGGGGAGAGTCTTCACGCGCGGCAGTGGCATTGGCGTGGTCTTGTTGGGCGAGTTCGAGGGCATTGGTCGGCCTATCATCGGCTGGCGAGGTGGCGTCTTCGGTGTGCATCACTTCATCCTTCAGACTGGCCGCTCGACTCGGCGGCGCCGTCACGCCTCCAGCAGCAGGCAGACCCTCGGCTTCACGCGTCGATCTCCATATCTTGTACTTGGTCAATGGGAAGCGGTCATTGACCTCTTCCATCGACATGAGTTTCTTCTCCCTTCTCCTCCGATGCGGTCGACCACCCATGGCGTTGAGGTCAATGGGTTCGCCGTTCTCTCCAATTGCGCGCGCGCGATTCCGCGCGTTATACCGGAAGCAGTATTTGACGCCAACGATGATCCTGAGATTAGGAGGCTATGGTTAGTGATTGAAGGTAGGGTAGGAGGACGCAAGGTGGGAGAGCGCATACCATAGATTGGTGAAGACGACACCAAACCCCAGCGCTACGAAGAACAGGAGCGGCGAGCTGGTGGGTGTGCCGCCGCTGTGTTTGCCCGTAGACGTGGCGGTTGCCGATGAAGTGGTGGAAGTGGAAGAATGGAGCGAGGAGGTGAGGGAGGGGGAAGAAGTAGTCGTCGCCATAGCGGCGGTGGCAACGAGGTCGGCGCCGACGAGCGAGACCGGAGGCGAGGCAGCGAGGGCGAAGGAGAGGGGTGTAAGCAGGGCAGAGCGAGCGTGGTTGAGATTGTGAACGAGGGCGAGGATGAAGATCGAGTTATCTGTACTTCAGCGAGCGCTTCCCCGGACTCGCTCAGCCTGCACGGCAGTCTCTGCTCCCGTGCTGCGAGAGCGGCAGAGGCGGCGGGAAGGGCGGCGGTAAGGCGACGACGGCGATCGCCACCGGGCGCGAAGGGTGTTTGGGGTGCGGGAGGCGGAGAGTGCCAAATCAATGACAGTACGGGTGGTGTAGGCGTGGGCGAGAGTAGCAAAAGAGCCGCGTCTCGATCGTGGAGGCAGTAAGGGAGGTGGGGGTGGTGGTGGTGTGGCGATGCGATGGATGATGGAGCGAGTGAGTGAGAGTCCCTTACGCAAGCCCGCAGGGCAAAGCGGCAAGATCGGCGTCGGACCAAGACGGATGTCTCCGATCAAAGTCACGTGTTTCCACCGCTGTTTCCAAATCCAGCCTCGACTTTCCCCATTCGAGACGCGCATTGCAGATACACCACCTCATGACGGTCAAGGTACTTGCTTATCCCACCCCTCCATTGTCCATAATGAGCTGCCGCTGCGTGATTTTCATTGCCATCGGCGCTCCGCTGGCTCTTTCATCCGGCTTCGATTGGATCTTCTAGCCTCCGCATCCCAATTATGTCAACATACTTTGTGAGGATCGCGATTATTTAAGAAAGACCCCATTAGTCAACCTTGCTCGTCTGCGAAAACCGCATCGTCCTTCATACATCTTATCATTGATTCTATCCAAACATGAAACCGCAGCACCCACCCAACGCTTCGATTCTTTTGCGCCATCCCCATGTTCAAACATGCTCTTATTAGTCAAAGCAAACACACGTCCCCCCGCTCGTGAATAGACATCCACACCGCACGCAATGCAAAGCACCCAATCCCTCATCGCCTCGGCGGCGGCGGCGACCCCGAAGCCGGCAAGCTCGTCACAGTCCTCGTCAACGACTCCCCAATCGTCACCTCCACACTCGAATTATCCTCCTCCATCTCGCGCGTGTGCTCGCGCTGCAGGCGCGCCATGCGATCATGCTGCGCGAACCGCTGCATATTCTCCGTCGTCAGCGCATTCGAGCCGTCGCCGACGCCGTGCTGGTGAAAGGAGTCGTCGCTCCAGTGCCGCCCAAGCCACTTCTTCGGGTCCTCGCCGGACTCCATGAGCACGTCGTTGCGCAGGGTAATTGCCTTCTCCTCCTGCTGTTGGTGCTTGATGGCCTGGTCGTTGGCGTTCTCCGACGAGCGCTCTAGTGCCGCGCGCTGCGTGAATTCCAGCCGGTCGAGCTCGGCGGATAGATGGTCTTGCGACGTTTGCTGGCTCGACGACCCGTCTGACAGGAAAGAGGCGGCGGTCAGCGCTCCGCTGGGGCGTCTGCCTGGGGAAGCCAAGGTGGGGTTCTTGGCCAGCTCTGCTCGCTTCTTTCGCCCTTCAATCGCCCATTTCACCAGCATGTTCTCCAGCTGCGACTTCTTGACCGGCTTCGCCAAGTAGTCGTCCATGCCCGCCATCTCACACTTCTCTCGATCTCCCTGAATCGCCGAAGCCGTCATGGCCACGATGGGCGTATTCGACACCTCCGGGAGCTTGGGAAAGGAGTTGCGAATCGTGTATGTCGCGCGATAGCCGTCCATGATCGGCATCTGAACGTCCATGAGAATCACGTCCGGGAGAGGTTGCTCTGCTGACGGATTGTGCAAGTAATCCAGCGCCTCTTTGCCATTCCACACCGCCTTCGCCGGGAAGCCAAGCTTCTTGATGGTCTTGAGTGCAATCTGTTGGTTCACAGCATTATCTTCCACCACGAGCACATTGACGTTCTTGCGCTCCGCCACGCTGAGCAGATCTTGAGCACTTTCGACCGCCACCGGCGCAGCGCCCCCAGACCCCACCGAAGTCCCGCGTTGGTGTCCGGCAGGTTTGAGAGCGTGCGTGGGCGTAGGAGGCCCGCTTTGATCCGACCCAGGCCGGGAGATTGAAAGTTCGGACTGCAATCGGTCTGGAATCGACTCGAGTCCTACAACGGGCGAGTTGCTCGAAGCAAACTCCGCCTTGTGGAACGGGATCCAAAAGTTCGCCTTTGTGCCAACGCCGAGCTTCGACTCCAGAGAAATCTGGCCATGCATCAGCTCTACGAGGTTCTTACTGATGGTCAGGCCGAGGCCGGTGCCGCCGAATCGTCGCGCCGTCGAGCTGTCGGCTTGCGAGAACGGTTTGAAGAGCTTCTTCCGCACGTCTTCCTCAATGCCAATCCCCGTGTCTTCGACGGTGAATTGGACCTCGAGGAATTCCGTGGTCTCCTTCCGCACCTTCACTCGCATAGTCACACTCCCCTCAGATGTGAATTTGATCGAGTTGGTCAGAAGATTCGTTATGACCTGCCGAAGTCGTCCCGGGTCGCCCATCACCTTCCAAGATTTGAGCTCGTCAATGTCATCGATGTACTTGAGGCCCTTGCGCTCGGCGGCGAAGCCGAGCATCTTGTTCACATCGCGGACCACGACATTCAGGTCAAACTGGACTTCTTCAATGTCCAACCGCCCGCTTTCCACTTTGCTGAAGTCCAGAATGTCGTTGATCACCGTGAGCAAGCCGTTGGCGCTTCTTTGAATATTCTCTGCGCAATCTCGCTGCTCTTTCGTAAGCTGCGCCGTCTCATCGTCGAGCAGCAAGTCAGACATTCCAATGACGCCAGCAATGGGCGTGCGGATTTCGTGGCTCATGTTTGCCAAGAACTGCGGAAACGGACATCGTCAGCTGTTTGCCTGTCTTCATCAACGCGTGCGCACTTACCTGAGACTTCATCTTACTGGCCTCCCTAGCCGCCACGCTTTGCGCCAACAATCGACTATTCTCGATGTTCCGCTGCTCGACCTCCACCTCCTTCTTCTTGAGCTCGGTGACGTCAATCGACATTCCCACCACTCCATCCACAAACGCATTCCCCTCATGTCCGCCCTTGCGTTCTCGTCGCAGGATCGGAAATAAGCGTGTTTTGAACCAGCGGCCGTTAGAATCGATGTGCTGATCAAACGTCTGCTCCTCTTTCCTGCCGCTCAGAATATCCTCGATAGGCCCGGCGAGTTTATCCATCTCGCTCGTTCGGCCCTGCAATTTGAGGATGTCGAAAAGGTGCTTTCCGAGGTAGAGATCTTTTAAGGCGAGGTATTCGGAAGATTCTGGATCGTATGATAACCTCTGGTTCGTGGTCATCGGACGGCCTTCGTAGATAACCAATCGCCAGTCTCGGTCAATGGCCCAGAGAGTGATTCTTGCGTGCTGGACGACCTGTTTGAGCTGCGCACGGGTCTGTTTGGCCTCTTCTCGGGTTCGCACGAGATCGTCGATGTCGGTGCATGAGCCGATGAACTGCGTAATGACCCCGTCTTCATCTCTCATGGGCACGGCGCGGGCAAGCATCCATCGCCATTCGCCATCGTACCTTCGCACCCTGTATTCGACCTTGTACTCCTCGCCTGTGGCCAGTGTGTGCGCGTAGGCCGGGGCAGTGAATGCCATGTCATCCGGGTGGATTCGAGCCACCCAACCGTCGCCCATGTTTTCTTCCGCAGTAGTACTATGAAAGAAGTGTCAGCATGACATCCTTGTGTAGGATCGAACGCCGGCCTCCTGATTGTCTTGCGCAGGCCGTATCTTGCAGACTCACCCAGTATACGACAACCAGCGGTCGGAAAGGTAGTTCACCACGCCTTCGGGTGTGTTTCGCCAGATCATCACCGGGCAAGAGTTGCAAATGTTTTCAAACATATTATCATTCTCCCGCTGCTTCTTGTCAATCGCGCGGGCAAATGTCGTGACGTCCTTGAACATCACCAGGCCGCCGAGGAACTCTCCCTTTTCGTCGGTGATGGGCTGACCCGTGCTGTCGAAGAGAAGTCGGCTCCCGTCTTTGACGCTGTACATGCCAATCCGGTAGCCGTCAAAGCCTTTTTGCTCTCGCATGAGCCTCATGATCGGAAAGTCCTCGACGGGGATTCTAGCGGTGAATGACTCGTTGTAGATGACGAATTTGGAGAGGAAGTCCTGAGCTTGTTCGCTCGAGTCGTAGGCTCCATCTTCGATCCAGGGGTAGAGGAGGCGGATGGCGGCTTTGTTGGGCACGCCAAACGACTCGTCTTTCCACATTGCATATGCGGGGATGTTCATCGTATTGAGAATGGCGTCCTTGAGACGATTCGTCTTGGAGAAGATGCTGGGGGAAGATGCGGATGGTTTGCCAGGCGGTCCACGCGGCGGGAAGTCTATACTCCGTGGGCTGGTCACTAGGGCGTTGGAGGTGACTGAGTTGTTGGTGGCGGTTGTATGGTGAGACCTGGGCTGTCCGGAGGAAGCCGAACTGGACGCGGAGCTGAGGCCCGAGGGCAAGCTGGTGGAATGACGAGACACTGTTCTTGTGGTGCTTTTGCTGACTTCGCTCGAAGCCGTTGATTGGCCAGAGGATGCGGTGAAGGTGAGAGTGAAGTACTGGGAATCTTCGGTGGCCCACACCGACACAATCATCTGCGCCTGCGCGTGATTCCCGGCATCGAGTCGAGAGGCGATGGGGAAGCCGGTGGCGGGATTCCTGTCCGTGGAGAACATGACCTCGACCACCGCGTCATACACTTCGGTCTTGGAAGATTTGGAGCCGAGTGAGGGGCTGCGGCCGTGCGAGTTTGTGGACGAGGATCGTGACTTGCCAAACGCACGGTTGTGAAAGGTGTTGAGCTGGGTGGTTGCGGATTGTGCCTTGGCCGCATCGTTGACCACTGTATCAAGGAAGTTCTCCCACGCCACAAAAACTGGGTTGCCGCCTTGTAGCAAGTCCAAGCCGAGCTGTGAGAGTGTTGCGCCATGCAGGGTTTCTGTGACAGTCTTGGTACGGCACAACGAGGCCTCATCCTCCCCATCGGCATCTTCCTCATCGTCGCCGTCGTGGGCCGAAGGCTCGATGCCCAGCATTCGAGCCATGGCATCGTTGGCCAATAGAATCTGCTTTGCACTCGAAAGGACTAGGACGGGCATGGGCAAGTACTGCAGGGCGGTGAAGGCGGTGTCGGCCGAGGCGCCGGTTGGTGGGATGCGGATAGACAAAGATGCTCGCCGCCGCACCCTTCCCGTGGGCGTAGCGGGGACATCACTCGTGCCATTTTCGCTGCCAAAGTAGTCTTGGTCGTTGGTCCGGTCGAAGGACATGGGGGTCTGCATCTGCTGGGGTGTCGTCTCCTGCTCGTCAAGACCATCTTGACTGACGGCCATTGTCGAGCACCATCCGCAGCAGCTGCTGCGGGCAGTCTCCCTACCGGACGAGGTGCAGACCGTTGATCATGCGAGAAGCAATGGGGTTTGCTGCGCTCCGGGAGCGGGTGGAGGGTTGTGCAGGGAAGATAGTGGGGCGCGCTGGAGCTGGGGTCGGCGCGACGAACAGGATGTGGAGTGGTCGAGGGTGAGGTGGAGGTAAGACGGTGGGGCGGCAGCAATGTTCGAGGGGAGCGGCCTGGTGTTTGCGAGGGCGGATGGAGGAGGAGGCGAGTCGGGGAGGGAATGCGCGTGTGCAAAATGCGTCGAGATCGGAGGTCAGCGATATGCCGCCGATGCGTCTAACGGCTGTGGCGGTTAAAGTTTGGCTGGCCCGAGATTTGACTTCACGTGTTCGTCATGCACATCGACGGTGCAGACACCCGTCAGGACTAGTCGTTGATGCAAACAGTCCACGAACAGGTAGCTTGCTTGGGAGAAATTATCATTGAGGATTGTCAACATCGTCCATACCCAGAGCAATGCCAAACCTGCACGCGAGCATCGCTCATAACATGCACAGGACTGCCGCATAGGGCTCGGGCCGGGATCGAATGGGGTTAGCGAGTAGAAGAAGCTGCCGAATCTAGACGCCGTCCGAGCGTCAGGCACAAGCCCAGCCGGCTCGCCTTACCCTCGCTTCAACACCAAGAGCGCAGCACCCGGCACTCACTCATCCATCCCGCCAAGCGCCTGGTGTTGAATGCCGGCTGCACGTCGATCTGTTGCTTGATCACGATTGATCACCTCAGAGATCGTCAGCTTCGTCGTTCCGTGAATTCCAGCAAGGCACCTTCCTCGCTCCACGCGAAAGGGTTCAGCTGTTCCATCACTAAACCCAACGACGTACTGAGAGAGGACGGGATGCTGGCAGCTCCACAAGAGCAGCATGCGCTCGTTGTGTGTATGACAGATGATCGTGTTGCTTGAATCAGCCCTTCTTCCTTGATCGTCCGTCGCCTTCCATCCGTCTAGGCTGCGTTGGGTGTACGTGGCACCGATTCGCCACAGCTTCACTTGGCATAATTCACGTCTGTCCTGCACCCCGTCTTCCACATACCAGCCTGGACGTCGTTTCGACTTTGCCGGCTGGGCAAACGATACAACCATCATGTCTGGGTACAATGGCAGGAATCGACCGGCCGCTAACGGCGGGCCACAAGGTGTCCAGAGATCGTACGCATCGCAACTCAAAGAACGAGAGCCCAGCTTCCACACATACGAACACCTGCAAGGCCTCCCGCGACACGACTCCGCCCTCACCATGCTGCGTAAGGTGGCTTCGATGGTGAAGCCCATCATGCGCAAACGAAACTGGAGGGTGCAAGTCCTCGCGGAGTTCCTCCCTCTCGAGCAGAACCTGCTGGGCTTGAACATCAACAAAGGATACAAGATCTGCATTCGCCTGCGCTACCACCACAACCCCGACCTCTTCCTTCCCATGGAGCAAGTGGTCGACACCATGCTCCACGAGCTATCCCACATCATCTGGGGTGCTCACGACTCCAACTTCCATCGGCTCTGGGACGAGCTTCGCGACGAAATGGAAACGCTCATCCGCAAAGGCTACACCGGGGAAGGATTCCTGTCGGAAGGCCACCGGCTGGGCGGCAGGGTGCATGCTCCTCCGCCCCCTCACGAGATGAGACGATTGGCCCGCGCCAGCGCCGAGAAACGACAAGCCCAGAACAAGCTGACAAAAGGCTCTGGCCAGCGACTGGGTGGCACGCCGTTACATCTTCAGGGCGGCGATGTAAGAAAGATCATCACCGATCAGGTCACCCGGCGCAACACCATCAACAAGGGCTGCGGCTCCACTCGTGCGGATGCGATTCAAATATCCGATGACAATTCGAACAACACGTTCAAAACGAAGGCGGAAGAGGACGATGCGAACAATCGAGCCATTTCTCAGGCGCTCTACGACCTCATCGAGGAAGAAGAAGACCGGAAGTTGCAAGGCACCTTCTCCGCGGCGCCCACGGACGGAGGACTGGGCTGGGATCCTGCCAATGGCCTCTACGATTCCAAGAGTGAAGGCTTCGGAGAGCCAGTTGGGAGTCGTGGACATCATCCGAGCGAGGAGGAGCAAATGGAGTGGGCGTTACAGGAGAGCTTGCGTGCTGGTTCAGGCGGGATCGAAGACCAAGACATCTTCCAGCAACCCACCCGACGAGCAGGGACGGACGCCGCTCCACCCATACCCATTGACTCGAAGCCAGCACCCAATCGCCCCCCCAGCCAAAACTCAAGAACCATCCCTCGCAAACGCCTCCCCACCGACCCCTCCCTTCCATCAACACCTCCGCCACTACCCGCCCCCGCCTCAGCCCCTCCACAAGAAGCAACACGACCCCCACCACCCCTCATCGACCTCACCGACCCCTCCAGCCCAACAACAACCACCACCACCACCACCACCACCACAAACCCGAATCCCCCACCCTCAACCACCGACTGGGCCTGCAGAATCTGCACCTGCATCAACCCCCTGCAATTCCTCGCCTGCGACGCCTGCGGCACCGAGCGGCCCCCGCGCGTAGGAGAACCATCGCACAAAGCGAAAGCGAACACCGCTCCTCCACCGACGAAGACTAATTCCATGCCTACACTGTCGTCTGTCCAGCCGCAGAGTCTAGGCTGGAATTGCGCGGGGTGCGGGGCGTTCATGGAGCATAAGTGGTGGACTTGTAGTGCTTGTGGGCGGTTGAAGGAGAGTTCATGAGAGGGGAGATATGAGCAGATTGTAGTGTACTGCACAGTTGTTGTGTGGAATACATAATCTTACTATAACGAGCAATGAGCAAGCGAGCAAAGCTAGAACGCGAAATTGAAGCCACTTTATCCACTTCGCGCTGGCGATTGGGGTGACCCTTTACTGTCTTCATGACAGCCTTTGGGTGAATCTCTAATTACATGTAAGCAACTTTATTGAGTGCGGGTGAGATGATCTCCAAGGAGAGATCTTGAGGGTGGAAAACCCCCTCAGTGCGAGTGGCCATGCCCGTGTCCTCCCTCGTCCTCATCCCTCGAGTCCGGCGGCGGACAGCAGCTCTTGCCGCTGCACGACGGATCCGCACAGCCCAACAAGCACTGCCGCTCCGCCAGACTGCCCGGCTTACTCGGCAGCCGACTCCCCGGCTTCCCAGCCGACGTAGTCGCATTCTCCGACTCGTTCGCGGCATCGCCATCCTGGGCTTTGTGGTCGTGGTCGGGGTCGAGGCAGAACTCGGGCTGGATGGTGGAGGAGTGGATGCCGTAGGCGTGCAGGCAGTTGTTGATTTCCTGGGCTAGGCGCATGTAGCGCGCCGAGCCCTGGCCCTTGAAGTCGAACGCGACCTGCACGTGCAGACTCGCCACCTTCTTCGTGTCGCTGAGCTGCCACACGTGCAGGTGGTGCACGCCGATGACGTCCGGAAGGGAGAGGATGTCGGCGGAGATTTCCTCGACGTCGATGTCGTCCGGCACGGCTTGGAGGAGGATGCGCGAGGCGGCTTTGCAGAGGGGGATGGCGGAGGCGAGGATGATGCAGGTGATGACGAGGGAGATGGCCGGGTCGAAGTAGTAGCGCCAGGAGTACTTGGTGAGCCAGATGATGAGCGCGGTGGCGATGACGCCGATGTTGCCCAGCGCGTCGCCCATGACGTGCAGGAAGATGCCGCGCATGTTCAGATCGGAGTGGGAGTGGCCCTTGCCGTCCGACTTGGGTTGAGCGTGGTGGTGTTCGGTGTGGTCAACGGGCTTGCCTCCAGCAACAGCACCGTAGCCCACGCCGTGGCTGCCGTTCAGAAGGCTGGTGCTTTGGTCGGCTGGTGCATGAGATTCAATGTCACCTTCATGGTTTCCCTCTCCCGCCCGTTGCTCTTCGTCGTCGACGTCAGAGTCTGGCCGCGGGACACTGCTACGGTAGACCACAGAGTTGCGGATAGCGTGAGGGCTGGTGGGTATTTCGTCGAAGCCGGGCAGATAGGCTCGAGACAAGGAACGGCTATGTTTGCGCCCGGCTCTGCTCTGGCGTGAGTTGCTCGAAGCTTTCTGTGCCAGGGCTGTGCCATTGCTGGATGATGCACTGGCCTCGGGTTGTTCGTGGGAGTGAGAGTGGCCAGCGTGATCATGCTCCGAGTCGATGAGCGCGGTCTCTTCATCCCCATGGCTATGCCCGCCGCCACCGCCATGACTGTGCGAGTGATCATGAAACAAGACGAGGCCGAGAAGATTGGAAGCGAGGCCCAAGCAGCCCACGATGAGCACGAGCTTGGGATTGGAGACCTTCTGCGGCTCGACGAAGCGCTGGATGGCTTCCAAAAAGATGGTGACACAGAGCGCGACGAGGAACACGCCGTTCACCAGCGCACCTAGTGTCTCGGCGCGTTGCCAGCCGTAGGTGTATTTCTTCGAGCTTCCTCGCTGGTTGGCGACCTTGACGGCCCACAAGCCGACACAGAGGGAGAGGACATCGTTGAGCATGTGGAAGGAGTCGGCAACGAGGGCGAGGGAGTGGACGGCATATCCGCTGATGAGCTCGATGAGGAAGAAGATGGAGTCGATGACCAGGAGGATGATGATTCGGTTGGACTTGGAGAGCGCCATGTCGAGCTGCGGTGTGTAGGAGCTTGCAGAGGTGAGCTGGTCGCAGCGTCGAGAGTCGAGATCGGGGGTGGCTGATGGGATTTTTTACGCCATGCGTGTACGGGCGGCGACGATTGAGCGCTGACTGGTGTGATGGACGGGTGGGTGGTGAAGAAGAGGAGGATTGCGACGGCGTGAGGAGAGAAAAAGGCAAACCGAAAGTTTCGGTGGTTGCTCATGCCACCCAAGTCGTGCTGCGCCGATCCCGCCTCCCGCCCCGCCAAGCTCGCCTCGCTCGCCTCCCGATAATCGGCGGATCGCGGTGCGGACAGCGGTGCATGTGGTAGTTGTTCTCCTCGATTGATGAAGTGACTATCACACGCGGTCATCCTATTCTGCGCATCTTGCCACATCTTCGTGATAGACTGGGAATTGCGTATCGCGGCCATTTCGTCTTCGAGCTTCCCCGGTTCTACCTCGCATAGCCGAGACTCGGACAGGTACCACACACCATTGACACCCAGCTGCACCTCACCTTCAAGCAAACCTACCTCCGTCAGCTCCTTGCTTCGCGCCTTCACACCACTGCAGTCCGGCAGTCATGTCGCCCGAACCCACCTGCACCTTCCTCAACATCCCCTCGGAAATCCGGGTATTGATCTACCGCTTCCTCTTCAATCTCGACCTCTGGAGGATTGCCCGTCTCGCCGGCTGCTACAACGATGCGGCGGGCAGCTGCGACATGAATCTCTACGACGCCCAAATCTACACCAAACGCCGCTGGAGCCCCATCGCCTTTGCCAACTTCACCGCGATTTTGCGCACGTGTCGCCTGAGCCATGCGGAAGCCATTGACATCCTCTACGAGCAGACACTCTTCAACCTGCGCATCTCCGACGAGCAGTACAACCGCACCATGCGCCACTACGCGCCGCTGACCGACTGCGCCTTTCTACCGCGCATCGAGCATCTTCGTATCAACCCAGACTTGCGCTCATTCGACATGCTGCTCCACCTGCCGAGTCTGCTGGACCAGGTTCTCGCGCGCTTGACGGCCGCCCCGGCGAAGATCATGGTGGATATAGATGTCAAGTCTGGCTCGTTGTCGAGACTTCCGCCGACCATGTGGCCTGTGGAGGAGCTTGTTGAGGATCCGGAATGGGAGCAGCTCCTGCGCGAGTTTGCGAGGTTGAGGCGGCGCCTCACGTTCCGCATGCAATCGTTTCGAGTGCGGAACAATGTGCAACATAGATTGGATCAGTTGGTGGAAGCGACTTGTGGATAGGGCTCAGGTCCTCTGCAGCTGCGAACTTGCCCCTTACTTTGCCATAGCACAGCGTCCATCACCATGACAGCCATGGTCAACGATCGAGATCTGCTTATCAACGGAGGCACAGGCACTTGGGAGTTCTTCTCGAAGCGAAAAGTATGTCATGGGTCATCAGTCAGCAGCAGATCAAACGTATCCGAGACATTTCTCCCAATGCAATGTCACCGGAAGCCCGCCAAGGACAGGGATGATGATGCACGTGCATGTACATGATGATACCTCTCACTTGATGGTGGGTGTTTCCCTTGCTGAATGAGTTTGGTTTTGAGTTGGTGTGATCAAGACTGGTCTCGTAGAGATGAGGTGGTCTTTGCTGCACTGAACATGAACACTGATTGCTTACCTCATCATGCGGCAAGAAAGAAGCGAGACGGATGCGGGCGACGATAAGCTCCGGCCGGCGTGTGTGACCAAAATAGCATGGAGCACAGCGGTGCACGGCTCTGCGTGGTGCATGCCGACCGACCGCGTTTCAGGTTGGTGGATAGCATCGCCTTCCCCACGTAATGATGCACATCGTGGTTTGCCACCACCTTGCGATGGCCATGTTGATTGCGACAAGCATTCATGGTATCTCTCGCAACTGCGCCAAGTAACGTGTCGAATGGCGTCGCATGGAGGAAATCCTGGGCGTTTCAAAACCCCTAACCGCCGCCCGGGCGATGCATTTAGACTTTTTTCTGTCACCTTGCAGTCCCAGGGTACAGGATCAGCGTCATTCTTCGCCCGCGCCACGCCCCGGACGACAAGCGCACTCTTTTTCGCCGCGTGTTCCGAGTGGGTGGTGTGGATATGGATCGCGAATGCTGTTGCCGTAGAATACAGTACTGGCGAGTGAGGACGACTACAGGTGGTGGATGCGGGCTGGAGGAGGATGGGCGACCATGTAAGGTAGATGATGACGATGCAACCCCATGCACGAAACCAAGAAACCCCCCGTCTCAACCACCTGGACAGCCTGGGCACGCAAGCTGCCAACGACATCTGCCCACTCTCTGCTAGCCAGACCCTCCCTCTAGTCCCTGACTCTGTGTCGGCCGAGCCAACCTTTAACCTTACTTTGCTGCGGCCCCCAGTCTCCGCACACCCACGCACCCGCCCCCCTCCCCTTCCCCATTCAAGCCGTCACTGGTTCCGAATCCGTTGAGCTCTTGCGTGGCCTCGCGCCAATCATCCGCGGCTGCGTGTGCATCCGTTTGTCGGCGGAAAAAGTGTCAGACGCAGCTCTGCTCTTCCTTCTCTCTCTCCCTCTTCCTCTCGCCTTACCCCATTGCTACCTCTCCAATTCCACCCAACCCCCCGTCACCCACACGCCTCCAACGGAGTACCCTCGTTTGGCCGCCGCTGTCCCGCATCGCACTCCCGCCCGCACCCTGGTCTATTCCTGGTGTAGCCCGTGCACGTAATCCTCGTCACCACTCTCACTTCTCTCATCTTTTGCTCTAGCCGGCTTGACCCCCGACACCGACTACACCAACATCACCCACTACACCCATCCAGACGCCCCTTTTCGCTCGCATACCGCTCAAATGGACCCAGGTCCTGCCTCCCCTGGCCTCTCCGATGGCCCTCCGCGCGCTCGCTCGCGGGGAATCTCCTTCCGCAGTGACCACAGCACTGGCTCGGGCTCCAAGGCCGTCGATTCGCCGCGAGAAAAAGCACAGAAGGGTTTGTGGCAGGGATCGACCAAGGCCAACCCAATGGTCGCCATGAATGAAGCTCAGCCAGGTGGTGCGTACCTATCCTCGCTTCTCTACCCTCCACATCCTCCCTCTCTTGCTGTTCAAATGTTCTGCAAGCTTGAACTTCCTCCCTACACCGTCGCTTCCACCATGTTCATCCGGCACGACCGTCATGTGCTGACCGCGCATTTCCTATAGTCATGGCCGCAACCGAGCAATCTACTATGCAAAGCCTTCGTGAGAGTCAACACAAAGATACATATGGCAATATCATTGGTGAGTGCGGCTGTCAGTCCCTCCTTCGGTGGGCATCTGGCTGACATGGTCTTTACAGCCGACCCGGATCGATCAAACCCCACGCGCCCCCGTCTGGAGCGACCTCTAGACACCATACGATCGTTTGAGAAGGCTATTGATGAAGGGTACAAGAGGAGGAACTCGTACATGAAGCAAGGTGCGTCTCCCCGATAGCATGCTCTTCCCATCAATGCCCCGCTAACCCTTCCGCCAGACTCGGAGACGTGGGACAAAGACAATCAATTTGCTAGCAGGCGGAGCAGCTTCTTCGGTGGTGCTGGTGCTGGTGGTGAGTATATGCATTCACAAAAACGCCGCTCCATCGCCAACAGTCCGGCAGGCTATGACAACAGCCAAGGCGCACATCGCCCAGGCCCGGGGAGCGCCGCGGGCGGCTACTACGGCAGCCAGAGCTACAATGGCCACCCCAGGGCGCGATACGGGGCCAGCCGCATGCAATCCGACTCCCAGATCTACGCTGGTCAGCGCCCGTACCCCCAACACGGCTACCACCAATCCCACGACACCGTCAACACCGGCTTCACCAACGGATCCGACAGCACCGGCCCCTGGGCCAACAGCACCGACCCGAGCAGCGAGAACAGCTCGATCGACAAGGGCCACCCCATGAACAAGCCGTCCACGCCCATGGACGGCTACAACCAGTACGGTGCCAACGGCTACCACGATGCCATCATGGAAGAGCAAGGCGGGCCCGGCCCACAAGACCAGTACCACCACGACTACAAGAACGGCCCGTCGCCGAGCCACAACGGAGGCGGCTATTACGGCCAGCAGCAACAGCAGCAGCATCAGAACGGCTACGGCCGGCCGATGGGCGGCCCTGCCCCGCCTGTGCAGCCCCCGACGCAAGCTCGACGTCCTATTCAGCTCGGCGGAACACCCTCGGGCAACGGCGACAACGGCTACGGCCGTCCGCCTGCCAACTTGCCCCCCATGCCGCGCCAGGCGCCCGAGCCGGAGAAGAAGGGCTGGCTTAAGCGTCGCTTCAGCAAGAAAGTCTAGGAGGCGATATTCTCTTGATGGAACGGCGGTCGCTTTTTGTCTCACACTTCGGTGATGCTTTCCTACGCATGCGGCGTCGAAATGGTGGTTGGAGACGGGCGGTATACGGCTGAGCGCATTGCACATACCATTAATGAGTACGCCTGTGAGAGGCGGATATTAGGTGCAATAATTCACGAGAGGGGTGGGAGGAGCAAAGACCATGCTGCTCACCGACTGCTTCGCTTGCATGGGCATGGATGCATGTCTGGCGGCGTGAGGAGAACATGCGGGGATTCCGAGTGAACGAGAAAGGGAACCGAGAGTCTGCTCTCCCTTCTAGCAGGTATAATAAGCCTTTTACGTAGGCTTTTTCGCGTCGACAGTCTTTGGCTATGAATTATGACTTTTCACCAAGCGGGTTTCTGTTTTGCCGGTGGCAACTCACCATGTCTCTGAAGCCGATCACTCTCCTAGTCCAGTCTTCTCCTGGCGAGAAGGCGTTTGTGAAAGACCGAGTCGATGTTGATAATCTCGTGATCCGGGCCAGGAAAGCAGTGGCATACACGCGATAGAAATCTGCTTGCCCGCCCCAACTACCGCTCCTTCTTCGTCTCCGCATCCAACACCTCCTGCTCCTTCTTGTCGTCCAGAAAGGCCACGACAATATACCCCACCAGCACTACATTGGCCACCAGCGCGGCGAAGCCGCCGGCGTACGCTGCGTTGCCTGTGTTGCATTACACCAGTCAGTAAGAAGTTCGGGCTGGGAGCAGGCAGAAGCGGGAAAACAGTAGGTAAGGTAGGGTGAGGCAAGGTACCTTTGAACACGACGTCGCGCGTAAGGAAGTAGCTGGCAATTGGCAAGAAGAAGAGCGCGGCGGAGAAGGCGAGGAGTTTGGTTATGATGTGGCTGTCATGTCCCCATGGCGCAGTATTAGCGAGTGGGTGGTAACAACGTGTGTGAGGTTAGGGTTGCTGGGATGCTCGCGTACCTAGGCACCGCAGGACTCGTGTCTGATGGGCCTGCTGGGACGTCCGGGGTGGCGAGCAATGGTTTCTCTTCTGGTGCTCCGCGCCTTGATGCCATGTTGGAAATTGGTGGGTTGGGGTTTGGTTTGGGTGTGGTGTTGTTAGGGTTCAGGTTGGGCAGGCTGTGGCGGAAAGTTTCGATGAGAGGGTTCACTTCACGCTTTCGACTTGTGACACGGGCAAGCGATTCAAAGGCGGCGGCGGGTGCACTGCTTGCTGTAGGTACTTTTCTTTAACATGGGGTTTGCATTGTTGCGATTACGACGTTTCCGTATGTCATTGTCATCATCTTGATCGCTGGGACGAGCATTGAATGAAAGATTCGGTCTGCCCAACCACTGGGGCTGCCGTAGTAGATGGTTTCGATATCGCCGCTAGATATACCACACATTTCGCCCACGGATCTCTAGCTAGGTCACGGCCGATCCGTTAGACTACATACGTCGCGGGACTCCTCGCGTTGCCCTGAGGGAGCTGGAATGCCCAGCAGATCGAGATTGCGTCGCGCTGAATGTCGAGCGTTCAGTGGACATTCACTGTGGTCGTGCGACCGCACGCTTCTTCGCCGTGGCCCGAAAATGGGTTTTGTTGAAATGACCTGAAAGTCGAATTGAAGGTCCGAAGAGCCAATTGTATGGCGCCTCATACAGGCTTACCAACGACCTTCAGAGGATGTGCCTCCGTGTTGAAGACCCAAGTATTCGTCACGCCCGTTCGACTATCTTGGACGTGGAACGGGGCATGGTCATCCTGTTGATCGCATCGCAACATCAGCAAAAGATCAAGACACCGACGCCAGCAGCCTTCTAGCTGCAGACTCCTCTCACCTCGAGCTGCGTCAAGTAGACGTATTTCATCACCTCCGCAAACACAAAACTCTCCTGCACATCCGTCTTCCCCCCGCCGTCGGCAGCATTCACGTTCACGATCCCGCTGAACCCAGAGTCGGTGCGGCAGTACTCGAGAATGGCCTCGAACGCCGCCCACGACCAGTCTCGGTACTTTGGGTTCTTCGTGGCGCGGTAAGCGTAGTACCAGGTCTCCAACACCTCCGGCCGGAGTCGGAACTGGGCGCCAACGATTTGCAGCGCATCATCAGGCTTGCAAGACCCGTGACAAATAGGGTCCCACGTGACGAACTCGGGTCCGAGGCCGGTCTTCGTTTTCTGGTAGACGGCGCCGGCGGCATCTGCTATGGAGAGACCGTAATCGACAAGGGTTTGATTCGCTGTTACCATTCCGCCTAGGATGAAGTTCCCGCCGGCAAACCAGGCCAGCGATTCCATGATGTGATTTACGTCTTCTCCGTTCCAGGTTGACAATAAGGTCCACTCGGGGTGACCATAAGGATGCGAGCCGATGGAAGTGATGGTTGAATCTGCTGCAACGAGCCAGCGTTCGAGGTAAGAGCCGTATTGCTCGCTGTCGTAGATGTACGCTTTGAGAAGGTACTCATAGAAGGCTGTGGGACATGGTCAGCTCATTATAGTGTCGCATCGCAAGATCGAGTCCACTCACAGTCTGCAGAAGCCCCCCAACTGCCGCTGGAGTCCAAAATCTCCCCGCTGCTCACGTCTACCGTGGAACCGAGGAGCCCCGGGAATGGCTCACTGTCAGCCGGCTCAGGCCTAAGCAAGTATTCTTCCGCCCTCCGCGCCAGACGAACATACTTGCTGTCCTTTGTAATATCGGACAGCCTCCCAAATTCGAGGATCAGGGTACCGGCAGCGGCGACGGTATTCGACGTGGCCAAATCGGATTCGCACGCTTTGGGGTCGACCCAGCCACGAGGGATACCACTGGGAGTATCGAAAGCGCAGCTCAGCGTGTCTCCTAGCTTCACCATCTGGTCGTACAGCGCCTGCCTGAGAGTTGAGCTCTGCGCCATCGAAGCAAAGGGGCCGTTCAGGAGATCCCAGGCCGAGATAATTGCAGCAAAGTGCCGGATGGTGACTTCGAAGACTTGGATTCGCGCTCCCCCCTTTACCTTTGTCCAATCCAGAGTAGCGATGAAGTCCAGGATTTGCACCACCACGTCTTCCTTGCCGAATATGATGGCGGTAGATAGAGCGTCGATTGCCGTAGCGCCATATCCGCCGAAGTCGTCCACACAGCCGTTGGTTACGGGATGCAGCGTATCGCGCCCAAAGCAGTACTTGGAGTAGCCGTTCCACGCATGCTGGAAAGCGTCTAACACGACAGCCTTGCGGCCTTCTTGGTCGAGATGCGGTCGTTCTCCTACTCAGCGAGACAAATAAAATCAGCCTAGAACGGGGAATCGATGCGGAGAGCAAGCACAGAATGATTGTGTAGATGTCTGAAAAGTTTACGTACGTGAAGGGGCAACTGGAAGGCTGCCAACTGAGCTGTGGAGCAGGAAGATATAGCACAGGGCGAGGGAGGCGCAAAAGGCAAGCAGGAACCTCCTCGATAGGCCTCTCATGGCCGACTCCTTGGTTTCTGTAAGGTCGCCGGTGCTCTCAGCTCGCCACATCGGTGATCACGCGAGCAGAAGGCAGAGGGATACCAAGGGGTCTTGAAAGAGGGTTAGAAGATTCCATCTGATGAAGATGACGTTGAGGGTGATGAACGAAGCGTGAATGCAACAACACAGCCGTCACCAGCGAGTGTCTCTAGAGAAAGAAAGGGTGAGTGATGGCGGAAGAGTGCTCGACGGTGAAATGGGGGGATGATGTGCTGTCGGTCTGGGCGTCCCCGGCGTGATCTCCGCGGACGCTACTGCACCTCCCCGCGCGGCTGAAAGACTTTCTTCGCGTCACTCTAAGCGCGACTCGTCCGTTTTTCATTGTCTCCCATTGTTCGCGGTCACCTTTTCACGGCCGTGGTTGGGGAGTGCTTTGGGCTTGCTTGGCGGAATGTTGCTATCCTGATGACAAGAGATTGAGGTCGGCGCCAACTCCATCACCACGCTCCTCCAACTCCACACACCTCCACCTCGCGCCTCTCACGACCCCTCGCTCCACGCCTCCTCACAATGGACCAGTCCGATCCAATCTCAGACTCGACGCCAAACAAGAGGCGGAAGTTGAACGATGGCAAGGCTTGGGACTCGCAGGATGACAGCGGCGACGACCTGTCCGAGTCGGACTTCAACACCGTCGCCACGCTTCGCCTCGAGACGCCGCAGCTGCAGTACACCAAGGACCAGTTCCACGCCGATCTGCGCCCTTCGCAAGCCGCCGCTGATAACCAGACGTACATCACGCAGCCCACTCAAGCCATCAATCTCAATACTTCTACGCAATCGAGAACCCTGGGTTCGTCGTTGCCAAACACCTCCGATGTCCTGGTCGAGCAATCCTCACCTGCTCCTTCTCCGCAGGCCAAAGCGCCACCGCCTCCTGTGCGTAGAGCGCTTGCACCCAACGCTCGTGGAGGGCTGTTAGCAAGTGCCATGGCTCCTCCAGGCACCTCGTTTCGCGCCCCTCCCGGAATCCAATCTCGCCCCAAGCCGATCACCATTGATGTCGACAGTGACGAGGATCCGCCAGTGCACCACAGCTCAGATGAAGAAGAGGCGCGTGTGCCGACAAACACGTTAAAACCGACAATCTTCAAACGGAGGGAGCGGGAAACGACACCGAATCGCGCCGATAAGATTGTGCACGAAACCCCGCGCGCTCCAAGTGTGTTCGCCTCGTTGATGTCCGACTTTGCATACAGCTCGCCGCCTGTGAAAATCGCAGATGATTTGGTTAGCTCCTACTCCAACGCCTCCCGACGACCTCGACCCCAACTGGCATCGAGGCCCTCGGCGAGCTCGGCGGCCACACAGCCGAAACCCAACATGTACAAGGAACTGACTGACATTGATGATTTTGGGTTGAGGAGGAAAGTGGAGTCGATTCGCAAGGCCTGGCCCGACGAATCAATTCAGCGTTGCATGGAAGCCTTGGAGAAATGTCACCGGAACGTCGACGATGCTTGTGCGTGGCTCTTAGAAGAGGGCGAGAAAGATGCGCCGGGTGAGACGGTCGACGAGGCCGATGAGCTGTCGTCGACCAGCCCTGTGGTGAGGCGTGGTATTGCGGTGGCATCCTCAAGGAATGTACCCGCCCCTTCACAGCCAATTCGCTCGGCGGCAAAGCAAGAGGTCAAGGCTCCGAGTCTCACCATTGCCGAAAAGTACGGTGCGGGGAGGAGTCAGTCGCAAGGGTCGAAAGTTCCACAGTCTCCTATTATCATTGAGGACGACGATGCAGTCAAACCTGCGAGGAAGCGGCTTCAACAAGGCAGAAAGACTCCCAGATCGCCGTCGCCAGCATCCGACGCCGCGCCGCAGAAGCCACCGCAACCTCTCCAGCGCTCGAAGCAGCAGCAACAGCGACATCACATCATCATTAACGACGACTCCGATTCTGATTCGGGTGGGATTGAGATTCAGAATGAGGAGCAGGCAAGTGCATCTGACCGGCGCCTGCTCAAGTTCCTCAACGAGTGCACAGTGGAAGATTTGGTTGATCTTTCGGCTCAGCCGGCGGATAGCGTGAAACTGGTCCTCGACCAACGTCCATTCGCAACCCTGGACATCGTCCGCACCATTACCGTCACCGAAGACAATACCACCAAATCGGGCAAGAGATCGAAGAAGACGAAGGCGGTCGGAGACAGGATTGTCGACGTCTGTGCGGAGATGCTCACGGGCTATGATGCGGTCGACGAGCTCGTCGAGGAGTGCGATCGAATTGCTAAGCCGATCAAAGACGCGTTGAAGGCTTGGGGCGTTGGTGCTACGAGCGGCGAAGGCGAGCTGCAGATGATGAAGCTGGATGAAGCCCACGACTCTGGCATCGGCACACCGTCGAGCTCTTGCCATGGTGATGACGGCGCGCCGGGGAGCATCACGCCCAAGTCGAAGCGCAACTTCCTGGCGCAGCCGCCGAGCATGAATGCCGAAATGACGCTGAAGGATTTTCAACTGGTTGGCCTGAACTGGTTGAGCTTGCTGTGGTCGAAGAAGGTATCTTGCATCCTCGCCGACGATATGGGGCTGGGCAAGACGTGTCAGGTCATTGCATTCCTCGCCCACCTGCAAGATCAACATGTCGAGGGTGTGCACTTGGTAGTAGTGCCAGGCTCGACGCTCGAGAACTGGCTCCGCGAGTTTGCGCGATTCGCCCCCAAACTCAAGGTCGTGCCCTACTACGGTTCGCAGGGCGAGCGCGAAGGGCTGCGATACGACATTGAACAGGAGCAGGACAGCATCGACGTGATTGTCACTACGTACGACATGGCGCAGAAAGACCGCGACAATAAATTTCTCCGTCGACTCCAGCCTGTCGTGTGTATCTACGACGAGGCACACGCTCTGCGCAACACTCAGTCGGACCGCTATAGGCAGCTGACTAGGATTCAGGCCTCGTTCCGTGTGTTATTGACTGGCACGCCGCTGCAGAACAACCTGCAAGAGCTTGTGGCAATTCTGGCCTTCATCATGCCGGAGCTCTTTCAAGAGAAGCGAGAGGAGCTGCAGTACATCTTTCAGCACAAGGCGACTACGAAAGACACCGACCATGCCGTACTGCTGTCAAACGAGCGGATCGCGAGAGCGCGCACGATGATCACTCCGTTTATCCTACGACGGAAGAAGCAGCAGGTCCTCGAGCTTCCCGCGAAACACAGTCGGGTGGACTACTGCGACATGACGAAGACGCAAGTCAACTACTACGCCGAGCTTCTCCAGCAATTCCAGGAACAGTACCACGAGAAGAAGACGGCACGTCAAAGCTCGAACATGCTCATGTCTCTCCGCAAAGCCGCCATCCACCCCTTACTTTCCCGGCGCCTGTACGACGATAAGAAAATCGACAAAATGGTGGCGCGGTTGGTGAAGCACGACGAATTCAGCCAGAACGACCCGCAGAAAGTCAAAGACTTTCTCACCGGCGAGCACTACCAGAGTCCAAAAGGTGGCGACTACGCCCTGCACCGCTTCTGCGCCGAGCGCCCCTACATGAAAGAATTCATGCTAAAAGGCAAACCCTGGCTGGACGCGGGCAAAGTCAAAGCCTTCCAGAAGCTCGTGCGGGAGTACGTGGAGAACGGCGACCGCGTGCTCGTCTTCTCGCAATTCACCACCATGATGAACATCCTCGAGGCCGTGCTAGACGACATGGACACCAAATTTTGCCGCCTAGACGGCTCGACGAGCATCCAGGTGCGGCAGGCGCTGATCGACACGTTCTATGAAGACGATTCGATCAAGGTTTTCATGCTGTCTACCAAAGCGGGCGGCGCGGGGATCAATCTGGCGTGCGCGAATCGTGTCATTATTTTCGATTCGGGGTTTAATCCGCAGGACGACATTCAGGCGGAGAACCGCGCGCATCGCGTGGGGCAGACGCGCGAGGTGGAGATTGTAAGGCTTGTTACGCGGGGAACGGTCGAGGAACAGATTCATGCGTTGGGAGAGTCGAAGCTGGCGCTTGATGAGAGGGTTGCGGGCGAGGGGGTGGAGGAGAAGCAGGCGGAGAAGATGGGGGAGCAGATTGTGGAGAGGATGCTGTTGGACAGTTTGAAGGAAGAGGAGGGTGAGGAGGAAACGAAGGATCTGAAGGACATGTTCAAGTCTGGGTTGGAGAGTGCTGGGGTCAGAGTTGCTTCGAAACAGGCCCGGTTTTAATGCCGTGGCTCTTGAGCATTCTCTCCCGCGGAGATGGCCAAATCAGGAAAGAATGGCAATCTTGGGCCAGGGGTGAAAATGGAGCAGCAGCTCGGACGGAAATGTCGCATATCTTGGGCTCGGATGAACTGAAGACGATATCCAAACACACGATAACGCATGCAGTCTACCCGTTGACGTGTCACTCCTGGCCTGGCCTTATCACACCGACCGCTGCAAGAATTCGGACAATTGATTGCAGGCGCATGTGCATTAGGGGCAATTAAGGAATTAAGCTTTCCGTCCGTCTCGTCGGGATTCCGGCACGCGTCCGGCGGCCAAACGCGTCGCTGAAACCTTGTCTGATCCATTACACGTGCATCCCCTTCCCCAATGTCGCCTCTCCCGCGCGCAGCACTTGAAACGCCGGGGAGAAAGTCGGTGAGGCGAATGGCGACCTGTCACCGCGAGCTGTCACCCTCGCCCAAAGGCCAATGAGGTCGCGCGAGGCGCGTGTGGTCCCAAGCGCGACTGTTGCCCTGGCTTGGCGGATCGCGAGTCCCGAGCGGGGGAAGTGAGCAACCCGCCGCCACCCAACGGCCAATAACCTCAGCCAGGCACAGCCAGCCAGCCAACTGGGCAGCAGCGCCGCGCTCATTTCCTCGCCCACCGCGCTGCCAACTTCAGTCGCTCCTTTTCTCGCACATGCATGCATGCGTGAGCTGGCTGCTGTCGTGCTGTTTGTCCATTCACTCGTCCATTCACTCCTTTCATTCACTTTTTGCCTTGTTTGTGCCGGCTGCTTGACTTGCATCCCCTCCTTTTTCCCCTCCAAGGCGCACATGTCTATATCTGATCGCTGGACAAACGTACAGATGCAATAGTCGGTCAGTTTTATAGCTCCTGATTTCATCCAATCCAGGAGCAGCGCCGCTCACGCTCGTCGGTCAGGACAAACCGCACCACTTACAAACGCCTTCGCGCATGTAGAGATCAGGCCATCTCGACACTCCCCTCTTCTCTCCCTCGTCCTTCCTTCGTATCTCTCCTTTCGGCCACCCTCCGAATACCCAAACATGCCGCTGTTCTCCCGACTTAAGAACAAAGGTGCGCAGCCGGCAACCCCCACAAAACAACCTCCCTATACCAATGGCCAGCTCGCTGTTGCGCCTCCGCCCAAATGGCAGTCGAAATGGAACAGCAGGACTGTTGTGCCTGCAGAGGTGGAAGAGCTCATTCACGCATGTACGGCGGAGATGAAGTCAAGAGGTATGCCAGAACATATCACCATGCGATCGCAAGAGCCATGCTGACTACCTCTCCAACAGCCGATGCCCTCGATCTCCCATTCTTCTTCCTCCCCTTCCGTCCACACTCTGATCCCTCTGGCGCACGATCTTTCATCGCAAACTACTTCTCGTCCAATGCTGCCGGCTCCAATCAGTACAAAGGCGCCTCTTTACAACGCGAGCTCCGCCTGACGGAGGTCGTTGTCCTCTGCAGCATCCTGAAGTGGTGTTGGAGTCGCATGCCGGGCGGTGTCGTATCCTGGCCGGTATACGATGGCTTTCAAATTGGGGAGAAAGAGGCGAACATGGCACGCAACGCTTTCGAGACCTTCATCCCCATCTCCGCCGACTCCCCCGCCCGCCAACGCATCATCTTCGACTTCTACGACCTGCTGGCTTCGATTGCAGCGCACGGCAAGCTGAATGGTTTCGGGGGTCGTAAGCTGTCTCGCCTGGCAGGCTGGTGGGCGTTTGAGCATGCCGACGATGGCAAAGGGTTCGAGGGCGGCTACCGATCCTGGGCCGCTGCAGCAGACGCCTCCAGCCATCTCTTCTTCGCATACCTCCGCACACTCTCCCCCGAGGAGCACCCATCGATGAGCTTGATCGAGAGAATACCGCGCGCGCTACAGGCTCTACTTGCATCGACCGAGTACCCGCCCGAAACCCCTACACTTCTACAAAAGTCCACTCCCAGAGTCGTCATGGTTGTCGACTCCGTCTCGCCTACGCCCTTCGCTCTATTGCGTCGCGCCAGAAACTTTGAATATCGATCCAGCGATCGCGTGTTGCGGGAATACCAGGAATTCCAAGATCCCGTGGATGCGCTGACGGACGAATGCAAGCGCGTGCTGAACGCCATTTCTAGCATCAACTCATCTGCAGCCAAATCACGACACCAAAATGTGACTCGACCGGCAGAGGCGTGGACGAGTTTCCAGAATATGGGCTTCGGAGACTGGGAAGACGGCACTGCGCAGACGGAGTCGAACGGCATGGGCTCACCCGGCAGCCCACCCTCGAGTCCAACACTACAGTCTGCGCACAAGCCAAGGGATCTCGGACGGCCGACCACGCCGTCATGGGCCGAGTTCATGTCTGTGGGATTTGCTGAAGACGACTTGAGCAAGCCCTCTGCAACATACCTCCTGCCGCCCGACAAACAACTTCCACCGTTGGGCAGTCGGGCGCAGTCGCCGACTTTCATCCCACATGACCGTGATGTTGCACCCGGAGAGCTGGCCGCGATCAACAATGTAGAGCTCGATGATGCGTTTTGGTGGGTCTGGATGACCAGCTTGGCTGGCGAGGAGCCAGCGCAACGCAAGGCCGTCTTCGGGAGATGCGCTGTGATTGAGACGTCGATCATGCGCGGCGCGTGGCTGATTATGGAGGAGCAAGTCAAAGGCGCCTCGCCCGATCCCGTGGAAGGTGCATACATTGCGAAGTCGAAGCGGAGCATCTTCAGCTTCAGCAAGCGCGGAAAGCTGAATCGCAAGGAGTCAACCAACAAGTTGATGCCGCCTCTATCTCCTGTCCCGCCCGCGCAATCTCTCGCCTCCCCTACCCCGAGTAGGAGGAGTCTTGCGCCGGATCAGCAGTCGAAGATTAAGGAGGCCGCGGCCGCACTAAAGAAGCAAGAATCGAAAGATGAGGAGCTGGCGACTCGTCGGGGACGACACGGCGAGGCGTCGCAAAAGACGAACAGTGTGCTTACCATGGGCTTGCAGAGCGCAGCAGGTCCGGCTATGAAGTGGACGACTGCGTATGATCGGAGTGCCATTCGCGCCCAGTATCTAGGAAACCGCTTCGCCGGTACGGGAGTCAGCAGGGAGAATCTGACATTGCCTGCGGATCCTGCCGATCTTGAGGGATACTTGAACAACTCGAGTACCGTGCAGAGGGAGCCTAGCGTGCCTCCGCCGGAACCGTCGAACATCCTGACGAGTGACCTTGGTCGGGAACTCCCTGCATTGCCGTCGGAGGAGCCCGCGCCCCCTCCGGCGGGTGAGGTGGAGGTGCCAACTGTGCCGCTTGCGCCGGCACCAGAGCCTGTCTCACCGGGCTTTCATGGAGACATGGAAGAGCACGGTTCTGCTGATAGCGACAAGGAGATCGTACCGGAAGAAGCGCCTGTGCAAAGGGTCACGACGCTGGACCAGGAGGCCGCGAACGCGGGATCTTTTGAACTTAAGAGGAAGCCAGTTCCCCGCAGCAGTGATGGCCCGCGTCCCGACAGTGTCGAGAAGCCAGTGGTTGCTACGAGTCCGCCAATGAACCCGGCAGCTCTCGCGGCGCAACGAGCGATGGTCTCAACGACTTCGAGCCCCGAATCCCCCCAAGACTCTTTCAATCCAAGATTCCAGAAGCAAGGCGGCGGCAGCGCTCTCAGGAAGTTCTTTGGCAGGAAGAAAGAGCAGTCTGGGCGCCCGTCTGTGGAAGGCGCTCGAGTTGGTGCAGGGCTCGCTCCACCCTCCGAATCCACCTTTGGCCGCAAGCTGTCGCTCATGAGGAAGAAGCCCACCACGACGGCAGCGCTGCCGGTGCAGCCCTCCAAGCCGTCCCCGATGGAAACCATGCATCCCAACGCCTCCGAGCTGGAGGCAGAACCCGTCGCCATCCCACCTCACACCTCCGCCTCCTACCCCAACTCCGACTCGAACGTCTCCCAAGCCGACTCCGTCCAAGACGCAAACCCAGAACACGAATTCGCCCGCTTCGACCAAGGCCCCACGGACACGCCCTTGCACTCCCACCCCGTCGCTTCCGCCCCAGGCATCATCGCGGCCCCACAAGCCCAGCGCCAATTCAACGTCAACGAGCACCTCGCCACCAAAGCCAACGAGCACGACCGCCTGGTGCAATATGGACAACACGGCGACGACGGCGACGACGACGAGCACGACGATTTGCAATCCGAGGCTACGATGGAGGAGCACCAGGCGAATGCCGTCATCGACTCCAAGGACCGGTGGGCGACGATCCGCGAGAATGCGGCGCGGCGCGCGGCGCAGCGTGCTTCGGAGGAGCGGAGCTCGCAGAGTCGACCTAGTGCCGGTGCAAGGACGGAGGACGATGGGGAAACGAGTGGGGAGGAGAGTAAGTCTCACCAGCTATCCATTCTGTTGTTGTGGTATAGTGCTGACGGCTTTTAGCCATCGAGTCCCGCGTTGCGCGCATCAAGGCTCGAGTCGCGGAGCTCACGGGTGGGATGGACGGCTCCGTCGCCCGTCGAGAAGTTGGGCCGCGGGGAATCTAGCTGCCCGTTGTGGAGGTGGGCATAAGACCAGAAGGACCACATGCGGTGTGTGCGGGCGTTTCAGCGCAGGGGGAACCAAACTTTCTCGCGGGCTTGCGGGTTCTTAACCTTTTCTTCCTTTGAAGCGTTTTGTGTGTCTGTGTTTTCGTTTGTTGAGATACCACTACTGTTTGTTGCAAGCCAGCAATCGCGCAAGCAAGCAAGAAAGCGAATCGCTTTGATTTCTTCGTTTTTATCTCGGGTATTGGGCGATGGGCTGGGTGGTTTATCTATAGAGCGGTTCTTACATTGCGTGCTCGTATCAAGTGAACTGTCTAGCATAAGGACGGAACACGGCTTCATACCGCCCGCCACACGCATGAAACAAAACTCCACCCTTACCCACCCCCCTAAAAAACCCGCTCCACAATCCCCGGCAACCCCTCAATCCCCTCCAACGCCCCCCTCGCCCCTCCCACCGCCTTCTCCCCAACTTGCACCCGCCCACGAACAAACTCGGCCGTGGCGTCGCCCGCTTCTCCCGCCGCGCGAGCCCACTCCTCGCCCCGCGGCGTTTGCGACCTCCCGGCTTCCACGAGGTGGCTCTCGTCTGCTAGACGTTGCATTAGGCGGGCTGTCTCTGCTTCTGCGAGCGCGAGGTGGCGGCGGGTGAGGGCCGTTTGGTGCGTGAGGTGGTGTTCTTTCTGTTTTGCTTTTGTGAGGGTGGGGAGGTGGGGGAGGATGATTTCGGGGGCTGATTGGGGGAGATGGGTTGGGTCTTTTTTCTGGGTGCTGGTTGGCGATTGGAGGAGGGTGGTTGTGTCTGATTCTGGTGGTGGAGTTGGAGGATTGTTGAGCAGGGCTGTTAGCCGTTTGCGGGCTTCGATGTATTTTGCGTACTGTCTTTCGATGTCGGCGGGCCTGGGGGTGGGATGGGGAGAGTTGTTTGTTGTGCTGTGCTCCATAGCTGGGGTGCTGGGCTCCGCGCTCGAGATTGTTGCTAGTTGGGTTTCCATCCATGTTGTCAGCGTGTGCAGGGCGGCTTGTAGTCCGGCGATTTGAGCGCGAGGTGAGAAGTCCGGTGTACGATCCAGCGCCGATGAAGCCATGTCCTTTCTGCGCTCGTCGGCTCTGTGCGTAGAGGAGATGAGTGCCTTCTTCAATTCTAGAATCTTTGCTTCCGCTTCTGAATCAGGTTGGCCGAAAGGTAGCTGAGCGCTGGGTGGGTTCGGTAGCTCGCCGATGTGCTTCTTCACCACGTCGTCCACAGAGCTAGTTGAGGACAAGTCCTCGCCCGTAGCATGAATCTGCAGATAAGCGCTTTCGACTGCCTTGAGCTTCCGCTGCTTCTCCTTCTGCCGCAACAGTGGGATGTAAGTCTCATTCACCGAAGCTGCCGATCGAGCGTCTGCGCCAGTGACGTCCGAGGATCTCCGATGCTTGAGTTGCTCGAGCTCGGCTCGAAGAGAGTCGCATTTGGATTGCGCTTGGGCGTGTGCTTGTAGAGCTTTCCAGTAGGCTTTGCGGACTCCGCTTAGGGATGGTGGAGGAGGGCCAGGGTCGGTTGTCAGTGGTTGGAGAAGAGCTGTTGCGTGCAGTGGAAGGCCGTCCGTTTGGAGTTGAGCTGCCAAGTAGTGTTGCAAATCGTTCCGGATTGCGGCTACTTCGTGTCTTGGTTTGATATATGGACGAAGTGCTTCGCCGACTTCTGGCACAGGACAGTCGTTCTCAGCCATGATGAGGAACGATTGCTCGTGTGATGGTTCAGTGCGAGTGTAGTCGCATTGTGTTGAAGTACAGACTCACAGGCAGCCGGGTCAATAGATGTAGCATTCGTCTCTTCGATCTAGTACACGTTAATTCTGGTCATATCATTCTCTGCATGTTTTTAACATGATCAGAAGGGAAGTGAAGTGCGGCGCGTAGTTGAAAGCGCTCAGCGCGAAGCAGACGTTCCCGCGAGTCATGTCGGATTCGAAACTCCAGACGCCGACTTCACCCCATGACTCGCGTTCGAAAATTCATCGCCTTCAGCGAAACACTACACCTCTCCGCCGACACTCTTCCGTTCATCTCTCGCATTCGCAGAGAGCCCTCACCTACGACCTCCAGACACTTCACCCCCACATAGCCAGCTCGCGGCCTTGCGAGCGCTCACCGTCGTCATGGCGAGCAACAAGAAAGATGACAACTTGGGGCAGTACAAGTATGCGGCCATGTCCAACTTGGTCCTCCAAGCCGATCGAAGATTTGTGACGCGCCGGGGAGATGAGAATACTGGCGATCCCGAATCGCTCGCCGGACGCATCAACTTGGGCGACATGGGCTCAAGAACGGCCAGAGAAGCGGCGCCAGTCAAGCCGGCCGCGCAAGAGCATGCGCGAAAGAGGCGGAAGACTGGACCCGTGCAGAACTCGCGCGCAGCCGGGGTGTTGAGTCAAGCAGACTTGAACATTGAAGGCTTACGATACAGGCCTCGAACAGTCGCTACGAAGGATGTCTACGATTTGATCTCTACAAACGTCGCGCAGAAGATGGGCGGCGATTATGGATTGGCTATCACCGCCTCTGCCACCGACTCCATCTTGGAGTACCTCAAGGACGACAGTCTAAAGGACTTTGACAAGAAGAAGGAGATTGACGACATTCTTGGGATCACGTTATCGAGCAAAGAGTTCAATCAACTCGTCAATCTAGGTAAGAAAATCACCGATTATGATGCACAGGATGAGGATGAGGAAATGGGCGATGAGGCTGGGGAAGGCGCGGATATCGATGAGCGACAAGGTGTCGCGGTGGACTTTGAGTCCGACGAAGATGACGAGGAGGGAGGGAGGACATTCGAGGTCAGAGATGGAGATGAAGAGTCAGAAGATGAGATTGCAATGGGCACGGAAGAGTTAGCCGGGGACGGTATAGCTCCACCACGAGAAGATGCAATTGGCGACGAGGACGAAGATGAAGATGATGGCATGGTTGTCGAGACCAAGCCGCGTCAATCGCAGAGGGAGGAGCATGATCCGAATGTTGTGCCCGCACACGAGATCGATGCCTTCTGGCTACAACGGCAGATCGGACATCTCTACGAAGATGCTCACATCCAGTCGGAGAAGACTCGAGAAGCAGAACAAATCATGTCCAGCACGGACGAGTCTGGGGAAGAGAAGCCCCTCCGAGAAGTCGAGAACGATCTCATGGAGCTGTTTGACTATGAACACCCTGAGATGGTCGGCAAGTTCACCAAGAACCGCGACAAGATTGTGTGGGTGACACGATGGCGTCGAGCTGCCGAGGACGAGGCTGCCCGAGTAGCCGTGGAGAAGGAAATGGTCAATGCAGGCCACGCCAGTATCCTGAAGGAACTGCGTGGGCGCGACGATGCACCCGCGAAAGGAGGTGCGCCAAAGTTGACTTTCAAAATCGATCCAATGGACGTGGATGCCTCTGCGCCAGAGGCGCCGGAAAAAGAAGCCAAGACTGGGTTGGTCGGTGGTCTGCAGCCTCGCAAAACCCTCAATCTGGACGATCTCAAATTCGACCAAGGCAATCACCTCATGACCAATCCAAATGTCAAGCTTCCTCCCGGTTCGACCAAACGCGCGTTCAAGGGCTACGAAGAAATCCATGTACCTGCGCCGAAACGTAAACTGGAGGCCGGCGAGAAACCGAACATGCTTACGTCGGAGCTCCCAGCCTGGGCCCAGCCCGGCTTTGGAAGTTCCAAGGAGCTGAACCGGATCCAGACCAAGTGTTACCCCTCGGCATTTGAAGACGACGGCAACATGCTCATTTGCGCCCCCACCGGATCGGGAAAGACGAATGTGGCGATGCTTACCATGCTGCGGGAGATCGGCAAGCATCGAAATCCCCAGACCGGCGAGATTGATCTGGATGCGTTCAAGATTATCTATATCGCACCACTGAAAGCGCTCGTGCAGGAACAAGTTGGGAACTTCGGGAAGCGTCTTGAGCCATATGGCATTCAGGTCTCCGAGCTTACGGGTGACAGACAGCTCACCAAGCAACAAATCGCTGAGACGCAAGTCATTGTCACAACACCGGAGAAGTGGGATGTGATTACTCGAAAAGCAACTGACACCAGCTACACCAACCTCGTTCGATTGATCTGCATTGATGAGATCCATCTTCTGCACGATGATCGAGGGCCGGTGCTAGAGAGCATCGTCAGCCGGACAATCCGACGGACAGAGCAGACTGGCGACCCTGTACGCATCGTCGGCCTGTCTGCCACTCTTCCAAACTACCGCGACGTCGCTACATTCCTCCGGGTCGATGTACAGACTGGACTCTTCCATTTTGACGGCTCGTTCCGCCCTTGCCCGCTCAAGCAGGAATTCATCGGAGTGACGGACAAGAAGGCTATCAAGCAGCTGAAGACGATGAACGATGTCTGCTACAACAAAGTGCTGGAGCAAGTTGGGCAGAACAGACAACAGATGCTGATCTTTGTGCACTCCCGCAAAGAGACTGCGAAGACGGCCAAGTTTATCCGCGACAAGGCACTGGAGATGGACACCATTGGTCAGGTGATGAGAGTTGACGCCGCGAGCAGAGAAATCTTGAGAAGTGAAGCGGAATCTGTGCAAAACACCGACCTCAAGGACGTGCTTCCGTATGGCTTCGGTATTCATCACGCAGGAATGAGCCGTGCCGATCGTACGTCGGTGGAGGAGCTCTTCGCGGATGGCGCGATTCAAGTCCTGGTATGTACTGCGACGTTGGCCTGGGGTGTGAACTTACCTGCACACACGGTCATCATCAAGGGCACTCAGGTCTACTCACCGGAGAAGGGCTCATGGGTGGAGCTCAGTCCTCAAGATGTGCTGCAGATGCTCGGCCGCGCCGGACGACCCCAATACGACACGTATGGCGAGGGCATTATCATCACCTCGCAGAGCGAGATGCAATATTACCTGTCGCTCATGAACCAACAGCTACCGATTGAGAGTCAACTTGTGAGCAAGCTCGCAGACAATCTCAATGCCGAGATCGTTCTTGGCAATGTCCGCAGCAGAGACGAAGGTGTTGAGTGGCTTGGCTATTCGTACCTCTTCGTTCGCATGCTCCGATCACCTGCACTGTACCAGGTCGGCGCCGACTATGACGAAGACAATACACTGGAGCAAAAGAGAGTCGATCTCATTCATTCTGCTGCCGTTGTTCTCGAAAAGTCGAGTCTGGTCAAATACGACAAGAAGACTGGTCGATTTCAATCGACTGACCTGGGCCGTGTCGCGAGTCACTACTACATCACCCACAACAGCATGCTGACTTACAACACGCACATCCAAGCATCCGTTTCGCCAATCGAGCTCTTCCGTGTGTTTGCCCTCAGTGATGAGTTCAAGTACATCCCGGTACGCCAGGATGAGAAGCTGGAGCTTGCCAAGTTGCTAGGCCGTGTCCCCATTCCTGTCAAGGAGACGATCGACGAGCCGCAGTGCAAGATCAACGTCTTGCTACAAGCTTACATTAGCCGACTCAAGCTGGACGGCCTCGCTCTCATGGCCGACATGGTCTACGTTACGCAATCAGCTGGACGAATCTTGAGAGCCATCTTCGAAATTGCTCTCAAGAAAGGCTGGGCTGGGGTGGCCAAGGACTCGCTGGACCTTTGCAAGACTGCAGAGCACCGCATGTGGCCAACGATGACGCCCCTGCGACAATTTCCCGAATGTAGTGCGGAGATCATCAAGAAGGCCGAACGAATTGACGTGCCCTGGAGCAGCTACTTTGACCTGGACCCTCCCCGCATGGGCGAGCTTCTCGGTATGCAGAGGCAGGGCCGACAAGTCTGTGGCATGGTCGCAAAGTTCCCCCGTCTGGATATCAGTGCTCAGGTGCAGCCAATCACCAGGAGCATGCTCCGGGTGGAGCTGACACTCACACCGAAGTTCGAGTGGGATGATCATCTTCATGGCAAAGCCCTGGGTTGGTGGATCCTTGTGGAAGATTGCGATGGCGAGGACATCCTGTTCCACGATCAATTCCTTCTTCGAAAGGAGTACGCGGTGGCGGAAACGAACGAGCACGTCGTGGAATTCAGCGTGCCCATTACCGAGCCCATGCCGCCAAACTACTTCATCACTGTCGTTAGCGATCGCTGGATGCACGCAGAGAGCAAGCTGGCTCTTTCCTTCCAGAAGCTTGCACTGCCAGAGAAGTTCCCGCCGCACACGCCCGTCCTGGATCTGCAGCCCCTACCCGTTGCAGCATTGAAGGTCCCGGAGTACGAAGCGCTCTACCCAGACTTCCGGCAGTTCAATAAGATCGAGACGCAGACGTTCAACGCGCTATTCACATCTGATGATAACGTGTTCATTGGCTGTGCGACGGGCAGTGGAAAGACGCTTTGCGCGGAGTTTGCTATCCTCAGACATTGGAAGAGTCAAGATAGTGGCAAGGCAGTCTACCTCGCACCGTTCCAGGAGCAGATCGACGCCCGATACAAGATCTGGAAGACCAGACTTGCTGGACTGGCGGGTGGCAAGGAGATTGTCAAGCTTGCTGGAGAAACGACAGCAGATCTGAAACTCCTCGAACAGGGTGACCTGATCCTTGCTACTCCTTCGCAATGGGACATGATGTCGCGACAGTGGCAGCGCCGCAAGAACGTGCAGAACACCAAACTGATCGTCGCTGATGATCTGCACATGCTTGGTGGTCACGGCGGCTATGTGTACGAAGCAATTATCTCGCGCTCGCAAGCCATTGCGGTCCAGCTGGAGAATGGGTTACGAATCGTCGGTCTCAGCGTCTCACTGTCGAATGCTCGAGATATTGGCGAGTGGATCGGCGCGAGCAAGCACACCATCTACAACTTCAGCCCCAATGTCCGGCCGATCCCGCTGAATCTGCACCTGCAGACGTTCAACATCCCCCATTTCCCATCCTTGATGCTGGCAATGACCAAGCCTGCATATCAATCCATCTTGCAATATGCGCGGGAGAAGCCTGCCATGGTTTTTGTCCCCAGCCGCAAACAAGTGCGAGCAACAGCGCAAGATATGCTAGCGGCCTGCATCGCGGACGACGAGGAAGACCGCTTCTTGCAAACCGATGCTGAACAGCTCTCTCCAATCCTCGAGCGTGTCAAGGAGAAGGCACTGGCGCAGTCGCTGTCTCATGGCATCGCTTACTTTCATGAAGCTTTGGTGGAGTCCGACAAGCGGATTGTCGAGAGTCTCTTCACTCAAGGTGCAGTCCAGGTGATGCTTGTGTCCCGCGATTGCTGTTGGGAAGTGCAGAGCACAGCGCATCTCGTTGTGGTCATGGGCACGCAATACTTCGACGGCCGTGAGCATCGCTACATCGATTACCCGGTCAGCGAGGTCTTGCAGATGTTCGGCAGGGCTGGAAGACCCCGCCAGGACGAGGATTGCCGTGGTGTACTCATGTGCCCCGACACCAAACGCAACTACTACCGCAAGTTCCTTAGTGAGGCCTTGCCCATCGAAAGTCAACTGCAATCCTACATGCACGATGCATTCGTCACCGAGATCAGCACCAAGACTATCGAATCAACGCAGGATGCGGTGGACTGGACGACGTACACGTACTTCTACCGACGCCTCCTGGCTAATCCCAGCTTCTACGGCCTCACGGATACCTCTCACGAGGGTCTGTCGGCGTACTTGTCCGAGCAAGTCGAACAGACGTTGAAGGACCTCTCGGATGCAAAAATCATCGAGCTGGACGAGGAAGAGGACACCATCACTCCCCTCAACGCCGCCATGATCGCCGCCTACTACAACATCTCCTTCATCACCATGCAGACCCTCCTCCTGTCCCTCAAGCGCGGCACCAAACTCAAAGGCATCCTTGAAATCGTCACCGCCGCCACCGAATTCGAAGACATCCAAATCCGGCGGCACGAAGAGCGCGTGCTGCAACGCATCTACGACCGCATCCCCGCCAAACTGCCCGAAGTCAACTTCGAGTCCCCGCACTTCAAGGCCTTCGTCCTCCTCCAGGCCCACTTCTCCCGCATGCAGCTCCCCACCGACCTCGCCAAAGACCAGGAAACCATTCTGCGCAAGGTGCTCAACCTCCTCTCCGCTTGTGTTGACGTCCTCTCCTCCGAAGGCCACCTGAACGCCATGAGCGCCATGGAGATCAGCCAGATGGTCGTGCAGGCCATGTGGGACCGCGACTCGCCGCTCAAGCAGATTCCGCATTTCGGCGACGACGCTGTCGCTGCGTGCCATGCGGCGGGCGTCAAGGACGTCTTTGAATTCATGGAAGCCATGGATCCCAGCGAGAACGCGAATTACAACAAGCTGGTGCAAGGGATGGGACTGAGCAATGCGCAGCTCGGCGACGCCGCGCGCTTCACCAACGAACGATATCCCAACGTCGAGCTGGAGTTTGAACTCGAGGAGCCAGACGAGGTCGTGGCGGGCGCGCCCAGCTACGTCTCCGTGCGCATCGAGCGTGAAGTAGAGGAAGACGAGGAGCCGAATCTGACGGTCCACGCGCCCTTTTACCCGGCGGAGAAGACGGAGAATTGGTGGTTGGTGGTTGGAGAGGAGAAGACGAAAACGCTGCTCGCCATCAAGCGGGTGACGATTGCGCGGGCGTTGAAGACGCGCTTGGAAATTGTCGTGCCGACGGCGGGGAAGCATGAGTTGACGCTGTTCTTGATGAGTGATTCGTATGTTGGCGTGGATCAGGCGCCGACGTTTGAGGTTGTGGCTGCGGAGGGGATGGATGAGGATGAGGAGGACGAAGAGGAGGAGGAGTAAGGAGGGAAGGAGTTTTACGTGTGTGCTGGGATAGCGGCGATGGATCATGCCGTAACACAGGCACGAAAAGGAGTGGGTATCTTTGAATTAGAAGAGAGTACTTTTGCCCCCTCCCTCATCTTCCCTTCTTCGACTTTTTGAACTTGCCCTCTCCCTGTTGCAGTTCTTTGTGCGCCTCCGCCACCGCCTCGCCCGCCTTCCTCTTCGCCGCGTCGCGAGACGCACTGCTCTTCACACTCACCGTCTTGCTCCTCCCCACTCCATTGCTCTTCTTGCCCGCTTCCCGGATCTGCCTCTCGGCATCCTCCCACTGCGCATCGTCGCCATCGCCCATCGCATACCGCTCCAATGGCAGCGCATCAATCATCTCCCGCAACCGCTTCTTCTCCGCCTCGTCCACCTCCGCACCCCCCTCGGCCAATTCGTCTTCTAAGTCCTTCCCAACCGTCTCGAGATCTACACCGTTCGCTTCTTCTTCCCCGTCAATGCCTGACCGTCCGCTCTCCACGGCTGGCATACCCTTGGCAATCGCGCCCTCCTGCAGCTGTCGGAAATGCATGCTAATCTTGCGCATGACTTTGACGAACATCGCGAGCAACTGACTAGTCCCCAGTCCCAACTCCTTTTCCAGATCTTCGAGAACCTTTCTCTGCAAGCCGATAGCGCAGAGCAGCGCTTGCTGCACGCCTGACAACCGGATGCCATGCTCGTTGCGGATGCGGCCGGTGAAGTACAACTGCGCGATGGTGGGCATGAGGTCGAGGATGACGTGGTAGTCGAGCATGTTGTTCGCGTAGGAATCAAGGCGCTTGAGATCAAAAGGCGTGAACAGGGCATCGAGCGCGGCTTTGTCAAGCGGTGTGCTCTTCTCCCCGTCTTCGAGCAGGTCGATACCCATATGCGCCGACTCGTCGAGTGCGAGCGCCTGCACGCTGCCAAACGCGCGGAACTGGTAGCTGAGAAGCGACAGGAAGCGGCGGTGGAAGTCCTTGGCGTACGCGCCTAGCCACCCAGGGTCGGAGGCGCCCGTTTCGAGCGTGCGCAGCATGACGCACGTGTGCTCGCCCGTCAGGTCGTTGGCCGTTTGGCGCAGGTAGACGGGCACGAAGCCGCCGCGCTTCCAGAATTTGTGCAAGGGCTGGGTGAGGCCGTAGGAGACGCCGAGGTAATCTAGCGCCGCCGGGCGGCGTTCGGGCAGGCGTGCGAAGAGAGGTGGCATGGCGCGGATGTCGCGCACTTTGACGTTGTCGGTCATGAGCGTGCTTTGCTCTAGGTCTTCGTCTGTGACGCGTACCATTTCCTGCTCGTGCGTGGCGGCCAGGTCGTCTGTTTCTGACAGGTTGATGTGCTTGCCTTCGTAGAACTCCGTCAACAGCTGCAGTGCTCGCGATCCGTATCCCATGTTGGCGTAGTCGGGGTTGGTCGCGATGCGCACGACTCTCGCTCCGCTAAGGCCAGCAAAATCCGAGTCTTGGAATTGCTGGCTCACGAGCCAGGGGATCAAATCACCACCAGCTCTCTGTCCCCTGGACAGGCTGTTGAGTACACTCTCTCGACTGATCTGGCCCTCGAGCGCGACCTGCAGCACGCACAGGATTTCGGGGAGAGCGTTGGCGTTGTCCTGAATGGGCGGCACCAGAACGAATAATTGATGCGCCGGCGCATCAGACATGAGCTGGAGGTCATTCGGACTGTTTTTGTAATGCGACGCGACGTACAGCGCCATCATCGACTGCAAGAACTTTTCGCTGACTTTGTGGAAGGAGAAGAGGGTGTCGCGATTGACTTGGAGGAGCTCACACTGTGAGGGGTGTGGCGTTCCGTGGATGTTAGTGGCACGCGGGAGGGTGGCGTCTAGGCAGAGGAGGCGATTTAGCCAGCGCTCAACGTCGTCACCTTGCGCATATCGGATGGGTTCGGAGAGGGTGATTTCTCGGAGCGAGCGGGAAGATGAAATGTTAGAAGCGCCGTCGGCTGATTTGGAGTTGGGGTTCCGATCGGCGAGCGTCTCGTCTCTCTTGAGTTTCGACACGCCTCTTGATTCCTCCCGCAACTGCTGAATGAGCTTGAGTGATAGTGATCGACCAGTTCCTTCGTAGCCATTGATGGTTGATGCCATGAAGACCAAGTATGGTCCCATCAGCTTTCGGACGAGGGGCAAAGGGATCGCTGCCGCTTCATCAATGACGAGGAGCTCCGCCTGGCCCAGAGCGTATGCGTCCTGCGGTTGGATGTATTGGATGGTCTGACGGTGCTGTCGATGGACGTTGACTCGAACGATGGCTTTGTTGAAGTCGGGATTCGTGGATTGGACGATGGTGTAGTCGGTGTGATCGAGGTAGTCAAGGGCGTCGAAGCCCTTGAAGACGAACTCGAACAGCGTCTTCAAGTTCTCTGGCGACGGAGAGGTGATGAAAATATTGCTGTAGCCAAACGCAATCGCCGCCGCGATTGCCACGCCCAACGCTGCTGATTTGCCGCGTCCTCGAGCTGCAGTCAAAGTCACGGTGCTGGAGAGCGTCTTCTCCTTGATCGCCTCGACGAATGTGAGCAACGCTTTGGCCTGATCGACGGTTCGCGCGAGCTTGACGAGAGGTCCAATCGGTTGCGTATCAACGAAGCTCTCTTTGACTTGTTCCAGCTCTTTCCGCGCGGCAGCCACCTCGCCCGCATCATCTTGCAGACTCTTCTCCACCACGTTCTTCCCGCCGGAGATGGGGAGAACATTCATCTCGTCGTCCACAACCAGACATGATTCGCAACTGCCCAGTGACAGGATGAAGCGTTCGTTGAATCGTGCCACAACATCATCATGCGCCTCGGTGCGGTATCTCGAATGAATGTCCATGGAGAGGGTGTAGAGCTGCTTCAAGCTACTCATCCCTTTGAGCAAGAGCAGCACCACGCCGCCTCCCTCGACAGTCTCAATCGTCCTCGCCAATAGATTGGGCGTAATGGCCTCGAAGTCCTGCAAAATGCACATCCCATACGTATTGCCCAAGATCCGATCCGTCTCCTTGTAGTACACATACCGAATGTTCTGCGTGCTGATGAACAGCTCAAACGGGTCGTCGGTGTCGGCATCGCGAATGCCCCGCTTGATCTCCTTCTTGATCTTCTTCTCGCGCTTCTTGCGGTGGCTCGTGAAGCCGAGCAGCTTGTTCTTGTACGCCCACAGCACGCTCTTGTTGAGCTTGATGTCGAGGTTGAGCAGGATGTGGTAGAGGTTGACGATGACGTCTTTTTGCCGGTCGCCGACGACGACGAAGAAGCTGCGCTTCTTCTCGCGCATGCCATTGCGCAGGAGGGTGGGAATGCGCGCGTCGATGGCTTTCTTCGGCATGCTGGGCGACTTGGGTCGTGCTGAAGATGGAAAGGGTTCGGAGTGCGGCCTATCGCCGAATTGGTGTTGCGGAGATTTCAGTCATCGGTAGCAGACGGATTAATAACGAGATCTGCGAAGTATTCCCAACGGTTGTGGTGTCCTGGACGTTTAACTGCTATGGTAATGGCGCAGAGTATGCCGTAGACTTTTCTTGAGGTGAACCCTCAAAAAAGTTTGCCCCACTTGGCTCCAGCGCAACGGGCTGCGGGACGTGCATGGGAGCTTGGGAGCCTTGTCTGCCTTACCGCCACCGCTTGTCATGAAGAAAAGAAGAGGAAGATGAGCGCTTGATATGTTATCATTATTGTTAATTTCTTGTGAGCACTCAGTAGTAACTAGACACTATGTCTTCTTCTCACCCAATGCTCCTGCCTATGGCCCACGCACAAACGTGCCGTTCGCTCAAATATGCGCGCTTTTTTCCCAATCAACACCTTCGCTCGGAGCAAAAGCATGCCGTCGTGTCATCATGATCAATAAATGCACCCATGATGATTCTCCCATCACAGAATTTCCGCTCAATGCAAAAACGCTCAGAATCGGTTTCGTGGCGGGACCGCTCACAATTGAACCCAGTGCCTCGTGACAGCCGTAAAGTAGTCCTCCTCGCTAATCGCATCCCAATACCCTTCCTCCTTCTCGTACACCCCGCTCGTCCCATATGGTCCCTTGGTGCTGGCCTGCTTGTGCAGGGGCCAGTTGCCGTTGGACGAAATCTCCGCCAGCGCGAAGTCGCCATGCACCAGTCGCTGCTCGGGGTAGAAGATGCAGCCGGCAAAGAAGATCTCGATGCTCAGCTTGTGGCCCATGCGTCTGCGTGCAGCGACGAGGGCACGAGCGGCGTCAAACGTCTTGCGCAGGTGCTCGACGCGCGTGTGCGCGCCCGTGTCGGCGCTGCAGTTGCAGATGTCGACGGTGCGGATTTGGCAGTCACCTTGCCAGCGCACTTCGTGGTTGGCGAACAGGTCGGCGCACATGTACGGCACGCTCATGGAGAGGTCGCGCATGCGCGGTAGGCTGGCGATCAGCTCGCAGACGTGCTCGTCGATGTGGCCGGGGTAGGGGTGGTAGAAGCCGTCGTCGGAGCGAGGCGAGTGCTCCAAGACTTGGAGGGTCTGGCTGGAAGCCTTGACAATCGACAGCATGCCGGCCACGGAGATGGTCGACAGGTTGGTGAGATCGAGGCACTCCAGGTTTGTTGCCGTGCGCGCAATCAGCTGCAAATCTTCGTCGCCGATGGGCTTGTGGAGGGTGTTGCCGAAAAACTTGAGGCGCTTGAGAGCGCTGAAGTCGACTCGCGGGTCCATAACGGGGTTGGGCGTGTCGTCCGCCTCCAGGGCTTTGGCGTGGTCTGCAGGCAGAGCGACCGCGGTAATCTCGAGAGAGTGAAGTGGCTTTCCAACGCCGGTGTTGACGTTCAACAGGTCGACCCAGTCGTCGGCGCTGCCTCTCCGCAACACTGTCCACGGGACGCTGAGGAAGGACAGTTCCGGGCAGCTCGCGATCACCGACAAAATCAGCTTGTCGGACTGCGCAACGTAGAATCCGTTAAACCATAGTCGGCGCACGTGATTCGCAGCAGAAGGAATGGCGGAGAAGAGGCGATCGGTGTGCTTGAGCGAGCCGTACGGGTCACGGTAGAGCGCCACACCGTTTGGCCGGGTGTTGAGCTCGTAGAAGGAGTACTTCTGGCGTTGCATGGTCAGGTCGGCCCATCGCTCGGCGCCCTTCCATCGCTGCTCAAAGACGTGCTCGAAGTTGTACGACGCGGCCCAGTCATGCCATGCGGAGCAGACGGAGCGGATGGACCTGGTGGCATCCCATCGCAGGGCCTCTGCCGTCACCGGACCGCGGACATACTTGGTGAGTTTGGCCTTGACCAGCGGCAGTGGCGCCTGGGAGAGGCCGTAGGTGAAGGTTTCGTTTTCCGCCTCGTTCGCCTTGGTAGCGAGGTAGAGGATGTTGGAGAGAAGTTCGCTTGGAAGGTCGTTGATCTGCATTCCTAGGTGTGTCGTGTTGTGTGTAGGTAGCGTGGTGGTGTGTTGGGTCAGAAGAGAGCAGGGTGGCGATGGTGTTGATGATGAAGTAGTCAAAGAAGAAAGGTATCACAAGACTGGGAAGGGTTTTTTTCTTTGTCAACAACTCGGAACCTACTAGATTCGTGCCTTCCTGGGGTAAGGGACGGGTCATATATATAAACCCGAACATTCGGGTGCTTGACTAATTGCACAAGGCTTGGGCGAGATCACGCTGCCCTGACCACGAGGACAGATTTTTCATCCGCAGCCGCGGACTCGGCCGCCACGCAACCACGAATCAAGCGAGGGGAAATTAGTCAAGGAATTTTTTTCTCCTCTGCGCACCTGCGCGCCTGGACGCAGCCACGGGGGCGCTGGTGGTCGCACGTTCGTTGACGAGTGCAACGCTGGCCAGTTTTCTGGGGGTAATAAAATCCTGAAGCAGAATTTCCTGGGGGTAATGGTTTGCGGTGTGTGGCGAATAGGAAGCATCGGCATCTCGGCGTGCCGGTCTCGTGACCCGCGTGTCGGCTGCAATTAGCACATCCTCGCAGTTCGACGCGCCGGCAGGGCCGCGGCAAGCCGAGCTTCCAGCCTTTTCTCTTGCGGCCGCTTCGGAGCCGGGCGACAACCACACCCCTTGACCCCGTCCTTTGTCCGCTTCGGGCGAGTGTCGGGAGACGTGTAAACAAGAGTATACGCTGTATAAGACGTGTGCATTGCAAACATGTGTCGGACGTTCGGGCGCCGGTGTTACACAGCCTCCCGCATTCCTGTAAACGTACCTATTACTCAATCTCACGAGGAATCGCTGGCAGCCCCGCTTCAGACATCAACACGTGGACACGTTGGTGCGCCATGATGGTCCTGCGAGTATGTAATCGAAACTCCCCCAGACTCCGCAGTCTGGGCGAGCCACCTGCCTATCACCCATAGCGCCATGCAACCCTTCCCCGTCCCTACTCATCAAATCCTTCCTTCCCCTCGCTTACCCCACAATCTCCTCAGAATGCTGCCGCCGCTGGAACTCCTCCGCGCCAATCCATTCATGCACCAAGGACAAGATCGTCATCTCACGCTCCACCTCCCTTCTTTCCCTTCGTGTTCTTCTTGGCCCCTGCTCCGCCTTGGTCCTGTGCTGGTCCCCCGCTTTCCACCAGCACAGCGTCGTCGTCGCTGCCGCCCGTCTTCTTCTGCCCAGTCTCGGAAGCCTTGCCATCCGTATCCAGGTCTTGCAGCAACTCCGCCTGCATCCCCGCTCGTCTGCCCTCCCACCATGTCTTGTCTGCCGCCAGTTTTTCTTGGATGTCGGCGATCGACTTCCTCAGCAGATCGTTCTGATGCATCTCATTGGCAGACTGGAAGATGGTCTGCCCCCAATTCGGTGCAAATGCATTCGCCTGTGGTGTGGGTTAGCACTGCATCGCTTGGTCAACTGTTGGTACGCTCGTTTGCAACATACCTCGTTCACGACATCCTTCACTTCCTCTTCCATCTCCTTCTCCGCCCGCAGAAGACGCTGCCATAGTTCATCGCCCACCGATCCTCTCTGCAACAGGTTTTGTAGCGCAGGCTTGGATGTCCGTAGCTGCATGATCCTCTGAATGTCTTCCAGCGCCCTTCGCATCAATGCCGCCTTCAACACCGAGTCCGGCACTTTGCTTAGCTTCTTCTCTCCATCCGCGCCTTCGCTCGCTTCTGACGGATCGAGATGTAGCAGGCTGAGGTAGACGTCGCGTGCCTGATGTGGAGGGAACCAGCTTTCGAGTTTCGCGGCTTTGTTGACCTGTCGTTTGCGGTAGAGCGTAGAGAAGGTGTAGAGACTGCCGATGAGGATGGTGAGGTAGAGGATGGGAAGGGTGAGGTTCGTCCAGAAGCTCTTCGGCGGCTGCTGGGCTTGCCAGTTTTCGTAGGTGCTGTTGGAAGAGGAGGAGTTGGTGGAGTTGGTGGAATTGTCCATGGTGTTCGTCTAGCCCTCGCGTGCGGCGGCTGAAAACCAGCTCTGGAATAGACGTCGGTTATGGTGATGGCATGCTTCAGTTCAGCGAAGGATGGTGTTTGGCTGTGAATGTTGGAAACCCCCTTCGCTGTGCGCGTCTCGTCGCTTGTTAACACTTGTATTCCCAAAAAGTCGTCCCGGACCCTGCAGCTCGGAACGCGGGCCGAGCCACTCACTACCTTACATCATCCACCAAACTTCACGTTAGCTCATCGGCTTGCATAATACGAGAGCTGCCTGTGAATTCCGCACTTGCACATCGAAGAGGATAGAGCGAGGCGGAAAGCGACGCGTGTGAAGATGCCATCTCTTCTACAGTCATCTCTATGACACTGCTGTTGACACCTCTCTCACCACTCCTCTCTCGCCGGCTTTCTCCCATCCCCTCCATCTATCCGCCACTCACGCCGACATCGCCAGTATGATCCTTCGATTCCAGAGCCGCGAAGGCACATTCCGCCTCGAAGTGCAGAGCACCACCGACATCTCCACCGTCCTCCCCGACATCCTCGAGAAGCTCCCGAAAGATGTAGTCCCATCCACCGTCACCATCAGTCCGAAACCGCAGAGCACCGAGTCACGGGCGATCCAGTCGCTTCGCGGCGTCACCTTTGCCCGACTGGGCCTCACCCACGGCTCGCAAATCTTCCTCGACTACAAGCAAGAACAGCCCACCGCCAACGGCCACTCTGTACCAGCGAACCGACTGAGTGGGAAAGATGTTGCTCCCGAAGAAGACATCTCCAGCATAGCCATCCCTTCGGCACAGGCTCAGCAGCTCGTCAAGAATCCATGGGAAAAGGTCAAACAGTCGGAGCTGGACGATCGGTTAGACAAGCAGGATGGCAAGACTCACAGGAAACGAGACGAGAAGCTGTGCAAACACGGACAGATGGGCATGTGCGACTACTGCATGCCGCTCGAGCCCTACAACAAGGAATACCTGAGCGAGAGGAAGATCAAGCACTTGTCATACCACTCCTATCTCCGGAAACTGAACCAGGGCAAGAACAAGTACGAGTCGGGAAGCTCGTACATGCCTCCCTTGGCCGAACCCTACTACCGCGTCAGACCTGACTGTCCTTCCGGTCACCCACCCTTCCCCAAAGGCATTTGCACCAAGTGCCAGCCCTCCGCAATCACCCTCCAGCCGCAGGAGTTCCGCATGGTGGACCATGTGGAGTTTGCCGATCCGCAGATTGTGGATTCCTTCCTGAACTTCTGGAGGCGTTCCGGTGGCGCTCAGCGAATTGGCTTCTTGTATGGCCACTACGAACAATACGAAGAGGTCCCACTGGGCACCAAAGCGGTCGTGGAAGCCATATACGAGCCGCCACAACTAGACGAGATCGACGGTGTCACATTAGGCGAGTGGGAGAATGAAAACTCCATCGATGAGCTAGCATCGTTGTGTGGACTGCAAAGAGTGGGCGTGATCTTCACCGATCTCTTGCGCCCCGAAGATGACAGCCAAGGGAATGCGGTATGCAAGAGACACATCGACTCCTTCCTCCTATCCTCTTTGGAGATCATGTTCGCCTCGCGATACCAAGCAAAATACCCCCGACCCAGCAAGTGGAGCGAGACGGGACAGTTCGGCAGCAACTTTGTCACGTGCGTGGTCAGCGGAGATGCAGACGGCAACATCGGCATATCCGCATATCAAGCAACGAACGCTGCCGTGGAGATGGTCCGCGCCGACATCGTCGAAGCCTCCGCCGAGCCGAGTGTGATGCTTGTGCAGGATGAGGACGAAGAAAACGAGCTGGGTCGCGTGCGATACATTCCCGAAGTCTTCTACCGCCGCATCAACGAATACGGCGCGAACGTGCAAGAGAACGCGAAGCCCAGCTTCCCCGTGGAATACTTGCTCGTGACGCTCACTCACGGCTTCCCCAACGAGGCAGTACCGCAATTTGTGAAGAACGCTTTCGCGATAGAGAACAGAGAAGCAATCGGCGAGGCACAAGAACCACGAGATCTCCAGACGCAGCTGCGAGCGGGCAGCAACCGAGTGGCGCTGGACACCGCGCAGGGCGTGCTCGCCGTCTCCGACTTTCACCTGCTATGCTTCATTCGCGGACTCGGTGTGCTGAGCAAGGTAAGACATCTCCCTCCTACCCATTTTCCCAAACAAAAACTGACCCCATCGCACCTCTCACAGGACGAAGAACAACTCCTCTGCCACATCGCCGTAAGCCACGACGCCGCCATGGGCGCGACGCTCATGCACACCCCAGGTTGGGCCACTCTCGAGACCATCCTGCAGATGTAACCTTGTCTTCCATCTTTTCCCTTCTCTCCTCCGCGAAAAGGAACGCGAGAAGGGAGAGGGGGAGGGGAAAGGGGTTGCACTTCTGCCTCAAGGAACGCTGATCTTCTGACTTGTGCTTTTCTTCGCTTCTAGGCTGGCTGTCGCTGCTTGCGATTCTGGATGAACTCCGCGCTCGCCCGGTTAAGAGGGGCAGTGACTGGGCTGTTACGAAGGCGTTGAAGAAGGTGGATTTGGGCAAGCGATGAGAGATGAAGGAGGATGGGGTGTGATTGCTACATGGCTACCCGTTGTGAAATGGGTGGGAGCGTTGCTGAAGTGCTTGCTATGAGGAGCTGAGATGGGCATCATGGGTCGTGAGGAGCGAAGGAGAGCAGTGATAGACTCCTAGCTCCGTGGCCCTCTCGCAGCATCAGATGATAGACGTACTTAATCTGCACCACTCCGTTTCCACGGCTGGCTTCTCGTTCAGGCCTCGCGCGGGCAGTACTTTCCGCTTTCGGAAACGTGCACGGACCATTCGTCGATGGATGGGATGACGCACCGCAACACTGGGCGAACACCGTGATCACAAAGACACGACATACCTACCACCAACATCTTCAAGTCCACCCAGTGTATACGATGAAGCGCACAGCATTTGTCGCCCTCGCCGCCCTCGCCCTCACCTCCTCCGCCCAGCTCATCCCCTTCTTCACCGACCGCAAACAGCCGGCAGCACCAGGCGCCCGCACACCCGACCGCCTGAATCAAAAGCCCATGGCAGGCAATCAACTAAACAACCCAGGAATTCAACTCCCGCCCTCGAACACAGACAACGACAACCCCAGCTCCGGCCCCCCCACGGGCGACGTAATCCTCAGCGACGTCCTCGGCACGCAGCCCTCCATCCAAATCTTCGCCGGCTTCACCCTCGACATCCCCTCCGTGTCTTCCCGCCTCAACAACGGGAATCAAAACACGACGGTGCTCGCGCCGCTGAATCGCGCAATCACATCCCTCCCTCGCAAACCGTGGGAGGATGCGAGAGAGTACGCTGCGCTAGGAGCTGAAGCGTATTCTGGTTCGGAAGGCGAGGACCGCGCGCAGAGGAATCTGAGGCGCTTTGCTGAGGCGCATATTGTGCCTGTGTCGCCTTGGAAGGAGGGGGAGAAGGTGCAGAGTTTGGGCGGGGGGACGGTGTGGTGGGAGAAGAGGGATGGGAAGACGCTTGTTATGCCGGGGAGTGTGGAGGTTGAAGGGGTGGTGAGTCGGGTTGCGAATGGAGAGGTTTGGGTTGTGAAGGAGGTGGTGAATTATACTTGATTCTTTGCTTGCTTGGTCTATGATGGATTGGGACTTGTTATTCCTGCAAGTTGGGGTTTGGTGCACGGCGGACAATTGATGTTGACATGGGACTATGACATGAAGCCACACTATGCTTGCAGTGACCGATTGCGAAAGGAGGGTGAGGCTCATCAACGTGAGCAGTGACGTCGAAGTGCAAAGGGCGTCTGCATGAGATGCAGTAACCACGCTTCGCAAGATACAAGTTACATAACGAGAGACGCTCATAGCTCATCCCTCCCCTGATCCTGCTGCCTCTCCCGCTGCTTCGCATCCTCCACATCCGCCTCAAACATCTTCTTCCGCGGGTTTGGTGGCTCGCTTTCCCTTTCCTGCAAGACGGTGCCGTCTCCCCGCTTGACTTCCTTCTTCTCTCCCCCTTCTTGCTGCTTTTGCCGCTCCTCAGCCATACGACCAATGCGTTCGCTCATCTCCCCATCGAGAACGTTCTCGCGTCCCTCCTTCGCCTGCGAGCCGCCAGCACCAACGGGAACCCCGCCACCTTGTCGTAGCTTTTCTGCCATACCTTCCTCAAAGCGCGGTATACTACCCTTTGCAGCGCTGGGTTGGACGATCAGTGGTGCTCTGGTCGATGATCTAGCGACCGTTCCCTGTGCTGCAGTAGTCCCCGTAGTGACAACGCCTGTCAGATACAAGAACCACCAGATCGGTTTCCACAGAATCCACCTGAAGAGGAAGATTGGTAGGCGAATGAACGGCCACAGTAAAATGCGGCGGAAGATCAACCAGACGAGGGTGGTGATGAGGATGTAGAAGGCGGTTTCCAAGTACCACGTATCGCTCTTTTGACTCCGGAGTAGAGTGCCTAGCAGTTCGCGGCTGTTCTTCAGCACCGAATCGAGACTGTCGTATTTCTCGCCTAGCTCGGCGAGAGCAGCGGTCGATTGGTCAAAGGTTTCTTGTGCAAAAAGCGATCGACTGAGCTCGGTGGAGAGGAGGTCGTGCGTGCGGCGGAGCGCAGTGGTGACGGAGGTGGAGGCGTCGACTTCTTGCTCTTCTTTCGTTCCTCTCTGCTTAGGCTGAGGAGTGCGGCGGCCGGCAAAGAGGTCGCCTGTTCTATTGCCGTTTGTCTGAGGTACAGGCTCCGGGTTGGAGAGGGTCGCGAGAACGAGTTCCCGCTCTTTCCTCTTGGCCGCTTCCGAGGCCTTCTTCGCGTTGAGCTGAGCGCGTCGGAAATGTGACCGTGAGCTACGGAGGTCTTCTTCGAGTTTGGTGGTGTGCGCGGTCAATCGGGTTCTCTCTCGCTCGCGGTCGTCAGTACTCTCGCGCCGCCGATATCCCCCGGTATGGCTGGTGGTGTTGAGATCCTCCGCTTCCTGCTTGAGAAGTTCTAGGTCTTCTTCCAATTGCTTCAAGCTATCGTGGATGTCTTGGGCGAGCTCGATGCGGACGCTGTGGGGATCGTCGAGGGACTCGGTGCCGGGGGAGAAGGGGAGTTTGGAGAGGCGGGTGATGAGGGTGTTGGTCGCTTTGAGGGAATCGCTGATTTGGGCGAGTTGGTCGATGAGCTGGGTGATGGTGCTCATTGCATCCTTGACTACCGAGACGACTAGACGCAGGCGCCTTTGTCGTTTGGATGTGCCGATGTATAGGCTAAGGAGAGACAAAGGGAGCTTGACCGTCTACACGCGCACAGGAAGTGGACAGGTCGCGGTGATCTCATCCATCAAATGCCTTAACCAAAAGCTGGTTAATAAACGTGGCGCCTTCCCATCGTGGCTTAGCGCGATGCATGGAGATTCAGGGACAGCCGCGCCAGTTGTCCAATTTCACAATTCCGCCAGACGACCACGAGACAAGCAATGCCAATGCCATCCAACCCCAGCGTACCAGACCCAATGCATCCCGAGCTACATCAGCAATAGCCAGTCTTTCTTCTATCACGATAGAGCGCGCACACCCTTCTCGCACCCGCAGCCCTTGCGCTGCCTTCCCCCCACCATGCCTGCAAAGAGTCGATTCCACCGGCTCGATGCCTTCACCAAAACCGTCGAGGATGCGCGCGTCCGAACCACCTCCGGCGGCACCCTGACCCTCCTCTCGCTCCTCCTCATCCTCTACCTCACCTGGTCCGAATGGGCGCAGTACCGCCGCGTGCTCATCCAGACCGAAATCGTCGTCGACAAGGGCCGAGACGAGAAGATGGAGATCCACATGAACATCTCTTTCCCCCGTGTGCCCTGCGAACTCCTGACGCTGGACGTCATGGATGTGTCGGGCGAGGTGCAGACCGGTGTCATGCATGGTGTGTCGAAGGTCAGGTTACGGCCGCACCAGGAGGGAGGGGGTGAAGTACCCGGAGCGTCGGCTCAGCAGCTCATGTTGAATGAAGAACGGGAGGCGCTGGAGCACCTGGATCCAAACTACTGTGGCGAGTGCTATGGAGCGCCGGCGCCAGAGAACGGGCTCAAGAAAGGGTGTTGCCAGACGTGCCAGGAAGTGCGGGATGCGTACGCTAGCATTTCGTGGTCTTTTGGGAGGGGAAACGGCGTGGAGCAATGCGAGAGAGAGCATTACGGCGAACACCTTGACGAGCAACGCGCCGAGGGATGTCGAATTGAAGGCAGCATTCGAGTCAACAAGGTGGTGGGCAACTTCCATTTCGCCCCCGGCAAGTCATTCTCGAACGGCAATTTGCATGTCCACGATTTGGACAACTACTTCACCGATGCCCGTGACTCTCCTGGCATCGTGCACACCTTCACGCACCAAATCCACACCCTCCGATTCGGGCCGGAACTGCCGGTGAACCTCGCCGAGCGAGTGGGAACGAACGGAGTGCAGTGGACGCAGAACCACATGAACCCCCTGGACGCCACCGAGCAAAAGACGGACGAGAAGGCATTCAATTACATGTACTTTGTCAAAGTGGTATCGACCACCTGGCTCCCGCTCGGATGGAAACCCACATGGACCGTCCTCGACATCCCGCACGAGCTGGTCAAACTGGGTGGCTACGGCGTTGGAGACAAGGGCAGCATTGACACGAATCAGTACTCCGTGACTGCTCATCACCGCGCCATCGGCGGTGGGTCTGCCGATGATCAGGGACATAAAGAGCGGTTACATGCTCGAGGTGGCATTCCGGGTGTCTTCTTCTCCTACGTACGTTTTTCCCCTTCCGCTTCTCCGTCATCGTCATCTGACATGCCTGCTAACCTTCTTCCACAACAGGACATCTCGCCCCTGAGAGTCATCAACCGCGAAGTCCGAGCCTATTCATTCTCGGGCTTCCTGGTGGGAGTGTGCGCGGTGATTGGAGGAACCTTGACGGTCGCTGCGGCATTGGATAGGTTGATGTTCGAGGGGCAGCTCAGAGTGAAGAAGTCGCATCATTCATAGCTGATTGTACGCTACGAACAGGCCGGAAACTGTCTTGCATTGCGTTGGGCGTCAAAGCGGGTGAGGGAAGGTGAATCAAAGCTTTTGCTCCGTTTGAAGTGAGAGTTTGACATGTGAACTTGTTGATGCGGTCGAGTGAACTGCGGAAGTGAGTCTGATCGCGTCACCATCGCACCGCGTGATCTTTTCCTTCGCCTGCTCCCTTTCAAATCCTCGCCACTATATCTTCTTCCACCTTCTGCTCTTCTCCAACAAAACCACCTACAACCACTCTGCTCCTCTCGCTCTCACTCAACCAAACACCCACCCATCCACCCACCACAACTACACAACCTACCAAACAACCACCACCCACAACCACCCACAATGTCGTACACAGCAGCCAAAGAGCTCGGCAACGAGACCGACATCCACCGCTTCGCCTGCTGCTTCCTCAACTCCGAGAACACGCAAGCCGTACGCATCTCCCCTCCCCCAAAACCCACACATCACTCAAGACAGCTAACCATTCCGTCACCACAGGTCAACTGGGACGCCGCAGCAGCGCAATACGACCCCAAAGTCAAGACCGCCTCGTTCAAAACCGTCACGTTGCGCGCTCTGAAGAAGGTCGAGGCGGCTGCTAAAGCGAACGGCGCGACTATCGGTAACGGGGCGGAGGTCAAGGAGAAGAAAGCCGCTGGTGGCGCCAAGGGGGCCAAGAAGCGCAAAGCCGCTGAAGTGCAGGAGGACGCTGATGAGGAGGCTGCTGCGGCCGAGACGACTGTCGCGAAGAAGGGGAAGAAGGGCGCTGCTGCTAAGCGTGGGGGGAAGAAGGGCGCCGCTGTTGTTGCTGCTGCTGATGTTGAGGAAGGCGACGGCGAGGATGGAGAGGCGGAGGGGGATGCTGGTCGTGAGGTGTCCGTCAAAGCTGAGGAGGAGGGTGAGGAGGGGGTGGAGGATGGGTCTAAGTAGGCTCGATCGCTCGATCGCTCGCTCGCTTTCGCTGCTTTCGGGGGATTACGGGGGTAGAGACTATGATGTGCTGATGGAGTTTCGGGGCGCATTGTTCCCGCTCGATTACATCCTGCCATTCATAGCAGGAGGAGGAATCAGGAAGGATAGCGATGACTTGATCAGAGAATCAGATTTTGAGTCTTCGGCTTGATCGCCTCTCGAAATAAAAAGGGTTGAGTTGAACGTTTTCCAGCTCGCTATGTTTCTATCATCGTCTAGTTGTGGTTCCAGCTCTTGGTGTCCACGTCAATCGGAAGATAGACCTCAGCAAGCGGCAGAGTGAGTGGAGGAGGTTTGCATTACGGCATTTTAGACGGCCAGTGTGGACGCATGCTCAGGCACACTTGCTGGTCCTCTGTCCCGCGAAACGTCCAGAGGCATATCGAGCTGCGCGACGTCCGCTGTCCGCTTCGCGCCAGTCATGGCCTGCGTCAAGGTTTTTGATTCCGCAGATCCGTTGGGCGTCTGCTCACTCTGTTGCGTTGTTGCCTTGTTGGCCTTCTTGCGCTCCGCTTTGGACATCTTCGGCTTCTCAAACGTGCCGATTTCGAGCCGGCGATCCACGTCCTGCGCCATCTCACCAAGATCCGCTTCGTACCCTAAAGCTTTAACCAACTCGCTGTAGCTCTTGGTAGCCGTCATCGCCTTGTACGCTGGTTGCTTGCCCGGGATCATCTGCCCGAGTAGATATTTCGTGTTGCCCCAGCGGTTCTCCACTTCCATGGCGGTCTTGACGTATTCCTTCACGACCTCTTCCCAAGGCGCTCGACCTCCTTCCGAGCTAGGGCGAAACACGGATGAGTTCGTTTCCGCTGCGGTGGCAATCATTGCACCGTCGACCCCGAACTCTTGAATCAGAGCCAAGGCTTCATCGCGGGACGTCACATCGCCGTTCATGAGACATGCCACGCCGGCCTCTCGACAGACGTCGGCGACCATCTTGAGCTGATCTCGAATCGCCTTCTCTCGTGGCCGCATGGGTGTTGTACGACAGTGAACAGTCAGTCCGGTGATCCCGGTTGCGCACAGTCTCCGGACAAGCGCTTCGGTGTCTTCGGCCTTGTCCAGGATGCGGATTTTGACGCTGATGCCTATTTCGTAGGGCTTGCCGACCTCCTGTACGAGAGCTTCGAGAATGGAACAAAGCTTGTCCGGAGTCTTGAGCAAAGCTGCGCCCATACCACCCAGAGTACTGAACGGTTTTGGACATCCAGCGTTCACGTCGATGCCGGCAACATCGGCGGCAATGAGTTTCGATGCCTGGACGGCAGTCTCCGGGTTGGACGTGCCAATCTGGTAGATCAGTCTGCGGCCTTCCCGTCCAGGGTGCAGACGATAGATGACGCTCTCCCTTTGTTCGGGGGCGATGGTAGGGTTCTTGGCACCGTTGGAAGAGAAACGAGTAAAGTCGAGGGTGTTTGTGAGAGCGTTCTCCCGTCTGACAGTGCCGATGAGAGCCCTGTCGATGGTTTCGGGGCCCCAGACCAGGTCGGCGCCATACTTCAGCGCCAACAGCCTGGACGGACATTCGCCCGATCGCACCATGGGAGCCAAGACAATTTTGCCGCGATAGTCGACGCCATTCTTGGGGATGGCGACGCGTGGCGTTCCGGAGCTCATCATGCGGCGTGATAGTGCTGTTCGCAGCATTCCACGCCACGAGCCATCCAAGGGTGCACAGAAAGGGTGGGCGAGGGATAAAATGAGTCGTAGCACCAATGAAATTAGGAAGTGTCGTTGACAGAAACCTCGAATTCTGACACGGAGCGATCGAACTTATTCGGAAGCTAAACTCTAATCTTGCCGATCGGCACCCGCCTTTCTCCCGACGACCACGTAGACACGAAGGGAGCGAGTGCGGAAAGAGATCAGTCCCCCCTTCACCGCGTCCGGCCAAAATAGGGACCAGCTATGTCGACGTGTGCTCGATGGCCTTGGCGGGTTCGAATGTGGGCATTTGGCGATTCGGATGACGTAGGCTTACTGCTGGGGCCGCCTGACGACGCTGGCGAAGAGGAAAAAGGAAACAGTATGCAAACGTGAAGTAAGCGGTCGCGATGATGCACATCCAATTGCCCCGATGACCTGTAGAGCGTCAAGTGGCGGGAGCGTCGATGGCCCAACACGAAACCAAGTACATGCCAAATGGGCCGCGCCCCGATGAAGCTGCCAGGTTAGACTTCGCAGCCAATCAGCTCGCTAACCCTCGCGCTAAGAATTGCTGGAGGAATATGAGGACGAGACGCAGGCCTCGCCTCGGGGATGCCGGCCTGAGCGAGGCACTGTGTCAGTAAGGTGCAATTCACGGCGGACATTTTCGCATCAGACCACGACCAACAAAACCCCACGAACAACGCCGGGGGTGAATGCAGGATGAACCCTATGTGTCAGCGCACGAGCGACGAGGTGCAGTCGAAATAACTTTGTGATGTTCTCGGCTGGCGGACTAGTGCAACGAGGGACTGGATGGATCCTCCCGGGATAGCGGCATGCCCATAACGCCCATCTCTCTTCATCTTGCATCCCGTTCATTCTTTCATCCCTCCCCCCATCTCCACGCCCGCATCGCGTGACCGCACCTTCTCTGCCTTTCACGCGCTCAACGCCCGCGCTCCCTCATCAACTCCTCCGTCTTCTGCCTTGCACTTCTCTTTGTCTTTTGTTTCCCCCCAAGCTCTTGTACAAATAGTTCGCGAGTCATTCACCACCGCGACGGGATTGACGCCATCTGCTCACATGCGGTGTGTGCACCCACACTCGCCACCTGTATCGTCCACCCCGCGGCCAACTCAACACATTCTGCATTCATCACCCCCATCTGATGAGGCTGTTTTCCATCGGTGATTTACATCGCGATGGCTGAGCCGGCAGCCAGCGCGGCGTCCGCCTCGCCTTTGCCCGCTGCTAGCCATCAATCCCCCACCGACCACAGCATGGCGGGAAATGATGCACCACGACCGCCATCAGAGCCTCCGGCGCAAATAGCGACCGCGTCATCTTTTCAAGCCGTCAACACGGTGGCCGTCCCCGATCAACACGCCCCTACTGCACCGACCGCCGCCGCCGCGTCACCTCCTCAGGATGCCGCCGCGGTCACACGCGAGGCTTCCTCCAAACCAGATTCGCCCAAAGCATCGGACGTCAACGTCGACATGTCTAACGCGGATGATCCTGGTGAAGCATCAACGGCGGAGAGCACTACCTACGGCACGAGATCACGCAACCGCACGGGAAACGCGCGCCCAAACTACGCCGAAGACCAAGACATGGACTTTGAACTCTCCTCTGCTGCACGCACGTCCAAGCAGAAGGCGACATCTGACGCCGCAGCAGCCGCCGCTTCGGGCTCGCAAAACGTGACGGATGGCAAGCGCGCACAGGACCTTGCGCGTTTCATCGCCGTGAACAGCGGCAGTGGCAGTACTAACGGCCCTTCCACCACCAAAGAATCCACTCCAGGCACCCCTGGCGTCGCTTCCAGCGTGCCCAAAAAACGCAAAGCAGCAGGAGCAGCGACAGCGCATGCACAAACGCCACCTCCGTCGACGCTGTCAGTGCCCACGGGCACGCGCAAGGTGCCTACAGCATCCTCCTTGACGCGCGAAACTAATGTCATGACTTTCACAAAATGCAAGTCACAGCTGAACAAGAATGGCGAACTCGTCGCGGACGATGGAGTCAAGCTGTGTGTGAACGGTAAGTTCCACCCGCGCCAGAATCCCCTGAGCGGTGGTCGCAATCCAATTTTCTGAGGTTGCGGCCCTACCCCGCTTTAAGCCGCTGGCCGCCCGACGCCTCGCATCGAATCTCGAAGCTAACCCTGCTGCACACAGATCACGTGTACTTGGTCTGCGAGCCGCCTGGCGATCCTTATTACCTGTGTCGAATCATGGAATTCCTGCACGCCAAATCTGATGACCCGACGTCGCCGATTGACTCCATCCGAGTCAATTGGTATTATCGCCCACGTGACGTTCAACGATTCAACAATGACAGTCGCCTGCTGTATGGAACGATGCACTCCGATCTTTGTCCTATCGCATCGCTGCGAGGCAAGTGTTCGATCAAGCATCGATCGGAAATCGAGGACCTCGATGCTTACCGGAAAGAACGCGATTCCTTCTACTTTGTGCAAGTCTTCGACCGCTTCATCCGTCGCTGGTACGAGTGCTTGCCCGTTTCGCAGATTATCAACGTCCCCGAGAAGGTCAAAAAAGCGCTCGATGAACGGTGGAAGTTTGTCGTCGTCGAGATTGGGCGGGTGAAAGAATTGACCAGCGATGTCAAGACTTGCAAGCGCTGCGCGAAATACTGTGCGACCAACGACTCTGTCGAATGCGCCATATGCAAGAACTCTTACCACATGAACTGCGTGCAACCCCCGCTACCGAAGAAGCCTTCAAGAGGATTCGCCTGGGCCTGTGCACCCTGCAGCCGTGCGTCGGAGAGGAAGATGGAAGCTCGCAATACGCCAACTGTCAGTGGTGATGTGACCGAAGTCGAAGAGGAAGAACTCGCCGAGGAAGAGGTGCCTAGCGCCTCCAACGACACAACGCGAGCGCCGAGTCCGAGTGGATCCGATATGGTCATCGACAACCATCCAGCCACACAAGCAGAAATTGCACTGGCGAACATGTGGCCCATGCGATATCTCGGAATACATTGTCGCGTTGAAGACGCATTGCAATACGATGATCGTGCCATATATCCTCGAGCAAGCTCGCGCTTGGGCCCGCGACATCAGGCGAACGTTACCTTGTGGCCCGGTCGACCTGTCGAGCTGGTCAAGCCCGCGGAAATTAAGAAGAAATACAACAAAACCACCGGTCCGAAGAAGGATACGAAGCTCAGCAAGGAGACACTTGCGGCCCTTGAAGCAGAGCGAGAGGAGCGCGCCAAGCGGCCCAAATGGGTCCAAGATGAGCCGCCGGGGTACATCGCACGAGGAGAAGACTATCCGGAAAACGACCCGAGATGTACTTCCAAGCTGATGTTCAAATCCCCAGAGACAAGTGGAGGGCCGAATGCCGACACGGATGTCGATGATTACCTGAAGCGGGCCAAACTCCTTGCCAGAGCTATCGGTGTCCCGCCGTTTGGAGCAAACTTCCTCGATAAAGCGCTGGAACTGCTGACCGATACGAATTACGACCAAGAGGCAGCGCTGAAGAAACTCCAACAAGTCCACCGGATTCATGATCTGCACGAACCCGTCCTCAGCAAACAAGACCTCACAAAGTTCGAGGAAGGTGTCGCCAAGTACGGCTCGGAGCACCGATTGATTCGCCTGCACATGAAGACGAGTCTGCCGAATGCGGACATTGTGCGCTTCTATTACCTTTGGAAGAAGACGCCCAAAGGCCAAGAGATCTGGGGCAATTATGGCGGCCGCAAAGGGAAGCGCAGGATCGACGACACAGGCGCAGTGCTCCAAGCAGCGCTGGCAAAGGATGGCGATGACTCTGCGTTCGACAACGACAAGGCAGTGAAGCGCAACAGAATGTTCGAGTGCAAGTTCTGTCACACGAGTCATTCCCGACAATGGCGCAAGGCCCCCGGCGTAGCACCTGGTCAGACAGTGGCAGTTGACGGCAAAAATGCCAAGGATCCCAAGGACAAGACGAAGCCACCGCTTCTTGCATTATGCTTGCGTTGTGCGGGACTCTGGCGGAAGTACGCCATTCAATGGGAAGATGTGGAAGAGGTTGCGAAGAAGGTTGCGCAGGGCGGCGGGCGAGCTTGGAAGCGGCGAATCGACGAAGAGCTGTTGCGGGAGCTGGTGGCTGCGGAACAAATGGGCGCTGCTGGCATGGATCCCGCGGGTGGCGCATTGCCTTCGATTGAGAATGGCGAACCGTTGAAGAAAAAGTCCAAGACCGATGCTGGCCTGCCGTCCGAGATGGCCAAGAAGAAGCCTGCGCCTGTCCCGAAGGAACCAACGCCGCCCCCGCCACCCATCGTTCCAGCGCAGCCGGAGTGGCGCGATCTTCCGTGTGCCGTCTGCAAGGGCTCGGGAGACACGATCGCTTGTACATACTGCAAGCTCACCGTCCATCGCTTCTGCTTTGGTCTAGAAGAAAATGAAGGGGTAAAGATGGATGGAGGGGTGAGGTGGGTGTGTGAGCAATGCACCAACGACCGAAATCCCCAAGTCTCCACCGACTACGCTTGCTGCTTGTGTTTGACGGAAGAGACGCTGACCGAGCTCATCGAGTCGTCGAGAGTGACTCACAAGAAGAAGACGGATCGCGAGAAGGAAAAGGAACGCCTGGAGAAGGAATTGGCCGACGTGATGCGTGCTGAATACACGACCAAGCAGATCACCCTCAACCGGCCAATCCTGCCTCGCGAGCCACTGAAGCGCACGACCGGCAACAATTGGGTCCACGCGTACTGCGCCGTGTGGATGCCGGAAATCCGATTCAGCAATGCAAAGACTCTCGAAGTCGCCGAGGGGTTTCAAAACATACCTCCTGCCAAATTCGAGGCAATCTGCAAGCTGTGCAAGAACAAGGACCACCAGAACGTTGTTCGCTCCGACAAGGGCGCTTGCGTCTCCTGCTTCCAGTGTCACGCCAACATTCACGTTAGTTGCGCGTTTGAGGCTGGGTACGTCTTCGGCTTCGACGTGACGCCGGTAAAGGGATCACGCAAAGATCAGGTCACGACAGCCACCCTTGGCCAAGAGACGGGCTCGCTGACAGCCGGCATTTGGTGCAAGGAGCACGTTCTCAAGAACGTCGTTCATCCGGTCAACGAGATCGCGGATGAGACGGGCAGGACTGCGATGCAAGTCTACGTTGAGAATTACAAGCAGGCCGATCTTACTCTCACTGGCACGATCCGAAAGGCCAATCTCGCTCAGCTTACGAAAGACAAGGGCCAGCAGGTGCCGCAAGCGACCATCAACGGTTCTCGACGGGAGTCTACTGCAAATAGTATCGCGGCTGCGGTGCGTCGTGGTGCACGAACGTCTTCGGTTGCCGATGCGAAGTCAGAGGCAGAAGATGCCGGCATCCAAATCTCCGATGTTCCTGAAGGCGAGCTGGAGCGGCGTTGTGTGCGATGCAAGATTGATGTCACTCCCAAGTGGCATCCGGTGGAGTCGCTGCCGAGCGGGAAGGAAGCTACGCCGCCGAGGTCACCGCCGCGAGCGTCACTGTCAAGTGCTGACATCTCCGACGCTGACCGCGATCGCTTAAGCAATGCTCCTTCGGCTCAGGCGTCAAGACCGAATGCTCAGAATATCCGGTTCATGCCGCCCGGAGCCAGTGGGAGGGCTTGGGATGGCATGCCCGATAGGTATAATCCGCGACCGGGACCCAACGGAGAGCAGCGCGAGCAACAACAGCCGCCTTCACAACGAGAGAACTCTGGTGCAATCACCAATGGCCAGCATCGATCGGCGAATGATGGTTACAACCACGCGGGCTCGTCATATCAGGATCAAGGTGGCCAAGCCGAACGAGCTTCAACAGAGGCGGCGAATGCTGGTGAAGAGTCAAAGCAAGCATTCCTGTGCCACAAATGCTTCCTCGGGAAGAAACTCAATCCCACCTCGCCTCCGGAAGAGCAACGAGCGTCGATCATCTCGCCGCCACGGCCGTTCTCCGGATCGCACCGATGGAACGGGAACCCAGCACTATCACAGCCCGCATACGATCCTACACAGCCAATCCGCATGCCGTGGGATGAGCCGTCAGCACCACCACCCCCTCCGGTGCAAGCACCTCCTGTGCCTGGCCCACATCCGGTCAATGGCCTCGGACTGTCAATGGGCTACAATCCCTCGGTGCCCCCACCTCCTCCACAGCCGCAACATCCACAAAATTACTCGCCGTATGGTCCGCAGCCGAATGGTTTCCATGCGCCTCCAATGTCCCACCAGCCGCCGCCACCTCCGCCATCACAGCCAATGCATGAGAGGAGCGGTAGCTATGGATACGGGCCTCCACCTCCTCCACCCAGCCAGCCGTACTTCACTCAGCAGGCCCCGCCTGGCCATTCGCCCATGCAGAACTATCCCCCTCCTCCCCCGAACCAAAGCATGTCGAACGGACTAACGTCGCCGCGCGCCCCGGGCTTTCAACCGCATTTGCAGTCACCCCCGCGCTCACACGCCCCTCCATACCAGGGCTTCGGACCGGGTCGCACGGAGATGCGCATCGTGCCTCCTCAAATGCCGCCCATGCGTGGCCCGCCGCAGTATGACGGGCAATATATGTCTGCGCAACAGCATCATCACGTGCACATGCAGCCGGCTCCTCACTCCAGCCAGGCGCGCCCGGAGAGTTCGAGCGGCGGCGGTAGCGGTGCAACGCCAGCGGGGATGAGAGATGGTCAGTCTGGTGCTGGAGCGCCGAGCCAGAGTCAGCCGCCTGCTGGAGCTAGTGCGAGCCCGAGTTTGAGGAACTTGTTGTCGTAGGGAGAAGTATGATGGATGGCATGAGCAGTCGTGTGTGATTACAAGAGTATGATGAATGTGACGGGATACAGAGGTAGAGTCGAGGTAGTGTGTAGGATAGTGTATTCACTTCCGATATACCCGCGATTCACTGTTAGAAGATGTAGATGTGACGAAGGAACGTGAATGTACAGCAAGTCACGTGACCTTCCTGAACACCGGCTCGTCCCGTGATCTATTTCTGGCACGCGCGGCAAACTTGGCCAGCTTTTGTCACGCACGCTCTGCTCTTTGGCATCAACTCTTCCATGACATATGTTGTCAACCGCCGGACAAAATGGTGCGTGAAGTTCGTCCTCCCGTCCCATTACTTCCCGTGCAAGGCCAACATGGCCGCTGCTATTGCGCCCCTGCTGACCGCGTCCCCCCGCCATCGCACAGGGCAAAGCGTACTCCGAAGACCAGCGCTTGCGCGTCAAAGACCTGCTCGAAGCCGGGCGCGATGAGGAGGCCATTGAGAAGGAGACGGGCGTGTCGGATCGCACGATTCGGCGATGGAAACTAGAGCTCGAGAGGACGGGGCGCATTGGCAAGGTGGGTTTCGACGACTCCCTCCTGCCCGGACGCGACCGGGTGATTTGCTTTGCCTGTCGCTTGTTTTGAATGCGTGACGGGGCTGACTTGCGATTTGCTACAGCCGCCGGAGAGCCGGACGGGAAGGCACAGGGTTCTGAATGCTGATGTGGAAGCTGTGAGTTTGACTCAGAGAGTGAGCGCTGGAGAATGCAATACTGACGACGGGTCGATTAGGCTCTCTTCGAGCATGTCAAGGATAAGCCGGACATGTCGGTTGACGACATGCTCTGGTGGCTCTACGACACCTACGAAATCGTCGTCGGCACGCGCACCATCCGCCGAGTCTTCGAGCGCAAGGGCGACAAAGTCAAGGCTGTGAAGGGAAAGACGACTGCGCGTCGCAAGAGTCGCAGATCGGATGACGACGAAGAGGACGAGGTAGATGGCGGGTTGGCGAACGTGACGGACGCGCAGCTTGGGGAGGAACAGCAGACACCGAATGCCGCAGCGAACGCGCCGTATGACTCGCCTTACGCGCCCATGTCTGCTCCAGGCAGCAGCAGCGCACAGATCGAGAACCAGCTTCGCCAGGCGATGCAGCAACAGACACCACAACACCCATACCCGGCCCTTATGGACCTGACGGAGGGCGAGATACCGGAAGATCCAGAGTTGATTGAGCTCCAACTGCAACAGATTGCCCTGCAGAAACGCGAGGTGGAATTGAAGCTGAAAATGCGCCGTCTCAACCGCACACCAGGGAGCAAGGGTGCGCTCGGCACACCACAGTCCGCACCCAGCTCGCTGTTCGATCCTGTCGCCGCCCTCGGCCCGACGCCGCCCAAGCGTGATTCACGCAGCAAGAAGAAGATCGAGGAGTCGAAGCGACGCACCGCCGAGCGGCAAGAGCGCATGCTGCGCGATCTGGAGCGCCGCAGCCGGCGTCGCGATCATCTCACGGCCGAATGGGTGCTGAGCAAGGACATCTGGCCGCTCCGCGCGCAAGCCCTGCTCGCGGACTTGATGCATCGCTACGGCTGCTACGCCTACTCGCCGCAGAGCGAGGCCTTGTTCGATGCCATGTACCGGGAGCTCTACCAGCTCGTCGACCTCAGCAAAGGCGACTGGGATCCGCATGTGCACGACGAGATGCTGCGCGAGCGCATGAAGCGCAAGATGGGCCAGCTGCGCACGAAGATGCAGAAGACGGGGGAGATCATCGGGCGTGGCGATGGATACGGCGGATTTCAGAAGTCAGAGAACTACACGGGCGAAACGGCGGGCAATACAGTGGGTGATGAGAGCGAGCTGGTGCAAGATCCCGCTCTCCACGACGCAACGCAAGCTCTGCAGCAAGCGCAGCCCGGCGCAGCTCCTCCGCCTTCACCGTCGGACATGCAAGGCGGACACCCTCAAGAGCACCTCCAGTACGACCCCGTGCCTCCCGACCACGAACTGCACCATCACCACCCCCCGCCGCCGCACATGGGCTACCCTAACCCCATCATGCACCACCAGGGCCCCGGGCAGTATCCGATGATGGATCAGCATCACAACATGCTGCCGTATGCGCCCATGGGCGGGCAGCAGGGCATGTCGTCGCATCAGGATGATATGGTGATGTAGGACGTCACTGTGCACGATGATGCGGGCATGGCTACGCTGCGGAACATCGCCGCTGCTGCTGGTCGTCGTGATGATGATGATTAGGGGTGGGAATGTGCTGTGCGTTATTTGCTTCCAGAGCGAGGAGCGATTGTGGTCGAGTTGCTTTGTATCTTCTGCAGTTGCTGTGTTTCCTGTTGATACCTGAGAAATCCAGACCGCGTAATTCCCACTTCACCCCCCGCCCCCACTTCCGTCATTTCGCGCCCCAAGTCGTATTCGCAATCTCCAGCACTTACCTAGTCAATACTATCTGCATACCTACACAACATACCCTCCTCCCAGGCAGATGTCGAGTCTGGGGCTGAGTTGAGCCCTCACGCACCCGCGCACCTAACCTCCACACCATGCCCCTCCCGCCCACACCCTCATGGAGAACCAAGATCCCGACACCCTCCTCCTCCCCTCCCCCGAAAAGCTCCGCGAGATAGCAGAAAAGCAGGACGCGAAAGCGAAGGAGATTGCAGAGCGGCGCAAGCGGGAGGGCCTCGTGCCGGACGACCGCGATGCGGCGGCGCAGCTGATCCAGAAGAACTATCGCGGGTACCGCACGCGGAGGGCGTTGCAGGGGTATGGGCTGGATTCGAATGCGCGGTGGATTGAGGTGTTAAAGGATGGTGAGAATGTCTCTTTTTGCTTCTGGGAGAGGTGGTTGCTGATGTGTGGGTATAGCGAAGTACTACAATACTACCAAGACGGTGTCGCGCAATGAGCGCGATGGCACCTCTGCCACGCAGGAAGCACAGATCCGCAAGCGCTGGAAGCGTGCGGGGACCATTGCTCACCGGGCTGGCAGCGATGATACCGACTCTGATAGTGACTATCATGGTGCCACGAATGACGAGGAGCTGGCGAAGCTGAAGGAGCGCAAGCGCAAGCAGAAGAGGGAGCGCGAGAGGTACGCGAAGATCATGGGCATCGACTACTTTCTCGAGATGGTGGATCAGAAGCATCGCTACGGCAGTAATCTGCGCCGGTATCACGCCGAGTGGAAGAAGTCGGACACCAAGGAGAACTTCTTCTACTGGTTGGATGTCGGAGAGGGCAAAGACTTGGATTTGGAGGATCGGCCGAGGAGTCGGCTGGATTCCGAGTTTGTGCGGTATTTGTCGAAGGAGGATCGGTTGCATTATTTGGTGCGGATTAATGAGCAGGGCTTGTTCTGCTGGGCCAAGAACGATGAGTTGATTTCGACGACGGTGGATTACAGGGATAGCATTGAGGGGATTGTGCGAGTGGACGACGACACGCCAACGTGGAGGGAAGTGACTTCTGGCAAGACGGAGGAGGAGGACGAGGCCGCAGTGCGCTCGTCAGGCTCTAGCACTGTTTCTAGCACGAGCACGGGCAGTCAAGAGGACGAGTCCAAGTACGTGAACACGGAGCTGCACGAAGCGAAGGGCCTGGCGAAACTACAACACCTCAACGCCGACGCGCTCAAGAACAACATGCTGCGCAAGACGACGAAGAAGAACACGTGGATCTTTGTCGCCGACACCTCTTTCCGCATGTACATTGGCATCAAGCAGTCGGGCGCCTTCCAGCACTCGTCCTTCCTGCGCGGCGCACGCGTTGCCGCCGCCGGCTTGATCAAAATGAAGGACGGGCAGCTACGTCGCTTGTCCCCGCTGAGCGGGCATTACTCCCCGCCTATGAAGAACTTCCGCGAGTTCGTCAGGGCGCTCAAAACGGCCGGGGCGGACTTGAGTCGTCTCAATACGTCCCGCTCGTACGCGGTCTTGCTGGGGCTGGAGGGGTATTTGGGGGCGAAGAAGCAGGTCAAGGGTGTGCATCAGGGGGTCAAGGACGTGTTTGATCCGGATGGGAAGAAGGAGCGGGAGGAGGCGGCGAAGGACAAGAGTCGGAGTGCGCAGCGGGAGCGGGAGATTTTGCAGCAGCAGGAGCTGGAGCGGCGGAGGGGAAGCTTGACGTATCGGATGAAGAAGAAGTTGGGCTTGGTGGATGGGAGGGAGGAGGGAACGGAGAAGGAGGCTGGTGCGGGTGCTGAGGGGAAGACAACGACGACGGAGTGAAGGACTCGGGAGGTCTCTGTTTTCTTTCTACCCTGTGATTGCTGCTGTTTGCTACGAGATACCACTGATGCGAGACCCATCTCATACCTAGGTACACACAATTTCATCGCCTGCCGAGATAGCCGGCAGTCATCGCGATCTCCATCGCTTGCAAGGGAGGACCAGGATGAGGGAAGCCAAGGTGTGATGCTGCCGGTGGAGCAGGCGTGGCCAACTTCCCACCTCCCTCATGCGTGCCGTAAATCCCAGCGCCACAGTCGGGAAAAGCGTGCGAACGATTCATCTATGCGCGACACACGCCCGGCCTGCGTCATCTCCGATCGAATACGGGCGCATCTCCGTTCTCGTCGCCATCAACCACAACCTTGACGTAAGAAACGCCGCACATTCCGCGGGACAATATAATCCATCAAAAGATGTCCAAGTTTTATGAGTGAGGTGATGCAACCGCTTGCCAGGCAGCTGTGGCTCGCCTTCCCGATCCGGCTCGATCAGCCACAACTTGGTTTTCCAAAGCTGGCCAACGTCAACCGGTTTCCTGCTCCCGAGTTGGGCAGTCCTTGACGAGAAAACCAGGCCAGCAATCCATGCCCGGCTCCACCACTTCATGCCTGCGCGCTTATTCTTGCGGGAGTACCTCGTGTTGGTTGCGCAATTGCCCCATGCGCCCACGTTGGCCCACGCCTGCCCGCCTACTAACTACCCGCGAGTCGAGTCGGGGCAACTCGAGCCAATGATTTTCGCTGGGTTAGGGCGGGTGGGAACAAGGCCCTGCTGGTCTCGCAGCCTCTTTCCCCAAACGATTCCCGTCTCATGAGACAGCAGGCCGACACGAGAACTTGCATTCACACACACACACGGCTGACGTAGTGCCACAGTCCGGAGCATCGTCCGTCTCGCAGACAAGACCAGGGTATTCATACCCCTCGACCGGGTTCGGGGAATGCACTCCACATGCGCCCCTCCCTCCACCCGCCATTCCCTGCATTCGCGACAGCCTCATATACCTGCTTGCTGGCGGGCGGCGCTGCCGGGAGCGCTGCCAGATGATCGTGCAGGCAATCACGGCACCCACCCCCCTCCCCCTGTCTCTGGCCACCTTTCATCACTGGCCAACCTTTTGCTCTCACGTCATTCAGTGTCGTCGCGGTGATTGCCCACCCTGTCAGCGCCTTGAACAGGCCTGCTCCCAAGGCATATCCCGGTTCGGAGCTGTGCCAACTTGTGGTGCACCCAGGTATATGTAGCCACCTGTAAGACCTTGAGCCCGGGGGAGCTTCAGCCACACTTTCTCTTTTTTTTTGATCTACTCCTTCTCCTGCCTCTACATCCATTGTAACAGACGAAAGAAAATCCCCACAGGAGGGAGAAGGCAAATCACTCCTCACCCTCCCAAGACGCGTCTCGCTCTCCAACAGTGCATGACGAGCGAGTCCGAAAGATACACCTACTTCTCCTTTCCCACTACCCCCACCCGAGCATCCCCAGTGGTGTGGCGAGGTCCTGAACCCTCTTCTTCCCCTTCCCTTTCCCCCTCCCCACCATTCCCATCACCGCCCAGTCGGCAACAAAGTCAACAACAGCACACCATGGCTTCTCCCGCCGTGGGCAAGCAGCCGACTCCTAATACCCCCAAGACTCCCTCTAAGATTACTGGAAACAAGGGGCAAAACACCCCTTCCAAACTCGGCCAATCTGCTGCTTCCACTGTTAAAGGACAGGCGTCTAAGGCCGGCACTCCAGCCCCCAAGGGCAACACCCCGGCTGCAAAGGGCAACGCTCCAGCCGCGACGGGCAGCAAACCGGCGACTCCGAGATTCTCTGGCGCCAAAAAGCCCGTTCCCAGGCCTGTTCAGCCTTCCGGCGCCAACAAAGCCAAGGAGACGGCGCAAAACGCGTCGCAGAGCGTGCAACAGAAGACCGGCGGCGCGGCTTCTGCCGCTCCATCCACTCCTAGTGCTGACGACGCGAAGAGCACCGTCAAGAACGGCGTCAAGAATGCCGCCCAGAATGTGCAGGAGAAGGCCGACGACGCGACTTCTCAGGTGCAGAGCCAGGCTGGCACGAACGACAATGACGACGACGAGGGCCCGATGAGCAAAGTCACGCAAGCTGGTCAGCAGTCTCAAGAGGGACTTGAGCAAGCTGCGCCGGAGCCTATTGACGACGATGACGACAACGACAACGATGACGCTGTCGGCGGCGCTCAGAAGGAAGCAGAGCACGCTACTCCGGACACCGGCGACGTGGATGCCGGCAATGAAGCCGACGACGACGACATTGCCGACGATGCTACCGAGAAAGCCGGCCAGATTGGAGAGTCTGCCGATGAAACCACCACGGATGACCAGCAGGAACAGCAACAGGACGAGCCCAAGGAGCAGAAGGGCAGCCAACAGCAACAGCGCGGCGGCGGCCTCTTGAAAGGCGCGCAAGGCCTGGCTGGCAAGGCTTCCGGCCTCGCGGGCAAAGCTTCCAAGAACGCCAGCAAGGCGGCCCAGGACCCCGCTGGTGCTGCTAAGGATACGGCCAGTGATGTCAAGGAGGGTGCTGAGGATGCGGCTGAGGATGCGCAGGCGACTGCTGAGGAGGGCCTTGATGAGGCGCAGAAGGTGGCGGGCGATGCTGCTGATGAGGCTGGCGATGCGGCTGAGGGTGCGCAGGAGCAGGCTGAGGGCGCGCAAGATGCTGTCAAAGAGCAGGCCGAGGGCGCGCAGGGTACTGCTGACGAGCAGGCTGAAGGCGCTCAAGACGAAGCTGAGGAACACGCTGAAGGTGCTCAAGATGCTGCCGAGGGCGTACAAGGCGAAGCCGAAGAGGCCGCTGAAGGTGCGCAAGACCAAGCCGAAGACGCTGCTGAGGGCGCACAAGACGATACCGAGGAGCAAGCCGAAGGCGCACAAGACGCCGCCGAGGACCAGGTCGAGGGAGCGCAAGACCAAGCCGAAGGCGCGCAAGACCAGACCGAAGCAGCCACAGGCATAGGAGGCTTCCCAACCGACCTCCCCGAAGCACCCGAAGGCCTCTTGGATCTCTCCGTCCTCAAAGGTCTGGAAGTGCAGTCCGACGGCACGGTGCAAAACAGCGAAGGCCAAGCCATTGGTCGTCTTGCCGAAGGCGACGCCGAGGATCTCGAGGGTTACCCCATCGGTGACGGCGGGGAGATTCTGGACGAAGATGGCGATCTTGTTGGACGCGTCGAATTGCTTCCCGATGAGATCAAGAGACAGATTGGCCAGGCTAAGGAAGAAGGCGCTGAGCTTCCTGAGGGTGCTGATGAGTATCTGAGCCAGATTGAAGGTCTGGGAGAGGGAGAGGGCAAAGAAGAGGGCGAGGGAGAAGAGGGGGAAGGCGAAGGGGAAGAAGAGGAGGAAGCCGGCCCGCAGCTCCCAGGCCTCGACATCATGAACGGCCTCACGTGCGGAGTCGATGGACTGGTTTACGACTCGGAAGGCAATACCATCGGTCAGGTCACAGATGGCGATCCGGAGCAATTGCAGAACGCCACCCTCAACGAGTCCGGCGAGTTCATCGACGAGGAAGGAAACGTCATCGGCCATGCCGAAATCCACCCCGAGGCCGCGGATCTCGTCGAGCAAGGCGTCTACCAAGCCGCCGGTGCTGGCGAAGAGGCCGCTGACGAAGCCGGCGAGCAAGTCGAGGGTGCTGCGGACGACGCCGAGGCTGCTGCAGAGGATGCTGAAGGTGCCGCCGAGGAAGGTGCAGAAGGCGCGGAACAGCAAGCCGAAGGCATCGAGGACGAACTTCCCGGCATCGAAGCACTGGAGGGCAAAGAGCTCAACGAGTCTGGCGAGGTGCTCGACGAAGGCGGCAATGTGCTTGCCGCTATCACCGACGATGACCTCAAGCAGAAGATCGAGGACGGCGAGATCGATCCCTCCACTCTGCAGATCAACGACGCCGGAGAGGTCGTTGACGAAGAGGGCAACGTGTTGCAGCAGCTGGAGCTCGAGCCTGGTGCTGCCGAGCGCCTTGGCGGCCATCCAGTGCTGGACATGCGCATTCTTGAAGGCCGCAAGGTGAACAAGAAGGGCAAGGTTCTGGATGAGGATGGCGAGGAAATTGGCGAGCTGCGCGAGGGCGAGATCAGCGAGTGCCTTGGCAAGAAGATCAATGAGCGCGGCGAAGTTCTGGACAAGAAAGGCAAGCTTCTCGGTCGGGTCAATGTTGTGCCTGGTGAAGCGGCGGAGAACGCCACCAAGGCTCTGCTCGAGGAACTTGGAGAGCTGGAGCAGGAGGGACCGGATCTCTCCGTACTCGAGGGGTACAAGGTCAATAAGAAGGGTATGATCTTGAATGAGGATGGAGAGCCGATTGGACAGCTCGCCGATGGTGAGCTTGAGCAATGTGCCGGCAAGAAGGTCAACGACAAGGGCGAAATCTTGGACAAAGAGGAGAACGTCATCGGCCATGTCACTCTTGTCGGACAAGAGGAAGAAGGAGAAGAGCAGGCCGAGGGTGAAGCCGAAGGCGAAGAGCAGGCCGAGGGTGAAGGAGAGACTGGCCCAGAACTCCCACCCTTATCCACTCTGGAAGGCCTAACAGTCAACAAGTCCGGCAAGATCCTCGATGCCGACGGCAACATCGTCGGCGAGCTCGTCGAAGGCGACGCAAAGAAGCTGTGGAAGTCAGGCGCCACCTGTGACGAGGAAGGCCAGTTCTGGGACGGCAAAGGCCATGTCATCGGCCGCGCGCAGACCTTGCCTCGTGAAGATGCGGAAGAGGAGGCCCCGTTCGCCGGCCTCGAGGGCTTGCATGTCGTTGCGGATGGCTATGTTCAGGACGAGAACGGCAACACTGTCGGCTACGTCACGGAAGGCGACGCAAAGAAACTCGTTGGCCGCGTCGTCGATGAAGACGGAGATATCCTCGACAAGAAAGGGTCGGCTGTCGGTCATGCTGAGCGCTTGCAAGAGGAGGAGGAACAACCGCAAGAGGAGGCTGCCGATCTGTCGTTCTTGGCCGGCAAGACGGTCAACAAGGCCGGGCTCGTCATTGGAGACGACGGCGTCCCGGTTGCTCGTCTCGTCGAGGGCAAGCCGAAGGATCTGGCTGGTATGGAGCTGGATGAGCAAGGCCAGATCTGGAACAACAAGGGCCACGTCATCGGTCGAGTCGAACTCATCCCCGAGGAGGAGCGCGAGGCCAAACCAGAGGGACCATTCGCCGGTCTCGAAGGCCTCCGTGTCATCGAGGGTGGTAAGATTGCGGACGAGGACGGCAACGAGGTCGGAGAGATTGTTGAAGGCAATGCCAAACGCCTCATTGGCCTCGCCGTTGACGAGGACGGCGATATCGTCGACAGATACGGCAACGTCAAGGGACACGCCGAGCCCCTACCTGAAGAAGAGGAGGAGCAGCCCATCGACAACAGCATCTTGAGCGGCAAGACGCTGAACAAACAAGGCTACGTGGTCGATGAGAATGGCACGCCTTTTGGCAGACTTGTCGAGGGTGATGCGAAAGAGCTTGCTGGTCGCCGGTGCGACGAGAACGGCATCATCTACGGCGACACTGGGAAGCAAATTGGTCGCTGCGAGGCACTTCCTGAAGGCGAGCGCGTCGCTCGTCCCGAAGGACCCTTCGCTGGACTCGAAGGTCTTCGCGTCGTACAAGAAGGCTGGATCGAAGATGAGAATGGCAATCGCGTCGGACAGCTGGTCGAGGGCAACGCCAAGCGCCTGGTCGGCATGGCCGTCGACGAGGATGGAGACATCATTGACAAGTACGGCAACGTCAAGGGTCACGCCGAGCCCTACGAAGAGGCGGACGAGGAAGAGGTTGATAGGTCAGCCCTTGCCGGTTGCCGCGTGAACAAGAACGGCAACGCAGTTGACTTTGGCGGACAGATCATCGGGCGGGTCGTGGAAGGCGACGTTAAGAACCTGATCGGCAAGAAGGTCGATGGACAAGGTCAGGTCTGGGATGACTCTGGCAATGTCATCGGCCGTTGCGACCTGGTGTACGGCGAAGACACGTCGCCAGAAGGCCCGTTTGCTGGCTTTGACAGCCTCACCATCAACAAGGATGGCACCATCTCCACTGCCGCTGGGGACGTCATCGGGCGTGTTGTCGAGGGAGATATCAAGAAACTCATGGGCCACAGTGTTGATGAGGACGGCGACATCACCGACAAGAACGGCAACGTGATCGGCAAGGCTGAGAGGTGGGAGCCGGAAGAAAAAGAGCGTCGCGCCAACCCCATGTCTGGCAAGCGAGTCAACAAGGAGGGCGAAGTGCGAGATGAGAACGGAGATCTGATGGGAAGACTGACGAGCGGCGACCTCGGGCACTGCGTTGGGCAGGAGATTGATGACTCCGGGAACGTAGTGGACGTCGACGGCAACAAGATTGGCGAAGTCACACTGATCGAGAACATTGCCGAGGACTACGAAGGGCCTTCGGAGGAGGAGTTGGAGGAGGCACGCAAGAGGGAAGAGGAGAGCGAGATTGCCAAGAAGATGTCGGCCATCTGCCAGGACACGGTCGAGCGCATGCAGCCCATCTGCAAGCAAATCACCGAGCACATGGAAAAGGCCGATCGCACGCCCAAGGAGGAGTTGGACGAAGAGGAGCTGGTCAACCAAGTGAAGCCGCTCATCGAGGAGGGCGGCCGCATCTTGCAAGAGTGCAATGGCTCCCTCCGCGGTCTGGATCCAGATGGTCATATCGCCGCGCAAGCCAAGGGCCGTTCTGGCACGGGAGAAGCGACGCCAGAGGAGCACCGCCTGGCCGAAACGCTCAAGGAGCTGACCACGACGGTCGTAACGACGATCGACAATGCGAAGAAGAAGTTGAACGACATGCCGCATGCGAAGAAGAAGCTCAACCCCCTGTGGGGCCTGTTGACTCAACCGCTCTTCCAGATCCTGGCTGCCGTTGGTCTGCTCTTGGCTGGCGTACTTGGTCTCGTTGGACAGCTCCTCAACGGGCTGGGCCTCGGTGGTCTCGTGAATGGCCTCATGGGTGGCCTTGGAATCAACAAGCTCATGGAGTCGTTCGGCCTCGGTGGTGGTGACAAGAAGAAAGGCAAGTCTGGCGGTGGGAGCAAGCTTAGCTCGCTACCGGTCGTTGGGGGTCTTTTGGGTGGTGGCAAGTAAGGGATGCCATCGTGCGAGTGGTGACTCGCAGTGGTGTTGTCAAAACTGTATGGCGAGTGAGAAGAGGCATGAGAGGTGGGAGGATACGGCACGCTCTACGCATCTTTCCTTTGTCAGGAAACAAAACGGGCATGGGATCTCTTTGCAATTGGCAGGACACTATGATGGATATCTCCTAGCATGTAAGTTAGTCTTTTATTGGTTGGAAACATCACGAATAATACCGTCTTCCGCTCCATACTCCTTTGAGGTCGCCAGTTCGGAATTTTTCTCATCCAGCAAAGTGCTTTAAGTCGCAAAGGGGTATCTTGGGAGAGTACTGACTCAGAACACTCGAGCTTATCGATTTAATCATCCTCGTGTCCGGATCCGTGGCTGCCTTCGTTGGCAGCTTCCTTTGGCTTTCTTTTCCTTTTCCGCTTCCTGGTCCCATCAACGAGTCCATCTTCGGCTGCTTTCGAAGCACTTGGTTCGCTAGTGGGAGCATCCGGAGTTGACTGAGGAGCCTTCTTGGTTGGCAAGGTCTTCGTGCTTGCTTCGGATACAGCAGGTTTGGAGTTCGGCTTGGCTTTTGCCTTCTTTACGCTCAGAGGGTTTGGCGCCTTTGGTCCCCTCGGCTTTTGCTTCTTACGTTCCGGAGCTTGCGTGCTCGCACCCGACGCTTCAGTAGCAAGATTCTGATCGTCGTCTTTGTCTTCTCGTTTGCGCTTCAGTTCGGGTTGTGCGCCTCGCCGGGTTTTCAAGCCTGCTCGGATCTTCCCACGCTCCTCCTTCTCTCTGACATCCTCCGTCTTTTCTGCCATCGGCTCCAGAATCATGACACTCCGGTTGATGTAGATGAGAGGCACACCGGCAATCTCCCTCATGCTCGCCCGCAGCTCTCGGTCCTGGCTTGCAACCACATAGCGATTCTTGTTCGTCCCACTCCCTTTAGGATCAACCACACTCTTGAGACATTCAACTTCGCTCAACGGCTCTTCCAATTCGTGATGTCCACATCGCCGTCTCTCAGCCGCTTTTGCGACCTCAATGCAGATCTCTTTCTCCTTCTGCTCGGCATCATCGGCCGGTTTGATGTTGTAGAGGTGTCGGATGCAACATTGGGTGATCATGGGTTTTATGAGACCGCTCAGCGTGTTCTCCAGCATCTTTCCAAGATGCATTTTGAAGCGATGGGCATCTCGTATGAATTGTGCATCGAGTAGGACTTGGTATGGTTCTCGGACTGGAGGGGTAGGTCAGTGAAAGCAGACAAAGTCGTGGCGATGCGGCGCAGACGTACAGTTGAAGGAGAGTTCGTAGGTCTTCATCAACTTCCGGTACTGTTTTGCTCGTTTGGCGCGCATGTTGAGGTGTTTGTGGGAGAGAAGTGGTGGCGCGCAAAGGAAGGAAGAGGCGTGGTTTGCGGTGGTATGAGATTTATTGCCCAGCCGAAGCCGCCAGCTGTGGGCAACTGTAGCAGCCTCGCACGCTTACACGCAAGCAGTTGTGAGTGCTGACATGATCCTTGTATGTTACTGACGATTCTCGAAGGGTTCTGGAGCCAGTGGTAGACAGAACTTGTTCTTGTTTGCGATCGGAAGTGGAGGAGAACAATTCATCCAGATGAAATCTTGAAAGCGCGTCCGCTCTTATCGATTAGCGGATTACATAATCCCGCGCCGAATGCGTCCAGTCTCGAATGGGAGTTGGCAAAGGCCGCAGACTCGGGACACCCAGCATCTTTCTGCCAGCCATACCCCTTCACCGATGCGCTTACACTATGAGGAATTGATACCCGCGACATGTTGAGATCTAGCCTTCACTCCGAGGCATGCTAAAGGTCCAAGTGGGGATGCTGTAGCTCCTATTGCAGCCGCCAGCGACAACGGTTCGACATGTCAAAGGCGGGCGACGATGTCAATGCGGAAGATGCGTCCGCCGAGGGGAAGCTGGAGGTAGCACAGAAGGTGCAGCACACCGCTAGCCCCGAGTCACCGACCGCCGACGAGTTTGGATTGCCTGTGCGACCTCCACGGAGACGACACTGGTCGAGTAGCACCTCGGAGCACTCAGAAACAGCCGCTGGAGACACCGCACCGCAGATTGAGGACGAGACTTTCCATGATGCCAGTGAGGAGCCGATGAGCGCTCCTGCTCCAGCGACGGAGGTCAGTGAAGCGTCGGAGGCTGCTTTGCCTGAACCACCTTTCGAGAAGAAAGACGAGCATACCTCAGAATCTACTCCACCCGAGATTCCTCCCAAACCAGCCGAAACACAACGCTCGCCTGAGCCTGTACAGCCAGAAAAGGGCAAGCAAGAGGAGCAAGAGCCGCCAGCTACACTTGACGACATCGCAGATCGAGAGCCGAACAAGAGGGAGAGCGTTGGCAGCAAGCGAAACAGTCGACCAGGTACTGGCAACAACCATCAAAAGTCAGGGAGCGTATCAGAATGGTCACATCAGGTTGTCGTGCCGCGCGAAGAGACGGGAGGGACGGCGGTGCAGGAAGAGGATGACTGGCAGGAAATGCCTGCTTTCGCCACCCACAGAATTTACGATGATTGGGGCAAGGTGCTTGCAAAGGGCTACGGTGAAGAGGACGACGAGGAGCAGGTCGGCTACAGCCAACTCGGTGGAGCGGGTAAAGGCTATACGAGAGTGCAAGTGGACGATGATGCCCAAAGTGCGACCAGCATGGACGACAACACCGCCTACCTATTCAAGGAGCCCCATGCCAGTAACGTACTGGACGAGGATGAAGAGGGCCGTGATGCCGTCAGTCAAATGCAGACCACTAAAGAACTCCTGACCGAAGGCCAACGGGTGGCATATGTAGGTCTTGTCCGGCTTTCAATTGCGAAAATGCTGGCGGATCTCCGTACGATTCCACTCACGAAGAAGACAAGGAAGCAAACAGACTACGCGACGGAGGCGATGAAGATGTGGGGCCAGAAGATGATGGTGCGGCTGTACACACACATGGACATTGACGCAGCGGAGCAGTTGATGGTGGAACAATTGGGCGAGCATGGCGTGCTGGCAAGCGATCTCACTCCAACGCTGATGCAGAATGCAAGGGTGAGGAACCCAGCTGCTGCGCAGAGTGAAACATCATCCATCCATTCTGCACGACCATCCATGAGCTCCCCTCGACCATCGACTTCTGCAGAACCGCGGCAGTCCATCTCGAGACCGACTACCCCTGCACCGAAGCCTAAAACGCCACCACCGCCAACGTATGCACATTCAGCTGCTCAAGAGCCTCCCCCTGAGTATCACGACCAGAATGTAGAAGACATGACCATCCAGAAGCCGGAAGAATTGGGTACTGGAAGAGACTTGGACCTAGATCTCCGCTGGACTGTCTTGTGCGACCTCTTTCTCCTTCTCATCGCGGACAGCACATACGACGCGCGATCCAGAACACTTCTCGAACACGTCGGCGAAGCTTTATCCGTCGGCTGGCAAGAAGTGTGTCGGTTCGAAAAGCGTGTGACTGACGCGCTGGAGATGCAAGAACAGGCCGACAAAGAGAACTGGAATGAGCAAGAGCATTTGGAAGAGAGGAGAAAGGCGGCGAGAAACAAACGACTGATGGTGATGGGCATCTGCACTGTCGGAGGCGGTCTGGTGATCGGATTGAGCGCCGGCCTGCTCGCTCCAGTCATCGGCGCCGGTCTGGCAGCCGGCTTCACTGCAGTTGGCGTGTCCGGCACTTCGACGTTCCTTGGTGGTGCCGGCGCGGCTGCAATGATCGGAGGCGGTGGAGCGTTGACGGGCGGCATCATCGGTGTTCGCTCGTCAAACAGACGGACAGGCGCTGTGCGAACTTTCGAGTACCGGCCTCTGTTCAACAACAAGCGGCCCAATCTCATCGTCACCGTATCTGGCTGGATGACGGGAAAGGTCGACGACGTGCGCTTGCCGTTCTCTACCGTCGATCCCATCATGGGTGATGTCTACTCGGTGAACTGGGAGCCTGAAATGCTGCAATCCACAGGACAGACGATCCAGATCTTGGCCACGGAAGCGTTGACACAAACGATCCAGCAAATACTGGGAATGACGATCTTGACGACTTTGATGGCGGGGCTGAACCTACCTCTCGTTCTCACCAAGCTATCATACCTGATCGACAACCCATGGACCGTATCTCTCGTCCGTGCGGATGCAACGGGCTTGATTCTGGCCGATTCACTGATCGATAGGAACCTCGGCGTTCGCCCGATCACGCTCGTTGGCTTCTCGCTGGGTTCTCGGGTCATCTTCTCCTGCCTGAAAGAGCTCGCCCGCAAGGGCGCCATCGGCCTGATCCAGAACGTCTATCTCTTCGGCTCTCCCATCGTCACCAAGAAGGAAGACTACATCTCCGCGCGCAGCATCGTATCCGGCCGCTTTGTCAACGGCTACGCCACGAACGACTGGATCTTGGGCTACCTCTTCCGCGCCACTTCCGGCGGCATCATGCGCGTGTCGGGCCTGAGTTCCGTCGACGTGCCTGGCATCGAGAACAAAGACGTCACCGAGATTGTCACCGGGCACATGGCATATCGCGCGATGATGCCGAAATTACTGGAAGAAGTCGGGTGGATGGTAGACGGACTGGAGTTCAGCGAAATCGAGGACCCAGACCCGGAGAACCATGAAAAGCGGCAGCGGGAGCTGCTCAATGAAATCGAGGCCGCGAGGCAGGAGCTCGAGGACGGGCAGAAGGAGAAGGAGAAGAAGGGGGGCTTGAAGGCGTTCTTTTCTCGGGGGAAGAAGGCGCCGTCCCGCAAGGAGTGGGAGACTTATGACGAGCGGAGTCAGAAGGTGCTCGAGGGGGATGAGGCGGAGGTGGAGCGGCGCGCGGCCGAGGTGGGAATGGGCGGCGTCAACGATATCATGTTTGATGTTGACGCCATTCGCGCCGAGGCGCTGAAGCTTGCGCTGCAGGGTGGCGATGTGGAGGAGATCAAGAGCCATTTGCAGATTCGCGAGTTGCAGAGCACGCTGCCTGCGCTGCGGGTTCAGAGTCCTATGGGCAGTGTGGAAAAGCTCAATGGCGAGTCGTCGGGTACTGGCGCGGCGCAATACCGGCTTACGAAGAGTCTAACTCTGGACGATCGAAGTTCCGCACCCCACCACAATGGCGAAAGCACCACCGTCGCCGGCTCATCCTCGCATCCTCCCTCTACCGAAACTCACCACCACAACATCGAAAATGGCCACATTGCAGACAACCCCGACGACCGCATCTCCCTCTCCTTCGAACTCCCCGATCGCTCGGAAATCCACGACCGACCAGCGTCGAATGGCGGCGTGGAGGGCGAGGAGACGCTGCGACATGAACGCCCGCCGCTGAAGAGCTATGCTTCTGCGCCGCTTACGAGCCCTGATCACAATCCTTGGGGGGATGAGGAGGAGTTTGGGCGGGAGGGGGAGGTTAGCATGTCGTTTGAGTAAAGGGGGGAAATGTTGATGTTTTGTTTTGAAGCGTTTTGTGCGTTTGTCCGTTGCATGGTGGTGTATTATGGAGGCTGGGCTTGTTCAGCTCATGGTGGACATTGATCTGGATAGATACCGAGAGAAGTTGTGGAAGGAATATCACATCGCCTAAGTGGCGATGGTAAGCTTAATCAACCTCATCAAAATGTATCCCATGACCTCACACCTTCTTCCCCTGCGCGATCAACTCGCTCACCTTAGGCGGCAACACCAACGCACTCCGATCATTCCGCCGCCAAAATTCCACAACCAACTCCGCCGTCCGCTCCGGCACATCCTCCTGGATGAAGTGCCCAGCCTCAGGCAGCACGACGAGCTGAAACTTGCCCTGCATCTGCCCGATCATGAGGTCCTTGTCGAGCCGGTCCGTGCCGGCGAGGATGAGCATTTTGGCCCCGCGGCCGGAGAGGAATTTGCGGCTCATGCCTTGGAACCAGTCTTCCCACCAGGGCGCGGTGGAGGCGAGGTCTGTGTGCCAGGTGAATTGCTGTGAGGTGGAGGCACCTGCTTCTGTAGGTGCTGGGACGGGGCGGAGGAGACTGGGGACGGAGATTTGGGCTGATTCCGGGGAGCGGATTGTGCGCGAGCGCGTGTGCCAGTTCACCGCGTCGTCGAGGCTGGAGAAGTGGGTGGGGCGGGTGGATAGGTAGGTTTTCATGTGCGCGAGGGCTTCGAGAGCAGAGCCTTCGACGACGTCGAGCACGCAGTAGCCTACGAGGGAACTGCCTAGGGCTGCGGTTGCTGCGAGCTCGGTGACGATGGCGCCGCCTAGGCTGTGGCCTATGAGGATTGCAGGGGGGATGCTGGGCCAGGAGAGGTGGGATTGGGTCAGGCGGATCATGTTTAGGGCGTCGGAGGCGAGGGTTTTGATGCTGAAGTCGGCGGGGGTGGTGTCGTTCGCATTAGGGGCGGGTGTGACGATGGAGCCGTGAGCTCGCGCTTCGAGACTTAGAATGCCTGCTTCGGGGAGGAGGCGCTTGATGTGTTTTGCAAAGAGGGCGAAGGAGAGGCCAGAAGCGCCAGCGCCATGGTGGCAGATGAACAGAGGTCCTTTTTTGGGGTCTTGTGGAGGCGTGAGGTAGACATGGTATTTAGCAGTTTGCGTGTCATCCCGCCAGTCGAGGTAGAGGTCTTGAGTGAAGTAGTTGGTCCAATGGGTTGGTTGAGCGGCTTGCTCGCGTGAGCTGGGGCGGATTGTGTTGATGGAAGCGACGGAGTCTGTGGGAGATGAGGAAGAGTCGGATGGTGGGTGGGATTCTTCTGGGTCGTATTGGGATATTGGGTTGGGTCGTGGTCGGGGAGGCGTCCCGTTCAGGCTGTGTCGGAGGAGTTCTGACATGGTTGTGCTTCGTTTATGAGAGCAGTATCATGGTTTGCATTGGTTGATTAATGAGTTGACGGGCGATTGAACATCAATCCAGAGGTGGAGTAGCAGCGACAGTGACCTCTGACATGGCATTACACACGCATTCACCTTCGATCATTGTGTGGTGTTCATCGGATGAGGTGTGGTAAATGGTCTGGACCAGCAAATAGGCTTTGCCTAGCGCGTCTCCCGTCCCGCCCGCCTCAAGCTCCCGTCGGGCTGTACCAGATGATGACGTAGTGCTCTCACATGAAGAGGAGCTTAAGCTCTCGAGCGTGACGACTCATGAATTCTCGTCGTACTTCACGTCTGCCTGATCTCACCATCCTCGCACGAAACACCCCGACGCTATCCCCCTTCCGCCCCTACGCACCCATCCGTGGTGCTTGTGGAGAGCACAAGAGCTGGGCTGAAGTGTAACACGACAGCATGTCCGGTCTGTTCACACGCAACAACAAGAAAGACGATCAAGAAGACCAGCACAACAACACCGCCGAGAACGGCTCGACGTCCAACATGGCCCGAGACTCCGCAGAGCATGAGCCCACTGAGAGAGACCGGCTGCTCCCCGCCGACCCGCATCGCCGCCCGCCGCACGCCGATGGCTACCTCGACCCCGACGACCCCGCCGTCTCCCCGTACAACCTGTGGACGGTGCGCGCCGTGCGCTACATCACCATCTTCTTCGCCTACCTGACCGTCGTCTGGTGGATCCTGCTCTTCGTCAGCATCTTCGTCTCCCCGCCCGGCCTGCACACCCGCGGCTCCGGCTTCACCGACTTCTCCTTCACCACCCTTACCCTCGGCGTCCTGCTCTGCTCTCTGCTCTTCTTCTCCGCCCCCAGCATGGCCATGCGCGTATGCCAGGGCATCATTGCCGTCTTGCTACTCGTCGACATGATCATCATCGTTTCCATTGCCCGCCTCCGCGCGGAAGAGGGACCGCCTGGTATTGCATCGGTTGTCTGGGCCACCTTGATGTGCATGTGGTGCGTCACCACCGACCGCATCGTTGCTTCGGGCAAGCGCGAGGAGGAGGAGCGCCTCACCGGTCGTGCTGAGACCAGACGCACCCTGAGCGGCTGGCTTGGCGTCCTTCTCGCAACCGTCATCCTTGTCGTGTACATCGTCATCGCTTTCTTCCTGACCGCTACCCTCATCATTCGCGCTCGTGATGCGAGTCTAACGTACGACGGCAACCGTTACTTTGTCGATGACGGCAAATACAAGGTCCACCTGGCCTGCGTGGGCAACGTCACCGAGGACAAGAATGGCAATCCCTACCCGACCGTACTGCTCGAAGGCGGCGAGTCGGCACTGGAATACGACTTTGAATATTGGGTCTGGTCAGCCATCGAGAATGGCACTATCAGCCGCTACTGCTACTGGGACCGTCCTGGCTATGGCTGGTCCGACAACGCTCCCTCTCCGTAAGTGATCATATCCTTTACCATTTATACCTCTACTAACCACTTTCCCCCTACAGCCACAGCGCCGGCATGAGTGCCGAAAATCTCGCCACAGCCCTTGCTCTCAAGGGCGAAGAAGGGCCGTGGATCCTCGTCTCCGCCGGCTACGGCAGTCTCGTCTCGCGCATCTTCAGCGCGCGCAACCTGCGAAACGTCAGGGGCATCATGATGATCGACCCCATGCACGAGGATCTCCTGTACCGCATCGGAAACCCATGGATCGGCCTGCGCCGCTGGGGCTGGGGCATCCTCAGCCCGCTTGGCGTGCAGCGCGTCATCGGCGCCGTCTTCAAGGCTCGCACGCGCGAGGACCGCGTGTACGGCGAAGACGCCAAGTACACGGGCAAGTACGTCAAGGCCAAGCTGCAGGAGAGTCTCGTTGCCACATCCCTCACCAAGTCCGAGGTGGCTACGGCGCGCACCATTGAGTCGCCCGACACGCCGCTCGTGGTCATTTCATCTGGTGTGCGGATGGCAAACGATGAGGACTGGGCGCGCAAGCAGAGCGACTTGACCAAGATCACCGACAACCTTGTCAGCTGGGATGTGGTTAACAAGGCGCCACATGAGGTCTGGCACACGTATGATGGACGCCGGATTATGGAGAAGAGGTTGAAGGAATTGATCAAGGCTGCGAGAAAGTCGAAGGATGTTGTGGAGTGATCCCTTCGTACAGCACATGAGGAGAGGGTGGATATCTGAGGTTGATGATTTGATGGACGCAAGATACCTGGAACGGTTTTTCAAGCACAATAATCGTCGCAAGGCACAGCCCAGGCCTGTAGGTGTTAGGCGGTATTGGTAATTTTATGTGGGTTCGTGTACATAGCAGGAGGATGTGGTGAAATGAACCTCTTGGTCCTCGAAATATTATCATGATGACCTGTAGTGCTGCACCGCCCATGCACTCACCACCCTCACTTCTCCCGAATTCCCGCCAAATTGCCCTCCTTTGCCCTCTTCAGCGTCATAGCCACAATCACCGCCGCCCCAATCCCCGACCCATCTTCCGCACTCGTAATCGTAATCGGATCCTCCTTCCGATCCCCCGGCCAATCCAACACCTCGGCCATCGCCTTCGCCCACCGCCTCTTGAACTCGGGATGCTTGTTCGCCACGCTGCCGTCCGCCGCTACGTGCCCGGACGTGATGCCCTTTTTCTTGCAAATGGCCGCAATACCGCAGGAGCACAGCCTCGCGCCGCGAATGGAAATGAGCTGCGCGGTGCGGCGCACGAAGACGATTTCCTTGTCCGAAATGTCGAGGTTGAGTTTCTGCTTGAAGGCGTCGCGCGTCGGCGAGTCGAAGAGCATGCCTGGGTTGGCGTTGTGCTCTACGCCTGATAGGAAGCCTGTGTCGAGCAGGTACGGCTCGCGGAGCTTGGAGACGTCCTGTCCCTTGAACATGATTCCCTTGCCGTGCAGCTCGAGTAGGATGAGTCGGAAGATCTCGCCTAGGTAGAGGCCTGCGCTCATCTTTTCGAAGGCCTGCTCGCCTGGTTTGGGCGATTCTTCGTCGACCGTGACGTCGTAGGAGGTGCGGGGGAGGGCCGTGTGGGCGTTGTCGAAGGCGCCGTATTCGCAGTTGATCGCCATCGGCGTGTCTTGCGGTAGCTGTGTGTCGAGTTTGCCGATCGAGCCGACGTTCTCCATATACGCGCCGTTGCAGCCTGTACCGAAAATGGCGCCGATGATGGTCTGGGGGTCGGTGTAGGAGGAGGCGATCATGGCGCCTGTGGTATCGTTTATCAGGGCTACGAGGCGGATGGGCAGATTCTGTGGGATCATTCATCAGTCCACGCGACATCGACGTAGAAGAGAATGGAGACGCTACCCTCTTCGCCATCGCCTCTCGCAACTGCCCCACAGCATCCTCCCCCTCTACCCCCTTGATCTCAAATCCCTTCGTCCACGTCACCAGCTTCCCATGATCAATATACTCCTGATGACACGGGTACGAAAAGGTAAAGCCCAGCTGCAGCGGCTCCTCCTCCGACCCCCCCAAGTCATGCTTCGCGATGAACGTCTCGAGCGAGTCGGCGATGAAGTCCCACAAGGGCTGCGCCTCGCCGGTCTTCAGCTCGTCGGGCAGTCGGAACTCGTCTTGCGTGATGAGCAGTTCTTCTTCGCGCCCGCGCAGCTCGATCCAGCAGACGCGGATGTTGGTGCCGCCTAGGTCGACGACGAGGAATTTGCCGCGCTCGGTGCCGGAGGGGAAGCCTAGCACCCAGGTGGCGTTCATGGACTGTTGGATCCGAGTTAGCAAATAGATATTTTCAACCGCTTTCCGGGCTTGTATCGTACAATGTTGGAGCCATATTTGTCCAGTCCTACTCGCGAATTAGTCGTAAAATACCACAGATGGTGAGATGTCGACAATGCTAACCTGCTTGCAGCTCCTCCTGAAACTGGCTTACAATGTGTTTGAGTCGCTTGGAATCAACGGTAAAATCGTCTTTGAGTCGTTTCAACTCCAGCTGGAGTTCCAACGGCAAGGAGTCGAGCTCTACTTGGTCGTTGGTCGCGACTGTGCTGAGCGGCACCAGGCCGTGGGCGGAAGTGATGGTGTCCATGATGAATTACTAGAAAGAATGCGTAGCGAAGGAACAGACGATGGTATGCAGCGCTAGATTGTTGTGTTGAGTAGACAGTATATTTCCTCCATTCGACCTCGGAGCGAAGCCAACAGCCATCATTCTTTCTTGTCTCTGACGTCAACTTCACTGCAAAAGCCTTCGGACTAAACTCCCGTGGCATATGCAGGTACCCAAGGGCGATGGTTGTCTACAGGTGGCCTCACTCGAAGGGATCATCTTCACGCTGATCACATCAGCAGTCACCGTGTTGATCGTTTGATTCATAAGGCCAACCTTTGAGAGCGATAGATGTACCTCAAGTACCTTACTGTCGTGAAGCGCACGCTGCAAATGGCGGAGAAGGTGCGGGGTGGTGGGGTGGAAATTAGAGTTCGAGGCTAGCCCAAGCTGGGAAGGCAACGCAACACCTCCAGCTGGCCCGGCGATGGCGGGATGCTCTCCATCCGTTCCTGTTCCTGTTGCCTCCTACAGGTCCCCATCTATCTCATATCAATTCCTCCATTTCCAACATGGGCGGCGAAAAGGACACAAAGATGCCCTCGGCCTCGTCGGCTCATTACCCCCAACTCGCCGTGCGGCCCGTAGGCAAGCAGATCACCTCCATCTACCAGGACCGCTTACGCCAATTCGTCGACGGCGGCCAATACAGCGGCGTCAACCTCGTCGCCCGCCTCGACGACGCCCGCGTCTCCGGCTCGCCCAATGTCAAGCTACACGTCTGGTCCGCGCCGGGCCTCGAGCGGCCTACTTTCAAGGAAGCGACGAGCAAGGACAATGAGTTCAAGAAGACAAGCATTGGCGAGAGCTTCGGGCCGAGTTGGAGCACGCATTGGTTCGAACTGCGATTCACCGTGCCCAAGGGCTGGAAGAGTAAGCGGCAGGTTGAGCTTCATTGGGACTCGCAGGGCGAGGCAATGGTATGGACGAAAGATGGAAAGCCACTCCAGGGCTTAACGGGGCGCGGCGAGCGGACAGAGTGGATCTTGAAAGACGAGTATCGAGAGGTGGGGAAGGAGCATACGATCTACATTGAGATGGCGTGCAACAGCATGTTTGGCAATGCGCCTGGCGGCGATACCATCCAACCCCCCGACCCGAACAAGTACTACACGCTGGTGGAGTGCGACCTTGTGAGTGTCAATGTTGATGCTAGAGCCCTGTATTACGACTTCTGGATCATCGGAGACGCTGCGCGAGAGTTTCCCGACGACAGCTGGGAGCAACACAAAGCGCTGCAGATATGCAATGAAATCATGGACTGCTTCATTGCCGGCGAAGGCTCCAACGACTGCATCCGGGAGTGCCGAAAGATCGCGCAGCGCTATCTCGGCGACAAAATCGACAGCGCCGAAGTGTACGCGAACAAGCAGCCGGTGCTCGTCGACGGCATCGGCAATTGTCACATTGACAGCTGCTGGCTCTGGCCTTGGGCGGAGACGAAACGCAAGGTCGCTCGGTCCTGGTCCACTCAATGTGACATGCTCGATCGCTATCCCGAATACCGCTTCGTGGCGTCGCAAGCACAGCAGTTCCAATGGCTCGAACAGCTATACCCTTATGCGTTCGATCGGGTCAAGAGCCATGTAAAGGAAGGCACCTTTCAGCCCATTGGAGGCAGCTGGGTAGAGCACGACACCAACATGCCTTCGGGAGAGTCACTTGTGCGCCAGTTCTTGTACGGCCAACGGTACTTTGAATCGCGCTTCGGTCAGCGTTGTCGCACTTTTTGGCTGCCCGATACCTTTGGATACTCGCCTCAGATTCCCCAGATCTGTCGACTGGCTGGCATGAACCGCTTCTTGACCAACAAGCTGAGCTGGAACAACATCAACAACTTCCCACATACCACCTTCAACTGGGTGAGTTTGGACGGAAGTCAAGTCATTTGTCATATGCCGCCTTCGGAAACGTACACTGCCCAGGCGCACTTTGGCGATGTGAAGCGGAGCGAGTCCCAGCACAAGAGTATGGATCAGGATGCCACCTCTCTGTTGGTCTATGGCAAGGGAGACGGAGGCGGAGGACCGACGTTTGAGATGTTGGAGAAGCTCAGGCGTTGTCGTGGAGTCAGCGACACGGTAGGCAGACTGCCAAGAGTGCACCTGGGCAACAGCGTCGAGGACTTTTTCGATCGCTTGGAGAAGAAGGAAGCCACGGGCGAGACGGAGCTGGTCACCTGGTACGGCGAGCTCTACTTTGAGTTCCACCGGGGGACGTACACCACGCAGGCCGACAACAAGAAGAATAACCGCAAGTCGGAAGTTTTGTTGCACGACCTGGAGTACCTTGCGACGTTGGTCACGCTCAAGGGCGTCAAGGGATATAAGTATCCGAAGAAACAGATTGACAAGATGTGGGAGGGGGTGTTGCTCTGTCAATTCCACGACTGTCTGCCTGGCTCGTCGATTGAGATGTGCTACGACGACTCGGCGGAGATATATGCCGACATTTTCGAAACGGGAGGACACTTGATCAAGGAGGCCTTGAAGGCTCTTGGGTATGGCGATAAAGGAGAACCGTCAACGTTGAACACACTGAGCTGGGAGAGATCATCTCCTGCGACTTTGGAGGCTGCGTCGAAACCACATGCGACTGTGCGACAGATCAGCGACTCCGAGTTTACCTTGGAAAACGACGCTTTCCAGATCTCGGTTGAGGATGGCGCCATTACTTCTTTGTACGACAAACGCGCCCACCGAGAAGTCGTTCCGAAGGGCAGCAGAGCCAATCAGCTCGTCCTTTTCGATGACAAACCTTTATACTGGCAGGCATGGGATGTTGAAGTCTACCACTTGAGATCCCGAAAAGAGCTCAAAGCCAGCAGCACAACCATCACCGACCACGGCCCCGACAAAGTCTCAGTGACCAGCTTGACAGAAATCTCGGACAAATCCTGGGTCAAGACTACCTTGTCCCTCTCCGCTTCCTCCTCCGGCAGCCCCATCATCGAGACCACCGCCGAAGTCGAATGGCACGAGACAATGAAGTTCCTCAAAGTCGAATTCCCCGTCGCCATCACCAACACGGAAGCCTCCTACGAAACGCAGTTTGGCATCGTCAAGCGGCCCACCCACTACAACACCAGCTGGGACATGGCGAAGTTCGAGGTGTGCTGCCACAAGTGGGCCGACCTGTCGGAGCACGGGTACGGCGTGAGCGTGCTCAACGACAGCAAATACGGCTTCGCGACGGCGGGGCATGTAATGCGGTTGAGTCTGCTGCGTGCCCCCAAGGCGCCCGACGCGCACGCGGATATGAAGACGCATCATATCCGCTGGGCCATTCTGCCGCACGACGGCGCGCTGGACGAACGCACTGTGCGTGCGGGATACGAATTCAATTACCCCCCGCTACACGTCAAGGCTCACCCGCAACCGCAAGAGCTCGCATCCCTGCTCTCCGCTTTCAAATTCACGCCCGACTCCTCACCTTCCCTCGTCGTCGACACCGTCAAACGCGGCGAAGACGACGAGGACGTGCACCCGGGAGACAGCAGCGGCGCGATGCTAGCGAAGAGGGGACGCCACGTAATTGTGCGCGTGTACGAGAGTTTGGGCGGCCGGGGGCGCGGGACGATCAGGTTGGATGGGGTCAAGGCGACGAAGGCGTGGAAGTGTAATGTTTTGGAGGATGAGTTGGAGGAGCTGGAGGTTGGGAAGGCGGGATTGAGGGTGGAGTTGAGGGCTTTTGAGGTTGCGACATACAAGTTGAGGGTTGGGTAAGGGTGTGCTGGGTGCTGGGTGGTAATGGTATGTTGTGCTATCTTTTAGAGTGACCGTACGTTACTAGACTTCATCGTGCACTTTTCAACGTGATGTATTTGGCATGTTCCTTCGGGGGCATCGACGGGGCTTTCGGTGTCCAGTTACAACAGATAGCCTGAGTACCATATACAGCCAGGATTCGCATCCGAGCACGTAAACAACCGTTGCAAAAGGTTGCTATTTCCGTCCCTTTCGGCATCCCTTTCCATTTCCACGGCAGAATGCAGTTTATGTGATTCGTAGGAGCTGCTATTTCCGTCACGTAGATCGACGCCAGGCAGCAACGTTTTTGCCTTCCCCAATGGCTCTCCGCGCCTCTAGCTTCATCCGCCATTGCCTCGCCCAAAGCTTAGCTCGACGCCTTGATTTCTTCATTCGTCACGCTGTACCGTTGAACCCCTCGCGCTACCATTACTAAGGAACGCCTTCCATGCTGTCGGAGCTCGGGTTGCGGTGGGGGGGATTGCGTTCGCATCGGGAAGTGTAATGGCATAAAGAGCGTATGGCACCGCACCGCGCCATCGCGTCTTGATTGATCTCATCATCACCACGCACCCACTGAAAGCACCCTCTTCACGCGGCCAGCCAGCCTCGTCCAGACCGTCTAATCCCTTAGCGACCGACAACCATGTGGGACTCCGACTCCGGCAAACAAGCTTTGTTCTACATTCGCATCGCGCAAGTAAGTCGATAGCCTTCCCCCCACCACTTCTACGCTCGCGAACGCACAACTAACACTTCCCCCCCTCACAGATCCTCTTCAGCCTCACCACCACGGTCCTCGGCGGCTACATCGCCTCCCTCAACCAAGAATCCGCGCTCCTCGTCTCCATCGGCGCAGGCTGCACCGGCCTCGTCGTGCTGATAGCCTACATAGGCCTCTTCGCCGCCCGCCGGCCGGCAGACGTACATTGGCACCTAACCCTGTCGCTGGACTGGTTTGCTCTCCTACTAGTGCTGTACGCCGCGGTCGTGAGTGGTCCCTTTTACGCCGGGTACACACATACACAAAACATCCAGCTAACGTCGATGTGTGATGACTAGATCTTCACCCTCACCGCCGGGTTTACGTTCTACACCAGCAGCGTGTCGGTGGCGCGGGCCGATGTCGCGCTGCTGTGGCTTTTGTTGCTCGTTGGCATTTTCCCCATTGTGCGCACGCATCGGCTGAAGAAGGCGGGCAGGCTGCCGCTTCCGGGGCACTTTCATCGCGAATTCATTCCCATGGATGCAGGGGTCGAGGCGGGGAAGCCGTAGGCTCTCTACGTTTGTGAGGAGATGCAGGTTGAGGGAAGGGGGATGGGCTGAGCTGCTGTTTGCTCCTGGCAATCTTGTACGAACGGCATGAAACGAAAACCAATTCTTTCATCATCGCTTTGCTAGCGGACGAGGGATGCGCATGGGGGGTATCTATGAATCAGACGAAACGAAAGTTGAATCTCCCTCTCCCCTCCTCCCACGCTGACTACCTCTTCCCCTCAAAGCTCCGCCAACACCTCCTCAGCCAAATGCCGATACCTCTCCGCGTCGAAGCGCTTCCGTTTCCATCCCCGCTGTCTGCCTTCCAGAATGCGCGTCTGCTTGTCGACGGCTTGGGCGGTGTCGGCGGGCCAGAAAGCGTGAGGTTGTGCGAGGGTGGAGGCGCTTTCGTTGATGGGTAGGAGAGTGGAGGACGTGCTGCTACTCGTACGCGTTGCTTGCGTGCTGATGGCGCGCTGCTTTGCTTCTTCCAGGAGGGCGAGGTGGCGGTGGAGCTGAGTTTGCATGGCTTCCAGGTGGGTTGTGTGGGGTCGTTGATGTTTGAGGGGCGGTTGGGAGGAGAAGGGGTTGAAGAATCTCGATGAGGCGCTCTCAATAGGTGTACGCGGTTCGATAGGAGAGACGCCCGACGCATTCGATGCTACGCCATCTTCTGATCCCATCGGCGAAACGGGGGAGTACTCGTCCACGGGCGATGCTTGTTCGCTGGCGGTGAGAAGCTGCTTGCGTGCCGTTGGCGAGGCCAATTTCGTGTCGAGCCGGGGGAGTTTGGATGTGGCGAGTTGCTGATGGTGGCCGGAGTAGGGCAGGCGGGGTGGGCAGTAGTACTGCTGTGGAGGCTCGCCGGTGCGGATGGGTCGCATTAAGCCTCGCGAGGTGCGCGGCTGCTGGTGCTTCTGGTGCTGCTGAGATTGAGGACGGATGAGTGGTAAGAGGGAGATGGAGGAGTAGTCTCGGGGCAACTTGGTGGGGCCGAGGAAGATGGTGCCAAGGGGAGTTTCGATTTGGTCTTGGCTGGTGTTGCTCTCTAGGTCGTCGTCGTCGTCGCGGTCGTTGAAATCATCATCATCGTCATAGTCTTCTGCTATGTCTGAGGCGGTTGGGGAGATGGGGGAGGGGCCGGCGGTGGTCGGGGTCTTGGACGCTGTGACGCTGTCTTTGCGCAGATGTGTTGGGTTGGGGAAGGCGGGCTTGTATGGAGGGAGGCGCGAGACATGTTGGGTGAAGTGAGTGTTTGCGTGGTCGTTGCGAGTGAAATGACGAGCAGACTCATAGAAAGGGTCGATGTCTCGTTGAGGCGTTGGGACCGACATGCTGTCTGCCGGGGTGGGGAATGAGCGCAGTGCATCCTGGTACAGCAGCTCGGCCTGATGAATGGCGGGAAGTTTAGTCGTGGAGCAGTCGTGGATGGCGCGAGCCAACTCGTCGTGCGCCAGGGCCAAATGGCATTGAAGAAAGGTGTGCTGCAGAGACTTTGCCGGGCCGTCGGTCCTGCTGGATTGGATCAATTGGCGACATGCTGTGATACACCGACGGTACTCGCAGCGCAGAAAGAGAGCGTGGACGTGACGCAGGTGCGAGGGCGACGGGGGAGGGAGGGCGTCCATGGCCGTCGACAGCGGTGCCATTCTGCAAGCGCACGTCGGAGGATGAAAGAGTCGTTCGTCGTCGTCGGCAGACGGGCATCGAGTTTTGTTTTTCGCCTTTGCAGTGCAGGGCCAGCCACCGGCGCCGGGCATTTCATCATCTGCAGTTAGCGGCGAATGCAGCAAGATTGTTAGTTCGCGGCGGCTTGCAAGGCTGGCGTCGGCGTCGCGCCAATTGATTCGCTGCGGCCTGCAGGCGCCAAGCGGGACTGGCGAGATTGGGGGAAATGCACACGCCTGCCCGTGCATGGGTCTGGGGTGAGGAGGTGCCGATCATGAAATTCGATCCAGCTCGTGCGTGACACGTGTGGCGTCGGGCAGCGTGTGGCCGATGGCTTGCGTGACCTTGGCCAACGCATCACTCAACACCTCTGCCTGCTGTGCATGTGTATTGTATCCAGGCACCGCACCACAAGCAGCCAGTCTAACTAATGTCGTCTCTATCCAATGTAATGCCGTCTATCCTTCTCCATCCATCCTCGCACCATCCTCACACAGCATACCCATGCCGCCCTCACTTCCCTCTTGCCTGAATCTCCCGACACCGCCGCGCCAAATCAGTAATATGCTCGTCCCCGCTCTCCGCACTCAACGCATTCAGCGCCGTCTCCAGTTCGTACAGGTAGTCGACATTCTCCCCGCTCGGCCCGCGGCTGCGCACAATATGCTCCGCCAGCCCCTGCGGCTCCTGCGGGCCCATGAACTGCGGATTGTCCGGCAAGCCAATGTACACCAGACAGCGGATCTGGCGCGGCGCCCCGTTGGGCGTGTCGGCTGCGTGAACCGTTTGGTATGTCGCTGACATGTCTTGCTTGAAGGGCGTGTAGTGTATGCTGTACCCGTTGATTTCGCGGATGTTGAGGAGCTCGGTGGCTTCTGCGACGTGCTTGGAGGGGATGCGGTATGCTGCTCCCCAGACGCGTGGCGGTGCGGAGGCGTGCTGGTCGGTCAGGGTTTCCCAGAGCTTGCGGTCGATGAGAGTGGCTACACGCCCGGGGGCTTCGACTGTGCCGCGATGGTCCTGGCTTTGTTCATGTCAGTTTCTCCATGTCGTACGAGAAGGAACAGAGTCTCTACCTAGCCTGTCATGGCCTTGTCAGCTCGTGTTTACCTCGTGCCGTCGAATGAAGAGATATGCATACCTGCCAGAAGCGCCGGACGTATCCCTCAATGTACCCGGGAACCCGTAGATCTATTCCACGTCAGACTCCATCACATCCTCCTATTTGATGCATCACAATCTTACCATAGAGCGGCGGAGGCTTCCATATCAACGACCTGTGCAAATCCCAGTCATTATGGCTGGTCTGCATCGCCGCGGAAAAAGCATCACCACTCACCCATAGCCAAACAGCCACAGATCCTCAACCTGGTCCTCCTCCGACATGGTATGGAAAAGATGCGCAAAATCAAAATACTAATGGTAAAATCTCCAAAGACGCCTGCTCGACATGCAGTTCGAAAGAAGTTGGCGGGAGGATGAACAAGCTTTCAATGGCACCATTCCATCAGTCTTTCTTTTGCTTCTCCCGCGGCGCATCTGCTCCACCGCACCCGACTGCCGATCCTTCACCTCTCTCTCCATCATCGCCATTCATCTCCAGGGACCTTGCGTTGTAATCCATCTGGCAACAACGGTAAGATGGTAGCCTAGCATTGCTCTAGATCCACCCCTCCCCTTCCATTTCCCACAATCACCCTCGGGCAGAGACATGGGGCTTCAAACCCGCCTCAGTAGCCTGTGGAGCCTGCTGATCCCTCAGCCTCACTCACCACCAGCTGACTCACCCCCAATGTCAGCATCCATATTCTCCTCCCCCCCTCCAACCACCCCTTCTACACCTCCATTCCCCCCCTCCCAAACAGCAAAAATGTCCCCCCAAGTAACGCTCCACACCGCCCGCCTAACCCTGCGCTTCGCCGACCTCCACTCCCCCACCGACGCCCACGAACTCGTCAAACTGCACACCTCCGAAGCAGCAGCGAAATCCGGCGTCCCCCGACAAATCGACAGCCCCGAAGCCCTGCGGCGCCAACTCCCGCGTCTAGGCCCGAAAGCAGAGCTGTGCACGCGCGCGCCCCCGCCCGAGGGGATGTACTTTCTCATCGTCTTGCCCCCTCCTCCTTCTTCTGAGGATGGCAAGGCTGAAGACGAAAGCAAAGGCACAGTAATAGGCATGAACGCCCTCGTCTTCCGCCCCGAAATGCCATATCCGGACATGGCATACGCCATGAACACCGCCTACGAAGGCCACGGGTACGCGTCAGAAGCAGGGCGCGCAGCCCTAGCCTGGTGGAGGGATGTCATCGGCGTGGAGAAGATTTGGTGCGGCACGCTTCCGGCGAATGTGCGCTCGCAGCGCTGCGCGGAGCGCATTGGCTTCGTGCGCGCGGGGGGCGTGGATATTGTGCTGGGCAATCCGCCGGACGAGGCGACGCGGGTGCGCGATTGCGTGGCGTTTGTGCTGCCGGGGATGGAGGGGGAGTGGGTGGAGGGTAGGACGATTTATCCTTCCGTCAGGTGGTAGATGTAGATTGTAGATAGATGTACAAGTGGTTGGTTGTGGAAAGGACTGATTACGACAGCTGACATTACAAAAGATGTATCCACACACAAACACACGCAAGTGAGAGAGCCGCTTCTGATGTGCTCCCCAAAACACCCATTCCGATTTTGTACAGTCCCTCAAAGGGACGTCGTGCGAAGTTGTTCGGCCCGTAAAGTATCGTTGTGTATCAATTGCAACCCAAGCAATGACTCGCGCCAAAAACACCTTGCGCGGAAACAAAGACGATGAGGGAAAAAGGAGTCGACCGTAAAGATAATCGAACAAAAGAGAGAGAGAGAGAGGGTGCGGCGGCCGTCATAAGCGTTATCCAGCATCAGGCATCACGTCATCCACACAACAAGCAAAGGCGAAAAAGACGAGTCGCTAGATCTGCTAGATCTTCGGCGGACTGCCCTTCTCCCCCAGCTTGCCCAGCAGCGTCTCGGGCGGGATGCGCGACATGTTGCCGCGATACCGCGTCTCCGTCATCGGCACGTATCCTTCTCTCCGTCGGCGCGCTCGTTCAATGAGAATGCCGGCGACGACGAGGAGGAAGATGATGGCAAGCGCGATGGCGAGGCCGATGAGGACGACGAAGCCGACGGCCAGGTGGTTGCTGCCGAGGTGCAGGAGGCCGGTGGGGTTGCTGACGAAGAGCTGCGAGACGGAGCCCGGGGTGCCGTCGCTTTTGGTTGTGAGGAGGAGCGGCTCGAAGCCGGTGCCGTTGAAGAGGACGGCGCTGGCGTTGCCGTAGTTGGGGATGTTGATGTTGCCGGATATTACGAGGGCGTTGTTGCTCGGTACGAGGGCGGTGGAGGAGTGCGAGTTGGTGAGTTCCATGACTTGCAGGCCGCGGATGATTGTGTCTTTGCCGAGACCACCGACTGCCGTCCAGCCGCCGTTCTGGTACAGTGACAGATATGCCGAATTGTTGTTGGAAGCGACACCAGCGGCCCAGAAGCTGTCGAAGTTGCTGCTCGCGGTCGTCAGAGCGGTGATTTGGCCGGGCAACGATGCCGCGTTGGTAAAGGCGGTGAAGGTCTGCTTCTTGGAGTCGTAGGACGCCATCTTGGTCGCGGCGCCATTGATGGTAAGATCGCCAGCAATGATGAGCGTGGTTTTGGACGACCACATCATGGCAGTGATGACGCCCGATAGGCCATTGCCAACCGGGTTCCATTGCTGCTGCGTGGTATCGTAGTAACAAAGAGTGGCACACGGAAGCGCGCCGGCATTCGTAAAGTCGCCGCCGACATAGACGTAGCTCGTCTTATCCTGGGGCGCAATCGCATTGACGGCGACATTGTTTCCAGAGAGCGCAGGAGGCTGAGGCGACTGCACCTTGCCCGTCTGCATGTTGTAGACGACGAGGCCGTTGAGGTCGTTGCCATCCACTGTTCCCGAAATCGAGCCTCCGGCGAAAAGTAAGGTGTCCTGGTATGCCAAAGCGGCGACCGTCGACTTCGCATCAAGCTGGCTGACGCCACTGACAGTCTGGGACGAGCCCGTCGTCTTGACAATGACCAGATTCTGCACGGTTGTCCCATCACTGCCAGTGGCGGCGAAGTGGCCACCGAGAGCGGTGATGTTGAGGCCGTTGTTGTCGTAGAATAGCCCGGTGTAGATACCGGTGGCATCCTGAGTGGCGTCGCTGGCGCGCTTCCGCTTGGAAGAGCTGCTACCAGTATCCTGCACTTTGAGTCCGAATGATTGCAGAGTCGGCTGGCCAGAGCCAACCAGCTCGGCAGCTCCACTGTATCCGAGGGCCTGCGACGAAGCTTGCCCGGCATACAACGGAAATTGCAGGCCCGAGACCATCGTGGAGGTAGACAATTCGCCTTGGACCGTAACGGCCGCATCCGCAATGTTGTTGAGCCAGTTGTTCTTACTCGGTACCCAGACGGCCAAGCCGTCCGCACTGAAGGAAGGGCTGCCGCCAACCGCGTTCACAGAGGTGAATGTCCCGCTGATGGAAATGCAGGTCTCCGAATTGCCACTGGTGATGTTCAGGTCAACGGGGACGATGGTCTGCACGGTACCGTCAACACCAGCGCCCAGGGCCGTCCAGGTGTTGCTACCAGTGTCGAAAGACGCGACGTTCGCCAGGCCAGTCACAGAGCTGTCGGCGGTATTTGTGAAATTCCCGCCCAGGTACAATGTCGAGCCAGACAGGTACATCGTCTCGACATTCGCATTCAGTCCACCGTTTGGGAGCGAGTTCGCCTTCGTGGTGATGGACAAGACGTTGGAGATTCCCTTCCCTGAAAAACTGCCGCCCACATAACCCGTATCCGAATCCCACACCACCGAATTCACCACTGCCCCCTGTGCCAACTGTGTGCCCGCAGAATCGATGGCAGAATCGGAGAAATCCATGCTTACCGTTGCCTTATTTGGGTTGTACTCGTACAATCCATTCAGCCCACCGCTGGTGGTGATCAGCTGGAATCGCACCTTCTGCGCAACGACGGTCTGAGGCAGGGCCTGGTTTGCGACTGGCGTGAGAGTGACTGAAGGCGCGAAGCCGGACGCGAGATCGACGGAGCCGAAGTAGATTTCATCGTACTTGTCGTAGTCGTTGGTCTGGGTGACGGTGGCTGTCATGGCTGGTTGCCCAGGGTGCATGGTTCCTACAAGGTTAACCGATCCACGAGTGGCGCATGTGCCATCCGAGATGCACCCTGGTGTGTAGACTGTGATGGAGAAGTTTCCAGATTGCGGAATGTTCGGGTTGAAAACGACGGAGGTGCCCGAAGTGGCTTGAGCTTCGGAGGTGAGGTAGGCCGAGAGGTAGTCTGAGTTTGTGCTGCCGTTGTTCGGGATTCGGTTCCACAGACCGGATGCCGGGTTGACTACGGACGTGGCAGCATTGCTCACGCCATCGCAGTTCGGCTCGTTAAAGGCATTGATGGCAAAGGAGTAGATGTCGTCTTGGAACATCTCGATACCAGAGAAGCCGGCACCATCGCCATACCAGTCGTTGATCCAGATGCGGAAGTTGTCGACGCCGACAGGCTGCGTGAAGATGAAGTCCTGCGCGTCAGTGTTGCCTTCTGGCAGAGGGCAATTGCTGGCACAGAGTTGAGTGTTACCGCTGCTGTCAGTGTAATTGAACTCGAGATAGCCACCGTTCGCCAGGTTTTCGAATGCCCACGACTTGGTACCGCGGCCTTGGTATTTGGTGTTGTACAGGCGAAGCTTGGTGGGAATGAAGCCGAAACCATAAGTGCCCTGCCAGAAACCTCCGCGGTTGTCCGACAATAGCCACGTGTTTCCGGGTCCGTCGCCGCCAGTCTTGCAGATGATGTTGCTCGGATCCTCGAAGCCGGCGATGGTACTTGTTGATCCTTCGGCTGAAATGGTACCGCCAGCGAGGTTGACAACTTGGCCGTTGGGTGTGACTGCTGTAGTGGTGTTTCCCAGCCCGTCAAACTGCCCGCCGAATACGATGTTGCCGGCGGGGTTCTTTGCGATGGAGTTCACGGGTCCATTAAACCCGGCAAACGGAAGGTTCTCCCAGCCAGTGGTCCACGACATTGCGTTCTGCGAATTACCAGCAGAGAACATGCCTCCGACGTACACCGTACCCGAATCGTTGTCGCAATACAGCGTCGACACCACACCATTAATGCCCGTCAACGGCGACACCGTGTTGGTGCTGGAATCCCATAGCGCTATGCTCTGCGCCTCGACTCCTCCTAATCTTGTGAAATTGCCACCGACCACCACTCCTTGCACCTTGCCATTCCGTTCAAACTGGCACATGGCCGCGATGGACGCGTCGGATGTCTGCAGCGTCTCGAATTGGCCATTCGGGAACTGCGTGAGCAGCGATTGGCTGCCATTGTTGGTGAGAAGGGCTTCGCTCTGCCCGGTGTATTGCCATAGTGATATGCTGTCGAAATCGCCGGCCACGGCCACGCGGCCTAATTGCGAGAGGTCGAGGTTCGGGGAGGGCGCGGGGGTGAATGATATCGCGTAGGCACCCTTTGCTCCGAAGAGGACGGGGGAGGTCAGGATGAAGGCAGCAAGCTCCGGCCCAGCGGCCAGGAGCTGCGAGAGCAGGTTCCGCATCGCATGCGGCAAGGCGGGCGGCGGTCGCGATCACAGGGCCGGCAAAGGGATGGTGAGGATGGATGGTGAGGATTGATGAAGAGCGCGCACGTCTGGAGAAGATCGGGAGGCGCAGGTGGGATCAATGCATTCCGGGCCACGGCCAATACAAGAAGGCAGGCCGTCGTCTAAACCGTGTTTGGCTCCCTCCTTGCAGATCCGGCCGGGGAGCGGGGCCCAGCTCGATGAGGCGGTGGCTGGACTGTTGGAACGAATGACTATGGGTGAGTAGGAGGCCCGGACGCCGCGCGGTCTGCTGGCGATGGAGCGATGTCGTGAGAGGTGAAGATGGAGGATGTTGATCTTGGAATGTGTCGTTAGGGAGACTCATTCGGGGGTGCGAACTGGCTCGGTAGATTCGTGCACGGCCCGCTTTGGGCGAAATGAGGATCCGTTAAGCAAACCTTCGTTGCTGCGCTAACGCCCCCGATCCACCAATCACCGCTCGCTTCTGGCTATTTTCATTTGGGCGGCGCCGCCATCGACGACCGCCAACGACCACTCTGGCGCGGTGCTCTTGCTGTACGAGACTCTGGCAATGTCTGCTTCCGCTTGGCAGACTTGTGTACGACAACATTCTTCTGCGCGCTTACATTGGACGAGGGCGTCTCGTATTCTCGGAAAAGACTGCCATCTACGCGAGAAACGCGAAAAACCGGATGTTGCCCACAGTTCACGTCATACAACGAACGCATGGACCAGACGTGGACCTGCCCGTTTTCTGTATGTGAAACCATCGGCACGCCGAGTATCCGCCAAATATCAAGAACCCTCCTCCTCTTCAGCCGCCGGAAGGCACGCAAAACACGCGTGCCTTGGCCTTGCACGTCAGAACTCAAGCATTGCGGCCCGCGAGACGTGCAGCGACACGTCTTGTACTCGTCGCGTCGCTATCAGGCTGCTCACCACTGCACTCCATGTTCACGCCTCAGCCACGTTTGTCCTCGTGCCACCGCGTATTATGCAAGTCCTTGCTCGACGGGAGGCCCATTCGTATCTCCGCTTCGTGCTCCCATCTGGTGAATGACCTCGCCAGACTCATGTTCGTCCTCAGCCGTCAGTCCGAGCGCTCGATACCGTTGTGCTTGGCGCAGTACTTTCCACAATAGCAGTACAACGTGTCCAGCGTGCCGGCCCCTTCCGCAACCCACCTATCGAAATCTCGACGGCCCTGCTTCTGATGGCGGATCGCTTGGTCCTCAAGAGCTCTCTTGTTGAACCCTTCTGCGCTTTGCGGCGATAACTTCCCGTCGTAGCGACATCCTCGAAGTTTTCCCGGCAATATGATGTAGTCGTCTTGAATGTAGCCCTCGTCTCGCTCAACTGGGAGATAGTCCTTGTGCGCATATCGACAACGCGGATTCGGGCAATCCCTGGACGAGTGTGGATTGTCCGGGCACCAGCGGTGAACACATGGGGTGTAGCTCAGCTCACACTGTTCGCACACCGGTGCCTCGTTGCATGGAAGGCCATGTCCACGACAGTGATCGCACACCATGAATTGGCCATCGCCGTAGTCGTAGTCGTAGTCGTCGTCGTACCATTGACCCGTCTCTTGCGAGTGCGGCTCATTGTCCTGTGTAGTGACATTTGCGTATTGGCCGTTGTTCTGCTGTTTAGCACAGATTAGTACTTTTGGCGTCAGGAGGGCATCACTCGTCACTCACCTGTTGAGTCTCCGCATGGGACCTCTCATTGTAGTGTGCCCTTCCTGCTTGAGATCTATTCATCTCCATGCGCTTGTCGAATTGATGTAGCATCCCAGTGACTGTAAGGGGGTTGTGGAGAGCAAACAGAACTTTGCGCGCCTCCCAGACAGCTTGCTGTGCCTTTTCAATTGCCCTTGCCCCTTCATCGTTGTAGTGCCAGTCCAAGTTGTCAAGCTGATTGGCCGCTTTCCGGAGGCCGACGCACTCATAGCAACGGCACTGCGTATGCTGCCCGCACACCTCATTAACCTCCACGGCATCCGCGTTGCGTCGCCAGCTGGCCATGTTGACAGCAGCCGAGAAGGCGATGAAGTTCAAAAGAGCGGAGGACAACAGCAGAAGGTGATGAAGAGAGAGGGGAATGCTGGACAGCAACATAAAGTGACGCAAAAAGAGATTGGCGGGGAGGCAAAGGAAGGCGCGGGAAGCAACACAAAGGGAAAGAGCGACCAACCATCGAACACAAATAGGCTCATTGTATCGATCACGTGAAAAATGGGCATGCATTGCAACGTCCTCTCCGCTTGAGAGCGAGAGGCCTCTTTTGACAACAATCTCTCAGCATCATCTCGCACCAACGACACCCCTGATGTCAGCTCCACTTGACCAACATACTCAACCTTGCACTCTGAAAGTCCTTCCGCTTGCCGTCTTCCTCTCCTTTTCTTCTGCCTCGGGTCTTGCTCTCCGCAACACTGTAACAGAAGTTCATCAGCATGTCTATTTGCCTTCGGCGTGTAGCACGGGCCTACCTTGCAAGAAGTCCGCCGTCCTTCTCCTCATACGGGAGTGGATGTAGGCCTTGCTCGCCTTGATGTGGTAGTGGAAGTAATCTCGGAACGTTTGGATGTGCGAAATGACCTCTTCTCTGCGCTGTGGGGTCAAATGCCTCGGGAAGAGGACTGGTATCCATTAGCATGGACTCGAGGACAAACGCGTTGCTACTCAATGCACTCACCGAACGTGATGTATGACATTTCACCCTTGACCTTGGGAAGTCCGGTCTGGCCTTGCAATTCGAGCGGCGGATCGTTGCGGAAGAGCACCTGTGGCGCGTTTTGGATGGCCCTTCGTCGGGCATCCGCAAATTCCTGCAAGAAGACCTTGGCAAAGATCCTATCCGTCTCTTCTCTGAACACCGTGCTGAAGATGACCGTGACACGATCGTGGCTGGCCTTGATAAAGATGGCTTCCTCTTCACGGTAGTGGATCGCTCGTACCGCACCACCCTCCTTCACTCCCTGCGGCGCCGACTCGGAGGTATAATGGCTTGCTTCCTCATGAAGCGCGGTGTACTCGTCGAATGCCTGCTCAAAGGGCGCAGCCATGGCGTTTCTCTTCAACAAGCTCACTCGCCTGATCAGATCATCCCTCTCCTCTTGGCTGGCGGGTAGCTTCTCGAGATCCACTTGGACGGAGAAGTCGTATCCCGCCTCCGGCTGGACAATGTAGGCTCCATACTCCCGTTCGAGCACGGCTTGCGCCCCGTACTGGAGGAGCTCGGGGTAGCATTTTAAGCGGATGGACACAAGGATTTGAGTCTTGGTGTTCGGGGTGGAGATGTGGAAGGTGACATTGTCGAAGTCGGATACGACTTGGTCGATTGAGGAGGGCGTCGCACTGTGCGCAATGTCAGTCACTGAGCTTGGGATGGAGCGTGATGGCGCATTACTCCGGAGCGAAGCGGTCTCTCAACAAGCTCTCGATGAGCACGTTCTGATAATCAAGGAGAAGCATGATGAGGGATGCAGGCGGCCAATGAGCCGCTGATCAATTCAGTCGCTGGGTGTTGGAGTGCTGGTTTGTCGTCGAATCCGAGGGTGGAAGTGTCCGCGTGTACAGGATCCGTCTCTGCCTGGCTGCTGCCCGCCATTTCGGTGGTGAAGTGGGACCTGAGGCTCTGCGGGAGCACCCGCACTGTGGGGTCGATGAAAGCGCATGCTTCTAAAAAGTTTCGAGACAGAGACGCTTGCGACCGATCATCAACGATGGTGCGCTCGTACAGGTTCGTGGTTGGAGATTGCGCCCGTTACCGCTTCATATGCTAACAATATCCCTTCAGAAAGTACGAGGCTTCTCACTCGTTCGGCACAGTCTGCACCTCCACCGCGAATACCCTCTGGACGCCATCACCGAGCGCAAGCGCAAGTAGCACTTCTCGCTCCACATCCGCCGGTTTAGCATACACGCCCGCCAATCAATCTATCCAGTGTTGGGATCTCAAAACAAGCGCTCTCCTCTCCACCCTCACCGACACCACAAATACTGCTCAGAGCGCTGTCACAGCCCTCGCGCAATGCGCCGCTCAGCCAGATGTCATCGGTGCTGGATATAGCGATGGCTCAATCCGGATATGGGACGCTCTGAGTGGGCAGTTGGTTGTGAGATTCGACGGACATCGTAATGCTGTTACACATCTGGCTTTCGACCGGACTGGAGAAAGAGTCGTCAGCGGAAGTCGGGATACAGATGTGATCATATGGGACCTTGTAGGGGAGACAGCGGAGGGAAAATTAAGAGGTCACAAGGGCGAGATAACGGGCTTATCATTCTTGTCCACCTCAACCGAAGATTCTGGAGCCGAGAAGGGAGAGAGATATCTCTTGACAACGTCGAAAGATGCGCTAGTAAAGATCTGGGATCTGGAGGGCAAGCATTGTCTCGAAACACACGTCGCGCAAAGTCATGGCGAATGCTGGGCTTTGGGAGTGAGCTCGGACGGTGACGGTTGTATCACCGCTGGAAACGATGGCGAGCTCAGAGTATGGAGCATCAATACCGAACATCTTACTGCGTTGGACAGCCGAGCGCGGTCCGACAATCGAGAGAATGGAGAAGCAAAGATACTGCAAAGCCGCGGCATTCTCCGCCGACAAAACATCAAAGACCGGACGATCGACATAAGTTTTCATCCAAGGCAGTCCTACATTGCGATCCATGGCTCCGAAAGGGCGGTCGAGATTTGGAGAACCCGAGGCGAGGATGAGCTTCATAGACACATGCAGCGAAAGCGTCGAAGGCGGCGTGAGAAAGCCGCTGCGTCTGGAGAAGTTCTTGCACCGGAGACCTCGGAGACGACAGAGACACCCGACGTGACTGACGTCTTCTTACCACATGTTATCGTGCGCACAGCTGGAAAGGTCCGATCAGCCAGATGGATGGACGGCACGAGCAACAAATCGACAAAATCCCTGCAGCTCCTCGTTGCAAGTACGAACAATTTGCTCGAGACGTATACCGTCCAAACACATGCTGCTTCGAAATCAGCCGCCGAGTCAACCGCGGTAGACTACAGCCGGACTCTTTCCGTTGACCTTCCGGGCCACAGGGCTGACGTACGCACCCTATGTCTCTCCTCTGACGATCGCATGCTGGCGAGCGCATCTGCGGGACAGCTCAAGATCTGGAACCTTCGAACCCGATCCTGCATTCGTACACTCGAATGCGGCCAAGCGCTCTGTTCCGCTTTCCTCCCAGGTGACAGGATTGTATTGGTAGGGACGAAGAGTGGCGACTTGGAACTCTACGACCTCTCCACCAGCACCTTGATCGAAAGCATTCCGGCTCATGATGGTCAAGCCATCTGGACGCTCGCCGTACACCCCGACGGACAAAGCGTAGTGACTGGATCGGCTGATAAAAGTGTCAAGTTCTGGCGCTTTGATGTGGCCGAAGAAGAAATTCCTGGTACCCGACGAACGACGCAACGACTGAAACTCACGCAGAACCGCCAGCTTAAACTGTCGGATGACATACTGAGCCTTGCATTCTCACCTGACCAACGGCTACTGGCTGTCAGCACGCTCGACAATACTGTGAAGATCTTCTTTGTGGACTCACTGAAACTGTTCCTCACTCTCTACGGCCACAAGCTACCAGTCCTTGACATGAGCATCAGCTCCGACAGCAAATTGATCGCCACGTGCAGTGCCGACAAAAACATCCGAGTCTGGGGCTTAGACTTTGGCGACTGTCACAAAGCGTTCTTTGCGCATGAGGACAGCGTGATGTCTGTCAATTTCGTTCCTCACCCGGTCGAGCAGGACGAGAGATATATACTATTCTCTGCGAGCAAGGACGGGATGGTGAAGACTTGGGATGCGCAGAAGTTCGAGCAGGTGCAGCGGCTCGAGGGGCACAAAGGAGAAATCTGGGCCATGGCGGTGAGCCGGACGGGTGAGATGGTGGTCACGGCTAGTCACGACAAGAGTCTACGCTTGTGGGAAGTGGGCGATGACCTGGTCTTTCTCGAAGAAGAACGAGAAAGGGAGCTGGAGAGGATGTACGAAAGAGACATGGCCGACAATCTGGACCGCGACTATCGTGAAGGCGAGCAGAACGGAGATGCAGATGAATTAGCAGCCGCCAGCAAGCAAACGGTCGACACCCTCACACACGGCGAGAAAGTGATGGAGGCGCTGGAGCTCGGCATGGCAGATCTGGACATCGTGCGAGCACACGAGCGCGAGAAGGCGAAGAATCCCAGGGCTGCCCCTCCGCAACGCAACCCGCTCTTCCTCGCCCTGGGCAACATCAGCGCCGAACAGCACGTGCTCAACACGCTGCGGAAAATCCCCACGCCCGCTCTCAACGACGCCCTGCTCGTTCTGCCTTTCAGCAGTCTTCCGGCCGTCTTCACCTTCCTCGCTATCCTCATGCGGAAGCGCATGCAGCCGGAACTGAGCTGGCGGATTGCGTACTTTTTGCTGCAGGTGCATATGAAGCAGATTGTGGCTAGCCGGCAGTTGAAGCCGCTGTTGGAGGAGGTGCTGGAGGGGTATGAGCAGTGGCAGGAGGGAGAGAGAGGAGTGCTGGGATTCAATCTGGCTGGGTTGACGTTGCTGGGGCGAGAGGCGGCGGAGATGCAGAAGGGGAATGGGTATTTGGATGATGTGGATGGAGAGGAGGATGCTGCGACAGGGAAGGGAAGCAGGAAAAGGGCTTTTGGTAATCTTGCGTAGGACTTTCAGAGACCAGTAGAGACTCTGCCAAAATACCGTCCTGAGGCCCCTTGCATATATCACACCTGTGCGAACAATCTCTCGCTTTTCAAGGTCTTGAAACTTTGTAATTGAAGAACGGACGAAGCTGCATCGCGCGTGCGTGCGATGCATTCCGGCATCGTCAATGCGGCTTAGTCAGGGGCAAACGCGAAACTTGCGCGAGCTCGACAAGAGCGAGTTACCGCTAAGCATCCCTGCGAAATGCATTGACAACGACCATGGAATACGAGACGTGCTATGTTTTTGAACCGGAGCAACAGCGTCCTGCAAAACGACGCAAAATTGATTTCCAAGGACTGCAAGCATCGTGGCCGATCCGCCAGGTTGCATATGAGAAAGCGTGGACGGCGCAGCTGAGGGGTATCGATGTCAGTCTTTGATCAGGGCGATATTTCGCTACCTAGGCTAACGGAAAGGATGAAGAAAAAACTTGCAGCGATCAATGCAAAGCCGATCGCCGAAATCAGTGCTTTCCTTGATGACGTCCTGCACTCTGCTCAGCAAGGACGAGTCCCCACTGCCATCATCTCTACCGGACCAGATGCTGCGTCTCAGAGCTCGATTTTCAACGCTTTGTCGTCCCTCGAGGGCTCCAAGAGCAAACGGACTCTCGTTCAGCTTTCGGCGAGTACGGGGACCAACCTCAAAGCCTTACTCAAATCCATCATTCAAAAGGCAACGACACGCGCAGAGGACCATGACGAGGATGATGAAGGCCACATGACCACCAAAGGAGGCTCGACACTACTGAACTACGATCTCGAGATCCTCGCAGACTATGTGCATGACCATGGGCTTCGGCAAGTCGTGCTGGCTTTCCAGGATACGGAAGCTTTTGACAGCACGCTCCTCTCCGAGCTGATTGAAGTGTTGAGTTTCTGGCACGACCGGATTCCATTCGTCTTCCTCTTCAGGATCGCTACGTCTCTGGAATCGCTCCAATCGAGGCTGTCCAAAGATGCTGTGAAGTGCATGCAGGGCCGTTTGTTCGACGTGGCGACCTCCGCGGAAGCTGTCGAGCACATCTTAGAAGCGATTACCGACAGCGAGACGCTGCTGTGGATTGGGCCGGGTTTGCTGAGCACGATTGTGGAGCGCCAGAACGACTACATCCATAACACGGATACACTTGTTGATGCGCTGCAATATGCGCTCATGTCGAATTACTACGCTAATGCGCTGAGCATCTTTCTCGACCCTTACGTCCAGTACAAAGACGTTCCCTCGGACCACTTTGAAGCCGTGCGCCACCTGGACTCTTTCCGCACTTTCTGCGAGCAGCTCTTGGAGAAGAAGCAGGCTCTTCGACTCAAAGACTTGCTTGAAGAGGATGAGATTCTGTTCGGCACAGTACGCTCAATGGTCGAGCAGGGCCGGAAGGCTCTGGCTGATCTGGTCGTTGCTGTTGACGTCGTGCGAGAGCTCCAAAAGCACCTGCCTCAGCAACAAAGGGCACCCAAGTCGAAACTCTACATCCAAGCTCTATCCCACAAGTTGCAAGACTCAAGCCAAGTTCGCTCGATGCTGCTGTCGGTAAGGAAGGCTCCATCGAGTACGGTCATGCATATCATGGATGCAATACTGGCTCTGAAGATACCTGGTGACATCCACGACCGATGTGCAGAAGTACAGAAGAGCTTGACCGAGCTGCTCGGTTCTTCCGACACCAAGCAACCGCTGAGAAGCGAGGATGACGTGAAGAACTCGACACTGCGCACCACCGTCGTGGCGCAAAAGGTCGAGCTAAGCAGACAGAAATCCTCGCTGTCCAAGCAAGACGAAGCATACACCGCAATCCTTCGCCGCTTCACAGACCTACTTGAAGCCTATTTCCGCGACACGCTGATTGCACCGACGGACCTGGTCTTCCACGAAATCTTTCTCTACGATCTCAAATCTCCACATCGCGAGGCCTTCACCCCGCGGCCACGACATGCTGTTGAGCGCGCATTGGCCGCTCCGCACGACTATTTGGACTGCGATTGCTGCAAGCCGGAAGTCGGAGAAGGGGACGAATCCACTCTTGCAGCCTGTCAGCCGGCAACGGCGGTATTGTATCAGCTCTACCTGGAGTCAGGGAGCTTAATCAATGCGAGTGATCTTTGGCAAGCCTTCCGCGCTGTGCTGGGAGAGGAGCAGGATGAGGGGCAGAAGCAAGCGCTGTTCCAACGCTCGTTGGCAGAACTTGATTACCTCGGGATGGTGAAGAGTACGAGGAAGAGGGTGGATCATGTTGCCAAGGTAGCTTGGAAAGGGCTATGAGCGCGGGTGTGCTTGCAATAAGCCTCACTATAGATTTCTCGATTGGGACTCAATGACAAGCAGCGCTCTTGGTTGCGCTCGCACCACCGAAGATGAGATATCCGAAAAACGCCCCGAAGCCCACTGCAAGCATGATCCAGCCGTTGTATGTCATGAACAGTAGCCTGCATAGCATTAGCACCCCAAATCCAAAGAAATACCTCTCCCTTCCGACTCACATGATGAAGAACGAATAAAACACCTGCACCCCATAAAACGCCGCCTTGACCACATCTCCACCCCGCCTCCCACCACCCGCAACGACATTTCCTGAATGCAGCAGTGAGTCGCGCTCCTGCGTGCCATCTTGGGGTACGTATAAGCGCGTGTTGGAGGGGGGCAATTTCCACACAGCGGCGCGTAGGGGTGGACGTCGACTTACTGGGGAGATGTTCGAGCTGTGCAGCTTGCCGCGCTTCGTATCGTCTGCAGGCTTCGCGGACGGCTTCGTAGCCGGCTGTTAGGGCCATGACGGCTAGGAGAGACCAGAGGAGGGACCAGGTGCCTGTGATGCGCCAGGAGCGGAAGACGATGCAGAGGTTGGTGGTGTCCCATGTGAAGAGCATCTGGTGTGGGTTAGATGGGTGTCGCTTTGATTCGGGTTAGTGAGAGACTGACGTTCATGCTGCACATGTCCATGTCCATGTCTCCGTGGCCATGACCGCTGTGAGCCATTGTGAGGAGTATGGAAGGCAGGTTCTGGGTGACTTGTAAATACAGATGCTTGACAGAAGACCTGACGTTCAAGCTACGGAGCCTCAAGTTGTCAGGGTTGTCTTAGGGTTTCCCCACCCTAAGCCCACTCGTCATAGGCCGATCTCGCCGACATCAGCCCTCAACCAACTCGACACACCTCCCATCCAAACCCCCAAACTGGCTATGCGGCCCTCTGTATCAGGCGAAGAGCTCCTCAGGCTCCTCGCTGGGCCGCGAAGATGCTGACCCCGCGCTTCACCCCTCACCGCATCAGCACCATCCTCCTGCGCCGGCCGCTCTCCCTCAGCGTCACCCAAGTCAGAGGATGGCGGGACCACCGCTCGCGAGATCCGCAGGTCGGAACGACGACGCCCATCCCCGACGATACGACCATCTACACGAGTAAGAGCCCGTGGTACTTTGAAGCCGGATACGCCGGCTGGGCCAAACGCCCCTCCCGACCCTTTCCTCCTCCCTTCTTCAGTCCGCCCAGCGGCTCCTTTTCCGATCCTTTGAGTACGCATCATAGCTCGTCATACGGTGGTCGACCGAAAGTCAATGGAGAGTTGTTACGTGGAATCACGAATGGAGACGATGCATTACTTGCGAGCGACAATCTTATCGCCACAAACGACGGTGTCGGCGCGTGGGCGCAGAAAGAACGGGGCAACGCGCCGCTTTGGAGCAGACTGCTCATTCACTTCTGGGCCGTGGCTGCGGAGCAGGACGAGTTCGGTGGCCCGGGTGGCTCTCCGGATCCCGTGCGCTATCTGGACGAGGCATACACGAAGACTAAGGAGGTGCTGAGCGAGCCGAACGCGTGGTTGGGAACGACGACGGCATGCTCGGCATTGCTGCACTATACGAAGGAGAGGAAGCCGATGCTGTATGTGACGCAGCTCGGCGATTGCAAATGTTTGGTCGTCCGACCAACGGACAAGAGCGTGGTGATGTCGACGGAGGAGCAATGGCATTACTTTGATTGTCCGCGGCAGCTGGGGACGAATTCGCCGGATGAGCCGTTGGTCAATGCAGTGTTGTCCAAACTCGAGATCAACGAAGGAGATCTTGTGCTTGTCATGTCGGACGGGATGACTGATAATCTGTGGGAAGAAGAGATCGCCGAGGCGGCGGTTGAGGCCCTGCACAGCTGGGAGAGTGACAACCAGCAAGGGCTGAAGCAAGACGACGATGGCGATGCGGGTGACTTCGACAAGGGGATGCGATTCGTGGCTCAGGAACTCGTGCTTGCGGCGAGGAAGATTGCGGAGGATCCGTTCGCGGCAAGTCCGTTCATGGAGCGGGCGGTGGAAGAAGGGTTGGCCATTGAAGGCGGCAAATTGGATGACATTTCTGTCGTTGCGGCCGTGTGTAGGCGGAGGAAAGGATGAATTGGCCAGGGTCACAACATATAAGGGCCGACTCATGGCAGCTGTCATTGTGTTCCTCAGACATACCGAGCTCGAGTCAGCAGGCACGGTCAGGACTATCAGATCGGCGGATTCATCAGACCGCCTGGGCATGGACCGGCAAAGGCAGAGCTCACCGCCATTAGAAACCACTCAATCGAGACCGACCAAGTGGTTTCGCAGCCTTCTCGGAGCCGGTTATCTCACGAAACTACGAAGATTGGAGTCTGGTATATACAGAAAGTCTCGATACTACGTACGCCTTTCTTCCGGTGATACGGCGAACCCTGCGAAATGACACTGCAAAATCATGCCAGAAATTCATTATTGTCCTCGATGCCGCGTATCATGGCATCAAAGAAGGCCCAATCGATTCCAGTCATGGCCCAGTCATCCTGACCCAGGCCCAACCCGGGGAGCATTACATCACCGAAGCTTCCTAGTGGCGGTGACGCGGACTGATTCAGGTCGTTCACACCCGCCATTGTGGGGGACCAGCACCGCCGGGTCTACGATCGATTTTGAGTCCCCAGGATATATCACCGGAGCCGAAGAGGATGGCTGGTGAATTCGTTGGTGTTGGAAGACTTCCGTGTGACCAGGCTCAGCAGAGTCGGGCGGCGCCGGATCATGCAGTGGGTCGCCGCTCTGCTGGCCGATGCGGTTCATAGCCTCGCGTGGAAACATGATGATGCCAAAGTAAGGGATGTACGCGCTTGAAGTAGCCACGGTCTCTTCACCTTTCTCCTGCTGTGAGCTCTGAGCATCGGCGGTCTGTACGCGTACGCTTTCGGCCCGCACTGTATGGCCGCTGGCTGCTTCGGCTTCGATTGCTAGCAGCCGAGCGAGAACTTCCGCGCCTCTGGCACTCAGTGGATCTGCAGTAAGCCGATTCGCTTCTTCCATGTTGTCCCGCGCCTGTTCGATCATGGCACGGTCGCTGAGATACGAGTGAGCGAGAAGGTTGTCTGCTTGTGAAGGCCGGCGATGACTATCTAGATGAGCCAGGAGAAGGGTCATGGCGGCCATGAGGGCCATGAAGTCGGCGATTCGGCAGGTGAACGTGATCTGACTGAAGCGCCGCAGGGCGACGAAGCGCGAAAGAACCTCGCGGGAAGCGTTGACGCAGGCAATCTTGGAATACTGATATTCGTACTCGGTCGACGAGAGAAGCATGTACGGCAAGTGCAGCTTATTGAGAAGATTGAAATGAGACATTTGGGTGGATAGGCGTCGGTCATCCAAGAAAAGAGCCAGTGCGTCGTGGGACGAGTCTTCTAGATTCGGCGTCAGCCACCACCGGCTGGGCACACCGGCAGCAGCTTTCTGGAGTTCCTTGTCCAGACTTTGCGTAAGAGCGAAATCGATCGCGCGTTCCTCGGATTCGACGTTTTCCAAGATCTTTCCGGTCAGGACACATTGCATTCGCTCTAGACGACCGGAAGGCGTGTCAGAAGCCAGGGCAGCCTCGGTCGCCATGCTCCGATCTGTGCTGCCCTGGGGGAGGCCAAGCAAAAGCGAGAGCTGACGATCATAGTACACTATGCGGAACCACATTAACCGTGGTTCGGCTTTGGAGTCGGGGTCGAGCTGATTTGGCATCGTTCTGTACTTCGACCGATGAAGCCCTAGTGACTGCGCCAGTAGCATCGCCCGTCGGTTTGCCTTCCAGCTTGGTCTGAACTCGCCGAGATTTGCCTTGTGCATTGACTCAAGCATTGCGCACTCAACACCTTCCACGCTGGCCAAAAGGCGGTCTTGAATGGTGACAAGCCTGGTGGCAGCGTCGAAGATACGCGCCATAATCACTCGAGGTGGTTCGGAAAGCTGCTTCATCCCGGGATTGGTATCCGGGCGAAGATGGTGCAGCAGACTGGCCAGGTGCAACATGTATCTCGCAGTCAAGACCGGATGCGTTGGTAGCTGCGGTGGATGCAGTAGACTCTCCGGTGAGACCGGATTGCCTTCTCTCATCCTCTCATGTGATATCGTCAGCGATCCGACGAAGACGCTGAAGACTCGGTCCGAAGCAGTGACGATGATCTCACGATCTTTTCGGGAGGGCAATGCCTCCCAAAGAGCGCGATTCAGCTGGGAAAACTTGTTCACGCCTGTACTAGCATTTTCGGGTATGGAGACAGTCGGAAGGCTGGGAAAGCTGGGATGGGCGCCTAGCCGTGCATTTTTCTCCCCCAATGTGGCTTCTTGTCGCAAGCTACTATGATGATTGGTATTTTCGACGACAACAGAGGAGGTGGAAGCCGTTGATTTGGGGTCATTGTTGTATTCACTAGAGACCAGCGTGGCGCCACGGCGGTCCGTGTCATCCATGTCGAACTTCTTGACCACGCGGTCAAGCAACGCCTCTACTCTCGCAACTTGATCTCGCGTCGGACGGCCTTGATCGGAGGATGCATCCATGAGCTCGGCCGGAACTTCTTGGCTGATACATTCTGCTCCACGCCGTTGACAATTGATGCAGGTATCCGGTCGCACATGAGCTTCGTAGACGCATTTTTCTTTTCGTCGTTTGCAAGCCCAGCAGCTGTGGGTGCCTTTGCGGAGTTTGCGTCGCTTTGCGTGCCATCGCCCGGCAAGGTCATTGTCAGCTGCGCGTGTGGTTGACATGGGCAGTGCGACAATGTTGAAGGATCAGAGGCTCAGGACACGGCGATTGCTGCGTTCTCGCCCGCGATCAGAAATGTGTAGCATGGCAACAACGCCGGTCGTAGCTCAATATTTCGGATGAACAGGGGCGCAGCGACGGGGACATGAGTGAGCCGACCGAGGGATATTCCGTCCGCATAAAGAGCTCCGATGTCGTTATGATGGTTACGTTACCGAGCGTTCCTCCGCCGACACGTCGGAGGAACAAGTACAGGTGAGGTGAGATGTGGGGCAAGCGCCAGCCGGAATGGTGTCGATCCATGTGACACGAACATGGACATGACTCTCCAGTCGGCCTTATTGGATCTTCAGTGTCCTGCGCCGACGAAACCTTTGTCACTTCAACGCCTCATGAAGGCTTTTTACCGCATGCGGTAACAGACACCGAGGTGACGCCTCGATTGCTCCAAAGGAGGATACCCCTTGGAGCATCGAGATGATCCGCGCCCTGAGTAGCAGCATCGATGCCCAAAAGGAACGGACAAGGCTCTCATATCGTTCCTTCCATCGTTCCGCCGAGCCGTCGGAGCCTTGTTGCGTTGTCCCCATGCTGTCACGAGCTTTGAAGTCCAACGCCACGTCTATCTATCTCCTGGACATTCTTCTTGCTGACGGTGAGCATCTACTTATGAGCTAGTTCTTTCTTCTTCTCTGCCAGCTCTCTCCGTGGCTCATGTTCTTCCGCGCTCTTTGATTGTTCTTCATAAAGCGACTCCCTTGGACCCTTCAACTTGTCCGACCCACACTCAGTCAAGACTGATCTGCAAGACACAGACGCACAAATGTCTACCATCAGTTCCGAGAAGTCTGAAACGAAGGAGGTCGCTCACATAAACGATCTCAGCCGTGACCAAAATCCGGCCTCAAGCTCGCATGGCAGCCTTGAGCTCGAGCAGCTTCATGCTGAGGGTGACGGAGAGGAGCCTGTGTACGCGACTGGATTACGTCTGGTGATGATTATGACAACCATCAACTTGAGTTCCCTCATCGCATCTTTGGACTTGGTCAGTGACGATTCCGGCGCCGTCATAGGACCTGGACGAGCGTATACGGGTCGGCTAACACATCCTGTTCTCTCACTATAGGGCATTGTCGCTACCGCAATCCCCAAAATCACCCAAGAATTCCACGGACTCAACTACATTGAATGGTACAGCTCCGCCTGTTTCCTTACCGTCGGGGTGACCTCTGCCATGTGGGGCAAGATGTACAAGTACTTGCCCGCTCAATGGACCTACATGAGCGCGCTTGGCATCTATCTCGTCGGCAGCATTGTCGCCGCCTCGGCTCCCAATAGTATCGCTTTGATTGTTGGCCGTGCTATCCAAGGCTGGGGATGCGCTGGTAAGTGAGCCCATATGAAACATCATGTATCATCTAACTGACCCTTGGCCGTGCAAAGGTTGCCTCAGCGGCTCCGTCCTGATCATCAACTATACCGCCGCGCCTAGCAAACGCCCCTTGCTTATCGGCATGTGGATCGGTGTCTTTATGTGTGCAACTATCCTCGGTCCTGTGCTCGGTGGTGTCTTCACCACAGAAATCACGTGGCGTTGGTGCTTCTGGATCAATCTTCCGGTTGGTGGTCTTGCCATCGCCCTGCAACTCATCTTCTTGCGCATTCCCAAGCACATCAAGACACCTCAGGCGAGTTGGAAGGAGATTCTGTTGAACCTCGACTTCCCAGGTGCCGGCATTCTGCTCGCCTCGTTGGTCTGCTTCATCTTGGCTCTCGAGTGGGGCGGTGTTACCAAGCCATGGTCCAGCGGCTCGGTCATTGCCACGCTGGCACTGTGGATCGTCCTCACAATTGCATTCTTCGTTGTGGAGTATGTCCAAGGCGAGCGTGCAGGAATGCCATTTCGGCTGTTGAAGCAACGCATGATCTGGGCCAACGCTCTCTACGCATATATGTGAGTCGCAAGAACCTTACGTCGACAGACTCTAAGCACCGCGAGCTGACGTACGGTTTCTCTCCAGTACCAATCTGGCTAACTTCCAAGTCCTTTTCTACCTTCCCGTACGTTTTCATTTGAGTTGCACGTCTGGATCGTCGCTAACACTGAATCTTTCTAGTACTATTTCCAAAGCGTCAAGGGAAAGACGGCCATCATCAGCGGTGTGTACACCCTTCCATTTCTGGCGCTCTATGCTGTTGGCGCAATGGCTAGCGGCGCTCTCCTGGGCAAGACACGCATGATGCACCCTTTCATGGCCATGAGTGGGCTGTTGGCTGTCGTGGGCGCGGCCTTGTTTTACTCCATGGATGTCAACACCTCTCAAGCTTGGTACATTGGCGCTCAGATTCCATTTGGTCTCGGCATTGGCCTTGCAAACCAAGTCCCCGTGACTGTAGTGCAGGCTTTCACCGACCCCGCCGATGTGGCCATAGCGACCGCAATTATCTTCAGTGAGTATCCCGCGCACAAAGACCCGCTTGGAAGTTCCACCTGACTGACGAGCGCGACAGCCTTCCAAACCAGTACCGGTGCCTACTTTACGACTGCAGCGCAGTCCATCTTCGAAAACTTGCTGCTGCAGTCGCTGACCAAGAACGCGCCGGATGTCGACATCGCCACTGTCTTAGCTGCCGGCGCTTCTGCACTTGACAAGAAGTTCAGCGGCGCTCAACTCAGCCAAGTCATCCATGCGTATACTCAGGGGATTCAAGGCGTGTTCGCCTTCAGCATTGCCGGTGCCGCGCTGACGGTCTTTCTAACGTTTTTGGTTCCGTTCAAGAGATTGCCCATCTTCGCAGATAAGGCGACGCAAGAAGCCGGTCCGAGCGAGAAGGAGTCGGTTGTGGAGGTGTAGCCAAGCCGTGGCCATGTAACGAGGGAATTGGGAACTCGCATGTCCGTCACCTTGACGAATGCGTCAAACGACGACAGCTCGAACTGGCCTGCTCAAAATGATAGATTTTCGTGGCCTCAGTAGAGTAATATAAGTAGATTGGGTTAGAACGGCGACGATGTCAGCACCATTCACGATAGGCTGCTGATCTTCCATAAAGCCACAAAATACGGGGCTGACAATAAGAACAGTCTACACTGTCCTCATCGCAGAGGCCCGCAATATGCACTGAGTGTACGGCTAGTCGCGCCCTTCGAACAGTTTCAGTCCAGTTTAAATCCGCCTAACTCCGCGAGGCTGTCCAATGCGGAGCACGACGAACCCGCATATATGACAAGCTAAGCCCGTAATTACGACGTATAAATTGCGGCACGGGTACGTATAAGTAGGACGAGCGAGTCGGTTGCCGTTCGAAACATCTTCACTGGTGAAATCACCTTCGACGTACGACCCAGCCATGACCGCAACCACGAATCCCCACTTCGACGAAAACACCGAAGCTGATGAAGTCGCGAAGGCATTCGCTTCTGGTGTCCATGGCAAGACGATTCTCATCACGGGCGTGAACTTGAAGGGGATTGGATTCGCTGCCGCCGCTGCTTTTGTACGTTTTCCCTCCCTGAGGGTCGTCGACCTTGGCCATGCTGACTGAGGGTCTCCAGGCATCACAATCACCTGCTCGTCTCATCTTATCCGGCCGCAACCTGTCTAAAATCCAAGAGTGCATCGATGCCCTGAAGAAGCACTTTCCAATCGTCGACTACCGTCCTCTTAAGCTTAACCTCTCCAGTCAAAAAGACGTCCGCGCGGCAGCCGCAGAGCTGCTCTCATGGACCGACGTACCAACCATCGATATTGTCGTCAACAACGCAGGCATCATGAATCTCCCAGAGCGCACGATCAACGAAGACGGGATAGAAATGACGTTTGCCACCAACCACATCGGCCACTTCCTCTTCACATCTCTCATCATGCCCAAGATCCTCACGGCGGCAGCAACGAATGCCAAAGGCGCGACGCGAATCGTCAACGTCAGCTCCCTCTCGCCCACATGGACAACCATGCGCTGGAGCGACATGAACTTCGACACGATCAACAAGAATCTCCCCCAGGCGGAACAGCCTTCTTACGACATGCTTCGTACTTGGGGTACTCCGGACCCCGAGAATGTCGCATACGCCCCCATCGAAGCCTACAATCAAAGCAAGGTGGCGAACGTTCTATTCAGCATCGGCGCGAACGCGCGGTTGTACGAGGAATACGGCATCCTGAGCCTCGCCGTGCATCCCGGCGTCATTGTGACGGAGCTGGGCCGCAACGCTTCGCAGGAAACCCGCAACGCCATACAGAAGATGATGGAGGGCGGCCGCTTCACCCTCAAGAGTCTAGGGGCTGGTGCGGCGACGACACTCGTTGCGGCTCTCGATCCGAAGTTGGGCAAGGGCGAGGCGAAGAATGGAAAGCGGAATTACGGGGTGTATCTGGGGGATTGTCAGATTTCGGAGAAGGCGACAGAGGGCGCAGAGTCGAGTGAAGAGGCTGAGAAGTTGTGGGCGAGGTCGGAGGAGTTGGTGGGAGAGAAGTTTGCGTGGTAGACGGCGTGTTCCCAATGTGAAGGACAGCACTTGTGGAAGGCCGGAACAAACAACCGACATTGGGACGATCAGTGTTGTTTGCCAATCATACGATTCAAACGTAGGTGCTTAGGATATATGAGGGCGAGGACGTCTCTTTGCTGCGAATGAAGCGAGTAGAAGACTCGAGACGAGCTGCACGTCATCACTCCAGACGGCATTGCTATTTCGTAGATCCGCGGATCCACCAAAAGAAACTAACATCAACGGCGGACGAGCTTATTACATCGCGCAAGGCAACTCGGAATCGTCAGCTCCGGGTTGGACGAAGTGATGGACGCGGAGCTTGGGTTGGCGGATGGCCATCGATCCGGCAATTTCCAACGAATACACCTCGAAGAATAAGGTATTCTCAATTACTCCATACGGTCCACAATATCGAACCAGATGTGCAGCTCTCGCAGATCCGGTGCTGAATTTAGCAAGAACGCCGTGATCGCCGATGCGGCAAATCCCCCAATGCGCCTGGGTCCAGCCGCCCGCTGCAGCACCCTGACGTCGATCATGTCGATCTCCTAAGGAAATTAAATACCTTACCCGTACAATTGCATGATGGAGGCTTTATGGGTGCGGCCGCTTAGGCACGCCCGTTGTGGTGATGTCAGAAGACATCGAGGCACGCCATCACGGGTGTCATACGAGCCATTCATTCTCTACAACTTGTTACTTCACCATTCACTCTGCAGACTTCTGAGGAGAGTCTTCCAGCTCGACTTATGCTTGTTCAGCCTTCTGTGTTCAGATAAATGCCTCCAGCATCCGATACCAAGAGCGACGATGAGCGCAGAGGGGAAAGCATCACCGACACCAAGTCAATGGAGTCCCCTGCACGCAGTGATGAGCTCAGAGGAGATAGCATTAACGATGCCAATTCAAACGAGAAACGCCCACACACCGATAAAGAGAAGACCGCGGAGTCAACGCAAGATGATCCTCCTGCCGCTCCTTTCTCGCCGATGCACGAGGTTGCCTTTGTCTTTGTGATTTGTATGGCACAATTCCTTTCTCTGGCTGGACTTGGGCAGTCAATTGCACCTCTCAACATTATCGGACGGTAAGTGGCCACGGTCAGCCATCTTGCCAATGCTGACATGTCGCGTTCCTTACAGGAGTTTTGGCGTCACAGATCTACCGGAGCTCAGCTGGTATCCTGCGGCGTTTTCTTTGACCGTGGGAACGTTCATCCTTCCAGCAGGAAGGCTGGGAGATATGAAGGGTCACCGAAACCTCTTCATGATTGGCTTTGCCTGGTACGCCGTGGCATCCGTCGTAGCCGGCGTAGCGGTCTACAGCGGCGAGATCCTCTTCAGCATCGCTCGCGCCTTTCAAGGGATTGGATGTGCACTGCTTGTGCCCAACGCTCTGGCACTTGTCGGCCGCTCATACGGCGCAAGCCCGAAGAAGAACCTGATCTTTGCACTCTTTGGCGCAGCAGCACCCACCGGCTCGGTCGTGGGGACCGTCTTCGGGTCCATCTTCGCCCAGCTTGCCTGGTGGCCCTGGGCCTTCTTTGCTCTGGCCATCGCTTGCATCGCGATGATTTTTGCTGCGTGGGCCATCATTCCAGCCGACGATGTGAAGCCCGCCACGTTCGATGACTTCGACTTTCTCGGCACCCTTACAGGAGTTGGGGGCTTGGTGCTGTTCAACTTTGCGTGGAATCAGGCTGCTGTTGTGGGGTGGTCCACTGTCTACACCTACGTTCTCCTCATCGTCGGAATCCTGCTCCTGGGCGCATTTGCATACGTGGAAATCAAGATCAGCAAGTACCCCTTGGTTCCGATCCGCGGGTTCAAAGCCGAAGCAGCCCTGGCTCTGGGTGTTATCGCAGTGGCCTGGGGAAGCTTCGGCATCTGGCTCTTCTACCTGTTCAGGCTGATTGAGGATCTGCGTGGCTACTCTGCTCTCTCCGCGAGCGCGCAGAATTCCCCCGTCGCCGTTTCGGGAGTTCTCGCATCTTTGGCAACCGCCTGGCTGCTATCGCGCGTCAAAGTCGCATACGTGCTGCTGGCCGCAACGATCTTCTTCCTCATCGGCCAGACGCTCCTCGCAACCGCGCCGGTCGACCAAACATACTGGGCGCAGACATTTGTCTCCGTCATCATCATGCCCTGGGGCATGGATATGAGCTTTCCAAGCGGAAGTATCCTCCTGAGCAACAATACGCCAGGGCATGATCAGGGAATCGCGGCTTCACTCATGAATACGACAGTCAACTACAGCATCTCACTCGGTCTTGGTATTGCGGGCACTATCATCCGATACATCGAATCGTCGGGCGGTACTACCCTGGAGGGCTATCGAGGTGCATGGTACTTTGCTATTGGACTGGATTGCGTTGCCATTGTCATTGCTTTGTATTTTGTGTTTAAGCAGCGATAGAGACGCGCTACGAGGTGCTGGTTTTTTTTGCGGGTCGACTCACCTACCCTGCGAACGGAAGAAGCGTATCGTCCACCAGAATCGTCGATACGAGCCTCGCAAGGAACGACTTGCATCAATCCATCGATGACACTAGCGACATTGTGGGTGCGAGAAAAGTCCACCAATGTCGTCTCGATGAAACAAAGATATTGGATTCGCCCGAAGCTTACGGATAGCCATCCGCCTATCACAATGGGTTCAATCAGATCACACATCTTACATTGCAGGCACCTTTGGATTGGCAAACCGTCCTTAGAGCCGCATTAGCATGCTACGAAACCATTTCCGGACTGCTCCCCCATGAGCTTGGGTCGCAGATCTCCCCGTCACATAGTCGTCCAGGCCAACCGGCTGACCTCTGCGGCCAGCATTACCGCAAGACTGTTCGACCGGCGTCATCGTCTCATGGTCCGAGTCCAGCTGCAATCCCTGCACTCGTTTATAAATCGTCGGCAAGACCTCGATCTCGTGTTCTCCTGCCACGATCACCCTTCCACTCAACTTCCACCAAAACCACATTCGCTCCATCATATCACCATGCACGCCTCCTCAGCCCTCACACTCCTCTGCACGGTGAGCGTCGCCGTCGCCGCCGTGACCCCCAAATATGGCGCCGGAGGCAAGCCGCCCAAAGGCTGGAACGCCAACGTCGAGAACTTCTGCTCCTCCGGGCAGACGCTGATGTGCTGCGGTCAAGTGACTGGAGGTGTTGCTGGATTGCCAGCCGCTCTCTGCTCGGACGGTACGTTCTGCAGCCCCTTGGATTGCGTTGCTTGACCCCCTCTCGCTGATATTAAGTATAACAGCCGTCTACGCCAGGGCCGGCACCCAGCAGAACTTGCAGTACGGCTTCTGCCCCATGAAGAAAACGCCTCTATGCTGTGGCGTTGTGGTGAGTTGCAGCGAATCTAGGCTCAGATGTATTGAAGCTGACCGGCCTTCACTCAGGTCAACTCGAGCACGGGAACCGGCTGCGGGCCTGCTACTCAGGTCAAGAAACCGGCCAGCAAAACGTCATCCTCCCGCAAACATAAGTCGACGTCTTAGGGAAATATGGGGTAGGCAGGTTGGCACGGAGCTGGAACTGCTCCAGACGTGTCCGGGGATGAGCGCAAGAAGTATACGGATACCGTAGGGCTGAGAGTCAAGACTTTGGACGATGGCAATGTCGTAGAAGCCGTAGAAGGTGCCATTGCCGCACAACAGTGAAAAGGTTCCACTTACCACTATATTGAATTGCTCTGTCGTCTGATGTATGTGCTCTATCTATGGATCACGGCAAGACACCCCCGTTTTACCGCGACGTATACCCGCCGTCTACCATGAGAATCGATCCAGTGACAAACGAGCTCCGCCCCCCAGCGAGATACAACACGCCATCGGCAATCTCGTCCGGCCGGCCCATGCGCTTCATAGGCACCGCAGTTTCGACTCGCTCCAGCATCGCTTCCATGACTCGGGGGTTCTGCGTCACCATCGGCGTCTCCGTATAGCCTGGTCCGATGGCATTGATACGCAGCCCGTCCTTTGCGTAGTCCTCGGAAGCCGTACGGGTGAGGCCGACGATCGCGTGCTTTGCGGTGGTGTACGCGGTAGAGAGTGTAATGCCAATGACGCCCAGAATGGAGGAGAAGTTGACGATGGAGCCTCGCTGCAACGGTCGGCCGTGGATGCTGGACAGGATGGGCTCTTGTTTGAGCATGTGCCGTGCCGCAGCGCGTAAGACGAAGAAGGTGCCGTTCACGTTGACTTCCATCACTCGATTCCAGTCTTCAGTCGTCGCGAACGCCGCACCACCAGGGTGTTTGATTGTAATGCCGGCCGCGTTGACGACGTAGTCCAACCGTCCAAAGGTCGCGACTATCCGGTCCACCGCCGCGTCTACCTGGGCCTCCTTGGATACGTCGACCGGGTAAATCTCGATCTTGCACGTGGCCCTTCCACTTGCGGCATGGCTTTGCTCGATCGCGGCTTTGACTGAAGCCAATGCATCCGCATTCACGTCCAGCAATGCGATGCCCGATGCGCCTTCCCGGGCAAATCCTTCTGCGCACGCTCGGCCGATTCCCGAGGCTGCTCCGGTGATTAAAGCGATGCCAGGCACGTCCATCTCGAGTCAAGGCGTGAACAGTCGTCGAGAGATGGATTGGGGACCTTCTAAAGGGCAGCTCGAATGCTCCGAGGTCGCACTCGAGAGAGAGCCAATGGCAACGGCGCAACGAGCCCCACCTCCTGACCTCACGAAGAGCACTCGCCGACATCTTTCCAATGCCATTGCTGGCGAACTGATGATGAGTGCCGTAGTGGGCAGGATGCAAATTGGACTGACAACTGACTATGTCGTGAACTTCCAAGCCATGTTACATTGGAGTACGACCCGCTGCGATGTCCTCGTTGGTCGCTACCGAGGCGCATCGAGCGTGTGTCGAGCGGTCCTTTAGCAGTGTCGATCCGCTAGCCTGTCCAGGAAGGGCCTGCGAGCCTGTCTCCCACGACACAGTTGCACTGCTACAGTAGTACAAGCTACGTGACGGAAACAACCTTGGCAGGCATCGGTTCGACGAGGATCGTCCTGTCAATGGCGCCATTAACCCCACGTTGACACCGTTCAGACGAAGCGTGGCCGACCATATAAAGATGTAGTCGTTCGCTGCAAACGACATCTGGCGTCCCACTCATTCACTCCATCATGCATCGATCAATCCTTCTTTCTCTCGCGGCATCCGCCGCCGCCGCGCCTCTGGCCAAGCGCTCCGGGACCGTCTACGGCTTCGACGTCTCCGACTACCAGCCCAACGTCAACATGCAAGCCGCGTACAACTCCGGCCTGCGCTTCGTCTTTATCAAAGCGACGCAAGGCACCGACTACATCAGCCCCAGCTTCAACAGCCAGTACACCGACGCGACCAACGCCGGCTTCATCCGCGGAGGCTACCACTACGCCGACGGCACCGGCGACGGCTCGCAGGAAGCCGACTACTTCCTCGCGCACGGCGGCGGCTGGTCCGACGACGGCATCACCCTCCCAGGCATGCTCGATTTGGAGGCCGACTGCAAATCCGTCTCGTGGATCCAGACCTTCTCCGACACCTACCACAGCCGCACCGGCGTCTACCCCATCCTGTACTCCAGCCCTTCGTGGTGGGAGCAGTGCACCGGTAACTCGGATGCGTTTGTCAACACTAATCCTTTATTCATGGCTTGCTACAACTCCGAGCCATGCACTCCTCAAGGCGACTGGCCTTACTACACCTTCTGGCAGTACAACGACGATAACGCCAACGGCGGCGACTCGGACCAGTTCAATGGAGACTACGCCCAGCTCCAGGCGATCGCCCGGGGTTAGGAGCAGCGGAATAGACGACCGAGAATGGGCGAATGGTCAGGGTAGTAAGAGGACTTCCGGTTAAACTTGTCAGACAAGGTTGATGTCCAGAAAAGTTTTGTAGCAATGGATCCACCCATCTTGGCTCATGTTTTACCAATTGCGTGATACCGTAGATGCTCGTGGCTGCGGGGGAAATGCTTAATGGAAGTAACGTCGATCCCAATTCCCGGCAAAATGCCGTGGCAGCCCTACGGTGGCGTAGGAGGCGTTCGTGGGGGTGGCCGTCCCTGTGAGATCTGCAAAGTACAACACGACATCACACTACGCGAAACGATGCAACGTCAGCACGCGAGTCGGAAAGTTCCATTGCAAGGACGTAGAATTCATTGGTAAAGTGGTTTTGCAGCTCTATCTGGTCTAATCACACCCTCACAGCTTGCTCCGCAGAGACATGATGCGGCTCGTCGATGAGGTGAAGGCGGACTGAGACAAACCACCATTGCCGAGCGCAGTCTCAATGGCGGAGACAATGCCTGATCCTTGACTGGGGTCGCCAACGGAAGCGAGGATGATGTCCATCCCGGCGTTCATGGCCTTCAGGGCGCGCGTCTCGTTCGAGCCGTACGCTTGGAGCGCACCGGCCTCGATGGCGTCGGTGATGGTCACCCCGGTATATCCCAGACGACTGCGCAGCTCGCTGCCAATCCACGAGGGGCTCAGACCGGCTGGTAGTGTGTCCATTGCCGGGTAGACAGCCCACGAAGCCATGACCATGTCGACGCCGGCAGCCACCGCGCCCACAAATGGCACCTCGTCGATGGTGCGGAGGTCCTCCAAGGATACGTTCAGCGTGACGGGTTCCACGTCCGTGTCCTCGCTGGCTGTCGCGGCGCCGAGGCCGGGGAAGTGCTTTGCGGTCGCGATCACGCCGTGGGCCTGCTGCGCCAAGATGAATGCGGAGCCGGCCTCTTTGGCAATATACTGCTCGGTGCTGTATGATCGCTGGTATTGATCGAGGAAGTCGCCTGGGGATCGGTAGACCCCCAACACCGGGGCGAGGTTGCCATTGACGTTGTATGCTGCACACGCGGTCGCCGCAGTCACGCCGGCGGAGCTGGCTGCCGAAGGCACATTGTTCGACTGCCCAATGTCGTATTCTGAGGCGGTGGGTCCACCAGGTAGGCGTGCGACCTCGCCTCCCTCCTGGTCGGTGACGATGATGAGCGGGTAGCCGGCGTAGCTGGCGCTCTTCTTGTACGTCGATTGCAATTGCTCGATCTCGCTGGCGGTGTTGGAGTCGACGTTGTCGCCGAACAGGATAATGCCTCCGACGGCTCCTTGGCTCGCGAGAGTGTACAGCTCAGACGGAATGGAGGAGCCCGAGTACGAGTAGATCACGTGGGCGCCAGCCTGCGCTTTCGTGCTGAGATTGGCAGCCTTCCCAAACTTTGGCGCGGCGGCGACAGTGGGCAGCAGGAGTGCAGCGCCAGCGAGGGCTGGAGTAGACCAGAGCATGTTGAGTGAATTGCAAGGACAGAGGGTGGATAGTCGACCGCCATCTGCGAGGCGTGCGGCCGTTAAAGTAGGCCGGTGACGAAGGTAACCTTCCAGGTAGGTAACGTCCAAAGTAACGTTGGATCGGGTGGACAGTGAATGGCGTTGCACTCTAGCCTGAAAGGTAAGGTAACAACAAAACGGAGACTGCCGCACACCAAGGCAGGGGATATTTGGTATGTGATCTGCAGTAGCCTTGGCTTTGAAATGCGTGAAGGATCATTAGGTGATTGTTGGGTTAGGCTCCCTGAAGGAACGTTTTTGCTCGCCGGCTTCGCAATCTTGACCAGCTAGCTGCGGTTCCATCTGCGTAGGAAGAAGAGATGGGACCTTACGGCCAACAATCCGTGATATCAAATTACGATTGAAATAAAATAATCTCTGGAACTGGCCTGAAGCTAACATAAACAGTCCTCAGTCTTGCACGCGTTGTTGAGGTTCTTCGAACCTCAACCACCTCTCCGGCACTTCATAGGCCTCCCCAGATTCATAAACTTCACCAAACCATTGAGTAAATGCTCTGAAATCACCCTTTGTAGCACCGGACCCCGGGCCCAGATCAAACCTTCTGCCGTCACGAGTTCCAAAGCCGGAGGCGACCACGTCAGCAGTAGTCTGGTCGTTCAGTATCATGGTACCATTGCGGATCATGCCATTGAGTATCTCGACGTATTGCTTGCTGTATTCACCGGCGCTTTCTCCTGCTCGTCGTGGGGGCATGTAGTTGCAGAGTTCGCTCTCAAGGATGACGGAGTCCGGATCGGCACCCATGCTTAGGAGCCAGTCACGCTCCCGGCGCGCCGATGTGGCGTAGTCTCTCGGCGTCGAGTAAACCATAGGCTCCTCATCCCCGCCTAGCATGTAATTGTCTTCAGGTCTCTCTTCGGTTGATCTCATGTGCGAATACTGTTCGCTGATTTCCCGGGCAGACTTCTTGGGGAGCGAGACGGACGGGCTGCCTGAATCCGTGTTGATCGTGTCCTGAGCTGACGGCATCGCACTGACGACGAGGAGACTGATGAGCACAAACAGGAGTAACCAGCAGTGATTGACAAGGACGGACATATTTGCGTGTCTTGCATTTTAGCATAGAGAAAGGTGGTAAGAGAGAGTTGTCGTTGGGAAGCGACAATTTGGGAGCCTGGGGCTTACCATGACTCAGCGCATCCAGCCCCGCCGGCGGATGTGGCACTATCAAGCAATGCGGGGTTGCAATGTCTCGGTATCACCGTCGACAGTTTGGTCGTTCCCGGTATACTGTTTTCCGGCGTTCTTTCCAACTAGTCTTGCTCTTCGGCCAGATGGTCACGCTGTCAAGTATCCTCTCGTACGCATTGAGACGGCTGGACTGGATTCGATGGCTCTCATTTGGTCAGCATACATCTCGATGTCTATGCTGAGAGCCAGTCAATGGCCACACATCGTGACATGCTATGTGTGGCCGCCCAGGGGAATTTCGTCCATCGCTGGGAACACCGGTGCTGTCGCGTCCGCAATGTGGCGCGAAGCATGCCGCCTTCGCAAGCCGCTCGAGCAAGGCTGGACAGCGTGCACGGTTATAGCGCGGGATTGTCCGAAAGAAAAAGGCGCGAAGGCTGGCGCCCCGGATCTGCCCCGCGCTCTCGGGAGTACTAACCCCATTTCGGCCGTGGGAACGGTCACTGTTCCGACCCCCCTTCTTCATTGTTAACGTGGAAATCACACAATTGTCTCATTATGCCGACCAGAGCGTTTCTTAGGACCGCATCGTCGTTACCATCGGCAGTATGATCATTCGCCCATCTTCCGTACGCACTGAGACGGCCGGAAATCCACCAGGAGCGTCTCGTCACACGGCGCGTGTGGATGCCACCGTTCACGAGCGATCACACAATCTCGTCGCGTGCTTGCCTGGTGCATGCGTGTATGCTGGCGATCGCATCAACGGACGGGCATCATGATCAGTGCTGACGTCTGAATCTGGCTGTCGCTCCGTGTGTACATATTTACAGTACCGAGATGTGCTCGAAGCGGTAGGGCTGGCGTACAAAGGCGATCTGTGGGGAAATATTTAAATTTGGAATGCCTCCTATTCGCTGACCCCATACAGCCGACATTGCCTACTCTCCGCTACTCCGCCGCCACCGGATCATCTACCAATATTTCACCACCTTCGATCGCGCCAGCGTCGACTAGACCACCCGAAAGCTATGGGACGGATCTTACGGAGTTGACCATGCGTTTTATATATACTCGAGCCAGCGTCCACTGCCGGCGCGAGTGGCAAACAGGAGACGATGGTGAATATGCGTTGCTTCGTGGCCACCGCGCTGGCCCTCACGGGGGCGGCATACGCTGCCCCTGTCGTCTCGGACAGCGACCGATTCACGTTCCTCAATATGCCAACTCCCCTCGGTCTACCGTGTGACCTTGCCGTCGGTCCAGACAATATGATCTACACAAACTATCTTCTCGCGAACAAGATTGTCCAGATCAACCCGACCACCAATGCGATCAAGGAGTTCGACATTCCCTTCACCCTCCCCTTGCTCTCGAACCTATCCCTGCCTGTCTACGGTGGTGTGGCTTTCGCTCCCTGCGTCGTACGGCCAGGGCAAGACGGAAATATGTATGCTGCAACCGGTCTTCGGAACCAATTGGCGAAACTGGACCTGGCAACCGGCGTCGTATCGGTCTTCACTCCTCCCAACGCCCTGCAGCCCGTGGGAAATTTGCAACTCTTGAACGATATGTGGGGCGGGCCGGAAGACATGTTTCTGTCACAGAGCACCGCGGACGTCATCTCGGCTTTCAACTACAAGACACATCAATGGAGGACATACCAGGTCCCGACCCCCGGATCAAATCCGTTTGGCATGCGATATGCAAGTGATGGCGCGTTGTGGTTTACGGAGACACTAGGCCAGAAGATTGGCCGCCTCAATACCACTACCGGCGTAATTCAGGAGTTCCCCGTCCCATTCCCCACGGTCGCCACACCCGCCGTGCTCCGCGTGGAGACGGGAGGTGATATGCTCTGGTTCACTTGTTTCGTGTCGGACAGTGTCGCCGGCATCAACATGTACACGCACAACTTCACCAACTACAGGAATACCGCCTTCGGATCGGCAGTCTCGGTTCCTTCAGTCAACACTCTTGACGCCCAAAACAATATTTGGTTTTCTACATGGACTCAGAACTTGCTCACCTACTTCCCGCCGGCCACGGGAAAGATGACGCATATCGAGATTCCTCGCACCCTCATCTACACCCCCATCAGTGTTCCCTTTGAGATGAACGTCGGCGTGCAGTACTATGGCGGGGAGGGGAAGAATCGGATATACTTTACGCAATCCATCTTCAATCGGGTAGGATACTACGATTTGGATGCGGGGCAGTGAATTATCAAGAAGTAGGCTAGCTAAAACGACTCTAAATGTTCAAAAACGTACACATCACCACGCCGCTATTCATACATCGCCACTTGCTCGTCGCACCACTCCCAGAAACGCTTCGCTACTCCGTTGCCGTCTCGCTCAGCATCGATGTCCTTGCGTGGGTTTGCTACTTGACCCCACGGCACCACCCACGCTCCATTGTTTGCCGCGGTGATCTGGCCTGACAGGCCGGCAAACAATTCAGTGTAAGCACCGTAAATCGCGGGCTTCAAAGCCAGTCTCTTGACCAGGAAAAGTTGGTATCGTGGCATGTTCTGGTACAGGTCGGTGTTCAAGTTGCCTGGATCAGCAGCCTGGGTCCGCCTGTCAGCTTGAAGATGAGCTCTGGCCGAGGGCGGAAGTAAGACTTACCACACTCATGATGCCCGCTTCGCCGTACCGCCTCGCACACTCCGCGGCCTGGAAGATGTTGGCGGCCTTGCTCATGCCGTAGTTCTGCCACTGCGAGTAGGAACTTTCTTTCCCCAGTGCGTCCAGGTCGACGCCACCTTGCGGCGCGAAGCGCTCAGCCGCGGACGAGGAAACCCAGACCACTCTCGGGTTTCCAGCCGCCTGAACCTCCGCGGTTTTCAACAGAACAGGCGCTAGCAGTTTGGTGAACAGATGCGGTGCCAACGCGTTCACGCCAATCTGCGCCTCGTACTGCTGCGCTGTCTTCGTGCCCTTTGGCGGAATCATCACGCCGGCGTTGTTCCATAGAACATCGAGGCGGGTTTCACGGCGGAGAAAATCCTCGGCGGCGGGCTTGATCTTAGTGAGGTCGTTGAAATCGACAATCAGGATCTCCAATTGACCTTGAGAGTCGGGGTGTGCGGTGCGTATGCGGTCCACGGTAGCTTGGGCTTTCGAAGCGGAGCGCGCAACGATCCAGACTTTTGCATTGGCGGCGTAGAGGATCTGGGCGAGCTCGAAGCCAATGCCGCTCGTTGAACCGGTGACGACGAACACCTGGGAAGTGCCATTAGTATCGGTGTGGGATATCGCGAGGGAGTTTGGCCAACCTTGCCGGCTTGACTCGAGAGGTTCTTCTCAGTTAGAGTAGGGGGAGCGGGAGATGCGAGGAGGTTTCCCATTGTGAGGTATGATTCTTGGTGGTGAAGAGAAACGACTGAAATCCATTGCGAAGATCAAATATTTACCTCTCCTCTTCAATCGCCTAAATGCTCGAGCGGAGTGAAGCATGGAAGATGCCATTAACTATAGCGGTTCAGCCAATCAGCCCTTGATGCGAATCCGAGATTGCGCGATACGAAATACGGCTTACGACGTACGCGATGCGAAATACTTCTTCTCGGCGCGGGACGACATGTCGTTCGCAACCCAAACATACGAGATGCCTACGAGACGAACGCATGTCAAGTCTCGTGGCGGATGCAACGAATGCAAACAAAGAAGAATCAAGGTATGCTCTCCTTCATAGTCACTGCTCAGCTTCTTCCTACTAAGACTGCCGCAAGTGCAACGAAGCCAAACCAGCATGCGATGGGTGTGTCAAACGAGAGCTGCAATGTATATACGACAAGTCTACGCAGTGGCAAAGGCCAACGCACAGGAACTCTGCCTCCTCCACCAGCCTAGCTACCCGCGTAATCGACCTCGAAATCCTCCACTTTTGGACGCTCCACACGCACAAAACCTGTGATCACTGCTTCATGTCGACAACTTGGTGGCAAGAGACTCTCCCGAAATTGGCTTTTAGCAACGATCATCTGCTTTCCGCCTTGCTCTCTTTCACAAGCCTTCATATCGCCCAATTCCGGCCATCAGACGCCAATCAATACGTTGCCACTGCCGTGAATTACAGAGATCGTGCACTCCACCTACTCACGCCCTTGCTCGGCAATATCCTCCAAGACCAAGCAGAAGCATGTTTCTGGGCTTCGGCGTTGATCGGCTTGATCACCTTGGCAATGCACAACACATCCTCGAGCGCAGCGGAGAGGCAGACCCCGCAGACTCTTCTCCTAGAGTTGGCAACCCTATGGCGGGGCTCGGACAATGTGGACAAGGCGCACGCAAGTGGAACTGCCGCAGCGAGCCCGTCCTACCACTCTCCGCACCCTGACTTCCCAACTTCAAACCTGCGAGACGCAGAGCTTGATGCCGCTCTTCTCCGAACCCGAGATTGCATCTGCAAGGATGCATCGCTTGCCCCGAGTGCCCAATCGCAGTACACAAAGGCGGTCGAAGATCTTGCAATGGCCTGTGCACTTCTCGAATCGGAAGGCTCGTTCAGCGGCCTTCTTTCTTGGCTCCCATGTCTCGAGCCTCACATCCTCGACGATTTCGAATCTTCGCATCCCACTGCTGCGCTCATCGGCATCTGCTATGGCGCAGCTCTCCATGCCCTACGACATCTCTGGTACATTAAAGATCTCGGACGGCGCCTTGTGCACGATCTCACTCCCGCTGTCCCGCTAGATGATCCGGACAGGGTTAAGTTGGTGAATTGGGCACGGGAGAGAGTCTGCCCTCCGTGATTACTTGGGAAGGCCCGAGCTAGAAGACTCGTCTCCATCGAACGCCAAGCGCTTAATCGGCGTAAGAGGTTCTCAGGATGTAATATGCCGGGCGCTGTACAGCCGGGAACGGTGGGAGCGCGCACTTCGCAACTACTGGTGCCAGGTTGAAGCGCTCTCCCGCATCCTCCGCAAGAACTCGTCGGAGCCAATCGCACATTCGCCAGAGATTTCGTAATGTGCAATTGTCAAGAAACCAATGAGATGGGTTCTAGCTGCCATGTCTTGGTCCCGGGGGTGACTCTTGACAAAAGGCAAAAGCTTGTTGACCGTGGAGTAGATCGTTGCAGACCGGCCGTTCATTTCAAGTCCAGGCTCGATCCAGGACATCACGGGATCACGATTGTCGGGTCTATCAGGATGTTGTAGTGTCCAGCAAAGAAGCAAGAAAGCGGAGATGGAGTGCGCTTTGCAGAAGCTTCCGCCGCCCAGTCGAAGGCAGTCAAAGGCACTCGCTTTATCCGGTTCGCCAGTATAAAGAGCGAACATCTCAGCAGCGTTCTTCTGCGCAAGCGACAGAGCGACAGTTCGAGAGTAGTAGAATGCAGGCGACTCCATCATCGCAAATGGTCGGTGAAGTGCTGCCAGGAATTTTGCATACACATGGGCCAAGAACTGCTGCTGGAAGGACTGGGGTTCCGTGCTTCCAGACTGAGTTTCAAGGAGCGGCAGCATGGATGCTGTAAGTTGCCGACCGAGATCCAGCGCGCTTTCGAGCGTGAGGTCCGTGGTACAATTGAGAGCTTGTACGATCCGATGCCTGCACTGTAGTGATCCCGAAAGCTCAGGGTCTGTGGGCCGATCTGGCGATAAAGTCTGAGATGTGCTACGTTCGGAAGAAGGAGATGGAGAGCGGCTAGCATTGCCGGCAGGAACCGTAGGCTGGCTGTTGAAGTAAGAAAGTGACGGTGGCATACCGGCAGCTAGGCAGGCCTGGAGGTCCAACTCCACGAGAGCTTCCCAGAGCCCCTGCCGCTGACCCGATGAGTCCCACAGCCGTGAATGGTGGAGGCCAAGGGCCGCACCTGCTCGCAGCGCTGCGCCGGAGTAGACGTAATCGGCGAACTACGAACATCACGTTAGTCGGATTTTCGCACCCCAGAGAAGGCAAAAGGGCATACTTCGTCAGAATGCCACATCTGCTCCGCTAGACAAATCAAAGCCCACATGCGCACGCTCTCCACATTGAAAGTCCTCAAATGCATCGCTGTTTGCGGCAGCCCTTCGGCCAGGTTGATCCAGGCGGTGATTTTGTCCCGAGGGATGGGTTGGCTGGAGTCTGGGAGGGTGGCATTGGCGAGGCACAGGACGAGGAGCAGTTGCACCATGAAACACACGCTTGCACCGCCCCTGTTCTCCCGCATGCGCGCATAGGTATCGTGGAATGTCGGCGGATGAAGGATGGAGAAGGTGGTGCCGAGAGTCGCAAAGAAACGTTCGATCAGCCATTCCGTCGTCTGCGGATCGGGAAGCTCGTCATACAGCACTGGAGCCATCGTGGAACGATCCTGCTGGCTTTCGATCTGCAAGGCCGCCGTTGAAGCACACTCGGAATATGCGCGAGTGTCGGGCCACGGGCCAGCGGCACAGGTTCCCATGAGACATTGGGACAGGAGAGGCTCAAACTGGAGCGTCGCATTAGATGGCGTGTAGAGGAAGCGTGCGGTTTGGGCAGATACCTTTTTGATGAGCCACGAGTGGTGACTTCTCCCGCGCACATCCTCGACACCAGTCCATCGATGTACTAAAGCAGAGGTCGGAGGGTCTCGCGATTGTGGAGAAGCGTGTGGTCTGTCTGTATGAGTAGTACGAGTTCGTAGTGCGGCGTCCGGGACGAGAGGAGATCGAACGGCGCTCGCGCGTTTGCGGAATCGGCACTCGTGCTGCAATGAGTTGCGCACGCACTGGCCACAAGGCTGCGATTGATCGCACTTGACCTTGCGACGATGACACGGCTCACAGGATGTACCGATCCGGTTTAGCACTCTCCGAGTCTTCTGGGGTGAAGAACGGTGAGAGGAGGGAGACATTGGTCGCGAGACAGTCGAGAATGAGCGCGGTCGACAACTTGGACTACAGGAACTCGGCTCAAGGAAGATATGCGAGCAGTGTCACCAACCAGTGCTATTGATTGCATCTGCTGCAGATGAGAGGTATTCAACCGGTATGCGATGTAGTACATCAAGATGTCTGCACGGGTGAAGTGATGATTACCTGCGGCACATGGACCGTGCTTCCTCATTACGTAATCCGCGAGATACCAGCACTCGAGACGTTGACCAGCCTTTCCAGCCTGACCTCATGTTGACAACATCTCCATATGGCTCCTCAAGAAACACACCCCAACGGTAGGCATTGAGGCTCGCAGCATGAAACGCGACTCTCGAGAAACGGAGAAAGGTTTGCTGCGTGAGGGGGAGTCTGGTCTTCTATTTAAGCTGCTTGTTCACATTGTTCAGCACGCTGCCCTTGCCAGTGTCCAACTCGAGCACATCCCTCACTTCGTCATCAATGATCTGTAAGAACTGGTCCTCCTGCGTCCACGTTGGCTCCCAACCGAGAGCGCCGGCCTTGCCAGAGCGTATCTCCGTCCTAAATCATATCAGAGAAAGGTCAAGTTACCGGGAATGTGCGCTTACCTCGAGTTGAAGATCATCTGGACGAACAGGCCTGGAAGACCGTAGGCCTCGGCCGCCTCCTCGTCGTTAGGCCACATCTGCGTGCTCCGCTGCTGCACCAGGCCACGTGAATGAAGCGCTGCAGCCATACGGTCCAGAGTCGGCCACCAGTGGATTTTATGAGCCACGGCGAAATAGTAGCCATTCTCACCGCCTGCCGGTGCATCGTTTTGCACGATTTTCTCAAGCAATCGAGCATAGAGGGCCATCAAGTCGGATACGTGCACGGCAGGCATGACCTGTCCAGCCCGGTTATCAGCATGCCCTTGGAACCGGATGGCATATCCGCTCCGTACTTACAGAATCTTGTGGAAACGTGTATACCGCTCGCCGAGACAGACTGGCCCTCACAGTCAGTGGCATACACACCGAGAGCTTGTTCCACAAACCAAGCCCTCTGCCATCTGGGGGAGATTGGTTAGCGGATGATGGGCTGCGCTCTGCCTGTGGTTGAAGACGTACAAACCATTGGTGGAACGACGATATAACTCGTCACCCCTGCCGACTTGGCTTCTTCGGTAACCGCTACGTCGACCTGTTGTGAGACTTGTGAGTCGGCGCATTTGAATCGGAAGCACAAGGAGTATTACCTTGCGAAGTGGCATGGAGTCTGCAAGCGCTTTTTCCAGATCAAATATCTGGTCGGTATCGCTGGTGGGGCCATTGGACCAGCCACCAACTTCGGAGAATGCGGACCCTCCAGACGTCTTGGGTGATTTACATTAGCACCCTCCGTGCGTGCGATGCTAAGGTTGACTCACATGAATGAAATACGTTGCCTTGCCGCTGGCTTCACGACGCTTACCAAGCGCATGGATCAGGTTTACAACCAGATCTCGGTCCAGCCCACTCGCGCAATGGACAACGACATCGACTGACATGGCGTTAGTGTACGTATACGTCGGCGGCTCTCAATCTCGTACATACTTTCGTTGCGGAGAACGAGCTCGGCGACCGCCTGCTCGTCGCTTAGATTCACCTGCTGCACATTGAACCGAGCGGCTGTCAGTGCGTCCACTTGTTCCTCCGACCGAACAGCGCCAATGACACTGCCGGCATCGATCGAGGAGGATTCGAGGGTCTTTAGATATGAAAGAACGGAGCCCCCGCTGCCGACTCGTCAGCTTGAAATGGACAAGGCTGAGAGTAATACACATGTCACAACGTACACGTAACCGGCCGCGCCTGTGACCAAAATCTTCGAGTGTGTCATACTGATGTCTGCCTTTGGTCGGTTTCGTGGGTGCTTCGATGTTACTGGAGTAGTGAAGAGTGAGCCAACGAAGGTCAGACATCGCTTCTTAAATCGCTTTGCCCGGTTCAAAAAGAATTCAATTTCTAATCCGCGCTGGACGTTGTCGGACAAGCATTAGGCCGATCCGTGGGCTACTCTTGTTCATATCCATGCCGGAACGAAGATGAAGTATCTAGAACACAGCGAGTCTGCGGCTGACGGAGGAATTGCATAAGAAGCTTCGGCATTGTCGGCGTTGTCGGCGCTTTCGGCGATCACTCCGCCCTCGGTGCTCTCGGCGCTGTCGGTGTGCAGCCCCATAATGACGCCTTTTGGCAAGATAGTCTGCTCGCAGGTCTTGTACATTCGTCCCTTCTAGCAATTAAACCAGCTTTCCAATTATCAATCCAGCCTCGTCAAGGATTGATTGCTCAGCTCTCTTACAAATCCACGCTTCTTTTGCGACTCTGCCTGGCCCGTTCGTATAAGTATGGAACACCGCTCCCCGGTTGGTGGAGGGCATTACTCTCATCACCCTCAAGCCTTTGTATCCTCTCATCTCCCACTATCATGGCAGCATCAAAGATTGTTCTCGTATTGGGCGCAGGCGGCAATGTTGGCGCCAGCATTGCCACCTTGTTTGCCAAACAAAACTACCGCGTTGCTCTCGCCGCAAGGAGTCTGCAAGACTCTACAAACAGCAGCGGACATCTCAATATCCGGGCAGATCTTGGGGATGAAAAGTCAGTGAATGCGGCTTTTGACAAAACGATCGCACACTTCGGGCCCCCGAACGTTGTGGTGTACAATGGTATGTTACTCGACTCCCCTTGATGATTGGCCTTTGCTAATACTTCCCCAGCTGCTGTTGCTCATTTCGTTCCAGCAGAAGACCCACTGAGCCTTTCAGTCGCCCATTTCAACGAAGACATCGCAATCAACACGGCGGGAGTCCTCGTTGCAGCCAGGAGAGCGGTGCAGGGCTTTCAGCAGCTGCCTCAGAGCACCCCCAAGACCTTCATCTACACCGGCAACATCCTGAACCAAGAAGTCATCCCGGCTCTCATGAGCAATGGAATTGGCAAGTCGGCTTCGGCGCACATCATTGCGGTTGCTTCCAAGGTGTACGCCGCGGAGAACTATCGGTATGGCGCTGTTCCCTTGCAGTCGTCAGCTCCTTGCTAACTGGTGTGCAGTTTCTATTATGCGGATGAGCGAAAGGGAGATGGTGCCCCTGCATACCGCGACGTTTCCGGCGATAACCATGCGCAGCACTATCTTGAACTCGCCGAGACGGAGGAGCAGAGACCTTGGCTACAGACTTTTGTCGGCGGGCAAGGCTATAGCAAGTTCTAGGGCAATAGCATAGTCAAACGTCGACATGAGTATCGCTTCAATCATCGTTACGTACTTGCAAAGACTTATTTGATCAGATTGTGGGTGTTGTGCCGGATTGGCATCCCTCTACAGCGTTCGCGGTCCCTCCGATCCGCGCGTTCCGCCAAGGCTGGCGACCTCAGCCTTGTGCGCGGTGGCGGTGCTTTTTCGATAATACCACGAAGCTAGCTAGTGAAGTACTACTAGAAAGACTTTATCGCTACTAAACAAAACGCGTTGTTCTTGCATTTGTATTGCCCAAGGTATATATGACTGTTCTTCGCGATAGGCGATTGGAATGGCTGCAAAACCAAGCTCATGTCAAATTCAGCAAGCCTTTAGCAAAACTCCGATGAAGGCATTGTGCGACTCGAACAACACCGCGCGCGTGGGATTCCTACAGCGGAACTACTCGGCATGAATAGCCACGCTGCTCTTCCGTTTTCGCTTGCCGAGGAGATAAGGGGTGATGGCGAGTCTGGATGTATACATCTAAGGGATGTATCGGGGTCGCGTACGGAGCGCGGAACGGGGACCGGTCGGCTAATGAAGCCCAAGTTGACAATCTAGACTGCTGTCGCGCGGATTAGCAACGCCTAATAAGCTACAACAGACGTCTGGCGTATTACCAGGTGGTTCACGAGAGATACTCGTACACTTGCGATGGGCGGTTCATGTGCCATGAAAATAACTGCTCGATCCTGAATTCAGCAGTATGCGACGTCTACAGTATCGTGGCGGGCACTCACAGCATCACAGTCGAGCGACCCGATGCAGCACGTCGATCGCTTATGCTGAAGATGCAGGCGACCACGGTTTGACCGCGGCACGAGCCTGGGCGGCAAACACATTGAAACCCCTATAGAGAGTCGCGGCGCAACGTGCCACCTGATTTACGATGGAGCCCGACTTCAACAATGCTTGTCGGATGTGCCTGAAGGCGAAGCAAAGCCATGGCGATACGGGTCCTTCGTCTCGCATTACTGATCATTGGAACGCGAGCGATATGGAACGATCCCGAACGATACAGACACATTTCTGACGGGAGTGACCAGCATCATTTCGTGACTGTGAGTGTGCCCCACCCAAGAGACAGCCAAGCGCCTGCTCACACACTGTCCAGCGACCGGAATTTGCGGCCCCTCGCTATGTCGTGGCCAAACACCATCCACGTGCCATCAGCCCTGGGTACTGGTTCGTCTCGCCACATGTGGACCCGTTCACAACACCGCCGTATTCCGGCGAGCGCAACTTCGTCCCTTGCGGCAATGGTCCACACATCTACGACGACAATGGAGTGCGTGACATCGCGATCCACGTTTAGCAACCGTCCCCGCGACTGATTCACTGTTTGCAGGTCCTGATCTGGAGCGGAGCCTGCCGATACCAGAATCGCAACTGTTTTGGATTCAATGCTGTCCAGGTCAACGACACCGCTGCCCTCACCTTCTACGTTGCCGAGAAACATGCTCAAAGAGGCTCCGAGGTTCTTGCTCCTCGATCCGGCTTCATCCTCAACAATCGCTATGAAGAACTTGCTCACATTGTCATCGACTCCAAATACACGCACGACGAGCACGAATTCTACCTTCAACCCGACGGCCGCACGATCATAGTTTCGATGCGCGAAGCCGTAAACGCCGACGGTGCGGATATCAATCAGACATCTCGGCAGGTGTCAGCGACGGGGTTTCTCGAAATCGACATTGCATCTGACCGGCCTATTTTCACTTGGAGTCCCCGAGCGGCTATCGGCATCCATGTCAATCAAAGCTGCGATACTGTAAACAAGTTCAACACCGACAGGAAGAAGGTTTGGGATTTCTTCCATCTCAATTCGGTGGAAAAGTTCGCGAATGGCGACTATCTTGTTTCTGCCCGTCACATGCATGCTATCTATCGAATTTCAGGTCAGAATGGGAAGATCCTTTGGACGCTCGGTGGGTGTGTCGGGAATTCCGATTTCACCATGGGAGATGGAGTGGCTTTTCATTGGCAGCATAATGCTCGGATCCTGTACGAGGATGAAGCAAGGCTCATTCTCTCATTTTTCGACAATGAGAGCGACGACCACGATTACGGGGAACCATTCGGGACAAACCCGCCGATTGGGAAGATCATTGAACTGAGTAAGATCTAGACTCGGTCTCGCATTGACTACGTTTGAACCTTTCGCTGACCGACGCTGTGATATTGACCTAGATCTATCGAGCCGTCCTATGACCGCAACTCTACTTCGGCGATTCGATCGACCCGACAAAGGGCAAACACCAACTGCAGGTGGTCTCCAAGTGCTGGGTCCTATTACAAACGCGGAGGATGTGAGGTCTGCTCATGTCTTTGTGTGCTGGAGCCGGGAAGGCTATATCAGTGAATATGATGGCAACGACAAGCTCGTGATGGAAGCCCGCTTTGCATCAGTAAGTCTTGCGGCCAACCCACCCCTGAATAGTCTTTGCATATGACAAGAATCCTTCTGACCGCTCACCTCCACCATTGTACAGGATCGTAAACGCACCTATCGCGCCTTTAAGGCGGCCTTCAAAGGCTACCCCACCGAACCACCCATCCTCAAAATTCTCTCGATGCCTTACAACACACTCTCGATCCTTCAGCCCGCTTCTGTGTTCTATGTCAGTTGGAACGGTGCGACAGAAGTGGCTTCTTGGCGCTTTTACGGCAGAGCTAACAACTCCTCTGCCGAGTTCTCTCTCGTAGCCGACGCTTCCAAGTCCGGCTTTGAGACGTCGGTCATTGTGCCGCAGCACATTCCCTTTGCGTACGCCGAAGCCTTCGACGCAGACGGGAAGGGAATAGGGAGATCGGAAGTCGTGGGCATCGAATTGCCGTCTGGTGCTAGCGGGCTTGGAAACGAGGCTTTGATATTCCCTAACGAAGGATTGCCGGCAGCTCCATCGTCGCTACAAGGATACAGTACGGCGGAGCTGCTAGGGTTCCTTGTCCTATTCTCTCTTGCTGTTTACGGGCTTGTGGGACTTCTTCGTAAGCTATTGAAAGCCGGGGTCCGTTTGTGGCGAGGAGATCGGGCGGCAGTAGGCTATAGTCAGCTTCCTTTGTCGGACCTCTAAGAGACATAGTACCGGGCAATCGGCACAATCATTAACGTCCTTGTATTCTCGACGCACGCTTTAAATGGGCCTCACGTGCGGAGTGCTGTGGAGTAGGTGACGCTTCAGCTTCCACGTGTTCCACACTACGTTCTTCTCGACGTAGGTGATGGTGTCGTCGAGTCAGCACAAGAGATATTTCGACTTGCCAACTTAGTTGTCGTAGAGTTCTCTCCCATATGTTACGGCAGTGCAGTGTAGAGAGTGCATCGCGTTCCGCTGAAGAAATCCAACCTTGCGATCCGCCAAGGCTGGCTATCTCAGCCTTGTCGCGCGGCCGTGCCTTTTCCACGTGGATATTCGTCTTCTAAGACTATTGACAATTGTAAAATGATATTTACTGTATTGAGATACAGCAAGTGATGTCGGAGAATCGCGGAGAACCGCGGTAGCCCGCATATTCCCAAAAGTCGACCAAAAAATTCCATTCCAAGAATTTGCCAAAAAAGAAGGTTGCAGTGAGCCTTTAGCCTTAACAGAGATGTTTAAACACCTCTGAATTATCAGAAAGCCGAAGGCGGGGCTCGAACCCGCGACCTTGAGGTTGTCTCTTTATAAGAGCCACACGCTCCTGGGAGAGTGTTAGAGCGAGAAATCGTCAATTTGTCGTCAGATTGATCGACTTACTACCGATTGAGCTCTACATTGCGGGGTTAGTCTTGAACGTGAGACACATGATTGAGCCTGATCATTGACTTACACCCCGGCGATTCATGCTGTGGGGCTCGTCAAAAATCAATAATGACCTGTGCAAAAATTTTCCGGCTCTAAGTCGGGCCTTCCGCTTTTGCCAGCTCCTTCCTAATACTGACTAGCGTATATTACATAATCTTACCCATCCACTTCAATGTTCCTTATGTCCTCCGAACGTGCTTGTATTTACAGCACCTTAGCATTCGGGATTCAATTACCTCCTGCGAAACTGACGACATTGTGACTGTTCTCAAGTTGGGCAATACTCTCGAGCACCATGCATGCATTCTGGATGAGTTTCGCGGCCAGAGACGGCATGACGCTACAAAGTATGCGCGGCTATTTTACTGATGTCTCCTCCAGCACATGGTAGATCACCAAAACCTTCTCCATCCCGTTGATCGCCCCATCTTTCAGGCGAAGAACATCCGACTAGGCGCCTCTGGGCAGCATCGTTACAAGCCCACTGTGTGGCCGTCCTCTTCTTTTTGTCATGGCATGCCATCTTCTACGGTGGAATCAGCGCAACCTGCACACGCCTACTCAGCCGCACGTTCCGGATATCGTCCACCAGCTCAAGTACGGGATCCCGGTTCTGTAGCAATTCGAATTCCTGGACGAGCCGTGCGAGAAGATAGATCATCTGCGTCACCGACAGATCCCGCGCCGGACAGACCCTCTTACCCGCGAGAAACGGGATGTACTTCCAGCCGGGAGTCCGATCGGTCCACCGCTCGGGGAGAAACTCGTCTGCCGACTCGCCCCATATCGTCCGGTCTCGGTGTAAGCCTTGGATGTTCATTTCAACGATCGCCCCCCGAGGAATGAGAATCGGAGCTTGACCATCTTTCCCGCCTCCGCTGGGCAAGATACAATCTGCATCGCACTGCCGCCGGCTCATCAGGACGGGAGAGAATATGCGCAGTCCTACGTGGAGAAGTTAGCAGTCGGGGAGAGAAAGACAGAATCGCGCGACCAACCTTCGTAGACGACGTTCCTGGTGTACGGGAGTCTCGAGGTACTTTCCGTGGAAGGACCCAAAGGCTGCGCCAGTACTTCCCGACGGAGCTTGAGCCAGACTTCCGGATGTCTCGCGAGTGCAAACATGAGCAGGCTCATGGAGATGGAGATTTGATCGCGGCTCCCGAAGAACACACTCATCAATTGGGATCGGACGGCGGCTTTGTCGTTGATCTCATCCACGTAGTGCTCCACCAAGCTGAAACGCGGCGACGCAGAGTGTTGTCGTGCAGCGGCCTTGTCAATGAATCCGTCCACGGTAGCAAAGATGGTGGCGATATCTTGATGCCATTGGACATCTCGACCGCGGAGAAAGAGCAAATGGCCCGCTTGGACTCTCTGGCCCAACATGCGCATCACATCCTCAAACATCGTTAGAAACTTGTCGGCCTCTGGATGAGCTTCCTCGTCCGGATCGAGCGTATTCGTGGAGTCGCCCAGGACAAATTCGGTGGCTCTGTCAATAAACTGGGCTGGTGAGTAGGGACGTCGAATAGAACGTAGCTTTGACCACTTACCAGACGCTGGAAAAGAGGCTGCAGGTCGACCGTGCTGCCGTCGCGGGGGATGAGCTTCAACAGCTTCTGGATGTGTCGTTCAAGCGCCGGCAGATCGACGGCCTGCTCTTTAGTCAAGACCGGCATCACCAAGCTTCGAGATTGCTTCCATTCGTGGCCATCGAGCGCGACCAGGTTATCCGTCAAAAGCGGATGGGCAGCCTGCTTCGACCCCGGCGGCTTGACGAAGTTGGCGGATGAAGGGCCGACGACGGTTCGAATGTTGTCCATGTTCATCGTGCAGACTGTTCGCTGGCCGAACACGTTATACTCGTACGTATGCCCACACTTGGCATGTATTTTGGCCCGTGTAGCACCGACCTCGCCTCGCTTGGTCCCCTCCAGCATTACCCTCCGATGGTCGAGGCCCAAAAAGGGATCGGTGTGTGGATATTTTGGAATGGGCTGGCACCCTTCCCTTCGCATCTTGCGCTGATAGGCATACCGACGGTATAACGACAGACAAATATACAAGAGCAATATGAAGATTGGAGCTAACAGGCTCGGACGAGTGTATAGCATCTCAACAAACGAGTCTTGATACACAGAGGGTGATTGACGGCGAGGAGGAGCGATGTGCGGCCGGCCGCTGATTTATAAACATTATCAACATCTGCCCTGGATGGAAATGGTGGGGCTGGACGTCGGATCCGGGAGGTGTAACATTGAGGATGCTGACTCCTTCTGACACTCAGCTTACCGTAACCGCCAGCGGCCGAAGCAAGAAGGAGTGGTAGGGATTTAGGGTGCGGAGAAGGACGACGGCGTCTGCGTACCCATAAATATTATAAGAGAATTCATCTGGTTAAAGAAAGCTCTGTGGTTCAAATGTCGCCGCCATTCTCAACCTGACTGCAGCCTTACGTGCCGCCATAGCCTTCACAGGCTCTCCAAAGTAGTTTTAAAGATCGTGGACAAACCCGACCTCAACAATGCGATCTACAGGAATGTCCAGGCTGGCAATCCGCGTCCTGCAATTCTCCCGCACCCACAGGAAGACGCCCAACACCATGCGCTTGAAGGCATTATATCTTCCACTGATACGCATCTGCTCTTTGCCGGTCATGTAGAGCACTTGATGCCGGAAAGCGTCGTCCAAGTGCTGCAGGCGCGCGGCGATGGATGCCACCGCCTTCGCCTCTTTCGCACCGTTGCCGCTTTCGGACGGTGCTTGGACGCTGTCGTGGATGATCGCACGGCGGATCTCTTCGTATATCATCTGTGCGAGGTCGGGCGTGATGACGCGGTCGCTGTATCCGTGTCTGACGACGACCCGATAGACATTTCGGACGCCTGTCCGAGCGACTGCAAAACGGTCTTCCTCGGCGACGTGAGGAATGCTCAGGGCGCGAAGGTGCAGGAGGACGACGGTATCCATTTGCGCCCGGAACTTGCGCAGCCACTGTTCGTAGACCATGGGCGTGGACTCGCCGGCTTTGTCAAAGAAGATGCCGAAGCCTTCGATCGTAGTCAATTTCCCACCGCCGTATTGATCGCTGAGCATGAGTTGACCGTCGTTGTCTGCACTGCTGACGATTACCTGCGAAAGCGATTGTCGGTCCTTCTTTTCGCATGCCCACTGCTTTTCTTTGCCGTACCTCCACAACGTGAAGAACGAGGCGAGAATGAAGGAGAGCAGTAAAGTGAACCAAGCTCCGTTGGGAACTTTGGTAAGTGCTGAGCTGAGGTAGAGTCCATCGAGCAGAACGAATGGGAGCCAAATGGTGAAGACGAGTGCCGGGTGGAATCTCCAGACGATTATAGCCACGAGCGTCACCAGGTTCGTCGTGATGAAAGTGACGAGGATGACACACACTCCATAGGCATGTCCGAGGCTGTTGGTCTGTGTAGCTTGTCAGTGGCGTATCATAGCGCACCTCTCCGTTCTACTACTCACGTTGTTGTAGACTGCCGTCACAATCACTGTGCCCACCATCATCAACCAATTCGCAATGGGAATGTACACTTGGCCGTGGAACTTGTCGCTGGTGTAGATCATCTTGATGTGTGGGAAGTAGGATGAGCTGGCCAGAGATCAGCACACAAGCCATATCCCCTTTGCAGCGAAACTTACTTCATAACCTGGGACAAGAGCTGGAAGGTCGACGTGATGAGAGCCTGGGATGCTACCACCGCAGCCAAAATCGCAATGACCAAAGCAAAGTAGAAGGTGCCCGGAGGTACAGTCTTGAAGAAAGGGTTGTCGTATGCGGCGGGATACTTTGCAAGGTACGAGGCTTGCCCTGTTTCGCTCGGGTGTTAGCAGTCGAGCCACCACGGTAAGCGTGCCATGAACACTTACCGATATAAGCGAGCATTAGACATGGATAGGCGATGCAGAGCCAGCTAAGCTGAATCGCGCGACGGGAGAATGCCTATGCGTGGCAGGGTCAGCAACGCTGGTGAAATATATAGAACGATGCTTCTGGAGACATACACCAAGATCGGCGAACAGTGCTTCCACGCCAGTAAAGGCGAGAAGGAGACCGCCAAGATTGATCCAGCCCGCAGTGCCGTTTCGCACGAACCAGTCGCCGGCATAGTAAGGCGAGAAAGCCTTGAGCACGGTGTAGTCATGCACAGCCAAGTTGTAGATGCCGGAAACACCGTTGAACAAAAGCCAGATGATCACCACTGGAGCGAAGACACTGGACACACGGTGGATCCCGAAGGGCTGAACGAGGAAGAGGAGGATGAGGATGCCGCATGTTGTACCGATGATGGTCCCCTTCGAGATGTTGGGCACCGCGACCTCGAGCCCTTGAATGGCGCCCAATACTTTTTCGACAGTCAGCATGTCTCCTCTTATGTAGTGAAGGGAAAAGAGCTAACCGGACTGGGCTGGAGTAAGAATGCCATCAGCCATAATGAGACTGACGCCGAGGACTGCCAGGATCTTCAAAAACGCATGCGAGATCTTGCTGTTTTCGAGCCATCGACGGAACCCGCGATTGGGGCGTTTCAGGTCGTTTGTTGAGTAGCGCTCCATCTTCATGAGATGATTGGCGCTCGGGTCTTGCTTGATGATGTTGCTGAAGCGAGCCAGGAGATTGTACATGGCGAACGTTCCGCCCTCGCCGTTGTCGTCCGCGTACAGAACGATCAACATGTATTTGACCGTGACAATGAGGCTGCGTTACGAGGGAGCGTCAACGACCGAGACCAGCTTGACATTGACGAGTACTCACGTCAAAGACCAGAGGATGATTGAGAGCGCCCCGAGTAGATCCGCATGGGCGGGTGGAGAGGAGAAGGTGGAGGAGAAGACGTAGAGCGGAGACTGCGAGGGGTAAGCAACAAGGCAGTTGAACAGGCAAGCCATATACCAACAGTTCCAATGTCACCGTAGATGACACCTGTGGACTGGTATACCAGCCACAACAGCGTCCACCCTTTGAAGACCTGACGCTTCTTCATATCGCCTTCTCGAACGCCGACGCCCCGATCAGAGACGAGGGAATCTGCATCAACCTCGTGCGTGGACGCCATCTTTTTGTATGTCAAAGACTCGATGTGGTCTTCTGCCGACCTGGTATGTTCAATGGCGTCGTCGCCGAAGGCGATGCGCGGAGTTCTCTCAGCCATTGTCAAGTGCAGCGGAGAAAGAAAGTCACGGACAAGAGGAGGAGCGTAAAGAAAAAGATGCAGAGTGAGAAATGAGCTCCATCCTGAAGCCACGTGGGTGCTCGTCCACGGCCATTGCCCGTTGCATGTGCATGCCGGGGCACGCCAGATCTCGCGCAAGCCATGTGCAAAGGAGTCGCTTACCCGCCAACCCAACGTGGCACATCCCTTATCAGGCTGCCAGCCGCCAAATCCGGGGTAGCCTTGCCGGAGAGCAGCCAATGGGCAGCCGCACGGAAAATGCCTCAGTGAGGGATTTTTGGGACTCCTGCACACAATCGCGCGTCGCGCAATCTCTCGCTTTTCGCGACTGGCATTGCAAATAAAATTGTGTCAGCGGCGGACGTGGCTCGACTTTCCAACCCCCGGCATGCTGACTCGTATATCAGCCCCGATTCGTGACATCGGGGTTCTAGGAAGAGGAATGGGCCGTAGACGCTGGAGAGCTTTACCCTGGCAATCATGGAGTATGAAGCGCGGGGTTGGGTTGGGGTGCTGGAGAGCTGACATGGAAAGATATGGCGGCCGAGTGTGTAGCGGATAAGCTACTTAATCAGATACACTCACGGAATTGATCAGACCGCACAGCGCATTCCCAAGCACTACTGAAGGCGGTTCCCCTTCTTCGCCCAGATCGCCAGTGCCAGTGTCGGTCATCTGGCCTGCATCACAATTGTTGCCGGTTTCGATGGCACAGGAGTCACCAGAGGCGTAATCCCAGTATTGCCCCACGGGATTCATCACCGCGGCCATGCAGCACTCAGCGACCGAGGTGGCAGTCGCACTCACGAAGAAATCATTGTTCGGGCCGGGGTTGAACCCGAAGAATGCGTAATTTGTGTTGTAATAGTTGGCGAAGTTGTTCGTCGCGCAGGCCTGCGCGGGGGAGACGTTGGTGCTCGACGTCACGGTGTTTGTGACCGTGGATGTGGTCGTGGATGTGGAGGTGTGGGTGTTTGTAATGATTACGGAGGATGTGACTGTTGTCACAGCACCCGGTGTGGTTGTGACAACCGATGTCGTCGTTGTCGTCGTCGTACTGGTGGGCGTAGGGAGAATAGTCGTCTGCGATTCGGGGTCAGCATGGACACATCCAGCGGACAGCTTGCACAGCGCTGTCCAAGGAACGGATTGCTTTTGATATTGACTCACAGAAGTTACGGTAACAGTGGTGCTAGAACAATGGTAGTGCCAGCACTGTACGGGACCTGGGAAGCCTTTGTTACGAGGCGAATGTTTCTTCGGCGAAGAGCCCTTGTGATTGAACTCGACATCCCGCTTTCGAAGAGGGGCGCTTGCATCGTAGCTAGCTCCAGGAATACTTTCTTGGACGGGTGTGAATGGGGAGGGGACGGTAGTGGTGACTGTAGTCGTTGTGCTGGTCTGAGGATCGGAGAAGTCAGTAATCCCGTGGCAGCCATACACGGGCCTAGCCGGCTCAAACGTACTTCGGTTGTTACGATGCTGGTCGTGGTAGATGTGCTGGTGGTGGTTGTAGTGGCTGTTTTCGTCGATGTAGGAGCAGTGTGGGTGCTCGTGACAGTAGATGTGATCGTCGTCACCGACCCTGGGGGCGTCGAGGTCTCTAAACGGACGTTATCAACATGCTTGACGCAGGAGAACAGGGGCTACGCAAGGCACGCACTCGTAACAGTTTTTGTGCGGACTGTTGTAGAAGACCACGCTGTTCCCCATCTGGTATAATGAAGCCCGCCGGTCGTCGACTCGATCGTCGTGTAACACCTGGTAGCCGGCCAGGGCGCCTCATGCTCAGGTGCAGCGAGGGCGCATAGGGTTAAAGCAAGAAGAGCGCAAAGAAGTTGGCTGAGTGAAAGCATCGTGCAATGTGAGGCATGAGGATACGAAAGATGTCCTAGGCTTGATAATGAGAGAGGCAGAATGAGCGCCCAAGATGTAGTACAAATACGTTGCTGTCAGGGGAGGGGTGCATTGGAGCTCTTGCGCAAACCCTGCGGCCTCCCTTTCGGGCTCGAGACTCGATTGAGGCTGCACTACTGCACGTGGTACAGTAGTCGGGAATTGTCACAGCGGTCGCGGGGACATGCTCGTCCGAGAGCGCAGCGTGCCGCAGTCTTCGGACGCCTGCACAGCTACAGTGATTTGGTCGTGCATGCGAGACGCAAGTGCAGCGCTTACCTCAATCTGGCTGGCATCAGCATCCAAGAGTACGATGGAATAGGCGCAGGAGACCAGCAATGCTTGCCGGCATGCGAGTGAAGGCGGCCGTCGTTCCGTGCTGACCTTGGACCGTGAGAAGTAGCCAATAATCATGCTGGAAGCTGCCGAACTGCGGGCGCGAAGCTTTTCGAATACGAGGCTTTAGGCCTGTAGGACTTAGGGTGGCAAGGCGGGTGGAGAAAGATGAGAAAGCCTGGTTGGTTGTAATGTACCGCTAGCAATCGCCAAGTAACGGCGAAGCATTCTCGTACTCTCGGCACGGCTGCAGGTGAGATTATCGAAAGCTTCTACTTTACCACCTGATACGGACGTTGCAGCACAGCATACGCCCCTCGCGCTGCCGGGACCCGGCAGAATGACTTCAAGGGAAGGCGGCACTCTTCCTCCATGAGCAGCGAAACGGCACAGGCATAAGAGCCGGCGGCTTTGAAAGATGTTGCACAGCTAGAAGACTCGCTCCGAACGCCTTCGAGAGGGAAGTGAAGGTTATCCGGCCAGACAGGCGGCGGTAAAAGATAGATGTCTCCTGTGCTGTAGTCTGGAGGCGGGGCTCGAACCCCCATACGTGGTTGCCAAGACGAACCTCCGCTAGCGCCCGGTTTCTCAGCCAATGATCAATGTCAACGCCGCGCGCTGAACATCCACATACGTGCCTGACCTTATTACCTCATGTCCTACCAAGTCATGATACTGTGGGTGCATGGGCGGATCGTTTGCTTTTGCATTCGAAAGGTCCTATCTTGCTCCATGGCTGGAGAGAAGAGTCCCGCGGCCACCACTCACATGCGGTCAAGTGCCAACTTGGGACCATTCGGAACAAGAGTTAAACCTTTGCTGCGGGCGATATCGCTTCGCCTTCTTCATGGGTAACGGAGCGGCCAGATCTGGAGAGGCAGATTTCTCGCGCTTGTATTTGGCCATTCGACATAACGCGGTAGAGATGCGGTGAATGAAGTACCGAGTAGAGGTGTAAGATAACTTTACAAGGTTGCAATCCAGCGCGAGGAGATGCGTTAGGAAACATTGTGAGTAAAAGCATTGACGGTAGGCAGACCGTGCATCCAGGCTGCGTTTGCACTCGTTTGCACCCTTGTGTCACCCACCGTCGGTGACAAAATGAGCTGCATTCACAAACGAGGACCTGCACAAGGCGCCACGATCTTTTCCCGACTTCTTCCTCTTCATCGAATCTCACTCACACACCACAAGGCTTCAATCGATCATCATTCTCAACACACAACATGGCACCTGGTCCTGGAGCCAACCAGATGGCCATCTTCAAGGCCCTCGATGAAGAAATGGTCCAGCTCTCCGCAGACGCAACGCCGGAAGGACTGGAGAAGTGTGCGCAGATCGCAAAGACTCTTCTGAGTTACGCAGAACTCCCGCTCGGCCTGCGCTGCCGTGCATGCATCGTGCTCGCTGGTTTTGATGAACCCGGATTTGTCAACTGGGCTGAAGAAGCCGTTCGCGTGGTGGAGTTGGGTGAGTTACGAGTCTTGAGCAACTAACGGCTTCGCTGAGCTGACTGTGACCGCTTAGCTTGGAGCCAGTCGACAGAACACTCGGAGGCCGAAGTCGCGCTGCGTCAACGTGCGCACGAATGCCTGGCGCAGGCGAAAAAGCAGTTCGAAGAGGATGGCGGGCACGGCAAGGGCGAGGAGCAGGATGACCAGGAGAAGAAGGGCGACGATGATGAAGAAGATGACGATGACGAGTACGAGACCGTTAGGCTCGTATCATCTAGCACGGCATCTGTCGGCCCTGATGGAAAGGTGACGGTCGTCGTGCACAAGGCACCGTCTCCAGACGCAACCTCACCAGTGGAGCGGCTGGGGAAGGGGAAGTACCGTGTTCGCGTGGATATGGGCATGCGTACGGTCCAGGTCCAGGACCTTGAGACGGGAGAGTGGGATACGGTGGATGATGTGGAGTTTATCGAGTGAGGTGGCATCTTGGCACATTACCTTGCGGTTTGATGCAGTCCAATAGAATGAAGTCAGAATGAGTGTAGAGAGGTATCGCAAAGTCATAACTGCCAGCAAGAATTGCGAATGTTGCATTCCATTACATCGGAGTAAAGCGAGGGGCAGTCTTGCAGTTCACGTGTCGAAGCCTTCGGATATGGTGCCTGAGGCCGGAAATATCTTATTACCTCACGCGGTCGACCTTAACATCACCAAGACTTATTACAAACCTGACCATCTGTGCGTTGAGTTCCAACGTAAACGGCCGTCTCATCCGGTACTAGCACATGTGTCCTCAAGCTACCTACAGGATGAATCATCGCGTACGCTGCTTGATAAGCCCTTCGTCTAAGCGTCGCTACGAATCTTATAACGTAAGGTACTCCTTGCACTCGGTGAGGATGGCACGGAATCAAGCCATCGCGACTCGCATATCATCTCCGAAAGTGAGAGATGGACGACGTGCCGCGCGAGAGACATCTTTTGCCTGCTGCGATTGATTATCGCGCCGAACACAGTCCCGAACGAATCTGGGCCTATTTTGCAAAGAGCGACACCGATGTTCAAGAGGGGTTTCGTCCGGTAACTTACCAGGCATTCGCCAAGGCCATCGACGCAACGGCATGGTGGCTGGATGAGGTTCTCGGGCCTGCAAAGCCAGGTTTCCCGACGGTTGCATATATTGGTGCTGAAGATGTGCGCTATATCTTCCTCTTATATGCCTGTATCAAGACCGGACGAAAGGTATGACAGCGACTCGAACGATCTGATTCCGTAACTGACCGCAACATGCAGCTTCTGATTCCGTTTCCCGCCAACACGGAAGAAGGGCTGGTCAAATTGCTTGAGGCGGCCAAATGCGCCGTCGTTGCCGCCCCCAAAGCATCCTCGGGGCCATGGAAAGCGGCCATGCAGTCGATGCCGAGCCTTGATCTTATCGAGGTGCCACCGCTGAGATCGCTCATCGATCAGGACCTGGTCCAGCCTTATCCTTACCCCAAGACCATGGACGAGGGGATCGACGATGACATGTTCGTATTTCAGACATCAGGTACGTCTCGATTTAGTGTTGCGCACGTGCATGTTAGCGCTCATCCGTTCAGGCACGACTGGAAACCCGAAACCCATCTTCAAATCGCACAGGGCCTACGAAGTTTGGCGCCGCATGGTGGAAACGACGCAGCGCTCGCCCGCCAGTCTGAAGATAGCCATGTTCGACGCCTACATTGACAGCTACAACCCCATCTTCCTACCACTCTCATGGTCCGCGACCGTGACGCTCAGCGCAATTGCGCCGATTCTCACGGGCTCTGTGCCGATTTTCATGCCGGGATCGTGGAAACAACCCGCCTCTCCAGCTCAAATCTACGAAGCGCTGCCTCTGATCCCCAGGAGCCGGCACAATAGCATTCTCTTCATCCCCGACATCCTCCGAGAGTTCGTCCGGCTGCCTGAGCGTCTTGACGCCTTGAAGCAATTTGACGTCGTCATGTACGCAGGAGCGGGACTGGATCGAGCCACGGGAGACACGATTTGGGAGAAGACTGGCGTGCGCGTCCAGTCGAACATGGGGTCGACGGACTCGGATTTGTATCCAACGCTGGTGCAGCACGACCCTGCGCAATGGTATGTGCATCGTCTGCACCCGGATTGCGAGGGGTTCCACTTCCAGCACTACACCGAGGACTTGTACGAGACGCGGCAGTCCAACGACACGCGCCACTGTTTCATCACGGAGCCGCAGAGAACTGTGTTTCACACGAGAGATTTGTTTAAAAAAGTAAGCACTCCTTCTTGATGATCGCATCGTCAGCGTCTAACATGTGTGATCCCGCAGGTGCCTGATCACGAAGACTCTTACACAAACGCCGGGCGTGTCGACGATTTCATCAAGCTCGGCACTCTCACCAAATTCAACGGGATAGAAGTCGAGCAGAAACTCGACGGTCATGTCGATATAGAAGGCTCGCTAGTCGGGGGCCATGAACGGCCACGCCCATTCGTCATCTTACAAGTGTCTCCCCGTTTACTGCAAGAAGGGGTGAAGCAGGATGTGCTGAAAGAACTCTGGCCAATCTTCGAAGATGTGAATCGGACTTTGCACGCCGATGCCCATCTCACTAAGGACCTCACTCTGATTGCAGACCCGGAGAGACCTCTGAAGAGGACGGCCAAGAACACGCTCGACCGGCGCAGTACGCTGAGAATGTACGAGGATGAGATTGGGCGTTTGTATGGGGCAGCGCTGGAAGCGTAATAATTTCAGGGAGCGCATTGCTACGCTAGAAATCAAAGCCCTTCGAGTTTAGACAGGCTACCGCCCTATGTACTCCGTGTTGGTGGCTCTTGTATCACTCCGTTGGTGCGGTTCTCGCGATCCGTGCGATCCGTGCGATCCGCTTAAGGCTGGCGATCTCAGCCTTGCTAACTTAGGTAGGAATCCGCCCGAAAGTCGGATGACACCCGGGCCATTCCGGGTACATGAGAGACTCGATTACGCCTGCAATTGCAGAATGCTTGCTGTCATTTGCTATAAGAAGCCGGGGCTATAGGGCCCTGCTCCGTGAAATCTCGCGCGGAGTTCTTCAAATCCCTTGCCGTTTGCTCAGTCCCATTCGTTTCACTTTGTAGGCAATATGAACAGACTAGGCCTTCTGCACCCCTCGCAGCTCGATGCTGAAGCCAAAAGGCTGTATGACGCCTACCATGAGTACACAACGAATCGATACGGCAAGGCGTAAGTTGACCGCCGGAAAGCGTTTCGATTCCTTTTAACAAGACCCGACAGCGCCGTCGCCTACATGCTAGACGACGCCCGACTCACCGGCCCGTTCGGCGTCCAACTACACACGCCCCAAGTCGGCGAGCACGTCCTCGGACTGGCCAAGGCTCTGCGAAGCCTCCCCGGCCTGAGCGACACGAACCGCGAGATCGCCAGCATCGTCGTGGGAGTGCGGTACAACACGCGCTACGAACTGGCAATGCACCAAATGCTAGGCTGGAAGTTCGGGCTGGCGGCGGCGAGCATCGACACCATGCTGGCGGGGAAGAAGCCTGCGTCCTTCAACGCCGAGCAGAGCGTCGTTTTCGACGTGGCGCATGAACTTGCGTATGGGTCGGGAACGCTGCCGCAGGATTTGTGGGATCGTGCGGTGGAGGTGTTAGGGCGGCCGGGGACGATTGCTCTTGTTCAGTACGTTGGGTTCTACAGCTATGCGTGTACGATTCTGAGGGGATTTGACGTTGAGATTCCGGTCACGGACCGGTTGGGACGGGGCCATTTATCCAAATGAGCGGTTGTTCGTCCAGTGCATTTTGTTTTCGAAGGTAAATGATTAGAATATACCCTCGGTCATCGCTCGTAGCGCGTTCTCTTATACACGCGTTTGTTTTCCCTATCCTCATTGTTGCCTAACTCCTGACTCGCGGCTGACCCAGAATCTGGTCGAGAACGACACCATTGACGACCATCGATGTGACTCACCACCATACATCTAATTATCACGACCTCTTCCGAGCCATTGATATTCGTTATGAAAAGTCGGGAAAGACACCGCGATCCAGCCGCCAAGCAAGCTGAAATCGCTGAAATACGACTATCTCCAACACTCTCTCATTCTTCCATCACAAGATGTCTGCTCCACCCCAGCTCACCCGCAGGCCCTACACAGGCAGCTGCCACTGCGGGCACGTCAAGTACATCGTCTACCTCACGCTCCCCACACTCCCCTACCCGCCCACCACACAGACAGACTTCCGCAAAGCCTCCGGCCACCGCATCTACAAATGCAACTGCACAATCTGCCACAAAGCAAGCCTGTTTCACATCCGCACGCTCGACGCGGCGAATGACTTCTTCATCGTCTCCCCCAAAAACCCCATGGCCGAGGGGAGCGGATTGAAGGCCTACGTCGCCAAGGGGAATACCGGCCCGTCCCATTTCTGCGAGTACTGTGGAGTGCGCGGGTTTACGTTGAGGGGGGAGGGGTATAGTGAGGAAGTCGAGTTGCCTACGTCGCTGGTGCAGCGGTTGGAGAGTAGGACTTTGGATGGGACGGCGGGGGAGATTACGGGGAAGGAAGGCGAGACGACGCGGGTATCCGTCTGGCGGCCCACGCAGGATTGGCATGAGAGCCAGGACGATGACAGTGGGGGAGACGACTATTTGAGCGTCAACGGGGTGACGCTCGATGCGCACAATGAGAACTTCGATCTCCGCCAGCTCCATGAGAAGGGGTACGTGGGGTATATGCAGACGTTGCAGTGGGTGGGTTACGACTATGAGGATAAGCCGTATTCTGGCGGGGCGTATTGATTTGCGAGGTGGGGAGGGGGCGATGGAGTGGGTGATCGGCAGAGGTCGAAGACGTAGAGACCGACTTAGATGTAATATGGTCTGCTGGCCCAGACAGAACGATGCAGATGTAGAGCAGGCACCAGCAACCAGCACTTCCGCAGCTGGAGAGCAGCCATAGAGGCAAAGGAACTTATGCATTCGTGTGGATCCGAGGACGGTCATGGTCCAGAACAGAATGTCGAGACGCGATGGAATGCAAGGAAAGTGAGATGTGGTATGATTAGTCGCTTCCTGATGGGTGTCGAGATTGAGTTGAGCACGCTGCCTGCCGATACCGTGGAGCGATGAGTGCGAAGATCCGAAGGGTGGCCTCGAGGCCAGTATTGAACTGTGTCGGCTGGGTGTCTGTGCTTGTCAGCTCGAGTATTGTCGGTCAATCAGTAGCATTCAGAAGTAGAGAGCCGAGCAGAAGATAAAAAGGGAGAAAATCCATTTAGTGGGTATACGAGAGGGTTTTGGCTGGTGAGTTTATTATACAACCACGCTCTCTGCAAGCCATGATAGCGGAGGAAAAGAAAAATAGTAGACCATTCCGGATTCTCCGCCCCAAGACGATGTGCGCGCAACACACCACACCTACGCGTCGGCCCTCCTTGCTCACCCGCTCTTCCCCAGCGCCGCGACACTGCCACCACACCCCTCCACAATCTTCGATTCTTTACATGGCGGCGTAGGCGGCGATGCCGGCAATGCCGGCACCGATCAAGGCCGGCGCGGCAGTGGCAGCAGCGTAACCCTGGGTGACGGAGGTGGTCTTGAGGTTGCAAGTATCGAGGACGTCCTTGATGGCTGGATAGGGAAGAAACGGAGAGGTCAGCGTTGTTTACGGATGCAAGCGGCCGAGCTGGCCAGCTAGCCAGAGGGCAGCGAAGCTCGAAAAAACTCACCTGGATAGAAGGCGACACTGTTGCCCTCGGTGCGGCTATTGTAGCTGCAAGCTTCGCATAGCGGGATGAGGTGCTTCATGTGCTTTTGGTAGCAGAAGCATTTCAGGCCCTCCGAGGCGCCGAGACAGGTGGATTGCGACACGGTGACGATGGGGCCGCACCAGTCCGCACACTTGAAGTTGTAGGCGTCGGGGATGAGACCCTTTCCTTGGTCGGCGGCGACGGGGGCGACGGTGGAGAGCATCAAGGCCGCAGCGGCGGCGACGAGCGTTCGGAATTGCATGGCGGCGGGATGTGATGATCTGGGTGCGGATGTTGTCGGGTATGGCAGACGGAGCACGCGCAGATTCCGAACTGATGCTCGCGGTTGGGGGAGGGAAGATGGCGATGGGGGTGTGAGAGGAGTAGAGGAAGAGAAGAGGGAGCGAGAGGGAGGGAAGAAGCGACGTGCACGGTGAGCGAGCAGAGAAAAACAGGCCAATGGAAGGTAGCGTGGGTGCGGGTTCGTCAGGTTAGGAAGCGGCGGAAGCTCGTGTGTTTGGGCGGCGGAAAGAGCTGTCCGGTTTGCGAAAGCACAGACCAACCCACATCCCGGCACCGCACCAATGAGAATTGAGCCGAGAAGCGAGCGAGTTGACGCATCGCCTCTCGTTTCGACGACAGCTGCGTGGGCAGGTGTCAAAGACGGGATGATCGGAATCCTCCAGTCGGCCTCTACACACATTACAAACGGACTGGCCACATTGCTGTCTGTCTTGCGCATCGCAGCGCGTGGATCCATGATTCATTTTTCCCTTCTCCGCGTGCGCGCGGCGCTTGAGCGCGATTTTCCTCCCCCAAGCTTACGATGTCCATGCGGCGGCAGCTATCGGAAATGTCGTCAAGCTCCGCCGCCGCCGACGTATCCGACCCGTGCCTCTCCGCTTACCTAAATCCCTTTCATCGCTGGCTCTCTCACTCACAGAAGGCACCGCATTTCTTCCTGCACTCAATTCATGCATGAGGCGAGTGGCGATGTGGCGAGGAGTGAGAAGAGGTCTGCTTGCGCGTCTTCCATCTCTGCCGGCTGATTCAACCATCGCGCCGTCCAACGTCTTTTCGTACCCGGTTGCGGCTATTCCAAAGCGTTATCAATGATGCACGGCCCACATTGAACGCGCTTGCCTTAGGTAAGCTTGAAAACAACATGCGACCGGTCATCACAACAGGCGGTCCGACGAGGAAAGTTGATGCGTGCACATTTGCAGCATTCACAAAGGCTCACATCGAACACTAACTCACGTACTGTGTGAATACATTCACAACATCTGTCCACAGTCCTTGTTTATCATCAATGTCATCAGTCATGCGTCGTACGTACTCCAATAACAATGAAAGCGGCCTGTCCCGCTCCCGCGACTCCATCCAATTTGGGAAGCCCACTCGTGTGATGACTACTGCACAGCTCCACTTCCAGCTTCCTCAAGGCTGCACCTCACGCGTTCTCAACATGGAATTGCAGGATAATCCCATACCATGACTGCCGACCGTCGATAACACCATTCGTGAACCTTGCTCCCAAATGGCTTGAGCCAGACATTAACTTGTCTAGGCAACCACACAGCCCTCCACCACTCCTGCTATGTCGCTGACATTCAAACTCCTCTCCCTCGTCATCCGCACCGCTGCCAAACCCATTGGAGTGAGCCTGACCCCCTCTACCAAGCAGACGTGCAACTACTGATACACCTCCCACAGAACTACATCAAACGCCAAGCTCACGACCACGATGGCTTCCGCCGCTTCGCCATCAACCAAGCCCAGCGCGTCCACCGCATCGACATGCGCATGCGCCTCGGCCTACTCCACGACCCCGAAGCGCAGCAGCGCATGCACGAGCGCGAGCAAAAGGCGGCCGAGGACAAGAAGCGCAAGGCCGAGGCGCCCACCGTGAGAAGCGAGGAGGAGCAAAAGAAGTACGACGAGCAGAAGGTGAAGGACGAACAAGATGGCAAGAGGAAGAAGGAGGAGAAGCCGAGGATCAAGATTCGGCCGCTGAGTGATGCGCGAGCCATTGAACTCGGCGCCAACTTCTTCTCGGAGACTTTCATCTTCATGGTTGCGGTTGGCTTGTTGCTCGCGGAGAATTTCAGGAGTAGTCGCAAGGCGAGCAGCCGTCGGGATGAGATCCAAGAGCGGTTGGATACGCTGGAGGAGGCGATGGAGCATTTGAGGAATCAGCATAACCTCCCTGAGCTGGAAGCGTTGAATGAGCGAATCGCCAAAGCGAGAGAAGCGCGAGCCAGTTGGTTCAATCCGGCTGGGTGGTGGCGACGTACCGAGCCAGAGGAGGTCGACAATGCTGCTGCGCAGAGCGAGAGCGCCAGCAAACCCATCCCAGGGAATGTGCCCGGTCCCCCTCCGGAACAGTCGGTCAAGCCAACAAACACCCCCAATGATTCGACATCTCCAAAAACGCAACCAGCGCGAATCAACGCTGTGGAAGCGACGAAGAAGTCAAGATGACATGTAAGATAGAACTCCACTCAAAAGCCTTTACGTATGATGCGCCACTAGCATATAGATGTATACATGTAGTACAATGAGCACGGCATATCCGGCAGGCGAGCCTGAATTGCGGCCTGACTGCAGCCTAGGCACGTGATAGACCAACCTCACCTCATCCCGAATCCTTTCATCCAACATTATCTTCTCAGCAACGTCGAAGGACAGCAAAGATGTTCTGCACCTCACTCCGTCGGCGTCCGCACATGCTACCCCTGATACCGCTTCTCACCGCTTCCCCCTTATCGCTGCGCGGTAAGAAGTTCATCTCCGGACAGCTGCGGCATGGCAAGCTAATGGCAAGCAGAATCGCAGCTCACCACTCACGATCTGGAGGTTAGACTCGATGATTCGTCCAATCTAAAGTCACGCAATACGCCATCTACGCGAAGTCTGCGCATCATACTCCTATCCCCGCCCGACATCGCCGAAGCAACTCTGCAGGAAACGATGCAGCGCGTCCAACGCTTCGCGGCCCTGACCGGCGGCCAAGACATCGCCATCTTCTTGATCCTCAACGCACGCCATGGCTCGAGTTTCGGAACCGCCAGGCTCCTTATGGAGAACGCAGCACCCGTGTCTTCGTCCGCGGACGGCATCACTGCGTACGCAAAACTTCAGGCGGAGATTTTCAATCATGCCGGGATTCCATACGTACCGACTCTGCCGCTCCATAAAGCGGATGGTCTTCAAACGCTCCTTGGTCGGTATGTGGAGAGTTTGAAGCGTCCGGCACTGCAGCCTGTGAAGCCTGCAGCGAGTTCATTCGAGCTCTTGAGACTTTGTACGGTCCGGCCGCCGTTGTCGCAGCAGACGGTGTACATGCTTTCCGATCTCTTTCCGAATTTGAGAGACTTAGCCGCTGCTTGCTCGGATATTTCGTCCGTTCCTGTCGCCAGCTCGTCGCCTGCAGCTGCGTATGCTACGGATGCTTTGGGCATGGTCGATCACGGTACCACTCAAGGACTCGGTTTAGCAGTCAACAGCGCGCTCCACCGACTGTGCGAACTCGTAGGGGAGGCCGAGTGCCAGAACATTATCGACTTCTGGAAAGGAGATGGGCGGGCGGAGTGAAAGGAATAATATCCCTCAATATCGAACTGCAAGCACATCATCGACCATCACGCTCGCAGCTCCAAGATAGTTGGCGGGATCACACAAGCCTCGAAGCTTGTCGGTCGCTATTGACGCCGTCACTTGTTGCTTTCCGGAAAGCACGTCGAATAGCGAAGTACTCTCGCCCGCCTCGATAGTCTCCTTGCACGCCTCGTACACAATGTCGTGTGCTTTCTGCCGTCCTGTGTGTTTCGCGAGTTCCATCATCACCGCCTCTGCGACGATCAACCCCCTTGTTGAATTGAGATTCCGTCCCATCTGATCCACGTTGACGACCAATCCAGACATGGCAAAGTCCGCCTGATGTAACACGCCCACGGCAACGATGAATGCTTCCGGCACTGCCACCCACTCCAAATGCCACGGCCCGGTCGCGCGTTCAAAGTCCGTCACCATCGCATCCAGACATAGCGAAGCGTTGGCACGCAGCAACTTCGACGCGGCAAGCATGACCTCTGATGAGATCGGGTTTCGCTTCTGCGGCATCGTCGAGCTCGCGCCACGATGCGGGACGAAAGGCTCACTGACCTCCCCGAGCTCGTTGGAAGACATGACAATCAAATCCAGCGCCAGCTTCCCCAAACTCCCACCCACAAGCGCCAGAAAATTGACAATCTCCGCCACGCCGTCTCGCGCCGTATGCCACGTAACAACAGGATCATGCAGCCCCAACTCCTCCGCCAGCGCCCGCCGAACCTTCACTCCCGTCTCCGCCTCCCTCCCGGAACCCAACGAAGCCAACGTCCCCGCCGCCCCGCCAAACTGCACCAACAAGCACCGCGGCCGCAACTGCTGTAGTCTCTCCAAATGCCGCTGAAACCCAGACAGGTAAACAGCACACTTGTACCCAAACGTGACGGGCAACGCATGTTGCAAATGCGTGCGCCCCGCCATCGGCGTGTCGCGGTACTTCTGCGCCAACCGGCTCAGCGTGCCAACGAGTTTCCGCAGGTACTCCTCGACCAGGAGTAGGCCGTCTTTCATCTGCAGCACCGCCGCCGTGTCCTGGATGTCCTGCGTCGTTGCGCCCCAGTGCACATAGCTGCCTGCTTCGCCCTCGCCGCAGGCGGCTACTAATTGCCGCACGAGAGGGAGGATGGGGTAGCCTACGATTTCCGTTTCGTTGGATAAGCGATCGTAGTCTAGCGTAGCATTTGTGCAGGCGGCGGTGATTCGGGCTCCGATTTCTGCGGGGATGACGCCTAGTTTGGACTGTGCTCGCGCGAGGGCTGTTTCGACATCGATGCAGCGCTGGATGTAGGTTTTGTCGTCGAAGATGGCGCGGATGGCCGCGGTGCCGAAGAGGTTTTTGAACAGGAGGGAGTCAAGGGCGCTGGTGGGCATTTTGAATGGGTTCTGTCTTGACGAAATGAAAGTGGTGAAATTGGAGCTCTCTCTTCTTCTTTTGTTCTCTCTAGAAAATGAATGTCGGGGAGTACTCGAAGAAGTGGACATGGGAAATCTTGCCAAACCGGCCGGTATCGGTCTCGAGAATGGCCAAAGGTCACCACTCACCTACAGAAACCTAATGCAATCACGGTCTTCGAATTCCATCCTATATTGCAGGTATTCGTTTGCAGTTATTACCGTCATTGCCAATGGCTCAACTGCCCGCAGAGTCGTGTTCGGACAATCAGAGGATCTTAAATGATTGCGCCAATGGCATGGAAGGAGTGCCACTCCATCCGACTCCAGAATGACGTAGAGCTGTAGTCAAGTTCCCAATGGCGTAGAGAGCAACGACGTATTCCCTTTTCGCCAATTACCACGCACCTCAATTCATCTTCTTTCAAAAGTTATTCTCAACCTCCATCGTACAGAAACGCCAACCAGCACCCCACAAAGTTCCACTCAAACACGCATCAACAGCAACAATGTCCAACCACCAACAATCCGCCATCATCTGGCCCGAAAAGTACCTCCCAGGCACAACAGACAACTACACCAGCAACGAAACCATCGCCCCCGGCCTAACCGCAGCCCAAATCTGGGCAAAGCTAAACGACATCACGCAATGGTCAACATACTACGGCCACAACGTGGAGCAAATCACGCCCCCCTCCTCCGGCCCGCACCTGAAGAAAGGCGACGTGTTCAAATTCTCGACGTTCGGCTTCCCGGTGCTCGAGTGCCCCGTGATGGAAAGCATGCCCCCGGAGAAAGGGCAGGCGGGCCGGCTGGCGTGGAGTGCGAAGTTGGAGGGGAGCGAGGAGGAGGCGGCGGATGTGTATCATGCTTGGCTCGTGGAGGATTTGCCAGGGGGCCGGGTGAGGATTTTGACGCAGGAGAGTCAGATTGGGAAGCCTTGTGCGGCGTTGGCGGAGGCGCGGCCGAATAAGATGTTGCTTGGGCATCAGGATTGGCTGGATGGGTTGGTTGCTGCGGCGCGGGGGCAGAAGTTGAAGGAGACGAACTTGGGGAGTGTGGAGAAGAAGTAGATGGGGGGAGATGAGGATGTATGGATGTAGTCGGATGCTAGATAAGAGAGGCGTCGTTAGGCAGTATGTAGCGATGCGTCACTCACTCTTCATCGTCGCTGTCGTCCACAATCTTCCTCCTCCTGTTCATCAGCACTCTCGGGGCCGGAGCCGCGACTTCTTCCACATCGGATGTGCCATCCGCCACTCCCTCTTCCAACGCCGCAAGTCCCGGATCTGCCTCGGCATCAGACTCACTCATGGCTTCAAGTGCAATCTGTCCACGACGTGCCGAAGCAGCACTTTTGAAACCACCCCTCGTTGCAGCCACCGGCTTCGAAGACTGCGAATCGTCCGGAAACTGCTGCGAAGAGCTAGCCATCTCGATAGGCTGGTCGCTTCTAACGACAAACTCCGCCAGATCGCTATCGAGCTCTTCTTCCTCATCTTCTCCACTTGTATCGCGAGACCCGAGGTCGATGCCCTGTGTGCCGATGCGCATATCAGCCGGCGTCGGCTCTGGGCTCGACTCGTCGCCTTCCCCGGCCGCGGAGCCGTACGAGTGGGTACGTCGAATGGGCTGTTTCTTCTTGGGGCGTCCGCGTGGCCGTTTTGCCGGCTGCGCTCGTGTTGGTGCTGGGCCTTCGGTTTCGCTGGACTGGACTGAGTGGATGGAAGCGGCACGTGGCTTCTGCTGTTGGCGCTTCGCCGCTGCCTTTGCCGGCTTCTTTGGAGCTGGTACAATGGTGGGATTCGCAGGGAGATCGTCGTCGGTCTCAGACACAGCATCAGCAGGCTCGACAAGTCGCACTCTGGCGTCTCCAGCACTGTGCAGAAGCTCGGGTGCTAGCAAGCTCCTCATCCGCTCGACTCGTTCGCCATTGATGTCCCGCATAGCTCTCAGAGCGCGCACAACAGTGTGAGTAGCTCGTCCATGCCGCATGTACTTCGTCTCCCCCAATGTCTTCATCGAGTCGGGGAAGCGTGCCGGGTTGGGGGCGCGGATGACAACATCAGCCTCCACGTTGGCAGTATGCGCATACGTGCGCTCCAGCTCCTTTTGCTGGGTGGTCGACAGTAACACATCGCCCAGAAATGGCAATTGCACCGGTTCCGGTTCAGGGGATGGTGCTCGCGGCTTAAATTTTGTCGCACTGCTTTTCCGCTTGCCTGTGCGCTGTCTCCTGGATGTCGACTCGCCTGCGCTATCGTCGTCACCATCCGAATCAATCTTCGATGCCTTGACAAATCCCGTCCGCACACCATCTGGCATGTGAAAGTTCTTAGGCGGTCGCTTCGCCTTCGCTCGTCCCTTGGCTTTCCTGCCCCTCTCATTCAAATCGATAGGTTGACTGTTCTCGACAGGGATTTCGATGATTCTCTTATCCACCACTGGTTGCACATGCTTGGGCAAGATTCTAGGACTGAGATCGTCCTGGTAATTGTACTTCTCCGGATCCGCAATGGTCTTCTGGATGTAGGCGTAATTGTCTTGCGCCTTGGCGTAGTCTCTTTCTTCCTTTTCTTTCATTAGCAACAGCACCACCTTGCCAATCCGTTTTCTTCCTGTTCTCCCGATCCGCTGCAGCATGCGGATAGGACTGGATGATGCGTCGTAGCATACGATCAGGTCCACAGTGCCGATGTCCAACCCCTCCTCGCCAATCGAGGTAGCAACGAGCGTGTTGTACTTTCCGGACTTGAAATCCTGAATGACGGCATTCTGCGTCTTCTGGTCCATGCCTTCGGAGCCTTTGGACGCAGCCTGTCCGACAAAGACATGCGGTCGAATCATGGGCTCGCTTCTCTTCAAGACTCGGCAGATTTCTTCGGTGCTGTCTCGGTATGACGCGAATACCATGACTCTCGTGGCCGATGGAGGAACATCAGATCCTTGCACGCCCTCTCCTGCATCGAGAAAGTGGTTGAGCACCACCTCGCGCAGATACTCCAGTTTTGGATGGCCGATGAAGTCGGGATTGCTCCTCCACGCCCGAATGGTACTCATCATCTTCACGAAATCCGCCGACTCCACAATCTGAGTGGCATTCTTGCCCTTGGCCTTTGCAGACTCCACGCCCTTGTGAAACTCCAAGCAACCAGAGTAGAACGGGACGATGCCGTGGAACTTCAGCAACGAAATGCTATGCGCCAGTTGGGCAAGGATCGTGAAGACGGCATTGACCATTCCCTTGATCGGCATCGGCGCCTTTCTCCCGGCATCAGAACTCTGCCATTTCTGTCGCGCAGTCGTCAGACCGAATGCGGAGAGCTGCATTGGGTCGCGAGACCAGTATGCATTCTGCGAGCAGAGCTTCTCCAGCATAGGTCGAATGGCCTTCGCCATGAGTCCCATGATCAATTCTTGCTCGTCGTTGAAGTCAAACACTTGCGTTTCCGTTTGCTTTTCGTGCGTGTACTCCCTGATGTCAAGAGAGGATTCCGTTCGCAACTCGACCCTCGCAATGCCGAGATTCTCGATGACGGCCTGGACGGCTTCAACCGTTGAGCCGGGAGTGGCGGTCAAGGCAAGCACGCGGAAGCTGTTGTTGAATCTTCGCACGAATTTGACCACTTCGGTGTAAGCGTAGCCACCGGTCGCCTTGTGCGCCTCATCGACCACAATCAGCACCAGCTTCTTTGGATCGGCGATGCCGGTCTTCAAGTCGTTGATGACGGTTTGCGGTGTCATGAAGAATACCCGCCGTTCCAGCCATTCCTCCGCACGCAGCGTCGGTGTCGTCTCGCCAGTCATGAGCACCGTGTCGCGGCGTGGGATGCCGACAATACTGTAGCACGCGTCGAGCTGCTGGGCAATCAAGGGCTTTGTTGGCGCCATAAAGACAATCTGGGCATCTTTGGTCCAGCGATAGTAGTTCAGCATGACGGTAGCGGCGATGAAAGTCTTTCCGAGGCCAGTCGGAAGAGCAACGAGAGTGTTGTGAAAGAGACTTCTGGCCACGATGTTGTACTGGTAATCTCGAATGGTGCCGAGGTTGGTAGGGTAGGTCCACGTTTCCATTGCCTTCTCGTCGAGCTGGTGATGGGTGGGAGGTTCATTGCGAGCTGTCAAAGGCCAAGCGTATCTCTTCTTAAGCGCTTGCGAGGCCGACATGTCTTGCGTGGCCGGCTGTCCGAAAATCGTCATTTGCTTGAGTCCTTGCTGCGGGGCTCGGAGGCCGTGCGCTTGCGCCTGGGATATCACCCGGCTGGAAGAGATGATGACAACCTCTTTGTCCGGCGAGTTCTCTACGGATGATGATGAGAAGGCGTCGGATGGCAGGTCAGCCAGTTCATCTGCGACATCGATCATTCCATTTTGGGGGAGCGAAGCATGTCCATTGATAGCATTTCCGGGCAAAGCAGTGCGGGAGTTCTCCTCCGCTTGAAGTCGAGCAGCCAAAGCGGCATCACTCAGCAAGAGATCTTCCGACCGCAGTCTGCTAGCCGCAGCAGTGAAGCCATTCAGAGTAGTCTGCTTCCACCCAGGCAGTGAGGCGGCGTTGACGAATGAAGGTGCATTGCCACTGTTACCGTTCCTCGGATTGAAAGCAGGTGGCGGGGGTGGAGGCATGGCCGGTCTCTTCCATATCGCACCGCGAAAGCGACTGGGGCTGTCATCGAGTCCCGTCTGGGTTTGAGTGAAGATCTGATCCTTGAAGTGTCCGCCGACCCGCGGAATGTGGATTTTGTACTTGGAGTTGCGTTTGGAAGCTTCATCTTCGCCCAGTTCCCCTGGGAAGTAATAATCGGGATCGTCGGAGGCGATGTCCGAGTTTCCGGACGGAGAGTTGCCAGCTTCTTCGTCATGTGCTGCTGGAGAGTGTACAGATTGTAGCCTCCTCCGCTTGGAGGGTCTTGGTGATGAGTGGAAAGAGTCATTTGGAGAGGCTTCGAGGTTTGTCGCCACGTCAAAGAAGGCGGTGTCATCATCATCTAGCCCGAAGTCATCTTCACTGTGAGACATGATCTCGCCACGCCGTCCAGCATGCTGATGGAGTGCAGTATTGGTGAGTATGGAATGGACCTGAGGTTGACAATTTGCCTAATCTGGAGACGAGACGCGACGCGACTGCCGTGCTGACAAATACGCCAGTCTGGAAGCTGCAGGCGTGCCCCTCCTTCTGCTTGCCCCTCTCATCGGCTACACGCCCGAGTTGGACAGAAGACGCTTACCACTTCGAGGGGGCTCTGCCTTTTTGCGTCACGTCACAGGTGCCTCATGGCAAGTGTTCTAGGCCGCTGCGGGGGCACACTCTCCATTCTCCGCCCACGCATCTCATATTTCTCTCCATCAAGGTCGCTCTCTTTCCGCTCCATTATAATAAGCCCTACCCGCGCCCTCCACTCGCCCAGCATGCCTGTCGATCCAACCGGCGATCCCAAACAACATGACGCCTCCGAATTCGCCGAGGGCATGTCCGGCTCCTGCCTGTGCGGTAGCATCACCGTGACCATCAAAGACTCCGAGCTCTTCACCAAGCCCCGCGGCCACCTGTGCCACTGCGCCAACTGCCGCAAAATCGCCGGCTCCTACGTTGCCAGCAATCTGCTCATCGAGACGGACAAGGTGCACGTCGAGGACAAGAATGGCACGCTCAAGACGTACGAGGACAAGGCCACGCTGAGCGGCAACTCCGTGTTTCGCAAATTTTGCAGCGTGGATGGCAAGTGAGTGTTGTGCTGCAACAGCCTCGTGTCTGCGTGCATTGTGTGCTAATGCTTCTTGTCTTGTGCAGTCCCATCAGCTCCGAGACCGAATCGTACCCTGGCAAGATTGTGCTGAAGATGGGCATGTATCCGCGCATCCCGCAGCCCGAGGCAGAAGGCTTCGGCCTCCACAAGCACGAATGGCAAGGCGAGCATCCCAAGATCGACACCTACGAGATCAAGTGGGCCGGTCCGGAGCGAAAGAAGATGAACTGAGCGATTGTGTGCATAAAAGAACAATTAAGAGAGAAAATCCGACTTCGAGAATGCCTTGTGCTCTCCATCTTTCAGTGCATTATTACAACTTCGGCACCGCGCCCGGCTGCGCCTTCTCCCCCATCGCACCCATCCTCACCGCGCCGTCCATGTCGAAAACACTGCGTTTGTTCGTCCGCTTCACCTTTCCGTGGTTTCCATTGAGGTAATTCGTGTAGTACGTCCTGCAAGTGAAGACCGAGGCACTCGAGCTGGGCGTGACATAGCTGATAACGGTCGTCGCCCCTCCGGTGACCGTAATAAACTCGCCTCCGCCCTCGCTGAGGGTGACGTTTTGCCCCTTTTGCGTCACCGTCGGCCCTGAGACAGTGTTGTTGTGCACCGAGGTTGACACGCTGGTAGTGGTGCTGATACTGGTGCTGATGATGGTCCTTGTCGTCGTCGTCGTGATGAGCTCGGTAATGAAGCGGGTGATGAGGTGCGTGATGCCGTTGACCACAGTTGTGCTGACGACGGGCACGTCGCTGGTAAGCGTTTCTGGGTAGGCGGAGAGGATGGTAACGAGTGAGCCGGGTCGGGTTACTGGCCCACCGCCTGGGAATGGGTTAGCAAAGTGAATGCTGTTCACAGGGATTGGGAAAGCGGTCTCACCTCCTCCTCCTGTCCCGCCTGTCCCACCGCCGCTGCCTCCGTTGCCAGTGCCAGGAAGAGTCCCACCGCTTCCACCCTTACCAGTCCCTGCAACCCCACCACTACCACCTACGCCCGCCCCACCGCTTCCTCCACTCCCGCCTCCGGAAAACGTCCCAGTGACCGTAGCACCTCCCTTCACATGAGTCTTCACCTCCGTCTTCCCATCCGTAGTGATCGTAGTAAGCCTCGTGATTCCACCCGTCACAAACGTGCTCAAATACGTCTGGTGGACCAGCTGCCCAGCATAGCCCGTAATCGTCTCAACACCCGTCTCACCACCCTTGACATGCGTCCTCACCTCCGTCACGCCGTCGGTAACGAACGTGCTGAACTTCGTCTTGCCTCCGCGCGTATAAGCGCTGAGGTAGGTGGCGAGCGTTTCGATTTCCGTGGAGCCGCCCTTGACGTGCGTGCGGACGAAGGTGGCGCCGGCGGACGTGTAGGTTTTGGTTTTGGTCACGCCGTCGGTCACAAAAGTGCTTGCAAAGGTCGATGCGCCGCGGACGATGGTCGTGACCTCCGTTGCGCCGCCGTTGACGAGGGTTGTCAGGTGTGCGAGGGATGTGGTGCCCTTGTGGCCGCCGCCAGTAATACCTCCACCTCCACCCCCACCGTGCGTCCCATTGATGTGCTCCGGCGGAACAAACGGAGACAGCAGCCGCGCACTATTCGCCCCCCTGCGTGCTTCCATCGTAGTCCCGGACTTCAACTGGCAATTCTTCCCATCCGCAGACTCCAAATACGTAACTCCCAAGCAAGGCGCAGACTTCGTGAAATGCAACAGATTAAACAAATCACAAGCGGCAATGCACGAGCCCAGCGAGGTCTGGTGTTGCGTGTCCACGTTGCGGTTGGAGAAGGCCTCCCCGCACAGGATGAGGTACTGCATGCCCAGTTGCGATGTGAATTCCTCGTCATTGTTGTATGGGCAGGTGGGCTGTACCGTGTTAGTCGTCGTTGCTGTGCGGGTTCCATGGGTGCGTGTACCTCCGTGAGATCCCTTTGCGCCGCCTTGTCCGGGGCTGCTTTCTGCGATGGTCTGTGTGATGGTGTGGCCATGCTTGTCGGTAGTCGTGATCACAACGCCGCGGCCGTTGCCCGAAGGCCCGGTTGGAATCTGAGTATACGTCACAGTATGGCCTCGGCGATCTGTGGTGGTGACCACGGTAGCTCCACTCTGCGTCGTATTGCCTCCGAAGATATATCCTGGCGCAGGACAAACGCCCAGAAGAGCACAGCTTGTGACCGTGTGCGTGGTATAGTGTGTCGTGGTTCCAAGACGTGGTCTGCTGGTGCAAAGACCGTTGTTGATGCCCGTTGCACCCTCAGTCGCCCCTCCAGCCGCCCCTCCGGTGGCTCCTCCAGATCCACCGTTGCTAGGAGAGACGACGACCGGCGTGACGCCGCAGGTAAAGCAGAGCGAGACGTTCCCGCCGCCAGATGCTCCGCCCGCTGTGCCAGAAGAAGTGGTGATATGTTGGCCCTTAGTAAGTGTCGATGTCAGGGTACTGGTTGGAGTTATGGTCACCGTTGTCTTCGATGAAGGAGCTAGGCCAATGAGTCAGTGAAGAGTAGTTGTTGATATTAGGCATGCACTAACACGAAGTGGCGGTCTGGGCCACATTTCGAGCCACCAGCAACCCGCCCACGGCTCCTTGCATGTACGATGTACCGGAGGTCTTGCTCAGAAGCGTGCAATTCGTGTTGATGTAGTTCAGAGCAGCGCAGGATGGGGTGTTGTGGCACAGAAGCTGGCAGTCCGGAAGGGAAGCCGCGCTCGAGCGTTTCATCCTTCTGGACATGCTGGAGTTCGAGGACGGGATCACCACCGTCCCTGAATATTCAACATCACACGTGAGTCTGTACGTATCCCCGCTTGGGCCGGAGCACGTGGTCGTTCCGTTGCCCGTGTCGCAAACCTCCGCGGCGGTTGTTGGGCATGACGGAGTATAAGAAGTAGCGGCGCTCGATGTTGTCGTCGTGGAACTCGAAGTAGATCCCGTATCCGATGACGGCTTTCCAGAAGCACTGATGGCGCTGTTGGATGTGCTCGTAAACATAGATTGAGATGAGACAGCCGACGAAGTTGTAGGTGTTGCTGTAGACGCCGGCGGTGTCGAATAGATAGTCGATATGTTCGCAGGCCGAGTAGCTCCAGCGACTCCAATACGCTGAGCAACCATTGTACTACTTGTAACATTGCTCAAAAGGCTGCAGGTGCCATTGACAAAATTGACGGCGGCGCAACCCTTTGCAACGTCACATTGGACCAAGCAAAGGCTGAGATCGCGGGCACTTGATGTTCGGAAAGTGGTTCCGCTGTATCGCACGCCGCATTCCACATCGTACGAGTTGTTGTACGGATCTTGACAGGTGACATTGCTGGATGCAGAGCTTGAAGGCGAAGCACAGGCCGAAGGCTGGCAGGTTGGGATGGTGCTTGTAGTGGACGATGTGCTGGTCGATGTTGGAGACGCCGAGGATGTGACCACGACGGCACTGCTGGAGGTCGACATTGCCATCGAGGAAGAGGATGCCGTTGACGATGAGGAGCTTGCGGATGACGAAGAAGAGGTAGATGTAGAACTCGACATCGACGAAGACGAAGTTGGAGATGCAGCGCTTGAAGAAGTGGTGCTTGTTGAAGACGATGTCGTGGTTGATGTGCTTGATATTGACGTGCTCGACGTTGACATGCTTGACGTTGACGTGCTCGAAGACACCACACTCGAAGAAGAGGAGCTCGACGAGCTCGCACTCGAAGACAGCGAGCTGGTAGTACTAGTCGAAATTGGCGTGGACACACTGCTGGAAGAGCTCGACCCAGTGGACGTCAACTTAACAGTCCCCGTCGAGGACGCCGTCGAACTGACAGAAGTATTCGACATGACTGGCGAAGTGACAGGACCGGCAAGCCTCAGGCCAGCATTGACCGAGGCTTTGTAGACAAACACACCAGGCCCAGCGTGCGGATAACAAGTCCCGGCTCCGCCAATGTTGTTGCCAGCAACGAAAGAGGCCGCACGACAGCCATCGAGAGAGTCACAGAACGTAAGGCAATCTTGGAACGTATTGGCCGCTGCGACGGAGACGCTTGCTGGGTAGCCGTTGTAGTCGGCGCCACATACGATGGAGTATTGCTGGTTGTTAGAGTCAGTCCAGACGGTATTGTTGTAGGCCGGACAAGGAGCGCCGGTAGAAGCGGCGGGGATTGTAGACGACGTAGATGTGAAGGATGAAAGCGGGCCGGTGTAGGCTGTGGAGGAGAGATTCGAAGTCGTGGCTCCCATGTCTTTAGTGATGGTCTGTGTGTTGCCTATAGGCGTCGTGGAAGAGAGAGTCGTCGAGTACGAGGAGGTCACCGTAACGTTCTGCGGCATCTGGTAGACCTTGATCGAGTCAATCTCCCAGTATGCATCAGTGAAGTTCTTGGGATTGAGCCCGACAAAATCGACGCAGGAGTCCAGGCTATTTGGAGCACTTGCATTCTGCGGACAGTTCGTGTATTGGGAATACACCTGACCAGCCCACGCCCCGCAAAAGTCGATGTTGATGATGATGCTCATATTATTGAAATGCTGATCAAATGGACATGGAGCCTGCGAATTGACGCCGGGCTTGCCAAAATCCCCGTTTGGATCCGGTGAGCCGCTTGTGATGCTGGATGGTATGGCATTGCGCGGGAAGAACCAGGTCTTGATGTAGTTGGAAGTCCATTCGGTGGCGTAGACTCCTCCATTGTTGTCGTTGAACGAGCTGCCGTAGTTGTTTGGCGTGATGCTGTCGTTCAAAATGCTACCGCAGCCGCCGGAGCAATCGTTGGTCTGGAATATGCCAGTCTGATCGCTGCCCGAGATCGTGCAGCCGCTGCTCGTGTGTAGCGTCACAGAGTCCCAGCCGATGGTATTGACGCCTTCGATAATGTCGATCTCGCCATTGTAGGGCCAGTTTGGCCCGAGCAGCCAGTAAGCCGGCCAAGTGCCGCAACCGAATGGCATATGGAGGACATCGAGGATGAAGAGGCCGTGGCTGGTGTGAAAGTACCAGTGAGTATTTATCCGAAATTCCTGCACGGTCTGGTAGATCCACTCACGTGTAGGTGTTGTCGCTGATCAGGCGCACCGAAGGCCGGCCAGGCCCACCAGTGGGCCATAAGTTCGTCGTGTCAACGCCGATGACCGCGGTTCCTTCATTCGTGGTCTTGGTGTAGCCATTCTGCACCGCTACCGTCTCGTTCACGTATCTATCGCGGTCAGATCAAAGGGGTTTCAGGCTCGGCAAACCAACTTACTGAACGTGGCCATAAGTAGGATCGTAAGACTAGGCAGCGCTGGTTAGCCTCATGGTTGCATTGAGATGCTCGCACGACTTACGCTGTAGTAATTGAACTTCCCAAAGAAGTCGGCGCTGGACGTGCCCTCGTAGTTATCGACGAGACCATACTGTCCAGCCCCCGGCGCGCCGTTGCCATTGAAGAACGTCGCTCCGGGAATGCTTTGAGCGAATGTTGAAGCGAACAAGGAGAGAGTGACGAAGAGAACGGCTCTCGAAGTGAGTGGCGAGGCCATAATTGCAAAAAAGACGGTACAGTAGCTGACAGTAACTCGGTCGATGGAAGAAGTCCGTAGACTCTGGAGTAGATGAAAAGACGCATTGTTGAGACTTGCCTTACATTCCTGGATGGCGGACCAGGACAGGGAGTGTTTTGATATTGGCACATTCCACCGGGTACGCAGCGCGCGTCTACGGCAATTTGCCTGTTACCAAGCTAATATCTTATGCAGCTTCGGAACGTGGATGCACAACCCGAAGACCAGACGGCACGGCGGATGAGATTGTGGTGGTTCAAGTGTGAGACCAAGTTACGTGCAGTTTGTCTCATCAGATTGGCTTGGCAGTCCGAGGCGAAGACATGGTCCGTCCATGGCTCACGTCAACCAGATCAAGGGCACTATCGTATACTGAATGATCACGGGGAGGATATTCCAAGGACGCGACAATAATGAAACGTCTTAAAAGATTCTTCTGACTGCCCTTCCCTAACAACGACAACTTCCAAAACCACGCGCAGCAGCCGTGAACGTACATCTCCTCTCTCTCGCCTTTCCTTCTCACACCATCTACGGATACTCAAAAATAGCACACGTCTGACAAAATCCATTCGGCACCTGCGCCTCCGCCACAATAGCCACCTGATCGACCTCAACAATATTCACCGCCGCCTTCGTATTCAGCGCATACAGATAAATGCCCTCGCTCTGCTCCAAGCTGACCATGTAAATCTGGCAAGACTCCGTGATCAAGCAGCCCTGATCGTAGTTGTTGAAGAAGGAATACAGCCCCGCTCCATACACGAAGACGTACGTGCTGTTGAAGAGGCGGAGGCCGAACGTCTTCCAGCACGTTGCTTCGAAGCAGTTCTCGAAGGTGGGGTCGGAGTAGGAGGTGTTGGGCGTGAAGTAGGAGATTGCGTTGGGGTTGTCTTGCATGTATCTGTGCATTCGAGGTGGGTCAGTAGTCAATAGCATGTGGACGGAGGTGCATGTACTTACGCCGTCTCGGCCTGAATGACTCCGGCGAAGATGTCCTTGGAGTTGGCAAATTGATAGTTGTACAGCTGGCTGTGTTCGAAGGCTGTTCCATACATCCACATTGGACCTTGGCTCTCGACCAGCACGCCTCGTCCATTGTAGATATCGGTCTGGTTATGATCGGGCAGATCAAGCTCGTGATCCGCGACCCAACCCCAGTTATTAGACATCAGCAAGGATCCGGTGGTCGTGACATGCAGCAGCATGAAGGCTCCCAAGCATGTGGGATTGACGCCATGGGCAACAGAGGGGTCCTTGGTGCAGTTGTTGGATTGCAGCAGCGTGCCATTGCTACCCCCAATACGCCAATGGGTGTCCCACATCCCACTCGCCCCCGGACTTGACCCGGCAAGATTCCATTCCAGGATGATGGCACCAGGAGCAGGGCCTCTCGTCTCGAACACGAACTCCACGATCTCGGCGGTCCCAACATCACCTGGGTTGCCGACTCGGAAGGCCACTTGAGGATTGGTGGGATCGGAGAACGTGGGGCTAGACCCGTCTACCATCAACAAAGGCCAGATCTCGCCCTGCATTGAAATGTCGTTCGGAATCTGAATCGTCTCACTGATCAGATACGCTCCGTGGTCAAAGTATGCAATCTCATCTGGGCCGATGGAGTTGAGGAAGTTCTGGAGGCAGACGGTGTCGTCGGTCAAGCCGTCGCCAGCACAGCCATAGGTGATGATCGAGATGAAGCTCTCCACCGGGACGCCTTCGTATTGCGGTCGACTCCGCTCCACGTAGGTGCCCGTTGGCGTAAGTAGACTGGCCGGCTTTGGCGCACTAACAGTTTCGCCCTGAACACGGGAGTAATTTGCAGTGGGCACGTAACAGGTCAGGTTGTGCTCGGTGCTCTCGTGCTCGTACGCACTAAAAGATGGCCCTTGAATGAAGGAGTTCACCACACGGTTTCCCCGGAGGATCGCACTGTTATTCTGATATTGCACCGCCGGGTCTGTGTTGTTGAAGTTGACATTGTCAAGAATGAGAGTCCCCGCTGCTGTCGGTGTGCTGTTGGAGGAGAAGGACGTGATGATGCCGTATTGTACGTTGTTGAGGCTGCTATCTTGCAGCACGAGACTCCCGGTGGCCGGAACTTCGCCGCCCTGGCTCAGATCCAGACCCACTGCACAGTCGTTGATCGTGATGCCTTTGTACAAGAACACCCAGTTCCAGTTCTGGAATATGGCAGTTTCACAGTTGTAGAAGGTCAAGTTTCGACATGTGAATTGCTGATTGCCACCAAAAAAGCCGACTCCGCCGCCGTAGAAAACCAGGTCCTCCAGAAACCCGCCCGAGCCATTGTCCATGAAGACGCCAAATTGGTTGTTGCCGTCGCCCAAAGTTCCTTCTACCATTTTCATCACGATATTCTGCAGCGATGTAGCTTGGGCAACCTGCCAATGAATGCAGTGAACGTTTCGTGTTGGCGGGACCTGAGTGATATCCAGAACAAAATTACGAATCTGTCGGTAGAAATTATTCTGATTCGTGTACCAGTTGAATCCGTACGGGAGATAGACGTCCGAATCGAAGATGCCAATCCCGTAGAAGTCGCTGGTAGCCATGATGGTGGGGAGGTTGTTGGCGTCACCGATGAATTGAGTGTAGTAGTACTGGATAAGTGGAGCGCTGACAATGTATGTTCCCGCTGGAAAGTATACGATGGCTGGAGTGACTGTGGAGCTGTCACATCCGAGGCCGCAACGGTCACCAGCAGCGGTGGCATTGTTGATGGCGCTGGTGTCGTCCGTCACACCATCGCCCATTGCCCCGTAATCCATCACGTTCCGCCAGATGACGAATGAAGCATTGCCGTACGCCACCTGACCTTGACGCTTGATCTGTGACATCCAGTATGGCGCACCGGAGCCATAACGCTTGACGTGGTTGAAAGTATGTGGCGGCGATTCGTCAGCTCCGAGTAGGGAATGGGTATCTGGGCCCATCTGACGCATGGCTCCTTTGCCGAGTTCCAAGGCAGTGTCCAAGGGGGTGATGATGTTCTCTGCCAGGCCGTGCAGGTCGGGCATCGGGAAGGTGGCATGTGATGGCTGTAGTGCGAGCGCGAGCAAAGATAGGATCAATGCAAATGGAGCCATGTTGACAATGTGTTCTCTTCACAGTGTTTCTAATTGCGGGCAGAGCGGGCAGAGCGAAGAGAAGAGAGGGAAAGGTGTATGAGGCGAGGCGGCCAGACTCTGCCAAAACGAGCACGTCGCATCGACACGCGTGTTGTCCCACTTCCCGCCTGGAATGAATGCCATCGAATTTCGCGCCTTTGAAGCAAGGCACGCGCTTGGCTGTCCCCATTAGAGGCCATGGCATGCCGTGGGTGCATATAGAAGGCTGGAGAATGAGCCCGAGCCTCATTCTCACGCCCAGAAACTGTTCAGCGACTGATAACGTGTAAAGTCAAGATGTGAGGGTGCCATCAGCCTCGCGAGCCCCCAATGCCAATGCGCTGCTCGCGAGTCGCCTTGGCCTTTGCTCTCGTCTGCGCCGCCGGAGTCAAGGGCTCGTCACGCGCGCCAGTTCCATTCCCCACGGTGCTTCTCTCGCTGTTCTGTGAGCTATTCATGTCGGAAGTCTTCATCGCATCGCGAGCCGCTTTCCGGTTTTCGTACTCTGTAATGTCATCGGGTCTAAGCGATATCTTGGTTGCTGCGCGGGATAACATCTTGCAAGCGTATGGGATGCGAGAACTGGATATTCGGGAAGTAGACAGCGAGATGTATACGATGAGGTGTTGATATAGAGTCAAGGGAGACAGTTTGTGGTCGCGTTGTCACCACGACTTTTGCACACATGTCTCGATCGTGGCCTTCACGTGTCACTACACTCGACACACTCCTCCGTCCTACTTTACTTTTCGTCTCAAATTAGACCCTGCCTCAGATCGTTCCTCAGGTCCACATGAAATAGGGACGTTGTTCCAACGCTCACCCAACCCATTCTAGGAACCCGACATTCCGCCTCCTCCACAAAGTCTTTAGCCGGGATCGTCATATATGCCGCCGATCCCCCATGTATAACCCACCTTTGCCACCACAATTCTCCGCTTAGCCCGACATTGTGTGTGGAGGAAAGCCTTGTTTGTCGGTATAGGCAGGTGAATGAAGCCACGGCAATTGAGCCTGCGCCTTCATCCGGCCATAGCATGGCCTGCCATAATGATGATGCGCACCGACTGCGGAGTATATGTATTGGCGGGGCCGCCATTCGCAATGCTGTGGTGTAAGTGCCTTCTCACACTCTGAATCACGATGTGGGAGATTTTATTTGCAGCGTTCGCTGCCACGGCTGCGGCCCAAGCAGTCAATTTTACCGTCTCTTCTTCTGGTGGCACCGCCACTTCACCATATCAGTATGGCATCATGTTCGAGGACATCAACCACAGCGGAGACGGCGGCGTGTACGCGGAGCTGGTCCAGAATCGTGCATTTCAAGGCAATTCCATCTTCCCAAGCAACCTTTCCAGCTGGTATCCCATTGGAGGAACAGAGCTTTCTTTGTACAATTCATCCAACCCGCTGTCGTCAGCTTTGCCGGCTTCGATGCTGGTCACTGTGGCCAACGACTCTTCTGGCGAGGTCGGGTTTTGGAACGAGGGTTAGTTCCGCCCTTCATTTGCCTCTTGTTGGACAGACTAACAAAGACAGGGTACTGGGGTTTCCCGATCGTGGAGTCATGGAACTACAACGGCTCTTTTTACGTCAATGGCAACTTCAATGGCAATCTGACGGTGTCTTTGCAATCAAACACTACCGGCAAGACTTACGCAACAGCAGCAGTAGCAGTAGACTCCACTGCATCTGCGTGGAAACAATTCTCGTACCAATTCAACCCCACTAGCGATGCGCCAGACAGCAACAATACCCTTCGATTCACCATGGACGCGTCGGACGTGCAAGAGCCATTGAACTTCAATCTGCTCAGTTTGTTCCCGCCAACGTACAACAATCGACCAAACGGCTTGCGTGTCGATTTGATGGAGGCGATGGCGCAGCTCAAGCCCTCCTTCTTCCGCATGCCTGGCGGCAACAACATCGAGGGCGACGCACCTCCGTACTGGTACAACTGGACGAATACGATTGGGCCGCTGGTCGATCGCCCTGGCTACCCCGGAGCCTGGACTTACGAGAACACCGACGGACTCGGCCTGATTGAGTACATGCTATGGGCCCAAGACCTGAACATGGAGCCAGTCCTTGCCGTATGGTCTGGACACTATCTTGATTCCGTCTCTTTGCCTGAAGATCAGCTTGCGCCATACGTGCAGGCTGCAGTCGACCAACTGGAGTTCTTAATGGGCGACACTTCTACCCAATGGGGCGCCGAGCGTGCGAAACTGGGCTACCCGGAGCCCTTTGAAATCAACTTTGTCGAAGTGGGGAATGAAGACAGTCTGGGTGATGGCATGGAGTCCTATGCAGCGTATCGATTCGCAGCCTTCTATCATGCCATTCATGATGCCTATCCCAATATCAACATCATGGCGAGTTATTACGACGTGGGGCCGGTGCACCCTCCCTTCCCTCACACTTCTGGAGATTTCCACGAATACGGCGTGCCTCTCGACTTCAGCAGTCAATTCAACTACTTTGACAACTACACTGCTGCGCATCCCTTGCTCTTGGGCGAGTATGCCGTCATTCAGTACGACGCACCCGGCGTGGACGGTCCAAACTACAGCCCTGGTGCTCCTCGCGCCATGTTTCCCTTCTGGTATGGAACTGTCTCTGAGGCCGTCTATCTCCTCGGAGCAGAGGTCAACTCGGCCAAGATCATCGGCGCAGCGTACGCGCCCAGCTTCATGAACCTGAACAACTGGCAATGGATCCCAGACATGATCGCCTTCGACGCCAACCCGGCGAACCTCCTCCTGTCGACCAGCTTCCGCATGATCGAGTTACTCTCGGGCACACGCATCACCGAGAACCTGCCTACCTCTGGCAATGCGTCGAACCCAGTATATTGGGTTGCAGGGCGCAACGACATCACAGGCTCGCACATCTTGAAAGCAGTCGTCTACAATAGCACCGCAGACGTCCCATTCAGCGTGACCTTCGAAGGCATCGGAGCGGGCGCGGCAGCCAATTTGACTTATTTGACGGCCCCAATGAACTCCAGCAATACCCTTGGCAACGAAGTCGTTCAGACCTCCGTGTCAACCGTGACGGCCGGCAGCAGCGGAGCGTTCAGTTTCACATTACCTCCGTACAGCATTGCCGTCATGGAAATTGGCGCGGGCGCAGTGGGTGGAGGTTGGAACTATACCGAGCCCTCGAGCCGGGAGGGCTGGCAGGGCTGGAACGACTGGCAGGGCGGACGATTGAATGCAACGTGGAACGAGTGGGGTCAGCGAGTGGGTTGAGTTGAAAGGAAATGATATATCAGCAGCCATAGACCGGCAGTGATAGCACGATATGCTGAGCCGCGGACCGTCTACAACACGTCTGGTCCAACTCTTGTAACCCTGGATTCGTCATGCGAATTCATAAGGTACTGTTGAACTACCCGACTTTCTATCGTCGTTCTGGCCGCATTTCCGAGTCAGGAAATGGAGCGAGTTGCGAGTAGGAAGGCGGCTACACCGCCATGTACCCAGGGGCGTTTTTGGGGCGTTCGGTTCACTAATCAAAAGACACCCGCCGCGTCCAGCACGCGAGATCATTGTTTAAGAGAGCATCTAGGGCGTTGTTAGCCTTTGGATTAGTAAACAGTAAATGCGAAGAGTCACGGGCAACATATAGACAGGAGATGCCAATAGCGTCCCATAATTGTAAAGCAACGTCAGAAACGACAGCCTCCAACAATCGTCCCCAACAATGGCCCCCCCAAAAGTGTTTGTAATCGGCGGCACTGGTGCTCAAGGCATCCCCGTTATTCGCGGCCTCGTTCAAGACGGGGCATACAGCGTGCGAGCGCTGACTCGGGATCCCAAGTCCCCTCGTGCAGCGCATCTCCTCTCTCTCGACAACGTCGAGCTGGTCGAGGGCACGTTTGCCAACGAAGCCCATCTCCGCAAAGGCCTGGACGGGTGCGAGTTTGCCTTTGTCAACATTGATGGCTTCAATGCCGGGGAGAAGACGGAGATGTTCTGGGCGGTGCGGGCGTATGAGCTGGCGGTCGAGGTGGGCATCCGGTTCTTCGTGTACGGCAACCTGGATTACGCCTACAAGAAAGGAGGGTATAATCCGATGTTCCGGACGGGACACTATGATGGTAAGGGAAGGGTGGGAGAGTGGATCTTGCAGCAGACGAAGGCGAATGGGGAGAGAACGGGGGCAGCTTTATTTACCACTGGCCCGTATTTCGAGGTAGTACTTCTGCAAGGCGCCGGACCCAGATGTCTCTTCGACTGACGTGCGCGAGATAGATGGCGCTCGGTGCTGGCACACCAATGTCCCCGTCCATCGAAGATGGCATCGTCACCTGGCGTATGCCGATAGGCCAGGGAGCGATCCCGTTCGTCTCCCTTGACGACTGCGCCTACTATGTGCGCTGGCTATTCGACCACCAAAGCGAGGCCACCGGCATGGATCTAGAAGTGGCCGTCGAGCACGTCGATCCTCGCGAGATGGCCCAGGCGTTCACGAAAGTGACAGGCGAGCCCGCGCGATATGAGGCCATCGATCTGGACGCCTTCTGGACCACGACTCCTTTTGGGCGGTCGGCGGAGTTGCCGGCTGGATACAATGCTGATGCCAGCGATCCGGCCACGATGAACATGCGCACCAACTTCTCCGGTTTCTTCAATTGTTTCAAACACTCCGCCGGGAACACGGGTGTGATTCGGAGGGATTATGCTTTGCTCGATCGCATCCACCCGAACCGCATTCGGAGTGCGGAGGAGTTCTTCAGGAGGGAGGATGAGAAGAAGCGGGCCGCTGGGTTTGATGGCATTTACCACACGGTGCAGAATCTCATACCTGTCTTGAAGGTGAGGGAGGACGGAAGGAAGGGCATTCTCTGAGAGGGTTACTTTGCTGGTCAGAGGACAAACCCGTGGTCCATCGTATGTAGTCGGCTACTTGGCCCGAGTGTAAACCCGAGAAGTCTAGCCGGCTGACGTCTACACGCACGTGGTGGGGTTGCATGTGGGGAAACGGCGGGGCAACCACCGCGTAAAGCCTACAGAATATGGACGGGGGCCGACGACGGATACTGAAGCCCAGACGTTCTAGACCGATCAATCGTGGCTCTTGGTGGACCTCATGGCTCAATGAAATATAACCCGAGCAGACTGCCTCTCCCCTCCCCTCTTCTTTTTCCTTCGCTTGTAAGTCCAACGCCCTCCTCTTCCTCCATCTAATCTCTGTCATACTCCAACGCCCACCATGGCAAGCACCACCCTCAAAATCAACGGCAGAGATGTCTCCCTCCCCACGGGCATCTTCATCAACGGCGAGTTCCGCAAGGCCATTGGCGGCAAGACCTTCGCCACCGAGAACCCCTCTACCGGTGAGGAGATTGTCAAGATCCAAGAGGGGCAAGCAGAGGACGTCGACGAGGCGGTCCGCGTGGCTCGCAAAGTCTTCCGGTCGAAGGAATGGGCTGCATTCCCTGCCGCCGACCGGGCCAAGGCCCTGAACAAATTGGCGGATCTCATGGAGGAGCACTTTGAGGATCTGCTGGCGCTTGAGATGATTGATACTGGTAAGACGAGGACGCAGGCGGCGAACCTCGATCTGCCGGGCAGTATTGGGACGATTAGGTATTTCGCTGGGTGGTGTGATAAGATTTATGGCCAGAGCAATTTTGGTGTGCCCGGCGTGTTTGGATACACGAAGAGGGAGGCTGTGGGCGTGTGCGGGCAAATCATCCCTTGGAAGTGAGTACCTCGACTCCACTCGACTCGCATGCATTGTGAAGACGCAACATGAGGCTGACAACAACACCCAGCTTCCCTCTGTTGATGTTCTCCTGGAAGATTGCCCCGGCCTTTACTTGCGGAAACACCGTGGTCATCAAGAGTGCCGAAACGACTCCGCTCACCGCCCTGTACATGTGTGAGCTTATCAACAAGGCTGGCTTCCCCGCCGGCAGTGTGAACCTCGTCAGCGGCTACGGCAAGACTGTCGGCGCCGCGATCGCGCACCATATGGACGTCGACAAGGTTGCCTTTACTGGCTCTACCGTCACCGGCCGTGCTATCCTGAAGGCGTCTGCTGCCTCCAACTTGAAGAAGGTCACTTTGGAGTTGGGCGGCAAGAGCCCGGTAAGTCGAGTTCGCGGGTCCAGAGTTGGTGATTGAAACGATAACTAACCTTCACGAACCCAGAACATTGTCTTCGCGGATGCAGACCTTGACCAGGCGGTCGAATGGAGTGTGTGGGGTATTCACATGAACTACGGCCAGACCTGCCACGCCGGCACGCGCATCTACGTGCACGAAGACATCTACGACAAGTTCCTCGAAGGCTACACCAAGGCCTTGAAAGCGTAAGTCATCCAATGCACCGACTGGACTCTATGGGTGATATGGCTGACGATCTACAAACAGAATCCGAGTTGGAGACAACTTTGGCGGCAAGACTGACCAAGGCCCGCACAATAGCAAGGTGCAGTACGACAAGATCATGGGCTACATCGAGCAGGGCAAGAAGGAGGGTGCGACGCTGCACCTGGGAGGCGACTCGGACGGAGGCAAGGGCTACTTCATCAACGTGAGCACATCTTCCCCCCACACGCCAATCATCTTGCGATCGCTGACACATCCCCAGCCCACCATCTTCACCGACGTCAAGCCCGACATGAAGATCATGAAGGAAGAAATCTTCGGCCCCGTCGTGGCAATCTCCAAATTCAAAGACGAAGAAGAAGTCATTGAGCTCGCCAACGACACCACCTACGGCCTTGCCGCCGGCATCTTCACGCGCGACTACGAGCGTGCCATTCGCGTCACGAGCGCGCTGAAGGCCGGCACCACGTGGGTGAATCTGTTCAACTTCGTGCACTGGAGCATGCCGTTTGGTGGGTACAAGGAGAGCGGTATTGGTCGCGAGTGTGGCGATGCGGCGCTGGAGAATTACACGGAGATCAAGACGGTGTATATGAATATGGGGGCGAGGGCGCCGCCTGTTGGTCCCTCCTAGATGGCCTGAGGTTGGGTGTCGAGGCAGACAGATGGTGTGTTCTTGGCTGAGAGACGTTTGGATTCTGTAGATACAGTGCATCATCAACACTCTGAATTGACTTAAAAGATGTCCTGCGCATGGAGTGGGGGGTGTCAAATGCATCGTCCTGGGCTGTCTATGCTGTTGATGTGTGGATAGACAAAAGTCGTGAACGGCGCCCGAAGAATTTTGTCCCACGCACTTCCGGTCATCCTCTGGCATCAGCATCCCGGACCTCTATCAACCACAACCTTCTGATCGTCTGGAAGCCTCCAAAGTGGCGACATCATCGACGATGCCTCCATAACCCCTCGACAGTGAGACCGCAGTGCTCGTTCATCGCAGCATTGCCGAATACTCCAACCGACTCGTGTTCAAGAGCCCGCACCCGTGCGGCACGGGCGCATCACGGCCCACGATGCACGTCCTCCGAGCACATCCATCGGAATTCGAGGCCCGTCATCTCCGGATTCAAGAGCTGTATCGAAATTGGTGAGCGAGAGTAAATCACATCGAGCAGCGGCAAGCTCAGGAAGAGGAGGAGTCGGATGCAGCGTGGTTGGAGGACTGCCTACACCGCCAGTCACACGGTGATCGATTCCGACCGCTCTTCGAGAGGCTGAGAAGGCTATGAGCGCATCTCGAGTCGAAAAGTTGCATCCCACCACGCTGTTACGACACAGCACTGCGGAAGCTGGCGGCTTCGGCTCGCGGATACCTCTTTGTTGGACGGCACCGCAGAACGCAGCAGTCACCATCGTGTGCACAACTTCGACCGTGCCGTACCACGAGACATAAATCCTTCGGATCACCCCAGAGTCTGACCGATGTATAAATCCCTGAGACAAAGTGCTATGGAAACGATACGCTCTCGTCACGGTAAGGCAAGAACGGTGAGTATTTTACTAGACCTTTCAAACAGCCTCCGAGTCACTTTCGTTGTCCATCCAACTTTGTGTAAGGCACGGGAAGAATGGTGTCATGCCACGATCGTTCGTTCTCTGACCTCTTTGGAACGTGCGTGCTGTTCAGTAAACCACGCATCTTGGATATCTCGTATCTTCGAAACTCACCAACTACCGGAAAACTCGGTTGGCTTTGGGCCATCCTCGTTGCCTCAAAGCGCAGGCTGGACCGGGAAGGCTGCGCGAGGGCACGTTTCAAGCTGATGGAAACAACGCGGATGCGACATACATGGTCAGTCATACCTGAGTATCATCACGAGTACAAGGCTGACCCCTCTGCCAGGTTAGTCATGCGGCCAGCGACTGTCGACAGTGCCGCCAACATGCCGCCGTGATATTCCACGATCATGGAACAGACCCTGGCGCCGATCAAATGCTACGAACCCTCGCGGAAGCCGCGGAAATGGACATCTGACCAAGTCTACATGCATACCGTTCCAGCGTGCGTTAGATCTCTCTAGCAATCGCTATGCTGGTGAGCAACTCGCCGTCCTCATCATGCCAAAGGCAAGAGGCAGGCTGACTTTGGCCAGACAGGAACCAGCAATGCACCTCACGTTCAATGGCAATGCTGGACTGTCCATCGACCAACGAGCAACACGGGCGACCGGGAGCGCACGTCCGAGAAAGGCAGCCTGCAGCTGGGAAGAGGAATCGGCTCGATCGGCTGGGCGAGAGCCGGGGAGAAGTTTGACGCCACGCTCTGATTGGCTCGTGCTAGAGTCAACAGGAATTCGCGTCCAAACGCCTGATGGAGCCTGGCATCGAAGGGAAAGACGACGCGCATCACGGCCCGGCGGTGTTGATGCTGGCGAGGAATACCCAGGCCACCATCACAAACTGCTCATTCACTTGTTCAAACGCGAGGAGCGTTGCCTGCCGCGTGCCAAGGTCAGCTGCGTTTTCACTTGCGAGCGCAGCGCTTCGTCGTGTCACCCGTGCGGGTATTCCCGCCCAGAAGATTAACTCACTTGGCCAGTCGCTCCTTCAATCCTCTCTCTCTCCTGCACAGCAACACATCCATCAACCTCTCTACTACCCGTCGCCGACTCATCGCGCAGTCGCCTCCCCGCTGCTATCCTTCATCCCCCTCATCACCTCAGCTCTTTATTTGCACATCTGGTGAGGGCTACGCGTCAGGTACACCCTTCACCCACACGTCGCAGCCACCTGCCAGGCCTCTCCCAATCCCATACCCAATCTCCAACATGGCTGAAGAAGCAACCACGGCACCATCCACAGTAGACGCGCCGGCGGTGAGTTCACGTCACATCCCAAATGAAGCTTTGTGTCATGTCCACTAAGTCCTCCCAAGCCACCTGCCCCCGCCGAGCCTGTAGAGCCTCCTACTGCCAACGGCGAGCCCACCGAGGGTACAACAGAAGATGGGCAGGTCTTGAGCGAGCAGACAACCACCGCAGTGACCGCGCCAGACGGCGGCGCGGCGACCGATGCCGCCGATCCTGCCCCCGCTGCCACTGCTGAAGACGCCGATGACGCCACGCCCTCGAGCGGCAAGAAAGAGAAGAGGAAGTCGGTCGGCGGTGTGCCCGAGCACAAGAACAAGAAGCTCACCAAGAAGAAGAGCATGCCGACGCTGCATCTCGACGCCAAGCCCGGCCAGATGTACTGGGCCAGGCTGAAGGGATACGCACCGTGGCCCTCGGTCATCTGCGATGAGCAGATGCTGCCTGAGAACCTCCTCTTCAATCGTCCGGTGAGCGCCGCGCGCCCGGACGGCAGCCTACGCGACGATTACAAGGATGGTGGCAAGAACGCAAAGGACCGGACTTTCCCCGTCATGTTCCTCTCTACCAATGAATTGTGAGTGCTACTTGAGGATGATCGCGGCCTGGACAGCAAGCTGATGTGATGATTCTGTAGTCAATGGATGGCCAATACCAGTCTCACGCCCCTCGATCCTGCAGAGTGCCACGACCCGCCCAACTCCAAGAAGATGTCGAAGTCGCTCAAGGACGCGTGGAAGATTGCGTCGGAGGATCACGACATCGAGTACTTCAAGGGAATCCTGAAGACGTGGCAGGAGGAGACCGCTCGGGCGGCGAAAGAACGTGCCGAGGCAGAGCAGAAGGCGGCCGAGGAGCGGGAGAGGAAGATTCAAGAGGCGGCGGCCAAGGCTAAGAGCGGAGACGAGGATGGGAAGAAGAAGAAAAAGGCGCGGAAGAGCAAGGGTGGTGAGGACGGTGATGTGACAATGGAGGATGTCGACGCGCCCAAGTTGAGCAAGAAGCGCAAGAATGAGAGTGATGGAGAGGGCGGCAAGGTGAGTCGAGACTGGTCTTTCACGCCGTACCCACGTTGCTGATGTCTGACAATCTAGCCAAAGAAGACCCCCAAAGTCACCAAGCTCAACGCGCCCAAGACTCCCAACGGCGAGGAAGCAGCGTCCGGCAAGAAATCTACCACCAAATCGAAGAAGAAGATCGTGACCGCTCCCAAAGAAGAGGAGGAAGAGGAGCGACCGCAGATGAGCGAAGCCGAAAAGCTACAGCAGCGCGAGAAAGCCATCCTCTACCTCCGCCACCGCCTGCAAAAGGGCTTCCTCACCCGCGACAAGGCCCCTGTCGACACCGAGATGCCGACCATGGCCGAGTTCCTCGCCCAGCTCGAAGGGTACGAAAACCTCGAGCCCGCCATCATCCGCAACACCAAGATCCACAAGGTGCTCCGCGGGATTGTCAAGCTCGCCTCCATCCCGGAAGACGAGCAGCATCAGTTCAAGAAGCGCTCGGCTGCACTGCTCGGCGAGTGGAACAAGAGAATGGATGCCGATACCGAGTCTGCGCCTGCTTCTGCTGTTGAGGCGCCAAAGGAGGCGGAGGCGACGAATGGAGAGCCTGCCACTGCGGCTCCGGCTGCTAGCATTCCCACCAATTTTGTCTCCACGCCGGACGGCGTTCGCTACACTCCGAATGTCGACGAGGCGAAGGCGGATGCACCAACGACTGCCGGGGTTGAGAAGAGCTCCGAAGAGGTCGCTACGGAGGAGAAGGCCGAGAAGGCCGCGGATGAGATTGAGGAGAAGATTGAGACGGTCGTGGAGGAGAAAACGGACAGCATCGCTGCTCTGGCGACATCGACTGCCACTGAGACGGCCGCGCCTGTGGCTACGGATGGCGATGTCGTGATGCAAGCGACCGAAGAGGCTGCGTGAGTGTTTTGAAACGATGGAATGAACGAGAGTGCGAAGGGAGGATTTCTGTGCTTGATCGAACAGAAGTGGCTCTCTGCAAACTGCTGCAGTGAGTCCTCACGATGTGTTGGGGGAAAAGGGAGTACGAGGCTCGTCGGATGGTTGACGATGCCCAAAATGCATTTACTTGAGACGTTTCGGCGCCAGACGCAGGGAGGAGGGCTGTGTGGAAGGACGATCACTTGTTTGAGCGGCTGGCCATTAGAGCCCAGCACGCGTCACCCTTGATGAGTTTTTGAGTGCGACAAAGACTACCTAGCTACGGCGAAGAAATTGCGAGTCCTTTAACAACTTCCAATGACCAGAAGAACCAACCACAAACTCCTCCCAGCTTTTCATCCCATCCCATTTTCGATCGCACAAACACGTACACCAAGTAACCCTTTTACCTCACAGTCCCCATCACCGCCGCGCACGCCAGCGCATTCACGCGGGAATGGTACACGTCAAGCGTATGCTGCGCCAGATCGCCAAACAGCGCGTCGCGCAAATCCTCTACGCACACGCTGTGCGCCGCCGCGCCCGTCTTGACATGCGGTGCGCTGCTTTCCCTTAGGAGCACGAGATTCCCCGCGTTGGCTAGAGGGACGGCAGGGACGGGCCAGATGGGCGCCCCCGGCTCGTCTGCTGCTGGTGGTGTTGTGGAGCGGGTCCTGTGCAGCGACAGAGTAGGGGAGCTGGACCGCGAGTTGGGCGGTGGAGCTGGGGAGTGGGATTTGCGGAGGGAGTGCGGGAGGTATTTCCTTAGGCCTTTGGTTGGGGGAGCATCTTGTTTGTGCGTCTCTGGTGCTGTGCTGCTCGGTTCACGAGGCGAGTGCAGGGGACTGGCGAGCAGGCGGGCGAGGGTTTTGAGGTAGGCGGCGGAGCTGAGGCGCAGGACTGGGTCGCCTTCGTTTGCGAAGGCGAGGAAGACGCCTTTGTTGCCGTTGTCGGTGCTGTCGTGGCTCTTTTGTAGGGTTTTGGTCGAGACGGGGGGTGCGCCGAAGGTCATGCAGTGGATGCTGGAGAACTTGGCCGTGATGCTGGTCAGTTCGGACGTGATGGTCTCTGAGAGCATGTGGGTGTAGAGGATCGAGGCGACGGCGCCGCCGGCTGAATGTCCCGTGAATAGCAGCGTAGGTTTGGAGTTGTAGGCGGGATGTTGCTGCAGTTGCACGGCGACAAGAGCGACCATTGCTTTGGCGACGTTTAAAAAACCCGCGTGGCATGCATTGTCATGGTCGTCGAGGAAGCCGGTGGGTTTCACAGGCTTCGCGGCGTAGTTGACGGCCCAGTCGGCGAGGCTTTGAAATTGGGTGCCGCGGATGGACACGATGATCACGCGGCTGCCGTCGACGAGTTGGTCCTCGATGATCATGGCTTTGGTGCCTTCACTGGAGTCTGGAGAGGTGTATTTTGCCGGTTGAGACCATCGCGAGGGTTCGGAGTAGTACACGTCGCGTGCTGCTTGGGCGGCGCGGCATGCCATTGCCCATGTCGATAGGGAGGCGGTGAAGACGGGCAGGTCGGAGGGAAGTCTGGAGTTGCGATACTGCGAGGCCTTTTTCGCCAGAGAGGATGTGCGAGTGAGTTTGTTGTCGTCGTATGGGCGGGAGAACTTGTTCTCGTCTTCTTCCTTGCGGACGAGCGAGGTGGCGCGCACGAGGTGCTGGAATTCGACCTTCTCATGGAGACGAGCCTCGAGGTGGAGGACTTCTCGCTCTTCGGCACTCAGCCCATCGACTTTGGTCTGGGGTTCATCTTCGACAATGGCTGGGATCGGCTTGACCCCCTTTCGTGCATTGGCTGGGGAGTCCTTAAGTACATGGACAGTACTCGACCGTCGTTTCCCAGTGTTAAAGTCCTCGTGGGTATCGGTGACGGTTGAATACTGCTCTCCGTGGTCTTGTTCCACCAGTGTCCTGCTAGAGCGTAAGGAACGCTTATGTTCGTCTCGCACGTAGCTGGAGGTTGTGACTTCGGCCGCACTTGGCCGCCGGGGTACATCTGGAACATCGTCACCAGCTTCGGTGTTGAGGTGTCCGGGGAAGTAAGATCTGGGGGAACGTGGCGAGCTTCCAAGGACGGGATAATCCAAGTCGAGCTTGTGCATCCCCGACTGCTCCGAAGGCACCGAGGTGGAAAGATAGGTCTCGACTGTGACGGTGGTGCGGCGCCCGGACTGGTTGTTGCGCTTATCGATGGGAAGGGCGGTTGTCCTTCTTGGGGTCTCGCCATTCTTAAGCCGTGACAAAGGAGTCCCTGTAGGGATGCGGTGTTCTAGGCGATCCGCATTGGGAACGCTGGGTTTGGTACTGAAGAGAGTGTCCAGATTGCTTTTGAAAAGGCCGATTCTTGCACTGACGTCTTCGTTGTGGTACTTTGGTTTATTTGCGGAGGCGTGTTTGCAGCAGAAATGCTCGTGCGCCTCCGGATCTGAATCGTTGGCTGGAACCTCAACCACGACCGGGAGGTTGTAGCCTGCTTTGGGGACCAATCGATCCCATGCGAGGAAAGGGAGATCCATGGCTGGAGTAGACATTTTCGTGTCCTGTAGAATTGCCCAGAAGAGGCAATGGGACAGATGGGTAGATAGAAGACAAGAAGAGCATGAGCGAGGTGGGAGATGGTCAATGGAGGCATGGTGTGACCGCAATGGAGCAGATATACCTACCACCAACGTTTCGTCGATAACAACACTGGCGCAATATCAACGTCTTGATTGGTGCATCGTCGATCTCACTCGAAGACGAGGAAGTCCATTATGGGCGCCGTAGCTTTCACATGCATGCGGGACTAGGAATGGTGCGGAAGGGAGGTGGTAGCGAGAGCAAAACCTTGGGCGATGCCACTTCTCGTCCGCCATTGGTCGTGAGAGCGGTCACGAGAGTCAGGGAGGGTGGAATGATGGATGCTTTGACGAGATGAGAGCAGCGGCGCGGCTAGGTCTGCAAGCCACGGCTGGGCGATGCAGCGCCCCGGGCCCCATTCGAACGGCTTGGCCGAGATGGTGTCAGGTGTTCATAACCAAACCTTGCGAGAGTCGTAACGCCCAGAAGCAGAATAACATCGGCGGGCCCTTCGAATCACGTTACATATTGTTGTGGTGGGGAGCGGGAAATACGTCCGTTAATGGATGGACTGGTTTTGGAAGGCTTCTAGAAGCGGGATGTGGCCGTTGTGGCTGACCGGTGGCTGTCTGAAGGCTGCGCTACGCTGAAGGATCGATCTCACCACTCGGGCCCTCCGTGGAATGCGATATCAGCGTTGAAGACTCGTCTCATAATGTGCTCGTGGGTGATCGATAACTTTGATGAATGACAGAGGCTGGGAAGTAAAGCTGGTGTGAGCAGTGGTAAGGTAAGGAGCAGGAAGAAGCACGTCGGTGTCTGGGCGTTGCGTGATGCGTGAAGTCCGGACGCTTGGCGCAGCAAAAAGCTTAATTGGAGCTCCAGGGGGTCGCTCCTTCTCTCACAACATGCGGTCAGCAAGATCTCTCAGCAAAGCCAACGCGCCGGCGGAACACGCAATCGATCTAGCACGTGCAGCCCCAAAGACCAGGTGGACAGAAGATAACTGGATTCAGAAATGGCTTCGCTTGTTTGGAGCTTAAAACGGCGTGAGGGATGCACTTCAGGTCTCGAACATGCACGCTTTAGCTGTTTCCAGCCGGCCAGCTCGTCGGGGTCGCCTCAGTGGCTCACGCGTGGCTGCGCTGAAAGGCATCATCCTACCGAAGCACCCGCCTTTGCCGCCCTCATCCTCTTCATTTACAATCGCCTTGGCTTGCGCACGCTGCTTGCACTGGTCAAGTCGTGCCGAAAGCCACTCGGCTACACTCCAAAGCGGTTTGATGGCGGTGCGCCTTCGGACGCTACGATGGTGTATGCTCTGCATGGGTAGTGCGCAGCCTGATCCTTGGCTTTCGCTTGACTGCTGGCAGCCACCGCTTGAGAGAGCAGGACAGGAGGGTGAGTTGAGCGTTGAAGGCATGTATTAAAAAGCCTCATCATCTGCACCGGGGCCGTCTTTCATTCTTTCCTTCATCCTCTTCAGCCAGCGCTGTATCAAGAAATTTCGTTTTATTTCGTTGATCATCCCAACATGGAAGGCTCTTGGGTCTGTGCCGAGATCGAGCGGCAGCTCAAAGGCTCCGTTGTCTTTACCGAGAAAGAAGTCTTGACTGGCAGATGGGATGAGCCTGATTGCGAGGAAAACCCGAGAAACTGGAGTACAAGTACGTCTGGCATCACTTGCGTGGCATTGACAACTTCCTAATCATCACTCCGCTCCAGTGAAGAAGATCTTCCACGTGGCTCCAGTGGCACTGCTATGTCTCAGCGTCACTGCCGGAAGCTCAATGATCACCCCCGGCATCTTTCAGATTGAGGAGAAATTCCACGTATCCGAGACGGTCGCCTTGTTGAGCTTGTCCATGTACGTGCTGGGCCTGGCATTAGGACCTCTGATCGCCGCCCCCCTCTCCGAAACCTGGGGTAGGATCATTGTCTACCGGACGACGATGCCCATCTACATTCTCTTCATCCTTGGCGCCGGTTACACGAACTCCTTCGCGGGATTGATTATCTGTCGACTATTCGCTGCACTGGCCGGCGCCCCGTGTCTTGCCGTTGGAGCGGGTACAGTCGCAGATCTATTCGCGCCTCACAGAATGGGCACGGCCGGAGCGTTTATCGTGATGGCACCGTTCCTCGGTCCTTGTACGTTACTCGCTTGTACAAAAGCTTGGAACTTCCACTAACCTCAGCTTTAGGCATTGGACCTGTCATTGGCGGCTTTGCAGCCAGCTTCGAGAGCTACCGTTGGACCCAATGGTGCACCATCTTCCTCGCCTTGTTGGCGTACGCCACCGTGCTTCCGACCCACGAGACACACCGTCTGGTATTGCTGAAGAAGCGTGCGAAAGAACTGGACCTGCCTCCTCCGGTTCCAAAAATCCCGACTAAAGAGGCCATTCACCTACTGTTGACTATCACGATCTTCCGCCCCGTCTGCATGCTCTTCTACGAGCCCATCGTCCTACTCTTCTCCCTCTACAACGCCTTTACCTTTAGCATCCTCTTCGCCTTCTTCGAGGCCTTCCCCTACGTCTTCATGGGCGTCTATCACTTCAACATCTGGCAGTATGGCTTGACCTTTCTCGCAATCGGCGGAGGCGTCCTTCTCGGCGTCGTGGTCGCCATCATCATCGACCAGACCGTGTACCAGAAGAAGGTCGAGTATGACGATGCCGGCGAAGTGATTCCCCAAGCGCCTGAACGCAGATTATTCGTCGCCATCATCGGCGCCGTCTGCCTACCAGTTGGGTGAGTCTTCCCTTACACCCTAGCCGTCAACAGTCAAACGACTAACACCCTCACAGCCTCGCCTGGTTCGCCCTAACCGCCAAACCCTCAGTGCACTGGATCGTTCCCGTCCTCTCCGGCGTCCCCTTCGCCCTCGGCAACGTCGCCGTCTTCATCTCCGCCGCCCTCTACATGCTCGACGTCTACGGGCCGCTGAGCGGCGCCTCCGCCATGGCGGCCAACGGCCTCCTGCGCTACACCATGGGTGCCGCGTTTCCCCTCTTCACCGTCAAGATGTACGAGGGCTTGGGCATCAAGCTGGCCACGGGCGTGCTAGCGATTGTGTGTATGGTGATGCTGCCGATTCCGTTGATCTTCTACAAGTTTGGGCCGGCGATTCGGAAGCGGAGTCGCTATTCGACTTTTGGGCAGTCTTGAATGGGGAAAGGGAGGGGATGCGTGATGGCATTTGAGATGGAGCGGGACTAGGGAAATATGACTGTCAGAGTATACGTAACTTATGATCACGAACATGCTAGCGTTGGAGCGCAGACGTACATAGCCTCATAGCCTTGAACTCCTTACGATTCGCACCCCCGCTATCGGCATCCCGCTGACGTGCGCAACTCTAAATGTTCAACAGCACACCATCCGTAACTTTTGATACCGCGGACTGCTAAGGACATTCGTGCTCAGTATACTGTAGTCCAAGCACTGGGAGTGTATATCCAGCGTCCTCCTCATCGACCCTTTCTTCTCCGTCCGAACCAATCCAGACACCATCTCGCACTCACAATGGGCGGAGGTAAGCACCCCTCCCCCCTCCGCCATGCTCTCCCGCTCACCCCTCTAATCACCCAGGACCAATCCAAGACCAACTCCTCATCATCTTCCCCTTCGCCAACCCCCCAGAGGCCGCAATAACGCACCTCCGCCACAAATTTCCCCAAATCGACATCGTCACCCACATCGTCCCCTACACGCGCGATGCCGCGCTGCTCGCCTCCAACCTGCCCCCCAACGTCTACAAGGACGCCACAATGCTGTGCACCGTGCACGCCTTCCCGCAGGCCCTCGCCGACGCGCCGAAATTGTCCTTCGTGCAGCTGCTGAGCGCGGGGAGCAATCAGATTCAGCCGAACCCGATTTACACCGATAGCGAGATTCCCATTGCTACGACGACGGGGATTCATGGGCCGCAGATTGCCGAGTGGGTGGTGATGACGGGGTTGGTGTTTAGCCATGGGTATAGGAAGTACTATGAGGATCAGAAGAGGCACGAGTGGGCGAAGAACAGCTTTAGTGCTGAGGTGCGGGATCGCGTGGGTTTGCGGTTGGGAGTGTTGGGGTATGGGAGTATCGGGCGGCAGGTGGGGAGGGTGGCGAAGGCTATGGGGATGCAGGTGCTGGCGTACACGGCTAGCGAGAAGAGTACGCCGGCTAAGAGACGGGACCCGGGGTTTGTTGTACCAGGCACGGGGGATGAGGAGGGCGTCATTCCGGATGAGTGGTTCTCTGGCCTGGACAAGAAGAGTTTGCATCGATTTCTGAAGCAGGGGATTGATTGGTTGGTCGTGGCTGTTCCTTTGACCAAGGAGACGACGCACTTCTTGTCGACGGAGGAGTTCCGCGTTATGGCGGAGGGGCTGTCGGGCAAGGACAAGGAGGGGAGGAAGCCGTTTGTGACGAATATTGCGCGAGGGCCGATTATCGATCAGCCGGCTTTGATTGACGCGTTGAAAGACGGGACGCTGGGTGGTGCGGCGCTGGATGTCACCGATCCTGAACCGTTGCCTAGCGATAGCGAGTTGTGGGGCTTGGAGAATGTGATCATCACGCCGCATGTCGCTGGGAGTACGACGGAGTACATCACGCGGGCGTTGCAGGTGCTGGAGACGAATCTGGAGCGGCGGGACAAGGGCGAGCCGATGCTCAATCTTGTTCGGAGAGACCGGGGGTATTAGTCTCCTTTCACAGACCATGCCTAGACAAACGATAGATCGATTTGGCTTTTGTAAAGTTGACTTCGAACTGTATATCGCGTTGTCTGAAGGTATGCTCATCTGTTAAAGAAGCGCGAGACAAGTGCGCCACCCACATTCCTCGCCAAAGAGCCGGAGTAGAGTCCGCGCTCCACGAGTCCACTCGCCTGACTAAACTTGTCGCATCGCGAGAAGGCCAGCGCATTCGTAATGGTCAGAACCAAAGCAATTACTTTCCACATCGTCAGCTCGCGCACATTTCAGGGCGAGATACGACCAACTTACCAACAAGCGTCAACCAAATAAACTCCAGCCTGACCACCGCAACCACCGCCAGCGCAACCCACAAAGCCGGCTGCGCGTACAAAGCCAGCCAGAAGAACCTCTTGTCCGTGGCGTTTACCAACTTCCCGCCCGGCTCGTTGGGCTGCGGCGCGCTCTCAAACACCCATTTGCCATTGCCGTTCTGGTCGATTTCGTTCCACCATCGGAGGCCTACCAGGCGGCGCCCGGCGATGTTCTGGAGTGTAGAGTGAGCTTGTGCGTCTCTTTCTTTTGGGCATGTGGCTCGTACCTTGACGTAGTAGAAGTCGAAGCTCAGCAGGAGGATGCAGATGATGAAGATGAGGACCTGCAAGTGTCGAGGTTAGGAAAGGGTTTCGTGGGCAGTACGGGCGATACGTACAAAGTTCGAGGTGAAGAGGAGGCCGAGGAGGTAGACGAGAAGACTGGCTGTGCAATTGTCAGTATGCGATGCACCATTGGACGTTGAGGGTAGGAGGTCATGTACATATTCGAAAGGAGAGGAAGGTCAGGAGTGTGATGGGGTTGGCGGAGAGGCGCCAGCTCAGGGCCCCGGGGCTCTCGTTGATGTCCATGGGTAGGTGTGCGTATGGAGGTGTCACATCTGTTGGCGGAAGATAGGCAAATGGTCAACCTTCGACCTTCGAAAGTTGCCTGAGAACACGAAGCGACGTGTCGAAGGAGTCGCGAGGTCAAAAGTCGTGGCCGTGGAGCAGCTGATGACATAATTCCTGCCCGCCGGTCTCGGCTGTGGAGCGGCTATATCAACTACACCACCTCCTCTTGACGCGACATTGTTGCTGGTCTGAATTAGACAAGCATTGAAGCATATCTGCATTTTGTCAAGATGGCGAGCGGTGCAGCGACTGTGATTCGGCGTTGCCAGTTGTACGGTAAGTTGCACTTCACCCCCTATACCATCCGGACTATCGCCATTGGGATCGGGACACCAGCCATCACACCCCTTCTCAAACCTGCGATCATAGTACCATGGACTATTCATATCGTTTCCTAACACAATTTGTAGTCCCCGGCTCATCCATGCGCTTCCTCGAAAAATCGCGCAGCCTGACCGTCGACTCCGTCGCCTACGACCTCGAAGACTCCGTCACCCCCTTGAAGAAGCCCGAAGGCCGCGCCAACATCCTCGCCGTGCTGAACAAAGACCGCGTCCCCGGCATCCGCGAGCAAGCCGTGCGCATCAACCCCGTCTCCTCGGGCCTCGCCCTCGACGACCTGACGGAGATCCTCAAAGGCAAGAACCTCGACTGTCTCGTGGTGCCCAAAGTCGACCGGCCGAGCGACTTGCACTTCGTGACGGATGTGCTGCGGCAGAAGTTGCCGGAGCGGCATGCGCCGGGGAGTACGAACCCTGTGAAGATTGTGGCGCTCGTGGAGTCGGCGCGCTCGTTGATGGATTTGAATTCCATTTGTCAGGCTTCGCCGTATCTTTCTGGTTTGGGGTTTGCGGCTGAGGACTTTTCGTTGGACCTCAGTATTACGCGCACCCCTGGATTGAACGAGTTCACCTACGCGCGAAGCGCAATCGTCACCGCCGCTAGAGCGTTCGAGATCCCCTCTGCACTCGACCTCGTCTCTACCACCTTCCGCGGCGAGGAAGGCCGCAAGTTCCTACAGGACGAGAGCGAGAATGGGAAACGCTTCGGCTTCAACGGGAAGCAGTGTATTCACCCCGACCAGGTGTCTGTCGTGCAGGACGTATTTAGTCCGAGTCAGCAGGAGACTGAGTGGGCTGTGCGGATTGTGATTGCGGACAAGAAGGCGGACGCACAGGGCAGAGGCGCGTGGACGCTGGATGGCAAGATGATTGATGTGCCGGTGGTGGGGAAGGCGAAGGCCATCGTGGCCAAGGCGGAGCTGTGTGGGATGGATGTTAAGGCGTTGCAGGAGAAGTTTAAGGATGAGGAGCCGAAGTGAAATGAGAGTGGGAGCGCTTTGGAGCGTCAGGCACGAGATGAAGCTAGGATCCCGATTGATCATTGCAAGCACTGGCAATATCATCTCGCATACACCTATACTCATCGTCTTCGATACCAACAACTCTTCATAAAATCGTAGCCACATGTCCTATCAACAACTCATCTAGCCCCCAAGCTCTCCAACGCCAACCTAAACTCCTTCACCGCCGTATTCACATCCTCGAAATTCAGCGCCGAAATCGCCCACCGCGCATGTTTCTGCGCCAGCGCCGTCGCCTCATCATCCGTCCTGAACCCCGTCGTGGCCTGCTGTGGCGGAGCAACAGCAGTAGGAGGTGGAGGACGCGGAGCAGCAATAGGCGGGGAAGCAATCGGTAGCGGCGCCGGGGTATGCAGAGGAGACTGCACAGGCGGAACGGTAGGCGGCTGAGCGGACATTTGGTGGGGCGTGGGGGCGCTGGGTCTTGCGGGACTGGCGATGCCTAGGTCTTCGGGTGGAGGGGCGGAGGGCTGTTCGGAGGGGGCGGGGGCGAGGGTGTTGTAGAAGTCTTGGGGGTTCATGTCTTGCGGGCCGGGGGTTTGGGGTGGGCTGGCGGGGTTGTGGGCATCTGGCATGTTTGTGTCGGTATTGGTGGTGGTGGTGGTGGTGGTGGGGAAGTAGCCGCCGCCGATGGAGTTTGTTCTGCTGTCTTTTATCGAGCTGGATTCGAGAGGGGAGACTTGGTGGGAGCTTGTGCGTGGAGGTAAGCCGCTCGGTGACAGGGTGTCTGGTGCCAGCGATCGTGCGTTGGCCTCTGTGTCGACAACCGTGCCAGGGCGATAGCCTTCGCTTGCGCTCCCATTTTGCTTCCCTTCGAGCGCCTTCAACTCCGCCTCGATCCCATCATCATCGACTGGTTGTTCCGGCTCTTCCACCACCGGATTCGTCGCATTCGGATCTTCTCCCGCCTTGAAGGCTTGTAATATTCTCCGCGCATGGTACTTTGCAAACCGACTCTTCGCCGCAATATCCGCATCCACCTGTCCCCAAATGCTCAACAGATCCATAAACGTTGCAGCCGCCATGAATGTATCGGCCGTCTGTTTGGTGACCTTGTTCGCCCGCTGCGACTCATCCGCGCGGTTGAACGTTTCGAGGGCGAAGTTCTCAATGTACGCTTTGGCGGCGACGTCGTCGACGATAGCATCGTTGGAGGCGTTGTCGGCTTTGGTGGCCTCGAGCTTGTCCATGAGTTGCACGGCGTAGTTGGAGGAGGCATCGTCGCCGGCGTGCAGCTGTTTGCCGAGGATTTGTTGGAGGATGTGGTATTCGCACCAGTATGTGACGATGGGTCTGGAGGGGCATGATTTGTCAATACACTCGCTCTGGTGTGGATTTGGCTCGGGTTGTTGCCCACCTTGCCTTCTCTAGTTGTGCTGCTCGCACGGCAAATCGAGTGATGTCTGCTGTTTTGAGCTTGTCGGGTAGTTGAGCCGCCATGGCTGTGTATTGAATGGGGAGCAAGAGCAAAGGATTGTGTGTTGACCGTCAGGCAGTGACCGCGTGTAGTCGCCTTGATGTCCAAGACGTGGGGTCGCATATGCCTCGCGTGGAGTGCCTGAGGCATCCAACGGTCCCTCCTTCTCCACACTTGTCCTTCAAGGGAGACTTCACCTCGACATATGAGGACACCTTTACTTCCCGGTCAGGCTGACCACAACTACATCTGACACGAACGAGACATACGAGACGAGCGACTGATTCCATTCACAATCAGTGTTGAATTCCCTTGACTGATTTGGCAACAATGGCATCCACCCTTGCGGTAGCCCTCGTGTCCTCCCTCCTTTTCATCCAGCCTGGTCTCGCAGACGGCCTCTATACCAAATCATCACCGGTTTTGCAGGTTTCTGGCAGCAATTATGACGACTTGATTGTCAAGTCAAACTATACAGTATGCTCTCTTTCTTAAACTCGCCCTACCGATATTACAGCTATCGCTAACTCTGCGGGTGTCTCAGTCCATCGTCGAATTCTACGCTCCATGGTACGCAGTTGCTTAGCCCCTGTCAACAGTGTAATCACTTCATACTGAGTCCGAGATAGGTGCGGCCACTGCAAAAACCTCCAACCAGTCTACGAAAAGGCAGCCAAATCCTTATCCGGCCTGGCCAAAGTAGCGGCAGTTAACTGCGATGAGGAATCCAACAAACCATTCTGTGGCTCCATGGGCGTCAAGGGCTTCCCCACGCTAAAAATCGTCAAGCCCGGTAAGAAAGCGGGCAGGCCTATCGTCGACGACTACAACGGCGAGAGGACGGCCAAGGCCATCGTCGACGCCGTGACGGGGAAGATTGTCAATCATGTGGCGCGATTGAAGGACGATGACTACGCGGATTGGCTCGATGCCGGAGATGCACCCAAGGCGATTCTGTTTTCCGAGAAAGGGACGACGAGCTCTTTGTTGAAGGCCATTGCCATTGAGTTTCTTGGCGGGATTGATGTTGCGCAGATCCGAAGTAAGGAAGACGATGCGGTCGAGAAGTTCGACGTACAGAGATTTCCCACGCTTGTGCTCGTTCCAGGCAAAGGAAAGGACGCCATCAAGTACGACGGACAGTTGAAAAAGGACGCCATTGTCACTTTCCTGTCTCAGGCTGCCACGCCAAACCCCGATCCGGCGCCAAAGAAGGCAAAGGCAAGCTCCAAATCGGACAAGAAGAAGGCATCCAAGGCATCTTCCTCATTCGCCAAATCCTCCAAGTCCCAAGCATCAGCGCAAGCGGAAACAGACGCCGCATCGCAAACAGCCGAGACACTCGAAGACGAATCTCAGCCAACGGCTTCCCCGCACCCAGACGCAGCGACAGAAGATACGCAGAAACCCGTCAAGATCCCCGACATCGCAACCCCAATCCCATCTCTGGCAGAGACCATCCCCCTCCAACAGAAGTGCCTCAACACCAAAGCCGGCACCTGCATCCTCGCCCTACCCCCCGCATCCAATCCCTACGCAAGCACAGAGCAAGCCCTCGCCAGCCTCAGCGAAATCCACCACAAACACGCCACCGCCAACCGCAAACTCTTCCCCTTCTTCCAGCTCCCCGCCTCAAACCCTACCTCCGCCTCTCTCATCGCAGCCCTGAATCTCGACGCCTCTACCACACAACTCATCGCGACAAACGGCAAACGCGCCTGGTACCGCCAATACCCCTCCGCGACGTTCACCCTAGCCGAAATCGAAGACTGGATAGACAGCATTCGCATGGGCGACGGCGCGAAGTCGAAACTCCCCGCCGAGCTCATCGTCGACGCGGCCGAGCTACCCGCCGAGCCGATCGAAGTGAAGGTGGACTCCACTTCCGATCCGGAGGATATCATGGCGCAGTTGAAGCAGCAGCTGCCCGAGGGCGTCGAGTTTGAATTGGAGGAGATTGAAGATGGAGAGTATGAGAGGATTCTGGCGGAGGCGAGTCGAGGGGCGGCGAAGAGGGAGAAGGCAGAGGCGGCTGCCACGGCGCGTGATGAATTGTGAGGGTTTGGATGTGTTGGTGTGCAAATCTAGTCAAGATAGGATGCGAGGCTGAGACGTGCGATGATTGGAAGAGTCTCATTTGCTCACCTCAAGCGGCTGGAGTACATTCTATTGAATCGTGCACATAGTTCTTCTCCGATATCACCCTTTCTCGTCAAAGCTGAATATGTCCATCGAAGAAGGAAAGGTCTCTCGACTCGAGAGAATCCCACTCAAAACTCCCCCGAATTCGCCATCGCTGGTAAAATAAAACAAGCCGAAAAGACAAACCTCATAAGTAGTGCCACTTTCCATCAAGAGACAACAACCCGATACTTCCGATCCAAATGCCGCTGCAAATCCTCCTCCGCGCCACTCTCATCATCGCGCGCTTCCACCACCGGCGGATTCAGCGGTGCCACTCCCGCAGCATCCCTCTGCTCGCCCGCTCCTCCAAACCTCGCAGACCGCACGCTAGAGTGCCTACTAGGCGCATAATACGGAGCGGAAAACGAACTCTCCGGCGCGCGGTATCGTCTCTCGCTGTTCATCGATGACCTCGACTGCGGTCTCTGAGAGGGAGTGTAGCGCTGCTGTTGTGAGGAGGGCGCTGTGCCCGGGCGAGGGAAGTAATCCGCATCCTGTCTTGAGAGGGAGACGGCGTCGTACCGGATTACGGGTGTGGGAGGGCTGGCGAGAGGATATGTAGGTTCGGGTGTGTGCAGGCGCTCGATGAATTCTTGGGGAATGCGGCCGCGGCCTATGAGGGAGGAGCAGCCGCTTGATCGGTGGTTGGCGTTGGCGTTGCGGTCGATGATGAGGGGGGATTTATACGTTTCGTCGGGGGAGGAGAGGGTGGTGGTTGTCGTGAAGGTTGTAATAGGGGAGGAGAGCGTTTTGGCGTCGAGGTCTAGTTTGCCCGGGCGCTGCATTTCAAACATGCTGCCGCGTTCGTGCTGGTAGGTGGTCACGAGGCCCTTTTGGGAGTTGCTGCGCATGACCTCTGGGGAGCGGCGGGCATCCAGGCTGACGAACTCTTGGTGGTTGGTGGTGAATTTGGAGCGGAAGAAGTGCCACCAGCCGGGGAAGATGGAGGGACGGGCGACGAAGAGGAAGATTTGCAGGCCGGCGAGGGAGATGAGGAGCAGGACGGCGGTGACGGTTGCTTGGTTGACGAGCCAGGCGCCGACGAGGTGCAGACAAGCGTCCTTGGCGGTGGGGTTGAAGACGAGGCATTCGATCCACGGCTCCACTTGGGCGAAGTGCGAGGTGACGGTGTTTTGGAGGCCGTCGAGCCAGACGAAGACGATGGAGAAGAAGACGACGTCCACGACGATGACGGTGACGATGGCGATGCCGCGCCATTGCAGCCAGAGAACTTTTTGTAGGCGTCGCCAGACTACGCGCGCTGTTTGGTTCTGCGTGCGAGTACTGCCGCTGTAGGATGGGAGACCGGTGCTGGAGCCGTTGGTGGAGCTGTCGGGTCGGTCGGTGAATAGGTTTCGTAGGTACACTCTGAGGCAGTGCACGAAGGTCATGAGCTGCAGAATGCCCGCCAGGCCCACCATACCCATCAGCGGGCCCCAGAAGTCCTTCATCGAGTTGTCGTGGTTGACGTCGCATTCGCGACCGAAGCGGAAGCTCACACCGGTGAAGGTCATCGTCACGGTGAAGAGTACCGCTGGGATACCCCATCCAAAGGCTTGCGAGTAGTAGAAAAACTTTTGTCCGGGGACGATGTCCCAGCAGATCTGTAGATTCATTGATAGCGCGCGGATGAAGATCCACATGCCTGTCGACAAGCCACCAGCAACGATGAAGGCGCCGCTCCACGCGCACTCGGTGAGGGTGTACATGTCGTTCGGCGTGATGTCGTTGTAGCATTGCTCCGGATTCGTGGCAAGAGGGATTGTGAACCCAAGCGCCAGCATCATCACGGAAACGATCAGGCAGACGCTCAGGTAGTGCTTTCGTGTCTGCTGCACGGGAAGCACGAGGTATGATAGCAGCATGAAGGCCAGTAGGATCAGCCCAGCGACGTTGAGCCATTCGATCACGGTTATCCAGGTGTAGAAGCCGTCGGAATATGCCCATGCCGTCGCTGGACACGGGAGGCAGCATTCGGGACTGCCGGGTAGGTCGGATATCGGCGAACAGAATCGACCCTCGATGACTTTGCGGGTGTTAGCCTCAGCCTGATGGTCCAACATCTTTGTAAACTTACATCCGCCAGTGCTGGGAAAGCTGGCCGAGTCGAGAAAGGGCGGAGGACATGCATTTGCCCTCGCAAACATGGTTGTGTTGGCCATTTTGGATCGTGGCCGTGGGCCCAAGTCCAGCTGTCTTGTAGTCTTTCTCTTGGGGACTGTCGTGTTCTCGTGATGTATCGATGCCGCGTCGAGGACGATTCGTGTGTATGTTCGGTTACGTTATGTCGGATGCATCAGGTGCAAGTCGGCGAGTCGGTCTAATCGGCGGTCATCGTCGAGGGTGTCTAGTGAGATCGTCACACGGATGTCGTCAAAGGCTGTTCGATATGTTACAGTGGCGCGAGTCATGTGATGATACACGAGCGAGTGGAAGAGATACAGCAGCAAAGAAGGGAGCAAAGACGCAAGCAGTTCAGACGAAAAAGAGAGAAAGTCGAGAAGAGGGAGACAGCAGGTAGCGCTTCAAATGAGCGTCGATGGGCGATCTCGCGACTCGCCATCTGGTAGACATGTCGCCCTATGGGGGTCACAGACGACGGAACCCCATTCTGAGGCATCTCGCGGGATGCCGGGGCAGCAGCGGAGAGGGCGGAGCGGCCAGGGGAGGGCACACCAACCACCAGTCGCATTAAGATGAGCGGATCCCATGTGCTTGCATTTCGTGCTCCGCAGCGGCGCAGGTTCGATCGGGAGCCTTCGTCCACCGAGCAGGTGTAGACAGCGTTTCCATCGGCCGCGGTGGGCGCTGCCTAGGCGCGGCTACTCCCTGCAGGCCCTTGGCCAGTCAGCGGCGCGGACGGGGGTGTGTTCATGTCACCCATGTCCCGCCCTGCATGCCCCGCATGGCAGTTCCTGCGCTGCTGCGAAGCTTGATTCGCTGCGTTCGCCAGCCGTGTCACTGTCTTTAGCACCCGTGCTTTCCTCGATGCGGGTTGGGGATACATGGTTGAATTTGATTTTGTCGAACGTGGTCGGGAGAGGCGCAGATTGGGTTTACGACATGTCTCTCCCTGGAGGCGGAAGGGCAACGGTTGTGGAGACGCGACATGCGTTACTGTACAACGGTCGGGTCTCCACGAATGTTCGTCATCACGCCACGGAGGGTCTTGTAATTGAAGCTGTGATGGAGGAGACGCGTACGTCAATTCATCAATCACAGGGCCGGGAATCGGCAGAATTAATTGGCTCCATCGTCGTGCTCGATCGGCGGCGCTTTGCACGTGGATGGAGCGAGTAGGCGCTCAAAAGAGGACCCTCGAATGGACAGTGGCGGCCTGAAAAGGCGAGTGCAGCAGTTCCGCGCGCACAAATCAGCGCGCGAGAAGGGCATGTGCACACGCGGGCAGGAGTAGGCCGAGTGGAGTTGGGGGAAGCAGGGCGTGTGGTCATTCTGATAGGCGCGGACACGCTCGAAATTGCCTTAGCGCACATGTCAAATCCGACCAATTGCTCCCCCGAACACCACTCTCCTGCACGCCATTGGCAGGGATGCGTTTTTGCGCTTCGTCCCGATCACCCCGCCGCTCTTGGGGGGACGGATCGAGAAACGGGTGAAATTGAAGGGCAGCTTGGTGATTTCGAGCAAGAGCTGACTCAACTGGATCTGGGTCACTTTTGACGGGGGACTTCCTATTCGTGGATGCAGGCCATGGCCAACGACTGTCAACCCTCCCATATGGAGAAAACAATCACCAAGACACCACTCGATGGACGTGTCAAGACAAGCATCTCTCCGGTAGATGCAGACATGCGACCGATGCATGTCTCAACTGGTTGAGAGCTTGGCGTTCCAGGCATCTCGCTGCCGAGACACCAGATCCTTCTCGATGCAACCGGGGCCCAACCCCACCCTCTACTTTGCGCAATCCTGTACTCCGCTGTAGCATTGACATGGCTTTGGGAGTGCAAAAGGACCCGACCCGCTTCTGGGGACTTCCGATGGAGTGGCCTCGAAGCGTGGGTATTGGTCGTGGGTGTGGGCCGAATGCTTCCGTTGAAGGCTTTTAGTCGTAGACTCCTGAAACCACCTGGCTGGCGTGCTCTCGGCGGCCAGACACCTTAGTGCTGACTGTCTCGCGGCCTTGCCTTAGGGGATGTGCTTCCAAGTCTGGAATAGTGTGATGATGGTGCTCTGGTTGGTTGGTAGGGATTCACGGTGCCCAGTCCTGTTCTGGATGGTACGCTTGGTAGATATCAACCCCGATCACCAGAGCAAGCATCATAAACAACAGCTGCACGCCCTCACATCAATACATGGTCTTTCTAACCGAAATTTCTCCCGCATCGACTCACCAAGAAGGCTCCCAAGCTGATGAAGAGAATCTCCCAACCTCCGGAGCGAGCTTTCCCTACCGCCATTGCGTTCTGCTGGCGGAAGAACCGGATCGCTCCGATCGATATCATGCATAATGCAGCGCTTTGGAAGACCACGGCCACTGGCTTGCTGAGGACATAGTAGCCGTACACCTTGCTAGGGTGGGGAGAGTGCTCCAAGCGATAGAGCTGCGCTATGATGATTCCCATGATGGAGAGGGCGATTGAGTCACGAAGGTAGCCGAGGAAGGTGCGCTCGTTCGCTATAGAATCCCGTCAGCGTGGTGAAGGGTGAAAGGAGCAATTTGAATGTGAGATGAGGGGTTGGAAGCCGCAATAGTCTGGGCCTGAGCAGGCAGTATCCAGTGCTTGACTCACCAAGGTGATCCCGGCAATCATCGTGGGGCACAGAAATGCGAACGTGGTGCCTCCAGAACTTCTTGACGGGATCATACCAATAGATGATTGGTTTCTCGTCAGTCAAGACGTGTGAGACGACGGGGAGGTGCGTTAGCCTCCGCAGCTCCGTCGCTTCGATCTCCTGATCGTCCGAGTCGGTTTCGTCTGCTTCAGTTGACTCCGAGGGCACACGCACGTGAGCGGGCTCGGGGATCTGTAGGGAGTGGCCATGGCCCTTATCCTGATTGAACGTGCTTTGTGGCTCGGCCATCCTTCTTTCGACAGCGTTGTCGGAACTCCGTGGCGGCTGGTGGTCGTTGGGTTTGCTGGGGCTTATCGCCCACTCAGGCAACGGCAAGGGAGATGGAAGGAAACGAGCAGAGGCTCAAGAAGCCCCAGGAGACAAGGAGATAGAGAGCATCGCCATGCGAGTTGCGACCGAACCGCGACCACTCGCCGGGCTCTTCCAGTCACTTACGGTGTAGAATACGAGCAAATAGAGTTGCTGACGCCGGCAGGTCGCCGAAGCCGCTCCGCTCGGCATTGCGGCGCAGGAGCGGACGAGTCATGAGCACGGGGGACGTGGATTGCATTGCTGTTCACTTGAACAATGATATCAAAGTTCAGCGGAGGATAGAGAGGAATGCAAAAGCAAGCAGAGGAGAATGCAGGACGGCAAGGCTTTAAACCAGTGTTGCCAAACAAAAGAACGGCTGGTTTGGGTAAGGTGGTGAGCACGCCATCGCTTTGCCGCGCTACTCATTGGCTGAGGTGACGGCGCGTGGCTGAATTCGGTACGACTGGACGACATTCAGCCTCATGGACGAACAATGATGATTGAATGGAGAATTGTATGGATCGAGGCCAACGAGGTCGGCATATAGCCTACGAGAGCTCAACATTGAGTGATCGAGGTCAGCAGAGCACGTCTACACACCAAATGATCAAAGTCAGACAAAGTGTACCGCTGGAAACAAAAGCAGTAGCAGCAGCAGCCCCAACTCGAACACGGGGCCGCCAAAAGACAAAAAAAACAAACTCCTTTCCAGGAGAGAAAGCAAGGCGAGACTCGTAGGACCCCAACAGGTTTGCATTTTTGGCCGCCGACCAAACAGATCAATTGATGCTGCAAGTCATTGGTTAGAGGTCGAGTGCGGATAAATCAATTATATAGAAGCCGTAAGTGGTGACGAGGTTTAGCCGAGCAGTCTGCGGCATGTCTTTGGACGCACAATGGGCTCAATCTACATGTAAAGGGCATTTCAAGTAACGCGATCCCCCATATCAGAGCGTTCAAACGAGGGAAGAGTGCTGGAGAAATGAACCTTAAATGATTACGTATGCAAACCTTAACTTTTTTGCAAGCTTCAGAAAGCGCGGTTGGCGATGTGAAGTGTTTCTATACAACACCACCTCCACCACTTCACCCCTCGCGCATACCCTCTTACCCTCACTCATTCCACCCATCAATACCTCCACCACGTTATGCTCACGGACGTTTACGCCCACACACTCCATTGACAACACCATCAACGCCATTGCCCTCCCTACCCTTCCACCAAACCCCCCGGCTTCACCGAAGAGTGAATTCGAAACAGCAAGAGACTTCGATCACAAAGGCACTACGTAAGAGAGCCTGCACAACACCAACACAAGGATGTCTGACGGGAGACTGCAGTCTTCGCGGGACGACCGGCGAAGAGAGCGCGACGGAGGCGATCCCCGCCGCCGCCGCTCACGCTCCCCTGGACACCGACGCGAGCGCCGTGACTTCGCCGAGGTAGACACCTATTCCTCTAGCAGAGACTACCGAGAGCGTGAGAGGGAGGACAGGTACTCCGGCCGTGGTGGCGGCGGCGGCGGTGACAGGCGTGACAGAGACTGGGACCGCGAGCGTGGGGCCGCCGGCCGCAGAGATCATCGGGATGGAGACCGCAGGCGCGATGACCGCAGGGACCGCGACCTGTTCGACGACAGGCGCAGAGGGCCGCGCGATGACAGAGATCGGCGTGGAGGAGAGGACCGTGTGCGCGAACGCGATGACATGCGCCAGATGGAGCGGCAGGCCAGGAACAAGAGCGCGTCACCCGTCCGCAAGCCCAAGGAGCCCACACCAGACCTCACCGATGTGGTTCCGATTACCCAGAGGAAGCGCAGGATGACGCAGTGGGACATCAAGCCTCCGGGTTACGAGAATGTCACCGCAGAGCAAGCCAAACTGTCCGGCATGTTTACACTCCCCGGCGCACCACGACAACAGCAAATGGACCCGGCCAAGCTACAGGCCTTCATGAACCAACCCGGCAACCAAGCCGCCGCCTCCGCCCTCAAGCCTGCCACTGCTCGCCAGTCGAAGCGTCTGTTTGTGCACAATCTACCCGCCTCCGCGACGGACGAGACTCTCGGCGATTTCTTCAATCTCCAACTCAACGGCCTCAATGTTACCCGCGGTCCAGATCCATGCATCTCCGCCCACGTCAGCCAGGATCGCTCCTATGCGCTTCTAGAATTCAAGACAGCAGAGGACGCCACCAACGCAATCGCCCTCGACGGCATCGAAATGGAGCCCGAAGCAATGGACACGTCGAACGGCGACGCTAACGGCGCCCCCAAAGGCCTCCAAATCAAGCGACCAAAAGACTACATCACACCCGCCGTCACCGACGACAGCGCCACCGAGGGCGGCGTGTTGAACAACATCGTCCCCGACACGCAAAACAAGCTCTCCATCACCCGCATCCCCATCTTCCTCGCCGAAGACCAAATCCAAGAACTCCTCCTCTCCTTCGGCGAGCTGAAGAGCTTCGTCCTCGTCAAGGACACCTCGAGCGACCAGAGCCGCGGCATCGCCTTCTGCGAGTACGCCGACGCCGCCACCTCGACCGACATCGCGGAGCAGAGTCTGAACGGGATGGAGCTCGGCGACAGCAAGTTGAAAGTGCAGCGCGCCAGCGTCGGCATCCAACAGGTGGGCGGCGAAATGAGCGTCAACGCGATGAGCATGATGGCCGGCACGACCAACAGCGGCGCCGAAGCAGGCCGAGTCCTCTGCCTAATGAACATGATCACCCCCGAAGAATTGATGGACGCCGACGAAGCAGACGGTAAGTTTTGCCCCCGCCCCTGAATCTAACCCAACAGCTCTCCTAACCCTCTATCTCTCCAGAAATCCTCGAAGACGTCAAAGAAGAATGCAGCAAGTACGGCACGCTGCTCGAGGTCAAAATGCCGCGCCCCGCAGGCGGCAGCCGCGCCAACGCCGCCGGTATCGGCAAAATCTACATCAAGTACGAGGCTGCTGCGTCGGCGCAGAAGGCGCTCGCCGCGCTGGCGGGCAGGAAGTTTGCGGATCGCACGGTTGTCGTTACCGTGTTTGGGGAGGAGTACTTTGATGTGAATGCTTGGTAAGTGTGCGTTGCTCTTTTTTTCCCCTCGTTGTCGAGCTTCGAGGGAGCATGGCATTGCACGGAGCGGCGGGCAGGAGAGGCGAGGCGGATCGGATATGGGGGGAGCGAAGAGGAGAAAGGGAAGGTGACTTGGGGAGCGGAAGGGACATTGGTCGGGCGGGCAATACGAAGTGTACCCCATCGCAGGAAGGGAAAAGCAAGGAATACCGGCTATTTGGATGAACGTGCGGGAGGGCGAAGCGAGCGATACTGTTGGCCACGACGCGAATCTTCCTTTCTGGTCTGTGATGCGGTCAAGGCGAGCAGGCGGAAGGGGACAGGGGAATCGGGGGCAAGATGAAATGAGATGCAAAGTCGAAGGGACAATTGCCTTGTACACTTTCCGTCTCGTGGTACTCTCTGTTCCCAATTGATCTGCGTCAAAACGCACTCAATCCCTTTCCAATTTCATGCCAGTTGATCTCATTCTCCTTTCTCACCTACACCAGCACGTGACCATGCAGTGAAACACGAGTAATGTCAATCCACGAAAAGGGCAGTGTGGAGAGTGAAAAAGGGTAGAGCTACACGACCATTGTAATTCCATTTTGCTTTCGTTCTAGGTTAAATGAACAAGTCCAGGCCGCGATGAAGAAGCGCACAATCTAAACTAGGGATACACACACTCAAACGACACCCACAGTGCCGTCTTCCTCGCATCGGCCACAGCGACAACCACCACCAGCAAGCAGTGCGAGGCGAGGAGATGAGCAAGATCTCCGCGCTCCTCCGCACCAACTCTTCTCTTTTGTCACCCCCCCGACTTCACCATCCTCCTCAATCAGAAGGCAAGGTCTACTTGTCCGCACTCCGCGTAGTCCTCTTGCCCACCTCATCCCTCGCCTTGTCAACGCCACTGCTCACGCTGTCCGCAACCTGGTCGGCAGTCTTCTTGACCGCATCCTTCGTCTGCTCCGCCTTGGCCTTGACCTGCTGCGAGCTAGGCGCAGCCTTGGCGCCACCCGTCACCAGCCCGCCAACAATCGCGAGGAGGGTGAGGAGGCCGACGCCGAGCGCGCCGGCGATTTCGGGCACGTGCGTGATGGCCTCGACGGGGTCGCGTTGCGCGATGGTGACGAAGAGGTCGAACTTCTCCTTGATGAAGGTCACGGGGTCGTCGAGGAAGGAGAGCTCGGAAGGCGGCGTGGGTTTCTCCGGCTCGGCGGCCGCCTCGGCTTCTTCTTGTCGCGTCTCGGAGGCTTTCTTGATGTCGAAGGTCTCTTTCTGGAGCGTGACGGCGTCGGCGATGGAGTGGCCGATGTAGATGTTGTCGAAGAGGATGTCGTTTTGCATGGTCCAGAGCTCGAAACCGATCTGTGAGACGAAGGTAATTAGTATGTGAAAGTCTCGGTATGCGGATGAAGTGGGGCCAACTTACCGCGCCCATGGGCTCAAAGTTGGCGGGCTTCTTGTCCTCGAAGAAGTCGGGGTTGGCGATCTTGCGCGGGGCCCACTCGCCCTTGTAGGCCGGGTTGTCAATCAAGGGAGCAGACCACTTGCCCTTAAAGGCCGGGTTCTTGATCAAGGGCTTGGTCCACGGGCCACAGCCAGAGACCGAGTCACACTTGGGGTTGGAAACCACGGGGGCAATCCAGTCGCCGTCCTCCTCATCGTCCCAGTCCTCGGGCTTCTCAGCCTCGGGGTCGGGGATCTTCTCGGGCTCAGACTCGAGCCAATCTTCCGGCTTCTCGGCAGTCTCGTCGACGATCTCGAATGGCGCGTCCTCGTCCCAGTCTTCGGGCTTGGTGGCGGCGGGGTCGGCAATCTGTTTCTCGTCGATCCAGCTGGCAGGCTTGGAGTCCTTGGGGTCATCAATCTCCTTGTCGGGGTTGACAGCCGGGGAGAAGTCCTCCAAAAGCGAGCCGGTCTTGGCCGACTCGCCGTCAATGAGAATCTCAAAGGTCTGGTCGGGCTTGATGATCAGGGTGTAGAGGGTGGTGCTCCTAACGGTGCGAGCAACAGGAGGCGAGTTGAGATGCTTCTCCTCGTACTCGCCGGTCTTGGGGTTCTTGTGGCGGAAGATGAAGTGGACCTTGTTGGTGGTACCACACCTGTCGGGGCCGAACATGATGATGTAGGGCGACGCATTGGAGAACTCCTCGCCCGACTGCAGCGCTTTGCTGTCCTGGAGGAGCTTCATGTACGCACCACCGCACTCGAGGCCGCCCTGCAGCTTGACTTCGTACTGCACGACGAGCGTGTTGTCCTTGTTGCTGATGGGCTTGTCGAACTTGGCGGAGATGGCGTGATGGGCGGCCTTGTCCTTGAGCACAAGACCTTTGTCGCCCTCAATGCCACGGAGCACGCTGGGCTCCTCGACACTCCAGGTGCCAACGTATTGCCACTCCTCCTCGGTGTTCTCCTTCTTGGCGGTGGACCGCTGCCATCTTGAGTCGTCGAGAAACTGCTCGAAGAAGGGGGCTTTGATGTTGGTGACGGGCTGGCGGGGAGTTAGTTCGTTGTTTGATAGCTGTAACGTGGATTAAGGGGGAGATACTCACTGTGAAAGTGGGCTTCTCCACCAAAGACTCGGTGGCAGACTTGACGGCCGAGACAACGGAGCTGGTTGCCTCCTTGACCACATTGCCAGCATCTTCCAGGACGTCTGCACGTGCAATGGCCGCCGTGGCAGCGACTGCCAGGAGCGACGTAACACGCATGTTGGAGGGGAGGTGTGCAGGGGGAAACCGCGAAGTTGCGACAAGTATTAGAAAAGGGACAAGGGAGTGAGGGGAAGAAGAAGAAGAAGCGGAAGAAGAGCAATCAGGTGCAGGGGAAAAGAGGGAAGAGCGTGAAAGGATGATGCGGGTGGAGGGTTTTGTGGAGGGTGGAGGGGGAAATAATTAATTGCTGGAGCTTCTCCTGCCTGCCTCTTTCTGAAAGTTGTCCTGAATTCAATTTGCCCCAGAAACTCCTTCCCTCTTTCGGAACTCGGCTGCTCCACACAAACTCTAAAACCTCGGGAGTCTTCAGGGTCAGGGACACACGTGATTCAACAAAGTCGTCCATCAATGGCAATGGCTAGTCTGCGATCTGTGGTCGGATTCGGGACAGTATGCCAGTTTGGATGTAATACTCGTACAGTATGTCCCTTTTCCTGTCCATACAATCTGACCTGTTTCCAGCAACGCCATAGCAACCTCTAGCTTAGACCCACCATCCCTCCCTATTGTACAAGCGACTACTTGGCTACACTGCTTCGTTGCGTATGTCTTGCAAACAGTGGTGCTTTTGTATACCGGTTCCGCATGTCGACTCGCACCTCAAGCCCCTAGTCGTCGCGATCCTTCTTGCGCAGGCTGCCAATGCGCTTCTTCAAGCTGCCCAAGCCAGCAGAGAGATGATGGCCTCTGGCGTCCGAATCATGAGACGCACCCGCCCTCACCGCCGCGATTTCCAAATCAGCGTACCTCTCCTCACCCCCGGCGATGTCCACGGGATCGCGGTTGTCCAGAGTGCCCCTCCTCTCGGCACGATGGTAGTCGCGGCTGACGCGCGAGCGATCCTGAAGCTCAATCGCATCGTTGGTGTCGGAGATCTTGTGGGCGCGAAGGGCGCGGTCGAGGGAGAAAGCCGGCTCGCCCTTGCCCTTGATGTCCTCGGGGTCGTATTCCTGGTATGAGTGTTAGTCGTTTGTCAAGTGTGCTGGATTGTGTAAGTCTTACTGCTCCCGGGTACTGCTTGTATGCAGGCTCTCCATTGGCAGCCTCGTGCATCAGGTCCGCACCCTCCCGATAGTGGTATGTCCGGCCGAATCGATCCTCCTCGCCGGGCGGCACCCCGGCTACACCATCAAGGGGCTGATGCCTCTCCACCGAATCTTTGATATTCTCACGGGGTGTCGCACGCAGAGCCTCGCGGTTGCTGTCCTCCAATGCCGCCAGAGGCGCATTCTTGGGGTCGCGGTTGCGAGACAACAACGCAGCGTCGTACGGGCCTTCATGATGGTATGCGCGGCCTCCAATAGCCGGGTCCAAGCGGTCAATGGTATCGGCGCCGGGAAGCGACCTCTTGTTCAGATGCGGCGACCGATACGCCTTTCTGCTGTCGCGCCGAATGACGTCGAGAGGGTGGGTGGACGGGTCACCGGGGTACCTCTCCCTCAAGCTGCTTCCGCGACGCGGTCGGTTGCCCTGGTTGGGGCTGGAAGAGGTGGCTTCATGATAGGATGGCGGAGTGCCGTGGCTGCTCGCGCGGTTGCGGGAGGAGACGTGATCGTCAAAGTCGCTGAAGACTTCGGTGCGGTAGTGGGGAAATTTCTCCGGCCGCGGACTTCCGGATGACGAACGGACGGAGGTGTGAGCGCCGCCTTTGGTGGCGGAGAGTGGCGGGCTGTTCTGGATGGATGACGGTCTATTCGACCTGACGGAGCCGTGGCGATACGGGTTGTTGGAGGAGGGAGAGGAGGAGGCGGGAGGCGGAGAGCGTGTCACGCCGTTGATCTCGGATGCTGGGGCAAAGGTGTTGCCGAAATGCGAACCCGGACCATCCGCGGCTGCTGGCTCGGGGGCGGTCATGGGGTCGAGGAGGGCGGCGGCGGCCTGCGATTGATGGATGTCATTAGCAGGGGAACGTGATGCGGGCAGAGGAGTGGTGACTGGAGGGCATTGAATCTTACCGACTTGGACGAGGCGGCGTGCGTCATGGTAATCGACTCGTTTCTGATGAGATGGCTGACAAGCCAAAACGTTGAGGTATTGAGTGAAAATCAACTCGACAGCTGTCGTGTCGATGGAATTGTCAATGGCGGAGGATTACCAAAAAAGAGAAGAAGGCACGAGGAGAATGAAAGGCAGCAGAGTAAGAACGAAGGTAGGTGCGCAAAGGTACACGCGTAAACCGGCAAGTGCTGCCCGACTTGAGCTGTCCCCGTCAGACGTGACACGCACTCGGGCACTTTGCACCTGCCCGCTACGTCAGACGCGGCTCCTGCCGCCGCCGGTCATAATTATGCAACAACCTAAATATACATTCTGCTTCACACTACTACCAATCAGAGACTTGATGCAGCCAACCTTGCGCCCAAGGCTCGAAACTGTCAAGCATTGTCTTTCGACCGGAAATCAACATAGCCAATGCCTTTTACAAAGGTATAATGCCACGGTTGCTGTCCGCCATCTGCTGCCAGTTCGACATACAGCGCTGCACGTGCCATGGGATCCATCATCTCTCTCGCGGGAGAGCCGTCGGCCTTGCGCTGATCCGTGAAATAAAACCTGCATGGGTCAGCTACCATGTCTCTGCGGAGGCGTAACATTTCGTGGAAAACGATGCATGCTTACCTGAACCCGCGTTGCGCATACGCTACAGAGCAATCCCACATCATCTTTGCCGCGGCACACTTGGCCATCCCAAATGTGAGCGCCTTGGGATCGGCCATGACATTCTGCTTATTGCCAGTGTAGATGAAAGTCCCGTTTGCCTGACCTCCAGCCTGCTCCCACCCGTTGACAGCCTCTCGACCCGCAATCAATGCACTAGTGATATTGACCGCCATGTCGTGCTCAATGCATTCCTGCGAAATGGAGCCCAATGGATTCTCCGCTGGCACCAGCGTCCTCGCGAAGCCATTGTATATGACCACGCTCGGATGCTCAAAGTGCTCTCTCACTTTCGCGAAGAGCTCGGGGAGAGTGTCTGGTTTGGAGAGGTCCAGATGCAAGTCTAAATGATTGGGTGCTCTGAGGCTTTCCTGCCGGCTGCGCGAAGCCGCGACAACGTTGTATCCTGCGGCGCGAAAGAGGGAGATGCAATGAGCGCCAATCCCAGGACCAGCAGCGAGGATGAGGGCAGTGCGGGGCATGGCGTGAAACGTTCTATTCAGCGAAGGATGAGGCTGGAAGTTTGAGTAAGATTTGCTTTGGAAAGAATTCAACGTCAACTTGAAAGCATTTCACCTTGTGTATGTAGGAGACTTGAGCACATTGCTTAAGGAGGATCGTACAATGCACGCAGTCTCAGGAACATTACTCAGCCGAGTGCTATCGCCGTTCCGAACGATCTGTCTCGGTACATTGTTATACACGAATCACCGAGATGGCACGCTGTTCAACTTTCCGATCGAAAGAGGTCTTCGGCAACCCACAGCGTTCGCACGAGCCAACAGCTGCACCCGGGCCAAGACGTCACACGTCATTCATTAATCCATCCATGCCTCCTCCACCTCCATGCTGAAAAGGGGAGAAATAATAAAACTTTCGCAGCAAAAATAGCATCCGCACCTGCCGCATGTCCATGCATCGTTCATGCGGCTAGTCGACTACTCCGACTCCTCCGAATCCGAAGAGGGCCGAGGAGAGGATGAGGCAGCAGCCCTCCCTCCCCTTCCCGCCAGCTTCCTCGACCAGTATTCCTCCGCGGTGAGGGGGAGTGTGCGCGATGATCCCTCGCTGCATGGCGGCCGGCAGAGGATCACGCCGCACGTTGAGGGCAACTGGCCGAGCCATGTGTACCTGGAGTGTAAGTGAAGCTTGTATTTTCACCATCTCCTCTTTCCATCTCATACCTCACTCAAGACAAGGCAATATGATCATCCTTGCATCCAACGTAGCTAATCCAACCCCCGAGGGCATCCCCAATCGAAGGAAGCAGCACATCTTCACAACCTCCTCACCCACCTACAACAAACCACCCCGCAGCACCAAATCCACAGCCTCCTCCAAACCCCCCTAGGAGCCCCCCAACCCCTGCACATCTCCCTCTCCCGGCCTCTAACCCTCAAAACCCCGCAAAAGGACCCCTTCCTCACCCACCTCCGCAACACCATCAGCAGCAGCAACATCTCCCAATTCTCCGCTCGGCTAGGCGACCTCACATGGCATCCTAACGAAAGCGGCGCGCGTTGGTTCCTTGTTCTGCGATGTTTGCAGGGCGGTGACAGTGAGATGACGAAGGTCCTTGCGATTTGCAATTCCGTAGCGGAGGGGTTTGATCAGCCGCTGCTTTATCATGATCACGATGAGAACGGCGACGGCCAGAGTACGAAGACGCCCGGAGTGGAGGGCAAGTTCCACATCAGTATTGCCTGGTCGCTGCAGGCGCCAGCATTATCGACAGGCCCGGGACCCGGCCAGGCGAAGCACATGGGGATTCCCATCGAAGGGCAGGGAGCTGTGCCGCAGCAGTTACTGGACGTGCTCGCCTCGCTGCAGATTCACTTCGACCAAGTCAAGATCCGCATCGGGCAGGATGTGCATTTCATCCCACTCAGGGCGCGCAGACGATCAAACATAGACGCATGAAATTCACGACGTTTTTGAGCCCGTAATCCATTTCTACGCCTCATGAACATAGTTACAAGAGACCCGTAAGTTACATTCTGAGCTTTTCCCCCCCACGAAATCATCAAACAACCCCCCTACGACTGCGTCGGCATAGTCACACTCGCCCTCGACTCAATCGCATCCTCACTGCGCCAATAACTCGTCACCGTCTTCTGCTGCGTGTAGAAGTCCAAGCCGGGCTTGCCGTAAAAGGTGTTCGCGCCACCCCCCGCAATGCTCTTCTTGTTGCCGGTGAAGGAGAACATGGGCAAGGGGACGGGGATGGGCACGTTGATGCCCACCTGGCCGGGCTGGATTTCCTTCTGGAAGCGGCCGGCCGTCGCGCCCGACGAGGTGAAGATGGCCACGCCGTTGCCGTACTCGTTGTCGTTGATGAGCTCGATGGCTTCGTCGAGCGTCTCCACGTTCAGGCAGACGAGCACGGGGCCGAAGATTTCTTCGCGGTAGCAGCGCATGTCTTTGGTGACGTTGGCGATGATGGTGGGGCCGACCTAGAGCAGAATTAGTTTACCCAGCCGTGACTGCGAGGTGGGATTTGTCTTCTACTCACCCAGTTGCCCTTGGCGTACTTCGGGTCCTTGGGCTTCTGGCCGCGGCCGTCCATGACGATCGTCGCGCCCTCCTTCTCCGCAGAGGCAATGAGATCCTCAATGCGCTGCTTGGACTCCGGGCTGATGACGGGGCCGAGATCGGCGCCCTCCTCGAACCCACCGTTCATGCTGAGGTTCTTCGCACGCTCGGCAATCTCCGGCGCCCAGTCCTTTGTCTTACCGACGAAGACAAGCGTCGAGAGAGCCATGCAGCGCTGTCCAGCAGCACCGAAAGCGGCACCAGCAATAGCGTTGAGCGCGTGGTTCTTGTTGCAATCGGGCAGGACGGCGGCGTGGTTCTTGGCGCCCAAGTTGGCCTGCACGCGCTTGCCGTTGGCGGAGGCGCGCTGGTAGATGTACTCGCCGGCCTTGTTGCTGCCGACGAAGCTGACGGCCTTGATGCGCGGCTCGTCGAGGATGAAGTCGACCGTCTTGGCGGAGCCGTGGATGATGTTGACGACGCCGGGCGGGAAGCCGGCCTTCTCAGCGAGCTCGGCGAGGATCATGGCCGCGCCAGGGTCGCGCTCAGAGGGCTTGATGATGCAGGTGTTGCCGGTGATGGTGGCGACGGGGATGGTCCAGAGCGGAATCATGGCGGGGAAGTTGAAGGGGCAGATGGCCGCCACGACACCAATGGGCTCGCGGTAGCTCCTGGTCTCCATGTCCTTCGCGACCTCCAGCACTTGGCCGGGGAGCTGCGTGGTGATGCCGCAAGCGGTCTCGGCAACCTGCAGGCCGCGGAGAACGTCACCCTTCGCATCGGCGAACGTCTTGCCCTGCTCGAGGGTGATGGACGCCGCCAAGCGGTCGTGGTTTTCCTTGATCAGGCTGACGTATTTGAACATGATCTGCTGGCGGGCCATGACGCTCGTCGCCTTCCAGCTGTGGAAAGCCTTCTCGGCCGCATCCACGGCGCGGGTCATCTCTTCATCCGTCGACTGCGGCACGCGCGTGACGAGGTTGGCGGTGGCGGGATCGTACAGATCGATCCATTGCGAGCCCGACGACGCCTCGAGCTTGTTATTGATGAAGTTCTGGGTATCGAGGGGCTTGCTGATGGGCTCGTGGGAGGTGGGGTATTCCTGGGGCGAGGTGGCGGCGGTGGTGGTCGCGGCAGGCTGCAGCTGCGAGGTGGTGGCATGCAGGCGCCTGACGGCCGTTTCGCGGCTGTTGTTTGCTTGAGGCATGATGCGGCACGCTCGGGCGACGACCGGACGAGTGGTGAGGCTCTGGAGGGTTCTGGTGGACAGGGCCCGTCGAAATGCCATGGCGCAGCTTGTTCTCTTTACCAATCACTCTGATGCCACCCAACTTGCGTCGTACACTCCTGGAAAGAATGGAAGAAAATGGATCGGGTCCAGAGCAGGCTGGAGGTGTATTGGCGAAAAAGCAGCGACACTTGCTCTGGCTGACACCGTCGAGCTCGGCTTAATCGCGGAGAGCTTTCCACGCCGCCCGCGCTAATGCTTGCCCGATTGGAGAGGGATAGCCGAGGGGCAAGGGAGCTGATCCGGGGATGTCGATGCAGCTCCACCTCACTTCTCTCCTCGGCCTCATTCCACCCATCTACCACGATGAAACGCTACTGTATACAAACGTCCAGACGTGTAATGCCCCTCCATCCCGACATACGAGGAAGATGTTGACCTCCCGTTTTCTGCGAGCGGCCCAACCTCACGCGCCATGGAAATCGCAGGGTAACGCTTTCCGCGTCGAAATCAACAAGAGGCCTGTAAACTGCACTCAAATGTCATCACCGTAAGGATGAAAAGGCAGCCAAACATGCCACTCAGTGTGGGCAGGTGTTCTACACAAAATTCGCTCGTCAGCCGTATTACTATCGCTCATATGTCCGTCCTACTTCACTCATTTTCCCTCCTCCATCATCCCCAATCAAACCACAGCCATACTCATCGCAAAGCAAACACAATGCAACTCATCATCTACCTCAGCACTTTCCTTCTCGCCTTGGCCACGACAGCAATTAGCTCGACACTGCCCGTTCCCGCCGACGGGACGGATAACCTCCTCACTCCAGCATCGCTCCGTCAACAGTATACAGTCTCCCCATCGTCTACCCTCTCTGCCATCTGCTAATACGTAGCTATCTTCCCGCAGAAAACGTAAAGACAATACGCTCTCAGGCTGGGAGAAGTTCGAATGCAGATGGACGATGGGGTATTGGTGTGATGCGTATCTTCAGAGTAGTGGGAAGGAAACTTCGTGAGGGCTTCAATGAGCCAGCGTTAATGCATGCAGCACCGGCATCGTAGCTCTACATTTCATCTCTAACCGCGAAACGACCGCACTCAGCTCGTCTTAGGAGCATCTCTCGCCTCCTCCAAGCTCATGCCCGCAACCCCATTCGCCACTCCCGCCGGCGAACCGCCCTGCCTGCCCAGCCTCTCCTTGACCTCCGTCTCCAAATCCGCCATCTCAATCATCACCCCCTCCTTCTCCGGATGCCCATCTGCCAACCCCATCTCCTTAATCTTACACTTGCCCGCAGCCAGCTCGTCCTCGCCCAGAATCAGCGCGAATGGCACCCCATTGACTTCCGCCGCTTTGAACTGCGCGGGAAGCTTGGGCTTCACCTTCCAGCTAAACTCGGCCTTGATGCCCGCGTCCCATAACCGCTTCGCGACTTCCATGCGCTGTGGGAGCAAGCCGTCGAACCCTTTGCCGCCGAACGCCATGACGTACACGTCCACTTCGTTGGTGCGGATGGGGATGGAGGAGGCGTCGGCGTTGAGGCGTTGCTTGGTGATGGAGAAGATGCGATCGACGCCGAAGGAGATGCCGACGCACGGGATCTGCTGCTTGCCGCTGAACATGCTGACGAGATTGTCGTAGCGGCCGCCGGCTGCTACTGAGCCGACGCCGACGCTCGGGTCGTTACTTCGGTCTTCTTCGCCATCGTGCTTGCTGGATTTGGATTCTTTCTTGGCGGCTTGCTGCACTTTCTGCCCTTCGCGCGTTTGCGGTGCGGAGCCTTCGGTGATGACTTCGTAGATGACGCCGGTATAGTAGTCGAGTCCTCGTGCGAGCGACATGTCTAGGGAGACTCTGTCCAGGACGGAGAAGGATTGGAGGTATGTGAAGAGGAGGTCCATGTCAGCCAAACCGGCTTTTGCGGATTCGTTCGATTGGAGCTGTTGGTTTTGTCGCAGGTTGTCGAGAAGTGGTCGGCCACCTTTTTGTACGACAAACTCTCCTATCCGATCTGCAACCTCGGGGTCTAGCCCTTTCTCCTCCGTCATCTCTCGCCGTACTTCTTCCCATGGCGTCTTATCCAGCTTGTCAACGGCCGATGAGATTGTGCGCAGTTTGTCTGTCGGTACGCCGCACACCTGGAATATGCCATCCAATATCTTGCGGTGGTTGATCTTGATGGTGTATCGCCCATGCCATCCCAGCGCCTCGAAAATCTCACACGTGATGCGAATAATCTCGGCATCGGGGAGCATGGGATCGTACACGCCGGCAATGTCGAAGTCGCACTGGTAGAATTCTCGCATCCTCCCTTTCGTCATCGCAGGTTGATCTCGCCGGTAGACTTTTGCGATGTGGTATCGCTTGATGCTTTGTACGCTCGAATTCATCGCCAGCCATCGCGCAAAGGGGACTGTGAGGTCGTATCGGAGGGAACAAAGCTCGCCGCCTTGGTCTGCGAGGTCGTAGATGAGCTTGCTGTCCTCGCCATACTTGCCGGAGAGAATCTCTTTGAGCTCAAACACGGGTCTGCGAAGGCATTGTTAGCGATGGCTCCCGGCGAACAAGACATCAAGCCATGGACTCACGTGTCTATTGTCACCGCGCCGTGGCGTTTGAAGACCTCGGTGATGGCGCCAAAGATCTTGTCGCGAATCACCATGTCCTTGCCCTCCCAGTCCTTGGTCCCCTTGGGCACCTTGAGCTGGAAGTTGCTCTTCTCCTTGTCCTTGTCTTTGCCCATCTCGTCTTCGGTGTTCTCGGTGGTGTAGTTTCGTAGGCGTTGGTGTAGAGCAGTGCAGCGAGGTGGTGGGAGACGGGAAGGGATTGAGCGGAGTGTAGGTCGCGAAACACACCAACGCAGGCGAGCAAAGGGTTTCATGCAAGGAGGTGGTGAATGCAATGGTTGTTTGGGTCAATTCGCAGCCTCGACTCACAAAAGTTGACTCAAACTTTTGACAGCTCCGGCGGCGCCAAGAGAAATGCGGAGCCGCCAACCACTTCACCTCTGTCGTCCTCTCTTCTACAACGTACCAACGAAAGTATGTGATGGCCGTCCATACGGCCGCCAAGGCCATCAACACACAGGATATCACGGACAAGGCCCGGAGAGACCTCCTGCTGCTGCTGGAAAGCGTAAGTTTGCTAGAAAACCACCGATCTATTCCTTTCGAAGACTAACGACATGTAGGTTCGAGGCAAGAAGAACCTCGTCATCGAGCGATCCCTCGCAGGCACCATTGGTCTCTTTGTCAAGTTCAGCACCCTACAAGAATACGGCGTCGACAAGATTTTCTTCCTGGAAAATCACAATGTCGACAGCAGCCAACGCAATGTCGTCTTCCTCGTTCGCGGCGAGAAGGCCAGGACCATTCGAACGGTAGCCGGTATGTCATGTCACGTTTTCATTGCATTTAGTCTTCTTCTTGGGGATCTTAAAGTAGAGTACCTAGGTCTGGCTTGTCCTCTTCCACCCTTTGTATTCAGTCTTGATCCCGATAGCAAACTACTTTTGCATCTTTAGCATGATCATAGCCTGGCGTGTCTCGTTACATCATGCTCAGCGCCATCATTACGTGCTCACATCCATTTCTGGCGTTCTGATTCGAGCGAAGATCATGGAAGACGCTGACAAAAGCAGAGCAAATCAAGCTCGTCCGAACCGAGAGCAATGTCGACCACGATTTCAGCCTCATCTTGACACCTCGGCGGACACTAGTCAGCAACATGGTCCTCGAGGAAGCTGGCGTTCTCGGCGAGGTGAACATTTTAGAGTTCCCTCTCCACTTTACTCCACTCGAGCAAGATGTCCTGTCCCTTGAGCTTGACGACTCGTTCAGCGATCTGTACCTACGAAAAGACCCCACGTCAGTCTTCACGTCCGCGAATGCCTTGATGCTGCTTCAGAAGCAGTACGGTCTGTTTCCAAGAATCCTGGGCAAAGGCGACAATGCAAAGCGATTGGCCGATCTACTTCGGCGTATGCGCAGTGAAGAGGACGTCAATGCATCTTCCGATCCCAACGCTTCGTACCTCGCCTCGTTCGGCATGACGCCCAGCTCGTTGATCGAGAATTTGGTCATCGTGGACAGAGAAGTCGACTTCCTTACCGTCCTCTCTACCCAACTTACTTATGAGGGTCTGATTGATGAGAACTTCGGCATCAGCAGCAATCAAGCGGAGGTCGACTCGACTGTATTGAGTGGAACAGCAGCGCCTCAAACGCAAGGTGGTGTAGCACAGTCTGCTACCACCGCAACGAAACGCAAGGTGCAGCTGGACAGCAAGGACAAGATGTACCCGTCTTTGCGCGACGTCAATTTCTCCATCATTGGACCTACGCTCAGTCAGAATGCACAGAGATTGCAGTCAGACCAGGAGAATATGCAGACCAACCAGCAATCTATTGCAGACCTCCGCCAAGTGGTGTCGAGACTGCCCACATATCAAGCGGAGAAGGAAAGCCTGCTGGTCCATACGAATCTCGCAGAAGAGATTCTGAAACTCACGCGGAACGACACCTTCTCCTCAATGCTAGAGGTCCAGCAAAACCTATTAGCCGGTAGCGACGGGAGCAGCCTGCACGATAACATTGAAGAACTGATTGCGCGAGACGCTCCGCTCCAGACGGTTTTGAGACTGTTATGTCTCGAAAGCTGTCTCAGCAACGGCCTTCGACTCCGCGAGCTGGACAGCTTCAAACGCCAGATTCTCAATGCCTATGGCTTCCAACACATGATCACCCTGTCCAATCTGGAAACCATGGGCCTCCTCGTACCCCGAGAAAGTCATCGCGGCTACCTCAACCCCATCTCCGGCTCTGCAGGCCAAACAGCCACCGACTGGAACACCGTGCGAAAGAACCTCATTCTCTGGACCGACGAAGCGAAAGAAGCCGAGCCAGATGACATCGCCTACGTTTTCAGCGGCTATGCTCCACTCAGCATTCGCTTGCTGCAATGCATCTTCCAGAAAGCGCAGTTGTACGGCTTGGCAAACCCAGGGAAGTCAAATGCCGCTCCGACAGGAACAGGCTGGAAGGGCTTCGAAGACACACTGGCGCGGATCCGGGGCGCGACAGTCGATGTGTCGCAGAAGGGCAGTGATGCCGATGCTTCGAATGCGCGGAAAACGCTGAGAGGCAACAAGGAAGGCCCGAAAGTGAACATCGTCTTCTTCCTAGGAGGAGTGACGTATGCGGAGATTGCGGCGGTGAGGTTCGTGAGCAAACAATTGGAGGAGAGTAGTGGCAGGAAATTGGTGATTGCCACTACGGGTATCGTGAATGGGAAGAAGGCTATGGGTGTGGCTACGGAGAAGAAGCGGTTTGGCGAGTGAAATGGGTGTGAACGACTGCTGTGAGTGAAATGACATGACGTTTTGTTTGTGACTTTGACAAATCTCACTGAATGAGGAAGGAGCGCAACGTCACGTGTGCGTGTTGTGTTACACAAACACCGTCATTCAATTTCCGCACTTCTTCATCTCTCTTTCAAATTTTCGTTCTTGGTTCTTACCTGTTCACTTCTCTGAGCTTGAACATCCTCACACCACACCACCTCCAAACTCCAACATGAGTGAGAGAAAGGGCATCGACGGGCGCGAAGTCCCCGGAGCAGAACTGATGCCAACCGCCAACGGCAATTACGGGAAGCGCAAGAAGAAGCGAGGCAGGAGGGGTCGTCGAGGGGCCAACAATGAAGAGGGAGCAGTTCAGAACGGAGACGCTGAGGTGAACGGCCACGATGATGGAGAAGTCAACGACGATGAAGATCTAGCGGAAGATGTCAAGCCTGGCGGTGTCGATCTGCTCACTTCCGAGACGGCCAAACTCACGCTCAACGGTCTCGAGCACGCATCTGAAGCGCCGTCCTCTCCTTCACTGCCGGTCTCAGTCCCAGCCGAAGCTGCAACGACCCTCACAACAAACGGCGCAGCGAGCACCTCAAGCGACCACGAATATGGCTGGGCCGACAACACCGACACAGCAGCAGCACCCAAACCCTCGACCTCAACCTCACAATACCGCAGCGCAACCGAATGGGGCCCCGACCCCTCCACCTCCGACTCAATCGTAGGCGACATCTACCTCCGCACCGCCCCCGACGGAACCCAAACCCCCAACCTACACATCTGCACCAAACACCAAAACGTGGCCAACTGGTTCTACGCCCAAACCACCCAGCCCTATCGCAACCTCAGCGCGCAAACCCGGCAGCTCGCAATCCACCACCTAACGATGCAACGCTACCCCGAACTCACCCTTCCCGGAGCAGTAGTCGACGACAACAAAATCCACAAGCAAGAAGACTGGCCTCGCACGCTGCGCCTCCTCGTCTGGCGCGCCGTCATCCGCGCAAACTTCTTCTGGGTGAATCCCGCCACGAACCGCGCCGCGAAGCCCAAACCCATCGTGCGCCCCACCGGCGCCTACGAAAACCACTTCGAAGCCTTCGTCGAGTGCGCTGCGGACCGCCTCGATCGCATCCGCCGCGATATCCCTGATGCAGAATATGTGGCGGGCGTGGAGACCGAGGTGCGGAATTTTTTGCGCAAGGTGCAGGGGATGGAGGGGGGGAGGTTGTTGGCGCATTTGGCGTTTTTGCTGCTGTTTGAGGAGGAGCAGAGGAAGGGGGCGTTGACGGCGGGGGATATGCAGGAGAGGATTCGACGGGCGTTTGGGGTGGGGTTTTTGGAGGGGGAGGAGGGGGTGGTGTTTATGAAGGGGGAACGCGGGCCGATTAAGAGGGATGGGAGCGTGAGTACTGTTGTGGCGGCGGATGCGATTTGGCGGGAGGCGATGGCGGCGCAGTTGTGAGTTTCAGACGAGCTTCGAGTGATTACGAGGGTGGTGGTCGACAGATCAACGCGGTGGATAGGATGAGAATGCTAGATGAAGTGCTTTTTGACTTGTGCTGATCGCACAATCTTCTATTCAATTCTCGCGCGCATTCATCTGTTCATCAGTCCTCCAAATCCGCGGCGTCCATGTTCCTGACAAAGGTCGTGAACCACTTCACCATGCCGATATGATTGGCCACGCTAACATGCTCATCGACAGTGTGGATGTTGTTCAGATTGCCCGAATCGAATCTGTGTAGCGTTAGCATAGATTCCGTCAAGTCAAAGTCAGGGCACCACAACTTACTCAGGATCATAGCCCGGGCCGAAGCGGAAGATATGCTTCGTCAAATCCCAGTAATACCTCGTGTCCGTATTGCCAGTCGTCATGCCCGGCGAGACGATAATCTCCTCGCCGTATACAGCACGAGTCGAACCAGCCAGGACACGGAAGGGAGTGTTCTTGTCGAGGTTCGTGGGCGTTACGGGCGCAACTTGCAGAGAGCCCGGCGAGGCCCACAGGCTGATGGAGTTGGGTTTCTCCTCCACCCCGTCGAAAGCGTGCAGATCCAAATCGTGCTTCTCCGCAACTTCTTTGGACAGCGCGGTTATGCGCTTCCAAACCGTCTCTGGCTTGTCGCCGATGTTGATGCGGTGGTTGATGGTGACGGACACGCGCTCGGGGAGGGCGTTGGTTTTGACACCGCCGTCGATCACGTCCACGGCCTGAGAAGTTTGCATCAGGTATTGGATGCGTCGGCCTTGCTTTGCCGCTTCAAGTGCCAGGTGGTCGGGCTTGGCCTTGCAGGTTCGCGATTTGTGGCTGCCGAGTAGCTCCTTCAATTTGTCGGGGAAATCGGGGCTGTGCGCGGCGCCGCATTTGAGCTGGCCGTAGTAAGGATTGTCATCGGTGAGGTAGGTTGGGTATTGCTCTGCTTCAATCTTGGTGATGAGCTCCGAAAGCACGCCAATGCTTGTGTGAGCGACGGGGACGGAGGAGTGGCCACCGGGCATGCGAACGGTGATGTGGACGTCCGTGTAGCCCTTCTCGCCCGAACCGACGGGGGCAAACGTAGAGCCCCAGGCTTTCTGGAACTGGGAGCCCTCATCGACCAGTGCCGCCAAGCCGTCCTTGCCGTACCGTTTGAAAAGGAAAGCAGCGAGATTCTTGGCTCCACGCCCTCCACTGATCTCTTCGTCGAAGCCAAAAGATAAGACGATCGTCCTCTTCGGCTCAAACCCGGCTTCCACAAACAGTTCCATGGCCTCCATGATCGCAACGAGCTGGTTCTTGCAGTCGCTTGCGCCTCGGCCCCAGATGAACGTGCCATCGTAGTGTCCACTGAACGGCGGGTGCGTCCAGGCGTCGATGGTAGCATTGGGCACCGGCACGACATCTTGGTGCGCCATCAAGAGCAATGGTTTCAGACTCTTGTCGGAGCCTTCATAGGTGTACAGCAAGCCATGGGTATTCACCACCTCAGGGTTCAGGTGCTTGTGCACCTTGGGAAACGTCTCTTTCAGGTACTTCTGGAAGTCAAACATCACATCCCACCGCGAATCCTCGCCAACGGCTCCCATATCATCGTAGCTCTGCGTGGGGATCTGCACTGCCTTGGAGTGCCGCTCGATGCTCTCCTTCCTGAACTCTTTCGTGGAGAGGTATTCGTACATATCCTCGAGACGTTCATTTTTAGACGAAGGGAAGAGAGGGTCGGGCTGCGCACACTGCGACTTGAAGGAGGCGATGGTCTTTTCATGTTGGTGGCTGCTGTGCAGACCAATGCCCAGGAGGGTGAGTCGGAAGAAGAAGGCAAGGGCTAGGAGAGGGACGAGGCAGTATCGGAGCCATTTGGGCACGCCGGTCTTTCGTGTAGCTTGAGGCACTGGAGCGGGCAGCTCGAAGCCGCCTTTCTCTGAATGCTGCATGTTGAAAGTGAGGGAGGAAGAGGATGAAGGAAAGATAGAGAGAGAGGGAAGAGAAGAGAAGCTCGAACTCCGCAACTTACATAGTGGGAATGGGAATGGGGGGATGTTCGCCGATAACGCAACGCGATTCCCTGTCGGTTGGTGATGTAAGAAATACCACCTTCCGGAATGAGCATTCGATGTGCAAGCCGCCGGAGTTCGGCTTGACTTCCAGTGTAGTCACGTGATATCAATCCTCGTCACCATGCTTTGGCTGTGCTCATTGCCAACAGGATGAGATGCTGAAACCTCGAATGTCACAAAGTCTGGCGTGAGCTTTATGTGAGTATGGCCTTCTAGTTTGAAGTCGATTCGCGCGTGCATTGAGCATCTCATCACATCCACCAGAAGTAAACACCAAGTCCCACTGTCCTGTTCGCCTCGCAGACTCTCATGAATCAATGCAGTCACGCATAACCGTTTGAAACTCCTCGCTTTGAACGCTTCATTGACAGCCCCGTCATGAAAATCTACTACTCCCGCGCGTAGCTGATTTTGCCTCTCTTCGTAGCTTTCCCATCCTCGTCCTCCTCCCGATCATTCGGTCTCTTCTTCTTATTATGCGAGCGAGCCGCACTCCCCGTCCCTGAATCCCGCGTACTCAGCTGCGGCGCAAAAGAGCCCGTAGGCGTAGGCGCATGCGACGTGGGATTGGAATCGGATCCCTCCTGTGCCTGTAAAATCACATCAGCATGTCCCCATCATCCCCGAGAGACCGAGAAAAACACCCACCCGCATCCACCCCACCGAGCTCCGACTAAACACGCGATCATCATCCCTCACCCGTCCCCTCCGTCTATCGTCGACCGGCCCGCGTCCCCCAACCTGCACCCCCTTCACCCACCCATCAAACCCCCGCACAATATTCCCCGAGTTGGACGTCTCTTCCAGATAGCTGCCTTCGTTCTTGAAGATCTGGTCCTCCACTGCCGCCAGCTGCTCGTCGAGCTTGCGTTTCTTCTCCAGGATTTGGCGCAGGTTGGCGCGGAGGGATTCGTAGTAGGGCCGGCCGGGTTGGTCGGCGGTGTTGGTGTTTGTGGTTGTTTGGCCGCCCGGGGGGATGTTTTCGGCCATGGTGCTGATTGTTTAATGGGGTGGAGTGTGCGTAGGAGCAGACATGCAGAGGATGTAAATACCGACAAGTCAAGGGAAACGCGCAGGCACGAGCGTTGCATGGATGACTAAGAGGGTCCGCTGCCTCCGCGGCCGCTTGTCGTTTGGAAGCAGCCACCACGCTCACCTGCTTTATCTCATTTCTACAACGTTCAGATCTAGTCTGTCAATAGTCGAGAGGTACAAGGGGAACGTGTAGTGGTTACGGCCGTAAGATATCCAGGCATGATCATGCTGTATCCTCTCTTGAACTCCATTCCCATACATCACATCTATTCCGTCCTACTCCATTCTCACACTCAACCGTCCCTTCACCCAACATGCATCTCCCCTCCGTCATGCTCGCCCTCCTGGCCCTCTCCGTGGCGCACATTACGGCCGTGGCCGTTCGACGTCGCCCGGTGTGGGGGATAGAATCCGGAAATGCTGACATACGAACATGCCGTGAGGTGGATCATGGGCAAGGCGTTTTCGTTTGCCTTCCTGTCCGTTCCGTGGGCAGAGCGGATTTCAATTCCCTCGAACCGGGTCCGTTCTTCATCGATCTACTTCACCCAAAGCCGGGGAAATCCGAGAGGTGCCATGCAGTAGGGGCATCCAGACGATGGAACGGTCCGGTCTGCGAGTAAAAGACTTCGCCGACGTCTACAGTGCTTCCAGTACTCGCTCTACGTCTCTCCGAGCTGCTTCAAGCTCCGTGTCGGTGCCATCCCGGTGGGCCATTTTGACACTCGCGTGCAAGCCAACCAGATCTTTGGCTCGCTGTAGGTCCGAGTCATCAGGCTGTGGATCGCCATTTGTGAGGTTCGTGCCTGCATGGTATCCATCGGGCCTCGTAGACACCAGCTCCAGGGCGGCATGCGGGTCCTGGTTTGGCAATTAGTAAAGAGTGGAAGACGGAGAGAGCAGTACCGTGGCACTCACACACACTTGGAGTGATGTCAAGTCTGAAAGTACTTCGGCGACTTGCATCTTGACTTGTCTGTGGCTTGATAAGTACAAAGGCAGTATTATAAAGGTGTCAGATGTTAAAGGGATGTTGAACGCACCGAGTCTCCCCCGAGTCTGTTGTGGCGCGTCGCAGTGGCTTTGCAGCGGTGATCTTGATCTGTGGCTGACGTAGCGTGGGTCGTTCCTTCCTGACCTACAACTTCAAATGTTTAGGAAAGAGCGTGGATCGCATGTCATGCAATCTCACTTGCAGCTCACATGATGCCTTGAAACACTTTCCTCCCGCACTTTTCCTTTTCTCTTTTCATTCCTCTCTCGCCTCTCCCCACCTTCACACTCATTCTCCACACTCAAGACAAACCCGAACACGCGAACCGCAAAGATGTCGGCGGCATTGACGACCAACGTCGATCAACGCCTGCTCCGTACGACCAAGTTCCCGCCCGAGTTTAATGTCAAGGTTGACATGCGCAAGGTCAATATCCACCTGATCAAGTCGTGGGCGCAAAGCGAGATTGAGAAGATCCTCAACAACGACGACGATGTGGTGCCCGAGCTGGTGAACAACAAGCTTGAAGAGTCGAGATTCGTGAGTGTGCTTTCATACATGCGTGAGAGATGTCGCTGACGCCTGACTACCTAGCCCAACATCAAAGAACTGCAGATCCAGCTCACCGGCTTCCTCGACAAAGACGCCCCCTCCTTCTGTCTCAGCCTCTGGAAGCTCTGTATCAGTGGGCAAGACAACCCCCAAGGCATCCCGAAAGAGTTGATTGAAGCAAAGAAGGCCGAGCTCACTCAAGAGAAGGTGGGCTAAATGGCAACACCCCGCTGCTCACTCACTTCTGTATACTGACTTCACGTCCAGGCCGAGAAAGAGAAGGCACGTGAGGAAGCAATCAAACGTCAAGAAGCCGAGCTCGAGAGAGAGCGCGAGATGGACCGCATCAGAGATCGTGAACGCAGCGAGCGTGGACGAGGCAGAGGTGGACGTGGCGGTCGCGATTCGAACCGTCGCCCCCTCCGTCGTTCCCCTTCCAGATCCAGGTCACCACCAAGACGCCGCCGTGACGATGACGACTTCCGCAGACCTCCCCCCCGAGTCGACTCCTACGTGCCCTCGAACGGCAGACGTCGCCGCTCTCCATCCACCGACCGGGATGGCCACCGCTCGCGCTCCCCACCCGCGAGACGTAGCCGCCGAGACGCCTCGTCCTCCCGCTCCCCGCCGCCTCGCAAGAGGAGAAACACCAGCAGCGGCGGCTCATCCTCGAGACCGTCCAGCAGGCGTCTCCGCTCTCGCTCGCCTGCCCGCAGAGGGCACTCTCCGCCACCGCGACGGTACCGCCGTCGCTCCTCGACACGAAGCCGCTCGCCCCGCCCAAAGCGAAGCCGCAGAGACTCGCCAAGCCCTCGCCGCCGGGCCAGCACCTCCTCTTCCGCCTCCCCCGCCGCCAATCGCAAGGTTGGCGCTTCCCTCGCCGCCGACGACCTGATGGCGAGCGATCGCCGTCGGGGAGATCGCGCCGAGCAGCTGCGGCTCAGCCGCGACACGAGCGAGGGTGACGTGGAGGTAAGAAGCGACTAACTGCATCGATTTCCTTTATACTGTTCATTAGCTACGCTGCCATAGCGCTAAATAGCCTCTCACGATGGCAATACTGTATACTCGAGACCACACCATATGGTCGTCTACCTTTCCTTTCTGTATACCTGTTGTCAAACCAGCCTGGGCAAGCAAAACAACACGTCGCATACCTTTCTTATCCTCTGCAGAGGCAAACCTGTCGTTAGACAGCCCACCCCCGGACAGAAACTAATCCACCCCCAGTCATACGCCTTCAAAGGCGCGGCTCAGCGCGCCGCTCTCGCTCGCGCGCAGGCCCAAGTTGCCGCCCCATTGGCCGTCCCCAAGGGGCCAAGCCAGGCGAGCACCCTGCGCGAGAAGCTGCTCAAAGCGCAGCTGATGAAGAAGCTGGCGCCCTTCCGCGAGGAGGCGGTGCGGAAGAACAGGGAGGCGGAGGAGGCGGGTGCTGGCGCTGCTGGCGGGCGGGCTGGCGAGTCTCTGGGGTAAGTGAGCGTTGCTTTTTTTGCTTTTTTGCGTTTTTGCACTGCATGGCGGGTGGGAGGGGGTTTGGGATGGGGCGGATGGGCAGGAGATAGATTGGGAATGGGAGGGTGTTTGCTGGCGTGTGTTTGTTCTTTTCCCTTCTCGTGTCACTTTGTCTGTCACTGGTCGTGTGCACCTGTTAAATGTTTGCCTTCGTGTGATTGCTGTACGTCGCCCCAGCTGATCATTGTAGAATTTGATCACGCGCGGTAGACCGTCTCGCCCGTCTAGCCATACCTCCCAGCACGTTACAAGGATGAAGCTCATGGAAGCAAGTGAAAAGGAGTGCATTGCCCATCAACCAACCCAGAGATGCGTCTATTAGGCCGTCCATGAATCTATCAATAATCCTCACTTCGCTCCTCAAACGCCAAATTACTCTGCACGCGCTCATGCCCCTGCTTCCTCTGCCCACCACCCCAACCGCCACTCCCCAGCCCCGAAGGCGAGCCGAACGAAGGCGGTGCCTGCAAACTCACAGCCGACCACGTCGGCGCTCTCTGTCGCCGCTGCTGCTCAAAGTCCACCCACCGCTTCATCGTAATCTGACTGGAGTCGAACTCCCCATCCCCACCATGTCCATCTTTCTCCGCTCCCTTCATCTCCCCGGCCGCCTGCCGTGTGTCGCCCCAGCTAAAATCGTCAAAGTGCCAGAAGGCGTAGCTCGGCAAGACGAGATTCCAGATCGGCAGGGAAAGCAGGTAGACCAGCATCCACAGGAGGTAGCTCCAGCGGTGCGCGGTAACGACAATCAGCACGCCCGGCGAGCCCAAGATGAGCGCCAGGAGCACGAGCGGGATGACGGGCGCGGCAGTGTGCGTGATGGCGGCCTTGATGCCCAGCGCGCAAATGTAGACGGTGAAGCACAGGGCGGCGGGCAGCACGATGCAGCCCACGAGATCGATGAAGACGACGAATTGCATGGAGAAGCAGAAGGTGCCGCATAGGTCGCGCACGAGCACGAGTTCCATTAGGTTGTGCACTGTGCTGTTGATCCAGCGGCGCCGCTGGCTGAGGAGGATTTTGAACCCGTCGGGCACGGTGGTTTTGCACACCGCTTGCGGCACGAAGACTTGTTTGCGCTTCGGGAAGGTGCGCAGCATCAGGGAGGAGAGGTAGCGGTCTTCGCCGAGCAGCAGCAGGTTCTTCTTGTGCAGCGTCTCCACCACGTTTTCGGAGTAGTGCTCGACGATGTCTGGGTTGGCGAGGATTGGCACCCAGTAGTTCTGCGCGCCTTTCGGCGCCTTCACGCGGTACATGCAGAAGCAGCCGGGGAGGCAGGTGACACCGCCGAAGCAGCTTTCGAAGCTCTTCGCCAGGTGGTGTGAGATGAAGTACTCGAACACCTGGATCATCGTCACCCACGACGCCGTCTTGTTGGCGATCTTCGTCTCGCCGCACAGGCCCATGATCTCCGGGTCTTTGACCATCGTCGACACCATGTGCGTCATGCTGTCCGGGAAGACCTTTGTATCCGCATCGACCATCAGTACGATTTCGTAGAAGTCGGGCGCGATGCCCGTGATTTTCCAAATGCCGTTGAACATCTCGTATTCCAGCTCCGTCATGCGCTCGTCGAACATGACTTTTTGCAGGAAGGACATGAGCACGATCTGGCTGTCTCGCTTGCCTCGATTGCCTGGTTTGGAAGCCGTGGCTTCGGCTGGCGTGCCGGTCTTGACGACGATGATCATGGGCACTTTCTGCTGCTTTTCGAGAGGGATGATGGAGTCGGGGCCGTAGTCGTAGAAGCCGGCGTAGATCTTGGCCATGTTATGTCGCTTGCTTCCCGAGGCCACGGCGACGTAGCTGAAGGCCTGCACCTCGTCGGGTAGGACGGTGTGGTCTTTCATCATGCTCAGACATGCATCTGGTGTGCTCATACTCTCTCCCTTGCCCTTGATCAGACCGTCGCAGACGACAAAGAGGAGTTTGTGACTGTTGGGATAGTCGGTCATTGCGATCGAGTCCAATGTGGTGCGAATGCCCGCTGGTCCTTCTGAGTAAGCTGTCACGAAGCAGATGGCATGAGCCAAGGGGAAGCCAAAAGGTTGCCATTCCGCAGGCGGCTGCGGTACTACAGCTTCGTGGATGAAGCCTTGCGGCCCAGCTGTATCGGCATCGGTGTTGAGTACGCTGCTGTAGCCCGGAGAACCCGAACTGTCTGGGATGCTGCTGACCGTCCACGACCCTTTACGAGGCGAGTCATTGAACCTTGGCGGTGTCAGTTCAGACATACCACTGCCATATGCTGATCCTGGAGCAGTAGATCCGGCTGCCGCTCGGTTATGTTGGCTGGACATGGTTGTCATTGGCGGCTGTGACTTGATCAGGGAGCGCTCGATGGCGTAAGGACTCGTGAATCTGCTCGTCGCGGGTAAGAAGCTCGTTCGTCTGCGTCCACTTCGTGAGCCATCCATCGCGACCGGATCGGTCATCTTTGGCGGCGGGCGATAGATGTCGTCAGTCCAATCTTCAATCTCTTGATTCCGCTTTTTGGTGTCGGCGGTCATGCTCGTCTTGTCCGCGGCGTACTTCCGACAGAAGAACCATTGATACAACACCGCCAGGACGAATTTGGTGACGACGATGGAGAGGATGAAGATTAGGGAGATGTACAGCACGACCTTGGAGGCGATGCACCCCACTGTAGCAGTGTCGATCGAACCGACTTTGATGATGTCCTGGAAGCATTGTGCCATTTGCTTCTTCTCGCCAGTCGAAAAGGCAAGAGTAACATCAGTTCCGTGGACGGCAGGATTGTTCCTGATCTCATCGAATGCGACGGGGTAGGCAACTTCTGACCGGTTGAACCAGGCCAGCAGATCCAAGTCGAGCACGTCTCCATTGTAGACCATCAAGTTGCGACTTTTGTTCCGGACATCGTCCCAGGTAAAGTAGACGTCGCCGGAAGACTTCAAGCCATAGAACTCCTCGCGCGCCCCATTCGCAGTATGACACGCATAGCCGAGATAGTAGGGAATGGTCAAGTTTGGACTCGACGATCCATCTTGATTGTAGCAGTTGCACGGGAAATACCATGCCAGATCCTGTTCGCTGTTGGTCGGCACGTCGGAGTTTGGTGCAGGCGTAATGAGTCCTTTGCAGGCGCCGTTGACGTTCTGGAAGAGGAAACTGCAATCCTGGCCGCCGTGTGGCGTGGCGAGATCGTAAAGCACATTGGCTCCCGCGGGAATGCCGAGAGCAGCAGGATGATGTGAAGTGGCGAGATTGTAAGCCACGCCGTGGAAAATCATGTAGCCGGTGTCCACATGATTGATTTGTAGTCGCTCCGGACCACCACTTGGGCACGTCGCTTCAGTGAAGCCAAAGGTGAGGAAGCCGACGAAGAGCATGAAGAAGCCGATGACACTCAACAGGCCCATCTTTTCTCGCCACGCTCTGCGTTGCGCTCTTTGTTTCTTGCCCATGCAGCTGAGGATGGCATCAGGGCACCAGAAGGTGACGAGGTGGCAGTATGTGCCCCAGAGAGTCGGGTGTCCGGCAGCCTCGCGTATCCTCTCACGCTGCTTCTCTGTAATGTTTTCCTCCGTGGTCTTGCGCGCCAGCTTATTCGGTTGTCGTGTACTACCCGATGGCCCCAAAGGTGCGGTGTCCTTCTCGTTTAGAGCAGGAGTAGGGGCGAATGGATCGTCGTCGAGAGTTGCTTCTTCCGCCATATCCTCCATGTGCGGATGGATCCCTGTTGTAGATGGCATGACATCCATGTTCTGCGCATGCTTGCGGTAGTGATAGTCAGGGTCATCTGAGTTGCGCTGCCGCCTTTCCGGCCGCACCAGACTCTTCTTCCGCACAAGACCTCCATCGCCACGAGTCGCTGGGTCGAGCATGGGCTGCCGGGGCGAAAAGTGTTTGGGAGGCGATGGACTCGGTTCGACGTAAACCCTTGGTTCTTTCCTCGTGGGTGTGCTGGGTGGTTGGTAATCTCTTTGCTGGGACCGCGGCTGGTATGGGCTCATATTGGAATAATCCTGCGTGCTCTCATGGCGAGCATGCCGTCTCCCGCCAGATGGAGGAGGGTATTCGATCTCGGTGTTTGAGAGCCGGCGAGGTCGATATGCATAAGGGCTGGATGGTCGTGGGGAGGGAGCGACTCTTCTGGGACTATCATGAGGTTGCCTGGATCTTCGAGGAGGCGTCGGAGCCGGTCTGGAGGGAGTATAAGACATTGTTCCGGATGCTGGCCAGCGGCAAGCAGTCAGTCGAGGAGGTACTGTTGGGCTGGGCGATGGGCCACCTTGAAATGGATTGCAAGGTGGTCAAGATGGGATTGACATGTCCGCAAGAGTTGTTTGGTCAGTCTAATGGGCGTCCTGTAACGTGGTGTAGGCTGATCGACGGTGGGATGCTGGTTTGTTTATTCGACCAAACAATCACGAGCTTGCGGATTCACGCGGTGGACTGCGATGAAGATCGGTGTAGAGCGGCAAGAAGCTCGAACAAGATACCGAGAAACGAGTGACAATTGCAAGTGTGTGCTTCTGACACTCCCACGGGCTGCGAGTGGACATATCCGAATCGACATTGGCGGGTTGTTAGTGCGGCGGTTGCTGTGGAGAGAAGCGCGGGAAGCGTCAGCCACAGCCAAATCTCGGTTAGACTGAGAAGAACGTTGGAAGCCGTTGACGCCACCCGCCGCTCCACTCGCGAGCTTAAATCTATTCTGACACTTTCACACCTTGACTTTACACCTCTCGAACGCTTTCTGAAGAGAGCACCCCTCTTGGTATCTCCGTTTCTGTATCCTCCTCAGACCGCCATGACTTCAGGTTCCAGCTGAAGGAGTTACGGTACCGGCTTGGACCCCGCGGGCCGGCCAACGTTGTGCGGCTGCTCAGCCTCACCAGATGCTCGGTCTCGTTCCGTGTCTACGACATTCGCTTCACGTGGCAGCCGCACAGATCTGCGTCTACTCCCTGTGATGATTCCTCACGACCACCGGAAATGTCGGACGCCCAACCACATCCTCTGTTGGTCATGCTGTGCTGGAGATGAGTGGTGATCCGCACGCGCCCGGCTGTCCCGAAGCATGGAATCCGCATTCCTACAACGTGACAATCACAGAAGGCAGAAGGCCGGGAGTCCCGGACTATACTGCACATTGCACTGCGGATCTTCGACTGTTATGGAGTGCATCCGCAGTGCAATCGTACTGCATCAGTAATAGACATCTTACCTGCGTGGAATTGGTTTGTGAGACGGCCTTCCCGATGTCGATCCCTGCAGCCCTACGCCGCCAAAGCCGCTTTCGGCGGTCGATTGTGGCTGCGCTTTGGCGTCACCTGGCTTACTGCAACCTCAGCTCCCCACGCACGCACGTGTCGTGATGCAATTTGGCAACATGACATTGTCCAAAGCGTGAGGGACATGTTCGCCCATCAATCCACCGCTCATTGCGGCTCGGCACCTCTGTCTCCGCCCGCGCCAATGAACGAATGGCATGGCAGCCCTTTTGGATACACTGGCGGACCGCAGCCAGGGAGAGTGTATGCAGCCGCACAATAAGTTTGCGCTACACCATGCCCTGCAGCTGCCGCTGTCCTATCGCATCCCAGAGCCGCTCATTCCTTCACTTCTCCATACGCTACACTTCTCAGCTAAAGCGGGAGCAGGACGGACCCGCAATCTGCGGCCAGATATGCGGCCAGGCCGACTCCTACGTCGGATGCGGTGTGGCCGGGGCTGTAATGAGTCGGGTTTCAACAACCACTTTCCTGCAGAGCCATTGTAGGGCTGGCGGGCGGTGTTCATCACCATAAGATGTCCGCGTCCATCATGTAAGTCCTTTTGCTTCAAACCACTCTCGTTCACTATCTGAAGAGAAAATCCAAATCATGGAGTCACTGCCCTGAATCGCGGTCGACGTTCTTCAATTGCGTGAACATGCCAGTCCCCTCCGTTGTGGCATCCAATCGTTGCTATGCCCTCCTATGCTCCACTGCACCTCTACTTCCCCGCTCCCTCGTCAAGCTTCAGCCATGGCGTCTTCACGTCCAATCGCATCCAAGCCGCGTGAGGGCGATGACAATCACAGCTTGACTCGAGGGCGCCTCGGGTCATCGTCTTCGCAGGCATCCTCCCGCGCGAGCAAGACAAGCACACGTGATCGATCACGACAATCTCAGGCATCTTCACGCGGGCGCAAGCCTTACGAGCTCTCGGAAGAGGTCGACCGCTCGCTGGTCAACATCATTGGCAGTACGGACGTCAGCTTCGACACTCTTGCGCAGGCCTTCGAAGATGCTGGAGGCCCGAGGTGAGTCTTGAGTCTCTCTTGTTTCTGGCTCCCCTCCCGCTGATAGAGATTTTGCAGGAAACTATGGCTACGCCGGCGCTTCGAACAGATTGCTGGGACTAAATGCTTTGGCTTCCTACGGCTGCGCAACGAACGATCAACTGCCGAAGATCGAAGACAGCGGCAGTTCATGGCCAAAGAGATGGCGGAGAAGTTGCGTTATGACTCCGGGAGTCACGTATGTGAACTCAACGGCTCAGAGTCCGATCTTCCGCGAGTTCCTTCCATGGGTAATGCGAGTCCGGGGACATCACGAAGACGACCAGGTCACCTCGGAGGAATGGAGAGCGATACATCACTGTTCCAAACTCGTGACAATATCCAACATTTGACCTCGATTCCGACGAGTCCCACGAGGAGGAAGGCCTCCGAAGGAAGAAAAGACAGTGCGTCCACGGACTACGTAACCAGAGGTAACCGTGCAAGAGCTCTCAGCATATCATCCATCACACGCCATCTGGAACAGCTCACCGGCAACACCGGGCTCTATGAACACATCAGACGCAACTCCATCAACAGTCACCTGTCACCTCTGTTTCGCTCAGTCAGATGGTCCAGGGGGTCCAAGACCACGTCTGGACGGATATCCAATGCGTTTGATCAGGCCTCTCCCATCGATATCAGCCAAGTCATGTATGTTCGAGATCCGGATTTTGAGGAGTACTACCACCAGCCGACAACAGAGCGCATCGAACGTGCAGACATGTTCGGCGCCTCGGCCGTCGCCATTCTGATGTCAGCAAAAGCTTCGTCACAGTCGGATGAAAGGGCGCAGAGGCGGCTAGAGAGTACGTTGCCTGGCGATGGCGAAGCGCGCAAAAGCTATCTAGACCAAGCAGACGAAAATGGCGTCACGGCTTTACACCTCGCAGTAGCATACGGCTGGCCCCAAGTCTGCGTGCTCCTCATGCAAAACAAGATCAACCACCGAGCAGTGACGAGGCGGAAGAGCAGCGTGTGTCAATTTGCGAAGCCGGCGCAGGAGCTGGCTGGCGCCGACATCTCTCTCTACAATCGCATCCTGCACGCCAGACAATGGGTTTGCGCAGGCCTGCCACCCCGACTAGCCACGGACGCTGAGGTGCAGACTTCTCGTCTCAGTGCCAACGACCTCGGGCCTCGAATGTCGAAACGAAGGAAGACAAACGAGACCATCTCCGTTCTATATACCGTGGATGAAGCGGGCTTGGACGAAGCAATGAGTGACGATGCGAATGAAGCGCTGACTGCTACTGCGCCGAACACTACGAACAATTTGCCGCCTCTCGTCACACACTGGGACCTCAATAGCAACAATGCAGCAGGGCCTTCCGACACCCGCTACTCAACTCCATTGGGAATATTCTATGACTCTGAAGGATCGCTGGATCCCAGCTTCTGGCAGAATTGTCCTCACGACCACCCAAATATCGCTACAATGCTGACTCCTGACTCTGTTCCGAGAAGCGCAGTCTCTTGGTCTGGCGAGACCATTTCGCCGGTGTCGCAGACGCAGCCGCCACTTTTTCCGTCGATACCAATGGCGGCGAATGATCAAAGATTCGCTGACCAGTCCCAGTGCTACCCGTTCAGCTCTGCTGGTGACTTTACTACTGTCACGAGCGATGCCTCCACGCTGAACGTTCCTTCATCGTTCTGGCCTGCAACAGACTCGTCGATGATGGATTTCTCGCCAACAACCACGAACCTTGGCCAATCACTGCACACGATTGAAAGCCTTAACGAAAGCAACAAGCAGCATATCAACCAAGTATTCCCCACAGCGAACGACAACATTACGAGCAACTACCCATCTGCTACCCAATATTTCGCACCTCAACACTCCAACCTGGCCCCGACAAGCATGCACCACTACACCTCCCAACCACTCTACCTCACCCCACCCGACGAACCCGGCGGCTGGCCTGCGCAACTCCAAAGCTACCATGGCTGGACGGAGGCAGAAGTGTACCAAGCTACGGCGCGGGCGCTCGCTGCGCAGCAGGAGCATTCGGGGGCTGCTTTTCCTTCGCAATGGGGAGGCGAAGGTGAATCTCAAGGTATGGGGTAAGTCTTTTAGAATCTTGCCATGATACAAATCATCATTGCGACTTTGAGCTAATGGCCAATAGAAACGGATTCTACTACGAAGACGATGCGATGAATGGATTGAGACGACGACGATGATGGCTTCAGCGATGGAGACAGATGACATTTAGTGACGAGTATACGTGCATGCATTCAAGACTTTCACACGACGAGCATATTTCGATATTCACAGAACACGATCGCATATTCATTCTTAAAATATCCAAACGCCGGCCACAGTCCGCAAAGACGTACCATCATCAGTCAGCCTCGCCCCGCTTCCAAAAGCCGCGCCACAGTGGAGTTCCCCCAAGGCTGTCAAAGCGCGCAACTCCCGCGCCGGTAGCGAACCTCCCTTGCATAAACGGCATGGCATGTCTGCGCCACACTTTCTATTTACTCCATCACGACGACCGCCGGGCCCAGCCAAGGAGCCAGGAATGCCAATCCGGACTTTGCGTTTGTTTTGGATAGCAACGCACCAGATGATGGCTCTGGATGACGGCGGCATGTCTGCGAGGCAGGTACTGGGCGAAATGCTCCGGGTTGATGAGGGGGTTTGCGGATGATGCCTTTCTTTGCTGCTGTGTGTTCTGATACATCTACTTCGTCTTCTTCCTGCTGCTGTTGTCAAGATACTGGTTACGGGATCTTCTATGGTTTCGATGTGTTTGTGACCGCTTATGTTCACTTGCTCCTACATTACGCTGTCCATCCGCGGTATGCCGACTCTTGAACAGGGCTTGCAAATACCTTGATCTACGAAAACCCGAAAACTCCTCCACGCATGCTCAACGTCTACGAGTCTATCGACCCATAATGGCAAAGCGGGAGTCCCTCTCAATCATCCCGCCTGCTGCTCCGACCTCGACCTCATCCGAACCAGAGAAGCCGGAGCAAGCACGACAGAAACACTTGCACGCAAACGATGCCTGGCCTCTGCCAGATAGCGCCGTTGAGATACCTCCACAATCGCTGAGACAAGTCGTGAAGAGAAAGCCGGTTCCTTCTCTATCTCCAGAGAGGACTGGTCGAAGAAAGGTCGGACGTTTATCTGAGGTTGACAACGGAAGTCATGAGGAGGGCCATCGGCTTTCTCTCACGTCGCAGAGTGCCAACTCTCGTACCGACTCTGTGATTGCTGGAGGCAATGAGAAACCGCAAAAGACGACTACGGGGGCCAAGCATGTGTCTGCAGAGTCTGTGCGAGCAAGCACTGATGCTCAAGAGCAGGCTTCGGAATGCTCTCAATCCGAAAGTCTACAATATCATGCGTTCGAGGACGAGCGGAGGTCTCAGACGAGCCGACTTTCCCTCCCACCAACGGACTCCCGGCAATCCAGTCCCTCCCGCGGCCTTCGACCTGCATCGTCACAGCCCAATCTGCCCCGTAGTTTGGCCAGATCTCGACCATTTTCCAGCTACTCCAATCTACGAGGCCGAAGTCTCACACCGTTCGGTACATACGGCTCGGAACTTGGCTCCCAAGCACCTGGGAGTCGTGCTGTTTCGAGCACGCAACGCTCTTCGAGTCGTCCGAGAAGCTACGTCGGCGAGCTGAACAATGTACCCTACCATCAGCAAATCGCTCCGAGCGGCTCACTCCTCCACCAGAAAAAGTCCTTGTCGAACATCGTCGGCAGCGGCGCCAGTCTACTCGACACGAAGAAAACGATCAACATGTACCGCGCCAACATCAAGAAAGACACAGAGGCATCAGTGCAATACGAATTCGCCATCCTAATGGTCAACACCGCACGGGACGCCAACGCCGAACCCGACACCGACCTCAACCCCTCAGAACTCATCAACGAAGCAAAACACATCATCCAACGCCTCGCCGACCGCGGCTACCCCTTTGCTCAATACTACCTCGCCGACGGCCTCTCCTCCGGCCTCTTCAACAAATCCCCCACCCCAGACCACGACAAAGCCTTCCCGCACTTCCTCGCCGCGTCGAAACACGGGCACGCCGAAGCCGCGTACCGCGCAGCCCTGTGCTACGAATTCGGCTGGGGGACCGCAAAATCGCACTCAAAAGCCTACCAATTCCACCGCTCCGCCGCTTCAAAAGGCCACCCAGGCGCCGCCACGCGTCTCGGCCTCGCCTGCATCCACGGCAACATGGGCCTCGGCCGCGACCGCTACCGCGAGGGAATTAAGTGGCTCAAACGCGCAGCCGAAAGCGCAGACACCCAGTACAACTCCGCCCCATTCGAGCTCGGGCTCCTCCACCTCACGGGCGCAGGCGACGACGTGTTCAAAGACGAGGCCTACGCCGCGCAGCTCTTCACGCAGGCTGCGGAGCTGGGCCACGCGCAGGCGGGCTTCCTCATGGGCCAGGCGTACGAGACGAGGCTGTACGGGTGTCCGCGCGATGTGGCGTTGAGTGTGCACTTTTACTCCGGGGCGGCGAGCAAGGGGCATGCGGAGGCGATGATGGCGCTTTGTGCGTGGTTTTTGGTCGGGGCGGAGCCGGTGGTGGAGAAGGATGAGGGAGAGGCGTTTGCGTGGGCGCTGCGCGCGGCGGAGAGTGGCAAGTCCATTCTACTTCTTTGTTCTTCCCGGTTAGAATGCTGATTGTTGTGCAGGGCTTCTCAAAGCAGAGTATGCCGTGGCTTATTTTGCTGAAATGGGCATTGGATGCCGTCGTGATCCCCTCGAGGCGAACGTGTGGTATGTTCGTGCTGCGGAGCATGGGGATGAGCGGGCCAAGCAGCGCTTGCAGATCCTGCGCGCCGCTGCGACAGGGAGCTCTGCCGCATCGGTCGGATCGAAGGAGGGCAAGAGGAAGAAATTCATGGGTTTGTTCTGAGTCGTGGAAGAAAGCAACGCGGGTTTGGTTGTTTTGGCATGGCGCGATGGAGTACGATTCGTTATTCGTTGCGAAAGCCTCATGAACTGGTTATACAAGAAGAGAACAGAAAGCGCTGAAGATCTAGAGGCCGTTAGTTAGAGCATCACATCGTTGCAAAACAAAGAGGCATGTCGTCGTGAAGCCCTGCTCCACCCTCGCACATGGTTATTTTCCCCTCGCAAAGACTCCCACCGCCGCTCGAATGTAAGCAAGCCGCCCACGGTTCTATCAGCATTGGCAACAGCAATCTCCCTCCCACCATCAAGAACACAAACTCCCGCAATCGAGCCGAAGAATCGAAGGTGCTGCCGTCGTGCATCGTCATCGCTCCCCCTCGCATCGTAGATACTGACCACATCCTCGCTCTCTGCGATAACGAGCGCATCATCGTCCGTGAAATGCAAGGACCGCGCACAAGACATGAGTGTGTCGAGAGTGCGCAAAGGTCGACTCCAATTCCGTGCATCCCACAAGATGACTTTCTCGTCCTGCGCTCCTGTCGCGACGAGCGTGCCGGAAGACGACCACGCGGCTGCGAACCCGTGGCCGCTGTGTCCTTCGAGCTGCGTTGTGATTTCGCCCGTTTCGGCGTTGGTGATGTAGGCGTTGTTCGAGTCGCCTACGAGGAGTCTCAGGCGGCCGTCGGGTGATATGGCCGAGCAGTTGACGGCGTGGGCGTAGCTGAAGGTGTGGGTGAAGGTAGTGGTTTTGACGTCCATGAGGCGGAGTTTGTGGTCGTTGGAGGAGAAGGCGGCGCGTAGGAGGCCGGAGCGGCGCTCCGGGTAGGTGTCGATGTGGGTGACGATGCCGTTGGGGTGGTGGCTTACGAAGCCTGTGGTTGGCGATGAAAGGGAATGAGGTTGCGAGGTAAGGTCCAGCAAGGCGAATTCGCCTGAGAAGCCGCCCGCAAGCAGGACCTTGTCACTGCGATATGCGCTTTGCGAGGAGGTCTCTGATGGTGTGGAGAGACACATCACTCGCATGGAGGCAGCACTGGCTAACGTAGTGCTGGACAAATCCATTGCGATGGTGCGGACGTCCGGACATGCGAGGGACGTGGCCATGACTTTGCTTCCCGCTGCGTAGAAGACTTGACTTCGGTTGGAAGCGGCCAAAAGGTTTCGCAGCTGAAAGTGGCTTGAATGTGCACGGTGGCCGGAATGAAAGGATCTGAAATGATATCTGCTCTCGCCATCTGGACTGCTGGCGAGCGCCGTTCCGGACGTACTCCAATTCTGCATTCTTGATGGGTGCAATATCCGTCTGGCCTTGAGGGCATCCTCCCTGGGCGGGCCGAGTTGGTTCCATTTCAAGCCTTGCCAGTCCAATGATCTCTCGGCCAGATGTCTGCGCATGATCCGTTGTGAAGCTCGGCCGAGCATTGCCGATGGCATTTGCGACCCAGGCTCGAACTTCGGGACCGGTGCGTCGGTCAAATATTGTAAGCGCCAGTTGTCCATGAACTCGGCAAAGTCGTAGCTGTGTCGGGGATGATCGACGGATAGAGCATCCTCGGCGATGGCCTGGTCGACAGGCAATTGGAATGATCCGTCAGGCGAAAGATACGGGTGCGTCAGATAGAATAGTTCTGAGTTCCTCTCATGGGACGCAAGAATCGCAGATTCGAAAGATGCATTTGCGTTTCGGAAGATGGCGTCCGCTGTTGGCCCATCCAACATCGGGGTAGATGTTAATGGGGTATGCCAGGCTTCGTCAGTCAGCCACGGTGAATCGCTGAAGGCTTCATCATTCAACCATGGTGGATAGTAGAATGGCGTTTCAACGCGCTGATGTGTCTGCGACACGATCCGCGCACTGGGTGGATGTGCGGCCCATGAGACACTGCCAAATTGCTCACGCTCAGGTTCATGGTCGATTCGCGGGCCAGGATATGTTGACGCCTGAGTGTCAAAGTTGGGGGCAAGGTCGATGAGGGAAGGATAGGCAGGGAAGAGCGAAAGAAGACTGCTCGGACAGAAAGTCGGCTCATCAAACCGAGCCACTCGAGCCTGAGGCAGTCGAACGTCCATGGGAGCCGGTTGAGCTCTCTTCCTGCCTTTGTTCAACGTGTTCCGAATGGACGATGAGCACCTGTCCAGTCTTCGTTTTTGAGGCGAGGCGAGACGAGGCATGTTATCCTTCCCATGGGCGTTCAGTACTTCGGGAGGCGTCGGAATGCCGTTGGTTACGCGCAACAGCAAGCTGACTGGTCTTTGACAGCCAGGAATTATCAGGTTGGAGGATGACGAGATGCTTCGCATTCAAATGGCCCAGAGGAGTTGATAATATGATGCCCCCTTGCCACCGGCGGGGTAGTCGCACATATGAAGAGTGTAGTTCTCGTGAGCTCCACAGTGGGGGATACAGCGCAGCAGATGCGTCGTACCGGGTAAATGAGTGCTTTTGTCACGGACTGGGGGTCGGAGAATGACTGGGGCGGGTCTTGATTGTTCCGGCATGCCGGTATAATGAGGATAACAAAGAAAAACAGGGCCTTGCCTTACCTTTTGTCGTGGATGTCATCGATCATGCGCTTCACCGCTACTTCGACCACCCACAGGGTACCGATGCGCAAGTCAAATCAGGAGGATGCAGCGTGGGCCCGCACGATCAAGCCACGCGAGCGCAGTCGCACTGGGACAAAGAGCAGCGAGACGAGTGACGCCGCCCACATGGTACAGCAGCAGATCCTCGCTGCCCTTCCCGCATTCGGGCGGGCGTGCAGCTGGACATGCAGCCCTCCACACTACCTGTCGCTTTTTTCGCGGCCAGCCGGCAGGCCATGCGCGTCCTGCCGTGCTCAACGCGACGAGTAGCACTTTCGACGCGTAGCTGCCTGAGCTGTCACCGGGAATCGGCATCTATCACTTTCATCCATGGCCTGCTTGACGTGTCGACCAGGATGTCGAGTGGGGTGGAGTGCAAGGACGAAGTTTTTGCGTCGCAGAGGCCTGGGGTGCAATCCTCGCCATCTGACAGCACCGTGTCGCTGACGAATGTAGGGCAGGTGATTCTACTCAACCTCCAGCACCCACCAAGGATGTTTGACGGATGAGAGTGCCGGCCGTTGATGAGAGTCGTGAGATGAGTGCTGCGCCTAAGGATTTGATTAAACAACTCGAGCAATTACCCGATTCGGCGGCGCGTAAGGGCAGCGTCCGCGGCCCCATCCGCGTTGCACTTTCCCCAGATTGATGCAACGCTATGCGCAAGTTACACGTCGGCCTCATCATCAGCAATCGCCGACATTTTTTGGGCATCGCAAATATACACCCGCGCCCGCCAACAACATGAATGCGAGGCAGGCTGATACTCCGCCAAAGACCTGCCTTCCCCGATCATGCGCCTGCAGCATGTCCTCACACAGCAGCTCCGCCGACTCTTGCGCCGCTACGCTCTCCTGCGCCGTGCCTCCCTTGCGACCTTGCTGCTCACAATCACATGGCTGGCGGTGATTTACTGGGGCGAGCGGTCGGTGTACGCCCACCACATTGACGCCTGTCACTGGGAAGAGTGGGAAAAGTGGCCGCAAGGGGCGCAGCCGCACCATCTCGTCCTCGTCGCCGATCCCCAGCTCGTCGACCCTCACACCTATCCCGGCCGACCATGGCCGCTCGACACCCTGACCGAGAAGTACACCGACCTGTACATGTCGCGCAACTTTCGCTTGATCAATTCAAACCTCGACCCCGACTCTGTCGTCTTTCTCGGGGATCTCTTCGACGGTGGACGGGAATGGGCCCCAGAGACACCGAAAGAGCTTACGTTCAATCAGAAGCAGACGTTGATTGACTGGCACATACTACCGGAGGAGAAGCGTCCAGCGCAAGCGGTGGCGAAAAGAGATGTGGACAGCTACAAAGCCGCTGAATCTCGGCCTCATTCGCATGAAGCCGCGCCTGGTGCCTCCAACAATGACGGCTCTTTGCGGGAATTTGTGCCCGGCGAGAATGGCAGATGGAAGAAGTGGACGCAGAAGCAGTGGTTGGCGGATTTGGCTCGATTCAGCAAGATCTTCCTCGATCAAGACCAATTGTACCCACAAGAAAATCGCGAGCTATTCGCACTCTACGACGTCCCCCCCGATGCTGCTGGCGTGCAGAATGGCGCTCCCCCAACCGGCCGGCAAGAGTATGCCACTTCAGGAGGCAGACGGCGACGGATAATCACAAGCTTGCCAGGCAACCATGATCTTGGCTTCGGCCCGGGTGTTCAACTTCCCATCCGTGATCGCTTCCAGAGTCACTTCGGCGAGGGTAATCGCCTCGATATTATCGGCAACCATACTTTCGTCAGCTTGGACAGCCCATCACTGTCCGCACATAGCTTCTTCGCCCCGAACGGCTTCGAGACCGACACGGAGCAAGACACGTTCAAGCATATCTGGCTACCAAGCATGCAATTCATGGAACAACTGCGCGCGCCAACGCGAAAAGCCGTGGCAGAAGCGCTTCGTGAGTTCTACCCGGATCAACCACAGACGGGGCGATGGGCGCACGACGTCACCATGGCAAAGGACGCTGTCACTCCGGCGGATGAAAAAGCCGGGCCTGAGTATGGCAAATCTAAGCCAAATCTACCTGTTGTCCTCTTGACCCATGTTCCCCTATACCGGGCTCCCGATACGTCTTGCGGACCACTCCGGGAAAGCCCGAATCCCATTCAAATACGAATGGGATACCAGTACCAAAATGTCATCACGCCCGGGCTCTCCAAGGAGATCGTGATCAAAATCACGGAAGCTGCTGGTGACATTGTGCAAGTCTTCTCCGGAGACGACCACGATTACTGCGATATCGAGCATCGCTTCAACATCGCCCCGACCCTCGATATGGTGGAGCTGGTCAAGACCAAGTTGTATCACATCCGCGAAATCACGGTCAAGAGCTTCAGCTGGGCGATGGGGGTGCGGAGGCCGGGCTTCGTCCTTGTGAGCCTCTGGAACCCCGTCGATAAGGAGGGCATAAGCTTGCGCGGGTCCGAAACGTCCACGATCCAAACACACCTATGCCTCTTACCCGACCAGCTGAGCATCTTCCTCGATTATGCAATGCTGTTTGTACTCACATTGGTGCTGATCATTGTTGACGCAATCTACTGGAGCGCCCCCATCGCCCCATCTCTCGGAACAGACGACAACCCCCTATCACCCGACTCGCGATCACGAATGTCCCTCCCGAGATTCAACATCAGCATGAACGGCTCAACAAACGGCTCAACAAACGGCTACGCCTCCCCCGTATCCGCCTTCAAGGGCCGCCAACGCGGCACCTCCACCTCCTCCGCCTCGCACAGCCGCAGCAACAGCGCCCTCCTCCTCAGCGTGCAACGCAACCATAACGCGCGCACGCGCAGCGTCAGTCCCGACCCCGGGGCCTCGCTGGGGGAGAAGACGGGATACCACCCCGCCCCGGTGAAGTGGGCGGATCCCAGCCCCGACGATTCGGACGAGGAGTCGCATTTGGGTTCAGATTATGGAAACGCGGATAGTCAGGGGAAATGGAAGTGGCGACGCCGGACGCGGGTGCCGGAGAGGCTGCGCACGGCGTTTGTTGATCTGGCGTTCAAGTTGGTTCTTGTGGGAGTGCCTTGTGGGCTGTGGTATTTGCTTTTGGTGCGGAGTGGCTAGCTAGGTAGCTACCGAATAGGGACAATCTCTTCAGCTGCTGCTGGTAGCCCGACGTATTTGTTGACGAGGTTCAAGGTCGCGTGGTATAGGACGAGCAGATTCTCCGGCTCCTCTGGCACATGTCTTTCGTCTTGGAAATGCAGAAACGCAGACGGCACCCCTTTGCTCTGCAGCACATTGAATGCCGCAAGTCCGTTTTCAACCCCATGGCGGAAATCCCGGTCTGTGTGCACGATGAGATGGGGCGTCGCCCAGTTCTGGGCGAAGCGCGCGGGATCCCATCTCTCCCAATTCTCGCGCAGCTCCGCCGAATCCCACGGAAAGCCACCCAGGTCCTGGCGGGGAAAGAAGAGCTCGTCAGTAGCGAGGAGGCTGTACATGGAAAAGACGCCATTGTGGGTGAAGAGCGCTTTAAACCTACGCCCCAGCTCCTGGCCTTGGATCCAGTTTGTCAAGTAGCCACCAAAGGACACGCCGCCCGCGACGGCGCGCGAGACGTCTGCGTATTCCACGTTCTTCTCCAGGTGGTCGAGACACTTCGCCAGATCAACGTATGGCGAGCCGCCCCAGTTGTTGCGGATGGCGTCCATGAAGTCTTGCCCGTAGCCGCGCGAGCCGGTGAAGTCGGGCGCAACGACGACGTACCCTTGCTCCGCCCAGATTTGGGGCCGAGGATTGCCAGCGTCGTTCCAGCTGTCTGGAACGGTGTATTGCGGACCGCCGTGGATGAGCATGAAGATGGGATACAGCTTGTTCTCATTGAAGTTTGATGGTTTCATGATCAGGGCGTGAAGGTCGCGATCGTGGTCTCCTTTCCAGTGCATGTCTGAAATTTGCTCTGGGGAGAGGCCGAGCTTCTTGCTGTACTCTGCTGAAGAGACTATCATGTCGAGCTGAATGTCATTTTCACAGCCTTTCTCCAAGTTTAGGACTCCAATATATCCACTGTCGGTTAAGCTGTCTCCGGTGAAGAGGAGCTTGTGTGGGCCAATTCGCTCTGCATATTTGACACTGCCGTGTTGTGTTAGTTTTCTGGGAAGCTCAGATCCGGATTGCTTCGTATCAAGCACAAAGAGGGGGCAACGGCCCTTGTCGAAAGCAGTGAGTAGCAGCGTGTTGTCGTCCCAGAAGGCGAGAGTCTCTGGGGTCAACGGCCAGGAGCCTTTCCCATCAGAAGATTGTAAGAGCTCTCTTGCGGACAGTGACGGTATATCTTCGACCACCATGGGTCTCTGCTTGTCCGCCTCTGCACCTTCGTGTTTCATCTTGAGAAAGGCAATCTTGTGTCCATCATCAGAGAAACAAGGAAACCCTGCATGCCCATCAAGCCCAGGCGTAGCTACTTTTATAGCTTTACCGGCAGCGCTTCTGAAGTCTGTCTTCAAAAGATAGACATCTCGTGCAGTAGAGAGGCTGTGGTCTCTCCCGGGATCTTTCGCGACGAATACCAAGCCAGGCTGTCCAATGTCGAAATCTTCAGCGCCTCCAAACGGTGGGGTCGGAGACTCCAGCTTCTCGTGCGTCGGCCTCAGCGCGTTGTACACTTGCAGCATTTCGTACCTGCCTTGCTCATCCTGGCGCAAATAGCTGTAGAAGATGGCATTCCGCTGAGGCGTACTCCACGAATCCCAATGCCGGACATAGTTGCTCGTGTAGTACTGTGCACTACTCTGAGCCTTCTCCGGCTCGTCATGGGCATTCCATAGCGTCCCGTCTGCATTCGCTCGTGCCGCGAAAGCAATTGCTGCGCCGTCGCCACTCTGGTCCAGTACCTTTACCTTTAGTCCATGAGCGGTGCCGACGATGGTGCCGGCGAGCTGCACGTCCTTGGGAGTGTCGATGTTTGCCACGAACAGCTGCGTATTGCCAGTCTTTCGCGTACTGAGCCATACGAAGTCATTGTCCGAGAGCCAGACTGCTGGTGCTGCGTCGGCACCCTCAAGGATATCGGTTTGCTCTTTGGTCGCCAAGTTGAGCAATTTGATGATCATCCTTTTGGAGTGGCTTTGGAAACTGTAGGAAGTTTCTTGGTAAAGGGCATACGTGCCGCTCGGATTCGCAGTTGCTGGCGATATTGTTGGAGCTTCGAAGAAGGAACTGTTACGAGAGGGTCTGTTGGCGTATGCTACAATGAAGGGAGATTGACGACGCTTACGCTGCAGTGAACTTGACCATTTTGTCACAAATTGAATGAGTTATCAGGGGAATCACCTGGAGGAGTACATATATGAAGGTCCCAGAGACACGGTGTAAGCATCAGTCATGGACGCTAGACAATCTAACATGACGAGGGCGCTCTCTGGATCTGCTCGGAAGATTCGCGAGGAGTATTTCTTTCTCAAGCTCGTGGGTCTCAAATCGCATGAGGCCATGTTGTGAGAGCTTGCATGGTGGAAATGGTTGCAGACGGCCAACGGCCAGGTCAAGCAGTCGTAACAGCGCATATGGCTTAGCGCGGGTGTCAAGGTTCACGCTACTCTCTTTCGGGGTTCTCCACACACTAACCTCCGAGCGGGAGGGCGCGCCTCGGCATCGCCATCGTTGGCCGCTGGCTGGGGAAAAACAGGTGCGCCGACGAGCCTCTCTCTTATCCAACCCCTTCCACTTCCTCCGCCACCTCGCTCCAGGCATTCACGCAGTCCACCACTCGTGTCAGCATACTTATGTGATTGCAGCAGATCGCTAAAGGGATCTTCCTGGCCCACGTCCTTCTTTCGACACCCGCGCTCGTTGGCGTCATCGTACAGCACGCGGGCAGGTTTTGATAAGGCGCGGGCGCATTGTCTAGCAGACTGTGACAGTCGCCGCGCATCAAACGTAAGATAGCAGGGTGAGCGGCACATCGGCAAGCCGAGCATGGCTTCGCCACCAAAGCCGTGGGAGCGGTCGGCAGGCGCGACATCGTCTGGTATGATCCTGATGCCCTCCCCTCGAATTAACAAGCCGATCGCTAATCCCCATCGCAGCAGCCGTGCCCAGTGCGACCACGACAACGGCAACAGCAGCCACACCAGCCGCGGCTACCACCTCCTCCGCCGTCCCAACCCTCCCCGCGAAACCTGACTCCCTCAGCGAGCTCGCGACCCGCAACGCCTCCAACTACTCCACCTTTAATCGCACCTCGCCCTACTCGTCCGCCTACTCTTCGCCCTACGGAGGCATCGGAGGGGGCATTGGAGGGGGCTATGGTGGAGGCTATGGCTCCTACAGCTCACCCTACAGCCGCTTTGGCGGCGGCTTAGGTGGTGGCATGTATGGAGGCGGAATGTACGGCGGCATGGGAGGCATGGGAGGCATGGGAATGCCCTACGGCGGAGGCGGCATGTTCGGACAACCGGGCATGATGGGTCCGGACGGGCAACCCCAAAGCCTCACTCAAGCATACACCCAGAGCACGCAAGCAACCTTCCAGATGATCGAGAGCATCGTCGGCGCTTTTGGCGGCTTCGCGCAGATGCTCGAGAGCACCTACATGGCCACGCATTCCTCCTTCTTCGCCATGGTCAGCGTCGCCGAGCAGTTTGGCACCCTCAAGCAGACCCTCGGCTCCATACTGGGCATTTTCACTCTGATGCGCTGGATCCGCTCCGCGATCGCCAAATTGACCGGCCGCCCTCCACCCGCCTCTTCAAAAGAGCTCACCCCCGCCAACTTCGCCGCCTTCAGCGGCACCGCAGCGCCAGGCGGCGCCCCCGCCCAGCCGCGCCCAAGCCGCAAACCCTTCATCTTCTTCATCGTCGCCGTCTTCGGCCTGCCCTACCTCATGTCCAAACTCATCCGCGCCCTCGCCGCCTCCACAGAAGCCGAGCAACAGCGCCAACTCGCCAACGCACCCTACGTCGGCGCCGACGGCCAACCCGGCCAACCGCTGGACCCCAGCAAGCTCGACTTCTGCCGCGTCCTCTACGACTACACCCCTCAAACTACTCCCGGCCAGCAATACCAAGAAGGCATCGACCTGGCCGTCAAAAAGGGCGACCTCGTCGCCGTCCTCTCCAAAACAGACCCCATGGGCCAACCGAGCGAATGGTGGCGCTGCCGTGCCCGCGACGGCCGCATGGGCTACCTCCCCGCGCCGTACCTGGAAGCCATCCAGCGCAAGCAGCCGCAGGGCCAAATTGCCGCCAAGAGCAATGCGACGAGCCCTGCGGGCAGTCGCGTGAATACCATGACGGGCAGCGTGGAGAGTCGGGCGCAGAGTTTGAAGATTACGGAGAAGGAGAAGGCGGCTGTTTTGGGGACGTCAAAGGCTGTGCCGGTGCCGGTGGGGAAGAAGGATGAGGCGGTGTCGATTGAGAGTTTGCAGAGGGGTGGGTTTTATTCGTGAGGGTTTTGGGGAACAGGAGACGATGTTTGAGGCATGAGTCGGTGTTGCGCTGCTGTTTGGTTTGTCTGGCTTGCGTGTGGCGTTCAAGCGATTTCATCTTGTGATTTACTACTGTAGCAGCATTCATTCACTTCTCTCGGAGGCTAGATTGTATCAAAAGCTTCGTTGCCAACGTGGCTCCATCTCAGATCTACACATTTGGCTGAGTGGACGTTGGCGAAGATTGGGTGGTCGGCACACTCCTTAAACGCCGGGAGAACGTACCTATCGGTCCACTACGAAGGAAGTGGGAACATCTGCACACGATCTCGGATCTTTTGTTCATACTTCTGGAATAACAGCCGGCTATGCTAAGGAAAAAAGTCATCCTTGACGAAAAGTCGAAAAGTCATCCTTCCAACAAGCAATCCGTGAAGAAAATCATCGTCGGTCGTGGGAAGAGTCATTGTCGGTCGTGAAAAGAAACATCCATTATCGTTCGAAAGAATTCTCGTCGGTCGTGAAAAGAAATCATCGTCGGTCGTGAAAAAGAGAGCATCGTTGTCCGTGAAGAAACCTCTTCAACAAATTTCATCCAGCATGCTCGCGCCTCCATGGCCGAGATGCACCCAGATGTCGTTGATTTGCGCTTTCTTGAGAAGGGTTTCTTCGCCGCAGGAATGGCCGGGTATTTGAGAGCCGCAGACGCAGGTCCAGATGATGAATCGCTCGCTCCTGTTGATGTGAGTTTAACAAGACCTTGATCCGAAAAGGAGACGTTTGGACAGTTGAGGTTTCTTCCGTGGCGAGGTGGTCACGGACAGACCATCACCTACGGCACAACACAACATCAGCCTGCACTTGCTGAAGGGCGAGGGGGTCAAAGGTACTTACAGCATCTTGGCCCTCAAGCATTCCTTGAACTCCTCCACCAGCTCGCGACGCCAGGCCTTCGACTTGCCCCCTTTCTCCTTCTCCACCAGGGCCATCGGGCCGAAGGTCAAGGCATCAACGCCCGCGCGCTTGTTGCCCGCTTTCGCATTCACCGCCTCGAGGAATTTGTGCGCATCTGCGTAGAAGGCTTTGGCCGCTTTGACGGGATCGATGGTGTCGTGCGAGTACAGGCCGGAGTCGATCTGCAAGTGTTGGAGGTTGCGGGCCTCGGAGAGGAGCGACATGGCGGTGCGGGAAGTTGTCTTGACGTACGCCTTCACCGCGACGCGGGTCATGAGCGCGCGCACGGGCGTCGGGGCTTGACTGAGATAATCAACGAGCGTGGTGGTGCTCTCGAAGCGGAGAGTGTGGGCGTAGAGGATGGGCGTCGCTTCGTCGTGAATCTCTTTGTTGACTGCCAGGATGGTGGCGCGGTTCTTGTTGCCGTCGGAGTAGTTCTTGGCGAAGACGTCTTTGGCGTCGCCTTTGCGCTTGTCGTTGAGTGAGATTTCAGCATTGACGACGCCTTCGGGCGCGAAGTAGAACTTGTAGACGCGCGCGCGAGCCTCTTTGGGGAGCTCGAGGAAGCGGAAAGCTTTGGCGGGGCGGATGAGGATCGCTTGTAGGCCTGCGTGCTCGCCGTCTTTGATGATGACCTGGTGAGGGTTGAGTTAGGACAATCAAAGAACGTGCGGGAGGTACGGTACAAACTCACCGCCTTCACAAGCTCGAACGCGCTGGGAGCAACCAGGCGCATGTTGTGGTAGTATCCGCCGGTCTTGCGCAACTTGGCCTGCGTAGCTTCGCCCTCGAACGTCACATCCACCGGGAGAGTGGCATCATCACGACCGAGACTCGTGAAGATGACTGCTTCCTTTGGCTTCCTCACGGGTTTTGCCTTCACCGGGGGCTCGTTGGCCGGCTCGTCCTTCGCCGGGGCTGGCTTGGACTTTGGCTGTTTGGCAGCGGCGGCCTTGGCCGGCTCTCCCTTGGACTTCTGTGAAGGGTCAGTGAGCGTTCACATACATTGCGCGTTACAGTGTTACTCACCTGGTTTGCTTTGGAAGGCATGGTGGTGGTTGGTTGATGCGGTGCACTGCTTGGAGGTTGTTGTTGGTGCGGAGAGGTGGCTTGATGGCCAAGGTGTGAGGGTTTGAGGTGAAGAAGCGAAAGTTGAAGTGAAAATTGAAGGGTAAATCTCGCTCACTTGGCTTGGCGCGTTGAAAGCGAGTTACGTTGATTCGTGCAGGTGACGTAAGCTAGGTCACGGGGGCAACCAACTTGCTGGTCAGTGACCATCACGGGTGAAACGAGGCTCATCGGATTTCTACGGCTGCTTTGATCGGTTTTATTCATCCAAGATCGATCAGATGGGATTATTTCGATCGTGGATTGGTTTGGGATGGAAGCGAGCCTCGGGACGGGGTTTTGTAGGGAGAACATGGTGTTGTCTACCTCTGCTGACCGACAGGTTGCTGACGACGGCGTCAGTATCAAGCGGAGTACTGTTAGTGAGACTGAGCATACCGCAAGATGGAGCATCGGCAATCCATCTTCTTGGACTGACTCGCTCATTCAATGATCGTTACTGTAGACGGAGTGGACGAGCCAGCCCCTTAGATGTTTGCGAAGCCATCTTTTTGGCGACGCATGTGAAGGCATCCACTTCTCACGCGAAGCATGCAGATAGACGCACTCCTGACATGTCCTGATGATTACTTACGAGTTTCTGCGGTTTTCTGCAACGATCCAATAAATTTGCGTCGTGGGCAGTGCCAGTATAGAGCAGTCTTGTTTGAGTGGAGGCGTTGATGATAGAGGTGAGGTCGACGCCAAGCCAAGCGCGTCCGACACGCGCAGCGCTTTGACCATCTGCCTTGAACTTTTGGCACATCCCAATCGCAAACAACACACTACAGATCGTTCTTCGAGCACACCCCAAAATGGCAGAGTCAATGACCAATGGTACCGCAGACCCATCAGTGGATGTCGAAATGAAGGAAGAGCCTGCGCCAGTAGAGGTACAACCGCCAATCAAAGACCTCCGCCTAGTCGCTCTCTAACCACCACCCAGGAACCACTCGCCGGCATCCAAGAAGCATCGGACCCGACAGATCCACAACCTCCGCCTCAAGCCGTGCCCATTCAAGGCGAGAGTCTCCCGCCACTCCACCCTCCGGCACGCTCCGCCGCAGCAACACCACCTGTTCTCTCGGCTGCAAACACCAGACCCAACTCCATCCCCCCGCAACCATCCGTCAAGCCCGACAAGCCAGCCGCTCACGGTGGACCGACAAGACAGTACCTCAATCAAAACATCACGCCACATCTGCTGGAAGGCATGAAGCACATCGCCTTCTACGAGCCAGAGAAGCCGTTGCTGTGGCTGGCCGACTTTCTACGGGATCGCAGTAAAGAGATTGAGGGCTAGCCGCACACTTCGTGGAATTGAGATGCGTTTCAAAGGCTGCAACCTTCGGCATAAGAGATTCAGTACGACAAAGTCACAACGCTGGTGGACCTCCTGGTCCTTCTTGTGGCTGGTGTCCGAGCAACGCCGCAAATCAGCACAAAGAGCTTGTACGCAGGGGACAATATGCCACAGGGTGGCCGCGTGAAGAAGAGCGCGCTAGCGAATGAGCGCATGCATCGGATCAGTTCAGGTATGCCCATTCGCCGTTGCGGATATGCCTTGCGCTATCCGGTCTACGTCGACGCAGCTACGCCATACATGGGCCACTGCAGTTGGACTGCCATGGAGCACACGCATCACGATCTTTTAGATCATGAGCAGAGCCCTCTAGTAGGGATCAATCCGGTATACCGTTCACATAGCTGGTATCTAAAACCTATTGCGAGAGTGCCACTTGACCTAATTCGCGGCTGAAGGCCTCGGCTACCAATTCAGCCTCACGAGAGCATTCCAACCCTCACTCCGCGATGTTGGTGCGGGAATCCCCAAGGCCGAAAGGATTGTGCTGACAAGCTGATCTACAAACCCTGCGTATGAGCCGACCTATCACCGCAGCTGTTAACGGACCCTGCATTCCCACGAAACGCCGCTGACCTACCATCCCTTTGGGCGACCCAATCTTCTGCTTCCCCGGATTGACCTGGTGCAGGCATTTTGGACAACGATCTACGTATGCGAATGCTTACCAAAATATTAGCGGCCAGCTTCTACAACTACTCAGCAGACCATGCAGCCATAAAAATCTCGCCGAGTTCGCACTCTGGCTTCACTCCGGCTTACGTCTTCCAACAATTGCACAAAGCACTTCGAGACTCTTCTTGCAGGTGAAGAACGCGAGAGCTTTTGAGACGTGCACACACACTATTACCACATACAATGGCCTCGACAAAACAACCAGCACCACCGTCGTCATCACGCCGACCCTCGTACTCTCCCTCGGCATCCTCGACAGAGAGTACAGGCACTACAAACAGCAAGTCGAGCACTCGATCGTCCAGCTCCGTCGTATCATGGATCAAGAATGCCTTTGTCGGACCGACAACTCCTAATGACGACCACCGAGCAAGGCGCGAGAAGGAGTACACCTGGCGAATGATGGCCATGAGCTATGAAAGTGTCGGCGAGTACGTCGACATTGGCGAGTGGATTGGGCAATGAAACTACCAAAGTTCATCATCAGGCTTGCGAACTGGTGAACGATTTGGTGCAGCGTTTGGCTTGCTTGGTGTTGGAACGCGAGGACTGGCATCCCTTTAAGGATCGCGCATTGATGGCCTCCCAATGATTCTTACAGCGTGCGAAATTACGAAGACAAGGCTGCCTTTGTATTCGCGCTTTGTTCGGCAAATATCATACAATGGAAGTCTGGACTCTTGTTCACCACAGCCCTTTGTTCCTTTTGTCTCCGACCTGTTCGTTCATCTACGCTCAGTCACAGACGCATTTCCAACACGATCCTCGGACTGCAATCTTACTCCAAGCAAACCTCACTAACCACACAACACGCCCAAACCAAACATCTCAAGATGGATTCCAAGCCGGCCCTGTCCATCTCATCCCTCGCCCTCACCCTCCTAGCTTCCCTCCCACTGACCACCTCTCAGCCCACCAACAGCTCACGCCCGCACTTCAAACTACACGTCCACAACGCCTGCCCCTTCCCCAAATCCATCGGCATCTACAGCGTCACCCCAACCTTCGAAATGCTCCAACACGGCCCCATCGTCAACCTCTCCTCAAACACCCACCACACGCTGCACGCCCCCTACCACAGCACCGGCATGCGCCTCTCCGGCCACGCAGAATGGGGCCTCAACGGCCAATGGCGGCCGCAACTGCTCTTCGAATTCGGGTACAGCGCTTACGACACCGTGCAAGGCACCGCCTACGATATTTCCATGATGGAGGGGTCAGATGACAATGTGGGGATGAAGGTGCGTGTGCTGCCGAATGGGGCTGGGAGCGAGACGTGTGAGACGAAGCTGTGTTTGCCGGGGGATTGTGCGCCGAGTCAAGGGTGGACGAGTCCTGGGCAGGCGGAGCTGGGGAGTCCGGCGGATACGGTTTGTTATCGTGGTAAGGCGGATTTCCGGCTGACGTATTGTCCTGAGAAGGAGGATCACTGATGCCGAAGCTTAGTGCATTGTAGGTAAGTGTGTTTCCATTGTCCGTTGTGTTGGTCTTCATACTTTTCAGCCCTCCCAAGCTCCACGCAATACATTACTTGTCTCACGTCTCCGGCTTCCCCAGCGCCATCATGTCCACCGACTCCTCGCCCGCAGCCTTCTCCCCACCAAAAAACTCCTCACCCTCCGGATCCTCCTCCGACAAAGCCGGCAGTCCAACATACTTGTTAATCCAATTGAGCACAACCTTATGCCACACGAGCGAATTCTCCGGCTTCAGAACCCAATGGTTCTCATCGGGGAACGTCAAAAACTGCGAATCGATGCCGCGCGCCTGCAGCACATTGAACGCCGCCAGCCCATCGGCAACGCAAATGCGGTAGTCTTTGGAGTTGTGGATGACGAGTTGCGGCGTCGCCCAGTGCGTGAAGTGCTCGCTGGGGTCCCAGCGGCGCCAGTCGGAGACGGTGGCGGAGCCGAAGTTCTTTTGCCCTTGGACTAAATTGCCGCTGTCGCTTGCGGAGGTTGATGCGTGGTGCCAGGGCGTGCCGCCGAATTCGTGGAAGGGGAAGTAGAGTTCTTCTGTCGAAAGCATGCCGGGCATCGTGAGGACGCCATCGTGGCAGACTAGCGCTTTGAACTTGCGGCCTAGGTCGTGGCCTTGGATCCTGTTTTCAAAGGGTCAGATTGTGGTAGACAATAAGAAGCAAGGAACACGACTAACCAATTCACCATGTAACCTCCGAAACTGGCACCCAGCGCGACAGCTCGCTCATTGTCCGCCCCAGTCACATTCTTCCCAACCCACTCGAAGCAGTTGACGATGTCGTGGTACGGGTCGTTGCCCCAGTTGTCTCTGATGCTATCGACGAACCGCTGTCCGTATCCGGTAGATCCCGTGACGTTTGGGGCGACAACAATGTAGCCCTGCTCGGCGTAGACCGCGGGATTCCATCGAGTGCTCCAGCTGTTCGCCCAGCTTCCTTGCGGCCCACCGTGGATGAGGTAGGCAACCGGATACTTCTTGCTGCTGTCGAAGTTACTCGGTTTCACGACGATAGAGTGGATTTCCTTGTTGATATCGGGATTGCTGGCCGGGGTCCAAATGGAGGAGACTTGCTCGGGGTTGAGACCGAGTTTGTTCCCGTGAGAGGAGTGAGAATTCGTCCAAGTCGTGAGATCGCCGGATGTCGATGGCTTGCAGTGAGGATCCACGATCGCGTAGAAGGAGTTGTCGACGAGCGTGGAGCCGGAGATAAAGATGGAGCCATTGGCCAGGCAGGCCACGTCGTTCACATATCCAGACTTGGTCAACGGTCTCACATCGGCATGTGCACCTAGATCCGCATTGAGCATGAAGACCTTCGCGGTGCCGACCTCTTCCGCCACGGCGAGGAGACTCTTGCCATCGGCGCTGAAGCAGATGGAAGACGGATTGCGGTCCCAAACTCCATCGCCGCCTTCGCTGCTCACAAGAGTCTTCTGCACAAGCTGTAGGTCTCCCTGCAGCGGCAGGATAAACACCTCATTCCTATCCGCCTCGTAGCCATTCTTCTTCATCGCCAAGAAAGCCGCCCGGGAGCCATCCGGCGAAATGACAGGACTCCCACTCGCGCCCTCGAATCCTCTAACAACTACGCGCTCCAAAACAGGCACGGCCGCCTCATCCCACGCGACCATGCGGATGAGATACACATTGACCTTCGTATTCAGTGCCGGGTCGAGCTCCGGGTCTTTCGCCACAAAGATGATGCAATGATGGCAGATGTCGAAGTTGTCCGTTCCGCCAAACGTTGCAATCGGGGACTCGAGACCCGTGCCTTTGATGGCATTGATGATTTTCCCCAGGCCGAACTTCTCGTCGTGATGGCCCTTGGAGAGCCGCGAGAAGAAGAGCGCATTCTTCTCCTTGCCCTCATAGCGGTCCCAGTGGCGGACGAAGAGGCTGTTGTACAATCGGCCAGTGGAATGCGTCTTCTTCGCCGTCTCGGGGTTGAATAGACTTCCATCCGGAGAAGCCTGGGCGGCGAAGACAATGCCGAACTGATCCTTTCCATGCGGAAGCTTCGTCACGCGGAGATCTGACGCCGGGGCATCAATCGTCCCCGCAACATAGGTGTGGGACTCAGACGCTGCCTCCGAAGCCTCACGAGACCGAGGCACACGTCCTACACACACGTCCGTCTTGCCGCCCGACTCCGAGCACAAAAAAACAAACTGCTCGTCGTCCAGCCAGTTGAAGCTGCTGACATCCTTGTCCTTGAGGATGTCATGGCTGTCTCCAGTCTTCGTTTCCAGGAGCCGGAATGCATTCTCCTTCTTGTGCGTCTTGAAATCGTACGTCTGCACGGTGTAGAGGACGCCATTGCCGGCGGGGTTGGGTGTACCTGCTGAGCGCCGAGGAGCGCTGAGCAGCACCTCTGGAGTGAACTTTACCGCCTTTTGGACCATTGTAAAAGATTTGCTGGCGATTCGGATGACGGAGGTATGTCGTTTACTGTTAGAATGTGGCAGGGCGAGCTGCTTTCACTTATACCTCAGGCAACGGCATTAACGTGGTACTTGGTATGCGGTACCGTGCATGTGGCGCTTATGTCTTTCCCGAATAGGCAGGTGGTAGTTTTAACAAGTCTTCGACCACGTGCGAATTGCTAGCTTGCCACCTCAGTGAGACAAGAAGCCGAGATGGCGTCGCGATAGAAGATACAGAGGGTAGTTTCATACAGATACGATCTCGTTTGTCCACATTAGTGTAGGTTCCAATCGCTACCTGATGCTCAATCCATGTCCAGTGCGGCGTCACCATCGTCCGGCAACTGGCCAATCACTTCCTCCACTCTAGCAATCAGCTGGTCGATATCCGGCCGCTCGCTCGGCTCGACTTGCAGGCACATGCGTACGATCTCCTTGACATTTTCGCTAATGACCTCCTCCTTGGGCTTGTTGGCAGCTTCCTCCGCATCGACCACTCTCTGCTTGCCGCGCTTCGCTTCTGCAGGTCCTTCGTCAGGGAATCTCCAGTCTCCACCGAGAACGCAGAGCGACAAACTGCCTCCTGTTTCCTCTGACCGCGCTTCGAAGGGTGACTTGCCGACGAGGCAGGCGTAGAGCGTGCAGCCAAGTGACCAGATGTCGACTTTGGCGTCGATGACGGTTCCGGTCTTAACGTCGAATAGCTCGGGCGCTCGGTATGGCATGGTGCTGTGCTCGGCTGCTTGGTCTTGCACTTGCAGCGCCATTGCTCGACTCGTGATGGGTGTGGGAGCTGGCGCCAGCGATCCAAGGTCCATGACGATGGGCTGCACGCCAGTGTCCGAGATCATGATGTTGCCGGGCTTGATATCGCGATGCGCATACGATCGGGGCTCCCCTTCGGCAATCCCTTCTTGCGCGGCCATGACTTCGCCTTCCATGAGTGGATCTTGCTCCGCCGTCTCATCTTCTCTATCTCTTCTCTTCCGACGTGTGTTAGCTTGGACGACCTCCTCCTCCGCCTCGCGGTCCGCCTCGGCCGCTTCTTGCCGTACTTGCTTCGCCTTCTTCCTCGCTGCCTCGCCTCCCGGCGCCCCCTTGACAGTGTACTGATGCATTGCCTTCAAAGCTCTGCAGACCCCCAGGAACAGCACCATCAGCCTTCGTTCGGGGAATCGCGCCCGATTGACAAGATTGGCATTGATAGCATCCTGCAAATTCCCCCTCCTGTAATACGGCAGCAAGATATACACCGTCTTACTCCCCGCATCGCCTCCCCTATCGCTCTCCACCGCATGATCAATCGCACGTATAATATTCGGATGAGGGGTAAATAGGCTGTACGCCTCGACCTCTTTCAGCGCCTGCGACACGCTCTCCTGCCCAAAGGGACATCGGATCTTTTTTAAGGCGTAGTAGGTCGGGTCGCCAGGGGATTGCACGAGGTAGACGTAGCTGAAGCCGCCTTCGCCCAGCAGGCGCAGGATCTTGAAGGAGCGGCCGTTGATTTTCAGTGAGGGGTTGGAGGGGAAGCAGTTGAAGCAGGACTGCAGTTGCCAGATGCCGTCGAGGACGTAGTGCGAGAGCTGCGTGATGAGGCTAGGGGAAGACATGCTGAGGGGTGCGCGGCGTGGAGTGTGGGATGGGAAGTATAGAGGCGCGACACGGCAGGTGGTGGGTCAGATTTGACGAAGGTGGGAGTCCTGTGCCATGGCGTGAGCACCTCTGCTGTTGCTGCTCCTGACCTGGCAAATGATTCGTTTGCCAGCTGGCTTTGGGACGTCGGACGCTGGGAATGCGAGTTTGAGCCAATGGAGTTTGAATTCGAGATGACTAAGCCGTCAGGCTCCAGGCCATGCGGAAGGTGCAGACTACGAGTTGAACTGTTCACAGCAAAGAGGGTATACTGTGTACGCAGGGTGGTGGTGCTATTGAACTTTCGATGCTGATGGCGATTGAGAAGAAGCCATTGGCTGGAGACGCAGAGTCAGTCGTGGTCCCGGCGGGCACATCAAGTAGAGTCCAGCATCGTCCATTCACGTCCCCTTAGTTGCTTCCACTCTGAGCGAAATGTCAAGACACTCAGGTTACCGGCGAAGTGAGAGCGGTTGTTCAGAGGAAGTGGCATGTATTGCTATGGTTTGACGTCCTACAATCGCAATTGCTCGGAGTTGCTCGACCATCTTACTGGCATCGGAAACAACAAAATCATTCTGCAACCCGTGTCCAACAACAAAGCGTTCCACTCCTCCGTGTGCTCTCATCCAAATATACAAATCCCCCTGAAATTCCTTTCGCGTTGGCGTACACGGTCCGATCGATTAAATCGTGCCGTAGAGAGCGCCACGCAGGTCGAAATCGGCGCGCGACGCTTACTCGTCGTCGTTGATGTCGACGACGTACTTCTTCCACTTGCGCGCGGGCACGCGGCGGTTGAACATGATGTCCATCTCACGGTACGAGCGGCCCTTGAACTCGGGCAGGTAGAGGAAGGCGACGACGGTACAGATGAGGGCGGTGGCACCCCAGACGTAACCGCACTTGCCGCCGAGATCGCCCTGCTGGGGGTTGAGCATGTAGGACGCAACTGCGACTAACGTTAGTATTGGACGAAAGCAGGAGAAGGGCGGAGCGGAAAGACGTACGGAAGATGCAAGGGAATTCGACGATGTAGTAGATGGCACGGCCGAAACCGGTGGTCAAAGGCCTGAGGCGGATGGAGGAGGTTTCTCCGATCAGGGCGTAGGAGACCGGGGCAGCGCCAAGGGTGAAAAGGACGGAGACGATGAGACCCAGGGAAGCCTGCGCCAGAGAAGCTGCCTTGCCGCCGCCAACCGAAGCCGCAACACCGAGCATGATCAGAAGGAAGCAGTTGACGGCCGAGCCCCAGAGGTAGATAGGACGGCGACCGAAGTAGCTGGTGAGGACCCACGAGCACATGACCATGACCCACTGGAGGGCGGAGGTGATGAGACCCAGGGCGAAAGCTTCGTTGGAGCTGATGCCAGCCTCTGCACCAAGATCAGCATACGTCGTTAACTGCACGACTGACAATGGTGCATCACTTACGTTCGAAGAAGTAAACGGCTTGATTGGCGATGAGGTTGCCCGTCAGATTTTGTGCCGCGTAGACACCCGAAACAATCAGGGTACGGTAGAGGTTCGTGCCCTTGAACAACTCAAGATGGCTGGGTGCCTTGTCCGACTTCTCGAGCTCGACGACACGACGCATCATGGCCACGGTCTCGGGGATGTTCACCTGCGACTTGCGTCCGAGACGTCCGATTGACTTTGCTGCTTGGTCCAATTTGCCCTTTCGAACCAACCACCAGGGGGATTCGGGTGCCAAGAAAATGAGGATGGCGAGGGGAGTGGGGAACATCCATTGAAGGGCAATCGGGATCCTACCGAGCTGCGTTAGTCAAGGAATTGGTGGGATTGAAAGGATGAGGACGTACTTGTAGTTGCGCTCGTCTTGCCCGTTGCGGTACACGTAGGTGACGCCACCGACGATGATGCTGCCAATGGCCCAGAACATTTGCAACATCTGCGTCGCCGGGGCTCGGAGCTTGATGGGCACGATTTCACTGCAGTAGGCCGGGGCGTTGGCGATGAAGAGACCCCAGGGGAGACCCTCGATGATCTGAGCGGCGAAGACGAAGGGAAGCGAATTGGAGAAGTAGAAGATGAAGATGAAGCCGTTCAAGGCCATCAGACCCCCAATGAAAGTCCAGCGGTAACCGATTGCGTTGGTGATGGGGCCAGCGATCATGACGCCGATAAGAGCACCGAGCTGGCCAGACACCTGCAGCGAAGACTGCCACTTGGCCACGACGACCTTGCCGTCGACATTGCCCTTGCCAGTGAAGGGGACACCGTATTTGTGCACAAACGCCGGTTGGCCGAGGAAGTTACCGATGAGGAAGACATCGTAGGACTCCATGATCTGGAGGGGGTTAGCTTTGCGCCGCGTGTGGCGCGAAGAGGAACGAGGAACGTACGATGGTGCAGGAGAAGACGACAGCCCAGAAGGTAGCCCATGGGTAGGCACGCACGGCCTGCAGCACGGTCTGGTTGTGCTCGATATTCTCGGCCTCGATGGCGTCGGCCTTGTAATCCTGAATCTCGGCCTTTTCGGCGTAGATGGAGTTGTTCTTCTGGGTCTCCTCATCATGCTGATGCTTGGAGTCGAGTTCCCGCTCCATGGCTGCGGTGGTTTGCTATAAGCAAAGGGGTAAATAGGGAAGATGGGCAGTAAGATGCGTGGTTGGTGAAGGGGAGAAAGGACGCTGATCGGGGATGGGGGAGGGTGGGCCAAGATATAGACAGGGAAAGAAACGCGCGAAGAGGAGAGTGGAGACGGCGGGATGTGGGCGACACGTTCTGCGGAGGCGCCATTGCGGGGGTGGTTTCGGGATGCGGAGTAAGCTCGCCGGGTAAAACGGATGCCTGCCAGGCTAAAAGAGCGCGGCGGCTGGAAGTGTGGTAGTGGAGGGTCGTAGTTTAGCCGACTCGGTGGTGGCTGCCGCTCCTCCCGGCCAGCCACTGCACCGCGAGAACATGGCCCGGCCCTCTCCCGCCGCCTCTGCATCCAATCGCGGCCGCTCTGGACCCTGCAGGTTGGGTTGCTTTCATTAACCCGGGTATTGCCCCATGGGGTCCACGTGCCTCTTTTAGCCTAATCCCCTCCCACGCCGTCCGATGCGGGCTGCTCCTCGAGCCCGCCGGCTCCACCTGGCCCCTTCCAGAATGCCCTGCAGACCGTGGTAGCGCATTAAAATAACATTTGGCCCCTCCTCCGACACGTTGTGATCGTCCTTCGAAGCGATGCACAGATGTGTCTAGACCGGCCATGCACACTGATATAGGACAGCCCCGCTGCGCGCACGATTGTTGCGCAGGGTACAAGACTAATGCCACCTCGAAGGCGAGAGGCGAGGTGGGGGCCGCGGTGTCCTCGTGAGCTTCTTCCACTCAAGCCTTGAGTGGCTTTTCCCATTTCCGGGGTCCTCGTCCAATAATCCTTCGGCATTTGCCACCGCTGCCGTCGTCTCGTGATGTTGGTCCTTGCCACGCGCGCGCCCTTGTTCCCAAGCATTTTCCCCCCATCGCGTTTTATGGGAAGCAGGAACTAACCGAAAGTACTGCTCATGATTCCCGCATGGGTAATAAATCTTCGTTCTATTCTAACCGCAGCCTTCTCCAACTGCACCCGAGATGTCCCTTACACTAGACACACCCGTCGGCTTTTCTAATCAGTCGCTCAGACACGCGACGTCTCTCGCCGCTTAAATGCAGAGAGGGGCACTCAGCAGGCTAAGAATGCGATCCAGATGCTTCACAATCAGCCATGGCCCGCTCCGTTCACTTAATTCCTGTATTGGTCATTCTCGGCGATGCAAAGGAGACTGATGAGGAAGGAGCTCTCGCAGTGAGGTCCAGAGCAACTATCGATGAACGCGGCAGCTTTTTCCCGCCATGTATACGATACCACTAACCTCGAGCGACACGATGCGTTCTATCTACCAGCCGGCCCTTCCCGCCAACAAGCTCGCGTTCAGCGTCACCCCATCGCGAGGCCGCAGCACCAACCTCCACATCTTCAAGTCCTCCGGCGACTCGAGGTCTGTTCGAGGAGCAAATTCAAACGCACTCAGCAGACAACACAGGATGACCTTCATCTCCGTCTCCGCAAACTTGCGTCCAATGCAGCCCCGCGCGCCTTGCAGAAACGTCATGTAGGCGTTGCTGGTCCACGTCTTGGGCAGATTATCCCACCTCTGTGGGAGAAACTCGTCCGCCGTCTCGCCCCAGTACTGTGGGAGGCGGTTGATGGCGTTGGCCAGGACGTATACCGTCGTGCCCTTCGGGACGAAGTATCCGCCCAGGTAGTCATCCTCCTTGGCCTCGCGGACGGTCATCGGAATAGGCGGAATATACCTCAGGCTCTCTCGGCACACGTTGTCAAGATAAGGAAGGCGATCAACGTCGAAATCGTTGCTTCGATCGACCACGGTGCGGCGTGCCTCGCTGTCGAAAAGCTGCGGCATGTGCTCTCGGATCTCCTCCCGGAGCTTTGTCTGCACATCCGCATGCTTGGCTACAAGGTGCAGCGTCCATGCCACACCTGTAGCCGTGGTGTCGTGGCCCGCTCCCAGGAACGTCATGATCTGGTCCCGAAGCGTCTCGAAGCTGAGCTCGTCGGCTTGCGATTGCGCATTTTCGTTGTCGCGGATAATCAGAGACAGAATGTCCTTCGACTGCTTGTCCGCCTGGTCGTACTTTGACTCGATGATTGCATTGGCCTCGTCCACGATTATCCCCCGCGATGCCTGCATGTCCGAATTCATTCTCGAAGGGATGTGCTTGGTTGCGGGAATGAAGGACTGCAGTCCGTGCAAGATGCGGGAGCTGAGGTCGAAAGCGAACACCATCCTGTACGCTTGACGAAGCGGCGTCTCGGGATAATCCAAGGAGTTGAAATCTGTTCCGAAAGCTGCCTGGCCAATGATATCGAGCGTGGTCCGATTGAGCCATTCCAACACCTCGAAAGAGCTGGTCTTGACGCCTGACGAAAACTCCTCTTGCCACTTGTTGGCCAAGTGCATGCCTTTGCGCCAGAACCACGGAGTCAAGTCCTTGATCGACCGCTGGGAGAATGCCGGAGCAAGCGCTTTGCGCTGGCGGACGTGCTCGTCGCCTTCGGCAAGAAGCACGCCCTCACCCAGGATACGCAACATCCAGAGCTTCGCCCTGAGCGGCTTCGGGTAATTGTAGGTGTTGCGCAACGTCATGTGTTTGAGCGCATCGTCCTCCGCGATGGACAGACGTTCGTTCCCGAGCGGGAAGAAGTACCGGATGATAGGCCCATGTCGCTTGTGCCACTCTCTCTGAGGCACGCCGACTTCCTGGGTGATGATCTCTCGGAACTGGCCCCAGAGCGGAAAGCCGGGGACTGTTGGCACCTTCCGCAACGGCGAGATGTAGAATGGCCACAGCCACGACCAGAACAGAAGGTAGACTGCCAGCGACGTGGGTAAGAGGTAGGCGAGGTAACGACCGACAGGACCCCCGACCGTTCTCGATGCAAGGTACGCAGTCGCTAACGCTGCGAGGGTCGAGTGAAGCAGACTGAGTCGAAAAGCCATGATGGAAAGAAGTCTGCACCTTTCAAACGACTTGATGCTACACGATGAGGTCCTCTCAGCATGCAGAATTGGCAAAGAAAAGGCAGCTACGCGTGGACGCGGTATATGTCGTCAACATGTAAGCAAACGTCACTGCAGAAACGAGTTGAACACGCCAGTAGAGTCGCCGACGTCAGTGGTCCACCGTGTGACTTCTTCAACAGTACATCCGAGACGACAATCGTGGCCTGAACAGATCCTTCACCATAAAGGTGGGACCATCATCATCGAGGAACTACCAGACTCAACCAGCGTCCAATGGACAGAGACCGTGCCATTGAACGCTGAAAGTGCCAAAGCGAACATACGTTGAGTTGCTCGGCGATACCGCGGTGGTCAGTAATCCAATCAATTTGACATCACCTCGTCAATCTTGCACATGGAGGCAGGCTGCGGTCCACCGATATGCGCTCCAGCAAGCTCCTATTCCGTGCCTGCACTTGCCATTTCCGGCCATATCGTCGGCACGTTGAGAGGGCAATGGAATGGCATCGGCGGCTGGCCCGATGCCGCAAAATCGGCGGTGATGCGGGTCCGCGAGATTGCCTAGCGGACCCACCGGGAGGGCATACTACGCGTTGATCATCCATTCTTTCATCGATTTCAACACGTGCGAGCAGCAAAATCGTAATATCAAATCGATGGGCACCTCGTGTGGCCAGAATTACGTCAAGCAAGGCTTGTGCTGGCTCCACTCATAATTTTGCCAGCGGACCCACAGCCTTGCCACGAGCTAGACGTAATCGACTGACCATGTAACCGAATGCTCGATCTCAGTCTCTACAGCATTGCCTTATTACACGACTTGTCGACATGTACCTCGATGGTATGGAGGAGCAATAGCAGCGATGGCGACACTTCGTTCAATGGATGGCTTTGCCTCTTTCCTGCCTTACGCAAACGGCACAACAACAACCGAAACCCTACCAGCATTGCTAAACCACCGGATTCCGATCAGTCTGCCAGCCCTACCTCCGATATGGACCATTGTTCTCCTCCTACTCCTCGCCTTCAATCTCAAGAACATCCCGCTCGTCTGGCACTTTCGAATCGTCAATGCCTTGTCCAGCGTCCTGCCCAGCCAGCGCGCCTACACCCCACAAGATGCGCCTACAATCTTCGACGCCGTGGTCACCGAGTCCCACAGCCCGGTGATGGAGATCGATTTCAATCTGCACAAGTCCAACTCGACTTACTTCTCCGACCTCGACATTGCTCGCGCTCATCTTACCTGCACGCTGTTCAGCCGAGGCATTGAAGCCGCCCGATTCGCGGCCTACGATCATGTTATTGGAGGTGGCAATAAGCCTTTTGGGGCCCTGCTTGGAGGTGCTTCTTGCGCTTTCAAGCATGAGATCAAGCCCTATCAGCGGTATCTGATGTGGTCGCGGGTCTTATGCTGGAACGGAAAATGGTTCTGGATCGTGACGTGGTTCGTCGAGGCGAATGGAAAGGACAGCCCGGATCAAGAGAAGAAGGTGTTCGCCACCGGACTCAGCAAATGCGTCTTCAAAAAGGGTCGCAAAACCGTCAAGCCGGAGACTATCATGAAGCTGTCAGGCCTGCTGCCGGGACACGTAGGCGCCGACGACGGCACAGAGAGCCAGCACGACGAAACAGCCGCGAGCATCGAGCTCGAACGCCGCAGAGGTCTCGAGTGCGTCGACTCTCAAGACGGATTGGAGAAGCTGCACGACCGCTTCACACCGACCGCCAGCGTGCTGGCTCGGAAGCGCGGCATGGACTCCAGCCCGTTTCTCGCGCCCAAAATCGTCTATCTGTTCGGCGAGTGGTTGGGCGGCAGGATATGGCGGCTCTTCAGCAGGAGCAAGTAGATCGAAAACTGTTTGTGCAAATTGATTTCCCATGATGAAACCGCAGCCAAGATCCCTATCGTCACGTTAAAGGTCCAAAGTGGATACCGAGATCTTGATCGGCTTTCTTCATGCAAGCGCGGACTGGGTAGCCGATGTGCTCTTGCCGAAACGGGACTAGCTCGTCGGCAGCCTTGTCGGTGTGTAGCTTCACATGCTTTGCATGCGAGTTGTGGGCCATCGTTCGACGCCGGTGCTTTGGATGACTTCATTGCTTATCGCGTCAGTAATCAGTCTTGCATCCACATGAAAGATCACCACGCTCGTTCTCCACTAGATGGTGTGGAACACCAGCGCCAAACGGTAATACCGACCGCGCCGTAGCAGCAACTTTGACGGCTCAACAAAGAGGAATCGCACGGAACATGATATCATTCGATCGGCGCCCTGTGTCGCCGTTGCCAATGGCTTCGAAAGCTGAGGTAGAAAATTTCACAACGAAACGAGTCGCCCGTGAGATTCGGGGAAATGGGTTCCGGTGAGTGCTCTGAGCTCTTTGGCAATCTGCTGTGCGCACTGCGTGTATCCACGTCTATGTCTGTGTCTAAGTGTATGGTGTCTATGTAAATGTGTGATTTATCTTTGTGAATGGCACACAGCCATCTGAGGCATGCGAAAGCATCGTGCCGTCTATTGCGCCAAGGAGGCATCGACGTTCTCCTCCAGCGAAACGGGCTTCTTGGTCTCGGTCACCTGCTCGACGACCTTGACGTCCACCTTGTTCTCCACCCGCACACACTCTTTCGTAACCCGCTTCTCCGTCTTGACAGTCTTGTACGTGCGCAGGTAGAAGAGCACGAAAAGCACCAGGTACGAAGTGAGGATCACGCACCCGGACACCGCGGCAAACTCCTCTCCCTTGCACGTCCCAATATGCGGCAGCGAGGGGTAGTACGTCGAGGTAAAGTACGACCAGCTGGCAAAGTAGATGAATCCGAGGTCCAGCACGAACTGCGCAATCTGCAGCTGCGTGATGTACCGCTTCCACCAGACTTTGATGCCCCGCGCGGCTTGGAAGTAGTACCAGTACATGACGACGTGCACGAGCAGGTTGGCTGTGATGGGGACCCAGGACACCGGTGTTTTGCCGATGAGTTGTGTGTAGCAGAGTAGTGCCGTTGCGCCGTGGTGGTAGGTGTGCAGGAACGTGAGCGGCTTCTTTCGCAGCACGAGGAAGACCGTGTCGAGGAGCTCGATGTATTTCGTCACGTAGTTCATCTGTGATTCTCATTAGAAGGCCATTCTTCTAGTGCTATGGAGGGAGACTCACATAGTACAGTGTCTCAAGCGGCTGCGTCCACCCAGGTGATCCGCACACAGTGTCGAAGACGCCGAATCGTAGCAGTGCTGGGACAAGCTGTTCCATAAACAACGCCAGCATGATTCCACTGGCGATCGACAGCGAGAAGTTGTGCACCTTGAAAGCATTATTGAGTTCAAAGGGTTTGCGATTCCGCATCACTTCTCGACCACCGAAAACGATTGCATAGTAGGCCACGAGCAATGCAGCAGTCTCTTGGAATGTGGACAACGACGTTCGCCCACGCACGAATTCGAATTCCGACGGATTGAGGCGGAGGAGGCTCGAAGACACTTTGTCGAAGCTTGCCCAGAGGGGAGCGTGAGGGACGACATCTCGGGTGATGTTTGTGAGGGGTTGGAAGGAATCAGAAACGAACAGAGAATGCGTGGCAGTAATGTTGTCCATCATGGGCCAATGTTGGTTGCTGTTGCAGGAGATGGTCTGAGTATTTACTGGACTGTTTACATGGCGAACACTTTTTGTACTTTTCGACTCGCTCTCGGTCGCGGCAGCTCCGAGTGACGTCTGAAGCGTTGACAGACTGGCCGGTTGGAGAGCAAATGCCGACTCACAAGGAAGCCCGATGGATGCCCCGTGACGGGATGATCTCGGCGACCAAAGTGGAGCTGGTACGCTCAACGCAGGTAATGCATAATGGAGCCAGCGTGTGTGGATTGGCCATTTGCGGCATGGACATGACGATATGCGCATCGAAGGAGCGACAGGAGGTATTTACTCAGCTGCATCGGAGCCCTAAGCCTTGTACCCACTTGAACAACATGTTGAGACGATCCGTGTGCAAGGCGCCGATCAGACCCACCAGACCATGCGAGATATTTCGTCACTACGACAAATATTCTTAGCCGATCACTATGAATCTCGGGCCCCTCTGTTTTCTTCGATCAGACATGTACACGACATTGTTTCTCCGGAGGCAGTTCTAGGCTTGCAACGACACCTTGGGAAGCAACTCGTTCGATCAACAATGATTTTTCAGTTCCCAGCATCAGAATCGTCGTTCCACTTCGAAAGGCATGCGAGAGAAATCAGCAATGCCCAGGATGTGGAGCCACGCTACGATGAAGACGAGCCCTCAGTCGGGCGAGTGAGCATTATGAGCCCACCATTCTCGGCGGCATCATCAAACGATTCCATTAGCAAGGAGAAGCGTCAGGTCGAAGAAGACTACCCAAAGTCATGGGCGTTGGCATTCCTGCTCGTCGGATTATGTCTGGCCGTTTTCGTCATGTCTGCCGACCGGACTATCGTGACAACGGTATGTGGATAACATTTCAAACGCAAGACCTCCATCTAACAGATGATCAGGCGTTGCCGTACATTAGCGACGAGTTCCATTCGTTTCCCAGTTCGGGCTGGTACGCAAGCGCCTACCTGCTCACCTCGTCAGCGCTGCAGCCCACATTCGGGCGGATATTCCACATGTTCAATCTCAAATGGACATTTTTGGTGGCGATGGCGATTTTCATGGTTGGCAGCGCCGTCTGTGCCTCCGCTGCAAACTCGAACATCTTCATCGTCGGCAGGGCGATTACCGGCGTCGGCAGCGCTGGCATTCTTAGCGGTTCCTTCGTGACGATTGCACATGCCGTTCCGCTTCCCAAGCGACCCGTTTATACTGCAGGCATCGGGATGTTGTGAGTGAACCAAAGCCAATAGCCATGAGGATCTGCGGCACTGACAGCGGTTCCAGCTATTCGTTTGGCTCCATTGCTGGCCCACTTCTTGGGGGTATCTTCACGTCCGAGGTCACATGGCGATGGTGCTTCTGGCTGAATCTGCCCATCGGCGCCGTCACTATCTGCACCATGGCGGTCTTGTTCAACCCGAGAAAGCGGCACGACACGTCGCGGCTTTCCCTGAGACAGAAATTGGCACAGCTGGACATCGGCGGTGGCGTGCTTCTTCTGGGAGGCCTCACTATGCTCTTCCTTGCATTCCAGTTCGTGAACGAAGGTACGCCTTGGGGCGACGGGACCATCATTGGCCTCCTCGTCGGCAGCTTCGCTACCATTGCGGTCTTCGTAGGATGGCTGTGGCGGCGCGGAGAGGAGGCCCTGATCCCTCTGTCGATATTGCGCGGAAGGACGATGAAGTTTGCGTGCGCCAACGCATTTTTCCTCTACTCCACGCTATTGCTGCACGTCTACTACCTTTCCATCTGGTTGCAGTCGGTGATGGCACGGAGCGCCATTTTGAGCGGCGTGGACTTGCTCGCGTACATCGTGCCGACTGCGCTGGCGACCATTATCGCGGGCATCGTGACCACGAAGACCGGCTACTTCGCTCCACCGGCTTGGATTGGCTGCGCCATTGCCACGGTCGGTGCTGGATTGCTGATCACGCTGCACACCCACGAGAGCACAGGAGACTGGATCGGATACATGATTGTCGCCGGAGCGGGCATTGGTCTGGCCATCCAACAGGATTTCACGGCAGCACAAGCGGTGCTTCCTTTCGAGAAAGTCGCGATTGGGACCGCCACCATTACCTTCTCGCAGACGATCGGAGGCGCATTAGCCGTCTATGTGGGCAATATCATCATGATCGAAGAGCTGCGCGGCGACAGCCTCCCTGGCGTGAACATGGCGAAACTCATCGCCGCCGGCGCCACTGCATTCGAACACATGCTCTCGCCGGCAGCTCTTGCAGATGTGAGAGTGGCGTACAGCTCTGCATTGCGGGACGTCTTCATCACCGCGACGGTAGCGAGCGGCCTTGCCTTTCTCACCAGTCTGGGGCTGGAAATGCGTAGCGTGAAGGATGGCACCAAGTCAGCAGGCGCGAGTGACGAAGAGCGGAAGACAGGGACGAGGGAAGGAAATAGCCAGTAAACGATGATTTCATAGAACACGTGAAGTAGATTTACGAGCATAGGATCTCGGTGTTGCCGTCCGGGTCCGTCGTAATCAAACAGAGAGACCATCGGCTACATGGAATTAAGGTTGCCTAGCGTGTATGCTTAAGTCGACCTCTTGCAATCAGAAATCTAGCTTCGTCGTTTGACGTTTCCCGGCGATGTGGATAGCGAGATCCAGAGCAGGACCCACAGGAGCCACATCGCAGTATCCCAATTAAGATCAATCGGGCAGATCTCATTCGCATCCGACTACTCAATCCCTCAGTCGTCAATGATCAAGATGCAGATTGGGAAACCTCAGACCTGATGGGGCTAGTCGAAGTCAATCATCGGACATGCCGTGCATATGCCCCTTTCCAGCAGTTTCCGACCCGACGGAGCAGCGTGACGTGCACGTATTGTCATCCTCAAAACAATGGTCAGCCCTGGGTATGACGCAGCTCAACATCTTTTCAGAAAAAGTCCAATGGCTGTCGTAGTCCTAAACACACATCTCGCTGTGAGAATTTCGACGTCCGGCACATCATTATGTTGTTCAGTGGCATCTCCATCCTGTACCTCTTGCTGGCCGGCGTGCTCTACCTGGCCACAAGACTCGCTCTGCTAAAGCGGCACAATGCCCGTGAGGCGGCAGTGCGAGGATGTCTTCCTCCACCCAGCCCACCCGACCGCGGTCTGTGGGGAATCAAATCACTGAGAGCAAGCCTCAAAGCCACCAAAGACGGCTGGGGTCCCATATGGATGCATCAAACGTTCAATTCTATTGGAAAGGGCGTCCATACAATGCGGGCCCAGGTTCTGGACTACGAACTACTCATCACCCGAGATGCGGAGAACATCAAAGCGATGTTCAACACGCAGAGTGCCGATTTCGACATTGGTCCGCATCGGGAGAGGACGTTCAAATCACTCCTCGGTCTCGGCGTCATGACGAATCGAGGTGTAGACTGGAAGCATTCGCGAGAACTCATTCGACCGCAGTTCGCCCGTGACAACATTGCGAACTTGGCCATGTTTGAGACGCATGTGCAGTCTTTGGTCAAGCGCTTGAGAGTTGATGCAGGAGAGTGGACAGCGAAGGTTGATTTACAGCCTTTGTTCCAGAATCTGACACTGGATACGAGTACAGAGTTCCTGGTGCGTTGATCTCGCTTGCAGAGTCACTACCAAGCTGACTGTTTCTGTGTAGTACGGTCATTCAGCATCCACGCAAGATCCTGAGCAACGAGCCAGACTCCCAACCCTTGAAGGCCGGAAGGCGCCAGATTTATCAAATTTTGGCCATCACTTGGACGAGGCGAAACACGTACTCGATCGACAGGGCGCTCTGGCAAAGTACAGCTGGCTTGTAAGAGATGGTACATATTCAACCCATCGTCAGGCGGTGCATGACTTCGTCGACTACTTTGTGCACATGGTGCTGAGCCAGACGGAACAAGACAGCAAGATGGAGACATCCGACATCATGCGGGACAAGGTGGTGCTGCTCCGCGAGCTGATGAAAGCCACTCGCGACCCATTGACGCTGCGAAACGAGACCCTCAACGTCTTACACGCCTCTCGTGACACCACCGCAGCGCTGATAGGATGGATGTTCTACTTCTTCGCCCGACGCGAAGACGTCTTCACCAAAGCTCGAGAGGAAGTATCGGAGAGGTTCGCAGGAAAGGAGGCCGGCGAACTCACCTCCTCCGATTTGTGGAGCCTCTCCTACCTACCTCTCGTCGTCAACGAGACCATTCGCTTTGTCGGCATCGTGCCGATGAACGAGCGAGCTGCCGTGAGAGACACAACGCTGCCACGCGGTGGCGGCCCAGATGGCCGGTTCTCCGTCTTCGTCCCCAAGGGCGCACAAGTCCTCATTCCAACTTATTCTCTGCAGCACCGCGAGGACCTCTGGGGCGCAGACGTCGAAGAGTACAAGCCAGAGAGATGGGAATCACGCAAATCAGGCTGGGACTTTGTGCCCTTTGGCGGCGGGGCACGCCAATGCATAGGACGTGAGTTGCACTTTTTCGACCCGCTTGATCCACCCATACACTAACACTGGTGAAGAGCAATTTGCCCGTACACAAGTCTTGTACGTTGTCGTCCGGCTCTTGCAGATCTTTGATGACATTGAGAATTTGGAGCCGCCGGATGCTCCTATGACGATGCATCACACAATCGAGAATAGGCCGGGCAATGGAGTGCAGGTTAAATTGCGCTTCGCGGACAAGGGTGCAATCTCTTGAGGTTGAATGTTTCGAGGTATTCGGAGGGCGGTGCAGTGCAACCGATAGATGTGGTAGTAACCTCGAGACTACGTTCGCGAAATACGCGGCAGCGTTGCAATGATTCGTGAATCTGCGTGCGGCCATACCTAGCAGAACTCCAAACAAATTAGTCTGCTTGTGAGCCCGATCGTTTGGCCAGACACCGTAGGGCATCTCATAGACGACAGTCAATCACGCCCAGTGGGTCAATCGACGTCACGCGTCTCATATCGTCGATCAACAGAAATTGCACATGGCATGCGCGATGATGTTATTGGGGAGTGTATGTTTTCGATGATGTAGGCCAACAGCGCAAAGCTTCCTACTCAACGCAAAAGGCGGCTCCACAACACCCTGGCCCGACCCACTTGCACGATGCAGTCAAAGTGGTTCCCAAAGCCTCGGGTTCGTTGCTCAGCCGAATGATGTCTGGGCGCTCGTGGAAGTGCGATTGGCCGTGGTTTATCAACGATTCGACAAACAAGTCACATACGGATTACCACCGGCTTCGCATCTCTGGTCTAATTTCATTCTGTATACCTCACGACTAGCGATTGATACCAACGGCGTTTCCCGGAATTGCCTGGCCCAATCTTTTCGATACTGCAATCGTTGGAAACGACAGTACAATGAGCAACCGCAGCTTACCCCCCGAGATACTGGGCCTCATCATCGAAAACATCGCTCCGTCCGACGCCTGCATTGCTTTTCCAGCCTCCCATGTTGTAACTCGGACGCTCCACGCATGCCTCACAGTATCCAAAACGATTTCCTGGGTCGCACAGCGACAAATCCAGTCACGATGTCTCTACATCAACTCTCCATGGCGCCTCGACGGCCTGCTTCGAGCCTTGAAAGGCGATACCACTCATCGGGAACCCTTCGCCATTCCGCTGAGTCTGAAGATGAAGTCGAGTACATCGATGTACCTCTCTCCCTTCTTGGGAGACACAATCGACGATGCAGGCGTCGTCGCCAACATCAAAACTCTCTTCGCCTTCCTCTCCAATAGCCTACAGCGCTTAGTCATCAACATGCCTCTTCGCAACATGTCTCCCGAAGATCCCAGCGCTCCGAAGATCCAGCCTGCGCTGCGTGATGCGTTTGCGCAGTTGAGGAACCTGGACCAATTCGTCAGTGTGCAAGACGAGCTTTACCTCGATTCAAGCTCGCTTTCAAATCACCCGGCGGAGCCACAGGTATGGGCGTCGTGGCCGCGTCTGAAGCATCTCGGCCTCTACAATGTGGACATCCGCTCGCAGTCCGTACGCGAAGGTCTGAGAGCTCTCCCAGGTTTGGAGACGCTGGTTCTTACCCGACCGCATGGGCTCGTGGACGAAGAATTGACTTTGACAATGTCATGTCTCAACGCGTCTGCGAAAGTGATCATTATCAACACTCCGGAGGGGCATCGGAATGGTGTGTTCGGCCAGAAAGCCCCATCTATGATCGATTCGCAAGGAAAAGCACGTTGCGAGCCGAGTCATCACGTGCACGACTTTGGAAGACTGCATCGACTCGACGTTCCTAAGGAGCGAAGCACGCGTTGGACGTGGGGATTTCGACAAAGGAAGCGCTTCGATGACGTGACAACGTGTCAGCATTGGATGGAAAGGAAAGCACTAGATGGAACTCTCTGGGAATACGGGGATGGAGAGCCTCGACGAGCGTGCAAGTAGCTTCATGGCATCATTCGCGGCGCTGCATCGTAGCTATGCAGCCTAGAGAAGGTCAAACATGGTTTGCATTGTTTTCGACCGACATTTCATTGTATGTACGACTAAATTCTGTGTACGACTCCGCATGTATACTATCGATTCGTTTCCTCATTCGATCTTGCTTGCAACCTTTCCATTGGTACTAAGAACCACACTTGTTCCCTGCTGTGGTCAACCTCCCACGCTTGACAGCGCAGACTCGGCTCGGCGGGTAACTTCAAGCCGCAGTAGCCACGACCATGGTGCTGTTGCACACGGCGGCCGGATTGGACGAAAAGAAGGCGATGAAAGGGTACTGCGGGTATCCTCCACCGTTCGGATTGGCCGATCCCTCGGCCTCATTGTTAGGACACAAGTAGAAATGGCTCGTCGTCTTGTCGAGCGCCAGGGCACAGGCATGCCCGCCCGCGCCGGCAACCAGCGATAGTCCTTCATTTTCCACAGGGTACTGGAACACCGGCTCCAGCGTGAGCTGCGAGCTGTTGCGCGCAATGGCCGTTTGCATCGGTTGTTGCTTAGGGTATTGGGTCTCGTTGGCGAAGAGGTTTTGGTTGACGATGGAGAACACGCTCTTGGTTGTCTTGCCTGGGGAGGTGGTGCTGATGCCGAAGTAGATGTCGTTGGGACTGTTATTGGAGTGGTCGCTCAAAAGGTAGAGAGGGACCAAGGCTTTGTTGACGACGGCAGAAAGCGTGACTGCCATGGACCAATTAGATCGAACAGGATTGTCTTCTTTGAACTGAGAGGGACTCACAGCCTGATGCTTCGTTGAAAGAACATGGCTTGGCTTGGGCAGTCAAAGCCAACATTGCTGCAAGCAGCGAGCCTGTAATGAGCTGCATCTTGGATCTGTTTCGTACTGGAGGTAATGCTCAAAAGAAGGAATTGGAGATTGGAGCTCGTTGCATGTTCAGACGTATAGACGGTACGCTCTTAAATAGGGCTTCGGGCGGACACATGGACATGGCCATCCACTTCAGCTGGCCTGATGCTTAGCCTCGTTTACCATGAGAACGAGTCTACCGTGGAACTAGTTGATTAAGCTTCGACGGTGGACAGATATTAGGGCTGAACTGGCTTGTTTTCATCGGCTCTACGCCCCTAGATTGCGGCTCCGTGACCCACGTTTTCCTTGGCGTAGGTGTTGATCCATTGGACAAATGCAACACCACCCCGTGCTATAGCGAGCCTGTGGAATTCGACAGGCACCCGCTCTCGTTTCGTGTGCACTCCTTTGGCCGGGCTGGCTACCTAGGTACAATGGCCGTCTCCTCTTGCGGTGGTGAAAGTAGTCCAGTCCAATGATCAACGCTTCTGCTGGCGTCTTATAACTCCGTTAAGTCAATTTGCGCGCATTCACTAGCAACGGCACCATCCGCTGATTTTCGTCAATGAGGATTCACACGGCTTCTTTGCAGTATAGGAAGTTTCGTATTCTACAGCGCCAAGACAGCAGTGCTCGGATAGAGTAGTGCAAAAGGTTTGGAATCTTCGTGTTGATGCAATCTGGTTTGAGACATGAAAGTCACGCTATGTAGCCCACCCCCACGTGCTCATCCACATCTCGAAGGCTTGCGCTTTCTTATCCCCGGTTCACTCCGCGGGGAGGCGGGATCTGCGTGAGCGTGCCAGAGTACTTCTTGGATTACATGTGGTTGCCTGGACGCATCAACATTGCTGTCTAGCCTGGTTTGGGGTGATGATTCGTAAAACGCTCGCTTCACGTTACATCTAAAGGCTGTCGATCGCCGGTAGTTTACACCGCGAAACTTCCAGAGGGTGACATGGACGGTCACAGGCGTGAACGACCTTAAGGCACGGCTTCGGCTCTCCACCGACCCCGTCGGGAGTTCCACCGCCCCCGCCGCAGTAACGAGGCTTTCTGCTGCTGCAATACCCGACGAGTGCACGATCTGCGCCATGAAGCAATACTCGTTGCATTGGCTGTTTTCGGTGCGATCATCCATGAATCGGAGATGAACTCTTTGGCTCGATGCCCCGTTCAGCCTCCACGCTACTGGTCTCAACCCGCATCAGCCGATTCTTGACTACGATTTCGAACGAGCCGGCGGGGACCAATTTCTTTGGGGAGTCTGTCCTGGGGCATCGTCGGGACGAAGGGCGAAAGCCGCAGGACTTCGTTGGCCACAGCTAAGGCATTTGAGATCCTGCATGCTCGGATGCCCATTCTCCGAATCACTCCCCGTCCTGATTGGTAGTTGGCTACCAACATTCTCCTCGCGGAGCCGGTCTTGAACAGCGTTGTGCCCACTAGACCGCTAAATTAGTGCCATCATGGGGAAAGCAGCAGGTGAATGTTGCGAATGGGCAACGACGATTCACCCTCCCTCCGGCAAGGTCCAAGAGGGCGGGAGCAGACCATGCATGTGGGAGCACAAATCTAGTAGAGGCTGGTGCACACACGGCGGCCAGAGAAATGTGGCAAGGAGTGCAGAGAGGTCGTTCAGGGTCCGGATGTCCAGCCGTGCAAGCAAGCGAGCAATTCCTCTCAGCTGCGGATCGTTGTGGTATCCCGACGTGGTGCAAAACACGCACATGCTCCACAGCAGAATCTCATCAAACACCGTTCCCATCAGCGAGTCCCAGTCAGTCGACAGCATGGAGTGCCACTGTGCCTGGATCCCCGTGACTTGCGGCTGCGCGACCGGCCGCTCACCGGCGCTTGACCGCATGAGTGAACCCAACATGATCGCCGCTTGACGCACCAGCTGGGCGATCCGTGCGTCCACGGTTCCCTGGGCGACAGCACTCTGCGCCCTGCTTCCAGCCGGAGCGCAGGCCCCAATCGAACTCCACAGCTCCCTCATCCAGCGACTCGAGCCGGGCGCTGAAGCGTCCCAATATACAAGACTGCCGACGTGGAACATGAGCGAGGAGGGCAGGAGGTTTTGCGCTCGAAAGAATTCAAAGCCAGACGGAATGCTGCTGCCTCCCCGAAAAGCCCGATTGCCACACTCTCGACCAGAATAGGTGAACAGGGGTTCTCGGCGGTTCGCGTTCGAATCGGAGTCTAGTATAGTCGGGAGGGCTTTCACGTGGACACGACAAGCGACCGGGTCTCCGATCTCCTGTTACCACAGACGCGTAGAATTAGCAGGAGCGCGAAGGAGGGGTGGGTGGATGCACCAACCAATTCCCAGCCGATGAACAGAGCGATGCAGATGGCCAGGGCTCTAGGATCGTATGACCGTGATTCAACAGCAGCTCTGATGGTAATGAGGAGATTGGTCCGGAGCCATGTCACCATGGTTTCGTGCCGCCGTTGCTCATTTGCCACCGGGACACTAGTGGTGGTGAGTGTAAGCAAGGTATTGAAGAGAAAGCCGTCCAGGTAGAGGTGAGGCTTGATCATTCGCGAATCCAGAGCGCGAGCCACTTTGGGCATGCCCTGGGAGGTAATGTGCACTCGGGCACGCTCGAGATCTAAACACAAGCGTCAGATACCGGGAGCGGTCTTGGAGGGAGTTGGCCATACATTGATCGATGAGGGACGGCACGTCTACCACCCAGTCCGAAGAAGGGTCGTAGGACGTGAATGGATTCACTCTCGACGTAGCCACTTGTTGCGGAAAGCGTGGTGTCGCTGCGGCGTCATCTTCGTCTTCTGCGGATGCAAATCGAGGATAATGATCCGGTATGGAGTTTACCTGGGCGGACGTGACATCCACGACTGGACCCGGGCTGTTCTGTGCCGAGGGGAAGGGCGGGTAGGGAACAGAGACGTCCAGCTCGGCGCTCTCGCCCACGAAAGCAGCGTGCTCTGGTCCGGGAGTGCCTCTCGACAATCGCACCTTTTGATGCTGCAGGTGCGTGACATGGCTACGGATGGTTTTGCGCAAATTGCGTGTCTTGGCCTGGGACGGATGGCTGAAGGTGAGGAATTGCAGCGGCAACGGGTCTTCTTGATCGCGAGGCTCGATGCTGTGATCTCGCGAGCCGGCTAGGGGATCAGGTCAGACGAGTTACTCCCGAGTCTATGCAGCAACACTCACCCCGGCTGTACATGTGGTCAGGCCGCGCAGGACGCGAGCATTCTACCAATCATCTCCATCTTCAGGCCGTGAAAAGGTGTTGATTAAACGAAGATGGAAGTATTGATCGTTGAAGACTTATTAGAAGGGGAAAAGGCCAAGCTCTTATTTGTCATGTAGAGGTGACTTGCGTCCAGCGCGACTGTTAGTGGATCACTAAACAAATTGGCACTCGTGATGCTGTAGACTTGTGGAACGTTGCGGCGACGCCGAGGAATTGATCGACATCTTGTAGGGCCGATTTATTCGAGATTGACGTCAATGGATCTTTCACGAACACGTGGTCGATGCCGTTCAGCGCGCGTTCCAAAGCTCTGTCCGTGGGTGGTATGGTTCATGTCGACGGAACGCATCATCATGGAATGAAGGGTGTTACTGGCAGTGGGGATGCTTAAGAGAGTTCAAATCCGCCTTGCCCATGAGATGAATCCCTGTCTTCTTTGCTCGTCCGACCTCGGAAACAGATCGTCCCGCAGTTTCGCGCCTCAACGGCAGTACTTCGAACTTGGCCTCACACTTCTTCAAAATACAGCACACCAAATAGCACGCACGCGGCGCCGCAACAGAGGTGCAGTCGTGACGTCTCCAGAGCAGCGTTTTATGAGCCACTGACTGCCACACCGGAGTTGAGACCGTTGTCCCGCTTCCCCGGATTGGGAAGGGATAGACTACGAGCTTCCTAATTGCACGACCCTCCTTACTGCGGATTCGTAACATGCTAGCGACCTTGCACTACTGCGGGCCTTCGCAAAGTCGGTCCTGTCGTCACGACGTCTGTCTGCATCGTCTGGGCTTCAATGTCGATACCGCGATGCATGCTGGAGTCTAAGATCATCATCTCGCACCTCATGCCCGACTGAGGAATGTTTCATCCGATATGTCTCGACAGAGGCTGACCATACGATGCGCTGGAGGTGCAGGTGGCAACACAGATCCGCGGAACCGTGGCCAAGAACAGCAGGTGTGTACTTTACGTTACATGGTGCAAATGCTCAGTCATGCATTTGATCGACGCAATCCATTCAATACCATAAGTGCATGGCCTGCACTCGCATTTCTTTCAATCCGTTTTCACTCTCGTATTCTTTACTGCTCCACTCTCGATACCCGCGAACGAAATGGCAATAGCAAAAATCGAGCTGGAGAGCGGGTTGAAAGATGCCCACGAAATCACACAAGAAGAAACGGTCCAAGAAACGGAGATTGACGTGACGCATGCTCAACCCACGAGAAAACTCGAGGTGAGCCACTGAAGCATAGACATGGCCGAAAACAAAAGACCCTGATAGTCTCATTCGCAGCGCTTCATCAGCTTCTTTCCCATCTTCGGCTTTGCATGTACGGTGCTGGGATCATGGGAAGGCGTGGCTGCTGGATTCGGAGCAGGACTATTGAACGGCGGGCCGGTGGTTTTGGTGTATGGATACATCCTCGCCACCATCGGGGCCATGTGCATGAGCTGCTCAATTGCTGAGATGGCATCCATCGTCGTATGTCGGCAACGCATGTTACGAGAGACTGGCTTACTGATTGCTTTCGTACTTCAGTGTGTATCGGGTGGTCAATATCACTGGACTGCAAAGTAGGTGATCTCAGCAAGTCTTGATCGGACAGTGGAGTGTCCCGCGTGTCACTCTCGAGGGATTTGCTGACGCTTTCTCAAAACAACAGATACGCCCCCGCCGCCTCGAACTTCTGGGGCTTGATGCAGGGCTGGCTCACTGTGCGTCCTCCCGATAAGAGCAGCACTACACCCACACTGACAAGAAGCCCAGGTCTTTGGCTGGCTCGCCTCCGTCAGTGCTCTCCCTTACTTCGCCGGTACTCAAATCGAAGGCCTGATCGCTCTCAACTACCTGGGCTACCAGCCGCAGAGATGGCACGGCACGCTCCTGATCTGGGCCACAATGATCGTTCCAGTTCTGATCAACATGTTCGCTCGAAAACTTCTCGCACCGTTCGAAACGCTCGGCATCATCATGCACCTGTCTTTCCTTCCCATCTTCATCGTCGTCTTGGTGGTGTTGGCACCTCACAGCTCGCCGTCATTCGTCTTCACCGACTTCATTGGGGATCAAAGCGGGTGGACCAACAAAGGCGTCATCTTCAGCATCGGCTTGTTAACGTCGACATACACCTTTACCGGCTTCGACGGTCCACTACACATGGGAGAAGAAGTTAAGAACGCACGGACTGTCGTGCCACAAACTATGGTCCTCGCCGTCCTCACCAATGGCATCATGGCGCTCGGCTGGATGATCTGCCTGCTGTTTACCATCGGGAATGTTCAAAATGCTCTCACTACGCGGACCGGATATCCGATCATCGAGATTTTCTACCAGGCAACTCATTCGCTGCATGGAACCAATACTTTGATGGCCATGTTGATGCTGACGGGCTACGTCTCCTTGACCAATTCGCTGGCTTCTGTCTCTCGACTGACTTGGGTAAGGATTGTGAATGCTGCATGTTCTTTGCCAGCGATCCCGCTAACATTCAATCAGGCATTTGCTCGAGACAACGGACTCCCATTCTCAGCATTCTTTGCATACGTGGGCATGCCCCTACCCGAGAAACATCGCAAAAGCACACAACATCTAACACGACACACAGGTTTCACCAAAATACAAAATCCCCCTGCGCGCACTAGGACTCATCGTAGTCGTCGTCTTCCTCCTAAGCTTCATCCAGCTCGGCTCCACCGTGGCATTCCAGGGTATCATCTCGCTCTCCACCCTCGCACTCTACGCCTCGTACACGCTCCCAATCCTGTTCTTCACCGTCCACAAACTCCGCGGCAGGCCGATCAACTACGGCCCGTGGAAGATGGGACGGTACGGCGTTCTCGTCAATTTCTTCGCCATCGCCTGGGGTGTTTACAGTTGTTGCTTCCTGCCGTTTCCCCCGATGCTGCCGGTTGCGAATCCTGCGGAGCTGAATTGGTCTGGTCCGGTGTTTGGGTTTGTCATCTTACTTGCACTATTGGATTGGTTTCTGCGAGGACGGCGGAAGCATTTCACTCTGGATCGGGTGCTGGAGGAAGAGGAGGTATCGGGAAGTGGAGATGGTCGATAGAATAAGAAGAGGTAGTTAGACATGGTTCAGACGCCACTGCTGAACGTTAGATTCGGTCGACTTTCCCATTGATTGCAAGACTCGGTTTCCATCAAGGCCTTCGTTCCCGTCTCGTTTGTGTTGTTCACGACGCAATGCGTGAGGTTGCTTCTGACCAGGATGGGAGACGATCGTCACATCAGCCACTTCAGCCGCAGGCTGACTCCGGCTAAGATCGTCTGGCCACGCACCGCGCCTTCTCCGTCTCCGTTCTTCTACTAAACGCCTTACAATCTTCACTTTCAATCAAAACATGTATAGAGCTGCTGCCACGCGGTATTTCCACCCCAAACTTGGCGACAATATCTGCGATTGAGGCCACTCCGCTTTCCACTCCAACCGCCTTCTCGCCCGTTCGATCCCCCCGATCGCGCATCCTCGACGCTGCAGACGGGGAAATGAGTGTGAAGAACGGACGGGTGGCGGTCGTCGGACTGGGAGCGTCAGGCCTAGTCGCACTGAAGAATCTGCGGGAAGCCGGGTTCGATGCCGTCGGTTTCGACAGCAACGCCTACATCGGGGGCTTGTGGATGTACACCCCGGATCCCACCAAGACGTCCGTCCTGAAATCCACCGTGGCAAACCTGTCGAAGCACCTGGGCTGCTATACGGACTTTCCTTACCCGGATAACGTGCCAGACTTTCCTCTTGCGCACCAGGCTGAGGAGTACCTTGAAGCCTACGCTGACCACTTCGATTTGAGGCGGCATGCGCGACTGCAGACGAGGATTGAGCGTGTTGGGCGGCGCGATGGGCAATGGGTACTCAAGGCGACTGACGCAGGGAGTAAGACGACGAGCGAGTTGACGTTTGACCGAGTCATCATTGCAGCTGGCCTACAGGTGCAGAGTCCCAAACTCCCCGACATCAAGGGCATCGAGACATTCACCGGCCACGCCATCCACTCCAACGCCTACAAGAATCCGGAAGACTACAAGGGGAAGAACGTCGTGGTGGTGGGCCTGGGGAACACTGGCCCCGACATCGCGGTCGACCTCATCGGCTACGCAAAGAACGTTTGGCTCTCCCACCGGCGCGGCAACGCCATTTTCAGTCGACGAAATGCTTCGGGCAAGCCGGGAGACTTCGTCCTCTCCCTGCGTGGCGTGAAGCTCGGGGGAATCTTCAACAAGCACTTCCCCTCGCTGTCTCAATGGGCCGTCGTTCTGGGGATGAACCACATGACGAAGAAAAAGTTCAACATCCCGGCGGAATGGGGCCTTCGAGAAGCCCATCCGCCCACAAGGAAAGTCCCTACGCTGAGCGATACTCTGGTCTCTGCGGTGCATCAGAGCCAAGTGCACCTTAAGCGTGGTCTGACCGCGGTGAATGGCAGCACTCTTACCTTTGCCGACGGCTCTCAACTATCCGACATCGACAACATCGTCTTCGCAACCGGCTTCCGCTCCGACTTCTCTTACCTCGACCCCGCTGCAGATCCCACGCGAGACACGCGCAAAGACTGGTCAGGCCTGCCTGGTGCAAACTCGCGCCCGCTGCCCCGACTCTACCAGGGCATCTTCTCTCTCGATTTCCCGGACTCGCTTGCTTTTATTGGCACCAGTCCGCTGACGCCGCAAGCAAACATGAACTACGACATCTCCTCCGCCGCCGTCGCGCAAATCTGGGCGAGCAAGTCAACCCTGCCAAGCAGAGCAGAAATGGAGCAACACGTCGACGCGCAGCACGAAAGTGTCTGCCGCATAGCCGCTACGGGCGAATTGGCCAACACCAACCTGCGGAACAATTGGGACTGGTACAAGTGGTGCGATGAGGCCGCAGGCTTGGGGGTGGTCAAGCGGACGAGCTGGAGCGTTGAGGGATGGAAATTTTGGCTCGCGGATCGGCAGCTGAGCAATTTGGTGAATGGGGGCATCTTTACTCCGCACATCTTTCGACTGTTCGACGAGGGGAAGCGAACGCCATGGGAGGATGCACGCAAGGCGGTGGAGAAGACGAATGCGGATGCGAAGGTGGAGCGCACGCCGTGACTGCCTTCGAAGTGTTTTGTTATATCGAGCCGTGAGTCGTGGACAGGCATCTCACAGCCTTGAAGCCCAACGATCCCGGCTTTCCGAAGCATCGATTTGGTTGCACTGGACTTCGTATCGTAGTTGGGTTTCAAGCACCTTGCATAAGTCGATCCCGTTGCTGCGCCAATGGAATATCCTCGCCGCCCACCCACCCAGCATCGCCGCGGATGCAGACTTCCCAACCGGGAAATCAGAGATGCAAACGCTTGACATAAAAGCTTGGCCGAATGCTTATATGCGAGATGTACAGTAGATGCATGTAATACTGTGTGACTTCCGATCTTGGAATACGGGGGCACTACTATTCCGGCCGGCGTGCATATGGCGATGAGGTCGTGAATTTTCAAGGTCGGGCTAATGATTACGACCGCTTGAGAGCACTACCTTGAATGGTGCGTCCTCCAAAAGCTTCTCGACACGACAATCGTTGTGTTGACTTGGTCCGAGGTAGGAACTTGCATCTCCGGCATGCTTTCCCACCAGCCATGCTTTCAAGCAGGTGCAGAAGCACTATTGGCGGCAAGCGGCATGAGAGGCGAGTTTCATGCGGGTCTGAATGGTTACGCAGATACGAGATCGACCGGGACAGAGACGATCGATCAGCATCTACTAGTGACTCGAAGGGACGTGGGCGACGTGACGGCCGGATGTCCATGATTGAGAGCCGGTCGACTGTTCTATCGTCTGCTGTCGATAGATAAAAGATCGGGGTGTCGAAGCTCCATCAAGGCATCGGAAATGCAGAGTCATGTGTAAGCCCTCTTCTTCCTCACTACTGTATTCATTCCTGGCTGTCACGACCATCCGCGTGCGGCGCAGCACCTCTCCGTCAAAATCGGACACTGGCCATCCATCATTTCCGATGCCTTCCAAAGGGGAAGAAACGTTTTGAAATACGAGGCAATCACCCGATAGCGCCGCCGATCTTTAACGAAACCCTCGCGCCCGCATGCGTCGCGGCGCCGATCCTGATCTAATCCTCCGGCCGCACCAATCGCATCCTCCCCACGTTTGGTTGCTCCGCGGAAGCCATCATTTGGGAAGAGCACGACTGTTGTGATTGCACTTTCAACTGTGCGTGGTCTTGCATCGGGATGTTTGCATCACCGTGCGATGGCCGCTTTCGAACGAGGTGCAAGGGGTGCGCATTGCACGTCCGTTTTTCCTCAACGGCTTTGAAAGTGTATTATTATAGCTGCGTACGTCTGCCCGTGGCTCCTGTTCTTCCTTCTTTCGTGCCTTTCGACAGTCTTTCGTTCACCCGTTTACATTGCATTCACGTTCACTTCACCATGAAGCTCACTTCATACTCCATCTTGTTCGCTTTGGCGAGCACCATCGCCGCCGCGCCTGTCCCTGGTGCAACCCCTATCACCACGCCGACATCTACCCTTACGGCGGTCCCCTGCACCGCCGCCACCAACGCAGATGTGTTCCCCTTTGAGGGCACCGCCGAGCCCGGTGACGATAGCGAAGCTGCGGGTTCTGCAGCATCTGAAGGCACCACCCAAGCGAATCAGCGGACTAGCGAAATCACCAAGCCTGGGGCAGCGCAAGATAGCTCTTTCTCCTCGGCCTGCAGTGACCATGGAAAGAGCGCGTCTTCGGTTTCGTCGGGCGCGGGCTCGGGCGGCGACGACGGCGTCGATGACACGGACTCAAACTCGAGCGCGTCAGCAGGAGTTACGAACCCTGACGCCGTGGACGCGCAGTCCGACGGGCTCTCTAACGCGGTATCCCGAACCATGAACACTCCTCTTGGGCCAGTTTCCGTGTCTTCGTCCGCGGCTGCTGCCGCTGCCGCGGATGCGAACGGTGATGACGCAGCCAGTGCATCTAGCAGTGCTGAAATGGACACCCCGCTCACTGGCCCTATCCAAGCAAACGCGACTGCTATAGAAAGCGTGGGCCAGGCAGTAGCAAATGCCGATAGCACCAATGGCGATACCAGCAACGATCAACCGGCCTCATCGTCAGGGCAAACCGCTGCAACCGGTGCCGATGCCCAGGGTGCACCGTCTGATACTACCGGCACCAACCCAGATACTTCGGATACCCAATCGCAGTCCCTGGACAATCCCAACGGAGACGCTGGAGCAGTCGCTGCGAGCGGTGGCTCGCCTAGCGGGTCAAATGCGCACGCAAAGTCTGAGGCAACCGGGAACGGTGCTAATAACAATGCGGCGGCAGGGAACGCCGGAGCTGCCCCTAATGGTGCTGGCGCAGGCACGGGCGCGAGTTGAGTTGGAGATTCTCCGTCAGTCCATCAGGGAGCGCGGGACGCAGCAGTTTTCGCGGCGAGTTGGCGACTTCATACGTATTTCTCCGCTCAATGCCAGCCCTTTACTTCGCGAAGACTGTGCTCGAGCTTTGTCCAACTTCTCACGTCCTCGAGGCTGCGACAGTATCTGCTTCCCATCCGCAATCGCTACGTCATGTCGACGTTCGCCGAGAATCGCCGGCCGGATGTCGGCGTCTATGGGTAAGCAGGAAACGTACTCGGTAGCCGCGCGGGCGATAAGTTATTGCTCAAACCCCGCATTACCCTCTTCTACCCTGGTCTTCTATGCGTCTTGCCATTGGCCTGCGATAGCCGCGGTGGGGATTTCGCCACATGGCTCTCGTCGATACCGCCGCGCCGGCACGGCCACGGCCATCTCTTATCTCGGTCAAGCACTTGCCTAGAAATCTGTCAGACCCCCTCGAATGTTCTCCAATATATTATCGTCACCACCTATCGACGCACCATTGATTCTGCTGCCAACACTGCTCGTTCTCAGGTCTTGTTCTCAGCAATATGTCTTTCAACGATCGGGCGCTGCCCGGCATGCCGCCCGGCACCGTCTACCTGAATGGTACGTGCCCAATGAACAAGGACATCATGGTACTCGACTAAACAACCACAGATTTGACGGCCGCCCGCGGAGCCAAGGAGGAAATCATTCTGCACCCCGTGCCATCGACCGACCCAAACGATCCTCTGGTGAGTGCTCATCGCTCTCGCCACCCTACACAATACTAAACACACGGCCAGAACTGGACCCAGCGGCGCAAAATTGTCAACTTCGCCTTCGTCTCCTTCTACACCACCCTCGTGTACGCTCTGGTCAACATCCAAACGGTCACGTGGGGAGATCTCAACACGCAGCTCGGATTCAGCTTCGGCATTCTCAATGACAGTTACGCTGCGGGCACTGCGGCTCTCATGGTGGGAGGGGTGATACTCATCCCCTTCGCATTGAAATATGGCCGCCGCTTCGTCTACGTTATCAGCCTGCTGATTCAGACGGGTATGGCGGTGTGGTACGGCCGCACGCATACCGTCGGCGATTTGATGGGCAGCAATGTCATCAGTTGCGTTGTCGGCGCTCTCTCGGAGATCATGGTGCAAATGACCGTAGCGGATGTCTTCTTCGTGCATGAGAGAGGCTTCATGAACTCCATTTACTACTGGGTCGCCACTGTCGGATCGAGCTTGGCGGGTATCCCGGCGGGTTATATCACCTCGAGCTCTCTTGGCTGGCGCTATGTTTGGTACATTCTCACGATCCTTCTCGGCGTCCTCTTCCTGCTGTTCTTCTTCTTCTACGAAGAAACGTACTACCAGCGGCGCAAAGCCGACATCGTCGACGGCGAAGTGGTTGGCGCGACCTCCGAAGCCAGTATCCCCGGCAATGACAACCGGGTCAACGAGATCGAGATGACGACGCCGGAGAAGCTGAGCAACGGAGACTCGAAGGACAGGTATCATGAGAGCCTGCACAACGTCAACATGGAGTTGCCACAAGTGCAGACCGTCGCGCACCGCTACGTGGACTACTCGATTCCGCAGAAGCCATATCTGGAAAAGCTCAAGCTTTCGATCCCCACGCCCGCGCCCTTCTGGTACTACTGCAGGCATTCGTATCAATGCTTCGTGGTGATGTGGTACATTCCGTCGGTCGCATACATGGCCGTGCTCAACGGCGCCTCGAACACCGCGCAGATCATTTGCATCACCGTTCTCTCCAACTACCTGCTCGACGCCCCCTACAACTTCAGCGAAGCCGATGTTGGCCTGATGGGACTGGCTGCGTTTATTGGAACGGCGACATGCGCACCGCTCATTGGGCGTTTGAGCGATCGGATGATCGTCTGGATGGCGAAGCGCAATGGCGGCATCTACGAGCCGGAGATGCGTCTATGGCTCATTCTGCTGTCCGCTCCTTTCTTCGTCCTAGGAATGCTATTGTTCGGACTCGGACTATACCATAAGCTGCCGTGGCCAGTCATTGCAGTGGGCTATGGCATTGTGAACTTCTCCATCACTCCAGCAGGCAGCTTGTCTCTCACCTATCTAACGGATGCATACACAGAGGTGCGTCTTGCAACGTCTTGACTATGCCCATGAATACTAATAGCAGCGTCAGATCATCGCCGACTGCCTCGTCGGGCTCGTCGTCGTCAAATTCGGCTTCGCGACCATCATCGTCTTCGCGCTGACGCCCTGGATCAACCTCGACGGCCTGCAGAACATGTACATCATCGTCACCTTGGTCTTCCTTGTCATATACGCCGGGAATTACCTGCTCATTCGCTACGGCAAGAGGCTGAGAGAGCGGTGCGCGCCGAAATACTTTCAGCTTGCGGATCGCCAGATTCTGAATGTTCGCTGAGTGGGATGGTTGTTTATTCGCATCAGGTGGACAGCGTTGCTTAGCGTTTTTCGAGTGTTCATCCTGCACTTTCATGTCCGCTTTATCGGCAAGAAATGACCCAATCGAGCCGCAAGCCAACCTCAAATACATACACCCATTCGATACGTCTCCCGTTCGATGAGAATCCGCGCAGTGCCCGCTCACTAATCCTCCATCAGATTCGCGTCACTTTACTAACCGATTCGCGCGCCTGCCAAACGAGTCGACGAAGCCTGTATGTATTACTGATCTGCAGATCCATCGCCCGTGAAGCCCCGCCTCGGCCCTACGATCGAGCGGCCATGTAGCTGACTCAATGGATGTTGGGATTACTCAACGGCGGGACTACTTACAGACGGGTACCCGGGGTTTGGTGCTTCAATGGGGGAGTTAAATATCCTCGTAAGCCGCGCTGTACACACGCTTTTGTGGTGCTAGCCTTGTGGCTGCGACTGTTTCTCGTGACCTCCCAGCCTCGCCGTCCCAATAATACTTCGTCTGAGGAAGGTGCTAACTTTGTGCCAACCCGACCACGCAACACGTCCCCACCATGACCGCACCCGGTACGTTAACGAGCATTGCAGTCAAAACCGCAAACAACATCGGGTCCCAGCCGCTAACATTGGCGCAAGGCCTGAGCACCAAAGCAGTCCGCTTCGCCGACCCCTGGATCCCCAACGCAAGCGACAGAACACCCAAGCAGGCCTTCCTCGAAGCGTATGTAGTCCACGTTGAAGCGGGAGAATACACCACCGTCCCCCTGACGAAATGGTACTCGCCACACTGCACATTCCACACTCAGAACGGGACCAACTACCACGGAGCCGACGCGATTGGGAAATGGATGCGCGGCCCGGTGTTTGGCGCCTTTGAGAAAGTGCAGCACGATCTGGGCGCGTACGTGGAGATCCAGAAGGATGAGGAGAGTTCTTGGATATTCTTCTCGGCTACTAGGAATGTGTTTCTCAAGGGGAACACGGGCGAGACGCCCGACGTGACCGTTCCCGTGCTTTGGGAGTGTGTTATTGGGCCGGCGGAGTCGGAGGATGGGTTCGATGGGTTGCAGTTTAAGATGGTTCGTCTCTGCTGGGATACGGCTGGCGTTGCTGCGAAGATGAGAGAGCGCAGGCAGTCGTATCAAGGGGCATCTTGACGGCCTCAGATATGAAAGAATGGATGTGGAGTTATGGAACCGTGCGAATAATTACAGCAAGGATGCCGCTGGTGCTCGAATTTGGCGAGTCTTAATCTTCTCTGGAATAATGGACAATGGGAGGCGTATAAGTCCGTGCCAGGAACAGATAGCACAGCCCCGCGAGGGCAATGACACCCACGAAAACAACCGGGCCGTAGTTCACATTAGTCCTGTGAAGAGAGATGTGTCAGTCATATCCTTCAGTAGACCGGGAGAGTATATTGAACTTACGAAGTGACAGGAGCCAGTACAGGAAAGTATGAGAAGACAACGAGCTGGGCATTGTACAAGAATGCAATCACGTTCACGAACAAGCCCGCTCGTCCCAGCGAAAACTGCCGAGGCGGAAGGCCATTTCCACGAAGCCGACAATAGATCAGGGAGCCGATGCTGAGGACGTAGCTGCCACACACGGCGCCCGTGGCCAAGGAGATGATGGCATCGTAGACTTCCGAACTCGCCAGGTTCAAGAGCGCGGAGAAGACGGTGAGCCAGTTTGCTGCTAGCGTGGCGAGGACGGGGACAGGAGTATTGCCGACTACTCGTACCGCGGCCCACCATCTGGACAGTGGGAATCCGCCGTCGCGGGCAAAGGCCCAGCCTTCTCGTGATGCTGCGGCGATCGAGTTGACGGCCGCGGCGAAAGAGAGCACTACGATTGCGGCGGTCATGCCAACCGCGCCGGCTTGGCTCCCCACTGCGCGCTGGAAGATGCTGATGAATGGGTATACGGCGGTGGAATCGACGATTTGTTGCTGCAGACTCTGGATGCTGTAGTTGATGGTGATGCACATGGCGAAGCCTAGTGCTGGGCCCAGCACGACCGTGCCTACCATGGCCCAGGGGACGACCAACGATGCGTTGCGAACTTCTTCAGCCATGTGGACAGCAGCTGTTCGAAATGCAATTAGACTTTAAGAATGGGATCACACAGAAGCGAGACTGCTCACCATCCGCCCCGATCATCGCTCCTCCCGAAGTTAACTGTCCAATCGCACATGCGAGCCCCAGATTGGCCCAACCGCCGAAGCTGCCAAATCGTGTCCAGACTTCCGTTGAAGACGCCTTGGGCGCCAGGACCCAGAGGGGGATCAGCACCGCAAACAGGCCGGCAAAGAAAAAGAGAAACATCCATCTCTCGAAAAAGGGCAAGCCTCTTGCAGCGAAGATGTTGAAGAGCGCGGCGATGATGGCGATCAGGATGGTGATTAAGGCTTCCTGCCTGCAGAGGAGCACATTTGTGAGCAAGGCAAGCAGCACTCGAACTAGCCATTTGGAATTACTTACCACTTCGTCGGCACATACTGGGGGTTCGTGATCGAGGCGAGAATGAGGATGATGTTACCCGTAGCGAAAGCGGACGCTGCAGCGAAAGCCTGCCACCCAAGAGTACTCAGCCATCCAGTGAGGTAACTGAGAGGCTTTTGCAGTCGTGGTGGCGCGAAGATGGACACCCAATGGTACTGGCCTCCCGCGACCGGCGCGATCGACGCCATTTCAGCGAGGGAGAGGACGGTGAACACCGAAAAGACCCAGCTGGCCACGTAGATCCACGAGGCGCCGCCGCGGCCGCCGTTGAGAAAGACGAAGGATAATGAGGTCAGCCAGGAGAACCACGTGCCGCCCACGATTACGTTGAGGCCGAGGATGGATAGCCATGTGAAATTCCTCTGGTGGAGGTATGTGAGCAAGATATGATATATGGCTGCAACAGAGAGACCATACCCTAAGCTGCTGCTTGACCCCCAGCCGTTCCATATCACGACGGTCCTGCTCGCTGCCCTTCTCGCGCTGCGTATCATCCGACGAGCGCATGTCCTCGTGGTCGGTGGTCTGAGAGACGGTAAACTTGTCCATGGCTGCTACTGCTCGTGACGATCAAGAATCGCGCATATAAACACCGCCCGACAGGCAAGATGGTCGAGAGCAAAGAGTCCAGAGAGGAGTAAATCAGTTGTGCGCACACCCACATCATCGTCCTTAGTAACGGCATTGGGGCCAGCCGATCATTCACAAGGCCTTAGTAACAGCATTGTGCAACCGATGATCCCAAAAGCCCGCAGAGCAGCTGCATGTGGTCCCGCTCCACACGGGGGCTGAAAAAGAGAATGAGTATACATCTCGCACAGCTCGGGATATCGAAGAAGATATAGGATAGACGAGCTGCGGTGACGGTACGAAGATGGATGAAGAGAGAGAGGTCAATGGGGAAAGTCATTCGGTCGTAGTCCTTGGAGTCTGCCCCCCTCCGGCATCGGCAGACGTCACATCAATCGGCTCCATTTTCAACCCACCCCCTCCGAACCCACCATTCAATCCCCCTCTTACCTCGTTAATTACGAACCACCAAGGTCATCCCCGTAACGCCATCGCCCAAAATGCAGCTCATCCGCGGCGCCCACAAGCCCGAGACAGCCTCGCGGCAGCCTACCGAAACATTTACCGGGACGGTGCATATGGATCCCATCTTCACTGCTTCTGATTGTCCGTTCACCATTGGAGCATGTCGCTGCTTTGCACAGCTCTTTGTATCTACCGTCCTTCAACGTCTCGGTGCTGATTTGATTTTGTAGGCATGGGCAACAACGTCATGTTCACCTGCGTACGCAATCGCCAGTCCTTCCCCAACGACAACGTAGCTTGACGTCTTGAATCTGACCTATTTGGCATATACAGGGCGCCCGCACCTTCTGGCACACGCACGAACGCGGCCAAATCCTAACCGTCACGATGGGCGAGGGCTTCATTTGCTCAAAGGGCGAGGCGCCGCGACGGTTGAAGGTGGGGGATGTGGTGCATGTACGTTCTTCGCCATTGTCTATACTGTAGACCATGTCTGACTAATTGATATTGTAGATCCCCGGTGGCGAGACGCATTGGCATGGTGCGACGGATAGTACTGTCAGTATGTATACCCGACGACTGCTGTATCTGTGAGGAGGGGTAAACTGTGCTGATTAGTTTGATTCACAGTGGCGCATACGGCTATTTCGCTTGGGAGTGAGTATCATTTCCTGCTCTCACGATCAATAAGCTATGCGCTGGATCAAGACTGACATTATTGACGCAGAAACATCCTGGCACGAAGAGCTGCCGCAGGAGGAGTACAAAAAGGCGGTGGAGACGGCGCAGTGATTTGGCGAGGAAACTAATTAGATGTCGTCGCTCAGGAAAAAGGATAGAGTGAGCACGTATCATCACTTGGAATACAGAGTATACAGGTAGCTTGAATCTCCCTTTGTCCATCTGTGACCCAATAGACACTGCCGCACCGCGACGTTTAATTTGTGGGCATTGGCCCGCGCAAATGATAGGTATCTTCCAATCAATTCTCGGCCCAATCGACCTCCAGCGTTCGTGCACGGTGCCTGTACAATTCGCTTGCCGCCAGAGCTGACTGTCACGATGCATCCTCATTTCTTGCCCGAAGATTGCCCGGTGGCATCACCAATCGCCTTTTCCTGCTCCTCCTGCGCTTTCATCTCGCGCACCTTGGCCAGCACGACCTAGGGAGAGAACAGTCAGCACGGGAACTGAGTTATCCAATGGGAAGAAAAGGGATATCTCACCTCACGGAAGATGGCGCTCTTGGCCAATTTCGAAAAACTCTTCTTCTCTCCCGTTGCGCCGTCTGGCGCAGCAGCGGCGCCACCTATCGCTTCTTTTGCAGCTTGGTCAGGGTTGGGCGGGACATCGGCACTACCAGGCGCAGCCTCCTCTTCGTCCTCCTGCATCTTCAAAGCCTCGATACGATTGGACAACTTGACGAGCTCGACACCTCGCTTGAGTCTCGCGCGCGCCATGTATGCCTTGATCTCGGGCAGCAAGTTGTGATCGGTGGCACCACGACCAGCGATCCAGGGGTCTTTGAGGGCCTGGGTGCTGGTGGCGCGATCATGTGGGTTGGGCTTGAGCAGGGTGAGGATGAAGTCCTTGCCTTCTTGCGACACGTCCTTCCAGTATCGCTCGTGGAAGACGACGCGGCCGTGCTTTGTTTCGTCGATGAGGTCGGGCAGGGATTCGGAGCGGAAGGGGGAGTAGCCGCAGAGGAGGGTGTAGGTGATGACGCCGAGGGACCACATGTCGACCGGTTTGCTATGGCCCTTCTTGAGCATGACTTCCGGTGCGGCGTAGCCGAAGGAGCCCGCCATTGTCTTCAGCACGCCGTCGGGGCTGTCGAGGTGCTTGGCGATGCCGAAATCTGCCAACACCAGTTGGGAGTCGGGGTCGCGGGTGACGTAGAGCAGGTTCTCGGGCTTCAGGTCGCGGTGCACGACGTCGTTTTGGTGCAGGTAGTCGACAGCCTCCAGCACCTGCCGTATTGTCTTGCTCGCATCTTTCTCCGTGAACTTGCCCTGTTCGCAGATGCGGTCGAACAGCTCGCCACCCGTAGCAAGCTGCGTAACGATGTAGTATTTATCTCTTGATTCGAACCAATCGACGAAGCGGACGATGTTGGGGTGACGCAGGCGTTGTAGCATGTCGAGCTCGTCGTACACCATCTGGTCGTTGCCCTTGACGTTCTTCTTCAGGATGATCTTGATGGCCACTTTGCCTCCGGGCCCGTCTGCTTCTTTGACGATACCGTAGGTGCCGGCGCCGAGGGTGCGACCCATGCGATAGCGGGATTTGCGTTCGTAGCTCTCGGGCTGGCCGTGCAGCTTGTTGAGCATGTTGGCGACTGGGAGGCACATTGTTAGCATGCGCGCACGAAGTGGAGAGTGGATGCAAGAAGAGGATACGATAGGGATTGGCCATGGTTTTAACAGTGGGCGGTGGAAGGAGGGTGAAGCGTGGGAGGGGGAGGCCAGACGAGTGAGACGAGACAGAGGTGTTCCAGAGGGAGAAGAGGTGATGAAGCAATAGGCTGATGGGTGTCTGAGGGTGCTGGGTAGATGCGCGCACGCGGGAAGAGACTTACAAGACATGTTGTCGGATGCGCCGGGGGCAGCCTCGAGGCTACCGTGTCTGGAGTGCGCTTTCCTTCTTCAATGGCCCCGCTCTTGCTCAACAATCTTCGGTGGTCGGAAGGGCGTAGGGAAGGCGCGAGTGTCCCTGTTATGTCATGCCGAGGTGTATGCACCTGTCTCCAAGGTCTGCGCAGGGAGTGAGAGGATACAACAGGAGAGAGTGTCCAGTCTTCAACGAGGTGAAGTAGGAATAATCATTAAGGTAGGGAGTCTTCGCAGCGACACAGCCACAGTCAGTCATGCATGTTTCAGGCGGGCGGTGGGGCTTGGCCCGCGCCGATCCATGCACCTCAGAATCGGGCTATTCTTGCGCTGTTTGGGTTGCTGTTCAGGTCACGATACGAGATCATAGAATCTCCATCTTCAGTCACGGAGCTCATTGGCGCATCATGTGTTCTACTGATTCGCATTGTGCAAATTGTCACGTGTCACATTGCTGAGGCAAAGTAGGTAATGGCACCCGCATGCACGTGCTGGCGTGACGGCCTGAGCTGCCCCGCGTTGCCTCAGGCTCCCTTCCCTGAACTGCAGTGAAGCTCCACTTTCCACCTCTCATGGTCAACCTCGCCTTGTCTGCCTACGGACCGCCACTCTTCCCGCCTTCATCTGCCATCCTCACCGCCATTTGGCACTCGACATCTTCACCACTCTCCATCGTCTTCGTTCGCAGCGCTTCATTGCATTCTGGCCCGGCGCTAATCCACGCCGCCCTCTTCCAGCATGGCTGGCATGAGCAGCAAGCGGCTGCAAAAGGAGCTGGTCAAAGTAACACACTTCACGCCCCCCCATCTTGAACCCCCAACTCATCCATCTCCTCAGATCCAGACCACCTCCCTCCCGCCCGGCATCGCCCTTGTCTGCGCCCCCGACCTCCGCGAGTGGCAGATGGACCTCAGCATCCTCGACAACCCCCTCTACCCGCCCACCGACAAGTACCGCCTGCGCTTCATGTTCAGCTCCTCCTACCCCATCGAAGCCCCCGAAGTCGTCTTCGCCGCTGTCTCCACCCCCGAACGCAAGATCCCTCTCCATCCCCACATTTACAGCAACGGCATCATTTGCTTGGACTTGCTGGATAAGCAGGGCTGGAGTCCGGTGCATAACGTTGAGAGTATATGTATCAGTATACAGAGCATGTTAGCGGGGAATACCAAGGCTGAGCGTAAGTCTTGTCGAAGAAGAAAATGTTCGCGCTTTGGTCCGGATGATTGCTGAATCTTCTGCTCAATTAGGACCTCCGGGAGATGCGGAGTTTGTGCGGTCAAATCGGCAAAGACCTCGGGACATCAATTTCCTCTATCACGACCCCAAGGTCTGATCACAATCGCTGCACCAACGACTTGCAAACCAACGCCTGTGCTCCGAATAGAATGTACCGACTGGGAAGCGAAGGCACACACTGCTCATCCCACGGCAACTACAAAGCTACTATCAGGAAGATGAATGATGGGAAGCTGAAGGGCCTAGACGACGTTGGAACGGCTTGCAAGGCCCATGCACCCCTCCTAAACCCGACACTATGGCAACCGGAGGTTTTTTGGTTAGATATCTGCCGCCTCGACTGTACCCACTCCTTGGGCGCGCAGCTGCAAGCTTCGGGATCGAGGCGCTCCGTTGTGAAGTCTGAATGCTCAGGATACCAACAACACGATTGGTGAAGCACTCCCTTCTGGTTCACGGGTTGCTGCACAGTACAACCTCTGCGAGAAGGTCCACGATATCGCTAGCCGATGCCAGCAATATTGCCCGGTTATGACAATACAATGATCATCTTATTCTTTTTCAATGCTCTGTTGCACATCTGCTCGTACTCCCCCAAGCCTCAAAGCCCAGTTAATCACCCGCAGACGCTACCTGATTTATCAGGCTGCGAGCACTTGACACCAGCCGATCCGCGGATGCTTAGTCAGCCACCAACCTCGGCTCGCGGTCCGATGTCATTGACGACGCGCCCTCTTCAACGACATTGCCTTGCACGATCCACACATCTTGCAAATTATGGATGTGTCATGGCGATGAAATGGCTCTCTCGCCCGCGTCGAAGGCGAGTAACACCCTATCAAAGCCCCTCAAATTGTTGCGCCCCTCCTAACAACCACACAGAAGGCGTTAGCCAACCTCCGCTCCTTTGCCTCCGGTCCCACAAACTACTACAAATGCCCTCTCCCCCGGCGAGCAGCGGTCTTGATCCTGCTCATAGCAGACCGTAGAGGCGACCTGCGAGTGGTACTAACCATCCGCTCCGCCACCCTGAAAAACTGTACGTGCAACCAACCTCCACAGCCAGCACCCAGGGCGAGCACTAATCCCTCCCCACCCAGATGCCGGCCAAGCAGCCCTCCCAGGCGGCAAAGCCGACTCCCTCTCCGAATCCCCCTTCTACACCGCCCGCCGCGAAGCAATGGAAGAAATCGGCCTCCCGATGAGCGACCACAAACTCCCCGCAGGCTACAGCGTCGAGCACCTCACCGAGCTGCCCACCAACCTCGCCATGACGGAGCTGGGCGTGCGGCCGTGCGTCGCGTACCTCAAAGCCCCTCCTCCGTCGGCGCAGAATCGCAACCCTGATGCGGCGCGGGATATCCTGCCTACGCTGGATGCGAGGGAGGTCGCGGCGGTGTTTACGGCGCCGTTTTACAATTTCCTCAAAGAGAGGGATGTCGATCCGGATGTTAGGCGGGATACGCCGGGCGAGTGGTATAAAGGGACGTGGCACAGCTGGCACGAGACGGCGTGGCGCATGCATCAATTCTGGGTGCCCGTGTCGCCGAGCACCGTCTTTCTCGCGAATTACAAACAAGAGCGACGCAAAGACGCCGACACCACCGCTGTGAAAAGCCCGTCCTCCAAGGCCGATGCTTCGAACCCGAAATCCGTGCAAAGTCAAGGCTCGAGCGGTCGCTCTTCGTCCTCTTTGCAGCCCCCGCTCCCGCGCTCCTTCTACTCTATCGCAGGCGATGCGCTCGCTCAACCGCGCTACCGCGTCTTCGGCATGACGGCGAGGATTCTAGTCGACTGCGCGCGCGTCGCGTTCGGCGAGGAGCCGGAGTATGAGCATAACAGCCACTTTGGCGATGAGGAGATGATCGATCGGCTGATTAGAATTGGGCGGCTCAGCTCCATCAAAAAGGAAGGGGAGGTGCTGACGCGGGAAGTCATGATGAAGGCCGCTAAGGCTAAGATATAGATGTCGCTCGGCGCGGGAGGTCATGTTCATGTTCATGTTGATGTCCACGGTGTAGATAGGAGTGGGATATCTAGAGAGGGCACATGCGATCACAAATACCCCAGACCCCCACCCCCAACAGCCTCCAAATCGCTCCGCAGAGTCCACACATCCGCTCCCGCGCGGCCCAACACTTCCGACCTTCTCGCTGCGCCCAGCTCGCCGATGCGCTGCACCAAAGACCCGTCAATCACGCCCCGCGCTTCGAACCCTTTGTTCTCCACCGCGCGGTACGCTCGCGGGTTCAGACCGGCCGCTTGCTCCAGCAGGGAAGTCAGTTGTGTTTGGATCGAGCCTAGGCGGCGGTATGTTGCTTCGTCTAGGGGGGTGATCAAGCCTACGGCGCCACTGGTAGTCGTAAGTAGGACTTGTGACAAGGCGGTGCTGTCTGCAGTCCTGTCGCTCGAAGCCGTGTCACCATTTGCCAACAATGCTTGTGCTGCGCCTTGGGAGGATAGTGTTGAGGGCAGTAGCGTCATGCCGCTCGCGAAGTGCCCTAGATGCATCGTGCTGCGGTGCAGCAGACGCGCGCCGGACATTGATTTAGGGTTCTCAGGGTCGTATTGTAGGACGTGCAAATCCATGTCTGCGTCGACAATTAGGAGGAAGAGTTGTCCATCGTGCGGCAGGAACTCCGCAGCGACGACTTCCATGCGCGCCCGGCTCTTGCCGAGGACGGAGAGCTTGTACGGCTCCTCCGTGAAACCGCCGAACCAAAGGCCCTTCCATGCGTCCGCAGCGAGGAACATGCCTGTGCGGCCGAGGGTTTTGAGCTGCGTCGTGTAGCACTGGGCATCGAGGAAAGCGACGGGAAGGCAGGAGGCGTCTTCTTTCAGACCGCGAATCATGATTTTCTGCCCCTGCGCTGTGCCGATGAGGCCGCCGTTGAAGGGCGCCACGGCCGTGATGGCGCCGCGAGTCTCCTCTCGCGAATGGAGATGCAATTTGCAGCCACTCTCGGCGCGCTCGGGGTCGGGGACTACATCGAGGAGTTCGTAGATGCTGACGACGCCTTTGGCTGGCATGTCTTCGCCGCGCTGGAGGGCGGTGCCGACGACAATCATGGATTTCTGTTCGTGTGAGTGCTCGGAGATTTCGAGGGGCATTGCCTTAAGAGATGTGACGGTTTCGAGGTAGGGTAGATCGGCGGAACTGATGATGTTGCGAGTGGTTGCTGAGAGGAGGTGGAGAGTATATTGCGGGCCCTGAGGCCGAAGTGTGACATCTAAACATAGCTTGTCAGCGGTGTGCCGCAATATGAAACCACTGGGTAACTTACCATCTTGTTCGTGGTGCTTTCCGTCGTCCTCGGGAAAGTAGAAATCAACATCTCGGCACGTCGCCACAACATACATCTGCTTGTCAGCGTGGTAGGTGATATGTGAGACCTCCCCACTCGGAGTGCCAACCCGCATGCGCCGGACCGCCCAGCCGGTGCTATAGTCAGTTTCGGAGGGCATGCGGCACTCCGTGAAGTCACCACTCGAGTTGATGGTCGCAAATCCGTCACGACAGGCTGCATGGTTGAGCGTAGTTATCGCCCTCACACCTCTGGCCCGGACCCCAAGGGCTTTCGGCTGGCCGTACGGCTCTTTCAGGATGAAGCTAGGTTCACTTCCGGGGATGTAGATTACATTGCGCTCTCCGATGATCATCGTTTGCAGAGGGGCGGGTTTGCCGTCATTTTCCTCTGCCGTGGTTTCGTCGAATTTCGGCATGTACTGAAAGGGGACCTTGCGGAAGCGCAGACTTGTTTCCCAGGGGCCGGAACCGCTTCGCCAGGGCTCATAGAGTGTCAAATCATCCAGTGCACTGCGGAGGACGAGATATGGCTGCCTGCATAAGCCCGTTCCGACATCGGTCACCAGAAGCTCGGTCAGCGTCTCTCGGACACCACCTCTTCGCTGGACGGCGTCTGGGGAGAGCACAGCAGGTAGGTTGGGAAGACCTGAGATCGCAAATGCCACGGAGAGAGTGGAGAGTTTGAGCACCGTCAAGCCACCCGCGCCACTCAGAAGGAAAGCCAGCGTCTCATTGTCGAACAACGGACCGCGGTACAAGGAGCCGCCCAACCACTTGGTATCTTTGAGCACGCCTTCGGCTTCCAGGGGCTCGAAGTCACCGCTGGCATCAGCCTTGAGAACAACGACGGTGCTATCGTCGCGAACAACCAAGATGTAGGGGTGACAGAAGGCGGTGTGCACAATGTTCAATTCTGCATCTGTGGCCTCGTCGAGCATGGGAATGATTTGGCCTAGGGTCCAGTCGGGTGCATCATACATCCTGAGCTCGCTTCGTCGGCAATGTAGGATACGACTGCCGCCATCAAGCACATAGACTGCGAGAGTCTCGTCTTCAGCCTCGAAGTCGGTGTCTGTGCGCTCTCTATACTGAGGTTTGTCCTTTGGCTCATCGGAATGCACAATGTCGTACAGCTTGGTGCCTTCGCTACCATAGACGCATAATAAATTGTCCAGATCATCCACGGATTCGCCGTCTTTGGCCTTGGTCTTTAAGCTCCACACATTTCGTGCGTCTGCGAAGGGCGTAGACCAGAGGACTTCGGGAGTGATCTCTCGACTCATGAAAGCAAGCCGACTTCCTTTGCCTCGCCCAGTTGCCGCCGCGAGTTCGAGCTTATCCTTTGGCATTGACTCGGAGCGACCAAAGCACACATCATTGATCGGGCCTAGGGACGGTAGGGTGTCGAGTAAAGTGAAGGAGTATGCGGAAGCTGCATTCTTCGGTGATGCGTTCAGGATCGGCTCTGATGGTTTCGCCGCAGATGCATAAAGATCATCTTCGTCGGCGTCTTCGTCTTCTTCATCGGCCTGCTCAGATTCGAGCATTTGCGCATGCGAACGTTTCCGGCTCAGCGTTGTGCTGGGCCTGGTCCAGCGGAAAAGCGCGGAGTCGCCATCGTCGCTTCCAACAAACACCCTCCTATCCGGAAGCGCAATCACACAGGACGGTGCTGTCTCAATCAATTCCCCGCCCTGCTCGGCGGATAGACGGGAAATTGTGAAGCCGCCAACGTTCTTGCCAACGATTCGGAAAGTCAGAATCGCCATTGACCCATCGCTCAGCACAATCAGCACATCACCAGTCTTGGGATCCAGCGCCTGGACTTCGCAATCTTCGAGTTTCATATTCAGATCGGACTGATCAGCCATGCCAAAGTTGCTCGCCGTCTTTGCAAATTCATTGACAGCGACCGCATTCGTTCTGCCACTCTGATCCACATGAACAATCTCGTTCGTGCCGAGTAAAAGCGCTCCACCTACTGGCAAAGATAGAGGAACGACTTTCCAGAGATCCGAGGGCAGCTTCGGTACGGAGACCAGGTTGGTGGATGCGCGTTGGTCGAGATCGAGCGTGTAGACGGTATAGGTCAAGATGTCTTTGCGCTCCTCAAGCAAAGCGAACGAAGGCTGAACGGAGGCGGAGAGGATGCCAAAGGTGGGTTCGCGGTATTCGTAGAGGAATGACAAATGGACCGGGTGTGTCAATGATGGATCCAGGGCGGTGAGAGGTAGGACGAATGAAGACTTGTACGGTGTCTGCTTGGCCTCGCCATTAGCACTCTCGTGCAGTGCAGATTGAGTCCTTTTGAGCGGGTTCGCAGGCGGCGCGATGTCGAGCTCCGGATCGTATCCATCCTCACCAGCTTCCCCGAGATCATCCTCGGCCTGTCGAAACGGGAGGATGGCTAGGCTCCTCGCGCCAAACTTCAAGGCGGCGCATCGTGAACTCGGATCCACGGTCAATATGCTGTCGCTCTCACTCAATGGCGGCCCGCAAGGCTGGCTGAGCACGTTGTCGCCTTCGTAGTAATGGATGCTGATGGTGGCGATCCGGTGGTTCTCGTGATCCCATTCGACCAGACTCAGTTTGGCGTCTCGGAATGCGATCAGGATAGCATGCCCGCCGGACTTGGTGCTGATGCCGGAGATGGCCGCGAGAGACGTCACGGTTCCAGCAAGCGGGTACTCTCCAATCAACACCAGTCGGGAGTCGGTTGAGTCCTCGGTGGCTGCGTTTGTGTCTGTTTGCACGCCGTAGACCTGCAACAAGGAGGTCTTGGCAATCACGCAGTTGTCGGCGCGCGGGCCGAGGAAGGGGAGGGAGACGGCGTGCGAGACGACGCTCGGCGCGAGCAGTTCAGTGTAGCACTGCATCAGGCCGGCTTCCTCCTTTGCCTGGCCGCGATTGCCGCTCGTCGAGCACGCTGTTCCGTCCAAAGGTCAAATAACCGGGTGGAGTGGTGGAGTGCAGAGAGTGCGCGAATCCAGCACCAAACAATCCCGAGGGCTGAGAGCTAGCGCTTCGCTCTGATTGGACGATCTTGCTGAGCTAATGTTCGGCCGGTGGGTTTGTCATGCGGATGGTCTTCAGGGTCTTGGTGCCTGCATTGCGGCCGCCAACGTTGCACAACGGCTTGTACGGCTTGTATCTGAGCTGAGGGTGCACGTATTGAATACATCATGCCAGCAAGTCGACTGTCCGTTCCGGTCTTCGACCATCCCCGACCTCCTTCCCTTCTGCATTGCGCTGCTCCGACTGTTCATTGCACGATATGCCTGCCACTGTCGGCCTTCTCTGGGTGAACAAGACACCCACTTCAACGTCGCTGTCACACTCGGACAAGGAGGAGCGGCTTCGTCTGTTCTCCCATGCCCAGCGCAGTAGTCGACCGCGCAAGGGCAAGAAAGCATGCAAAACACCGCTCTGTTGTCAAGTCGCACGAGCTTGCACGTTTTGTTCTCCGCCATGCTCTCACCCTCCCAAAGTACCGCTTGCTCGCCCATCGGATCTCGAGAAAAGACATTCCGTTGACCGTGTGCTACCCATGGATCCTTCTTGGCTCCCCGAGGAGCGGCGCAGCGTCAGCTTCTTCCAGAAAGTGACGAGCCGCAAAATCCTCACCTGGCATCGCGACCGCCGATTTTGGCAGACGATAGTGCCATGCTTAGTCGAGCAGCACCCAGCATTTCGACACCTAGTGACCGCTATCGCCTCCACGCACGAGCTACTGTCCGACAAGGATGCCTCGATCAAGGATGCCTTCGCTCTGACTCAATGCAACAAAGCCACGAGGCTCTTGCTGTCCTCGCAATCCTGGTCGCCAGCGCTGCTCCTGGCGTCATGCATCTTGGTGTCTGCATACAACCTGCTCCGCTGTGATCTCAATCGTGCTCAGCTCAGCATTATGAGCGGTCTCAAGATCAATCCCGCGGGGACAGCGGGTGCCGGCTCGGGGGAACAAGAACATGCCGAGCAGTTCAAAGACATTCTCACACGTCTGTGCACTCAGCATGGGTTCAAGTTGTGGTCTCCGGACGTCAATTTCCAATTTGAAAGGACAAAGGCTGCCGGTCCTCTTATAATCGAACCCGTTTGGCCCAGCGGCCCCTTCTCCGCCCTCGAACAGGTCGCCGCGGCGCATCGCACCATCACGTTCGAAGCCGTGGCCAATATCTTGCGCAATGTCGCTCGAGGCGCTTATGTGGATCCCGATTGTGCCTTGGCCAGGGAAATCACACGGCAGATGATGCTGTTCTCGTTGCACTACAACGACTTCCGTGATCGAGTGCCCGCCGACGATACAGAGACGATACTGGGGCTAAAGCAGATCCGATTCGGCTTCTACCACACATACCTGCTATGGCACACCAAACTTATCAGTCCGACTGAGCTCACATTCGATTCCTACCCAAACATCTGTCGAGAAATGCTGGCTCTGGCAGAAGAAGTCGTCGCAGCCCGCCACGATGGGCAATCTCCAGTCTACCTTGACGGGATTGTGAACGGTGCACTGTTCGGCCTGGGCCGCAGCGCGTTCAGTTCCGATATCCAACCCCGAGTCGTGGCTCTCCTTAAAAGCCAGGCGCCCTACGAGTTCGGATCCATAAACTGGGTCCGCGGGACCGTAGTAGAATTAATCACAGAGACGGGTAATCGACGCACAGACATCGACTGCGCCGGTCCGGACCCTATGCCACGACAGCACTTCGTTTTGGCAGGCTTGTCCTGCGGAGACGACAAGATCATCCGAGTGGAGTACACTCTCCCCGGCTTAGACGCCACAACTCACGCTTGCGAGTTCCCAGTGGACTGGACGCCGTGCTTGGGGCACGATGTCACCGCCAGTCAAATTGACGAGCATTTGCAAGGCATCGTGTCGGCGTACCGGATGTACGGCAAGCCGCATCCGTCACGTTGCGTGGATGGCTGCGTGCGCGAGATGCTATTCGAAGGAGAGACGGTGCCGGTCCATTGGGAAAGAGCCAGCCCAGCACTACCGGAGGAGGAAGAGGAGGAGCCGTGACTGCTCATAGGAAACAGCATCAATGAATATCTGCATGAATTGATTGGTGTTATCTGCACTGTGGAGAGACGGACCTTTCATGTGGGACAAGGTCAACGGGAAAGTCCAAGCCTCGATGGGTGATGTGCGCCTACTGCTCAGACTACTCTTCTGATAACCTCCACTCATTACCATTTGCTACGAAATTCTTCTTCCTTACGCTTGATCAGAGCCCAACCACCTCTTTCCTCAGCACTCACTTGCGATTCATCTGCACTGTGCGGACTTCGTGGGGAGCATCATACCGATCGACGACGGCGAATTTCGGCGCAGCGACGGCGATATGGAGGCTTCGCCAGCCGCCAATGGTAAAGCTCAAGGCAGCCAAAAACGACGTCAAGAAAGTGAAGATGACTTTAATGGCGAAGGAGCCGGTGACAGGGCTGAGCGACGCGTCGTTGTGGTCGAAGGTGTACACCACGACATACACCATCTTGACCCCGATGAAGACTGCGGCGATCTGTGTCCAGTAGATGTAGTCCGAGAGGCCTCTGACGAGCTGTCCTTCGAGCTGGCGACACCGGCGCAACAGGTATATGGCGTAGTTGAGCAGCAGACCCCACAGGACGACCAAGATCACGGCGCCGGCGGATCGAAGGCTGTCATCGGTGTGGAGTTGAGAGGTGGACGACGCAGAATACAGCTCGACCGTGCCGATGATAACGAGGATCACGCCGACGACACACGTGCCGTGGATCTGGAACTGCGCGAACCACATCCAGCGGTTCGCCTTCTTGAAGCTCGTGCGCGACGACGCCGTAGCCATGACCACGTAGATGTGGATTTCGTGCAGGAAGCCGGCTAGGCCGAGGAGCAGGGGCGACAGACCGACGGAGCTGACGATTGTTGCTGCGAGGGAGGGCTTCGCGTTTGGATTGGTGCCGCTGGCCAGCTGGATGATGTCGGCGACGACGCGCAGGGTGCACAGGATATTGAGGTACAGGTAGCCGAGGATGGCCTTCTTTCCGTGACGGAATCCGACGTAGAGAGAGAAGGGGATGAGCACGGCATAGCAGATGAGCTCGACGACGGCGAGGATGGAAGAGTTGGAGAAGGCCATGATGAGTGTGCTTCTTGGAAAGGTTGAATTGATTACAAGACGACGAAGGATGCAAGAATGAAGGAGACAGACGCGTGTAATATATGCCCTTGTCCTCGCGCTGCCAGCCTTGCGTCTCAATGAGGCAGTCAGCAGTCTGGCATGATATGGTAAGACACGAAGTCGATCTTTCCCTTTGTGGTAGTCGTCCAAAGGCACAGCCCCTTAGCCGATGTGCCACGAGCTTCTCGTAGTCTCGCGAGCAATACCTAGCCAGTGCATCCCACGCATATCAGCGAGCTGAGCGATCGCCGTACTAGCACGCCAACACGACACGCTCCATTTAGATTGAAAGGCAACGTGGCGGACGTGGCGCTATCCTTTTCCGGTATTGGTGGAAGCAGAATGCGTGCATTAATTACATAAGACTGCATCGACGACCTCCTTCGGCCGCTAGAAGCGAAAGCTATGCACCCGGCGCGCGGCCGGGCTGTCAGTTGTCCCCCGGGTCGAGTCGGCCAGCAGTGCTGATTTCACATTATCGCGTGTACTATGGATTGGAAAGTCTCGAGACGGCTGAGGCTCACGAGCACGAGCCGATGTTTCCGTCATTCACGCTGCTGCTGAAGTCCAACAAGACACGATTTGCAGGGCTTGGACCAGACAATACTCGTGAATTTGAGAAGTATGCGCGGCATTTGGTCGTCCATCTCGCTCGAGGAGCATCGCGAGGAGTGGATGTAACGACGTCGACGGCCGAATAAGGCTGTGGACCCCTGCTAAGCGGAGCCTACCAATCAGAGGCATGCCGACGATCTTTACCAGAAAGCGTAGTCTTCGTGACGGCGGAGAGTTCAGCTCGTGCTCCACTGCAAACCATCAAAATACTGATAGGCGCGGTTCCGTTGTGCCGCTGTCAGCTTTACCTTAGGCAGCAGTGTAGACGAGGTAAGCATCGAGTAGTTGTTACTGACGCTCATGCTGATGCTACGACTTGCGGCTTTCTTGTGGCGCCTTATCGTCTACTGACCGGGGTCATTCGCTTTACTTCATCTCATAGCTCCCTCTCAACAACCACTGCCCGTCATGCCGCTGAGAGTCATAGTCGTAGGAGGCGGCATAGGTGGCTTCTCAACCGCCATTGCGCTACGACGAGCACAACATCAAGTCGTAGTGCTCGAAAAGCGAGCAGAGACAACCGCAGCGGGCTATGCATTGGAGATTCCCGCCAACGCTTCTCGCATCCTCCAGCATTTTGGCCTGGATTTGAGCACCCTCAATGGCTGCCGTCAAACCGGTCTTGACATCTTCAAGGCCGATGTCGATCCTCTCAAGCTGCTCCGGACCGAGGAGAGACCGGCGGACCCTACCTCGCCGAACGTCTCCGCGCATCGCCAAGACTACACCTTCGCATTGAAGGACTTGGCTACGCGCAAGGAGGGTGCGGGACCGCCTGCTGAAGTGCGACACAACTGCAATGTTACTTCGTACGACCCCAGCAATGGCTCCGTCACGCTGGCATCAGGTGACGTGCTAGAGGCAGACCTCGTCGTAGCGGCAGACGGCGTCCGCTCCAAAGCCCATGAATGCATAGTGGGCCACGAGTGTCCCGCTCAGCTTACTGGATTAAGCAACATTCGCTTTGTGCTTCCCACCGACCTTCTTCTGGCCCAGCCGAGCTTCAAAGACCTCATTCAGAGGGGCGTCGAGGGCAGAGCGTGTCTTTATGTCGACACCGAGAACAACGTCATCATTCATTACCCTTGCCGAAGTGGTCGCTTGCAAAACTTTGGTGTCTATCACCGAGGAATACGGGGGAGCAGCAATGCGTTCGCCGGACGAACCTACCAGGATATTGCGCGTGAGCGTGTCCGTAATATGAATGCCAGGATCCAATCACTCGTCGGGCTCGCTGGAGAAAAAGACATGTATCTGTGGGAGATTATGGATCGCGAGCCACTGCCAAGATTCTGTAAGTCGTCGCCCGGAACGCTCGTTAATGCAGCGTTTGCTAAACATCATGACACGTGACCCAGATAAGGAGAGACTCGTTGTTCTCGGCGATGCGTGTCACCCCATGGGCACGACGATGGGCCAGGGAGCCGCGCAAACGGTCGAGGATGCCGCAGTCTTGGGTATTGTGCTAGAGCAAGTTGATACTCGCAACGACTTGGACAGCCGATTGCAGGTGTGGGAAGAGCTACGCAGACCGAGGGCGAGCGCGATACAGATGATGTCGCGTACAACTCCGGAGCGAGAGGGCTGGATCCATGCAGAGGAGGCTCGGAAGACGGCCAGCCTCTTCTTTCCCCCAGGTGGCTTGCCGGGTGAGTGGAACTCTCCACATTCTACACGATTGTTTAAAACTGATGGCTCGGCAGAGACGCGAGGGGAGATGGCTGCTTATGCCCATCGCTTCGATGCGGTAGCTGAGGCTCGGAGCCGGCTTGCGAGTAAAGCATAGTAGAGGCTCAAGGCGATGGGCTGGGTGTGCAGATCTGGCACAACATTGGTAATCCCATCATTCTGGACTGGGGTGCATCTTCTTCGTGTGAGAGTCGTTACTGTTGTAGAGGGATACATTTAGACACGGACGAGGCTGCCTCGCTGCGCCGAGCCTCGTGGCTTCCTGCCGAACCGGGAACGCTCCAGCCACTCGCCCCACGTCATTCCTGCCTGAGCTCGGACGCGGAACTCAAAGCTCCTCTTCATCCAGGCTTCCAACTTTCAAGACTCATGCGTTTTCTGCACTTCATCCTCGACGTTATATCGGATGACGCGGTGTTGATGATAGCACACGACCAGTGATTTGCGCATCTCCTCCCTTCCACCCCTCGCAACGAATTTCATCCCCAACACAGCTGGCCGAAACATCCACCCTCCATCCCCACCAGCCATCATGGCTCTAATCGAAACCTCCCTCATCTGGGTCACCTACGCGATCTGCCTCGCCATCCTCTCCTTCGTCGCCGGCATCTTCGTCTTCGTCTACCAGAAGCCCTCCGAGCGCTCCGCGGGCGTGACGATAGTATGCTTCATCAGCATCCTCGCCCTGCTCGCAACAGTCCTGCTGATGCCCGTGGACATTGCCCTCGTCTCCTCCACCACGAGCCGGAAGCTGGGCGCGAAGAAAGATTGGGCCACGCCGGATGCGGTGAATGCCATCCTCTACCAGCTGAAGATTGTCTACTACACCCTGTACAGCCTGGATGCCGTGCTGTGTCTGCTGGTTGTTCCCTTTACCTACTTTTGGTATGAAGAGTACGATGAGGTGGCATCCGAGGAAGGCACGCAGAGCTTTGGGAGTCGACTGTGGGGTGCTTTCAAGTATACTATTGCCTTCATCCTGCTGTGTGTCATCCTCTTCTTGGTGGGCTTCTTCGTGCCGGTTGCCAAGAAGGCAAGAGATGGAAACAAGGATTTGGACTACTTCAAGGACTTGCTGACTGAGAACCGTAAGTCTCCCTCTTCACCAATCTCTCGTTGTCCCACAAGACTGACATGATTACTAGATGGCGAACGAGCTCTGACATTCTCCGTTGGCGTCCTCATCCTGCTCGGAACCCTTCTGTACTGCGTGTATACTGCACCCGGCTTGGCCCTGCTTCCAGCGACACTCATCAAATCCGCACCAAGAGTCTCCGCCCCACAATTGGCCGCATCCACCTCCAGTCAGCTGGCTCAGAACCGCGAACGCCAACAACAGCTCGAAGGTCGCAATGAAGGCCGCGATGGCGGACTCGACGCCCGTGACAGACGCGAGCTGGAGGCTTTGGTGCGTGAAGAACGTACACTTGTACGCCGCGAGCGTCTGGCCGCAGAAAACGCTGGCGAAGGCCACAATTTCCTCATCCGTGCCTGGGTTAAGACTCAAGCGATCTTCCGACCGCTCAAACTCATCGGAGGCCTTCTACTGCTCGTCGTCGTTCTCGTCATCTTCGCCAGCATGCTCATCACATGCATTGATAAAGTCAAAAACTCCGTCTGCAAGACCAACTGCGGCTATCTCCTCGGCGAAACACAAATCTTCAACCCCATCAACTGGCTCATGACAGTCACCAGCAAAGTCTTCCCCGTCGACTACATCATCTTCCTCCTCATCACGCTGCTCTTCTTCTCCGCCAGCGTGGTGGGGATGGCCACGATCGGCATCCGCTTCTTGTGGGTGACGCTATTCAAGATCCGCACCGGCCAGACCACGCCCAACGCACTGCTCATGGCCACGGTGCTCCTCATCCTCATGGTCTTCGCCCTCAACTACTCCCTCGCCATGATCGTCGCGCCGCAATACGCCACATTTGGTCCGCAGACATACTGCGATCGCCCATCGCATCATCCCGACCAGCAGCCCGACTGCACCAACCACAAAAACGCCATCAAGCCCTGTTCCGAGCGATCCGACAACCCCGTCGCGAACATGGTGTGCACGCCGAGTGTCGTCTCGACATTTATCAATCGCATCACGGTCAATTTCCCGTTCTTGGGAGTAGTGGATTTCTATGCACAATTCGCGTTCTTGGGCATCTTCATGATTGTCTTTATCGTGATGCTCTTCAGGGTGCCGAAGCTGGATGAAGAGCAGATGGATGACGATCTGAGGGAGGCGGAGGAGGAAGGGCTGCTGGCTAGCACGGGCAGACGGTTCGGGGCTACTTGGCAGGACATCACGGGGCAGGCTAAGGGGGTCAGGAGAGCGGGTTATGGCGCTGTTGACGGCGAGAGTGCGCAGAGGCGCGACGACTAGTCATGGTCGAGACGTACGGTATCAGGGCGGCGCGATGGTGGGTTCAAGGTGTTGTGGCGGTTACAAATTGTCATGAAGTATGAATGCACGCAAAAAAAGACATCATCACGATTCTGCATGTTTGCGAGAGGCAAATTTGAAGCGGGTTTCTTTTTGATTTGAAACTACCTGCCCGTGCCGTTCATGCGTCCGTCGGTATAATGCATCTCCTGCGCTTGACTCCTCTTCATAGTCTTCCTCTATGCCACGAGCGTGCTGGCAGTCGCGCTCTCGTACTTCCACGTCGGCGGCAGCACACCCACAGTCTTGTAGTATCGCGACAGGCGGTGAATGCGGGACTCGATGAGAATGAGGCGGAACTTGGAGTCCTTGTCCTTGCGGTTGCGCTCGAGATGCTTTCGCACGGAGACGGCCTGAAAATTCTCGTTAGTTCTCCACGCCTGAAACATCAAAAAGATGGATTGTATGCGATACGCACCTTCTTGATGAGCATGTAGAGGTCCTCGGGGATTTCGGGTGCGAGGCCTGTAGGGGAAAATCTCTCTGTCAGTCTATGTTGACCAAGCAGAGGCATATGTTTGCACTTTGGAGGTGCAATTGTATTGTATGACTCTTGCAAGCGAAACCACGTATGTGATTTGCTTCGTTGTTCTGCCTTCTTCACACGGGTAGAAGCGTACCGTTGCCCTTGAGGATCCGGAGGATTTTGTTACCTGCACAGCAGATTTTCGTCAGCATCGCTACTCTCCAATTTTCAGTCTCCTGCCACTCTGGATAGAACATACCAGTGACAACCTTCACCTGCGCGATTCCATGGCTATCTCGGAGGACAACACCAATCTGCGACGGGGTGGCGCCCTTCTTCGCGAGCTTGCAAATCTGATCGACCACGGCGTCGGGGGTGGTCTTGAGCCAGGCCGGAGCGGCGCGAGAGTAGGGGATGGCGGAGGAGGAAATACCCTTGCCGTTGCTGTGTAGGCGACCCATGATGGCGGTTGTGGTGAGTAGTGGGCGAGTATTGCTGACGGGCGAGAACTTTTGGTGGTGATGCTGGGAAAATTGAAAGTCGTGTGGCCCTGCGCCAAGACTGATGCGCAGGCCGTCCGAGCATGGTTTAGGGCGAAACTCTAATTTTGGTATTTCTTTCTAGTGAGCGACGCGAACTGCTGTTTGAAGTTTGCAACATGCATTAACATCTCTGGTGAGTTTGCATCTTCTTTTCTTACGCTGTTCTAACATGATGATTTTCCTACTTATTTTATTATTCTGGTACCTCTTATGTCAGAGACTTCGGTCTCGATGATCTAAATGGACTTCTGATCCGGCTTCTTTGCCTTATTGCTTGCTATCAGTCCGGGTTTGAACAGTGACTGACTTGGCACAGACAACAGATCGTGACTCGACTCCCACGGCTGAGATTAAGAATGTACGCATGCGATTCGATGGAGATGATATCTGCAGTCCCTATAACTTGAAGTATCCAGGCTGAAGCTTCTGGAAGACCTGAGCCGGGTCATACTTCCTACTGATATCTCGCAGCTTCTTCAGATTTTCTTCGCCATAGCTCGCAAACACTTCTTGCTCGCCATCTGCGTAGTTTTGGTACAGATAGCGATGGTACAAGCCCAGCTTCCGGGCTCTCTGCGTCGTTCGATCCCGGATGCGCTTTGCGGCTCCTAGGACTGCAGCATCGTCCTCAGCCCGTGTCCATTTCACAGGGAAGTTGAGCAGCAGCAAGGGCCCTTCGCCATCTTCTATTCCTAAGCAATTCCCGCCGTTTCTCGAGAAGCGAGATATAACGTCTTTGGTGATGAGCTGCAGAACGAGGACGGGCACTACGCCTTCGCGGTGCTTGATGGTTTCGGCCTCCTCGATGAAGATGTCCACGCATGCACGTAGCATCTCTTTGCTCACTACAAATGTGGCTGTCGAGTACGACCATCTCATGTTGGTCGGATTCAACGCACTTATCTCACGAGCCAGGTCCGCAACGTCAGTGGACCTGAGCGTGGAGCGAACGGTAGGGATCTTTGTGAAGTTCCCTAATGCTTCCGGATATTCAACAGCCCGTGCATATGCAAGCACAGATCCCGCTCTCAGCCGGTCGATATCGTCCGTAAAGTCGAGGAAGATGTAAGCATGAGCATCCAAATCCTGCGGAGCGTTGAAAGCGAACTTCTCAAACGCATCGATGACCTCTTCGGTATGCTGCACATCGCTGTACGTGACGCCACCCCACATCGGCCCCTGGGGGAAGGTTTCCAAGTCGAATCGAGTGACGATTCCGAAGTTTTTACCGCCGCCGCGGAGGGCCCAGTACAGGTCGGGATACGAGTCTCGATTGACTTGAAGAATCCGTGCATCGGGTGTTACCAGCTCGTAATTCCGCACCCCATCCAACGCCCATCCATACTTGGGCGAAAAGAATGAGATGCCGCCTCCCAGCGTGAAACCGCCTACGCCCACTTCCGCAACCCTGCCGCCAAGGACCGAGAGGTTTCGCGGCGTGAGGTAGTCGTAGACATCGATCCATCGATTCCCAGGTCCGACGCGGGTGACTGTTGGCTGCTCTGCGTCTTCCAAAGAGAGCTCGTTGAGGAGTTGCAGATCGATTGTGAGGCCCGCTTCGATGCTGGATGCCCCTGCGAATGCGCCGTGCCCGCCGCTCTTGACTGCGAAGCGGCACTTCGTTTTGCTGACCAGTGAAACGATGCTTGCTACCTCCTCCGCGGTCGTTGGCTGGACGAAACATTGTGGTGTTACTTCTGCTTGTCGACTCGACCAGTATTCTTCCTTGGCGTAGGCTGTTGTTCGTGCGCTGTCTGTTGTTACTGGGAGCAGTCGTTGGAGAAGATGGCACTGTTGGCGAGAATCAGCGCCGCTCACGATGGCAGTAGGGCGTCCCGCACCGCTTTTATGCATCCATCATTTGCTTGTTCTGTCGAGTTATCATCATGTAGGCCGAGATTCAGTATTTCTTGATCCCAATCGAATCGCAGCACTGCCTGCTCTGCGTGAAGTTGCCTTGCAAGTAGCAGCAGCAGCAGCAACGACAGCGCCGGCAATCTGGCTAATCCCTTGACTGGAAACATGTTACATCACTCTTTTATATCTCCAGGCCATTGTCTTTAGCATCAAGTCGAGTAGACAAGCTGCAGATTATATCGACAGCAGGATTCCCGAGGTCGGTCACTCGAAGCACAGCTCAAGCACGCCATCGGCTTCACATTCAATCGAATTTTATGTACATTGGAGGAATCGTCCAATAACCTCGCTATACAAGAACATCGCAATGCTCCATCTCTAATGCCTTCACTCCACCGTAATCATCTTCCCAGGATTCATCAAACACAACGGATCCAACGCAAACTTAATCCTGCGCATCGCATCCACCGACTCCTCCCCCAACTCATAAGCCAGCTGATGCCGGTACCCAAGGCCCAGCCCATGCTCCCCGGACACCGTCCCATCCAAATCAGCAGCAAGTCGCTGAACCTCCGACATAATCCGCATGGCCGCCTCCTTCTCGCCTGCACCGTAAAGTACGCTCGTGTGGATGTTTCCATCGCCCACGTGGCCGAGCACGTTACCCAGCACGCCTGCTTCGGCGATGAGCTCCTGGCTGCGCTTTACGATTTCGGGTAGTTGTGAAATCGGTACGCAGGGGTCGGAGCTGATGAAGACGTCGCTTGGGTCCTTTTTGAGTGCGATGGTGGACCACAGCGCCGTTTTTCGCGCGTGCCAGATCTCGTCGCCTTCCTCTGCGGTCTGCGCAAGTCGGAAGAGCGTGGTGCCGCACGCTTTGGCGAACCCTTCTACTGTGTTTGCCGTTTCGGCCACGAATTCGGGCGATGGACCGGCGAGTTTGAGGAAGAGGGTGGGTTTCTCGTCCCATGAGGCGGTGCAGTAGCCGCCTTCGTTCACGCCGTGCATGGTCAATTCATCCAGCAGCTCCATGGCTTCCAGCTGATGACCGCTTTGCAGGACTTTGACGGCCATTTTGACGGCGTCTCCGACAGTGGGGAACTGAGCGACGGCTATTCGTAAGTTCTGCGGTGCTCTCGTGATCTTGATGTGTGCTTCGGTAATGAAGCCTAACGTGCCTTCGGAGCCGGTGAAGAGTCTTGTGAGGTCGAAACCTGCGGAGCTCTTTCGCGGCCGGCCCCGGGTTTTGATGATGGTGCCGTCGGCGAGCACGACTTCCAAACCTAGAACCCAGTCTTTCATTGTGCCGTAGCGGTAAGCGTTCGTTCCGGAGCAACCTTGGCTTATCATGCCGCCGATTTGGGCGCCTGGGCCGGGATCAACAGGGAAGAAGAGTCCTTCTGCTTCTAAGATCTGATTCAGCTCCATATAGCCGACGGCAGGCTGGACCGTAACATCCATATCATCCTTTCGAATCTCCACAATTTTGTTCATGTGCCGGTTGAAATCAACGCAAACCTCCTTGTGTTGCGCAGCCAGCGTGCCCTCCAGACTCGTGCCGCCAGAAAAGGCGATCATGGGGATACGTCGCGAATGGCAAATCTTTGCAATATTGCTTACGTCCTCGGTGTGGCGAGGAAATACAATCACGGACGGAATATCCAATTCTCCATTCGGCGCCGGCGACCAGCTTGTACTCGAGCGCGAGACGAGCTCACCATGTCGAACGTCGACATTCTCCTCTCCGAGCAGAGCAACGAAGTCATTGTACGCACCGTGCAGGTTAGGTCCTGACAAGTCGTAGATGATAGGCCCGACATCCATAAGAGGGAGAGTAGATGCGCTGGAGCCGCCGCGCTTGCCGACGCTCGAGTCGGAAGATGCGCTGTCGCCACGCTCCAGCATGTTTGGCGTGAAGTTGCTGGCAGGTTCCTCCGCGAGCGTCGTCCTCTTTATTCGCCGCTCCAAAGCTAGTAGCGCCATCACTCCGCCCCATGCGCCCATGCCGATCAACGCCCCCGACCATGAGAACGTAAGCATCTTGTTGGTGCTCGCGGTTGAGGCAGAACGTCTGCTGGAAGGCAATAGACGAGCCCGTATGAATATCCTCGGCGGACATGGTCTTTTTGATATGTACGAAAAGCCGCTTGATCTCGAGAGCATACTGAGACGCGCCATTGTGCAAGGGAGAGCCGGGTCGTTTTTTGCATTCCTCAAAGCGGGTCGTGCAGCATTGTTGGTCTATTAATCCCTCATTGTTGATAACACATAGAATGCGATCCAATCCCAGTTAATGGCCGCCGTGTCGCGAAAGATGGGATGATGGACCCGAGTTTAAGATGATTGTATAATGGAGTTGCCCGAGGTTGGAGATTGTCGAAGTCCGGCAGGCACGTGCCGTTCAATTTGCTGGCACGTGCATCCACGTCGACATCCATGAACTAATGATGCGAGCAGGAATGCAGAAGTCTGCGATGGATGGAATGGATTGAGCCGATGCATGTTTCCGAATACCGTAACAACCAAATGACCGCAATTATCGTACACCGTCTGCTCCATCTACCCACTCCCCGCCCCAGCAAGGCGGAACAGCGTAACAGTCCCGGAATCCGCCATCGTACTCTGGATAATCTCCTCAATAACGCCACTCACATCCTCATCAAAATCGGTATCCGCATCCAGTACCTTGACATGAATGTTGTCATCAAACAGCACCACGCCCAACTTAATCGAGATCTCCTCCGGCCTGCGGAACCAGTAACTGCTGCCGCCGGCGACATTTCCATGCAGCGTGCTCTTCGCCTTGTGATACCCCGAAGTCAGTACTTCGAAAATGTCAAATTCGCCGCACCCGGAAGTCCAGCATGAGCAGTCTGCCGAGCCGTACTGTAGTGTGCGTGGGATGAGAGCGTTCAGCATCCAGAGGGCGGGCATGTTGATGGGATCGTAGATGTCTGCGCTCGTGCCGCCCTCGTTGGGCATTTGGAAGGAGAAGAAAAAGGCTTTTGCGGGCCCGTTGAAGCCGTGGTATGCTACGGTGCCCGGGCGATAGTAGCCGCAGTCGGTATCTTGCGCGCCGCATTGCGAGTCCGTCATGATGACCACCTCGGCGCTGGAGGGGAGAGTGGTGGATGCGAGAGTTTGCGGACTGCTGGCGCCTGTGGTGCCGTCTTCGCTGGAATAGGAGAGGGAGTTGCCGTAGACGTAGTCGAAGACGCCAGAGCCGGTGCCACCGTAGTGGTTGAGGAAGACGAGACCTTGGGAAGTCTGAGTGGCTGCGTCGTAATAGGCTTGTCGGGTCCAATTCTGGGGCGATGAGCCGGTGGAAGGGGTTGAGGAGGTGAGTGGGGCTGGGTTGTTTGTGCCAGCGGTGGTGGACGTGGATGTCGAAGCTGAAGCTGATCCGCCGGAGGATGCAGTGGGAGCAGCACCTCCGTTATACTCGTTGATCCAGCTCACCACTTCGCCATCGATGGTTGCGGTCACCCAGTCCCCGACTCCCCGAGCACGAACGCCACGTGCGTGGTGGTGCGCATGGCGATGTATGTGGTCGCTTCTCTTCGCTTTTCGCGCAACTGGGCCACCGGGCGAGTAGGCAGCGAACTCAAGGAGTTGAAAAGGGCCGCGCATATGCAGAGAGACCTGGTTAAGCGTCAGTAATCGTACAATCTTGTATGCTGGGGGCATCTCGTGCTTCGACATACCTCTTGGTCAAGCGGGGACAAGGATCCAGAGTAGTTGGATGGACTGCTCGAGCACGATCCACTGGATGGCATGTCTGTCACGCGGTTATAGGACCCAGTACCGCCGACACCGGTGTACGTGATGGCATCGACTTTGGAGCAGTAGTAGTTGCCTTCGAACAGCGTGGGAGATGAACAGCCTTGCGAATCCTGCGCGGAGGCGATGGTTGCGAGCAGCGCTGCTGCGGCGAAAAGATGATGGAACGCCATGGATGCTGAGTAAGAGACCTCACAGAGGCGTCTATGTATGGATTGATGTTTGTGTGTTGATGTAGTTGTTGTGCGTGTTGACAAAGTTGTCGTTTGGTGGAGAGGAAGCGGGATGTTTATTCAGAGAAGGCTATTGTCGGGCGTGAATACAGACTCTTCCCCGACAACGACCACCGTGAATGGGAAGATTTTAAAAGATTGACTGAGGTGAGTGAGGTGTGTAGTGAATGAAGGAACGCGTCGGAAAAGGGAAAAGGGACGGGCGGGAGTGGAATGCGACGGGAGATGCAAAGAAAACGCGACGTCGTTTGTTGGGCGCTTCACGCCGGCATGCGGGGCGTGCAAACGGCGGGGGATAGGTTGTGGGTGCATGCAAGGCACACCCGACTCGTGTCGCCTTGCGCGCCCAATCGCTCTCGGCCATTTGCCTGTAAGACATGCTTCATTACCGACTTGTCTGTAAGAACACGTGAGATTGGAATAAATCAGGCGAATGTTGCCGCTAGACTTCACCTCCTACACGGGTGGCAGCGCTGAGATCGCTGGCTTCTCTCCAGAGGCCTGATGTCCAGTCTGCTGGCCAGAAGCATGTGAGCAAGAGGAACCACGAGCAACAGCAGCAGAGAGCGGACCTTGCGACGGGAGTCAATCATTGCTACTGGAGGTCTTGTCTCCGGATGGCTGCGTGCGGCGGAGCGCACAACGCAGTGCCCTTCTCGTCGGCGAGTCAATGACAGGCTCGGCGAGAGTGTCCAATTTAACAGGATGCAAGCCTCCTCGGTCGCACACCGCATGGTCTTGTGCTCACGACGTCGCACACGGGTCTGCCCGTTTGGGTGGGCAGTGCCGTGGTGTGCCAAGGAGATGAACCTCGAACGCCGGCCTCGGCTTCGTGGAGTCCATGAGCTGGTGGCGTGGCGCGGGAGGCTGTGCATTCCAAGGAGGCGGAGAAGCGGAGGGCTTGGTGTCCGGGGCGGCGATGCGGAGATGGCGACTGGATGATGGTCGTGGTTGAGGTCGTGGTGGTGAGGTGCAACTTCGCGTCTGACGCCAGCGGCTGTCAATTGGTTTGGCGCCGACCGGCGCTAGCCTATGCGCCTCTTGTTCCGCGGCCGCCTCCCGCTCGACTACATAGACAATTGACATGGTTGATACCAGACACCTCACCGTTCCACAGGGCGAAAAGGATAAATGAGCCAAAGGCGGAGGAAGTGGTCAAACATCCTCCCCCGTCTTTAGTTGCTCACCGCAGTGCGCCCCGTGGGGATGCCCACAGCTGGGCGCCGAGTCACTCACCCGCCATGCTCCACCGCATGCCCTTCGCGCGGGCTGTATACCGTTCGTCCAGGAAGAGACAGTGCAGCTTCTGGAAACCTTTGGCCGAAGGTAGGTGCCGGCCAGGCAGTCCGCGCAATCATCCCGCGCGTGGTCCCGCAGAGATCGACGTGTTTGGCAGCACTCCGCGTCGCCCTGCCCTGGCGCCGAGAAGTGCGGTCTGGGCCATGAACAGCACACCAGACGTCAATTGCCGCTGTTACAAAATTCCATTGCCAACATCATGCCCAGCCGTGCCATTGTGTGCCATTGCTCGGACAGCGTCTAGATAGCGCAACAACTCATGGATCCTGATGCCAGGACGTTGAACACCAAGGTAGCCAAGCAAGCCACGAGGTCGGTTTACAAATGTCGTTTCATCCTGAGGCGTCGTGATAAAGATGGACCCTCGCCCCTCTTCTTCTCGTCTGTGTCTCATCCTCGTACTTCATCGTCATCCTACGGTTGCTTCCTTCTCCCCTCTCGTACGCCTCAGTCATGGCCATCAATAACTCCTCCCCGGATCTTTCCGACTCCGAGCGCAGCGAGCTGCCAGAGAAGGACCACCGCACCGGCCACCTCGAGTACGTGCGCGAGGTAGAGCCCGTCGCCTCTTACTCGCCGACCGCAACAAAGCGCCTGCTCCGCAAAATCGACCTGCGCCTCATCCCCTTCCTCGCCCTGCTCTACCTCCTCAGCTTCCTCGACCGCACCAACATCGGCAATGCGCGCCTTGCGGGCCTCGAGGAATCTCTCGGCATGTCTGGACTTCAGTACAACCACGCCCTTGCCATCTTCTTCCCCTTCTACGTCATTGTCGAGGTGCCGTCGAACATGATGATGAAGCGTACTCGTCCCGCTCTCTGGATCCCGTTCATCATGGTCTTTTGGGGTATCACCACGACGCTCATGGGGTTGGTGGATAGCTATGCCGGGTTAATGGTCGCTCGTGCCGCGCTTGGTATCGCAGAGGGTGGTCTCTTCCCGTAAGTGGTGTACTCTTCAATTACCACGGCTCGAGTCAACTGCTAATGCCTTTACGTAGTGGTGTGGCATTCTACATCACACTCTGGTACCGCCGACACGAATGCGGCTTTCGCATGGCCCTCTTCTTCTCCGCCGCCACGGCTGCTGGTGCATTCGGCGGACTATTGGCACGAGGCATCAGCGAGATGGATGGTGTCGCTGGCAGAGATGGATGGGCATGGATCTTCATCCTCGAGGGTCTGGCCACTCTGGTCGTCGGTAAGGATCCCACACTAAGCTATCCGGCTGTGACAGTTTGACTGATCCCATCACTACAGCCATCGTTGCATTTTTCGTAATGTACGACTATCCCTCGACCGCCAAATTCTTGACCGCAGACGAGAAGGTAGAGGTCACCCAGCGCCTCAAGCTCGATCGCAGCTCGCTCGCCGACGAGTACGACCTGAAGTATCTGAGACAAGCTTTCGGCGACTGGAAGATTTGGGTTCACATGTTCATCACCATCGGCAACTACACGCCAGTCTACTCGGTCGCGCTGTTCATGCCGACCATCGTGGCAGGCAAGTCATCCCTTCTAGCCCTCCGGCAACATTCCTTCTAACAAGACCACAGGTCTGGGCTACAGCAACGAAACCGCGCAACTCATGACCGTGCCCCCCTACGTCGTCGCCTGCGCCTTCTGCATCACCGGCGGCTACCTAGCCGACAAGTTCAAAAGCCGCGGCATCTTCATGATCGGCTTCTTCTGCATCGCGCTCGTGGGCTTCGTCATGCTCATCGCCAGCACCAACCACGGCGTGCAGTACGCCGGCGTCTTCTTCGTCGCCGCGGGCATCTACTCCAACGTCCCGCAGGGCGTGTCGTGGAACGGCAACAACATCGGCGGCTCGACGAAGCGCGGCGCTGGCGTTGCTATGCACGTTTCCTTTGGAAATCTCGGCGGTATCATTGCCGCGTACATCTACCGTCCTGCTGACTCGCCGAGGTATTTGTCCGGTCATGGTACGTTGATTGGACTTATCACTATGAGCACGTGTTTGAGCATTTTCATGACGCTGTATCTGCGGCGGGAGAATGAACGGCGCGATGCGGTGAAGCCGGTGGAGGCGTATACTGAGGCGGAGCGGGTGGCGGAGAGGGAGCGTGGGGATTACGCGAGTTTCTTCCGCTACACCGTGTAGACTAGACCTCACAATAAGTGAGTGCGGCAACGCAGCATCGGCCCGCAGATATACAGATCATCAGAAGGGTTGAAAAGTATCGATGGTAGTCTCCGTGGTCGCCCAACACCGAAGCTACGAAAAGAACAGAAACCCCGTCCATACACATCGCCAACTGAATACGTCAGACTTAATTCTCCTGCCACTGGCAGCATTCAGAGTTCCCTAAGCGCCGGAAGCAGGACGAAGTCCGAAACTCCAGTCCAGATGAAGGGAAGTGATCTGTTCGGGATAGCTGCATGGAGTTGGGTACCATGCTACCTTACTTTTACCGAGCAAAAGAGCGCGGGGAAGACGGAAGAAACATGCATTGGCAAGAGCGAGGTCAGCCGTGAAACAGTGTCAAGCTGCGGTGATGACTTATCCGACCATGATTGGCTGCACCACACGGAATACCCGCTTCGCCCCGCGGGCGCCCTGACAACCGAACTTTATTTACTTCCTAATGAGGCCATCCTTACCTGCACTAACATTCACAGCGACATCACGTTCATTCATGTCATGATTGTTTGATGCAAAGCGATCATGTCTTCGATACATGCGGATCCGCCGCCGCCAATAGTCACCGAGCCCAGCGGTATCAACTATGCGACCGGCGCGGCATTGGGCAAAGGCGGCTTCGCCATATGCCACCGAGCGGAACGATACGATGGCAGCAAACCGTCGGGTCACATTGTTGCGCTCAAGATCGTCAAGACGAAGATGGAGCCGGCGAAATTGGCGCAGAAGGTGAAGTGTCTTGAGCATGGAGAGAGACTGCAAATACTGACATACACCGCAGTTTGTCAGCGAGCTCCAAATCCACTCGAAACTCTCGCATTCCAACATCGTCACCTTCTACCGCGCCTTCTCCTTTCAGACAAGCACCTACGTCGTGCTCGAGCTGTGTCCCAATGGGTCTCTGGCGGATATGCTTAAGAAGAGGAGATACCTGACCCTTCCGGAGATTCGTCGATACGTGATCCAGATCTGCGGCGCCGTCAAGTATCTTCACCATCGACACATTGTACATCGAGATTTGAAGACAGGCAACTTGTTTCTGGACAGCAACATGAATGTCAAAGTGGGCGACTTTGGACTCGCTGCGCTGCTGGTGACGGAGAAGGAGATGGAGGCGAAGAGGCGCACGACTATGTGTGGTACGCCGAACTACCTCGCTCCCGAAATCTTGGAGAAGGGCAAGGGGCACAACGAGAAGGTGGATCTGTGGGCGATAGGAGTCATTGCATACACGCTGGCTGTCGGCAAAGCGCCGTTCCACTCGAGCACGAAGGAGGAAATCTACAAGAAGCTGAAGTCGGGAGCATTCACCTGGCCGGAGCTGAGCGCTACAACTAATCAGAGCTCGGATCTACGAAACCTCGTGTCGAGCTTGCTGGTGCCGGAAGAGCAAAGACCCGTTCCAGACCAAATCGTCAGCCAGCCGTTCTTCAAGATCGCTTTCGTCCCATCGAGTATACCGCCAGCCGCAAAAGAAAAGGTTCCGAAATGGCCAGAGGTTGCGATCCCGACTGCCGAAGCTATGAGGAGAGGGTACAGCGATACTTGGTACGCGATATGCAAGGAATCCGGCGTGGGCGAGTTTCAAGAGGGCAAGACTTTCAAGTTGAATGGTGGGAGGCGGGTGAGGAGCATCGTGTACGATATGGCTCAGGAAGCGCTTGCTGGCCGGCAACCCACCATGCCCATTCCGAAAGACGTGGTGTACACGTCTACCGTTTCGGAGTGGAATACGTCTGCGGTATCAATGTCTTCGGATCGCCCGGAAGGAGAAGTCAAGCCGCTCAGTCGGCCCCCAAGTCGCCAACTACAGGATGTACCGCAAAATGCAGTCGCAGATACCGCGCCTGCCAGCGTGCAAGAACAAGCGGCCAAAGATGCTGAGCTAATGCCTCCTCCACCTCCGCCTCCAGCTGCTCGCAAGGTCACCGCGATCCGCAAGCCCGCTCGAACAGTAAGCGGTGAAGAAGCGGCGCCCCCAGCTCGACAACTGCAGGAGATCTCGCACAATACTGTGGCGAGTACGAGGCCGGTCGTTGCTGATGAGCAGGTGGCGAGAGATGCTGAGACTATGCCTCCACCTCCGCAGCCGGCTGTACGCAAAGTCACTGCGGTCCGTCGCGCCGCTCGAACAATCAGCGAGGAGGCAGTAAAAGCTTCACTTCCTTTGAGAGTCACCGCAGACGAGCCCACTCCCGCCTCAACCGTGCCAAGAGTCCGACAAAGGGCAGCTACAGCTTCATCTGTGAGGTTGAGAGAGCCTAACAATTCCTCTTCGTCGAATCAACAAATGGCGCCTACTCAGCAACCGACTGCCATCATTCAGGAAAAGTCGGAAAGACCAGCACCAGTGAAAAGAAGCGCAGACGCCAGTTTGGCTCGAAGGCCGAGATCGATGAAAGCAAGAGAACGGCCACGATCGCCTGAGAAGCCTGGGCCATTCGCAACGCTTGACGAGCTCCGAGATGCTTTGCCGCTGAAGCAAACGACAAGAAGGAAAGTCGAGCCCGAAGTGATTGAGATCCATTCAGATCCGGAGCCAGAGGAAAAGCCGGCAGGCGCGATATTATCTCTCCCACCACCGCCTCAAATGACCAAACCGCTCCCCGTCCCTCGAAAGGCCAGCGAAGACAGAAATCGCATCGCCGGCACTGACCCAAAAGCCGTCCTCGACCGGCTCAGCCAATTCAGAGACAACCTCGAAGCCGCATTGTCCAATACATACCGCTCCCGCACTTCACCCGAAGACGCGCAAAAACTCCCCTTCATCACGCGCTGGGTCGACTACAGCCGCAAACACGGCATGGGCTACGTCCTGGCCGATGGCACCGTAGGTTGCGTGCTCAACTCCCGAGGCAACCGCAAAGCACCGCTCACGCACATCTTCGTGCGCAAAGGCACCACCTGGCTCCCCCGCGTCGGGCAGAATTTCGAACACCTTGACACCGTTCCGCTGGAGGTGCTCGAGGACTGCGGCGATGCTGGCATCAAGAGGAAAGTGTACAAGGGGCTGGGAAGCGTGAAGGAGGGCCCGTTGAAGCTGGAAGCGGATAGGAGGAGAATATTGGGCGTGCTGTGGGCGAAATTTGGACGGTATATGTGCCAGGAAATGGATGGGGAGGAGAATACGCAGACGCAGATGAGTGGCGGGCATTTCATTCGCTTTTACCAGCGGATTGGGAATGTAGGCATTTGGGGGTTTGCGGATGGTGCTTTGCAGGTGAGCTCTCCCGGCCCTTTCTCCTCCCTGCGATTTGCATGCTCACGGATTTGCAGCTCCATTTCCCCGACCACACTAAACTCGTCGTCTCCGCTACTGGCACCCATATCTCCGCCACCTGCATCTCGCCCGAAGCCGCCGCGTACCTCGCCTCCCACGCCGATCTACTCCCGCACCACGTCAGCAGCCGCGAAGTCTTCGCCGACAGCATCGTCTCCTTGCTCCACGAGGGCGGTCGTGTGCGCGCTAGAATCGTAAAGGCGAACGCGCTTGCGGAGAAGCTGACGTTTGTGCTGGACTTTGTGAAGCAGTGGATTGCGAATGGGGGGTTGGGACGATTGGATGGGGATGTGGATTGTGCGCGGAGTGCGAGTGAGAAGTTTTCTTGGAGGGGGTTGGAGGCTGGGATTCCGAATAAGAAGGCTGTTGATCGGATTACTGTTGGGAGGCATGGGGGAGATGCGGTGGTGAGGGAGGAGTAGTTGTGGGAAGCCAGTTTCGTATTTCGTAGGCCTTGACAGCCATTCTGTTGGAAATGAAGACACGCCTCTGCACGGAGTAGTGTGTTGTTGAAACTAGATCAAAGGATCGGGATCCGTCTGGGACGCAACATTCCCTCTTCTTATGCCACAGCCTTGGTCGGAGCCTCATCCTCCCACTCACGTGATTAATCTCTCATCACCACCTCACTTCACCCATTTCAATCCTAATCGATGCATCTCAACCGCCAACTGGAACAAATAATCCAAACTCTCACACTGCGTCTTCGCCTGCGCAACATCCTTCCCCCAAACATACAACCCATGCCTCCGCACCAACACTGCGCACGTCTCCGGCCACTCCTCAATCGCCGCCTCCAACGTCTCGCGCAAATCCTCTTCATGCGCCATATTCTCAATAATGGGAATGCGAAGCGTGTCGAAGTAGCCCAGATTGCCGATTTTGCGCCCGCCCTCGGCGATTTCGTCGCTACCGGCGCCGCCGCGGGAGATGCCTTTGATTTGCTCGATTTCGGAGATGGAGAAGACGTTACGGTCGGCGCCTTGTTGGCCGGCTTCGCTGATTAGAGTTACGAGGACGGCCCATTGGCTGTGGGTGTGGATGCAGCAGCGGGCGTTGCGCTTTTCGAAGGCGGCCATGAAGAGCGGGGTGCAGGCAGAGGGTTTGAGGACCTTATGAAAAGGCTTCAGCATTGCAAGAAATTTTTGAACGGTGACCAGACTTACAGGTGGTCGACGAAGGTACTTTTTGCTCTCGTACTCCATTACGAACAAATCCGTGGGCTGCATCAATTCCTTCTGCACGCCGGAGGGGGCGATGAAGACATTGTCGCCGTGGCGAATGGATACGCCGCCACCGGTCCCTGTCACCCAACCGAAGGTGTAGAATTTCCTGCAGAGCTCGCAGATGTGGTTTGCGGGATGCAGAGGGTCGGAGGAGTGCACGAGTGAGTCGGCCTCGGAGTGTTCGTGAGTGGTGCCGTTCTGGTGCTGGTCGCCTTTGCGTTTCTTAGACGCGGATGGGCTATCGGATGCTGTCGAGCGTCGTTTCATTATGCTTAATTTGTCGTGCAATACATTCATGGGCTGTTGGTATTCTATTGAGAGTGTTTCGCCATGGCATGAGGTCGAAGGTGGACTCCCGAAATGCGGGTCTTCGGCGAGCACGTGGGCTGCTTGGCTCCGCCAAATGGAACTTCATCTCACGACTCGAAACTACGTTGGCAAGGTATCGTTACTGTCCATGCTTGATACGGCGCAGCATGGAAGCAGCATGGAAGCAGCATGTCACCATTCTGCGACAACCCACGAGTCGCGCCGAGCCATGCGAATCGAGGCCGAGGACCGGCGATGGAAAGCAAGGGCAAACACTCGTGGCGTGCTCAGGTTGCCTCCAGCTGGAGTCTGGCGCCACCCTACAAACTTCGATGGTGTGATGGTCAGCTGCGCTCGCAAGCCCCATACAGAGGCGCACACCATAAGCACGTATACCCGCACGCGATAGGTTGTCCGTCACGAGGCGCTGCCCTGGTTGCTTTCATCCCATGCCGAATGGCTGTTACTACGGTTGTGTCATCATCGCGCTGGGCCGGGAACGGAAGAGCAACGATCCAGACCCCGGGCCGCCAAGACGAACACAATATGCATCGCCTGCGCGAAAAGTATAAAGCAAACAGACTTCCGAACATGCATACTCTCGGGGCAGTCGGCTGGCCTGATGCATGCTCTGCGCGTGTTCAACATGCCTGAGCGTCGGCTAAAATGCACTCTGTCAGAAAGCCCCACGGGCGCCGTCATAACTATCGTTAACTTAGCGGATTCTATCATGGCGGATCGCGGATCGTGGGCCAAGATCTATCCAAGCAACGGCGTCTTTAGCCACAACACTTATCTCGACCTCCTCTCTTCCTCGAGCCCATTACTCTCCGAGGCATCTGACGACCCCGTACTGATATTGGCATCTGCAACTTCGATCCTGGCTTCGCACCTTCCTGATGTAGTCCGAGGTCCTGCAGCCTCCTGCCCCGGGGCTTCCGCATCTGGACTTCGTTCTACGCAAGCCACCCCAAATCCATCCTAATGCGGCCGTCCGCAACATCCACCCGCACCTCACGTCTTCGCTTCCGCCGGGAACCTTGCCACAACCGCCCGCATGCTGGCGTATCTGGACTCCGTTCTGCGCAAGCCACCGTCAACTCCCATTTGATGACCTGGTTGGCTTCGTTCCCCGCGCCTCTGCCCACGTCGAAGTGTTGAACTCATCATTCGCGGCCCCGCTCCCCTCGACTGCGTTCTACGCAAGCCACTGTTGCTGACTAGCGCTGACCCTGCTCAGAGACGGAGGGGATTGGCCCTCATTCTGCGCGAATCACACCACCTATTTGTAAACTGGCGGCACGTGTGTGTCTGGACTTTGGTCTTCGCAAGCCACGTCAGGCGAACATGCAGCTGGAGTCTCGGTGTACCGTCCAAAGCAAGCATAGCTACATGCACACACGGCACGGGGCAATGCACAGCGGGGCGCAGAAGTGAGACAGGACGTCGGCCTGTCCGTAGGAGTCGTCCTGCGTCGTTGCTCATCCCAGCCCATCTACTTGAGTATTCCTGGCGTCCTCTTCTCTTCCATTCTTTCACACCCGCGAGCCTGATAGACCACTCATACCTACTTTGAAAGAAGAGACCACGATGCTGTCCCACCAACTCAAACTCTCTTTGCTCTTCTGCTTCGCCTTGTTCCATCTGATCTCCGCAGGTACACAATGCGGACAGAGCCAGTGGAATTGGGGAGGCTGTGAAACGTGGCATGGTAGCAAGTCGAGGGCTGTCGTTCCCACTAGCACCACGACCACAAGCACCACTACAACTTCGTAGGTGTCCTGCGGCCGTCTGAGACGTACATGCTAATTGGACAGGACCGTCACCGTCGCCGCTGCTGCCGCTCTCGCCGTGAAAACTGTCACAGTAACCCCGACGCCGGTCACGAGTGCGTACTCTTTCCCCTCTCGAATCCGTGCATCTCACTTATCATGTCTTTGTAGCTACCACGACAGTGACTTCAACTACCACAGTTTCAACGGATGATGTTACCGCGACGACCACGTCAGTTTAGCGTGCTCGCTATTGTGAATTTGTGGCTTACTGATTGTAGTACTACGACAACGACCACAAGCATCACGACTACCTACACCTTCACCTATTGTAAGCGTAACGCGGGCTTTGGTGAGGGCATGCACGCTAATTGAAGCTCTGCAGCCAATTTCAACCTTAAAAAACGAGCCGCTCCTACGCCATATCTCGACATGAGAGCTGTGGACGTGCCTGAGATAGAACAAAGGACTCCCCAGACTTTGCTTGAGCGACGAGAATCATGGCCACAGAGTGTGCTTTGCCATGAGTGAGTGCATAGCGCACCAATCGCCACGCACTTGACTCTGCTGACACCTGCTTCTAGGACGTGGTGGTGGCACCAATGCACAACGACGAGGCCGACTAGGCCTACCCGCACGGCCACAACGACCCTTCCGACCTCTACCGTGACCCGCACCCTTGTTGTGGAGGACGATGCTACATTTACGGTAAGCTGACTCGGCGTTCTTTCAAATCGGCTACAAGAGCCCCATCTGACTCTTCTTTGCTCGATCGTTAGACCACCGTGACGACCTCTGTCTTTACCTCGGTTTACACGACAGTCAGTACGGCGAGCGAAGCCACAACTACGTCCGTTACCACCGCATTTTGAAGTCGCTTTGCGATCATCTTGGGCGAATGCCATGATGGGGTGATGAAGGTCCCGGATGCCAGGAAACTCGAACCATTTTACGGCATTACTCATAACTTAGGGTATTCCTTGTATTAACGATCTCCTCGTTCCTCCTCATGCTATCGTTACATACCCTGCCCCAATCTTCGTTGTATCATCGCTTGAATAGACAGCGGTGATTGTGACATTCGACCCCTGGAGTATCTCAGAGAGCACACACGTTGCACGAATTGCCGAGGAACAGTACATCTATATATATATCGAGCTCGCTACAACGCTCAAACTACATAATACCACGTATTGTACAGAAGCGATGCCACGCACCACCTCACTACCCCAAAGGCGTAACTGATCCACCTGATACTAGACGCCCCTTCATGGTGTTCGGAGTAACAGCCAATTCAGCAGAGGCATGGCCGGCCGTACCGGTGCCGACCGCCGCCGTGAAGCCGCCATCGAGATGCGGCGCGTTCTCGAACCCGGCCATGGCCAGGGTAGCGGGGCCGACGGCGTTATCAGTCTCGACATTGTTTGTCCGGGTGTACTTCTGGAGTCCCGAGAAAGGCTCGTTCACTGGTGCTGTGAAGGGCGGTCCGGAATTACTGGCTCCTATCGTTGCGGAAGCTCCTCCCGCCGCAGCAGTTGCGGGCGCTCTGCCGAACTGTGCAATCCCTGTCGCTTGGCCTTTGTGCGATCCGCCGTGATTGCCGTGCGTGAAGTTGCCGTCCGCGCTTGACACGGTAGTCACGTAGGCCCAGTAGTAGGCGTAATCGCCCTCGTCATCTTGCGCGGTAGAAAAGGACGCGGCGAACGACATCGTGACCGGGCCTTTCGGGCCTTCATACGTTGTCGAATTGGCGTAAGATGTGGAATTCAGGCGAACGTTCGTCGCGCCCGTGTGGGTGATAGCCGCCGCCGATGCCGCGTTCGCACTGGCAGTGTTGTATCCAGAACCGCCGGAAGCCCCTACGCCGGATGCCACGGAACCGGGGCCCTTGTGTTTTGAAGCGTCGCCCGTGCCGAGCAGCGTTACATGGGTGCCGTTCGCGTTGTCCACGAATGACTTTACTGTCACTTCGAGCGGGGCCCAGCCGGCGGCGACAACACTGATCACATCGCTGAGCTGGCTCGGGGTGGTGGATTCGGTGAGAGATGTTGGCGCAGATGAAACGGTGGCTGCGAGCGCGAAGAGGAAGGAAAGCGTGGAGAGCTTCATTTTGCGGCGCGAGGAAACAAGAAAGAGCAGTGAGGTAGTTTGAGGAGGAGGTCACGGACGTAGACACGAAAGCTGATGAGCAAAAAACTCTTACCTGGAGAGTCGCCGGCTCTTAATATATACGATGTGCGTAGGGCGGAGGACTTGATATGGGCTATAAATTTCGAAGGGCTGCGACGACAAAAATAGGATGATGGGAGAGGGTGGTGTTATGCGCCACACGTCGGGAAGACTCCAGGGCGATACGAAAAGCTGTAGGCGCAGAGGTTGCAGCAACCCGAACAGTCGCAACTGTGAAGCGTGAAGTTGCATCCGGGAAAAGGACCGACTCGGACACTTACATAAGCGGAATCGACGACGTGGATTGGATGGAGGGGGTGGTGCTCGTATCGAAGTATGGGGTGGCGTGAGATTTGGGGGCAGCCTGGTCGGATTGAAAAAAACGTACACTTGATTGAAGAAAGCGCTAATAATACACAACATCCCGATCCAACACCACCCTCTCTCGCGATCACGAAAGCACAGAAGTCGGGTCCTTCTATCACTCATTACCCCGTTTGCCGCAAGTGGGCATATTGCCTTGATCCTGAGTCCTCACGAAATCGATCTTGCTAGTATCGTCACAATTGGAGCGACCAGCGGACCCGGCGGACTTGCAAGCCTTGTACTTTGGGACGAGATGGTGGATGCCGTAGCCGATGCTGATGCACATGTTGGCTGATAGATTGTATCTTGATTTGTTTGTTCTGGGTGGTGAGGAGAGGCCAGTAGGGTGGTGCCTTACTGTTGTCGGGACTTCATGAGTCGGCGTTGGAGGATGTGGTATTGGACATAGACTGATTCGAGCATGATTGATGTATTCCTGGAAGTTGGCGGAAGGGCCTATGTATCGTGGTGGTGGTCGATGATTGGCAACGATAGAAGCAATGTTTGACTGTTGCGGGGATAATTGATGTCAAAGAATTCCGGAGATTCGTAATGATTTATATATCAAGGCCAAGATGAACGTCGGAGCGTCGGAGGGTGCGCGAAGGCTCGCATCTCGCATGCGTTCCCCAAAAGGACTGCGAAGCGGAGAGGACTGGGGTAAGAGCCGTGGATTGTTGCGAGGCTGAGGGGACTTGGCCGCGCGGTGGTTGCCCAGTGAGGAGGCGGGGAAGCCAAGTCAGCTCTTCGAACGGCGATCGGCACAATGTCAACGCCGACACCGACGGATGGCACGGCAGTGCTGTCGCTGCCCGTCAGGCTTGTAGTACAAAAAGCGTCTGGTGGAATGATGTAGGCTGATGATGTAGCATCCATGGGGTGAATCTAGGTACAATTGTCAGTCGGCCTCTACACGGAATGCGTTCGACAAAGTAGCCCTGAGTGTTCCTTGGCGAAGCACCCTGTGTCGTTCTCAAGGCCGACCTTGCCGAGTCCAGTGTATACATTGACAAGCATATGCAACGACTTACAGCCGTCCTGGCAAAAGTACATAGTGCCTGGTAATGCGGCATGCGGTCGCGCAAAGCAGTCTCGCAGTGAAGTGCGGTGAAGTCCAAGTCATAAGTCGAAGTATCGACTCGACTTTTGTCAGCTCTTGAATCGACCACGTCTCTCTTAAACACCCCGCAAGAGAATGGATTGATTCTGCGTGCGAAAAACATCCCTCCATCCCGTACGACTCGCCATAATGTCTAAACACAACTTCGCCCCTCTCAAAAATGACCTCCTCCTCCGCACCGCCCGCGGCGAAAAAGTGTCTCGTCCGCCAATCTGGGTGATGCGACAGGCTGGACGCTACCTCCCCGAGTACCACAAAGCCAAGGGCGATCGCGATTTCTTCGAATGCTGTCGAGACCCCGAAATCGCCTCGACGCTTACCCTCCAACCCATCGAGCGATATGCAGGGCTCATCGATGCCGCCATCATCTTCTCCGACATTCTCGTCATACCGCAGGCGATGGGCATGGAGGTTATCATGCACCCGGGAACGGGCCCGTTGTTTCCCGACCCTCTCATCGAACCAGAGGACAAGCAGTACCAAGAAATCATGGAGCGAGAGGTTGATGTGCAGAAAGAGTTGGGATACGTCTTCGATGCGCTTACCCTGACTCGGCAAAAACTCGACGGCCGAGTACCTTTGTTCGGCTTCTGTGGCGCGCCCTTCACGTTGTTGTGTTATATGGTGGAAGGAGGCGGGAGCAAGTTGTTCAAGCAGATTAAGACGTGGCTCTACAAGTACCCGGAACAGAGCAAGAAGCTGTTGCAGAAAATTGCGGAGCTGTGCACCGAGTATCTCGCTCTGCAAGTCCAGGCTGGAGCGCAAATCGTGCAGGTCTTCGACTCTTGGGCGGGCGAGCTGTCTCCTTCGGTTTTCCGAGAGTTTGCATTCCCGTATCTGAAGTACATCTGCGACCATCTTCCCGGCAGACTAGCCAAGCTGGGCGAGGAGAAAGTGCCCATGGTGGTGTTCGCAAAGGGTGCCTGGTATGCTCTGGAGGACTTGTGCAAGACCAATTACGACATCGTGGGACTTGACTGGCTGCACGCACCGAAGCAAGCGTACGCTATCGCTCAGAAATACGGCAAGGTTGTCCAAGGGAACGCCGATCCAGGAGTGCTGTATGGTGGGCACGAAGCAATCACCAGAGTTGTTGGGGAGATGGTTGACGGCTTCGGAGGTGGAAAGCAGGGTTGGATCGCCAACCTCGGTCATGGTAAGTCGACATCGAACGCGTGCGAGTTGCAACTCAGTCCTAATTCTCAATCTAGGAGTTACACCGAAGGTGGACCCAGATGACCTAAAGTTCTTCTTTGAAGAGATACACAGACTCTCAGGTACTTCTAGCTGACTCCCTGCATCTATGATGTAACTGGTCCATATGCCAACCGGGTGTCTAGATGAATACCAAAAGTCTGCTGTCCCCACGGCGAACGAGATTGTCGCACTGGAGCAACGCATGCATGAGCGTAACGTGCTGCTCAATGACTGGTGAAGGGTTCTCAAGCTTTTCACTTTCCATCCTCGCCGATGTCCTCGTTCCTGCGAATCCCATGTCAGCAAAGCCGACACCTTCAAGTCCAGCGTCAACCGCGCATCAGCACCCACCAGTCCTCGGGGTGTTCGGAGCTGAACGTTTGCATCAATCTCTCGCACTCTTTGCTGCCGACATTGATCACCTCGACTCCTTTAGATCGAAGGAGATCTTCGCCGCCGAGGAAGGTTTTGTTCTCGCCCAGCACGACGCGAGAGACTTCGTACAGCAGACACGCGCCTGTGCACATTAGGCATGGCGAGAGTGTTGTATACATGGTGCTTCCTTTGTACGCGGAAGCGGGCAGTCGACCTGCGGATTCCAGAGCAGACATTTCACCCTTTCGCAAGTGTCAGTCGTTGTATCGAGTCTCAGTGTAGCTACGAGTCTTGGAGACTCGTCGTATCAAGAAGTCTACGTACATGCAGAATCGCAGAGCCCTTTTGTAGCCGCATGTTGTGCCCTCTCCCCAACACCTTTCCATTCTTGTCGACGAGGCACGCACCGATTGGAATGCCGCCTTCTCGAGCACCCTGCTTGGCTTCCTCGAGCGCCGCCTGAAATCCGGGATCACTTTCGCTCATGATTTCGGTGCGAATCGGGGAGAATAGCTAAGGTATGTGGCGAGACTCGATGTAGAAGACTTTTTGATAGCACCCATGCAGCCTGAGGCATCCAGGTACCGTACGCCTCGGTCGGTCCTCACCGCCTTCCAATCGAGCTTAGCGCAAACGGCATGACGGAGTAGCCCTGAATTTACGCCAGCGGCCTCTGCCTCCATTCTGCCTCTTCCCCCATCTCCCACTCTCCTTTCACAGCACAGCACACTGTCAATCTCATTGACACCCTTGTACTGATCTCCGCTCTCAGTCTCTCCTCGTTCGAGGCTTCGCCAGCGACGGGCATCGGGTGGGTGAGGCGCACCACTCGCACAGCGGCGCGTGTCCTCCCCTCCACTGCTCCTCGCGCCAACCCTCCCTCCTTCACCTCACCCCACCTGACCTCCCACTACATTCGGAACTGTCCATCGACGCGCAAGCTCTGAGCGACATCACCCCATCTCCCTCGCCAATCGTAGCGAGTGGACATGGATCCATCTCACCGAGGCTGGGGCCCTCCCCCTCCGCAGCAGGCGGCCGGCAACGCACATGGCGGCAACAACGACCAGAACCAGTCTGAGGCCCCGCGGCCTACATATGGGTGAGTCCATCGTCGCCGTTTGCCTGTTGATGTCATTTTCGCTCGTCTGCGCGCCAAGCTTCGCTCTCGGTGGTGCAAGCTCGCTTTGTCGCGCGCGCTTTCACCCTCGAGCTTCGAGCTTGCATCCACGCGCTTGACACTTTTCGAATCCTCGCTAACCTCGGGTCCTTTCTTCCAGAGTCGGCCATCAGTCCCCTCCTCAAGGCCACAGCGGCCTCCCTCCACCACCGCCTAGCGGCCCTTTCCCTCACTTTCACCAACAACCGCCGTCGTTGGCCAGCCTGGCTGGTATCGGCCAGTCACCGCCACGACAGCCTCCCCCATCGGCCGGGCGGCCAGAAGGAGCTCAGCAAGGCCCCCCACAACTGCCACTGCCTGGTTTCAATCAGGCAACTGGACAGCAGTCAGCCGCTGAGCGCGAACGCGAGCGCGAGGCCGAGCAGATGAGACACATCAAGCTCGAGGAAGATCGCAGACGGCAACAAGAGCGACAGCGTCTGGAACAAATTCCCGCCCATCAACCGCAGCCTGGTCCGCCGATGCCACTGCATCAGCCAGTCGCCGTCGGACCGCGATCCGTACATGGTCCCAACGGCTTCCTCGGTACACCCAGCCAGCCGCCCCCACACACGCTCTCTGGTGTGCCAGCGGGTCCCGGCACCATGTTTGCTGGAGGTCCGGTGCAACAGCCAGCCCCAGGTCAAGGCCCGCCGGGTCAGCAAATGCAACAGGGCATGCTCATGCCCTTCTCACAAGCCGCTCCACCGCCGCCGCCCGCCCAACAGCAGGCCAACCAACAACAAGGGCAAGGCCAGCAGCCCATCCTCAATGACGCCCTGAGTTACCTTGACCAAGTGAAAGTCCAGTTCGCAGAGGTGCCGGACGTGTACAATCGTTTCTTGGACATCATGAAGGACTTCAAGAGCGGTGCGATCGACACTCCGGGCGTCATTGGCAGAGTTAGCACACTCTTTGCGGGCAATCCGGATCTAATTCAAGGATTCAACACATTCTTGCCACCAGGTTATCGCATAGAGTGCGGCACCGACAACGATCCCAACACGATCAGAGTCACGACGCCAATGGGGACGACCGTACGCGCTATGCCACAACCACGTCCCCTTAGTAGGCAAGACGGCGCCGATCAGGATGGCTTACGCCTGGGCAACGGCTCGTTCACGCCGCAGCCGGGGCAAAATGCTCAGATGTACAGCCCCAGCGGACGTCCCGTTGGTCCAGCCGGACCTGGCCAGCAGCATCTGGAGGCGGTTCGTCAGCAAGAGCAGCAAGCTATGCATCAGCAAGAGCAGCGGGGCATCAGCTCACTTTCAAACGCCGCTTCCGCTGCACCTGGTCCTCCCGGAGTCAGGCCTGGAGGGTCGCCTCGCAGCACGCCTCTTCCGGCATTGCAAGACCACAACGCTCAGGTCGATGGAGCAGCTGGACAGTCGGCAATGGACAAGCGAGGCCCGGTGGAGTTCAATCATGCGATCTCTTACGTCAACAAGATCAAGGTGAGTTCTTGTTATATATGGTGAAGTGAAGTTTTTAGCATGACTTCACATGCCACTCACCTCCCAGCCATCCTTTTATACACTTTACTGACTTTTTCTTCTTTCGCAGAATCGCTTTGCTTCCCACCCGGACATCTACAAGCAGTTCCTTGAGATTCTGCAAACATACCAACGAGAGTCAAAGCCGATTCAGGACGTCTACAGTCAGGTCACTCATCTGTTCAAGACGGCGCCGGATCTCCTGGAGGACTTCAAACAGTTCCTTCCTGAATCCGCCGCTCAGGCCAAAGCCGCCGAGAGAGCGAGACAGCAGGCCGAGGAGAGCGTCATGCTGTCCAACGTTCGCGGTGAGCCAATGTACGGCAGCCCAGTCGCTTCGCGGGAGCCTCAGGTCGGAACGCCAAGCCATGCGCGAAGCAACCTCCCACCCGTCGGTAACTTTGCGTTCACCCCAGTCGGCAAAGACAACAAACGCAAGAGAAACGACAGACAAGGCACTGCGGGCAGCGTGATCGACCCCGGAATCGGACCAAGTGGCGCAAAGATGAATGCCTACGGCGCGCAACCGGTCAAGCGCATGAAGCAAACCCACGCGCCGGCCGTCAAAGGGCTGAATGAGCAGCAACAACCGCCTCCCTCGCCCACTCTCATCCCCGAGCTGCCTCAGCCACTCCCACCGACAAACACCTCTGCCGCTACGCATGAAGAGCTGCAATTCTTTGATCGTGCAAAGAAGGCAATCGGCAACAAGAACACCATGAATGAGTTCCTGAAGCTGCTGAATCTCTTCAGCAATGATTACATCGATCGCACCACCCTCATCTACCGCGCTCGGGCGTTCCTTGGCAACACTCCGGAGTTGATCAAATGGTTCTGTGACTTTGTCGGCTATGACGAGAAGGACGTGGTCATCGAGAACAAGGCGCGCGAACCGATCGTCCCCGGCGGCAGGATCAGCTTGAGCAATTGTCGCGCCATGGGACCGTCGTACAGACTGCTCCCCAAGCGCGAGCGCAACAAGCTGTGCTCTGGCAGAGACGAGCTTTGCAACTCTGTGCTGAACGATGAGTGGGCCAGCCACCCGACGTGGGCATCGGAGGATTCTGGCTTCATCGTGCATCGCAAGAATGTGCATGAAGAAGGCCTGCACCGGATCGAAGAGGAGCGTCATGACTACGACTACAACATTGAGGCCTGTGCGCGCACGATCCAGCTGATCCAACCCATCGCACAGCAGCTCCGCCGCATGGCTGGTACCGAGGAGGAGATCGCGTTCAGACTCCCACCCAGTCTTGGCGGCCAATCGGACACGATTTACAAGAGGGTCATCATGAAGATGTACGGGCGCGAGAGAGGCGCAGAGGTCATCAAGCAGCTACACCTCACTCCTTACCAGGTCATCCCAGTCCTGCTGAACCGATTGCATGAGCGACTCAGTTCGTGGAAGATGGCTCAAAGAGAATGGGAGAAGGTGTGGCGCGAGCAGACGCAGAAGATGTTTTGGAAGTCGCTCGACCACCAGGCCGTCAACGCCAAAGTCAATGATCGGAGACAGTTCCAGGTCAAGGCTTTGCAGGCCGAGGCTCAAGTCAGACTGGAAGAGCAGAAGAACCAACAGAAGAACCAACAGAAGATCGTCGGCAGTCTGCCCGGACTTGCGCAAATCGCGGTCGATGTCACCGATGAAGATGTCCTTGTTGATGCAGCCTGGCTGGTCTTGGTCCACAATGAAGCCGTGGGCACCGCGGATTCTGCTCGCCTTGGACCTTTCATACAGGAGTTCGTGCCGCTCTTCTTCGGAATATCAGCGGAGGAATTTGAGCGCAAGCTGAGTGAGCGTCGCCGTATCGAGACTTCGTCGAGAAACAGCATGGAGCGCGACGACCTGACGAGTGGTGCTGAGGATTCCGGAAACGAGAGGAAAACCAAGAAGAACGGGAAGCAGTCTACACTCCTGCGCCAGACGCTCGACAAAGGTCCTAAGGGGAGATTGCTGGGCAGAAGGGAGCGAGAGGATAGCAACGCATCCGCATCGAGAGCAAGCACACCTGGTCTTGCGTCAGAGATGGGCGATGACGGTATCGCTGTTGACGGAATGGCTGTTGATGCACCGGGCGCGGGAGCCGTAACTCCTGCCGACGATACCAACCAAAAGATTGCCGACTCTACGCAACGCTGGTTTAACCACCCGGCAACCGGAAACGCGGTATCGAGCGACAAGGATGTCGAGCCAAACGCGCAGCACAAGCGCGTCTTCTACCGCCTTTGGGGCAATCCCTCTATCTACTGCTTCGTCCGCATGTTCCTCATCCTCTACGAGAGACTGCACGCCCTCAAGCAGGGTGAGGCGGAGTGCAAGGCCATCGTGCAGCAAGCGAAGCGTTCTAAGGCTGCCATCGAGCTGGGGATCATGGACAAGCTGCCTAGCGACTTCTTCCACGACACAAGCGCGAACGCCAACTACTACCAACAGATGCTGCAGAAATTCTACGAAGTCATCCAGCAGGAATTGGACTTTGTCAACGATGGTGTGGAAGACTGTCTTCGACGCTACTACCTGCAAGCCGGCTACCCTCTCTACGCCTTTGAGAAGCTCATGGCTGCTCTGGTGAGGTATGGAGGCACAGTGGTTGTTGGCGAGGCTGTCAGCAAAGAGAAGAGTTGGGAGATGATCGGGCTATGGAAGAAGGACAAAGCCCGCGGTGACGAGATCAACGCGCAGCAAACACTCGACTACCGTAAGGCGGCAGAGAAGTTGATTGGCTCGCAGCAAGACGTCTACGCCATTGACTGGGACATTGCGGCCAAGAAGGTCAAGATCTACCTCGTGAAGAAGGACGATCCCTACTGCACCGCGCCCGTCGACGGCCTCTCACAACTCGACAAGGAGAACAACTGGCGCCACTACGTCGCCTCCTACTCCTCCATGGACTCGACCGACGACGTGGACACCAAGCACCTACACCCCGTCATGCTAAGCCGTAACATGGCCACCATCGGCGCCGACCCCGCCTCCGGCGAGCTCCCGCTCCAAGTCATGGCCAACGATAGCGCTGCGGAAGCCGGCACAGATGACGCGTCCGCCGCCGGTGCGAGCGCCGACACGCCCGCGAAGCAGCGCCTCTTCGACCGCTTCTGGTCCGTCAATAACGCCGAGGACCTGTCGCTGCGCATCGACGTGGAGAAGTACAAGATCCACTTCCAGCCGGGCACGTCGGAGGCGTTTATCCAGCCTATGCGTGCGAGGCAGGGAGGCGAGGAGGGGGTGAAGGATGCGGCGGAGGGCGCGGAGGCGCGGTTGGAGGTGATGAAGGAGCGGATTGTGGGGGGTCATGAGGGAGTGAAGGACGCTGGTGATGTGGAGGCGAGGGAGAGGGAGTTTGAGGGGTTGGTTAAAGGGGAGGATGTTAAGGTTGAGGGGGCTGAGGGTGGTGAGGTGATGGAGGTTGATTCTTGAGGTGGTGCGTGAGATTGTGCTTACATTGCTTTGGTTTTGCTTTGCTTTGCTTTCAACGACTCGGCTCAGCGCACTGCTGCGGTTCTCAGGAGCTGAAAGGAGTTGTTTGCGCCCGTCGAATACACGTCCATAGCACTTCAACGATTTGACATAAGACTCGTCGTGTTTTCCTACACTTGTCCACGAGGTCATGACATACATCAAACGAGATATCTGCTCACTCGAGTAGGATATCATGATCAGTTCTTCTCACCGCTAAAACTCACATGAAAAACTACTAATAATAGCATCATTATCACCACCAGATTCAAAGGTCATTATACCCCAACACCGTCTTGTCGAGCCCCAAATCCGCCACAGCCCAGCACCACGCGCGCCCCGCTTCGCCGCCAAACAGCGACTCGGGCGCTGACGAGCGGTCGAGCATGCCGTCCTTCTCCATGGAGAGGATCTCGTGGCCGGTGGTGTAGGTGAGGAAGTGCTCGAATTCGGCGTCGGCGAGGGCGAGGGCGTTGCCTGAGATGCCTTTTTCGCGTTACACATTAGCAGAGGAGGAGTTTGTGCTTTGGGGGGTGACATTTACCGTGGCAGATACACGGTTCTTTGGTTAGAAGTCCACGCTCCCAGATGCACGCTCTGCCATTCGTGATGGCCTTGTCGATTTTGTCTTTGAGCGCGGGGAAGTAGCGCTCGATACTTTTCAGACTGACGATGACGCCTGGCGCGCCGTGGCAGATTTGCACTAGGCGGTCTTTCTCCGGCGGCACGGAGGAAGGGAAGTTGCCGGAGGGGAATTGGTAGGTCAAGACGACGGCGAGCTCGGCCTCGAGTTTCGGCGCGTACTTTGCTGGGTTGCTGAGGACGATTTGGGTAATGATGCCGATTGCACCGTGAATGGCGCCGACGTACGCTTTGCTGTGCCACTTCCAGGGGCGCGGGGAGGCGAGAATTTCGTCGATCACGTCGTCTTGCGTGTCGGTGAGGAGTTGCAGCGTCTGAGGGTCGTCGGGGAAAGAGGCCTTGACGAGGCGCAGGAGGTAGAGATATCCTGCGCGCCCGAAGAGGAACTCGTTCACACTTTCTGGGTCGAGCACTTCGGCGGAGTAGTCGCACAGGTCTGCGGCGATGCTGGCGTCTTTGTTGCTCGCGGCGCCGATGGCGAGCAGGCACATGATGTCGTCCATGATGCCGCATAACCCGACCGTCGGGCCGGGGTAGGTGGCGATGTTGTCCTGGGCGTAGCGCAGGTAGTCGGCGGACCAGGCGGCGAGGGTGCGGGATTCGATCTCGAGGTGAGGGTAGAGCTGGTGCAGTTTCATTAGGGTGTAGGCTACGCTTATGGGGCCTTTGAAGAGGCCGCCTCCGGGGGTGATGGATTGCGGGGGATGCTCGGTGACGAGGCGGATCAGTGAGGCTTCGACTTGGCGGTGGGGGTCTGAGGTGGTGATTAGCTGGGTGTAGTGTGTGAATCAAGGCTCGGATATGGTCTACCTCTCCTCGACAGCTCGGCGTCATTTTTGAAGTATCGCGGTGGCATGGTTGCTGTGGGTGGGCGTTCATTCGTTAAGTCGTTATGTTAAGGAGAGTGAGGTAGGACTGCAAGACTTCGTCGAGTCTCGTCACATCGTGCCCCTCTTGAACAGCCCACACCGGTTACTGAGAGGTGAGGTGAGGTGGTGTACCGGTGAAGTCGAAGTTGGAAGGTGTGGCGCAGGGCTGCCCCGCGCGGCTGCCCCGACTCTTCTCATGACTTCACTTCCTCCTCCTTCCATCCCCATCACCATCACCATCACGAGTCTATGCTCACCAGACAAAAGCATCATGCATCCGTAAGACCGGTGAATGTATCTTCATACCTTTCAATTCATTCATCACAGACTTCCAAGCAAGGTGAACGGATGGTTCAGGATCGAGACTGGAGGATGGCAACTGGCCACTTCCCTACAATTCACTCCTTCCTTCCTCCAATGATCACAGCTTGTTCTATCTTGGATTGCGGTACCTCACTTTCATCTTGCTCTTCACTTCATTGCATGCACGCATTTTCTTCCAGCACATTTCCATCTCTTCTCGTCTGTCCATCACACCATCACAATAGCAGCATTTCAACTCCAAACAAGATTCACAAGTCCTATTCCACTCGCTCACCATGTCCTCCCCAGCCTCCATCAGAAAAGACAGCAAAGACAACAACGCCAACAACAGCCCCAACAAACCCCCCGACTTGGACCTGCTGAGCATCCTCTACCGAAACCAATCCCCCACCCTCCCACAACTAACCGCACACGTCAAAAGCCTGGCCGAATACGTCAAAGACCTCTCCGCCTACATCGCAGCTGAAGCCAACACAGCCCCCACCCCCTCAAACTCCGCCCCAACCACGCCCAGCAAACCGAGCGAAACCAACGCCAGCACCAACGAAAGCACCACCACCACCATCCCCGACCCCAACACAAACGAAGACCCAAACGACATCATGCTCGCCCTCGCCCCCGTCCTCAACGCCCAACTCTCCACCCTCAACACCGTCGAAGAAACGACCAACGACTGCTTCAAACTCTGCACAGAACTCGTCGTCGGCGTCTCGAAAGCGATGCAAGCGAATTGTCAGAGTTTCACCCTGAAATTGGAAGGCATGGAGCGCGAGGTGCAGGGGGTCAAGAAGGGGTTGATGGAAATTGCGATGAAGCTTGGGGCGGGGGCGGTGAAGGGGATGGTGAAGCTGGAGACGGAGGCGAGGAAGGCGGAAGAGGCGGCGGTGCCGTTGAGGACGCTTGTTGGTGCTGCGGGGCCGAGTCGGGGGAAGAAGGGGAAGGGGAAGGGGAGGAGGCGGTGATTCTTTTCTTGGATGGGGGGTTGCTTGTTGGGTATGAGCGTTCGTTTTGTCTTGGTCATGCCATTACTGGTAACCCGAGTCTATTCCCAACGCCAATGGAAGTCTCGCTATGCACCACCCCATCAAGCGGGGAGGAAAAAATCCATCTATCTAATGCGATCCAGCCGCGCGCGGTTGACGGCAATCTGATCATCCACCCGATCCGTCTTGTCGATGACACGAGTCAAATGCCTATTTTGACTCTCAATCTCCTCTCCCATCGCCTTTCCGAGCGCATTAAGAGTTTTGGCGCTGCGATGAATGGCATCCCTAGTAGATCCACCACGTTAGCAAAGTCCAACATCCCCATCAGCAAGCAACAACGACCACTCACAAATTCTCATCAATCTCATTCTCCATCTCCTCGTCCTCACTGTCCGCCTCAAACTGATACTTGGCCCGCTCCGCCAAATTCTTCGCGCCCCCCGGCCGGATCAAGTTCCCATTCAGGTCCCTCGCCTGCCGCTCCGCCCTAGCAGTAGAGCTAAACGCCGCCGCCTGCGTGGCATCCCTCGTCTCGCGCTCCTGCCTATTCCGCTCCAGCGCAAGATTATTCGCCGCCTGTTCGCGCTTCTTCGCCGTAAAGGGGTTCGCGACGTGCACGGCGAACATGCTGCGATTCAGCGTCTTGAGCTCGCGCGCCTTCTCCTCCGCCAGCACGTTCTGGCTGGACGCAAGGTCGAGGTTGCGCTCGGTGTTGTGGATGCGTTCGCCCTGCGCGCCCAAGCGGGCGAGCGTGTCGCGCCCGATTTGCTCGGATTGCTCGGCGATGCGGCGCGCGTTGCGCGTCGACGAGATGTCTTGCTGCTTGATGAAGCGGATTTCTTGCTTGCTTGCGTTGACGTCTTCTTCCTCTTGCTCTTCGGCGGTGAGCTCGCGGTCCGGGGCGGGGCTGCCGTAGCCGCCGTGCAGGTCGCTGGAACCGTAGCCGCCTGCATTGGAGTAGCTGGCATCGCCACTGGTGCCGTAGGGCTGCGCGGAGGTGGGGGCAGGCTGGGCGGCTCGTTTCGGGGCGTCGCCGAACAGGGCGTTGCGGCCGGCGTCGGTGCTTATGGTGTCTTGACTGTTCCTTCGCCCCATCCCGCCATACCCTCCCTGCCTGCTGGTTTGCTGGGGGTTCCCATTGCCGTACGGATCACTGCCGTATCCGCCTCCTTGCCCGTAGCTGCCACCGGCCTGAAACCGGGCTGATGGACCACCATACCCTGCTGGAGGGCCGGGGGACTTTTCATATCGATTGGGAGGTTGCTGACTTTGACGTTCGTCCGGGAAGCCGGAGTCGCTGTGCAGAGTCAAGCTTCCAAAGGACGAGGTGGGCGGCTGGGTGAGGGAGGACTGTGATCGGGCGTAGGGGTCGTTGGCACTAGCTGCAGTGGCATAGGGATTGGCGTTGTTGCCCTGCGAGGCGTAGGGGTTGTTGGACGGCGCCGGGACGGCGTAGGGGTTGTTCGTAGGCGGCTGGGGGGATTTGGAGAGTTTGCTGCTGCTTTTGCCAAAAAGGGAGGACTTTTTGGAGTCGAGGTCTCCCTGGTCGCTCTTCTTCGATCCGAAAGGCATGATGTGATGTTGTATAGGTTGTCGAAGTGCAAGTGTTTCCGCCTGGGGGGGAAGAGGATTGCGGAGGTTGAAGGGGGATCTGCAGGGTCGGGAAAGCTGCTGGCTGAAACGTCAACCGGTGGCGCAGCCCGAAACATGCAGCACGTGCAATTCGAACAAAGACGCAACGATGGCAGTGCATTGATCCCACGAACAGAAATGTACGTTGTTTGGAGGTCAATAGTCATACAATCTACTTCTATACATATATGTGCCAGCCCGTCCGTCGCTCAGCTCAAGCAATCTTCTTCACCTCCACTTTCTTCTCCTTCGCCAACTTCAGCGCCTGCTCGACCAGCCTCACGCCTCTCCTCGACACGACCACTCTGCTGCCCAAAAGCGCAACGCCAGTTAACAGCGCCAGAGCTCCAGCCTGATGTGCAGCAGCGAGCGGCGTGGGCACTAGATACCACAGCGTCGTGATCCCCAGCGTCACCTGCAGGAGAGCAAGATGCACCACGCCACGCGTAGCCTTGCTCACCTCCCGAGGCATCGCCGCTCGCACCCGAGGGTTGAAGCGGCTGTATGCCCAGAGTCCGATGATGGCGCAGAACGAGGTGGTGGCGAGGATGCGGTGGTCGAGCTGCACCAGCACCGGGTTTTCCAGCATGTTGCGCCACACTAAGTCTTTTTCATCCGGTCGGTGCGAGTAGAAGGAGTCCAGCATTTCGCGCTTTGGTGGGATGAGTCCTTGGCCCATCCAGGGGAAGTCGTTGTAGATGAGACCGGCGTCGAGGCCGGCTACCAGTGCGCCCGACATGGCTGTCACAAAGACAAGCACGCTCAAAGGCCCGACTAGACGTCGAAAGGGCATCAATTCCGGCTTGCGCAAGGCGTTGAGCACGTTGATGGCTTCCGACGGCTTCTGCGACCACCGATGCTCCCGGAGTATTGATAGTCCGTTCCACACCATGGCCAGATACACCGCAAACGCCGTGCCCAGATGCGCCGCCAGTCGATACTGACTGACGCGCGGATGCTTCCCCTGCTCAAACAAGTCATCCTTCAATCCGCTCTTCACCATCCACCACCCCAAAAATCCCTGAAACCCAATCATCCCGCAGATACCCGTCAACTTCCACGCCATACCCGGTGTGACCCTTCTCCGAATGACAAAATACGCCGTCGGCAGCAGAAACGTCACTCCCACCACCCTTCCCCAGAGCCTGTGAGTCCACTCCATCCAATAGATCTGTTTGAACTCCTCCAAATTCATCCGCGAGTTCAGCATCTTGAACTCCGGACTGAGCTTGTACCGCGCAAACTCCTCTTCCCAATCCGCCTCGTGTCGCGGAGGCAGCGAGCCTGTGACAGGTCGCCATTCTGTTATGCTTAGCCCGGACTCGGTGAGACGTGTCAGGCCGCCAAAGACGACGATGCCGAAGACTGAAGCGGCGCTGCCGAGAAGCCAGTAGGCGACGGATTTGTGGGAGGTCTTGGGCCAGGAGGATTGGGAGGTTGAGCGAGAGGCGCTTTGGATGGCTTGGTTGAGCGCGGAGGTGGTAGGAGAGTTAGGAGCGATGGACGAGGATTGATGTCTTCGGAAGGCATTGAGGAATGGTGTTTGGCGGGTGGATGTAAATTGCTTGCGGGCTTTGCTCTGGTGCTGGAGACATCTCTTGCAGACGAAGGCTTCTTCGAGGATCCGACTGGCTTTTGAGGCCAATCTGATGCGGAGCGGCGAGAGAAACATTCTCAGCGGCTCGAAGGACGCGGGTCCTTGTTTCGTGAGCTGCGATGCCGATGGAAGGATAGCTGCAAGCGCAAGTTGCGGCGAAGAACAATGAGTGTATGAAGCGTGCATCGGGTGGAGTCTCGGCGTTTGCTTTGACTTTGCGCCGCGAAACTCTGTCTGCCCAGGGTCGCTATCGATAAGCAGGGCAGGGTCACGTCACAAGACGTCCTCACCGGCAGCACACTCCAGACACATTAACGGACACTCTTCCGAGCCGGATTTGCCTGCTCCTGTCGTGGACGACCATCTCTCCAAGCGCTGCCAAGGACAAGTCTCCTCCTCCTGCCGAATGCCCCGCTCTAGCTGGCATAAAGCCAGGTCAACAGGCCATCCTCCGATCTCGACCCCAATCCTACGACAAACCTGATTCCGTCGTTCCCGCAAGATGGAGGGTGATAGCCACCAAAACGATCGCTCCTTCTTCAACACCCCTCACCATCCCGAACAATCCACCTCGCAAACATGGAACTTCGACCCCGTCACCCCGCGTGCATCCTCCTCGTCCTCCCCATCTCACAGATCGGAGACACCCAGAGCAAGCCGGCCATCCAACACCAGCATCCCCCGCGCCCTTTTCCCCTCCACTCCCACCTCAATATTCGGATCGGCCGACCCTCGCCCCATGCAAGGACAGAATGGTCCAACTACACCGCCTCCCCATCAACTGCCACCCCCGCTCGCACTGGCACGGAGTCCGCCAAGCTCCGACACCTTCCTGCGCACCTCCTCCATTCCCACCCTCCCTGGCGCTGTAAAGAGCAGGGATAGCTGGTATGAAGAAGACGACGTCAACCTCATGCACTCTCAGCATCTTCCCAAAGCCGAGAAAGATGCCGATGATCCAACCAATCCGCCTTCCTCTCCCTCAAGAACTACTCTCGATCGCTATGATTCCACTACCTTGACGACGCTAAGCCGCTTGTTCGCCGTGCGAGCGCCAGAGTCTCCAGAGGCATCACGTACCCCCTCCTACAACAATCCCTCCAAAGCATGCCCTCCCTACGCAAGGAACATGGCAGGCCAGACCGCCGCTCTCCCTGACCATCTCTACGCTCGTGGCCTCCTCGAAGGGCGACACAGCGACATTACCGTCCACGCCTTCGGCAAACAATACCATCTCCATCGCTTGATCCTCGACCGCGCCCATTTCTTCCGCAGCGCCCTCACCGAGCCTTGGCTGGAAGCCAATGCAAAAGAGACCACGCTGCATCCCGAGGACCTCGACCCGAGCATCACGCAAAATAGCTTTGAACTCGCGCTTAAGCGTCTCTACGGCTGTGGCAACGACTACGAGGAGGATCAAAATGCCGTTGGCCTCTTCGCCACAGCCTGTTGGCTGGAAATGCCGGATCTTGTCGAGGCTTCCGTCGAAAGCATGCTGCGCCAAATGGTTCCCGAGACTCTATCACCATTGATCAAGCTCGTCACGAGTAATTACTACGGCCGGGCGGGCGACAAAGTGCTTGCAAGTGCGAAAGCGATGCTGTGTAGGGATGGTTGGAAGATGCCGCTGAGCTGCTGGGACGGTATCCCGGCCGACATTATCCGAGAGATTGTAGGCGGTGACGGCTTCTTCATCGACGGTGAATGGGATCGTTGGGTACTGGCTAAAAAGCTACTGGACCGAAAGCTGCATAAGCACGCCTTGGACGCTGGATTGTACGAGACGCACAAGGGGAGAAAGACGGCGATGAAGGCGCCGGACTCGGCATATTTGACCACTGTGCGCTTCGATTCTGCCTATAGAAGGAATAGAGCTGCTGGTAGCCGAGCTGTACCGGACAGACTGCACCGCTGGGTTACGCTCTACACGCTTCCCGATGTCGAACCATTGTTAGTTCTCCTCGACGAAGGCATCCACTACCTCCATCTGGATTTTGAGCAGCTACAATCTATCCGAAACACGCGTGACGCTCTCGGAATCCCTGTCGTTCCCGAGAAAGTCATTAGCAATGGACTTTGGCAACAAATGGAGCTTCGGCAAAGAATAATGAATGCACGCGACACTGACATGGAGTTGAAGTTATCGGTCAGATGCGCCGAACAGGTCCCCATCACTGAGACGAACGAACGCACGATGGACGTTCCCGAGCCCACGTCTCAACAGCCATCATCCAAAGGCAAGGAGAAAGTGCAGGATGTGCCCGAAGCCGTGGAAGATGAGAATTCAGAGAGCGGAAGCTGGGACGGTAATGGAAAGCCCAGAAAGTTCTGGATTCCAACTTCCGACGCAAATATCATCATGGGCGGCAATGCAGACCCCGTCATTGCCACTTCCAACAACACCACTCTCCAGCGGCGGGCGAGCAGACTGTCCTCGACCATTCAGCCCGAGGATGTGCAGTGGGCTTCTGATTTCGCCGCCGTGACATCTCAACCCCGCCACCTTCCGACCTCTGGGGACAATACAGCGCCTCAAACGGATGGCGGCGCGCGCTACACGCATTTCCCTCCTTTCCGTTTCGCTGCCGAGTTCCCCAATCCCAGGTTGCTGAAGGAGAAGAAGCGCGTGTACAGTCGCACTGTCTTCTACGCCGGCAGTCTGTGGAACATCTACATTCAGAAAGTCAAGTCTTCCCGCACCACGCAGCTCGGCGTGTACCTGCATCGAGCAAAGGAACGAGAGACGGAGGAAGTCATCGCGGGGACGGCGGGCTTAGCGCAAGGAAGTGTGGACGAACGAATTGGACAGCTGGAGCGATCGATGATTCTGGGCTCGGAGCAACGTGAGCGCTTTCAGCGACGTACGGCTGTGCTGAGCAGCGATCCGCTGGATGGCGAGGGGGCGGAGAGCTCTGGCAGCGCGGGCGATACAGAGAACACCCTGCTCGAGAGCCGCTCAAATGCGAGACAGGAGATGATGCGCGGACTCGGCATCCGTCCGCGGCAGCGTAGAAACGATGCCATCCATGATGACACCACACGCCAAACCACCGCATCCGCAGAAGGACATTTCGCCGCAGACGATAGCGCATCCCACCAAACCAACTCCAGCAGCAACCCTCTCACCGCCGCCGCAGCAGACATCTTCACCCCAGACAGCCACACAGACGAAAGCTCCTCAGAAGAAGACGAGACCCGGCGCGCCACCAACGCCTCGCGCCGCGCCCACATCCCCACTCTCCCGCCCTACGTCGACGCCCGCCCCACGATCAAAACGTACTTCAAAATCTACTCGCCCAGCCGCGGCGGCAGGATGTTGTCTGTGTACGAGTCTGCACCCGACAAGTTCAATTTCAGCCAGTCGTGGGGGTGGAAGAGTAGCACGTTGATGCTGGATGAGGGGCTTCTGGGCGGTGGGGGTGCGGCTGCTGGTGGCGAGAGATCGTCGGACGACATGATGGATGGTAGACGAGTGGGCGGGGGCGGGATGCAGGGCAAGGGCGATGGGAAGTTGCGGTTTATGGTTGTTATTGGGAATATTTAGTCCTTACCTTACCTTCCTACACGAATGAAATGACCGAAATAAACCCCCTACTCCTTGGCCTCATTCACTCAAACGCGTCTCTTTCCAAACCACAAGGGGATTCGAGGTTCTGGAGCGGGAGTGAAGTGGAGTGAATTTGTGAGTTGCAAGACGAATTTGTCTGGTATGTGTGCGTATATACAGGCATCGTGGAGCAGCGACGAGATCCGAGAAAAACTAGCTCAAGAGGTATTCCCCCAAGACAAAGCAAAAAGCACGGCAATTCAGCAGTCGTCAAGATCGTCAGGAAGACATGACCCTCCAGCACTCCACTCCACTCCACTCCGCTTCTCCCGTTCCACGACGACCCGCTCAGTTCTTCACCTCCGTCACCTGCTCGGAAACAGAGCCGCCCTTGTTGGCGACGGAGAAGCGCTTCATCCCGGCAATCGAGTCGCCGCGATCAATGCCGCCAGTGAAGCCCTTGACCGTGACGGAGCCCACGCTGCCGCGACGGATAGTCTCCATAGCAGCGGCGGACAGCTTGCGCTCGTCGTAGTGGGTGGTGACGGGGACGCCGCCGACGGCACCGCCTTCGAGGGAAGTGGCGATGACGGCCTCGCCCTTGACGCGCAGGATGTGCATGCCGTGCGAGTACCAGGAGTACGCGACGTACGCGAGCACGACGACGAAGCCGCACGTCGGCACGAGGTAGGAGATGCGCGTGTTGTACTTGTCGGCGATGGCGCCCTGGATGGGAGGGAAGACGGCGCCGCCGCTGACGCCCATGACGAGAATACCGGCACCGCGGCGAGTATGGCGGCCGAGGTTGGCGGTTCCGAGCGTGAAGATGGATGGGTACATCGGGGCTTCCCAGAAGAAGACGGCGATGAGGACGCCGACGGCGGCGGTGCCGGTGCCGGCGGAGCAGTAGGCGGTGAAGGCGATGGCGAAGACGGCGTAGATGGTGATGAGGAAGTTGGACTCAAAGACCGTCGCGAGCGCGGTGGAGATGAAGCGGCCGACGGTGAAGGTGATGAGGCCGTAGGAGAACAGGCGGGAGGCCTGGGCGTTGTCAAATGACGCATTCTCCGTCGCGTAGTTGATGAAGAAGGAGGCGATGGTGACTTGCGAGCCGACGTAGCAGAACTGCGCGATGAAGCCGAAGATCATGTTGTACTGCTTGTACAGCGGGCGGTCGCCGATCACGTTGCCGTATTGGTCGACGCCGACTTCGAGAGTCTCCTCGGTCACGATGCTGCCGCGGCGGACTGCGGTCTCCTCGACTTCAGGGAGCTTGGCGAAGAAGAAGAGGACGCCGACGACGGCGCCGAGACATGCGACGGCGAGGTAGACGTATTGCACGTTCACCAGGTTGTTGTTGCTCGAGCCGCTGAAGAAGGCTTTGGAGGCGATGAGGGGACCGACGAAGGAGGCGACACCGTTCCAGGACTGACAGAACTGGAGACGAGGGGAGGCGGTTGCTGGGTCTCCGATGACGACTGCGTAGGAGTTGGCGGAGGTCTCGAGGGTGGCAAGACCACAGGCGCTGGGCAGTGTTAGCAGACTAAATCTTGGTGCTCGGATGGAGGTGCCAACTTACAGGACGAGTGTGCAGACGAGGAAGCCACCGTAGATGCCGAGGTGGTTGGTGGGCGTGATGAAGTGTGCTACGGGCCAGAAGAAGATGGCTCCGACCGAGTAGAAGGACAGGCCCATGATGATGGTGAACTTGTATCCCTTGCGCTTGAGGACTTCGGCAGCGACGGGCGAGAAGCAGAGGTAACCGCCACCAAAGTACATGACCTGGAGACCCGTGGACTGGAGCTTGGAGATGTCGAGGACCTCCTGGAAATGTTTATTCAGGACATCCAGAAGGCCGTACGAGAAACCCCAGAGGAAGAACAGCAGGGTGATGAGGAAGATTGGAAAGATGAGCTTGCGGCCGGTCAAGAAGCCTCCCTGAACGGGCGCAACATTCATGGGAATGCCGCCGCCTGCCATTTTAGGGGATGCGTGCGGTTGTTGCTTGATGTGTAGTAGAGTCGTGCGTCGAACAATCGAAGGAGTAGGGGTGGTTGATCGATAGTCTCAAGTGACTGAGAGTGGCAAAGGGAAGGACGGCGAGGTATAAGAGGAGCGAGAGCGGTCGGCAATCGTAACTGCTTTCCGAGAAGATCGATTGAAAGAGGGGAAGACGGCTCGAAAATGCAGGGCGAATGAATGAAGATCGTATCGAGTAGCGAAAGGACTCGATTGGTGGGAGGGGATGAGGAGAGGAGTGACTGGATGAGACTTACATTTGCAGGCGCGACGGGCAGATCTTATACTTGTTCTGTTCGCGCGCGGGAGGAGGTGTGGAGGCCCACGATCCCCGGACGGAATGTGGATGAGGGCCTGGAGACGCGATGGCGCTCAATGAAAGACGTCGTTGATGCGGTCTGGACGGGCGATGCGCCGGCGCAAGCGTGGTGGCAAGGCGCTGAGTGATCTCCCGCTAATGCACAGACGCCGCCCAAGAGGGCAGGGATGGGGCACGGCTCGGTCGAGAGTTTGCGAGCTTGGCCTGTTAATCGGTCCTTTTTCCCCAGCTTCACGTGATGTGCGGCGGATGAGGAGGGTGTTGTGCGGGCAAGCTTGGGCGAGGTGTTGGTGGGAGCGGAGGCAATTGACGGCATCTGCACCAGCCAAGGCGCCGTCCGTGTGGCGTAATTCTGGATCTTGGTGCGGCCAGAGAGCCGGCCAACGTGTTGTGCTGCATGCCCACAAGGCTGTTGAATAATCGCACCGGGGCCTCTGTGAAATGAGCGGCAGTCTGGAGCCATAGATGCCCCCGCCGATGCTGCGAAGATGCTCCATCACGATTAAAGTGGGGAGAGGGATAGACGGTGGAAGATCGCGACGAGGAGGTGCAGCCTGTCCAGAGTCCTCCTTTGCCCCGTCCCGTCGATTTCGCGACACTCATCAGTCACATGCCTGCAGAGCCTCGGATGAATAGACAGTCGCCGAGGATCGACAGCTTGAGATTCACCAGACAGGCAGAAGATCGTCCTCGGAGTGCGGGTGTGGAAACAACGCGGGCAGAAGCTCGATGCACCCCGCGCGCCTCGATGTGCGCATCTCCGGCCGCCGGGTGGCGGAGATTGAAGGTGGGGAGAAGGGCCGCAGGCGGGAATGCGGTGAAGTTCTAGCGCGTTTCCAGAAGCCTTCCTCAACCGGTCTGTGAGTCGCATCGGCCCTTCTCTGCCTCTTGGCCGCTTGAATGCTTATCCCTCCCAGCCGTGCGCCGCACTAGCTCGCTGCGTCGGCGTTTGAACGGCAGGAAGAGGCGAATAGACCGTGGGAGTCTTGGACGCCACAACCCCATCCACCACCCCTCTCCAGGATGATGAAGCGCGATCACGAGGGCATTATCGGCTAGTTTGACCGGTGCAATGCAGTACCTGCAGGGACTCGACGTGTCAGAGTTGCCGATGCTCGGCATTGCTTGGAAACGTACAAGGCTGGCTCGCGCTCGCTCTCAACACCCCCAGTTCGACCCACAGCCTTTGTATAGCATCGAATCCAGACCATGACCGTGCTGCCAACGGACACTCACGCCACCAGCTCAACATCACTTCGTTTCCAGTCCATGACTACATCATTCACGGACACCACGCCACCTCAACATGATCACTTCCTCGATGGTCCTCTGACGACAATGACACCACCGCAAGGCTCCACTCGCCATCCCTGCTCGCGCAAAGCCTTCGAGACAGCAGGTCCAAGCTTGCCTCTCCCACCTTCGCTATGCCTTCCAATGCCCACGATTATCCTGTACCCCGCCTGACGCTCTCCGACCCCCACCCTTCCGTTCACTCGACTCTCGCCCAGCCCCTCCCACCACTCCTCCACCCTGTCCAGCGCGATGCGAACGCCATTAGCGACGTCGATGCCGTGCAAGTCGACCTGCGTGGACGTGGACTGCTTCGCTGCGATGTCGTCTGCAACGCGCGCGGATGCCCTGGCGGAGAGCGCGCCGGATTCGCGGGCATTCTGGCTGTAGACTGCGATGGCGCCGTTCATGAGAGGGTTTGACTTCGCTTTGCGACGCGCTGCTTGAGCTTGCGAAATGGCTGCTGCTCGCGCGAGGTCATATGCGTCTCGGCGGGCGATGCTCGACCTGAGATCTGAGCTTGGATGGGGAGATGATGCTGTAGACCTGGATGTCGGAGCGGTGTATATCCAGTCGTCGACCTCGTCAAGGTCGGACGGCTTGGAATAGCTAGGCAAGAGTTGGATACCACCGAGCATACTTGGCGATTTCGTTGTGAGAGCCTCTGTGAGTTCACGAGCGGTGATTGTGGATGGGTGCGTGAGTCGCACAATCGTGTGCAAGTCGTCGGCCGAGACGGTGGGGAACTCGCTGGCCAGCTCCTCCGCTCGCGAAGATTCGATTTTTGAATCGAGGGCGAGCGCCTTGCTCTCTTCTCTCGAGACGCGCAAGAGAGCTGCAATCGTCTTGGGGATAGACGCGCCGGCTTCGTAGTACATCGACGTGACTGTGGCGCTCTTGATCCCCATGCGAGAAGCAATGAACTCGACATCTTCGGCCGCAGTCTTCCACCTGTTGGTCGCTGGCGCCGGACTCGCCTCCTGGGACTCTGTAGTCGAGCCACTCCGCCTCTCGCCCATCTGTTTACCACGATTGTTCTTCGATCGACCCTTCCGACCGCGGCGTACGTGATTGTCCTCAAAGAAGCCATCGATGCCTTTAGCATTTGCAGGATCTTCGCCGAAATAGACGTGATTGAGTAGTTCATCCATGGCCGCCTCCCATCGGCCATTGCATTTGCGCAGAGTATACTCGATGCTGTACTGGCTGACATGTTTGCCGAACAAGTCTCGTAGGAGCTTGATCTTCGTCTCGTCGTCTAGACTCTCCAGATTGACCTCTTCCGGTGCATCGTGAGTATCGGAGCCATCATCTCCGAGGTCCAGAGAAGACATTTCATTCGACAGGCTGGAGCGTTCTGTCCCTCTCGACTGGGTTGGGTCGGCATGCAGTTGGCCAGCATCACTGCGATCACTGTCCACGCTCTCATCCAGTCCGCCTGTACCAGATGCATCAAATCCCGCAGCAGCCTCCAGAACCGCCGATTCCTTCAGCTCGTCCAACGTAGTGTGCGCCGTTTGCAGGTCTTCCGGTTTCGACAGGTCAAAGTCCGACAGAATAGCCGATAACAAAGCTGGATCGATGGGAGGGCAATACTGCTCCTCCAGCGCCGCACGCAGGTCCTCATCCATCTTCGATATCCTGATACACGGTTCTTGATGCAGGTCTGCGGATGAAGATCATGATGCTAGGGAAGTAGTAGGGGACATTGGAGAGGCCGGCGGGGAGATGTGTCTGCGATGCGAATTTCATGAAAGTGTCCTCGGGTGATTGCAGGAGAATGAGATGACTCTGAATTTGATTAGGATGGTTGTTTGGGTGTGGTGTGTGCATCATGACTTTTTGCCAATTGCGAGAGATGGAGAGGTGACATCAGCAAGCGGACGGCGGGTCTTGGCGGGGCATTGGAATGCGAAATGCCTGCTCCGCGCCGGTACATGCAGACAAGCATTATCGAACTGAAATGAGACGGTGTATTGCGTTTTCTGACTCGTTCCCATGCATCTATGGCTGATTCTTTTATCTTCGCGAGGTATTGCGCCTCGTTGAGTGCGGAAGGTGTGCTGCGAGTAGGTGAAACCACAGCTCGGCCCATCTCATTCAGCAAGACCTCCCGTCCTTGCGTGAAGTTGTAGCACGTCTAGACACTCCTAGTATTCTCCTCCTCAACTCATCCGTGAAACGCAACAGAACTACACCCTCCCCTCTCCTACCAAACAAACCCAAGCCCTCACGTCTTCCCCGCCTTAGGCGCACTCCCATGCCCACTCCCCCCCTGCCGTTCCCCTTTGCCAGCTCCATCCTCACTCTTCGACCCCTGCGCCCCGCCCGTCTGCGGATCATTCGTCGTATTCGCCGTCTTGGAAACGGGGCTCGTGTCCGCCACCTCGCCCTCCTTGGCCTCCTTGCCCGCTGACTCTTTCTGCTCTTCCGGCCGCGTGGTTTTGGGGTTGAAGGCCTCGGAGGAGCCGCCTGCGGTTAGGCGGGCGGAGTGCGTGAATTGTCGGGCGGAGGGGTGATGGGGTGTGCGGAGGCGGGCGCTGAGGGTGAGGGTGAGGGGTTGGAGGCGGCGGGGGAGCATGGTTTTTGGCGCTGGGTGGGGTGGGGTTTGAGAGTGGTGGGTAGAGTCGCGAGTGAGGTTTGTAGCTTTGCTGTTGTTTGGAGAAGGAGTGAAGGTGTATGGTAGGACTTGGGACTGGGAGAGTTGGTAAGGAATAGTTTCACTGAAAGCACCTGACCCGAGCTCCGGACGGGCGAAATGACGTTTCATTGACGTCGGGCTGAAGCGAGCAGCCGCGAAAGTCTGGGGGAGCGGAGACGATCGTCAGGCACATCTTCTCACAATACCGCAAACAACCCTTAAGTCCATCATTCAAATCGAAAAGTTTTTAGTGTCAGGTAAGGAGCGTAGGTAGTTGGAGTTCTCAGCATCCACAAACACATCCCCATCACCACGCGTCCCCAACTAATACACTTCAAGCACATACCTCCCCTCCTCCTTAAACCTCTCAATCTCCTTCTGCCCACTAACCTTCTTGCCCCCATTCGTCTTCCCCTCCACCTCAACCGCCTCCTCCAGCACAGCAGTAACATCCGGCACAGGCCACGTAGGTCCACACAAGTAAAAAGCGCCCTCGTTGCGCAAGTACGCCTTGCGGATATCCGACAGCGTCTGGCGCATGCGGTCCTGGATGTAGATCTTCTGCGGCTGGTCGCGCGAGAAGGCGCGCCCGAGGAGGGTGATGATGCCCGCATCTTGGTAGGCCTCCCACTCTTCGCCGTACAGGTACTCTTCGCGCTGGTGGCGCGAGCCCATGTAGAGGAAGACGTCGCCGATGGGCAGGCCTTGCTCGCGCTGCCACGCGCGCTCTTGCACGAAGGCGCGGAAGGGCGCGAGGCCGGTTCCCAGGCCGGCCATGATGATGGGTGCGGTCGTTTTGGGGGGCAACTTCATTACCGATGGCTTGACGGAGACGGTGACGGGGGCGCCGACGGGGAGGGCGTTGAGGTAGCGCGTGGCTTGGCCGAAGCGGTCGCGGCCTTTGGGGTCTGCCCAGTTGACGGTGACGATGAGCAGGCTGATGCTATTTGGCGTGACCTTTTGCGACGACGCGACGGAGTACTCGCGGCGTTTCATCGGGTTCACGATGCGCACAATGTCGTGGAAGCTGGGGTGCGCGGAGGGGAACTCGAGCAGAATGTCGGCGTAGGTGACGGTGTCGACCTCGGCGCGACGCTTCAGCTCTTGCACTGCTTCTTGATTGCCACCGGTGCCCAGAGCAAGCAGCTCCGTCTTTTCATGCTCGTCCGACGCGAATTCGCTGAGCGCCTCGTAAAAGCGCTTGGGCGGGCGACCGAAGATGTCGACATTCTGCATAAGTGATTGGTAGACCGTGCGGTTCTCCAGAATGCTCGGATCATCGCGGTTCTGCACCTCGACGATCTCGTCCGCATTCAAGCCGTACCATTTAATGAACTCCTCGACCTCAGCTTTATCATTCTCGGCATGAATACCAAGCGCCTCGCCGATTTCATACTTCAACCCGCTGTCCCCAAGATCGAATTCGATGTGGAAAATGTTACGATCGTAGGTGAGAGGAGTCAGTCGGCGATGCTCCTTGACATGCACAATGGCAGTCTTGACGCCCAGATCCGGGCGCAAAGCGGTAGACGTTCCGTACGCTTCCTTGAACGCCAGTCCCTTCGCAGCCGTGGTCCAAGTGCGCAAATACGAAGGTGGGGCTTCCTCGAGGTTCTCGAACGAGACGAAACTGTTGATGTTGAGATCCTCTGCAGAAGGAAGAGACACATTCTCCTCCACTTCCACCGAAAGCCAGTCCTCCGGAATGTCGATCTTCTTGAACGCGGCATCGAGGTCCTTTGCAAGAGCTTCGAGCGAGTCATCAGACGCACTCACTTTCTTCAAGCCGCTCTCGTAGATCTCCGGACGGGCGACCTTCAAGAAGGCGAGCTGGATGAGGTACGTCTCCAATGATGGGTCCTCCTCAACTTTGGTGCTCGCTTTAGGATCCAAGATGTACAAGTCGACCTTCTTCGCGGCCAGCGCCTTGCGCACGACAGCGGTGAGCTTCTTCTCCACATCCTCGTCCTTCCATTGCTCAGACTTGAGGATGATGGCGCCCTCCGGTTTCAGGCTGGCGAGAACATTGAAGCTTTGCAGCAACTTCTCGTCAGCCACCACGACAACATCAGCCTCCCTGATCCCATACGCAGCTTCGATGCTCTTTGAAGAGCACCTGACGTCGGTTCGCACGACGCCGCCTTGCGCGAGATTGTCGTGTCCATTACGGACCGCGACGTTCAGCGCTCCGTCATCGGCAAGCAACTGCCCGACCATCGGGGCTGCATCGGCAGTGCTGTTACCAGCCAGGTCCCAGAAGGTGTACTGTTTGGTATCGGCGCTGATGAGCTGAAGAGGCGATGCCTCTGCTGTCGCGGCTTCGGCTTCCCCGAGTTTGCGAAGAAGCGCCTCCATCTTCGCAACCGTCCAGACGGTCTCACGGGCATACTTGACGTCGTAGACATTTGGCTCCTTGCCGGAAGACATGCTCTGGAAATTGACGGCGGCCAACACGTCAGCGTAGATGCTGCTGTTGATGCTTGCATCGGTCACATTCACCTGGGTCTTGACCTGGCCGAGGACAGTAATGCGCTGCACAGTTGGAGGTAACGCGGACAGGAACTCTTCTTCGACGAATGGGCGGTAGACGCGAACGTTGATCACACCGATCTTGACGCCCTGGGCAGCCAGGGCATCGGCGATTTGGGCGGAGAGGCTTGCCTCAACGGTTCCGAAGACAACCATGACACTGGTTGGGGAAGCGTGGCCGTGGTACTCGAAGCACTTGTACTCCGTTCCGAGCTCCACGTTGAATGCCTGGAGGACGTTCAAAAGCTTTCCCTCGTCCGTCAGGCGCTTGGAAGACAAGTCGTCTTTCACATTCTCCAAAACGGCGTCGTAGACTCGCTTCAAGCCGGAGATGCTCAGCACGTCAACCACACGGGTAGTCTCACGGCCGACCGTAATTCCATCGTAGGTATGAATCGAAGGCAGCAAGGACGACAGGATGATGGACAGCAAAGCCATGTGCTGCGTCTCATACGCATTCTTGCTAGCGACAAGACCCATCCCAAGCTCTTCCGCCAAAGTCAAAGCCGAGCAATAGTCCGTCACGAGGCCGGCCTTCGTCTCCGCCGCATAGTCCAACGCAGCGACCTGCAAATTCGTAGGGTTCGCAACGTCGTACAGCAGCGCCAATTGATCCAGACACGGCCTCAAGTACTCCAGACTCGCCGCGCTAGCCACAACGGACTGCGGCACATGGCGCTTCTCGAGATCAAAGTCCGGGCTGAACATGTATCCCAAAGCCATTGCGCCCGCTCCCGTCCTCGTCTCGAGCGCCTGCACGCCCGTGACATCTCCATGGGCATTCTTGGCATTTTCCGCGGTCCAGGACTTGGCGGCGAGGTCGAGATCGAAGGACTCGGGGGAGTAGGTGAAGAGTTTATCGGAGAGGGCGTAGGTGACTTGTTGGACGAGCGTCTGCGCCGTCACGTACTTGGGCCCAGAGAGGGAGGGCAAGGCGACGTCTTGACCGAATGGGAGGGCGGTGGATTTCGAGATGTACTCTCTCTTGTCGGAGCCGGGAATGGCGGGCCCGGTGCCTTCGGTGGTTTGGAGCCGCATTGTGCAGTCCTGTCACCGGAATGATAGGATAGGGAGATGTAGTGGTTGTCAAAGGAAACCAACCACGGTGATTGTAGGGAGGGAAGAAACAATTGTGGTTGGCGATTAGAAAGCCGCCACGCCCCTCCGACCCCGGCCGAACAAATTTGTTCTGCACTTCTCGCGTCAGAGTGCGGCGAACCTTCCCCATCCGGCTCAACTCAAATACTTCGTCAGTCTGGACTCTTGGAACTCTTGGACTCTCAGACACTGCTCCTATTGCGTTGCGAAACCAGCGCAGGCTACTTTGGGTATCATAAATATGCCGCAAAACGCTTCGACGCTTGAAACCATTCCGTCGCCCGAAGGCCATCTTCTTTCCAATGCTTCCCCTCCGTCAAAAGGCCAAGGTAATGCAGCGTAGGCTAATACAACACAACACCATTCCAACCACTCATCCAGAAGCAACAACCACTTTCCCACGACGCTCCGAAGGCGTCGCGAGCAAGATGCCACGCAAGACCTTCACCGAGCTCGACGCCGACCGAATGGATTCCGATCTTCGATAGACTGGTCGAGACGATTTAGCGCAAAGCGTCACAACGAGGATGAAAAGGTTCGTCCGCTCATCCTTACTCACCTTCTGGAAAGTCCTCGAGCGGTCCGGAGGTGGCGCTCATGCCCGGTGCTGCTCGCGCGGATTTGATCGTCGGCGGCTCCTCGCTGGCTACCGCCACTTTCTCCTCCGCCGTCTTGACGGCCGGCGCGTGGTTCTCTTTGCGTAGTTCCGATGCTGCTTGCGCTGATGAGTGGTTTGGACGGAAGGTCTACTGCCAGGATTTACTGACCTGTCTGCTCTCCGCTCAACCCACTATCACTCTTTGCCGGGGGCCCAGGCGGCTCGTCCAGATCTGTGAGGGCAGCAGTATCGTCTTCCGCTGCAGCTTCTTCTTTCGTCGTCGCCGAGGCGAGCGAATCGTGGGTTTGAAGCGTCACGGGCGCATCGTCCTTCGAACTCCTCTTCTCCGCTGCCAGGTCTGGCGCTTTCGATTCCGAGGGCTTTGCAGACGTGTCTTCTGCAACAGCTGTCGCTACGGGAAGAGCAGACCGAGATCCGTCGCTCTCTGGCACACTTTTTTGCGGTGTGGACTGCTTTCCCATTGACAACGGACGCGGAGACGGAAGAGGTTTGTCGCGCTCATCGCCCGAGCCCTGTAGAAGCGAGGCATTGGTGATGGGCGGAAGCTGCGGTGCTTTGCTCGTACTCGATGTCCCTGCGGCGCGATCTTGTCGTTCTTTGTCCTGATCTTGCTTATTCTTCTTGCCGCGCTTGAAGATCCGGTTCAGCGCTCGCTTGAGGGAGTCCATGGCGTTCGGTGCTTTTTCACACATCAGATCTCGTGGTCAACATGTCTAAGAGCCTTGTGCGAATGGCGAACTCACGAACACCAGCCAGACGTCGACGCCCCAGTGAATACGCCTACGATGCGGACGAGATTACCGGGGGAGAGGTCGGAGGGCGGGCGTTGCATTCCACAATACAGATGAAACAGCAAGCTCATTTGCAGCACGGACGACGGGGCAATGGCGCTTTCCACGCGAGCAGGCATCTTACTAAAAAGACCAGTGTCGATCACACTACACGTAATAAGGAAGGAAGCCAGAAGGAGACAGAGGCGCAATTCACACGCAAGCACGGGTGGCGTACGCCATGTCCATTAAAATGCGACGTACCTCTTTAACAACGTCGATCGTGCGGGATCCCCCTGTGAAAAATTCGGTATGAGAGAACAACTATACGGACCATTGACGCTGTCGGAGGTTGCACGTGAATGCATCCAACCCCCACATTCTAGCAGCTACGTGGATGGTTACACGCCGCCAGATCTATTTATGGGCGATGTCGTTTCATCATTTCTCATTGTCTTCAGACGCATCTAATTCCAACCCTCTTTCGTGCTACGATGTGCGTGGCGGAGCGCATGCGCGTGCATTCCTTCTGAGCCGCTGTCACTGCAGCCGGTGTGTCGTGCTGAAGTCATGGTAAATGTCATTGACCGGAGTTCGTCATCCAGTGTCCTTACCGGCCCATGGAGCTTTTGTAGGCGGCGGTAGGCGAGAGGGGTTGGAAGCCATCCTTTGACTCGCCGCCCAAGGCGCCGCCGTGCGCGGAGCCGTGGACTGACCACCGCCCGATGAAGCCCATGGCGCTCGCGTCGAGGGCATAGCTGTCCCGGTCGCAGCATTGCCGGCATTTGCCCGAGGCGCTTTCGTCCCCTCTCCACCAGAAGCGGCAGCTGGTCCATCCGCTTTTCGTCCCTTTTGCACCTGAGGTTGCTGCGCCGAATGAACACCGCCTTGTGCTTTCGCAGCATCTGGATCCAATTCCCATCGAAACAATCCGCCGAAACCGAAATGCTGCACCACCGGGAACTTCCCCAGGACCTCCGCGGCGTACATTTTCAGCATGCCCTTGTTGATCTTCGCCCAGCCATCTTTGATGCCGGAGATGTCGTACAGAACGGGCGAGTGCTCCCAGAACGGCCCGCGCTTGACGTCGTAGATGAATTGGATGGCGGAAAAGTACATGTTTGCGTGCTGGTAGTCGGAGACGAGGGTTTTGTCTGTTACTGCTGTGGGACGCGGTGCGGATGGAAGGGAGCCTTCGGTTGGTACTGGCGAACTAGCTTTCGTTGGGTCAATGGCCGGCCCGTACTGTGCTGCGCCGAAGATGTAAGGGAGGAAACTGTGATCGTCGAGACCCCAGACGCCGTGCGAGCCTGCAGGTTCAAGGGTATAGGTTAAGACTAGTCGTCGGATGAGCTCAAGGTAGCTGTTCGCTATATTAGCAGGGAACAGTATGCAGAAGGAGAGCCCATGGACTGACGGTTGGACGACACCAATCACGATAGACCTCTCATCACCAGCTTCGAACACGCCAACCTTCCACAGACAGCCGAGGAATGCCAGGAAGCTCAACTCATGCCCAGTGCCATAGTCCAGTCTTTGCGCACTTCCAAAGCTGCCCAATAAGTAATACTTGAACTCCTTGACCAGCTGCGTCCACGCCTCGGGGCCAAGTTCAATGACAGCCTCCTTCAAATGCGACTCCAATAGTCCGTCCGCAGCAGCATCCTCCACCAACTTGAACCACGTCCGGAAAGCCACATTTCCGAACCGCCTTGGTCCTTGATCTGGAGGTGCCTGATCAATGAGCGCCGATAGTGTTGATATCAGACTCCGGAGACTCTGTACGGGATGGCTGTATGCTGGAGGGGAATCAAGTTTCGCTTCATGAATTGTGCCATTCTCGTCTTTGGCGGGAAACATGGATCGATTCAGTTGGAGCAGCCAGGTTATCAGATCTCTGTAGGCCTTGGAAGATTGGAAGAAGGTGAGATCGTCGCCGCCGTTGATCTCCTTGGTTGGCGTTTTGATGCCCTGCGTCATGGCTCCTCTGGGGAAACGCTCCAACGTTGGGCTTCCGCCATTAGGATAGATTGATGCCATCGTCCGATGGTCAGCACTACGCCGTTGTTGATATGCGATGATCAGCCATGATAATTTCGCAACTCTATGTAAGAAGCAAGGCGGTTAGTCTCATTTGGCAAGAAAGGAAGTTCCAACGCACGTGATCGTGGCAGTTTGGCGTCTGTAGCGCCGAACTCTAATTCGTCGTCGCGACAACACCGACGTGCGACGTCAACGTTCAGATGTGACTGCCGTCCTTCACACGCGCGCACCTCAGCAAGCGGGGCCGCTTGCATGCAGGAAGGGCCGACGGGCCGCTACTGATAAAAATGACACCCCCAAGAAGAAAGCACGCGCAGCTGCAGCCTGTGACATCCTCGCCGACAATCGCATTCGAACAAGAGGAGGAAGATGCCGTGAATGGGGATGCGTCGGATTCGGGATCCGTGTACGAAGACGCGGTAGATGCTCCAATACCGCATCTGATTAGTGACCTTGTCGAATGGTCGAAAGACAACGACCACAACATGGGCGCCGAGCAATCCCACGAGGCGATCAACGACGGCATTCGCGCCACTTCGACCAGGCTGCAAGCGCGCACTGGAGAGCCGATCAAGCCCACGACAGGGAAGTTGAAGGCTGTATCGCGCGCGAAACCCAACGCTTCGCAGAGGAAGTTGGCGGCGACTATCCAGAAACAGAACTTACCAAAGAACGCGATATCTCCAAGGAAGCCCAGGCAGAAGAAGGCGGCGGTCGCAGACGCGCAAGAGGCGGCGGAGGCAGGGGACGATGTAGAGCAGGGCAACGCGAGATCACGACGCAGTCAGAGGGTCCAGGAGGAGAAGCAGGCCGCTACTGTTGTTGCTGCTCAAGACGATGCGCATGCCGTCACACAACCCGCGACGAAGCCTACGGAGGGGCCGCCCAAAAGAGGGAGGGGCAGACCAAGGAAGCAGGCAAAGACGGTCCCCGCCAATGAGCCCAGCGCTACAGAAAAGGCTGGCCCTGCACAAGGGTCGGCCAGCAGCGAAGTTGAGCCGATAGTTCCGGACAAAGTCCATTACAACGAGTTGTTTGTCGGTTCAGAACCTTCGAGCGATGAGAAGGACGCGGACTCTTCTTCTGCAGAGGAATCGGACGACTCTCCGCCGCGAGGAACGAAGCGAAAACGTGCATTTCACGAGGAAGAACAAGACGAAGAAGCAGAAGAAGTCCCAGCGGAGGTGACTGAGGCAGATCGCGAAAGACTTTATTGGCAATGGCTGCCTCTGCAACGGATTTTCGAGAACGTGAAGTGGGTTGGATGCAACACCAAGGACGGCGAACGACAACCACAGCATAGACTGAAGCAGAAGGATCGACAGGTCAAGATCGTACTGGGACTGTGCAACGATGCGATGCAGCGCTACACCCACCTCAGAGATCACTCCGGCACTCTCGAGAACGGGGAAGACCCAGCCCCAGTGCTCAGAGACATTTCCGAAAAAGTCGACGACTTGCGCGGAGCCAACAGGGAGCATCTGCCGGATTTCACAAATCGGAAACAGGCCACTGAGATTTACTTCCACCTCATTCCTACGCTCGTCAAGCTTCTTCAACACGCCATAGACTGTTATCTCGCCATGGACAACGACAACATGGCGCCCGGTCAGATCACCATTGGCCGACTGCGCATCGTGATGAACATGATTGAGATGATCCTTGAACTGGCAGCCGCAGCGAAGAGAAAATACATCCGGCCTTTGCCGGTGTACTGCGTGGTCGACCCAGTACACAACGGCCTCGCGGTCCCCCTGCGAAACGTCCTCGAAGCCTTCAAACGGGATATCGAACGCCACGGCCTGGCAGTACGACGTCAAAAGCGAAGCGAAGAAGAAGCCCGCCAGCGCGCCTTACAATTAGAGCAGAAAGAACGTCAGGACAGCCAGCGAACGCGCATCCGACAGCTGCAGGACAAATGGGTGCGCTTGCATAACGAACGCTGGGCCGCCGAGCCGGATTTCAAGAGCGTGCAGAAGATGAACCACTTGGAGATCCCTTCCAACTTGCATCGTGAGTACGATCATAATGGCGAGGTCTTCTCCCGACAGCAGGTCTTTGTGCCCCGCGTCGGGCCGCCTCCGGGCTTCATCGATGCCGCGGCGGAAGTCGAGTGGACGCAGACGGAGCTGCTCGCGCTGTGCGATGGGCTGCAGGAGTATGCCGGCGAGCGGGTATTGGAGAGGACGATTCGAAGGTATTGCGGGAGGGGGAAAGCTCTGAATCGCTTTAGTGTTACGGAGCTTGTCACCACCGCAGCTGCGATGAGGGAGAGTCTGATTGCTGCACAACAGGCAGAGGGCGAAGAGGTGGAGAAGTGGGTGTTGGACATCCCGGTTTGGACTAAAGGGCCGGCGGCGCTTGGAAAGGAGAATGAGGATGGTGATCGGTTGTGATCAGGGCGGCGCAGGTTTTAATATGATACCCATTGGCACTTGCTATACGACATTAACTAATTCACAGCCCGGGTGCTGTGTACTCCTCGTCCCGCGAGTGAACTGTCTCTATGCTTTCTCCAGACCGTTCTTGAGGGCTTAGTGTCATCAATGTGTCCTCTTGACTCTCTTCCTTTCTGTTCACTAGGCGGCTGCACCAATCGATGCCTCGTCCGAGAGAGCACGAGCTCCGAGTACCCTCGGCCGATGCAGTCGGAAATCCGAAACGGTCGGCTTTAAGCTGCATTCATAAGGCTGCGACATCCGATACGCACCTTCAAGTGGTTGATGTTCGTTTCTCCGCTTCTTCACGATAACATTCTTGATTTCGACGACAACGACGACATGGGCCTCATTTCCAGATCTCGTGCCCCCTTGGGCAGCAATAGACCCGAGCGTGGCAGCCGGTCTGATATGCGAGCCTCGCACAGGGCGGCCTACGGCTCGGATAAGATGGGTGATGCTGCTAGGACACCTTCCAGCAGCTCAGATGGTTCGAAGAGCGATTCGTGTCACGTCAACGGACCACCTCCATACGTCGAAGGCGCCAATGACTGTCGTCGATCGGAGAAGGCTCAACACGCCCCCTCCGACAACGAAGCGACTTTCCCCGACAACGCTACACAACCAAACAATGAAAAGGCCGTTGAGCGCAGCGATTCAGCGCTTGCCACCGCTTCCAATCAGGATGCCCGAGGCAGAAAGCACTGGAAAGGCAAACTACACCAGCGCCGCCGCTCGTCCTTGAGCGGCTCGAGTTCCGGTTCGTCGAGCTCAGGTAGCAGCATGTCACTCCACTCTCTGCGCAATAAGATCCATCGCAAGATTAACCAGAAGTTCCAGCGCCGTTTTGGTCGCTCGTGATGGGTGAGGGGTTGGCAGTGGACGGGAAAGTGAGGGGTGTGTTGCGCGAGAATGACTATACGGCGTGGAATGGGCGATTTCGACGGTCTTTTGATTTGATCGCTTGCTGATAGTCGATTTGTCTGAATGAAGGATATTTACGACGAGCTGTGACGTGTGCTTCATCTGTTTCTTCAAGACACATAGCTTGAGAACATCAGTGCAATGATGAGTAGCTGAATTAGTAATGCGCGGGGCTCGAGATTCCAATCGAGTCGCGGCGTCGCTGGGCGAGCGCCTCTTCTGGCTGCTTCAAGTAAGTGGTTATAGCCTAACTTGGTGCCGGTTATTAATCACTCCACCTCCTCCGCTCGCCTTCAATGTCAGCTCTGGCAGTCAGAGGTATATAAGTGCGGCATTCCCCCAGGACGGCTGCAGCCGGGAGAGCACGAGCTCTCGAAAAGGCCACTCTACGACTTGTCTGTGTCCAGCTTACCTGTCTAAGCCGGAGACCCCGGATCCAATCCCGCCAGCATGGCATACATCCAGATGCAAACGCTTTCCTGGCACGAAGGCGAAATCGGCATGCGGAAAGCGATGCGTGCCCCCGAAATCGATAACCCGACTGTTCCCGCTCTTTCGCCGCAGCTGGCGCATCATCTGCGCGTTGCGCCGCTGATCTCGATTGGAGCTCTTGATGCTGATGGCCGGCCATGGACAACGCTGTGGGGCAATGGGGAGAAGGGATTCGCGCAACCGATTGGAGAGGGCGTCATTGGGATTAAGACGCCAGTTACTGGGCACCATGATCCCGTGATTGAGGAAATATTCGGCAAGGATGTCGTGGGGCAGAAGATTACGAGGGCAGAGGATGGGAAGGGCAGAATGGTGTCTGGACTGACGATCGATCTGGAGACGCGGAAGCGCGTCAAAATGTATGGCCGGATGTTGGGCGGGGCGCTGACTATGAACGAGGACGAAGTCGCCGAGCACGAAGAGCACGTCGCGGAAGTGCAGATGGTGCTCAAAATTGAGCAGAGCTTGGGCAACTGCCCGAAGTATCTCAACAAGAAGCACATTGTGTCGGCGCTCGCGAAGCCCGAGTTGGTGTCGGACTCGCCGCACCTCCCGCAGCAGGCCATCGATCTGATCGAGAAAGCCGACCTCTTTTTCGTGTCGAGCAGGCACGGTGAGGAGGACATGGACACCAACCACCGCGGCGGTCCAGCTGGCTTTTTACGAGTTGAGTCAAACAACGAATCAGGCGCCGTCCTCTGCTATCCTGAATACTCCGGCAACCGCCTCTACCAGACACTCGGAAACCTCAGAGTCAACCCTCTTGCCGGCCTGTGCATCCCAGACTTTGAAACAGGAGACATGCTATACCTGACCGGCAAAACAGAAATCCTGGTAGGCCCCGACGCCGCCGCCGTGATCCCGCGCTCCAACCTCGCCGTGCGCATCACCACCACAGGCGCCCGCTACGTCGCCCGCGCCCTACCCTTCCGCGGCATCCAAGGCGACAGATCCCCCTACAACCCCAACGTCCGCTACCTCGCGTCCGAAAAAGCACCCGCTCAAGTCGCACGAACAACACAACAAGCCACCCTCCTCCACCAAGTCAAATTGACCCCCAACGTCTCGCGCTTCCGCTTCTCCCTCCAAAACGCCGCAACCTACAAACCTGGGCAATACGTCACGTTTGACTTCTCGAGCCACCTCGACATGGGGTATAGTCATATGGCCGACGACGATCCGCGCAGCATCAACGACGACTTTGTCCGCACCTTCACCGTTTCCAGCACGCCGGGCGATCCCCCGAATCCCGTGCGCAACCTCGCAGACGACGAGTTTGAGATTACGATTCGGAAGGTGGGGACCGCTACAGACTTTCTCTTCCGGCATATGGGCAAAGGGAGTTCTGCACGCGGGATGCATGAGCTTGAGGTCCCGGTGCTAGGATTCGGGGGTGAGTTTGAAGTTCAACAAGATGCTGGCGAGACGATCGCTTTTGTAACGGCTGGGGTCGGTATCACGCCTATTCTGCCATCTCTGGGGCGACTGGATTACTCCCGGCTGAAGTTGCTATGGTCGGTGCGGGAGGACGACGTCGAGTTGGTGCTGGACGTCTTGAAGCAGCATCCGCGGCTTGCAGAGAGCCTGTCTGTGTTTGTCACGAATGCGAAAGAGGGCAGTGAGGCGGTTGGCAAGCTGAAAGGAACCGGCGTGGTGCAGCACAGCCGACGGATTCAACAATCTGACCTTGCATTCGACCGGGAGGTGCAGAAGTACTACCTTTGCACTCCCGTGCCGATGAGGAAGCAATTGATGGAATGGCTGCCAGAGAAGGATCTGATTTTCGAGGACTTCAATTTCTGAACTAACTGCTTTGTGCTATGATCGGTACAAGTCTGTAAAGAGAACCCTGCCCAGGATCATTGTCAAAGAAAGAGCATTCTCCCATTCCCTCTGCTCACGCAATCTCTTCTCAATCTCTCATTGATCAAATATGCTCACTGGGGGAAGTGCAGTAGAAAGACAAGCAAGTCTGCCAAGCTGCTCGCAACCCGCGTCAACGTTCTGCTGTCATTCGTCGGCCTACTCTTCGCGCGAGTACAGGCTTTTGAGCTCATCCATCGCAGCCTTCAGCTTGTGCTGCTTCTCCGTTAGCTTGCGACGCGTCCGCTCACGCTCGGGATCCTCGGCGACCAGCTCGGCGCAGTACTCCCGGTCAGCGGTGTTCAGCTTCTCGATCAGCGCGCCTTGCAATTGCTCCTCCATTGCAGAGAACAAGTCGAGCTCGAGCTTCTTGGCCACGAAGTCTGGCAAGGGTGCGGAGGCGATGTCGTAGTATGCGAGGATCCTAGCGATGGCTGCGATCTCTTTGGTATACTTGTCGGGTCCGAGACATTTGATGGCTTCGGCCAGTTGCTTCTCCTGTGCCTGCTTGTCCTGCTCCACGTTCTTGAACTTCTTCTCGAGGTGGCCGGCGTCGATGTACTCACGGCCGCGACATTCCTCACGATCAGCCCGCAGCTCTTTGTCCCTGGCGGCAGTCTGATTTCCGAGGAGTTCTTTTTGAAACGTGTTTGGCTTGTGCATTTCACACTTGATGTGTCTCAGAACGGAATCCTTGTTTTGTTCCTTCCTGTATCGGGCTCGTTGATTAGCTTCAATCACACACGGATAGGATTATCGAAGTGTTCGGCTTACAGCTGCATGAAGACCTCATGGACGATCGACTGTGTTTGGCCGAAAAGCTTGCTCTTTTGGTACCCTGACAATGCTGCTTCAATCTCGTTATTCAACATCGATGCTACAGCAGCGTGTACCGACTGAAGCGCGGCATCAACGATATCATCCCAGCGCTGGATCGTGCTCCTAATGAGGCTGTCGGTAACTTTCCCGTTGTGTGGATCGATGGTTGAGGCTTCGCCAAGACTGTAGGCCTTGCGCACCTGGAGCAGGGTGAATTTGACCGGCGCAATCGCTGGGGTTGCCGGTGTACGCGTGTCTTTCTCTTGCTTGATCGGCGTACGGGGAGTGCGAGGGGTCTTGTCGGCAGGGCGTTGCGGCGTGGGTACAGCACGGCTATCGTTGCCTTTGCGGCGCTTGGCTGCACTGGATTGGACGGTGTCGCTATCATCTTCGCTGTCGTCGTTGATGGTGATGATCTTTTTGGCCCCAGGCGTGGCGAAATCGAATTGGGGTCTCGCTTTCCTGAACTGCAGTCCTAGGTGTTTGATAATTGCCTTGTACTCAGCATAGAAGCCTCCTTGGATAGAGTCGCCATTCAACTGCTTCGTGATGGCAAGGGTCACTTGATTGATCTTGCTCCTGACCGTGCGTTGCGCATCTTTGTCTTGTTCCGGAAAGTCTAGCAGCTCAGCCGACACTTCCTGATAGGCACGCTTGACTTCGGCCAAGAGGTCTGGAAGTTGACGCTTGATCTTGGTAGTGAGTATGCGGGAGAGCTCTTTTTGGAGGTTGGGAATGCCAAAGCGGTCGGAGAACGCGGAAAGCGTGGAGTTCCATGGATGTTGGGCGAAGAAGGCCTGCTCGGCTTCTCTAGCTTGTGCATGCGACGTGCCCCCATCGACGTCGTCCTGCGAGAGTAGCTTCGTCACGTACCACCCGCCGCCAGTGAGTTTGAATGTCTTGCCACTGAGGACCTTGTGAAGATCAGTCACTCGGAACGTGGAGAGGTCGGGCTTCGTAAGGACACCCATCGAACGGGCCGATGCGTTGTGATTGTTGATGCATTTCATTGCAGTGGAGTTTTCCAGGTTCTGATCAGCGGATGCAGCCAGGAGGACGTGAGCGTGCTCTTCTTCAAGGTAGGTTTTGACCAGTGCACCTATGAAGTCGACAAGATACTGCTTGGACGCATCCTGGTGGACATTGATGGTTCCAGGCAAATCGGTGAGTGACATCTCGGGGAGGCCAGGGGCAGAAATCTCGATGCTGATGATGTTGGGGGAGAATTCGATGGCGTAGCCATAGTTGAGGTCGTTCATCTTTGCGATGTCTGCAGCCTTTGCTGACGGCTCGGGTTGGCAGATGGCGATCTGAGCAAGGCGTAGCCATCTCTCCAGGTCCGCTTTGTCATACACCTCTTGGAACTCGATGCGTTGCTGGCTGCCAAGATCCTCCCATCCCTCGTATTCAGATGTCATGTTGGGGTTGTACTGATAGCGTAGGAGAAGGGAGATGTTGCAAATCCAGTCGCTGACGCCGGACCTTGCAGTCGTGGTGATCTGGAACGGGCACCTTGTGCACGTTCCGGCCGCTCGTGGCAAGGCAATATCACACACAGCCTCGATGATGGAGCTTTTGCCATGAGACTGGTCGCCAATTACGACGATCTTGGGCAGCGATGGCAGAACGTCCTCGATACCCAGAGCTTCGAGCTTTTGCATGGCTTGTATGAGGTGGTGGCTGTCAGCGCTCAAGGTCTCCATCGCTTGTTGAGTGGTGCCCTGGTCGATCTCCATGTGGTCGCCCTCGGCGTGCGGCAGTCCTCCCATCGTTGCAGGAGGCGTGACTTGAGAAGAAGGGGCGGTGCTTGTGCGTTCGGCAAGTTCGAAAGAGGTGTCGTGCGGAGCGGCTTCGCGGTGAGAGCTGAGCGAAGTAGGCTCGAACTCGTCCTCCAGTTGTTCAGTCTTGACGATAGAGCGCCTTGTGCCGACCATACTGATCAGCCAAAGGCCAGGCAAAGTTGGATGAGGTTGTGGAAGGGAAGAAGTTGAAAGAAGGAAAAGGAAGAGCTTAAATGAAGGTGGAAATCTTGGCAGTGTGTGAAATGAGTGCGGTGAGTGCGGCGTTTGAAGTGAGGTTGTGAAGTGGCGTTGTGACGTTCTAACGTTTGTGAAACGAGGCTGTGGCGTGGCGCTGAGTGGTGACGTTGGCGGGTGAACTCTGCGCCACAGAGACGGGAGGGTGAAGTCTAAAGGTGCGAGACTCACCGATGAAGTTGCCGAACAAATGCCTTCACCAGAGAATGGGAGTCGTGGCCAAGGGGGAAGAGAGTGCTCATGGAGGACAAGTGTGTTGCAGACGGGAAGGCATCTCCACGAGCATGGGCTTGGGCATTTTATAGGCACATATCGTTTCATTCTGTCACAGCCATCGGGGATTTGCGCTCGACATCGACCAGTTCACGCTCACTTGCGGACTAGTCAGAGTGACCACCAGCTGCACAATCGCCTGAGGGTGAAGTTTTGGCACGTACCGTCTTGCTTCTTCTTCCAATGAGATTGGTCAGGAGACACAGTCACAGGAGACGGTCTGCGGTGCTACATTATCAAGACGCGTAGGTGCAGCCGACATCCGAAGATCGCGGGGCGGACAGAGTTGAACATGGCCGCTCTCGTCAAGGCAAATGCTCCAGGTGTTCTCGCCATGAATGATCTCGCGAGGGACACTCGAAAGTCGGCTACAACTCGTGAATAGCTGGAGATGGCTTGTAGCTGCATCTGCAGTCAGTTTTGGAGATACCATGCTTCAGAAAAGAGAGGCAAAGCGTAGTGAAGTCGCCTTGGAATTGCGGTGATGAGGTGAAGTGTCGTTGGATGGTGGAGAGAAGCGTTCTCGGATTTGCGGCTAGTAACGGTTAAGCTTCTCGCTAGCGCAGGCACGGGGTCTCGACTTGCGCGTGTGGTGGACTGAGCTTTTTGTGTTTCACCACCACAATTCTTGACAAGTAGCATTTCCCTTTCATCCATCATCCCATTGCACGAGTCCCCTGGTTCTACTTGCTCGATCCCTGCAAGTGATATTTCAAGCACACCGCTCCGACGACATTTCTGAGACATCACAAACGAAAAGCAGGCAATGGCTAGTCTTCAGGTCCCTGTGCGAGGCAAGGCGGGCGGTCTTCCAACCACCAAAGCAGTCATCCTCGTACGTTGACCACAGCATTGTTCAGCCGATTCGAACGCAGTCTAATTCGTCTCTCCGAAATAGGTCGGTGGTCCGTCGCGAGGCACTCGTTTCAGACCGCTCAGCTTGGTGAGCTTCGCATATGATTTTGAAGTCTATCATCCGCCCAACCACTGACTGCTCGATCTCAACCCTGCAGGATCTCCCAAAGGTAAGCAGCTAGCATTCCCTCCTCCGCAATATGACTGTACTAATGTGAGCAGCCGTTGTTCGAAGTCGCCGGTATGCAGACGGACACTCTCCCATTGGCCCTTAGGCTGAAACTGACCGACTTCTTCCAGGCCACCCAATCATCTCCCACTGCTTCGCCGCAATCACAAAGCTTCCCGAGATCCGCGAGGTCTTCATCGTCGGCTACTACGACGAGAGTGTCTTCCGCGACTTCATCAAAGACTGCGGCCGGACCCACTCCAACATCTCCGTCCGATATCTCCGCGAGTACCAAGCTCTGGGCACCGCTGGTGGTCTCTACCATTTCCGCGATGCCATTCTCAAAGGCCGACCGGACAGGTTCTTCGTCTTGAACGCCGATGTCTGCTGCTCCTTCCCGCTCGAGCAGATGCAGCAACTGTTCGACGCCAACGACGCCGAAGCCGTCATCTTGGGGACCAGAGTACCCAATGACTCCGCCACCAACTTCGGCTGCATCGTCAGCGACCCGCAGAGCAAGCGAGTGCTGCATTACGTTGAGAAGCCGGAGTCGTTCATCTCCAACCTCATCAACTGCGGCGTCTACCTCTTCGCCACCGAGGCCATCTTCCCCAGCATCAAGAGCGCCATGACCCGCCGCTCCGAGCGCCCTCGACTCGTCAGCTACCCCTCTTCGGACGCCCTCGATCGCCAGTATGTTCCTCAGGGCGACGATGATGACCAGAAAACCGAAGCCATTCGTCTTGAGCACGACATCCTCTCGGACCTTGCCGACACCAGCCGCTTCTACGTCCTCGAGACCAAGGACTTCTGGCGCCAGATCAAGACCGCCGGCTCCGCCGTCCCCGCCAACGCCCTCTACCTCATGAAGGCCTTCCAGACGCAGTCCAAGGAACTCGCCAAGCCCTCCGCCACCATCCTCCCGCCCGTCTTCATCCACCCAACCGCGCAAGTCGATCCCACCGCCAAGCTCGGCCCGAACGTCAGCATCGGCCCGCGCGCAGTCATTGGCGCCGGTGCCAGGATCAAGGAGTCGATCGTGCTCGAGGATGCAGAGATCCGACACGATGCCTGCGTCTTGTACTCCATCATCGGATGGAGCAGCCGTGTGGGCGCGTGGGCTCGTGTCGAAGGCACGCCGACACCGGTGCGCGAGCACAGCACGAGCATTGTGAAGAATGGGGTCAAGGTGCAGAGCATCACCATTCTGGGCAAGGAATGCTCGGTGGCGGATGAGGTGCGCGTGCAAAACTGCGTGTGCTTGCCGTTCAAGGAGTTGAAGCGGGTGAGTAGATTGTGTCCTCGCAACATTCCAGTGATGTTTGTCCTTACTGACCACACATACGCAGGACGTCCAAAACGAGGTGATCATGTAAACGCCTTGCTGAAGAGAGCCCGACGGCCTTTGGAAGAGAACGTGCATCAGATTGAAGCATAGATAATGGGGGTGCGTTGCATTCAGCGTGTTTTCTCGCGATGAATAGATGTTTGCAGGATAAGTACGATATTCATCTACCGTTGCTGCAACATATGAGTACCTTAGATCGTATTGTCCCCGTCTCAGGTTCATCACCGCAGTGTTGCCCCCTCCCAACAACAGATCCTCTCACGACTGCACCTTGGCCCCAGACCCCTTCGTGCCCTTCCTCTTAATACTAAACATACTCTTGAAGCGCCGCAAGCGCGACTCGCGCTCCTTATCCAGCCTCTCCACATCTTCCTTCGAATAAGGCTCCAGCTCTTCCGCCTCCGCCTCCGCCTCTCCTTCATTCTGCTCGCCCTCACCAGCACCAGCAACCGGCTCCGCAACTTTACTCCTCCTTCTCCAATCCCTCGCCGCAGTGGAAACAACACGCAACAAAATCTGCGCCGCATTCAACCCGCTCAAACTCCCCGACGCTTTTTGGGACTCCGCGTTGCGCCAGGGGCAGTGTTCGCGGTGCAGAGTGGTGAGGTTGAGAGTCGCCGCGCTGGAGTTGTCGTCTTCGTTCTCGTCGTCGTCGTCGGTGGAAGGGGAGAGGTGGTGGGAGGGGCGGTAGTCGGGCTGGTACATCCAGAGGCCTATGCGTTGGAAGCAGGCGTCGCAGTGGAGGAGCTCGGTGCTTGCGTCTTTGGAGGCGCGCCAGCCGTTTAGGGCGATTTGGAGGGCTTTGGGTGGGAGGTAGGGGGTGGCTTCATGGGGTTTCGCGAGGTCTGCGAGGAGGGAGGGGGAGAGGTCTGCGAGGAGTTGGGAGGGGGGAGTGGAGGGTGCGTCGGCGGTGGTGTCGGCAGAGGATGTGACGTCTATCTTCTCGATCGCAGAGGGGATTGCTAGAAGGGATTCGAAGCGTTTGCGGAGATCGGGTTGCCAGACGAACGGCCGCACGACTTGCAGGTGGTAGATGTCGTCTTTGCAGCCGGCTTTGCGCCAGAGACAGTTGTCTGCATGGCCGTTGATGATCAAGGCGTGGTAGCGGTTTGTGAGCGCTTGCTCGAAAGCGGACTCGTCTGCATCGTCGTCTTCTGCGGCGGCGTCTGTGTCGATCCCTTGCTCCTCTGCAATCTCTTTCCTCGATGCAGTTTCGAGACTCACGACCAGTCGCTTCTCACACCCGCCCTTGCACTGAACGGTGTTAACGCCGGTGCAGACCCAGCCTCGCTTCGCCCACTCCACTTCACTGATTGCTTCAGGCTTGGGATGCCATAAGCTCACGCTGCTAAAGGTCTTCAATCTCTTCAGGAAGGCCTCGTGAGACCACGGCGAGTAGTTGGGAGGATCCTTGGATATCGAGTCGTCTTTACCGCGCGTGGTCGTAGCATGGGAAGGGACGAAGATGGGCCTGAGTGAGCCACTGGATGTACTTTGTCGGAGTCTCTTGCTCGCACGCTCTCTCGCCTCGTCGAAGGCTTCGATGGCCGTCAATGGTCGCTTTGTTTGTTCGGTGATGCTGGGGGCGAGGGAAAGTTGGGAGTTGTTGGAGAGGGCGTCGAGGGCTTTGGTATAGAGGCGTTTCTTCGTCGCGATGGCCGTCATCGTGCCGTGTCGAGAAGGTGCAGTGTCTGGCTGAAGATGTGTTGATGGTGCTCCCACAATGGACAACAACGAGGCTCGGACAATAAGGTTTGGCGTCGTGGAGTGACGCGATGCGACTGGACTTCGGCTGGGAGCGGCTGCCTGTGGCCCGGCTGAACTCTAAATCGACATCTCCCCAGCCGGCTCGCGGCTACTTTTCGTCGAGGCCAAGCCCAGTCGGCTCGGAATCGGAGGACTTCCGCATCACGTCGGCGATGCAACCTTTCCTTCGGTCAAGTGACGACGGCAAGTTCCAGCAATGCAGCCAGCCACATAAATGCCTCAAATGATATGTGGTTTACTCGCCCGTAACGTCGGATGTTTCTTGCTTCATTGATACCTAAACATTGGACCACCCTTGCACCTTCCGGCTTCGCGCCGCCGGCCTTTGATTAGTCATAGACCCATACTTCCAGTCCCGTGCACGTGCAGTCTCGACTTCAGCTCGTTGCTACACACACCGATGCGCAACGTGATGCGCGCACCCCATGGCTGACCGCAATATGACCGACGTGGACCACTCGCCCACACGAGGGCACATGTCCAACTCTCCCGACAATCACATCCGCCTGGCGTGTCAGGCGTGTCAGAGGAAGAAGGTACGTGCATCGCGCAGCTCGAGCAACTGACTCATCAGCTCTCTGCGCTCGAAACACCAGTGCCATATATTCCCCTCTGAACCCTACTAATGACCAATCTCACTAGATTAAATGCGACCGCGTACGAAAGCACTGCCTGCTCGCAAGGCACGCCCATGCACTAACCTCTCACAGAACTTCCCGTGCACACAATGTGTACGGTCCAATCTGCATTGCGTCGCGAGCTCGCGCAAGCCTCGAGCGCGACATTCTGGCAAGCGTGCCGTCGACTCGGAACTGCGCAATCGCATTTCGAAGCTCGAAAACCTCGTGGAAAATCTCAGCGGCGATGTTGCCTTAGCTACGGAGGGGCCCTCCATGAACGGTGCCGGTCAAGTGGCCGAGACAAAGGGCGCGGCCTCGCCTGCTGTCCGCAAATATATCGGCAGCCAGTTCTGGTCTACTCTAACTGGCGAAGTTCAAGCACTGAAGGATGCGCTTGAGGATGACCAGACGGAGGACGAGCAGGCCACCTCGCCCTCATCTGCCAGCGGCCCTTCGAACTCCGCAGAGTACGAGCTGCTCGTTTGCCCTCCTGGCATGATCTATGTCATGCCTGGTGCATTGCCAGAGCCCTCGCCCCAAGCCTCCGCCGTCCTCTTCGATGCCTTTTGCAGCAACGTCGACCGCATCTCCAAGATCTACCATACGCCCTCGCTGCAAGCTTTCATGATCGAAGGGAAGCCCTACCTCGGCCACGATCCTTCTACCCCAGGAAACAACGCTGTCAAGGCCGCCATCTGGTTCGCCGCCTCCAACACCCTCTCGGAAGATGAGTGTCAGATGATGTTCGGCAAATCTCGATACGCACAGTCGCAGATCTTTCGCAAGATGGTTGACATTGCCTTGGCTCAAGCTGACTTGTTCACCACGAGCGACCTCGCTACTTTACAAGCCCTTACCACATATACTGTAAGTCCACGCTTCCCTGCCTCGTACCCCATCCCAATCTCACGCTGCTTTCCAGATCACTTCACGATATATCGACTCCAGTCGGCGCGCATGGACCATGGCTGCCATCCTTGTGCGCATTGCTCGCGCCTCCGGACTTCACAGCGAGGCCATCCCGCGCACCCCTTTCATCACCGAACTGAGACGGCGACTTTGGCATAGCATCCGCTTTACCGATGTCTTTGTGAGTTGGGATCGAGGATCATCCGATCTGCTCATCGATTCCGCCCCATCCGAAACCCCACGTCCTCTAAATATCGAGGACACTGATATCAACGAATCTTCCGAGACGCTTCCGCCGGAGAGAGAAGGCCTGACATCGATGAGCTGGGCAGTCATCTCGGTGGACTCCGCAAGTAGCATGCTGCGCTTCAGTGCGCGCTCCGAATCGAAGCCCGGCGGCGGCGACACCTGGGAAGACCGGCTGGCCGCCGCCAACGAGTTTGCACGACACATCAACGACAAGTACCTCCGCCACATCGACCCCACCGATCCCTACCACCGCTTTGTGAAGCACGTGTGCGGATCCATGATCGCCTCGCATCGACTTCGCGCCGTTCGCCCCATGCGCAAACACCCGCTGAGCACCGCCCCGCGCGTGGACAGCCCCTACGTCCTCCAACTCGCCCTCGATTCCATCCGCGCCTCGGAAGACACGTACACCGACGCCGCCACGAAACCCTTCCAATGGCTCGCATGGGTGCCCTGGCATCCGCTGGCCGTCGCGCTCGCTGGCCTCTGCGCGATCCGGGACACCGAGCTCGCCAACGAGGCCTGGCTCGCGGTCGACAAAGCCTACCTCCGCCTCCGCGGCGTCATCGCCGACTCGCAAAGCGGCATGCTCTGGCGCCCGATTGAAAAGCTCTACAAAACCGCCACCGCCTTCCGCGAGCACCGCGAAGGCTCGGCCGAAATCTCACCCCCATCCCATCAACAACCCCTCCAACTCCCCTTGCACCCCAGCAATACCATCCCCACAAGCCCCTACCCCATCATCAACCCCTTCTACCCCTCCCCCGCTTTCCCACCAAACAACGCCGCCGCCGCCGCACACTCCCTCTCCAACAACACCACCACCTTTCCCCCCTTCGACCCCAACACCACCAACCCCATGAACCTCGACCTCACCAACCCCACCGCCCTCTCCGATTTGGACTTTTCGAACTCCAACCTCAACTGGTGGATGGAGTTTCAGAATATTTTCGAGGACATGTCGACGCCGGCGCCCGAGCTGAATGTGGGCAATATTGCGTGGGCGGGCGGCGGGGGCCCGAGTGCGGGGGGTGTCGCGGGGGCTTGGGGGGTGCCGCAGAATCCGATGTGAATTGTTTTGTTTTTCCGTCCAATGTTTGAGGGAGCGCGGGATTTTTTGTGGTTTTTTTCGCTGATTGTAATCTTAGGTGGAGAGGGTTTCTACTCGTAAGTATCTTACTCAACTCTGTGGGTGAAAGGTGTGCGGCATTTGAGCGCGAGAAAGAAAGAACAGCCCTCTATTTTGAATTCTTTGCTTGCTTGCTCTATGATTACACCACTAGCTAGAACGCATCACACTCAATCTCTCCAACTCCACCGATGCACCAAACCCTCAACCCTCAAAGCCACGCACCACCCTACTTGCCCTTCAAAGCCGGGACGTAGTTCTTCGGCGCCGAATCATCCACCGTTCCATCCCAACAATACCGCTCAAAACACCTCTCGCAAACCGCAGGCGTCGCGCGGCCCTCGCGCTCCAGACTGCGTTTCAAAACCGCACAGCCTACGCAAGCGGGCCACTCGGCATTCAGAGTTCCGTTGAGCTGCGTCGCGAGCGCGTACCCATTAGCTACAAGGGCGTCGCGCTGAGCGTCAGGGTATGACAGGTCGAAAGTCGACACGTTGGAAGTAGTGGTGTAGGGGGCGTTAGGGAGGTAGACGATCAGCGGGGAGGTGGTGCTATTGCACCCGAAAAACGTGGGGCGGTTGTTGAGGCCTAGGTTGAAGATTGTGTTTGTCGAGGGGATTTTGGGGAAGCCTGTGCCGTTCGCGATGGGCAGGAAACTGCGTTGGTAGGTTGCTTCGAGCGCGAGACCGCCGGGCCAGTTTTGCGCGGAGCCGGTGGTGGGGAAGGTGGCGTTTGTGTCTGCTGAGGAGTCGACGGCGAAGATGACGTCGAGGTTGCGGTTGGGTTGGATGAGGGGGTGGAAGGGGATGTTTTGGTTGTCTTCGCCGCCGTCGACTAGGGTGAGTTGCTCGTTGTTGGCGTTGGTGTTGGTTTTGGGGTTGTAGTGGTAGAAGGGGTTGGGGCGCCAGACGGAGATGTCGTAGTTTGATTTGCTGAGGTCGCCTGCTAGTGCGGATAGGGCGTCTTGCAGGAGGGAGGAGAAGAGGCCGGTGGTGGAGGTGCCGTTGACCTCTGAGAAGGCGGCGTTGAAGAGGGAACTACTTGTGCCCATGACCTATGGGAAGAGTCAGCCATCCAATACAAGGGTGTGGAGTAGGACTTGCGCATGGTTTACTCACAAAGCCAACATTGTCGAATCCTGTAACACAGTTCTTGGTCGCTGGGGTGCCAGCGGTAAAGTTTGTGCCGACGTACTTCAGAGGGGCGAAGGCGTAGACGGTGGGGTCGTCGCTGCCCAGCTCCCACGGGCTGAAGGTGTAGATGGTGCCATCGGCGGCGGGGATGATTTCGCCGGGGGCACGGCTGTCAGCCACGAGTAGAGGAACGGGGGCGGTGCCACTTGAGAACCAGTCTTGGTCGGCAATGGAAGAGAAGGTATAGCTTGGGCCGCCGTTCGAGGCGTTAACGAGCTGATACCTGTGGAAGGGGTTTATGATTAGTCGGGGAGCCTTTCTTTGCAACGCGGCAGAACTTACGACAACGCACGACCCCAGTAGTCGGTGATGGAGACGTTGAAGCCTGCATCTTTCTTTCCTTCCACATCCGAGACCAAATCGGCGTAGTACTTGGCGCTGCTGATTACCTGAAGGAGACCACTGGCATCCGGGCCTTCAAGGATGGAGTTCTCGAATTGCCAGAGATCGGAGGCGGCCGGGGCGTTGCCGTTTTGTTTGAGGATGTTGCTGACGGTGGTGAAGTTATTGGTATACAAAGATCCGACGAGCCAGCCTCCACCGGAAAGAGCGGAGAGATATGTAGTGGATTGCAGCAGGCCTCCGAGTTGGCCGGTCGCAGTGGAGCCCGGGGTGCGACTGTCAAAGGCCTGGAGTACTCCAGCACCATTCAGCATGGCACGGTAGCCTCCGCCTGAGACCGCGATACCAACGGTAGGCAGTGCGGCGGCGGTGAGATTGTCGATGTACGCATTCGTGTCGAGGCCGGTGATGTTGATGCGCTGAAGCAGGTTCTTCATGGGGGTACGAATGGCCTTTCGGCGGGTCGAGAGCCATGATGTCTCCTGCGAAGACAGCGATGACGCTGCTCTGATCTTTGGTAGAGTGGAGGGGCACGCGTTGGTTTGAGGGGTGTAGCCATGCGGGGCGTTGGCGGGCAATGCGCGGGCTAGCAGTTCGACGATCTCTTTTTCCGCGATGGCTCTTGCTGGGAAGGTTGTCAATGTGCTGAGCAGGAGGTAGGTGAGTTGGCTGGAAGTGATTTGGCCCACCTTCAGTAATAGCAGACCATGCTGCCACGGCGAGCGCGGTTGTCGCCCAGGAGACTTTCATGGTGCCGCACGGTGAGGAGGGAGATGGAAGGGAAGTGGGATGAGATGAGATGAGGTGAGATGATGAAGTGAGATGATGAAGTGAAGTGAGATGAAAGCCTTGGAACGATGGATTAATGACCCACCCTACCTCCGACCATCATCCGCCGCGTCCGATAAAGAGATGTGCCGTGTGTGAGCAGTAATACCACAGCCACAAGAGGTGCTACGTGTGACGTCGCGTATTCGTGGCCGTGTCTTGGTAGGACCCACGGCGGAGGATGAGCCTTTGCCACATTCTGCCGTTTGCCGGCCGCTGCGCCCGTCTTGGTCCCAAGCCTTACTTGCCACTCCTTTGCCTACAAGGCTGTCGGACAACCACATCACACAACTCATAAGCCATCTCCAACTCCATCGTGGTTTGGGCGAGATGAGATGGGCCGAGATGAGGCTACCTGGCGAGGTGTCGTCGTGGTCGGTGGCGCGCACTGCAGGGCACGGGCCACGCCGTGTTGCAGCTGAACCTCTCCTCGACGGAGTTGCTGCCTCGCCTCGCCCTCCAACTCCGACCGATGGTCCAACCCGTTGCATCGGCGTTCATGCTGCAACACGGTGCTCACTTCGCTCGAAGTTTGGCCACCTTTCACATGTCGAGTCGGGCAGGATAAAGCCTCGACTTCTCTCTTCCCTTTCGCCGCCCCAATTCTCAACTCCACTTCATCTCGATTGCCCACTTCACCTCCTACCTAACACACCATGTCGCAAATCGAGACGGTCCACAAAGGCGCCATCCTCGTCTCTGAGCCCCCCGGGGCCATTGAACTCGATGTGCTTGGGACTTCCGACGCCGCCAGCGCCTCTAACCCCTCCAACTCTCCTCCAGATGAGACCGAGTATCCCCCCCTCACCATCGTCTCCGTCGTCTTCCTCGCCGTCTCCCTAGTCCTTGTCCTCGCCGCCCTCGACGGAAACATCATCGCCACCGCAGTGCCTTCCATCACCGATCATTTCCACACCGTTGCCGATGTGGGCTGGTACTATACCGCCTATCGCCTGGCATCCTCTTCCCTGCAGTTTGCTTTTGGCAAAATGTACACCATCTTCCCCACCAAGCCCCTCATCCTCGCCTCCACCGCCATCTTCCTTTGTGGCTCCGTCCTTTGCGCCGCTGCTTCCTCTTCTATTATGTTTGTCGTCGGCAGGGCCGTCACCGGTGTCGGTTTGGCTGGCGCCGCCGCCGGCTTCTTCACCATCATGGTTGCCATCCTCCCACTGTCTCGCCGTCCGCTCCTGAGTGCCGTTTTTGGCCTTGTGGAAGGCGTGTCAAACGTCGCCGCCCCGCCTATCGGTCTGTCATCACCCCTGCGATTCACTTCCATTGTCTTGCTGACTTTGCTTTGCTGCCTCTAGGAGGGGTGATTGTTCAAACCCTGTCTTGGCGCTGGTTCGTCCCCATGCATACCTGACTACACTTCTTCGAAGCTAACCATCACCCAGGTGCTTTTGGATCAATCTCCCCGTTGGCGGAGCAGCCATACTGGCCATGATCTTCTTTCTCCCAGAAACTAGCAAGAACCGACCAAAGCTCACGGGACGAGAGATCGTCCGCAAGCTAGACCTGACCGGCACGTTGGTCTTCATCCCTTCGTTGACTGCCCTTTTCATCGCTTTCAACTGGGGAGGCATCGTGTACGCCTGGAACAATCCCAAGATGATCGCCCTCTACGTTGTCTTCGCCTTCCTCTTGGGCATCTTCGCCATCGATCAAGTGGTGAAAGGCGACGATGCCATTCTCCCGCTGCGTGTCATGAAAGATCGGAACGTCCTGGCTGGCGCCCTTTTCATCACTGCACTCTCAGGAGCTCTCGCCGTCCAGGAATACTACGCGCCTACCTTCTTCCAAGCCGTGCTCGGGTACTCGCCAGCCCGCTCGGGCTACCTGATGCTGCCATGTCTCATCGGCACCATCATCGGCTTCATGTCTGCAGGCGGCGGGTGCGTCGAACAACCCACAATCATCCTCGTCGTGCGCTACTGACTGATTCCGTCACAGGACCTCGTACTTTGGATACTTCACCCCGTTCATGTTCGCCACAGCCATCCTCCTCCCCATCGGCAGTGGCCTCCTCACAACCTGGTCCTCCTCGACCACCATCCCCTTCTTCGTCGGCTCCTTCTTCCTCGTCGGCCTCGCGTCCGGCCTCGGCTTCGGCGCCCCGCAAACCTCCATCCAAACCACTCTCCCCAAAGCCGACGTGCAGCTCGGGATAGCCGTCATGCTCTTCTTCCAGAACTTCGGCCCGGCACTGTTCGTCGCAATTGCACAAGCCATTTTTACGAACCGCCTGTCCGCTAATTTGCAGGCGTTGGCGCCGGGCTCGAATGTCACGCGCATCGAAACGTTGGGCCTCACGGAGATTAAGCATCAATTTACTGGGGTCAAGCTGGAGGAAGTGACGCGAGGGTTCAGTGAGTCGATTGAGCAGACGTTCTATTTGGCGCTGGGGTTGAGTTGTACCGCGATCGTTGGCGCTGCGTTTACCAATTGGGCGTCGGTGAAAAAGAAGGAGGATTAATCGTGAAAATCTAAAAGTTACTCGTCTGAACTGGCTATCTGGGAAACGAGATATTCGAATACGAAGCTATGACGAAGCTATGCCCTGTCCGCCCACGGAGCGCATTTCGAATCACTGGTATCCTTTCCTCCCATCGGGCGCGCCATTCAAGATGGCGACCTAATTCAATCCCCCAACCCTCTCCGAGGCAGTCTCACTTCTCCCAGCCCCGCCACTACCACCAAACAACACACCCCGAATCTGGGCCGCAATCGCCATCATCACCAATTGCGCCGTCGCACTCTCGCGCGCCACGGGGATAATCTCCACATCATGAATGCACGCCACATCCTGCAGAACGGCGCAACGCACGTCAGCCTGCTGCAGCAACTTGGCAAAAGTCCTGGCCCTGGTCGCGCAGCCAGTCGCTCTGCGAGGTGATGATGGTCGTGGGCGGCATGAACTCCCTGGCCTGCTGCTTCGTCATCAGGCCCGGGGAGGCGGTGATTTCGTGGCGGGCTTGCTCGTTGGGGAAGTAATTTTTGACGATTTCCTCTATGAATGCGGTGGTGAGGAAGGGGCCGTTTGGGAAGAGGAATTGCGAGAAGGTGTTGGTTAGGCTGGCTGCGTTCACCACTGCGTGGAGGAGGATTTGATGCGCGATGGGCAGATTCAGGGAGCACTGGTGATTCAGGATGGAGACTGCGGGCGCCAATTGACCTACACGCCATCCCGTCAGCACAACATGCCCCTTCCCGCATACAAACATTACGAATTGAACGGGAAGCTTACCACCAGCACTATCCGCAGTAACAACCACCTTCGACGTATCCAACACAATCCCAGGCCCATGCTCCACAAACCACTGCACAACCTCCAAACACTGCTCCTGCTGCGCCGGGAACTGCCTCTCCGGCGCAAGCGTATACTCCGGAAACGCCAGCGCACACCCCGTCCGCTCCACCAGTTCAAACACAAACCTCTCGTACCCAAACGCTCCGCCGAGGATCCAGCCGCCGCTGTGCAAGTGCACGATGAGCGGCACTTTCAAAGGAAGAACTCGCTGATCTGCTTGGTAATGGGGAGGGTGAATGATGGGAGACAGGCTGTGTATGGTGCTCTTGACTTTGTACTGTTCTATCGTGGCGAGCATGCCACTCGAATCTACTTCGGCTGAATGTTCTGGCTGGCTGACTGTTACGGTTGGCCTTGCTCAGCCTCATGAGGAATTCAACGTGTCCAGCTGAAAAGCGGGGCGAAGACGATCATATGAGGTATGCAAGAAGACAAAAGGTCCGACGAGTCGGGTGGCCTGACGGTGATCAGCCGACTGGAGGCCTCAAAGTAAAGAGCCTCTCCAGTGCGGCGAATGGGGAGAAACATGACATCGCGCTGAGTAGGTCCGACAATGAGCGGACAAGATCTAAGTAAGAGGCAGCACGCTGCTTTTGACGACATCCTGCGAGCAGGACAACTATCATCACAAGCGAAGCGCGATCCACAGATCCAAAAACACAAGGCCTTACGCCTTCAGCCCCTCCTCCGTCGCCGTGCGCTTCAGCTGCGTCTTCTCATTATGATCCAGCCCCCTCTCCCTCCCCATCCGCCTCTCCCTCGACTCCACCGTCTCCACCAAGCACGCCGTCCCCGGATCCGCCGAACTAAACACGTACGACCGACACTCCGCATTCGCCCACCCGACCGCCCGCACAATCTCGGTACAGTTCGTCGACGTCCAGTTGGACGTGAGGTACTGCAGGAAGCCGCCGTGCGTGACGACGACGATTTCGCGCTCCGGCCGCTGCAGGAGCCAGGTGCGCGCTTCTTGTGCGCGCTTCTCGATTGCGGAGGCGGAGGGGGCCCATTTGCCCTTTTTGCTGTCCCAGTCGGGTTTAACGAGGGAGAAGTCCACGGGTTGATGAGCGAATTCTGTGGCGAGGTCGTAGAGCGGCGAGCCGGTGTCGCAGGGGAGATCGCTGGTTTCTTGCAATTCGGGGAGGGCGATGATGCGGGTTTCTTTTGCTGCGAGGAGGGAGTCGAAGGCGAGGAGGGAGGTGTAGAGCGTTCGTTTTAGCGGGGAGGAGACGATTAGGTCTGCGGTTTGCAGGGCTGGGGAGTTGGATAGCAGGCGCCGGGATTGCTCTTCGCCTAGATTTGTGAGGAGGGGGTCGTGGATGTTGTGGTTTGCGATGGAGAGGTTGTGGTAGGCTTGGCCGTGGCGCACGCAATGGATTGTGGGCGTCATGGTCGCGGTGGAGGAGGTTTGCGGTGGAGGAGGACGGAATTTGGTTCGCAGGTGGATGAGGAACTCGGTGAGTTTCAATTTGAGGAAGCTCAGGGATTGCTGGATGACGGAGGCCAGGTTGACGAAGAGGGCATTTTCTTGTTAGGAGATGGTGTAGGAAATGCGATTTGTGGAGTGGAGTGAAGCGCAGGACGAATGAAATGTTGGTCACAGATCTTACCGCGGGCAGGAGAGCGTGTTAACAGGAGAGGAAGGTATGAGATGCAGTGAATGCAGGATACGGCAGGAGTGATGCGAATGGAAGGCGCGATAGAGCTGCGATTAAGACACTCACATACTGATACAACGATGCTCGCAGGGAGCTTTGAGGCTTATGAGGACGTTCTTCAGATACTCGATAATCATCAGTTTGCACCGTCTGCAATGAGCAACGGTACGAGAAGAAGAGTTTCGATGAAAAGGATGGACGTGGGTAGCCATCAATGCTGCTCTAAGCTGCATGCAGCTAGAGCTCAGATCGATCTGCAGGAACGATCTTGGGAATCCGGGGGCGGTGACCAGTCCATTCTCCTGGGCGTGCTGTGAGACACCGAGTCGTGATGTCACCCATACGGCATCTGTTCCATATACCCAGCAACTCCAAGTCCATGACGAGATAACATCAATGGCAAGTAGCTACAAACCGGTAGGGTGTTCCAACTTTCTATTTTCCTCGTTTCTTCCTACAACAGTGCGTGTGGTATTTCATTTTCCTCTCAAACACTCTTGTCAAGCACAGAACAATAGCCATGCCTCCCAAAGGAAAATACACCGACCCAAAGCTCCGCGAAGAAGTCAAAGAAGAGCTCAAGCAGAGCGACAAAGGCGGCGCGCCAGGGCAATGGAGTGCTCGAAAGGTACATGAACAATAGCACACCTCCACACGAAACATTCACTAACCTCTCCCCCCACAGGCCCAAATGATGGCCAAAGAATACAAAAAGCGCGGCGGCGACTACACCACCTCCAAATCCGACCAGGACGAATCGCAGGAGCACCTCGAAAAGTGGGGCGAAGAAGAGTGGCAGACGAAAGAAGGGTCGGCGAATGCGAAGAAAGCGGACGGCACGCAGAAGCGCTACCTGCCTAAGAAGGCGTGGGAGAAGATGAGCGAGGGGGAGAAGCAGGAAACAGAGGAGAAGAAGCAGGCGGGGAGTAAGAAGGGGAAGCAGTTTGTGGGGAATACGGGGAAGGCGAAGGAGAAGCGGAAGGAGGCGAATGAGGAGGAGGATGAAGCGTTTGAGGAGAGGAAGAAGGGGGAGGAGGATGGTGAGGATGATGAAGAGGAAGAGCAGGAAGAAGACCAGCCCAAGGCCAACACGGGGCAAAAGCGCAAATCCACCCGCTCCCAATCCTCCTCCACGGCTACCACTCGCAGCGGCACCGCAGCGAAGAAGCAAAAGCAGACACCCGCGAAAGAAGGCAAAGAGGGCAATGCACCCCCAGGCAAAGTCGGCTCCAAACACATGGACGCCAAAGAGCCAGGCAAACGCGGCTCCGCGGACCGCCTGCCGAAGAAAGGCCAGGCGGCGAGTTGGAAGGCGATGCCAGGCTACGTGCAGGGGAAGGTCAAGGAGGTGTTGACCAAGGGGAAGAAGGTGGATGGCAAGGATGTCAAGGCTAGCAAGGAGGACCCGAAAATTGTGCTCGTGAGTGATGCGAGTGGGAAAATCTGCGTGCATAAGCCGGAGACGTGTTTCTACGATTGATTTACCGAGACGATAGACAATCATGTTTGAGTGCTTCGGCAAAGACTAGATACCTTCAACAGTTGGGATTCTCGCTCATACTTCTCTTTCTGAGCCACGTATTGCACACCCGATCATGGGCATCCGCCGTTGTATTTGCCCTCCGCCGCCTCGCCCGACCACTGCGCACGATCCACCCACTTCTTCTGGCTGTCTTGCACGCTGCCATCAGCCCAAGCCTGCATCGCCACACCCTGCAACGCACGGCCGTACGAGAAGGTCAGGGCCCACGGAGCAATGCTCGGGTCCTTCTGCTTCAGCTTATTAAGAGCATTCAAGTACTCGATAGAATCCTTGTCGCTCAGACCGCCCGACAGGAAGACAATTGTCGGCACGGAGGGAGGAACGGTTTTGGAGAGGCACTGCAGCGTTGCGTCGGCGACTTGCTCCGCTTTGCCCTTGGAGTGCTTCTCGCCCGGCACCACCATGGACGCTTTGAGCACGAGGCCCTGGAAGTCGACCTTGTGCAGCGCCAGGCGGTTGAAGAGGGCGGAGTAGGCGGCGATGTGCGCTTCGAGCGAGCGCTCAATGGACTGGTCGTGCGTCATGAGCACCTCGGGCTCTACGATGGGCACCAGACCCGCCTGTTGCGAAATGGCAGCGTAGCGAGCGAGCACCTCTGCGTTATCCTCGATGGCCAGGGCGGAGGGCGTGGTAGGCGAGACAATGTAGGTGCATCGCCACTTGCTGAAGCGCGCGCCGCGCTCGTAGAACTGCTTGCAGCGGTCCAGCAGGCCGTCGAGACCCTGTGTCGTTGTCTCCTCCGGGTTGGTGCGCGGCAGAGCGACGGTGCCCTTGTCGACCTTGATGCCGGGGATGATGCCGCGGGATTTGATGATGTCGACAAACGTCTTGCCCTTGTACTTGGACTCGAGCTGGGCGCTGTGGTTCATCAACGTCTCTTCGAACGTGATGATGCCGGAGATGTGCTTTTCGATGTCGCCGTCGGCGGTGAAGAGCAGGTCTCGCCATTCCCGGCGGTTGTCTTCGGTGTTCTCCTTGCCGACCTTCTCGAGGCGCTTCTTAATGGAGCCCGTGCTCTCGTCGGCGGCGAGGAGGCCCTTGCCGGGGGCGCCCATGGCCTTGGCCGTCTTGTGCAGCTCCGCCGCATGCTCGAATGGCGGGGAGGATTCAAGCTGGACTTTGAGGGAAGTCATCTTTGTGGTTGTGATCGTGGGTGTCTCTGGATTGCTCGGTGAATTCGTTAGAGCGCGTTTAATGAGATTTGATGATGTTGGACAAGTCGAAACCGGAAACGAGGAACATATTTTTCTTTTCCTTTGAACCGCGCAACCGTGATGGGAGCTGTGCCCGTATGACTTCATCCGGCAACCGCATACGTAAATTCTTCCCCATCGATCACCCCAAAATGCGGGGCAAGCGCCTTCGAGAAGCTGTCGGGTCCAAAGGCTGATGGACTGCGGGGCAGCGCATATCGCGGTTTCGTCCATCTTCCACGACCTACCACAAGCGATTGTTGTCGACAATAATCGATCTACGTCGCATTGATCTCCGACAATTGCATCGTCGTATTATCCGCTGCACAGTGGGTGCGGGCGCAAGATGGGACAGTCGAAAGGTTGGTCTCGAATACCTCGGCCTTGTTGAACTTTGACGCCAGTCGTATTCAAGACGGCGGGATAGCATAGGTAGCTACCTACTTGCGCAGCTCTTCTGATTTTGCAGACTCATGAGTATCCGGAGAGTAGCCATTCGGGCTTGCTCAATGCGCCTGCGAGTTCCCGAAGCTCTGTCGGGTAGGCTTGGGCTTCGTCGAGTGCTTGATGAAGCATTCGAAGTGGCGCCGTTCGAAGTCCAGCATCGCTCTCTCCAAACTGCTAGGCCCCGAGTCGTGAGCTAGTCTTCGCCGCAGTCGACTCAACGACCCGCCCAGGACGACGAATCATCCACTCTCCAACACCTTCTTCGCAGCATCAACAACCCTCTTCATCTCGGCCTGTCCCTTCTCCACAACCTTCTCCATCATCCCCTGCGCCTTCTTCAAATCATCCGGTCTCGCACTCTTGTCCAACTGCATTGCTCGCATCTTTTTCTGCTGCTTCCCCCTCGCATCCCTTACCCCCGTTGCCGCCTTTTCACCCGCCTTCACGGCTTCCGTCACCGCCGCGCGTCGCGACTCAGTCGTAGGAGGAGGAACATTGATGACCAGCAGCAAAGGATTGGTCCCTGTTGGATCAGGCTGCGGCGTAAGAGATAGGTTGGATGACTGAATGGAGGTGGTGACAGGCTTGACGTGGTCCTTCTCGCCCACCAATATCTGCACCGTCCTGCCCTTGGGAATGACTTGGGCGAGGTCGTTGAGTTTGACCGTCTGACTCTCGTTCTTCTCCGGTCGAACGCGAAGGTTCTCGAGAGCTTCCGGGTTGAATCGACCGCCTCCTCTTAGCTTTGAAAGTTCGGTTTTCATGTGCTCGATGGTTTTTGCGATTTCGGACTCAAGGGCGGAGAAGTCGAAGGGGTCAACGGTAGACTCGGTCTTGGAAGACGCTTGCTTCTCCTCGCGAGCAGCTTTGCCGCCTTTCTTGAGCAGACATGGCGAGGTCGAGAAGGCTCTGGACTGTATGCGACTGCTTTCATGTGCGATACCGATCGTGTAGGTGAGAGGTGAAGGCGTTGTCGGGATGAAAGGAGATATTTCTCGATAGACAGCGCATGAGTAACACCGTTGTACGAGCCTTGGCCATTGGCCAGGCTGTACAACACGTGCCAGGGCTCGATGAGCTTCCATGCTGCTCGAGAGAGCATAGTAGAAAGAGAACATTGAATATCACAAAAACCGCGGCCGCGTTCGCTTAGTCAGCGTGGATTGGCCGCGCCACAACTCGCCCGCAGTCTGTGGCTGTTTCACATGCCTCGACCTCCACCACATCAATTGCTTTCCACGAGCCAGCTGCGCCGCTACTTCCTCCTTCCGCCTCTCCGCCGATCTCTTCCGCCTGAAAACACTCGTCGGAGCACACAGCCAGCATGGCGGCAGCCATGGACGTCAAACAACTCCAAGAAACCAGCCGGCAGCTAAGCAAAGCCTTCGACGGCGGCGACCCCTCCACCACCCTCCTCACACTCCTCGCCCCGCTCGAGAAATGGAAAGCCAGCGAAGACCTGCTTCGACAGAGCAAAATCGGCATAGCAGTCTCGAAGCTCCGCTCAAGCAAAGACTCCAAAGTCGCGCTCCTCGCATCCCAACTGATTAACAAGTGGAAGGCCGATGTCAAGACTAAGAAGCCTGGCGTCACGGGCACGCCGGGGAAGAACGGACTGAATGGCGATCTGCGAAGCCAGACCAACAGCCCGGCGCCGAAGAAGGAGGTCCTCGCGCCGCCGCCGCCTGCGCCGAAGAAGTTCTCCGTTGCGCCGGAGAAGCGCAATGCGAAAGAGGACGGCGTCGATACTGCGCTTACCGGCAACCCGACTCGAGATGGTAGCATCACTCTCATCTACAATGGGCTAGCCTTCATGTCGGAGGAAGCGCCGGCGGACATCCTGGCCGTATCGAAGAGCGTGGAAGCCGCGGCATTCGAACTCTACCAGCCCGAGACGAGCACGACGTACAAGCAGAAGATGCGCTCGCTGCATTTGAACCTCAAGATGAAGCAAAACGCGGAGCTGCGCAAGGATGTGTTTAGCCGGGCGATTGAGCCGAAGAGGTTTGTGAGCATGTCGAGCGAGGAGCTGAAGAGCGAGGAGATGCGCAAGAAGGAGAAGGAGATTGCGAAGGAGAATATGAACAAGTCTATGACGCCGTCCCAGGACAAGAGTATCTCTACGACGTATGTCTCGCGCTCGAGATGCCGGGAAGGATACAGGGAAGACCTCATGCTCCGCTGCTCGAGAGGGCAATGGAGCGTGAGGTCTTCTTTGCGTCCGGCGCATCGCTCTCCTTCCCCAACTTCCAACCTTTGCTAACCATTCCTGCCAGACTACAATGTGGCAAATGCAAGCAAAGCAAAGTCGCCTACTCGCTGGCTCAGACTCGCTCTGCAGACGAACCGATGACCGCCTTCTGCGAGTGCACGGTATGCGGCCATTTCTGGAAGTTCTCCTAGTCGGCCGGAGTCACGTGACAGCCGAGCTGGGTCATTACGCGGGTACTACCACGGTGGACGGCGAGAGACGAGCTACTGGGAGGCTTTTGTTTTCATGACTTTCATGGGCGGTGAGCGGGAGGGCATAAGCGCATGGTGTCCTGGAGTCACGTGGGAATTGGGGCAGGGTGGCATTCAGTGAAGTAGTTTGCGCTCGATGTATACCTACAATGTGTGCCGTTTTGCAATCCATCCTGCCGTAACGAGAACATCCGCCATATTGTCTTGGAGCACGGCATTATTTTTATGCAACATGATGTTGGCCCCCGCTTGTGCTCACTTGCCTCATTCGGCGGCGCCCAACAAGCTGAGGTGAGCTACGCCACTGGGCGCCCCAGCTCTTGTTTCACGAAAAAAGAACCTCAACTGTCTGAAGCATGCCTTCATTGAATACATTCTCTGCATCTCGGAATCTCATCCGGTAACCGACGCCCTTGTGCATCGACACCCAGTCACGAAATCCTCATCGACGCTCTTGTATCCGATCACCTCCGCTTTGAATCATGGAAACCTGAGGCTGCTGCGATCGATGCTTTTTGTGCACTGATGAGCTTGTGATCTCAGAGTGAGACTCTCCGCATAGAGTGGATGTAAGTCATATTGACTGGTCTCCATCCCTTGCTGTTCATTCACAACCTAATTTTTTCCCGCTATCAGAGATTGATGAAGAAACCCCACCCCGGCTGTCGACACAGTTCCTTTCTCACTTTTCCACCCGCCGGCGGACAGATTCGATTTCTAGACCTGTGCTAGACTGCTGCATCCATCTTCTCGACTACGTCCAAAGCCACGAAAGCGAACGACTGCATTCCCAACCATTCCTCGGCTCGCAACGCAAAGCCGCCACAACCTCTCTACACACCATGGCCGTCCCAACCGAAGTAACCATCTCCAACCTCTCCGGCACCTACACCCTCAACCGCCACCTCTCCGACTCCTCGCAAAGCGTGCTCAAAATGCAAGGCGTCAACTTCCTCGTGCGCCAAGCCGTCGCCTACTCCACTGTGGATGTCACCCTCAAACAATACACCTCTCCGGACGGCGCGCTGCACCTCGACCAGGAGCAGGTGTCCACGGGCGGGGTGCGGAATTTCGAAGACCGCATTATGGACTGGGAGACGGGGGAGAAGACGAATTGGATTTGGGGCAAGGTGAGCGGGCAGTCGCGCTACACGACGCTGGGCGAGATTGAGGACGATTATTTGCGGGAGGGTTGGGGTCCGGATTGTGTGGAGGGGGAGGTGGTGGAGGGGTATGTGGAGAGTGTGACGGATCGGTGGAGTGCGCGGCAGGTTTGGGGGTTTGCGGAGGTGGAGGGGATGAGGAAGCATGTGAGGAGGATTTTGGCGAGGAAGCCGGGGCATCGGGATGAGAGGATACGCCTAGTGTATGATTGGAAGGGGCCCGCGTGAGAGAGGGATCTTTGTGGGTATTGCATTTTCGCGAGGTCGTCATATTGGCGTTGCGTTCAACACACTAGCTAGAAAGATGCGGGAGTGCATCTTCAGTAGATACCACCACCATCGGGGCTCACGAAGCTCCGTCATCGATTGTCATCTGCGCGTGCAATGGTCAGCTTTCACCTCCCACGACAGAATAAGCATCTCGTTGGTAGAGATCAGTGGCCACTCTATTATCAGAGAGAAGATTATAGTCGACAGCAGCGGGCGCAGACGCCAGTCTGGGTGAGTATCTGTAGACAGACCAGACCCGAGAGCCGACAAATCGCGGAGCTTTACGTCTAAGGATGACTTGAGTTTTTTCATCACGTTGAGGGCATGAAAGGGAGGTAGTGAGAAATGTACTCACCGGTAGTGGAAGGACCGTGAACGCTGTAGTATCCCGAATCGAGGAGGGTCGTTGAATCGCCTTGCTCCGAGGTCAAGTCCACGAGGGGTCGTAATGCCTGGTTCATCTTCAATAGTCCAGGTCGACATTTGCCTCCTGTTGCTCGTCCATCTCGCGGGCAATACGGCGATGCGTCCGCGATCCTTCGACCGGATCGGTGTCCCCAATGTAGCCCTCCCACTTGCGCTTGTGGCGATCCTTGTATGGAATTTCTTGCTTCCTTCGTTCCTTTCCTCGCTGCGATGAAGAAGTCTCGCTGCGGCTGCGGCTGCTCTGCGATCGCTGTCTTTCGATGATTGATAGTGGCGGAGTTGGCGAAGGAGCTTGTGCGAGGTCGAGCAGATCATCTTCCACGCTGGAGTTATTGGAGGCCAGCGAACCCCGTCTTCCTTCCAGATTCGCTCCAGTGACAATCTCGTTCAATGCATCGGCACGCTCTTCGTCGTTGGCTTTTCGTATTCGCTCTTCTCTTGCCAGCGCCTCCATCTCACTGTGTCTGAACATCTCAATCTGCTCGTCGGTGAGTGTACGCTTCACTCCATCCTCGTAGTATCCGAGCCCGTCATCCTCGAACGCCGGATCGAGGTTCACCGCAGTCTCGGCGTCCACGAACCACACGTCTGGCTTGGTGTCATCGCCGAAGTGAGAGATTTGGAAGGCTAGGAGATCGTCCTTACATTCGCGAAGAAAGAAGAGTCAGTACCTACCTTTCGAGTGTCTCAGGCAGAGAGATGCCAAATTACCTCTGTGATGATTGGAACCGGGAGCGTGGAGTCAACTGCTCCGTGCTGCTGCTGCGCGTTCTTCCTGTCGCGCTTGGCCTTCGATCGCTTGGCGTTAGCACGCCTGGCAGCACCTTGCCCTACCATTCTCGCACATCTTCTGCGATGGGGCGTGGCGAGAAGGGATGCTGGCAGATCTCGCGCGGTGCTGCTAAGCAGAGCAAAGGATTGCGAAGGCTCGCAAACCGAAGCGCGATGAGGTCAAAAAGTGACAGCTTCGGCATCGACGGCCCGATCAAGTTAGCGCCAACTCTAATCTATCGCGAGTCTATGACGACGTCGGGGTGATACAGATCTCGGGTGAGATGTGAGCGGCGGACGGAGGCTGTACGGGCACAGAACGCCGTATGTATGCGCTCATCTCGTACTGCTTGTCGTGATGTAGTATATCTTCCCCAGTGACTTCCTCTCTCCCTCTTTTTGTCTATTGATCACTTACAGGACCAGCCCTCCCCAGCATTACAGAGGCCGTCCATCCACGAGCGACACTCTGCTCCCGCAACGATGTCGACCCACCCCATCGTCCACGTGTTGGACAACTACTACCTAGCAATCACCCTCCTCGTCACAATCGGCTACCAGCTTATCGGCTTTGCCTTCGCATATGGCTTCAAGTTCGACAAACTCACCGACTTCATGGGCGGCACAAACTTCATCTGGCTCGCCATCCTCACCCTTTCCCTCTCCGGCACCACCACCGCCCGCCAAATCGTAACGTCCATCTTCATCATGCTCTGGGGCGCTCGGCTCTCCGGCTTCCTCCTCTTCCGCATCCTCAAGACGGGCAGCGACGACCGCTTCGATGACAAGCGCGACAAGTTCTTCCCCTTTCTGGGCTTCTGGGTGGCGCAAATGGTGTGGGTGTGGGTCGTGAGTCTCCCGGTGACGATCCTCAACAGCCCGAATGTACTGCGGTATCGTCAGCCGAGCTTCGGCAAGGCGACGGATATCATTGCGATTATCTTCTTTGCGATTGCCTTGACCATGGAGACCGTGAGCGATATCCAGAAGTATCGATTCAAGCAGAGTGAGCGCGGACAGCAGCCTGGCGCGGTCTGCAACGTGGGCTTGTTCAAGTACAGCCGGCACCCGAACTACTTTGGAGAGATTATCATTCAAGTTGGTAAGTCATCTCGACAGCAGCTTTTGAGACTTGATACAAGACGCTAATCGAACTTCTAGCAATCTTCATGATGGCCATCACCCCAGCCTCATACGGCAACATCCCGTCCGGCTCCGGAGCATACGCAGCCCTCTACAGCAGCATGCTCGGCTGGATCTTCCTCACCCTCCTGCTCATGTTTGTATCAGGCCTCACCCTCCAAGAACGCCCAGGAGCCAAGAAGCGCTACGAGAAGGGCAGAGGTTGGCCTGAGTACGAGCAGTACCTACACGATACCAGCATCCTAATTCCCATGCCGCCGGGCATCTGGAGCAGATTGCCTGTCATCGTCAAGCGAACCATCGGATTAGAATTCCCCATCTACGTCTTCGATCCCGCCAAACACGCCGATCAGGATAAGGTGCAGCAGCGTGAGGCTGAGGAGGGGCAAAGCGAGCAGCAGCGTGGGGAGCGAGGGAGTTCGGAGCCGCTTCGGTGAGAGGCGTGGTAGTGGAGTTTTACGACACGTACGAAGTTTGAGCTCTCAATTCAGCTGTTCGATTAGTCTTTGCGACCTGTGCTGAACTTGTCACAGCGGTACTTCTTCCGCCTGCGTTAGCTCATCGGGGTCCGATGCATTGGATTTGTAGCCTGCTGCAGCCTGCGGCTGCCTGATTGGACGTTACACATGCGAGCGGCTCGTCGGCGTGCAGGCCAGCGGCACAGGCGGTATGTGCGACGTCCTGATTATACAAATACCACCCAACACCTCGTAGAAGATGAACGATTCGACATCTACTCAACAAAAGAACACAATCGACATCGCAATACAGATTCGACCATGGGCACTCGCGGACTCCTGGCGTTCATCATCCGCGGCCGCAAAAAGGGAACCTACAACCACTCCGACTCGTACCCCGAGGGCCTGGGAAAGAAGCTTGTCAGCTTCATCAAGAGTCTCAACAGCGCCCAAATTCAGCAAATGATTGAGAATCTCGAGAAAATTGAGTGGTGAGAAGATGCCACTTCCCTCGGGAGCTACATCTTGTCATTGAAGACTAACATTGCGCGCACAATATCAGGGTCAAGATGAATGATCCCGTCCCCCAGGACCTTGCAAACCGCTACGCCGCCGCCGGCTTCACGGATCGCAATCTAGGCCGCTTCGACGATTGGTACACGACGCTCCGCTGGGTGCAAGATGGTGGTTGTCTGCAGGCCATTCTGGAGGGGACGCTGTCGCATCTCATTGACTATACCAACTTCGAGAATGATCGGACGTTTTGTGAGTGGATTTACGTTCTGGATTGGGAGAAGCGCGAGCTGGAAGTCGTCGATCATTACCATGGTATCGTTCGGGAGAAGCGATCATTTGCTGAGGTGAGTGAGGAGTGGATGGATGTGATGCAGAAAAAAGTGTATGACCCTCAAGTTGATGAAGACGGCAATGATTTGGGAGAGGACATTGATCGCGGCTCGGGCAGCGATTAGGAGATTTTGTGTCGGTCAAACCCTTTGAAATCGTACTGCAGGTAACTATCATCGTATCAACGAGGCATTATCCAACAACTACCATCTCTACTTCACCGCCAGCAACCTCATATGCATCATCGCCCAGATCGGCCCACCTCTGAGATTCCTCCCCCAAGCCGCATAAGCAGCAGCGACCTGCTCAACCTCCTCCTCAGTCATCAGCTCTGCCTTGATGGCTCGCGCATACAGCTCGCTCCGCGCCCTCTTCGCAGTCAACTCCCCCCACCATTGCGCCGAAGATCCGGAGTACTCCAGCACATTGCACGACACCTTGACCTTGTCCCACTCGAAGCCCGCCGCAATCGCCCATTCCGCCAAGTACTTTCCGGCGTCCGGTTCTGCGCTCTCTAATACTTTCAGTCGTGCACCGACTACTTTCCACTTCTCTAAAAGTGGGTTATGCGGATGGATCACCGTCGTGTCCCAGACTGGCTCTCGTGCGGCTACAATGCCTCCAGTCTTACATACTCTCCGCATCTCCTTCACCGCCTCGGCGGCGTGGGGGACATGCACGAGCAAAGCATGGCAATGCACGACGTCGAAACTCCCCTCCTCAAACGGTAACTCGAGCGCGCTCGCGGGCTGGAAGTGGATGGTCGTGCCCACGCCTCTCCGCTCGGCTTCCGCGCGCGCCTGCGCAAGCACTTCTTCGCTAAAGTCCACGCCCGTCACGCTCCCCTGCGGCACGTACTTGGCGAAGTCGCAGGTTATCGTCCCGGGCCCGCAGCCGATGTCGAGGATGCGGAAGTGCGGTTTGATGTGCGGGATCAAGTAATCTGCCTGCGCCTCCGCGGAGCGGGATTGGTGCGATGCGAGAGTGGCGGCGTCGTAGCCTTGGGTGTAGGTTGATGGCATTTTTCCGTGTAGTATGAGTTTTGGGTTGTGTTTGAACTGCCGCGGAGAGTTTCTGTGGGGAGATAAATACCTTTGTTAATGTCGCCGCAGATGGAGAAGGATTTCTATTCTTATACCCTGCGATCCACTTCTTGATGCAGGGCTGATCAGGCTGCAGGTGAGAAATGGTCTCCGACGTCGGCGGATGCGACAGCTTTTTCCGCACTCGCGTTGTTGCGTACGCTAGGGCAGACGGACAACTCCAGGATTTGTCTAGGATTACCGTAGATTGCTTACGATTCAGATCAGTATCAAACAATAAAGAAAATAGACAATAGTGAGTCTGATTCTTCGTCTCCCTACTTGAACCCCAACCCTAAGCCGAAGGAAGCACCCGACGCAAAGCACATATACCCTAGGGTACAGTCACGATGGGAACATGAACAACATCAGGGCCCTGAAGGAACATACACTTACTTGTAGTATATATCACTGTCGTCATCGTACATGTACAAGACTCGATTCAGGTTTGACCAGATGAACGAGCTTGCTTCATAAAAGAAACCGGCAATAGACAACGCTTGCAACCTCATCGACCTGCACCGGACACCACGCTACGTAATCACAATATCAATTAAAGATCCTTCCACAGCACAGTAACTCTCTGACACAAACGCCCCCGCTGCAACGCCACACTCAAAAGCGCCAAGTGAAGGCCGAGGAGCAACACAGACCTCCTGAAAGCAAAGTTCGGCAGAACCATTTCGAGCGCCGCGAGGCCGAGGAGTGGATACAGCACCCAGGCGTTGACGGCGTACGGAGAGCAGGGGAGCAGTAGGGAGCAAAGCTTCGCGAGGAAGATCAGACACCTCATGATTGAGAGTGCCGTCGGCGCACGCAGAGTGTTCAGGATCTTGTCTGTAGTCGACGGTGGCGGAGGCGGGAGCATCAGTTGCGGGCTTTTCTGCGCCGGAGAACTTGGTCGCGAAGAGATGTCGATGTCGATGTCCCTTGGTCGCTTGATTACCGAGCCTTCGACTGGACTCGTGTGTCGGCTGTGGCTCTGCGATTTGCTCTCGCTGCGGGCACGCACCGTGTCGACCGATGTTTGTCGTTGCAAACCCGAAGGTCGATGGAGGAGGGGAGGCTGCTTGCGTGCATTAGACGGCCGGATCTTCGGAGAATCAACAGATGAGACTCGTCCGTTGCTTTCTTCCACTATGGAAGACGCCATGTCCGCGATGCCGGTATTGATGCTCTCCAGGATGTCGCTGGTGCTCGGGCGCTGATTGGGGTCGACGCTCAGCAGACGTTTGAGGTATTTGTACAGCTTTTCGGGCAGATCCGATCGAGCTCTGAGCTGGTCGTCGAAGCCGGGCCATTTGGTGATTTCGGCCCGAAGTTCGTCCAGATCCTCGTTTTCCTCGTTGATGTTGTCCGCGTTGTTGTATGGTAGCCTGCCAAAGCACATGAAGTACACGATCATCCCGAGAGAGAAGATGTCGGACTTGGTGGTGAAGCTCCCGAAAGTGCCATCCACCGGGCTCTTTTGCAAGACTTCCGGCGCGCAGTAGGAGATCGTGCCTGTCGCGCCAGTGGAGCCACGCTGGGCACCGGCTGCTTGCACTTCACCGAAGTCGGAAATGACAACTTTGGGTCGATTGTTGCCATCCAGATGGAGAAGGCAATTGGACGGCTTTAGGTCCCTGTGAATATACTTCTTCATGTGGAGGTGATTGAGGCCAGAGGTGATGTCCTTGAAAAAGGAGAAGATCTCGTCCAGGCTTAGTCCGCTGGGCCCCCGAAGGTTCGTCACTGGCTCCAGATCCGATCGAGATGCTCGTCTCAGCTTCTGCTTCTGCTTCTCCGTGAGAGTAGGATCTTCCCGTCCCGAACCCATCACGTATGCATGCAGATCACCGCCATTGCAGTAGTCTTGCAACATCCACAGGCAGGGAATCTTGGGACCGAACTTGGAAGGCTGATGTTCTTCCAACCAGACGAAATGATAGGTGATGAGATTTTCATGCGTAACTCTTCGCAATGTCCTGACTTCTTGCAGCACTTTCTCGAGCCAGTCATGATCGTCACCAACTGGTATACGCTTGCATGCGAACTCGCCGAGGGCAAATCCGTCAATAACATGCTCGACAAGGAGCACAACGCCATTCCCGCCTTTGCCCAGGACTCGTAGCTCGGTGAAGAACTTCTTGAAATATCCAGGGCTGAAGGCGGACTGGCTGATCCGCTGTCGTGCTGAGATAGAAGGTTCACTTCCAATGAATTCCGCTCCGGTAGGTGGCCCCTGAGCGCCACTCACATCTCGCGAGTGTCCAGAACGGAGGGCAGGTTGGAAGGCTCGGACACTGGGAGTCGCTGGTCCTGGAGAGCCGGAAGGCGACCCGCGTTGGCTCTCGGCAAGCCTTTGAAAATACTCCGGGCTGATAAAGCGATCGCCCGAGTTGAAAGCCGAGTCCGAGTGGCTGCGACTGCCCGATGCTTCGGTTGGTGAGTCGTCATGTAGTGGTCTGTGGCAATATGGACATTCGGAAAGCTCCATCGAATGGTCGACATCGCGCCGGACTGAAAGCTGCCTAGAATTGGCATCTAGAACAACGACCGAATTGCCCTGACGACTGCGCGAATCAGCTGACATTCGGGGATGAAGAACATGTAGATTCAACGTACAGGACGATTTGTCCATTTTGGTATGGGTATGGTATCAGCGACATCTGCCGCGGGGGCGTTTCGTCGGCCATAGTTGTGGAAAGTCAATGGTCATCGTAGAGCAACGCGTGGCGCACGTGATTTCAACATTTGGCGGTGCACCAAACGCGAGAGGGCGCAATCACGTCACTCGACCAGATTGAGCATGTTTCCCTGACAACAGTTCCCAGTTGGGGCAAAGAAAGCGAAGGAAACGTGAGTCAAAGATTTGTCCAAGATGGGCGAGCAGCAGCGGAGGAGATGGTCAGCATACCGCGACTTTTGACCGACGCGCGACTTTTGCCGTGGTTGGTGGTGCACGAGCCACGCGTTTGACGCGCCCGCTGTTTATACTTGTTTACTCTCTTTCCCCCCAACTTTTCTCTTTTTCCTTCACCTTTCTCAAGCAAGCAAGCCCCAACCAGCAAGCACCAAAGCCTTCAGAAAGATCCCAATTGTTCACCAAAGCTCAATTCAAACCCCCAAGCTCAATTCCAACCCGAATTTCCCCAGCTCCCAAGCTTCTCGCCGCCTTCAATCCGCGTCCTTCAGGTTTGCGCGTCCCAGTTCCCCTGCTGCAGCTTCCTCCTTACTGACAGATTTTCAGTTCCCAAAGCCAATTCCATCTTCAGTCCAGTCCTTATGAAGCTCTTCACTGTTCAAGATGGCCTCTGCCGGAGAACGCTCCTCCCTGTTCAATAAGGTCGCCGAAAAGTATGTTGCCTCTCCTCCCATGATCGACTTCAATGCTAACACGTTCCGCCTCTAGTACCGGCCCCGACCTTACTTCCGAGTCCGCCCATGCCGCCCGCGAAAAAGGCATCATGGACTTCACTACCTCTTGGGGCCGTGGCCTCAAGAACTCTCGCCCCGCCCTCAACAGCTCCCGTTTCAAGCCTGGTCCTGTCCTCCCTCCCGAGGACCTTGCCGGAGACTCGGACCACTCCTACGCGTCCGTCCCGGAGCCCGAGGAAGACACCGCTGCCTCCATCCCCAAGCCAGGCCTCCGCATCCCCTCCAACATCTCCAACTCGCGCGATCTCTCTGGGCACCTTGACGTCACCAAGCTGGTCTCAACTATCCACCGCCTGAACGGCACTGGCGGCAGCCGCAAGTCCAGCTCGCGCTTCTCGTCGAACTCCACGCCTCCTCATGCAGTTCCCAAGCATGAGCCTGTCAATGAGGTCAAGCTCGACGACACCGAAGCTGCAATCTACGAGTCGCTCATGCTGGTTAAGAACCGTTTGAACGAGATGCAGTTGGACGCCCATAAATCCCACATGGAGTCCGTCCAGCAATCATATGCCCAGGTCGCTGCCCAGGCTGGCAACCTCCAAGATCTGCGCGGCCACGTGGCGGATCTCCGCCAACGCCACCAGCGCAGCCGCAGCGGCAGCCAGCGCAGCGGCGGCGGCGGCGGCAGCAGCAGCAGCTCGGGGAAGGCCCGCGAGGGCAGCCCCGGCCAATTTTCTTTGGCGGAATGGGAAAAGGAGAGGCGTGACCTCCAGGTCGCTCTCCGCGCTGCCACCGAGCGCGGAGATCGCAATGCCCGTGCCTCCGAGGCCGCTCTCCTGGACCTCGCCAGGGAGAAGGACCAGATCGCCGCCCAAATGGAATCCTTCCGGGCCGAGTTCCAGGCGATGAAGATGGAGAATAAGATTCTCCGTCAGGCAACCGTCAAGTTCGAGGGCAACGCCTATGAAACCGCCCTGTCTTGCTCAAAAGCCCTCAGCGTTCTGGAAACCTTCACGCACACCCTGGGCGTGACACAGAAGATTGTCGGCGACCAGGGTGACTTCTTCAACGAGCGCACCGAAGCATTGGAACGTCGAATCAAAGCTGCAGAGCTCGAGCGCAGGCAGTCGCGTGAACGGCAAGCCACAGCCGGCGAAGCACGCGAAGAAGCACCCCACCCCGCACATCCTCATTGCGTATCGGCCACAGAGGCCGGCGACAATGGTGATCGTGCACTAGAGCCCAATCCGAATGGCCGCACGACATCCGCAGCAACCGGCTCGGAAGATCGCCATGCGGCAGCAGACATCCGCAAGGAAGGCCAAGATGTGCCAGAAGCCGAAGACCATTCCCGCGCAGTGTCGACTGATGCAATCGACGACGACGTTTCTAAGAAGATGTCAACGTATTCATCAGTTTGGGACCACAACGACCCCGAGCAAGGCATCCGCATGGACAGCATGACTTATCTTAGAAAGATGAAGCTCCAGGCGATGGCTGCCCAAGCCCACGTTGCCGAAGCGATGAACACAAATGCAGGAGTCGCCACGCCCAAGTCTCGCGCCACGAGCGGAGTTGGCACGCTCAAGTCTCGCGCCACGAGCGGCGCCGACACGCCCAAGTCGCGCGCCCCGAGTGGCGCCGAACTTCCCAAGAAGCGCACCCCGAGTGAGAGCCCGAGGAAGCGCACCCTGAGCGAGAGCCCGAAGAAGCGCGCCCCGAGCGAGAGCCCGAAGAAGCCGGCTCCCGTGTTCGGTGGGAGGAAGTCCAAGCCCAAGCCCCTCACGCCAGCTGTTGACGAGCGGCACGAAAAGAGGATCCTCAAACAAGTGACCCAGAACCGGGTGAACAGGAACGCGCCGCCCACCCGCTCCGTGTCTCACCTTTTGGCCCATGGCATCTTCACTCTCCCATCAGAATCACACACTCGTCAGCCCTTGGTGGACATCGACCGCGACACATCGCTCTCGATTTACGCCGAGGGCGACACTGAGCGCAAGGACAGCTGGTTTTCGGAGAACCCCCTTCCTTGCAACTCGGAGAAACTCCACGATTCCAGCTCGATCAACCTCATCAACTTCAGCTACGCTTCTTGGAAGCGGTCCGCGGGGCTGCCTTTGCCGGCTCCACAGGAGGACGGCACGAAGAAGCTCACCAATGCTGAACCAAACCCCACCGTTTCGAAGCCTCGCACCGTTTCGGAGGACGTCATGAACTTCAGCTACGTTGATCCGAAGCAGCTGGGGGGTCGGCTGGTGCCGGTGCCACACGAGGATGGTACGGAGAACCTCACCGGCTTCAGCTTCGTGAACCCCAACGAGATGGTGGGCCTGCGTAGCGTGCTTGAGGACGATCAAGCGGCCGGTAGAATCGGCACCAGCTCTCGCCAGGCTTCCGGCAAGGAGAAGCCGGCCCAGCAATCCCTGCCTCGCAAGTCAAGCATGAAGGAGGCTACGAATGCGGCGGACGGCACCGTCTCTGGAAACCTCATCGACTTTAACAAAGTCTCGAAGACCGTTCGCGTTCAGTCGCCGCACACATCCGACGACTCGCGCATGCCCACCGAGCACATCATGACCACGACGGACGATAAGGACACCGTCCTTATTCATGACGTTGAGCCATCAATGGACGGGGACTCTGAATTTCAGATGTCCGCGTACGAAGCCGAACACTCCTCCGACTATCAATCACAGCTTCAGTCGGCATCGGCGCAAACCTCCGAGGAGCGCCTTCCTCGCAATCAATCAGACACTCTTTCTGGCCGTCAAGGCAAAACCAAGCCTGAACCCGCTCATTCAGACCATCAAAGCAATGCACTGTCCGAATCCACGCCTTCAGGCCATCAAGGCAGCGCACAGTCTCAACCCGCTCTTTCGCACCACCAATGCAGAGAATTCTCTGAATACGCTCTTTCGGACCATCAACGCAAGGAGCTTTCCGAATATCCCTCGGAATACCTGCACGAATCGGAGGGTGAAGCAGAGCCCACAGAGCTCACCTTCCACACTTTGCGGCCCTCGATGCCGCCTCGCATTGCGCTCAGAGCCGTCATTGAGGAGCTGGAGGCCGAAATTACGGATCTCAAGTCCAAGCTTGTCAACGAGCAGTGCATCTACAACGAGGTGCACCCCGGCGCCGAGAAGCACAAGCGCATCGAGACCAAAGCAACCATGGACCTCCTCACCAAGCTGATCGAGCAGCGCAGCGACCAGGTGTACGCTCTTTACGATGTGGTGGAGGGAATGAAGATGAGTGCCGCTCGTTTCTGGGCGGGAGAGACGGATGGCAAGGAGCCCACTGGGGCAGGCGGGGAGGACGTGGAGGAGCCCTCGGGGGCGTGGGAGGAGGAAGTCGTGGAGGAGTAGGAAGTGGTTTCTTTTGCATTCTCAGGGTCTGGGTTTGATTTCGGCGTTCTGGGCGGACCTACGATGAAATGAATTACGACGCCGACGATGAGACGAATAACCTATGGTCTCCCCGCGGATGACGGCCCTGCGCTCGTCGCCAACGCCCCGAACACAACCACCATGCGATGACTACGAGAAGCGACCGCGCGACCTCAGCGGACCGCACTGCCTTGACTTTGGCCGCCTTGTTGCCGGGTTGGTTGTAGCTTGCTTCGGCTCGCTCCCAGCCATGGCGACGGGGTGGTATCTGTCGGCGGTGTCGTGTCTTGCTCATGAGGCGGCGGTCGTGGGACTGGGCTATTGTCGTTCTGTCTGACAGGCGGCTTTAGGCCAGGTCCCCGGCGTCAATTGGTGTGTGTGCGAGGGGTTGCGGTTGATGGGCCAGGGGTTGGATTCCAAGGGTCCTTGACTTCTCTCGAGATAATGTATAAAGCAAGCACTCGTTTGAGAAACTCATATACGCTGTTCCATTCATTGCTTACATGTATGAAGACGATCATCATCCACCGCTGTTGACCGTGATATGCTGCATTCGATCTACAACTTGCATGGGAGGCCAGAGCGGTCGCGCACAGATTAACAGGGGAATCTTTCATTCCATTCGATTTCCTTTACCTACATGTCATAACCCTTCGCAACTCCACTCCTCCCCACTTCCATCGCCGCCCCGCGAATCTTCCCCTCCTCGTCCCGCTCATACGCAATCTCGTAATCGCTCCCGAGACCCGTCCACGTCCTCTTTTCTCGCAGGAACTCGGCGCCGGGCGAGAGCACGCCGTTAATCACCGCCACGTCTCCCTTTGCTCTTTGCACAAGAGCAGAGCTCGGAGGTGCTGGGGCTGCTGCGCCGGTGGTGGAGGGATCAACGGCGCGAGGCTTGCCCATGGGCCGCGAGCGACTTACGTAGCGGCCAGTGCGAAGATCGAACGTGGGTTCTTCGTCGTCTGAGGGATCGTCGGCCCAGTTCGCTTCTGATGAGGCTGTTTCTCCTGGATTATGAGCGCTTCCATTCACCAGTCCGTCGTTTTTGAGGAGACTTCCGAAGTCTGCCTCCCACTCTCCGCCCCAAACTCTACTCCCTTCGCCCTTCAACGCAACCTCCAATTCAAAAGGCGTCACGACAGGCGCCATGAAGTCGCCCCCAAGCCCCTCGAGCAGACTACTCTCCCAGCAACTGATAACGACCCACGCGCCAATCTCGCTAAAATTCGCAAGTTTGGCGACGTTCACTTTGCCCACTACGAAGGTGTACGCTTTCTTGCCGTGCGAGGCGAGCAGGGACTGGAGATGCGTGAGGGCTGACAAGTAAGAGCGCACGCTGAGCGTGTTGATCAGGATGCCGATTGTCGGGGTGCTGGGGAGGGATTGCAGGGCTGCGTAGCGGCGGCGGAGCAGGGCGATTGTTGTCCTTGGGGCTTCTGAGGTGTCTGCGGAGGTTGAGTGGATGTGGATGTTGCGGACGCGGGAGGTGAGTGTTAGGAGGAGCGGTGTTGGGGGTGTGGAGATGTGGTAGATGGAGTACTCTTTCAGGTTTTCGGCGTTTTCTTTGGCGGAGGGGGGGATTGAGCGGTTGGGGAGAAGCGAGGATGGGTCGTGCTGGATTTCAGTAGGGAACAGGTTGGTGTAGCCTTCGCCGCGCAGCTTTTGGTAGAGAGTCTCGACATGATGGTGGTACGGTATGTCGGCCATTAAGCACACCCTGTCGTCGAGGTCGGGGTACGTGGCTTTGAAGTCTGCTATTGCGCGCGCCATGTTCAGTGGTTGCGGAGTGAAGACATATATCACGGGTAGACGAGCGGTGGGCGAGAGACATGATCGACCATAGTGCACCACCACATCGGCATCCACATGCTCGGCTGCGATCTCGTCGACGCAGCAGGCGCCGTAAGACGTGTCGGCGAGGATGGTGAGTTTCTCTTCCGCTTCATCCGAGTCTGCCTCTCGCGTGGATTGTTGTGTCTCGTCCTCCAGCTTCACCGCATCCACACCACTCCCAATAGCCTCAACACCATTCCTCCCTGCCTTCTGCCGTCTCGACTCTGCCCTCTCTCTTGCCAACCCATCCCTCAACCTCTCAAACACCCTCGGGGCATCCACCAGCATTTCGTCGGGGAACTGCAGCGCAATCCTCTTCCACCTCCCATCCCTGATCTCGCGAATCGTTCTTGGGATCTCATATTGAATGTACAGCTCCTCTTCGGACAACTTCGACTCTTTCAGTTCCGTTGTGGACGCAGTAGGATCGTGAAAGACGTGCTCCGATGGCGTGGAGAGGATGGGTGGTGCGGACGTGGTCGCCATATTCCGCGGCTTTTGCGGTGCTTGGGTGACTGGGTTTCCTGGGCTCGATTTATACGGCTCTCCTTCGTGCCATGTCGAGCGCTCAATTCTCGCGAATGGTAAATTGCATCGACAGGTTTGGTGTCTTGTCGTTGCTGGAAGTTTTTCGAGCCGCTAGGGTTAGGGTTTAGGTTTGGGGACGAGATGGAGGTCCAAGGCTGCGCCGTCACTTGTCTACATTGCTCGTTCGATATGGGATATAGGACTACGATCATGCTGTGTGGCGTCTGATTATGCTAAGTAGACTCTGTGAATCACGATGGTGTGGTGAGATGAATACTCAGGTTGCTAACGCATTTCCGACCAGCTGGATCTTTCCAGTCGGTCAGCGAGACTGACGGATTTGCAAGGTATCGACCACATTACTACCAGCCCACACCGATTTACAACGAGACGAAGGATGCAGCAAAGATCATGTTATGCATTTCCAACTATATGGGGTATCTCAACGACAACACCACCAAACTCCATACCATTAACAAAGTCACGATGCAGCCTCCATCCTCTTCACTCCTCGCTCGGCGGTGATGGTGCCCACGGCCTTCTCATCCACCCCAATCCTCTCCCGCTCCGCACTGTCCTCGCCAATAAACACGCCCAAACCCGAGAACGCATCACACAGCGCCCTGGTCGTGAACTCTCGCACATCGTACCCACCAGCCCCCATCAACACATCCGCCTTGGTCTCCTGCACGCCCGCCCAGACGTAGTCGTCCTGGACGGAAAAGTACTTTGTCTCCACCTTCAAACCGCCAAACGGATCGATAGGAGCCTCGGGCTCGGCTTTCACCTTCGCCTTCAACCCTCTGATCAAACTGGAGCTTCCGTTGCGGGCATCGGACAAATGCAACAGTCGCTGCCTCTCTGCCGCAGCCTGGCGATCCATGCGTTTCTTTAAGGTCACCTGCTGCCCTTGCTTCGTGACTTTCTCCGCATCCTGGCCGGCTGCGAGGCGATTCAGCACATCGCGCTTGTTCTCCTCTGCTTCTTTCTTTTCCTCCTCCTCTTCCTTGCGAGCCAGGTCACGCCTCTCCTTCGCCAGGTCACGTTCCGCCTTCTTCGCGTCCCGAAACGCCACCTTCTCCCTCTCCTCCAAACTCGCGTTCTCCAGAATCTCCTGCTCGTGCATCTTCTCATACTCCTCAAACCGCCGATTCGTCTCCTCGATGTCAATCTGGTTGATCAAGTTGAACGTGATGTCCTCCACTTCATTCAAGTAGTTGTTGTAGTCGTGCAGCGTTTCAAACTCCTCTTCCCGCCTGTTGAAGACCGCCGCCACGCGTCGCCGAATGTCGACTTCCCGCTCGACTTGCAGGTCTTCGAATCGCTGGGCTCGGAAGCGAGCTTTGCGGAGCGTTTTGCGGCAGCCGGGGATGGGACACTGCGCCGGGCCATGGGAGAAGATGCGGTCCACGCAGCTCTCGCACATTTTGTGGTAGCATTCCGGGTTGATAAGGAAGCGGAGGGAGGGGGTGAGGTAGCGGCTGCTCTTGCATACTGGGCAGACTTCTGTAGATGGCTGTGTTAGATGTTGATGGAGCTCTCGAGTCAAGAAGGCGAGAAGCGACTTACCATCTTGGGCATCTCCTATTCGCACCTCGCGTTTGGTGATGGGAGACGTCTTGTGCTGAGCAAGACGAGACATCTTGGCGAGACACGAGAAGCAAGCAGAAGAAGTTCGATGAGGACAGATGACCTCATTTATAAGCCATGCCGTAGACAACAAGTGAGGTCGGGCACGTGCATAACTATTGCGGGCAAATCTCGGGGGTCTTCGGCAACTCCCGCGCAGGCGTCGGGCGAAAGCTTGCGCGCAAGACTTGACGTCGCATCACCAGAACTCTTTTTTTTCGAGCATCCTCGATCCCGACCTATCCCCTACGTCCATCAGCCACGACATCACCCACAGCCAGCGTGAGCTCATCGCCCATCCGCCGCTGCCCTCACAGCCCGTTCCTGTCCACTCCACCGCCCCCGCCACGATGGGCGACCACGAAGGCCATGGCCTCGACCATTCCCGAGACCCATGTCCGTGGGTGGCATTATCAGATTTCGGCGGTGCCTTTTCCATGGGCGTACGTGTTTTCCATCCGCATCTAATCATGCAGAGGCCCTCGCTGACGAGGTATGAGCACAACAGGCAATAGGCGGCGCAGTCTGGCACGGCATCAAAGGCTTCCGAAACAGCCCCTACAACGAACGTCTCGTAGGCTGTACGTCCCCTCCATCCCTCCACCACGAATCCACGAAACTAACACCATTCTCTTCCCCCACAGCCCTCACAGCAATCAAAGCCCGCGCGCCCGTGCTAGGCGGCAACTTCGGCGTCTGGGGCGGCCTGTTCAGCACCTTCGACTGCGCCGTCAAAGGCGTGCGGCGAAAAGAAGACCCCTGGAACGCCATCATCGCCGGCTTCTTCACCGGCGGCTCGCTCGCGGTGCGCGGCGGCCCGCGCGCAATTCGCAACGGAGCGATCGGGTGTGCAATCCTGTTGGCGGTGATCGAGGGCGTGGGAATCGGGTTCCAGCGCATGATGGCGGAGAATACGAGGTTGCAGTTGCCGCCGCCGCCGCCTGGGCAGGGGGAGGGGAGTGAAGGGCGGATAGCGGCGTGAGGGCGATGTGAGCAATGAAGAGGAGGCATACATCTGGCATTTTGAGGGGAGGGTTTGCGAGGCGTTGTTTCCTTTTTTTCCGCGGTGCATAGCGTGGCGCCGTGGGATGGTCCCTTTTGATCGGCATTGATGGGTTCATGTCGGATTCTACACTCTACTTCGCCCTGTTGTGCGGCACGAACAGACACTTGTATATCTAGCTAGAAGACTGCAGATGCTCTTTATCTCAAGGCCGGCGAAAGCTGTGCAGTGATGTACAAATCTTGCAAATCACACGTGCCATGGTACCACCCGCTTCGCAAGTAGGGATGTGAGGGTGTATTCAATCACTCGCATCTGTGGAGCGTACGTCAGATACGGTGTCAGAGAGTCCTCAGTATCATCAATCTAGGACCAGCTTGTAAGGCGGTTCGCAGCAGCATGGAGAAGTACAAAGCCGCACCACTTGGAGAAGCAGTCCAATGGCAACAACCACCGACATTGAGAATAAGGAAAAGTGATGAATCAAAAGCGGCGCGCTCTTCTTACTACCCAGTCGTCGCAGCGACTCCTACCTACAGCGGCTGAATCCTCGCAGCCTTGAACCGACTGACCTTCTTCACCTGCCCGTCAGGCCGCTCCTCCATCAGCTCGCCCAACCCTTCGCTCTCGTCAGAAGTCGCTTTGAAGCCGCCTTGCTGCCGGATGAAGTCGTTGCGGCGCCGGTAGTACTCTGTAGCCAGCTCGCGGCGCTCCAGGATTGGATCTCCCTCGTCTGCTCCCGGGGCCACTGCGGTTCTCGAAGATGGCGTACGCTCTGTTAATGTGTCGGCGATCGTCTTTCCTGGTGGGCCGGATGGACGATCGTCATCGTCGTCGTCGAGAGCAGATGAGCCGGCTTGAGTGGGAGAGTCATCGATGATAGGCGCGGCGCGCGCGCTCTTTGGAATGCTTGATGCCGGCATTGCGTTTGGCGGAAGGGAATGGGATGTTGCTGTTGTCCGCTCGAGCACGCTGCTCGCCACGGGCGCGACGTTCTCGCCTTCTAGCACTTTCTGGGCTTTCAGAGGCGGCGACCCTGGGGCTTCCGCCACGTCCAGCGCGTCTGCGAAGCTCACGCGCTTCTTCCCGGCACCTTTCTTTTCACTGTTGTCTGAACTGGCGCTGGAAGTCGAGTGGCGCTTGTCGCGAATAACCAGCCTTCGCACGTCCTTGGGGTCGGGTGCAGAGCTGGCGGCGCTAGCCATCTCTTCGTCTTTGGGTTCGGGGCCGAGATTGCCAATCAGTCTACGTTGCAGCGCTTCCATTTGTTCCCGGTACTCTGGTGTAATAACGCCTCCTTTCAAGCGGCCGAATTCGTCTTCGCTTTCTTCGGATTCGGAGTGTCCAGTGGTGTAGGGGGTGTCTTCGTCATTGTTATCGTTATCGTCGTCACGGTACTCCGAGGAGGTGAAGAAGGAGCTACCGTCGTCTTCGTCGTCCTCCATGTCCATGTCGCCTTCATCTAGATCTATTTGGGCGACAACGTTGCCCACTTCGTTTAGGTGGTATTCCAGCATTTCTCGGCGGAGGCGAGCATCTTCGGGGGAGTCGGTGGTTGGTATCACGGGTGCGTCGTCCACCGCAACTTCGTCTGTCCCGTTCTGATTTGGAACATCGACCACTGCTTTTGAAGCGACGCCAGAAGTTTGCGAAGCGTCTTGGGTGTTTCCTGGCCGCACATCTGGCGACGGTGGTCCGAGGGGCTGAGGGGGGATCTCTTCTACATTGGGCGAGAAGGAGACAGATCGGCTGTCCGGTGGAGGTGCAGCGGGCATGACCGCGACCTTTTCGGCGAATGAAACAGATTTCCTGCCTTCTTGAGAGAGGGTCCTTGGTCGCTCCTCGGGCGGCTTGGTATCGGCGGTGAACGAGACCGATTTCTTGCGGGATGAAGGCCGCTCCAGATCCTCAGCACCGCTGCTGCTCGTGCGTGACATAGGAGTGTCGGAGTTTGTGCGCTTCTCCACGTGAATAGGATGAGATGTAATCAGAGGACTGAGATTGGTGATGGCGGGCTTCAAATCCTCCGTTTTCGGCTGAGCAGCGGAGGCGATGCCCTCGAAGTCGCCGTCTTTCAAACCGGCTTTTCGCAGCGAGGCGACAAGATCCGCAGTCGTTTGCTCGGGTTGGCTGAGATGGCTGGAGATCACGTTTCCATCCTCGTCTAGTTCTTCGTGGATCTCCGTCAGTGGCAAACCAGTCCCTTCGCTAGCTGTCGAGTTCGCCGCTGCGAAGGCAAGTTCCTCTGCTTTCGCCTCCGCATCGAAGAACTGTCTTTGTACAGTGTCGATATTCTTCTGCACATACTCCTGCCGTCGCTCGATGAGGCCGATGATTTGCTGCGCAGACCTCGGATCGGAGCCCGTCTCAAGTCGGACAATTTCACGAATTTCCTTTTCCGTGACCAGCTCGCCATTATACGACTTGGCCAGTTCCTCGAGTTGTGAAACAGATGGTTCGGCGCCCGCGGTCTGAATCTCCTCCTTCAAGCCTTCGTATTCGGCTTCCCAGATTTGCCAGTGCTTGAGAGACTGGCGCAGCTTCTGGAGGTTGTCTTCCAGTGTTTGCCGCTGCTGCTCTAATCTGAGGAGGTCCATTATGATCGATTGCCGGCCGCTGCGCTCGGTCTTCGAACTGAAGAATGTGCACTGCTGGAATGGAGCGGTGAAGATGGCGCGGAGGTTAATTGTGTTTTTGTGTGTTTTCGGTTGTCGACGTCACAACGGGCTCGGGGGAAAATGAAGGGGCGGGCCGGTGGAGCGCCGATCCGTTGGCGTTGGCGCTAAACCCGCCGAGCACGTGGAAGGATGGAGAGAAGCTGACGAGGACAAGATGTATAAAGACTGCGCAACAACCACTTCTAGAGCTGAATCGACATGATCACGCACAAATTCGAGATGTCCACCACTGCTTGTAGCAAATCCTCAAACCACGCTCAAATGCCGCAAATCCGTTGATCAGTCCTCTTCCACAATCTTGCGGAACTCCTGCTCAGCCTCGCGTCTGTACCAGCTGATCTTCTTGTCCAGCTCTTCAGCCTCGCGCTTCCAAACCTATCCATGAGAAACATTAGCAGCCGCTGAAAGACTCAGAGATATACAGGGAGACATCAGCTTGGCACTCACCTTGAACTCCGTGTACCCCTGCGCTTTGGCCATGCGCTGCTCCACCATCTCCTTCTCCTTCTTTGCGTCGCTCAGCGCCTTCTTGAGTTCTTTGAACCCGCAAAGATCCGGCTCGTTGTGCTTCTTGGCATGAACGTGGTGCCCGCCGTGACTGCTGGCCTTGTCGTTGTCACCCTTCTTCACCAGAGCTGTTTGGGCATATCAGTCTTGCTTTTCCACCCCGCCTCCACCCAAGCCGCACATACCACCGGCATGTTTGTGTTTGGCGTTTCCATGGTGCCCTTTTTTGCCTTTGTCGGAATCGCGGATGGTATTGGGTCTGGGTTCGTCAAAGCAGTACACTAGATGCCAGGGCATCTTGACGTCTGAGCTTGTGAGAATGAATTGTTTGGATCGTGGTATTGAAGGAAGGAGAAGGGCCATTCATATAGTAGAGTTGGGGATGATATGGTCTTCCAAAAGACCTGCATCATGCTTCAGATGGACAAAGAGATGATGGCAAACCGGAGTGAAGGTCTCAGTTTGCCAGAGACGGTACCAGTAAAGAGATACTAAAATCCCGTTTGACCCAGGAAAGATGCAAGACAACCAGTTTGTTGTCTGACTTACTGTTTGTCACACAACACTTGCTTGCGTGAAGCACTTCATAGGAGGGTCGACAAAGAGCAAATGAGCTAGTATACCTCGAAGGGCTCAATGATGAATTCTTTGCCGCGCTAAATGCGTGCAAAGTGGGTATCGTAAAGCAAACACGCTCGAACGCTGCAAATTCGGGAGGGTGGGATTGTGGTAGTCGTGTTATCGTGTGCTGTTGAAGGGGTTCATCGCCGCACGGGTGTTGTTGAGAAGCTGTTTGCGCAGAATGTCGGCTCGTTGTTCCTTCGTGGGCTTCACAGGCCTCTTCCGCGGTGCATCTTGGCGATGGGCTTTGGTGGAGGGTTCAAACATAGCCTTGGAGTCTGCACCGTCGTCTCGGTTCGCGGGCTCGAAGTCAATCAACCGTGCTCGTCTTGCATCCTCCTCGGTCTCTGGCAACAAATCAATATTCGTTCCCAGCCTTTCCCTCAACGCCTCATCCGCCTCATCTTCCTTCTTCAACTTCTTCCTCTCCTGTCGAAAGGAGTCCCTCATCCGCCTATTGACACTCCACGGATCATCCCAATCCCTCTCACGACTTCGATACAACTCTTCAATCCTCTTCGTATTATCCTTCACAGCTTCTTTCTCCTCAACCCTCCCCTCCAACACAGCAAAAGCATCCTCCCTCCTCTTCTCCCTCTCCTCAGGCGTCAAAATTGGCAACCCACCCTCCCCCTCCCGCATCCGATCCCCATCATCCCCATGATCCCTCGCCTTCCCGCCCGATACAACCTCATATCGCGTATTCTTCGGATCCGTCCGAACCTCCAACCAACCACCACAAGCCGCGTGTTTGATTCGGAAATTCCAGATAGGCGTGCTGTGGTAGTAGCCCACCTTCTTCTTCTCCGCGTTGAATCGCACGCCTTGCCCGATGATGGCGTGCGGTTGGCAGGTATGGCACCACACGGCGAAGGGCATTTCGAAACGTACTGTTTGCGTGCCGTCTCTGCGTAAGGTGCCGGGCGCGCGGCGCTGGTGGAGCTTGTTGCCGCTTGTCGTGCCTTCGAGTTCGGGCGGTATATAACGGCCCATGTTCTGTCGTGATGCACGCGGTTAGTGGACGCGTTCTGATGCATCGTAGGGACGGAACGTACGAAACCCTGCATTTTGGCGGCAGTATATGCTGGAGTAATCTGTGCTTCAACTCTTGAAAGGCTATGGAGAACTGTGCATCAAGATCTTGCTAGGGCCTCGCAATCGCCATCTTGGCACGTTGTTAGTGAGTAATAGTGAGTGTTCAATTGATCAGAAGCAGTCCGCAGACCTCCTTCCCAAAACAGTTAGACCCCGCCAAATGCGTCATATCTCTCGCTGACTAAATCCCAAGTTTTCGACGCCTCCCGTCGAAATATCTGACTGCGCTCGATCTTCCCGTCTCTTCAAGTCAGAACAATCACCTCAACAACCCAGTACGTCGTGAGAAACATGGCGACCCTCGTCCAAGCACCGGCGACCGTGCCGAACGGCTCGTCTCATCCCTTCACCTGCAACACCTGCCAAGTCGCCTTTCGCGCATCCGATTTGCAGAGAACACACATGCAATCGTGAGTTGCGCCACAATACCCGCTCATCCTGTTCAATCGTAGCTAATCAGTGAACAGAGACTGGCATAGATATAATCTCAAGCGTCGCGTCGCCTCTCTCCCCCCTCTAGCCTCCGAGATCTTCGCCGAGAAAGTGCTTGCGAACAAAGCCTCTGCCGCCGCCACAGCTGCCCGCGCCAGCTTCGAAAAGCGATGTGAAGCTTGTGAGAAGACATACTTTTCTCAAAATGCCTACGTCAATCATTTGGGAAGTCAAAAGCATCGCCTGCTCACAGCGAGACTGGACGCCAAGGCGGGCAATGAGACAGAGAGTCTGGTCGATTCTACTTTCTCTCTTGGCGACCCGATGGAGAACGCGAGCACAACTACGGAGAGCACAATGCAAGGAGATTCCGTAGACCCGACGGCCGAAGCAGAGTTTGAAGATGTGGTGGACGGGATCAAAGATGTTGGCCTGGACGATGTACAAGATCCGTTGTCCGCTCGACCGGGCAGACCGACGCCCTCAGCCGCCGTTCATCATAAGGACCATCCTCTAGTGGCCGCCGCGGATTCGAATGATGACGAAGAAGAGCACCACGCCAACGTCGACCAGTGTCTCTTCTGCAACTACATCTCCCCAAACATCGACCTCAACCTTGTTCACATGTCTCGACAACACGGTCTGTTCATCCCCGAACGGGAATTCCTCGTCGACCTCCCTGGCCTCATCAACTACCTCTCCGAGACTGTCCTTGTACTGCACGAATGTCTGTACTGTCACAAATTGTTCCACACCGGCTCTGGCGTCCAAACGCACATGCGAGATCGAGGGCATTGCATGATTGCCTACTCCACCGAAGACGAGCAAATGGAAATTGGCGACTTCTACGACTTCCGCTCAACCTACTCAGACGACGAGGAAGAGGAGGATACAGACGAGGAGACGAGCGGCGGTGTGAGCCTAGGGGTCAAACGAGATGTGAAGACTACTATGACAAACGAACAAGGAGAAGACGTGGACATGCCCGACGAAGACGACGAAGGGTGGGAAAGCGATAGCACCGTCTCCTCCGTTCCAACCGACGAAATCACATCCGTCCCCTCCATTCCAGAGCGAAGACCGAAGCCCAAGACCCACAAGAGCGGCGGCTTACAATCTCCATCAACACCGCTGGCTGTCTACCACGACGAGTACGAACTCCATCTCCCATCTGGAAGGACAGCAGGGCATCGCAGCCTCCGACCCTACTTCCGACAAAATCTCCGCAACTACCCCACTCCCGAGGAACGCGCAGAACGTCAACGCACCATCGAAGATGCTCGACACGATTCCGACGCCGACGACGAGGAAGACGACCAGCAAACCGAAGGCTCCGGCCGCGGCAGGCAAATTGTTTCTCGCGCTAATGGCGGCCTCGGCATGGTGGGCGTCAGCGACGCGAAGAAGAAGGAGGTGCGCACTGCGGAGAAGCGGGCTTTGAAGAGGGCGGAGCGGGCAGATAATCGCCGCCGGGCGGGCAATGAGAAGCGGGCGAACTTTCAGAAGCATTTCAGGGATGAGATGTTGCAGTGATTGCTCGTGGCTGGGGCGGTGGTTGCTGCTTCGGATGTTTGCGTTTGCGTTTGCGTTTGCGTTTGGAGTCGGAGGCTGGAGGCCATCTCATGGTTGGAAGATCAGGCTGGCGTTCACGGAGCAAGCGTGGTGAGGATCAAGAGATATGGAGCAATCCGCTATCATGTTTGATTCACGTCACATCTGTTGTATGCAGGTTGCACAACAATCACCGACTCCCATGCAAACCCCCTTGTCTGCTCTAGAAGAGTTTGTGTTTGTACAAACCTCACTTCCCTTTCTCTCTGCCTCCAAACAAGCTGTCCCATTGTCACCACACATTCACTCCCCAAACACTCCCTTCCATATAAGCCACCTTGAAAAGGACTTCGCATCTTCTCAAGACTTCGCTTCGCCCTACTACATCGCCTTTCCTCACCACCTCCCAACAACCCAATCTAATAATCATCAACACAAACCAGCCCAAAAAATGCCCAAACCCACCGCCGTCCTCAAACGCCTCAAAGCCCTCCTCCACCGCGGGCCCCCAGCTGACGTCCTGCGCACCCACAGATCCCGACACCGACGCGCCCTCTCAGGAGACGATCACGAGCTCTTGCCCCCCGAAGCCGTGACGGACGGCGAAGGAAGCGATCATCAGCTTACGAAGGTCCCATCCCGTGATCATCAGCATGGGCGGGAAAGGTCGCGAGAGGGTGGAAGTGAACGACAGCGACAACGAAGTCGACATCGAAGTGGACGGGTTCTGGAGGCGGAGGTGCCGAATCCGTTTGCTGATCCTGCTTGTTCTGAGGGGACGTTGACGACGACGCAGAGTGGGGAGGAGGATGTTATCAGTCTTGCTGAGGCTGTGAGGGTACTTGAGCCGAGTGGATGTCACGAGAGTTCGGAGCGGGTGATGACGGGTGGAAGCGCTGGGGAGAATGAGAGTCGTCGCTTGCTGGAGAATGGGGCCGGGCCTGCGACTACTGGGGATGGAGCAAGTGATGAGTCTGATGAAGAGGAGGGCATGAAAGGGAGGAAAATTGCGGAACTGAGGAAGAAGATTGCGCGCTTGAACGAGATGATTTCGGAGTTTGGGGTGAAGAAGAGGAATTGCAAGGCGGAGTTGCACAGGTTGAAGGCGGATATTGGGGAGTTGAGGAGGGAGTGTGCGGAGCTGAAGGAGGAGATTGATGAGGCGGGTCATGAAGATTGATGTTGATGCTTACCTGGCGACTTGTCATCGTGAAAGATAGGTGCGCTGAGATGGGGGAACTCTTGCTTGAACACGCACGGCTGTCTTTCTCTCTTTTGGACGATCATTGTATTAGCGTAGGTGTCATAAGGGTGGGATTGCGGAGAACTCGGAATAAAGCATATGTACCGCCCACTTCTTCTTTCGCGTTGCTGAAGCATAAGCATTCGTTAGGCGTAGGCGTGATTCCCGCCTACAGATACAAGCAGTAGCGTGGGCGCGTAGCTGAACACCGCGCCCTCTTGCGGCACGCCGCCGGTGGGCGTCACGTCGTCGTAGGGGAAGGTGTAGCCCTGGCCGTCGAGGTTTGCGGCATGGACGATGCGTGCATAGTGCTGGATATTGAAGTCAGTACTGCGGCTGGTTTTTGGAAAGTAGGAGGTCACTTACATTCGTGACGGGGTTTTGATAATATTGGCTAGGTCCAGCTCCATCCGGGATCGAGTTGGTCAACAACAGCGTGCTGCGATTGAACGCTGCCGCCAGACGTGGGATGATGGTGTTCGTCTCGGCATTCTGGCCAGTAGCGAAGGGGCCTGACGCGCAGCTGAAGATATCCCCCGTGGACGGCTTGGTGAAATTGCCGCCTGCCCCAAAACTAATGCCCGAGCCGTTCGACACACCATTCACGTCCCCCCATTGCGCTTGCGTATCGACAATTAAGTTCTGACCGGTGTATTTCCCGTAAACCTGATTGACGTAGTTGGCATAGTAATTCGCAAACCAGGAAGGATTCAACAAGATGCCGGAATTGGGGCTGAGGATGCGCAGCAGCTGGCCGTTGCTCGAATTCACAATCAACGAGCTCCAGCGCTGCCCATCCTGCGCCGTCTGCTGTCGCAGGCCATTCGCGATCGACTGAAGGCCGTTGGCTGGTATGCCGGAGACGTGCTGCGTGGTGCCGCTGGTGTCTGTCAACGTCAACGCGACCGGCAGGCCCACAAAGTCGACGTAGCTGATATTCGCGAAGACTTGCGCGCTGTTAAACGTGAATTCTGCGAAGCCGAAGGTGGTGCCGACGTTGGGGTCGCTTTGGTTGAAGATGGAGGGCTCGACGAGGCCGGGGCCGGGGTTGACGGCGAAGACGAGCGGGGCGCCGATGGAGAACCAGATTCGACCGCCGGCGAGGTTGGGGATGGTGCAGTACACTGTGTTTCCCGGCGCGCCGAGGGGAATGGAGACGTTTTGAGTGAGTCTTTGGTTTGTGCTTGATGGACTAGCCGGGTAGTAGGGAGTGTGGCCGTCGGCGGACAGTAGAAACAGGGCGTTGCCTTGGTTGATAGCCTGGCCGGCTGTTGTGGATGTTAGATGCGGGGTTTAATGAGGGAGAAATGATACTTACTTATGTATGCATAGACATTGCTCGAGTTGGTATCGTTGTACAAATGGATCTGAAGCTGGCCGGTGGCGGTGGCGGAAGGACCTCCGGTCGTCGCGCCGGACCCGTCTCCAGGCTGGGGCGGGAGTTTGGTTGGCTGAACAGGAGGAGGCTGTTGATGGGTTGGAGTGCCTCCATGAGGATGCTGATGAGGATGCTGATGGGGATGTGCGTGAGGGTGGTGTCCGTCATGCGCATGGGGGTGTTGCGGGTCGTGCGCGCGGGGGTGCTGTGGGTCGTGGGCATGCGGATGCTGTGCCTCATGCGGGTGCGGATGTTGTGGATCGTGCGCATGCGAACGTAGTCCATCCTGTTCGCCGGCGCGCAAAGGTCGCTCATAAATCAAACCATTGGGTCCGACAACGGTGACGTAGGGTCCCGAGCTGCGGCGGCCCTTCTCCGTGTTCCGTCGAAAGACGCTTTTGACCCGCTCCATCTTTCCTAGTATATAATCCTCGCGAAACTACACGTAGGGCTAAAGGATTAATGATGATGACTTTCCAGGACGGCGATATTGCGACGATGCCGGACGAGGGGAGCCGCCTGGGTGGAAGGTGAGGTGGGAAGACGCCCGTTAAGCTTTGCCTCTGCATGTTCCAACTGCCATTGAGATGGCTGGTCTAGCTGGACGTGGCTCTGCGGCTTCCAGAAGAGGGAAGGAGCGGAGGGCGACCTGCGCGCTACTTATACGCCTGCAGTACGCTCGAGTCATCGTCTCTTGTGAGAGACTTCATGTCACTCCATGTAGAAACAAGTCACCAGGCCTCGCTGATTCGCGTGACGAGGCAAGCTCGGGATGGAGAAAGGAGCTTGGGCGTCAAAGCCACTGCACGTCGACGTCGCCCTCTGGCTGGCACACCCTTTACCCTGCGACTCGGTTTCCTTCAACTCGACAATGTCCTCGGTCTCGTTATTATTGCCCTCGATCGGATTGCCTAAAAGAGGTTGCCTACATGAGCACGTGCAGCCCGTCATGCATTCGCTACATATCACGTGCATCTTCCAGGCGCCATCGTGACAACCTCACCGGGTACGGACTGCACCTGCCGCGACATGGACTGCTCTTGCCATGATTGAAAATGACATGACACAACGGCATGCGCACCTCGTGTTTGGCTGCCGTTGAGATCCCAGCTCTCTTTCATCCCCTTCCGCCATCCTCTTTTCATCTTCCTCATCGCCACAGGAACTGGCACTCGTTCATTTCATCCCACCCACCCTCTGTCCTTCCTTCAATCCCTCCATCACGCTCCTTTCGTCCCTTTCCATCGCAAGACGCTCTCTCATTCTTCCACCATGAGGGCCATCGCGCTTCTCCTGTCAGCCACACTCGTATCCCTCGCTCAATCGCAAACCGGCTACTACACCCTCCAGGACTCCTTCCTCGGCGGTCCTACCTTTCTCGACAACTTCAATTTCTGGTCGGATCTGTCCCTCTACTCCTGCTGCCCGCTTCATCTCACTGACACTCACCAGGACAAGCTGGGATCCCACGTTCGGCTTTGTCCACTATGTCGACCAAGCTTTCGCCGAGCAGTTCTCCATGATCACCACCACCGACTCCACCGTCGCATGGGGTGTGGATACCACTCAGATCTTGGACCCCGACGCCAACCTCGGCCGCCTTAGCATTCGTCTCTCCAGCATCCAGCGATACACACGTGGCTTATTCGTCCTCGACTTGGCACACATGCCAGTTGCAGCTTGTGGCTCCTGGCCTTCTTTCTGGACTTTGGGAGGAACAGGAGTCTGGCCGAGCAGCGGTACGCTCCCCGTATCTTCAACGTGAGCGTGTGTTGACGTTCCGTACAGGCGAAATCGACATCATCGAGCTTGTGAATCAAGTCCCAGACAATCTCATGTCGCTGCATACCTTGCCCGGCTGTACAGTTGCGGCAGCCGACGAAACCGGCACACTTCTCTCTTCGAATTGCGGCGTACGTGATGTTCACAACGTGCCGTCTCACTACTGACAGATCCATACCCAGTTCGCTGGTGGTTTCGAGGGCTGCACCGTCCAGGCCACTTCCCCATTCAACTCCGGCACCGAGTTCAACGCAGCCGGTGGCGGCGTGTATGCTATGGAATGGACCTCAGCAGCAATTCGAATGTGGTTCTTCCCTCGTAACGCCATTCCCGCGACCTTACTATCGCCCTTCCCCGACGTCAGCGCCCTCGGCGTCCCCATGGCAAACTTCGCCGGCAGCTGCAACATCGACTCCTATTTCTCCAATCACAGCCTGATGTTCGATATCGATTTCTGTGGCTCGTGGGCTGGACCAACATTTCAAGCAGATGGCTGTCCACCGTAGGTATTCCCTGAACCTGATCTTCCACGATGCATGCTAACTCGTCCTTCAGTCTTGATCCAACAAATGTGAGCTTGGAAGTGTTACCACCGAATGATCTCCATACTAACCAATCGATAGAGCTGGTCATCTTGCAACGAGTTCGTCGCTCTGAATCCCGGCGCCTTCACCGAGACATACTGGGAGGTCAACTACCTCAACGTCTATTCCCTCATTCCCGGCACCGCTCCGACATCCACCTCCAGCCTCTCGAGCGTTACACCCGCGGTCTCGACGAGCTCGGTCAGCTCGATTTTGAGCAATGCCAACGGACGTTCGACCACACCTACAATGTCCCTTGCCGGCACAACGCCACACATCACCACAGGCTCCTTCACTGCCACAAGCTCTGTGCTCAGCGTCTTGTCATCGTTGTCCGCCAGCTCTGTAAGTGCCAGTCTTGCCAGCGCGCAGACGACGCCGACGACCAGCCTCGTGACCCCTTCACCGATGGTAACTGGCCCGACGACTACTTCTGTGGCAGCAACTTCACCACCCTCCCCAGCATCTATGACAAGTTCGATGTCAGTGACATGCAACGGCGCCATCTGCACCTACGTCTACACCTCCGTCGTCATCGAGACAATCACCGTCCATGCATTGCTGGAGCAGTCACCCGATCTCGCCCAAGATGTGGTCTTCAACTTCGACCGCTGGGGCAATGAAGATGAGCACACCATGCCTACGCATCTGGGAGCCATGAAGAGAGCGGCCTCCACCACGGTCGAACTCTCCTCCTCCGCTTCCACCAACACGCCAGCTGCTTCTACTACACCAACTGGTGTGAGCGTGACAGCCTTTCCCGCCCTCAACACGCTGGTCACGCCGGACGTGTCGCCCGACCCCACCGGTCTGCCGATTCCCAGCGTCTACAGCAGCTTGTTGAGCCGCGGGAGCAGCACGACGAGCGCTTATACTGTGTCGTCGACTTCTCACTCGACTGGCGCGGAGACGCATGCGGTCCCTGCACGATTGCTCGTGGTGTCCTGCACTCTATGCACGCTCGTGATCATTGGCTTTGGGCAGGTGGTTTGAAGAAGGGGAATTGATGTGGACAGATGTGATAATGTCTAATGGTTGACGGGGAGAGAGGAATATGACGCGTCGCATGGGATATGATTGTACTGTAGTGTACAACGTACCATGCAGCAGATCGTTCGCTGCCGTTCTCACGCCTTCTCCTCTCAATGACAGTTCGCACTTCATGACACGGCTCTGTACGGCTTACACAATCCTCACGCAGGTGTGACCGCCGGGCGTTAACATTCAACGAAAACGGCCCTGCACGTGGAACATGGCTGTCCAGATGATGATGTGCCGAAGATGAAACGAAAAACGCGCCTTGCGTCAACGGGCACAAACAAACGCGATGACGATGGATCAGAAGCCCTCAGCCCTCGTATTCCATTCCATCATCATCATCTCATCGCCAGCGGGCCCCCGATACGAGAGATAAGATGATCAAGGCGCGCCGTCCCCCGGTACGAAAGGAAATTACCACCTTGCCATCATTGGCTGCCCAGCTGGAGTTAGAGCGCGGGCGCTAAATTAAAGCGACAGCCGAAATTAGGAGTGGCGGGTGCACGGATCGCCAGGGCTCACGCGCGGGCCCGCCCGGCCGGGATGTCAAAATGCTGCGGTCCGCAGCTGTCGTCCGTTTCCGATCCTGCAGGTCTGTATGGACTCGTGCTCATGCGTCTTCCCGTTTGATTATTATTACGAGGCTGATGCTGTGGTTTGGTGTTGATTGTTTGTGCTTGGCTGTGGGTGGTTAGGTGTGTGCTTTATTTGGTCTTCGATGAGGCTGGGGGGAGTTGATCAGGCCAAGGCTTTGAGGAGCTTTTTTTGGTTGCGAAATGGTGAACTGGTGGGTACCGATGTGGAGCGGGAATTGTGTCTATTGATCGATAGTCGACTCGGGTAGGGAACTTTACGCGCGAGGCGACTGATGATCACTGATGAGAGCGAGGAAGTCTGCGTTTCGAATGGACTGACGTTGATGGCCACTGAACGGAAGATGTCAAGTTGATGTCGTCTTCTTGTGCTGTCCCATATATGTCTGGTGCAAATATGACGGCTTGGCGGGCTTTGCGCCGGTTTGAGCAGCAATGAGCGAGTTTTGGCAGTATAATTGCTGCGTGAAAGCGCTGCGACGTCTTTCGCAACCCATCAGTGTCACTCCAGAGCCGACTTCCATGCCGCCTCTCCGTCCCTTGCTGCCAAGTTGGTCCATGTCGGCAATCGGCATGGCAAGGTTGGCATTTTCGCCTGCCATCAATCAACTCCACCAACATCAATGTCAAATGAGACATCTGTGCAACCCTTGGATGCCATTTTTAGGAGTCATTACACTCCTAGAGGACTCTACGAAGCTGTTCTGACGTGCGTCACAACGGTCACCACGTGTGCCCTGGCCTTGCGGGCAATCGGCAGTAAAAGAAGATGACTATGCTGCCGTCAATCCGAGACCGTCGATCTTTCGACATGCAGGATCAATTGATATCCACGCTCAATACGAGAGATGAATGGGGCTGTGCCTGCGAATGTCCGCTCTCTCGTTCGTGCGCGCTGACATCCTAGTCATGATCGGAGTCCCGGACATTTCGCGATATTTCGTGGCAGGTGTATCCAATTCGGCAGCCTCACGTGGGGATGGAAAGAGTCCGAAGGGGCCAATGATGAGTCCATGAGCCAGGCACGCTGGGCAATTGGCTTTGCGCGAGGTGAGTCGGCAGGACCAGGGATGTTCCATTGCGCTCGGTTCCGTGATACCCCGATCCGCCCTCACACCAGTGCCTTGTTTGCAGGACAGTGAGGAGAGAAGACGGGAGGATCTTGTTCAATTTCCTCCCACGCGTATTTGCTCGCATCGCCGCACCCCATGTATAAGTCAGCGAGCCAGCGAGGCCGCGGGGGAGTGCATGGCGAGACGTGATTAGCCATGGGGCACAGTGGAACGAATTTCGCTCGCCCATTTACGCGGAATTGGCCAAGTCCTTCCTTCATCTCACGCGTCCTCTGTTTTCCCTCGTACGCCGGCGTGATGACACGCTAAGGAGCAGGGATCCTACGGGAGCTAGCCGAATGGGGGAGAAACGTCAGGGGCTAGCGCAGGAACAGGCGGCAACTCTAAGCCCCGCCCACTTTTGACACACTGCCCGGTTGCACTCCACCAGCTGGGGCGCGCGCACTTCAGCTTCATTTCGCAGGCGTCACAGCGCCGATCGGGACGGCGCGGCAAATGCCTGCCGCCTGCACCTGCACCGTGGGCGCCGATGAAGTGGGCGGGCTTGCGCCTTGGCCCCGGCTCTAGGGGCGGATGGATGGGCCCAATATAGAGTCGAGCCATACATGGGCCAGGGTGGTGTTGGTTCGACCGTTGCGCCATGGGCCCGGGGGCTTTCTCTCATATGTATGGGGTGGTAACGCTGCGGCGCCGCCCTTCCCTCTCCCTCTTCCATCTCGTTCTTCTCCTTTGGGTGCGACTGTTGTGCACTCTCTCTCTCCTACACACACCTCTCCAGTATCGGCTTCACTCGTTCAGCCGGACTGCCCGTTTCCTTGACACTGTCTTTCACTCGATCAGATACTACTACTACTCGTTTACTTCTAATTCTTATTACCTCTTGGATTGCCACCCCCCGCGACGCGACCGACAATGAAGACGGCCATCGCCGCAGCGGCCTTTGTGGCCTCCGCCTCGGCGGCTTTCAATGCCTCTAGCTTCCCCTCGTGCTGGGTATGCAAAGACGCGTTGCCAGTGGGCATGAGACGGGAACGCGACTGCTAACTTGTCATCCAGTCCACTTGCTTTTCCGAGAACCACCTCGAGGACGAGGCGTGCCTTTGCGACGACTCGACCGGCGCGGCCATCACCAAGTGCATCAGCAGCGGCTGCGACTCTGCCGACAGCTCTGGTACGAGCCTTGCAACTTGAAACTATTTGTTCGCGTGAATTCATACTAACTGAGACTTTGCAGCCTACGACAGCTGGCTCAAGTCGTACTGCGCTGCACCGACCTCTACTTCCACTTCCTCTACCGCAGCGTGGCCGACCTACCCCTCGGGAACTGGCCCAGCAGGCTCGTGGCCCACTCCCAGCTCGCCAAAGGCTCCCTACCCGACGACCTCGGACCCCAGCTGGCCGGAAGGCTCGTGGCCCACCCCCTCGCCATCGACGAGCACCATCTACACCACCACCTGCCCCTACGACCCCACTCGCTCCCCGGGTGAAGTCTGGACCACTACCATCACCGAATCCATCACCGTCATCCCGCACGAGAAGTCCTACTCCTGGGGACAGTGGACCTCCAAGTACACTTCCTACGAGTCTCAGACCAACACCGGCGAGTGGACCGTGACCAACACCGGCGCGCCCTCGTACCCGACCACGGCGCCGCCTGCCACCAGCACCGTCCCGTTTACCACCTTCAAGCCCAAGTCGTGCACTTCGGGTACACCCCTCCCGGCCCCGTCGTCTTGCGTGCCCTGCCAGGGCCAAGGCTCCGGCCCATGGTGTGGACTGACTCTTGACGATGACTGGTATGAGGTCGCGCCCAATACTTGCAACGTTGTTGAGTACAACTGGAACCTCACCCAAGGCCTCGTCTCTCCCGACGGCGTTGAGCGTATGGCTTTCTTGATCAACAACCAGTTCCCCGGCCCGATGATCAAGGCCAACTGGGGTGATACCGTTGTTGTCAAGCTCACCAACCTCCTGCCTAACTCCATCGACAACGGCACGTCGCTCCACTTCCACGGTGTCCGCCAGAACGGCACGAACGAGTACGATGGTGTCAGCTCCATCACCCAGTGCCCTCTTGCTCCCGGTGACACCATGACCTACACATGGCGCGCGACCAGCTACGGCTCGTCTTGGTGGCACTCTCACTTCTCCCTCCAGACCTACGAGGGTATGTTCGGTCCCCTCGTCATTGAGGGCCCCTCGACCCTTTCCTACGATGAGGAGCAGTTCGTTATCCTCCAGGACTGGAACCACGCCACCGCCGACTCCCTCTTCGATGACTCTCAGGTCGTCGTTCCCGGCGTTCGCGGCGGTGGGCTCACTCTCGACACTGGTCTGATCAACGGCAAGAACGTGTGGGGCAACGGCGGCGAGTACTGGTCCATGACCGTCACCCCGGGCAAGAGCTACCGTCTGCGCGTCCTCAACGCCGCCATCCAGTCGACGTTCAAGTTCCACATTGACGGCCACTCCTTCCAGGTTATCGCCATGGACTTTGTGCCCATCCACCCGTACACCACCGACATTGTCAGCGTCAACATCGGCCAACGCTACGACCTGATCCTGACCGCCAACCAGGCGCCCGCCAACTACTGGATCCGCTCGGACAACCAGCAGCCCTGCGGCCAGCTCGAGCAGCCCAACGTCCAGGCCATCCTCAACTACGAGGGCGTCAAGTTCGCCACGCCCACCACCACCGGCCTGAACTACCAACCCGACTGCTTGGACGAGCCCTCGGCCAGCCTGGTGCCCTACCTCGCGCAGAACGCAGGCGCGCAGAGCGCCGGCGAGTTCGTCGAGACGTCCATCATCGCCGCCAACGGCGCCGTGCCCAACCTCTACAAGTGGACTCTCTCCGGCTCGACCTTCCAGGCCAACTGGAACGACCCCACGCTCTTCAGCATCTGGTACGATGGCGATGTGCCGCAGTACGGCGGCGACCTGACCGTCGAGCTCCCCAACGCCGGCGAATGGGTCTACTTCGTCATCGACTCGCCCATGCCCCTGCCCCACCCCATCCATCTCCACGGCCACGACTTCTTCCTCCTCGCCTCCGGCGTCGGCACCTACTCCGCAGACGTGCCTCTCCAGCTCACCAACCCGCCGCGCCGTGACGTCGCCGTCATGCCCGCCGACCCGCTCACTGGCTCCGGTGGCTACCTCGTCGTCGCCTACCAGGTCAGCAACCCGGGTGTCTGGCTCATGCACTGCCACATTGGCTGGGTAAGTTTTTCCCTCAAAACAAGTCCCAAGAAAACACAAAGCTAACATACTCCCGCAGCACAACACGATGGGCTTCGCGCTCCAGATTGTCGAGATGATCGACTCGATCAAGATCGAGAATACCTGCCAGCTGCAGGAGACGTGCGTGAACTGGCTCAACTACGCCAACGCCAACTCCATCTTCGACGCGCCCTTCGACGACGGTGTATAAACGGCCACAATCCCCAATTAAATTGAATCGAACTTTTCTTTCCTTTTGGTTATTGACAAGGAGATTTGGAAGGGGAGGGGAAACAAACCTCGACACCCGCCTTCTCTTGGGGGTTTTCTTTTTGTGTGATTTGAGAGTGGAGGATGAATTTGAACGCGCTGGTGCATCAGATGGTCATCCAATGATACTGTGTACAGAGATCAAACAGCTGCAAATTTAATTCGTGGTGATAAAAACAAGACCTTCCTTTCCAGTGTTATGCGTGTAGGCTCGTCTCGCTTGTATGTCTTCTACAATGTAGGCACTTTTGCATGAATCAATCATTCAAATCATATCCGACATTGTTGTCCAAGTCGTACACCCAATGCCACCCCCTTTCACTCTCCTTCCGAGAACCTCGTCACCGAACTCCCCTGTTCCCAAGGCTGCTTGGGACGCACGGGGCCCGGCCGCACGGGCTCACAGAACGACATGATGGCCTTGAACACCACCTTCACCGGTCGCCGCGACGGCGAAGTGGACGACGAGGGACGAGCGAACGGCCGTCCATCTTCCTCGCCCGCCTCCCCTGCTAGCAACGACTGCGAAATACCCGCCAGGAAGCCGAGGGTGATGCCGGTGTAGTTGGCGCATTTGGCGGCGAAGTCGAGATCTGCGACGGCGTTTTCGTCGTCTATGCTTGTCGCTGCTGTTGCCGAGGGCGCGTCGTCGGCGTAGATGGTAAAGGCTTGCATGCCGAGTAGTGGTGGTTGGGTGATGAGGAGATCGCGGTATGGCACTGGACTTGAGGGTTGTGAGAAGGGCTCAGACGAGTGGGAAGACTGCCATGCGGCTGTGGCGGCTGCGGCTTTGGCTCGTGAGCCTCCGCCGGCTCGTAGGCCTTCGTAGATGCTGTTGGATCGGACGAGGGCTTTGGGCGGCGGCGGGTTTCTGAGTATCAGGCGGATGGTGTCCGCGGTGAAGCTGGCGATGATCCATTGGCCTTTGTCGATTTCTTGGCCGGGCGAGATGCGCAAGCCCGGTAGGGTGAGGGGGAGTAATTCGTAGTTGAGTCCCGGACGGCGCCAGTGCGGGGTTGCGAAGGAGTGGAGGCGGAGGTAGGGGGAGTGGTTGATGGTAGAGGCCCAGTGGGTGCTGGTGCGGCGGAGGGAGAGGATGTCTTTGGTGTTGAGGTGGTTGAGGATGAGTTCGAGGAGTTCGGTTGTTTCGAAGACTTGGAGGATTGAGCAGGTGCTTGCTGGACAGTAGTGTTGGTCTAGTGGGATGGATGGAGGTGGGGGAGGTTGTGAGACGCTTGATTGTTCATCTCGTGCGGGAGTTGATCGCTCAAATGGTGCAATCATGCGCGGTGAAGCTGATAGTTGTCTATCGGTGTCGGAGAAGCGGCGCGCTCGTTGCGATGGCGTGGTAGAAGAGAGGCGTCGCAGTTGTGTGAGTAGAGATGCTGGAGCAGCCGAAGTGTTTGGAGGGGTTGAGTCCATCGTTGGGCAAGACAACACGGGCGTCAGGAAAGACTGATCGTCGGTGCTTTATGTGTCTTGCTCGTGAATCTGCCTGGAGTGACTGGCAGACATTGTCACGGTCCGAGTCATCTTCACACCCGCAGTCGAGCGGAGTTGGAGTTGTCTGCCTGATCCGGTCGCGGTCGAATAACGCGACTAGCGCCGGAATCGCCCGCTGCCTCCCGCCTCTTCCCCCAAACTCTATCTCTCCCAGCCCCGCCTGTCAAGGAAGTGTCAAATGTCAACTGTTTCCAATGTGTTTCGACCATCGCCCTTCCCGCTGCACGATGCTGCGCCGGCCTGGAGCCAGTGAATTCGTCGTTTCATTGCGACAGGCCACACTCTCCAAAACGCGCCTGTCGTCATTGTTGCAGTGATGGCAGAATTGTATATCCCCGAGGCTAGCTCCAGCCACTTGCCAGCCTTGCCAGCCTTCCCTCCGCCTGGTGGCAGGCAATGACACCCCAAGCCCAACCATGTGTTTACTCTCCGAACAAAAAGAGAATGCTCCGAGAGACAACGCCTCCGAGCAACAATTCTCCGTCCATCTGACATCTTGAAACCGCTGTGGCAATCTCCTACACTTGCTACACCTTTGGCCTGCTCACCAAGCCACCGACACTGCAAGCGGCGACATCTTCCACCACCACCACTGTACAGTTGGCGAGAAAATCACATCCTACCTGCACCAAGATCAAGAACACTACATTCCTCGACTCTACAAACACCGAACCCCGAATCACGACACTTGAGTCGCACCACTCAATCTCCTCTCCCCCCCTCTTGACTCGACTCGACTCCACCAGCCTCGAAACCTCAACGAGCTCCCAAGCTCTCCACCCATCCTCTACCTTCGACTTCCAGACTACAAGAAAAGATGGGACTACACAGAAACATTGTCATCTTCCTCATCATCATCATCCTCTTCGCTCTCCTCGCAATCATCGGCTTCGCCATCTGGTGGGCTCGCTCGCGATTCGCCGGCGGTGGCGCCGCTTCTTCTGCCAGTGGGGAGGAGTAATTCGGTGGACGGAATTGACGACAGTTTGTTGGGGATTTTTGCATAGCATTTTGATGGGCATAGCGACTGGAGTCTTTTGTACGGACTGAAGCGAGAGGAGGATAGTGACTTGAACACTGAGCATGACCTTGACGACGGAGCGACTTGCGTGTAGATACCCCGATAGAATGAACTAGCTCTCCTCACTGCGGCTGAGAATGATAGATTGAACAGCCCGGCAACATCCACGTCCCCAAACCACCTTCCCCATTCCCTACAACCAATCCGACTCGTCCATTAATACCCCGGCGCAACCACCGGACTCGCCGTCAAATTTAAAAACTCTCTCGCCATAAACCCCATCACCTCCGCCGCAATGTCATGCACCACCACCACATTCTTCATCCACACATCCCCCAGAATCGTCAGCCCGCCATTGCTAGGCTGCACCCCGCTGATACACTGATCCACATCCTCCTCGATAATCAGATCGACGGGGTTGACGTAAAACACCTTGCCGCCCACGCTGACGCCGAAAATCGGCGGCGTGCCTGTGCACGCTACGTTCAGCAGACCCGTGCTGTCGTCTAGCGTTGCTGGAGGGTCGAAGGCGGCTGCGAAGGCGTTTGCCACGTTGTTGGGGGCGTACAGGAGGGAGGTGCCGGAGTCGACGATCACATCGCCTGCTTCGTAGAGCGGGGTTTTGCGTGGCGAGGTGGTGTTCACGGGCCCGAAAATCACGCCTGAATCGTTGGACAGGGCGAACCCGTCGGCGACGATGGTGTAGTACTCGTACACGGGGATGTGGCTGTTGGCGTACACGCCTACGCTCTGGATGGGCGTTGTGATGTAGATGGGCGAGTGCGGGATGGAGGGCAGCCCGCCGAGGGAGAGGAGGCCGCCGCTGGGAGGGGTGCGGTCGAGGGCGAGCGCGAAGATGGGGGCGGTGGTGTTGGACTCCCACATGTTGGTGAAGAGAGGGTTGTACTTGATTGTGTCGCCTCGGACGTCGGCGGTCGCGTTCGTGCCGTTGTAGGCGGAGGTGATGGTGCTGTAAGCGAAGCCTATGAGGCCCGAGGAGACGCCGTCGCCCAGCCAGCCGGCGTAGTTGATCAGTCCGAACTCCTGTTTGGGAACGGTGATGCCGCCCATAGTGAAGGTCTCGTAGCCCATTGAGCCGGTGAGAAACTCGCCGTCGGAGTACGAGACGTTCATGTTCTCGTTGGGCAGCGGGTGGTAGGTGCTGGATTTTTCCTGGCTGTACGGCGGGCCGAAGTAGCAGTAGCTTTCGTTGATGGGCGTGTTGGTGTAGATGTCGACGCAGGTAAAGTTGGGCGTGATGAGCCAGGGGTCACTGCTGCCGGTGTCGAGGACGACGTCGAATTGCTGCCCGCCTACAGTCACGGGCACGAGGAAGATGGTGCCGGACTCTTCTTGCAGCAGTGTTGCTGATCCGTTCTGTAGACGTTCCAGTCAGAATCCAGCCAGCTTGATAAGAACAAGTATGAACGCTTGAGCCAACGCACCTCCAGTCTCCCTGCAGCGGCCCTAGCCTGCTCTCGAATCGCTTGCGCAACGATGGCGCTTCGCGATTTCGCATTCATGTTCCCTTGGGTCAGCGAGACTACATGATCCGTCACTTGCAATGGTGACACCGGCGCCGGATTGTCCGACATTTGCATTCGCGCGATTCGTAACGCCGGCTCGGACTCTTTCAGAGGCGAAAGTGGTAGTTCCCATGGCGCTTTAAGTGCTTGCACGCCACCGAGCATGAGGAAGAGGGCTAATACCTCCATGGCTGGGTCTTGAGGGCTTCGAGCTTGCGCGACTGATGGTTTGGTAGCTGAAGATTTTGTGGCAAAGGCATGCTGATTGTTTAGTAGTTGCCAAGGAGGTGTCCGGCTGTTGGGGTGCGAAATGAGTTGACATGGTACGTGGAATGTTCGCACAACATCGCTGGAATGCGGATGCCGCGGAGGCGAATTCATCTCTTGGAAGGGTTACGAGGCCCGAATACATGTCTGCTTGACTTACATAGATCCAATAACCCATGATGCATAGACCGATCACCACAGAGTGTAGCCGCCGTCAATCACACAGTTGTTGCCGGTCATGTACGATGATCCGTCGCTTGCCAAGAAGACCGCCAAGTTGTTCAGCTCGTCCACTGCACCAAGCCGCCCTTGCGGTGTCCGCTCAATCCAGATCTTCTTCTGTGCCTCCAGAGCCGGTACGCGATTCAAAGCGGTGTCCATGTAGCCTGGGCTAATCGCATTGACGCGGATACCGTAGCCCGCCCACTCCGCTGCGAGTGACTTCGTGAGCTGCATCACAGCCGCTTTGGAAGCGTTGTAGCAGGATTGCTCCTGAGGGTAGTTGACGATGCTGCCTGACATGGAGGCAATGTTGATGATGTTGCCTCCGCGGCCGGTGTTGATCATGTGTCGAGCGCAGGCTTGCGAGGTGATGAACGTGCCGGTGACGTTGATGTCGAGTAGACGTCTGAATTTTGTAAGATCGTACGTTTCGGCCTTCATGTTGGAGCTTTGCACAGATTAGTCTTTCAGCTCGGTTCATGCAATGGATGAAGGATGACAGGCACTCACTCGGCGATCCCGGCGGCGTTCACGAGGATGTCGAGAGTTCCGTAGTGGTGCACTATATCGCGGATCGCTTGCCCGACAGCATCACCATCCCGCACATCGACGCAATAGAAGCGAGTGTCGATGCCGGTCTGGGCGGTGAGCTCGCGAGCCGACTTGTTGCCGATGTCTGTTTGTACGTCCAGGATTGCAATCCCGCGCACTCCAACTTCTGCAAAGCCTTGGGCTATGTTCAGACCTAATCCTCGGCCGGCTCTGCGACATGGTCAGCGAATGGCACCTTCTGGAACTGGTCTGTTTCTCGAACCCTGTGATGACGGCGACCTTGTCCGGCAGAGTGAATTTGTGCAATGTCGGGGTAAGCTTGGAGTAGACGCCTCGATTGAGAGGTTGAGCTTCTCGCTCTTGATCTTCTCCCGGGGGCTTGACAGGCCCATTACCGCCAATGGTTGCTGCGGTGATCTCTGGAGAGCTGGAGGTGCGATGGTAGGCCACGACTGGGACTGAGCCGTCTTTGCATTTCGCAGGGGCATTAAGTCGGGCGCAGAGAAAAGGTTGACATACGGCCTGGCGGGTAAGGGAGCGTCGGCTGGCGTGAAGGGAAGATCGAAGGAACATCGTGCGAGCGATCCCGAGGTAGAGCAGAGCTGGGATCTGGAGTGATGGATGGAGTCGCTCGCAGGTTGCTTTGAGAGCAGAGTAATATCCAATGGCGAGGTATAGAGATAGGATGTGTGTTTGTTTAGTGTCTCATATATCCAAGATGAAGGTACAGGTAGTGCGAGAAAACGTGAGAGATTGCGAGGAACTCGAGGCGTTACGAGGAAGATGAAGAACCGCGTGATAGGAAACACATATGAGGAAACTCGAGACCTTGAGAAGCTCACCTGCCTATTTCGAAGGGGAGCTTGTCATGTTCATGCACAGGACAGCAGGAACACAGCAACGGATGGAGTGGGAACGAAGAAGTGGTCGGGGTAAGGGGAAAGCACGAAGCGACGGTGGGATGAAAGTCCAGAGTCATCTCTGGCCTTATCAGGCACGATCAATTCAAGTCAATCCAGTACCCCAGCGAGTCAGAGACGAGAAGGCGTTGATGTCGTTGTGGTGGTTTCAGTCGATCGGAGGAACGGGTCGCGGAAGAAGCGGACGGAGAAGGTGGAATTGAACATGATCACGTGACTAGCACATGATTTGGTAAGCAACCCTCAGCCCGTCACGATGTCTCTCCGTTCCACGGGATACCTTATGCATGCACCTTCCATGCTTGTGCTTTCGATCTTTTACCCAGGCGCGACTCTTGCAGCACACAGGGACCGTGATGCGCTGGCGCAGCGGTATGGTGCTCATGCAATCACGAATGTACGGCCACCTTGACGTGTCTAATGAAATACCTGCGCTGTAACGATATTCTACGGTCTTTCTTTACTACCGTCCACAAATCATGCAGTACCAATCTGCTCAGGAGAACAATGTCGACTCCTCAGAAACATCCCCTCGCTTATCCAACGATCGCAACGTCTCGTCCGCTGATGCCGAACCTTTCGAGACTCGAGAATCCGACAGTTTGAAAGAGATACAAGCGGTAGTCTCAAGGTGAGGCCTTGGCCCCCCCGAGATCCAGACAGCGTTTCTGGCTAACTCGTGGAGATATGTTGGACAATTGCTGTACGGCTGCGGCGACTCAGAATGCACCGAAATCCTTTGTGATACCGGGAGACGCAATCTCTCCCCGGGACCAGTGCGCAAGTATACCCCCCGCTCTGTCAGGACAATTGCAATCACGATTGCCAGTGGACATCGGCCAAGGTCACATCTCTGCCCGAGGTTCAAGCATACTCGGGGGAGAGGGGATAATCCTCCAGCTGACGGACCGCGAGATCCAAGCGCAGTTGTGCAGCAGTTGAGTGATACACGGAGTATCCGTGAGCTGTGTGCCGCAAGACTAGATGGAAGAGAAGATCAAAGTGTGTGGCGTCCACCAGCATCGACCAGCCACGTCCCAGATTTGGTTGCAAATTTGGCGATGATGAGAAGGACTCTGGACGGGATCACGACCTCTTTTCCTGACCAAGCTGCTTGTACAATACACGAGCTTCAGGAAATAGGACGGAGGGTGGTTGATCAATGCTCTACCTGTGTACTATGGCTGAGAGGCACCCTGCCCGGGTCACTGCCCGGCAACTGGAGATACGTCAACGAAACCATCAGCGAAGGATGCGTTTATCCCACACAATCCCGACGCGTACCAAATGCCTGGATCAAGCTTTGCGATGCCATGGATCACGGTCAGTCGTTCCGTCTGTTCTGTCACGTTATCGATCTGTTGGGCAGGACTGCGGACTGGGAGCGCAACGCTGCGAAAACTTCGATCCACTTGAAGTCGATGGACAAGGACCAACTCGATCGCGATGATGTCGTGCAGAGATTTGCTAACAAGGTCGATATGAAGCGGACGATTGGTGACCCATCACTATCTGCGAATCTCGATGTGATAATCTGGCTTAAAAAGACCTTCCTACGATACTGGGATGGGGGCGTCAACCTGACACTTGGAACAATAGCCCACACATCATTGAGCGTTCTGCAACACCTTCATAAGAGCACCTTGGAAGGGAAAAAGTCACACGACAAGTCTGATGAGCTGAACTTCAACCCCGAAGACGACTTCTTGATCCCAGCCGTAGCAGCCAGGATGGACGCTATGGAGATCGCACGAACATGGCTAGACGGCCAACACGACGGGCACCTACTTCAATTCGAATTCCTCTTCAACATCAATCAACAGGCAACCTATTTCCGCACCATGAACCACATCCGCATGCTCAAAGCGTATTGCGATTCGCAGAAAGCACACCGACTGCGCAGTGAAATCGACCTTCAAAGCTACTCCATTGCGCTGGCCATCCACCGAGAGCGGATCATGAGTCAAGAGCAGCACCATCTTCTCTTGAGTGTGAATCGAATGCGTGTGTTAGGATGCGCCTTCGACCAGCTCTGGCAGAGGCACAAAAGCGAGCTGCTGCGGCCTCTCAAGGTACGCTTGGGCGAGGAGGACGCTTTTGAGGTCGGACATGATCTTGGTGGGGTGCAGATTGAGTTCTTTAACACCATCTGCCGGACGCTGTTCCATGAGGATCTGCGTAAGTTCCTCTGGCCTGACTTTTGACTGTATACTGATCTGCGATTGCACAGAAATGTTCACGACCGACCCAACGACGGGCTTCAGCTGTATCCGCCCAGGCTGTCTCCAGCCATTATACATGTTTGAACTCTGCGGCTTGCTCTTCGCCCTCGCCCTCTACAACGGGATTACTCTTCCGATAAGGCTACCCGAAATCTACTACGGCATGCTGTCTGGCAGGTCCGAAGACATCCAAGACCCTCTCGCAGACGCCTGGCCAAAGGACCGCAAGGCTCTATCCGAGATTGCGGAGTACGACATTCCAGGGCTCCAGTTCACCTTTCCGATCGAGAGCAACGGCCTGCGTCTCAGCATTCTGATGGAAGAGGAAACATGCGCACCCGAAGACTTCACGCCCGATCAAAGACGGACAATGAAAATAGTCGATGCTACACCCATCGCCCATCACCCTGATCCCTCAACCCCAACCGCTGCCCATCAGCAATCCACAGCCTCCTCATTAACCTCTCCTCCACTTCCAGTCGACATCCAAGCCATAGCCACCTCCTGGCCCGGCTGGCACCTCATCCCAGCCCACACCGAACCCCCCGACGTCGACCCCTCGAACATCGCCCTCTACACATCCCTCTACACCGCCCACCTCAGGCACCTCAGCGTACAACCGCAACTAACCTCCTTCCGCCGCGGCTTCGCCCACATCCTCCCCCCACCCCTCCTCCGCGCCCTCTCCCTTCCCAGCCTGCGCACCCTCCTCGAAGGCGACACGCACTTCTCCCTCGCCGAACTGCAAGCCATAACGCAATACGACGGCTACGACCCTGCCATGCCCTACATCGCGTCCTTCTGGCGGGTACTGGACCGCTGGCCCGTCGCGAAGCAAATGCGCCTGCTCAAATTCGTTACGGCGTGCGAGCGAGTGCCGGCGGGCGGGGTGGGGTGTTTGACGTTTGTGATTAAGAGGGTGGTGGATTTTGGGGAGGAGGAGGATGAGGCGATGCTGCCTACTAGCTCCACTTGTTTTGGGACGCTGGGCTTGCCCTTGTACCGGAATGAGGGGGTGTTGGAGCGGAAGTTGAGTTTGGCGCTGGAGTTTGGGCTGGAGGGGTTTGGGATTGCTTGAGTGGTCGGGAGAAAGGGGAAGAAAGGAGAGCGATTGAGTAGATGGAACAGATTTGTGGGTAGAGCGTCTAGGCACCTCTGGATACGAGACACTTTCGTTTCTAGCAAGCAGTGGGAGAGTTTGTGCATCTCCGAGCAGTCACAAACATCACTTCTACTATTTCTGATGAGCACGTTGACAATTCAAGCCTTTTTCATTCGTGATCCGCACTGAAGTCTGAGACTATGCGAAGAAAGACTTCTTAGTACGTTCAACTTCGCTTCGGTGGTGATTGGGGTACTTCTCCTGACTCGCCCGCGCGAGTTCGTCTGACCCATGGTAGTGCTCGTCATCACGCCCGGAGGATGCGCCGGTGAACTCCACCCATGACACCCTTCCGCTTCACATCAACGCCAATCCATGTCATAAGCCACACTTTCCGACGCCTAGAACCATTTCACCAGCCAGCCATGTCTCGTGTCCCATTCCAATGCCGATGCCCGCCCGCCATGCCATATCGCCGCGTGCACTGTGTAGAGTAGAGTAAGATGCTTACCTTGAGAAGAAGAAGAAGCCCTACTCGTCCTCGGCGTCTTGAGCACCATACTTCCACGTCTTGCGCGCCTGGTCTTTTTGCATGCCTTTGCCCGATCCAGTGAATCCGACTAATGAAATGTCAGCTTAGCCGGTTCTCTGCGAACACTGGAATGGGCAAGAACTCGCCTTTTGCGCCGGGCAGATCAGGCGTGCGGAACTGGCTATCTTTTGCCATTTGCTTCGCCATCCCTGCTCCTCCCTTCTTCGGCCCGTTCTTCTGGAAATCCTGCCAGCTGCTCTTCGCTTTCTCGAGCGGCTTGCTCCCCTTCAACTTCTTCGGCTCCGGCGGCAAGCGCGTCGGCCCATCGCTGACTTTACTCGGCTCGCGCTTCTTGACCAGAGTCGTGTCGACCGAGGCAGCGGCGGAGATGACGCTGCCGTTTTGCGCAACGTTCGATATGGGTTTGATGACAGGCGTAGTGGTAGATGAAGAGCTGTTCCCGGCCGGCGGACCATCTGCTTTGCGCTTCTTGGAGTTTTCGACGATGGCGCGAATCTCGTGCTTGCGCTTCGTCTCGGTGTTGCCGTAGCCTTTGAAGGTCACTTTGTACACGGGATCGGTGGAGCTGCCGGTCTTGGTGACGATGGTGGCTTGGTACCATTGCTTGTCCTCGGAGAACTTGGCCATGACCACATCCTTGACATTGAAGACTGCCACGGGCTCTTCCGCTGCTGGCGGCGGTGGAGGTGGTAAGGCTGCGGCATCGCTCGGTGGCGGAGGAGGAGGAGGAGTGGGAGAGGCGGCGCTCTGTTTGGCTTTGTGTGCGGCAATCTGGGCCTTCAGGTCGGCGATGTCTGCTTCGAGGAGGGGGATGGATTCGAGCGCGTCGGCCGAGTCGGGCTCGAGGGCCAGCATCTCGTGGCAGGTGGCGAGGTCATCTTGGCGCTGAGCCAGCTCATTCTCGAGCCGGGCGAGAGCACTCATGGCGATTGTTCAGTATGTCATTCGCGGGGGTTGGAGTGCTTGAGAATTGGTACGTTACTCGACTCCAACTGCTGCGTGTGCAGGATTGAGGTTGATGGCGTGCGTGTGAGAGAGGTTGATGAGGAGGTGAGGGAGTTGGTGGGGAGTGTTTGCAGCGACAGAGGTGGGAGCGTGAAGTTTACCAAACGGGAGTGCTGTAGATGGACGGGTAGAGCCGCGATGAAGTAATCGCCCGTTGGAGGGAAGGCGCGGCACGGATGCAAAGCTGACAGCCGTGCCGCCCGGGGCCTTGCGCGCATATATCCGCCGCCCGCCTTCATTCACGAAGAGAAACCAGCTGCCGAATTCCACCTGCACAGGGCCCTTGTGACGGACGGAGTGTGCACATGGCCAGTCGTGAGCGGCCAGGGCGAAGCGAGCAGGCCTGCCAACCTTGCCGCCAATTGAAGGCTCGGTGCATCCGCAGCGTGGAGCCGGGTCGATGCCAGAGGTAGGGCTGTCTTGATTCTCTCCCGGTCAAACTGACTCACTGGATACGGTGACAGATGTCTAGACTTCGATCGATTGTGCGTCTGGCCCGAGAGTCGTGCGCGCCAACGTACTCGCCCACGGGCATCGTAAGTCGTCCGTCCAGACAACAGAGCAGAAACGACCTCATCTGAACTTTGTCTAAGTGGTATCTCACGCGTTGAGCACAAGCTCGATGGACTCGTCAACCATATGTCGGCCGCCCTTCGAGGCCCCGAGGCAGATATCCGCCCCGAGGATATCGGTGACACAACCCGAGGCGATCGATCAATCTTCCAGACCAACCTTCACACCCCCATCTCACAGGACCTCGAACAATCGAGCGTTGAAGCGACCGGCACGACCGCGACCACGTTAGATGAGCTGGCGCATATCCACGACTTCTCTACAAGTGTGCCTCGCGCACCGTCCCCGACTCCACCATCAACTGCATCTGGTCCAGACATCTTCCGCGGCCTGGTATCAGAGGAGCGATTGGAGGAATTATTGGACGAATATCGACCGATGTCATCTGCGTTCCCTTTCGTGCCCGTTAAACCGAGCGAGCAAGTATGTACGCTGCGATCTTCGAAACCGATGCTTCTCCTTGCCATCGCAGCCGCAGCATCGTCCAAGGATCGCGCGCTGCAAGCAGCACTTGACCAGCGGTATCGAGAGGAACTCGCTTCTCACACCATCATCGCTCCACGCAAGTCGACCGGACTGGTGCAAAGCCTGCTCGTGTACCTGGCGTGGTATCACCATTTCTTCAGTCACAAAACTCAGAACATCTTCCCTTTACTCCAACTCCTCATTGGCCTCGTCATTGATGTTGGCTTACATCAAGACAAAGGTCGGAAAGCTTTGGTCGAGACATCCCTGGAACAGCAGAGAGAACGAGACCGTGCTCTCTTGGGCTGCTACTTCTTGAGTTCCACGTTCGTTCACTGTAGTCATGATGCGATGCGTGAAATACAAGCTGACGGCGATGAAGTATCTCGGCAGCCCTTCGGAAGACGGCTCTGTTTAAGAAACCTGACATCTTCGAAGCATGTCTGTTGCGTCTCAGGGAAGGAGCAGAATTCGAAAGCGACGCGACGATTGAAACGCTGGTTAGCTGGAGGCATCTGGACGACCAAGTGAATGAGCTATGTCAGAAACTTCGCAGCCAGACGTCCGTATCTCCAGACGAGGATCTAAGAAGTGTGGATGCAAACATGCACCACTATCACCAAGATCTAGCTGGTAACATTGGCAATGACGTGGTCCGAAGTGAGCAATGCGGAGCCTTGTTGCTGTCGACGATGCTAATGATGCTTTGATTTAGCCCCTGAACTCTTGTTTTACTTTGCCAAGATGGAACTCTGTAACGCTGTCGTTCAGTATGGCAACGACCTCGGCGATTCATCGAGGACCGCCGAATACAACTCGATCAAGACTATAGAGTGTCTGGACGCGGGAAGATCCTTTCTTGAGACTCTCCTGGAGCACTCGGTCCACGTCTATCACCAAATCCCGTTTGTGGTGTGGATGCGGTTGCCGCTGATCATCATCACTCTCACTGCTCTCACCCTCAGCCCCGACGCGGCCGCGCCCGATCGCTCCATCCGGCTGGAGCTGTACCTCGAGGCCCTGTGCAGCCGTATGCAGACCCTGACGACGTGCTGCCCGCCTCACCAGCCGCTGCCAGACTTCTGGAAAGCGATGTTTGTCATCATGGATCAGGCGCGCACGTGGTATGTGAGTCGGGCGAGATCGCTGGCACCGACAAGCGAAACTTCTGTCCAGGCAAAACCGGCGCTGTTCTCCCCAGTCAGCCATTATACAGAGTTGCCTGGAAATGTGCTCACCGGGCATTCGGACATGTTTCCGGGTGAGTCGGCTCATGGTGATGTCTCCTCGCACTTTGACGACTTCATGACACTGGACTTGTGGGGCGGGTCGGAAGGCTATGACCCGACAATACTCAATCTCGACGATATCATCCAATGAGAGCTATCTACGACTCTCCCAAATGCCAATCGACTAATACGCAGTCTCTCGGCCAGGAGCGTTCCCAATATCGAGCATGATATTGACCATCTCTGGCTTATTGTGCCACGTATCCTGCGCAAAGGCCCTCATCATGCCCGGCCCACACAACAGCGCGCCGGTAGTCCAGACCTTGCCGTCGCGAGCCCAGCGCTGCTCCACCCACTTGGTGTTCGGAGCGTCTTTTTGCAATTGCGGAAGCATGAAACGTGGTGCCGTGGCCGTCTTGCCGACTAGCAGTCCGGCACGGAGCAGATTCTCAAACCCCCCGCAGATGGTGAGAAAGGCGGCGCACTCGTCGAACACTTTGCGCACGTACGCCAGCTCGGTTTCGCTGGGGTTATAGCCAAGGTTGTGGGCGCCCATGAGTGCGATGTCGATGGTCGGGGCGTTGGCGAACGAATGCTAGCATTGTCTTAGCTGGCGTTAAGGTAGGGTTGCATCTCGACGTGCGCGTACCGTTGCTTGCATCGTCGCGCCACTCGACATCCTAGCTGGTTTACCGTGCTCGGTGATCCAGAAGAATGCGAGATCGAGGGCCTGCGCTTTCATAGGCTCTGGGAGGGGCAGCGGTGCTATGAGTTCTGGGGTCATGCCGTGGATCAAATCAATCGGAGCGACGTCCAGGATCTCGGTGATTCTAGTAGAGGTTTAGGAAAAAAGGGCAGATTCGTGAAGAGACAAGCATGTAAATCTCACCCTCCCGTGAGAATGATTCCCACGTTGATCTTGCGATCCGGGTTGGCTAGGTCCAAAGGCATTTTGGCTGATTCGACGGGTTTGGGTGACTTGGTATGGATGGAAGGTTGTATTGTGGTCTGGAGATTGAGAGGAGATACTATGGGCGAAAACACTTACTTATAGACCTACTGCTTACAAGTCTGTACATATCGAGCACCGGCACGGGATACTGTGAAGCGGTACGGCGACCGGCACGGTACGGTAGAGGATCTGGCGCCTGTCGAGAGCAGACGAGAAATGCGCTGCCTGATGGTTGATAAGTCACGTCTGATCTGTAGTCGAGTACATAAGCATACATGAGCAATGATGTCGCGTCTAGTTAGACTGTCATGTAAGGAGGTGGTGCTATTATTATGCTGAGCCGTGTCCATAGTCTTTGACGCGGAAAGAGGAAGGAGCGATGCGAGCGAAAGTTCCGTGCACGTGACGGTCTCTAGCGCGGAAGGAGGAAGGATCGATGCGGTGTTCGAGAAGGAGCAGAAGCGTGGAGCACGTGACGCGGACGGGGCAACTTGGCCCCGCCACGCCGTGCGGCTGCGAACAAGGTTTGCATTGATTAACAATCAAGAAGTCGCAGGCTCAGCATCGCTTCTGTCGCCCTCCATTCCCCTCGCAACTGCTCCAATTGTCCTCCCGCCTCGTCCAATCGAATCCTTCCATCCCGTCCATCGAGTCACTGCTCCGAACCCCTTGCGGTTGTTCGCGGTCGAGGCGCGCTGCTTCGTCCCTTCCCACCGTTTCAATCCTACCGCGCTAGTCTGCTTCGCGCAGTCCGCCTGTCTGGGCGCCTTCCACATTATTACGTCGTTTCTGACCTCCACCTCCTCCTCTCTACTCTACCATCTCCCCATCTCCTCTTTCATTTCAAGATATCTCACCCACCTGTCCCATTGAACGTCGCGAGGGGGAACATAAGCCGAGAAGTGTGCGGGTTGTAGCACGCCGGTAAGCCAGCAACTCCGCTTCCTTCCGCACGCCCTCCGTCGAGCAGCCAGCCCCGCCATCCAGGGTCCGATGGGGCATCGCATGCGCCCTTCATCGCACCACCGCTTCCAATCCTTTCATCAACTCTGTTCGATGCGTCTATGCCGGCATCCATGTCCACTGATCATCACGTCCCGCAGCAACGCTTCCACTCCACTCTAGCTTCCGTCAAACCCGACGACCAGCCCCAGTTGATGGCCAGTCAGCACGCGCAATCCATCCAGAACAACCCCTCCCATCTCTCCCAAAGCCAACAAGACCTTCTCGTCGCCGCCTTGACCTCCCAAGCCGGTGCGAGACACGCTCACTCGGCCAGCGCTCAGCAATCACCCTCCCATCCCGCCCTCCACCACCACCCCGCAGACATGAACGGAACGATCCACGACAGCGCGCTGTACATCAGCCCTCAACAGGCCACTTTCGACGACTTCAACGACTCCTACTCCCCTGACCTCGACTTCGCCGACGGGGATGGCTTCGACTTCGACAATGCCGACCTTGGCGGCGAGATGATTGGCAGCCTCCCCGGCTCTTCGGGCGATTTGCATGAAAAGCGAAAGAACTCCGATGAGCTGGGCGAGGACGACAAAGGCGACGCCAAGCGACAAGAGACGCAAGAAGGCGAAAAGGTCGCGAAGAAGCCAGGCCGGAAGCCATTGATGAGCGAGCCCACTACCGTAAGGACCCTCACGCTTCTCTTCCCCACCAGTGTATCGCCAGGCGCAATGCTAACTACTAGCCTCCTCCAGAAACGGAAAGCCCAGAACCGAGCCGCACAGCGCGCCTTCCGCGAGCGCAAAGAACAGCATGTCAAAGACCTCGAGACCAAGGTGACGGAACTGAGCAAAGCAAAGGAAGCCGACCGACAGGAGAACGGGGTGTTGAAGGCGCAAGTCGAGCGGCTTCAGAACGAGCTCCGCGAATACCGGAAGCGCCTTTCCCTGAACGCCGGATCTGCCGTCAATCGCTCGCCGACGTTGAACGGGCAAGCCTCTTCTCGAAGCAATAGCAACCCCTCCGCAAATGGCAACGGCTTCAACTTCGATTTCCCTCAGTTCGGTGCTCTGCCGACAAGCCAGTTCTTCACCAATCCCACTTCCTCCGTTCCGCAGCGCAACAGTGCAACACCGCCGGGCACCAACTCGCCGGTCGGCGGCAATTTCAACAACCCGACTCAGCAGGTGCAGCCCACTTCCCGACAGAGCAGTGTCGGCCTGATAAGCATGAGCCCTGCGAGTATGAATGGCAATGGTACGCACAGCCCGGCACAGAACGCGAGCCTCGGCCAGTCTTTCGCCACATACAGTACCGCCGACAACATGCATGGCTTTGGCAGTACACTGCCTCAAATGAACACTGCCGGCGATCCTTTCGGCGATCTCTTCAGCCCTGGTCTGCTGCAAACCGCACGCAAGAATAGCAATCCCAGCTACTTCGCGAACTCGGCGGTTCCCAACGGCAATACCGGCAACATGCCCACTGAATTGAATGGTGGTGAGAGTACAGCAGGGTTGAACCTGAACCGCGTGTTCCAGTTCAACAGCAACAGCAACAGCAACGCCAGCGATAGCGCCTCGCCCAGCGCCAGCTCCGGGAGCCAATGGAATGGACAGGCGAACAGTTCGTGCGGCACCTCGCCCGAGCCATCGCATGGCAGTCCAGGGCAGAAGAACCTGGACAAAATGAACACCACCCGCCACACATCCCCCCTTGCCAACATGGACGGAGGAGCGATGACCTTGCCCAGCACTGACTACAGCCTGCCATCCGTCAACACCTTCGACCCCGTGCTCTTTGGCGACTACCGAGACAGCCAAGACGCCATCGTCGGCGGTGGCGACTTCACCGGTGGCTTCTTCGATGACAGCCTGCACTCCTTCGACTATGCCTCTCCCACCAACCTCTTTGGCATCCTTCAAACTCCCAAATCCTCCCACGACACTCTCAGCGTCAATGGCAGCGCAACGGCGAACGCACCCACTCCCAGCTCAAATCTCATGGCCGAAATGGACAAGGCTCGAGACGGCGATTACAGCGACCCATCCCCGCCAGTCAAGATGGAGAACGCGCTGATGCCGCAAGCGAAGTCTGACGACGGCAAATACATCAGCTGCAACAACATTTGGTATGCCTGCTTTCCCCACCTCCAGAGTAAGAGCAATGCTAACCTTTGTCTCACAGGACGCAACTCCAAAGCAATCCCGATTTCCAAGATGGGAAATTCGACCTCGACAGCCTGTGCTCCGAACTCAAAACCAAGGCGCGCTGCTCCGAGTCGGGCGTCATGATTGAGCAGCAGTACGTCAATGCGGCCCTGCGCAAGCTGGGCTCCAAGGACGAGAAGGGGAATCTCTTTGAGCCGCCGAAATACCTGCTGGTGGAGCAGGATAGTTTCGAGCAGGCTTTGAAGAGGTATGGCGGGGGCGCGTAAGGCAACATTGTATCGTGGACGACGACACTGCTGGTTTCTGGATAGAGGGTGGTGCGTCTTGGTACCTGCTGGACCGGTGATTTTATTGCGGCGTACAAAATTCAAGGGGCCTGTTGGTTAGTCAGTCTTTGGACGAGCTGGAGAAATGGTTGCTGCCACCCAGCCTTCTGCGAATGTTGTGGGATATGGGAATCAGGCGCTGGGTGTTGCGATTTTGTCGGTTGATTACATCTACCTTATCCTCTCTCAACTTTATGAAAGGTTTCGCAATTAGATGAAGTCTGCTTCCATGTTGGAGAGCTTTGTTAAAGTGCTGTGCTATTTATACAACAATGAACGAAGTGGTATCATGCCAAAGAGTTCATCTCTAAACCCTCAAACTCTTCCAGGACCAGGAATGACAGGGTAGGCGTATTCGCAAGCAATATGCCCGAGACCTTGCAGCAAGGCGTCTCGCCGAAAACCGAGAGTCAATCATCCACACCCACGCCTCACGCCAGGCCCAGCACCTTCCGATTCTTCTTCATCATCCGCCGCAAAGCCCCCTCGCTCTCCTCCATACTCCTCCTCGCCTCCGCCAACAGCCTTTCCGCATGCTCCACGCTCGGCACCGCCGCCGCGCCGCCCGCCTCCGGCGCACTCACCATCGGCGTCCCGCGCATACTCGCTTGATACCCGCGCACGCCGCCACTCGGCGTCGCCGTCCCCGGCGGCGGAGTCAACGGCGGCATCACGAACTCGTTCACAAACGACGCGGCCGTGTCGTCTGTGATTTGCGGCGATTGCTGCTGATTGGCGTTCGCCGCCGCGCCGAGGAGGTACGCGCTACTGCGGCCCGCGAGATTCTCGAAATGCCGCTTCAGCGCCTCGAGGTCGAGGGCGGGGAACTTCATCAGATCTTGCGGTTTGGTGGGGTGGAAGCGCAGCTCTTCCGGCTGAGAGTGGATTCTCTCTTCGAGCTCGAGGACCCGCGCTTCCAGCTCGGCGCTCAGGGCGCGCAGGTGCGAGCCTGCGGGCGTCACCATGCCGCGGCTCCAGGTGCGGTTTTCGGCGCCGCCGTAGTGGTAGGAGTGCAGGGCGCCGCTGAGCAGGGCGTGCACGTCGCTTTCCGGGAGGTTGAGGATGAAGTGCGTGGGGTCGTTGATGGGGTCGTGCAGGTCGCGGGCCGTGATGGGTTGGGTGGGTTTGGTGAAGTGCGGCGAGGTGGGGAGGCGGAAGAAGGAGTCGAGGGACGTTTGCACGCTGGGGTCGCTGGATTGCAGGTCGGCAAGGATTTGCGCGGCGCTGAGGGTCGGGGGTGTTGGTGGGGGTGCTGGGGAGGCTTCGCGGGAGGAGTGGTGTTGGGGTGGAGAGGGGTTGAGAGGTGTGATGTTCCTTGGGGGTGTTGCTGCGGGTGCAGGTGATTGAAGTCGGTGATCGGCAATGGCAGCAGCACTGTCTTCGCCAGCGGGTTTAGGCACAGGCGAGGCGGCGCGACTCACGGTCGGAGTGGAGTCCTGCGTCGCAGCAGCAGCCGCAGCAGAGGCCGCCGTTTTCGGCTTACTCTTGGGCTCCTTTTCCTTCTTGGTCTTCTTCTTGCGACTGATAATCGCTTCCTGCTCCGGCTCTTCAACGCTCGTCTTCTTGGCTTCCTCTGCTAGCCGCTCCTCCTCAATAGCCTTCGCGCGCTCCTGACGCTCCTTCTTCAACTGCGTTTTCGACTTCACGGGCGCCTTCGCAGGTGCTGCGGTTGGCGGTGGCGAGTTCGCACGCGATTGGGAAGTCGAAGGCATCGACAGATTATCGGGCAGAGAGACATGCTCACTAGAAGGCGTGCCGGGGAGCTGAATGGACGCAATACTCGGCTGACGTGAAGGCAACCTCGCCGTTGAAGGCGTGGCCTCTGCCGGCGGAGTCTCGGTCCTCGGAGTCTGAACGACCCTCAATGTCTTCGGTCCTGTCCGGATAGCGGGCGAGGAGACGCTGGCGTTCGGAGATTGTGATCTGGGCAGTGAGTCGACGGGAGTCTGGACAGCATTGCGCTGCGCTGCGCTCGCGGCATCTGCAGCAGCGGTGGCATCTGCCGGCTGCTTGCTCACTGCCGCGGCGATGTCGAGTTTGCCTGGTGGTGTTCGTTTCGTTCCCTTGGTAGAAGCAGGCTGCTGCGGCTGTTTGGTCGGCGTGGCCTGCGTGTCCACGGTCGAGACAGTGGCGACGCCTTTGGCAGAGGGCTGCATCGTTTTCGGTGCTGGAGCAGGGCCAACTGCAGATTTGGGTGTGGCAGGCTGGATTTGATCATTCGCTGCCTCTGCCGCCTTCTTTGCAACAGGAACAGCTGGAGATGCATCCCGCGAAACAACACCAGACTTTTGCGGCGTAGTTGTCGTATCCTCGCGCTTTCCGGCACCAGCAGCAGCGGCAACCTCACTCTCATGTTGCCCATCAACTTTCGAAGAAACATGTCGAGGCTCCCTGGTCGGCGTCCCCATCCTCTCCACATTTCCACCCTGCACCTTCGAAGGCGGCGTCCCAACAGCCTGTTGAGCCGGAGTAGACGGCCGAGACGGCCGAAGAGGCAGCGCAGGCATAATCTGCGACACAGCTCTCTTCACACCCGCTCGACTCGAGGGCCGACTAGACGGTCGAGAGCCGCTGCCTTCAGTCAGGGCTTCAAAATCCGGGAGGACGGCGGGCTTGCTGAGGCCTGGAGGTACGGTGGGCGTGGAGCGCCGCGATGCACTGCCGATGGTTCCCTCTAACCCTGGTGGCACGGCGGGTGTGGAGGGTCGGGATCCGGCTATGCTGATGCTCTGTTGGCGGCTTGGAGGGGCGCGAAGGGGCGGGAAGTCGGTGTCATCTGGAGAGGAGTAGTTAGCATATGATTTCCTTGTAGCATATGGCACGCGTGAAATGAAAGGGGATCCATCTCTTTCTGCATGGCGGCGAAGGCGACGGCAACACGGACGACAATGATGGCGCAAGGGCTGCGGCGCAACCAAACACAGACTACTACTCTATGTAGACACAACATGCACACGTTCGCTCGTCAACGGGTCACTAGCAGGGCAGCGATGTACGTATGAAAAACTCTTTGAAGCAAGAAGGAGAATTGACTATCTTTCCGTCAATCTATCAGCCACTAGGAAGATGCCGTGAGTTTGCATACGTACATCGCTGCTCCGCCTTTGACACTTGACGAGAAACGTGTGTTTGTGTGTGTGAGATGAGAATGGTGAGAAGGATGCTCGCCGCACCAAGGTCGTGTGTGTGGTCGAGAATGGCGAGAAGCGAGCATCCCCATCCGGCTGTGCAAGCGAAGTCCGGTTTGGACACTCGTTGAGCCAGGATGTTTCATTCTGACTTGCGCCCCCAACACCTTGCAAGAAAAACCAGAAAAATGGTCATAGCCGCATGTACAAGCACCCCAAAAGCAAGAAAAGCAAAAAATGAGGTCGAAAGAGTCGCCGTGCCGCCGTATGGTCGCCGCAACTACCATCGATTCCCGTAGCTGCCGCTGCCGCCGCCATGCATGACAGAATAGAGCCCGCCAGCCGCATTGTTGGGTCCAGCACCGAATCCGCTACCGGGTCCTTGGCCATATCTCCCATGCATCATGCTCGAGTCAGGGGTGGAAGAGGTGAGGTCGGCTAACCCACCGCCAGAGGACGATGTGTGGTTGTGTCGGTGCTTCTTCCCCTTCTTCTTGCGCTGCTTGGAATCCTCTCCGCTGAAGGAGGAAAGAGAGGCATATGAAGGCGGGCCAGTAGTGAAAGGCGTGCTGCCCGGTGCTGGACTGGTGAATGCGGCTGTGCTCCCACCCTGATTGTGGTAGTGGGAGGAGGATGAATTGCTGTAAGTATTAGAGAAAGTGCTGAACTCACGCTTGGATGCGTCGGTAGCCCCGGCTGGAGCACCAGCCTCACGTCCACGAAGTAAGCTGCGCATGCGTTCCTCGTTGGCGTTGAGTCCCGCGTTGGCACCGTATTGGATACCTCCAGTCGCAAAGCCATGGCCTTGCCCGAAGGTCATGCCGCCAGAGACAGGTGGCGTCCCCGTCATTTTGATGCCGGGAGGAGGGCCTTGAACGTTGTTGGTGTAGAATTGACTGCCATGCGTCTGCTGTTGACCTCCATATTGATTACCAGTGGCTGGGGGCATGATGGAGGCTTGCTGGTTCATAACCTTGGCGCTCGCCATGGGCTTGACGTTGGTGGAGGCGGAGACGTCATTCGCGAAGGAGTACCTAGAAGCATTGCGCGAATGACCCGGGGGGTTGCCGGATTGTTGGAAAGCGTTCGGCTGCGCGGCGCTGTTCGCAAATGGTTCCGCGCCCTCAATAGACTTCATGCTGTTCAGCAACGTCTGCTGGTGTTGTTGTTGAGGCGTCAGACCACGCTCACCAATGCTTGGGCTTGTTCCGCCAAACGGAAATCGTTGTCCAGAATCGTCTTGGGCCGGAGGTGAAATCGCGTTCCGTGGCTGGTTCATGCCTACTCGTTCTTCCGGCTCGCCACCCAGCTGCAGACTGCCACTGCGCTCAAGACCGTTATCAGCGTCGATCGGCGGCCGTTGATCCGGTGTCTGATTCTGTAGCTGCAATTGGCGCTCATTTTCTTGTCGTCGTCGTACTCTTCTTTGGCCGGGACCAACATTCAGATCGAACAACGGCGGATAATCTTTGATGATCGCGTGAGAGGTTGGAACAACACCATCCCAATGGAAAGAGAACCCCAAGTCCTCCGGGTGGAATGTCCTGTAGTATGCCAGCCAAGAAGACTCCTGGCGCTGGGGTCGCACAGGCAGCGAAGCTGGCGTTTGGCCCGTGGTGGAATCGGACGAGACTGGTGCTTGTGCGGGAATGGACGATTCTTGCGCTGCGGCCTGCTCTTGCTGGGTGTGTAATGGTGCTGGATCGGCAGGCGTGTCCATATCTGCTGTACTGCTGGTAGCTCTACTCTCCGATCGGGGCGGTGGTTGACCGTGTGGTATCCTCGAAGCCCAGCTAGCCGACGATGGAAGAGCTGGGCGATCAGCAGAAGGACTACTCGGCTGGTCCTCGCTCGGTTCACGGGCCATGGGTTGAGCTGCAGATGCGACCGGTTGTTGTGACTGAGGAGGCGGTCGACCAACACCCCCGTTCTGTGACCCTCCAGCGTTCAATGCAGATAGATCGGCTCGCGAGTAACTTTCGTTGGCTTCGCCGGGCTCGTGCAGGAACATGCAATTCCGATTCCCACAAGTCTCCCCACGCAAGTACGCAGAGCAATATTTGGTGGTACCAAACTGCGCGCGCAGGGTTCGTTCGTGGTTCTTCGAGCCATTAACCGCGAGAATGCACTTCTCCGCATCCTCCGTCCGCTCGAATGTAACATATACACCGACGGAATTAGGATGAGCGGGGTCTTTGGCTTTGCTGACGACGATTTTGATGATCCGACCGTATTGTCCGAAGTACTCCGGGCCGCGCAGGGTCTGCAATAACTGATCTTCGTGTATGGCAGGCTGAAGTCCGGTCACATAAACCAGATTCTTTTGCACTACTCGGAGACCAGCTAAGTGCTTCCGACTGAGATTGTCGGCCTCTGCCCGCTGCTTCTCTTTCTGCATGGCGACTTGTGTCTTCTTCTGCTTCTGCGCCTGTCGAGCTTTGTAGGCGGTCATCTCCTCCGCTGTCGGTCTGGTAATGACGACGTCTGCGTCGTTGTAGGGTCTTCGACATGCTGGACAGAGGCCGTTCATGTTATTCTTGACGTTGTTGTAGCAGAATTGGCATATCTGAGTGAGGTGTGAGTGTTGCTGCAAGTCACGAAAAGGCTGATCACGACATACCTGGTAGCCGCACTGGCATGGTCGGAAGCCTTTGTCGGTGAGATCGAGCTCCTCCACGCAGAGCGGGCACACCTCCTCTTCATCATCATCGATGAACTGATCCTGCTGCCTCGACATGATGGATATGTCGAAGGAGCGCGCGAAGGAGGCGTGGATGGGGAGAGAAGCGCACCACGAGCGACCAGCTCCGACGGTGAAGCCAGATTGGTGGATATGTGATGTGGACGAAGGGAAATGGAATGGGGAGATGAGAAGACGTGCCCGGGGGAGGGATGCACGTTGTCGAGGCGATGAGGTGGATGGAAGGAGTTTGGAGAAGGAGTCTGGCGCTTTCGCATGCAAGAGAGGCCGGGCGGGCGCCAAGCCGGCAACTCCCGCAGTGGCGCCGGGGAGGTGCTGCAGCGCAATGAGGTACGGCCTGTACCTGAGCTCATCCATGACAAGCACAGGTCCTTGCAAAGACATCGGCCGACTCCTTTGCGCCGAAAGATCACAGTGAGCAGCCTTCGACCATGACTGCCCAGCGTATGGTCGTGCGGCCCCTCCGCTCAGCCGCGAGGGCCGTGAGCCAGGCACAGCGGTCGAGGGGAACCACTTCGCGAGCATTTGCGACGACGATATGCAGCCGGAAAGAGGTGGCCGTGGACACATCCGCCATCCCGAATATGCGACACGCGCAGAGAGAGACGATCGGCAAACTGGAAGCGCCCATTGTCAATCCGAATGGTGGGTAGTGAGAGGATGATGCACAGCCGACGAGGCCAATGGCTGACCCCTCGGTACAGACAGACATCAAGAGAAGGCCGAAAGCCTACACCAATACGGGCAGTATCTGCTGTCTTGCCTACCCAAATACATCCAGCAGTACGGCGATTATGTGGTTTCCCTGTGACAGAAGATCCCTCGCTGACGCGCCTTTCCAGATTCTCCGTCTGGAAGGATGAACTCACCATCTACATTCCCCCGGCCGGTGTCCTTCCCACCATCAGCTTCCTCAAATACCACACTGCTGCCGAGTTCACCCAAGTGAGCGACATCACCGCCGTCGACTACCCTACTCGTGACGCCCGCTTCGAAGTGGTATACAACCTCCTCTCCGTCCGCCACAATGCCCGTATCCGGGTGAAGACGTATGCCGACGAAGCCACGCCGGTCCCCTCGATCTGTGACCTCTACGATGGCGCCAACTGGTACGAGCGAGAGGTATACGACTTGTTCGGCGTCTTCTTCACCGGCCACCCCGATTTGAGACGAATCATGACGGATTATGGGTTCGATGGACATCCGTTGAGAAAAGACTTTCCCCTCACCGGCTACACGGAGATTAGATATGATGAGGAAAAGAAGCGGATAGTTGTCGAGCCTCTGGAGCTGACGCAGGCCTTCCGGAACTTTGAGGGTGGCAGCGCAGCTTGGGAGCAAGTTGGACCAGGTCAGGACCGAAAGCCGGAGACTGTAAGTTTTCTTCGATAGCCCCTCGGATGCCATTTCCCAGAGGAAGATGTTTGCTGACACCATCCGTAGTTCAAATTGCCTACGCCTAAGCCTGAGCCGCCGAAGGAGGAGGAAAAGAAGAAGTAGAGCATGCAGCGTAGAGATATATCTGTACATATCTTGCTCCAGTCAGTTCATCGCAACCATGCCCACTGTTTCCTACGTCCTCTTCAGTCGTCCGCGTCCAATGCTACCCAAACCATCATTCAGTGTCACCTTGGATCATCAGCATGACTTCGGCTCGGCGGAGTTGCCCCAGGAAAGGCAGGTCCCACAAGCCAAACTCCGTACCTGCAGCTTGCGCTTTTCAATCCTCACAGACACAAAGCGGTAAGCCGAAACGAGCAAACTCCGCGGCATCCATTGAGATACATATACCAGATCACGTCAACAAAAGCTGCTGGCCGCACCTATCCACCACCTCTCACGGATTATCGCTACACTCATTGCTCAAAGACGCGGCAGACATCTACCCAACATGTCGACCGATCGAGAAGCCCTCAGCTCCCGCGTGCTCCCTTTCATGATCCTCTCAGATGGCTCGGAAGCGTCATTGACAGGCCCTCCACCTCCACTGCCACACTATCTCAATGCCGAGGGCCGGGCGATGGCGAGGTTCGCCGTGGAAGGCAATGTAGTGAGTAAGTTTACGTGACCGATTAGGTACACTTATATTACGCCATTGTCTTTCACACAGCGAAACAAATATCGCTGACGACACCACACAGTCACCGGCGGAGCGGGATCCCTCGGCCTCTCAGCAGCCCGAGCACTACTCGAACACGGCGCCGCCGGCTGCGCTCTCTGGGACCTAGAAGTCACGCTTCGCAGCGCACAAGCCCAACTCCTCGACCTCGCCAAAGACTTCCCCAAAGCGCGCGTGTTCGGCGTATCCGTAGACGTCACCGACGCCGCGAGCGTCACCGAAGGCGTCACCGCCGTCGTCCAAACGCTAGGCAGTCTCGACCATCTCTTCTGCTTCGCGGGGATCGTCGGCTGCTTCCACGCGATGGAAATGACGGACGCCATCTGGCGCAAAACGCTCGAGGTCAACACCACCGGCTCCTTCCTGTGCGCCCAAGCGGCCGCGAGGCAGATGGCGGCGCAGAAAGCGGGCGGCAGCAGCGTCACGCTCGTGGCGTCGATTTCGGCCCACCGGGTGAATTTCCCGCAGGCGCAGGCGGCGTACAATGTTAGCAAGGCGGCGAATGTGGCGCTCAAGTCGAGTTTGGCGGCGGAGTGGGCGGTGCATGGCATTCGGGTCAACTCCATTAGTCCCGGGTACATGGACACTATTTTGAATGCGGGTGAGGGGAATATCAAGACTGCGAGAGAGAGCTGGGCGGAGAGGAATCCGATGGGCAGGATGGGGGCATTGGGGGAGCTGGATGGGGTGTGTGTTTTGCTCGCGAGTCGGGCGGGGTCGTATATCAATGGGGCGGATATGGTTGTTGATGGTGGTGCATGCTGCTTCTAGATCGGACAAGAGTGCCAACAGATCGTGAGCATAGCGTCTTTGCATTTGCATTAGATGGCAGCTGATATGTACAGGAGTCATCGACCAGGCTGGGCCACTCCACTGCTACGGTGAACCCTGGCATAGGTTCTGTACATGGTTCTCTCGCCTGAAACGCCGTGCAAAGCTTGAATAGAGCATGCATTGAGCTGTCCGTCAAAACACCAAGCTCATATAGCATGCTCAATAATCTTGCATCGGACACCCCTTGTCTACACTCTCCATTCGCGTCTTTTCTGTGACAATTTCTCGTGTCATCTTCATGAGCTGCTCGCCAAGCTGGTCGTCTTGAGCCAGGGCGCTTCCGGGCTCTGGGTCTGCCGGTGGACAGATGTACTCGCCGGACTTTGTCGTTGCAGAAATCGCGTACCTGAGAGATCAAGGGTCAGTATCGAGTTGAGCTCATCGCAATGGTGAAAACACGTACAACGTGGGAAGAGCGCCTTGGAACTGATCCTTTTTAAATGGTGCCATAACGTCTTTCATGAGATGCCCAGCGATAGGATACGGCTCCAGGATGTCCCTTGTACTCATCGTCGTCTCGACCACGCCCGGGTGTGTAGCGTTGATCAGGATGTTGGGATGCGCGGTGTGTAGATGTCGGGTCAGGTACCTGCTGTACAATATAACCGCCAGCTTTGAGCGGCCATACAGCGCCAGGGGTCCGAGGTCTTGATTCAGCTCCTCCAAGTCGCGGAAGTGTGTGTCCTTTGGCGCCTGCTCGTGGGCGTTGGAAGCTTGATTCGATATGCGAACAGTGCTATGTTCGGCGGTCTTCTTTAGCAGAGGCAACAAGTGTGATGTGAGCACGACGTGTCCAATGTGATTCACCCCCATATGTCTTTCAACTCCATTGTCCAATTGCTCAAATGTCATGATACCCCGTCCAGCATTGCACACCAAAACATCCAGCCGATCCGTTTCTTTTTGTACTTCTTGCGCAACTTCTGTCGCCCTTTTCCAATCGCCGACATCGCATTGTTTCCAGACGACTCTATCCGCGACATTCTCTCCCAAGTCTTCTTTGATTGCTTGCACCGCGTCTTTGATGGGCTGCTGGCTTAGGCTGAGGATGAAGACTTTGGCGATGTTCTTGCTAAGGAGTGTGTGGACGACGGCATAGCCAATGCCTTCGCTTCCGCCAGTGACAAGTGCTACTTTGTTAGATTGATCAGGCACATCGTCCAAAGAGAACTTTGCATCGTTCGGGGCGAGATCATGGGCGACACCGCCGAGATTTTGCGAGAGGGTGGTTTGCGCGGCTCGGACAATGCCGGACATTGTGGACGATTTATGACGGATTTGAACGCAGCGTGAGAGATTGGTTCGGGGGAAGAAGCGAACACAGATCATTTACAGAGGGAATGAAAACAACGACACAACTCCTTCACATCATGTTTTGGGGGTTTGTATGGGCGTCATGTTGCCCGGGAACTTTTCTGCAGTCATGTGAGCGTCATCAAGCCTATCATTGATGTCAGGATTTTGCGATTGATGAAGGTTACCTTGCTAGTTGGTAGATATGTCGAGGATCCATGTGAGAATCAATGACGGCCGCTGTTCTCCCAGATCTACTCCATTATCATACTCAATGTGCGTGGTGGAGACGCGTAGGGGACCTGCCAAACACGAGGCCATGTGGGATAAGGCTTGCGAAGCCGAGGTCCGTGTTGCCTCGCAGTATCGGCACGTGATGGCCTCTTGCGGGGGTTCGACAAGGTTCATGTTGAAGCGAAGTGGAGCACGATATGAATGGGAAACCACGTCCCTCGACTGCCCACAGTCGAAGACGGCTGCACTTGGGGCTCGATCAGGTGTACACGTTCGACTCGCGGCGTCGAGCTTCATCTCCCAACTCGTGACTGCTGTCCGTACCCCGGCGACTTCGTTGTAGAAGCCATAACGACCGCCTTGGGCATCGCGAACCGTCATCCCTCCGTCGGTGCTGTTATGATCAGATTTCTTGAAGGAATTCTATAGAATCCAACTCTTTTGGTTTTAATCACCGCAAGGCTGGTGCAGTTCCTCGGGAAAAGCGGAGAAGCGGAGGCGCTCCTGCATCCCATCCCAACTACGTCAGTGGAGAGTCGCAACGAATGGCGTCAAGTGTGCGACCGCACGGTACGGCGGAAGGTGAGTAATAAAAGACAATGGGAGTCTCTCATAATACCGATCCAACCTGGACAACATAACAACCCCAAAATGCGCCATTCAACCATCGCCAACGCCGTCGGCATCCTCCTCGCTTCCAACCGTTTCCTCACACGCGCCCAAAGCCCCACAGTCCACAACTCCAACCTCAATGTAACCTACACCGGCGTCCTCTACGAAGGCATCGAAACATTCTACGCAATCCCTTACGGCCAAGACACCAGTCCGCCCAACCGCTTCAAAAACCCCATCGCCTACGTCCCGCAAGCCGGCTCCAGTTTCGAAGCGACGTCCAAAGGCCCGGCGTGTCCGCAGCAGCATGGCGCCCCCTTTACGCCGCTGTATCTGTCCAACGTCACGTTGACTTCCGAGGACTGTCTGCATTTGAATGTGTATCGCTCGGCCGGCACGGCGGCGAATGCGTCTCTGCCGGTTATGATTTACGTGCATGGTGGGAGCTTTATTGTTGGGTCGAAGGATGAGCTGGTGATTCAGCCGGGGGGGTTGATCAAGCAGTCTGTCAAGATGGAGCAGCCGGTGGTGGTTGTGAATATTAATTATCGTCTTGGAGGTGCGTACGGCGGCGCCTTGTTGTGTGTCTTATGCTGATTATCTGCGCAGTCTTCGGTTTCGCACAGTCCAAAGCTCTGTCGGCGGAAGGCAACACCAACATGGGTCTGAGAGACCAGCGCATGGCCATCGAGTGGGTGAGAGACAACATTGCTGCTTTCGGAGGTGACCCATCAAGCATCGAGATCCTGGGACAGTCGTCTGGAGGTGGGCTGACACATCCCAATATGGGAGCTATTCAATACTGATTCGAAGCAGGTCTTGCCATGGGAATGCAAATGCTCGCATACGGCGGGAGCCAGGGCTTCTCATTTCAACGTGTATCGGCCGAGAGTCAGATTATGGAAGGTGGCATCACGGGCAACTTTACCCTCCACGCCATGGAGCGCATCGTGCAGCCGGTCGGATGTAATACCTCCGATCTGCAATCGGCAGCGACTCTATCCTGTCTCCGGAACTTGAGCACGAATGCGCTTCTCGGCGCCCAGATTGCAACGAATCTCAGCACACCCGCCGCAAACGTCGGCGACGAGTGGCTCCCTTTCGTTGATGGCGATTTCCTGCCCGCCGCGCCTTCCGAGCTCATCGCCGAAGGTCGCTTCGCCAATGTAACCACCATGGTAGGCTGGTGCGAGAACGACGGAACATTCTTCGTAGGCACACCCACGACCGAGCAGGACACGTACGACTTCTTCAAAGCATACCTACCCGGCATGACAACGGCAAACGTTGAAGAACTCCTATCGCTGTACCCCTCCAGCGACTTCTCCGCCAATCCCTCCGCCAACCTCTCCGCCCAACTCTACCGCGCCGGCCGCATCCTGCGCGACATCCTCTTCACCTGCCAACCCATCAATTTCGGCAACGCACTACAACGCGCCGGCCAAGACGTCTACTACTGGACGCAGAACGAAACGATGCTGGAAGAAGTGCTCGTCTCCCTCGGCACACCGGGCTACGGCGTGATCCACACATCCAACTTTGCCTTCGAGTTCCACAACCTGTCGCATTACAACGTCGACGACTTCCTGTACCATCCGAACGGCACGGACTTTGCGCTTGCGAATCGCCAGTCGCATTCGTGGGCGGCGTTTGCGAATCATGGAGCGCCGTCGTTGGCTGGCCAGGGGACGTTGGATGGTTGGAAGCCCGCGTATAGCACGTCGGGAGAGATTGATATTTATATTATTGGGGGGCCGAATGAAGGGTTGTCTGCTTGGAATGGATCCGGTGCGACGAATGAGGCACTCGTGGCGCAGAAGTTGCCGGAGCGGTGTGGATTTCTGAATCGGCCTGACATTATTGTGCAGCTGGGGTATTAGTATTGAGCAGGAGGAGGGACACTCACTTTGTTCGAAGATATCCTAAGTTAGCATTGATGTTTCGTCCTCAGGCAGCAAGCAAATGCACGGCTCGGGTGGCGTTCCGAAGTGGCGCAAACCCAATTGTTGAGATCATGCATTTGGGAATTTCGTCTTCGCTGAGTAGACCAGCACATCTACATTCTCATCAAAGCGCAAGCTCCAGCTCGATCATGTCTACCTTTGCACCACAGGCGGCCAAGCGCCTGCGCTTGAGCTTGCCAGCCACGACCCGGCAATGGACGTGCAGAGCATGTGCTCAGCAGCGCGCCGCCTTTTCATCGACTTCAAGATCATCGGAGCAGCAGACGACCGATCGCAAGAGCACTCGCGATGAGGGCACCACACACTTTGGCTTCTCGACCGTTGCGGAATCAGCCAAAGCTTCAAGAGGTGAGACTGGAGATATGGCATCCATACAGTTGCGAAAGCAAGGCTGACACCAAAATCAGTGGGCGCTGTCTTCTCCTCCGTCGCCTCCAGCTACGATACCATGAACGACCTCATGTCCTTGGGCATCCATCGACTGTGGAAAGATCACTTTGTCCGATCCCTCAACCCCGGCATACGACCGGCATTCGCCCCCAGCGGAGAGCCCCGCGGCCAAAAGATATTGGATGTAGCAGGAGGGACGGGCGACATCGCATTGCGCCATCTCGACCACGCCACCAACATTAATCGCGACTCCCACACCTCCGTCATCATCTCCGACATCAACCCAGACATGCTCGCCGAGGGGCAGAAGCGGTTCAAGCAGTCGCCCTACAATCGCGACGGCCGCGTCTCGTTCCTCGAAGCGAACGCAGAAGACATCCACACGATCGAAAGCAACAGCATAGACCTCTACACCGTCGCGTTTGGCATCCGCAACTTCACCCACAAGGACAAAGCACTGCGCGAAGCTTTCCGTGTCCTCAAGCCAGGCGGCGTCTTTGCGTGTCTGGAGTTCACGCCGAACCTCTCGAACCCGGTGTTGAATGCGATTTACAAACGCTGGAGTTTTGCTGCCATTCCGCTCATTGGACAGATTGTTGCGGCGGATCGCGATAGTTATCAGTACTTGGTCGAGAGTATTGAGCGCTTCCCTACGCAGAGGGAGTTTATGGGGATGATTAAGGAGGCTGGGTTTTTGATCCCGGGGGAGCGAGGAGATGGTCAGGAGCACGTTGGATGGGAGGATTTGAGCGCTGGGATTGCGGCCATCCATAAAGGTGTGAAGCCGGCGTGAATGACTGCATGGTGAAAGGCTCGAATAACTGGGCCTTATGCAATTACGAGAGGGGATGAGTTGGGATCACTGCTGGTCGACGACTTCAACAATGCGGCAGAGAATCGTCCGCATCGAAGGAAGGGCCAACGCAACCGGCCGGCATTATTTTCCATGACCGCGGGTATCCTTGATGCAGGGGTGGATACACAAGGTACTCCACTGTAACGTGGAACATGCGGGGTCGACTTGGCCAAAGGTGTTCACGAACCCCGCGAAGCCAACAGATAAAACGGCAGACAACTGCACTTCACTTCACTCTTACCAATTGCAGTCAAACACCTTCTGCCCTGCCCCTCCATTTCTCCATTCCAGCTTCAAGACATTCCAATCATGGCAGACACCCGCCTCAAAGGCCGCATCGCAATCATCACCGGCGGCTCGTCCGGCCTGGGCGCCGCAACAGCCATCCGCTTCGCAGAAGTCGGCGCCCGAGTCGTCGTCGCCGACCTCAAGTCCGCAGGCGTCGAGAAGAAGATCCAAGACAAGCATGGCGCGGATAGTGCCACTTTCGTCAAGTGCGACGTCACGCAGGAATCGGATATCGAGGCCTTGGTCAAGGAGGCGGCGAGGTGGGGTGGCCGGGTGGATATCGCTTGCAACTATGCTGGTATCTTGTCTCACTCGATGCCTCGTGATTGTTACTGATGGATATCCTCAGGTATCGCCGTCGAGACGGGCCAGGGCATGAATAAGCGCGCCCATGAAGTCAGCTCCAACGATTACGACCGCTTGTATGCCGTCAACGAGCGAGGCGTCTGGTTGAGCTGCAAGTATCAATTGGCGCAGATGCTTTCGCAGGAGCCGCGGGAGCCGAATGGCCGGGGTGAGAGGACGAAAGGGTGGATCCTCAACGCTGCTAGCATGCTTGGACTCGTTGCGTATCCTTATGTGAGCTGCTACGTTCCGGGTGAGTCGATCTATAATCTTGTTGAAGGCAAGAACACCCAACTGATAGTGCTTTGCGATACAGCCAAGCATGCCGTCGTAGGCATGACGAAGCAGATGGCCATCGACTACGCCCAGGACCGCATTCATGTGAACTGCCTGTGTCCTGGCTTTATCGAGAGTCCTATGATTGCTGCTCTTACCGCCGACCCGGCGACGCGAGATGCCCTTGCTGCTCAGCATCCGTGGAACGCATTGGGGAGGCCGGAGGATATCGCCGATGCGGCTGTGTTCTTGTGCAGTGATGAGGCGTGCGTACCCACCATTTCCATGCCACACATGAAGCCCATGCTAACGATTTCACACAGGGCGTTCGTGACAGGCCACAGCATGATCATCGACGGAGGTTATACGTGTCAATGAGTCAACATTCTTGTAACGACTTACTCGCACACCAAAACGCCTAGCCTTTCCCAAAATCACACACGCTCTTGCAGCACGATTATCTCTTCCCTCACATTCACGCAGAATCATCCACAATCGCCGACTCGGAACTCTTCGATCCCTTCCGGAATAGCTTGCCCACGATCGACCCATTCCTCGAGCTCCGTCTCGACCACATGCTGTCCCGACGTCCTTCTTCTGATCGAATTAGTCTCGTTCAGCACACGATTTGCTTCTCGAAGCAAGCGCAATGTACCGTCTTTCCCTTTCCTCCCGTCCTCTTCAATCCTAGCCTGGATCTGCGCGGCAGAGCCTGTAGTATCCGACGTCAGTGATGGTTGCTCACCGGGTTCCAGAGATCCGACGAACGAATGTTTCCCGCGCCCCCGATGCCGAAACTGCGCTTCCGCGCTACATCTTCCTGTGGTGTGATCGTGTTGCACGCTTGAGGCATCGTGCTCCGTTCGAAGAGCGTGTTGTCGCTAGATCGTCGACGGTTGACGAGAGTGTCTTCACTAGGTCTGCAATTCCCGTTGGCAGGCGAGGAAGCAGAGTGTTCTATATGCAGTGCTTGAGGTTGCAAAGAAGCCTCGCCGAACATGAGTGGAGCTGCAAGTGACAGTATATGAGTAGTGCAAAGAGGGCAATCTGGCACTGATAACGGGCTCAATATGGAGCGCGAAAAAGCAGACAACAGGAACACAGCGAGTAAATGTACCCCATCCTTGGCGAAGCATGCGATATTTAAACGCTCCACGACTGGCTGCAACCCCAGGCCTGATTGCGCGCGCGGGTTGCACGGGTCGAAGGTTGCAGGGCTGCGTGGCGGGCGAGTGATAAGCCTAACCCCGGACATTGGCTCGAAAGCTTCGCCTGCCTTCCCCAGGAAGCTTGTTTGCCGACGAGGCTTGTTGCACGTGCTAGCCGTGCGGGAGATAAGGGCGATGCGACGACGAGATTGGCTGGATTGTTGCTTGCTTGGGGTTTGGGGGTTCGTGGGGTTGCGTGTGTATCTAAGGTTCCTTCTTTTCCCTGTGGAGGGTGACGTATAGGCGACGTTCTGCCACTGTATCAGTCCTCATCGATCCCGGCTTCACTCCAATTTGGCCTGGACCGACTGTCTATGAGCAACTCCTCAGTAAGTCTCGGGTAGAACATCGCTCCCATACGCAGGAATGCTCATATTGCAATTCCAACTCCGCTCATACGCCAACTTAGGCAGAATCCCCGCCGCCAACCCATCCTTATAACTCCACTGCGCCGCGCTCTCCGTCTCCCAAGTCCAGTAGAACCAGCCCCATCCCAACTCAAAAGAGTCCATCTGCGATTCGGCAAACATCAGCAACCACTGCTTGTACGCCGCCGAGTACGTGGACGGGTCCGCATTCGCCTGCGCACAAGAGCAGGGCGGATTGTTGTGCGTGGGACAACTGGGCGTCAGCACGACTCCAGAGCTGGAACCCCCGGGCGTGTTCGGCTCGTTGAGCGTCCCCTGCCATCGTGACCCGACGCCGACGTCGTTGAGGTACTGCGTGCAATCTGTGTCTGCTTGCGACCACTCGCCGAACATCGTGGGGCCGAAGCCGCTGGCTTTGTTGACGGATTGTGTCGTCTGCTGGGCCCAGCCGCGGCAGCTGAAGATGAGTTTGTCCTCGTGCGTCATTCCCAGTAGACTCGTGTCGAAGATGAGGTATTGATGGGCGTCGAGGACGAGTCCTTCGATTCCTGGGAGTAGGCCGTGCCAATTTTGGAGACCGAGGAAGCCGTCGCCGATAATTATCAGATTGTCGTAGCCGCTGGCTCGAATAGCGGCGCTTGCGTTCGCGGACCAATTGAGTACTTTTTGATGCGGGAGGGCGTCCATTCGGGGCTCGTTGACCAGGCCGTACATCGTGATGATATTCTGGTATCGGGGCTGGGAGAAGAAGGTGGAGAGTTGCTTGTGCACATCGATCGTTCGCTGGGCATTGAGGTCTCCGTCCGTTCCATTAAGCCAGCCGATCAGCCCTTGGTGGCCGGAATGATTCCAACCGTTTTGTGAGCCGGGTGCACCGTGTAAGTCTAGGTTGATACGCAGACCGTACTTGCGTGCCCACTCGATACCACGCAGCAGATATCTCCATGAGATCATGGGAACGTATGGATCGCCTTCGTAAGTCGTCACGGCCCAGTAAGAGAAGGGGATGCGGACATGGTCGAAGCCGGCGGCTTGGATTTCTGCAAAGGTCGATTCTTGGACCCAGGCGGAGTAGTGCTTCTCGATCGTCTCGCGGGCCTTGGTCGGTCCTAGCGTTTTGGAGAGAGTCCACTCGTCGACGACACCGGCACTGCTGTCGAAGCTGGAAAAAAGAGAAGGCGTAATGAATGGCTCGATGCTCAGCCAGCCTCCAAGATTGACTCCTCGGTATGGAAGCGTGCCATAATTCCACTTCTCGCTCAGCGGTGGCACGTTATCATTCGCTCGCGTGTTATCGTTCCAGCTGCTATTCAGTCCCATCACATAAAGTCCCCCAACAGTGGCGTTCGTGAAAGTCAGGTTGAAGTCCGTGGTATCATACCAGTCGAAGGGATCGAGATACCCGCCTTGAGCCCATTTAGGTATACTGGAAGGCGATACGCCGTGGATGTTGGTGTTTGTGGGATCGGTAGACTTTTTGTGCTTCTTCGACACCACCACCGCGGCTGGCACAGCGACGATAAGCACGAGTAAGAGGACGATGAGACCAATGCGTATCATCCAGACGCTTCTCCGTCTCTTGGCCTCCTCATCGTGATGTCGTGCTGTGTGGCCGTGTCTATTGCGCTGATTGTGGAGATACAGCACCTTTTCGTTATCGTAGGCGGAGTTTCGTTCAAGCATAGGCTGGCCGCTAGAGCGCCTATAATCTCGAGGTTGGAAGTCATGATTGTGGTCATATGGTCGGAAATCCTCCGATGTCTTAGCAGTTCGATAATCTCCGAATCGATTCTCAGCTGGCGGTTGTGAGATGTGGTTCCGCCCAGAATCATATCGCCGATCGGAAGGCCGTCGCTGTTGCCTGTATATTCTTCGTTGATCTTCTTCACCCAATTCCGCCTGCGTTCTGTCTTCTCCCTGATCCTGCCCAGGTCGTTGACTGATCCCATCGTACTCCTCCCAACCAAGCTTGCGGTTGATACGGTCGAGCTTAGCTAGTTGGTCAGAAGAAAGTTGTGTGCTGTTCGAATTACTGTATCGCGTTGCTTCCCGAGATTCTCGCCTGGCCGCTCGTTGCGCCCGCGTCTTCGATGGACTCGGTGGAAGTGGTCCGCGTTCATCTCGCTCTCGAGTCCGTAGCGCTGCTTCTCCATAACTGTCGATACGCTGATGCGTTCGTCTCCGGCGTTGACGACGAACAGGCGAATCAGGGTAGCGGTCGGATTTTGGCATCCTTCAACTCGGTAGCATTCCTCGTTAAGCGCATCTTTCACAATCTCGCCGGCTGTCACAAGTGGAAGAAATGCTCCGGTGATGGTTGCGGTTGGCGGGGTAACCACATGGAGCGAGCGAAAACGGCTCGACGCCACCCGAAAGCTTGGCATCGAGCTTAAAAAGATATGCGGGAAGAAAAAGTGTAGACGAAGAGCTGTGCCCGTTAGTTTTGTTAAACGGATCTTCATCTTGGCTTTCCGACGAAATGGCTACGTCGGACTCCACTGGTGGAGGGAAGCGCCGGTTGCCGCCAAAGGTGGCAGCCATGAAGGCGCGGAAACGGCTCAAAGTGAGCGAAGAAGAGGGAAAGGCGCCTCAGACAGCAGCTGGGAAGCCTGGAAAGCAACAGAAAAGCCGGGTCCACCTGGAGCATCTCCCCTGGAAGACGGTCTCGATGCCGGACCATCTCGAGGATTACGAAGGCTTCTTTGGGCTAGAGGAAATTGAGGATGTGGAGGTTGTGAAGGAGGATGGCAAAATTTCCTTCATGTCGACTTCCGATGCTGGGAAACACTCCAATCAAGCAAATGGTGTCGCAGACGAGGAACCTGACGGAGACGAATGGTCTGGCTTTGGTGATGACGATGGCGATGGCGAAGCCCCTTCTCAGGCGCCCCCACAGCCGAAGAAGTCGCAAAAGTCGCAAAAGCGACAGCCTGATCCCGCGAACGAGTCGCTGTCGTATCGTGGAGCATTTGAAAGCCTATCCAGCGAGACTCCGGACGACAACCAAAAAGGAGAATCAGACATGACTGCATGGCAGTCGCTCAACCTTGTGCCCGACACCCTCACCGCACTGTCCAAGCTGAACTTCACCCAACCCACTCCCATCCAACGGGACGCGATTCCTGAGATCCTAGCTGGGCATGATGTCATCGGCAAAGCTTCCACCGGCTCAGGCAAGACGCTTGCATTCGGCATTCCGATTCTTGAGCGGTTCTTGGAACTTCGCAACTCGGCTGGGCAGCGCAAGGAGAAGACCCCGCTGGCGCTCATCCTCTCGCCGACCCGTGAATTGGCACACCAGCTAGATAAGCATCTCACGGCTTTGTGCAATGGAGGTGCCTTTGAAGGCCCATCAATAGCGACTATTACTGGAGGCCTGTCCCTTCAGAAGCAGCAGCGCTTGCTCAAGGGCGCCGATATTATCATCGGAACGCCGGGCAGGTTGTGGGAAATTGCCTCGGTCGGACAGGGAATCATTGAATCGCTCAAGAAGATCGAGTTTCTAGTCATTGATGAAGCAGATCGACTGCTGAGCCAAGGAAACTTCAAGGAGCTTGAGGAGATCTTGAATGCGTTAGATCGCCAGGACGAGGACGAGGACGAAGCGAAAATGTATGACACCAACAAGTCACCTCGACAAACCCTCATCTTCTCTGCGACCTTCGACAAGGGACTGCAACGGAAGCTTGCCACCAAGTCGACCAAAGGCGATGCCCAGAATCTACTCAGCAACCAGGAATCAATGGAATACCTCCTCTCCCGGCTCAACTTCCGAGAAGAAACGCCGAAATTCATCGACGTCAACCCCATCAACCCCCTCGTGACCGGCCTGAAAGAATCCCTGGTGGAATGCCCCGCAGGCACGGACAAAGACATCTACCTCTACACCCTGCTCCTCCTCCTCTCCCACTCCAAAACTAGCGGCGCCAAAACACTCGTCTTTGCAAACTCCATCAGCGCCGTCAAGCGCCTGACCCCTTTCCTCCAAAACCTCAACCTCCCCGCCCTAGCCCTGCACTCCGGCATGGCGCAAAAAGCCCGCCTGCGCTCCGTCGAGCGCTTCACCACCACCAGCGGCAATCAACCCTCTTGCTCCATCCTCGTTGCCACCGACGTCGCCGCTCGCGGTCTCGACATCCCCAATGTCCAGACAGTCCTGCACTACCACCTCCCCCGCGCAGCAGACACGTACGTGCACCGCTCCGGCCGCACAGCACGCGCAGGCCAGCAAGGCTCGAGTATCCTCATCTGCGCCCCGGAAGAAGTAGCCGGAGTGCGCAGACTAATAGCCAAAGTCCACACCAGCCATTCCGCAACGAACAGCAGCGCAAAGACGAAAAATTTCATCCGCACCCTCGACTTGAACCGCAAAATCGTGTCGCGTCTGCGTCCGCGCGCCGCGCTCGCGAAGCAGTTGGCCGACACGCAGATTGCGAAGGAGAAGTCAAATAAAGAGGATGAGTTTATGCGCGCTGCGGCGAAGGAGTTGGGCGTGGATTACGATTCCGAATCGTTTGCGGCGGAAGAGGGGAAGGGGAAGCGGGGGCGTGGGGCTGGGAGGAAGAAGAAGGAGCGCGAGGCGAGCGGGTTGAGTAAGGCGGAGGTTGCTTCTTTGCGGGCAGAGTTGAACGGGTTGTTGAAGCAGAGGGTGAATGTGGGGGTTAGTGAGAAGTATCTTACTGGTGGGGGCGTGGATGTTGATGCGTTGTTAAGGCAGCGGGAGGAGCATGGGACGAGTGAGGGGAGGGAGTTTTTGGGGTCGGTGCAGGGGTTGGATTTGGAGGAGTTGTTGTGAGGTAGAAATGCGTGGTCTTTGTTCACGGAAGAAGGAATCTAAACGCCGGCTATCATCATCGCTGCGCCTCTACAGTGCTCTTCAAAGCGTCCAGTCCGCCTTCGTAGATATCCAAATCGTACTCCTCGGGATACTTCTCCACCATCTCCTTCACCATGACCAACTGCTCCTTCTGCTCCTCCGTCACCTCCGCGTACACATCCTCCAACATGTTCGCAAGCGGCGGCCACTTCTCCTTCTCCGCCTTCCGGTAAGCGTCAAGCACCTGCTTGCGCGCATCCGACCGCAGCTGCTTCTCCTTCTCCTCGTCCCAAATCCCCTTGTTCTCCATGTACTTGCGCAGGCGCGTGATGGGGTTGTCGCGCCGCTTCCAGTCCTCGACCTCCACCTTCGCGCGGTACGCAAAGGAGTCGTCGGACGTGCTGTGGTGCGAGACGCGGTAGGACATGGCTTCGATGAGGACCGGGCGGCCGCCGTCCGATAAGGCGAGGGCGCGCGCGGCTTTGGTCACTTCGCGCACGGCGAGGATGTCGTTGCCGTCGACGCGGATGGTGTCGACGCCGTACCCGACGCCGCGGGAGGCGATGCCGTCGCCCTTGTACTGCTCGAGGGTGGAGGTGGAGATGGCATAGCCGTTGTTGCGGCAAATGAAGACGACGGGGCAGCTGCGGGTGGCGGCGATGTTGAGGGCGGCGTGGAAGTCGCCTTCGCTGGCTGCGCCCTCGCCGAAGTAGCATGCTACCACGCGGTGCTCGTCCTTGTTCGGGTTGCGGGCGTTTTCGATTTTGCGGGCATACGCGGCGCCGCTGGCTTGCGGGAGCTGCGTGGCCAGACAGCTGGAAATCGTGTGAACGTGGTGCTTCTTCGAGCCGTAATGCACCGGCATGCTCCTGCCACGACCCGTATCGTCCTTGGTAGAGAAGCACTGAGCAATAAAGTCGTCAAGCGTAGTCCCACGCTGGAAGAACACGCCATGCTCTCGGTACTGCAGAAAGAGCGGATCGTCGTTGCGCAGCGCACTGCTGCTCCCCACGCCAATGCCCTCCTCGCCCTGGCTGACCATGTAGAAGCTGACCTTGCCCTGGCGCTGCGCGTCGAACATGATGAGGTCGAGGATGCTGACCGTCACCATGGTCTTGTAGTAGCCGAGCAGCTCGTCGTCGGTGACGTCGGGCTCGCCGCGCGCCTTGTCAATCACCTGGCCTTCCTGGTCGAGGTAGCGGTAGGTGGGCATGGCATCGGCCTCGGTGGCTCGTTGGAAGTTGAGGTCGGTGGTGAAGGAGGAGTTAACGGCGCCGGGGAAGTTGACGCTGGGGATTGTCGTTAGCAGTGCTCTTGACGAGCTGGAAGAGGGATGTGTGCACTCACCGGTCGGAGCCTTGTCGCTGCGACACGGAGCTCCATCGCTGCTGGCATTGGAAGCACACTCTCGATCTCGCGGCGGAGAGTCGCAGCGGCGGCGTGGCCAATGCGCCTCGCAAGGCCTGCACGACTCTTCTCGATGCCATTGTGTGTGAATCTGTGGCAGCCGCAGCCTATTCCATCCTCTGAGACTGAGAATGCAGAAAAGATTCCTGCGGAGGTGTCGTGAAATGTCGGCCGTCTCGTGTTTCGCTTATTCTCGGTTCACTCCAGCCCCACACGCCAGGCGGCTCTGCGGCTTACATAATCCTAAACCTCTCAAGCTGGGGAACAGAGTCCTGCATGGTAGGAAGAGAACGATCCGAGAAGTGCACCATGATAACAAGAACATCCCTTCTCATGGTCAAGAAGATGGAGAGTAAAAATGGACAGGGTAATCTAGCAATACATCGAAACTCCGATCGGCCATAATCATCCCTTCATCCCATCCAAAACCCCCTCCTCTCGAGTACTATACACATCCACGAAACCAGAAAGCAACCGCATACTCCCCCACCAACCTAATTGCACATGTCTCCAAAGTAATTGCCCATCCAAAGAGCAAGCCAGACTCCTCGCTAGCTTGACGACGTGTTCCCCAGCCCCCAAACTCCGTAAAGCAAAACAGCACTCACCATCGACCCAATCAATCAGTTATCCCCGGGCTCCGACGGCGGCTCATCCTTCTCAATCGCATCGTCCACCTTCTCTCTCGCCTCGTACCCCAGCTCCATCTCCGTCCGCACGTCCGCCCGCTCCTTCAAATCCCGCTCCAACATCTCCATCAACTTGCGAATCATCCACTTCGCCTCCGAGCCATGCGCCAGACTCATCAGCGGCGACTCCTGCCCCAGCCAACTCCACATTTGCCTCGCATTCTCCCGCACCGGCTCTGCGACCTCCATTCCCTCCGGCAGCGGCCGGCCGACGTGCCGGTGGCCCTCCTCCGTCGTCTCGTCCTCGCCAATCAGCTTCAGCAGCCAAGTCCACTCCTTGTAGGTGTACTTTTTCGGCGGGTCATCGTCGAGCGAGTCGACGATTTTCTGCATTGCTTTGATCGCAATGTACGGCCGGTACTTGTGCTCGAGCGTGTCGATTTGCCAGGAGGAGAAGGGCTGGGCGTCGAAGTCGGGCGGGAGGACGCACGCGTTCTCCACGTCGCCGACATCGTGGATCCCGTGGTCGGCGGCCCTGTCGTCTTCGTCTTTGTTCTTGTTGGGGTTTTTGATGAGGTCGCGGATTTTGTCGCGCGCGCGGTTATGCGGTTGGTAGAGGGCGACGAAGATGTCGTAGAGTGCGGTGGCGTGCTCGCCGACCCAGGTGGTGTACCAGTTTACTACGGAGGAGACGGCGTCGCCCACGGAGCCTATCAGCACGGTGAGCGTCGGGAGGGAGATGAGAGCCCAGAAGACAAAGGCGGGTTTGGCGGAGTTGGTTTGTCTGGATGTGGGTGTTAGCCAATGTATCTGAGCAGTCCGGACAATACTCACGGAGCGAAATCGCCATATCCAATCGTCAGCTGGGCAACGAATGTAAAGTATATCGAGTCGAAGTAAGTCCACTGCTCTCCGCCCACGCTCAGAATCTCGGCCTGCCAGAACACCACGCCGCCGATGAACCACAGGATCAAAAAGGCCGTCATGGCGAAGCCCAGGGAGATCAGGCGGTTCTGCACGTGCGCTTGTCGCTGGATGGCCCGCATGAGGTTGAACTCTTTCCGGCGGCGAGCCAGCTCGTAGTCGGCATTGATGTCGTGAGTCCGTGTGCCGAGCAGAGTGTGCACCTTGAAGATGCCCTTGGCCGGCTCTCCGTTCTGGAGTACTTTAGTTCTTGCCTTCTCTACCAAGCGCGTAGATACTTTGACCGACGCGCTCTCCAGTATCACCGTCCGGATGTTGGCGATAATCACACCGACAAAGATGATGCCTCCGGTAGCAAAGGGAAAGAAGAGACTTCTTCCTAGATGGGTGGAGGGCGCGTAGTCTCCGAAACCGATGGTGAAGACGGTGACAACGACCCAGTAGGTGGAGTCGAGGTAATCCCAGCCCTCAATGTCGCTATACACCGCACCGGCCGCTAGCACATAAGTGAGGAACAGCATGGTCTGCAGCATAAGCGAGCGCTGGGACAGGCTGAGTTTGAACTCCTCGCTGTAATGGCCAAACCAGATGCCCCAGGCGGTCATGCTGAGCATGATGGCCAGCACGACGTAGATGCCGCCAGAGAAGCAGGCATAGTAGAAGGCTTGTGAGTAGACTTCTTGCTTGCTAATGTCCAGCGGCAGGACGTGGGAGGCGACGGCGACGAGGACGACGTCGACGAAGCCGGAGACAAAGAAGCCGATGATGGTGATGGGGCCGGAGATGTTGTATCGAATGCGGCTGGTCATTTGGCCGAGGAGGAATAGGTTGGCGACCAGGGCGATTGCTAGCGATACCACATTCACGGCGTTCACCCAAGGCGGATCTTTGATGTAGCGTCCGCCGGCCTCGAGCTGGTATTGGTTAGGATGAAACTGCAGCGTTGAACAGATGATAGAGAACGTACTACCCATGTGAGTCAGGATGGCATTTGCGGAGATGAACGATTGGCACTCACCGGATTCAGGATTGACCACTATCCTCCAATCCGTCGCAATGGCGCACACATTGAACATGGACGCAATGGGGCCAAAAGTACCTTTGTGAATGGTCAGCATCTCCGCACAACTCAGCTGACGTGCTCTTCACCACCTACCAGCAATGAGAGGAAAGAGCGTCGCCACAACCCCTGCGAATAGCGAGTATAAGCCATATGCCTTCAATACTTCTTCGTTCCTCCCGTAGCCAACATACACATATGAATAGGCGCATTGTAGTCCATAATAATATCCTCCTCGCTCATCTGCGCCACATCCGCCGCCGTCTTGGTGAGTTCGAGATCGAGATTGCTCGTGTGCCCATTACTCCGACTCCCCTTTGCGCCATTCTTCTTGTATTGGCCTCGCGGTTTGAAGGACCGCTTCTTCTTGGGCAGCGCATTGCCTTGCGCATCGTGCGGTTGCTCCGAGGCCGAGGTGCGCCTCTTTTTCTTGCCGATGGCCGCGCCGAGGAAGGGCAGTTCGAGGTATCGCGCGCCGCCACCACTGCCTCCTCCACCGGCCATGGTGCTCGTAGTTTCTATTCGGAGTGGGGACGATGTCGTCGACGGGTTGATCGGATCACATCCTCGACTCAGGCGGTGGAAATACTGCGTCAGAGCAGTGCAGGGCGGGGTGAGGGGAGGGGGTATAGTAAAGATGCATCACATCACCCGAAACAAAGAAACGTCTACGAGGTGTTGCGGTTATGGCGGAAGATGGAATGAACCGGCGCCACACCCACCCGAACACCCACCCACCCACCCATGCCATCCTTCCAAAACTTTTTGCTGGTACAGAGCTGTTCTGCGGAGAACACGAAGCTTGGTTAGCGTTTACGCGGCCTCGCCAAAGCGGCACGAGAACCAGAAAACGAGTGTGAGGGGGGCCGCTAATCTCGGACATTTGACAGGTCGTCCGATTGATGAATGTAGAGTATTTCGCGTCGACTAGAAAGGCGGGAATAGGCGAGCGAGGAGAACGTCTCGCCCTACTTTCATGACTGTATGCAGCAGTCTTTGGTCGCGACTGCCTTGCGGATCTTGGCCCGAGTAGGAAGTCATGGTTTCTTTTGGCAGGTGCGTGGGGTGTGTGCATGTCGTGGCTTTCTCTCCGCCCCTCGTCTACATCACCCCCTCCCGTATCTGCTGCTAGCTATGGAATGCATGTTGACGTCTGACCGTCTGCAAACATTGTGCCGAGGAGCTCCGGAGAAGCAGCATCTCCGTGATGGGAATATGCCGAGAAGGAATGCATGCCGTCTGCCAGCATGTATCTCCGATATGTTCGTCCATAAACCCATATTCTCCTTTTGCTTCAGTCCTTTGGAATGCTGCTTGCCATCTCCTGGATCATGGTCATATTGCTGTCAGCAGCTCGAATTCAAGTCAAAGCCTGCAATTGTGCTACGCTATCTAATGTCATGTGACGGTATGCTATGCTATGCCATCCCATGTCATGCCATGCCGTCCCATCTCTCCCAAGCTAATGCATCAAACTCATATCCGTCGTCACTCATGTCTCGTCCCATTCGTCATTCGGCCCATCCATCCTTTCCGCTCCCGCCTTCCCCCGTTTTCGTCTATGCCGCTTACACCTGGCCCCCACCACCATCTGATGCAAACATCCAGCATCATCACGAAATGCCCGCAAAATGAAACGGATCCGGCGCCGCAAATCTGACCCGGGTAGGGAACGCATCGCCTCCTAGAGCCACCTCCCTACCCGTCAAATGCGCAGCGTTCAAATCAATCCACACCACCATCCGCTCCAGCAGCCCATCAAGCCCCAACGTCCCCAATCCTCCACGTAATTTCAGCATCATCTGCAGCCCCTTCATATGCGCCGCGAATACCTCCGAGTCCCCGAAAATCGCCTCGTACGCCGCCATCTTGGCCACCGCGCCGACCATGGCGTCCGTGATGGTTCCTTGGTGGTTCGTCAGCGCCGTATTGATCTCTGAGAGCGCGCGCGCTTTCAGTGCTAGCAGGTCGATGAGCGTGGCTTGTGACGGGTTGACGATGCAGTAGTGCGATGCGGCCATTAGCAGAACGGCGTTGTTGTAGAAGAGTAGCAGAGACGCTGAATCAAGGCGAAAATCGGAAGAGCTGAATGATCGGCGGTGGAGCTTTTTAAGGTAACTTAACGATCGCAGGTCGATCAAACTTCACACGAAGCGTAAGCTCTCTCGCTCTGCGCGCATCGGCCGTCTCGGTCTTGAGATTAAGTCCCTAGGCATCACCGCCTCATGAGGCTCGGCATCGAATTTGTCACGGTAGCGAGCACAGCAGTGCAAAAGCACAAGTGTAACGAGAGGAAGAAAGGAAATCTCAAACACCAAGTCTCCCCGAGCGTCGCTGAGCATCTATCGCCGAACATCGATCGCCGAAACGTATGTCGCCGGAATCCGTCGGCGATGCAACCGTGCAACTAAGCTCGTGTGCCAGCACGTGCCCGACACTACCCAAATGACGCATGCTCACACGGGAACAAGCCATTCCGCACCAGAGGGTGATGTAGATCGGTTCAAGCATGAAACCCCTTCGAAACCCCTTCTCCCGCCGTGCCGGGTCGTGCAAAAGCACACGCTCGCCCCGCCCAGCCAATCCTCGCCCGAACAAAGCCGCGCGAGCGCGAGTGGACGCTGGCGATGCCGTGGAACAAGTTAAATGCACGAGCCGGTGGTGATGGGAGAGCAGAAATGTTGACTCTTGCTTGGCTTTGTCTGCAATAGGTAGGAGGCTGCCGGAACGGGCTAGTTCAGAACTGTCCCTCGCTTCGACATGCCCCAAATGCTTTCCCTGCTTCGGCTGTTCACCCCACGCTCCTTTCCTTTCAATTCCTCCATGTCCGAAGTCGTACGTGCATTTGCAAGAAGTTCACGAGACTGGAGGGATGCACGGCCAGGCATCTACAGAATCTTGATGGGGGCTGCATTGCCCCGCTGTGTACCTGTGATACCCCAACCTGTACGATCCCACGCGACAACCCCGGCTCTCCCGTCCTGTGCAATCCACGGTCTGAACGGCGGGATGGGGATGAGCAAACCTTCTCCGCTCTTTCAGGGTGAGCATTGCCTATATCCGACCGAATTCCCGCATCGCGACTCAATGTGGGATGTCGGATTTGTCCGCGGCGTCGGTTTTCAACCACCCCCGATGGAGTCTCCGCTCACCAAAGCGAAGGCAGTTACTCGCTTCTGCCCCGTCAGTACCACGATTCGCACTGTGATCATTCGTTGTAATGGCTGGCGGCGTGTCTCGATCGTCTACAAGTGGGGCTAGTCCCATCTCATTTCCAGCCTTGGCTTTCGATGCAATGCACTTACATGTAAGCCTAAGGATGTTTTGGAGAGCCGTTATGTTCTGAAGACCTCTGCCTGTGGTCCTGTCTCGTTATCCCATCAAGTCGCTTTGTTAACCACGAGCTCCGGGACTTGCTTTCTATCATGTCACTGCGCGGCACCGTCGCATTCGTGATGGCCGAAGGAGATGTAGCAGTCGCGAGTGCGTGCACCATCCTGAAACAAGAATGGCCGTCTTCAGAAACATTGACCACCTCTACCCATACAGGTCGCGCCAAAGACCTGGCAAAAGACGGCGCCGACATAGCCTTATACAGCAATCCATCGCAAAGCAACGAGCACACAACAAGCCTCCGCGATAGCATCCACGAAGCCCAGCCGAGCGCCAAAATCACCATCCACAGCGGCGACTTGACCACCGCCGGAGCGCTGGAGAAGGTCTTCGCCGACGTGCTCTCCGATCATGGAAGAATTGATGTTGTGGTCAACAGCGCTGGAATGTTGGTGCAAATGCCCACGAGCAGCCGTTCTCCAGCTTTGGAGTACAACGACCTTCTTGCTTATGCGGTGTTCGTGGACGAGCAGTGGCGAATTGCCGTTGAGCAATTGGATGCGGAGATCGGACGGACGTGACGAAGGTGGAGAACATGCATTACGATTTTACGACCAGACATGAACCAGCAAACGCCCCGAGGGAGTCGCAAGTTGTAACCTGTTGACGGAGCCAGCACGAGTCATGGCGACAACTGCCCTGCTTCTGGTAAGCAATGCCACACTGTTAAGCTTTCTGACATTTGCTGATGCGATCAAGATCGCTGCATCTGAATCATCATCGCATCTGATCGTATCGGATGACCACACATGGATTCAAGGTTAAAGGTCTTCAGCCTTGGCTGGCAGGGCTGCGAGGGCGTGGTGGGCTTGTGACGCAATCAAGGCTGCCGCAGCTTCAAACCTGTTTTCCCCACCACGCGCACTCCAGTTTGTCCAAGGAAATGGTGTGGGCATTCCAGTCTCGCAGAAATGAGTGCCATTTCGATAGAGTAGTCTGTCTTTCGATAACTTTTCTCAGAATTGAGTATTGTGCGTTTTCAAGGTGCCCAACATGTCATCAGCCGTAGCCAAATCATCCAACGAAGTCGCGGAGCCCGCTCAGCAGCAGCAGGCTGTGACGGAGACTAAAGAAGCCAGCGCGAGTGCCAATGCTAGTGTAAGAAGAACCTCACTACATCACCTGAAATTGCGACGAGTTGTTGACTGAGAGTCAATAGGCCGGCATCAATCTCAACATCTTCGGGGCAATCGCTGGAGCTTTCTCTGGCAAGAGCCAAAAAGAAACAGCAGCGGATGGAAGTTCAACGGAGCACCGCGAGGGTCGGGCGAAAGTCAAAGGTATTGCATTGGTGAAGATCGATGCGCAGTTTCGAGTCTGTTCGCTAATCCAGGCTGTGACAGGCGCCGGTGAGGGCAACATGAATGCACTAGCAGCCGGCGGCGCGGAACAAAATGCTCGACATTCCAAGACTGCTATACAGCAACAATAGATCTGCTCCTGGAGTTTCAGACCATTTCATGCAGCTGCGGCGGCCGGACCTTTCTTGACGAATTGCACAGCCTTGTGGCCTCGTTCTTGCCCTGGTCCACTGCCGTGGCCCTCGTTCCAGCAAACATGACAGTAGATGTCATCATCACATCCCAGACATCTCACCTCGCCGTCTTCGTTGCAGATACAGCACCACGAATCAATGTCGTCGTCCGTGAAGGTGGGCAAATTTGATTTGCCCTTTGCGTTCTTCAGATCGTTCAGATTGGATTTGTGCACCGCCTTTGTCCGCGTTGAAGGCGCTGTGCTTGGAGTGGATGGGAGGTTCAGGCCGAGCTGAGAAAAGCGGGCTTCCAGTTCCGAGTCTTCGTATGAAGGCGGTTCTGGGGTTTGCAGGTTGGCTGAAGGCGTGGATGGCAGATCGAGGCCGGGTGCATGTTCTTGGTCTGTTTGCTCCGAAGTCTCGTCGCCACCGTACTTGCTCTCGAATTCGAGCTCTGCCAGGATGCGTTTCACATAGTCGTCCGCTTCTAATTCGTCTCGCTTGTCTTGGTCTGGATGGTCGTCGTTATCGCCATCGTCCGGGTGCTCTACCGCATGTGCCGTCGAGGCCCCATGCCCCGCTGCAAAGTCTCCCCCGCCATCGGCATTGCCTGCTTCTGTGGAAGGTAAAGCAGTCCGAGCTTCCGCCAGCAGGGACTCAATATTCTTAGAATCATCCGGATCAAGCTCCCACTGATCCTCCGGTCCAAGCTGCGCCAGTAAATCTTCGAGATTCTCCTCGTCATCCCCATGCCGCTGCCAGTTAAGAATGGGATCCGGGCCGTCGGGACCAACAGCATCCTCAGAATCGGCCGCGTGCTCTGAAGCGCCATAAGTCACGTCATGCGGAGCAGCAGCAGGAGCAGCAGGAGCAGCAACACCCGCCCGTAAGCCTTTCAGTCGTTCCGCCAGGCGATCTGAGACGGATTGGGACTGGGCTGTGCCCAGATTTGCGGGTTGGTGCGCATCGGGTTGCAGCGTGACGGAGGAGGGTTTCAGGGCGTTCAGCCGCGCGAGCAGGTCGTCATCGTTTCCCGACATGCCACTGGCCCGATCACATCGCGATGTGCGATACGATCGGTGGCTGAGAGTGGGCGTACTGGTGGCAGAGAGGGGCACCGAGACGGGGCTAACTGCCAGGAGGACCCTGAAAACCTAAGCGCTGACCAGGCCAGATCTGCGCGAGATTAGGTAAACGATCAGGCTGAAAGATGCACGTGGGGGAGGCGGGACTGCGCCACACCTCGTCATCAGAACGCAACATCAAGGAACCTGAAAGTGACCTGAGCTGTCACACCACCAAATGAAACCTGAAAGTCTTGGAAAAGTGAGGGGAAGCAGAGGAATGCAACTGCCTTGACTGGCCGTCCGATGATCTCATCGTGGCAGAGCTTCACGCCTTCAATGCCTTGCTACAAATAGACGCGACCCCCGGTCTGTTTTCACACGATTCATTTCATCGAGCTACTCATTCACTCAACCACATCACACCAAACTACCAGAACCAATCTAGTCCTTCCCTCACTCTCACTTCCACAAAGCAACATGTCGGGCAGAAACCCAGGTACATCTTCGCTCCATCCCCCCATCTTCCAGGAAACCCGCTCTGACACTGTCTACAGGAAACGACCAAGGGTTCAACGACGGCTACGACGACAAGAGCGCCGGCAGGAACGTCATGCAAACCGGCAGAGACGAGACGGTCCAAGACGCGTACGCCCGCGGCGCCTCTGGCAACCCAAGGCTCGGAGGTAACCAGCAACGAGACGATGCTTTCAACGATGGTGCCCAAGGTGGCCGTGGCGGCGGAGGCTTCCAGCAAGGTGGCCAAGGCTACGATGATCAATCTCAGGGTGGCCTAGGTGGCCGTGGCGGCGGAGGCATGCAGCAGGGTGGCCAAGGAGGGTTCGGCGATGGTGTCCAGGGTGGCCGTGGTGGCGGAGGCTTCCAGCAGGGTGGCCAAGGCTACGACGACCAATCTCAGGGCGGCCGTGGCGGTGGAGGCTTCCAACAGGGTGGTCAAGGAGGATTCGACGATCAATCCCAGGGTGGCCGCGGCGGAGGCTTCCAGCAAGGCGGCCAAGGAGGGTTCGATGATCAATCTCAAGGTGGCTTGGGCGGCCGCGGCGGAGGCATGCAGCAGGGTGGCCAAGGCTACGACGACCAGTCCCAGGGTGGCCTAGGTGGCCGCGGCGGAGGCATGCAGCAGGGTGGCCAAGGAGGATTCGACGACCAATCTCAGGGCGGCTTGGGCGGACGCGGCGGAGGCATGCAGCAGGGTGGCCAAGGAGGATTCGACGACCAATCTCAGGGCGGCTTGGGCGGCCGCGGCGGAGGCATGCAGCAGGGTGGCCAAGGCTACGACGACCAATCCCAAGGCGGCCTCGGTGGTCGCGGCGGTGGCGTCCAGCAGAACCGCGCAGACTTCGACGACCGTGCCCAAGGCGGCGCCGGCGGTGCGGGCTTCCAGCAACAGGACCAGAGGTTCGACGACAACTCCCGCGACGACAGGTTCCGCTCGGACGAGGACAAGTCGAAGTCGGGCAAGATGGGGGATGCGATGAAGAAAATGGTGGGCAAGGGCGATAAGGATAAAGACCGGGATGGTTACGATGACCGGGATGAGTATGACAACAGGGATGATTATGACCGGAAGGGGGATAACACGAGCACTCCCGGCGATAGGAGCATGGGGGACAAGATGAAGAATGTCTTCAAGGGGCGTAAGCCTGACACTTGAGGGGTCGATTTCGGATTGTACTGTTAGCTCCGGCAAGAGAGTAATGTAGTGAGAAAATTCGAGACCCGATTCATCATTTGCCGCCGGCAGCACCCATCAAAGCTCCCTTCAATGGACTGAGACTGTTGACCAGATTCAAGCCCAAGCTGCGTGCAAACACCACAGGCGCGCTGTCAGTCCTGTAGAGCTTGTTCAATTTGTCGCACACGCCCATGACAGCGTTGTTCGCGGCCCAGCGGTCGGCATTGTATCCGTCGAGACACCAGGTACTCCCAATATCCATTCCGTGTTCCACACCGTACACAATCTGCTTTGCTAGCGAGTTGGCATCTGCCAGGCCGAGATTAAGGCCTTGTCCAGCAAGCGGGTGAATCGTATGTGCCGCATCTCCGATTAGAGCGACGCGATCGCGAGTGTAGGTTGCTGCGTGGCGCATGCGCAGAGGGAAAGAGGCTATGCTGCCTTCCTGCACAGCTGCGATGTTGGGGAAGCTGGGTGGAAGGCCAGTCGCGGCGGTAGAGGTGTTTGGTAAGCGCCAGGAGAGCTCGTCGGCGATGTCCAGATTGCTCCCTGCGTGAGTGAGCAGATATGATAGGTCCACTTGTTGGAGTTTAAAGGCTGCGTTGACCATTGTCGCGAAGTCGGAGGGTGGGAGTGATTTCAGCTTTGTCGCCAGTGGTGTTGACATGGACCAGACGAGGCTGGCTTTGTTGCCGGGAAGGGGGAGGAGTGCGATGGGTCCTGTGGGTAGAAAGCGCTGATATGCGGTGCGGAGGTTGTTCTCGGCAAAGGAATGATCGAGGTGGAGAGTGGCGACGATGCCGTGTTGGTTGTAGTCCCAGCCGTCGCTTTTGATGTCCGCGAAATTGCGTACGGGGCTGTTGGCACCATCTGCACCAACCAGTAACCTCGCAGCGAGTCGGCGAGAGCTTGGAAGAGTGATGATCGGCCATTGCGAGAGGTCGAGTCCAGTCTCACCCTCAGGCTCAGGGCCGAACTCGATAGACTCGACTTTCGTCTTATCCAGCATCTCCACACCTCCCACTTCCTTGATCCGCTGCAGCAATCCGGACGTGACGTTCTGGTTCTCGCACATGGTCGCCATCACGGCCGGATCTTCAGCAACGTCACCTTTCCGCACACTCTCTTGAAACCGACTCCCGGGCACCAGTTCAGCGATTGTTTCCAACAGCCCGCCTTTCGCCTCCAGTGGATCGAAGCTGATTTTGGCACCGCTCACGCCGTCCCACACTTCCATCCCATGATAGCCTTGTACTCTGCGAGCGTCAACATGCCGCCATGCACCGTTATTTCTGAGGAAGTCGAGAGAAGCTGGAGTAAGAGAGGAACAGCGATTGGAGTAGGCACTCGGGTCGTTGGCGACACGAGAAGTCGTCAGATCTTGACTATCGATGATGGCGACTTTGAGGTCTCGGGTCGATGCGTGTGAGCGCAGAGAGGAGAGGAGGGAGAGGCCAGCGGGTCCGCCGCCGACACAGACGAGGTCGTAGATATCTGGTTTGGATGGCGTTGCGGCTGTTGAGAAGCAGGATCGCCGGATGCTTGGTGGGAGCTGAAGGAGCTGTCGTACGAGCCTGGGAGAGTACTGGATTGATGCCATTGTATCGACCCCAGCTACATGTATCTTGCGATGCGTGCAGTCGACCTTGCTGCCAATAGGAGGGCGTGGTTGGAAAGCAGGTGTAGAGCAAAAGTTGCCGGCTCGGCCCGTTGTTGGCCGATCTCCGACGCCGGGCGATGATTGTTGAAGAGTGACGTCTTTCAACGTGAACTTTTTGGATGGCGTCGTAGGCTGCCAAGGGAGATTCACATTATCGTTCATCCGTGTTTCTGACCTTGACACTTCAACATCGTGCGCGTTCATTCGAATCATTTGCGCAAATTCGCCGGCTGTTGTATGCTGATTGCACCTACTCGACGGTGTCTGTCGCGTCTTCCACCCTTCAAACACCTTCCTTCTCGCCACGCCTCCTTGCTTCTAATACCACGCCTTCACTGCAATATCATCCGAGCCAGAGCTCACTCCACCGCAACCATGGCTTCAGGCGCGCCATCTCAAGCCTCGAAGCTTGTCCCAGGCGAGCCAGATAAAGTGGTATGTCAGCCAGCCTCACGGCCACCAAGGTGCTTTAGCCCAAGGCTGGATGATTAACACGCGGCAGATGGTCATTCGCAAAGTGGTGCCCACCATTCTCACCTTTTCAACCCCCTTTGACCGCTTCGGACGAATCAAACTCGGTGGCCGTGGCACAGTCGTCAAACTCGCCGACTCTTCTCTAGCCGTCTTCTCCCCTGTAGCTCTCACCGACATCGTCAAAGCCAAACTACGGGAAGAACTCGGCTCGACGAACGTCAAGTACCTGACAGCCCTGGACCAAGAACATCACATCTTCCTCGAATCATGGCACAAAGAATGGCCGGATGCGAAGATCATCGCCCCCGAAACCCTCCCGGCCTACCGCGACAAGCAGGACTACAACAAGCTACCTGAGTCAAACTGGAACCTGATTAAGAAGGCAGACAAGTCAAGCGGCCTGTCCGTCGACCCAACCTTTGACGCAGAATTCGAAATCGAGTACGTCAGCGCACACGCCAACCAGGAACTCGTCTTCGTCCACAAGCCCACCCGAACACTGATCGAAGCGGATCTCCTGTTCAATCTGCCCGCCACGGAACAATACTCTCGCACAGGCAAGAGCGCGACTTCGGGTGTACTGACGAAATTCTTCGCCAGCCTCAACGGCACGCAGGGTACTGCGATCTGGCAGAAGCGCTTTCTCTGGTATGCCATTTCGGCTGGCGACCGACAAGGCTTTTCACAGTCTGTCAGCCGGATTGCCAAGTGGGACTTCGATCGATTGATTCCTTGCCATGGAGATGTGATTGAGACTGGTGGCAAGGGCATCTTCGAGAAGGTGATGGAGTGGCATTTGAAAAGTGCACAGCAGTCGGGGAGTTCATGATGGATGAGATGTGGGCCGGGTAGTGTGTACAACTTGAGCCTTTGTTTCTGTAAGACGTATTGGAGTACGCGGTTCTAATAGTGATTAATTGCGTCAATAAGACATCAACGATAGAAATAGTATCGCAGACCAGTAACTCTTGTCTGGGCTGCCTGTCGACGATATGCCGGCAGCCTTTCCTCGATCTTGCATGCGTCTCCACTTATTCGTCCCCATGAGGCAACAGCGTATTCGGGCCAAGAGCTGAGTGCTTGACTGCAGACCTCTAGCTCGGCATTGAACACCATCGACTTCCGATCGCCATGATCGCTGCACTTCGCCACACTGTGCAGGCACCATGGCATTGATGCACGGCCTGTAATGAAAATGACCGCCCAGACCCATCAACACGCCCATCACCCAGCAAGTGCGTGAGCACTCTTCCCTTCTCGCGCCATGCAGACTGTCTTCAAAGTCGTCCTGTCGGACTCTTCAGGCCGTCCGAAAGAAAAGACGTTCCAGTCTCGCAGAACACACAAGAAGTCGCGAACAGGCTGCGTGTACTGCAAGCAAAGGCGGATACGAGTGAGTCCTTTGGTCTCCCACGGCTACACTATGCTAACTTTGGCAGTGCGACGAGGACCGACCAAGCTGCGGCAAATGCAGCAAGAACGGCTTAGCATGCATCTATCCCCTGCAGCAGGGCGCATCGCCGGATCTGCAGTCCGACGAGGGGTACAGTGTAGCTTCCCCTACCATGAACGTCTACACCATGGCTGTTGATACCGCGGTCGGGGATTTGGGTGAGATATTCGGGTTATCACTATCCTCTGGCAAATCGACGTCCATTGGCACTCTACGCATTCTCCAGCACTTCCAAAACCATACCGCTGCGACCTTGGGCCAGGTGCAGTCGAGCGCGGTGTTCCATTCCATCGTCGCCCGCAAGGCCTGGGAGCATCCCTATCTGATGCATATGTGTCTAGCGGTGTCTGCCGCACATCTGAAACGACTGCACACCTCTGCCTCTCATGCCGTGCTTTCGGAGCAGTTCTCCACCGCCGAAGTTGTACATTGGCAAAAAGGGCTGCAGCTCTACCGCCAAGCACTGGACAGCTACTCATCCGACTCCATCAAGCCGGATTTCGACGCAACCGTCGCTGCTGCGTTCCTCTCTATCATCTTCACTTTTGCCCTCGAAGACGACCTACCGCTCGATGCGTACACGGGTCAAGATGACGAGACGTTCCAGCAAGCCATCAATCCGCTCGCGGCCACGGGTGGCTTCAAAGCGGTGACGAAGCTCTTTCCCGCAGCGCTGTCAGAGTCGGCGTGGATGGCTGTCATCCTGGCTAGCGATGATCGGAAGAGGTCGTTCAGCGATAGTCGCCAAGCCGGAGTCGATGGGCTACCTCCCGCATTCGTCGACCTGTGCGAGCTGCGCGAGAATTCTAATTGCAGCAATAACGACTACTACCATCTGGTCCGCCTGCTCACCCCGCTGCTACGCCTCGACGGCAAGATCTGCAATTTCTGCAAATACATGGCTTTCGGCGGGCGAGTGTGGGTGGAGATCCGCCCGCTATTCCTGCAAAAGGATCCGAGGACTTTGCTGCTCGTGTCTTACTGGTTTGCGCTTCTCGGACGCCTGGATCAGTGGTGGATGACGCGGCGCGCGAGGGCGGAGTGCATGGCGATTGTGCATTATCTATTCTTGCTGCAGGATCCCAAGATCACGCCGCTGCTTTCTTTTCCTGCCACGTTTGGGCAGGTTGATTTGGGATACCTGTGGGATTACCGTACTTGAGGAGCTCAAGGTGCAAGCTTCCCGGGACCGCTGTCCTCCAAAACGTCAGCATCCCCAATTGTCCGGCCCTTCAGCGATGCACCTAGCCACCCCCCAGGATGCCAATACGTGAATGCGTACACGGAAACCACGATCGGAGCAAACTCGAGACATCCAAAGAAGACTTCGTGGGTCGACAAGTAGTGCTCCAAGCCCTGCGCCGTCTCGGCAAGTCGGAAGCATGTTCGAAGGTAGACGGCGAGCGTGGCAACAACCAACGCACCGAGGAAAGTCCGACTGACGTTGACCGAACTGCGGCGAGCCCTCCACAGAGTCCAGACCAAGACCACGAGAAAGACGGCAAATGTGAAGACCTGGAACGCCAATCCCGCGAGCAGAATATGGTTCGGCGTTGTCGGATCCTCCCCATTCGAATACGCAACCCCAATCAGCGCCGCGCCAGCAATCTGCGTAATCGTCGCAACAACATCACACGTGATGAAAATCCCCAGAATCGCGCGCGGCGGCAGCGGTGCATACTCCCTCCCGTACGCGTTGATGAGCACGCTCACGACGGTGTAGATGGCGGCGGAGAAGAAGACGGGCGCGACGACGATGAAGAAGTACTGCACCACGAACCAGGGGACGGAGTAGGGGTCCTGCTGGCTGGAGAGCAGGCGGAAGACGTAGCCGACAACTTCCATGGTCGTGCCGACGAGCATGGTGCTGAAGTACCAGGTGCGGTGGCGGAGGAGGAGGTAGAGGTGGGCGAGGAGGGCGAGGAAGAAGAGCGCGATTGCTAGGGCGGCGAGGGCGAGGGATGGACGGTACCTGGTGGTTGTTGTCAGGTGGTTGCTCTGTACGGTGGTGATGTGTACGCCTACCCATAGATGATAATCGTCGCGTCATTGGGACCCATGGGGTTGGGGAAGTTGGGGTCAACATAGCCGTGCGGTACGGACGACATTGTGGTTGAACTTCGCACACCGCGTCAGGAGAGATCTAATGAATGCAAAGACTAGCGATGTGAACATCTGCAGCAGATCAAGGAAGTCCCATCATCTTATATACTCCACGATTCATGCGCCCCAAGCCTTTGGCGGGGAATACGTTCGGCCGAATGTGGCATGGCGTGGGTGGAGACGAGGGCAAGGCTGAGTCTCCGCGCGGTAGACGGCGTATCGATGCATCCGTACATCGCGTATCCAGCAAGTAAATGTCCGTGAGCCGTCTGGTAATGCTTTGTCAAGTCGATCGAATGGAAGAACAAGGTACAGTTATAGACTCATCTGTCGTTGTCGACGGGGTCCACGTTCTGCGCGAACCTGCAGGTACCCGTCCAAAAGCATCCAAGTGCTCCACCGAAACTTTGCATGATGATGATGCGACCATGACGATCTCGGGACGACGACAACACTACATCCACGAGGTCGACTTCCACTTCACCTTCAAGTACAATGTTTATAACCAAAACACCTTCTGCTTCCCTCTTGACCTCACACATTTCTCGCTGCATTGAACGTACAGGAAAGACGACGCCAATTGCAAGACACATTACGTCAATCAGAGGACCAGTCATTCAGTGCAACTCTACACTTCGACTACGACAATTGAATAGGCAATTTGCTACTTGCTCACCTGCAAAGGCCGAATACAACATGTCTTCAGACGATGCCAGCCACCACAACAATCCCGAGTTCGAGCTATCCCGCGTCTTCAATGTTTCGGGGAAAATAGCCCTTGTAACGGGAAAGTCTCCCTTCAATGGTATGAATATGAGGCTTTCAGACTGACAAACATCTCAGGAGCCGGCACCGGAATCGGGCTCATGGCTACCCAAGCCCTAGCCGTCAACGGCGCCAAAGTGTACATCTGCGGCCGCACACGGGAGAAGCTGGACAAAGTGGCGCACACCTACGGCCAAGGCATCCGCGGCCAAATCATCCCCATCACCTGCGACATCACGAAAAAAGACGAAATCGCCAAAATGTACGAGGAGATCGCGTCCAAGGAAAAGTGTCTCGACATCCTAATCAACAACGCCGGCATCTCGACCAAGACCTTCCAGACCGAGGCCAGCTCGGCGGAGGAGATGAAGAAGAACTTGTTTGAGAACGAGGAGGCGACTTTCCAGGATTGGGATGATGTGTACCGCACGAATGTCACGCAGTGCTACTTTACGACCATGTGCTTTTTGCCGCTGCTGCAGAAGTCGACGGAGGTGAATCGCGGTTGGTCCGCATGCGTGACCAATATCACTAGCATCTCGGGTGAGGTCAAAACCTCGCAGCACCATCCGCAGTACAACGCCAGGTATGTTGGGAATGTTTCGGTTGTCAAATGCGGTCTGACGTGCACGTGGGCTGACTCTTTCCACAGCAAGGCAGCGGAGATCCATCTCACCCGCATGCTAGCGCAAGAGATCCAGATCAATGGCCTCAAAGTCAGAGTCAACAGCATCGCGCCGGGTAAGGCATCCCCAACCATTCGAAATCAGCTACGTTCTGTATTGACATCACCCAGGTGTCTTCCCGTCCGAAATGACAGCCGGCGACAGCGGCGCCAACCAAAAGTCGCACGTGCCAAAGGAGAAGTTCGAGGGCAAGGTGCCTGCCGACCGCCCCGGACACGATCGAGACATGGCGGGTGCGATTCTGTTTACAGTGACAAATCAGGTGAGTTGATGTGTTGCGGATAGCATGGGGTGTCGAGGCATGTGCTGATGTGAATGTACAGTACCTCAATGGACAAACTGTGGCCGTTGATGGAGGGTACACGCTCATGGCCGGGAGATAAGCAAGCACGGCGGAGAGATTGCACGTCTTGCGGAGATTCGACCGTAGAAGGCAGAGCCACTCTGAGTGATCGATCAAGCCAATGACGTAGCATGCCCACGTGCTCACCATCATGTGTAAAAAGTAAGGTACACGTTGGAGGGGGACAAGAACGATTGAAGCACACACAATATTTTTCAGACTATTTCCCCCTCAGTGAAGCAGCATCACATTCATCAACCCCCAAGCATCCCTTGCACCGCATCCGCGCCCGCCGTCGCCCCGGCGCCGAAAATCGCAGCACCGCCGAGCCGCTTCGGGATGCTCTTTAGGAATTCTCCATGCTATTCGCCACCGTTAGTAAGACGGCCTACGACACCTTAGATGGCCAGGATGGCTGGGATGGATGCGACTCACCTTCGGATGCTTCTCGTGCGCGGGATGCTCGGGATTGTCGCGGTTCTTGTGCGCGTCTTCGAGGATCTTCTTGTCTTCGTCGCTGAGGTCGGTGTGTTCTTTCTATTTGGGGATCAGTTACGAAGAATAGGACGGAATCAGTTGAGGTGGCGGCGTACGGGAGGCATTGTGATGGATTTGAGTGATTGGTATGTCTGTTGTTGATCGGAGTTGAGTGTGATAAGGCGAGATGGATTGAATGGAAATAGTGTTGATGAGAAGAAGTGAATTGCAGGTGATTGCATTGTATGTCGTCACTCTCAGCTCTGTCATCCAATGAACCCTTGCATCGAGATTGCACGACCACGTGAAAGCGCGTGAGGTTCGTCTTCATCGAAACCTTGGCTAAGCTTGCTGAAATCTTGGTTGGATGGCAATGCGTCATGGTTCCACGAATGACGGTGGACGTGTCGATCAGTCCAGCTCAACGCGGGGTGTACAGTATCCTTATTAAATCTGCATTCAAGAAAGACGTGCCTCCGGTTGTGGTTGGGGCTGTTGCACAGGTTGTGGCTGTGCGTGCTGTGCCTGCGGTACTTGGTAATGGATTTGCGGTGTCATGTGCGGCGGCATTTGCTGTGCGGGATGGGATCCGTGATGGTATGCATGTTGAGGCGCGAATCTATTGTGGTGAACAGGCAGCGGGCCTTGCACGCCCGGCGCGGCTTCATGAAAGTAAGGTCCGGGATGGTGATGATGGCTCGCGATGGGAAGGCGATGCATGACTCGCTCGTCCAGACTCTTCATGCCTTCAAACAAAAGCCCCCAGTTCTTGCGCTGCTCGTCTTGGAAGGTCTTCATCGATTCTTCGACGCGGTTTAGCTGTGCCTTGGTCATTTCCACCGTCCCCGTGAGTAGATCCAGTCTCGGCACAATCCTCTTCCTCAATTCCGCGATGTCTACCGTAAGTGTAACCAGCCTTGGCACGATCTTGTTCCTCAATTCCGCGATGTCTCCCATGAGTATATTCAGTTTCGGTTCGATCCTGTCCCTCAATTCCTCATGGTCTTCGTTGTCGACTATGTACCCCCAAATCCAACTTACCTTATCCTCGATGCGGCTCAATCCCACTCGAACGGGATCTGCGTTGGGATCGCGGGCTTGGGCCAGCGTACTGGGCTTGAGCGCCGTCCGGTTGAAAAGTTCCGTGTTCACGACAACAGGGAGGTCTTCATCGTCGTCCTCGTCGTACTCATCGTCTGCGTCGTCTTGAGGCGGCGGTAGCGGACCTTTGGGCGGCAGCCGACATTCGCTCGCATCGATAGCATCAAGCATGTCGACTAGACGTTGTTTTCTTGCGTCGTGGAAATCGAAAAAAGATCCCCCCGTGTAAGGCATGTCGCACGATACGTATGGCGCGTTGCATCGGCAGTTCTCGTCGCATGGGGCGTTGTCTTCGTTTTCGTCTACCGAGTCCGGAGTACCAGCCGACTCATCGGCTTCGGAAAACTCGAAATCGTAGCCTGTAGAGCTAGCAACAGGGTCGCTGGACAATGTGTCCAGTGGTTTCTGCTTCTTTCCTGCAGAATTGAGGTCGTCTTCTGCCGCGCGTTTACCAGCAGTCGCCGTTGCCAGCGCTCCATTCGTGAGCGGAATGCGAGGGAGAGGGGTTGATGCGTTCGCATTGGGACGCAGTTGAGAGCTCGACATTCTTGCCGTTACTAACGAGTTTCTCCCGAAACCAATGGCCATTGAGACTAAATAGATTAAATGCACAGAGAGAGAGAGAGAGTGTGTGTGTGTGTGCGTGCGAGGTAGACAAGTGTAGGTGCGAATGTTTACATCAGGCTGCGCGACGCGATGTAAGTTCACCTAGCCTCGCCGTGGTGGTCAGTGCGCGTCTGGCAATATTCCCGACGACGGCTAACGGTATGCGCAACCAAACTGCGCCGAACTGTCGTTCACGAAGTATATGACGGATATTGACTTTGTCGAGACAATGGTATCAGAAAGCTGGCTTTTACTGATCTGATTCAGTGTTTCTTCATTCTTGGGGCCGAGGTAGGGCGTCAACGAATGCAGCCCGGTGCAGATGGTACAAATCGTTCCGAATACATCTTCCCAATCTACTCGCATTCGTAGCTGTCTTGCTCTCTGTGCCTAATGATATCCTTGGTATGCCTGGAATCCGTAGGATGCGTTCTGTGCCTGGTGTATAGCGTCGGGCGCCGCTCATCGTGGCGGCATAATAGCATAAGGATGAGGTACACCATAGTAGACTTGAACGGCGGGCCCGTGTGAGCGATCCCTGATTTCTTCCTTCAACTCATGCAAAGTCTCAAACAAATCGACGAAATTCACGCGTTGCACGTCCTCCACTCGCTGAATCCTGGCCTCAATGCGTTGCAATCTGTCAATTATGAGTTCCGACGTCTCTTCAATATCCGCCTTCTCAGCCACTTGCTCTCGAACACTGTCGATATGGTCTGTGATGTTGCCGAGCAAATCCTCGAAGCTTTGGGCCTGACTCGAGTGGAGTTCACGGACGTCTTTGCCAACCTGGTGCACCATGTCCATGGTGTTCTTGACCCTTCTATGAGTGGCCGCCATGACTAACATTTCGTTCGAGGCACCGGGGTTGCGCAGGATCTCGCGGCATACGTCAGGGGGTGCTTCCTGCGACTTTCGCTTTTTGGCTGCAGGCGGTGCGAGATGCTCCTCGTCCTTCAACGATTGCTCCGCCAGGTCTCGCGCCTGCGAATTTCCTACACCACGGGATGGTCGACCTCCAGAAATTCCATCCGCCGTCTGTTTACGTTTATCGGCAGTCTTCGTTCCCAGCGATCCATTGGAGACCGGAGTCCGATGCAGCTTGCTAGCTGCGTCTCCCGCGGTTCGAGGCCCGAGGGCGGTTGGCATTTTTGGCGCGTCCTTTGCGGAACGCAAACGCCTAGGAGACATTCTTTTTGGTGCGGTCGTACTTTGTGAATAAGGAATCGTACCTTAGTGGGATATGCGTGCGGTAAGAGGTATGCTGCTCTGGAGTAAAGAGTGTTTACTTTGAGACGCGGGTGACGCGAAGTAATTACCTAAGTTCACGCGATCCCGAGCCGTGGTCAGTGCTCAAGCATTGCGAAATGTGACGATCTCGCATTCGATATGCAACTATTTCGTCGATACAGTGGCGATGTGCTGTGCTAAATGATATCTTGTGGTTGTCTACTCTTTACACTTGAGCCTTCTGTTGCGGCGGCGGGGGCGGCGCCTTTGCAGTCCTTGCTGCTGGCAACAGACTCCTCACCTTCGCCATCAACCGGTCTCCATCCGCGCGAAGGTACGTCCCATTCAGCGTAGTCGCACGGGCGATGTTGTTCAGTACAGATTGCTGAAACACCTTTTTGCCGTTCAGCAACTCTTCTTGGTGGTATCTCCCCGCAATCATCTGCTCGATCAACCCGTTCCTGAGCTTCTCGGGAAGCGGCTGGAAAGAAGGTTTCTTGACGGCCGAATCTTTTCTCTTAGGCATCATTCGTTTCACCATCTCCAGCGTCTCGGCTTTTTCGTCGGGCGACTCGAAGCGGACGAATTGCTTGCTCCATAGTTTTCGAGCAAGCTGACTCGTTGCGCGGTTATCTTCGCTGATCCCGGCGTCCGACACTGCACTCAAATGCTCTTCAATGACACCCTCGAAGTTGTTGGCGACGATGGTCGATGCGTCGCGTTTGTAGAGTGGTCTAAAGTTGGGTTCCACCTCGAGATTGATGCTCGACTCCGGATCGAGTATGTGCTGATCAGCGAGGGTTGTGTCTGCACTCTGCACAGGTTCTTGTATGCCATGGCCTCTCTTCTCATCGGCATGTTCCACGTTGACCGGCCGACTCGTGCCCTTGGCTGCGCTTGAACGCCCCGTAACCTTTACGCCGTTTCGCACGTTGGGGTCGCTGCCTTGCGCGTAAGGCCCCTCTTGCGTAGGGCTGTCATTTTGACCCATCTGCCCACCACGTGCGCTCTTGCCCACTGCTTCGGAATTGACCTCCTTACTCGCGCCAGAAGGCTGTGGCGTATTGGAGTCCGCTTCGGACTTGGGGAGGTCGCGCTGCAGCATCTTCACTTCCTCGGAGACCATTGCCGCCCGTTGCTGCCTCGATGGCCCGCGTTTCGGAGCTGAAGGTACAAGTTAGTCACTCGCGATTGTGTGGATGTACTAGACGGTCATCTCACCATTCACGCGCGTCTTCCTAGCCTTGCCTTCAGCTTCTGCTGCTTCCTCGGCCCTCGTACGCAGGGAGGCGTGGAAGCATCGGTGACACTTGCCGCTGCGGAGCCATTGGAGTCGCAGAGCTTGCCGCTCGTACGCCGAGAGGGTCGAGAGTGATCGCTTTGTGAACATGATGAGTGGAAGAGGGTGTCGATGAACTGTGCGGTGTGCAAATGGAATGGAAGACGAGGTGAATTTGAGCTGCAAATCCGTCCGAGCTTTGACACTTCACGCCAAGCCCCGCGGGCTGACATCCCCTTCCGGAGCTTCACTCCAGCGACTGGCCATTCAATGTCAAACGGTATTACTACCTACGCTTCTCTTGCAATGGACTTCGTATTTCCTGATAATCCCGACAAAAGCGACAAAACGACATTTGGCACAGAACATCCATGATTTCGACAATCAAGTTCCTTGACACTCGGTCACACCTTCCCGAGCGCTCTCATGAGCCTCAGGAGCGTATGCAGACCGGCGACATGTAGGAATATTGTAACAGTACTATTTCGACCATCATGGCAACTTCGTGCGATATCCGCCTTCGGCCCAACGATCCTCACGCGAGGCGCCAAGAGAAAGACGGTGGTCAAGCTCAAGGATCTCCCTCAAGGGGGCCTGCCTCCTCTTTCAGAGAATCCAAAGGATGGGGCCAGCAATGAGCCAGCCAACGACGTGCAAACCAGACGCTTACCCCCGGCCTTCCAACAACACTACAACAATATGCGCAAATACCCAGATTGCGTCTTGTTGACCCGCATCGGCGACTTCTACGAACTCTACTTCGAGCATGTCCCAAAGTATGCTCCGCTGCTTGGACTGAAGCCATCCGCAAAGGGAAACAAAGACAATCCTATTCCGATGGCCGGATTCAAGATCGAACAGCTCGACAAGTACACCCGGATTCTGGTCCAAGACCACAATCTCAAAGTGGCAATCGCCGACCAAGTCAAAGTCTCTGCTGAAGACGAGCCGCTTCGGTATGATCGGCCTGTGAAGAGGATCTTGACCAAGGGCACGCTGGTTGATCAGGACTTCATCGAGCCGTACGAGAACAGCTACTTACTGGGCATTCATATTGATGGCCTAGTGTCGTCCGCGTCAGCCTCTGCTTCGAGTGAAGCGCACGACAAGTACAGGCGGACGACAAAAGTGGGCGTGAGTTGGTTGGATCTATCGAGCGGCGACTTCTTTGTTCAAACCAGCGATCTTGCCACGCTGCCGTCTCTCGTGGCGCGGATTGCACCCAGGGAGATTGTGTTTCATTCATCGATGGAATCGGCCGACCAAATTGCGCTTCAGAAGTTATTGGGGGAGATCGGATGGGTATTTCAATTCCACCGGCCTTCTCAGGCAGCGTCGTCCGTTGCCGAGTGGGCTTCCATGCTTGAGAAGCCCGTCTCCGCGGAGGACATCCCGCACTTCACTGCGCAAGAGCTAGCGGCGGGCAATATCGTCTTGGATTACGTCCGAGACAAGCTGCACGATGAAAGTGTCCAACTGCAGCCGCCTGTTCGCCGATCGGACAACGATTTCATGGCCATCGACAAGCAAAGCCTTCGTGGACTGGAGATCAAAAGCCTGATTCGCGATGGCAGCTTCAAAGGAAGCCTTTTGCATGCAATCAGACGCACAGTCACGAGGTCTGGAGCACGGTTGTTGAATCAGCGTATCACTTCGCCGTCAATGTCGCTCTCTGTCATCAACAACCGCTTAGACCTCGTCGACGAGATGCTTTCGCACGACGCTCTGCGTGAAGATGTCACGGCTTTGTTGGAAAGGACAGCAGATACCTTTCGACTCTTGCAACGATTTTCCATCAATCGAGGGGACGCAGACGATCTTCTGGCGTTGGCGAGGACCGTCGAAGTCATGAGTCAGATGTCTGAAATTCTGCATGACCACATCTTGGCTGGTCAACGGTCGAATGAAGACGCACCCTCCGACAAGGGGTGTTTGTGGGATGTTCTCGAACGTCTGGACCTCGAAGGTCCGAATAAACTGGCCAAGGCCATTCTAACGGCCATTGACGAAGAAGGCCTTACCCGCAAGCATAACAATGAGGACGCTGGCCGTGAAGAGGCTGAGGAAATGACCGAAGAAGTGATGGAAGCGGATGCCGCTGGGGAGAAAGCGCCACAACTTACAAGGCGAGCCTCGATATCAAAGCCCCCGCTGTCCGCAGACTCCCCCGAGCTTGACTCGCAAGACATCTGGATCATGCGGCGCAACGCTTCGTCCGCCCTGGGAATCACTCACCGTCAATTAGACGAGCTGCGTAAGGACAAGCACCAGCTGTTGCTTCAACTCCGGACACAGTTCAACACAGATGTATACTTTCAATGGAGCTTGAGGTATGGGCACACCTGTCGAATCAAGGGCAAAGATGTCCACAAGATCGATATCTCCAGTCTGCCTGGTGTACAAAACGTGTCGTCGACGAAGACCATCCGTACCTTCCATTTCGCAGAACTGACCGCGCTCGGAGATCGAATCGACGGCGCCAAAGCCCGCATCAGAACCGAAGAGGAACGAATGTTTAGCAAGCTCCGCGCTCAAGTCATCCAAAATATCGTCAAGCTCAGACGAAACGCTGCAGTCCTGGACGAACTCGACGTGGCCTGCTCGTCAGCCATCGTCGCAAAAGAACGCAACCTGACCCGACCGGAAGTAGACAACACCACCTCCCACCACATCATAGGCGGCCGACACCCCACCGTCGACATCGGCCTCAAAGAGCAAGGCCGCCCCTTCACCTCCAACGACTGCTTCGTAGGCGACTCCGAACGCATCTACCTCCTCACCGGCCCCAACATGGGCGGCAAAAGCACCTACCTCCGCCAGAACGCGCTCATTACCATCCTCGCGCAAACAGGCTGCTTCGTCCCCGCCGAATATGCACGCATCGGCCTCGTCGACAAAATCTTCAGCCGCGTCGGCTCGGCGGACAACCTCTACCAAGACCAGTCGACATTCATGGTGGAAATGATGGAAACAGCCGAGATCCTCAAACGCGCCACGCCGCGCTCGTTCGTCATCATGGACGAAGTCGGGCGCGGCACGACGCCCGAAGACGGTCTGGCCGTTAGCTACGCCTGTCTGCACCAGATCCACCATGTCAACAAGTGTCGGACGCTGTTTGCCACGCACTTCCACGCTTTGGCGGATATGACGGTCGACTTTGACGATTTGAGCTGCTATTGTACGGATCTTGCCGAGGAGCGGGATGGCGGGTGGGCGTTTTTGCATCGTCTGAGGCCGGGGGTTAATCGGACTTCGCATGCGCTAAAGGTTGCGAGGATGGCGGGGATGCCGGGTGAGGCTATTGGAGTTGCGTCGGATGTTTTGAAGGCGAGGGGGTTTGGGGAGTCTCCGCAAGGTATGAGGAATGTCTCGGAGGAGGTTGGAGTGGCTGCTATGGGTGGTCGTGGGTAGTCACAGGGAAAAGTGAGCGAGACTGATGCATGAGATGTTGATGGGCATGTAATCTACATTTTTTCAGCGATTATGCCAAGGACATATCCGAGACGTTGACACATTTTGCATCATCACTCGTTCAAAGGGAGTTGCATAAGGCTGGAGGACGGGGAGAGTTTCGGGTGCGGCCGAAACGCCTGGCGCATTGGCCAGGGATTCGTCAGACGAGAGCATTGATGCAGCCTGCACACCTCACACAGTAGCCAGCCCCCCACCACACTGTCCTTTCCGCTGCACTACTACACAACAACCACACAATCATGGCCGACCCCTTCGATGCAGCCCTGTAAGTCCCCCATCCTCAATCCGCGAGGCCTACCAACCATCTAACCATCCCCCACCAGCGACCTCCTCCGCCGCCTCCCGCCCTCCTCCACCCAACAAAACCTCACAGGCATCATCTCCCTCCGCCCCGAGCTAGAAGAAGACCTGCTCTCCTCCGTCGACGTCGCCCTCACCTCCGCCCGCTGCCGCAAATCCGGCCGCGACTACCTGTGCTGCGACTACAACCGCGACGGCAACAGCTACCGCTCACCGTGGAGCAACGAGTTCGAGCCGGCGATTGACGCCGACGACGCGGCGGAGCTGATTCCGCATGGCCGTGTGCGGCGCATGGAGGAGAGTTTGAATGCTGGCGTGGACGTTTATCGCGAGCTGTATTATGAGGGGGGCGTGAGTTCTGCGTATTTGTGGGCGCTGGACGAGGGGTTCGCGGGCGTGGTGTTGTTTAAGAAGAGCGCGGGGAGTGCTGGGAGCGGGAAGGGAGGCTGGGATAGTATTCATGTGTTGGAGGTGGGGGAGTCGGGGTCGAAGCGTTCGGCGCAGTACAAGCTTACATCGACGGTGATTTTGGATCTCGCGTTGCGGTCGAAGGAGGTGGATCAGTTGGAGCTGGCGGGGAATCTGACGCGGCAGACGCAGCAGGAGTTGCCTTTGAGTGGGCTGCGGGAGGCGGAGGTCGAGCAGGGGCATATTGTCAATATTGGGCGGATGGTGGAGGATATGGAGACGCGGATGCGCAACTTGCTGCAGGAGGTGTACTTTGGGAAGGCGAGGGATGTGGTGGGGGATTTGAGGAGTATACAGCCGCTGAGCGAGGCGGAGAGGGATCGGGCGGCGCAGAAGGAGGCCATCAGCAAGATGAATAGTCGTTGATGTGGGCAGTGGAGAGCATGACCGTCAAGACAACTGGAGCATTAAAAGTGTCTAGTATTCACCAATCCATCCGAGCAATGTCTAGTTCTAAGACACGCTACATTTGAAAGGCAAACCACACGGTCCTTTACTACTCTCATCTTCCTGATTCGCAGCAGCGGGTGCAGCAGCAGCAGGAGTGCTCGTCGCAGGCTTCTGCTGTTGTGCAACCGGTTGAGAAGTGGCCGGCGCCGCCGCGGCGGGCTCGGCCTTATTCGCCTCCTGCTTCGTCTCCCCCTCCCCGTTTGGCTTTCCAGCGGCACTGCCATCTAGTCACGCGAAGTTGTGCTTCGAGACGTGACCCCAGAATGACCGGCCTTGCTCGGTAGCGAGCTCGAGTTCCTTTGCGGAAGGCTGACGAGAGCCATCACCGCCCTGAAAGAGTAAGATCTGTCAGCAAGCAGCTCGGAATGTTCGGTGGAGAGGCGAATGAACTCACCGAGAAAGTGCCGGCACCCCAAGGGCTACCTCCGCGCACTTCCGAAAGATCACCCAGCAAGGCAAAGGTAGTTTTGTACCCCAACGGCACAAAGATCAACCCATGATGCGTGAGGGTCGACATGGCCGCAAGAGCAGTGCTCTCCTGCCCGCCGCCCATGGTCGCGGAACCGACAAACAAGCCCGCAAACTTGCCCCAGAAGCCGCCGGTCTGCCAGATGCCGCCCGTCTTGTCCCAGAAGGCCTTCCACTGCCCGGGGAAGTTGCCGTAACGCGTGGGGATGCCGAAGAGGAAGGCGTCGTACTCGAGCAGCTTCTGTGGGTCGTCGAGCGTGGGGACGGCGGCGTCTTTCGCGGGGGCGTGCATCTTCTCGAGCACTTCCGTTGGCAGGGTTTCGGGGAGCTGGTAGAGGTCGACTTGGCCGCCGGCTTCGCGGATGCCTTTGGCTTCGGCTTCGGCGAGGGTCTTGATGTGCCCGTACATCGAGTACTAGGGAGGGGTGGGCATTGAGCATTGGACTCGTTGGCGGGGAGGGGCCATTGGGCATTGGGCGTTTAGACTTACGTAGACAATTGCTACCTTGGGTGCCATTGTGAGAGAGCTTTTGGAGGGTTGGTAGGAGGGAATACTGCGATGGGAAGTCTGGGAGGAGTGTTGGAAGAGATAGAATCAGATCTAAATTTGTAAGGGAAAGGACTGAGGAACAGCTCGAATGTAAATAGAGACGGGACATTATAAATCTGTGACCGCCCGAGCATCCGAGCTCTGGTTGCCATTGACGCCATCCGGGGAATTTACCGACGATTATCTAATCAGAGGGGCAGTAAAGCTGTGCTAAGTCTGCCTAAAACAGGCAATTTGCTACCTTTTGGTGTGTGAGGGTCGATAATGCACCTAAATAGGAGGCGGAACGGCTCCGACACCACCTCCGCCTTGACAACACATTGATCAAAGCAACATAGCCCCTGCGTAGCCAATGTCCGAACGAGGCAGCGCCGGGGACTCGCGAACGAAGTCGACACAACCGGAGGCTTCACCGTTGCCACTCCCTTACCAACTAGAGTCGCAGTAAAACTCAAAAGCACAAGCACCTCATCCAGCATGGCCGCATCAACTCCAGGAAATGAAGAAGAGGAAGACGACTACCTCTCCATGACCTTCGCCGACACCACAACACCAGCACCACCCAAAGAAACCTCTCTCCAACGCACCGCGCGCCTCAAAAAGGAAGCCGCAGCACGTAGCCTGCCCCTCTCCAAAGCAGAACTCGAAGCCCAGGCCCAGGCCAATCTGGAAACCGGCCTCGCAACTTCAATAGACAGCAGCAACAGAGGCGCGCAAATGCTGGCGCGCATGGGCTTCAAAGGCGGCGGTTTGGGGAAGACGGAGGGCGCGCGCACCCGGCCGATTGAGTTGGAGGTTAAAGGGGATCGAGGCGGGATTGGGATGGATAGTGAGAAGAAGCGCAAGGTTAGGGAAGCGGCGGAGGAGGCTGGCGCGGGTGGTGGGGAGAAAAGGGCGAAGGTGGGGGTGGAGGAGTTTAGGGTGAGGCGGGCGGGGGAGAGGGAGGAGAGGAGGGCGGAGGGGTTGGTGTGGGGGGCTATGAGGGTTTTGGAGGGTTTGGGGGAGGATGAGAAGGAGGGCGAAGGCGACGATGTGCCCACGACGACGACTGGTCATGGAGCGAAGAAGCGTCGACTACGTGGCGTGAATATCCTGTACCGTCCCCTTGTCCGCCAACGACTAGAGCGCGAACGGGATCGGAAGATGCGCTACGACCTCAACAACTCACTGTCTACCCGCAACGACAACGACGACGACGAAGATGAGAGCGTCTTCGACAAGAGGGTGGAGGAGCTGGAAGACGCTGATCCCGAACTCGAGGAATTCGAGGCTCTCAGCTTCGCAGAAAAGCTGGAAAGAATCACCAAGGAACTGCGGGAGAAGTATCGCTATTGCTTCTGGTGTAAGTTTCGCTACCCGGATGCTGAGATGGAGGGCTGCCCTGGCTTAACGGAGGATGAGCATGGCTGAGCGGTGCTTCCTTGTTCAATTCTTGCTTGTGTCCATGCAAATGGCCGTGCGTGGCATTTCTGAGGAGCTGTGATCTGGTCTTGCAGCGACCACGTTGTAGTCGAGTGGGCCACCGAGCGGTCCTTGAGGCGCGATTCGTAATGAAGGTGAATTTCACACAAAACCCCTCACTTCGCCCCCAATATCCCAGCAATCTGCAAACACAAGTCCAGAATGGTCAGGTGCTCATCACTCCCATCCACCAGCCTCTTGTCCGTCTCCGAAAAGCACAGTACAATCTTGCTCTTCTGAAAATCTCCCACGGCCTCGTCGCCAATCACAATCACGTCGTACAACTGCGAGACGACCTGTGTAGCAGACCAGCCCTCGGCGACGAGATCTTGCACCGCTTTCGACACGCGCGAATAGACCGTGCCCTTTGAGGAAGGCCTCATGGCAGTGGTGAGATTGTCGATCGTAGCGTTGGGAATGACGCCGGCGATCTCCTCAATACTGCGAACCGTGACCGCCTGCCCTCCTGTGGCCGCGGGCGGCGCATCGCTGTCGACATCCATCGACTCCCCATCGTCCGAATCGTCCTCGATATTCGCTCGTTTTCTCTTCTTTTCCGCGCCTGACCCAGCCTGCACAGCCCCCACCAGCCTCGCCGCCGACTGCAGAAATGTAATTGCCTTTCTCAAATCACCCTCGCTGCAGCGCAGCAACGTCGGCACCACACCCTCTTCCAGCGCCACGTTCTCCAGCTTCGCAATATCCTCCAACCGCTTGCCCGCATTCGCCTCGTCCAGCGATTTGAAGCGGAATTTGCTGCACCTTGAGGCGAGCGGGTCAATGATGCGCGTGACGTAGTTGCAAACGAGACAGAAGCGCGTGATCTTGCTGTATGTCTCCATCGTGCGGCGCAGAGCCGATTGCGCATCTTGCGTCATGCTATCCGCTTCGTCCAGGACAATGATTTTGTAGGGCGGGCAGGGGTACTTCTTTCGGTACTCTATTCCTGCGGGGCCGGAAGGCGGGTTGGAGAGTTGCATGCGCGCGAAGTCTTTGACCTTCTCTCGTACTATGCTGATGCCGCGCTCATCGGAGGCGTTGAGTTCGAGGACGCGGGTTTTGATCAGGTCCGGGCCGTAGAGTTGTTTGGCGAGCGCGAGGACGGTGGAGGTTTTGCCTGTTCCCGGGGGGCCGTAGAAGAGCATGTGGGGGAGGTTGGCGGATTGGAGGGTGCGGCGGAGGACGATGACGGTGTGGTCTTGTGCGGTGACATCGTCGAGGGATTTGGGGCGGCTGAGGGGCCTACGTTAGCAAGGTTTCTTGTGGTCCATTTGGGCATGGAGCTCGTACTATTTCTCCACCCATGGCTGTAACCGGTTGTCTTGTGCTGGTGCGGATGACTTGGATGAGCCTGCTTGTGCCGCAGCGGCAGCAGCAGCTTGTCGTGCTCTGATGTCGAAGAAGTTGGACATGTTGGCGGCGATGATGTGGTGAAACGAGACAAGATGGAGTTGGAGGCACGCATGAGGTGCGGTAGACGCGCTGGACGCGACTTTTGGCGCATCAATTTCGGAAGTCGCAACCGAGCAAGCTCCCGTCACTCGTCATCTTCAACCCACACACGCGCGCCCCCTTCCCTCTTCCACCCTTGCAAATGGGCCCAGCATCCTGGATACAGCCTTCGACCGAGCCCCAGTCATTCCCCAGATGAGTCGCGAACCATGCGATCGCCACCGGCAATCCGAATCGAGACATGAACGATGAAGCCTCCTCATCACGAATCGCCCGCCCACCACCCTCGATTGTCGATTCAAATGGCTCCTCATATCAACCGGCGCCGACGGCGGCCGAACTCGCAGAGCGGAGGAAAAAGAACAGACAGACGTTCAATCGTAAGCGCGGCGATCTGCTCGACGACTTGCTCCGCAATCTCGACCTCATCATCTACGCCGAGTTGAGCGCGATTTACTACATGGAGTACGGAACGCCTTCCTTTGATGAACACCCTTGGCTGACGTTAACAAATAGCTGCTCATTCCTCCGCTTCGTCCTCCGCGCCTTCGTGCAGTTCCTACTTCTCACTCCAAAACCACCCGTCTTCCCTGAACAACCCGAAGACCGACCAGTCGTGGGTGCCATCTTCACCACGAACGCCATTTGTCTGTTCTGCCACATCTACTTTGCCGCGCCATCCGCGGGAGAAGCGACTCGAGGATTCCTGCATGGTGGTCTGGCGATGGACTTTATCGGCCAGCAGGGACCGAGCAGCAAGATCCATCTTGTGCTGCTAGATATTCTCGTTGTGGTCCTGCAGCTCGTACTGCTCGCTGCTGGTACCTTGCGCAAAAGATTAAAAGACAAAGCGAGCAGCGCGACTCCTGCGTCCACGAGCACGACTCCGTCCACGAACACGGCTGCAGCACCTACTACCACGACTACAGCACCAGCCGCTCCAGCGACGCAACCATCGACACAGGATCTAGACTCGGAGGAGCGAGGCGTGCGTCGATCGATGGAGCAACACGACATCGAAATGCAAACCCTCAACCCCTCGGGTACGGCAACCAGCCCCGCCGCCTCTATCGCCGAACCCTCCGCCCACGACGCCTTGCTCGCCAACACCTCCGCTCCGGCCACAGACGAGCACATCTTCGACGCCTTCCACTCCGGCCAAATTGTGCTCGCCGACTTGGACATTTGGAAGACGATCAAGGAGCAAGCCAGCATGATGAAGGATTCGCGCAACGCATCTACGCCCACCGTTGACTCGATTAGGAGCGAATTGGCGGCGAGGATGTTGCGGATGCGCATGGGGACCGATGCTTTGAGGCAGAGCCTGTAGTTCTATGTTCCCTGGGCGTACCTGATATCTGCTTGACACATAGCGAAGGCGCTGGGAGAAAGGGTATTGTATTTTGGAAGCTTACGTCTTAGAGGCCGGGTGGCATATGCAACTTCTGATCCAAGCTGTCCCACGCATCCTCACGTTATCATTGCCGATTGCCGGGTCGATATGTGCTACACGCTTTCTGACTCAGGATGACTGAGACTTTAACCTTCACCTCATCACATCCTCTTGAAGGCAGCAACTTGCTGTTCCCAGCACCGGCCAGGCGGATACGCTGCGTTCAGCAGAAGCGCAGGCACTTAATCTGCATTGCCAGAATCGGCGCAGCCACTCCATACTCATCTTACCCATCCCCATCCCCCGCAATCGCCTACTCATCGCATCATCATCATCGCCAACCTACGCCAGCATGGACGTCTTCGCCAACCAGCTCTCCACCCTCCGAACGCTCATCGTCACCCTCGACTGGCTTCTCATCAAAAAGCTCTTCGTGGCCTCCGTGACGCTCGTCGCACCCATCCAACTCTCCCGCACCACATCGCCTGTCCTCTGGCCTTTCTTATGCGGACACGCTGCCTACCGGGTGCCGGAGTTGGACCTTCCGGACTTTGTCGCTTATCCGCTCATTGCCGAGCTGTGCGTGGTTGCACTAGGGTTTTATTCCTGCTATTTCCAGAGTGTGAGGGACGTGGAAGTTGCTGAGAGGGAGAAGGGTGGTGTGGAAGGCAAGGAGGCCGCGTAGGATGGGATGGCCCACCTCTCTTGCGGTCATGTTGGCATTTGTTCAGGGCATCGTTTACGTTTGCATTCGGTGTCCTCGAAAACGATGGGCGAGTGGACGTACGGCCTCAGCCTGGTGCAAGGGCGAAGCTCTTCAACATTGAGATTTTCTATATGCCAGTGGACTCGTTGTTTTTCGAGCCTTCGTAGCGATGGGTATTCGTCAATACTCGTTGAAGGCAGTGCAATCGAGTTGTGCATTGCGTTAGTAGCAGCGCAGAAAAGCACATTGTTTCAATGTTGTCTGGTAGGCAGGCAATGCAGGCTTTCTGCCTCAGGCTACATTAAACTTCATCATTACTACAGCCTGCTCAGAACGGCAGCAGCTCGTATGGTTACATCCGAGGGGCTTGGGGCTTCCACACACTAAGCATACACTTCTATGTTTTCCTTCCGCCGCTGGATCGCCGAAAACCTCGACCGGGTCTTCCTCCGCATCGCCAGGTTCTGCGCAGTTGTCCTGGTGCTCGCTTTACCCATCCAAATCTACCGCACCGGCGATCCCCTTCTCCGGGGAATGGTCTGGCCCACCTTGTGCGTCTCCGCTACATTGCTCGTGCCGGCCTTTCGCCTGCCGCATCATATCGCCAACCGGCTCACGTGCTGCTTCTGGACCGCCGGTCTAATCGCTTATTTCATCTGCTTCGTACCAGTCGCAAAGCGGGTGAACAGGACTGCTAGCCTTCCCTCGCCATCACCCATCCAGGACACCATCATCGCCAGACAACGCGCACCATGGACTCCTTGAGGAACGAAATCTTTACGAGCGAAAAGTTCACTGTCTTCTGGAACTTCGTCACCAAGCTCACCGCAATCTTCATGGTGATCATCGTCCCCTTCCAGATCTACCGCACGGGCAATTCGGCGCTCTGGCCCGTCGTCTGCGGCTCCGCTGCCTCGCTCGTGCCAGACCTGGGCCTGCCAGGCACAGTCGCTGAACCCCTCGCCTTTGGACTCAGGGTCGTTGCCGTGCTCACTTTGTTCCGGTACTTGGTCGGGCGCAAGCAGGCGTACGAGAAGCGTAAGATGGGGAACAAGGCGGCTGGGACGGGGGCATCATCCTGATGAGTCTCCAATTTCAGTGCGAAGAATCTATATGTAATTGTATCTTAGCCTTCTCGCCTCCAAGATTTAGCAAATGCGAGTCAGAACAATGAAAGTCGGTTTTGTAGTCTGTCCTGCGAGTAAGGCAACCTCATGGCGATTGCCTGAAAGACGGACTTTCTGCCTCAGGCCGAGAATATACTTTGTCTTCACCCAATGCTCCTCGCATCGTTAGCTTCCCGTAATTCATTACACGCCACCATGCGGACTACGGACTATACCGTGAGGACGCTAGGCAGCACTCTTCACGCGCACAGGAAGACCGCGTAGCATCACAACAATCTATTCGACATTTGCCCCCCTCGCGATCGGGGGGAAACGAGTCCGCGGGTTAGACAATCTGAACCCCGCCTACATCCACGGCCAGCCTCGCATTCCACCAAACTCACATCTCCACCTGCTCGAGCATCACCTCCTCCACACACCTGGACACAGCAACGGCCATGTTCTTCTTCGACCGCCGCCTCTTTACCGTCCACAATGCCCTCTTCCTTTGCAGGCTCGCCGGCGTAATCGGCGGATGTCGCACAGTCGTCCAGCTATCCATTCTGATCTACCACGACAACCTTCCGTTCCTCTGGGACTGCTTGTATCCCTTCTTGTGCGCCACCGTCGCCTTAATCGTGCATCTCCTTGGCCTCCCGACCCGCGCCAGAGCCGACCGGCTCACAATCATCCTCTGGATAGCCACGCTAGCTTTCGGCGCAAACGTCTTTATCAAGCACAACACGGAGCCGAGTTTCGTCCAGCGCTATCTGGAGACGGCAGGTTGCACGCTGCACACGAAGTACCACTACGAACCGGACGGAGTCGTCACCTGGGACAGCTGGGCGACGGGCCGCTGGTGCCAGAGCACCTACAAGCAGAGCATGACCATTGGGCGCGGACAGCGCAAATACGTGGAGCAGAGCGATCGCTGCTATTCGTTTTGCGCGTACCATGTGGCGGAGCATGGCGGCCGACTGCACGGCTTCATGCCCACCTCACCTGCCGACCGCGTGCCGGAGAGCAGATTCTGTGAAGGGGAGCAGACGTATTACGGGAACTGCCCGGAGCATCCGAGGTTTGATAAAACACGTCGGCTTGTCCTACTGGCGATCCGAGATGCCGAGATTCCCGTGAAGAATGTGTCGGCGGGCAAAGGCTTGCACTCCATGACGGATGATTATGGAGATCTCGAGACATGACTGCGGCCGATGCGGTCTGATGAAGATGATTGCTTTATTCTACGGTCAGCCCGCACCGCCTACTACTCCTCCCGCAGGGTTGTACCCTGATTTGGCCTCATATTCCCTACCGGCCCACCTGAGCCTTCACATCTCGACATCGGACCGCCTCCTGCTATCGCACTGCCAATATCTATAGCAACAGAGATATTCCATACCAAAGGATAAGGGGAGAATCGCTGGATCCATTATTGCCTTCTTTTATAAGGCGGATGCAATCAGGCAAACGAAAGGTTCGTCGGGGAAGTCGTAGCCCGGCTGCAGCTATCTCCGGCCTGGGATCGGAGGCACGTCGGGAAAGTCACAGCCGCGCTGGCAGCCATCCCCGGCCTGGTAGAACAGCGTGTTTAAAGGGCGCGAGCCGCGAACGCTTCTCGGCCCTAGCTGTAGCCCTAGTCTTGGTACGGCATCAATTGGCGACTCTACGGGTCCAAGCATTCGCACGGGCCCGGGCACAAGGGGTGTAACGCATCACACAATCCACAATGGTACGATGCAGATCGAGACCGAAGCAAGAAATGCGATACGAGAGCACCCGTGATCGACAAGATGTCTTACCTTCCACAAGCCAGCATCGAGGCCGAAGTGTCCAACAGCATTCGTACACCCGAGAAGAACGAGAGGGAAGAAACAGACAATGGTAACAAAAGGAGAGGAGAGTATACCAGCAAACACAAAACTTTCTATCATCCACTCATATTCTCAAAGAGAAGAAAAACAAGAAAACACAAGCAAACCGGGTTCGCGCGCCGCCTTCACGCTCCATCTCCAGCCTCCAGCCTCTTCATCTTTGCCAACGTACCTACACAGCGTAATCGGAGTTTTTGAGAGCAGAGGGGATATGCGGTGTTGTGTGTGTGTGATTTGAGGAGTTCCATTAGTCAGTTCAGCATGTACCGGATGTCGATGTTCGAGATTTCCAAGCGGCAGATCATTTCGTTTAAGCCGCCTGCTTCTTGTCTTCTTGCGGCGACGGACCACCGGTGGTCGGCAGGCCCATGAAGATCTTGAAGGAGTCGTAGATCATCCATTGGAGGCCGGTGAGGGTTCCGATCATCACGATACTAGACGATATTAGCATTCCAAGCGTACGATTTAGAAATGCTGAGAAGCGATAACTCACCGCACGGGCAAACCGTTCCACAATCCACCAAAGCCAATATCCTTGTAGATTCTCGACGTGGCGGCACCAAAGGATTCACCGGCTTGACGGTTGGCATTGAGCTTGCTGACCATGACGTCGGCGGGATGGGAGACGATGGCGCAGAGGATACCGGCGACGTACCCACCAGAGAAGGCGACGGCGGTCTGCGCGCCCTTGCCGTAGTCGTTCTTGGTGCCGGGCAGGTAGTTGTAGATCATTTCGACAATGGTCTCGAAGGAGGCGAATTTCATCATGGTGTAGGGGATTTGACGGCCCCAGAGGGGGTTGATGCCTTTGTAGAGACTGCGCGGATATCAGCGTTAGGGGACGTGGTGTGTTTTGAAGAGGGAGTAATCTCACCCAGCGAAACCTTCGGCGGCGATAATCTTGCTGATACCATCGAATGCTCCCTTGTACGGTGCAGGCATGGTAGTCTGGTTGCGGACCTTGACGGCTTCAAAGGGACAGAGACCAATATCGGCGAAGAACTCAGCAGACGCGGAACCAGCAAGATAGACCCAAGTCTTGTATCGCTTGGCGTTCTCCTCGCCGACCTGGTCGGAGTAGAACTTCTTGAAGAATTCGTACCCGCCGTACTTCAGTGCACCCTGGACGGAGTAGCCGAAGAAGGTGGGCGAGCCGCCGGTGTAGATGGCGCTCGCGCCCTCGGACGTCCAGATCTTGTTCCAGGCCTGGAAGTTGCCCTTGTACAGCTTGCTGTCGACTTGGCGACGGCACTTGACGAGGTCGAGCGGCGTGACGGCCCAGTGGGTCAGGCCGCAAGCCATCATGCCTCCAAAGGTACACGCCTGCATGGCCAATGTTAGGAGGGGGATGCATCGCGAGTGGAGTGGAGGGTGCTGGACTCACAGCATAGTACTTCCCGCTGTACAGCTCAATATGGCCGGCCTTGGCCTGGGCAATGTTGGAAGCCTTCTGGATCTCTTTGGTGGCGGCATCGCTCAACTGGCCGGCCTTGTTCTTGGCATCTTCCGCGACATCCCACGCGCTGTACAGCTCGGAGCGCGCCTGGTAGGGAGAGCGTTTGGCGGGGCGGTTGACGGTGTAGGGGTATGCTTGGCCGAAGGTGGCGCTCAGGGCGCCGGCGGTGGGGAAGAGAGACATTGTTTGCGGCGATGGCAATGCTTTATCTCCCTGATTGCCTGAGGGGGTGAGGGAAGTCAGCCGGCTCTCCTTATCTCCGACCGATGCGCGGTCAGAGGGGGGACTGCGCGGGTGTCGAGTGGTAGATGGGAAGAGGCGTGGGTTGGCGACGAGCGGCAGGAACGTACCAGCAATGTCTCGACTGCTACCGAGACAGTCGATGATGATTCCGGGGGTTGGTGAGGGGAGAGAGCGGGAGATGTGCTTGTTTCTGGCGGAGAAGTTGCCCAAAGCTGGGGGAGCTCAACAACCCAATCCCGAGGAAATGACGTAAAGGCCGGAGGCTGGTCCAAGCGCCCGATGCGCCAGACGTAACTTCCACATCGAGATCGAGCAGAATATCAAAATGGCATATCACCGTTGATCACTACCCATGCGACATCCAACACCATGGAAGCCCCCATTGCCCAAGCAGTCGCAGACCCTTCCTCCAGCAACGGAGCCAGAAGATCCTCACACAAATACCGCGGCGTACGTCTCCTCCCCCACTCCCAATGGCAAATCTCTAACAAACCCACCAGGCCACAGTAGAAGACCTCGTCCGTCCCCTCCCACCAACCACCCCGCTTCGTCCCCAACTAACAACCACACCCTCAGGACCCCCCACCAGCCCTCTCCACCTCCCCCAAAGCCTCAATCTCCTCCGCCCTCCTCGCAGCCTACGAACGCGACTTCTCCCACCTCACCGTGCTCTCCCCCACGGACAAATCCCTCCTAGGCTATGTCTCCATCGCGCACCTGCGCGCCCAGCTCGAAGCAAAGACGGTGCAAGACTCTGACCCCGTGGAGAAGGCGATGGTGCGCTTCCAGCGCAAGGGCCGGAGGTATAGGTTGATTACGATGGAAACGCGGCTGGAGGAGTTGGAGGCGTTTTTCGATGGCGTTGGTGTGGATGGGGCGAGGCAGGAGTTTGCTGTTGTCACCGACCCGGGGCGGAGGTTTGTGCTTGGTGTTGCTACCAAGGGGGATTTGGAGGAGTTTGTGCGGAGGAGGCCGGCTTGATCTCGTGTCTACTCCTGTGTTCGTTGTGCTCGTTGGAGGGGCATTTAGCGAGGAGTTTCTCGGAAGGGAAGTCCGTCTAGTGTGTTGTCGTTTACACATTGCGAAAGACTTTGTCCAATTGCACATATTCTAGATTTTTTCATGCAAAAGCGCCGACGATTGACATCAACATACTCCCACACACCACCGCCGCGCAAGCCTCCACGCGCCTCCTGCCCTTCAAATCGACATAACTGCGATCGCTCAAAAAGTCCTCGGCGAGCAACTGCACCAACCCAGCATACAACAGCAATCCCGCCGAAATCGCATTCACAATGCCCACCATGAGCAACCCAAATTCCGACGCCGGATCGTAGAGCGTGTGCACCGCAAGCCCAATCGCCTGTCCAATGGGTGTCGTGATGCCGTAGAGCAAACTCATGAGCCACGGTTTGAACGACGTGGTGCTGAATGACTCGATGGCGGCGATGCGGGAGCCGAGGGCCAGGCCTTCGAAAGTCTGATGGAAGCTGATGGCGATGAGGAGCACGATGAAGGCGGGCCCGGTGGTGACGGAGAGGGCCATGCCGATGAAGACGCTGTGGAAGAGGATGCCGGCTTCCAGGAGCAGGCATTGGAGCACTAGCCGCTGTTCTTGCGTTTTGGCGGGGAGCGCGGAGGTCGGGCTTGGTGGGATGGGGGATTCTATAGGTTCGGCGAAGGAGACGTTGCGGCTCGGAGGTTTCGGTTTTGTGTGGCCGTTTGCGGTGGAGAGGGAGGAGGTTCGTTGGATTGATCGGTGAGAGGTTAAAGGTTGGGTGTCGGATGTTTCGGGGTCAAGCTCGTCGAGGTCGAGGTCTGAGTCGTCATTATCTCCCTCGTCTTCTCTGTCGTTATCATCTTTGGCCGGCGGTGGTGGAGGCGGCAAAGGCTTATCGACCGATCCCGGCGCGTCCGAGTACGGACTCCGCGGCGGCTGCAACTGCTCATATCCCTGCCCATTCTCCTGTGAAGGCACCTGGCGAAAAGCACGGAAACTGCCCGACCTCCTCGTCTCCCCCGCATCGGTGTGTCCAGCATCAGCCCTCAAATGTTCCAAATCCACAGCGTGACTGTGCGCCGCTCCCTTGGACGCAAATATCATCTCAATCCCCACCACTGTCATCACACTAAGCATAGCCACGAAGCCAGCCATAGGGGGGTAATCTTTGTTCCAAAACGGAGGCAGACATGGATCCATCAGATTCACATATGCGGTGGGGAGCAGATGGACAAAAGCAGTGGCAATCAGTACGCCGGTGCCAAAGTGTCGGGAGAGGAAGAGGGTGTAGCTTGGGACTGGGAGGGTAGGGAATCGCCGGGCGATGACGGGGAAGGAGCAAGCGAAGGTGCTGAGGGCGAGGATGAGGAAGAGGGCGAAGACGTGCAGCGAGGTGTTGTAGCCGCGGATGGCGGTGCCGCTGCCACATGCCGGCCTCTCACCGGCATCTTGACGACGGGTTATCTCGGCGTGGAGGAGGTGGATGGGGAGGCTTGCGACGCTGTCTGTGGAGGTGGATGGTTAGTGGGAAGTACGGCGTGAATCGGCTCGGATTGAGGGGGGCTCACTGAGCGACGCATCTTGGGTCATCTTAGAGATGAAGGGAGATACTGTGCGGACGGCTCATCCGGACGCTTCATCCTCCAGATGCGAGAGTCGGGAGTGGAGAGGTGAAGTGTAGGGAGATCCCGGGCTGAAGTCGAAGTGTTCGCGGGAAGGGACGCCTGAGTTTCAGGACTTTTGGGCGGCGGGTCCAGATTGTCAAGCAAGCCGAACGGATCTGATGGCCCGCACCGGCCTGACCCGCTGAGTAATCTCAGCCTCGCCTTGCAAAGTTTACATGAACGACGTCGAAATAATTGAGAATAGACAGAGGCCAAAACCTCGATCATTTAGCATTTGTCTCTATACATTGATTCCTGTGTGGTGTGCGTGCTCCTCATTAACCGCATCCCAATCTCAACACTCGAACTCGCGACCCTGGTGTAACGCAAAACAACAGAATTCCTTACATCACCAACACTCCTTCGATCACAACACTCGAACCCGCGACCTCAAAACAAACAAAAAGTAGGCGGCAATCAACGCCCACCGCCGATCCCCCGGCCTTCTATCTTACTAGAGAGAAGGCACTCCACAAGCCCCCCGCCCCACAACCTATACACATCAGTATGGCTGTGTGAGCGGTGGATCAGCACCTAATTATTTCGCCTGTAACAGGCGAAAGATTGCAAACCCCCTGGACTTTTGTCCCTCAAGGTACTTGAACTTTGGCGCTTGACCGTCTTTCCTCTTGAGTTGGTGATGCAGGGCAGGGAATCGTTGATACAGTTCCCACAAAGTCTGAACATTGCCAAAAGCGAAACATATCACCTTCCTTGTCCGCTTTCGTTGTGATGCCTGTCTTGTGGGAGACTCTATTCATATGCCTGCACATGGTTATGACTCATGACCACAAAAACAGAACATCTTCTCCGCACAAATCAACAAAAACGAAACACCTTCTCCGCGCCGCTCCTCTTTGAGAGGGCTAGATACATACCTGCGGAGGGTGAAGCGAAACTCAGCTGCGCACACTCATCCCGTTAGGGACTTTCGTGGAGCCTGGTTTTGTTGCTTTTTTTCATTAGGTCGGAGCCTAGATATTAGCAATTCCGCCCGGGGGAAGGGGGGACGCCTCGCACTTCACTTTTTGGTCACCGAGGAAAGTGGAGGCAACAATCACTTCACAGCCGTTGGCAGCGCACTGAAAGTGATTGGTGAAGTGCGGACACCAAATTATCGTGTATATATTCGGGAAAAGGAGTCGAGGTTTAGCCGGAGGTGTGCGAGCGGGATGACGTCCATTATTACACAGTAGACACGTGATTGAGACGAGAGATGGGTGGACGTCATTCCTCCCCATTGCACTATTCACCTAACAATCACCCAAGCTCAGAGCGAACCATAGTAGCGGATGCATGGCGGTTGACCTGTCCGTCCTTGCTGCTACTCATATCTTTCGGTTCCCCTCGCTGTCCAACTAAGACTTCGTCCCCAAAACAGGCCACTCGTCTTCGTTCAGGTTGAGCTGCGACGAACTGCTTGCTGACACGCCCGCACCGCGTTTCTCTGTAGCGAGTTCCTTTGTCCCTGACGCGGACCAATCGTCTTCGGGAAAGTTGAACTGCGGCGGACAGGTTGTCGACGCGACACCACTGCGTTTCTCCTTGGTGGGAACCAGTGTTTCCGTCTCAGAGTCTTCCATTGTTGACGCGACAGCACTGCGTTTCCCGTTGATGGGAACCAGTGTTGCCGTCGCTCCGTCTTCCTTCCATCCGCCACTCGCACTGTCTGCGGCACGGACAAGCCCTTTCCACCTCTCATCATTCTCCTCCCCATTGTTTTGACCCACCGCGCTCTCCTCAATATCACCCCCATCATCGGATCCGTCATTCCCCATCTTCTCCATCTCCCCCTTACAACCCATACAAGTCTGGCCACCACCCAAAATCAGCACCCATCTCACCTTCACTCCCAAACCAAAGGGATGAAAGAACTCACCGGCTCAACATCCTTGAACTCCCTTTTCGAAAACTCCTCCCTCTGCTTCTTCTCCCCACACCACCCGCACTTGACCTTGCCCTGCTTCGCAGGCTCGCAGTCGCGGCAGCAAACGTACGGTTGATCCCCCGGGCTGTGCCTCTTACACGTGCGGATGCGGTCGTGCAGTTTGCTCATTTGGGAGTGCGAGAAGGCTTTGTGGGGTTTGTTCGCGAGGCAGATGCGGCAGGGAATTCTGTTGGTTGGCTCATGGGTGAGTATCGATGTGTGGATACGAAGGGGAAAAGTGGTTTACCTGCTGCTTGGATGCATGGCTGCAATGCGCCTTGGATGTGTTGCGTAAGATGGGGAAAATCAGACTTGGGGGCTGGACTTCGTTGGCTTATGGCTTGGAGAACCTCTCTGCCCACGGCGATGCAGAGGAGAGAATCCGACGGGTTTGCCAACTTCCCACAATCGAGCCAGACGGACGTGCGTGTAACCATCACACAAAAGTCCCACCATCGCCACATCGGACAGCATTGAAGCTGTGTTGCGACAGTTACGACATTCGTCTTGCGCGCCCTTGGCGAAACATCGCGCGACACTGAAGGCTTAGTCCGGCACACGTGTGTCACGTAGACGTCGCACTGAAGCAGAACACCACGTAGGGAGCGAAGATATCGTTGGTCAAGTAGCCTATTATCAGAGCTCAAGCTCAGCCTCCACGACAGCACGAATCTATCCCAGGACACCTTCAGCTTACCGGCCACTCCCCCCGAAGAGAACAGCAGTCCCATGACTCCGCGCTCAGCTTGAAATGCAAGATCCACACCCTGCCCTACTTCCCAAACTTCTTATCAAACTCCTCGAAAATCTTCGGACTAATCTCGTCCGAGCTGTTGCCCTCTACGCGCCACAGAACGCCCATCTTCTCGTAGTGCTGCAGCAGCGGCTTCGCGCTCTCCTCAAACTGCGACAACCGCGCCTTCCACACCTCCGGCTTGTCGTCGTCCCTCTGCACCAGCTTCTCGCCCGTCGCATCATCCTTCCCCTCGACTTTCGGCGGGTTGAAAGTGGTGTTGTACGTACGGCCGGAAGGCGGGTGGACCCAGCGATTGGTGATGCGGTCCATGATGATTTCAAAAGGCGTGTGCACGTGGATGGCGAGGTTGATGGGGATGAGCTTGTCGAGCTGCGCGGCTTGTTGGGCGTTGCGTGGGAAGCCGTCGAGGATGAAGGAGGTGTCGGGGTGCTCGCTGTAGTCGTAGTCTTCGTCGATGCCGGAGGAGACGTTGAGGATGGGTTCGTCGTTGTCTTCGTCTATTTCGGCTCCCGCCTCTTTCGGGGTGTCTTTGGCGTTTTGTGGGACGAGCCATTTTTTGCTTACGAGGGCGTTGCGGATGAGGCGGAGGATGACGTTGTCTGGCACGAGCTCGCCGCGGTTCATTAGGGCCTCCGCTTCTTTGCCTGGTGGTGAGGAAGAGACGCAGTTAGCTTGCGGGAGTCTTTCAGGTGCAGTGTGGTCCACACACCAATACGTGTCTTCTTTCGGACATTCTCTCTTAGCAAATCCCCCGAGCTAACGGACGAGAGCTGGGGGTAACGATTGAGGAGTCGTTCCGTGTGCGTTCCCTTGCCCACTCCGGGAGCGCCAACTATAATCATTCGTACGGCTCTTTTGAGCGTGAGGCCCGTGGCATAGGATGCATAGCTCGGCATGATGGTGGTAGATATGTACAGTGAGAGCCGGCGGAGAGATGTTGGGGTGTGAGATACGGCGCGCGGGCCTTCGAAGGCTAACGGGCCCTCGATGAGATGTTTGGACTAGCTCTTATCGTACATGATGCGGCCGAAGGTGGTCGAGGGATACGGTGTATGCACACTGAGAGGCGTGGAGTATGTGGTCAAGAAGACAGGGTGAGGGGAACGTGCAGACATGGGGATCGTGCGGATCGTGGAGCTCGGGCCCGAGGCAGCGTCGGACAGTCGGAGCGTGGCTGTGGAGTGACGTCGGGATCAATAGGCTCGGGCCGACCCGCACGTTCCTTGAAGCCCCTGCTGCACTCAACGTTCCCGCGGACGATCCTTTGCATTCCGTGCACGCTTCTGTCTCTCGCCCCTACATCTTCACCCATCTTCCACCCTTCACCATCTCTCCCCTATCTCTGATCACCCATCACCTCACTACCTCCACCTTTCTATCTCCCCCATCACCGATGGTGTGGTGTCTTTAGTATGCTGACCAACAAAAGCGCCACCCGTCTGGCTCCTCTCCTTCTCCGGACTGGCCAGCGTGCTGCGTTCCATCGAGCCGCGCGCTTCCCTAGACACACCCCTGCGATCGCAATCTTGGTGCCGAGAAGACGAATCTCCACCGAGACTTCCACCACGCACGGCACCGATGGACCACCACCCGGTTTCAACATCGAGCAGGCCAAGAAACCGCTCTCCAAAGACGCCGCAGAGAAGCAAGCATCAAAGAAGGAGGCGTCTTCAAAGTCATCATCAGAGCAAAAGTCACAACCGGATGTGAACATCCCCGTCGCCGAGCCAAGTGTTCAAGCGCCGACCAAAGCCTCCGAATCCCGCTCTCTCTCCGAACTAGCGTCTGAAAAAGCCGCGACCGAGTCGCAGGAAAAGAAGGAGCTGGAGAAGAAAGAGGCAAAGAAGAAGCTCACGCTCTGGCAGAAGGTGAAGCATGAACTCCAACACTACTGGGATGGCACGAAGCTTCTCGCCACCGAAGTCCGCATCTCATCTCGCCTTGCGCTCAAGATGTCTGCTGGCTACGAGTTGACGCGTAGGGAGCATCGACAGCTTCATCGCACCGTCCAGGATCTCGGCCGTCTGGTTCCCTTTTCGGTGTTTCTGATAGTGCCCTTCGCCGAACTGCTGCTGCCCGTCGCCCTCAAACTCTTCCCCAACTTACTCCCGAGCACGTACGAGGGTGCCAAGAGCAAGGAGGCCAAAGCCACCCGCCTGAGAATGAATCGCAAAGAAGTCAGCAACTTCCTGCGAAGTACGCTGCGGGAGTCTGGTATTCCCATCTCGGCTGCGAACGCGCAGAAGGAGGAGTTCACGGAGTTCTTCCGAAAGGTGCGAGCAACGGGAGAGTCCCCGACCAAGTCCGACGTGGTCAAGGTGTGCAAGCTGTTCAAGGATGATCTCACCCTGGACAACCTGTCCCGGCCTCAACTCGTCGGCATTTGTACCTACATGAACCTTTCCACCTTCGGCACCGACACCATGCTCCGGTATCAGGTCCGGCATCGCATGCGACAAATCAAGCGCGACGACAAAGCCATTGCCTTTGAAGGCGTCGACTCTCTCTCCGTCCCCGAACTGCAAACCGCCTGTGCCTCACGGGGCTTGCGAACCCACGGCATGAGCCCGGGTAGACTCCGGGACGACCTTCAACTCTGGCTTGACTTGCGTCTCAAATATGGCGTGCCTAGCACGCTGCTCGTCCTCAGCAACGCCTTCATGTACGCCCAGGGCAAGGAGACGGAATTTGACAGCCAGATCGATGCGCTCCAAGCCGTCCTCTCCAGCATCCCCGAGGAACTTTTCCACGAAATCGAGCTGGAAGTGCACAACGCCGAGGGTGCGGCAACGAACAGACAGCGCTTGGAGGTGTTGCGCGAGCAGCAGGAGCTGATTACGGAGGAGAGCGAGCAGAGCCAAAGCGGATCGAGCGTGTCGGATATCGAAGACATTGACGAGAAGGAGGAGGACCGGAGGCAAGAGGCTGCTCTGGCGAAGGAGTCTGCGCAGGAGCAGGGCGATGCCGCCGTGGCCATGGAGTCCGAGAACCAGGCTGCTACGGGCGAGGATGAGGATGCAAAGATGAAGGTTGAGGAGCCGCGCGAGGCGGAGCGGGAGCAGGATCTTTCCGAGCCGCCTAAGAAGGAGGGCGAGCGGTAATGGAGTGGTTGACGTTGCGCTGTGCGCGGGATCAAATTGTCCAGGATAGAGGAGTTTCTACGGGAAATGCAGCACCGGGATGGAGCCTTGGGGACAATAGATGCATATCAGGGAAGGAGGGCGTTTTCATTTGTTGCGCCGCCCACCGCTACTCGCGGGAGTCAAGAAGGGGTAGGAAGCACCCCTCTGTATCGCTACTCAGATACCAACTCATCAAACAATTCAATGACTGCAGAGAGTTGAGGAGCTTCTCATTTTTAAACAGTGGAATTAGCGTCCCTCGATTCAACGGTAACGATCAGGCTAACTAAACGGCCAGCCTTGCCTAAACTGGACTTACCGGAAGAGCGGTTTCTCCAGGCAGCAATCAGCTAAGATTAAATAGCGCAACTTCTGTGCAACCTCCAGACATTGCAACTCATACTCACCAATGCACACAATCACCTGTTAGATTGCCTTTCGCGGCAGGACCAAGGCAGAGCTGGCAAAGTCGTGTTCTACAATCCGCCGCCTCTCCCGCAGCATGGCCACCATTGCGTGGAGCGTTGTCCATCCCGCCCTACAATACCTCACCTCCACAATCTGCAGAGCAAACGAGGCGACTCTCATCTCAAACCAATGGATCATCACCGCCCCACCGGTCGCAGCGAACCGCGCACCAGCAATAGTTCCCTACCAGCGCGCCCTCACCACGCTCGTCTACGCCGTCTGTGAACCGCTCTGCACCAAGCTCTTCCTGCGCTTCCCGGACCCCTGGGTGAACGTGATGGCGCTGAGCATGGTGCATCTCTGGATAGGTAGTCAGGTGATGGAGCCATACGTGGACGTGCTCATCTCGCAGTGGACGCCGGAGCTCAAGGCCACGATCAAAGAGGCGCACGCGCAAGGCCGCGTGAGCAATTCCTCCACCCTCCCGGGCTGGCAACTGGAGCTGCAGTTCCTCTCGCTCGTGCCTGTGATCACCGCTGCTATCGACAACGCGGCGCTCATCTGCTTCTTCCAAAGCTTGTACGCGCCCTCCATCTCGCAGCGCTGGTGGGGCCAGCCGTATTTCTGGGCGTTTGGCGTGCTCTGCTATCTCGGCAGCCGGTTCGGGGATTTCCTCGTCAGCCAGGGATTACAGCGGCCCGCGCTCGTGCTTTGGCAAAACAAGCGCGAGCTGGGGATTTCGCTGCTCTACCTTCTCGCTTTGATCGCTGCGCGAGCGGGTGTCAGAGCGCTGCTGGGGCAAGATCAGCTGATTGCGGTGCGGCCTTTGCCGGACGAGGAGACGGAGAAGCTGTTTGGGCAGGAGACATTCGACAGGTTCTCCGCGTGGTGGGAGGATTTGGCGATCATTCGGTGGCATCGGGCGTTGCCCGCTTGGGTGAAAGTGGGCATCATTCCCTTTCTAGGGCCCGTACTCATGCTGGGGGGCGACTGGTTGATGCGACGGGAAGTGGAGAAGGAAAGGCTGGAGCAACTACGGGTGGGAAAGTGATTTGGGACATGATGGCCTATCCATTCGGCCCGACCAGCAGTCCAGCGACCATGTGCTGCCCTAGTTGCAGTAGAAACAAGCTTGACTTTCATCACCTTTATTAGTTCTAATGCAAGCCTGAAAGCTTGTCTGCCACGCGGGAAAGTCTGCATCTAGCGGTCCAGCTAAGGGAGATCATGAGACCCGCGTGCAGCGCGAGCGCAGCCATGTACCAAGCTAACGACACGCATCGCGGGCAAATGGTGCCGACGCGGCGGGGAAGGAATATATACCTCAAACTAGGCTGCCATACTTAGCCATATATTTAAAGACCTACGACGCCATCTGGTCAAGCACTCCACGTAAGTAGCAGCCTCATCCCCAGCCTTACAAGCAATCAGCACAATGCTCAACAACGCCCCACCTCTCGAAACACCAAACGACAGCACCCACTCCCTCGACAACCAATGGCTCGTAGTCCAAATCCCCAACTCGGAAATCTACTCCAACGACGGTGACGAGAAACCCATTCCCCCGGCGGAACCCTCCAAAAACTCCTCCTGGCTAGAACGGCACATCAAACCCCCCGCCGCGCTCTCGCACAAACATCACAGCAGCAGCAAAGCGACGACGGGGATCCGCATGACGCGCGCCGAGTTCTACGCGCACTTCATCAAGGACGAGAAGACGGGCGCGTACCGCGCGGACACGACGGAGCCGGCGGGCGGCAGGAAGGCGTGGTTGCAGGAGCGGCTGCAGAGGATGAAGGACGATCCGGCGAGCTGGGATTTGTGGACGCGGGAGAGTAGGCGGTTGGTTGCTACGAGGGGCACGGGGGGTATAGCGGCGTTTGGTGGGTTGGGGGGGATGGGTGGCATGGGTGGCATGGGTGCGTGAGGGAAGGGAGGGTTGTTTGGGCGAGTAAGGTTGATATTGTGTCGTGATGTTGCCGTGCCGTTTGGCTGGCTCAAGCGGTATTGCATTTGATCATTTCCATAAGGTAGTCATCTACTGGGACTAGCAGTGTTCTCTTCCTCCACGCCCTCAAGCAACAGCAGGCCTGGCCTGACTCAAGCGAAAGCCTCCGGTCCCAGATTTCCCTTGACGCTCGCAAAAGTCTCCATTCCCTTCGCGAAATCCCATCCCGCCGCCTCTAGACAATCCTTCGAGAACTGCACGTTCATCCCCGTCTGCTTCTGCAACTCCGCCACCATTTGCTCCGCCACTTCGACCGTGAGGCCTGCTGGAAGTTGCGGTACCGCGTCCGCGGGAGCGACGTTCTGTTGTTGCGCATCCTCCCCGACCGACTCAGGCTCAAAGGCTTGCGCGCCGCCGTAAGCGCGAACGGTGAGCATGTCGTTCACGACGCGAACTCCCGAAGGCCCCGTACCAGGACCAATGATGAACGTCCGGTCGAAGCTTCTCTTCTTGGTGACCTGCGTGCCGCTGGAGTCGAGTTCGTCATACTCGCCATGAACCACAATCATGAACCCATCCACGCCCATCGGACTGTTGCCGGATGGATCGGGCACACCGGGCTGGATGTGAGCCTCGATCATCCACTTCCGCGCCTCCGTCGCCAGGTCAGGGTGTCTTGTCCGCGGTAGGGAGGCGAAGGAGTCTGAGATGGCCTGGGTGCCGCGGAAGAGCCGACTTGTGCGAGCAGGGAGGTGGTCAATCTTCTTAAGATTGCGACTGTTCTTGATGTACTGGTCCCATTCCTGCTTTTCGGTGTGCCCGGTCGCTGCGGGATCGCGCGGAGCTTGAGTGTTCACCGCGTACGAGAAGTCGGATTGGTCGTCGTAGTAATGTCCTGACAGAGCTGGGCGATCGCTATCGAAGCCCGCGAAGAAGGTTCGCACAAAGTTTTCCGCGATTCCATCCTGGTCTTGGAATAGTGGCGTCCTCACGGGGAATGGAAGATCAGTGACTGTTGCTTTGCTGTTCACCTCTTCTTCCGTACGCACTTGGATGTTGTTGAGCAGTCGCAACTTGGGATACCATTTCATGATCTCCGCAGGGTATTCGGGATCGTTCTGTTCGATGGGATTGCCGGACAGCACCAAATGTTCGAGTTGGAAGAAGCGGCGGCGCCAGTTGTCGAGGGATGAGAGTTTCCGAAGGCTGTTATTTGACAAGTCCAGGTTGTGCAGCTTGGGCAAGGTGAGCGACAGAGTCGTGACGTGCGTCAGGTCGACCAGCTCGTTGTTCGCGAGCGATACACTGCTGATAGCTGCGTCCTTTTCGGCTGGAGTGTCGAACGCTCCCTCGAGAACTTTCATCAAAGCCGGGAAAAACTTCTGAGTGGTCGACTTCTTCTCGAAGATAGACTGCTTTTGCAAGTCGGCATCCTGACCGAGAGCACTCAGGTCCAGGAGTTTCGTGTCCGCGTTATACCGCCGTTCCAGTACGCCCTTTAGCGTGGCTTTGAGGTCTGCCGTCGATATTCCAGGCTCTTCCGTACCAGCTCCTACGCGCTCAATCTTCACCGTCGCCCCTGCCCACACATAACCGCTGATCCGAACCAGTGCGCCTACATCCTCCGCCGGCACGCTGATGACCAACTCTGATCCTTCCACATGAGACTATATTATCGTTAGTATCCTTGAAGTTGGCCTCAAAGTCCTTCAACCGTATCGCAAGCGCGGGCCGAATGTGAACTGCATCGCGGTCGTCGTTCTGAGATTGGCTGCAAACGAGAGCGGACCGGATATGGCGGCGAGCCGGCAAAGCAGAGAGCGGCGAAGGATAAGAGGTGTCGGATGGCGACATACCTTCTTGATTTTGACTTGTTTCGCTCTTGATCCGAGTTTGTGGCTCGCTTTCTTCTCCATCCACTTGATGAGTGAGCTGACTCCGCCGTCGGCGTCCGACGACGCTTTGCTCTTTTCCCACCCTGTCACCTTGAGCTCCGTCAATCCTCCTTGCCGTGCTGGTGCTCGCGCTTCCTTCATGGATATGTCCGACGCAGCAGCCTGCCGAAGGATTGCCCCTCGTGCTCTCCCGCTCAATATGCTTCCTCCTCTTGCTCCACCGCGTGATATTCGTGACGTGAGATCTCTGCTGGCGGATGGAGGCGGGGTAGGTTTGCCTATCCTCCCTCTTCCTTTGACGGCAATGTCCATGGTGAGATCGCCATCTCTGTCGGATCGAAGGCCGCCGCCGCCTCCACGGCCGCCTCGTCCACGTCGTGCTGCTGCAGGGGCTCGAGGTGCGTTTCGTGGGGTTTGTGTGCGCGAAGCCATGACGGCTTGATGTGGGAGGGGAGAGAGTGTGTCGTTGCTCAGATGCGTGTGGAGAAGATGGTGTCGGTGGGTATAGGCGGCGATCCGAGTGGTGTTTGCTGCACCACTTGCTGGCGTGCTTTCAGTGACTGTGAATGTTTAGGTGAGATGGTAAGGAGTGAGGGTGTCGACGCTGCCGAAGGAGTGTGCCATGAACGCGCGTGAATGAACGCGCAAAGTGAGGGTTTGACAATAGGAAAGAAAGAAAGCTCGCGAGTCATCGAATTATGTGAGGCTGGCGTCACAGCTGCGAATTATGGCAATCTGACCACGACTTTTGTCAATCAATTCTCCGTACTGTACATTTTCTCCTGCTATCAAATTTCGTCTTTACATCTCCACCAAAGGTGTGCATGGAATGATGGGAGTAGCGCATTGGCTGCGTTCAACACGTTCAATACTGGTAAGCCTGGAATCTCTTTCTTTTGAGCACAGTCACAACAATTTCCTTGATGAGATTACCACCCATTTGCTTCTAGGAAGAGCCGTAAAAGGCATGGCTCGTATCGACAAATACCTGCCGTCGCTGCTTAGACCGGGACACACTGACCATTTGAACAGCTCTGTCGATTTTCCACGGACTATTCAGGGTCGAGCGCAATGACTGACGTTGTTCTCAAAACACAGATCCGCATCGACGACAGCCGAACCTAGACAAGTTGTGTAGCATTGAGCACGAGCATCTAGAGCAAACCGCCCGGGAATGGATGGTCTTGCTTTCCAGCGTCCCTAAATCATACTGTCAGGCCAGACTATTCATCATTTCATGGAAAGGGAGGCAACGCGTACCAGTTGTTATGCAACCCATCCCAATACGTGAACTTGGCCTCATTCAACTCGAGACCATCTTGTGGCTGATCCAAAGTCACCAAATTGACCCCGAAGAAATCGTGCCGCTGATCACCAAACTGATGCCAGCCCTCGCTCCATACGTGCACGCCGCAGCGCGAGCAAAAGCGTCGATGTACGTCTAGATTGCCCGCTTCCGTCGCCTTGGTCCGCGGAGCGTAGTCATCGATTTCCTCGCGCGTTGCAGGGCTCACGAGCTTGAAGTCCGAGCCTGGGTTCTTGACTCCGAGGTTGATCAAGCCGAGTCTCTGACAGAATGTGCAATTGCAGCGCGATACGTTTTTCAGCTCTGCGGGATCGAATTGCACTTCGTATGTGATGCGTCTGCGTTGCAGATTCCAGGTTAGTGAAGCCCGACACGTGTCGGTGAAGGCTACCTACTTGCAATGGCAGCCGCCGGTGAAAGGTCTCTTGCTGCCTGCGCCTGGTCCCTCGCCAGCAGTAGCGGCCTGTGGTGAGACTTCTTCCCCAGACTGCGGAGGCTTTTCGGCACTAGTTGAGTCTGCCATGGCTTCGGAAGATGTCACTTTTGAGGATGATTGAGACTCGTTCAACGTGGACTGTTCAGGGCACATATACTGCTCCAGGCCTGGACTATGATTGAGCTACGGAACTACTCATAATGAGTCGCCAAGCATCGGCTCACTAACGCTCCTTCGGCGCGCCTAGCCCCACTGCGATCAGGCGACAGCGTGTACCCCGCAACTGGAAGATGGCTCTGCATGATGGGGCTGCTCGCTTGAAGACGGTTCTAAGACAGCGAGGGAGGAGGAAATTGACAGCCAGACATCGACAATGGAAAAGAAGTCAATGAGTGAGGTGACCTTCCATCATGGTGGTGGTAAGGATGCAGTGCTGAGCTGTACGCTGACATAGCAGATTGCAGCACAGAATCGGGTGCTCTGTGGACGAGGCTACATCATATTGACCTTGGAACAGTCGAGATACGAGGGAGCCTCGCGCGAGACTGTCGAGGTCGAATCATCTGCCTGGATCAAGGCCTGATCAAATCTCGTCTCGGAAGATTGCGAACCTCTCCTGATCTTCGTCGTCGATCCACGCCCGGTACAACCCTCCACAATTGAAATCAAACACCACCTTGCCCTTGCCCTCATCGTAGTCAATTCCGATGATCCCACCTTCTCCCTCGCCCGTCTTGCGCCAACGATCTCCAGCACTGCGCTGCAGTTCTCCCCCCGGTCCAGCAACGTTGGAGATCGTGTCTTGTAACGGAACGCCGACATTGTACGGCGCATTCCGGGCGTAACGAGCGATGGCTGCTGCGGTGCGAGCGGCGTTGACTCGGAGAAAGGAGTCGCCGTTTCCCGTGCCTGACATACCAACTGCCCGGAACTCCGGGGTGGTGTTGATCGATGCTGTCGTGGCGCTGGACGAGGGCAGTGGAATGTAGTCTGATAGGCCCGGCAGACAGTCGCGCAGCCAACCCGCGAGTGAGAATTCTGCTGCTGGCGATTGGGTCTGGCGAAAACGCGTAGGCCATTCTTCTGCCCAGAAACCTGCGCCGATTGTTGGTGTGTCGCCCACTCTGCCGGGTAGCTTGTTCGTGAGGCCACCAGTTGATGTCGCCGCGCAGATCGTGCCGAAGCTGTCGAGGACCACCGCGCCCACGGTGCCTTGCGGGATATAGCTCTCGCCGTCCCATGTGGGGTCGTCACTCGCAACATCAATGAGATCACCTGCATTGGAATCCCCTGATCTCTCAGTAGCACCACGTTTGCACGCCGCATCTTCATCCGCAAGCTTCTTCTCCCTCTCATACGTCTCATCGTCACAACTCAACCCCAACCCCTTCCGATGCGCATCCCACTGCCGCCTCACCCAGAAATAACTCGGCTTCACCAAATCCAGACCCCATTCGTCCGCAAGCCGCTCGCACGTCTCCCCCTGCAACTGACAATGCGCCCCAGCACCCGCTCCATCGCTCTCCTCCCCTCGAATCAACATCTCCCGCGCAAGCATCACAGGATTCCTGACCCGGCGCAAATTCATCACGCCCACACCCCGCTTCCGGTAGCCCCGCGACACCATGACCGACGCCTCGAGTTCCTGCGTGCCGGCGGTGGTGAAGCAGGCTCCATGGCCGGAGTTGAAGATGCCATTGTTCTCGAGCAGGCTTACGGCGTAGGTGGCAACGTCGAGAGCTGTGGCGTCTGGGGCGAGGAGTTTGGAGCGCGTTTTGTCGAGGATGGCTAGCATTGCTTTGCGCGTGGCGGCGTAGCGCTCTTTGGAGAGGTTCTGGCGGGTGACATTCCCGGCGCCGCCGTGCAGGATGATGCGAGGGTGCACTCGGTGTGGCTTTTCGGACGTCATTGTGGATGTCATTGGGTGATTTTGTTGTTACGATATGCTCGGGCTGTGGAGAGCGTAGTGATGCGGTATGAATTTAGGAGATATCCAGCGCGTGCTGACGAGGAACGTGCAGTGAAGGGATACGACCTTCCTGTTTGGGAAAGAGGACCGTCGCGATGCATATTTGACTCTTTACTCGACACTCAATCGCCGTTCCCAGCATTCTTCCGTCCAACCTTGCAAGTGGACATCATTAAGTGAAGGGCGCCGCATACGTCGATGTTTGATCATCTCGCAGCGATTTCCACCAACATCTCTCGTCCTACGCGAATCTTATACACGATGCTTTTGAATCTCCGCCAGCCGTCGGCTTTGCGTGAGTGCGATTCGACGCGCATGCCGGACCAAACACCGTACTGACTTCATGCAACATGGCGTGCAGGCTCGTCGATACCGCCCCATGTCATTGTGGCTTGCACATGCTGGCCGCCAAGCTGACATCCTCGGACTCTGCTCCGATGAGGTTGCAATGAAAGCTGAAATCTCCGGCTCGTGTTGCGGCGACTGACGGTCAACTGGCACAGCCAAGACGGCCATACCGTCCACGCTACAACGTTGTAGCAGCTGACGCACTGCTAGAACGTACTCTAGGCATCGGCAAGTCCGGCCAAGCCATAGTTGCAAGACCCCCAAACTTCTATCGTTCATGGGCTCGTCATACCTCGTCAGCAGAGCTTTCAGAGGCGGGACGATTGAAGACTTCGATACACGGAGCCCACTCCGTCTCCGACCCCATCGTGGGACTTCGTCTGACTGAACCAACAGGAAGTGTTCGAGTAAGATCCGCGACACTTTTGACATGCCGTCATGCATCGCCAGCCAAGATCGAGAGATTGGAAAAGGACTGCTCAAAACGCGCAGTGTAGACGTCTGTCGGACGTGTACTCAGCAGCGCAATAACGACCATAGTCGTGTCGAGTGGCTCGTGAAGAAGCAGCTGCCGATTTTGCGTCATCGCTGATCTCCGTCAGTCTAGACCGGAACTTGTAAGGGGCCTACATGCACAGCCAGCGCCGCTGCCATAGCCTATCAATACCGCCGCAGCGTGTAGCCGCCCAGTACAATGGCACGGTGGCGGTGTGGCGTTTACATCCCCATGAGGCCTCGTAACGTGCAAGCATCTGCCCCGGCCCGGTGCGTCAGCGCTCGCGGATTTGACGAAGACGAGGGCGAGAGGACGCACGCTCGCCCACAACACAGGGTGAAATCGGGCATGCTGCTTGGACACTGGCTTCGATTGCGCGCAACGTGCAGCTTATCCCGTGCGTATATCATTGTACATTCGTATCCGGCCCGAGCGAGGCTGTGGACAAGGTTTGCCTTGCACCTTGCCCGAGAGTGAGGTAGGTCGTCAGGCTACTGCAAGAGTCGCGCGCCCGGCAGCCAGCCAAGCTTTTATGGCCAAGCGCCTGCGCTGCTGGTGTCTCGCTTGTCGTGTTGGCGTGTACGAGCGGGCCTTCGATTTACTTTCCTCCGCTCTTTCTCGGCCCGGCGCCAGCACCGTAGTCGATGCCGTGCCGCGAAAGCCACCCCGTGAACAGGCTCCAATATGTAAAGGGTCCGCGTTGGCGTTGGAGGACCCGGGTTCCGGTGGCAATCATCAGCTCGTTCCATGGAGCATCAAGCTAGGCATACTCGTGAAAGGCAAACGTTAAAAGGACTCAAGTATCCTGCCTGACGTCGCTGGACTTTTTCCCATCAGGCTTGCAAAGATTTGCGACCGTACCACCCTTTTTCGATCTGGCCTTGCCGAATTTCAGTCGCTGCCACAGAACTACCTGCATTCAGTAGTGCCGCCGCATGAGGCTAAGGCAGGTTCGATCGACAACAGCGACGATTCGAGAGCTGACGGTCGAAGATAGCCACTGCCAACCCCGAGAAGGAATCTCTTGCAAAGAGATTGGAAGCAATACAAAACCTGCGCTGGTCACATGCAATGTGCTACCTGCAACAATGGATCTGGAGCGAATGCGGTCATAAATGGCAAGGCCACCTGCTTTGCTTGACTGCGCAACAGCGCAACCCACCAGCCTATTGCGAAAGCGCGCATTGGGCGGAGCTTCCCCAAGTCGTACCGAGCGCAAGGGATGTTGAGGAAGGCTATTCCGCGTTGTGCCCCGATCTCTCCAGGCACCCTCCGGAAGCGCACAAGGACACAACTCCGGCAATAGAGCCGAGAAACCTCCCAGATGGTCGGCGGGTCACGCAGACCTATGACTAGTTTCCTGACGCTCTTTTCGCATTGTGCATGGATTGATGGTGCTTCAGTCGCTTCTCAGATCGGGGAGGTCCGGGAGCGCAATGCATGAACGGGACGAACAATGACTTGGAACAACGGCCGCGGCGTGGGGTAGGATATGGGCTGGTACGTAAGAACTCGGCAGATCTGAAGGAGGACCGCCATGACGGCCGGCACATAGATTCTATCTCTCTCGTTAGTGTGCGAGTATACAGAATGCCGTCGAATGTTGTGCTTCTCGCCGTGTTGAATGTGGCTGTGCGCTCTGCACTGGGATGCACATCAGGCAAGCCTCAGGCCCCACAAAACATGCATGCATCGCGGATGAGCGCCTCACTGCCGGCAGTTGCAGGTGTGAATTTCACCGCCGGCAGTTCGTCTCTTGTTCTGAGACTTTGGACTCAAGTCTTCGACGTGCTTCCACGACCAAGCGTCGGAAGGCAAGACCGATGAAGAAGTACAGGAAGCGAATGTCTGCCAGCCTTCGTCGTTGACCACCTCAAGTAACGTGGTTGGTCACCGTGGGCGCCTCCTCATTTCGGATCTCTTCCATCACCAGCCAACGTATGATCCAGTTGTCGTCGTTTTGCGCTCGCCCTCTCGAGTAGATCTGTCGCGTCTCTGGGCTAGCAGTCATGAAAATGTGCGAGATTGCGCGCCTCAGGGCATCTTCGCTAATCTCGCCGGAGGGGGATGGTCTTTCGGTACCCGCCACTGCGGCTCGGACGCTTTGGAAGCCTGCAAAGCACTCATGCTGTTCGAGAAATGCGGTCAATACGGGGTCGAACATGGGGCAACGTGACGGAGTAGTACCCGCATCATGTCGTATATCTGCGCGTCGCGTGGCTGGTCGAGGTCCAAGTCGCAAGTCCGTAGAAATTGCTGCACGGACGCTCTGTCGGACGTGCCGTCGCCGGTAGACGTCGGCGCCATGGCTGACGGATGGATTTGTGAGCTGGCCTTCACTGCTGGAGAGCAATTGGAGTGGATCACACCAAGTATATGTATCGTTGAAAAGGACGAAGTGTGCGAATGCTTGCCACAAGGTTTACGTGTCAAGTTGCAGAGCTCTGGATCATGGTCGGCTGACGAAGGTTTAAAAGATTATGTGGGGAGGGGTGGCGTCCTGGGCTTTTGTTTTTGACAGCAGGCGCGGGATCGGTGATCAGCCCCAGTACAAGAGTGAGAAAGATAAACCTCAGCCATTCTGCGCGGTTGACCCTTGTGATCAACCGCGTTTCAATGCCGTTCTTGGCACACGGCCTCGCAATCAGACAACGGCGAGGAAGCGATGGCGATGAAGCACGCACTCTCCACCTTTGCGCGGTATGTCGGTAACCTGAGCATCGTGTGCGAGGCCAACGTCATGAATCGAAGTCGAGTTAAGCAGTCCCTGGTCACTAAATAGCCGGACTTACCCAGACTTTGGGGTCAACCGCCATCCTCCGCCGGGACCAATCATTCGGCGGAGATGAACGCAGGGTTCCGGAAGGCAGTCGTGAAGTCGACATATGCCGGCCGCTCGGGGTGGGTGGAGTGGTCCGGCACGGGACTGCCCACGTATCGGTCGTAAGGGATAATGCCGGTTTCTGCGTGGGCAGCATCCCACAGGTCTGCGTAGAGGTGGCGTGGGCAGAATGGCTTGTCAGGCTCGAGAGGACGTTGTGCGCCCCACCTAAACACCCGGGCAGTCGGGCCTTCGCCCTCCTCCGCTAGTCTTGGTTAGCCTCGTCGGCAGATCTGCCAGCTGTTGTGGAGCACCGTGCGGCACAACAACATCCCGACAATAACCAGGTAAGCTTGGTATGCCTGGTGCGGTGGAAAGAAACAATCAATTTCCAATGAATCGGCGCTACTTTGATCTTTGGCAGCACCAATCTCATACCTGAGGGAGTGCGTGCAGCAGCCTCACGGTTCAAATAAGGTACTAGTCTTATATAGCGTGCCCTTGGGGAGGGACCTGTAGCGCCCTTTTCTCCGCCGCGCCCCCGGTCACGTGAAGCCTGGCCCAAATTGTATGGCACGTGCTTTCGCTACAGTGTCGTGACAAGCTCGAGCTCGCTCCCACGCGCCACGCCTCTGCCGCCTGCTACGACCACATCATCATGTACATCACCGCCACATCGGACAATGCTACATCCGAGCAGTCCTTCGAAGCATAATGCCATGCTCGGTAAGGGGGTGCAGCAGCCAAACGCCATCGGTTTGCACGCCGACAATGACGACAACTTCGAAACGCCGCCGGCGAAACGACGAAAGCACACCTCCTCAGACTATGTGCACATTCGTCACAATGCCACGCCGAGAAGGCGACCGCAAAAGGACATCATCTCGGATTCTGATGCCGAGAGCGACGCCAATGATCTGCAAGAAGAAGAGGAGCGCAAGAGTAGACAGACAGAACTCGAGACTGCGCTGCCTGCAGTGCGGACCGACAAAGAGGCCATCGAGGCTTATGAGGCTTCCAGAGCGGCCGAGCGAGCAGAACTAGGCCTAAAGGAACGGTTCGATGGCAAGAACTGGGTTCAGGGAAAGAGCTCGATCTACGTGGATGCGTTCAACCTCGCGTTGGACACCGTCCTTGAAGACGAGTCGCATTTGTTCGACGCCGCGGAGCATGCCATCTTTGACCAATGGCGCCAATCGAGCTACGAGGCGCAATATCTCTACGTCAGGCTGTTCCTGCGCAAGACCTCTGCTTGGCACCGCATCAATCGGCTGGGATATCACAGCGACATTGCAGACTTGCAGCAAGCCGTGGAGGATTTACAAGCCCCACGAACCTTGCCTGTGCAACCAACGGCGCCCGAAATCCACGCCGGTGAACAGGAATCTTCATCCGATGTGTCCTTTGGAGAGGCCTTCACATTCGCCGACAATTCGCAGGACTGCATCAAAGACCTCGAAGAAGCCTCCTCGTTACTTCTCCTCGACGAGCTGAAAGCGTTTGCCAAAGACGCCAAAGTCCAGGGCAAGAATAAGAAAGGATTGTTGCGAGCGTTTCGAAAGACCAGTGGAAAACAGACGGGCTTGGGCTTCCAGTCGTTGAAGCGCTCTGACACCACTGAGAGTACCACTTCCACAGCTTCTGCCGATAGCCGTGAGTGCACTCCCGGGAGAGCCGAGAACAGGGATGCCTACTTCGTCAACAAGATCCTAGAAGAGACTGGCCCGTGTATCCGTCTATCACTGTCAACCTTGCGACTCTTCGAACGAGTTCACCTCGTCTTCTACCGCTCATCCGAATGGACTGAAAAGTCCCTCACCATCATCATCCTCGCCCGAATCGCCCGCCGCAACTTCCCACCATACATCGTATCCCGCTCCGCCAACATCTTCTCCTCGCGCTCTCTGCTCCTCGAATTCGAGGCTTCAATCAGAACCCAGTTCCGCATCGACAACATCCTCGAGTTCAACGGCCCACCAAGCCCAGAAGATCTCCGGCTCGTCATCGACATCGCGGAAGAAATCCACCCGCGTTGGAAGGCGCTGCTCGCCGCCGAGCAGAGCAAAGAAGACAGCATCTACAGCAGCGGCGAAGGCGCCTACCTGCGCCGCCTGAACCCCGCATGGGTCTACACGCGCATCCTGCACAAAGGCGCGTACGTGCGCGGCAAGTTCAAGGACCACAAGCGCGAGTACGAGCTGCTGTATGAGCTGCTGGACCAACGCTTGTTCCACACGAGCCGGAGAGGCGATTGGTATCAGCGCAAGGCGTTGCTGGAAGAGCATTACATGCATCTGCACCTCCCGTCTCCGCCAGAGTGCCAAGACATCGAGAGCAAGAAGAAGCACTGGAGGCGCGTGGCCTTGTCGACGTGTGAGGGCGGGCTGGAGGATCAACTGACGCATCTCATTTTCCACCATGATCTCGAGAAGCGCACGCTCAAATTGGAGAAAGCGCTGAAGCTGCCGAAGCGCGAACAGCACGACTTCGGCCATGTGAGGCTTACGAAGCCTTCCGAGCGTACGTTCTATGGAGTTCGAATCGAGCCGTCGCACAATGCGGCAAACGGTAGTAGACGCAACAGTGATCAACAGCCTGCTAAGCCGGACAGGCGAGGTGCAAAGACGATCTGGCTTGACCCTGCCCTCAAATCCATCACTGACCCCGAAACTGGTGAAGAAACACACGTGGAAGGGGAATGCTCGGTCGAAGAAATGTGTCTCTCCAGCTATCGCGCTCTAGGCTGGAAGGGCTATCATTCGGAGGGTGGGATCCTGCGCACCCTCTTCGCATACCTCTTCTACGACGTCCTTTTCGTCTACATCCCCAACGTCTTCCAGACCGAGTTCCAGACGTGCCCGCTGGACTTGCACACGGACGTCTTTTACCCCAGTCGCATGTCCGAAGTGAATGCGCGGCTGAATGAGATTTCCAATGGCGATGCGCCGAAGCTTATCCAGAATGTCTGGAGTGAACATTTCGAGCGTCAGACTTGTGTTGTTGGATTGGATTGGTCTTTTGCGTTGGCGGACTTGCTCGAGATTGCTTCGGCTTTTGCCCCGGCTGCGCTTAGCTCGGTGATGAAGGTGATGGCACAGGAGTACGCGCAACGGGGTGGCGGAGTTCCAGACCTCTTCCTCTGGAAGGTCGATGGGAGTGGTGACGACTCGAAGGGGTCATCCAGTGGCGAGGTCATGTTCGCAGAGGTCAAGAGCGAAAATGACCGTTTGAGTGATACGCAGCGCATGTGGATTGATGTCTTGTCGGGCGCTGGCGTGAAGGTCGAGCTTTGCCATGCTCTGGCAAGCGAAGTTCGCATGCGACCATGAGTTACGTATGATGATCAGCCGTGAAATATCGTCATTCGCAGAACCTTCATTTAGCATGGACGAGCATTTGTTCGTACAGCTCGTTCGGGATTTTTCGCGCAAAGTTGACTGTGAGATCGATGACTTGCTGCGCTCTCAATGGCTTGAAATCAGGCTTTGGGCTGTACTTCGTTAGCTCGGAAGGTTGATTGTTGGAGACGCTTCTTTGGAAACCCACCTCTGGCTGTTGAACAGCTGATCCCGCATCAACACAAGCTGCGATACAATACAGAGCAAGTTGAGATGCGAGCCGTAGGCGAAAAGAAAGTCCCACAATCGTAGCACTTCCGGCAGTGGTGGAGTGCATGCGCAGAGGGTGAGCACGCTGGGGAATGCATAGATTTCCGCCTTCATGCCTTTGGATTGCAGATGGGCTGCCAGCTTGGGATCGACGATGCCGAGGATTTGATCCACGAGAGCGACACCTTTGTGCACACCCTCCATACTCCCTCTGACGTAACCGGGACACTCGTTGTTGATGTAGCGATCGAAGGCGGCAAAAGCCTCCACCTCGCTTTTCGCAGTGTACAGAAACGGCGCGGCCATGACGTTCATGCCCTGCACATAGCCAACACTTCCAAGGGCTACAGAGGGGACATCGCCTGCTTCGGAGCCTTCAGTCCCCATAACCGAGCCTGCTCCAGCATTCCTTCCGCTGACGGAATTAGGCGAGTGGAAGATGTCGCTCGTGCCGTCGAGGCTGCGAGGCACGTCCAGCGTCGGCGGCGACATCCAGCCATTCACCCTCGCCTCATTGGCGTCGTGCAGCTTCCATGCTATGGCGTTGAGCACGCGCGTGAGACTATTTTCCGACACGCGCCTCCGGAAGAGCGGGTCGGTGGTTAGAGTGCGAAACGTGTCGTCGCGGATTTTCGAGTAGGCCGGAGACGCTCCTTGGCCCACGAGATCGAGGTAGACGTTCGTTCTCAGCGGCGGCGCGTTCAGCAGGATAAGCCAGATGTAAATACGTAGCTCGGACTGTACGATATTTGTCGTCAGTCTGTGTCAAATATGAGGCGGACGACACGTGAGGACGCACCATGCCATCGTTATTGGAAGGGATGCCGTCGAGCAGAACGATGCGGCGCAATTCTTCCAGGCCGGGCACCACATTCCCACTCAACGGGCCCTTTTGCAAGAAAAGATCGAGGTGTGTCATATTGGAAGGCTGCCCGACAATGGAAGCAAGAGGCTGGATGTGTTTGTTCGCAGCGGCTCTGGTGCGGTGTTGACGCGAAGAGGTCGTGAAAATAGAGTTTCTGGGGTTGGCACGCCTCCGGCCCCGCGATCTCGTGATGGTGACAAAAGTCGTGGCATAACACTACGTGACTTTACCGTCTTCTACTCGTCTTCGTTCGACCACTTCACATATCGCGTCTTGTGCGTCTCGTACCCTACAATCCTTTTGTACCGTGCTTCATTGCTCAAATATTGGTCGGGCTTTGGACGCCTCTGATAAGTTGTCACAGGATCTGTAAGACGCCGAGAAGGTGGCGAAACCGGCAGAAGATGCACTACCATCTTTGTGCTTTGGACTTGTTTGGAGTCTGTGGAACAGCTCAACTACATCTGACCTCTAATTTACGATAGATGTGATGTAGCCGCCTTGTTGACCATATGAGCAGAAACGACAGGACGTGCTGAACAGCCAGCGGTACGCGATCAGCCTTGGCCGTACTTCAAACTCCGGGCCAGTTTCGCGCGTTCCTGGCCAATGTACCGCCATACCTTCCTGAAGCCCGAGTGCATATGATCAGGCACAGGCATTATATCCGAGATCGCTCTACGGAGCACCTTTCGGCGCGCTGCTCATTAGGCAGTTTCTGATTGTGCGTACTCAGGGTGAGTAGTGCAGTCTCCGAGCCATCCAACGACAAGCGTGACCTCGTTGACGCTGCCTTTCGTGGCCTGGCACGCGTAGGGTACAGAGGTGAGTAGACGGTGAGGCCAGTATCCCCCGTCTTCTCGACCACGTGTAGCTGATCGCATCGAGCGTGTTGGAGCCAAGTAAGCTACGATACTCCAAACGTGCTCTACACGACTCAATGAACGAACAAACAAACACAAACGCTATCATTTTGTGAGAGGTGAATTTCGGAGCCTCGGTCCTGTGTTCGACGCGAAGAGACCGACGTCTGAAATGGCGCAAGGCATGGGCAACACCACGGAGATGTTGCAATGCGCCATCGATCATCGAAAGCCCGAGTCCAGAACAGCGACGGCGGTTGCAAAGGTGCCGAGTTTGCCCCGAAGGCGGGGAGTGGCACCGGAGAGAGCGGGAACGGGAAATGGCGAGGGTGGCACAGCGATGTGCATGAAAGTATATGAGGTTAAAAGTAGCGTGGTGCGCATCGAGCAGCGCCGAACCAACCAGATGACGCAGTTCTGTGCGAAGGAGAGTCTAGATGACGCCGCCGGAGTCCTGCAGGTGGCAAGCAAGCACGTGAGGCGCCGGATCCGCATCTCCGAAAGAGGAATGTGGAAGGGGGCGTCGATTGTGGCAGCGCGACGAGCCATCTAGATTTGCAGGTTGAGAACGGCAAATGTGCCTGGGGGAAGAGTATTCTTGCCATGCAAGCAGGGTGTTGCTTGGCTGCGGGCCTGCGATCCGCAAGGCTTCCAGCACGCCTTCCCAAGCCACCGTGATTCGCGCACGGCAGAGCCCGCGTGGGGCATCGCCTGCCGAATCAGGCTTAACGACAATCACGACATACGCTACCGGCCCACGAGACGGCATCGCCTTGCGACGTCCACGCAGGATGGCGAGTGCGATCTGCCCACGTTTCGCTAAATCGCCGCTTCACCGAGTACTATTCTCTCGGCGCGCGAAGCCATGCGAGACCCCTTTTGCTTGTAACAGCGTGATTCCACCAAACGCTCGGAGATCTTGCGACGGTGATCCCATGCAAACGTGCTCGACTCGCCTCGATCACGCCAGACCGCCCGGCTGCCAATTGCGTGCGATCTGAGCCGCGTCGTCAAGCACGACATCATAAGATCATCACCTCCATTGCCACACAGGTCGGTGTGTCGGAATCCTCGCGCCTCGACGAGGATCGTGCATCTCCGAGGCCGGCTCCTGCTTGGCGTTGGACCGGGTGTGAAGTTTTGTGGAGGGGTCTCGCCTAGTTGTTTTTGGTTCCGTTTGGTTGACAGCCCACTTCCGTTGAGCACCTCGACCACCCGAGTCCTTCTAGCGTGGGTCTGTCGTGCCTACTCTCCCGGTTAGCGCAGATCTCTACGCATTGGTTTGCATGTTGGCAATTGTGCGCGAGCCTTCATATAAAGCGCGCGCGCCCTCGCCCCACTGCTCTCGTGGAAACCCTTTGTGTGCGACACGCTTTTGTCCATCTGTCGTTCAGCCATGTCGGAGCCAACGAGCACCAAGGTTGGCCATGCTCTGGCAAAGGGCCTTGGTATCAAGCTTGACTACCGGAATCCCACCGCGGCCCCCGGCGCCACGCCTGGCGATTCCACCTACTCTATCAACAGCGCCGACGACTATCTCGAGGAGGAGCCGCACGCCATTGAATGGGTCCGGTCTGTCATTCCTAGCGGCCGTCAGCTCATCAACTACGCGTGGAGCCTCTTTCCCTTCTTGAGCTGGATTCATCGCTACAACGTCCAATGGCTCATCGGTGATCTGATTGCCGGTATCACCATCGGCGCAGTGGTTGTGCCGCAGGGCATGTCCTATGCGAAGCTCGCCCAACTGCCCCCGCAGTACGGACTGTACTCCTCCTTCATGGGCGTTCTGATCTACTGGTTCTTTGCCACTTCCAAGGACATCACCATCGGCGTAAGTCAAGCATTCGATTTCACGCAGCCGGTACGAGATCGTGACGCTGACACCTTGTTTACAGCCGGTCGCCGTCATGTCCAAACTTGTCGGTGAAATCGTCTCTCAAGTCTGGGCTGCCGATCCTACCTGCCACGTCAGCTCGAAGGGCGTCACGTCTGGCACTTGCTTCCCTCCCGAGATTCTGGCCGAAGCTCTCGCAGTTGTCGTCGGAGGCATCGTCTGCGCTATTGGCTTGATCCGCCTGGGATGGCTGGTCGAGTTCATCCCCCTTGTCGCCATCTGTGCCTTCATGACCGGCTCCGCCATCAACATTGCTGCTGGACAGGTACCGAATCTGCTTGGCGAGACGGTCAATGCCGATTTCAACACCCGAGCACAGACTTACAAGGTCATCATCAACACGTTGAAGTACTTGCCCGACGCCAAGCTTGATGCTGCTCTGGGCATCACGGCCTTGTTCTCTCTCTACCTCTGGCGATGGATCTGCAACCGCATGGCGAAGAAGCAGCCACACCGCCAGAAGATGTGGTTCATCATCGGCACCTTGCGTGTCGCCGTTGTCCTCCTCTTCTACGTCATGTGCAGCGCCCTGTCTCTCCTCAGCTATCCCCGCACTGCCGATGCTGCCAAAGAAATCGCGAAAGATCACTGGGCGATCCTTGGTCCCGTGCCTCGTGGTTTCCAGGCTGCCGGCGTTCCCAAGATCAACTCCCACATCGTCAGCCTGTTCTCGAGCTACCTTCCCGCCGCTGTCATCGTCCTCCTCATCGAGCACATTGCTATTGCCAAGTCATTCGGGCGGGTCAACAATTACACCATCAATCCCTCGCAAGAGCTCGTGGCCATTGGAGTCACCAACCTCCTTGGGCCGTTCCTGGGTGGCTACCCAGCCACCGGTTCCTTCTCCCGCACAGCCATCAAATCGAAGGCCGGCGTGCGCACGCCCTTTGCTGGCGTCATCACCGCTGTCGTCGTGCTGCTGGCGATCTACGCCCTGCCCCCGGTCTTCTTCTACATTCCAAACGCCGGTCTGGCGGCCATCATCATCCACGCTGTCGGCGACTTGATCACCCCTCCGAACGTGGTTTACCAGTTCTGGAGAACATCTCCCCTCGAAGTGCCAATCTTCTTCGCCGGTGTCCTGGTCATCATCTTCACCACCATCGAGTATGGTGTCTACGTCGTCATCACCACCTCCTTGGCGCTCTTCCTCTGGCGTGTCTTCAAGGCCAAGGGCACCTTCCTCGGCACCGTCAAGGTGCACTCTGTCGTCGGCGACCAGCACATCGCAGGTCCGGAGGGTCACAACGAGGATTCCAAGCAAGTCGGTGGTCTTTCCGATCGGACGATCTTCCTGCCCATCGAGTCTTCGGATGGCAGCAACCCGGACATCCACCCTGAGCAACCGTACCCCGGAATCTTCATCTACCGATTCTCGGAGGGCTTCAACTACCCCAACGCCAACCATTACCTCGACCAACTCACCCGCACCATCTTTGTACACACACAAAAGACCAACCCGAACACCTACAAGCGCCCAGGCGACCGTCCATGGAACGACCCGGGTCCACGCAAGGGCCAAGAAGTCGACATGAACGACACCCGGCCCACGCTCAAGGCCATCATCCTGGACTTTGCCGCAATCAACAATGTCGACGTCACCTCCATCCAGAACCTCATCGACGTCCGCAACCAGCTCGACCGCTACGCCGACCCGGACCGCGTGCAATGGCACTTTGCCAACATCAAGAGCCGCTGGACGAAGCGCGCCCTGGCCGCAGCCGGGTTCGGCTACGCCACGCCCGCCGGCGACCCGCACTTCAAGCGCTGGAAGCCCATCTTCTCCATCGCCGAGATCCGCAACGCCGCCGAGGCCGCCGAGGTCGAGGAGAACCAGCGCCGCGACACCATTCGCGAGACGGAGGAGGGCAAGGTGCCGCACCGCGATGTGGACAGCATTGGCGCCAGCGAGGGCAGCAGCAACGGCATCAACGACATTGAGAAGAGCAAGGCGTACGGCGGCACGACGCGCACGGCCGCCGTGCATGGGCTCAACCGCCCCTTCTTCCACCTCGACTTGATGAGCGCGTTGCAGTCTGCCATTCGAAATTCGGAGGCGGTGCGCGTGCACCGGGCGCCGATCCACGGAGCCGTCGAGGAGAACCCGGTGACCATTATGGAGTCCGAGAAGGGTGCGGGCGTGCTGAGCGAGGGCAAAGTTGCGACGGGAGACAATTGATGAGTGTGTCGTGATGACTTGAGTGTGTTTTTCTCTTTGGCGCTGCGTCTATATCGCCCTGCCGCTTGCTGCGAATTTCCTCTTTTGATAACCCAGATGTTGCAATTTATGGGCGAACTCTTCGGATCTCCTTCATCTGTGCTCTCCACCCTTTTCTACGAGTCTTGGCCAGTGTGGGCAATCTCGACCCAACCCGTCGAATCGACATCTCTATAGCTGTCATGCTTCCCCGCACAACAGTCGAGTCCTGCATGGCGAGCGACATCTCCATTACTCAGCATTCCTGGCACGTGAATCCAGACCCGCTTTTACTGTCTATTCCGGCGATCAGCACGGCTGGGCCGTGGCCCGAGACATCACTTCGCGTTCTACAACCATTCGCACCAGAAGTCCACGAAGACGGTCGAGAGCTTTGCTTTCCTCTCGTGCAGTTGTTTGTTGAAACATGCACGCGCGAGCGTGTCGTCGGAGACCTTGTCGTGCTCCCGATCTCGAGATGACAGCAGATGGCCTCAACATTCCAGGCGGGTGAAAGGAAGGCGTCAGCATACCCGAGCTCGCAGTCTTCGCGTGAACAATGAACAGCAGCATCCACTCGTTTTCTGCGACGGTAGATCGAATGAGAATGTACAGAGGCGATGTTGATAGTTGTGGGGACGAGACATCGAGACTATGGTAAGTCTTATTTTTGAGACACAAACGTGTTTCTGGCTCCAGATCTTCTATCTTCCTACATGCGAACTGCCTCATTCGAGAGGAGAGACACAACTCGGTTCATGAACCATCGCGTGGTCTGGTATGCGCACAGTGCACGATGGTGCATCACTTAGGTCTACGGCGCATCGTTTGCATATTGCTGTGTCTCGCCCTCATGCCGCATCCGGGGCTATTACGCTCTTTGTTTCATTTGTGGTGGGGGCATGTCTCTGCTGCAAAAGGACAATGTCGTCTTTTCTTTGTCAATCCACTTCTGTATACTACCGCACAGCATCATCATCAGGGCTTCACTCTTGCTTTACCTTGACTATCACTTCGACACACAGCAGAGTACTCCGCCAGAAGTACCTCCAAGCTGCAAAGATGTCCTCGCCACAAGTCGACCGCTGGTTCAATCACTCCTACATGCCCACCGCCAACTCATCGGTGTCATCTCTGGCCTACAGCGAGGAAGACGCGCCGCCTTTCCAAACTTTCGTCAAGCGGACACCGCCCGTACTGGATACGCAGAGAGCACTTCCACCACTCCACTCCACACACCAAACGCCCTCGTCGTCCCGTTCGAGGACCCCACTGCGGTCAGTTGGAAGGCGCTCATCGAGCGTGTACAGCCGCCCCGTCAGCTGGCACAGCGAGGACTTTGCAGACATACCCGCGCCTCCGCTCCCGATTCTGCAACCTCTGGCGTACAGCGCGAGCACGCCACATCTGGCGATGAAACTGTCCACGTCACCTGCGCTTCAACCGCGGAAATGCAGTCCCTTGATCGATGCACCGTCGCCCATCGCCAGCCCGGTCGTAACTCCACTTGCGGTGGAAAAGGCGCAGTCAGCAACCGCTGTACCTCGAGGTTACTTCAACAAGAATGGCGGAAAGACGCTGAAGACGGTGCCCTTGGAGAGGGCAATGGCTACCCTACATGCGCCTGGGGCTGCCCATCTTCTGCCCGAAGAGCATCGAGCGCAAAAGACTGGTCGCTCGCGATCTCACGAGCCTTTGCGGATTGCGCTGGTCAACACGAACCTCCCCACCGGTTCTCCGCAGCTTCCTGGTCCACCGACGACTCTGGTGGACACTCAGGGCAGGAGACGCACACTTCTCAAATCTCCAGATGGATGGAAAGGTGGTAGCGGATACTCGTTTCCTGAGATAGCAGCGAAGATAAAGCCAGCTCGGCAGGACTGGGCATTTCAGAATGTCCATGAAACACCTCCTGGAGTCGACTCAGACCAACGAGGACGAACAATGGAACGAGGCCGCAGAAGGTCGAGGAATGTAGGCTTTCCATCCAGGAGTGAACAGAACTCCATGCAGGCCTCGTCCACCCAAGATACCCGATCACAAAGGCCCGCGGAGCAATTCCTCACTCTCACCCCAGAGCAACGCAGATACCCCAGCATTGCACCCAGCCTTTCTAGCGCGCACTCCGATGACGAAACAAGCGCCCACATGAGACTGGTGCCACGGCCTCTGTTCCAGATAAAGCCGCCGGCCAAACTTCCCGGAGAAGTCTACAGCAGTCGACAAGAGGAGGAGCAGCAGTCGCTGTCGTCCTACCAGCTAAGCTCTCCAAGCCAGAGTTCTTATGATGCAACGTCAATAACGACGGCCTTCTCGTCGCCTCAGTCGGCCACGCATCGACGCATGAGCACGAGCGGGTCCATTCGGATTTCTCCACCTTTGGCTGCTGACGAGGGGGCTGCGCAGTACCATTTACCGGTGACAATGCGGAAGACAGCGAAACCCAAGAGCGCCGCGCAAAAGAACCGCGCGTCTGCCTACTACCCTCACGTTGCACCGCGTAAAGGCAAAGTGGCGAAGACAGGAGGGAAAGCCCGGACAAAGCGAGACCAAGCCCCTCCCATGCCAGTGTTGTCGAACAACGACAGACAACTGGCGAGCGCCGCTGCTCGGGCGGCTCACTCGCCCCTCCGAGTCAAGCGAGCTGAAGACGTGCTTCGCGATGGCTCCCCGCGCAGAACAAGGGACACGAGTCCGACAGATACCTCGCGTCCCCGCCTCCACCAGCGCATTGTCAACGGCGCCGCCAGATACGCTGGTTTTCTCACGAAGCCCACCGACTCTGACGGCGAGGAAGCAGCGCGCTACCAGCCCATCACAATCGCCACCATCTCTCCCATTTCATCCAACCTCTCCTCCAGCCCCGTCAACTCTATTCCGACTTCCAAAGCCAACGTCCACCTAGGCTGGTCCGACCTCGCCAAAACCACCTTCGACCGAGTCGTCTCCCCAGGCCTCAAACCTCCAGCCAAGCCTGAGAGGCAGCATCCGTCGATATATACGCACATCACCACGGCCGCTCGACCACTGGACGCCAGCAGGGCAGCGCTCGTGGAGAGTCCAGAGTCGCCGACGGGCGGGCCGCGCAGGAAGAGCAGTATTTTCGGCGGGTTTCTGGAAAGCTGGAAAGAGAGCAAAGAGGAGAAGAGGCGGGAGGAGTTGAAGCGAATCATCCGCGTCGTGCCGTCCGGTACAACATCGTCGTCGCAGCAAGAGTCAGTCGTCGAGACACCTGCAGCAGAGAAGCCAAAGATGGCGTCGAGGAGGAGCAGCGCGTTCGGATGGATGTAGAGTCCCCAGCTCACCTTAGCTTCAACTCCAAAAAAATCGTCCCCTCAATCGGCGTCGCATAGTACCCTTCAATCTCCCTAAAACCCATCCCCTCATACACCGCCCTCGCAGCATGCATGTTAGGCAACGTATCAAGTCTCACAGCCTCATACCCTAGCCCCTTCGCCTCGCTCACCACCGCTTCCGCCAGCGCCTTGCCCACCCCGCGTCCCCGGCCCGCAGGCGCAACATAAAGCCGCTTCATCTCGGCGCAGTCGAAGGCGGTGTTGCAGTTCGCGTCCCCGAGCGCACGAAGCGCTACACACCCCATCGCGGCTCCGGTACCCGTTTCCCGCGCGAGGAGCAGCGCGCCTCTGCGGGGAGGAGAGTAGGCTCCGGGGAGGTTTGCGAGTTCTGAGGCGAAGGATTGGAAGGTTAGGTCGATTTGTAGGGCGGTGGCGTAGGAGTTGAAGAGGGTTGCGATTGCTGAGAGGTCTGCTGGGGTGCTGACGGGGGTGATGGTGAAGGTGGGTGGCGGCATTTGGCGTTGTTGTTAATGGGGTGTGTTGGAGATATGGAATGCTGGTGGGTATCGGCTCGGGTTTCATCAGTTGTTGGGGTCAGTTAATGAGCGTGTTGTTTTGTTGTGTTCTTTCGTGTTGAAAGGTTGTTATATTCATTTTGTGAAAGATGAGGTGAGAGATTGCGAGGGTGCTGGATTTATGAGTCAAGCGAAAATGTATCGACTTCCAAGCAAGACCGACGGCTGAACCGCGACTATGGCGATATGGACGCAATGAAAAGACAGTGGAGAGGGAAAAGGGAAGCATAATCATCAATGATTGATTTCCCTACGACTCAAGCTAATGAAAGCGCAGCACCAATGTCCTAGAAGGATGGGCGTGCGGAGCAAGCGAAAGTGACGAAGATGTCCGATCAGCTTGATGCTCCCCAGAGGCCGGCGCGGCGTCTTTTCATGTTCCCATCTCACTCGCCCAAAGCTTCTCTTGTTCTCAGTTCACTCGGTCGGAGCTGCTTCTCCTGTTCCCATCTTACGCGCTCAAACCGTAGAGCGCGGCGTCGTACTCGTCCTCTTCGTTGCCGGCGTCGTTCGCGTCAGCCTCGTCGACGTTCATGGCTTCCGTGCCGTCCTCGTCTTCGTCCTCACCGCTGGCTTCGTTACCATCGTCATCTCCGTCAACGTCCGCATCGCCATCACCATCATCATCTTCCTCCCCATGCGCATTCACCGTCCCCGTCCCCGTCTTCGTCTTGGTCTTCTCCTTCACGGGCCCCTCAGTGTCATCCTTCATCTTCTCCTCCTCCTTCTTCTCGCCAACCTTCACCTCACCACCCTTGGGCGTCCACTCCAACACCTTCACCCTCTCCCCCTGCAAGTCCGGCTGCGCCGTGAAGTCATACTTCGACAGCGTGAGACGCGTGAACTTATCCATGCCATAGAACTTGGGGATCCTGTCCTCCAGCACCTCCTCGCACAGCAGCTTGCTCTTGTCCGCGGGCGTCCAGCCTTGGAAGCACAGCAGCGCGTCGATGGTGAGCGTCTTAAGCTCCGTGAGCTGCGGCAGCAAGTTCTCGATCCACAGGCGGTGCCGCGCGCTCTCCACCGCCGCTTGGCACGTGTTGGGCCCGAAGTGAGGCAGCATGCGGCAGTCGTGGCAGAAGAAGATGATGGTGAACTTGGCGTGCTTCACTTTGAGCGCTGGAGGGGGCAGCTTGACGCGGTGGAAGGCGTAGTTCTCGTGATCTTTGAGGACCTGTTTGACGTGTTAGGTGAGTGTGGGTGAGGGGGGGAGATGTGGGGAACAAACGAGGGTCAGGGCCAGCTTCGCACGCGCCTCGTACTCGTTCTTCACCGTCTTGTTGGTGAGCAGCAGGTTGACGTTGGCACGGAAGTTGACGCTCGCGTGCAAGCTTGGACGGAGGCGCACGAGTTCATCGTAGGAAAGGAAGGGGGAAAGGAAGGCGCCGGGGGGAGGACGGATATCCGCGTGCGGAAAGATGGGCACGTTGTCTTGAGCATACTCATTCGTGAACCAGGCGGGGACCCCGGACGTGGTTGCCATGGCGGGCGTGGTTGCATTCGTGGGCGTGAATGCCTCCTGGGACATCGGAGGGCCCCAACGCTGCGGGCGGGGATTTTGAATGGTAAAGTCCGACCTGGGGACGAGGGCGAGGTCGTAGATGTTGTCACGCAGCTCGCGGGGCAAACGAAAGAAGGGGAAGACATCCTTGTCGGGGTGCTGGTGAGATGAGGGCGATGATGCCTGGTCTTCGTTGACGCCCTCCATGTTCGAGGAGAGGTGTGTGAGATCCATCACGTCGGTTGTGGGCGTTGTGTTGTTGCTGAGCTCACTCATACTCACGTCACTGACGCACGGCAAGGCCGAGTTGACGGGCGGGTAGGTAGGTGGTTGAATGAGAGAGAAGTGTGAATGAGGGGATGAGGGGAGAAGGATCAAGACGAGTTGTGAGGGGAAGCAGAAGCAGGTGGAGGGATGAACGAGCAGAAAAGAGGACTCGTTGCCGTGTGGGCGGGGAGTGCAGGTGAGGGTTTGGCGGGCGGACGTGTAGGTCAACGGCGAGTGGTAAGGCTGATGGACCAAGCGTTTTGTCATCCGCGCGCCACGCCACTCATCACCACGGCATTGTCTGTGACACCACAACACCATCACCCTTCACTTGCCCTCACTTGCCCTCGCTCATCAGCAGAATCGTATATTATCTTTGCGTCATAAGTATATTCACCTCATCCCATTCAGTCATTACATTCATTGCACGCCTCTCCTCACCTCCTCATCACCCCCTTCTTCCTCCCTTGCGACTAACCCATCGTCCTATAGCGCCGCGAGGGGGATCAGCTATCGGCCCCTCTGCATCGCCGATCCCAAAGAACCGCTCAGCTTTGCTCAAGCGACGGTTAGGCTGCAGATCAGGCGCATCCACATACTCGTCGGAAGTGACGCTGCCTTCATCATCATCACTGTGTTGCTGCTGCTGCTGGCCGTCCTGGCCGAAAGGCATCTGATTCTCGGGTTGCTGCTGAGAAGATGACACCGGCAAAGGCTGATGCTGAATTCCAATCGGAGGGCCGGAAAGATTATACCCCTGATCATACGACGCCGCGTGCTCGTCCCTGCCGTGTTGCGCGCCAGACGACACACCATTGGCGCGTCTGTCAAGTGCTCCATCCGTCGCCGCGTAGCCAGCAGTTCCCCGAAGACCAGCATCAGGACTCGGGCTCCTACTGTCTCCCTCTTCCCCTGCATATCGCCGATTACTTCTCCTCCCACTCCGCAACCGCTCCAAGAGCGTGCCACGTTTGCTCTTAATCCGGCTGTCGTTAACATCCGGCGGCCCCGTATACCATAGCGCCGGCACGAGCAAGCGATACCTCTCCGTAGCACCCAGCGGATCGCGCTGGTCAATCTCCATATTGAGACTGATGTCCAGTCCGGCTTCTAGGTTGATGTGACCCAGCTGTCTTGCGTCTTCGGCGAGGCCTTCTTCCTCCGTGGCCGGCGCGCCTCCTCTAGCTGCCGCACGTCGTAGATCCTTCTCCGTAAGATTGCTGGGTCGGCGATGGAAGTTGGGTCTTGCAGAACCAACATCAGCACCCGTTGTAGCTACTCCTGCACTGGCGGAAGAAGAGACCGGGTGTGGTCCATCCAAGCTCTGACTCCTAGCCAGTCCGCCTCTACCGCCCGCCTGCGCCAGCGAGGAAGGAGGATTCTTACTCCTCGATCCAGAGAGCCGTCGAATCAACCCCAGTGAGCCCCGAGTGAGACTTCTGGTCCGACCAGCCATGGAACCCGGGGGAAACCGGCGATCTCTCTGCACATCTCCCGCCGCTTGCGCAGGCTCTCCAAACTCCCCACTCGGCGCAGCTCTTTCCGGCGGGGGCGAAGGAGGCGGCGTATGGCCCGGTTCGAACTCGCGAATCGTGCAATAGTTGCGCCTCGGGAGCAGGCACTTATTGTTCCGCTTGCTGCCATCGACGTCGACATCGAACATTGGAATCATATCCTCGTCCGTCTCGGAGTCCAGGTGATGGACCTTGTTCCGCCGGTTCAGCACGTCCGCCATCACATTGGGAGGCGGCGTGTTGACAATGGCGCTGCTGATGACGTTCGGCATGTAGCGGTGATCGCGGTCCTTGCTGATGCCGAATTTCTTCGGCGTGTAGAACTGCCCTACTGCGCCGAGGTGGACGTCGCCGCCTAGTATCGTGATTCGAACGCTCTTCTCCGCCGCCAGCTCCTGCAGCTCTTGAATGAACCAGTTCCGCTCGTGCTTGTGACCTCGGGAGCTCCAGTGATCATCCAGATCATCCAGGATCTCGACACCGCCGTCGAATTTGTTCACGAACCCGCCCAATACCCCTGTCCGCCCGATGGCCTTGATAGGGTCCATCACGCGGCTCGTCAGGATGTTCTCCAGGAAGTTGAGGCGCGGATACGCAATCGGAACGCCGAGCATCACGATCAGGTGTCTGGTTTCACCACTCTTGATCTCTGCACGACACTTGTCGAAGAGGATGTCGTAGCTCGCTTCGCTCAAAACCTCGTCCCTCATCCTCTCGGTGCGGCAATCCATGCCGAGGAACTTGACCTTGCGGCCAAGGTCGAGGAACACATGCCGTGCCAGCTCGTTGATGTATGGACCCGGACTCGCACCGAGCACCCAACTCGGCTCTTCCTGGCTTGTCTCAGCGGCGACAGACTGGTGCTGAAACAGCATGTAGTACTTGAACGCAATCGCCCCGAGCCCAGTAAACACGCGCGTGCTCATGAAATGGTGCGGGTACGAGCCATAGCCGTCAATGATATCGTGGTCGTCCCAGATATTCACCATGGGGATCTGACTCCCCGCCATGGCGAACAGGCCCTGGCTGAACCACATGCTGTAGCGATGCAGGTAGTACGCTTCCAACTCCTCCTGCATCTGCGGGGAGAAGTCGGCGCCGTGCTTGAATTCCGGATTCTTCGTTTGCAGCCACTCGCGGAAGAGCGTGGTGTCGCGCATCGCGCCGTCGTTGTAGACTTGGTCTCCGCCGCCGATCATCACGTGGAAGGGGCGAGTCTGGTGTTTGTTCAGCACGTCTCGCCATAGCGGATCTGGGCCGCTGAACACATTCGGGTCGACGGATAAGGAGAAGCCGTTGCAAGAGTGAAACATCATGTTCATCGTCTCGCCTCGCGCGGGAACCCAAAAGCCCAACGCAGGACCCTTGTTGATCCTGTACGCGACTCGATGTTGTTGCGACCCCAGTTCGATTTCGATGCTCCATCGCCAGAAGGTGAAGCCGCGTTCGGCATGCAATCGCACGGCGCGGACTTCCTTGTACCGGCCTGCCTTTTCCCCATCGCGGCTGTGGATTCGGGATTTGCCTTGTTGGCCATCCTGTCCAGATGGTGACACGAGTTGAGGAGGGCGCGTTGCAGCGTAGAGGCCCTGATTGTTCTCCTCGCGACTGAGATCCACGCCCGGGTCAATGTCGCGGATGTGGCGCACGTACAAAGGCCGTCCGGTACGTGAGACCTTCACTTGGCCCGCGACGGGATCTTCATGCTCAGGTGCCATTGGCTGGTCATCTTGCGTCAACTGATTCGGTGGTAGTTGTAGCAGGTCCATCGGCTGTGCAAAGATCCTCAGAGTAGGCACTGTGGAGTAGTCGGACTGCTCATCCTCGGTAACAATCATGATGCTGCCTCTCCAGATCTCTCGCTCGCCTTCTCGCCGTATGCCGGTGTATCGTAGGAGAGGTCCGCATTTGAGGAACATTGGCGGTTGGAACAACTTGGCAGACTCCTCAAACGGTCCGTCGTATTGAGGCACAGAGGGTTGCGATGGTCGGGAGCTGCTCGTTCGTTGGCCGCCTCGGCTTTGTTCCCACCATGCGTTATCTTTGCCGTCCGTGGTGGACTGTCCGTTCCGATCAAACTCGACGTCGCTGAGCGCAAGGAACAATGGAGCAACGCCTCTCCACTCTTCGAGAGGCTTGGCAGGTTGATATGCTCTTCCTTCAGCAGCTTGGTGATGGAACATCGCCCCGAACCGGCCATGTGAGTGTTGCTGACCTCCTGGCTGACTGTCGAACCCAACCTGCTCCCTAGCAGCCTGGCCAGCAGCCGTTTGCGGTGGAATGTGGTACGACAAGGGATTGTCATGCTCCGTTTTGACTTGATCACGAGGCACAGGATCCGATGTCTCGCCTCTGAGTGCGCGGCGTATGGTTCCATGGCCCAGTGTGCGTTTGGTCTCCACCTTCTTACTGTTGCTACGAGATACGTTCTCGCCGTCTTGCTTGCCATTGGCCAGCTGATGCTTCTCTTCAGACGCTGTTTCATGCCCAGCCAAGCCTGTACCCGCGCCCATCGCAGTGGCTGCGGCTGCGGTCGCCGCACCAACGTATCCCGCGTCACGGAGGCGGTGCTGGTAACGACCGCTTGCAGTACGATCAACGCGATTAGCTCCGTCCACGTCGGCCTGGGCGTGGTGAGATTGTTGATCGCCGCTCAGGCGCCCGCCTTCACCATACAAGTACTGCGCTACACCCCAAGTGCGAGGCGTATCAGGGGCGTGGTGGTACGGTTGTGGCTCCTTTGTAATCGGCGGTGTGTCGCCATAAGCGCGAGCGATGAATGCGCGGTCGTCCTGGAGGCTGTCGCGCTTCGGTGCGGCATCCAGGCTCCTTGGCGCGGCAGGTGCATGGTGGTATGGCCTTGGTTCCTGTGCAATAGCTGGCTGTTCATTGTGCGTGACAGTTTTCTGTCTCGCCACATCTAAGCTTCTGGGTGCGTCAGGTGCATGGTGGTATGGTCTCGGTTCTTGCGCAATAGCTGGCGGGTTATTGTTCGCGATGATCCTCTGCTTTGCTACACCCAAACTCCGGGGAGCTTCGGGAGCATGGTGATATGGCCTCGGTTTTTGCGCAATATCTGGCTGCTCTTGCTTCGCAACAGTCCTCTGCCTCGCCACGTCCAAGTTCCTAGGGGCAGCGGGAGCATGATGGTACGGCCTTGGCTCATGCGCAATAGCAGGCTTGCCACGGCCACCGCCCAACTCTTTTTGCCTCGCCGCATCAAGACTTCTCGGCGTCTCTGGCGCATGATGATACGGCCTGGGATCCTTTGCGATGCGAGGAATGCCGTCGCTCGTGCGCGCATAACTCCTCGAATACCCGTTCGCGGGGGGCAGGCCACTCAACGCGGCCGACCCGGCGGACACATGGCGCGGTGAGTTCTGATAGAACTTATCGCTTGTGCTCTCGCTAGGTCGGCGACTGCCATCACTAACGACTCGGCCCTTTTCGCTGCGCAACGTGCCTTGCCGCTGAACGGCTCGATTCTCGGCTTCTTCCACTCGCGCGCGCTTTTCTTCTTTGCTCGCGGTGCGTTCGATATTTTGGAGCGGGCTGCGCTCGGGCACACTGACGCGCCGTCTTGGTGGCTCTGCGGTTGTGCTGGTAGCAGATGCGGGCTCCGGGAATTCTTCTTCGTTATCGTGCTCCGGAGGCGGAGACCATGGCTTTGTGCGTAAGTTCTCTGGGACATCGTCTTCATTGGCGGAAGTTGGAAGCTGCGCACTGGATCCCACAAGGGCAGTTTCGTTGGTATGGCGGGTATTGGCCAGACTGTCAGAAGCTGTGTCGCCCAAATGGTGGTTCGCATTACCTTCCTCGGCCTGTCCATCTCTGGGCACGTCTTCTTGACCCATCGAGCTACGGTGTTTGATTTGACTGAGATGTTCCGAGTCTGTAGGGCCCATAGAGACAGCCATTGAGGCTGGCAAGGAATCGGCGAAATGAGCAGTCTGTGCAAAATGCTCGCTCCCCGCTTCACCACCCGCCTCGTGTTGGTGTAATTGATTGACCAAGTTCATATGTTCTGGGGAATCGAGAAGCTGCTCGTGACCCAAAAGAGCTGCGCGAGTATTCATCTTGACAACAGCGGCATCGGCGACTGTGCGGTAGGGGTCTGGCGGTGTGTCGAGTCGGGGGTCGTAGGTGGGTTCGGTGGTGCCGGTACGTTCGGCGAAGGAACGACGATCGCTCGACGTGGGATTTGGAGGCGGTCCATAGTAGTGGTCGGGAGGAGGATCGAGGAGTGGAGGAGAGTGTCGTTCCAGGAGGCCGGTGGTAGGGTTCTGGGTCCAACGGCGTGGTTGCGCAGTGGTGTCCATTGGAGCCGGTCTTGGGATGTCCGATGTCAGTCTAGTTGCACATGACTGTCGGGGGGGATTGTCGGAGATTAGGAGAATTTATGCGACTACGTGGAGTGGGCGAGGTTGGACGGGATGGAAGTGCTGGCTGGTCAGGTTTCACGGGGGCTTGACCGCTTCCACGACTCGACAGCGGCGCGCACGGGACGGAAAGACGAATCGACTCGCTTGCTCAATAACTGCAGACGCTGATGAGAAGAAAGGAGGACATGAATCACGAGAGGGGGAGATGGAGGGGGCGGAGGAATGGAGGAGGGTGGTTGTTGGAGATGGAGGATGGCTGGGCTAGCTTGGTGAAGCTGCGGCCAACTGCACTCCTCTGCCGCGCCCGAATAGGCTACGCGCATCCAGCACACCCTGCATGCACTCCCGACCAACGTACGCGAGCGATGTTCGTGGAATTGCTGATATATATTGATTGCGAGCAATGTCTCGATATTTGCCATTGACCCACCACGAACGTTCCTGCCACAACCACAGCCTTCTGACGCGATTGCCCCAGAAGGCGGAAAGCTTATTGTTCGCTTTGAGCGGAGCGCGGGCGCACGGAGCACGAGCTTAAACCGAATAGAAGTCGTGGGGCAAGCTAGCTGACAAGGGGAAAGCGGACGCCTAAACCGGCCGGGCCGGGGCCTTATTCGCAATCGAGATCAAAGAAAAGCGCCTCGACCGTCCCAGGCCACGACGCTCATCACCTGTACCACCTGTCCTCCGATACCTCGACCCGACTTGCCTCCCTTCTCTACATCTATTAATGCATTCGCTTAATCAATAATGGGTCGACGATGAATGCCGCAGGAAGACTCCGGTCAAAGCACTGCGAAAGCTCGACAAGAGAAGCAGTGGCCGTGGAAGAGTCGTGGAAAAGATGAGGTGGCCTTCGCTTCTGGCGACGGCGTTGCTGCTCTCCTCCGCATCCTCCTCACATCTCATCAAAAGAGACTACGATTCCCACGACTACTACGCCGTCCACCTGTCCCCCGACATTCCTCCCCACCAAGTCGCCGAGTCCCTAGGCCTTCACTACGATGGCCCGCTGGGCGAGTTACGAGACCATCACATCTTCCGCGCCTCCGACAGACACGATCATGATCACGTCAAGGCCGCAAAAGCAGACTTGAAGTGGCGTCGGCGGCGGAGGGAGAGCGGCGCGGAGCAGGCACACATTCTTGATCACGTGCTGTTCAGTCAAAAGCAAGAGTTGCACAAGAGATTTCCCCTCGTGAGGAGAGACGCCCGGTTGTTCCCTCGACAGGGAGAGTATGAAAATGAAGACCTCATCAAGCAAGGTCTGAACATTGCGCGAGACCTCGCCATCGAAGACCCCATCTTCCAGGAACAGTGGCACCTCTTCAACCACGTTGAGGAAGGCCATCACCTCAATGTGACAGGCGTGTGGCAGCAAGGCATCACGGGGAAGGGCAGTGCGGTGTGTATTGTGGACGATGGTCTCGATATGGACTCCCTCGACCTCAAGGACAACTATTTTGCAAAGGGCTCCTGGGACTTCAACGACGTCGGCCCGGACCCCAAGCCTCGCCTTAGCGATGACAGACATGGCACTCGCTGTGCAGGCGAGGTGGCGGCGGTGCGGAACGATGTGTGCGGTGTGGGCGTGGCGTACGATGGCAAAATCTCCGGCGTGCGCATCTTGAGCAAAGTAATTTCCAACGCCGACGAGGCCACTGCGATGAACTACGCTTTCCAGGACAACCATATCTATTCTTGCTCTTGGGGCCCGCCGGATGACGGCAAGAGCATGGAGGCGCCGGATGTACTGATCCAGCGTGCCATGCTCAATGGCGTGCAAAACGGCCGTGGCGGGCTGGGCAGTATCTACGTCTTCGCCATCGGCAACGGAGCAGCCAAGGATGACAATTGCAACTTCGACGGCTATACAAACTCCATCTACTCCGTTTCCGTGGGCGGCATCGATCGCAAAGGCTTGCATCCTTACTATTCCGAGGCATGCTCCGCCCAGCTGGTCGTCACGTACTCCTCCGGGTCCAACGATGCAATTCACACCACAGACGTCGGCCTGAACCAATGCTACAATGGTCACGGCGGCACTAGTGCTGCAGGGCCTTTGGTAGCCGGCATATACGCTCTCGCTCTCCAAGCCAATCCCAAGCTAACATGGAGGGACATCCAACACATCACCCTGCAGACGGCAGTCAAGATCGACCAGCCCAGTGACTGGACGATGAATCGCGCAGTTGGCAAAGAATTCTCCCACCAATTTGGCTACGGGAAGGCGGATGCGTGGGCCCTCGTCGAGCTCGCAAAAACGTGGAAACCGGTGAAGCCGCAGGCTTGGTACTTTGGACCATGGCTACACGTCAAGCACGCCATCCCCGAAGGCGAGAAAGGTCTCACTTCCTCTTTCACTGTCACGAGGAATATGCTTCGTCAGGCGAACTTGGAACGCTTGGAACACGTGACGGTCACGATGAATGTGCAGCACACCAGACGTGGTGACCTCAGCGTGGATCTCATCAGCCCGAGTGGAATGGTGAGCTATCTCGCCACGCACCGGAGAAATGACGAAGCCAGGGCTGGTTACAACGACTGGACCTTCATGAGTGTCGCGCATTGGGGGGAGAGCGGTGTGGGCGAGTGGACAGTGGTGGTCAAGGACACGAACAACAACGGGCACAACGGCACTTTCACCGATTGGAGAATCAAATTCTACGGCGAGGCCATCGACGCCTCCAAGCAAGGATTACTGCCTATGCCTGGGCGGCACGACGACGACAACCACGACGTCGTCGAGACGCAAACCGCCACCGTCGGAACGACCACCGTGTCCGCACCGACCGTTACAGGCGAACCGCCCGGCAACCCAGACGACCACCAACACCGCCCAGTAAACTCCAAACCAACCATCACAACAACCTCAGTCCCCGCCACTCCCACTCCCACCTTCCCCCCGACAGCCGACGAGAACGCGGACGAACCAACCCCCACCTCCAACCCCGCCTTCCTGCCCCGCCCCTTTCCAACGTTTGGTGTCAGCAAGCGAACCCAAGTCTGGATCTACGGCGCCATCACCCTCATCCTCATCTTCCTGGCAGCCCTTGGCGGCTGGGCGTTGTATGTGCGCCGCAAGCGGAAGCGCAGATGGGACGACTACGCGTTCGAAATGGTAGATCACGAGGACGACGACGATGGTGACGACGATGGCGATGCGCCGTCGCGGCCTGAGGCGCGGTTTGGAGATGCGAATGGTTTTGCGAATGGGGATGTGAGGCGCGGTGGTGGTGGTGGTGGTGGTGGTGCTGGAGGTGGGAGGAAAAAGAGGGCGGGAGAGTTGTATGATGCTTTTGCGGAGGGGAGTGATGACGAGGAGATGTTTGGACTTGGGAGCGAGGATGAGGAGGAGAGTGAGGGGGAGGCAGGACGGTATCGAGACGTTGATCCTGGACGTGAGGGCTTGGATGTGGGATGAACGTGTTTGCAAGATTCTTGCATTGCTGTCCTGGAGTTTCCTTTGATCGCGCGAATAGAGATGTACAGAGATCGGTTGGAGATGCAGACGTCACGCCCGCTCCACCTTCACAGCCTCGATGGGCGTAACGGAAGATCCCTACATGCCACTGCATACAGCACACCCTTTTACTGCATTGAGAACGGAACGAGCGGTATCTGCCGCTCCCATGCCCCCGTGAGAGAGAGATTGAACCACCCATTCGGTGGTGTACGCGTGGAGAATGCTGACAGATCGCAGGCTATCGCCCCCCAAAAAGGCTGTTGCCGATTCCACATCTCAGCCAACACACGTCACATGCTGCGGTGAGCGTCTACTGTCAGTGTGCAACGTCACACTATTGCTGCTTACACGTCTCCTTGAATATGTCTCAATAGCTTTCCCTTGTAAATCATCAGGCATTGTTGTGGAAAAGAGTGCAGAAGCGTGGTAGAGAACATGGCAGCTACTACAGTAGTCGTCCAAGCGGGCCTCAAAAACCGCGAAGCAACAGACCACCACCCCGACGCCCCGCACGTCACAACAACCTACAGCCCCGAAGCCGAGCGCGCCGTCCGGGACGCCATCACCGCCGCCGGCGCCAAAAACGTCGAACTCCTGCACGAAATCAGCACGACGGGAGACGCGGTGCATGAACTCAAAGCCAACGACGCCCGCCTCAGCTCGCTGGCCGACGAGCTGAAGAAGCAGAGCAAAGCGGCGCGCGAAGCGGCGACGCTGACGCAGGACCAGCTGGCGAAGTACACGAGCGACAAGGAGTCGTTTGGCAAGCGGTGGGCGTATATTCTGGTGAAGCAGCGCAAGGTGCTGGAGGAGAAGATCCGGCAGGGCGAGCAGGTTTATTTGCAGGCTTTGGGGGCGCAGCAGCGCGCGGAGGCGAGGGAGACGCAGCTGCTAAGGGACAAGAATGCGATTGAGGCGGAGAATGTGGAGGTGAAGGAGAAGGTGAAGCGGCATGGGGTGGCGCACGCGGCGCTCGATGCGTTGTACGAGGAGCTGTTTGATGGGCCGACGCCTGGGTTCCCGGACGAGGATGAGCGCGAGGCGGCGTTCAAGTCGACGAAGAAGGAGCACGATGGGTATGTGGCGACGTTTCGCGCGACGGTGCGCGCGACGAAGGAGAACAATTTGGTGAAGAGTACGATTGGGCGGGCGCGGGCGGAGAACAACCGTGCGCGGTCTGCGCTGCAGAACTCCTTCATCAGCGGTGTTGATACGGCGCTTGTGTTCCTTGAGCGCACGGCACGATTGATTGAGCAGACGCTGAACGTCAATCTTAAAATCGACGAGGGCCTCCCGCGGCCGCTGGATACCGCGTTCAACGACAACCATGTCGCCGTCGCTCAGCATCTGATCAAAGCGCGGACGGCGTTGCAGGAGCCGCTCGAAGTGTCGTATGCGTACATCACCAACACGCAATGCAACAGAGTGATTCAAGACGTCGAAGACGAGTTGAAACTAGCGTCAGAAGCGCAGGCGGTGCTGACGAAGCTGCTCAAGCACTACGAAGACGACGCCATCGAGATCGTGAAGAGCACCGCTCGCTCGCTGGAGGATGCGCGGCAAGGTCTGGCCGAGATTCGGCAGATGGCGTTCGAGGTGATTGTCGGGCATGGATCTGCCGCTCCCAACTATCACGAGTGCTGCGATCGAGCGGCTTCTTTCGTGCAAGTGGCGGGCGACGAGACGGCGCGGATGCCGGATCCGGTCATTGACGATTCGGGCTTACCGCCGCCGCCGAGTTATGAAGCTTCGATTTTCAAGAGAAGAGGGGCGGTCAAAGGTGCCAACCGGAGACAGGCGCGTTCCGGGCCGCCTGTTCCGACTGCTTGACGATTATGAGCTGTCCGTTCGAACGCATTGCTCTTGGCGTTTGCAGTCAGCATCGGTGGAAATGGGGCTTGAGTGGAGTTGGAAAGCCGGAACATCAATTCTTCGGCCCTATCTTCTGCATCACAGCATCGAAGGCCTGGAGGGAAATATGCCGCTGTTTCGAAGCGAAGCGTTCGGATGTCGAGTGGTACAACTGGGGAAGATCGACGTCTTCGAGTCTCGCATCATCCGCAATCATCGAAGCAACAGCCTTGGCAGACAAGAAGACTTGCGGCATTCCATGGCCTGAGAAGCCGGCGACCACGAACTGGCCTTGTTTGCCGGGTACGTTGCCGACATACGGGAAGCCATCGTCGGTATAGCCCATGACTTGTTCCAGTAGCGTTAGCAAGAGTCCAGCAAGAAAGCGCAAAGACGAACGTACTTCCCGTCCACACTTTGTCCGTGTAAGCCTCGCTATCTTCCCAGCCGTGGAAGTTGCGCTGCATGTACCCGTCAAAGTACTTCTCCGCCGACTCCATCAGCTCGCTGTCATCATACACATCGAACCAAGATCCGAGGTCGTTGTAAAAACCCTGCCGCGCACCGCCAACGATGATGCTGCCGTCCGATCGTTGGATCAAGTAGTCGTATTCATGGTCGGAGAAGTGCAAGACAGAGCTCGTCGGAAGGTATGGTGGGTATGGCTTCGGCGTGACAATGCGGCTGCAGATGCCGCGGACGGGGACGATCTTCTGCGCGAGTTCTGGTAGCAGAGCGGTGGTGTAGCCGTTGGTTGCGAAGACGACCTTGGACGCAAGGACTGCTCCTCGGGGCGTCTGGACCGTCCATCTGCCTTCTTTGTCCGGCTCGCTGGACACAGCTTCCACGGGGGTATGCGTTTGTAGATTGACCCCTTGCGCCACGGCGGATCGGAGTAGGTGCATCACGAAGCGGTAGGGGTAGAGATGACAAGCTGTATGGCTCACACAACCCTTGGCCCCTTTGATGCCAGAAGCCTGAGTTTCGTCAGTTAGTAGTGCGTAGACTCGTATACGATCTGCGTCTTACCCTTTCCGCGGTCTTGTGATCGCTAAAGAACACATCGTCCAATCCGGCGACTCCAGCTGCAGTCAGCTTTTCAATCTTGGTCTTCTGCCTCGTAGCACCTTCCTCATATAAACAGACATCCGTCACTCTCGTCATGACGAAATCACAATCGATGTTCTCCCGCTTGATGAGATCGCCAACGGCCTTCATATGTCGGACTTCGAACAGCGTGGCTTCATCGGCCGCGACCTTGCCAACAGATTCCAGAGCTGTGGCTGCTCGATTATAGGGATCTACGATCAATGGTGAGCAGGAACACACAACGATGAAGGGGCCATGCTTTAGCTTACCAGCATTCAAATGGCCTCCATTGCGACCTGTAGCTCCCGAGCATGCCTCTCTAGCTTCCAGAATGAGCATTGAGCGCTGTCCATGAGCGAAGTCGGTGTGTTGGAGGAGATGGTGAGCAGTGGAGGCACCAGCATAGCCGGCGCCGATGACCACGACATCTGCTGCGGAAGGGAGATTTTCGGTGCTTCGATGACTGTCGAATGGATGAGGGTCTGATCGCCAGAAGGACGTAGTCGAGTTCGGCACGGGGAAAGATTTAGAGTCCATTGTTACTCTCAAGTGGCAGATAGAGGCTTGGATCTGCTCCGGCTACTGCGCGATGAAGTCGAGGGACGGTCTGCTGCTGCCTGACTAAAATCTTGCGCCGCCGTCTGGTCAGGGCAGTACGGGCTCAGGCGCACACTCGACAACGACAGCCTCGGAGGTTACTGATGACAATGATCTTAGCGGTGCAGCGTAAGGTAAGGTATGTACCTCATCAGCTTGGGTTTCATCATGTCGACGCCCTGACGCTCGGACGACACACGCTTCTCACGTCAGCAGTCGACCGATGATGGCAAATAAATATCCGGTGTGCTTTCGCGCTCTTTTACTTGTCATTGTACCTGTCGACTTCAAAACCCATGCCCATGCTCTAGTCTCTATCACCTACCACAGGTCTTCGGCTGATTGCCACAACGCTGCAGCAATGCATGCCCTACTCTACCACCCTCTACTCATCTTCAGCGCCTCTCTTCTTGCTTTTACCTTGACTACTCAATACACGCTACGTGGCTCGCCCTGGCGGTACATTCTGCTCGTCTTCATGTCCCTGTGCGCTTACATCTTTCCACATTCGATACAGTCCTGGTCCCATACAACCGGCTGGCTGGGCCGCATAGCCGCCGGCGCCGTCTTCTGGAACATCTTCACTGCCTTCGACAAACTCATCCTCAGAGGATGGGACTACTACAACTACCCTCCCGTCGCAGGAGACGGTGCAAGCACAGCCACCAAGGTGGACCTCGACCCCGGTACCAAAGATAAGGATGGAAAACTCCCCTCGCACTACCCCGGGACTCGAAGTGAATTTACAAACGAAGTGACTGGCAACGCGCGCGGCATCGGGCTCTTCTGGCAGGTCAAGAACGTTCCGGCATTCTCCAAAACACAGCCGGCCTATGTGCCCTCGAAATCCGCATTTCTGCTCCTCAACGGCACAGCCCTGATAGCTTGCTACTTCCTCCAAAATCTAATGGTACACGTAACACTCGCTTCGGACCGCTCGTTGCGGACCAGTGCGCATGCGCCGCTGTTCGCTAGGCTCGACGAGGTATCTTGGGCAGAACTCCAGACCAGAGTTGTGGTCTCGCTGGCCTTCTGGATCCAACAGTACTGTTTATTGCAGTTCCTGTATGCCCTCTTCGCTATCCAGGGCGTTGTCGCGAGTGGACAAGATATCAAGCTATGGCCGCCGCAATTCGGGCCATTCGAGGACGCTTGTACCATTCGAGGCTTTTGGGGGTGAGTGGCTGGCGGAACACAGGTGCCTGCTTTTTCAACGTACGCTGACAACGAGTAGAAAGTTCTGGCACCAGAATTTGCGTTGCTCGATGGAAGGAGTGACTGGTTGGCTCGCTCATGACATCTTGCGCCTACCCGCCCGAGGCCTCCTGCAGCGTTACACCAAGCTCTTCGTCTCGTTCATCATGTCCGGCATGATGCACGTTATGTCGGACATGGGCGGCGGAACGCCGGCACGCGAATCTGGCGGCCTCGTCTTCTTCCCCATGCAGGCTGTCGGTATCATACTGGAAGACTTGGTGCAAGCCGCGTATCTCCGATTGGCCTCGCCTGGCCGTGGACGCACGCTCCGCGCCGTCGAGATGGCTGTAGGGTACGCTTGGGTGCTGGCGTTTCTGGTGTGGACTTCGCCGGTCTGGGTCTTCCCGATACGGACCAATGTGCGTTTGGAAGACGACCTGCTGAGTCTCGATCTCTATGCACTCAATCACGTCACCGCCGGGAGGTAGTTCAGATGTTGTGCTGTCACCTATACACTATAGACATTGCGACGGTTGCTATGTGTATTATATAGACACGATAGATCAGTTCCGCCAAATACCGTTGCCAGTCTTGAAGCCATCTCCGCTTTAGATGTCCACTCGGACAATCTTCTTGAGTCGTTCATCGGCACCCAGCCACAGCATATCCGGACGACTGTCTGTTGCACGAGTTAGCAAATGAACTCCGCCACCGGGCAAGGTGACGTACAATGACCGCTAGCATCGGCAAAAGTCTTCGTCTTGGTGATGAGCGAAAGGTCCAAATCAGCAATGATGAGCTGTTCGTTCGCAGTCTCCGGCGCACTCAGGATGCGGCCATCGGGTCCAATGACAGCCGAACTGCCAACGATCGGATGGCCCATGATGGGACTGCCCGCCGTGCCCATCAACCCAATGCCTTTCTCGGTGATCACAGTGGTGGCGTGCAGCACGTATGCTCCCGCCTCGATGGCGTAGGACTGGGATTGGTTCCGGCAGCCTGCATTACGATCAGCACGAGTCCCAACGCGAATGAAAACGGTAAGCAATCACCCTCAATCGACATGGAATAAAACCCAGGCGACCCCTGAATAAACCCATCCAGCGGCGGCCAAGCAGCAACATGAATCTGCTCGCCCTGCGAAAAAGTATAATACTTCAGCAGCGGCTGGATATGCTCCCAGCACGACAAACCCCCCACAGCCCCGACTTGCGGCAAATTGACCACCTTGGCCAAACAATCGCCCGACGCATCCCCGAAAATGGTGCGCTCCATGTGCGTGGGCTTCATCTTGCGGCGCGCCATTTGCAGCAGGCCGGCTTCGTCGATGAGCGCTTGTGCGATGTACACCGACTCGCCGTCGCGCTCGGAGAAGCCTAGGGAGACGTTGATGCCGTGTTCTTCCGCTGCGGCGCAGATGCGCTTCATTTCGGGGCTGTTGAGTTTGAGGGAGTTTTGGACGTATTTGACGCCGAGGTCGAAGTCGACGGGGCGGGACCTGGTGGGTTGTTAGTGGAGTTGAAAGGTGGGTGAGTGACAGAGCTAGAGGGTATTACCAGATCCAGGCTGGGTATCCTGGAATCTGCACGACAGATTGTTAGCATGATGTACCGGAGGAGCCAATGCTATGCAGGCCTACGCACCCAGCACTCAGGGAATGCAACGAGCTTTGCACCTTCAGCAGCCGCTTGCTTGATAATGGCAATTGTCTTCGTAACGGCGCCTTCCAGATCTAGCCATACGGGTTCGTGTTGAGTGACAGCTACCCTCACCAGGCCCGTTGGTGCGGTGGAACCCATGTTGACGAGGCTGCGGCGATAAGACAATGCTTCAGAGAGGACGACGAGGATGTGTGAGGATAAGAATATCAGAGTCTTGAATAAATACAGACGTGCCAATCTCAAATATCTCAGAGTCTTGGAGAAGGGCGATTCCGCTCTTATCGGAGAGCTATAGGTGAGGTCGAGGATCGACGCGGCGCCAATTCCGTTCGCCCCCTCGTTGCGGGGTCGGGGAAGGATAGTCTGGAACGCAGATCTCGGGGGGTCCAAGAGATCAGAGGTCCATCCAATCGCAATTGATCTTGATGGGTATTCTGCTGTAATTCGGAAGATAAGGTTGATATTACTAGCAATTGTGTCGACTTGGAGAGAGACCACGGGCCGTGCACTTTGAAGAACACCGCTTGATGCGCACCTCGTAGCTCTTTGCTTTACATTTCCACATCCCTTGATGTCTGTAGTCCTCGGGAAGACTAACGGAGCACATGGTGAAGTCTTTGCTTGCTTGTAAAGTATGTGGCTGTAGCATCAGCCGTCCTCGTGAAATCGAATAATGTCGTCCTCCACAGCACCGCCATCGCCCTCCCTCAACACCATAGCCTCCCTGCGTCGTCGTCTCCTACCCGCTTCATCCTCGCCTCTCGTCCCAGATCTCTCCCGCGGAACATTCGTCCACCCTGCAACCGGGTTCTCCTCGCTCGGCACCAAAAGCGGCTCATCCAACGAGCCCTGCATGCGGGCGTCACGCTCCGCCCGCAGCTCCTGTAGCGATTCAAACGCGGCACGGTCGCCGGCCGCTTGCAGATCTTGTAGCGATGAAAACGCGGCTCGCTCTGCCCGCAAATCTTGTAGCGATGCAAACGCGGCTCGCACGTGTTCGGGTACAGGGTGCACAGATGGAGTGGAATTCCCGGAATGCTCCCCGAATTCCGGGTAGGGCTCCCAGTTTCTGCGCACTTCGGCGTATCTCCTGGCGTTGCGGAAAGGCCGGAGGAAGGATAGGGCTTGTCTGGCATGCGCCTGTAGTTGCTTGTCCTCGGATTGGGTTGCATCGTTGACGATGGAGCGGATTGCCTCTGGCTGACGCACGATTCGTTCCACGACGATTTCTGCTGCGGCAGTGCTGATGTGGTAGTCTGGCGAGTCGGCTAGAATCTTGAGGTTTTCGAGTGACATTTCTGGTGGATGCAGTTAGACACGAACGGCTTGGAGATACGTCGCGGGGAAGTGTACTATCTTCGGGCAAGTCGCCCTTGGGATTTTCGAATGCATCGGGAAGAGGAGTGAGTTCTGTCAGCTCCACGATGTCATGGATGGCGTACTGGATGCCTTTGGCCGCGCTGAAGAGGAAGATGCCGAAGCCGAGCCAAAGGAGGCGGTCATCTATCCGTGGTACTGCCGACATGTTGACATGCAAATTCCGAATGACGGAGAGAACGGAGCATGATGGGCGGCCTGTTCGACGCTCACATGTTGTTCGCAAGGCGAGATTCGTTCAGGCGCATTTGAGGTTGGAGCAATCAATGTCGAGGAGCTGTGGGGCGGACGGCAGGCACGTTCATCGGGCGGGCCGTCCCCACCCCGCTCCAAAAAGTTAAAATCCTCGAGACGTTCAAAAAGTTCAGAAGTTTGAATGTCAAGACGACGACTCTGCGCCGTCCTGCCCGACACACCTCTCCAGCCATGCCTCCTTCTCAACTCAAGCGGCTCAAAACGTCGCTCCGAGAAGCGGGCATCACTGGTCCCCCGAAATCGAAGAAGCAAAAGCGAGATTCCAAAGGGAATAACGACCGCATAGAGAAGCAGGCCAAGCTGCAACATCTTCGCGACTCTTTCAATCCTTTCGAACTACGCGCGCCCTCCTCCCGACCCGAGAAGCACCAGCATACAGCCAACGGTGCGAGCAATGGAAAGCTCAGTTACAGAGATGTGCTGCATCGGCCCGGTGTCGCCAAAAGCGTGGGCGAAGAGATGCGAAGAGCCAAGCTTCTGCCGGAGATGCAAAGGCGTAATAAAGTTGGAGGGCTGGTGGACCGGAGAATCGGCGAAGGAGATGCCATGATGACCGCTGAGGAAAGAGCAGAGGAGAGATTCGCGGCTGGGTTTGTAAAGAAGGGAAAGGCGAAAACCTTGTTTGATCTTGAGGACAGCGATGATGAGGGTGTCGGACTCACACACGGTGGGAAGAATGTGGACGACCTTCCTGCAGATGACTTCAACGAGGACGTGGAGGTCAGCGATGAGGATGGAGAGCTCATGCGACGGAAGAGAAGACACCCAGATGAGCTTGAAGATGATGGGGCGAATGACGCCAACGAGAGCGAGGACGAGGAACAGCCGGATCGCAAGAAGACAAAGAAAGAGGTCATGGAAGAGGTGATTGCCAAATCCAAATATCACAAGTATGAGCGGCAGAAGGCGAAAGAGGATGACGATGATCTGCGTGAGGTGCTCGACAAAGGCATGGACGACATGCTAGCCCTGCTTCGCGGACACAAAGCTCCGCAAGCCCCGACTCGGCCACAGACGAATACGCCAGCATTAGAGCCAGCAACAAATGGCGAGGGCCATTTCATGAATCCCGACCGACAGAAGCTACTCGACGGCGCCGATCGCCTGGATGTTGACAAGGAGTACGATGCTAGACTGAAGCAGCTAGCTCTCGATGCCAAGGCGAAACCCAGTGACCGGACCAAGACAGAGGAAGAAAAGGCAAAAGAGGAGGCCGAGCGGCTGAGAGAGCTTGAAGACCGACGATTGAAGCGGATGCGTGGTGAGCAGGTTGAAGAGGCCGAGGCTGCGGAGAATGATGCAACCCAACTGAACGAAGATGACGACTTTGTCGACGAAGCAGCCGAGTTTGGCTTTGCTGCCGCTAATCCGTCAAATAAAGACAAAGACGACAAGCCAGTCGTGCATGAAGACGAGGACGACTTCGCGCTGGATGAAGACTTGATCGCCTCTGATTCCGAGGCTGAAATCACCGATGAAACCGATTCAGACTCGGATGCTGAGGACGAAGAGTCCCGCGAAGCGGCCAGAGCACTTGAGGACGAAGAAGACGAGTTCGTCAAGGACATCCTGGGCGATGCTCCCAAACCTCAAGGCCAAGTTCAACCTTCGAAACTGGCCTATGCTTATCCGTGTCCTCGGTCACACGCTGAGTTGCTTGATGTGATCAAAGACACGGAGGCCACCGAATTGCCGACGATCATTCAGCGCATTCGCGCCCTACATCATCCCTCACTCAGCGCGACGAACAAGGAGGCGATGGCTGATTTTGCTGCCGCACTCGTGGAACATTTGTCGTACATGGGCATACATCAGCAGCCACTACCGATTGCAGAGCAAGTCATCCGCCACTTGCATAGCTTAAGTCGAACTTATCCGGAGGGCATCGCAGGAGCGTTTAGAGCTCGAATGAACGATGCACACACGCGAAAGGAGCTAGATGCCGGCGATTGTGTGATCCTGGCGGCCATTGGAAGCATCTACCCCACTAGTGATCACTGGCACCAGGTTGTCACGCCCGCCATGACTCTGATGGCAAGATGGCTTGGCATGAATGTCCCTGACGATACTCCCAAACAGAAGAAAGGAGCGTTCCTGGTCGCTCTGTGTACAAAGTACCAGCAACGCAGCAAGAGGGTCGTCCCCGAAGCCTTGCGATTCACCTTGCGGGCTCTAAACACAAAGACAGCCCAGGATGTCGAATGGACAAGACAACACATCCGCAACCTCCTAGCCATGGCCGAACTATGGCGCGACACAAGCGCCTTTTCCGAGATGTTCCAACCCGCCCTCGCCCCCATCAAAAACCTCAACGCAAAGAAAGCCCACCACACCCTCCAAATCCTCCTCCAACAATCCCACCTCCACCGCCGCCCCCTCGAACTCCACCACCACCGCAAACTCCCCATCCGCACCTCGATCCCCAAATTCGAAGAGGGCTTCCACCCCGACAAGCACTACGACCCCGACAAGGATCGCGCGGACAGCAAGAAGCTGCAGAAGGAGTACAAGCGGGAGCGCAAGGGGGCGCTGCGCGAGCTGCGCAAGGATGCGAATTTCATTGCGCGCGAGCAGTTGCGCGAGAAGAGGGAGCGGGATGCGGAGTATGAGAGGAAGTATCGGCGGTTGGTGGCGGAGGTGCAGGGCGAGGCCGGGCATGATGCGAAGGTTTATGAGAGGGAGAAGGCGGGGAGGAAGAGGAGGGGGTGAGGGATGAGTTGTAGTTTGGGGTGGAGATCCGCTTGCTTTCAAAGAAGGGTAGTCCTATACACCTTTTGCCTCTATTCTTGTCCATTGAACGTCGTAGAGCGAGTCGTCATATGAGTTGGTCGCGTATGTCAGAGAAAGACACCAGCATCACGGCTGCGCAGTCCTCATCTTCTCCATCACCTCGGGCGACGGAGCAACATCACAGATCGCACCACATTTGCCACATTTCCTCAGCTCCTGATTATCCTTGAAATTATTAACCGCCTCTTTAAGCTGCGAGCCGAGATCCGTGCAAAAGAACGCCGCCTCGTACACCTGCTCGCCACAATCCTGACAATACCACCTCAACCGATCGAGACTCGTCTCCGGCCGCGGCTGCTCAATCACAATCCCGACTGTATTCTCGAATCGCACCGGGTTGTGCGGCACGTTGCCAGGCAAGAGGAACAGCTCGCCTTCATTGATGTACACGTCCTTGAACCCATCTTTCTGCACGGTTTTGAGGAGCATGCGGCCCTTGTATTGGTAGAAGAACTCGGGCGTTTCGTTGATGTGGTAGTCTGTTCGCGCATTCGGGCCGCCGACGACCATGACTGTCATCGGGTCGTCGTAGACGCAGAAGTTGTTGATGGGCGGTTGGAGGAGGTGGGAGTTCTTCTCTAGCCTTTGATGGTGGTGGGGTTAGCATGCTTTCGGAGGGTGACGTGAGAGGCGTGTCTGCAGACCATTTTGGGAGGTTCAGGGGTGGTGCTAGTGTGGCCATGTTTGTGGAGGATGTGGCGGTGGTTTGACCATGCAGGTGATTCAGGTAAAGGCACCTTAATGTGATTTGGATGGTCGCGTTTTATGACGTTTCGATGCGCGGCGTTAGGGTCGAGGGACTCGCCGGCTTCGCTGACGCTTACATAACAGTCGGTTGATTCAACAAGGCTTCTTCGGCTTGTTAGAAATGCTGCTTAGAAATTGCGACGCTGACGTGATGAAATGGTGTAAATGGGTTGCGACATAAATGAACATAAGTGCCGGAAAGGCCACATAATGTTTGATAAAATCACGCCGGAATCAAAGAAGAAGGACCGTACATAGTAATGTGCAGCTCCAGCGTATTACATAAGCGACCGAACGTCGCACGTGAGGCAGCCATACCAAGCTTTTGCTTGGCAAAAATGAAGATGCTTGGCCTGACCAACATGAACTGCTCTGCTGACGGCACCTTGCGCCAATTCATCTCACCCTCGGTAGTGGTGGCGATCTTCACGTGCGATATGTGCGCGGCCTGCATCACTGCACGTCGAAAGTCAATCAGATAACGGCGACGATGCTCACGCGGACGATCGATCGGGCGGACAGACGACCATGATGTTTCCACGCACTCACACGTGCACTAACCCTTCTCTGCGGTACCTTCCACATGGAGAAAAAGCCGAGCCGTGATTCCGAATCCATATGCCTCACATTCCGTCGCAGCCGTGCGTCAGTGGCCGTGCGAAGGGGCACTTGCAAGGCTTAAAGTGAACAAACTTCCTCGGAAAACACCTTGGTGGTCAACCGTCATTCGCAGCCTGAAAGGCTTTGCACGCACCATAAAACCGCTGCCATGGACGACTTTCATTGTAGATTGAGTGCTTTGGGGAGGTTCCTGTCGATCTCAAGTGCTTGTTGTACACGGTACGGTCGTTTGGGGTGTTCATCGTTCATTTCACCACTCTTCATTCCACGGATCGACAACGAAAATGGCATTTGTGCGGAACAACTCGGCGGGAACGCCGCACGTGCACGATTTCAACGCCGGCGTCAGATCGGGCACGGATAGTGATGAAGACCAGAAGGACTTCGTGTCGCCTGATGAGGAAAAGAGATCGGATCCCTTTGCACCAACCGACAATGAATTGGTCAAAGATGGACTCGACTCTGACATGCGTCGCACGTCCATTGCCGAACACAGTGTCGACGACGTGGGCGCCGATCTCTATCTCGAAGCCGAGCAAATGGGTCTGCCACGACTCGAGCAGCTGAACAATCGCGTCAGGTGGAAGCTCGATTTGATCATCATGCCAATCGTCGCTTCTACGCATGCACTGCAATTCCTCAACAAGTCGAGTCCCAACTTCGTCGCTGCGCTGGGCATCATTCCCGAACTCGGCCTGGGGCACGGTAGATATGCATGGGTGAGCTGTCCCCCGATCCTGACCAGACTGCTCCAAGCTGACGTTCTCAGGTTGCCGCCATCTTCAACTTTGGCTTCGTCGCCTGGTCTTTCCCAACGAATCTGATCATTCAACGCGTTCCAATCGCCAAATACACAGGTTCCGTGGTTCTCGTGTGGTAGGTCTGAACATTCCACATCGACGACACGCCAGCTTACACTATCTAGGGCATTGCTTCAGATGTGCGCGGCCGCAACGGAGAATTACGGCGGGATCCTGGCTGTACGATTCATTCTGGGCATGTTTGAAGCAGCCATCGCCCCTAGCGCCATGAACATCGTTGCCCTCTGGTACCCCCGCAACGAAGCCCCGTTCCGTCTCTGCCTAGTCCTCGGCTGCAACGGCGGCGCTTGGGTCATCGCGTCGCTCCTGTCATACGGCGTGGGACACGCGACACACGCCGCCGTCCACCCATGGCAGCTCTACTTCCTCGTGTGCGGTTGCCTCAACTTCCTCATCGGCATCATCTTCCTCATCTTTGTCCCCGACACGCCGCACAACGCCTGGTGGCTGACGCGCGAAGAGAAGGTGTGCGCTGTGTGGCGCACCTCGAAGAACATGGTCGGCCTCAAGACGAAGAAGTTCAAGAAGGACCAAGCGCTTGAAGCCGTGCTCGACTTCAAAGTCTGGTGCACGTGGATCATGGCTGCCGCGATTGGCATCATCATCGGCGGCGTCATCAACTTCATGTCGGCGCTGGTGGAAAGCTTTGGATACAGCGACATCAAGAGCACCATTCTGCAGCTGCCGATCGGTGCAATTGCCTTTGTCGTCGTACCCCTTGCTGGTCTCTTTGCGACTTTTGTTCCCAACACGCGCTGTCTCACCATTATCCTCTTGTGTCTGCCTCCACTGGGCGGCTTGATTGGTATTCGGTGAGTTATTCCAGTACTTGTGAAAGTCATCGGTCTCGCTAATCTCAATCCAGCGTGCTGCCCATTCCGCACCATCACTTCGATCTGCTCGGCTGCGCATGGCTGCAACTGTTGGTCCTGGGCCTGATCTGCCTGAACTGGATCGTGATGACAGCCAACATCGGCGGCCATACAAAACGCACGGTAGCAAACGGCGTGTGGTTCGTAATCTTCGGAGCAGGCAACATCGGCGGCACACACGTGAGACCACCTCTACACACACATACACAATCCCCTCCATCACCAGCTAACCCAGATCACCAGATCTTCCTCGCAAACCAAGCACCACAGTACTTCACAGCCATCACGGTGCTCTACATCTGCTACGCCATCATCATCGTGACCGCAGCCAGCCTGTGGCTCCACATGGTCATTGAGAACCGCCGCAGGGAGCGCAAGATGCTCGCTGCTGGCAAGACGTTCGACGAGACGGAGCGGGAGGCTGTTGTGCATGGCTTCAAGGACGAGACGGACAAGACGAATCAGGGTTTCCGGTATGCTTATTAGGTGGCGCAAGGCGGGACTTCGTTCGGTCGGATTGGGGGAATGGTGTGCATTTGTGAGAAGTTTGGCGTTGGGAAGGAGGATGAATAGAGGTTGGGCCACGCGTTGGGGACTGTCGTTAACGTCTATATGATCGTGAATGAATTGCACGTGCGGAGCATTGATTGAGTCAATACCACAAAAACCCCAATCTATCCTCTCACTAGTCCTTCCAAACGCCGACGCTATGCACTTAGAACAGCCCGAGCCGACCGCTACCGACCCTCCTCCAGCTCAGTCAAATGCCGCTTGAACCTCTCCGCTTTCGCCCTGAGCAGCCGCACAGCATCCAGAAACAGCTCGTCGCTCTCGAATTGCCCCGTGCTCTCCACCGAGAAGATAAAGTGATCCCGTACCCGGCCCAGCTTCACTTTCCCCTTGAACTCGTCGTGTCGGAGACACTCCCTGCTCACGGTGTCTTTCATCGGGTTCTTCACGACAGCTTTCTGCTCGCCCGTCGCGGCGTCCGGCTCGTAACCGATGACGCCGCGCGGGAAACAGCGTGCGAATTTCTTCGCGTCGGCTCCGAGAATGGGCTGTGTGATTGTGATTTGAGGGAGGAGGCGATAGGACGCTGTAGCGACCGGAGAGAATTTGGCGTGGTCGGAGCCGACGCCCTTGATACAGTGGCAGCGCAGATGGATCCGGTGGCCTGGTCGGAGTTTCGCGATCAAGATTTCGGGATTGACGGGGCGGATGGCGTTTTCTCCCGAGAAGTACTCGGATTGCTTGCCTTGGGGGTGGAAGACGAGGTCGGAGGCGTAAACGTTGGACTTGATGTATTTCTCCTCTGGGGCCACGTCGCCTTCTGCGGCCTTCTTTTTGCCATCCCAGCCGTCCTTTTCCACTGTCGCCCAGCGGCATTCGATGTCGAGTGTCATGACGATGGTGTTGTAGTCGTTGTGGGTGCTGACGGGTGTAGTCTCATCCCCGTCTGAAGCAGTCTGCATAGTAAAGGCATCTTTGGATGGAGCTCGATGGAACCAGTGCAGCCAGTCGAGTCCTTCCCGTCCGCCAGTGAGGGGAATCAATCCAAGGCGATGAGCGAGCACTTCATCTTGGATCACGCTCGTGTTGTCCAGAAAGAAGACATCCTCGATTGCGAGAGTGGGGATCTCAGCGATGAGAATGCGGCGGAAGGCGTTGGCGATGCTGGCGTCGATTCCAACCAGAGAGAAAGCGGCATCATGAGGCTTGTTGTGGTGAAAGTCGACCTTCAGGCCCTGTCTGAATCGCTCAACAACCCAGCTGTCGTCCTGTTCGGGTCCGTAATGGCCAGGAAAATCGCTTGCTGCGGTATGTGTAACGGTCTCGGCGTTGATCTGCACGAGTCGCCGAGCCTCGATTTCCTCCGCGCTCAGAGGCGCCCACGGAATGTGTCGCTCGCTGCGATAGCGACTGACATCAAGAGGCTGCGCCATGGTCATCGCATCATGTGTTGTTTGCGCCCAAGACTGATAAAATGTGAAGTGAGGTTTTGCCTGCGAACTTTTTTGTGGGGCCGCCATTCACGCGCCGGGGAAAGTTTGCCGGCGCCCGGGACAAAGGCTTGGCGCTGGAGCTGGCGAGACAACATCATCGATTCCTCCGTGGGAGGCAACACGGAGCTCGCTAGGTCCTCACTCTCCACTCTTCCATCTCCCTCGCCTCTCGTCCGCTGCCATCTGCTCCTCCCTCACGATGGCAGCTTCCTTCACCCGCTTGGCCAGCAATGGCTCCAAGCGCCTGTGCAACCGCCCGCGCCCCTCACCTTCCCTCCGCCCGCGATCCCTTCGATGTCTGTCCACCTCCGCTCCCCGCCACCTCGCGTCACCCGCGGGATCTGGCGATGTTGTTGGTCGGCGGGAACCCATCATGCCTCACGAAGGAGTCACTCGCCTCATCCCCGTCGACCCTGCATTCGGCCACCCGGTGGACCAAGACAGCAAGAACTTCATGAACCGCGCTCGAGACGACGGCAGCACCCCCGAGGAGAGGAAGATTAGACATTACACCGTCAACTTTGGCCCCCAGCATCCTGCCGCCCACGGTGTGCTTCGACTCATCCTCGAGCTCAATGGCGAGGAGATTGTCCGCGCCGACCCACACGTCGGCCTTTTGCACCGAGGAACGGAGAAGTTGATTGAGTACAAGACATATCTGCAGGCACTGCCCTACTTCGACCGTCTGGACTACGTGAGCATGATGACGAATGAACAATGCTTCAGTTTGGCCGTGGAGAAGCTGCTGAATATCGAAATCCCCGAGCGCGCCAAATGGATCCGGACATTGTTTGCGGAGATTACGCGGATATTGAACCATCTCATGTCGGTCTTGTCGCACGCCATGGACGTCGGTGCATTGACTCCTTTCCTCTGGGGCTTTGAAGAGCGAGAGAAGCTGATGGTATGTTGACTCTGTGTCTGCCCTGACCCTTCCCGTCACTAATGCATGTGTAGGAATTCTACGAACGTGTCTCCGGCGCCCGCCTACACGCAGCCTATGTCCGACCAGGAGGTGTGGCTCAGGACCTTCCCGTGGGCTTACTCGACGACATCTACCAATGGGCAACGCAATTCGGTGACCGCGTCGACGAGACCGAAGAAATGCTTACGGATAACCGCATCTGGATCGGTCGAACCAAAGGTGTAGGCGTAGTTCCCGCCGCCCAAGCACTCAACATGTCCTTCTCCGGCGTCATGCTCCGTGGTTCCGGTGTCCCATGGGACATCCGCAAGTCTCAGCCGTACGACGCATACGACCAAGTCGAGTTCGATGTCCCCGTCGGCGTCAACGGCGACTGCTACGACCGCTATCTCTGCCGCATGGAAGAGTTCCGCCAAAGTCTCCGCATCATCCACCAATGCCTGAACAAGATGCCGCCCGGGCCGGTCAAGGTGGAAGACTACAAGATCGCGCCGCCGCCGCGAGCAGCGATGAAAGAGAACATGGAGGCGCTGATCCACCACTTCCTCCTCTTCAGCAAGGGCTACACCGTCCCGCCGGGCGAGACGTATTCGGCGATTGAGGCGCCCAAGGGCGAGATGGGCGTGTTTGTGGTGAGTGACGGGAGTGAGCGGCCGTACCGATGCAAGATCCGCGCGCCGGGCTTCGCGCATTTGGCGTGCTTTGATCAAGTGAGTCGCGGGCATTTGCTTGCGGATGCTGTTGCTATTATTGGTGTAAGTTGTCGACTGACCCTTTACTTGATGCTGTGCTTTGCTAATCCAACCCCTTCAGACGATGGATCTCGTGTTCGGCGAAGTAGACAGATAGGCTGGTGTACGTGGGCGGGTTACATTGTATTCAGCTGGTCTTGTAGCTACCCCGGCACATTTACACTTTATTCCAACGCATTTTCCCGACACACTTGCATCCTGCACTGTCTGTCATTTGCTTCGACGATCGAAGAGACCTAACCACCCTCCGCGAACGGAGCGGTCGCAACCCCGCCCAACAGATAGGCTGAGCAAAGGGGGTTACGGCCTGCGCCTTGCGATCCCCCAGAATGTGGAGATGGCATTGCCCCGTCATGCATGATCCCGCAGGGTTTGCTATACGCATATATTCCAATGTGGAGTCCGACAGGATGCGGGCATAGCTGCGATAGCGAACCCGAGACCGAGGCCTCCGTTTACGAGCAGCGGCGCTGCGGCTGGGGCCCGATCATCGTCCAATGCGACGTCAATGCCTTGCAGGGCTGTGTATTCTTGGACACTTACGTAGCTGATGTTGCTCCATTTTTGTGCAGGAGAGGGAAGGTATAAAAGGGTCGTGCTCTGTCATTGATTGCTTTATCATCCATCATCATCAATTCAGCACTCCAACCAAGAACATCCATCACAGACCTTCTACAAAAACCAATCACCCCATTCACATCCACCACCCACAACAACACCAACACAAATCAATATGGGCCTCATCAAGGACGGAGTCAAATACGGTGCGCTCTTCGGCGTCGCCCACGAAGCTAGCAAAGCGTACAGCAAGTCGCACAATGGCAATCAGCAGCAACAGCCGCAGCCACAGCAGCAGCAGCAGCAGCAGTACACCCAAGCAGCACCAATGCAAACTCAACACCGGGATGCATCAGGGTATCTGCACCAGTCGTTTTGCAATGCGCAGTGCGGGCATCGGTGTAATGGGCCTTACGTTGCTGGGGGCAAGTAGGAAAGGATTGGACTTGGGGCGATGAAGTGGATGGGGAGTTGTTGTGGCGACGAGGAGCGTGGTAGATAGGAGGTAGAATGCTTTTGAAGATGTGAAATCGATTTGTTCTCCTTGTATTGTCACCTCTCAACAGTAGAACATTGCTTCGGAACAGAAGACGGAGGTGCACGAACCTCTTGAAGTGTTCGACATCGTGGTCATTCTGTTGTAAAAACTATAGCCATACTTTGTTCCTATGCTGTCTTTCCTCACTGCTAGCAGTGAGCGCAGACATTGAACAACAATGGCGGAGACGGCCGACCGACCGGCAGTAAGACGATGACGAGGCTGACGTCGCGCGCAAGGCTCTGATTGGCCGAGTCACTCTTTCGGATTCGGAACGAAACCGAGCGACCCTTACGGCGTGCGCCTTGTAGCTACGCTATCGATCCCGGGGCTGATGCTGCGCAAACATAGCCTCGTCGATCGAGCGTCGAGGTTGGAAGGGTTATGAAATGGTATATAAAGTTCTTGTCAACCCATATTCGTGGAAACATCACACCCCCAAACAAAGCTTTCAATCATCTCATCAAACAACGACAAAGCAAACCATCCTCCCCGAATCTACTCAACCACTCCACCCCTCTGTAAACTCCACGATGGGACGCAGAAATAACGACAGCCTCTTTGGTCTCGGCAACGTACTCGGCGGCAGCAATGGCGGCCGGAGACATGGACACCACCGCGGTGGATCGGGCGGGATCGTCCACGACGGGATGAAATATGCGACCATGTTCGGCGTTGCGCACGAAGGCGTTAAGGCGTACGAAGTTTACAGCAACAATAAGCAGCAGCAGCAACAGCCGGTGCAATATCAACAACAGCCTGTGCAGTACTATCAGCAACCGCCGCAGTTTTCACAACAGAGTGGTCGAGACGCACATGTGCCCTGGTGTGACGGGCAGTGCGGCGGACGATGTAATGCTGGGAACAATCTTTGAGCGTGGATCAGAAACGACATTTGAGAATGATTTGTATTTAACAACACACGGAGTTAGGCGATAGAAAGAGGGAAATGTACTTATGACCAAAGGTGAAAACCAATCACATACCAACACTCTACAGTCCGTCCTTATATCATCTTCCTCCGCCTCATCATAATCTCCTCATTCCGCCGCATCTCCTCCCGACTCCTCTGCACAGCCCTCTCCAAACTCGCTTGTATCCTGCCCGCAATCTCCTCCACCGGCGTCTCCATCCCGCAAAGCCCGATGAACTTGCCCACCTTGCGCCTCTTGATGCGGATCCGTTCTCGATCTGACAGACCTGCGTAAGGAGCCGGATGTGTTCCGTCAGCGGCAATGTCGGGCGAGGACTTGGAGCGCAAGATCGGAGCGCGCATGCCATCGACTGTTTTGAGCAGGGCGTCGACCCAGTTTTGTTCGGTCTGGGAGAGGCGGCGAGCGTGGCGGTTAGGCCGTTGGGATGCAGAGGAGGGGCCGGGGGTGGGTGGTTGTGGTTTGGCGAGGAATTCTTTGTCCCAATTCATGTTGGATGGGTAGTGATATGAATACGGGCCGGGGGTGCTTTGATGGTAGTAGTGGGCTATGCTGTCCAACTCGTCTTCGGTGAGGAGGTGGAAGGCTAGGAGCGTTCGTGGGAATGCCGGGTGTGGTGGGCCGGAGGGGAGCGGGACGAGAGGAGCGAGACTGAGTTGTAGGGTGGCGATTTTCTTTGCGAGGATGCCGTTGCGGCGGGTGATGGGTGCCATGTTGGGTGGTATGATATGCTGTGCTCTTTCAGTGAGGGACGTGGTTGTTGGAGAGCGCCGCTTGCCCACGTTGAAAGCTTCGTCAGAGAGGTTGGGTGTGATTGATGGTAAGACAGCAAGTCAAGGAAAGAATGATTAACATGCAACAAATAATGTTGCCATGGTCGATGCCCTTTGTCCGTTTGATGAGCTTTGAAAGTCGAGCGGTGACCGTGAATAATACATGTATCGAACAAAGGAGATTGAGATTGCATCTCTTTGTCTGTAGCCTTTCTCACTTCATCGTGTGATTAGTGTAGTCGCGCGAGACAATACACCTGCTGCGTCTCTTGATGTCCTGGGAAAGGAAGATAGAGTCCACCTTTCTCGGTCAGCATAGGGCAGGGCATCAATATGGATTGAGTCAAGAGGCGACTGTAGCAGAACAGGAGGCTCTCAAGATGGATCTCGAGGCTGACGTCGTGGGTCCTGGCGCAAGGAGGCGTCCAGACTTCCCCGTTGTTAGCATCGAGTCCCTTACCATGATATGACGACTACAACCGGCTCAAGATCAGGCATTCATGATTGGTCAAGAAGAGCGGGCGCTAGCGGATGTCCGGGTCAACCAGTATTGCTACCAGTCCTGGTAGTAGTCAAGCTGCCAGTTCTGCTACCAGTCGTGCCGTCCGCTTGCCAGTCTCCGCTGGATGCGAGTCTTTTGGCTGCGGGAAGATGAGGTTGGCTGGATAAAGATGCCGGTGCCGATAGAACACGGAGTTATTTCCAGGGAGACATGGACCGGGGGCGAATGTCAAGCCGCTTTATTTGTCGGAAGGGGCTGCGGCGATGTACGATGCATTGCGATTGTGGGACTTTGCCACGGTTCGAGTCGCCGACATGCATGGCTCTTGGGTTTTGTCTGGCAATGGGTCTCGGAAGACGTGGTGTAATGGACATGCGTACAAGCATGCCTTTGTCGTGTCGAGGAACAAAGCATCGCGGTGGAAGGAGTGAAGTCCAGGCCATGACGAAATCTACGCGCACGGACTGAGATCTCTCCTCGCGTCCCGCACGCGAACTCCAGAGTTTAATTCGTGCTGCACATTACAAGCAACTCCACCCCTCTCCTGCATCCCGCAATGCACACACACGATGGCCAGTGAATCCACTCCCCAACCCGAGCACGACATCCCCAGCCTGCCCGCCTCGCCCGAGCCGAAACGAACCAAGTTCACCGAGCCAGCTCCCAATCTTTCGGTAGCCTGTATGTCTCCCGCACGTCAATAAAGGCAGAAAGAGAACGAATGTCAATATTGACAAATGCCAGCAATCCTCAACGACTCCCAACCCACCCCAACCCCCGCCACAGCCCCCATCCGCGACCCCCTCGAATCCATCCCTCCAATGTCTCACCACACCGTCCCCGTGTCCGGCACCGCCCCAACTCTCCCCCCAATGGCAACCGAGCCACCCCCTCCAGCACTGCAAGTCAAATTCCTCTCCTCCACCGCCAGAGCACCCACTCGCTCCTCCGCCTTCGCCGCAGGCTACGACTTGTACGCCTCCAAAGAAGCCACTGTGCCTGCTTGGGGGAAGGTGCTGGTCGATACGGATATCAGCATTGCGTTGCCTGTCAATACTTATGGACGGGTGGCGCCGAGGAGTGGGCTGGCGAGCAAGCATAGCATTCACACTGGTGCGGGGGTCATTGATGCGGATTATCGGGGGCCGGTGAAGGTGTTGCTGCTCAATTTGAGTGGGGTTGAGTTTGGTGTTGCGGCGGGGGATCGGATCGCGCAGCTGATTGTGGAGAGGGTGAGTTTTCCTCTACCCCTTTTGGTTTGCAGTTGGCTGACTGACGTGGTTGCACAGATCTACACGCCGGAAGTCGTGGTCGTCGACCAGCTCGATGAGACTGTTCGAGGCGCAGGCGGATTCGGATCGACTGGTGGATTCGGAGGAGCTTTGCCGCCGCTCAATGGTGTTGGCGGCGTGTAAGAATATGCATACTCCTCGCCATACAGAAAAATCTCACGACTACAAAATGCGGAATCCAGCGTCATAAAAGACAGGTAGAAGTCATGGGCGCTTCCGTACGACAAAACAGACTCAAGGCCAGCTCTGCTCCAGAATCTCATGCTTCTCATGCCCCATGGCTCTCGTCTGAATCTTCATACTCTCCAGCACTCTTCCCTTCAAGCCTTTGTCCCTCACCTCCGTCGAAACGAATGCCCCGTACGTACTTTCGAACTCCACCCCTTCCAGCGCCTTCCACATCTTCAGCAATTCCGAAGGCGGTAAAGGGATCATATTCGGAATCGACCACATGAAAGCATAGCTCGTCGTCCCGGGCGGTCGATCAATATGGTAATACGCCGACTGTGTTGCACGTCAGCATTCTCACTATTGTCAAGGAACATCAGGAGGGGATCACTCACCGGTGCCGTGACAAAACTATCCGCAATAAACAACCTCCCCTCCCATCCCAGCACCAAACTCCCGGGAAAATGGCCTCCAACCTTGACAGCCACCACCCCCGGCACAATCTCCTCCCTCACGCTCTCCTCCCCCAAAAATCTCCGTCTCCCGCCGACGTCTTCCCTACAAAGCCACTCCTCATCCTCCGCGGCCAAATAAACAGAACACCCAAACACCTCCGCCCAAACCAAGTGCGTAGAATAGTAATGCGGATGACTAATGACAATCGCCTTCAACCCTCCCTTCGACCGGATGAAGTCCACCGTCGCATCGTCGAGGTACGTAATGCAGTCCCACAGGACGTTGCCGTGCGGCGTTTCGAGGAGGATACACCGCTGTCCGATCCCGACTTTGGGCGACGTGCTGATGGAGTGGACGGAGGCGTTGGTCGAGTCGGGGTGGATTTTGTTGGTGTGGGTTTCTTTGCTGGACCGGAGGGTGTGGAGGGATGTCCAGGATTGACCTGTTGGGGGGACGAATTGGCGGGGGTCCTGTTTAGGGCAGGGTTAGACGGACGGGGTTTGTTGGGAGGAGGAGGGTTAGGTACATCGCATATTCTGCAGCTTTTCGGTGGCGAGGAGAGGGGAACGTCGAATTGAGTGCCGCAGGCGACACAGATGGCCAGGTCTGCGCTGCTGTCCATGATCTCCTCTCGTATGAACGTGAATGGTATATCAGGATCAAGGACTGCGTTGGGTGACGATGATGTGACGTGAAGCTCCTCCGCGCTACAGCGGTGGTTCAACTCAATTAGGAAGGTACCAAGCCAAGCCTTGCAACGGGGTGCAATGCAATGTACATCAGACACTCCTAGAACCATTAACCAACCTTCTTCTTACTCATCCTCTTCTCCCACTCTGGCCGCCCGGTTGAACTTCGTCACTATTCACAATATCTATATATTGAATCATTTACTCTCCACCTCTAACCAATGATCGCAGCATCGATCGATCTGTTGGTCAGACGCCAAAAACGCAAACCTGTTGGGGTCCTACGAGTCTCGCCTTGCTTTCTCTCCTGAAAAGGAGTTTGTTTTTTTTGTCTTTTGGCAGGCCTCGAGTTCGAGCCTGGGCTGCTGTTTCCTTCTGACCTCGCTGGGCACCTTTGATGTAGAAAAGAATATATACGAATCGATATAAAGACCTCGAATTTAAAAAATGACAATCAAAACCCAAAATCTATCCAGTCTGCGCCCAGAGCTCATACTTAAGATGGCGGCGGTAGTTGATCCAATCGTCCCGGTCATTGCGGAAGCGCAACGACTCCGTCTCATCCTTTCCCTCCGGCCCTACCTCGACAAACGCCCTGATGTAGTCACGAAGAACCGACAGCTCCGGTCGTTCGCTGGGTGTGGGGTCCAGACACCAATCGAGCACCTCACGGAGCTCTTCGCTGTACGAATCGAACACGTCCGCTTGTCTCTGCGGACGATCCGGCCCTCGGCGGTAGCTGATCTGCTCGGGCATGGTCTCCAGCCCCATGACTTGAAGGACAACGTTTGCGCATGCCCACACGCTCGTGTATGCGCTCATGCGGTAGTCCCGCCGCCTTGCGCCGGGCGGCCGGCCTTCCTGCTCGGGAGCACTGAATCCTGGGGTGCCCATGCAGAAGAAGTCGTTGGGATTCCTGGATAGATTCCCTGGGTTTCTTGGATCGCCGTCGTACGTCTCATCGCTGTGTCCAAGGTCGCCCACTGCGCAAGGGTAGTTAGCAGCTATACGAGTCCGCATGTCAATCCAGAAACACTCACGCTTGAAGATGGGATAACGGGGCCAGACGTCCGTGGCCGGGTCCGCCAGGAAAATGTTCACCGGCTTGATGTCCAGATGCACAATCTCCCTTTCCCACCCGTCTTTGGGAGGCTCATCTCCTTCCACGTGACCATTGTGAAGAATGCAGACGGCGTCAATAAGCCGCTCAAAGAGGGACCATAGCACGCTCTCGGGAAGTGCACTAAATCAAAGAGTTGTCAGCGTTTGGCGGAAATATCGCACACCTCGTGAGCAACCTACGCATCGATTGGATCGCCATCTTGGTCCCGTCTACCTATCATGGATCGATGTTCTGCGATTAGGTCGTGGAGATCGCCATGCGGGCAAAGCTCCAAGTACAGCCGATAACACCCCAGCGTAGGCATAAGTGCATGTGCTCTCATGAGCACTAGAGGTGTGTCCGCCGTAATCAAAGGCTGTAACCGCTCCATTATGAACGACTCTTTCGGCTCCCACTCGTCGCGGGAGTTTTTCTTCCAGTGGAATGGACAATCCTTGTCCTTCCAATCTGGTGGGAAGCTGGCTCAGTATTTGCAACAAATGGCAGTGGGGAGATGACTTACGCTCCATTGACATATATGAATCTTTGACGACAACCCGCTGCCACCGTACGTCAGTCTCGGCTCGTCAGGGGTGCAGCAACCATGAACTTACATCACAAAGGCGCCCCCTGTCATCGTACTGCCCGTACGCATAGGCTCTCCCTGTTCAGTCGTGGTCAGAATCGCTGTGTCGCATGCCACCGTGCCACTTACCGAAACCACCCGCCCCCAAGAAGTCGAGTTTATACCATTTTCCTTGGAGGTGAGGCGCGACACGAACACCGAGAGACAAGATATCCAAGGCTCGGGCCTTTAATGGGTTCATTCTGACATTTTCTGGACCCATGCCATCGAGAAACGTCTTGGCGGGGATCAGGGGATCATCTTCGTCGTCATCTGGGAGAATCCAGCGGTCCCGATCTTCCAAACTCTGGAGCTGTATAACTGCTCGATGACAACACCAGGTCGCTTCATCTTTACCGGCGGTCGAGTTTAACTTTGCAGCATGCTGAGCCCATATCATGGTCATCGCCCACTCGTTGTACCGGTGCTCGGCACAATGCGGGTGTGTTGGATCGTCAAAGCTGGTGAAGTTCGGCCGGTCCGCCAGTGGTCCAAAGCGGTCGAGGTCGGCGGCGTTCAGGTCGCTCAGGGTGCGCTCGTAGTGCAGCTCATCGATATACATTGGTGGCTCCACTTCCGTCGTCTCTCCGACTCCTTCGGTCAGGGCTTCGAGCAGCAGCGCGCGGCTTCGCAATGGCCGCCACTTGAGGCGAAGTTCTTGCTGGTCGTCCAAGAATTGCGCCATGAAATTATCCCAGTATTGAGTGAGGCTTGGGGGTCCCGGCGAAGTTGGCTCATAAACGGGTGAAATGGGACGGTCTTGGTCCCTCTCTTGGGCTTCATAAGATTCGTAGTCGCGCAGGTCGTCTTCACCACCGGCTCCAGCGGTGGCACCAGTAGTCACGCCAACACCAGCAGTTGCACCGCCGGATCCAGGTGCTTTGTTGTCTCCAGCTGCCGCGCCGTTGCTTTGAGCTGCATTCTCGTCACCAGCTGCCGCCCCGCTGTCTCTAGCTGCCGCGATGCCGCCTCCGGTCGCATTGTCGTCTCCAGTCGCATTCTCAGCTCCAGCCGCCGCACCGCCGCTTCTAGGCTTTTCCGGCGGGGGTTCATCATTTCCACCCGGAGGATTTTCGTCTAGAGTCTGGTCGCGGTCTGGTGGTGCCATCTCACGTCTTTCCCGCTCCTTGGCTTCCTCTTCCTCCCGCTGCTTTTTCTCCTCCTCCTCACGCCTTTCACGCTCCCTGATTTCCTCTTGGATTCTCTCATCCTCCCGCCGATTTCCCTCTTCCTCCTCACGTCTTTCGCGCTCCCTGGCCCCCTCTTGGAGTCTTTCTTCCTCTAGCCGATTTTCTTCGTCGAGGGTACCGTTGTCTCTACCCTCAGCATTATCTCCACCGAGATCTCTCTCTTCGGCTGGAGGGTCGGCAGCGGGAGGTTCGGCAACTGGAGGGTCGGCGGCTGGAGGTTCGGCAAATGGAGGGCCATCATTGTTGTCCTGATCATCGTCCTCCAGCTCATCATCTTCGGAGTCTGCGTCCCTAGCTCTCCCTCGCCCTTTGGCGGCTTTGGTCGCCGGTTTCTTCTTCGGTCGTCCTCTGCCGGCTGGAGCTCCCGCCTTTCTCTTGGGAGCAGCTGCAGGTTTTGCAGCCGCGGTTGCCGCTGCATTCCTTGGGCGGCGAGGTGGAGCTGGGGCGGGTGCTGCTGCCCGTTTTGCCCGCTCAATAACGGTTGTCTGCCGGAGGTTGTAGCGTCCGGCCATGCTTGCGATTTGAAATGGTGTTGGAAGTGAGAAATCTCAATTGACTTAACGGGGTGTCAGGCTTGATAGCTGCCAGAAGTTCAGAGAAGAGTAGAGTAGATGGACGACCGAGCTGTGCATAAGAATTGACGCTTCTCCGGATCCGTACAAAGAGATTGCTGCGAGCCATTGCCGCATTTGTTGGCAAACGACATCGTCGTAATGTCCGCATTTGGTACAATGAGGACAATGAAAGCATGTTCCTGCTTCGGAAGCTTTGACATTGTGTACATTTGGATGTTGAGACTCTTCCTGGGCGTGCACTGAAGTAAATTGAAAGGAACGATGCTTTGCATCACCTACCTTTGTAACGAACCCAGCTTTGGTCGGAGTGCCGTATCTGGTTTCCGAACTCATTGTACGGTTGAGTTCAAAAGGGCTGTTCATTCAGGCCTCCAGAATCGAGCAGTGCATTCTTCTCTTTATCACACCTCCCGTAAGCGGCAATCGAACAAAGACTACCGAACGCGTTTGTCGACCATGCCATTGGTGTTAGCTGGCGAACATTCTGGCAGGTGAAATGATTGCCAGAAAGTCTAGCTCCAGTGGGTACCTGCATCCTGGCTTTGAATCCTTGCGAAGACATTGATGTTGATGCGGAGGGACGGGGTGAAGTTGAGTTGAGCGACTTGCGAGAAGGTACTACGACTTACGGCCTTGCTGCCACGACTTTTGACAAGTGGCTTTGTCATCTCTCCTCGTGAGCCTCGCTCGCCTCGTCGCTTTGTCTGGCATTCCCCTCCACAACGCGAGTGGCATCCACGGAAGTCGAGCGCGTCATCTGTACTCGAGACCAAGACGGCATCGCCGACGTGTTTCTCCAAGATCCACCGAATGGTGATGGCGGTGAAGTCATCGCTTGCATCACGTTACGCATCGTAAGGCTGAGCGCTCCGACAGGACTCTGAGCGACATATGGCACCCAGCCAGCGCAGCAGGGTAGTACTCTGCCGCAGCGATCCCACTGTATACTGCCGGAAGCATGCTTGATGTCCCCGCAAGGAAGCACAGCGAGACCCATGAGGTAGGTGGAGAATCAGTCTCGTACCACTACCGTCACCGCTCGTTCTCGTCTTTTGCTTCAAAGAGCACTGTTTGCCGTCTTCTTGTATTTCCATACTCTCTTTGCATCTCTCCACATCGGATGTCACAACGTGATGTCATCCTCGTACAGTATCGTTGCACGGGGTACCGCCGCCGATGAACGGCCTGTTCAGCTCGCACATGGTGGACATCAGGTGAGCGCGAGAGTGTGGTGAGTTCAAAGGGACATATAAAGTGCACGCTTTCGTCCCCATCCCAATCCATTCCTCAATCATCGCGACGCAAGGAATTCTTCAAAGCAACGGCGAACCCGAACTCACATTCAACACGATCTTCCTCGTACGTCTACCCCAACTCTATGCAGAGACCAATGCTTACCCCAACAGTCCACCAGTCCACCAGACAACAACATCTCAAACAATAATCATGTACACCTCCACGATGCTAGCCCTGGCCTTCGCCGGCCTGGTTGCCCAAACCACCGCCCATCTCAACCAAGTCACAGTCTACAGCGGCGGCGGCTGCACCGGCAACTCTGTCTTCGCCAGCACAGACGTAAGTGCAAATTACTGCTTCGAGGGCCTGGGCGGCGCCTCGTTCGGCGGTTTCGGCAGCACCTGCGGACAGGGAGGAGGGTTTGTCACCACTTGGTCGGGCGGCAATTGCGAGGGGTCGTCGCAGACCTTCTCCTTTCCCGAGGGATGTCAGACGATTCCTTTTGGTAGCATTCAGTTGTTTTGTTACCAGTGATGAGTGAATGGAGGGGAAAAGGGAAAGGGAAGGGATGTGGTGTTGGAAAGTGGTTTCTCCTTCCATTTTAGGCCGCTCAGGTTTGCCTCGGCTTGCGAGCATGACTTGGAATGACTTGCCATGGGTCAGCGCCGACACCGCCGTCGTATCCATTCTTTTGAATACAACGTCTTTCTTTTTACATTGACAGCTCTTCTTCTCTAAGATGTATTGCTGATATACCCTGGATCCATAACACATGACATACTCGACACACCATGCTCTGGAAATCGCCACATCCCGATCTTGACAGTAATAATTGCCGTGTCTTCCGCCTCTGCCCTACAAATACAAGTACTGACAGATGCTGCAGTCCCAACAAACCTGACAATATGGGAATGGGCCTTCGAATCCCCGGAGTACTCTCCCGTCATACGATACCCTAAGGAGAAACTCGGTAGCTACATCAACGCCATTACGAAGGAACGGCTCGATTTCGCAGACGTAAAATTAAAAGCCACGCTCTTGAGCGCCGCGCTCGTGAACGAATATGGACTCCAACCCGGCGATACGGTCTCACTCTTCTCGACGAATACGATTTGGTATCCTGTTGTGATGTGGGCCACGCTTCGAGCGGGTATGTGTGCATCAACCTCATGAGAATGTAGCGAGCATGTACTCACTCTTCACGACAGGAGCGTGCGTCAACGGCGCCTCACCAGCCTACAACGTCGAAGAAATGACCCACGCGCTGCAAACCGCCGGAACGAAGTTCGTGCTCACCCTCCCCAACGCCATCGAAGCGGCGCGAGCGGCGTGCGCAGCAGTGGGGATCCCCGAACGCAACATCTTCCTCCTCGAAGGCGAGCACGCCGGCTTCACCAGCATCCAAGACCTCATCGAGCTGGGCAAGTACTGCACCGAGCCGGCCGTGCATCCCTTACCCGCCGGCAAAACGAATCGTGATGTGTGTGCCTTCCTCAACTTCTCCAGCGGTACGACTGGCTTGCCGAAAGCGGTTATCCTCTCGCATCACAACATCATCGCGCAATGTCACCAGCTACGACAGTTGCAGGTCGTCCCTCCGGGCGAGCGGTACAAGATCCTTGCCGTCATGCCGCTCTTTCACATCACGGGGCTCGTGCGCTTCTGCAACTATCCGGTCTTCATGAATGGGGACAGCATCATGCTGCCCAGCTTCACAATGGACAGCATGCTGAAAGCGATTGTGGAATTCAACGTGCCCGAGTTGATTCTAGTCCCACCGATCCTCATCCGTATGGTCCGCGATCCGATTGTGGACAAGTACCTCCCCGATCTCCAGCGCATTGTGAAACGCTGGTCCTCCGGCTCCGCACCCATTGCACCAGAAATCATCCAATTGCTCCGCAAAAGGTTCCCGGATACCGGGTTTCGGCAGGGATATGGCGGGACCGGCAAGTCGTTATCGTTGTCCGTTGAAGAAGACGAAGCTAACAATTGCGCAGAAAGCACGGCGTGCATTTCCTGCCATCCCCCAACGCACTACGACTACAAGTACGCAAGCACCACCGGTTTGCTAGTCGCCAACACCGTGGCCAAAGTCCTGGATCTAAACGATCCAACGAAAGAACTCGGTCCGAACGAGACAGGCGAAATCCTGGCCAAGGGACCGCAGATTGCCTTGGGCTACTTGAACAACCCCAAAGCTTCAGCGGAAACGTTTGACAAGGACGGCTTCTTCCATACCGGAGACGTTGGACACTTTGACGACGAAGGCCTCATCCACATTGAAGACCGCATCAAGGAAATGATCAAAGTGAAGGGGCAACAAGTCGCGCCCGCCGAACTCGAGGATTTGCTTCTGGGGCATGACTTGGTGGAGGACTGCGCCGTGCTCGGGCTCCAGGATATGTACGCTGGCGAGCGACCAAAGGCGTACGTGGTTTTGAAGCAAGGCGTGAAGCCTAGCGAGGAGGTGGGGAGGAAGCTGTTGGCGTTTGTGAAGGAGAGAAAGGTGAGGTATAAGTGGATTCAGGAGATTGAGTTTGCGGAGGTGGTGCCGAAGACGCCGACGGGGAAGACGTTGAGGAGGGTGTTGAAGGCGAAGGATAGGGAGGAGGGGAGGAAGAGGGGCGTGGTGGTTGTTGATGAGAGGGAAAAGGCGAAGCTATAGACTAGACGATGTGAGTGGTGCACCCGGTTCGTCTTTTCTCTCCCCACTTAGATGAGCTCTTTCCAGACACTCGCGCAAGGCCGAGGGATAATCGATACTGAAGAGCTTGGTATACTCCTCATTCATGGCCCCCTTCAAGCTTGCATCGTCCATATCGATACCCTCCCTAGCCTGAGCTGCGGGTGGAAGACGTGCAATCTGCATCAGCTTGGTCAGACGCACTACGCCCTCGAGTCTCTCTTGTCTGAACAGCTGCCAGCCATGCAACGCGGCTTTCAATCTGGGGGAAGATGAATCACCGCCCCGCGCCCCAAGCACACCCGCAAGTAGATACACATCTTCGAAAGCAAGATTTATGCCCTGCCCGGCGTGTGGGGGGAGGGCGTGAGCCGCATCACCCACGATGACGACCCGCCCGGACGACCAGTGCTCCAGCGATGGAACTTGATATGCAGGCCAAACGTGCAGGCCCTCGCTGGGGATCTCCCGGACCGCATTCCTGACCACTTCGGGAAACTGTTCCACATTCTCACGAAACATCGCTCGAAGACGCTCCTTATCGGCATCAAGGGGAGCCCAGTGCTCCGGCTCATCGGGCAGTGGCCGCATGACCGAGATCATAACTTCGTCGCCTGATTTCTTTTGCGGGAAGAAGAGCATGGCTCCACACTGAGGGGCCACTATGCAGCTCGGTAGCGGATGCTTGTTGTGCCCGTTATTGAGGTCTTCGAGGTCTTTGGCGGGCAGGCCCAATTGCGTGGTGGGCACGACGGCTAGAAGGCTTACGACGCCGTCAAAGGTTGGCTTGATGTCCGGGGCGACGTACTCGCGCACATGAGAGCGAATGCCATCTGCGCCGACCAAAATCGAGGCGTGTGAGCTACTGCCGTCGGTGAACTGCCACGTGACATCGGTGTCCGTCTGAGCCAAGACATGGGAGAAGCGGCGGTTAAAGTGAATCGGAATGCTGGCCGCGCGAACTTTTGCCAATAGCTGAGCGAGGAGGGTGTAGCGGTAAGTACGCAGGGCATTTATCCCGTACTTGGCCTTGCCGCCATACTCAATCGTATCGATGATGGCACCGGTGGGGCCGAGTTGAACATAGGCGGTGTCAAAAGGATATGAATGATCGAGGAGAGAGTCATAGATGCCGATGCCTTGGAGGACTTTGAGCCCGTTTGGGGCGAGTACTAGGCCGCCGCCGATTTTGTTGAGCGGAGCATCACGGGCTTCGTAGATGGCGCAGGAGATTGACTGCGCGTGGAGGGCGAGAGCCAGAGCTAGGCCAGCGGGTCCCGCGCCTATGATTGCAACGTGAAAATCGGCCATGTTGCTGAATGGAGAAAAGATCGCAAGGAAAGAGAGTGGAGGTAGAGAAGATTAGCGAAGGAGAGAAAGGTATCTATCGTTTCATGGACGCTTTGAAGAGAACTCCCGGCTGACGCGAGTGTCTTGGTATGACGGAGGTCTTCGTCCAGCAGGACCCAAGGAACGGAGGGTCTTACATGTCATCGTATGAATCACCGGCCATTGGAGTAGAAGGCTGAAGTCGATCGGACATCAGCTTGAACTTCCGACCCGATTGCGCTGACGTAAGCAGGCCAGACATCGATTGAACCTGAACCTCGACCGCCAAACTCGACCCGAGCAGCTTCAAGGATTCATGACAACAGTACCTTTGACCTACATGTACACCTCGTGTGCTTGCAATGGTGTAACATACTCCAAGTGACATGAGAGGCACATAGCACGTTCGCCATATCCAACATCAGCACCACAAAGACATGCGCGACAAGTCAAGATCCACGCACCGCAAACATGTTCTACGACCTTAACATCCCCTGGTCCGCGAATGACTCCAACCTCAACCGAACCCTCACCTTCCTCCACGAACTAGGCTACACCACCATCGCCCTCAACCACACCCTAAGCGGCAAACTACCCTCCGACCTCACCTGTCCAATCCTCACCACACTCCCCAACCTCCCATCCGACCTCACCCTCCTCCGCCGCTGCACCCTCACTCTAACCGACTCCCACTCCAACGCGCGCCTCGCCCAACTCGCCCAAAACTACGACCTGCTAGCCGTGCGCCCAATCGACGAAAAAACCCTCCAACAAGCCTGCACCGCGCTCGAAAGCGTAGACCTCATTTCCCTCGACCTAACCGTCCGCCTACCCTTCTGGTTCAAGCACAAGCTCCTCCACGAAGCGGTGAAAGCAGGCAAGAGGTTCGAAATCAGCTATGCGTCCGCTCTGCACGGTGATGCGAACGCGAGGCGCAATTTGATTTCCAATGCTGCGCAGCTTATTCGGGCTAGTAGGGGACGCGGCGTGGTGATTAGTTCTGAGGCGAAGACGGCTGTTGCTGCTAGGGGCCCGTGGGATGTGGTGAATCTTGCTGCTGTGTGGGGTTTGGGGCAGGAGAGGGGATTCGAGGCGGTGAGTGGGGAGTGCAGGAGCTTGATTGTTGGGGCGCGGTTGAAGAGGAGTAGTTATCGGGGGGTGGTGGATGTGGTTTATGGAGGGGAGAAGGCGGAAGTGAAGAAGAAAGAGAAAGAGAAAGAGGCGGATGCAGTCAATGACAAGGCGAAGAAGAGGAAGGCGGAGGTGTTGGATGCCAGCAATGCGCCTGTTGTTAGCAAGCGCCAGATGAAGCGGCAGCAGCATGCGGCGCGTGAGGCTGCGAAACTGGAGAATGCCTCTGGCGGTGCAGAGAATGGAGAGAAGACAGAAACGATACCCAAAGCTTAGGCAAAATCCACGAGAGAAAGTCATAACGTCGTATTGCGGGCCATACCAAGGCAATCCGTCTATCCTATAAGAGTCTATCCAACGTCAAACTTGCTCGTCCCATCCGTCCACCTCAAGCTCATCATCGTCGTACTCCTGCTCCTCCAACTCATGCTCCACCTCCGCCACCTCCACCACCTTCTCCCTCCTCTTCATCTCCACGGCAGCCTCCTTCTCCGGCACCCTCGCGACCATCTCCAAATTCGCCTCCAACATCTCCGCCGCACTTGCAATCCACGCCGCCTTGCGCGCACTGACAGCCAGCGTCCACCGAAACTCCCTCAGCCGCCACGAGTAAAACTCCGCCTCCTCCTTCCCGGGCGCAGTAGCCATCAACAGCGCGCCAAAAGTGCCGATAAGCGCGAAATTGGCCGCCGATGCAAAGTACCAGAAGGCATCGAGGTGTGCGGGCTGTAGCCGGTTCGCGAAGTCCATGGCGCTGATGAGCCGCGTTTTGGCGGCTGAGCGGCAGATGTACAGCATGTACGGGTCCGCGGTGGCGGTGTTGAGGGACTGCACGATGCGGCGGTGGATGCTGATTTCCGTTGCGAAGTAGCCCAGGTGCAGATAGCCGGTGGAGGAGAGGTGGTGCGGGCCGAGGGCGGGGGAGTCCATTTTGCACTCCGGGGGCAGTTTGGCGAACCAGTCTTTGAGTTTGATTTGCACGGGTTTGGCGCGGTTGAGGACGAGCTGGGTTGCGTAGCGGCCGGCGCGCGCGAACTCGGCTTTGGCCGTTTGCGAGTAGAAGGTGGAGCACACTTCTGCCATGATGCTGGTGAGGGAGATCATGTGCATGAAGAGCGAGCGGCCTTTGGCCGCTTCGGGAGCGGGCTCGCTGGGCTCCGGGTCGAGGTTGTCGTCAAAGTCGGAGGCGACGGGTGGTTGTACGGCCCAGTCTGCGGCGTTGATGTGGGAGGGCCGGCCGTGCATGAGCGCGCTCCATTTGTCTTGCATGTAGAGTGCCCAGGCGAGGCGTTTGCGGAGGCGCCGCTCCCAGAGGGGAATCGACCATTCTGTGCAGTCGAGATGCAGGCCGATATCTTGGCCGAGTGCGACGAGCTGGACGGTCAATGTCCAGGTGGAGGATTTGGCGCGTTGGAGAAGGAGCAGGCCGGCTTGCACCGCAGAGATCTTGGGGCGCTGCATTGCGATATTCAAGCCAGTGATGGCGATGTACTCCAGTCTGTCCGCATCGGGTCGCGGATGCTGGGAGAGTTCCGGATCGCTGTGCCACCAGTCCATGGCAAGTAGATACATTGCGGCCAGCAAGGGCGGATTGAAATGCCGGTCGCCGTGTCGATGTCGGTCGAGGAACGTCTTCTTTTGCATGATGGGGTAATTGGGATGGACATTGTGGAAGTACAGGTCGATCAAGGCTGGTCCATGCGGGCCAATGAGGGCATCTATCTCGGCCAATGCGCGCGCTTCGTCGTCGGGAATGGGCACATCGGCGTCGGAGTGGATGCTAAAGTATTCGCCATCGGTCACGTGACGAAGGGTGCCCACGTACGATGCAGTCTCGTTGTTGTCGTCGAACGAGCTGAGACCAATCAGAGAAGCGTCCAGCGCTGTGGTTGGACCCAGATATGTGCAGTGGCTGTGTCGCTGCAAGCTGAGAGACTGATCGACTGCGTATGGGTTGGGCGAGTCGGAGGCATAGTCGGTCACGGAGCTGAACTCCTGCGCCAGAGGAGACGAAGGGGTGGTCACAGGCTCGGCGATGACGGAGTCTTGCTTCTTCGCCGCCGTCGCCGCCTCCTCGGGTTTGGAGGACATTTCGTCGGCCTTGCGCTTGCGCGGCTGGGCATTCTCGACAAACGTGCAGTCCTGCTTGTGGAATTCACAAAGGACGCATCGGCGGGCGTGCTGGAGGACGCATTTGCTTTTCCGGCGTCGACATCCGTCACATGGTCGCTCTCTCCGCGAGCGGGCGTTGGATGGAGCAGAGGGTTGGGTCGATTGCTTCTTCACCGGACGATTCTCCTTGCCGTCCATGTAATGCGGGTGGCTGACGGGAGACGACCAGGCCGGGGCGATGTGGTGAGGGGAAGGCCGCGGGGCCAGCGGCTGCATGGCGATTGCCGCAGCCATATCGTGAGACGATCGAGGATAAGGTTGACGGCGGCGGATGATAGATATGCCGGAGGTCACAGGTGCGGTTCTCCGTTGGCTGCAATCGGCGAACCACGAGACGTCAGGCTATCGTGGTTAGGAGCACGTGCTTATCATCCCACTTGCGGAGGGCGGGCGGCGGGGCGCGAGTCAGGCGTGGTCACAGCAGGCTTGCAGGGCAGAGACGAGGATGAGGTGGTCAAGCGTCTTTGCCGTCATTGACACGGTAGAAAGGGGCCGGTGGTCAGTGAAGCGGCAGCAGAGGGAGAATAGGAAGGAGAGCACGCGAACACGGGAAATGTGAGAGATGAGGCGTTTAAGAGGCAGATGAGTGATGGAGTAAGACCCGCAACCGCCCTACCTGCTGTCTGGGGGGGGTGCAGTGTGGAGGCAGGGCTTCCCCAACCCGCACCCGACCTCATCCACCTCATGCCAAATAGTGCGGCAATTCGAGCTGCAAGCATAAAGGATGCGGAAGGGAGTACGTAAAATGAGCAAACGTGTACATAAGAGAAACGCGGTGGTGTTGAACAAAAGTCGCTCTTTTGAGACGGACAAGAGATAAGAGATGTCGGCGGGCCAATCAGCGCTGCGCCATTTAGGATCGGCCTCGATCAGCCTTTTGCCGTGTTGCGCTGCCACCGACGGAGGTCTGGGCAGCAGGCGGTGCAGTGATGAGAGGTGCCGGTCACGTGCTGCAGTCAACGCGTGATATGCCTCTCTGTACTGAATTATTCACTCAAGCGGTATGTCGTAAACGCATCATCGGCTCTGACTTCATCCTGTCCTTCAAGCCCTCGCGACTCTTCGTAATGTCTGTCCTGCAGACCTGAATCCCATTGAACCATCCTGAAACTCATGCCATCGTATCGGGTATCGTATCGTCCATCATTCATTCATCGTATCGTGTCTTGTTGTGTCGTTCAGAGCAGCGCAGCCAGTCAGCCATACTCCTTCAGTCCTCCTTCACGCTCATCCCTTTGAGCCCCTCCTCGACATCTGTCGTGTCGACCTCCTTGCGAGGCTCTCTGGCCTTCTGCCCCTTTTCAGACACTCTCTTCCACTCCGCCACCGTGCAGCGACGAAGGTAGGGCGTCGGATCGTATTCGACCGCTTCACGCTGCTTGCGCTTGCCTGTGATGGGCTGCGGGACCGTCCCTGTTCGCAGCTCTCTGGTGCGAGGAGGCGGTGCGGACTCTCCAATTCGCTGACATATGGCCATGATGTCGTCCTCCGAGAACTGCGCGGCGGTGGCTGCTGGCTGGGCGGTCGTGGTGCTGCTTGCTGGCTGGCATCTGTTGTATAGCGCACTCAGCCTCTGCAACACCCGGTTATTTCCGTTCTGCAGCTGGCTCGAGGTGGTTATGTGTTGACAGAGTCGGCTATCGTCCCAGTCTTCTCCCTTTTCTCCCCTCATGTACTCGATGGTCAGCCGGAACCTGCAGACCACCACGCGCAAGTCCTTGAGGATAGTGGGCGCGGCGAAGAGGTTGGATCTCCCCGCCTCGTCCATCTCGTTGAAACGATGAGAGAGGTGAGTGGCGAACTTCTCCGCGGATACGAGCCAGAAGACAATGTATTTGGTCGCGGCCTCGGCGCTGAATTCCAAATCGGCGTCACAGCCGCTTTCCCCTTGCCCTTTGGCGAAAGGGGCGTGGAGGGAGGGGGCGGAGTGGTGGTTGGCGGCGGAGCCGGGCCAGCAGGAACTGGCACCTGGCTGACGATTGGAATTTTCGAGGCTCCAGAGTCAACGATGGGGGCCGGCGATGGCTCCACCATCTCCACCGTCCGGCTGACGGTAATGGCCTCGGAGAAAGAAGCCGCTGGTGCTGGCTGATGGATTGCCGGCACAGGGACCGTGCAGTCGGCCATGGCGGCGTCGACCGCTTCTCCAGTAGACGTTGCCGTTGCGTCTTCCACGCTGGCCTCCTCTCCAGTAGGCGCTGGCGGCGCGTCTTCCATGCGGCTATCCGCCGCAGCAACCTCCGCAGGCACATCACCGTGGAGATCGGACATTTCCAGGTCGGCAACGCCCCGAAAGAAGTCGTCTCGGCCATTGGGCTGGGCGCCGGCGACACATCATCCCACTCCATCACATCCTGAGATGTAGGCGTCAGCGACGAACCCCCATCCACCTCGCTCGACTCCGACATTGTGAGATCCTCCGAGCTACCACCGCTCTGGTGATATGGCGAGGCTCCGATGGTAGCGGCAGGGTCGACTACCTGGATGCTCTCGCCCACCTTCATCGCGCGGCAAACATTGGTGGCGTCATCGACGACGGCAGAGTCTTTGCGAGGCTTGTTGAGGCCCATCACGTTCGCCACGGGGAGAGCGTGGCTGAGCGGCGTGGTGGGAGCAGGCGACGGTGCCAATTCGTCAGCTTTCCTGGCCTCGAGGACGACCATGGGGACGGCGAATGCAGTGTCTATGCCCCGGAAGGGGGCGACGGCGGGGTAGAGATGTGGCCTATGGCCTCCAGTGGTGCACGCGGCCAGGCGTGCGGTGAGATCGTCTATCGCGTTGGTGATGGCGACGTCTCTGGCCAGACGCGGGAGGGGAGGCGCTTCGTACAACAAGACAGCGGTTGCTTCTGGGAAGAGAAGTGGCTTATGGGCGCCGGTGTTGCACGCGGCCAGGCGTGTGGTGGGATCATCTATCGTGATCTTGGTGGTAGCGTCTCTGGCCAGACGCAGCAGAGGAGGCGCGCGGTATGACAAAGCAGCGGTTGCTCGAAGCACCGCTTGCTGGTGGGATTGCTTGCATTGGCGGTAGAGCTCCGCCAATGGAGAGAGGGTGGTGGTGTAGAGGGCCAGCTGGGGTTGATTAGCTTGAGGTTGAAGTTTGACGGGTGCCTGGCGGTTCTTACGTATTCCGCGACGGCGAGAGCAACGAGAATGATGGCGGCAGGGTCTTCGTAGACGGCGCCGGCGAAAGAGAGCGCGAGAATGAGCAGGGCAAGCGTGTTGGCGGTATTCATGATGGTGATGGGAAGGGCGAGAGAAGGCGTGAGAAAGTGTGTTTGTGAAAGTTCAGGACGCGAAATGAGAAGTGTATTGTGTGTGCGGAACCTTCTGCCAAACCTTCTGCATGAGGAAGAGACACAAGGACTAATATCCTGGCCGGGTCGAAGGCCACAAGTCGACGTGAGGCGCTCTCACATGAAGGGGACTCGCTGTGAGGCGCACTCATATCGTGTAGCGCATGGCGAACGTCCATTGTATCGATCGTTCCATTGATATCGGGCATTGAAACTCGCTGCCGCTTCGTTGTTGGAGCAGCAGCATTCAGACGATCACCTTGAAGACCTGTAATGCGCGTGAAGGTCGGGAGAAGGATGGGGAGAGTAGGCAGCTACTTGCACATCGGTGTATGCGTGCAGAACGCAGCTCCAGCCAGGCCTTAACAATAATGGCTCCAAGCAGCCTACGCGTACACGGAAATTAGCTACAGCGCTGCTGCAGTGTGCAAAGCGAAGTAGTGAACTAGAGGAACGACTTCCACGCAGGATCTGGCGCTGATGTAGCTGCATCAAAACATGGAGAACTGGGAGATTGCGGAACGTCACAGGAATGCAAAGTGGACATTCGGGGCTCCAGCTCGCATGTCTTTTTCACTGGTCTCGCAGAACGAACCCTGGCGCAATGCAAACCCGAAACAAAGACAATGAAAGATGTGTTGGAAGGAGATGGGATCAGGCGCTGGAGGGGAGGTGAGGTCGGGAGAAGCTCCGGTGAATTGCTGTGGATCAATCCGAAACCACCTCGGCCCAATCACCCTCACCTCACCCCGTGAACCACCAATTACCGGCAGAACTTAATAACCGAGCGCTGCAATTCATCATGGCATTGACTTTCGTTCACTTTTGCTGTTGTTACTGTGGTATGTGCTCCGCGCACTTGCCCGTCCCGATGCCCCGCCAGATGCCTGCCCCGTGATCAGCCAGGCGTCCGGAGCCCAGCGTACCTCTGGACGGAGTGTATTACTGTTGCGATCCTGGACCGCTGCAGATATGGCTTCCTTCCGGACGATTGAGCACAAAGTCCCCGCTCAACACATCCGCGAGTATCCCAATGCAACAGCAAACTCGCAAGAAGAGGTGCTGTACCTGAGCGTAAAGCAGTACATTCCATTGGACAATCCACGTCCCCGCCCGGGAGATGTCACGATCCTCGCCGCCCACGCGAACGGCTTTCCCAAAGAACTTTACGAACCACTCTGGGACGATCTCTGGAAGCAGTCTGCCCGACATGGTTGGCGGATCAGGAGCATTTGGATTGCGGACTGCGTCCAATCTGGTCAGAGCTATGTCTTGAACGAGGCATGCCTCGGCAACGATCCCGGCTGGAACGACCATCCGCGAGACCTGTTGCATTTGGTCAATACGAAAAGAGACGAGATGCCGCGGCCAATCATTGGGATCGGTCACAGCATGGGTTGTTCTCATCTGTAAGAAACATTCCTCACTCAGCTGTTTGTTGGTCCCTCGTACTCTGCTAATTCCATATAGAGCTTACCTCGCTCTCATGCACTCGCGTCTCTTCACTTCGCTCATTTTCCTCGACCCAGCAATCCAAGGGGTGTTCAATGCAGACCCTCTAACATGGCCGTCATTCCAAATGGCCAAATTCTCCACCTACAGACGCACACTGTGGCCGTCACGAGAGGAAGCAGCAACTGCATTTGGCAAAGCGGCCTGGTATCAAGCTTGGGACCCTCGAGTGCGCCAGAAGTGGATGGAATTTGGCCTGCGCGATGTCCCTACCGTGATCTACCCAGACGCAAAAAAGCCACAAGTCACATTGTCTACTACGAACGCGCAGGAGGTGTTCATCTTCATCCGTCCTAATCGGGACGAGGACTATGCCTCTGGTGCCGTGACTGGTGAAGTCAGCCCCCTGGGAGGAGCCCACGATCCATATTATCGGGCGGAGATGCGCGAAATCTACCCGCGACTGGCTCACTTGCAGCCTCCCGTTCTCTACGTGCTAGGCGACAAATCGTACCTCCGAGACGAGGAGGGGGATAAGGATAGAACGGCGATTACCGGGTCGGGCGTTGGCGGTTCCGGCGGACAGGCAAATGGAATGGTGAAGAGCGTCATGTTGGAGGGTGGCGGGCATTTGTTACCCATGGAGATTCCCCAGCGCGCGGCAGAAATCGTGGCCAAGTGGGTCGTGGAGCCTCTCGGGCGATATCAGCGGGAAGAGAAGGAGTGGCGGGAGAAATGGGTGAGCAAGTCGTTGAAGGAGAAGCAGGAGCTGGATGACAGGTGGAGACAGATGATTGCGGATCTGTCGAAGAAGGCGAAGCTGTGAGGGAGCATAAGCTATGATTGGTATAGATAGCGAGGTCGTACATATACCACAAATCAATTTGAATGATCTTCTTTTGCTGGATGCAGACATGTATTCATCATTTGCCTTGATGTGCCTGATCAGAAGCACTCCATACCAGTCCGCACGGCTGAGTACTATTCAGCACACTGTGTAGATCTCAGCACCGCCAGCTCCCCGCCAACGACCGCCGACGACATCTCCGCAACCCACATCATCGCTTATGCGGAACCCCTACGCAGCCGTCTGCGCACCCGCACTCACCTCCAGGTGCTCCAAGCAGCACAAGAGAGAAGCCATGGACATAGCCTACGACCACGTGCAAGAAGCAGCCTACTCGCCGACGGGCGAGGGGCGCAACGACCCCCACGACGAGCAATCCCCCGAACACCCCGACCTCAACACCGAGCTTCGCACCGCCTTCCAAACCCTCTCGACGTCCCAATGGGGCACCAAGCTCGGCGGCTGGTTCAGCACGGCGCGCAAACAGGGCGAAAGCTTCTACCAGGATTTGCAGAAGGAGGCTTCGGAAGCGCAGGAGCAGGCGACGAAGGGGTTTAGCAGTTTGAAAGAGGGGATTGTCAAGAGCACTGGCTCGCTGAGTTTTGGTTCCGAGCCTGCGCTGCAGAGTACTGTGCCGGGGGAAGAGGCGGTGCCACGGTCGACGACGGCAACATCGACGGGGGCCGCAACGGCGGAGGCGGAAGCGCTGCAAGATCCGGAGCAGCGCGCGGAGAGTCTGCCCGCGGATATTGTGAAAGAAGCCGGATCGCTCGTTGCCAGCTTACGCTCGACGGCAGCGAGTAGGTTGAAAGATCTGCAGCGGGCGGAGGACGCGGCGGACGAGGCGCTGCTGAAGTTTGGAACGAATGTGCGGAATTTCCTGCGCGATGCGGTGGTCATCTCCGCTCCCGAGGATGACGAAGCGGCTGAGAGGGAGGTGATTTTCGAGACGAAGGAGCCCGGCACGGGGAAGAAGGTGTTTCATTCTACGCGGCTGGATGCGCAGCTGCATGCGATCCACACGACTTTTACGTCTTTCACGCGCAATCCTGCGGAGGGGGAGAAATGGGAGGAGTGGGAGAGGGAGTTTGATATTGAGAGTAAGACGGGGGATGTGGCGGCGGATTTGGAGAGGTATGAGGAGTTGCGGCGGGCGATGGAGAAGCTGGTGCCGGAGGAGGTTGATTACAAGACGTTTTGGATGCGGTACTATTTCTTGCGGAAAGCGATGGAGGAAGAGGAGAGGCGGAGACGAGAGGTGTTGAAAGGTGTGTATCGTCTCTCTTTCTTTGAAATCGCACATTCTAACCGATCGATAGGTGCGGCAACGAATCACGAAGCCGTGACATGGGACGAAGACTCGGAGGACGAATCTGAGCAAACATCGACACCAAACACGGCGGCACCAGCGAGCAATGCAGCCGCTTCTGCATCGACGACGACGCTCAGTGCACCGCCTGTCAATGCAGAGCAGAAGACGGCTTCCCCGCGGCGCAGTCACGAGGACGAATCCAAGAGTGTGGCCGATTCGGATGCGAGCTACGACATGGTGTCTGGGGCGACGAGTCGAGCGATGGGAAGTCCAAAGGAGGAGAAGAGGGATGCGGGTGGGAAGGAGGAGGAGAGCGATGATGATTGGGAGTGATGGGTGGTATTCTTACCCGGAGTCTGGCGGGGAGTTCAAAGGGCAATGTGGTGTGCTTCGCTGCGATAGAGTTTGCGGGCGTATTGCCTTACGAATTAATGTTCGAAGGAATCTCTTCTCGTGTGCATCGGTGGCTTTGATGGTGGGAGATATGCAGCTAGTGAGTTGCACCTGCATGCAATGCATAAGGCTAGCGCTGCTCCTTCCTCATGAGCACTGCAGTCCCGACGGGTTCCAACATAGCGTATATCGTTCAAAAACTGGCTCTGCATCTCTCGCTTGGTCTCCCAAGATTGGGTTCGCTGTTGTTACTTGCAGATCAATTATCGTGTTGTGTAACGTGGTCCAGAACCGTTCATGACGGTGGCTGGGCTGGAAGCCACGGCGCGAACAAGCTTCAGCACGGACAAAACCGAAAATTGCGTCAGAGGCAACCTCATTCGTCCACGCAGACCGTGTGGGAACTTTCAAGGCACGTCTTCGAGAAACTCATCCACTGCATCTCGAATCGTCGTCAGCATCCACTCTCACTCGCCCGGCCCTCATTTTGACCGCTCTCCAAGCTCGCATGTCGTCTCCGCGACAGTCGACGCTGCGCACATCTCACCATGCGCCCCGCCATCCAACAATGGGGAATGCAGGAGGAGCATTCGGCACGCTGAGACCCGCCGCCCTACTCCTCTCCAAAGCCCTCTTCCTCCCTCTTGCCAGCGCAATCCCCCTCTCCCCCTTCCGCCGCGATGTCATCGCCACCGGCGACGACCCGGACGCTCCAAAGTCCACCGACGACCCCAACCTCTGGCTCTATCTCGGCATTGCAGTCGCTCTCGTGCTCCTCGGTGGAGTCTTCGCCGGCCTCACAATAGCGTTCATGGGACAAGATGAGACGTATCTGCAAGTCATTGCTACGAGTGGCGATGGGGCGGAGAAGAGGCATGCGCGCAAGGTGCTGAACTTGTTGCAGAAGGGCAAGCATTGGGTGTTGGTCACGCTGCTGTTGAGTAATGTCATTACCAACGAGACGCTGCCCATTGTGCTGGACAGGAGTTTGGGTGGGGGATGGCCGGCGGTGCTGAGTAGTACTGTCTTAATTGGTATGTTGAAACACCGCGGGAATCTCCTTCGCACGCTGACAAGTAGGATACAGTCATCTTTGGTGAGATTGCGCCGCAGTCCGTGTGCGTCCGCTTCGGTCTGTCAATTGGTGCTTTCATGGCTCCTTTCGTCCTCATCCTCATGTGGGTTATGGCCCCCGTTGCATGGCCGACAGCCAAGCTTCTCGACTGGCTGCTCGGTGAAGATCATGGCACAATGTACAAGAAAGCCGGTCTCAAAACCCTCGTACAGCTACACAAGTCCTTGGGCACGACACCTGGAGAGCGACTGATGGAGGATGAAGTCACCATCATCAACAGCGTCCTCGATCTGAAAGAGAAGCCGGTGGGCGATATCATGACACCTATGCAAGACGTCTTCATCATGAGCGCGGACACTGTACTCGACGAGCGAATGATGGACACCATTCTCTCGCAAGGCTACTCCCGAATCCCCATCTACGCACCTGACAACAACCGCAACTTCATCGGTATGCTACTGGTGAAGATCCTCATCACTTACGACCCGGAAGATGGCAAGCGTGTCCGCGACTTTGCTCTTGCTACCCTCCCCGAAACCCTCCCTCATACATCTTGTCTTGACATCATCAACTTCTTCCAGGAAGGAAAAAGCCACATGGTGCTGGTGTCTGACTTCCCTGGCCATGCCAAAGGTGCTCTCGGCGTAGTGACACTCGAAGATGTCATCGAAGAGCTCATCGGCGAGGAGATTGTCGATGAGAGCGATGTCTTCATCGACGTGCACAAAGCGATACGAAGAATGGCGCCAGCTCCGTACTCAAAGTACAACAAACGTTTGACTCTCGAAACCGCAATCGATTCCTCCGCGGACGCCAGAGAGGATGAGCCGTTGCTGGCGGAGACTGATGGGGAGGAAAGCAAATCCCCCGCCCGTCCGACTGCGAACGGTAGACAGTCCACCTTTTTGGTGCGCCGGAAAAGCAGCACGGCATCAGAGGGAACGCGTGCCTCCGTCAAGCCGACCGGTGTCCCAGTCCGAACCAGCACGATGGAAATGCGAGAGCATCTGAAACACCTCGGTCCAAGCAATGCCGCGAGCAAACCGCGCGAGACCAAGTTCAAATCCGTCACGATCAAACCGGGCGTCGATACCATCCCAGAAGGCCTGGCGACTGCCGCTACGAGCATTGATGCCTCGAGAGGCCGCAGTGTCAGCCTCAACGAAACTCCAACCCGCCGCACCGATGAACCGGTGGCATCAGACGGCACCAATGAAGCCGACGGCCTGCTCAGATCCGCCGGCCGCGACGCTAGCGACGGCACGGCGGCACTGCGAGCGGGCTACGGCACAGTCACCAGCTCGACAAACGTGCCCACCATCAAAGCCATGAGCGCAGACGACGAGAACCCCAAGATGATGTCGCCCGAGGAAGCGAGCAGAGTGGCTGAAGAGAACGCGGAAACGCCCTCCACCAACTCCGCCCAGCGCGGCGAATGGTTGAAAGTGCCCGGCAAACTCGTCGTAGGCGATACGACCGAAGCGGACGACAGTGTGGGTGAACTGCAAGCCCCGAGTCGCGACCGGAGTCGCAGTCATCGTCGTGGGGTGCGTAGCGGCAGCATCACCGAGACAGAGGTGGAAATCGGCGGGATGAAGAAGGTTGTGCTGGGGACTACGAGCTCGAGCGACGATGAGGCTGCTGCTGTTGTTGCTGAGCGCGCTGCCGGTGATGTGTCGGATGATGGCACTGCTTCGGATGTTACTGCGAAGGGTGGGGTGAATGGGAGTGGGGCTGCGCAGCATAAGAATAAGAAGAAGAGAGGAGGCAAGAAGAAGAAGAAGCATTGATGAGGGGCGTGCTGGTCGTGTGCTAGATGGTGTTGCAGTGCGGGCGATATTCATAGAGGCCCTGCCAAAAAGAATTAAATTCGCTTTCTTGCTGTGAATTGTGAGCTTGCAAATGCCTCCTCGTCATGCCGATAGAGATATCGTCTTGTGGACTCCGCCATGCTCGAAGCCTTGCGGATCCTGAGAGCCTGACATGAAAATTAAGCTCCAGCAAAGCGTCGCTCCACGAAACTCAAAAATTTCCCGCTCGTACATCATCTCTTTCTCGAGAAATTTCCGGCTCAAGTCCTCTACCCTCCACCACGAGCAAACATGGCCCCAAACAGAGGCCGCAATCGCGCGCATGAATTTGACGATCTCCTGCTACCCAGCGCGCCAGGTTCGTAACTCTGCGCTGCCCCCAGCTCCCCAATCGAAAACCCTTACTGACACTTTCCACCCTAGACCTCGACCCCGAAGCCGACGACGCACACGCCCCCTCCTCCAGCGATGATGAAGCCGCCACCGCCGCCGAAAAAGACGACAAGACGGCAAGAGCGCGCGAGCATTATTTAGATGTGGGGCTGAGTAAACTGCGGCAGCCCAAGAGTGCGGTTCTTGGGCCAAGGTATGCGGGGGCGAAGGTTGGGAGGGAGGATTTTGAGGGCGAGGATGGGGAGGAGGATGAGGACGATCCTTTTGAGAGGGGGTTTGGGGATGAGGAGAGTGGGAGTGAGGGTTTTGAGTTGGGGGATAGTGAAGAGGAGGATGAGGAGGAGGAGGATGAAGAAACGGATGGGACTGATGTTAGTGATGAAGGGGCTCAGAAGAAAATGAAACATGGAGTACAGAATGGTGCGGTGGTGGAGAAGCGGTATGAGGCTTTGAGGAGTATGATGGACGAGACGAAGGATGTTACTTCGAGACTGGCTTTGTCGAATCGAGCCGATGTTGAGAAGGGACGGGCGGTGAAGAGGCAGCGCACAGCGTTCGATTCGCTTCTCGGCGTTCGCATCAAATTGCAGAAGGCGTTGGTCGGGGCCAATAGTGCCGTCGCCATTGACAGCAGCAAGCTCGAAGATCAGGATATCACTGGGCAGGCGGAGCTGGCTGCTTTCAAGCTCTGGTCCACCCTCAACGACTTCCGCGAAGAGCTCATTGGAGCCAGAACAGGAGAAAAACGCAAGCGAAGCGCCTTCACAACCACCACCCCCTCCGAAACCCTCTGGAAACGCATGCAAGACCAAGACATCACCAGCCTCGCACACCGCAACGCCACCCTCAAACGCTGGTCCGCCAAAAGCCGTCGAGGCACCGTGCAACTGCAAGCCGGCCTCCTCAACCAAAACGGAAACCAAACCAGCGTCCTCGACACAATCACCGAACACCTCTCCAACCCCGACCGCCTGCTGAAAAGAGCCCACACCCCGCGCTCCTGTGCGCCCCTCCAATTGGCGAAGAACATCCCCGAAGACGCCACCATCTACGACGACGCAGACTTCTACGGCCTCCTGCTCAAAGACCTGCTGGAGCAGAAAAGCGCCGACTCCGTCGCGGCGTCGAACATCGATCTCAGCTTCAGTTTGCGCCGCGAGGCGAAGACGCGGAAGGTGGTGGATACGAAGGCTAGCAAGGGGCGGAAGCTAAGGTACACGGTTCACGAGAAGTTGCAGAATTTCATGGCGCCTGAGGATCGGGGGAGGTGGGGGGAGAGGCAGGCTGATGAGCTGTTTGGGAGTTTGTTTGGGCAGAGGTTGGGGTTGGGTGAGGAGGATGTGGATGAGGTGATGGAGGAGGAGGGTGGTGTGGGTGAGGATGGGTTGATGCTGTTCAGGGGTTGAGACGACGCTCTCGAGGTCTGGAGCGCAGGCATGCTGCTGAGGCGCCCAGGAACCCCGCTCGTGGTATTGATGCTCAACCACCGCTAGCAGCTACTTCACGATCTGATGCACTTTCCGCTTCACACGGGCACCTTCCTGCTCATACAGGCACTTTCCGCTTCACACCCAGGTGCCTTCTACCTGAGACCCCGGCGCGCTGTGGCAACCTTTCTGAGACTTTTTGTTCTACTTGGGTCTTGCCCTCTGCTCGACAATTTCTCCCAGTGTTGCAATCCTTCTCACCTCTCGTTTCAGACACATCAAGGCAGAATGGCGGACTGGAGACAAGTACTCAACTACGCCGATGTTGGCACTGCCCGCCTGATCATCCAGCTGCAAATGCAAGATGCCGCTGCCATCGCCTCCATGCCCGCTGGCAACACGGCGGATCAGACTCGACGTGACGCAGACTTCGCCCGCCAGCTCTTTGAGGAAGACCTCAAGGATATTCATGGCCAGCTGCCTGATCGTGCGTTGGGCGAGAAGTTGACGGTCACAGAGAATCGCCGCGAGGGCCGTTTCGAGCAGGCGGCGTTCTCCTGGCATTTCGATGAGCGGGAGAAGCAAGTCGTCCAGGCACCCACTACCCCTTCGAACAAGCTCCTCATGTGCCTCATCTGCACAGACAACTACCCCGAGCAAGAAACAGTCGAAGCCCCATGCTCACATGTCTACTGTCGCAACTGTCTGGAACATTTGTTCAGATCGTCGATGAAGGACGAGACGCTCTACCCCCCTCGCTGCTGCAAACAGCACATCCCGATCCACGACGCCCACCGCATCCTTCCACGCGTTCTTAGAGACGAGTTCATCGACCGCAAGGAAGAGCTCGAGACGCTGGACAAGACATACTGTTTTCGACCTCAGTGTTCCGCCTTCATTCGGCCCAGCACTATCAATGGCGATCGTGCCCAATGCCCACGTTGCATGCGATCTACCTGTACTCTCTGCAAAAGTCGGTACCATTCAGGCGACTGTGAAGCCGATCCGGGCTACGACCAGCTCCTCGCTGCTGCTACCGAGAACAACTGGAAGAGATGTTCGGCTTGCCGTCGGTTCGTTGAGCTGAAACATGGCTGCAACCACATCACGTAAGTCCCATAAGTGACTTGTCGACCGGGAGCGGGATGGCTGACTTCAATACAGCTGCCGCTGCAGGCATGAGTTCTGCTACGTCTGCGGTGAGGAATGGAAGACATGCGACTGCCCCAATTGGGATGAAGCTCGTCTACTTGAACGGGGACATCGCGTCGCGCGGAACTTCATGCCTCCGGAAGATCACGCACAAGGTCAAGCTCGGGTGCATGCTTTCGCTGGAGCTCTGACTGTAGTACCGCGTGGCGCACAGGATGAAGGGGCGGAGGATCAGCGCCCCGCGACTATGGAAGTGCTGGCACGGATTCGTCAGCGTGCTTTGCAGGGACGGCAAGCGCAACACGATGCCGCAATGGCTCAAGCAGTCCAGCAAGCTGTCGAACACATCCGCAACAACCACGAATGCGACCACGAGCGCTTTCAGACGTATAGAGATTTGGGGCAACGCATCGACTGCGAGATGTGCGGACACCAGTTCCGGACGTGGATTCCTCAGTGCAGGCAATGCTTGATGCTGCTATGTGTGAGATGCAAGAACAACAGGCTGTGAGCGTGAAATGAGAGTTGCAAAGAGAATGGGGTAATGCGGAAGATCGAACAGCTGCGGGTGACACAATTGCAAGGTGGTTCAGTGTGCATCAGTACCGAGCCATGCGTTTTGTTTGCTGCATGCTAACCCCTGCTCCGCTTCACGTGTTAAATGGTGAGCAGCCTTCACATACCATTCAGTCCACATTATATAGAGGTCCGAAGCCTTGACCCCCTTCTCAGTGAATCTCGCTGAATGCAGAATGTACATATAGTCTTCAAAATGGAGACACTTCCATGTCGTTACTCTCTGCTCCTCTCCTCACCTCAACACCCTCATCAGCAGTCTTCCCTCCTCCACACGCACGCAACGGGAACATGGCAGCCCAACCAAACAACTCAGCAGGACCTCGCACGCAAAGACGCTACTCCGACGTACTCAGACAAGGCACCGCGTCAACTGCATCCCGACGCATCCCCATGTTCACGTGTATAGTCTGCGAAGACGACTTCTCCGCCAAGCAGTGCTACCGCCACATCTGCAACCACACCTACTGCCACGAAGACCTGCGGCAGCTAGTCCGCACCTCTCTGACAGCCTCAGGCCTCTTTCCGCCGGAATGCTGTTATCAGCCCATCCCTTTCGACGAAGTGAAGCGCTTCCTCGGAGAAGAGTTGATCAGAGAGTACGGAGCGAAGTTGGAGGAGTTGGGGGATGCGAAGCCGGTGTATTGCCATGTGGCTGCGTGCGGCGCTTATATCGGCAAAGGTGAAAGGGCAGAGGAGTCGATGAGGGCGACTTGCCAGCGGTGTGGGGCGGCGACGTGCGTGCTGTGTCGACAAGAAGGCCATGAGGGAGACTGCAGCGCGCAGATGGACGACGAGGCCGCGAAGCAGTTTCGCCAGCTCGCGAAGGAGAAGCGCTGGCAGACGTGTCCCAAGTGTCGCCGGACGGTGGAGCGGGCAATCGGCTGCAACCAGATCACGTAAGTCCAGCTTCCAATCATATCGCTCAATGACCCCGAGCCCGCTCGTGTCTTGCTGCAACTGACAACCTCTAGATGCCTCTGCGGCGCCCAGTTCTGCTATCTCTGCGGCACGCCGTGGAAGCACTGCGAGTGCGCTGACGAGGGCGACGGCTTCGATGACGAGCAGTACTGGATCCAGGTGGCTTGTACCGACGCCGGCCAGCACGACTGGGAGCATCGCAGTGGACCGAACACGTGCGATCTGTGCGGGCAGGTGATGCCGGCATTTGTATTTGAGTGTCAGATTTGCCGGCGGCAGCGATGTAGGCGGTGTCGGGAGTACTGGGGCTAGCGCGCGGTGTGGTATAGCATCCTTGTCCGGCTTGCTCGTGCTTGCTCTGGTGTAGCGAGCGCCTTTCCGCTCCCTCAGTGAAGCACCTGCGGCGCAATCTCATGCACAAACTGCTGCTTCGCCACTCCGCGCGTAATCCAGTTCCGCTCCTTCTTGCACAGCGTAGCATTATCGTGAAAATCCACCATCCGATCGTGAATCCACCCGGAATCAATGCCGCGCGACCATTCGCCGAGATTGGCGCGGGCGGTCGTCATACACCGCAGATCCAGACTGAGGGCGTACTGCACGCAGGCGGGGAGGGCGGTGCAGATGGCGCGGCATTCGTCGAGGGAGTTGACGGGGCCTTGATCTTCGTCTGCGTGGTTGTTCCAGTTTTGTTTGGGGGCGGTGATGCGGGGGAGGACGTATTGGTTGTAGACGTCGCGGTGATGGACGATGGCGCGAGGATCCTGTGGGGAGGAGTCAGCTTTTCTGTATTTCGATGCGCGAGTGAGGTGGACTCGCCTTTGTCTTGGCCATCCACTCTTGCTCCCAGGTCCACATGCTCTCCACCTGGACTGGGGTGAGGTGGTGGTAGCTCACGCTCGGCATGCACCACAGTCTCAAGCCGCCTTCGTCTCGCCTGTAATGCATATCGCCGATTCCATCCGCCTGCCAGATCGGCCAGACGCCCATGAGCGGGGCGCCGGCTTCCTTCATCGCCTTACCCAGCACGCAATCCCCCGCCCAATGCCAGTGAGTGAAGGCCTCGTACTCCTTCTGATGATTCTGAAAGCGTTCCACCACTTGCCTCAGCGCCGGCGCAGAAACGGCAAAGCCAGTTCCGCCGTGTGCGAAGAGTATCTCTCCTATCCACACCTGTCCTCCCATGTAGATGGGCTGTTTGTGGTCCAGAGCGGCGAGGTAGTTGAGCGCGGTCTGCCACATGATGTAGGTGTCGGTCTCGACGAAAATATACCACTTCTTGTCCGGGTGCTCGTACAGCGTGCGGTTCATCATGGGCAAGAACTTCCACTTGTCCAGCTTCCACCCAGGATTCGACTTCTTGCCCGTTGCGCCTGGAGGTGTGCTGACTGGGCCACTGCGTTCGCTGGGTAGCAGCGCCGATCTCCCTCCTGCATTTCGCAAGCGCCGCCAGAGCTCGAAGTCCTCATGTGTCTCTTGAATCTTGGGGTCAACAAACTCGAGGGCGTCGTAGATGTGCTCTCCGCGGAAGTCTTCTTCGTAGTCGGAGAAGATCATGTAGTTGGGGTAGCAGCGTAGGGTGGTGGTGAGGTGTACCGGCAGTTTATCCTCCAGCTCCGTGGAGCCGGTTTTGAGCACGACCAGCACATCTTCTGCGCCTGGGAGGCTGCGACAGGGGAGAGTCTTTTGCGAGGAACCCAGGCCCAGTGCCGCCTCGTATTGTACCCATGTCCTGCTCCTGCCATCCTCGGAGGATATTCGATTGCTGCTTCTTTGCGTGTACAAAAGGTAGAGAACCAAGGCGATTCCGAGGAGGAAGTAGAGAGGCCGCTGTTGGAAGCGGCGGCGATAGGCGGGGGCGAGTGGGCGAGTGCTAATCCCCAGTTCCTTCCACGACTGCGAAGAGATTCTCTTGGGGTGCGACATGGTCGAAGAGACTCTTCTGGTGTGCAACATGGCGAGACATGGGGGCGAGAGGAGAGAAGGAGACGGAGGGGTGAGGGAGAGGGTGAGGAGAAGACACTGGGCGCCGAGCGAATAGCGGAGGGGGCTCCATGTTGTACTTACAATTTGGATGTATTGTGTTGGATGCACATCAGCAGCTCGCGTAGACTGCCACGGTTACACGCCTTGGCTGCCCCCGACCCACCACACTATCCAGCCCATGCCGGCTTCCGTATTGTCGCTCGGGATGCACAAGTTTTGCGCCAGACTCCCGAGAAGTAGGCTGTAGGGGGCGATGCTGTGTCAAGAAGGCGCAGGGTGTCCATGAAGTACTCCCAGCGCCTTGCTTGATCTCGGACGAGGCGGTAGCACAACTCCCGGGTGTCGGCCAGCTCCCCTGAATACGCGAAGGAGCGGTGTTTCAGCCTTGCATGGGTTATAGCTAGTTAGGGGCTCGCCTTATAGCTTCGTGCCACCATCCTTTGTGGGCTGTTTGAGTTAGGCAGCTGCTCTGTGCGTACGCCGAACCGGACAATACAAGAGGAGCGTGCTTTTTGGTGTGCCGAGAGCCGAAGGGGATGGATAAATCAGGCCGATGACATTGGATGTTTTCAACGGCGTGCGTATGGAAGGCTCCAAATAAATAAACGTGCGGGCCCCACTCACCCCACCCCCGGCAGATGGGCCGCCACCGAAACCTTATTCCAGATATTTTTTGAAAGTCTGCTGCGACTTCACCGTCGGGCTTGTACATCCTATCTGGACATGCGATGAAGCTCACCACCTCCTCTGCCGTGCCGGTGTATACCATCGCCGGCGAGGGTACATCTCGCCCGCTTCCAGAATGGCTTGCGCGCAAGCGGCGGCGAAGCCTGAAGAAGGACGCCGAGTATGCGAATCGGGTGGAACTCTTGCAGGACTTTGAGTTTGAAGAGGCCAGCCAATGTGTGCGCGTGAGTGAGGACGGAGAGTGGGTTGTCAGTACTGGTGCGTTGCAAATGCGTGATCGGAGTTGTCTCGTCAGGAACGCATGCTGACAAGATGGGCGTCCACGAACAGGAACCTACAAACCGCAGATCCATGTGCATTACCTCCCACACCTGTCGCTGAGCTATGCACGACATACAAACACCATCAACCAGACCTTCATCCTCCTCTCCTCCGACTACAGCAAATCCCTGCACCTTCAGACCGATCGATTCCTCGAATTCCACACCCCCGGCGGCCTGCACTACTCCACGCGCATACCAAGATATGGGCGAGATCTCAAATACAATTTGCGCACGGCGGAAGCGCTCATACCGGCTGTTGGCGTCAATGCAGATGGCCTTGGCGAGGTATACAGACTGAATTTGGAAGTGGGACGATTCATGAAAGGATTTGAGGTGGACGTCGGAGGAGACGATTACACTTCTCTTGGGGGTGGCGCACTACAAGGCGGCATTCGCACCGGCAGTGTGAATTGCGCAGCCGTGGCTGAAGACTCTCATGGACTGATGGCATTTGGGACTTCGTTGGGCACGGTCGAGTTCTGGGATGCGAGAAGTCGGAGTCGTGTGAGTGTGTTGGGGCCACCGACATTGACTTCCATTCTCGACACCGGCCAGGAGGACTTGCGGCCAGCAGTGACGGCGCTGAATTTCCATGCTTCCGGCCTACATCTTGCAACAGGGTCAAGCAATGGCTTGATCCATACCTACGACCTTCGCTCGCCCGTTCCCCTCCTCCGCAAAGACCAAGGTTACGGCTTCCCCATCCAAACTCTCGAACATCTCAATCCATCTTCCTCCTCGTCCTCCATCTCCTCCGACAAACTGCTCAGCAGCGATCGCAAGTCCATCAAAATTTTCGACTCCCAATCCGGAAATCTATGGACATCCATCGAGCCAGCGGTCGACCTCAACCACGTCACCTGGGTCCGCGACTCTGGCATGCTTCTGACCGCGAACGAAGGCCGACAACAGCATTCCTTCTTTATCCCTCAACTTGGCCCTGCGCCGAAATGGTGTGCGTTCCTCGACAATTTGGTGGAAGAAATGGCAGAAGACCAAACCACCGACCCCCAGGCATTCACATCTCGTACTACCGGCGGCGTGGGCGAGGTCTACGACAACTACAAATTCGTCGATCAAAAGGAACTGTCAGCCCTCAGTCTCGATCATCTCGTTGGCAGCTCGACGAATGTGTTGCGACCGTACATGCACGGCTTCTTTGTGCCGCAGCGCTTGTATGAGCAGGCACGACTACTCGCGAACCCGGATCTGGCGCTGCAGCAGCGGCAGAAGAGTATACAGGAGAAGATTGACAAGGAACGTGAAAGTCGAATCAGAGGCAATAAGAAGGTGGCTGTCAAGGTCAATCGGAAGCTGGCCGAGAAGTTGGCGGCGCGTGAAGAGGCGAATGAGAGGAGGAAGGCGCAACGATTGCTGCGGAAGCAGAAAGATAACCTCGACGATGAGCAGGAGGAGGCTGCAGCGGACGTGCCAATTCCAGAACCTCGAGATGTCAAGGCGAAGAAGGCGACGACGGATCTTATGGAGGACAACCGTTTCAAACGACTGTTTGAGGACGAAGAGTTTGAGATTGACGAGACGTCGAGGGAATTCCAGCTGCACAACCCTTCGTCTGCCGAAGTTGGAGGCAGAGCAAGTGAGCCGAAGAAGCGCGGGCTCACTGCCGCAGAGCAAGAAGATCTCGAAGACAGAAAGGGCTCATCAAGCGACGACGACGACGCCGAAGAAAGCGATGACGAGGACACTACAACACCTGCCCAGCGACAGCGCGAAGGCAGACAACTGGACGTCGAACGAAACTCCAAAGGCAGAATCGGCAGCACAAACTACAAAAAGAGCGGGCACCAATCGAAAACGCAACGAGAGCAGCAGCAATCCGGCCCACGAATGCGCGTCTCCTCCTCCCGCGCAGATCGCGGACCCCAGCGAGTGCAGAAATCGCAATCCTTCGGTGATCTCGCCGCTGGGCGCGCGCCGAAATCGCCGGGGCATGGTGGCGCCAGGGGTGGGGCGCGAGGCGGCGTGGTGGGCGAGAAGCAGGTCTCTTTCACGCCGGCCAAGGCGGAGAAGAAGACGATGGGATTCGGGGATGTGGGTGGGAGGTTTGAACGAAGGGGTGAGGATAGGAGTGGGCGTGGTGGTGGGAGAGGTGGTCGTGGTGGTGGTGGTGGTGCGCGGCATTCCAAGGATCGGAGGAGTGCTTCTGGGAATACGTTTAGGAGGATGTAGAGGGATATCGAAGTTGGTCCCATGTATGCCTCCCGACGTTGGCTCGTCGTCTGTACATGTATCTTACGATCCATTCGCTGCTGCGTCGCCTACCGAATCAAACTGCTTAATCATCCCATTCCCAACCCTCGCATCATCATGCCTGACCACCCACCCATCCTCTCAATCACACGAACAGGCGGAACGGCATCCCAGCACCGCCGCCAAAAGCGGAAGGAGTGAAAGTAACTTCACTAGCCCCGGCGCCACAGCCGACAAGGAGAGACAAATCAACGCCCGCAGCGACACACTTGGCAGGCACAACCTTATCCCTTGCATCTCTCCCGTCCATCCTCCTCCCTCTCTTTCAAGCACCCGTCCTGCACCTCTTTCCGCTTTCCTGTGCCGGAGACGCCATCCGGCTTTTCGTGCCCCGCCTATCAGTGTCGCGCGTCTGCTTTTCCGTATGCTCTGTTGAAACGCCTGCAATCTTAGGCGTGTGCGGAAGTGGGGGGTGGTGTGCTCTGATTGAGAGGTATTGACTCCTCTTTTGGCCTTGGGTCGATGAAGGCGTCTATGGTGTGGTCTGTCGCACCGCCTTGTTCGGCTGCACCTTTTCGAGGCTGGCTGGTGAGGTTTGGTTGGGGTCGACGAGGGAAGCACATATGTTTGCTCTTCTTTTCTCTGTCTCTTGTTGGACCTCTCTTGTTCTCTTGCTGTCATCTGTCGTTCGTTTGATCTCGTAATTCACTCTTTCCGTCCTTTCCCTTGACCTCCTGCGGGAGACGCTCACGCTCGTTCACTGCGCCGTCTTCGAATAGCTGTGCACTACACAGCAAAATCCTAATGTTTCAACTGGATCAGCTACATCAGCCGAGCTGAGAGGAGATCTGCTCGCAGCTCTACACATAATGCGACTACCAGCTTCGCCGAAGCTGTTTGGAACACCATGCTGGGTATTCCCAATCCTCGCCGGACTCGCTTGGTTGGGTGAGACTTGCTTCCACCTCTCTCTCAATCGTTGGAACGTTCTAACAATGCAACAGTAACCCTTTTGGCCATACTCATCGAATGGATCGTCAAAGGCTCACCCCACTACCCCGAGATGTGGCCGAGCCAGCACCTCTCCTACATCTCCAACGCCGGGGCTTCTGACTGGGGCCATCCGCTCTTTATCTCTGGTGCTACAATCACCGCCATCTTCTTCTCCATCACCTTCATTAGCGAAAGATGGTTGAGACACAAGGGTAAACTGCTCCACTCTGCAACCAAGTGGTCTTCTGTCTGTTGGGTCGCCGCGGCGGTTTTGACGGCCACAGCTACTTGCGCCCTGGTCCTTTTCACCATCTTTTGCGTGCGTCGACATGCTGTCGTTCATTACACTCTCGTCGCTACATTCGCGTACGTCGGCCGCCCCGCCCATGTTTCTTATCACTGCTGATTCAGTCCTCTACAGACTCGGCTACATCCTCGCTGCAGCCCTCCTCTGCGCGGAACGCAAGCACCTCTGCAACACCTTCCCTACTCGCCGAATCCTCCATTGGTCCCTGCGCATCAAACTCTTCTTCATCGCCGTCGAGCTGCTGTTCGTCATCCTCGGCTCGGTCACGATGTACCAGCGCATGTATCGCACTTCCGTCGTGGTTGAGTGGCTGGCGGCGCTCTTTTTCTCGTTTTACATGGCTAGTTTTGCTGTCGACTTTTTCGCTGTTCCTGCTGTTGATGATGAGAAGGAGAATGCGTGGGATTTAATGATGCGGTCTTGGGATGAGGATGTGGGGATTACAAGGCCACAATGGGTGTATGGGGCTCTGGAGAAGAGGTATTCTTTGCTCGAGTGAGCTCAATCTCTGTGATCGATGCTTTTGCAAACAATACCTCATCTTTCCCGTCTTCGCAATGGCATCCAACCCCGGAGGCAAAGCATCCCGACCACCACCATTATCATGCCGCGATTCCGATTCAAATGTCATCATTCCGTGATTCCGATCGCGAGGCAGCCATCATCGCTTGCAGACGAGCAGTTCGGCTGACGGCACATGTTTACCGAGTGCAAGGAGTTTGATGTCGTTGGAAATCCTCGCCGCTTTCGTGTTCGCCGTAGCAGAGGTCGCTTAGGTAAACAAACCCGCCCCACCTTTTTCCCCACGCAAGGCTGGAGATGGCGGGCGGGAGCGCGCTAAGCCGCTTTTGAGTCGCTGTACATCTGCACTTTTCACGGCGGTGAGGGCGCTTTGACAGCCTTGCGAAACTGTTGTTCTATATGCGCTGTTACGGAAGATCCTGCTCTGATATTGGCTGTTCTCTAGGGTGGACTGGGTGGAATCATTGCGAGGCACGTGGCAGATAGCTTGCGCTGTAATATTCTCGCGCGCGCCCATCCGGCTTGCTCGTCTCGATGTCTTTTCGCCACTCGACAATATGGTGGAGCACAAAAGTACAGAGATCACCCATTTAGAGTGTACATGCAGTTAGTATATACCTTACCACGTCTGCATCTCGTCTATTGTTCACCGACCGGTCGACCCGGTGGCGCTTACGGTGGGTGCGTGGCAGGCACCCAGCCCCTCGCAGCCTTGTTCAGCCACTACGCCTTAAACCTCCGAAAGGCTTGAGAAAACACCGGCATCTCGCATTCCTTTCCATTCTCTCTTTTCCACATTCCTTCCCCATTGTCCGATTCATCCACAATGTTCGAGCTTCTGCGATACGTCGCTGTCGCGCTGCTCGGCGCATCGAGCGTCGTCGCACATCCCATGCTTCCGCGACAAGCGAACACTTCACTCACGTTTGTCACCGGCGCGACTCAAGGAGGTATACAACCGCGATACGAGATCTTCCAATTACAGCAAAATGAAGACCAATGGAACATCTTCCTCTTGGCACTCCAGTCTTTTCAACAGATGGATCCGTCGAGCGAGCTGTCCTGGTATCAGATTGGCGGCATTCACGGCGTGCCGTATATACCGTACGCTGGCGTCGGTCAATGTCCGGGATGTCCGACGACGGGCTACTGCACGCACTCGTCGACGCTCTTCCCAAACTGGCATCGGTCGTACGTTGCGCTGTTCGAGCAATCGCTCCAACTCAACGCCCTCGCCGTAGCGAATCAATTCAGCGGCGACGCCCGATCCAGATATCTGCAAGCAGCGACTTCCCTCCGCATGCCCTTCTGGGACTGGGCACTCCTCCCCGGAGCAGGCCAAAACCCTTTCCCGCAAATGTTCACCGACGAGACCGTCACCGTCACCACCCCCTCGGGCCAAGCAACCATCCACAACCCCCTGCACTCCTACTCCTTCGGCTCCGCCAACCACACCTTTATGAAGACCGCCTTCACCCCGGACTCCGACGTCACAATCCGTAACCCGACCTTCACCCTCGCAACGCGCGAATCGCTCCGCACAGACCTCTACGCCCTCCTCACCTCTGCCCAAGGCTTCAACAACTTCGCCACCCAATCCCTCTACAAGGCGCGCGACAACCCCAACAGCATCGAAATGCTGCACGACCGCGTGCACGTCCGCACCGGCGGCGACATGGCCTACATCCCGACCGCGGCCTTCGATCCCATCTTCTTCCTGCACCACGCCGCCGTCGACCACGCGTACGCGCTCTGGCAGCTCGCGAACCCGGAGGACTTCATGACGGCGTGGACGGAGGTCGGGTCCACGTACACGTACACCAGCGGGACGGTGGAGAATGCCGAGTCGGCTTTGACGCCTTTCCGGTCGAATGGGAAGGGCGGCTTTTGGAGCCCGGATGCTGTGCGCAATACGACGATTTTCAATTATGTGTATGCTGATTTGGAGATGGGTCAGTCGGCTGCGGTGATTATCAATACGCTTTATGGGGATGACAATTTGACGGATACGAGGGCGGCTTCGATGGGGATGTCTGCTTCGCCGCCTTCTTTGAGTCACGAGAAGGACCATCCGAGTCATGGTAGGAATCAGTCGAGCCACGAGAAGGATCATTCGAGCCATAAAGAGGACCATTCGAGCCACAAGAAGACTCAGCCGAGCCACAAGAAGACCCAGCCGAGCCATAAGGAGGGCCATCCAAGTCATCAGAAGGAGGACCATTCGAGCCACAAGAAGACCCAGCCGAGCCATAAGGAAGATCACTCCCGCAAGAAACCTCACCAACAAAAGAGCGAAACGCGGCAAGAATACATCATCAACATCCGCGCCGACTCAATGGGCGCCGAGGGCTCATTCACAGTCTTCTTCTTCGACCAAGAAGTGCGAGACGACGAGGTGTGTTCGTGGCACGAGAGCGAGGCAGTCATCGCTTCGCACAGCTTCTTCACCGGGCCGGGGAAGAAAGGGGATGGCACACTTCTATCCAGCGCAGGCACTTCTCTCACTCCGGGTCTGAGGAGAGCGGTGAAGGATGGCAGGCTGGCTAGCTTGGAGGAAGAGGATGTCGTGCGGTATTTGAGGAGCACACTGCGGTGGAGAGTCAAGATGCAGCAGGGGAAGGCTGTGGATGAGTCGGAGATTCCGGGGTTAGAGATCAGAGTGCTGATGGCGGAGGTCAGGGGCCCGAAGGCGCTGGATGAGATGCCTGTTTGGAGTCCGTTTAGAGCTCTCGAGCTATGATTTCGCTTTTGCTGCATTTGTCTTGCGTTTTAGCGATGGCGCTGGTTGGAGCACGGGCGATGATGTCGCCTGCTTTTTGTGGGATGAAACAGCTATAGCATGATGCAATGTCCTGTACGAAGAAATGTTGTCAATATTCGTCAACACGTCTGTTTCCGGTTCTACCTCTATGTTTTGTACATCTGCGTCGACATAACGACCCTCGTGCTTGCGTCAGACGTCCCGCCCTTCGGTTATGACGAGGTTCTGCGGCTTCCCAGCGACGAAGCCCTCAATATTCGCCTTGACGATGGCAGCGGTGTTCTTGAGTGTGCAATCAGAATACCAGGCCGCATGAGGGGAGAGCAACAGATTTGGAATCGCAGGGTCCAGCAGTGGACAGTTCTCTTTGGTCGCGGGCTCCTTCTCGAAGACATCAGTCGCTGCTCCAGCGATCTGGCCGCCTTTCAACGCTTTGATCAGTGCGGGTTCGTTGATCGTCCCTCCTCTGCCAACGTTGATGACAAACGCCGACGGTTGCATGGCTTCGAACTCGGCCTCGCTCAGCACGTCCTTGGTCGTTGCGTCCAGAGGTGTCGCGAGCATGAAGACTGTCCCGGTTTTGATAGCGTCTTCGAATGACGTTCGGCCTTGTCGTATTTCCTTGCTGCCTTTCCGCTCGGCGATTAGGACGCGCATGCCCAGTGCTCGTGCCATCTTTTCGAAGTTCTTGCCTGTATTCGATCAGAGATGTAAGCGGTGTCGGACGTTGCCTTGACTCACCTATTGCTCCGTATCCGATAATGACCACCGTCTCCTCGGCGTTTATCCGTGGACCGGCGTGGTTGTAATGCGATGGAACCAGATTGCCCTTGCTTGCTTTCCAGGACTCGCCGTCCATGGCCAGGTAGTGCAAGTCCACCAGCCGCCGCCGAAGACCATAGTACATGGCGAGAGCATGCTCGCTCACGCTCTCGGTATTCTGAGCGGGTACACGACACAACGAAATGCCCTTTTGTCGAATTGCATCCTTCGGAACGTGATCCGTCCCCGTGCCATTGGCAGAGATGAGCTGTAGACGCGAGGCTTTTTCGATGTCTGAAGGCGCTATCAGAGTGCCCGAGATGATGACGACAGTTGCATCTTGAATCCTCTCGAGCACTTTGTCCGGAGGGGTGAACTTGTGTTGCACAAACTCGTGATCGAAGGCGAATGTCGGCGGCGGCACCCAGTCGTCTAATGCGACCACTTGGAGTTTCTTGCCGCTTGTCATGTTGCGTTGGTGAAGTTCAACAGCAGGTTCCGCTAGGTGTTTTCATGTCAGATACGAGGCCTCCCTGCACTCCCACCTTGAAATGGCCCGAGCTGATCCGGTTGTTGTCAATGGCTGATGTGCGGTATCGGAGTCAGTTCTTGGAGCTGCTGAGGTGAGGAGAAGCTTTGTGGTCAAAAGTCGTGTCACGCGCCTTCCCTCTCGTCGTGCTCCTCCACCTCCTGCGCTCTGCTGTCGTCGCCAATCTTTCTGCCGGTCGAATGCCGAGCTAGCAGAAGTCGTCTGCTCTTTGCAGGCTGCTCATATCTTTCAATCGTATCATTCCGGACCATTTTGGCATCATGACCGACTTAGAGCCTGACACGCGCCTGGCGGATCTCGAGCCTTCTCGCGGTGTGGGCCATCCCGACCTTGATGGACACGGCAAGTTTTATGAGTACGACTTCATCTCATTGTTTCTCTCCTTCCGTTCTGTTCGGTCACGAACATAACCATCCGCACTTCTCGCCCAAAAGGCTACTCGCCAGACAATGCCGTCATGCAGACAACGAATCCCCAGGACGCGTACTGCAGCTCGGATATCGAAGCTACCGCAGGCATGCGATTGAGAACGAATCTCCCATCTGGACAACACGGAACACCTCGATCCCGCATTCGGTCCAACTTGGCTCCGAAAAAGGGAGCAAGGCCAGGTTGAGCTCGAGGAACATGGCCCACAGAGACGGCGAATCCCCTGCAGTCGACTGCCTTCCCCAACAGACAGACACACATCCCGCCTGGGTCTCAGCAACTGCCACCATCCGGCCACCCGCTGCCAGCATGAATGGCTGGAGAGAGGGGTTCGAATCAATTGTACCTGCATTAGCTTTCTAGAGCTACGGATGGCGTGCTAGACCCCACTGTTGACACCGCCAACCCCTCCAAAAGTTATTATATGACGGCTCATGGCGTGCGAACCAACCTGACCTACAAAGTCACTGTCAACCATCACGGAGGAAATCGGCCAGCTCCAAATACCTCCAAACTACTTTCTTCCTTCGTCCAACAAACTCCCACCGCAAGGCTCTGCTCTCCAATCTCCAAAATGGCCACCCAAAATGTTCAAAACCTGACCTCCTCCTCGGAGAAGTATGCCTCCTCCTTCAATAAAGGCAGCCTCGCTCTCCCTCCCGCAAAGAAATACCTCGTCGTGACCTGCATGGACGCCCGCATCGACCCCGCCGCCGCCTTCGGCATCGAGCTCGGCGATGCTCACGTCATCCGCAACGCCGGCGGCAACGCCAAAGATGCCCTCCGCAGCATCCTCATCAGCCAGCACCTCCTCGGCACGCGCGAGATCATCCTCGTCAAGCATACCGGCTGCGGAATGGTGACCTTCACCAACACCGATGCACTCAAGGTCGTGGCGGAGAACCAGGGCGTGGGCGTGCTGAGCGGCACGTATGACTTCCAGCCTTTCCCCGATGTGGAGCAGGGCGTGAGGGATGATGTGGAGTGGTTGAAGAGTAATGGAGCGGTGGTCAAGGACTCTGCGATTAGTGGATGGGTTTATGAGGTTGAGACGGGCAAGACGAAGCAGATTGTTTGAAGTCGTGCTGCTCTTCGCATGTGATGGCAGTCGATGCTCTGGTTTTACACCTACGATGAATGATTCAGAACTGCGTGATGCTTTGCTTCTACACGTCTCTCCTCGTCAATAGACTATCGTCACGAAAGAAGAGCGCTCGAGCGGCAGGGCTGAGGCAGCAGCCTCGGCAACCCACCCCCACCAGCCGAGATCCACCCTGTGCCTGTGTCCTGTCAGCAGTAGAAGGCAGTCAGCATCATCTCCATCCTTCCTTTCCAACATCCATCGCCAGTAAACCACAGCAACTGCAGTCAAGATGGAACCCGTGCCATCAGCTAACACCGCACCTAGCAACACGAAAGAAGTCCTGAACGGCGAAGTGCTAATCAGCGCCGACACCGCTCCAAATGGGGCCAACGGCGCGGTCCACGAGCCCAGGAGCGATGCCAACGCCAACGTGCCAAACGATGTCATTCAGTGCGATTGCCTGATAGTCGGCGCGGGCTTCAGTGGCATCACTGCGATTCACCGCTTCCGACAGCTCGGTCTGAAGGTCAAGTGCTTTGAATCGGGAGGGGATTTCGGTGGCGTGTGGTATGTTCATCTTTCAGAGTGCTGACTGCTAGCCTGTCACTCATCTATGCAGGTACTGGAATCGTTATCCCGGTGCTCGCGTTGACTCCGAGGCGCCGTTCTACCAGCTCAATATCCCCGAAGTGTATCGGCATTGGCACTTCAACCAGCGCTTTTCGGACCACAAGGAACTGAGACAGTACATGGCCCATATCGACAAGACGCTGGATCTCAGGAAGGACACTTTTTTCAATGCGAGGGTCGTTGACGCTTCTTGGGATCAACAGGCTAACCTCTGGACGATCAAAACTACCGCTGGACATATCGCCCAAGCTAAATATCTCATGTTGACCTCTGGTTTGCTTCATCGTACATATACTCCGGACTTCCCCGGCTTGGAGAATTACAAGGGTGAGATTCACCATTCCAGTGCATGGCCAGAAGACTTCAGCGCCAAAGGCAAGAAAGTCGCCATCATCGGCGCCGGTGCAACGGCCGTGCAGATTACGCAAGAACTCGGCAAGGAAGCGGATGAGCTGACGGTGTTCCTGCGCCGCCCGAGCTACTGCCTGGCCATGAAGCAGCGTACGTGGACGGAAGAGGAGCAGCATACGCTCAAAGCTTTCTACCCTGCCATGTTCAAGGCTGGGCGGGACTCCGCGGCGGGCTTTCCCTCGGCTCGACAAGAAGTCGGTGTGGGCGACGTCTCTACGGAGGAGAGGGAAGCCCTATTTGAAGATCTCTGGCGCAGGGGAGGGTTCAACTTCGCAATCTCCAATTACAACAACGTCGCTCTCGACAAAGATGCAAACAAAGTGAGCTCCTGCCATTTTCCGACGCCCTATGCTCGTTCTAATATCACCAGGTTGTCTACGACTTCTGGCGACGCAAAGTGTGCGAACGACTCACCGATCCCGCCAAGCAAAAGATCATGGCCCCCGAAATCGCCCCCTACTATTTCGGCACGAAGAGAACGCCTCTCGAGCAAGATTACTACGAAGTCCTGAACCAACCCAACGTCTCCATCCACGAACTCGGCAAAGCGCCGCTAAAGTCCTTCACCGAGAAAGGTCTGCTCATGGACGACGGTACGGAGTACGACGTGGATGCAGTCGCACTCGCCACCGGATTTGACAGCTACAGCGGCTCCCTCACCGCCATGGGCCTGAAGGACAAAAACGGCACCGAGCTGGCGCAATCCTGGAAGGAAAACGGCATCTCCACCTACCTGGGCATCATGATGGCCGGCTTTCCCAATCTCTTCATGGCATACACCCCGCACGCACCCACCGCGCTCTCCAACGGGCCCACAATCATCGAGGCGCAGGTGGAGACCGTCGCTGCTATCATCGCCAAATTGCAAGCGGAGAATGGGAAGACCATCGAGCCTCAGCATGCCGCGGAGGAGGCTTGGAAACAGGAGATTGATACTATGAGCAAGTACACGCTCATTCCGTACACCGATAGCTGGTGGAACGGGGCGAATATTCCCGGGAAAGCACGCCAGAACATGATCTACGTCGGCGGGATCAATACTTACGAGCAGCGCATGAAAGACGCCATTGCTGGATGGACGGGCTTCGACGTCGCTACAGCTTAGATGAGGTGTGTCATAGACAAGGGTACTGATCTTACAATAGAAATCTCCGATCGATGGCGTGGTGTAATACGTGTTCGCCATGTGCGACAATGTCCGCAAGTTGCCTGGCTTGCTCCAACGGGAAGAAGCTGCATGTGCACAATCACTCATCGCAATCATCCCAGCAGGTGAATGAACGCGAATGAACCGCGCATGCACGGCGCTTGATCAGCTTAAGGAAGCCAACGTGACCTATTGGTTTGATTTCCTGAGGCGGAGATATTACTGGGTGCTCTGTCTGAGCGCTGAAGTGCGAGGATATGGCGTACACTCCTGGGTTGTCATTGGCACTATGCTGTCAGTGTCTCTGTATCTCGTGCAACGTGTGATGATGGCGTCGAAAGATGCGGTTTGCCGCTGCACCCGACCAGCCGATGTCATCTCGCAGCACGCGCACACCTTGCTCGATCGGGAGCGGCGTGCATGCGCCCCGTCAAACCTTTCCTCCATCCTGCATCCACTGCCGACACAATGGACAAGCATTGCCAGCCGCCTGTCACACAAGCTTTCCGGTGAAACGTCTCCAAGTCTGCATTACACGACATATCTTGTTCAAAACAATACCTCTGCGGTCAAATCCGCACCCAGCATCCATTCCGCTCTTCGCCCTCGCGGAATCAATCTCTCCCGCGTGATTAACTCCAACGGCCACCTGCAGCCCAAGTCTCATCGTGCATTCGATCAGTCCAATCGGCATCGGGGAATTCTGCTAGGCCAGCGGGTGCGACTTGCGACGTGGCCCGTCTTCCTGCGAATCCCGCAGGCAAACTAGACCGCTTGTCTGCAGCGAGCGTGGTTTGCTTTGCGCCCTTTGCTATGCAGTATGACGCCCCAGGGGACGGCGGGCGTGAATTGATAAGTGCGAAGAGTACTTGACATCGCATCGCAAAATTTTCATCAGAACTGGACCAGGAGAATCCACTTACTGTGAAGGAAGATGTATACATCCGAGCGCCGGTCAAAATACTCCTCTCAAAGACCGCGCACTCGCGCTCCACCCGCCGGCTCCTCGGTCTCCGGCACTTCAACTTCCACTCTGCAAGACAAACACAACGTCCATTTCGCCGCCGCTCCATCCCTCGCTCCATCTGACAGTATCTCGCGCGCGCCCCGCTCTTCACGCCATGACACTTCCGCCAGCACTTCGCGCCGTTACAACAATGCCACCCGCGTGACCCGATACGACTATTCCGGGGAAGTGAAGCAGTCCCGCTCTCGCACGTCTGGTGCTTCCTCGCAGACTGGCTCTGGATCTGGCGCGCCGCTTACGGAGAACAACCTCGAGCGACTGAATCAAAGCGATGCCCCATCGGTGTCCAGTGCTTCGCGCAGAGAGCCTCGCAGCAGGACACGGGAAACATACCGGCAAGTGGACGAGTCGCGATACGAGCAGAAGTCGAAACGCACCTACGCCACGCAGGCCAGACAGACTGGTTCTACAACTGGAGCCTCACGCCAGGACGACACGAGTCCGCAAGCGGGGGCCTCGATTGAGATCACGTCAAGCGCTTGGGAGAGGCGCATTCACGTTGTCACGCGCCGCTGGCCGGATGGAAGGGAGGAGACGGAGAGAGAAGTCATGGTTGTGAGGCCGACGGCTGCTTGACGAGGGAATGCGTCTCGTTGTGGGCTGCGGAGTTGTGAGCATTGTCATTTAGCTAGGCTTGCTATTGGTCTTTATCGGCGCTGCATCTTGCACTGCATGCGTTTTGGTGGAACGTAGAGCTATGGTGCTCCTGGCTCGGCGTCTGTACGTTCCTTCTTCCGGGCTTGTCCGGCTGTGGCGTCAAGCGCGGGGACAAGATAACTTTATCTCAACCCGCAGCCTGGTCTTCTGATCTTTCCACCTTTCTCTGAGGAGTAAGTCACGCCGACTCCCTTTAGACAGTTGCTGCGAGGCCGAAAGTGATTCAATGATCACTTAGCTGTTGGTCGGTATTGGCAATGGAATGCAGAGACAAACAACTGTGTCATTGCGGCAATACTAACATCTATCTACAAGGCAAGACTTCGGCACCTCATCGAATCCGAACCGTCACCGCGATCGCATGTCCGTCCTACTACTCTGAACCGTTGTTCACAGACCACGAATAGTACGCGGCAGCCCCCATAGAGAAGCAGCTCCCCTTAGTGCCAATGGTGAAGTCGTATTGACCGATCGGATTCTGGTCGGAGTCGTAAAACTGCATAGTCTGCAGGAGTCCATGCCCGACTCCACCGCACGTCCCTCCGCCGAGGTACACGTAGCCATCGTATGGGCCCGGATCAAAGGAACATCCCGACGACGTGGTGAGCAGATCGCCGTCCGTGGGCGCAAAATAGGCTTCGGCTCCACCACACGAACTGTCCCCGTGCTCAAAACGGACCGTGTAAGGGTCGCCGGTCGACGAACACGGCCCGATAGGTGGACACGCACCCGGAGGGCTAGCTCCACGGCCGAGGATGCGCGAGTTGAACGGTTTGGAGACGCTGCCGCGCTTGTTCGCCGGGGGCGCTAGGCTCTGCGAATCGTCGGCGTATTTGCCCTCGCCGACGCAGGCGCCGCCTTTGCCGTCGCTCTGGCAGAACTTGAGGAATTGCTGTTGGATCGGCGGGCCGTCGGGCAGGTCGCAGTTGTTGTTCTTGTCGATGTACCCGCCCTGCTGCGAGAAGTTGACGCAGGTGTCGCCGGTCGCTTCGATGTTGTTGCCGTTTTCGTCGTTGCAGGAGCAGATGAAGCCGTTGTAGGCGCTGGCGAGGCCGACGAGGGCCAGGTACTTAATGACAGAAGGCATCGTGAAGAGGGTGTTTTGAATGATTGTTGTGGAGAAGAGGGAGTCGAGGCTGTCTTTGGTGAATATTCTTCCTCCAACTTGCCACTTCGACCCGGTTTATATATGCCGCGCCCCTCGTTACGACGCCTTTCTGTTCACCGCAGTTCGAAGGCTATTCCGACCCATTCCGCCAATCCACACGCACGTCTCTGCCTACGCCTCTCCTCCTTGACGTCAATCCAACACGATATCACCCTACGGTTTCACTGGAGATCTTCGGGGGACAGGCAAATCTGCGTTCCGCGAGAGTGATCGACAAGTTCTCATCTTAAGCGACGGAAGTTCGAACAACGTAGTCGGCTTTGAATACGCTTAGATCAGCGCAGTTCGCCCGGTGCTATGTCATTGTATCCATACCTGATCGCGCGACGAACGGGTGAAGTTGATGTTACCCGAATTGGGTGGTCTTACTTGAAATGGCAGCTCCTGCCTAAAACAGCTAGCTAACTGGCAGCGTAGAACGTAGGAACGGAACGGAAACTCCTATGACTTGCATTATTGATAAAACTCGACCGCTCCGATGTAGAAAGAAGTCTTCTGCTTTCGCGACAGATCGAATCCAGCGCGCGGTTTCTGAGTATTGGGTTCTTCAATCGCGCTCCACACGAGCTCGAGTTTCCGCGGGTGCCAATCCTCATGCCAAAACCATTCCTTGAGCAATCCCGAGAGCTCCTCGCGTGTGAAAACTCCAACCGAGGCGAGAGTGCGTTGGAGTGTCTGAATTACAGCCCCATCCACGCTTGTCTCCAAGAAGAAAGCAACGACAGTGGCCAGACACCAGACCAGCGAGCGAACATCTGCCGCCCCTTTCCACGTCGCGACGAGGTCCTCTGCAGAAGCCTGGGCGATCAATTCGCAGGCTCGATTGAGCACGGCTTGACGGCTGTGGCTGGACACGGGTGCCCAGTGGCGGCTGATAATCCAGACGTGGAGCTGGATTGCGAGGAGAATCAATTCCGCGTAATTGTTGAGTCGAACTGCCTCTGTGTCCGTAGTGGTGGCAAGCTCCCGGTCATATTGGCGCATGCCAGCGTGGAGGACGCGAAGCCGATACTCCAAGTCATATAGAAGGCCGTAAAGAGGGTACTGCATTTCTTGCGCCGGAGACCAGGCGTGGTAGAGGTGGTGCAGCTTGAGAAAGACGCAGTGCATCTCGACCTCGTCGAAGAGTGCGGAGCAAGGAACCAAAGCCGACTTCCGAGATGCGCGTTCATGCAGCATCTTCAATTCCTCCTCGCTGCAGAGGCGCGGTAATTGATGCCTGTAAGCTGACGGAATAAAGTGGTCGAGCACAGGCGGCCTCGCCTGAATGAGGGAGAAGCGAAGATCCACCCAGACCATGTAGAGCCAGCCTTGCTTGGAGTGTTCAAAGTGTCGGGCGAGGTCGAAAGCTCGCAGGGCATGCAGATGCGTCGCGCTGGTCTCCATGTCGCCTTCAAGCAATGCAACGTATGCTAAGACACCGACAGCAACTAGCACAAGAGGCTCGGACTCCAAGTGCTCGCCGTGTTCGTCGACGCTGTCTTTGATCCGTCGAATCAACGACACTTGCTGGGCGACATAGTGATCCGCGTGGCCCGTGAGCTGGGCCCGCTTCCTCCACGCGTAGAGCTTCAAGATTTCGAGGAAAAAGTTGCTTTGGCGAGCAATGTCCCAGGCTGCCGTGGCCCAGTGATACTGCGCCACCTCAAAAGCCGGCGAGGGCTCGTCACCGCAGTAGAACCACCACTTTGCGACTTCTTCTTGCCGTTGGAAGCTGTTGAGACTTTTGATGAGCGGAGCGCAAGCCTCAGCATGTCCACTCTGGAACAAGAAGGCTGTGTGTATTGGAAGGTGTTGCTTGTTGACGACAGCGCCATCTCTTGGAGGTTTCGGAGAATTGCCCTTGCGATGAGCCGTTCGCGTCCTTCGAGCGGCGCCAAACACGGAAGGGGCTTTGATGGCAGGCTTCTCATCTTCGAATATGATCTCTCCACTGTGATAGCTGTTGGTTGTGACGTGACCGCCCATGACATGTCGGCTTAGGAGAGGCCGGACAGTTCGACTCGGGCGCCCGGTCGCTCCATTGCACTCGATGAATAGGAGCCGCTCGTTCGAACTTTTGGACATCTCGTCTACTCGCTCTTCTACCTAGATCCACGCAGTAGCGTAAGGCGCATGCCGTCGAGGCGCTGAACAGTTCATTAGTTGCAGTCCTGCTTGCAAGCAATCTTGGCGACCTACCTCGTCGACACAAGCGATGTTCATATATCCCAGAATGAGCCCGGCGGTCCGTTTAATGGAGGAAACATTCTCTGAACGTCAGAGGCATGAAATGTAGTCTTCCCATCTTCGAAGGAGAAGGCGAAGAGTGGGCGGCTAACTACTTTGGGCAGGGGCTACCGCTTTAGGTAGGTGATTTTCGTGATTGCCGTTCAGCTGCAAGTATAGCCGGCGTAATGATCGCTGCGAGGCCGTCTCCGATGAACCTGTTCCTGTGATGCATCGTGTTTGTATGGCGCAAGTCAATGATCTTCGGAACGGAAGTCAGCTTTCCGGACGTGATTTGATAATATAGGGTAAGGCCTCCTGGATTGTCCCGGATGCGGTGTGGGGCAAAGTGTGGTGCTCACGTTGAAATGGCAAAAGAGTGTGTGTTGACGAGCGCAATAGTCTATTTGACCATAGCCCTAGGGTTCGGAGTGTCGATGTCAGCGGAAAATCGTGGAAACGGTCGTATGGAAGTGTGGCCAAGGAAGTGAGGTGGGATCTCACGTAAGTTCAAATGTTCCAATCTCACAGACTACCCCGCGTACGTAAGCTCGAAAGATGCCTCTCAAGAATGTGCTATATGCACCGTGGAACCATCACCCTGACCTACTCGAACCTGAGTCAAAATGGTGTCCGACAAGACGACAAATGGCACGTTTGACGATTTCGATGCGCCAGCGCAAAAAGTCCTCAGTCCGTCGACTCTGGCCCACGTCGTCCTCCGCACGGCCAACTTCCAGCCCATGATCGACTTCTACACGAACTTCCTAGGCGGCAAGATCGTGCACGCCAACGACTTCATCGCATTCATCACCTACGACGAAGAGCACCATCGTATCGCCCTCATCAACGTCCCCGGCACCGGACCGAAGCAGCCCAAAAGCAGTGGGCTGGAGCATATCGCCTTCACTTTTCCCACGCTGCACGCCCTGCTACTTGCGTACCGGCAGAGGAAGCAAAAGGGCATCGAGCCCGTCTGGACAGTCAATCACGGTCCTACTACTAGTCTCTACTACTTTGATCCCGATCGGAATATGCTGGAGACGCAGGTCGATAATTTCGACTCGGTCGAGGACGCAAATGCCTTTATGAGCAGCCCCTACTTTGCGGAGAACCCCATTGGAACTGACGTCGATCCAGAGGATATTATCAGTAGGCTGAAGAAGGGTGAAAGCGAGGCTTCCATCAAGAAGCGTGTAGAGATTGGCGCGCGAGGGGTTCCGGATTTCGATGCGATGTAGCGTAGCTTTATGAAGTTGTCGAAACGACTGTTCTTTCTGTTGATTGCTTGTGCTATCGATGCTGCCTGGAGTCATTTCATTGAGAGGTCGCAGAGTGCGTAACTGTCTTGGCGGTAATGTTATTGCTCGAGGTGGATTGCGTGTCGGCGTACGTCAAATTCAGGCAGCATTGACTGCCGCCTTACCATCTCGCTGGCTCATGCAGACATAAAAGACCAACAACGAATCCACTGAATCGCCAAACATTCTCACTCAACTCTGATCATCATGCCAGCTCAAATTCTTCTCTGCGGGCAGTCGAGGAGCGGCAGTAGGTGCAACCCACACGGTTCGCCTTTCGTCAGGAGCGTTGCTGACAAACATTGGCGGGCCACCTGCTGGAACGCATGCTCTCCCACCAAACCACAGTGCAATTCGTCGACCATCTTTTCTCCTCTGGCCGATGGACCCAATTGCAATGGCTGCAAAGCGAACACCTCGAAGACGGCATGGCGCCGGATGCTCGCGCCTTCTACGACGGGGAGAACCAAAAGGGCGTGGAGCAGTGGAAGGGCGCGCTCCAAGAAGCACAGCACAAGGCTCGTTGTCATCAATAGACACACCTGCACGCATCTCTAATCCCCGCCGTAGGACCAAATCCTCATGCTCCATTTCCATCCCTTCTTTCCGGTGCCAGCTGAAACAATCCTCCGTTACATCAACTACGCCAACCACAAAACCGCGCCCCCCAGTCCAGAGAACTTCTCCATGGTCCCAGACGATCTTCTCCTGACCCCCGGCACCGTTCCGATCCTGAACATCCGCCACCCCAAACTCGTCGTCCCTTCTACTTGGCGTACGTTGAACAAAATGGGGCTCCCACACGGCGCAGGCCGCCCGAACTTCCTGATCGTCACGTCCCATATCTGGAGTCGAGCGTTGTACGACTACTTCCTCTCCAAGGGCATTGAACCTCTCGTCGTAGACGCAGACGACTTCATGACGAGCGAGGAATTTGTACGGCATCTATGCTCAAAGGCCGGACTCGATCCCGATCAAGCTTACTTTTCGTGGCCTACGGACGGCGACAAGGACAAGCACCACCCGATGTATTACGCTTCACAAAGCACGCTTCTCAACTCGGCGGGCCCGAATGCTGCTCTTGCTGCGAAAAATAAAGACCTGGCGAAAGAAGAAGCCGAGTGGGCAACGGAGTTTGGTGACGATCTGCCTCTTGTCAGGGAGATGGTTGAGCTGGCGATGCCGCATTATGAGTACCTCCACGAACGACGACTCAGATTGTAGCCTAGGGAGATACAAAAGCAAAGCCGTGAAGACGGCCAAGTGCCAAATGGCCGAAGTGCACCCTACGTACATCGAATGCGCATATAGTGTTCTGGGAGGCACCGATCGCTCTACAAACACCCAAGCTCTACAGTACCTTTATCTTGAAGTTCGACTTCGGCGAGGTCTACATTCTGACTTAAAGGATCAAACAGCTCCACGATGTTGATGTCCTCGAGTACGATGAAGCGCGGACCGCCTTCGTGTTGAAGGAAGACTACACGGGGGAGCTTAGGCGCCATCGCAAGCACAACGACTACAAAGAGTGCCCTGCATGTGGGTCCTTTCACAGACCCAAAATCCTCATGGCACATCTTATCGATTACCATGGCCTGTACGTGCCCCGAGACAGTTGGCACCTGAAGAAGTTCCCCGCGTACGCAGCGAAATTCAAGTATGTTGGGAGCACTATACCCGCTCAACTGCTTGTGCCTACAACACCAGAGCCACCGACATCGATCGTCGTCGTTTAGCGATCCAGCAATCGTGCCACCTCATTGAATCTCAAGGCACTGCTCACTCCAGGGGGGTTGAAGGAGAGTTCAGATGGATCAGTTGAGAGACTGAAGCATGCCATGGGGTGGACAGTTGACATCAGCACGCGCGGAGTCTACTACGAACACATCAAATCCAACCTCTTCCTCGCCCGGACGGAAAATCAGATCCAGGAACTGAACAAGCGATTCAAGTACCGCCTGGACTGGCAGGAGACTTTTGTCCCGCACTCGCCATGAAACTGGAGAAAATGATCAGAGACGGAGGGGACAGGCTAGCCATCCTTTGTCATTGGGACAACCTGACCACCAACTGGGACCTCTTCGTGGAGTTCGTCAGCAACCTTCCCGATTTGATGTTCTACCTACAATCGAGAAATCGAGCCTACCGAATCGAGCGGGACGGGCAAGCCCAACAACAGCTACTCCCTCGCTCAAACACCCCGGAATACTCACTAATCTACGTCAACACATCCGAGTTGAAGAAGGGGCCCCGGCCCGAGGTCTACGGCGACGGCGGTCCAGACTTGACGACCGATCGAGGACGCTGGCAGTTTTTGCGAATGGTTATGCGGGACACTGAGGCCTGAGAGACGGGTACGAGGAACACGCGTGGCACCGGACGGCTGGCCGACGCCGATGTGAAGCGCGAACGAAAGAAACGCCAGTAGACCGATCGGGCCGAGCAGTCAACTTCGACACGTCAGGCAATTGTCATGGAGGCACAACAACCGAGCGGACACGGGGACTTTTCAATGCGGTGGGTATTGTCTCGTGTTGTACCGGGTGGGTGAAGCCGGCGAGGCTGCCTGGACATATGGACCGTGGGCAGTTTTACCTAGTACTCGTATCAGACAGCCGCGACTATATATGTCTGCCTTGCAATATCCATCAAGCCTCATCGTCACTGTCATCGCCGCCCTCGTTTCCCTCGCTCTGCAACGCGTATTTCGGCGCAGACCAATCTATCAGCTGCCCACAACCATCAGCTCGCTCGAAGCAGCGAAAGCTGAACGATGAAGTGCCGACGCTGGAGCCGCTTGAAGGGCATTGCTGCGCCGGATGTGTAAATCTGCTGCACATGGCCGAAGTGTATCGACTGGGTGGGCTTTTTTGTGTGATAATGGAATCGTCAATGTTCTGTTTCAGCATGCGGCTAAGTTGGAAATGAGGCAGCGTGGTGGCACACGTCAGGCAGCTGCGTCTCTGCCTGACGGGCTTGCGCCGCCGCTCCGGCCGGCTTCCACGGTTGGCTATGACCCTCACTCTCCTTGCCTTGGCCTTGCGAGATACCTAACTTCTTTGATTTCAACATATCCAAGCGTATAAATGACCAGTCTCAACTACAATTGAGGGCGAGAGAACGCGCAGCGACCAAAGCACGCCGCCATGCCCCCTAAGAAGCGCCAAAAGAACAAACCGTCCAGTGCGCCAGCCAATGAAGCAGATGACACTGCGCACTCAGTATTGGGCGGCCTACGCGATCCCACCCTCAACTCTCGCGTTACTGGAGACGAAACAAAAAATGAAGACGGAGTGAGCAGCTTTAAAATCCCTTTCGGAGAGAAAGAAATCGTGTGCGAAGCTCGAGGCTCGCCGTCTAAGTCTGCGCTGATCTTCACCCATGGAGCTGGAGGCGGAATCGCCAACCCGGCGATGCAGGAATGGGTCGCTGGCTGGGCCACGGAATCAAGTGTGATCAGTTTCCAAGGCACCATGAATCTCAAGTCACGAGTCAAGACGTTTCATGCGGTTATCGAGCATTCGCAGGGTGCTACGGCGTTGGGCGGACGAAGTATGGGTGCTCGAGCAGCGGTGATGACTGCGAATGAACTGGAGGAGAAGCCGAAAGCGCTCGTGCTGGTCAGCTATCCATTGACTGGGGGAAAGGGAGGCGATCAGCGACAACCTGAGACGAGGGAAGATATCTTAACGGACCTGCCGGACACCGTCGATGTCCTTTTCGTGTATGGATCCGAGGACACAATGTGCGATGGTCAATTATTGCAGGAGGTTACTGAGCGGATGACGGCTCGATCATGGCTTCTGGAAATCAAAGGGGCTGATCATGGTACGAGTCTGAAGAAGAAGGCAGGTGTTCAGCCTATCCGGGATAAGGCTGGATCTGTTGCAGCCAAATGGCTGAAGGACCGCGATGCTGTCAAGCGATACTGCGCAATTGAATGGGATGATGAGAACGCAAGGGTGGATGTCGAGGAGTGGAAGAAGAAGCAGTCGCCGGCGACAAAGAAACGCAAAAGGCGATGAGCAGGTTTTCATCGGAAGCTTCTGGTATTCAACGCCATCTGACCAAGCATAAATCTGTGTATGAGTCGCGGTGAGGATAGCAAGATAGCCTTGTCATTCCCCGGCGGATCTTTTAAAGGGCCTTTTCCGTTCCCTTTGATGAAATTGTCGGCGTCATGTCGCTCCGAAGCGATGACCAATCACGCCGCTGCCTTCGTTCTTGGAACGAGATCTGTGCCTTCCCTACAGGTACATAAATGCATCGCTCTTTCCTCTCATCCACGGTCACATCAATCTTTCTTGCTAAGAATTACATAAAATAATCAGTTTCTTACTCTTTCATGATGGCCAAGGCAATCCTTATTACTGGTGCGACTGGAAAGCAGGGCGGATCTGTCGTCAACGCATTGCTCAAACAAAACGCTGCCGTTGAGATCCTTGCCCTCACCCGAGACGCAGACTCGACCTCAGCGCAACGCTTTGCAAAGAAATCACCTCACATCAAGCTGGTCGTTGGGGATTTGAATGATTGCAACGCCGTTTTCGAGAGCGCCAAAAAGGTATCCTCCGCACCCATCTGGGGTGTCTTCAGCGTGCAGGTAAGCGTATTCCAACCGATCAATGGCTGTAATGCGATACTTATCAGTACTCACAGACTCCGCCCATGGGATTCGGCGCTCCAGCAGATGGAGAGGAGCGGCAGGGCAACGGACTGATCGACGCCGCAATCAAGAACAACGTGCAGCACTTTGTCTACTCCTCCGTGGATCGCGGTGGCGCCAACTCGGACCTCAGTCCCACCAACATCCCTCACTTCATCAGCAAGCACAACATCGAGAAGCACCTTTTCGCCACGACGGAGAACTCCACCATGGCATGGACCGTTCTCCGGCCCGTTGCTTTCTTCGAGAATCTGGCTCCGGGCTTCTTTGGCAAAGTCTTTTCTACCAGCTTCGAGATGTCGTTGAAGAAGGATCAAAAGCTGCAACTCATCGCGACAAGCGATATCGGGTACTTTGCTGCGCAAGCATTTACGAAACCGGACGAATTCGCCGGCCAGAAGCTCTCGATTGCTGGTGATGAGTTGACCTTCAGCCAGTTCAAGTCCATCTTCGAGGAGACCACCAAGCAAACCTTGCCGACGACTTATTGGTTCTTGGCTAGCATCCTCCACTGGGCGGTCAAGGAGCTCGGGTACATGTTCAAGTGGTTTGGGGATGTTGGTTACGGCGCCGACATTGCAAAACTGCGCGCAATGAATCCGGACTTGAAGGACTTCAAGACGTGGCTGAAAGAGGACAGCCAGTTTCAGCCATCGACATGAGGGGGGTCATATCTAAGCAATGGCTTAACCTGAAGAAGGGCAGGGGCAGTCTCTCATTCTGAATGCCGTACCAATGACGACCGCCGCCTTTCGCGCTGGCCAGGGTTTTTGGGGTAAGGTGACCGTGTCAAGGCGCCTCGTTGCATCACTCACGATAAGTGCCTTGGCATGTTGCGACCGGCATCTGGTATCGTTGCGAAAGATGTGGATGGTTCAATATCATATCATACTACCTCAGCCTTGATCCGATCATCCGATGTGGCGATCGACGACGCTGCGCAAGCCGCCGAGCTGAACAACGAACCTTTTTCGATTGTCAGAAGCGTTCAAAAGAGACATCATGCACACCGATATGTTGACCGCCAGTCCCGTTTAATTGGCCGTTGCGCTGGCGTACATTAGACTAAAGCCCGACCTGCAGCTTGACGTGACGCAGCACGGACATGCCACTTCAGCCCCAGAAAGCGCCAGTCTGCCAGCTATAAGTCTAGCCGCGTCTCTAGCCATTCTGCCATGCACCAGCACGCATGTCTCCCCCGCCATGGATCTCGGTCGTCCGCAGCGTGGCGTACACGAGGATACGACGTCGCTGATCAAAGCGCATCGTAGTGAGGTGGGAGAGTATGAGCCTTCTCTTACATCACAATACGTCGACGAGGCTGGAGAAGATGGAGACCCTTATGGCCACACACGTGCGAAAGCCCAACCTTTGGAACGAAAATCTACGCTGACTGTTGCGCCAGGCCTCATTCCATTGCGACGCCTCTCATCAGCACCTTCGAAAGAAGTCGGCGAGTCCAGCACGACATCGTTCAAGTTCGAGCGACATATTCCCCGTGCCATGGCCAATACTCTGGGACCCTTGTTCGTTCTCGCGTACTTCCTCCTCGTCATCTATGAATACCTCCTTCGACCCGCCGTGCAAGGAGTGATTCTCTCACGCGCCATCAACGCCAATGTCGTCTTCTTCTTCTGGGTCATCCTATCCATCTTCATCCTCGACTGGGCCAAGTCAGCCATCGCAGGATTCGAGGCTGCTGCGCTGATGAAGCCACGTCTTGCCCCGTCCAGCGCAATCCATTTGAGCTGGCACCTGGAAAGGAACTGGGGCAGTATCGGCGGATGGTACAAAGCAGCGCTTTACTCCTTCAACTATTGGTCTGGAAAGATCGGCCGGAAATCCAATGCTCACTGGGATGGTCCTGGACTCCTTTGGTGCTACCTGGCACTCAGCAGTCTCTTGTTCTTCATCGCCGTCCCTCTGCTAGGTTTGACCATGAATCTCGCAGACGGGGTCCGCCTTTCCAGCGAAAACGTCGTGATTCTGGGACCGAATCAAAACACATTTGACGATCGAACGAATCTCGAAGTTGCAGATCTCGCACGCAACACCTGGCGACAAGGCTTGTCCACGAGCCCAGTGTATCCGACTGTCTTCTACGCTGCGGAAAACGGGAGTCAGTCTTTCAGCGACAGCTATTTCGACGATTTGATCCAGGAGATCTACATTGCCGACAACACCAGCATGCCGAGTCCGAATCGCAATGTGACGTACTTCTCCGGCCCACGAGTCGCCACACGCGCTCATGGAAATGCTTGGGGCTTGCTGTCGTCCATTAGCTGTGCACCAGCGAACATCTATACCGGCCTCGATCTGGTCAAAGTGACGAGCAAGTCGAACTGGTCCGCGCCGGGCATTTCCTCCGACACATTCAACAATCTGCCATTACTGTTTATCAACAGCTCTTGGTATTTTGACAGCACCCCGTTGGCAATCTATTTCAAGGATAGCTCGTTTGGTATCGATTTCGAGTATTTGGTGGCGATCTCGGACAGTGATTTCGATGTTGACAACGACCCGGGCAATCCAGAGTACGACGACACGTCTAAGCAGCCAATTCACGGAGCCTTCGAAATCGCAATCTGGCAAGCACAAGTGCCCGGATTCGACAGCAACCCGACGCTCGAGGCCATGGCCAAAAGTCCCTTTGTCGAGTCTTCCAATGGATCCCTGGGCTACGGAGTTCGATGTGAAGGTTCTTCTTCAACTGGCTTTGCCAATCTCGACGCCATGAAGCGGACGTTCTCCGACTTCACAAAGGCGCCGTCGCAACTCGCTGCGAAAGCAGAAGCTGCATCCAACAACAATTCCCCGCTCATCGAGTTTCCGGGCATCATGTCAATCAACTGGCTAGTCTTCACAGCGCTGACCAAAATCATCCCCGGTCTGGCCATCACACCTCCTAGCTGCGTTCCAAACGGCATCTCGCCCTCTTTCGATCCTACCTGCAATCTCTTCTACTCCGCGAACCTCGCGACGGGCGGAATCCCTTACCTCGCCAACATCACGAAAGACGGCTTCACGGGTCCTATCCTGCGGCAATCGGTCATCACTCCGGCGCGAATGACGCTGGCGGCGTACAAAATCTTCGGCCAGACTGCGGCGGCAATGATGGCTCAAGGGCCGGGGAACTGGACCACGGATGCACTGAAGGGAGTGGTGCCCGCAACGGATCTCGTGGCCGGACCGATTCCCTGGCAACTTGTGTTGGCTCTCCTCGTCGCGTGGGTGCTAGTAACGGCCGTCCCGCAGCTGTGGACATTCGCGGAGAAACGATGGTCAGCGACGTTGGATGCGTTTGAGCTCTTCCGCTTTGGCGCAGAGTATCGCGATGCAGTGCAGAGATTCGAGAGCAACGAAGCGCCTGAGAATAAAGTGCTTCGTCAATTGCCCGGCATGGTTGGAGATCTCGAGTCGACGAAGCGCAGAGGGTTCATAGGACTCAGCTGGCAGCCCGCAGACGCCGAGAAGGAGTACATGAACAACAGAGCCGAAGCGCGAAAGTAGTATCAAGATTGGCGAATAAATAACGGATCAAAAGCCATACCTCTCCCTCACACTCCCATCAATCTCCTCCAACCACTTCGCCTCCTCCCCGGGCTTAGGCAGCACCTTCCCAAACTCACTCGTCTTATCCGCATCCACAATATAAACCCACACAAAACTGCCCTCGATCCCCACCGCCGCCGCACACTCGGCCGTCATGCGCTCGCACAGCCGGTTCTTCTGCTCCTCCGTGCGGCCGGGGCGGATATCCCCTCGGATCCAAATCTGGTCGGCGGGCACGGGGCGCGCGTTGATGAACCAGTCGCCTGGAGGGATGGGGTTGAAGATGACTTGCACGAGGTATTGCGGGGCGCGGCCTTCCTGGGAGTGGATTTGGGTGATGGCTTGGACTATGTTGGTTTTTTGGGCGGGTTGCAGGCGGTTGGTGTGGTGCGTTACTACGTAGGTGGGCATTTTGTCGAAGATTTGCAGGGGGATGGTTTAAGTAAAATCCGGACGATCGCTTTTGTCGAATGTAGTTCGTCGGGTTAGAGTGTAGACGGCGGAAGGAAGTGAGGATGGATGTAACGTTGAAGTGTCGTCCATTGCCAATGCTTGCCCCCACTCGGCATTCAAGACTTCAGCTCCAACAACTCATTCCTACGCTTGGGTGATTGCCCGTCTATGTAGAAAATGCCGGTTAATATTGTGGTTGTTGGGTGAGTCAAGCTAAAACCCTCGTTCCACCGCCATGCACTTACCAACACTCGACTCCAGCGCAGGTGTGAGTGGTCTCACGACCGCCCTGCTCCTCTCCAAGCACAAAGACTACGCCGTGACGATCGTAGCCAAGCACGTGCCGGGTGACAGTGACATCGAATATGCCTCGCCATGGGCAGGCGCGAATTTCCTACCGTAAGTTGATTTGGCGGTGTTTCTGCCCATCTCTCGTCACGGAACTCGCATGCTGATGATGGCGAGATAGATTCAGCAAACCAAACACGCCTGCACAGCAGTATGAGAGAGATACTTGGCCGGAGCTGGAGCGGTTGGCTAGGCATGTTCCGGAGGCGGGGATTCATTTTCAGAGTACGTCCTTTCCCTTGGAGACGGCATTGATGACTGCCCGACGACTGATGTTGATGCAATAGATACCATCCTCTACCGCCGGGCCAAAGACAGCGGCACACCAACGGGAGAATGGATGGCCGATCTCGTGAGCCAAGATCCGTGGTTCAAAAACCTCGTTCCCAATGTACGCACCATGCCACCTACCTTTCCACCGACACTGCTGATATGACCCCTCCAGTTCCGCATACTCGACCAATCCACTCTACCCCCCGGCATCGACAGCGGCACATCCTTCACCTCCGTCTGCATGAACGTAGGCCTCTACCTCCCCTGGCTAACCTCACAATGCCTCCTCAACGGCGCAAAACTCCACCAAACAACCCTCGCGCACATCTCCGACGCCGCAACCCTCCACCACTCCAGCCGAAAAGCAGACATCATAATCAACTGCACAGGCCTGTCCTCCCTCCGCCTAGGCGGCGTGCAAGACCCCGCCCTGTACCCCGCGCGCGGCCAAATCGTCATCGTCCGCAACTCCGCCGGAGGGAATATGTACACCGTGTCCGGCACGGACGACGACCCGGCGGAAGCGATGTACATCATGCAGCGGCCGGGAGGCGGCACAGTGCTAGGCGGGTGTCTGCAAGCGGGGAACTGGGAGAGCCAGGCGGATGCGAATCTGGCGACGCGCATTATGAAGCGCTGCGTGGAGTATTGTCCCGGGTTGGTCGGGGAGGGGCAGGGGATTGAGGGGTTGAGTGTGGTGCGGCATGGGGTTGGACTGAGGCCTATGCGGACGGGGGGCATTCGGGTGGAGAGGAGCGTGGTCGGGGGTGTGGTGGTTGTGCATAATTATGGGCATGGGGGGTATGGGTATCAGACGAGTTATGGGTGTGCGGGAGCTGTTGAGAGGCTGGTGGAGGAGGCGGTGCTAGAGCGGGCGAGGCTGTGATGTTCGTCGAGTATCGGAGGCAGGGTCGACAGTCACGCCTCTACCATGGATGTACTCGAACGCAACGCGTCCAATGCTATTCCACGTACGCGACAGATGACTCCAAGCGCGTTGAGATGTTGAGACAGTTGTGAGAGGGTTGTGGGTATTAATAAAATAGAATTATAAGCTGTCCACAACAATCAACGACATATTGTATCTGCTGACGCGTGTCCGGGGGGTAGCGCGCACCCACCCGTAAGCAATATGTGCAGCTGGAAAAAGAGGTAACAAGAAGAGCCGGGCGTGCAACGTCGAGATGTAGGCAACCCTTCGATCGGGCGTCTCAAATCATCAGCCCTCCCCCACGCCAAAATGCAGATGGTCTGGTTTTGTCAAAAACGCCGTCTTTAAAGCAAGAAAAGGTCGATGAGGCGGCATCTAAGAGGTGCAGTTGGTGGGCTTGAAGACACTGTGGGAAAAGGCAGTCAGTATTTAGATAACAGACAAGCGAGAAGGAATGAACTCACCCCAAGTCGTAGAGCCATGCACCGCTGTTGAACTCCGAGTAGGAGGTCTGGATCTGCCACGGCTGGGTGGTGGACGAGGTGTTCTGCACAACCTCGAGCACAATCATGCCGGTGGTGTCCTCGGCCGGGGTCGTCGGGCCGCCGAGGTTGGTGCCCCTCCAGCGCAGCATGACGGTGTCGCAGTTGTTCCACAGGTTGAGGATCTGGAAGCCAATGGGCGCCTGGCCGCTCTGGCCCTTGATGAAGTCGGTGCGGTTGGTGAAGGTGGGGCCGGTCAGGCTGAGGGGCGCGGCGCAGCCGGAGTTGATGAGGGTGTTGACGCCGCTGGCCCAGTCGACGTAGTCTTCGGTCAGTGCGGCCTCGGCGAGCGGGATGCTGAAGGGCTGGTCGATGAGGGCCTGGAAGTTGTCGGCGACGAGCTGCGCTTCGGCGGTGGTCAGGCAGGCCTGGGCGTAGGCGCCGGCGGCGAGGAGGGAGACGGAGGCGAGGATTTGAGTGCGCATATTGGCGGTGTGTGGTTGGGTTTAGGAGGGGTGGAAAACGAGTGTGGTGGTGATGGTAGTACAGAGGGCGAAAGAGTGTGTTGTCTGTGTGTGTGTGAGATGGAGAGAGAGAGAGGAAAAGAGAGAGGAGACAAATGGAAGCGAGAGGAGATTGTTTTTGACCGTCTCCGCCGACCTTGCCCCTTATGGCATGGGTTTGATGAGCGGCGCATCCTTAGCACTGCAGGAACCGAAGTCAATCTTATTGCGGTGGTGGGTGGATGGGCGGGCGTGGCGAGGCGCTCTCGCCTGGCCTCTCGGCGGGCGAGTAATACATCTTGTTCTTCGCGGGTTGCATCAACGAACAACATACTCGAGCACAATGGCCATTGTCGTCTTGTCCACACCCATCATGCACGCTGCCGGCATTCACCACCCTGTCAAGTGTCGGGCGGGTGTCGGGTGAAACGCGTGATTGATAGGGGCAGGCACGAGCTAAGAATAGGCGTCCCGCCCCGCCCAGCCCAGGCCAATCAAGCAGAGTGGATCCCGCGTGCACGGATCACGGCACGAGCGACCATCCCCCAGCCTCCAGCCCATCATCAACACGAGCGCGCGCCCGTGATTTGCCGCCAATCTCGCGTGGGCTCCTAGCGGCGCAAGGCCCACCGTGCGTGGTCGAGAGGAGGATTCTTGCCCAGTCCGGCCGCCGGGCTACAGCTGCCTGCTGCACGTTACAGCTGTTAGGGTCCGACAGCGCATGTACGCAAATGTACGCGGGTTTGTGTACCTGCGTCGGGGAACCAGGGTTCCGATGATGACCAATGGATCATCCAATGTCATCAGCTCGGGTCTCATTCATTGTTGTTGTTTTTCTAGGCGTCCATGGCAGGTCTCGTCGCTTTTGTGTATCCTGCCTCTGCCTATGTGTACATGATCGTTACGCTGCGTGTGTAATGCCCTGCTCAGACAGTGCTGGCCTCCAACATCTGATATCCTCGAGTCCTCCTCTTCGCCGCCGACAGGAAAAAGCCGTCGGACAATCGTAGCGGCGACGCCTCGATGCGAACGCCCCTCCGCCACGCAACCAGCATAGCCGTGATGCCCATCGTCCCCAACGCAGCCAAAAGCACCATCCACAAGGACAGACCAAACGAAGCTGGCAGCTCAACAATTCCCGAATGCCGAAGCACGTTCCCGTCGGCGTCGAGCGCGGCCACAATGCACGCGCAGTAAGAGCTTCGTTCACCAGAGGACAACGCAATGGCCGTCTCGAAGCCCTCCTTCACCACAATGCGCAAATTCTCCCACTGCCCAGCTGCATCGCGGCCTTGGAGCAACCACGACCGCACCTCCACCCCGCCGTTCCAACTCACGTAAATGCGCCCGCCATCCCACACGGCCGACGGATCCCACTTCTCCGGCCGGAAGTGCAGGTCTCGTGGCGCGCGCACGCTCCGATATGACTTGACTCGCTCCCAGGAGAAGAAGGCGGCCGGGCTGAAATGCGTTTCGCACAAGAGCTCTTCCGTCTCGGCGTCGTGCAGCGTGTATGCAAGTGCCGAGCCCCAGCCGACAAACACTTGGTCCTGCGGTGCAAGTACCACCCCCGCGTTCGGAAGCTCCGGGGCTCGATGGCTGCCGGGAAGGTAGGTCAGGGAGCCTTGCGAGATGGAGCGAATGGGACGCATGGGGTTGTACGAGTGCACTTGTTGGAAAGTGCGATTGGCGATGTGCACTTCGAAAACAAGGCCTTGACTGTAGTCGCTGTTGTCCGCCAGGCCCTTGGACATGCCGTTGTCGAACACGCTCAGCAGCCCTTGGTCTTCGTCGATCCAGCGTGCATCGTGCTGCCAGCGGAAGGCTATCGCATCCTCGGCATCTACGTCCGTAAAGTCGGTCGCGCGGCCTCCCAATCCCCACAAGATCTCGCCGGTCTTGCCGGAGATGCAGATGACTTGGTGAGTCTTGCGGATGGACACGAGGTAGTTGCCCTCGGAGTCTTTGTCCACGCTGTTCATATGGAAGTAGTCGATGGGGTCAGTCTGCGCCGCCCCAAATACCCTCTCGAAAATATTGGGTCGATGAAGTGGCGTGGGATCGTAAGAGTACTTGAGGTATTCGCCATCGTTGAAATGCTGCGATGCTCGCCATTCGAAAAGCAGCTCGCCGGTGTCGATGTCAATCTCTTGCAACACGGCGTCCAAGAGATCCGGCCGCATGCTGGCATGATGCGTGCTTCTCACATCAACATCGCGCGTGCGCGGACTCACCACAATGAGCGCCGTGTCGTCATTGGTGATGATGAATTCATGCGGATCGCCATGCAATCCTTCCCCGACCGCCTGCACCGTCTTGGCCAAATTGAACCCGCGATCGAGCATGTAGTATTTCCCGTAGTCGAAATCACCGAGAAACTCCCCCGCCCAGAACGTCAGATACTCCTCTCCCCTCCACTTCTGCCAGCGCAGGTTCATGGCACGCTGGCCAAAGGTGTTGTCCGTCCATACCAAATTGCCCTTCAAGTCGAAAATCGCCGGACCAGTGTGGGAGACTTCGCCGCTGATATCGAGCAACACCAGCCCGCCCTCGGCCGACTCCCGCTCACACACATCTGCGCTCCATACGGGCGTGCGGGGGCTCGGCGAGGAGAGGTGGAAGGAGCGGTAGTGGCGTTGCGGGTATACGCCGTAGACGCCAAGGTCGAAGAAGTAGGCGTCGAGATTGGGGCGGCAGTAGACGAGGAGGGGCACGAGGGTGTAGCGGAGGAGGCATGCGAGGAGGGCCAAGGCTAGAAGTGTGGTTGTGAGGTAGATGCTTGGGCGGAGCAGGCGGCGCGCGATGTTTGGCTGCCTCGTAACCGCGCGCGGGTTTAGCGGCATGATGACATTTCAGGCTGAGCGGCGATTGTAGCTATGCTGGAGGTAGGGAAAGGCGGGATATATCTTTCTAGCGCAACCAACGCGATGCTTTGTAGGAGAAGGAGGAAAAAGAAACCGTCAAAACATACCGCGCGCCGGATTGCATCGGGATTGATAGCAGGGAGGGCAGTCTTGTGTGCCCGGCTCGTGTGCCCCTTCTCTGATTACGTCGCGGAGGGCCAAGGACGCGCGCATGCCGAGGGATCCTGCTTGGCGTGGAGATGCCGCCGCCGCGACTGCCGCACCAATGTGAAGAGGAGATGATGAAGGTGCTACCGTATGATAACCCGGAAACCAGACGCCACACAACATGCCTTGCGTTGAGTTAATTGGACGTCTGACCGTCGGCGTCGAGTTCGAACTCGAAACAGGCAAGCAACCGAAATCTTGGTCAGAATTAGGCCCGAACGCGAGGCTCAGTCAGCACAAGATGGCCTCATATCCAATCGCATCGTGCAGTGGAGCCAAATGAGCATGTCGCCAAATCGGCGATAGGTAGCCTTGCCTATAGTGGGAGACATCCAATAGGATGCCCTCCCGGATTCTACTGTATCAGCGATGCTTGCTGACTTCCGCCATCTTCCACGGCATGCCGGTGCTCTCATGTAGGCCATGTCCGTCGCTCACGCGGCAAACAGGCCCGAGTTGGCCTCGACCCACGCTCGAAGGGGAGTCGCCGGATGCTTCGCATAGCGCTGCACATTCTGCACTCCCTCGTCGAGATGAGGGAACTTCAACGATGAGTTGGGGTTGCTTGCGGCGCGCACCATGTACTCCGCAAACGGCTTCGGTGTCCCCTGCGCGAGGTACTGTTCCAGCGCCTGCTCGTCGTTCAACTCCGTAACCTTCACCTCCACCCCCAACACCTCTCCAATCTGAATCACAGCCTCGCGCTGGGGAATCACCTGCGGCCCATGCAGGTACACATACTGCTGATTGTCCTGCGGGCCCGAGACCAAGATGGCGCCGCCCACCTCGCCAATGTCGCCGAACGTAATGTTGTCTTGCCGAAAGTCGGGCGCGTGCAGCGCGACTTGGCCCTTCCGAATGTTGTCCTTCTGGCGCAGGTGGTTGGTGGCGAACGAGCCGGGCCGGAGCGAGACAAAGTGCCCTGCGTCGTACACTTCGTGCAGGCTGGCCTCGGCCTGTGCGTGGAAGTACGCGATGAGTTCCGACTGGGGCACGTCTTTCAGCGGCACGTCGGTGGGAACGGTGAAGCTGCTCAAGAAGACGACAAAGTCGATGCCGCCGGCCTTCATGGCGGCGAAGGTGCCTTTCATGTGATCCGGCGTGCGAGGGGCAATGTAGACGAATGCTCGCTTCGCGCCCGTAGATCGAACGGCCTCCTCCACGGTCTCGGGTTTTTGCAAGTCGGCATGAACTCTCGTGAAGCTGCCGCTCTGCTCGTCGATGCCGGTAATGGTCTTGTTCGTGTCTCGCATGGCCAGCACCACCTTTGCGCCGGCTTGGGCTGCCGTTCGTGCCACGACAGCCCCGATGTTGCCCGTCGGGCCAAACACGATGACGGGATCCATTGCCGGAAGTGCTTGGAGTTGCGGCTGATTATTGAGGGAAGTGGCGTAGGTGAGTTAATGGGGTCTGCAAAGGGGATATCCAACTTCGGCTCGGCTCACTTGCAAGTGGACAGTATATAGATCGTCGACACGGAGACTTGCGGGAGTTATAATCGTCGTGTGTGCCAGGTGAATTGGTCATTGGGCGTAAACATGATCCACGTGTCGCCCCGGAAGCGGACTTTGTTCCCTTCCGCGCACCGAAACCGTGATGGCCTGCCTTCGACATATGACCCGCCCTTACTCAGCCGGTACATTGCATTCCTTACTACATGCACTCGTAACATGCACGACGGTTGCGGCATCAAGGAATGCTGTTGTCGTGAGCGATGCGATGACAATGGAGCAACGTTCAGCAAAACCACTCCGGGCTCATCATCGCAACCAAAGTAGGAAACCTCGGGTCTCCAAGATGGCGTGATTGCTGTACGTATAGTCGAAACAAACGGTAGGAGCCAACCTCCTCTCAATAACCTCTCTCCCTCCCGTACATTCAGCGCGTTCCAAAATGCCCAAAATCACCAAAACCGCCGCGTGCAATTGCGGCCAGGTGCAGGTGTCGGTGACGGGAGATGACAAGGAGGCTGTCCATTGGTACATCACTGCTCTTACCCCTCACGACACCCTTCGCAGCCTTCCTTGACTCACCCATGGCAACAGCTACTGCACCAACTGCCAGCGGGCCACGGGCAGCGCGTTCGCCCACAACCACCGCTTCATCGATGCCGAGCTCACCATCACCAAGGGCGAGGATGTGCTGAAGCAATACGCCGACGCCAACACGGATTCCGGGAACGTGATGTATCGACACTTTTGCGGGAATTGCGTACGTTTCCAAAATGGAGGCGTGCAGACGGACAAGGTACGGTTCTTGCTAATTGCGTGTCAGGGCTGCCCAATGTTCCTCAGATCCAACGTGGTGCCCAGCTTTGTGGCGTTGCATGAGGGCTCCATCCGGGGCGAGAAGACGCAGCCGGTCATTGAGCTATACCCGCAGGATAAGCATGCTTGGTTTGGGAAGGTTACGGGTAAGATTGGGATCACTGGTGAGGTTGCGTTGCGATTTGGCTGACTCGGGGCGTTGTAGCGGGAGAGAGGAAGACGACTCCATTCCCTTGGGATCCGGATGCGAAGTAGTTGGACGGGGTTAGAAGGCGGCAGGGTCATGTTGATGGCTTGTTTCTGAAGACCCTGAGAACTTTGATTTACAACACAGAAACCGGTCGACTCTTAGTGTCTCGTCGAGAAAAAACAGTAGAGTGACGTTGCTCGTAGTGGCGAGATACTGTGAAAGATGGCTTGGAAGGCAGGCTCGATCCAGCCCGTTGCACCTTCCCCGCATGAATGTGGATCTTTTTACCATCCGACTTGCACGACGGCTACAACCGCGGCATAGACAATACAGACCTCCGTTATCGCTTCTGGAGACGACGAAAAGACACAGCTGATGGGGGCAAATGCACTCTAAAACTTGATATTACCCACCTTCCAGGCCTTGCGTCAACAGCGAGAACATCCAAGGTAGTCCACATCTCAGACTCACACTCGAATACATCCCCTCATCAACCATCTCAACCCACTATGGCAAGCGCAGTATCCAACCTCCGAGCCTCGGGAAACGAGCGCTTCAACAAAGAAGCCGAGTCCTGGGACTCGCGGCCCTTCGTCAAAGAAGCCAGCCGCGACGCGCAAAAAGTCCTCGTAGAAAAATTGCAGTCCCTCAACCAGCAGACCAGCAAAGCCCAAGTGCTGGAAATCGGCTGCGGCACCGGCATCCTGTCCTTCCTCATGGCGCCGCATGTGGAGCGGATTGTAGCCATCGACGCCGCGCAAGGCATGATCGATGTTTTGGAGAAGAAGCTGAAGGCCAGCGATGCGCCGAAGAATATCATGCCGGTAGCAGTATTGCTAGAAGACCCAGAAGACCCACAGCTCCCTCCAGCCGACCCGGCGAAACCTGACGGCCCGCGGCAGAAATTTGACCTCATTCTCTCCCATTTGGTGCTGCATCACATCCCCGACCTCGAGGCTGTGCTACACACAATGCTGGGCTGCCTCGCTCCCAGCGGTCGCGTGATGCTGACGGATTTCGAGGACTTTGGGTCCGAAGCCCGCCGCTTTCATCCGGAGAGTAAGATGGATGGGGTTGCGCGGCATGGCATTGCTGCGGCGTGGATGGCAGAGTTGATGGAGAAGGTGGGGTTTGTCAATGTGGGGGTGAGGCCGGAGTGGACGATGACCAAGACGGTGGAGAAGTTTGCTGGGGAGTTTGGGGAGAAGGGGCAGATGCAGGAAGGGCAGGGGGAGAAGATGGAGTTTCCGTTTGTGGTGTGTTATGGGGAGAGGGCGGGATAAGGCTGTGTTGGCAATGGACTCGAATGGAGCGGGGCATCTGTATATACGGAGTCCGTGTAGAGCGGGATGTACATCGATGTAGAGCTCTTTGCTCTTCAACTGTACTATTTCCCAAATGCGTCGACAATCTTGTGTATGTGGTCCATCTACCCAGCATCAATGGCACACCCCAGATGTTCAATCGAAGCCCAGGCTCCACTTTTTCTTTCAATTCAAGCAGTTACCTGAGCTGGCATACGCATCGGAAAACCCACCCGAAGCAACCACTCTCACTCCCTCGACGCTGCTGTCCAACATTCAACGACGGCAAAGATGCCTTTCCTCCAGCGCGAACTGCTCGTTCGCATCTACTACGAAGTACACGGCAGCGGCAAGCTCTTGATCCTCACGCATGGCTACAGCTCTGCCTCGGGAATGTGGCGCGGCCAGATCGAGCCGTTGACGAAAGCGGGCTACAAAGTGATTCTTTGGGTGAGCAGTTCCCAAGATACGCGGGTGTGAAGAAGGGTGAGTGACTGATCGTGACTCGTGTTGTTACAGGACATGCGAGGGCATGGCCGAAGCGAGTATCCCGAAGGCCTGTCGGCTTACAGCGAGAAACACACCGTCGCGGACATGGCGGCCATATTGGATCGTGTAGGTGGTGCGGGCTGCTCAGCCGTCGTCGGCGGGCTCAGCCTGGGAGGCTACATGAGTCAAGCATTCTACCGCGATCACCCGCAGAGAGTCGAGGCGCTTCTCATCATCGGTGAGTCGACAACTTACTCGCAGCAGCAACCAGTGCTAACTCTCCAAAGATACCGGCCCAGGCTTCAAAAGCGACAAAGCACGCGACGAATGGAACAAGTACGCCAACAAAACAGGCGACCGCTTCGACAAAGACGGCCTCGCACCCCTGCAGGAAATGAGCCCCGAACGAGCGCAAGTGAAGCATCGCAATGCCCACGGTCTAGCCATGGCGGCCCGTGGCATGCTCACGCAGCGTGATCCCAGCATCATCAACAATCTGCCCAACATCAAGGTGCCGGCGATTGTAGTGGTCGGGGCGGACGACACGGACTTCCTGACTGCGTCGGATTACATGCAGAAGAAGATCCCCGGGTGTGAGAAGGTTGTTATTCCGAAGGCTGGCCATGCGGCGAATATGGATAATCCGGAGGCGTTTAATGCGGCGATTGTTGACTTTTTTGGGCGTTTGGGTCATGGCAAGGGAGCGAAGGCGAGGCTGTAGCGGACGCTGGATAATGGAGTGAGTTGTTGTGGGTATCTGCACTTATAAGGTACTTGCCTAAGTTGCTGTAGACGATGGTGCGGCTGCAAGGAACCACAACTTACCTTGAGCTTCGATAGATGTCGAGCCAATCTCCGCGATCTGCAGAACGTTGCTTTAGTCGTCGAAGAGAGTTCAGCCCAGTCGATCATCAAATCAGAGCGCGCAACGCGTCGGCCATGCAGTCCCCACCTCCATCCAGCGCACCATGCTGACTCCGTTCAAACGGGCGACCGTTGGTTATAAGCACAATCAGTTATATGCCTGCCGAGCGAAGGATTAAATGTGCCAAATTGGCCTCGCCGGAGAGTAAGTCTTCCGAATCGGCACCATTGAATTGTCCATCCAAACTCGCACCGGAATGGTGTCCGTGGCTCCGCGCAGAACGATGAAGCCAACAGCCTCGGCAGGCACGGGGACTGACTGCGCTCCTCCTCGATGGAATCTCTTCGTCTTCTGTTGCACTTCGACTCTGTCACGTTTTATACACATTGACCACGCGCTTGCTGTCTTGTCTCTCATTTTTTGAACACTGCTTCTACAGCATGGCTTCCTTCTCACGTACCTTCACTTTCCTTGCTCTTCTTAACGCCTTTGCCAACGCTGCTCCGACCCTCGGCAGCTCATTATCGGGTCTAGAAGGCGATGTCAACTCTGTTCTGTCCAGCGTTACCAGCATCACCGCCACCGCCACCCCGACTTCGCCAGCGGAGGCAAGCAGCATCATCTCATCGATCTTCAATGCCGTCCCAACGCCGTCAAGCTATCTGCAGGCCGCCGAACAGCTGGTGGCCGCCGGTCTGACTACCGAGAACTTTGTGCAGGCAATTCAATTCCTGGAAGACCCTCTTCCGGCTCAGGCGAGCGACCAGAACGTCAACCTACGCAATCCTACTCCACCTGCGTACCCTCAAGCTGGACCTAATGATGCTCCGTACGACCTGACTGAGGCCCAGCTTCGAGCTGCCATCTACATCCCTTCTACCTTCAAGTACGGCGCGAAAGGCGCACCTCAACCTGCCATCCTCGTACCCGGGACCGGCAACGTCGGCTACCAGACCTTTGAAGGAAACTACATCCCTCTCCTGCAAGGCTCGAACATCGCCGATCCCGTCTGGCTGAACATTCCGGGCTTCCTTCTCAACGATGCCCAGACGAATTCAGAGTACGTGGCGTACGCCATCAACTACATCTACGGCATCTCCAACCGCCGCAAAGTCGCGGTCCTCGCTTGGTCGCAAGGCAACATCAACGCCCAGTGGGCGTACAAATACTGGCCTTCCACTCGCGGCCGAGTGACGGACCACATCGGCTTCTCACCCGACTACCACGGCACCATCCTTACTCAGTCCCCCTCGCGGGTTCCCGAGCCCCCAAGCTTCATCCAGCAAGCCTACAATAGCCAATTCATCGCCACGCTCCGCGCGAACGGCGGAGACGCAGCTTATGTCCCCACAACAACCATCTACTCGGGCTTTCTCGACGAAATTGTCGAGCCCCAGCAAGGTACCGGCGCATCCGGCTATCTTCTCAGCTCCAGCTCGGCCGCCGCCTCCAACAACGAAGTCCAAGTCGTGTGTGCTGGGAAGCCCGCCGGCAGCTTCTACACTCACGAAGGCACGCTGTACAATCCGCTCGGGTTCGCGCTGTTGAAAGATGCTTTGACCCACTCTGGGCCGGGGCAGGCGTCTCGTTTGGATCTCAACACCGTCTGCTCAACTTACCTCACGCCGGGACTGGATTTGGCGGATTTCTTGCTGACGGAAGATGTGATTGTGGATGCGGTCGTTGCGACGGGGTTGTATCCGCATGATGTTACGACGGAGCCTCCCATTAAGCGTGAGTGGTTCACTGATTGATATTGAGAGACGACTTGCTGACTGTCCACAGCATACGCGCAATAGTCGTTGACCTGCTAGATTCCGACGGTCTGCTTTCATCCCGAACGTTTTTTGCGTAGACATAGGATTCCATTGGGCGAGCATTTGATTGCGCGCGAGACTCCGGTGGACGGGGGATTTGCTTCGAATAACTTTTAGACATATTTTTAGAGACAGGAGGCTGATATGGCGAGAATCGCTGCGGAATATGGGTGTGGAGCCCTTCATTTCCGTCGTCTCGAGGCTGTTGTTTCGGAGAGTGTCAACACGGCCGAGAGTGGTGACTCTATTTCATCATCATGACGGACTCGGCCTTTTATTTACTATCCGACGCGTCGAAATTGGCTCGAGTAGTTTGTGAAGTGGCGGCTACGGCAGCGGCTCCGAGACCAGGAGATGTCGTCCAAACGGCCGACTCCACTCTTGTCGATCCTCTTCAAACCCATGTCCCCTTCCGGCACTTGCACCTCACGCCCTCTCCCAATTGGAACTGACTTTCGAGGCAGCATGGCAGGCTCGAACCCAATAAGATGAGGACCTGCATAATCGGACGCCGTTGGATGTGCGGATGCGGTTGCCTCCGCTCTCAGCCTCATCTTTTGGGCCGGTCGTTGACGGTTGTGACGAGCTTGTTGGCCGGAGATCGTCCTTCTCTGCGCTCTTGCACCGGTTTCCGCCAAACGGACACCATGCCCCATCACAACGCGGAGATTGACTGAGCGGACGGATGTGGGGACGACACGCTCATCCTATTCACGGGATGGTCACCACCCGGGGTGCAGGGGGGTGTTGCTGTATACTTCACGCGCTCTCCCTCTTCATTCATCCTCGATTTCCTTCTTCCTCTTTCCACTCAGCTACCTCCGTCTTCCAAACTCACCACAGTCACTCATTCACTCATTCGTTTAACAAGACACTCCTTTAGTTCTTCTTCCATCCACATCATCAACATGCGTATCTCTCTCCTCTACGCCGTCTTCGGCACCGCCATCTTCTGTTCCGCCGCCGCTATTCCGGCCACGAACACTCTCGCGCTTCAGCAGAGAGATCTCCTTCCTGGCGGTAAGTTTTCCTTTATGGCCGAACAAACGATATCGGAGACTTATACATCGAACAGGCCTTCTCAGCCCATCTAACAGCGGCGGCAACGGCAACACGGCCAAGGCCAAGGGCAACGGTGATGGCGACCGAGCCGGCAATGGCAGTGGTTCCAAGGACGGCAACGGATCGGGCTCCCACAACGCCGCCGGCAACGGGTCGAACTCTCACAACACCGCTGGCAACGGATCTGGTTCCAAGGATGGCAATGGTGGCAACGGCAACAAGGTCGACGGAGATGGAGACAAGAATGGTGGTAATGGGTCTTCCGATGGTGGTAATGGATCTTCCGATGGCGGCAACGGGTCTTCGGTGTGTATCCGGTGGCGTCGATTGAGGCACAGCTTCGAGTGCTAACATGGTTGTCAGGACGGCAACGGAGCTGGCTCCAAGGATGGCAATGGTGCAGGCTCCAAGGATGGCAACGGAAACAAGGCCGGCAATGGCAACAAGGCAGGCAATGGCAACAAGGCTGGCAACGGCGACAGCGCCGGAAACGGCAGCCAGGACGGCAATGGCAGCCACAACTCCGTCAGCCACAGCGGCAACAACAGCGGCAACCTCAACGTGAGTCTCCCCATCTTCCTTTTCCCACCCCTCCCGCCGGACGTCATTCTGATAGCCTCGCCGATTGCACCCACGATCCCCATTACCATCCTGAGATAGTGAACGGATAGAGCTGATGCCTCGGGCAGCTGTAAACGGTGAGAGCCGGCTCTCAAGTACGCCGTGCCAATCGAGTATCCCGCCTAGCACAGCCCGAGTGTCTTGACGAGCACGATGACCATCTGCATATTGTCGCAAGACGGGAGTTTCTCTGAGATTAGAGGGATGTTTGGGGTTGGACTTTGCTGGTTTCCAAGCAGAGGATTAACTTGATAATCGATACATCAATATTTTCAATAGGTTTTCGATCGATCGACCCACAGAGTCATAAATATTGCTTCTTCTCGGTGATGTTGATCGTTCTCCTAGGCTTCGCTCGCCATTAGGGTTAGGGTTTGTAGCCAATATCTTCCTCAAACTTCAACTTCACCTTGTCCCTCCTCCCTCTCAAGCACACGCAAGTAGATAAAACCCGACCTCCCAAACTCCAAAATGTCCTCCACCGACCAGCCCTGGCATGCCTCCTTCCCAGCCTCAACTCTCGTCCCGGAATCCCTGCCCGCAAACAAAGCCTACACAATCCTCTCCATGAAAATCGCCAGCATGCTCATCATCGACGTGCGGCGCACCGACTACGAAGGCGGCAGCATCCGCGGCAGCCTCAACATCCCCGCGCAGGGCTTCTGGTGGAACCGCGGCATGCTGTACGAGCTCGCGTACAAAGCCGACATGCAGTGGGTGGTGTTTACTTGCAATTCGTGCTCGCCGGGCGGGCGGGGCCCGCGGTGCGCGGCGTGGTTTCTGGAGTTTGTGAGGGGTGTTGCTGGGGATGAGGATATGCAGGTTATGGCGCTTGAGGGGGGGATGAGGGGGTGGGTGAAGGGTGGGGAGCAATTTACGGGGTTGATGGATGGGTTCAAGGCGGAGTATTGGGAGGAAATGTTTGCTAAGGAGGGGAAGAAGGCGGAGCAGAGTGGTGCGGCTGTTGAGATTGGCAAGGTCTAGTCCATGGAAAGGCCGGTTGATGCTTGATGTTTCGAAGCTCACACGTCGTGGAGTGACAGACACGTGGACGTCTGCAGCGCACGACTTTTGGCCAGCTTCTATGGACAGATCCATCATACTTCCAACAGCAGCGCTCCGGCTTTCCCCAGCTGCACGGAAAGCATCCCGTCTCTGACCTCAAAACCTGGTCGTCTTTCGTCTCTGATCGGCACTTGCTGCGCCTCGCCTCCGCTCCTTACACTCTGCGTCAAGCCGGTGTTGTCCCGGCCGAGATGGGCCAGGTCTATCTTCGCCGTCTGTCTCATAGACAAAACTTCATCCGGGAGTCGAAGCCCCAGCACCTCGCTCTCATCCAAATCCTTCCCCTCGACCGACGGGTAATTGACAATGGCAATCCTCGCCAACTTCCCAGATTCATACCCCGCATAGACCACCGCCCCATCCGACTCACGAATCGGAACGACCTGAAAATGCCCAGCGCCCCTCACAAACGACGTCACGAACGTCAGAGCGGAATACGGCCCATTGACATGGCTTTCCTCTCCCTTGCCAGTGGAACCAGCAGCATGGCAAGCCTCCGGCGTCCAAGCGGACGACATGGAGTCGCACGACTGATGCATCAGCACTTTCGACACGTTCTTCGACATGGCGTATAGCAAGAAATCTAGATTCCACAGCGTGATTCCCAGCACGGTGGCGTCGTCTGGCTTGCTGCCGCCTTCGCGGTAATCTTTGTCCGTAGTGGATACGAGGCTCGCCTCAGAGATGACGAATGGATGGCAGCTGAAGACTCTGCTGACGTATTCCACCTGTGGAAGGAACTTCTCGTGCTCGTATACAATTGCCGAATGCTGCGGCAGCTTCTTTGACGATCGCAGCTCGCGGCTGGAGTTGAAGTGCGAGTAGTGCGCCGACACGGACTTCAGATCATCCTGCGCTTCGATGCCGACAGTAAAACATTCTTCTGCGGTCCAGTCGTCGTGGATTTGGTGATGAGACAGACCCAAAGCCTGGAATTTCCGTCCCACACCGGGAATATTGTTCCTCAAAGCGACTTTGAACGCATACAGCTCTTCGGCGTACTTTCGGCAGCCGTAGTTGTCAGGACGTGAGGCGCCTGCATACAAATTGGATTTATGGCCGATTTCAAAGGCGTAGAGATGGCCTTGTCCCATGGCTTCTGCTGCCTGACGTGCTCCAGCAACTGCATTTGGACGGTTGAGGGAGGCAAAAGGGACCTGGTAGATCCAGTTGAGACGGGGGATGGCGGTTAGAGCGCGGATCGATTCGAAGTATGAGGGCCCGATAGATAATGTTGACCGTCCTGAGACGTCTATCCTTCTCACTGGACTTGGTTGGATTGCGTCGAAGAAAGCAGAGTCGCCCTCGGACCCTCCGATGCGGATAGTCAATGGTGTGTCTGCTGTCTTGACAAGATTCCGAATGAGCTCGATGGACTCTGTGTTTGTTGCGGATGTATTTCCTGGCATGCGAGTTAGTAGGCGAAGCAATCCGAGGACGTCATCCACTCACCAATGTATTTGGGAAAGTCTGCCATGTCAAACGACAGACCCAAGAAAGCGGCGTCAACGGGCTTCGATGCACCCTTCGGCAGGTAGAAGGGGATGGTGAGCTCGGAGTCAACGAGCGGTCCAGCACTCGCAACTTTGTCGTCGACTGGCAAAAAGCTCTGCGGGACAGCCTTGTCCATCGTAGACACCGGTCTGTTGCGCGAAACTGCAACAGAAGTCTGATTGAATCCGCCCTGAACAGCAGCAATCATGAAAATCGACCCAATCACCGACTTCGCCTTGCTGAAATGCGTCCAGACGCCCTCATCCGCTCCAGGCACGACTCTCCATTGCGTAGGGCCGGGGACAGATTCCGTAGCAGCGGTATCTTGATCGAGGAATCGATGCACGCCATTGACTAAGTGGTCTCGCAGATGATCAGGCGACACGGCCGCAACCCACATCATCCACTCCATGAGAGTGTAGCGGATGTTGTGTCGGTACTGAACGCCGAATGGATAGAGACGTTGCGAGTACCAATCGGATTGTGTCTTGTACACTGACTTTGGGAATGTGTCCAGCTTCAGCCAGGCGTCGAATGCGAGGGGGTACATGAGCACCCAAGATTCGTCGTCGTCTGTGTAGTGGGCGAGGAAATGCGTCTTTCCTGCATCACGACCAATGTCGAGGATTTCCTGCGCCATGGTGATACCAGCTTCGGAGTAGTTTGCATGGCCGGTCATTTTGCCGTAAGCGTTCAGAGCGATTGCGGCGGAGATTGAGAGGGCGGATTGGTTGGTGGCAGCACCGAGTGCATCGACAGAAGACCTTTGAATGATAGGGTCTGAGGAATTGGTTAGTCGTATTCATGCAGGTGGACAGTCCTTTCGGTAAGTTTACAGAGTCCATATCTAACGCAGTAGTCTGCATAGCGGCGTAGAATTGGTGCATAGTCTTCCGTCAATTCAGTATCGCCGGTGGCGTCTTGATAGAGGTATAGCATCCACAACAAGACGGATGTCGAGTCCAGGGGTAAGAACTCCTCGATACATGGTGTCTCTCCAGTGGCGTTTGGATATGCTGCGCAAGATCTGTGAGATTCCTCGAAGGTAATCGCTCGTGGGAAGCCACATACCTTTTCCAATGTCATGCACAGCATGATTGAGCGGCCACGCATTCTTAGAGAAGCGAAGCACCGGTTCCAAGAACATGCGAGTGTACTCCGGGTTGAGAACATTGAAGACGGGCAGAGCCTTGGGAATCAGGTCCGCTAGAGTGTTGACATTGCCATCTGTTGAAATCTCTTTGATGAAAGAGTACGGGTGTGAGGTGTCTAGGGTATCCGCCGAGATCATCACCTGTTGTCCAGCAAAGCTGATTGATGTCAGTTGGCAGAATCTCTGTAGGAGTGTGGAGAGTGACTCACGACTGCCGTATGGTGAACTCAAGAAGATCAGAGTAGTTTGATGAAGTCACCTTCCCAATGTCCACGATTTTCTGGTCGAACTTATGAGACTCAGCCAGAGCATCTTCATAGTCGTCCAGGAAGTAATTGACAGCCTCCGTGATATTTGACACCCGACTGCGAAAGTACCCCACGTAATGCTCGATCTTTTCCCCGTCGAAATACTGCATCTCGTTGTCTTGATACAGCCCGACAGCAAAGACAGCTCGGGAATGATCATACGAGGGAATCTGCTGCGAACATGCCGCAAGACCGCCGTGCTCCATTGATCCGTCGAATTCTGCCAAGTCGCCGCTCTCAATGAACATCCCCAACAGAGCGTCGGGGCTGCCAACTCGACATGCTGTCTTCGAGTGCCTGAAGTTGTCTGCACCAGCCAAGACAGCTTTGCCCCAAAGGGCCATCTCCCGGTCTTCAGAGAACTCGGCGCCGTCTTCGCCGTCGAGCATGAGGAGGTGCGTCCCATTGTTCAGACTGATGTCGGCATAAGAAGCGCCCCTCTGAGCCAGCCACGAAGCATCAATGGCAGAAATGACGCCCACATCCACCGGCTTGCCATGCTTATCCGCCGCGGAGACGGTAACATAGCTGAACGGAAGCGACTGCCGTACATGATTGACTGGGTCAACGGGCGAGAAGAAGTCCATGGTCAATTGCGTCGAGCCAGCCTCCAGCGTGACGTACGTGTGCGTGGAAGTGAAGTTGAGGGATTTCTGCGTGGCCTGCTTGACGCCTGGTCTGCCACCTGGGCAGCCGAGGAGACAGTACGTGGTGTCGTGGAGCCGAGCCATGATGACCCATGTCAACGGCTGGCCTTCCCAGAATTGCGGCGTTGCGCTGGGAAAGTCGTGTGACAGGTGACCAGGAAGCCAGACGGAGAGATATGGAGTCTTGACTGCCTGTACATGGGGTATCAATGGCGGATCCATGATACTTGACTCAGACACTCACCAAGGGGAAGGACGGCAGTCGCATGGAAGCAGTCCATGCCAGACTGGCGAGCAAAGACACCAAGAAGGTATGCAGCAGCATCTTCGCCATACTTGTCCCTTCAGTCCAGCCGATGAGACGTAGTTTGACCTACGATGGTTGTTGTCGGATCTCACGCAATACGGAGCACGAATAGCGTGAGGTTGCCCGGCAGCGCCCCGAGGACTGGAAGCCCGTCAAACTCTATTCCTCTGGCATGGCTTCGAAGCCTTGCATCCGCATGTGGGATGAGTTCTTGAACACGAGAAACTCTTAACACGTCTAGATTATAAAGACTATGCAGCATACTCGTTACACGCCGATGCAATTCGTTGATGAGCGCTACCATCATGATCTAAACAAATGCGCCACAAAAGACCGCTTGCTGAAACGCTTCAAATCGAGTGAACGGAGGACCGAGTCACGGTCCACCCTTAGGTCTCTGCTTCCACCGTTTAACCTTCCTGATGCCTGCATTGATATTGACAAACTTATTGGCGCGCGGGTCGTAGAAGCCCGAGACGTCGAAGATGACCTTGCCCGTACCGCCATTGACTTCGACGATTCCCTCGACGAGGAAAGTACCACGGGGAGCTTCGGCCTTCTTGGGATTCCAGAGCTTCGACAGCGTGGCGGAGAAGACGTGCCTGGCTATCGTGATGTCGAGTGGGGGGGAAGATGAGGTATCCGCGTCTGGGTCGGCATAGGGCAGCTTCACGTTGGGCAGATGCCAGGGCAAGTTGCTCTTCGGCGGAGTGATTGGGTTTGTGGTGGCTGTGGAAGCGGCCGCATTGGGCGCCGCTGTTGGAGTACCAGGAGAGGTCTGCTTTGGTCGCCTGGATTTGTCGTCCTCCCTCTGTGACATTGCGATGGCAAGCCGGAATCTCTCCTCCACACTCATCGGGTTTACCTCCTCCCACCCCAGATACTGCTTCACTCTTCGCCACTGTATGCCCGCCATGACTTTTGACGCCGCCCAAATGCCCGAAGCAGCCGCTTTCGGGACCAGCGCGCGTTGAGTACGCCACTGCTTCTCGGCATCCACCTTTTGCGTGCTCCAAGCAACAAATCCATCGCCAATCTCAATTCCCTGCCGCTCATACTCTAGCGGTGGACCGTCCGGGAACGAGATGTCCAGCCAGTACTTGCCGATCTTCGGATCTGCGCCGAGATGGCGGGCGACGGGCGGATGTTGGGCGGAGCCCGTGAGAATAACCGTCGTCAGGTCCTTGTAAATAAGCTTCTGCCGCGGCGGGTCTTTGGCGACGCGAATGAACTCCGACCATTCCGGATCGGTGCCACGATAGTAGGACCGCGGCATCTGCTTGCTCCAGGTGAGAGGGATGAAGATGGAGTTTTCATCGGCGTAAAAGGGCCCTTCCTCGGCAGCCTCATCCGCCTCTCCAAGTGCATTCTGCCCTTGTTGATTTTGCGCAAGTTCCTCCTCCTCCACAAACTCGATTTCAATGTCCAGCTGTCGCCACAGTACTCTGCCGAAGCCGTACGCCGCGCCGGTGTAGAGACCGAGCGTCACAACCCTTCGTAATGACCAGCTCGGGCTCTTGAAGCGAACGACTTGATGGCGCATCGGTTCTCCGTCCCGGCCATAGGGTGTGCGTGACTTCCATCGACGCTGTATGCGGGGTGTATGTAGAGGTGGGCGCCAGCGTGAGACCTGTGAGGGCTGGCGAGGGAAGGCCAGAGCCCGGGGGAGGCGATGCATGGCGGTGGTCGCTGTTATCGCATCGAGATGGTGTGCGGAATGGGGAATCCAAGAATATCAGCGAGGGAAATCAGAGCTGTCCGCCGGATCTAGGAATCACTTGTGGTGTCGTGGATTGTGATGCGTAGGTAGTGGGAAGATGGAGTCGATGAAGCGCATATGTGGGTTGAGGTCAGTCACCGCGGGTGGCGTCAGTCAGCGGGACTCGGTCTTGGCGTCCAGTGTCTGGAGAGCTTCACCCGTGTCCTGCGCTGCATCATGCATTGAACCCAGCCTCACCACTCCATCTCCATCTGCGCAGAGATGAAGCTCACCACCTCCGTCGCGATATCGGCGCTATGCTGGACTGCTCGCCTGGCGTCAGCGGCCACAGCACACCTCTACACATACGATTCCGCAGAGGCAGGGAGGAGACTAAGCGGCGGCCTGCTCGACCAGATTACCCGCCAGCTCCGCTTAGATACTCCGCCAGTGCTGTCACCCGTTGAAGCGCGAGTGGTGCTTGCCCAGAGAGCCGGAGTGGAGGATTACCATGTGCAGGATCTGGGCAGATCGGGGGTGTTGGAGGCTGTCAACCAGTTTGGCTTGAAGCAGCCACTTTTTGGCACAGACGATACAAGAAGGATAACGATCCTCGCTGAGGAGACTGAGGAGAACACACGTACGTCTGACTCTTGCATACGCTGCTTGGAGTCCCCTATGCTAACAAACATACGCGCACAGTATCGATGAAACGAGCAACCCACCTGAGCCTTTCCCCCGCCCCATCCTTCAAATCCGCGCGCAAGCTCTTCGCCGACCTCGAGATCCAGCACACCTGGCCCTCCCCTCCACCAGAGAGACTTTCGGCATCAGCCACCGCCGACGACTTCACCTCCAAATCCCGATTCACACTCATCCGGGGCTCCAAGCAAGAGCTGGAACAGTTTTGGCAGCGAATCGTGGATAGCCCAGCAAGCAACGACAACACCCACATCGCAATCACCATGCTTGTCTTCCCGCCCTCCGCCGTCTCTGACGCAGAAGACCAATGGGCCAGCGGATACAGCATGCCCGGCGCGCAAACGCTCGCCAAACGCCAAGATACCACCACCTTCTCCACCCTCGTGACCCGCCAGGACAACAGCCAAAACTCCCCCCTCCCTGGCATCCTCCCCGCCTGCTACACCTCGCAATCCGACTGCGAATCCACGACGCGCAACTGCACCGGCCACGGCAGCTGCAAACTCCTCTACACCGACAAGAGCCACGGCGACGACAGCCGGCCGTGCTACGCCTGCGCCTGCTCCGCGACGGTGGTGAAGAACTCGAAAGGCCAGAAGAGCACCACGTACTGGGGCGGGCCGGCGTGTCAGAAGAAAGACATTAGCTTGCAGTTCTGGCTGCTTGCGCTGTTTAGCGTGGGCATGGTGTCGTTGATTTCGTTTGCCGTGGGCAATTTGTGGAGTATGGGAGAGCAGACGCTGCCGAGCGTGATTGGGGCGGGTGTGAGTGGACCGACGGCGAGGAGGTGAGATGGGTTGGCGGCGGGGATGTTGGTTTGGCGTATGTGTAGCACTGCTTTCCGCGCGGCGAGGTTTTATGTAGGCTTCGAGAAATGAAAATGATTGTCTGTACACTATTGTTGATGCTTGAACTCCAACAGCTATATATCTACGTCTGATGAGCAGCGCCATCGCCCCCAGCAACTTTCAACACCCCCAATTCATCCGCAACATCATCCTCACCGTGGTCCCCCTTCACGTCTCCCTCTTCCACAGCCTGCGCCTTAAACTCCCCAACGTCCGGCGGATGGCGCAAAACTTCCGCATTCCTCACCACCCTCACCTCCGCCGCGCGCGTCAGCCTCAAATGCCTCTCCATCTCCTTCGCCTCCTTCGCCTCCTCTCCCTGCCCCAAATTCAACTGGTTGTCCATCGAGTCGCGGTACTTCTCCGCCGCCACCTCGTAGTGCTCCGCCGTATCCTTCAAAATAATATGCATCGAAGCCAGCACCTTTTCCGTCGCTTTCGCGAGCGGGAGGTCTGCACTCTGCACGTCGTCGGGCGACTGCCAGTGCTCCGTCTGCAGGAGGCCGGCGTGCTGCGCCGCTTCGCGGAGACGCGCAACGAGCGAGGCGGAAAACATGTCGCCTGTGCCGGAGAAGAAGACGGGGAGCGCGGGCACGGTGATGCGGAACATGCGCGGCTCGCCTTTGGAGTTGGCGGACGAGCCTACGACGGAGAGCTTCGCCATGCTTGCTGGGTGGGGCTCTTTCGATGGCGTGTTGGCTTGCGTGGGGGGTAGGCGAACTGATGTGATCATTACGTGCGGCACTTGGTACGTTTGGTGGAGTTTTCGGATGGCCTGACGCATGGAGTCGAAGTCCCGGATCTTGACGTCGGACAGCAGCTCTGCTTCGAATTGGTTTGGGAGAATGAGATCCGCGTCCCGCAGCAGGCTCTTGTACGCCGGCACCGTCTCCTCCGCGACGTAGATTTGGCCATTATCGCCCATGACGGGGTCGAGGATCCAGAAGAAGGAGCCGGGCGAGGTGTTAGCTTCGAGGCGGCGCTCGCGGGCAATGATGCCCACTTGCTCGACGAGCGCGGCGGACGGGCAGTAGCCCGAGAGCAGGACGTCGAAGTTGTTGAGGCCTGCATCTTTCAGGCCGGCGTAGAGCTCGGCGACTTCGTCTGCGGTGCTTTTGCGGCCTTTGAAGCGCTTGTAGCCTACGTGGTTGCCTGCGGGGAGTCATGGTGTTGGTCTCTGCCGTGGACGGGAGTTGTCACGTGCGCATGGCTTACTGTAATTCACGGTGTTGATGGCCGACACCTCGCACCCGAGCGTCTGCATGCAGAAGGTGGCCATGGTGTTGCCGACATAGCTGGACAAACGTCGACCTTCAGCCGTCCAGTTGGTATTCCTGATGGGACAGACTTACCCGGAGGTGACCTTTGATATCGCGCATTAGCTAGCTGATCGGAGGGAAGGCCGCCCGGTGAAGAATGAACGGATGAAGGAGGCAACCCACATGGCTTGCAATGGCCAGAACGTGAGTCTCTGGCACTTCATCGTTGGCCATCTGAGTCGCGTCGGAATTCTACAATAGGCAATGGCGCAATCACGTCCATGAATAGCACGGAAGAGCGAGGATGATAGCGAATATCGGAAGGCGAGGTCGGAACGGTAGGAAGGGAAATTCCCGGGTCGGAGGTGGGAGTTTGGAAGCGCCGACATTTACGATCTTTGAGACTGAACTGTTGACGACTAAAAACACTACGGGCGCAGATGACCTATGATGAACTCTTGGAAGCCTGCCGCTCTAGGCAACTCGACCCTTCCGTATCCTATTGCAACGCCTTTCCACCCTCATGCATCGTTTCGAGGTAGAGTGGTCAATCTATTCCTCATCACCGATCTGCAGTCTGGAATTAGTGACAGTCCTCTCACAAGCGACAGTAAGAATGTGACCACGCGTACCTTTGGCGCCAGGTAGAATCTCAAGTAGCTGTTGTTGGCCAGCGCGTACTCCACCAGCAGCGGCACCTCGTTGCTCAAGCACAGCTTGACATGGTCGCTGAGCCCGCTGGCCTTGCAGAAGTTGACGAGGTATTTGAGGGAGAAGGTGAGCGCGACGGGCTCGCTGAGGTTGATCTCCACGTTCTTGCTCTCGTCTTCCACGTTGGTGTGCTGGCGGAGCGACACCGAGCCCGAGCCGATGTCTCCCGAGCAGTTGAACTTGACGCCTTCTTTTGTACATTCGATGGCCACTGTGATATATGCATTAGTGTCTGGTTTTCTACCCATCCTCTTGTGTCACCTACCAGACTCAGACAACTGGGACAAGTCGCGGCAGATGCGCTGAAACTCCGACGAAGGCAGCGAGATGGTGGCCGCATACTCCGTATCAGGAATGCCCAGATGCTCTTGATCAATATCCATCAGCTTGATATCATACTCGCTCATGCGATCCGTCTTGCTGTCCTCAAACATCAGGTTCACCACGTCCGGCGCATCCTCGGCCTTGAGCGTGAGGATGTCCTCGTTCTGCGCGGCGCGCAGGACCTTGGTGAGGGAGGTGAGGTTGATGCCGAGCGCGATGTTGCGGTCGCAGCGGAAGGGCGAGAAGGATTCCGACTTGAGCATCATCGACACGAGCGCGACGTGCGAGTTGTCCATGGCTTGCAGCGCGATGCCCGAGTCATTGCAGTCGAAGTTGCAGTCTTGCACCAGGTCTTTGATGGCGTCCACCACCTGGGTCGAGGCTGTTATTAGTGGAGGGTGCTCCCTCGTGTGCACTGTTTGTTCTTGCGTGATCGACTGACCTTCTTGAGAAGAGCGGCCTGCTCCAGTCGTGCCTCCAGCATGTTTGCGATTAGTGGTGGTCCTTGATTGGCGGTGTCTATAAGGGATGGGCGCTGTAGGATTGGGAGGCAGTCCGATTTGTTGTGGAAGGCTGCAGTGGTAAAGTGGTTGATGACCTTGTTTGATTTGGAGGCCTGTGGGAAAAGTATTGAATCGCGGGGAAACGCGTCCGACGCGCGACTGCAAATTGAAGCTTAATTCACGTGATGCTGCCTCAGGCGCGCAATCACTACACGTACTACTTACTACACCTCGTATTACTACATGCCTACGGCATGTCTGAGGGTCAGTGCTTTGATGATGTATGAGAACGAACATTGATCAACTGCATGATAGTGAATGATTATCCCTGTTGCCACGCAATCGGCGCAAATAGTCCATCCCATCACACTCGACCAAAGTGGTTGAAATGCAGTCAAATGAAGCAGTCGGCAGTTCTGAACACAGTAGCCAAGCGACATGAAGCCGCTGGAACAGGCCCACATGCCCTCCGAAGGCTCCGTGCCACTGTGTCGCCACTTGTCGATCAGGCGGCGGTTTCGTGAAAGCGGAGCCAAAAGTCCCCTGCTGCAATGCGTGCTGCATGCATGACGAATGCGTCGAGTGAGAGGCTAGAGAACGCCAGCGAAGACATCGTTAGCCCGCCACGATGGCAGACCGCGTTCCAAATCAAGCAGACATCATCGGATCTTTCCGTCTTGCTTATTGAGATGCATCCAGATCTCATCCGCAGCGTAGCCTGTTCACGCCACTGGCGTCATGACAGAGAAAGGGGTACTGCCCGAGCAAGGATAGTACCATGCCAGCACCAAAGCCTCTCCCGCCACTCTGCATCATCATTCCGCACCAACTCTCCGCGGCGCAGGAGCTGTAGCCTAGCGCTCTGAACGGAGTCGTGAGTGGCGCAATCCACCGGATGCCACTCCTGAGCTTCGTCGCATCGCCTCACGTAGATCACATGCCGCCAGAACCCGGCACAATGGCCACCAGCCGGGGCAACTGCGTCACGCCTTGCACAGCCCGTAAAACAGCGTCCAGGTAAGCACAAAAGACATCAGGCCGCCAAACAGATCGCCGAACCAGAGATCGCCAAAGGGATTGTAAAAGTAGGCCGCAGGCTTGCCGTCGGCCTTCAAGTTGAAGATCAGCAGGGACACGCCAGCGGTGCCGAGGAAGTAGAAGATGAAGCCGGGGATGGATTCCAGGCCTAGGGTGCCGGCGGCGACGCCAAACAGCGAGGCGGTAAGGGCGCGCATGTTTGAGACGGTCTGGGAGTGGCAAGGTGCAGGTTAGCGTACGTGGCTTGTCGGACATGAAGGGATGGTGGGTGGGATGATTGGGAGATGGGGGAATGGTGATGACGCGAGAGGCTGACTGGACTTACGCGACCATTGTGCTGCACGCTCTCGGGCACGATTGGCCGGGTGATCAGCTCCTTCTCATCTAGCATCTTGCTTTGTCGGAATCGTGCGTTCGAGGCCGTTCGTGGTGCGTGTCGGGGAAGTGTAGCGTCTTGATTGCGCACCGGGTCTGCGTGTACCCGCTTGCCACCGACCTGCAAATTGCACGAGACGTGAGAGAGCGGATGATTCCAGATCGCAGGTGAGTTTGAGGCAGTGTGCGGATAGAAACACGGGGATGGCTGAGGAGAAGATGATGAGAGCGTACGGAAGTCGTCTGTTGGAAGTTCCGAGAAGCGGACACCTTTGAGAGCGGCCCGAGCGGCCGAAAACGGCACGGACGTTATTCGTTGAATTGGTCAGGTGCGAAAGCTGATGCGAAAGCAATTCCTTAATAATCCGCAACGAAACCCAAACCGCACTTCGCCAATTCCCTCGTTGCCGACGAGACAATTGCTGTCCCGTGGCGGATGTCGATCAACCATTTTGGCCCTCTAACGCAGCGACGTGTCCCGCACGCCGACTTTCCATGACAGAATCGTCACAGACCGCTGATGTTGTGTTGAAACCCGACTCTTCCCGCTCCCAAATGCGAAACCTTGCCCAGATGCTTGTTTGTCGTCCCATGCTTGTGCGTCTTGTCCCAATGCCCGCCGTCGTACCCGCTATGCCAATGGTGTCACAATATGAAGTGCTCAGTCGAGGAGACGACCGTAGTCGTCCAGGTATCTGTATTCCCGTCAGCATCTACACGCGTGAGAAGTCTGGGCTTGGAGGTTACATACTGTTGAAGATACCTGTTCAGAGAGTAGTCGGGTGTCGCAGCGGCGGCACGAAGCAGTCGCAAAGCCCGGTGGAAGTGCCGTTCATTGTTCCGTGGGCTACTGACGTTGCCAAGAGACATGAAGGCTTCTGCGGTCTTCGTTTGCCGGCGTTTCGTCAGTATAGAAGAGATCTTCGCACTTGGTGTTCTTTACTGACACTCACCGTAGCCAAAAGATCACCAGACAGTGCTTCCTGCGTGGTAGCCGCTGCGACCGCTCGATTCAGATACTCCGTCGCCGGCTGCAAGTATTGTCGAGCCTCCACATACTCTTGCGTGTTGATTCTACGCTCAGCCTCGTCCGCCGTCGCGTTGGTCGTCACTTCGTCCGCGGTGTTCTGATTCAATGCAGATCCCGACCCCGATCCTGCGGACCTTGATGAAGAGTCACCACTGGACGACGAGCTGCCTTCGAGATGGTGGATGCGGGAGAGAACAGGCTGTGCGCGCACCAGCCACGACTGCCCGATGCCTCGTAACGCCGCGACGTTGTGTCGGTCTCTCTCTAGAAGCGCCAACCACTGTCGTGAGCACCACGCGGCTATGTCGTCAACGAGGTTACGGTCAGAGTCCAAGAATGCTAGCTGCTGCAGGCCTCCGATCATCCACGCTTGTTCGGAGACGTCGGAAGGCCGTTGCATGTAGGTAGTGGCATCGACGTGGACAATCACCGAGCGCGCCAGATCGACGTAGTTTCGCCAAGTCTGCGGCGCGTGGTTGAGCATATGGTAGATCTGTGAGACGCTTGTCCGACAGGCCGCAATGCGCTGATCGTCGTTCATGGCTGTTCCGAGGTGGATGAAAGAGAGCGCTGTCACTGCTGCGCGGTCAAAGTCCGTGTGCTCTGAGATATGAAGTGGTCCGCGCACAGTGCCGACGAGTGAAGAGTAACTAGATTGACGCAAGGCCCGTGCCTAGTAGTGCCGATCGATTTGCCTCATATGGTGACGAGTCGGCAGACATTTGAGATGTTGACGAACGGACGCGCATGATGGTGCAGGGGAGGAATCAGAGAAAGTAAAGTAAATGGACGGACAGGCCACTGACGAGCGAATGAGCGGCAAAGGGACAGGGAAGAATAAAGAAGAGGCATCGCCACCGCTTACATGGCCGCGGGCGGGTGTCCCATGATGCATTGTCAGCGGAGTGCGACGGGGGAGAAGTCGTCCAGACGCTTCTGGAAGGAGAGAAGCGGGTGGCATGAGTTTCGAGTGTGCCCGATTTCGCGCGCGCGGCCGACGGGCTAGGTTTAGATGAGTCAAGTACAATAGCATGGCGCTTCCAAACCGGGGTGACACCCGTATGGTACAGATGGGAGCGCGCCAGTTCCCGTGTGCTGCGGGTCGCGTATGGTCAGGGAAGAAAGTACGAAGCAAGGTAGGGAACAAGGTCACAAGCCAGAGTGCCGATTCTCCGATAGAACAAAGTGGTCCCGCGCCGCGGGTCGTGTGGTTCGTCGGTTCTGCATAGCGCTACGAGTTTAGTTCGGGCCAGTTCTTTTGCTCGACGAGGCGCATGCGGGCTGCCTTCCGTACCTGGAGGTGCAGTGCACGGAGTGATGACTGTGCTGACATGCTATACAGTTCTCTATTTTCGTCGCCTTCCGACACTGCCACCGACATGCATGCATTTCACGTGTGGCGCGGCCGGGAGTCGAGGATGATGGATCGAGGCCCGAACGCGGTGCGCTCTCCGGTGTCTGGTGTCTTTGTCAACGTTGACAAAGCCGTCCGGGAGGAGTGGAAGCCTCATGGTTGGATTCCGAATCTGAGGTGCGGTTCCGCGTCCACTCGCATCCCGCGCGGGGTGACGTAACAGTTCGCTCGGGTAGCAATGCACCGAAAGGGAAGCCGCGATCTGTCAGCACCTTGGCGGCAAGTGTTTAATTAGGCAGGCACGACGCCAGCAACATCGAACCGGCCTTGCAATTCTTCCGCACACGTCTTCAAGGCCTCTCCCTGACCATAGCGAACCACACAACCTGCCGGCGGCATCGCGGGATCGTCTCGCGATACGAGACCAGCGGCAATCGCGGCAACGAATTACTGCATGTATCCGCGGCGAGACAGTGACATCGTGTGCGGAGCACACGCTACAAAAGGCAGCAAAGCCTTGCCCGGTTTGGAAAAGGGCGGACGCCAGTCGTGATCTGGTCTGATACAATTTGGTGCGTACATGTACCCCTCGATTAAAGGACCGTCCTTGCCGCTAGCACCAAGGCCGACATGCGATGCGACCTTCAACATGCTGTCCCAGCACGAATGGCACTGAACAGGACCCATCAACGAGGTCTCGGCCACGATGCATGCACTGTCTGTTAAGTGTATTCCCCTGCGTCCGACCTTTCGTTATCATGCCCACATGTGACGTCTCGTTACTCCCACGGGTGCGTCAGTGGCTACCAAAGCTCGCGATGAACCGCCCACACACGACGCTGCCGAGGAAGACGCCGGCGAGTACTGAGAGGAAGTAGCCCACGTTCATCGTCATCACCGCAATCATCCTGATGCAACATTAGTCACTTGAACAAAGGTAGGTCGTGTCAACGAAGCCCGCTCACAAGAGATATCCGACGCCGGCAATGATGGTGTCCATCGTCCCAACGACCACCGCCTCCGAAGCCCTCCACGGTCGAGCGGGGCCATCAGCAGCGATATGCGGCGCGAACCCGGGCTTCTCGTACCGCCCGCGCTTCAGCGATGCGAAGATGTCGAAGATGTGTGCTCGGATGGCCAGCAAGCCTCGACAGATGGCGGCCAGGGCGATGAGGAATATGCAAGTGCCTGCATATTGGCCGGTGGTCATTGGAGTCCACGGCATGGAGAAGAGTGGCGTTCCGGTGGAGGTGAAGAAGGTCATGGCCATTGCGTCCATGCCCATCATCGTGCCGTGATGTCCTGACATCGGCATCGATGATGATGTTGAGCTGCCCATTGCCATTCCTGACATGGTCATTGTCGGCGAACTCGAAGTCGACATGGTCATACTCATGTCGTGCATGTTGGCGGCGGTAAGGCTGGATCGAAGAAGGCTCGATGCTGCTGACCCGGCCGAGCGAGTTTTGTCGTGAAAATGTGTCCGGAGGCGCGGCGCCTTCAAAACGATATGGACCAGGTGAGGATGGAAAGACCAAGACACGCATGCGGACATGTCGACCTTGTATTCCTTTCGCGAGCGAAGTGTCGATAAGCGTGGCAGGCCAAGGCTACCAGCCAAGCCTCCCCCGTGAGCACATAAACCCAATTTTTATGTACTCACGTCTTAGCTGAGCAAGTTTCGTGAAACGGCCTCACCTCCACTCCTGAGTAGGATATCCGACTCCTGACGACCACAAAAACTGCTCTAGCCCGCTGGTGATCATTTTCCGCCATAAAAATCTCGTTTCCTTCTCCGAGTTCCCCAGCGGCCCCCAGCAACGCAGAGCACGACCCTCAGCCTTGCGACACAATCATGCACATGCACGCAGAGGTCGCGGCCTGGCTTTCCTACCCGCTGCGTGAGTAGTACATGGTGCAAGATCATACACCGCGATGCTGATTATACTGCAGAACTGCATTCGAGTCGTGCGTTCGATTGCGATGGCTTCACGCCGGAGCAGTGTGAATACTACCAGGAAAAGTGGCATTTCTGGTAAGACTCGCCTAACTGGATTCAATTCGATTCGACTGACAAGGCCGCCAGGTACCAAGCCGATCACGTATTCGCCTTGCCGACCGTCGCTTTCTTCATGTGTAGCATCGGGATTTTCATCATTGGCCACTTCCTCACACAACTCTCCGTACTACGCAAGAAACGAGATTCGTCTTCACTATGGCGAAAGACGATTGCTGCAACTCGATATCTTGCCTACCGCGGCTTCCACATCGAACGCCTGAGATGGAACTCGGCACCCATTGGGTTGTTGCTTCTGGCAGCAATTGGAGTCGTCTACTTCTTTTGTAAGATTCCAGCGTACCCTTTGTCCTGAGGATGGCATGGTTGTTCTAATCTCCGATGACACAGGCATGGATCTCGTCCCGCAGCCGTACTACTGGCCCAGTCTCTCCTACGGCCACTCACCGCCGCTAGCAACTAGATCCGGATGGTTGGCTCTGGCATGCATGCCGTTCGTCTTGTAAGTCACGCCTCTTCCCTCAGGACGAAAACACATAATCTAACGTCGACAGTGCAACCTCGACCAAGACCAACTGGATCACCCTGCTGACCGGCGTACCACACGAAAAGCTCCAATTCTTCCATCGATGGATCGCGTATGCCTTCTTCATCCTGTCGCTGCTGCACACCTTCCCTTTCATCGTGTACTCGATCCGCTTCCACATCATGGTGGAACAATTCACCCAGGGCGCTCTTGTGTTCTACTGGACAGGCATTGTCGCCATCATCTGCCAAGCTTGGCTCACCTTTGCATCCCACAGCTCGATTCGGTACGTACACTTCTGTCTTGCATGGCTGGCGAAGTGCCTCGCTGACTCCATTGTAGCAAGCTTCTCGGCTACGAGTTCTTCAAAGCTTCGCATTTGCTCGTAGTGGTCGTATTCATCGTTACTCTATTCTGGCATTGCGGTGCCACGTTGACATCATGGTGAGTCTGGCCCCCATCTCGCCATTATCGGCAACGACGCTTCCACTGACACATGGCCAGGGACTACTTCATCGCCACCGCAGCAGTGTATGTGCCGTGTTTCGTCTTCGCCTGGGTGCGCACCATCTTCGAACACGGCACCAACCAGAAGGCACGAATCTACGTCGAAGACAACGGCCTCACTCGCATCGAGGTCCCCGCCAAGTTCGACTGGGCTCTCGGGCAGCACTGCTTCCTGCGCTTCACAAGTTTCGGCATTCACGCCTTCTCATCCCACCCCTTCACCATCTGCTCCTTGCCGGAATTTGACGGACAGTCGACTGCGACCTTCTATATCCGTCACCAGCGCGGTTTCACTGCACGCCTTTACAACTATGCTTTATCGAGGCCGGGGGTCTCTGTTCCGGTGCTAGTGGACGGGCCGTATGGCGGTCTTGATATGAGCAAATTCGACGGCAGCGATCGACTTGTGGTGATTGCCGGTGGTTCTGGAGCAGGCTGGTCCTTGTCCTTCATCGAAGAGTTTGCTCGGCGTAGTCTGCCATGGATGCAGCGAGATGCACCTCTGGAAACCATCTCCTCAGAAGAGAGCAAGCCTGCCCTCGAGAAAGGCACCAACGACTCAAGTTTGGCCAGATCTCAGTCAATGAGAGTGATACTGGCTACCAGGGATACCTCTACCCGTGTCTGGTATCACAATGCCATCAACGAGCTGCTGCGAAAGTACTCACTCGACACCTCCGCGATCGAGATCGACGTGCAAGTCTATCTGACTGGCGAAGCGGAGAGGCATTCTGATACCCACAATCCTTCCACAAGTCCAGACGACTCGACCGCATCCTCTTCACTGGAAGAACTCAACATCGAGATGGACAACAAAGATGCAAAGGGAGGCTCGTCGCCGGACAAAGCAGCTGGCGAAGAATACCGCGGCCGACCGGACCTACCGCTCATCATTCAAGAAGAGACGGGCAAAAGCTGTGGGAACGGAGACTCCATCGGCGTGTTTGTTTGCGGGCCCGGGACGATGCAGCATGATGTGCGGAATGCGGTGGCGAGAGCCAATTTGGGCATTCTCAAGGGCTCGAGCTCGGGTGAGGTTTACTTGCATACCGAGAGTTTCGATTGGGCGTGAGGCGTGGACATGGGGGAGTTTGAGAGAGATAGATAGATTCTGATGATGACATTGCTGAGCTTTTTGAACAATTTGCTCAATGCGAGCGAGTATCACCAAACTTGCATCATGAAAGTCAGGCGTGCACTCCTTACATTGTCCCAAGGTTTCCATTCAATGCACTTGAGCGTCACATTGATGGTCATTGAGCAAGATTCAGGCCTTTTGCTCTCGAGGTGACGATCATTTCCATCACGACAGTAATGGAAACTCCTCTCGAGTCAGATTGCCGCTGAATGAGCATGTTTTTGCATTATCCTTGTTGGGTATACGCTGGCGAGGCTGGGCAATTCAAGGGCTCGTGGAAGACCCACATCAAGCTGGAGATCTTTGGAGCAGTTTCGACTTCACCTGTTCGTTCGCTCCTGTGCCCACAAGGCTTGCAGCGACTACTATGATGGCTGTGTCCGCCACTCATTCTTGCCCATCTCGAAGTGAGATATAGCATTGCACAGCAGCGATATGATAGACCAGCGATGCGTCGGAACATGAACGCGGGCGTGCTGGTCGTCCAAATCCTGATGGTGGCCTGCCTCCGCGTGCAGCCCTCACAAAATTGATTTATTCGTGGGACAAAGAGGCAAGTCTGCAGGTCACTTGATGACGAGCAGCTCAGGTGTAATTGATTGTTTGCTGTAAAGAAAAATGAATCGATCGCAGAACAAACCTCCTGTCACGTGTAAGTCTGTGAATCTGGTCATGCCTCAGGCATTCATCTCCAAGACTAAGGTACTGGCCATCTTTCCCTCCTGCATGATTGCTGTTGCATCGTTTGTCCCCTGCAAAGGCCCAAGGCCCGAGTTTGATGCACATTGACGCAGACTTCGTTATTCACTGTTGAGCATCACTGCTCTCTTCACAGCGCCGGATTCACGCAGCTTCGTGCCACCATTCGGCTGCGCGCCGACAACCTCCAATCTCGAAGCTGCCCTTTCTCTTTGTCACGCCTAATCGTCACCCTACTGCCCGCCAGCATCGCAACGAGAACCCCCAGCACAGCCACTGCGCGTGTGGCGCGTCTTTCACCGCCCACATCCGGTAGGGATCCCACCAGCGGCGCACTCGTCATCCTCACTAACATGGCTTCGCAGAACAGCTTGCCACAGGGCGAATTAATTGCCCCTGCAGTCAGGCTGGTGACCATGCAACGATCTTCGTCACTTGTCGGTGAGCAGCAACGCGCGAAACACTCTCCTGCCAACGCCGACCATCAGCAGGCTGCCGGACTTGAGTCAGAGCGATGTCCCATTGTCCTTCCCAAGCATTACATCACTATGGAAGACCTGAGGGCTTTGCAGGCTCGACAGCGGACTCAAGACGAGAAAGGTGTTCTCACAACTGAGAAGTCGCGAACGGGACCACGCCTCCGTATCGGGCCGCGGAACTGGGACAGCAGCTCCAGTATCCGCCAGAACCGACACGAGCCATACAAACCAGCAACCGATGCGGACCTGGCAGTCGACAGCGAGAAAGTTCATCGAGTGGATGAGCGAAGCGAGCCAACATCCACAAAAGAGTCAGCACCACGCATTGCAGGCGAGCATTCTGAGGCGACGCAGGCCCCAACGCTGCAGAAACCGGCACAGCAGACGACAGGGACGCAGACAGAGAATACGGAAGTCGTGATCGATGACGCTACGCATGCAACTGAAGGTGAACCGGGTGTGGTCAACGCGGACAACGAGACAAGTCACGTTGAGGTCAAAGTACTGCTTTCTCCATCGGTCAAGGTCACAACGACCGTCTACAAAGCGGGGAAAAAGGTGAAGGAGATTGTCGTGGAATGACGTCTAGCCATTGCGGCAGTCAATTCGCGCTCGGGGTGGGAATGGGATGGGGGTCTTGTGGCGTCTTCAGCGTGGGCAGTGACCATCATTGTGCTGAGTTTTGAGTCCAGGAGCTCGACGATCTCAATGCTGGTACATCAGGCGCAATGATTATGAGTCTAGCGAAGTACGTAGCTCTCTATCAATGTCGAATCTCAAAGGCTCTCGTAATCTACTTAACAATGCTACCGCACTCTTAAACACATACTTACAGCATAACCAAAAAAAATTGTCGCGGTGCAACCTTCTCAGTTGAGCACCGACTGGATACCAATCCGAAGATTGATATGTTGGGTGGGGCAACCACCCGTCTCTAAATGTTTGATGTTTGTTCGTCGAAGATGATTGCTAGCACAAGGCCGGCGAAAGTAAGGGGTGAGGGCGTGGACAGTCTAATGAACGCCACTGCCTGGCTACAAGTAGCAGGCGAGAAGAGGGAGTACAGTGGTGGAACTTTCTGATGGAAAGCCACGAGTTTTTGCCAGCTGGTCTGCTAACGGCCACGATTGCGCCAGACCAGCTGGCGAGCGGGAAGACGTTAATGATGGCGATATATCTCTGAGACCAGAGCCGAAGATCCACCGTAGTTGAACTGTCAACACGCAAAAATGAAAGACTATTCCCCCTTTCGTCATTCGAATGCGTGACTTTCCGCACATTCCATTCCTTGAGTCAGCAAAAACAATTCCCCCCCCAATTCACAACACTCGAACCCTCACCCTTGATAGCCTGACACCGCAAAACATCAAAAACGAAACACCTTCGAGGTGAAGCCAAACTCAGCCGCGCACATTCATCCTTTCGGACTTTCATAGGGCCTGGTTTTGATCTTTTTTAGAGAAGAGCCTAGATATTAGCAGTTCACCAGGGGGGAGGGGGCACCTCACACTTCACTTTTTCGTCACCGAGGGAAGTGTGAGGGACCAATCACTTGAACAGACTTTAGCGAAGAACTGCAAGTGATTGGTGAAGTTCGAGCACAAAATTATCGTCTATATAGTCATGAAAAGGGAGCGAGGTTTAGCCGGTGCGGGAGTGTTGCACAGGCGGGTTGACGTCTGTTTATATATGTCGTCCTGCAGGCCAGAGCCTGATGTGACGTTGACGTCGCTGACTCAGCGCCGCGCCGCGCGAACCAATCAACGCGAATGTGGCGCGTGACCAAGTAATTGACCCCATCCTTCCTACGTCGAACATGCGTCCACTTCTCATACACACCGCATACGCCGGGAACTAGCCCGAACATGACATGACCTGGCGCAAGTGGATGGATGGAGACAGTCCTTTCGCGCGAGACCCCGCTCGCCGCATACCTGGAAGGTGAAACGCCCTCCCGACGCGCTGCTCCACGCGACGTGACTAGCATTCACTAACCCACCTGTCATCCAGGCGAAGGGCAATTCGATCCGACCACCGACGACGAAGATCTCCACGATGACCGACACTCCGACGGCCACCCTCCTCAGACTCCCTTTGCTCCTCAACCCACATACGCGCGACTCCTTAAACGCCTGCCCAAGCCGACAACTCCCCACATTCCTACCAAGCCGCTGGGACGCGTGCAGCAGCTGCATCATGCATGGTCGTCGGCGTGGAACTCCCGTCTAGGACGTGCAGACAACACTCGATTCCTCGAACACTTCCGCTATACCATCGTCGCTTCCCAATTGCTTAACGAATACCTCGACCAAGGCGCACTTCCTCCGCCATCCGCGCCAGGTCTTGGTATCTCTCTCGACGGCACGCCAGACCATGCGCCTGCCAACCCGATCGCAACAAGTTCTCTTTATGGCGCCGGTCTCACCGCAGCCGTCGCATTTGCCCTGGTATACCTCATCCATTGGGGCCGCAGCAGTCATGACGGCGGCATCAGCAAGAGCAGGATTGTCCTCGTGCTACTCGTGTTCCTTCTTATATTCATCGCCGGCTATGCCTACGTTCGACGGCAGTGGCTGAAATTCTTGCGTTGGAATGCCGTCACTCAAGTCACCAACCTGACTGCCAACTGGCAGTCCTTCGAAGTCTCCGCTAGCTCCGCGCTGTCCCTGATTCAAGAGGTGGAGCTCGTGTCAAGGGGATACCGTTTGAGTAGTCCATTGGGTCCTGCGTCCAGAATCGAGGACCATGGCGCGAACAGACGATGTCTCCGGCTTCGACAATGCCTCCACAAAGCCTACTCCACTCTTCTCCCGACTTGCGTTCACGCCTGTACAATTCTACGAGACTTCATTGACAAAGACGATCTGGAGAGATACTCCGAGGTCTACAACCTGCACCCGGCCGACATTGCAGACGCCCTCAACGCCGACAGCTCCACACCCAGCCCGGAAGACGATCTGGACTCCCTCAAGTCCCTCCGCGTGCTCAGCTTCCGCGCCAGCATCCTCCGCCGCCTCACCTTAAGCACCCTCATGTCCCTCGAAGCAGACGGCGGCAAACCCGACTTCGCCCGCTGGCGCCTCGCCACAGACGCCATGAAACTCATCACCGACACCGCCCTCGGCCCCTCGGCCGACAAAATCCAACATATCCTCCGCGACATGGAAGTCCTCACCCTCCCAACCAGCCCCTCGCCCTCCCGCCCACAAACCTCCGCCGCGCGCGAAAAGCTACGCAGCCAAGTGCGCAAAATCTCCACGCTGTCCGCCGGGATCAAAACGCTGCAAGCGAAAATGCAAGTCCTGCGCGAAGAAAGCAATCGCTCCATCGAGCTGTCCGAAGATCCGACTGATCTCGGCCCGAGCCTGATGGCGCAGTACGAGTCGATTGGCGAGGATTTGAAGGAGCTGATGCAAGCTTGGGAGGCGGGGAAGGCGTCGCTGCAATCCAATTTGACGAAGCACGAAAATAGACTCTCCTCGCTCGCGTCGAGTCCGCGCTCCGTCGTGTCGAGTATAGGCGGTCTGACAGCCGTAGAAGAAGACAGCGGCAGCAGCGCCGGACTAGCCGCAGCCCTCAAAGCATTAACAGGCGATCCCTTCTCGCCCTCGAATCGATCCTCTCTCGGCACAGGCACGACGTCCGACGAGGAAGTGTTCGAAGCGGTCGCGATGCCCCGACAGCGGAGTCCGTTGACGCGCGAAGAGCGGATTGGCCGGATGCGCGAGGAGAGAGAGCGCCAGGCCGTGCTGCGCGCGAAGAGGGATGCGAATACGAATATGTTGCGGGAATTGGAGTCGGTGATTCATTTACGGCCGAAGAGGAGGGAGGGCGGGATGAGGGTTACGTCGATGTGAGTACTGGGTCTGGCTTGGAGGGGGTATACATGGGTGGATTGGCTGGGTATTTCAGCGAGGAGTCCGGCGATTTGTTTGTACGATACTATGTGACGGGATTAGAGAAAGGCATGCACTGCCGGTAGAGCGTCTTGTATAATGATCAAATCGCGCACAGCGCTTTCCTTCTTATTTGGAGTACCTCATAACTAGTCGCTGCAGTGTCATGAATTCGTTCCTGATCACAACGGAATCGCAACCTCCACAGTCCCGAGATCTCTCAAAACTCGAACTCGAAGCTCGTTGTCCGCCCCAGCGAGGGAGCATCCATGACTGCCGTAGGAGCAAAACCCGCAGCCGGAACTCTCGGAGGCGATGCCTGGTACCCTTCTCCTTCGCCGTAGTGCTGACCGTGACTCCAGCCAGCCACATCGACCTGTTTTGGTACCTTTGGCGGCGACGGCAGGATAACAGCCGAATCCGAATCCCACTGCCGAGCGTGGCGAGCTTCATCTGCCGCCTCGAAATCCCCGCTGGAAAGTGAGGGACGTACACGTTTGGCAGCGGGCAAGGGGCTGGAGGCCGGTGCTCGTCTCTTGTGGGGATCGAAGGTACTGTTGATCTCTGGCGGTGTCAGGTCTGGATCTAGCGGCGTGTCGAAGTCGTGTCTAATGCGGCTGTAGTTGAGGTGTTGCTGGTATGCTTGCATTGCTTGTGGGCGCATGCTGAATGATGTTGTGGTGCTGTCAAAAGGCTCATGTCTCGGTGGCGCGAAGCTTCGCTGGAGATGATCGCGTGCTGCTGGATGCGGTGGAGACGCTGTATTTTGGAACGCAGGAGTGTTGATCAACCAGTCTTGTTTTGGATTTGTGTCTCTTTGCGAGGCGATGATGGGCTGCTGTATGTAATTTCCCCTTGATGCGGAACTCATACTTTTGCTGGCGTACGCGTTGTAGAGATTGGGTCCGCGTGAATGTTGGGATTGGTTGGATTCGTATGGGTCAATGCTTGAAAACGATGGCAATGTTTGCAAGCCGTTGGACTGAGACAAATCGTAGGGGTTCGTGTGGTGATACGGTGAGTCCAAACTGGTGCCCCTGGAGCCTGCAGAGACACGAGCGTTATGCATCGACTCGCTCTTCCGAAAGGGGTTGACGTTCGTTTGACTTGGGGTGATTCCATTCAGCGGGGGCCTGAATTCGTAGCTCGGGCTGTAATGTTTTCCCACTGTCTGGCCGTTGGGAAAATGTAGGACTCCGGATCGGACACCTTGCGGCGGAGTAGCAGGTGCCAAGGGAGTTCTCGATTTCCAGTCCTCAATCAACCTCCCCAGCGAACTGCTACTCCTGAGGAGACTGGGCCGAGCAGGTGCATTGTCTCGACGTTGTCTCGTAGTGCTCCTGCGACGTGGTGGGGTGTCTATCTTCGCTGGTGACGCCGTCAAGTCGGACTTGGGAGGAGAAAAGCTGTCCGCCTTGGATCTTTCTGGGTACGCGTCCTCGGTTGAAGCCTCTGAGCTTGCGCTCTCCGCATAGTTTACCACCTTGGCACGAGCACGCGTACTACGCCGGAGTTCTGAAGTTTGCTTTGGGAGGGCTGGTTTTCTCCGCGGTTCCTTTGGCGATGGTGGTGTGGCCGTAAGACTCTGAACATCTGCAGCGTCCGAAATGTCTGAAAGGCGACGTCGCTTCTTCGAAGCCACCTGGATTTCCTCAAAGATGACTTCTTTCATCATCGGCGTGGATGTGGTAGAGAGCGACATTGTTGCAAGCTTGACTGGCGTGGGAGGCATGACGTTCACCTGCGGTGTGGCGGTGCTGGGTGTTTTTTCAGGGCTGTTGTGTGTTTCTGCTGGAGGCTGTTGAACTTGATCCAGGGTGAAATAATCAGGTTCGAAAGGATGATCAAGCCTCCTGGCTTCCAATGCAAACACATGTTTGCGAAGCTCCGGGACCATGCCAGCCTCGACATGTGGTGGCAGGTGAAATGGAGGAAAGAGGCCGGGCTTGGCCAGGCGGCAGTGCTCGGCGCGTTGCCGCTCGTAGACAAAGGCGCATTTCAGAATGGCGACGGCTTGGGCTCGCAGACGCGATTCGGCAAAGCGCGCAGATCCGATCAGACTGCTGTGGACGTCTTCAAAGAACTCGCCTTCGAGCTCGCGACGGCAGTAGAAGCCCGCGCTCCCACAGAGCTGCGTCGTCTTCACTCTCTCCAACTCGTAGTTGGGACAGGCGGCTTTGATGTAGAAGGGGAAGCCGGCTGCCAGGTCGCAGGCTGTCTCGGTGATCTTGATGTGTCGACAGCGGGCCTCCTCGAACCGTTGATAGCACATATCGTCTTGCTTGGGTGCTGGTTGAATGCTGTGGGAGGGGAAATGTTGTTGGACGGTGCATTGAATTGCGCATGTCGTGCTGGTGTGAAAGAAGTTGTCGGAATAAGGTTGGGCGACATGACCTCAGGGGTGCTTGTTTGTTGAGAGAGAAGGAGCTGGGAGGGAAGGAGCGATGCACAAACGAAGCCCAGCGTAAAGCATGGGAGTAGACGGTGAGGAAATAGAGGATCGCGTGACTCTCTTACTTGGCCATTCGCAGGCATTCACTTACACAATTCAAGTTGAGAGCCGTGAGCTGCTGACGACGGAGAAGGACAGGTCATTGCGCGTGCAGTCACCCTCAGCATCCAACGCGATGCAGCCATTTCGCAGTGAGTGGCAGGATACACGTGCGGCAGAGGATACACTCATATCGAAGGCGATGGGATGCTGGCGAAGGCCTGTAGCGCATGCATGGGTCGATATCTGATTCGTCAAGCATTCGGCCGTGGGCTACTGGCCGGCGCCTCACGTATTCCCGTATCCCGCTCGTCGAACAGGATATGATCAATGACCACACTGCCGTCTACCAAACGCCGCCTCGGAGCCGAGCAGAGGGAGTGGTGTGGAAAGTTTATGATATTCACGGATCCGCCCAATCAGAGGCGAGTGTCGCGAGCACGCGAAAAGTCATCCAAGCAGTAACAGCGTGCCGGCCCCATTTATCCGTCCCAACACGGCAACATTCGTATTCAGATTTGGTGGGGAGGGTCGGCGCCGGTTCACGTGGCCCCGCCGACGGCGCCCGGAACTTTGGTGACACTCGAAAGCCCGACTCCGCTCGTTCGCTTTGTATACATCGCGCTCGTCATGGAATCCCTATACTAAGGTATAAAGCGTTTCGTGGAGTTTCCAATATTCCGCTCAGCCTCTCGACCCATCAATAATACCCAGGCGATGCACTCGGTCCACCACTCACTTGCATAAACAACTCCCTGCCGACACACCGAGGATGGATGACAGAAAAAAGGACGAGAGCGCCACTGCGCACGACACCAGCACCGCCACCACCGAGGAAACACGCACCACAGCCGCGAAGAAAGAGACAGGAACGACAGAGCGTGTCGCTTCGAGCGCATCGAGCGACCACGAGGCACACGAGGAAACGGCATCGGACGATGCGGACAACACCACCACCACCAAGGCGGAGGAGAAGAAGTCGGGCATTGATGGCCGGTCAAAGAGCAAAGTCGCCGTCATCATGTTGGCCTTGTGTCTGGCCGTCTTCCTCGCTGCCCTCGACGTCACCATCATCACCACCGCCCTCCCAACCATCAGCGAGAACTTCCACTCCACCGCCGGCTACACTTGGATCGGCTCGGCCTTCTTGCTGGCCAACGCCGCCTCCATCCCCTCGTGGGGCAAAATCTCCGACATCTTCGGCCGCAAGCCCATGCTGCTATGTGCCAACGTCATCTTCATGGTCGGCTCGCTGATCGCCGCTCTCTCTATAAACATTGGCATGCTCATCGTCGCTCGAGTCATCCAGGGTATCGGCGGCGGCGGCTTGATCATTCTCGCCAACATTGTCATTGGTGACCTCTTCAGCTTGCGCAATCGCGGTGCCTTCTACGGTCTCATTGGAGGCGTCTGGGCCATCGCTTCCTCGCTCGGCCCCATCCTGGGCGGTGTCTTCACCGAAGACGTCACCTGGCGCTGGTGTTTCTACATCAACTTGCCCCTCGACGGCATCGCCTTCTTCATCCTGCTCTTCTTCCTCGATGTCAAAACGCCGCGGACACCGCTCCTGCAAGGCTTGAAGGCAATCGACTGGGTCGGGTCCATCACCGTCGTCGGCGGCACGCTCATGTTCCTCTTCGGCCTGGAGTATGGTGGAGCAAGCTTCCCATGGGACTCTGCCACGGTCATTTGCCTGCTCGTGTTTGGCGTGACTACCTGGGCACTCTTTGGCGTGTGGGAGTGGAAGTTCGCCAAATACCCCATCATGCCCATGAGCTTGTTCGGCAGCGTCACTCGCTTCGCCACCCTTGGCGTCGTCTTCTTCCACGGTTTCGTCTTCATCTCCGGCTCGTACTAGTAAGTCTCCCTGTCCCCACCCGTGGTGATCTCGTCCAGCTAACAACGGACAGCCTACCGCTCTACTTCCAAGCCGTCCGGAACGCCAAGCCACTCAACTCCGGCGTGGATTTACTACCAACCGCCATTTCTCTCGCCATCTCCAGCATTGGCACCGGCATTTGGGTGAAGAAGACGGGCCTATTCCTCTACCCGATCTACTTTGGCTTGACCCTCATGACGATCGGCTACGGCCTCTTCTACGACATCAGCGCCCGCACCAGCTGGGCCAAACTCATTGGTTTCCAGATCGTCGCGGGCTTCGGCATTGGCCCGTTGTTCCAAGCGCCCATCATCGCCCTCCAGGCCCACATCAACCCGCGCGACATCGGCACTGCCACCGCGACGCTGGGCTTCGTGCGTCAGCTCGCGACCAGCTGCAGTGTCGTCATTGGCCAAGTCGTCTTTCAGAACTCCGTCAAGCAAAAGTCCGCCGACTTGCTGCGCATCCTCGGCCCGAAGCTGGCGCAGGAACTCGGCGGAAGCGCCGCGGGAGCCAACACGAAAGTCATCCAGGCTTTGCCCCCTGCGCAGCGCCTGCCGACTCAAGTCGTCTTCGCCGATTCCCTGAAGCCCATGTGGGCCATGTACTGCGCCTTTGCCGGCGCGGGCCTCCTCACGTCGTTCCTCATTCGCAAGAAGACGCTGACGTACAACCACACCGAAACCAAGACTGGCATGGAGGCGGAGGTGGAGAATGCGGCCGCGCGCAAGGCGGAGAAGGACGCAAAGAGAGATGCCAAGGCTCACAAGGCCGGTCAGCCAGTGGATGAAGAGAAGGCTGTGGGTGTTGACGAAAGCAAGTGATTGAAATAGATGTACCTCTGCATGGGAGGATCAATAGATAGACCTTGATTTTCTTGTACACTTGCATAGCGCTGATGGCCGGTCGGGGCGGTACGACTGGTATTATGACTGCAATGATCGTAAACTCTCAATTAACATTGAAACTTCTTACATCCTCTCAGACCTTCTCAGTCATTCAATCAACCGATTCAACCGATTCCTCCACGGCAGCCGATGTACGACAATGGTGTGGTTGTTCTCAGCCTGACGACAGGGTGATCCGTGCGTTGGCGCACCTTCCGCCATTGGCGAAGCGAGCGAGCTGCTGGAATTTTGGAACGCACTGGCCAGCTCGAACGTGATGATGAGTCGAATGTAAAGATTGCTCATACCCTCACGTTGCACAATCACCGCACCGTCCAATACCTCCTTATAAACACCACCGCACCGTCTGCCAACACCGACAATCCTACAACATCACCCATCCACTGCGCCCATGACCTTTGCCTTCAAAGAGTAAAGCTATTGTCTACCTCCATCACCCACGCAAAGATACTCGCACGAGCGCTCCTCCGGCGCAATCGCCTCGCCCCTCTACTCCTCCCCTCGCGGCACAATATCAGACACGCCTCCAAAATGGCGCTGAACGCCGCCTCACACAATGCCACCGGCGAGAGAACCGGGCCCCAGTCGGGCCAGCCGCCCCCACCTTCAAACGAGACCAAAGACGCTGTGCTTCAAGCTGCCAATGGCGATCTGAAAGGCCAGAATGCGCCAGGTCAAGATGGCGGTGACAAATCTGCGGAAAAGAAGGTGAAGTCGGAGAAGGAGCTGGCGAAAGAGCGGCAGAAAGCCGAGAAGGCGGCGAAGTTGGCTGCGAAGATAGAGAAGCAAAAGGCCTTGGAGGCGGCGTCGAAGCCGAAGCAAAAGGAGAAGAAGACGCAAGAGAAGCTGCCGCCGTATGTAGAGCAGACGCCCAAGGGTGAGAAGAAGATCTTGCAGCCGCTGGACGACGAGTATCACAAGGCGTATATCCCCTCTGTGGTGGAGAGTGCGTGGATGGACTGGTGGGAGGCGCAGGGCTTCCATCTGCCGGAGTTCAAGGAGAATGGAGAGGTGAAGGATAAGGGCTCCTTTGTCATTTCCATCCCTCCTCCCAACGTGACGGGCAATTTGCACATAGGACATGCTTTGGCCACGGCGCTGCAGGATGCCATGATCCGGTGGAACCGAATGAAGGGCTTGACGGTGCTTTACGTTCCCGGCTGCGATCATGCGGGTATCTCGACGCAGAGTGTGGTGGAGAATATGCTGTACAACCGACGGAACGGCATGACGAGACACGATCTTGGGCGGCCGAAGTTTGTGGAGACTGTGTGGGAGTGGAAAGAGGAGTACCACACGAGGATCAACAAAGTCCTTCGGAGACTGGGCGGCTCAATGGACTGGACGCGCGAAGGCTTCACCATGAGCCCGACGTTGTCCAAAGCCGTGCGACAGACGTTCGTTCAGCTGCATGACGACGGGCTCATCTATCGCGCGAACCGACTCGTGAACTGGTGTACCAAGCTCAACACCGCCCTGTCAAATCTGGAGGTGGATCAGAAGGAGCTCGAGGGCTCGACCAAGATCGACGTGCCGGGTTACGACAAGAAGATCGAGTTCGGCAGCATATGGAACTTCAAGTACCCCATTGATGGAACGAATGAATTTATCGAAGTCGCCACCACTCGTCCGGAGACCATGTTGGGAGATACTGGCGTGGCGGTGCATCCGAAGGATGAGCGCTACCAACATCTCCTGGGCAAGAACGTGAAGCACCCATTCGTGGACCGCCTCTTGCCCATCTTTGCCGATGATACGGTGGAGAAGGACTTCGGGACTGGCGCCGTCAAGATCACGCCTGCACATGACTTCAACGATTTCCGACGAGGAAAGGACCACAAGCTCGAATTCATCAACATCCTCAATGACAACGGCACCATGAACTCCAATGCCGGACCGCTGTTTGAAGGCCAGCGACGCTTCGACGCTCGGTATACCGTCATTGCCGAGCTGGAGAAGTTGGGGCTTTACGTGGGCAAGCAGAGCAACCCCATGAAGATCCCGCTCTGCAGCAAATCCAAGGATATCATCGAACCAATTCTGAAGCCGCAGTGGTGGATGCATATGGAACCTCTCGCGAAGCCTGCCTTGGATGTAGTGAAGGATGGGTCGATCAAGATTCAACCCCAGACAGCGGAGAACATGTACGTGCGGTGGATGGAGAATGTCGACGACTGGTGTCTGTCCCGACAACTGTGGTGGGGACATCAGATCCCGGCATACTACGCCAAGACGAAGGACTCTCCGTACGATGCGGACTACGAGCACTGGTTCTGCGCGGAGACGGAGGAGCTTGCGAGGGAGAAGGCCAAGGCGAAGTTCGGTGATCGGGAGTTTGTGCTCGAGCGGGATCCGGACTGCTTGGACACTTGGTTCAGTTCTGGACTGTGGCCTTTCTCGACCCTCGGCTGGCCGGAGAAGACGCATGATTTCGAGAAGCTGTTCCCGACCTCTGTCCTGGAGACGGGGTGGGACATTCTCTTCTTCTGGGTGGCGAGGATGATATTTTTCTCCCTCAAGATGACCGGCAAGATCCCCTTCTCCGAAGTATACTGCCACTCCCTGATTCGCGACACGGACGGACGCAAGATGTCGAAATCCCTCGGCAACGTGATTGATCCTGTTGACATCATGGACGGCATTACTCTCGAGGAGCTCAACGCCAAGCTCCTACAAGGCAATCTCGCACCGAAAGAAGTCGAGCGGGCGATGCAGTGGCAGAAGAAAGCCTTTGTGGACGGCATCGACGAGTGCGGAGCCGACGCCCTCCGCTTCTCCCTCATCAACTACACCACCGGCGGCGGCGACATCAACTTTGACGTCAAAGTCATGCGCGGCTACCGCAACTTCTGCAACAAAATCTACCAAGCCACCAAGTACGTTCTCGGCAATCTCCCCGCTGACTTCACGCCCAAAGCAAAGGGTGGCATGACGGGCAAGGAGAGCCTCCCGGAGCGCTGGATCCTGCACAAGATGACCATCGCCGCGCGTGAAGTGAATGACAACCTCGCTAAGCGCGAGTTCTCCGACGCCACGCAGGCTCTGCATCGCTACTGGCTGTATGAGCTGTGCGACGTGTACATTGAGAACAGCAAGTCGATCATCCGCGACGGTACGCCCGAGGAGCGGGAGAGCGCCATCGACACGCTGTACACCGCGCTCGACGAGGCGTTGCGAATGATGCACCCCTTCATGCCCTTCTTGACGGAAGAGCTGTGGCAACGCCTGCCGCGCCGACCAGGCGACTCCACCAAGAGCATCGTCATCGCAGACTACCCGCAATACGACGCCAGCCTAGACGACGCGGAGAGCGAGCGCGCGTACGAGTTGATCCTCGGCTGCTCCAAGGGCGTGCGCTCGCTGATTCAAGAGCACGGGGTGAAAGAGGATGGCAAGGCGTTCGTGCGGCCTCTGTCCGATGAGGCGTATCGCACTGCATCGGCTGAGGCGGCGTCGATTAAGACGCTGGCGGGTAAGAATTGCAGTGCGCTGAACGTGCTGAAGCCTGGCGAGGAGGTGCCCAAGGGCGCTGCTGTGTATCCTGTTTCGGCTGCTGCGGGCGTGTATCTTCTGCTCGGCCAGAATGTGAGTATTCTCTTTCGCCACGATTGAAGCAAACTGGAGAGCAACGACTAATTGTGCAATGTCTAGGTCGACACCAACAAGGAGATCAAGAAGATCCAGCCGAAGCTGCAAAAGGCGGCCGACGCCGTCAAGGAGCAGGAGAAGACGCTGGGCGCGTTGAGCGACAAGGTGAATCCCGACGTGAGGCGGGCGGAGGAGGGCAAGTTGAAGGATTACTTGAGCGAGCAGCAGCTGTTACAGGAGAGTTTGGAGCAGTTGCATGTGTTGAGTTTGGAGGAATAGACGTGGAGGTCGGGTGGTTTGATACAGTGTACGATTTGCGGGGAGGGACAAGGAGAAAGTGGGAATAAATCAATTCAGTTCATGCGGTCTAGCACTGAGAGGTGAGGATGTGGGCGTGCTTGTTCGCCTTTGCGCTGTGTGATGTCGGGAGTTTCGTCTTTGCCCAAGCGTTCCAAAATTAAGAGGCAGCGTCATGTATGCGTGCTGTTGCTGAATTCGGCTTTGCGGATCTGCTCGAAGTACTGGTGTTCCATGGCTTCTTTTGCAGTCAGCCGTTCCTAAGACGCGTAATTAGTGTTGGACAGGTGGTGTGATAGGGCACATGCTCACCTGATGGTCATATTTCAACAACTTGTCGAGAAAGTCAATCGCATCATTACTAACGAAGCGCTGATTCTCGGAGTTGACAAACGCATGCCAGCTCTTCTTGGGGAAGCGGCCGAGGATGTCGTCGTACTGCGCATCCAATTCAATATCGTACTTGTCGAGGTAGTCGAACAGCTCCTCCGTGCCGAGCACCTTGGCTATCTTGACGAGCTGGTCGCTGTTGCTGTTGCCGTGGAAGAAGGGCTCTTTGCGGAAGATCATGCTCGCGAACATGGCGCCCAGACTCCACATGTCGAGGCTGTAGTCGTACTCTTGGAAGTCGACGAGCAGCTCCGGCCCTTTGAAGTAGCGGCTGGCGACGCGCACGTTGTATTCTGTGCCGGCGTGGTAGAATTCGGCAAGGCCCCAGTCGATGAGGCGCAGCTTGCGCGCCTCGTGGTCGATCATGACATTGTGCGGCTTCACGTCGCGGTGCATGATGCCCTTGGAATGGCAGAAGTCGAGGGCCTTGAGCAGCTCGTAGATGTAGTAGCGGACGTCAAGGTCCTGGAATTTGGGGTAGAGGGTGCGGAAGTCGGTGTTGTTGACGTTCTCGAAAATCAGGCTGGGCGTCTTGCTCTGGCTGTCGCGCACGACGTCGAGCAGCGCGACAATGTTCGGCCCCCCCGACAGGTTCTGCAGGATTTTGATCTCGCGCTTGATCTTCTTCTTCTTGACGGGCTTGAGGACTTTGATGACGCATTTCTGGTAGTTGACGACGTTGATGCCTTCGAAGACTTCGCTGTATTTGCCGCGGCCTGGACGCACGGGGTTAGAAGAGGGAGGAGGGACGTGGCGGGTGGTGGAGGGTGGTCTTACCGATCTTCCGCACAACCTCGTAGTTCTCAAGGACGCCCCAGCTGATATTGACAGAGTCGTAGTCCCAGTACGCGCGGGGCATCTCTTGATTGACGTTGGCGTAGACGCGCGCCATGACGGCGGTGTTTGCAGCGCAAGCCGCCGATTCTTTCACTCTCGTTGTGAGGCCACGTGCGGTGGAGGTGGGGGGGTGTAGAGGAGGAGTACAGGCTCGCTGGGGCTCGCTGCCCGTCGGTGGCACTCAGTCGCGGGCTATCTGGGTTCCATCATGCCCGGGTCAAGTGTTTTGGGGGTGGGAGGGCGCTTTGCGACTGGTGCAGCGAGGTGCATGTGCTGGTGATACAATCCGCTTGAGCCCCGCCATGAGAAACGCAGGGAGCGGGAAGAGCCGCGCGCAGCCCCCAAACATTCCTCTTCGCCTTACTACATCTTCCGCCTTACTACATCTCCATCTCCGCCCTACTACATGACTTCGCCCTTCTGCAATGGACGTCACTGCTCTGCAGAAGCTTGCACCGCCTGCAGGAGCAGTGTACGTCTCTTGTATCGCCCTCTCCGCCCAGTGGCTGTTCTACTACATCGAGCCTGGCCCCTTATCGCGAGGAGACGCGTACATCTTCAACGCGCTGGTTGCCTGTCTACTCATATGCCACTGGCGAACATGCTATGTCGATCCAGGTCGGATACCCACAGACTGGCATGAGCGTCTGTCCGCAGCGGATGGGCACAACTTGCCTTCGCAGCGCCAACGCTGGTGTCGGAGATGTGAAGCTTTTAAGCCTCCGAGAGCACATCATTGCAAGACCTGCAAACGGTATGCGTCTTTGTCTTCCCGCAACGTGAGGGATCTCTGCAGCTCATATGGATTACGCGCAGCTGCATTGTAAAGATGGATCACCATTGTGTCTGGACAGGTAGGCCTTCCTCAGCTTCTCAATTGGAATGGGAGAGGTAAGTGACCGTTCTTTCTTTCTAGCCAACTGCGTCTCTCACACCACCTTGCCTCACTTTCTCCGCTTCCTCATCTACTCCGTCGTCTCCATGATCTACTTGGAATCCTTCTTCTACGAGCGGTGTGCCGTCATCTGGAGGAAGAGACACTTGCCAAGTGTACGTTGACAACTCTGTAAAATCCAGCCTCCACTGACAAATTAGTATCTTGGCCCGTCCATCTTTCAACTCGCACATCTCCTGATCATAGTCGTGTTGACCTCCTTCACGCTGTTCATACTCTCCCTACTCTTAGGTCGAACACTATGGTCAGCCGCTCTCAACATGACTACCATCGAGAGCTGGGAGATCGAACGCCACGAAGCATTACTTCGCCGCTCACGCGTACTCGGCGGATATCTCGTCGGCCCCGACGGCGAAAAAGTGCATCTGCAACGGCAAGAATTCCCGTGGGATGTCGGCATTTGGACGAATCTATGCCAGGCTTTTGGAAGTCGGAATCCACTCCTGTGGCTCTGGCCGTTTGCCAAAAGTCCGAGTGTGGAGAGTGGGCTGTCGTTTGAGCATAACGAGATCGATGGTGAGTTGCCGTCTCGTCTGTTCACCCCGAATTGATGTTAGCTTATGGCTATTCCCTAGATCCAAGCAAACCCTGGCCTCCTCCTGATCCCGACCGAATGTATCGATCGCCTCGTAGACGGCCTTCTGGCAACGGCTTCACCCAGTCCATGAATATCGAAGACTTTCGTCTGCGCCAACTTGCAGACCTGAACCGCTACACGGATGTAGACAACGAATACGTCGTGCGCCGTCGACCTTTCCACGAGCGGCTGGAGGAATTGAGTCGCATGGCGTCGGAACAAGCCGTCAGTCGTGATGAGGACCCCTTTGGACCGGAAGAAAGCGAGGACTTTGATCCTGCCGAGGACGCAGTGCTTCATCACGACCCGGCTGGCGAGGAAGCATGGCGCAACAAAGAAGGCGAACGACTTGAGGACTTCGGCGTGGACGAAGTCGCGGACTTTTACGATGAAGATGAGATGCCGCTGGCGGAGTTGCGTGAAGTCTTGAGGGCTCGGCAAGATGTTACTCGATAGGCATGACCACCTCCCGAATTTACCACTTGTGAATTCGCTTGCATCTGGCCATCCACTCGAATCCATCGATGGTCAGCGTACATTTGGCCCAGCATTGTTCTAGGCCAAGTGTATCTACACGTGCCGGACCAATTTTCAGCTTTCAGGCCCCGTGCTTATTCTCTTCGGGGTTGTATGGAATCTCAAGTTTGGCGCGGCTGGGCACCAAGCCTTGCCCTAGTGGAATTTTTATATGCGGCGTCCAAGCTCTGCACATTGTCTATCGCCGTCGATTCCAATCCCAACGAGAAGAGGCAGAAAATCCGCCGTCTGATTCGATTCCAACAGACAAACCCACTCGCAACCATGTCCTTCACGAAACCCGCAATTGTCATTGTTCCGGGAGCATGGCAAGTCTCTTTCCGTTGTGGAACGGATCTGCGAATAACAACTATACTAACCTGCAATACTCCAGGCACGTTCCGCAACACTACAAGCTTCTACAAGATGATCTGTTAACGACAGGCTACCAAGTGACAGTCTGCACCATGCCATCTACCGGGCCGCCCGAACCGCTACCTGGCATAACCGAAGATGTTGCGGTGGTGCAACAAGCCATCCAGGCTTACATTGATCTCGGTCTCAACGTCGTGGTGGTGATGCACTCCCTTGGCGGCATCATAGGCACCGCGGCTTGCGAAGGATTGCGCGCAGAAGACCAAGCAGAGGGCAAGGGGATCACCGCGCTCGTCTACCTGGCCGCGTTCGTGGCGCCCAAGGGCAAATCTGCATTCGTGATGAACGGAGGCCACGCTCCATGGTATGATGTTACCGGCGAGCCGGGCACGGGCGTGTGGATGCTTCTCGGCCAGAACGAGTGGGATCCGCGCGAAGTGTTTTACAACGACTGCACGCCTCAGCAGAAGGAGGAGGGGTGGGCGTTGTGCAAGAGGCATTACAACGAGAATGTCTTCCAGACGCCGCTGCCGTATGCGGCGTGGCAGGAGATTGAAAGCAACTATTTGCTTTGCGAGCTGGATGGCGCCATTCCGGAAGCTGGCCAGGATGCCATGTCTACTCAGGAAGGGGGAAAGTGGAAGAGGGTGGAGCGTCTGCGGACCGATCACTCTCCGTTTATGAGCAGACCCAAGGAGACGGTGGAGTTTGTGAGGAGGTGTGCGGGAGAGGAGGTGTAGATTGTGTTGGTGTGTGCTGGAGGCACGGAAGCCGGAGCTTATGTAATGGAGGTGCACCGCCACGGGCCCCACTTTTCCCTCTCCACCCGCCCGTTTCCTTGAGCGGCTCGACGGGAGCGACTCGACTCTTTTTCTCTTCTATCTTTAGCATCAACCGCCAGAAGCAGAAGCAACCGCACCCGATCGACACTCGTCACCGTCGTTGCAGTGTCGACACGTCCAAGACGTTCTCCATCGCCAGATTCTTTCTCCCACACCCTTGCCTGCATTCCACCGCTTTACCGCCCACTCCCGGGCTTCTCCTCTCTCATCCACCGGGCGCTTGCTGATCAGCTTGCTGCGTTTCCATCCTCGCGCAACAGCAAGACTCGCCAATCCCTTCCCCTCCTCTGTCGCATTGTTTGATGGTGGCGCACGCCTTTGTATGCCACCATGGGACGGCGGAAGATTGAGGTATGCTTGCCTGTCCATTCTGCTTCACCGTCCGTCACCTGCTAATCCGCCATCAGATCAAACCGATCCGCGATGAGCGCAATAGGTATGTCTGTCGCGTGCCATTCCCCCCCCTTTGAAACCCCTCTGACCCCTTCCATAGATCGGTGACCTTCCTCAAGCGCAAAGGCGGCCTGTTCAAGAAGGCGCACGAGCTATCCGTCCTGTGCCACGTCGAAGTCGCCGTCATCATTTACGATCCCACAAAGAAGAAAGTCCATGACTACTCCTCCGTTAACATCAACGATATCCTTGCGCAATTCACCTACTGCACCGGCGCCCGGGAACACAAGGGCCCGCAAGACTTCGCTGATCGAGGCGGCGGGGATGATGATGAAGATGAGGAGGATGGTGGGGATGAGGGTGAGCAGCACGGTACACCCCAGCCTGACCCACAGGCAATGGGCATGCAGCACCATCCTGCCTTCCAGCACGTGAGACACGGCACACCCCAGGGCTCTCCGCCAATGCACAACGGAGGCATGCCACAGCAGTTCCAACGCGGTCCATCCCCGCTCCCCACTGGCGTTCCACATGTTGTCTCGAGGCCCTCGTCTCGCGCAGACCAGCATCAGGGACACGCCCGGCGGATAAGCTCCAACCTCGTGCCGACTCAACACCAACAAGCCCCGATGGCACAAGCAGCCTACGCCTACCAACCCAATCCCGCCTTCTACAATCCACAAGCCCCTCAGATGCATCGTCCAGCCGGTCCCGGAGGCCCCGCTCTGCAACCCCAAGGCTCTACATATCCCCCTCCATACCCTCCACCTGGCTCACACCATGCCCAAATGCAGCAAGTGTTGATGCAAGATGCTCGTCGATCGTCCATGCCAACCGCATTCCCGGCGCAACCTCCCCCGCAAGCGAACATGCAGCGCGATGCATCGCACGAGCACTTGCATGCGCCACCCCAACCGCGACAACCTCACCCGTCCCCGCGAGCGCAACACGTACAAGCGCAAAGAGTCACGCCTCCTCAGCCTGCACAGCAACAATTCATCAGCCCGCCCATTCCCCAGCCCAGGCCGCTTTCCGGACACGCCAAGTCGCAGAGCATGTTCACTCCAATCGACGATAGTCGGTCAATGCTGGCGCAACACTGGGGATCGACGAGCAGTGCAGAGGCGCTGCGACTGGAGCCGAAGACGGAACAGCCTACTCCCCGTGCCGCCTCGGTGGACGTCGCTACAATGCAGCGACAACGGCAGACGGCTGATGCGAAGCCGAATGGCTCGCCAGAGCAGCCGCAAGCCTCTTCATCACGCGCCCCTCCTAAATCTCCGCAGCCGGCTTCGCGCGCGGGTAGCACGCCGTCTATCGGCCTTTCGCGGTCGAGCACCAGCCAACCGGACGCCAAGCGACCCCGGCTGAAAGTGCAGATTCCCAGCGAACAATCCGACGGCGAAGGCGGCACAGCGTCCGCACGAACCGACGCGAGCGCTTCCCGAGAGACTGCAGGAAGCGGAGGCGACAAACAGCAGACCCCTGGGCACGGAGTGGTACTCCCGCCTCCGTCCCCGAGCGCCGGCGCACTCCTCTCCGCCGGCGCACAAGGCCCTCCCAACCCTTTTGCCCGTCCCGCACCTCCTATGAGCACGAACCCTCATGCCATGAACCGCGACGTGAACAACAGCACCCACATCGAAACGCCCATCTCCGCTCTCCCCAGCCGCTTCATGTCGGATAATCTCCTCCCCAGCCCATCGACCTTTTACCCTGAATGGGGCTTTGGGCGATCGGGAGGGGACTCCGCCGGCCCGAATATGCTGCCTTCGCCGCTGAACTTCCAGACGCCGGTGGTGGGGAATGGAGCTGGGTGGAGGGAGGAGGATCGTAGGGAGAGGGATAGGGAGATGGAGCGCAAGAGGGCCAGTGAGGACGAGGCTGGGGGGGATGCGAAGAGGCCTAGGAGTTAGGGGGGTTCGTTTGATTTAGGGACGGATGGGGCTAAAAGGCCGGGACGAATGCTACGGTCGAATGTTTAGGTTTTACGTTGTTGTAAGTGTGAGTGAGTGGACGGCTTGTTACTGAGGAGGATGGTAATGAAGAGCCTTGCAAGGCTTGTCGCTTCACGGTGTCTCAATGTTCCCTTGCTCACTTGTGAGTGTGGAGGTGCACGCCATGTAGCTGCTGATAAGCGGTACGACTCAGTTGAGAAAAAGCAGTTCTATTTGGCTCCACCTCATCACCTAGGTACCTAGCCATCACATCACGCACCATTCACCCCATAATCGCCGACCAATCCGCCCGCCTCACCCACTCATCCCACGTCGTGAGTTTCCGCCCCGCAGGCAGGATGTCCTTGGCGGCAATCACCTTGTACGGGCCCTGCGGATCCATGTACGCCAGCCCGAAGTCGCGGATCAGCTTCATTTGGTCCGACAGGTCTTGCACGATGTGCGGGGGGAAGGCCTGCGTGGATTCGAGGAAGGAGACGTAGGCTTCGGGGGAGATTTGGGTGAAGCGGGTTTTGATGTTGAGGGCTGAAGCCGGTATTCGTTAGTTTGTGTTCCTTCTGGCAGGGTATGTTTTGGGTGGGGGAAGGGGGTGAGGTACCTTTGCCTACGCTCGCGAGCTTGTCGTTGTCGCTTATCCAGCCGCCGGTGGCGGCGACGATTTTGGTGTGGAAGGCTTGCGGCTTGTCGAGGATGGCGGCGATGACGAGGCCCATATCGTCGTTGTCGAAAGAGGCAAGTGGTGTGGTGCCCGGGTAGGGAATCGATTGCACGAGCTCCGCGCTGCCATCCGGTCCTGCCACCTTTTTGGGCCCGAACGGGACGGCGAATTTGATCCAGTTGCTGTAGTAGTAGCCTACGAACACTTGTGTCGTCTTCGCCCATACCGCGGGGTACTCTTCGCGGTTGATGCGGTTGATTTCATTCTTGGCGGCGTAGTGCAGGAGGCCCGGGCATGTGCCTTTGGTGTAGTCCGCGACGGGCGGGAAGCAGGACTGGATGAAGATTTCCAGCCCGGGTTCCTTTGAGGCAGCGTCGATGATGCGTCGGCCTTGCGCCGCTTCTGCTTCGACGGTGAAGGTGGAGAAGAAGTCCGAGTTGGCGAAGATGGCCCATGCTCCTTTGACGGCGTTGCGCACGTCCGTGTCGGAGTCGAGGGAGCACTCGACGACTTCTGCTCCTTGGGATGCTAGTTTTTGCGCGGCTGGGGAGGAGGGGTTTCGCGTCAGGGCTCGTACTGCGTACTTTCCGTCGCTGGCTAGTTGGCTGACGATTGAACGGCCTTGGTCTCCGGTGGCCGTGAAGACGACGATGAGTTTCTTGGGGGTGGATCCCATGATTGTGGATTGAACTGACTAGGGGAAAGATGAGGGTGTCGAGATGAGGGAGAGACTTGATTTGTTTTCGAGCGTGAGCTCTCGTGCGCGTCTTATATGCCTTCTCAACCCCCATATCGGCTTCTGTTGAGAGTGAGTACAGAATAATCATCAAGCGTGGAGGTTCATAAGGCTGCCCGCGTATTACTCATATTGCCGAGCCTCTGAAGACGGTGCGGTGGAACTCCATTTCGTACTGATGGAGTGGCGTCGGACCGTGTCGACACTAATCACCTCCCGCCGAACGTCATGAGGCTGCCGAAGGATTACTCATGCCGCCTCGACTCCTATACTACACCCCAGCGGACCACCGCCTTCGCATGACTATGCCTGACAGATCTTGGCGATGTCGTGATTCGCTCGGAGGCTATTGCTCAGCAGGAGTAAAGTCGACGAGCCCGCATGTCGCAGTACCATCATTGAGCATGTGAGACGCCTTACTTGTGCTGAGTAATGGGATGAAGTCAACATTGAAGTCTGACCAGGAAGCTGTGGAATCAGGCGTGAGAACATGACGTCCAGGGTTTAGTAATAATAAGGCAAGCTCTTAAGGTTTCGCGCCAGGCCGCGCTAGTCCTAAGCAGTCGCCGACTTTCTGGGGAAAACATTGATGAGACTCCTTCCACCTGGGGTGCCCTTATTACGCATACAGCAAGCCCATTTCCAAGTGGGGAGCCTTTAACCGAAGACACTCCAGAAGAGTCTACAATGGCCGACATCCGCCGTCTCGCAAACCTGCCGGGCTACGACGACACGGCGCGAGACATCTACGAAACCCCCGACCTGACAGACGACACGACCTCCACCACCACTTTCACGCAGCGCACCACCTCCCCTCGCTCTCCGGCCTCGGGAACCTCAAACAGCAGTAACGAAGAGGACTACGAGGATGACGACGATGGCGCGGAGGAATCTGATGACCAAAGCTACGGCGTGAGTCGCAGACGACTATACCCCGAACGCGCGCGGAGGAAGTTCAATGGTGTCCGCTCTGGTGGGAGGGTGGACTTGAGTGATCGGGTGGATGGGAGACGGAAAGGCTTAAGGGTAAGGAGCACGCGTGAGAAAGAAGAAAAAGAGGATGAGGGGTTGGAGGCGAGGATCGCGAGGCTGCGGAGGGAGATTGAGGAGTGTAAGGCTGAGGCTGCCGCTCAGGGAGATGGAGGGTCGACTTTGGGGGACTTGGAGGGGCTGAGTGGAGTGTTGAAGGGAGTGGAGGTTTCTGGGAGACGAGACAGAGGCGAGGAGGTGTTTGCAGATGCGGAGGGCGGTGTGGAAGAAGCCGGAGCCAACGCAGGAGAGGGTGTCACGGACGAACAGATATTGGGAAGGGTCGGGCATTTCGATTCCAGGCTTTCCGCGTTGGAGCAGGCCTTGGGCATCTCGGCGTTGCACTCTGCTACCGTTGATGCAGCATCGACGCCCGTGCTGCCCTCGCTGTTGCTGCTGGACCAACAACTCGCTACGCTTTCGTCCGCCGGCTCTTTGATGAATCTCGAAACAGCGAGTGCGCGGATACAGAAGTTGAAGACGGAAGCAGACCAACTGACGCAATCACAATTATCGCAAGCCACCACAGCAAAAGAAGACGACGACGAAACGCAATCACCCACGACGCTCACGCCCGAAGACATGACGAAACTCCGATCACTATATCAGCTGCTCCCGACCTTACAATCGCTCTCCCCGACAGTGCCTGCTCTACTGACACGACTGAGGAGCCTGCGCACGCTACACACAACTGCTGCCACCGCGGCGGAGGCGTTGGAGGAAGTGGAGAAACGACAGGCCGAGATGGAGGGAGAGTTGAAGGCATGGAGGGAGGGATTGGAGAAGGTGGAGGCTGCTGTTGCGGGGGCTAACGAAGCCAATGGGCGGAATGGGGTTGTTGTTGAGGGATGGGTAAAGGAGATTGAAGGACGAGTGGAAGGGTTGAGTGTGTAGTGCTGTATTAATGGAAGAGAGCTCATATGTGTGAGAAATAGACTTTCGACGCACTGACGCTCCCTCTCTCCTTCCCCCACATCATCGGCCAAGCAGCGGACGACGCCTTTGATGCGCCTCGACGATCACGCGCTTCATTTTGCGCCTCGTCTTTCCGCCTCCCACTCGCATCTCCGCCCCTTCTGGATAGCTGGCCAAACCCAAGCTCCCCTTTCGAGCATCGAGCAACCGACCTGTTCTGACGCCTCCCTCTGCCGCCTTGCAGGCCCAGGGCCGTCAGCCGCATGACGACGTTGCACTGCTGAAACTCGAGCATGGCGTACAACCGCGGCGGCTACAACCCCGACGCTCTCCCGGCGTAAGTCCCTGATGCCCCTCCACCTCCACCTCCTGCCTACATACTGCTCCCCTTCGACTTGCCCATCATACTGACCCATCCTCTCCCCTCATAGACACGCCGAGCCAGACCAAGCGGCGCAAATGATGAATCCCCCACCGCGACAAAGCTCCTCCTCCTCCTCTTACAACAAGCCTCAGCCTCCGCCGCCGCAGCAGGGCGGCTACGGGAGACCACCGCCGAACCAAGGCTACGGCCAAGGAGGATACCCACCTCAACAACAGCAAGGCGGTTATCAAAGTCAAGGCGGGTACAACGACTACAACCAAGGCCAGCGGTACGGCCAGTCACAACCACAACAAGGATACAACCAAGGCGCCCCTCCACCCCGCCGAGATGCCTATGGCTCACCCCCACCGCCAGCCTCCTACGGCCAAGGCGGTCCACCACCCCCCAACTTCCACAATCGCCCGCCCCTCCCCGACCAACAGCGCCCACCCACCACCGCACCCCCTCGCGACGCCAACGACCGCGACTCCCTCTGGCCCCTCTTCCTACAAGTCGACAAGGGCCGCACAGGCCAGCTGTCAGAAGAAGAGCTGCGCCGTGCCCTCGTCAACGGCGACTACACCGCCTTCGACCCGCACACGGTCAAGATGATGATCCGCATGTTCGACACCGACCGCTCCGGCACCATCAACTTCGACGAGTTCTGCGGCCTTTGGGGCTTCCTCGCCGCGTGGAGGGGGCTGTTTGACCGCTTTGACGTCGACAAGAGTGGCAGCATTAGTCTGCGCGAGTTTGAGGATGCGCTGGTGGCGTTTGGATATCGCTTGAGCCCGCAGTTTGTGCAGCTGCTGTTTGGCACGTATGCGCGGACTCATTCGCGCGGACGAGGCGACGACGGCGAGCGGGAGCGGGTATTGTCGTTTGACCTGTTCGTGCAGGCTTGCATTTCCCTGAAGCGGATGACGGATGTGTTTAAAAAGTACGACACGGATCGCGACGGGTATATCACATTGAGCTTGTAAGTGACCAAGAGCATTCTCACACACTGACGACATGACGAGGCTGACTTCTGCAACGCAGCGAGGAATTCCTCACAGGTGCGCAAGGCCTCTTTCTCTTCAACTCCATCAGCCCGGCCACCGATACTGGACTTTACTGACGCTTTACGCTCATTCAAGAAATCCTCAAGCAACGATGAGCATGCCGGGGGTTTGCGTCGAGGCCTTGTTCGTTGGAGTATCGGCTTTGGCGCACGATGATGAGACTAATGAGCATCCTGAACGCGAGAGGTGTAACTTGCAACGAGGCTCACATGGCATGAGAGCGATCGCATGCAAGCTCGCGGACGAGACGATTGGCGGGCGTGGAAGATCTTCGGTGACCACTTCCAACTTACCTCGACAAGAAATGCTGCGAGGTGTTGAGTCGCTAGGACGGCGGACTGGCAGTGATGATGCGCATGGACGCCAATGGCAGGGAATCAAATGTATTACATATGCCATTACAGTACAGTACTTTCCATTATCGATATGCACGTCGTATAATCACCCCAGCGATCATGACGCAATGCCTCTAAGCAAAGATGAAGCCTTTTAGGACCGGTGATGCAGCAAACTCGGGGTTCAGTAATACACAGCTGGAGCAGCGAATCAGCATGACGATGTCCAATGCGTACGGAAAGGTGGCGACGTACTTGAGAAAGTGAGAGAGGCCCGCCCCTCTCGACTCCAGAAACTCCGGCCGGAAGCGACTGACCACGCTCTTGCGCGGCAGCTTGGGAATCATCGCTTCCGCATGAGGGAACGAGCGCACGAGGTCGAGACGCAACTGGTCGAATTCCGAGTACCTTGAAAACCCATCTCGTGAGCGAAAGTACGAACAAACCAATAGCAAAGGAAAGTAAAAACCGCCCTACCTCTTCCGAATCACCAAGTTCCCCCCCTTCAACGTCTGAATGGTGCAATGCCAAACCACATACGCTCCAACCCCCAACGTCGCCCCGGACACAAGCACGTAGTCGTCCACGGCCGCCGATTTCGCCCAGCAGCCTTGCGCCAGCTCGTCGCTTTCGCCCGAGTGGTCTTCGAGCAGGATTTGGCCGCCGGCGCTGAGACTCGCGTTGGAGACGCTGCGCGCTTGGCGCGGGGTTATCCCGGACCAGTAGGGGGTGTATGTTGGTCGGGTTGCTGGGGGGAGTCCTGTTTTGGTGTCTGGGGGTTCGCCATTGTTGGCCGCGGGTGGCGGGGGTTCAGCTTCCATCCATTAAGTTAGAGGATGCGAATCCGGGGTATTTGGCGGGTAACTTGGCCGGCCTCCTTGCGTCGGAGGCGCAATGTTCGTAGATTGCTTGCTGGTCCTCTTGGAATGAAGTGTAGCCGGGCGTCACATGCCCATGGCAAGAAGAGGCGCTTGACAGAAGTTGACGTATCAAACCGCGAGTTTTGGCACGATGTCGAGGCCGACTCACTTCGATAAATTTCCCGAACACTCAACACCGTGTTAACCAATCGACGCAATACTTGTGTTCATGGGCTTGACGACGACATGGGAAGGGGCCGAGCTCTCCACTGGTGATTTTGTGTGATCATGGCCGGCGAACGTAGTCCAAAGCGCCGCCGCTTCGACGACGAAGACGGCCATCTCTCCATCAAACCTCGATTTCAGCACCTCCGGGACGAACACCACCAGCATTCTCGTTCTGCCGCCAACTCTCGAGCCTCAACCCCGAGATCCTACCGAGATGGAACTCCCTCACGACCGCGCGCCGAGTTCGACGGGCCGGAAGCGGGTGTTGACGATGAGGATGCAGCGGCTTTAGATCGAGATTGGTACAACACGGCAGAAGATGGCGCAGTGCTGGGCGACGAGTCGCATAACCCTTTTGGAGGCACGGAAGATACAACATGGGCGGATCAAGAGCGGGAGCGCGAGTTACTCGAGAAGAAGATGGCCGTGCGATCGAGGGTCAACCCCAAGCACCTGCAACGGCAGAAAGACAATGATGCGTGGGAGACGAATCGCATGTTGGCTAGTAGCGTGGCGCAGACGCGAGATCAGTACCATGACTTCGAGGACGACAATGAGGATATTCGCCTGCATCTGTTGGTGCATGATTTGAAGCCGCCTTTTCTGGATGGCAAGACGGTGTTCACGAAGCAGGTGGATCCCATTTCGGCTGTCAGGGATCCGCAGAGTGATATGGCGGTCTTCTCGCGCAAGGGCAGCAAGGTTGTCAAAGAGCGCAGGCAGCAGAAGGAACGGCAGAAGCAGGCGCAGGAGGCGACCCGCGTAGCTGGCACGGCGCTGGGGAACGTCATGGGTGTCAAGGAAGATGATGTGGATTCTGCCGCGCCAGCTGCCAATGGTACGGAGGAGAAGCAGTCGAGCAACAAATTTGCCGAGCACATGAAGAAGGACACCGGCCAGAGTGACTTTTCGCGGTCGAAATCATTGCGTGAACAACGGGAGTATCTTCCCGCTTTCGCTGTGAGAGAAGAGCTGTTGAAGGTCATCCGAGACAATCAAGTCACCATTGTCGTTGGTCAGACCGGGTCAGGGAAGACGACACAGCTGACGCAATTCCTGTACGAGGATGGCTATGCGAAAATAGGAATGATTGGCTGCACGCAACCCCGTCGTGTGGCCGCCATGTCGGTGGCAAAGCGTGTGTCGGAAGAGATGGAGGTACCGCTGGGAGGGCTGGTGGGCTATGCCATTCGATTCGAAGATTGCACGTCCAAGGAGACGTCCATCAAATACATGACGGACGGCGTACTCTTGAGAGAATCGCTGACCAATGCCGATCTGGACCAATACTCCTGCATCATCATGGACGAAGCACACGAACGTGCACTAAACACAGACGTGCTAATGGGCCTGATCAAGAAGGTGCTGGCGCGGCGGCGAGATCTGAAACTCATCGTCACCTCTGCTACCATGAATTCCGAACGCTTCTCACGCTTCTATGGCGGCGCGCCCGAGTTCTTCATCCCTGGTCGCACATTCCCGGTCGACATTCAATATTCACGTTCGCCTTGTGAGGACTACGTGGATAGTGCTGTGCGGCAGGTGCTGGCCATCCACGTCTCGCAGCCCGTTGGCGACATCCTGGTCTTCATGACGGGTCAGGAAGACATCGAAGTTACCTGCGAGCTGGTCGCCGAACGACTCGCTCAACTGAACGACCCGCCTAAATTATCCATCCTGCCCATCTACTCCCAAATGCCCGCCGATCTCCAGGCGAAAATCTTCGACAAAGCCGCGCCAGGAGTGCGCAAGTGCATTGTCGCCACGAACATCGCTGAAACCAGCTTGACGGTCGACGGCATCATGTACGTAGTCGACAGTGGCTTCAGCAAGCTCAAAGTGTACAATCCACGAATGGGCATGGATACGCTTCAAATTACGCCCGTCTCTCAAGCCAACGCTTCTCAGCGAGCCGGTCGAGCAGGTCGCACAGGTCCCGGCAAGGCATTTCACCTTTACACCGAGCGCGCGTTTCGCGACGAGTTCTACATTGCGACGATTCCTGAAATCCAGCGCACGAATCTCGCCAATACTGTGTTGCTGCTCAAATCTCTTGGAGTCAAGGACTTGCTGGACTTTGACTTTATGGATCCGCCTCCGCAAGATACTATCACCACCAGTCTGTTCGACCTCTGGGCTCTCGGGGCGTTGACCAATCTCGGCGAGCTGACAGAGCTGGGCCGACTCATGACCGCCTTTCCAATGGACCCGAGTCTGGCAAAGTTGGTGATCGGAAGCTGCGGGACGTACAAGTGCAGCGACGAAATGGTGACGATTGTCTCCATGCTGTCCGTGCCGTCCGTCTTCTACCGCCCGAAAGAGCGACTCGACGAATCCGACGCGGCGCGCGAGAAGTTCTTTGTGCACGACTCCGACCACCTCACCCTCCTGACCGTCTACCAGCAATGGGTCGCGAACGGATCCCGCGATGGCTGGTGCGTCAAGCATTTCCTGCATCCCAAGGCGCTGAGGCGAGCGCAGGAAATCCGCAATCAGATCACGGATATCATGAAAAGCAACAAAATGGAGCTGGTCTCGTGCGGGTACGACTTGGACGTGGTGCGCGAGTGCATCTGCAGCGGCTACTACCATCAAGCCGCCAAGCGCAAGGGACTGGGCGAGTACATCAACTTGCGCACGAGTGTGTCTGTGCAATTGCATCCCACCAGCGCGCTGTACAATTCTGGCGATCCCCCGGATTACGTGGTATATCACGAGCTCATCCTCACGAGCAAGGAGTACATGTCGTGCGTGACGGCCGTGGACGCGCACTGGCTTGCGGATCTCGGAGGCGTGTTTTACAGCGTCAAGGAGAAGGGGTTCGATGCGAGGGGGAGGCGGGAGATCGAGTACTCCAAGCGCGAAGAGCTGGAGAGGGGCATTGCTGCTGATCGAGCGAAGCAGCTGAGAGAGAAGGAAGCGGCGGAGCGCGGCAGGGAGGCAAACGGTTTTGCGCACGAGAAGGCGGCGCAGTTGGTCAAGAAGCCTGCTGTGCCCAAGAGCGCTGGCTCGGCGGTCGTGCGTCCCGTCATCAAGGGCCGGAAGAGATAATAGCAGCCTCCCACTCTCCCCTCGTCAATGCATACTCCTCCCACCCTCTTTCGCCTCCCAACGCCCCCACGCCCTCATGCGCAAAGTTGCGCACGTACTTCATCCCCAACTTCGCCGTAATTGCGCGCGAACCCACGTTCGTTCCCAACGTCTCCGCCAGCACGCGCTGGACTCGCAGCTGCGCGAAGGCGTAGCGTAGCATTTCCCTTGCGCCCTCGGTGGCTAACCCGCGGCGCCAGACGGACGGCTCCAGGCGCCAGCCGATGATCGCGTCGTCGTGCGTGTCGTCGCTTTCAGCCGTGGGCCCGGGGGGTTGCAGGCTGAACCAGCCTATTGCGTCTGCGTCCGCATCTGAGTCTAGGTCTGCATTTGTAAGGAAAGCCACCCAGAAGCCGTGGCCTGGATGTTGCGCCGCGAGGTTCATCCGTCTGGCGTGCGCGGCGAGGACTTGGGTTTCATCGCGGGGTTGGGGGAACAGGTGATGTGTGACTAGGGGGTTGGAGTCGAGGTGGATTTCGAAGGGGATGTGCTGTTCTGAGAGGGGGGTGAGGTACAGACGCGGTGTTTGTAGCGTTGGCTGGGCGGTGGTTGTCGTGATGTTTGATGCCATTTGATGTGAAGAGTGGATCTTGAAGGCCCGGTTGGAGAGATGCGCTTGGTTTGTTCAGAAGTTGCGAGTAGAGGGAAGGGGCAATGCACTCGCCTCGCAGGACAGTGGGATGTTGGTGTCTACCTTTAGCGTAGGCAGCAGGGGCGGGGTCTCACAATGTGTTTGCCCGATAATCTATCTGCATCTGTTTCCGTCCTCTCTAATTTCACTCGACATACATTCGTGCTTCTCGTTTCGTTAACTCTCGCATTTCACTCATTAAAAATTTGTTGCAAGACCGTCTTGTAGCAATGCTGCGGATGCCGATGTTTCGCGCCCGACGGCAGGCCGTGTCGAAGAAAGACGCCAGCCTTGCCGTTCGCCTCGTCTTTGCACGCTGTTGATTGCAAATCAGCATCGCCATTCCGCATCAATACGAATAAAAGAGAAGAGGGTACGCCAACCATAAAGTCCATCAATAGAAGACGTCGGCCGGTTCGTAATGACATAGTCGTCAACAACCCACCGCCTCGACTTCCCATTCAGAACGCCGTACACCGGCACTGTTGCACCGCCGTCGTTGCCCAGTGATGCAGTCTGAAGCCCGTACTCGCCTGGGGGCACATTATTCTCGTTCTCCGCGACGGTGACGTTGATGCCCCAGTAGCGGTGCACGCGGTAGGACTTGTCTGATCAATAGGTAGTAAGCATCAGGCTGTAAGATTGGGGGAAGAGTCCATGGTGGGCCTCCTTACATTTCGGACCTGCTTGGCCGGGGATGTAGGTGAAGACTATGCGGTCTGCTGTGCCGTTTGTTATCGGGATGAGAGGGTAGTATGCGTTGTTGACGAGCCAGAGGATGTCGTATTCGGCGCTCGCGAAGGCGAGGAGTGCAGAGAGGGCGAGGAGGAGGTTAGCGGCGAGCATTGTGCAAAGTGGGAATGAGCATACGGGTTGCGGTGTAGTTTAGGCGGGACTATCATTCCCTTTTATGCTCGCCATCTTGATTCGTTTCGGGTGGGATGACAGGAGTGCGCCAAGGGCGAGGCTATGCATGGTGTGCTTCGCTAATAAATGGCAGTGGCAGCTCGCTACGTCGTAGTTGCCAGCCGGGCCAGCCACCGCGTCGCTTACTCATCACCGACACTCGCAGCCTCGTTTTTGCATCTCGACACAGCCGTGCGGAAATGTCTGGTTTCTCAAATTGCAATTCATAATCACTACTCAATCCTCCTCCATACTCTCCCACCCATTCTCCTCGCCCCCCTCCCCCTCCTCATCCTCCTCCTCCTCATCATCGTCATCATCGAGATCATCATCCCTCGACAACCCCACCAACCTCTCCTTCACTTCCCCCTCTTGCGCCACCGGCATCTTGACCCGCGTAGCAAAAGCCTCCCGGACAGCGCGATTCGTACTCGTATCCCACACCTGCACCGCGCCCTTGCTACCCGCAACCGCCAAGCGGAAAGCAACGGCATCGTCGGGCGCGAAATTCGTCGAAAACACCTTGCCCACGCCCAAGTCGCGCGACACGACCATGCTGGGACCCGTGGAGTCCGAAGACACGTTCCACAGTTTGACGGTGCGGTCGGGGGAGCCGGTGGCGATGAAGCCGGGGACTGCGGGGTTGAGCGAGAAGCACGAGAGGGATTTGTCGTGCGCTTGCAGCTGCCAGAGGGCTTTGCTTTGTTCCGGGGTAGCGGGGAGCTGCCGGGCGTCGAAGCAGTGCAGGATGCCGTTTTCCGTGCTCACGTAGAAGCGTTGCGGGTCGTGGGGATCCCATTGGATCTGCTCGACGTCGCTTTCGACTCCCCAGCGCGGACCGGTCGTGTCGGGAGCTCGCATGTCGGTTGCTACGATTGTACGGTCGTAGGAGCCGGATAGGAGGACGGAGGGTTGTGTCGGGTGCCAGGCGAGCGCGCACACTTTATCCGTGTGGTGGGAGTAGCTCTGCGCGGCGGTGCAGGTGTTCAAATCCCAGAGTTTGATGGTGTTGTCCGCAGAGCCACTGGCGAGGAGGTTGTGATGCGTGGGATTGACCGACAGCGCCAGCACCGAGTCGACGTGGTATGCGCTGTTGGCCTTCTTGCCTTTCTTCTTTTTCTTCTTCTTCCCGGCGTCTTCCTCGGACATGCCGCCCAGCACGGCGGTCGGGTACATGCCGTCCACCACGTCGAGATCCCACAGCTCAATCTCCGGATCCATCGTGCCCACCGCTGCGAAGCTGCCCGCCTCGCCCTTCTTGTGCGGCCGCGCTCGCACCCACTCGACACAAAGTGGCATGGCGGGCAACATGACATCGTGGTGCACATACAGATTATCCCCCTCGTCTTCGTACACGTACGTCTCGAGATGCGCCACTTCGTCCTCGATCCTCGCCGCGAGAAGCAGATTATCGGTAGTCAGGATCTGCAACTCCTCTCGCTCGTCGTCCGACACGTCGTTCGCCGCCAGCGTAATGTACGGATCCTCCTCGTTATTCGTGTAGTACGCCAGACCCTTGATATTGCCAAACAAACTGTCATTCGGCCCTGCTTCACCATCCTCTTTCCCCACCACATCCGGCTCGTCGTCGTAATGCTCCATATCGTACTCTTTCAAATCATCATCCTCCTCTTCCCGATCAACAGTCACACCCCCACCCTCACCATCTTCCTCCTCATCCTCAGACTCGTTTGCGGCGGAAGCAGCTTTGCCATCGTCCGCCGGCTCCATCATCCCCTGCCTCGCGCGCTCGAGATCTTCCTTCGCATCCTCCAGCTCCAGCTTCGCCAGCTTCGAAATGCGTGCATACTCGTCTTCGTCGAAGACATATTTCGTAGGGAAGGCGGCTGCATGGCCCCGTGGTACCCACGCTGTGGCTGTGATCATCGACATGGTTGGAGATGTGGTGGGTGATAATAGCTCAAAGATGCGGTGATGGCGGCAAGGCTTGCAACACTTTTTTTCAAGCCGCCGAAATAAGTCCGGGGATGCCAAGAGCTCGGGGTCTGCCATTTACATGCGCATGTGAGATACGTACCGTTTGACCGATAGATGTCGGGCACTGTAAGAATGTAGTAGAGCACGTAGATGACTTTTCTGTGTAGATTGTCGCAAACTACAAGCACCGCTCCAAACGCCCCCTTCATGCTTCCCCCGCTGTACACAACGGACACTGATATCTCTCCTTCTTCGCCGGCTTGCCATCGCGAAAGTCCGCATCGAGACACACGCGATGGAAGACGTGGCGGCACGAGAAGACGACGAGCGCAAGGCGGCGCACTTCGTCGCTCTGCGTCTGCATGCCCATCGCATCGCCTCCTTCAGTAGCGTGCAGCGCCGCGGGAACAGCGACAGCCTTGCCCTTCCCTCTCTCCAATCTTCTCGCCTCCTCCCCTCCGCTGCGCTCTACGTTCTTGCGCTTCCTCTCCGCCTCCCGCTCCTCTTCCCTCGCGACAAACTCATCCCAGACCGCCTCTCCGATCCCCGGCCCCCACGCCCGCAGCTTGCAAAACTCGCACACCTGGCTGCGCGGCCGCCACCCACGCTGCCGCAGCGTGTTCGCCTCTTCGATCTCGGCAAACACGTCTGCGCCCAGGAGGCCATTGCCGAGGGTCAGCACGCCTTCTTCGAAGGTGTAGGCGGAAAAGATGTCCGAGAGGACTGTGCGGAGGTCGGCGAGGGTGGGAGAGGTGGAGGCGGCGCGGGAGAGGAAGGCGCGGAAGACGCGGAGAAAGGTGAAGGGGTCTTGATGGCGGCGGGGACGATGTTTGGGTGGAGTTTCCTCTTCGGATTGCCGGTTTTGTTTCGGGGCGGTGGTTGCTGCTAGTAGGGCGGTGAAGGTTTGCTGCGCGTTGGTACGAAGCGCCGCTGCTACTTTCGATGTGTCAAACACCTCGCCGTTGCTCTCGGTCGGGTGCTCGTGCAAATACGTGATGGCCTGGTTCGTGTTCTTGGTGATTTGCACCACGACATCAACAAGATCCAGCCAAAGGTACTCATCCAAGTCCAGATCGTCTTCCCGGATCTCCCACGCGAAATTCGTCCGCGGCCGCGGCTTGCGTTCAGTAATGGCGGCCGTCTGGCCCTGGCACAACCAGATGCCCACCTTGGTGTATTTCTCAATGTCTTCGACGAGGTGCTGCGTCGCCTCTTCCATCGCCTGCCAATCCGGCACCTCGCTCGTTGACCCAAGAAGATTGCCCAGCGCATGCTGAAGTTGTTCCAGCTTTGTCACTAGCCGCTCCATACCGTCTCGAGCCAGACCATTGCGAGCAAGTAAGGTCACCGCTGCATCGACCACGCCGCTGCTTTCCAGAGCTGGCAACACTTCCGAGAGACGGAGATCGCTCGTCGGCAACGCGTCAATGTAGTCGGAGACGTGCAAAGGGTCATTGGTGCACATGAGCTGGACGTATTTCTCCGTGAACTGCGCCTGCTGTTCTGCCGCCAGAGGCGATGCTGGAGTGCCCTCGAGCTCGCGCAGCAAAGTCGGCTCGAGCAAAGCACGGAGAAAGACAAACTGTGTGTGCAAATCGGCGATGGCGACAAGGCTGGGCTTGAGCAAGTCCGGAGCAGATATGGCAATAGTGCGAGCGGTGGAGAGGGTATTGATAGCAATGAGGTCGTCATTGTGATCGCGGATGATGCGCTTGACGCTCTGAACCTGCTTCTGACTTAGTCCGGTGCTTGGACGCAGGCAGATTGCTATGCAGTCGAACACGCCCTGTTTGTCCTCGGGATCTTCAAAGTACGTCTCGAGAAGCTCATCGTACATTTGCGATCTTCGGTAGACCGACTTCAAAACTCGGTAGAAGCGCGCGGTCTTGAGACTCTCGATAACAGCAGCCACATCGGGTGGGTGATAACCTGAGAGCAAGTATTCCACGCTGAGTTGACAATCCTCCCGCAGATCATCTGCTGGCGGGTCACAGAGCTCATTCAAGATGACTGTGAAGCGTGAATCCGGCAGAAAGATCTGACTGGGATACTTGGGCAGGCTTCGCGCGATGAACATGTAGAGATAGATGATCTGCTCGCGGTCAAAGTCGTCGTGCTCCATGATTCGAAGGAGTATGGTGATGACGCGGTCCCTCGTCAGCTTGAAGACGGATCGGGGAGATGTGCCGTTCACGCGCGCGGCAGATCCGTTCATGGTGGGCTCATCGTCGGAGTCATTCAAGAATGCATCTTCGAAAGCTTCGTTCAGCATGCTCATAAAGCTGCTCGCATCGAATTGCAGCAGCAATACGAGATATGGGAACTCGGGCTCTTCTTCGGACCCGAATGTTGTGCGGAAGACAGGACTGTCTTTCGTAGGCCAGGGCACCGGTCGGCCGGAGAGCAGGTACTTGTACAGATCGATCTTCGCGCGGGTCGCTTCGTCCTCGTCTATCACGTCACCGCTTGGATACTTTCGTCCAGTCAGAGAGTAGGCCAGGTAAGGAAAGACCTTCATCGCCGACTCGTGGTAGGGATTCTCCTCCAGCTGCTCCGCGTCAACTACATCCTGCAACATCATCACCAATGACATGAGGTCGATGAGCGGCGTCACGAAGTCGCCAATCCCTTGTGTCCAGACGTAGATCAGAGCATCGTAGAGTCTGTGCTGCTTACAGAGCATCGTCACTTCGTCCAGGTCGTATGACCGCGGATCGAGTCGGCACAGCAATTCTTCAAGCTTCGCGCTCTCATTTTCCGAGATGAAGTGTGCTACTACGCCTTTGACGACCTCTGGCGGGATGCTCTTGATTTCGTTGTCCAGAACGTACGGCTCTAGTGTGGAGATGAAAACATCCTCTTCATCGGCGTCTTCGAAGATTTCAAATACCGCGCCGAACAGGTAGTCGAGTTCGTGCATGGCGATACAAGCGTCGAATGACACGACTGCAAGCTCGCGCAGCCGAGTGTCTCGACCGCCGTCTTCTTGTGAGAACGTGTAACTGAGCGATGCCGAGATCATCGCGACCAAGCGCTCCCGCACCATGCTATGCCTCGTCTCATCGGCATCAGCAAGGCCAATCGTCACGTTACTAGAGCTGCCTGCGTAGTACTCGGTGGCAAGTCGGATGGCAGCAATATGATCGCCTGCTTCCATCAGTGCCATCAATCTGTCAGCCCAGTTCGAGAGCGTGCCGACGGTCAGGTCGTCGAAGCCAAGAAGGAACGTGCGTCCTTTGTAGACGCGGAAACTCATGTAAAAGGCATCGGCGACGACTCCGTGTAATGACGGCTCAGCGGAATTGGTGTGCTCAACGACACTCCGCAGCTGCTGGGAGAACAAGTCTTGGTGATAGATATGTCGGTGCAGCAGATCGATGGAGTCGGTGACTTGCAGAGAACCATCTTCCAGAATCAGCAGCCGTTGACTGACGGTGAGAACGCCCAAGACGGATCTTCCAAGCCACTGGACGGCCACAATGGCTTCTTCGGCCCGCCAACGCTTCCGTGCGTGAAATTGTAGACTCGGAGTGCTCTTGGCATCGGTAGGATCCTCACCTCCAACTACAGTGAGGTCCAGCACGGTCAATATGTTGGACCAGCAATACACCAGTTTCGTCTTCGATACCGTGTGGTCTGCGTTGGCATTTGCGCGCTTTAACTTGACGGCGGGAAACCAAGCCAGACATCCGCTAAGCGTACCATGTGTCGATACTTCCTTCGGTCGGGGAGCTTTGTGCTGTGTTTGAGCGGTTGGGGTCGTGGATACGATGATCAGGAGGTAGGGCGTCAGCAGAGCCGTCAGTCCCATATTGTCCGTCGCCTGTTCGACATTGCCCAGTGGCAAGGGAGAGAACGCGAGGACCGAGCTGGGTTTGCGAGTGAGCTCTGCTGACGGATCGGCTGAAGGGTATCTCCCAAGCAGTCGAGTGGTCGTGATGGACCTCGTCACCGGACCCAAGCCGCGGGTGGCGAGATGCGCAAAAGCCATGCCAGCAGCATCTGCCGACACCAGGGCAGTATGTCGAGTGCCGAGAAAGCCGACGTGGAGGATGGCCGATTTGGCAATGTGTCCATCGGCGTGAGCACTCTGTTTCAGGACATCTCGATCGAGTGGCGGGATGCGCAGAAAGGGTTGTGATGGTCGATTGATCTCCCACGTAAAGATGTGTCCGTCGGCGTGACCGGCCGCAATGGTGGAATAGTCGGCTGCGATGGCAAGCGCAGTGATGCTTCCGCACTCTGTCGCTTTCGTGCCTTGCCCAATGATGATCTTGAGCGTCTGATGGTAATCGAAGCCCAGGATCAAGCCCTTTGTAGTACCAATGGCGATCAAAGCAGACACTGCAAGGCACGTCGGTCGGCCGAAGTTGCGTCTGCCTGTTTCGGAGAAGGCATGACCGGTAATCTTTCGCAGCTTCGTCCATTTGATCACCTCCCACGGCGCTTGGGGCGTTTCACTCCCAGCAGAGCTTTGCTGTGATGAGATGTGGGAGACCTGCGAGGAAAGAGAGATGCGGCGAGAGTGTGGACTCAAGAAGCCTGGGGAGTCTGCTCTGAGAGACGCCGATCGTGGGGTGGATGGTCGGGCTTCGAAACGACGCTCGAACGGCTGAAGAGCCGCAGATACCTTGCGGCCACCTACGATATTTCGAAGTCTCGGGGAAGCGGTTCGTCCAGGAGAAGACTGGGGAGTGCCATGCACAGACGGGGAATCATCGGTGATAGAACCAGATCCCGCAGGACTCAGTTCTGGAGCCTTGGTCTGAATTGGTTCTTCACCGGGTTGATCGGCCAGGGTTTCGGGTCGTTCTCGAGTGATTTGCGCATAGTCTTCCTCCAGCAATCTCTCATCTTCAGCATCCGCGCCGTCATCTGGAATTCCCTCGCCCGGCAAGGGCGCGTCTGCCAGCCCAGCCTGCTGTATCTGCTGCTCTTCTTCTTCTATAACGCCGGGCAATGCCCCATCCTCGTCTCCATCCGCCCTTCCGTGGGTGTCCCGCGTGGCCTCGTCCGCTTCTATGTCCTCGTTCTCCCCGCCAGAATGGCTGCCTCCAGAGATGGAGCTCATCTGCCTACCCGCCTAACGATCATTGCCGCCCAGCAATGGCTGTGCTCATGTGTATGTAGCCCGCATCCGCCTATTATCGCTGGCCGGAGCTTCCTGGTCGTGGGGGAGGTTCGTCTAGGGTGGGGTGGATGGGTGGAGGTTAGGCAGCGATGCTGGTGCAGCTGCGAAGTGCGTCCTTGTCCGGGAGAGCGCGAGCCTTCTCTGAGCTCCCTCTCTTATTCTTCCAACCTTCTGGCAGGCTGTCACGATTGGGGAAGAAGAGAGGTTGTAGGGGACGGTCTGAAACGGGAAAGTCTACACGCGCGTCTATGCATTTCTCGATTCGGCCTGCCAAAGTCTATTTCTCACACTTACAACCACCACCGGCTGCTCGCTCTGACCGTCCAACCCAACACCAAAGCCATGTCGGGAATAGGTCCAGCACTCCCTCCACACCTGCTGGCCAAGCGAAAACGAAAGCAGGAAGAAGAAGCGGATAATGCGACGCAAGCAGCCTCCGGCGCAACCGCCTCTTTGAGCCCGGGCGATGGCGAGAAACGAAGGAGAGTGCTGGGGCCCGCGATGCCTCCTGCGCCTCTTGACGAGCGGCCTGAGCAACCTCCGGACTCTTCAACACGGTCTAATAGCGATAGCGATGACGACGATGACTATGGCCCCGCGTTACCATCTAGTTTTGGGAATGGGGTATGTCTGGCACGGCATATGCGTACTCAACGAACGCTTCTTCGCACTGACACATTCCCAGAACGTAGGCGAGGATACGAGTGATGCAGACAAGCATACTCAAGCTGAACAGCCAGAAGCAGCCCCGAGAGAGGAGAAACTACAACGAGACGAATGGATGACGATGCCACCCAAGCAAGACGATCTGGCCGCTCGACTGGACCCCACGAAACCACGGCCACGGGGCTTCAATACGAGCAAAGGTGCAAATGGACCAAATGCAGCGGCGGCCGATGGTAGCGCGTGGCATGAGACTCCTGAGCAGAAGCAGAAGCGTCTTGCAGATGAGATGATGGGGGTTACCACGTCCAACGCAGATGTTGAGAGTCGGGCAACCAAAGGCCCACGGAAAGCTGCTGATCATGACACTGCGAGGAAGATCAAGGAGCACACGGTACGTTCTGCCTCGTTCGTATGGCTTTTCTGAATATTGGTGACTAACGTACAGGACAGGACAAGATTCGAGGGCCGTCTTTGGTACACCAGCATCAAAGCAGCCAAACCCGCGAGCCAGACGACGATCCCAGCGCGCGTGCGTTTGATCGAGAAAAGGACATGGGTAGTGGTGGACGCCTGGGACATGCGGAAAGGAGGGAGATGCTGAACAAGGCTGCCAATTTCTCGTCCAAGTTCTCCGGCGGTAGTTATCTGTGAGAGAAGGGTAGCACTGCGCTCACTTGATTGCGGCTTGAATGATGTCTGAACGTCCATGCTGTTGCTCTTTGTCCAATATATTGTGTTTTGAGTACATCCTGTCAGTGAGGGTGACGGCGCTAATAATGACCCTGCACCTGCCACGCCCCCGATGGCTCCTTCCTGAAACGCTCCGGCAATTGGACTTTCCGCGCTTGGCCCAGCCAGTCCAGGCCCCTCTCCCAATCGCCGCCACCCATCAACCTACCACCTCTACCTGACCTTCATCCTCCACCTTCGCATTCACTGCGCCTTCTCGTCCTCTGAGCCAACCTCAGTCCTTCAGCGCCCATTCTTCTCCATCGAGCATTGCTCCCGCCGTCGCCGCGCCTGGCCTCCCTGCAAGGCGCCTCCTCGTCCTCCTGTTCGCTCTCGCGTTCACGTTCATCACAACTTCATCGCCCTAGATTGCGCCTTTCCGACTTCCGGCATCCAGGGCTGTGGAGTGTGCTCCAGGAGCAATGGCGGTACTACACTTCCCCGCGTGGCTGCACAGGCGGCAGTCGAACAACAATGGCAATGGCGGACTTGGTTACGCAGGCGGATCGTACAACGGGTATCCCTCGGGCCATGTTCCCTTCTGGTACACACCGGTATGACCTTGCAAAACGCATGCTAGACGGGCGAGTGTTCTGGGCTAATCAATCGTATTTGTCTACAGGCCGGTCTAGCAGTGCGCTACGGCATCATCGCCGCCCTCTTCTTCATCGTCCTCCTCTTCTTCGTCGGCGGCTACTTCCACGCCCAGCGGCGCATCAAAAAGGGCAAACAACCCCTCGCATACCACCGATGGATGCTGCGCGCTCCGGCATACAATGCGCGCCCCTATCCGCCGCCCGGAAGTCGCCCCGTCTATGCATACTACTCTGAGCCGCACAACAATAACTACCAGATGGAGGGCTATCCTCCTCCGCCGCCCGCGTACCACCATGCCGAGGCTTCACCTCCCGTGTACGCGCCGCCGCCCGGGGCGAGTAAGGCAATGGCGGATCAAACTTTCCGCGAGACCACTCGGGTGGGAGAGAGTAGTGGTGGGGGGATGAGATGAGAGGATGACGGCAAGATTGGAGGACATCTGCATCGAGACGGCGAGGGAGTGCGAGCGCGCGTGAAGTGATGAGCGCTGGGATGGTAGTGCGAGCAGCATCAATGCCATCGTTGGGCATTCGGCACCATATGGGGAGCATCAAGGCCATCACTCGCAAGTGGCGAGCATGGTATTCACGACCTGGACAAGAGATCGATTTTCCATAGCGGCGGCAACACGTTCTTTATCCGCGAGTTGCTTGTTGACTTCGTCCTGCAATCGTAGTCAGCGAAATGTGCAATCAGGTAATCGGGTTGGTGGAGAAGCCATACCGCCGTCTGAGAAGTGCCTTCCTTGATCCGCACGTCGACTCTAAATCGTGGGGGCAAAGCCTGGAGCAGCCGCACCTTCACCCCCAATCCAATGACGGTGGTAAGAGAGCATGCGGAAGTGGTTGGGGTGAGCAAGACGGTGACGGTGCTGATGCGAGAGCGGGGTGAAGAGGGCGCGGCGATGGCGATATCGCCGAGGGTGATGACGCCGAGCGAGCCGAGGGAAAGAGGATGCTCCGGGTCGGAGATGGAGGAGATGAGGTCGTACACTTCCTGCTCGTCGATTTCCTCTCGGTCTTCTTCGTCATCGGATGACAGGGAGGAGTGGTCGACGGGGAGGGGGTGCACGGGCAGAAGAGAGTCGAAGAGGCCGGCGGGCTTGTCGGTGGCGAGTTTGGTTTGACGGCGCGAGGGGAGATCCGAGGGGTTGAGGATGGTGGGGTTGGCGTTGTCCTTGTTGTCGACTTCCATGATGATTTGGAGGCGTGTAGCTGGCTTGGTGGGTTATGATGAAGGGTGGTGTTGGTGGTGTTGAGCACGTTGATTGGAGACGTGCAAAATCACACTCGGCCGAGTTCGGCAGGTGCAAGACGGCATTACTCATCCATCGCTCGTTGACCCTCGACCCCACATTGCCGCCAACGGGCGATCACCGCGCGGGCAAACCCGGGGCTCCGATGCTGCCCAGGCCTCGGAGCTTAAAATACCAAGGAGGGATGAGTGGATGGGATGGGGGATTCGCAAACAGTAGTGGGGGCAGATTCATTAGTAGTCGTGGCCTGGCCAGCCGCGGCATTCGCCCATCGCACCTGCCGCTCGTTGAGCATCGAGATGCGTGGGACGCATGCCCGTCTGCTTCATCCTCCTCCTTCAATACAATCATCCATCACTGACGGCCATCGACATCCCTCGCCGATCCGGATTCCGGAAAAAGAAAGCGCCACGCGACCAGCTCGAACCACTGCGCCTGCCTGCACGTGAAACGTTAACTTACTTTGCTCTTACGTGTGGCGAGTAGGGTTTGCTGGGTTGACTGGCTGGCGGGTTGGCTGGCTGGCTGGCTGGCGGCCGTTGCGCGCGCAGCTGTCTGGACCTCGCTCCCAAAGGATCGGCATTGGCGGGCCTGACTACAGGATCCAGCGGCACACCCAGGCATCTCCTCCTTCGTCTGCTCCCCTCCATCAGCAACAACAGGCTGCCCTTCTACCTCTGGCCATCCTCCGTCCGCTCCATCGCGGCAACCCCGTTTTTCGCCTTGGCCTCGCTGCGACAGTGGCATCGCCACGCTGCACACGCACATCACCCCACCATCCCGCACACCGCACCCGCATTTCCCCTCTGACCACCTGCCCGATGCCCTGCCCATATCTCACTTCCCGTCACACGTGCTCGCCTGTCTCTCATGTCCTGCTCTGATTTCGCCCAAGGCTCGGCACTCATGGATCCACGTCCTACCGCTTCACCCCCGGCGCTCGCGGTGGGAAATAATGGCAGCAGCAGCATAAACAACAGCAACAGCCACATGAAGACCTATGTGCGCCGCCCCCTACCCCCTCCACTTCTTAGATATGGCCACGCTCACTCGCCTTCTAGGTCTTCGTCGACGAATACAACCGACACAAGCGGTTAAAGGTGATGCGAGCCTGCGATGGCTGCAGGTAATTCTCCCCGCACTTCTTCCTCGCACTCCCAACCAACCCACTGACCATCGCGCTCTTTCCCCACTCAGAAAACGCAAGATCCGATGCGATGGCGCACTTCAAAACGGCCCTTGGCCGTGTGGTGCATGCGTTCGACTCAAACTAAAATGCGTGCCTCCCACCCTCGACGGCGATGAGGACCAGCAGCAGGCTCTGGATGGCTTCTCCTCTTCATATCAATATTCTTTCCAGGGCTCGCCGCCTATAGAGCCCGACGCATTCGCCGATGACAGCCCCCCGCCGCATGCCGCCCCCTCCCAAGAATGGAACATGGGCGGCACGCAAGGCGCAGGCATGAGCACGATGGGTCCCACCTCTGCACCTGCCTTTCCAGCTGCGATGGATCCCACTGCCGCCTACCCCTCGCACCACGTCTTTCCTCAGCACCTTAACGCTCCCCTGGATCCCATGTACCCCGATGACGACTTTTTCACTTCAACCGCCACTTCCGCCACCTCTCCGTCGAACCAAGTCCCTACGCCGAACCAGGGCCGCGCCTCCGCCGTCTCCCCCAGCTCGGGTGGCGACCCTGACGAAGTAGATGCAACCATTCGAGAGGTCTCCGAGCAAATGGGCGGCCTTCACATCGACCTGAACTCGGTTCCCAATTACATTGCCAATGAAAAGAAGATGCTTGCTGAGACGCCAGCGCTCGAGGAGCCTGAGATGGCTCTACCGCCTTCCCTCAGCACTGATGCTACTCTCAGAATCCCCCCGGAAATGATGCCCAGCGAGGAGCGAGCTCTCGATTACTTTGGCTATTATTTCGATTACGTCCACCCATATGTCCCGGTTCTGAACCGCGAGAAGTTCTACGATCAATGGCGCACCGCTCGGGCCACAATTTCTCCCCTGATTCTTGAAGGAATATTTGCCTGCGTCACACACTACCTCGAGGACCCGCTGGAAGTGCGGAGATGGCTGGCTCTGGCATCCAAACACGAAGATGGCTTCAAAGATGCCCCGCGACTGAGTACCGTGCAAGGTCGCATGATCATCCTGAAAGCCCGCGAGGCTGGGGCGCGAAGAGGCTACTATTATCGTTCGTGGATGGATCTCAAATTCACGGCCAACATGGCTATCGATCTCGGCCTCGATGAGCATTACGACCAACACCGGGACGGCAATAACTCGTGTCAGCTCAGCCGATCGGAGTGCCACGTACGGACGCGCATATGGAACACCCTCTTCCTTCTCGAAGTCTTCATGGGCGGAACTCAAGGGCGAAGCGACTATTCGGTGGCTATCGACACGGTCGACTTTTCCATGCCCACGCCTTGTCCAGACGTCAGCGACTTCGACTACCAATCCTCAAGGCGCTTGAGCTGCTTCAACCGCGTGATCGGGCTTGCCAAACGTTCACATAACATGTGGCTGGAGATGCGCAAGAACAAAGACATGGCACTCGACCCGGCGTTTGTGCAACATAATGCCAACATTCGCGAGTGGCCTCACCAGCTGCCTCCTGATATGAATCTGGAGTACACCACCCCGGACGGGCCGGTGGCTTTGAATGGCAGGCACTACGTCGCGAACATGCACATATACTACCAGCTGCTGGTGATTTTGCATCACAGACCGCAGCTGCAAGCGATGCTCGAGCATCGAAACCCGGGCTTCCAGCGACATATGGACGACTGCAATGAAGCCGCATCGATCATTTGTCGCCTGCAAGAAGCCCTGCATCGCGACTTCGGACTGCATGGATTGCAGTTTATGCAGAGGGGTCTGGGATTCACCATCTATGGCATCCTGACAAGCACGATGCTGCATTTGGTCAGTTGTACCGCTGTACCGCTTTTTCTTCGGACTGGCTAATCATTCTCTCACAGGCTACCATTACCGCACCCGATGCCGTGACCAATGCCCGCGCACGCATGTACTTCACGCGACACATGCGCCTCTTGGAGTATTGTCTTCCCAGTGCCCGGCCGGAGCTGCAGCCGCAGATTAATGCACTCCGGGAGGCGTTTAGCCAGGACTTGACCAAGCCCTTTGAGCTGAGAGCCGGCCTCAGCCCCCGAAGTCCCCCACGAGACAATCAATCAGCATCGCCGCCTTTCTCCCAGCAGGACAACAGGAGTGCGCCATCCATGGAGACCGCGGAGCCGTGGACCAATATCTCCAACTACACCTCCTCTTCAAGGACGGCGAGCGATGCTAGTCAGTACAGCACGGCATTCGACGACATGTCCGCGCAACCCGGGATGCCATACCCGGGTACCGATTTCAGCATCCCCACCGCCATGTCCTCGTACCCGACCGCCCCCATCCATCTCCACCAACAACCCACCTCCGCTCCCCAACAATCAGGCTACGCCCTCGAACAAGTCAACAGCAACGACCGCACAACCCAAATCTGGGACCCATCCGGCATCTTCAGCCAATGGAACGCAGCCTTCGGCCAACCCCCGCCGCCCTCTTCCGCAGGCAATGGAGCCGTCATGCCACATCAACAACAGCATCAACAGCAACAGCAACAACGACCAGCACCAACTTCCAACCCCATCCAACAGCCCCGCCTCTCCACCCCCCCAGCCTCGGCCATGGCCCCGCCACCCCACCCGCAAACGTCGCCTATGCATCACCCCTCCGCTGCGGGCTATAATCAGCCCTTGACCCCCGAAATGGGCATGCCCACCGTCACGCCCGTCATGTGGCAAGACGTCTTCTCCTCGGCGTACGCAACTGGCCAAGGGCGGAAGCGGAATCGACAGGAGAGCGTGGATATGAGTATGTTCAACCAGTATCAGGATCGCAGGGGGTGAGGCATTTCTAGACGACAGCGTGGTGGTGATTTTGTTATAACGCTGCAGCGGTAAAAGAAGGGGGAGAAGGAGAGATGTATGGTATGAAGTGTGGCACGATTCCCACGACCGAAATCTCGCGACGTTTTCTTCGTTTTGCTACCTTGTGCTACTTTCTTGGGGAGCATTGCATGGAATGAATCGCGGTGCGCGGGTGGAGGCACGCCTTGCGGCATGTTGCTGGCTTCTGCGCCGGGGATATCTTCTTTCGATCTCGGGGACTCCGGCTCTTCACGCATCGTGAAGATGGGACACGTCTTCCACTCCCCCAGATATCCTTTCCAAATGCCTCCATGGTCATGATCAATTCTGGTGCCCATCCAGCTCAACTCGCCCCTCCATCCAACATCCCCGTCTCCTTCAACTGCCGCAACAAGTCCGCCTCCAAGAACTTGCCCACGCCCACATCTTCACTTAGCCCCTTGCGCCGCCGCGTCTTGAGCACGAAATCCCGCGCGGTAGCCTGCGCGCTCGCCGGCTCCAGCGGCCGCAACACCACGCTGCGATCCAACGGGTCCCCGGGCACGATATTCCAGCGGTCGAACACGAGCGACAGCGTGACGGCGCCTTGCGTGTGGATGCGCAGGTCCGTCTCGAAGCCGAAACTGTCGATCACGGGGATGAGGCCTTTGACGCTGTACAGCGGCGTCCCCGGGACGGGCGCGTCGCTTAGCACGTGTCCGCGCCGCCGCGCGAGGACGGTGTACAGGCTGCTTACTGCGCTGGCGGGGCCGAGCATGGTACAGGCGTAGACGGGCTCCATGAGGCGCGGCCCGGCCATGAGGAAGGAGGAGTAGCAGGCGCGGCGCGCGGTGGGGATGATTTGCCCGCCGCCGCGGAAGATGGCTTCCGACGCGAGCTCGACATCGGTGAGTTTGAACTTGGCGTTGCGGATTGGCTCTTCGCAGAGCGGGCCTTCGCGCGTGCCCCAGGCGAAGCCTTGCCGGATGCCGTCGCGCACGCCGCGGAGGAGCTTCGGGTCGATGTCGGAGGGGAGCGTGTCGTTTTGAAGGATGTTGGGGCCGCGGTCGTCGGGGCCAAAAGCCCAGATGTTGCGGCTGGCGAGGAGATCGTAGCCGTAGTTGTCTTCGAAGAATTTGCCGACTTTGCGCACGGGGTCGCGGATGCTGACGCGCCCTGTCTCAATGTCTTCGGCGATGCCTTCGTCGAGTGGCTCGGCGACGAAGGTGAGTTTGTTCTTTTTGTTGGGCGTGAGGGCGTAGCATTTGATGGCGCTTTGGTCGACGATGGTTTCGCAGAAGCGCGTCACGGGATCGGAGATTTTGACTTCCATCTGGGCGTAGAGTTTGCGGAGGTCGTGGAGGACACAATCCATGTATAGCTCGCCGGTGCCGAGAACAACGTGCTCACCGCTCTCTTCGACTTTGGTGGTGATGAGGGGATATGATTTGTTGATTTTGCGAAGGCCGTCCAACATCTTTGGGAGTTCCGACGGGTTGATAGGCTCCACGGCCACTTTGAAGACGCTCTCGAAGAAATGAGAGATTGGCTTGAAGATGTATGTATCTTCATCCTCTGGCAGCTTCGGGGCTACAATGGTGGCGGTCTTGACGATGCTGCCATCGACTCCTCCGAGGAGGACAAAGTTACCCGCGGGTACTCCAGACGTGGGGACATTGTATCTGCTCTCCGCGATCCAGACTTGCTCGATGGTGGCGTTGACCATATCCTCTTCGTCGTCAATGCTATAATTTTCACCAAGTACCCGCACTTTGTCTCCAGGCCGTACGGTGCCACTCATCACTCTGCCAAAGGAGGTGAATCCTTGCGCATCCTGAGTGTTGAACAGTTTCGTCACGTGAACGACGAGCGGACCATCCGAGTCGCATTCCAGCATGGCTTTTGTCGTCTGCGAATCCAATGGCCCGGTGTAATAATTATCCAGCTTCTGCTTCGCGCCTTCCACCGGGCTGGGTACATGATCGACAATCATATCGACAAAGCCAGATGCCGGACCAAAGAACTGCTCACAGACCATTCGAAGCAAATCTTTCGCGTTCGACTTCAACTGTGTGGGCTTGAGGAACACGCCCAGCGACTGCAGCGTCTTGTTCAGATCTTGTGGACTTTCGGAGATGGTGTGGGAGTATAGCTTGTAGATCGGTTCGAGGACAAAGTGGACGAAACTTCGCTTCGCGCGCTCCTCCACTGCTTTGCGGGTGAACTTTCGTGATCGCGGGTTGAAGAAGATGTCGCCCCAAAGCCTCCTGCTGAATTCGTGGCTGTTGAACTGAGCATTGGGATAGCTCTCGGCGTACATCTTGGAGAAGGAGGGGAGGGTGAAGCACCAGTCCATGGAACTGCACGAGAAGCAGACGTTGCCTCTCTCGGGACTGACTCGGAATTTCTCGCCGCGGCCAGGAACGGCGTTTTCAATGGCTGTGTTGACCTCTTCGACGACGTGCTTCAACTTGAAGTAGGCGTCGGTTGGGGGAAGTTTGAGCTCCAAGATCAAGCGGTCCATCTTGTTGATTAAGAGCACAAGCGGCAGGCCAGCGAGTATAGCGTGTTTGATGACGAGCTCAGTCGTGGTTTGCACTCCCTCCACAACATCGACTACCAGGACGACACCGTCGACCAGTCGCAGAGAAGCGGCAACCTCGTCGGCGAAATTGACGTGTCCGGGAGTATCGATGATGTTCAGCAAATGGCTTTTTCCCTTGGTGCCTGGCAATACCAGACTCATCGGCGAAGCCTTGATCGACAAACCCCGTTCTCGCTCGAGGATGTGGGTATCTGTATATCGCAACTGCTCCTCTCGCGCTCTGCCATGCTTACCGTGCAACAGTTTTGACGTGTCGTGTGTCTGCTGCACAAGGGTATCGAGGAAGCTCGTCTTGCCGTGGTGGAGATGCCCGCACAAGGCAACATTTCGCACTTGCGCCGGGAAGTTGACGAGATCGGACAAGAAGGCGCGGTCGAAGTAGACTGGTGGAAGATCCTCCTCTTCGATTGTGAACTTCTTCTGCTCGATCGGCGCGACGATGGGCTGTTGCAATGTCTGCGTGTCCTCCTCTTGCACCAATGTCTCCACATCCGGGCCGTATGTTTGTTGCGCCGAAGGATAGTATTGTTTGTCCTCGTGTAGGACGACTGCATTGGATGGGCCTTCCTCGTCCACATCCATCAGCTCGTCCCCAGCTCCGCCGGCGGATTGCGCATCTCCCTCATCATCGTCAAGGTATTGCGCTCCATCGAAGGTGTTGCCATCTTCCTCTTGGCTGTCTTCCTCGGGCTCTCCAATGAAGTTGCCAAACTCGTCGTACAGGTCGTCCATCCTGGTGCAATGGGGAGGAGAGGGGGGAGAAGGGAGGAGAGGAGGGTGTCGGGCGCCAGATGTCAATCGGTGCGGTGCCTTTCACTCGTGGCGCGAGAAAAAGTTCCCAGATGTGGCGCAGGCAGAGGCGCTTAGCGCCGAGTTTCCCGCCGGCAGCCACAACCTTAAACTCGATATCTAATCCACCGTGCGACGATGCCAGCGCTCAACACTTTTTAGTCGTGATTCGAAGTGGGGGAGCTCAAGAGGGAAAATTCGATATTCGCCAGACCGGATCGACTCACGCTCAAACACACACCTCTCTGGCAGCAAATCGTGGTCGACGACCGCACAGTCATGGCTCCCCCTGCGCCCGTCTACGTGCTCTCCGCCGCCCGAACACCCGTGGGCATGTTCATGGGCTCGCTCTCCTCTCAAACCGCCATTCAACTCGGCTCGCACGCAATCAAAGCGGCCGTCGAACGTGCTGGAATCAAAGCTGAAGATGTAGACGAGGTCTTCTTCGGCAACGTCCTCTCCGCCAATCTCGGACAGAACCCCGCAAGGCAGTGTGCGATCAAGGCTGGCCTACCCGAATCCACCGTCGCCACCAGCATCAACAAAGTCTGCGCCAGCTCCGTCAAAGCCATGGCTCTCGCTGCCCAGTCCATCATCTGCGGCACCGCCGATGTCATCGTAGCTGGTGGAGCGGAATCCATGAGCAACTCCCCGCATTACTTGCCCACATTGCGAGCCGGCGCCAAGTTTGGAGATCAGAAACTCGTCGATTCGTGTCTACGAGACGGACTGTCCGACGCCTACTCTGGCGAGCACATGGGTCTCCAGGGAGAGGAATGTGCAGACGATCACGGCTTCGGACGCGAGGACCAAGACAAGTACTGTATCATGTCGTACAAGCGAGCCCTTCAAGCCGAGAAGTCCGGGTACTTCAAGGAGGAGATTGCTCCCTTTATCATTCCGGGCGCCAGAGGCAAGGAAGACACAGTGGTCGACCGAGACGATGAGCCAAAGAATTTCAACGAAGAAAAGACCAAGTCCCTCAAGCCGGCTTTCAAGAAAGAAGGGGGAACTGTCACTCCCGCCAACGCCTCTCCCTTGAGCGATGGTGCAGCGGCTCTCGTCCTTGCAAGCGAAGACTTTGTCAAGAAGCATCAATTGAAGCCAATTGCGAAGATTCTTGGATGGGGTGACGCCGAGAAGGCCCCATCCAAATTCACCACTGCCCCCGCTCTGGCCATTCCCAAGGCTCTGAAGCATGCGGGCATCAAGTCGGACGACGTTGACGCGTTCGAGATCAATGAGGCCTTCGCCGTTGTCGCCCTGGCCAACATGAAGCTCCTCAATCTGAAAGACGACAAGGTCAATCTTCACGGTGGTGCGGTGGCGTTGGGCCATCCTCTTGGCGCCTCAGGTGCACGCATCGTCACGACACTGTTGGGCGTGCTGAGGGCGAAGAATGGCAAGATTGGATGTGCGGGCATCTGCAATGGAGGCGGTGGTGCGTCGGCGATTGTGCTCGAGAGGCTCGATACGGAAGGCAGTGCGAATGGCGTCAACGGCAGCTCGTGAGGACTAGGACGAAACGGCCTGAAAGCAGACTGACTGAATTCGAGCGAGGATATCACTTGTGCATTAGGCTACGTCGTGAAGTGTGGACAAGCTCTGAGTCAATTTGTCGATTCAAAAGCAGTTACGAAAGGCACTCATGCTTTTCTTTCTCATGTTCGCCGCTTTCTACATGTATATCTCCAGATCGGCATCAGCAGCACTTCTCGCGGCCGTTGAAGCCGCCGGATCCGGTCGCCAATGTGTGCTGGTGAGGATAATTGACATACTGTCGTTGAGTGGGGTCGATTGGACCCAGGGGTGGAAAGTATGTGTTATGTTGCTGGCGCCTATTGTTGATGTTCGCAGGCGCACTCTGCCGCCCAGGGTGCGGTAATTGCTCGTTTACGTTCGGCGGTGGTGGATTGCGTCCGTTCCGTTGTCGAGATCGATCGTTGGCGTTCGCAGGTGGCGGGAGGAGAGCAGGTGGCTGGAATGTGGTTCCGAAGCTCGAAGATACACGGTCCCCGTACGTGTGATATGTCGCATCGACGTGTGCTGCATGGGTATAGTTGACAAGTCGCGATGGTCCATGTGAGCCATGACCAGCTACCAGCCGGGGTCCTGCTTCGTGTCAGTGACGGTATAATGAAGGGACGCAGTAGTACTTGCCATCGGCTGATGACTGCGCTGCGTTGTTTGCTGACCAAGGAGGCGTGTTAGGCGAGCTGTTCCGTTGCCCCTGATGATGAATTGGGTACTGCTGTAGCTCTGGTAGCTCGGATGGGTAGTGATGTTCGATGTCTCCTTCTTGAGGAGGAGCCGGTAGCGGCGCGGCATCGCCCAAGGACTCGAACACACCTGAAGCTGGAGCTGCACGATGAGTTGCGCCCGGAATGGCGCTCCGACAGCGACGGCGCTGGGCCGCCACACGGTGAGGGTCTGGAGAAGGCGGAGGAAGAGGGGTGCTGGTAGAGTTGCCTCGATGCGTCCTTTTATCAAGGCCTCCTGCCATGGTATGATATTTGTATAATGCGACGTGATGGGAAACTATACATTGTAAAAGGTCGATGAGAAACAAGAAGGCTGGGAGGTCAAGGAAGTGAGCTGCGGGCGCGGCATATACATAGTGAGTGATGGGGGAAACTTGGAAGCCGGCGGCATGCAATGAAGGCGCTCCAGTCAAGGAGTCTGGATTTCTCGCCTTGAATAAGCGCTCACGCGTGACTGCCACCCTAGGGGTAAGATAGCAGGTGGACAGCCGATTCGATGCCTCGCATTTATTGATATCAGTCTTGCGTCACCGGCCGTGGTTGGAATCGCACCTCGGGCTCCACTCGAGGCCGCACCTCTGGGAAGACTCGAAGCTGCATTTGCCCTCTTGGACTTGCTTTAGAAACACACAATCCGCCTGTGCAATCCTTGGAGAGGTCATTCGCCGCCCATAGTCCGCGGTACCGGGCCGGGCAGTAGAAGTCAAGGGAGGTAGTATAGACAACGTAGCCCCGTAGATGCTATAAATGGATGCAATCAGCAGATGATCGAGTCATGCCTCAGTATATTACCGAGCAAGTAGAGTGCGAGCAAGCAATGGAGCTCCAGAAGTGAGGCGGCCGGTTTTTATAGAATCGACGAGGCGAGCACTTCCGAAAGCACAGACTGAACAGTGACAGGGACAGCCAGTGGCTCGCAAGCGTTGGTCAAGGCTGGTGAAGCTTTTGGTGGATTCCGCTTGGTCAAGGTTGAGTATTGAGCTCGCGGGGATGCTCAACGCATCACTGGATTCGGCAGATCACTGCTAAATCGGTGGTTGAATGGATATATGAAGATTTACGCCCCGTCGTAGGCGCAATGGTCGCCGTATCAGCGTGCGACTGCGAACCAGGCCGGGCTGCGCGGAAGGCGGAGCCATGGAGAGCGGCCAATAACAGGAAGTCTTTTTCCGCAAATGAGGCGGAAGGTATCACAACAGCAGAGTTCCAAGTTTTGGGACTCATGGTTCGCGGATGATATGTGATGGTTGCGAGGCCTTTTCCCAGCACGTTCGCAGTACGTTGACGTGAAGTTGCCTCGCGAGGCCAGAGACTGAAGTTCAGGCTGTCGGTGCCAGACGCTTGACCACTTCTGGACTAGTCTTGCGACCGCTAGTCCCCATTCAACCCTACTACCACCTCCTCCAACCCTTCACATCTCATCTACACCGAATCAGCATCATCCATCACCCGCCCACTCTCAACATGTCCTCCCCATTCTGGACCATCGGCTGCCTCTCCGGCGCCTCAGCCGTAATGCTCGGCGCCTTCGGCGCCCACGGTCTGAAAGCCCGCATCAACGATCCGACTCGTCTCGCGAATTGGGGTACAGCCGCTCAATACCAGGTTTGCCATCGCCGACAGATCCTCGCAGGAAAGGATGACGTACTGACTCGCTGTCTTGGTAGCTCATTCACTCCGTCGCTCTGCTGGTAGCTGAGCAAGCTGCGCCGAAGAACGTGTGGGCCAAGAGCTTCTTCCTCGCGGGCATCACGATGTTTTCGGGTAGTATTTACTGCTTGGTGCTGGATCCGGCGCGGTTCAAGTTTCTCGGACCCGTCACGCCGTTGGGAGGAACGTGTTTGATTGCAGGTTGGGTGGCATTGGCTGTGGCGAGTCGGGGAAGGATTGCGATCGCGTGAAAGGGGTGAAGTCATTAGATTATCTCTGACGCAACTCCTTCTCATGTTTGCAAGGCATTTGGATTTGTTATGTGATGGTAGCAAGTTTCTGATAAACTTCTCTCGAAATAGTTACAAGAATGAGGGCAGCCATGTCAGACTACTCGTAGTTGTGGTACTTGATAGCCACGGTGAAGTCACGCATCACTATCACCTAATGTCGTGGCCACGCCCTTCAACAACGCTTAGAACTCCCAGTCCTCGTCGACAGACTTGATAGCCCAGTCGAACTTCTCGCGCAGCGTCTTCGAGAAGAAGCGCTCGATGGGGACGTCGAATTTCTTGCTGAAGACCACGGTGAGGCGTGGGTCGATGTAGTTCTGGACAGACAATTAGCAGGGGGTCGACAGGAAATTTGCACGGATGACGTACGATCTTCGAAGTACCCAAGGCCACTTCTTTGTTGTTCTCTCGATCCTCACTTTGCGTGTTCAACGTCGCGATCCGCTGGTCCAGCTTCTTGATATTCTCCTCGTACTTCTCGACGGTCGGACCTTTGCCCTCGGGCTCAATCTTCTTCGTCTTTCGCTCCTCCTTGAACTTCGCCTCGAGCTCGTCTGCAACGCTCATGCGCTCCTCGAGTTCCTTGGCTTTCATTTCCTTCTCGCCCTCGGCCACCCGCTTCTCGTTGTCCTTCTCAAACTTCTTCTTGATCTTTTGGCGTTGCTCTTCGACGAGCGCCGCTTGATGCTCCTTGACCCAATCGTTGTCGAGGCCGTCGGGGAGAGCGAAGAATTCTTCGCCTTTCTTCTTCTTCAGCTTCGGTTCCAGGCCGAGCATCATCTGCCTGATGCGGTATTGCTGGTATCGCAGACCATTGATCTTGTCCTCCATCTTCTCCATCTGCGTGGCATGGGTTGCTGCGACAGTGCGCTTGTGGTTACACAGGATGGCGACCTTGCGATTGGCGTCGTTGTAGTCCTTGACCTTTTCGATGATCGGCTTTCCGGCGTCATTCTTCATTTCTTTGAGCAGATTCGACATCGTCCAGGAGGCATTATACGTTCGGAAGACCTTGGCGGTCAGACCAGTCATATAGTTGGAGAGATGCTTGTTGAGTCCAGAGGTCGTGAGACGATCGAAGATCTCGTCGCCATCGACTTTCGGCGCGCGTTTGAACAGCTTGAGGTTCTTGAAGACTTGCGGATCGACCTGGACCTCATCGTAGAAGCGGATGGAGTCTTTGCCGAGGAAGTCGAAGATGACGGTGTCCGGAGGACGAAGCGTGACGTGCTCCATCTTGAGCGAGCAGCAGCCGACGGTGTCTGCCTCATCCTCTCCTTTCTCGTTGCCGGCACGGAGAGCGAACTGATCGATGAGGTAGACTGCAGTGGCTCGCTGCCTTTCAGCCATCGTCTCCGACTTGAGCTCTTTCTTGTAATCCTTGCGAATGCGATCGATGTGTTTCTTGAGCTCACGCGCCTTTTCGAATTTCTTGTAGTCGCTCTGGCCTTTGATATCGGAATTGGCCGCCAACATCACATACTTGTATGCATTGTTGATGTTTTCCTGCCACATTGCCAGCCAGGTGCCCTCTTGATCATGCTTGACTTCTTTCCATTTATGGCCTTCGGGCGGCTTCGGGACGGTGGCCTCCTTTCCGATATTGATCGTGATCTGCTCGGGCAAGACGCGCTTCTTGAATTTGCCGGTCTTTGGGTGCTCGCCGCGGCCACGGAACAGTCCTGGAGGTTCGACACGGAAGTTGCCAACCTTCTGCTTACGGCCGTCCCACATGCAGTGCATGAATGGCGCTTCTTTCTCATCCTTCTCAGCCTTGATCTGTTTCTTCTCGGCGGCAGACAAGGCTTTCTTCTTCTCCCGCTCCGCATCGGTGTAGTTGAAGATGGGCTTGAAGTCGCACTTGTCAAATTTGACAATCTTCACTTTGTTGCCGTCCTTGTCTTTGGCGTGCCCTGTCTTGTCAAGCATGTCCTTGAAGTCGTTGAAGAAGTTCTTCTGGAAGGTCGGGTTCTCGACGTTATGAGCAGAATTGAGCATGCTTCCAAAGGCATGGGCGATTTCCTCGGCATCTGGATGCATGGAGACGGGAACACCCTCGTACATCATCTGGACGTGTTTCGGAAGCGGCTCGTATTCGGGTGGGAAGACGACACCGTTGTGTTCGAGAGTGGTCCATTTGATAGTTCCGTCTCCTTTGGCAGGGTCTTCCCACCACCGGTACTCTTCTTCCTCCGCCTCCGCGTCGGCATCGTCCTCTGTCTTCTCAGATTTCTTGACTTTGGACTTGCCTTTGGCGGGGCTGGCATCTTCCTTCTTGACCTTCTTCGGTGTAGCCTTCTTCTTCAGTGGCACATCATCCTCATCATCGGATTCACCCTTTTTCGCCTTCTTTGCAGGAGCCTTCTTCCTCAAGGGAACATCATCGTCGGACTCTTCCTTGATCTGCTTCTTCGCGCTCGTCGTTCCATTGACCTCTTTCTTCGCTGGGGTCTTCTTCTTGACCAGAGGCTTGTCGTCATCATCGTCGCTGTCCACCTTCTTGGCCAACTTCTTCGCTTGCGTGGACTTCTCTTCCTTGCGCAGAACTTGTGCTTCCTTCTCAGCCTTCTTCTCGATCTTGGCCTTCTCTTGTTGAAGCTTCTGCCCCAGGGGAACATCGTCATCTTCTGAGTCCTCTCCCATCTGCGCTGCCGTGGCGCGAGGAGGCTGCTGCTGCTTCTTCACAAGCGGTACATCATCGTCCTCGGAGTCGCTGGCGGGCTTGGTCTTGCGTCGTTTCTGAAGAGGCACATCGTCTTCCTCGGAGTCACTCGCGTCTTTGTAGCTTTTGCCGTTGGGCATGGAGGTCTTGCGCTTGGTCGCGCCGTTCGTGGTAGGCTTGTCGATGTCCATGTCGTCGACCGGGCCCATGGCCAGGCTGATGCCGGGTTTGACGGCGCCGTTGCTCGTGGGGAGATCATTGTCCATGGCTTTGTCGGTGGATTTTGAGATTGTGCTGTCTGACTTGGCTGGTAAAGGTGTCAGTGAGGCCACGATGAGCGGAGCACGTGCGCATAAGTGGTAGGAGAAAAAGTGAGATGAGACACGCTTGCTGACGCGCTCAATGAAGGAGAAGCAAACATACCCTTGATGAGAGGCCTATCGTCCTCTGAATCCGACATCTTGACACCGATGAACGGCCAAGGGCCTCTGGAGGGGGTGGAGGTGGATGAATGAGGTGATGGTGAGGTGATGCGTCTTTGGTGGACAGACTCGACGCGTGCTGGGGTGGATCACGGGAACCAGCAGTGAAGACGGCTAAGTCCGTGAGCACGTGGGTGGAAGCCTATTTGCAGGCTGGATCGGAGGGTGGTGCGAATGGGAACGTGCAGTAGAGACTGAGGATGAAGGTGTGATGAGGATGGAGACCACGGGGGATGAATGAAGAAGGGAAAGGGAGTTGAAGGTGGAATGGGCAAGCGTGGCATACGCCTCACGTAAAAAGTGCCTTAGAATCTTCGAGGCAGCTGAGTTGTGATTGGCTGGCGAGCAGGGCCAAGACTTTTGTCACTCAGACTTCAATGGGAGTGAATGTGCTATTGTTTGGGATTGTTTGCTGGAGTGAAGGTCAGAGTGCTGAGGGTTGGAGAGCAAACATCATTGCAAAGTCCTTGTCCATGTGCATGAACGGGTCATTGCTTGCATATTGTCGCCTCATATGTCTTGTCAGACATTGTTACAGCAGCATCGACTTTTGTCACGCTCCTGCGTCCACGGGGCCGAACGGGCTTGGCGCTCGGAAGAGCAACCTCAGAGCTCCTCGCTCACCACACACAGCATTGCACCTCCTCCTACCCACCCCTCTCCATCCCGTTCCATCTCGCAGCGCCCACGATGCTGTCGAGAGCTGCTCGTCCCGCCCTCCAGGCTGGCTCGGCGGCCGCCTTCCGGTACGCACGCCCCTCCCACCACCCAAAAGCAAATCCATTGACGAGCTAACTTTGCACAACAACAGCCCGGCAGTCGTCGCCCTCCCCACCCTCCAAAATGCCAACTACGCCACCCTGCGCGAGATCGAGGGCCGTCTCAAGTCCATCAAGAACATCTCCAAGATCACCAAGACGATGAAGATCGTGGCCAGCACCAAGCTCACCCGCGCGCAGAGGGCCATGGAGGCCGCGAAGAAATACGGCGCCACTTCGCAGCAGGTCTTTGACGAGGCCGAGACCAAGGAGGCGGAAGACAGCAATGAGAAGACGCTGCTCGTCGTCTGCAGCTCCGACAAGGGCCTGTGTGGTGGTGTGCACAGTGGTTTGTCCCGTGCCGCGAGGAAAATGCTCAACGAGAAGCCCAACGACTACGACATCGTGGTCCTGGGGGAGAAGTGCAAGGCGCAGCTCAGCAGGAGCAACGCCAAGCAGATTGTCTTGAGCTTCTCGGGCATTGGCAAGAACGTGCCGACCTTTGCCGATGCGGGCGCCATTGCCGACCAGATCTCCCTGCTCCCTACCGAATACAAGAACACCAAGGTCTTGTACAACAAGTTCATCAACGCGCAATCCTACCAGCCCATTGCCATTGATGCTTACAATGAGGAGACCATCAGCCAATCTCGTGCGTTCTCTCCCCTCGCCGCCTCTTGTTCGCTGATGCTAATGGATTACAGCCAACTTTGCCCAGTTTGAGATTGACGATGAAGTGCTGGTCAATCTCAGGGAATACGCGCTCGCCAACGACCTCTTCTGGGCCCTCGCCGAGGGACACGCCGTGGAGCAGTCCGCCCGTCGCAATGCCATGGACAACGCGTCCAAGAACGCCGACGAGATGATTGACAAGTTCCAAATCTTGTACAACCGAACCCGACAGTCTGTCATTACTGGCGAATTGGTGGAGATTATTACTGGTGCCGCCGCCAGCGAGGACCAGTAGAGTGGAGGGTGTTGAATGAGGTGCAGGTGTACATGTAGATAAGGTAGTGAGGCAGAATCTCATTTGTTAGAACAAAGCTCCTTTGCTTGTGCCAATAGATGTAGGCCGTCATGTCCAAGGCTGTTCGAAGATGCTGCCGCGCCGTCAGAGCCGTGGCAGTGTAAAGTCCAGTAAGACATAGCAATCACCTATCTGCTTCGAACGTTCGTGGAATCACGAATGATGTGAACCGTGAACGATGCGTCTTTGCACGCTCATTTGGTATGCAAATCCTGCTTCTACAGCGAGGCCGGGCTTGGAACACTGCAATGCCAATGCGATAATACATTTTCCATGCAACAGATACGCTGATTCACCCAGGACTCTTCTGCGCCCTCTCCTCCGCCGCCATCCTCGTCTTGTACTCCCTCGGACTCTCCAACTCCTTCTTTCTCTGCCCCAGCATCCTCGCCACAATCCCCGGCTGCTCCCACATTCCCACCTTCCGGCTCTTCGCCGCCTCCTCCGCAGCGCGGTACTCCGCCTCGCGATTCCCAAACTCGCTGCCGAACTTCGCCTCGTACACCGTCGCCAGCCCTCTCTTCAACATGTTCAAGCCCACGTCCGTTTTGAAGAAGAACCATCGTCGGCGATAGACGGAGCACACCACGCGCCCGTACTGATCTTGACGATACGGGTACGTGCGCACGTATTGATGTAGGATGAAGCTCTTCAGCCACTCAATCGCCTCGCGGGAGTATGGCTGCTCCGGGCGTCCGAAGTGCGCGAGTTCCGGTGCATCGACGCCCGCAATGCGCACATGCATCGTCTGCCCCCTCACCGCCTTACTCGTCATATCTTGCACTTTTCGGCCGGGCAGCCAGCCCCAGCCCATCCATCGCCCACCCGGGGTATGGAAGAAGTGGAAATTGTCCCCATCGCCTACGCGCGTCACGTAGCCATAAAAGTTGCGTTTGCGGAAGAAGCCTGGCTTGAGGTAGTCCACTGTGGGGATGCGGCGGAGGTAGGTCTTCCATAGGCGGATGAAGGCGAGAGTTGTGGCGGTGGTGAGGATGCTGATGGTGATAGTTTGCGGGGTGGTGTAGTGCGACCAGTCGGTTGCGTTGAGGTTGTTGTTCCATGTCCCGAGTGCTGCTGGTTTGGAGGGGTGGGGGGAAGAGGGTGGAGGTGTGCTGCAGGCGGTGGTCGAGGCCTGGCTGTCATGATCTTCGCGGTTTGGACTCTGCCGCCAAAGTGTGGCCCAGGACGGCCATTGCATTTTGCAATGCCACCCCCGGATGCAAGTCAATACATGCAGGAAATAAAAATGAAGTCGAGGTGGTGACACCTGAAGTCGATGTGGCTTGCCCGCAACCCTAACGCGCGTGGCAACCCTAACGCCCACGCCACGCTTCCCCGCAAATTTCAACCTCACATGTCCGAATCCGGCAAAAAGTTGGCAATGAGATAGAATCTCTCCCCCGGGTGGGCTATGAAGTTGTTAATACTTTATTCGCATTGATTAAGGACGTCACGTGATTTACCTTGAACCACCAACCTTCCGGTATCAGTTTAATGGTTTCTAGCCATCTTAACAGCCGAACGCGCTAGCCAATTGCGCCACGGAGGATATAGCGTTGCGTTGAAGCAGAATTGTTTATGTACCGCTTTTTGAAAACAGCCGGGGTTTATCCGGGCTTCAGCACCACCCTTCTGCGAGCGTAGCATACCGTACTCTGTCGATCAAGTCCGAACGGCTCGCAATTGCGTAGGGATTCAGCAGCAATTGAAAGAAGATGGAAAAGCAACTGTAGAAATACTCAAATGTCGTGCGGCCAGTAAGCGCTGGAAATACAGTGTCAATCAGGCATGTTGATGCATTCCACAATTGCAGCTCGCCCGGAATGGCAACACCACTGTACTCAACATCTGTTCGTTGACTATCGACGACTAAGTTGAAATCCGAATAGTAGATGGGGCGGTAAGGTTGTCCAGGATATTCTTTTACGTCGTTTGTATTGTTCGTTCGTTCGAGTTTAGTTGTTTGATTGATTGAATCGTCGAGTTCGCGTCGAATCTCAGCGTCATGTACTCGACTACCCAGTAGCAGGCGTATGGAACAATCTCACGTTGCACAACTCTGAAGGTACTACTAGACCGTCGTTGTGTACTTGTTATGCGTGTAGCTGGAGAATGAGCTTGTGAATGACAACGACCCCCGGCGATTGAAGTCACGTGTACCGACAAGGCTTCACTTCAACAAACGGCGCGAATACGTTACACCGCACAACTCACTGGCAGGAGGGGCCGTGCATTCGGTGTTACAAGTGAGTTTTGTATGGACTGGTCTACACTCACTTCTCGCTCATTGCTTTTCTGCCTCTGCGACATCTCCCTCTTCCTCTTCATCGCATCTACCAATATCATCCAGCAACATGGCCGACCAAAACACGAACAGCGATCGCAGCGCCGACAACAGCAACAACAACGACAAGCCCGCAACATGGGAAATGCGCGAGAGACGACTCCCGCCCCGCGTACGCATCGAATCAGAAACCATCGACATGATCCGACGCGTGGCTGGCGATCCCGCGGAAGTGAAGCGAGCGCAAGACTCCCTCGCGGAAGCGATGCCACAGATCATGGCGCAGATGGAGGAATATAGAGAGAGAGCGAGGGCAGAAGCAGAGCGCAGGGAACAGGCGCGGATTGAGCATGAGAGGCAGATGGAGAGGGAGATGGTGCTTGTAAGTCTTGCTAGGCTGCATTGTGATTGTGAGACTCTCCTGCTAATGACTCTTCCACAGCGAGCGATGCCTCAGACCGATTTGGCGTGCTTGCTGTGTCAACTCGACGACACCATCACGTACGCCGACAAGAGGATCACGTACACGCACACAGAGCTGAACAGGCATCTTTCTGGCACGACACACCGGCGTGAAATGCAACTGCGTCGTGCGTTCCGCATCGACGAGGACGACGAGGAGCGAGCGCAGTGTCCGATTTGCAAAGAGAACATCCAAGGGGCTGACGCTTTCGTTGCGCATTGTGAAGAGGAGCATCCGGAGCAGATTGAGTTTTGAGTTGGGTGGAGAAAAGCACGAACGAGTCTGGGATTGTGGACATGAGCCAGTCATGTACCCTGAGATCCTACTACATAGTCCCATCAGGCGCAAAGCTATTAAACGCCGGCATCTCCGCGGTCAAGAAGACATTCCAATCAAAGTCGGAGTTGTTGATGACATCAAATGCCCAGTCCTCCCCATTGCTGAGCGTTGTCGGCGATGTCTCGACGGCCCCAGACACCACCTCCCCATCCACCGGCGGCTGCGGCGTAGTCACCATCGAAAGATCCGCCGCCCCATGCCCTTTACTCGCAGATCGCTTCAACGTCTGCCCGAGAATGTCGGAGTCTTCGTCCTTCCTCCGCTTCGACAGCCGCACGAGCGAGCGCGCCATTTTCAGCGCTTCTTTCGAGGAAGCGGTGGGGAAGCGCTCGACGACTTCTTCCAGCACCTCCAGCGCGGCGGAGATGTGCGAGAGGGATTCGCGCAAATCCATTGCGAGGAAGACGCAGATGGCTTGGAAGGGGACGTTGGCCATGTGCCACCATGGCACGCCCGTGCGGCATAAGCGCTGAGCGGCTTCGACGGCGCTCAGGCCGATTCGGATGATGCTGTTGGTGATTTCGGAAGAGGGGTTGGGGTTGACGAGGCGGATGCCTGGGAGGGTTAGTGGGAAGAGGAGGTGGTTCGTACAGCTCTGTCGACTTACGGCGATAACCACACAAGGCAAGGTTGCCCTTTGACATTTCGATGGCATCGTGCTTGGATTCGTATTCGTCCAGCTGGCGTAGAAAGTCCTCCCATTGTGACTCTGACCGCTCGGGATCGAGGAAGCAGGAGAGACTGTAGAGGTTGAGATAGTCCAAGGTGTAGTCGCCGTCTCTGGGAGTTGGCAGCTGGGTGGTGATGCCACGCAGGGTCACTCGACTCCGGCCGTATTCGAAACTCACCCAGGTATTGATCATTCGAGCGGACCAGAAGGTTCGTCGCCGGATCTCTGCGGTTTGGTGGCCCTGTACGGTGATGGTAGGAGGGTGCAGCGTGGTGTTACTCGTTTCCTCGTGCAGCCCGATGGCTTCGACGAGGTGCATGACGATGCACGTAGCTGTATGACAGGCGTGAGGATGCCCGGTGGATCTAAGATACATGCAGCGGAGGAGCCAGGACTGCACGTCGATGACGTTGGGCGGCTGCATCAGACTGGTAGCTTCGAGGGCCTTCTTGGCGGATTCCAGCAGCATGGGTATGCGTGAGTGCAGGGAAGCATCCCCGTACAAGGAGCCGACTGCGGCCAGGTTGGCGAGCAGGTGGTCGGGAATGGTGCAGTGCTCGGGCTGGGCCCAGCGCATACTGATTTGCTGCAGGACCCACTCCTTGTCGAGGAAGCCGTAGAGGAGGTGTATGTGGTTGAAATGGGCTTTGGCGAGGGCGTACATCTGGTTCTGGTCGAGGAATTCGGTGATGGGGGTTACGGGGGGTGGAACGTAAGAGACCATGCCCAGATTCCAGGCGAAGGTGAAGAGTTTCGGGCCAAAGGAGGGATCCAGGCCTGGGGATAAGGGAGGGAGTAAGCATTGAACATGAGGTAGGGTGATGCAACACAAGGCAACATACGCTGACCCAGGAGTCTTGTAAATGCGATTCCCGAATTGGCCTCCATGGAGCGAGTCTTCAGCGTGTCTTCGGCGGTGAAGCGGTCCTGTGCAGGGGGTTCCGGGCGGACGTAGTCGGGAGACTGCTCGTGATGCGCATTCTGCTCGACGAGCTTGGAGCGCTTGCGCGGATGCTTCTCAAAGTAGCATTTGTACTCGAACTGGCGACACATGTTGCACGGCATGGCGCCATCGCAGCGGCGTTTGCGCAGACGGCACGGCTCACAGGCCTGCTTGGCTCGCGGCCGCTTCTCCCGCGCCGGGCTGGACGTCTCGCCATCATCCTGACTGACGCTGTAAGTGTCCATTATGTGGGATGTGACGCACGGGTCATATTGCTCGTCTGCGCATGCTGGGAGGTCGAGAAGAGTGTGCACGTCTGCGGCGAAGCGAACCTCGAAACCTTACGCCCATCGCCGTATTCGCTTTACTAAGCAGCCTGATCGACACACCCGCGGTATGGGCTTGTCGGGGATAGTCTTGCCTACAATGGTTGCAACGAGATACTAATAATGGGGATAGACGTTCAATGAAAGGCATCGTAACCACAACCATTCTGATCAGAGGCGGATAAATTGGCATAATCATTGGCAAGGCAGGTGAGGTCCGACACGGCTTATGTAAGGGTTGCAGCGCACGGACCCCCTTGGCGCCGTCCGTCTCCAAAACAGAGCGTGATGTGAATGGAGGAGATCGGATGCGCGACGAGGAGGACAATAGATGCATACACGCGTTCCAAGCACCCTCTCTTGACCCATTCCCTCGTTCTCCTTCCCTCTGTGACCACCGCATGGTCTACGTCATCGAACACCCCCTGTGCAGCGATGGAGAGCCGGAAGCGCAAAGCGTCGAGCGCGCAGTCGCCGCCAACGGAGGGCAGCGCATCGAAGAAGTTGAGGTTGCTGGTAAGTTGGGCCCTCCTCCCCTCTCCCCTCCACTTCACCTCCACCTCCTCGTCGCCTCGCCTCTCCCCATCTTATCTCCCGCCATGCAATCTCCAGTGCGCACACGAGGCGCCCGGCGACTTCTGCATCATCCTCCATCGCGGCAGGAAGAGAAGATGGTGGGAGAGTGAGGTGGACAAGCATGCACCCTACCAAGCAAGCCCCAGGCGCACGCTACACCACCCTCGACTCCGCATCTTGCCCCTCGTTTTCCGCAGACCTCCCACTAACCCCCGCCGCCCTCGTCTAGAACTCCTCCGCAGCCCCGCGAAACAGCGTACAAGAGATTGGACAGCGAGTGGTTCAACAGCTGAAGGGTGCGACAGACAAGACGTGCGTATTGCTAGCTCTCTTGCATACATCAAACCGGGTACTGATACCTCCGCACAGCGGCCGACTGATCGCCATCGAATTCCTCGAACTGCCCGACCGCGATGAGATCCCCGAGTACTACGACTTCACCAAGCTGCCCGTCGCTATCGAGACCATCGAGGCCAAGCTCAAGCAGAATGCATACCCCACCGTCTCCACCATCGAGAGCGACTTCAAGCGCTTGGTGCAGAACGCAAAAGACTTCAACGACCCTGGCAGCCTGATCTACGAAGATGCCGAGCGCATACGGAAGTTGGTCTTCAATTTCATGAAGCAGAACAACCCGGCGTACAAGGAGAATCCCAACTATTCCGCCTTTCCGACGCCCATCCCTCAGCCATCATCCACAGCCCTGCAGAATGGGAAGCGGGAGACTGAGAGCGAGGATGAGCCCCTTCCAAAATCGCGCCAGGCCAGCGAGAAGCCCAAGCGAGCTGGAACGGAGCAGTCCGACCGGAAATCGTCTGCTGCTCCAAGCGCTACCGACCCTGATGCGGACGGAGAGGAAGGTGGCGAAGCCATGGAGGTTGATCTCGACTTCACTGGCAAGACCTTCCAGGAGGCCCAACAATTGATCATCAACCACCTTCTCCACTACATCGATGAGTGCGTCTTTGCCAATTAACTTGTTTTACAGTACATAGCTAACATCTCTCAGTGGCGTCGAGATATATTCCGTCTTCGCCAACCTTGTCAGCCGCAAGCTGGAGGACTACTACAAGGTCATTCGACACCCGGTGTGCCTCAAGGGCATTCTGAAGCGCACACAAGGCATCCACGGCCGGGCGCCGCCTACTGGACAGACCGACTTCAAGACTTGGGACGCTTTCGAAGCCGAGATGAGTTTCATCTGGCGCAATGCCAAGGTATACAATGAAGATGAGAGCGACATGTATAGGCTTGCCGGGGAATTTGAGGTACGTTGCTTTGCGCAATCCCTCTTTGACATCGTCCTAACTTCCTATCTCTAGGAGCACGTCAAATCGATTCTCGCCGAGGCCAGGGAAAAGGTCGACGAGCCATCGGGCCCCAAGATCAAACTTGGCGGACCCAAGCCCAAAGTCACCCTCAGCCTGTCGCAGCCTCGTCACTCTCCCGCGCCCACGCCTGGAGTGGCCATTGACAACGAATCCCTTGCGCGTCAACGACAGATGGTGCAGGCGGGCGCCAGTGGCCAGACCAATGCCCCTCCCGTCAATCCGCTTGTCCGCGCCGAATCGGATGCAGTGCGGCCTTTGAGCAGTGCGCGATCCGGCTCGCCGGCAGTGGCTGCGGTCAAGTCAGAGCACACGGCCACCCATTCACCTGCCCCCGCGCAACCTCCACCACTCGCTCAGCCTCATCAGCCATACACCAACGGCGTCATGGCTCCTCCAATCGTGCGACCAATGAGCGGGAGTCCCTATCCCCTCCAACCACCCGCGATCAGCCATCACTACACCGCCCCGGCTATGCTCCCCCCAATCCCCATCCGCCCCTACCCACGCGAAGCCGCCATCCTCCCCTCCGTCACAATCACCACCCACCCCAACCTCAAACTCCCCCACCCCGTCACCCTAACCATCACCCCGCACCCCACCCTCTCCCACCAATCCACCACCACCACCCTGCCCTCCGCGCACTACTTCCTCCAAATCGCCGCCACAATCTCCAAGCAGCTCTCCATGGGCCGCGCGTACAAGATGTTTGTGTCTATCAATGGCACCCGGCTGACGCAGCGCGATACCCAGCTGCATCCTGACTCCCACCGTCGCACGCATGTGTATGAGGGCAGTCTGGCGCAGGGGGTTAACCGAGTGGAGGTCGAGGTTGCTACTGCTAGGGAGAATGATGAGAAGGGGTTGGATGTGGAGAAGGTGACGGTGTTCGCTAACTTGACGAGGTGAGGGTGGTGTGGATTGGATGTATGGTTTGAGGGTTGGAGTTGAGCAACATTCGATCTCATGTGTGCGCAGCGATACCCTGCAGTCTCACGCCGGCTGAAACATCATTCGTATTCTCCCACTCATCTCGAAGCCACAACGGCTCCATCACTTCGTCGTCAGCGATTCGCCCTTCTCCGTCTTCTTCACGATGCGACCACTTCTTCTCACCCCTCCACTTTCGCCCGCAGTCCCGTGCGTACCCACACCACTTCCCATCCCTCCGACATCCTTCTTCGCCGTGCCGACTCCCTTATCCACCTTCTTCGCATCGCGCAGCAGGCCGGTCTCGTCGCAGTCCTCTCCACCGTAGAAGGTCACCACGTACTTGAACAGCAGATCGCGTTCGCCCGTGCTGATGCCCTTGGAAAACGCCAACATGCCTTCGCAGTCTCGCAGGTCGACGAAGCCGTGTCCGAAGCGAGGACCAGGCGTGTACTTGATGTTTTTAGTCGCAGAGTCGAGGATGCGGATGGTGGATGGAGCGACGGCGAGAGAGAGGAAGAATGCTTCCGATGGTGTAGTGCTGATAGTGGGGGCCGGGCTCTTGCGCGGCTGCACACGGCGGATGTACAGCGTTCCGACGTTTGGCACGGCGTATTTGAAAGCACAGGACTGCCCTGCTCGGACTGGAACGAGGGATGAGGGCATAAGTGGATGCGCGCCGCTGAACGAGTAGTTTCGGCATGGCATTTGGGGGGTTTTGGTCGCTGTCGTCGTCCGGCGATCGTTGTCCTCATCCCAGGCGTACTGCCTGATGCGCGTGGCGATCTTCTTCAAGCCTTCGATGACCGCACGCCACGCTGAGGGCATGCTGGCGGCGACACTCATCAGGTCGAGAATGGGGATGTCGTGTATGATCATCTCGATGAGCTCCGGAGGGAAGGAGCAGGCGACGCTGTCGACAGTGCGGGCCATGTTGGCTAGGTTGAACTTGTCGTCGTGATTATGGTGTGATGGATCAAACTGGAAGGCCTCGTCGCTCTGCTTTTGAGCTGCTCGAAATTCAATGTGCGGTGCAAGTTGGGGGAAAGGTGCGTTAGGCAGGGACGACGTGTAAGGCAGGAGCGAACGAAAAATAAGTGGGGCGGTAACGCCGACGCGCAAGGCTGTGGAACCGCGAATTCACCGTGCAGCACAGAAGACAAAAGGTAGGCAATGTACACGCAGGAGCTTGTCAAGGTATGCACACTTCAGCTTGTACACTCCAAGCCCACAGCAATCACACTGCTCTTCACATCCGTCATTGCTTCTCTTCGGCCTGCTTCTGCAATCGTCCCTTTTCGCAAGCCGTTCATCGCGTATCATATCTTCCTGGCTAGTCACGACACAGCAGACCCCAGTTGTCACAATTCTCCCCACCGTAGAAGGTCACAATGTACTTGAACAACAGTTCTCCCTGCTGGCGCGAATCAATTGTCTTCCTAACCCACAGCCGCCCATCGAAATCCCGCAGGTAAACGAAACCACAGCCCCAGGTCGGGTGAGCGTTGTACTGGATGCTCTTACTCGTCGGGTCCAGGACGCGGATGGAGGAAGACGAGCCGGTGGGGCGGAAGAAGAACCCTTCGGCTGGCCTGGTGGCTGTTGTGATGGTGATAATCGTCGTTGTGGTCGTGGAATATGCAGTGGTCGAGGTCTTGGTTTCGGTGATGGTATCGCTGTGACGGCGATGGATATAGAGAGTGCCCATTCCAGGAAAAATCGTCTTGAATGCGCACGATTGGTACGCTTTGATGAGTGGCTTTGGCGCTGCGGGAAGTCTCGGCGAAGGAGGTTTTTCGGGATACATCCGCGTGTTGATTCGCCGCTGATGTTGAAAAATTGGATCCTCCTCTTCGGGCTAGGGGAAAGAGGCAATGCGGTGTGAAATGCCCTTCGAGACTTCAATCACGGCCCGCCAGGTTGAAGGGAACTCGGTGGCGGCTATCATCAAGTCGAGGATGGGAATGTCCTTAATGACCATTTCGATGAGCTCCGGTGGGAACAAGCAAGCGACGCTGTGTCTTCTTCTCATCTTCTTGGAGTCGGCCATGTCGGCCCTGACGTCGTTGGGAAAGGGCTGCATACTGTCGGCATTGGGAACTTCGTCTCTTGGTTGGATGGAAGCTGAGAGAGGATGACAGGTTTGAGTTCGACGAACGCGTACTTGCATGTAGCGGTGTTGTATCGACGGGAAGGGAAGGTGCGTGAGGCTGAGCGACCGGTGGGGCAGGAGAGGGAGAGCGACGAGGGAAGCGTGGGCGGTGGTCCACGCCAAGGCGCAAGGCTGTGGTTTTGCGATACCGCGCGAAGCCAAAGATCCACCGGGCAGAAGAACAGAATTAAACAGGTATAGATGCACGTTCGTCTTTCCTAGTTTCGGGGTAACAGCACACGAGAAGGGTGTGGCATCGTGCTTGCTCGATAATGACGAGAGGAGTGTATCAAAATCGTTTCTCGTGCTACTGAAGCACGGGTTCATTATGCTGTCTTTACAACTGCGCTCTTAGTTCCTCCGCCTTGTCGCCGTCAGCCTGCTCAAACTTCTTGAGAAAATCGTCAACCCGCTGCCAATCGACTTCTTCCGACTGATCACCCCCTATCAACTCCAATGGCACGCCCAGCCAGACATTAGCCGTCCTCAAGCTAGAGTCGACAGACAGCCGGCGCTCATTTATGGGTAGATAGGTGAGAGCGTGCGGCTGGAGGTTTCTCTGCAGCTTCTCGACTTCGGCCTTCCATTCCACCGGAAGATTCTGCTTTACTGCTTCTCTCAGGATACTCGGATCCAAGTCCTCGAGACGCGTCGCCCACTCTGGAGTGGGAGTATGGAGGAGGCCGGCGAATTTCGGCTCGGAGTCTGTTGGACGCTGGCAGGTGACGATGGCGAGAGGTTTGGGGATGTTTAGATCTTCTTTGACTTGATGCAGCTTGAGGACGGCGTGAATCTTGTCCATGGATCGGTTGGTAACCACATTTTCCGGCATGGAAGTCGATTCACCCTCTGCCGCCAGAAACGTGACGACTTCTCCCGTGTCTGAGACGCGCACCTTTTTGGGCTGTGCGCGCCATTCCTTGTCGTGATCGAGCACCACTAATTGCGATGCTGCAATGCGAGGTAGGTCAGGTGGGCAGTGAACGGTCGAGAACGAGTGAGGCTGCATCTCATAAGTCTCTCGGTCGATAGTAGGGCCTTTGATGACTTTAGCAACCGCGTCTCCAACCGCATCGTCTTTCACGAGTCGCAACTGGTACGTGGGCGTGTCAAGGTAATCCTGGATGGTGACCCATTGCCGCTCCCCATCCACGGGAGCGAGTTCCTGCAGCGTAGGCAGGATGTGGGCGATGACGGCGTCGCAGAGTTCGTGCCACCGCTGGAAGTGATTCACCTGTTCTTGGATCGTTCGCGGCTCCACGCACCACTGACTCCATTGCTTCTCAAACGGCGTGCCTAGAATATCAGAGCGGGCGATGTCGACGGTGAAACCAGTGGCGTTGCGCCAGAAGGTCTGCCGTGTCTGCCCTTTGTCCTCGCTGATCATTCCGTATCGGACGATGTGCGGGACGTCGAAGATGGTGATGTAGGTCATGGTGGATGGAAATGATCTTGTGGATGTCATTCATTGGATGAGGCAAGATATAGAACGACCATGACACCACAGGTACGGGACATGATGACGAGCCAATCCAGTGTCACGAAAGATCGGCCGAGGATGGATGAAGCTTCCTCGTACCCTTGTCCCGTCCCTGCCCGCGCTAATAATGCGAAGCCTAACGAGCTTACCCGCGTCAAGCTTTCCAACCAGCTCGTGTACTGTACATCACACCGTTTGACCCCGGGAAATTGGTTGTGCTTCCCTGCTTCACGCAACTTTTGACCCGTCCTTCAGGTAAGGTAGCGAATGGAACCCGAGAGCCGGGAGACAGAGCCACTCTCACGAAGGGGTACGCCTGAAAGCTCCATCAAACCCCCTGGTTCCGTCTATCCTCTCCTCCCGCGGAGCAAGCTTCTCCTATGCCGACTCTGCAGCTAACTAGCGCTGCATCGTGTGGATGAGGCAATCTCATAACCCCATTGCATGCAAGTTACCTCGTATCGCCGGGTGGTGGCGTTTTCGTTGCCAGCGCCAATTCATCTCAATAAAGTCAATGCAAGGGGGTCCGTCAGTACGGGCCAAACCTGTACCTCCCGGCAGACCGAGATGCCTTCTTTTAAGTGCTAGCAACCCCCGTCCTCCCTTTCTCCCTCACTGCAAAGCATCGTTTCGTCCATCCGTTCTGCGTCGCTCCCCCGCGCACCGACACAATGCATTCGCTCGTTCACGTCCTCACCTTCCTCCTCGCCTTCGCGAGTGCTGTCCTCGGCGCCCCCAACGCAAAACATCACCAGCCCCCCGGCGGTACGGCGTATTGCTATACCCAACAACTGACTTCCAAGGGCAATCTACACTACACGAGATGGTCGACTTGGCACACTTGCACCAAGACAAAGACGTCAACGAAGACTAGTATGTGTCAACTCTGCACTGCAACGTGACGGAGGCAGGAGAGGTAACACTCGCATGTATAGCAACCACGACTGCAGTCACGGTGTCTACCGTCACTTCGACGACGGTGACAACAGCAACCGCGCCGGCCACCACGAACACGGCCACCGACACAACGACAATCACAAGCACGACCACATCCACTTCGACATCAACGGTATGCAGAACAAAATGTAGCATTCCCGCCAAAAAGTCTAACTTCGATCGCTGTAGGCAAGTGCTAGCACAGCGACGACGACGACCGTACCAGCAATCTTTGCGCCGATCTCGGACACCCTGCCCGGAGCAGTGTACAGCCCGATTGCTGCAAGCAAGAAGAAGCGCAGCGACGGCGGTAATAGCGAGCTCGATGGCTCCCTGAAAGAGGCCAGGAGGATCCCAAAGCAAGGCTGGCCGGGTCCTGTGCAGTGTTGGTCGTACCCGAGCACGTGCGTGACGTCGACGGCGACGAAGACATCTACTACCACCGTCCACTCGACAAGCACCACGACTACGACCACCACTTCCACGTATACAACGACGCCGGGCGTCAGTACAACGATCACCGTCACAGTCAATCCCACAACGACCGTGTTAACTACCGTCACTTCAACCACGACAATGACAACCACTTCGACTGTCACTAGCCCAATTGACGCAGCCGCCGCTTGTGAGACGACGGCCTACTCTAATTATGCAGACTACGTCGGTACTTTCCCTATTGCGGAAGCGGATGGGACCGGTCCGAATTATAATGGCTATGCCTCCCCAGACTCCGGGAACGATTCGGTGTATGACTGCTGCCTCGCCGCGTTTGCGGACCCCGTGGGCGTCTTCTTCGCCTACCAAATAGGCCAACCCACGGGATTCTGCAACGTTCTTGAAGCGAACACTTGCACTGCTGGGCAAGCCTCCGATCCAGGAAATACTGCGGATCTCGGTGCCGCCGGAAGCACGCCTGTATACATAATTGGAAATGCAGCGTGTGGAACAGTAAGCTTAACTACGTCCGAATGAAGGTGCAGAGCGACGGGAAATGTAGCGAGCGCTCTTCCCATTGGCTTTTCGAAGGCGAAAGATTTCGAGTTCGGTCATCCTTGCGAGACGGCTCTGCGCCACTCTAGCTATTACCTTCACCAGGTTCAGTCAAGCATTTCGATCAAGACACCGACGTGAAGTTGCTCCGAGCTTCGATTTCTCGATGTGTACGGGGGTGTCTCACTTGCGTGTGCCGTTTTGGAGGAAGAAATGTGAATAGTCCCACCATCTTAAGCAGATGTAACGCCATACCATATCAACCCCATGACAGCACCCAGCATTACAGCCAAAGGTGGGACGAGGTGAAAGTACCTTCCCCCCACAAAACTCGTGGCGACAATGACGACCCACCACGGGTCACGACTCAAGCTGCCTCCATTCTGGACATCGGCATCCAAGTATCCGATTTCAAACAGTCGATACACGGCTGTGAAGACGAGCCCGACCGCGGCGGCATGGATGCCTCGCAAACATGCCCGCACCATTCGCATCCTCCGCATCACCGACCAGAGACTGATGAAGCCAGTGTGCAACCAGATTCCAGGCAGGAAAATGGCAATGAACCCGATGATCGAGCCGGCGGTTGGCGGGATGCCGGAGCCTTGCATGGCAAGCGCGCCAAGGTAGACGGCGAAATTGAAGTTGGGACCCGGGAAGGCTTGCGTGATGGCGAGACCGAGGAGGAAGTCTCGGGATGATACCCAGCCTGGTGCTACCACGTATTCTCGCAATAGGGGAACAACCACAGGCCCTCCGCCGAAGATGATGGTGCCTGCAAGGTAGAGATTGGCAAAGACGTCGAATCCACGGTTGCGGCTGCTGTAGATGCCCCGACAGACCATGACGGTGAGGAAGGTGCAGAAGAATGCGGCGATGATGAAACAGCCGGTCTTCCATGAGCGGGTGGCTTGAGGGTGTGAGGACTCCTCATTGTGATTGTAGTCTTCTGTAAGGATGGCGCGGGACGGTGACGTGTCTGAGCGAGGCTGCGCAGCCGGCCTTGCGTGCAGCGTTGGTGCTGATATGCCCTCTGAAGTCGGTAAACCAATGGTTTGCTCTTCGCGCGGAGGATCAGGTCTTGCGTGCTTCCTCCGTCTGACGAATCTCCATATCGACGGGAGTACCTTATAGTCCCAGACAATCGTGGTCAAACCGCCAGCAGCCATTAGGACCGGGAAGAACCACAAAGCATTGTACAGCATACCGCATATGGCGCCGAGGAAGACGAGGATGCGTGTGATGGTGTCGGTAATCGCCTTGTGACTCAACTGAACCGCGGCCAACGCAATGATACCCACTGTAGCAGAGTTGAGTCCAGAGAGCAAGGCATATGCTGGCGCGGGGAGTCGGTTATTAATACTGCTCACCCCCAACGCGAGCCCCCAGGCAGCGATGGCCATGGGTAAGCTCCAGACGAAGAACGCTGCTATGCCCGTCGGTAGACCATATCTCATCACGTTGATTGCGTACATCATCTTCGTGCTCGCCGGCCCGCTGAGTGCCTGGCACAAGGCGAACAGCTCCTCGTACGTCCGCTCGTCTACCCAGCGGTAATGTTGGACGAAGCGCTCGCGGAAGATTTGGAAATGGACCGTTGGGCCTCCGAAGGAGGTGAAGCCGAGATGCCAGTTGTGGGCGAGCATGTCGATTATCGCGATCTTCGACAGCCTTTCGCCGCTGGGGAGCCAGGCGCTGCGGCCTTTGGAGAGCGAGCTGCGAAGGTGAGGGAGCCATGGAGCCATGCTGAATAGTCAGATACTATTGGTAGTCTGTGAATTACTCTACCACCGCTCTCCTCAAGGGAGAAGCTGGAGAGGAGGAAACATGAGAAGAAGACTGCTTGGCGCCAACCTTTTCATAGCAGGTCCAACTGATGAGGTCTTCGTGTCGGCACGTTCTTGGATGTCATTGGTCCTTCCCCACGCTTCTCACGCCTCTTTTCAGCCTTCACCTGCCGACTCTCCAATGTCAGCATTCATCATCATACGGCTTCTTGATCCGAGCGGAGGACCGTCGATCTTGCGTATGAAAATGAGCGGCCCTAAACTCTTGATTTGAATCTGGCGGCTGAAAATGCAAAGCCTAACATAATAAGCTGACATGCCACTGATTCCTTCTTCTCCTTCCTCCCTTTCTTTTCACACCATCTTTCGAGAACGTATTCATCATCTTAGCATTGACAATGGCAGCCAACTCCTCCAAGGGCGATTATCACGAGCCAGAGTATGCGAAACCGCAGGACAAGAGCAAACCGCCATACTACCACACAAACATCGAGCACAAGATCCCCGCAGAGGTAAAATGACTCGGCCAGCACGTACGTGTCGCTTCCACCGCTGACGGCTTGTAGACGCATGAGCTGCTGGAAAAGTACAGCCACATTCCACGGGAGCAACATTCGGAACACGTCCACAAGACGGTAAGTGCCGAGTGGTTGCAAGCGAAATATCAACCACTATGCACGCTGAAGACACGCATAGCGCGACCAAGCGTGGGAAATCAGATCCTACCCATGCATCGGCCTTGGCTCTTGGCTCGTCCCCCAGCTGCGGAGACAGCCGGTGTACAACGAGATTCTACAGCGCGTGAAGGCTGGCGGATCCGTGCTGGACGTCGGCACTTTCATCGGCTACGATCTCCGCGCCCTGGCGTATGATGGCGCGCCCTCCGACCAGCTGTACGGTCTCGATATCGTCAACCATTTCGACGTGGGCTACGACTTCTTCCGGGACCGCGACTCGTTCAAGGGCCGCTTTATTGAGGCAGATATGCTGTCTCCAGACGCGCCAGAGCTGCAGCCGCTGCGTAAGAGCGTCGACATCGTCATCGTCTCCCAAGTCCTGCACCAATGGAACTGGGTCAACCAGGTGCGCGGCGCTCAGGCCTTGACCACCTTCACCAAGCCCGGCTCCATGATCGTCGGCAATCAAATTGGCAATGTGAAGGCCCAGGAAATCGCCTCCTTGGGCAACAATCTCCCCGACGTTTACCGACACGATCCCGAAAGCTTTACGAGGCTCTGGGACGAAGTGGGCAAGGCGGTAGGCATGCGATTTGAGACGCAAGGCCGTTTGCGAAGCTTCGTGGAGATGGGATGGGATCCAAATGACGCGGCGTGGATGGACAAGGGGACGCGTGTGTTGGAGTTTGTCGTCCAACGACTGGAATGAGCAAGGCGAAAGGTGACATCTTCGCGAGGAAGCTGAACAGAGAAAGAGGTAAGCTGTGAAGCAACGACGTTCCTTTATTGATACAGTCTAGTTCTGAATGACAACATTCGGATGCCCCAAGGGCTTGCCAATATTCTTCCCATACAGGCCTCCCACATTGCCGGGGCCGCGATAGTTGCACACCGTGAACCAAGGCGGAACGTCCGAGCCAACACCGCCCAGCCCTTTACTGCAGTACACCGTCCCGCACCCGATTTCCGACGTCGCCTTCCACACGACTTGGGAGAAATGGCCCCAAGCGTAAAAGTTGGGCGGATTGGCCTGGCCGTAGTAGCTCGGCAGGAAGCTATTGAATTCGCCGTCGTACCACAGGTTCGTCACCACGGCGGCGATATTGCTCGCGGGGACGCCGGCGGCGATGTTCTGGCCGTAGCCGCCGCCGTCAATGCTCTGATGCGCAAAGGTGCAGCTCTGCGCAATCTGAGTCGCAATGTCGGCCAGCGTCGAGTTCCACACGACGTCCGCGGCAGAGTGGTTGGCTCGGTGGATGTTGTGCTGCTTCAAGAGCGTGGGGATGTAGTTGGCGGGGAGAGAAGTGGTGGGCGAGGCGGTGGATGTCGCCGTGGTCTTTGTCTTGTGCGTCCTCGTCTTGTGTGTTCTCGTCTTCTTCTTGACCGCCCGGTCCTCGAGGACGGGCTCGCGCTCGATCGCGATGGCGCTGGCGAGCGACGACACGCCCAATAGGGCTAGTAGCATCTTGGTGAAATGCATGGTGGGTGGAGGGAGGCTGGTAATGGTTCACTCAACGATCAACGAACGGTATGCAGGTGGCTGGCGGCAGTTGTCCGACATGGCGGGTGAATATATATACTGCGCGACGTTATTGCGAGGCTGGACGCTAAGCGAGTTTCGACGGAACATTTGCCCCCAAGACTTGGACCCCGGAAGGATTCATGCGAACCGCAAACTCGTGACCCGTGCGGGCGTTCGCCGCAAGCGAAGCGAGTCAATAGCCGATGGCACTTGTTGCACTTTCCTCCACGCTCACTGGCTCGGACGGGCTCTGGGCGGAGTATAATGCCATCGGGGGCACAATGTCGCAAACGTTCGCGACCCTGTGATGACACTGATCGCCGTGTCAATCCAACCACATTGCCATCAGAGGTGGAGGTGCTGCTCTTAAGCGACTCGGGGAGGGCTTGCATCGTGGCGGTCTTGGTCGTCTTTGCTAGAACAATGGATCAAATGGCCTACGGGCGGTGCTAACGAGCTGCCGGAGTGGTAATGATCTGCCTCCTACATCATTTCGTCGGCAAGCGAGACCCTTCCTTGCACCCTTTGCCATTTACCCCGATGTCTCTCGTTTCAAGGCACATTGCCTGCGTCCTACGCCGCGGCGGTATCGTACGCCCCCAGCGCCTTCAGCATCATAGACCTACGCCACGGCGCTTTCACCACCTTCACTCGCGCTTGGCGCCGACATGGACTTGTCATAACTCGTAGGGTCGACGCCCAGGATTCCGCCGATGTTGTTGCGGTCGCCGGGTACCGAGAACTCGCGGAAAGCATATCGCCATTCGTTAAGGAAGAGGCGAACGGCCTTGCCCACCTTGTCCTTCCCGTTCTTGCTATGATGCCCCGTCCCGCAGATTGCGTATATCGGGCGAGATGACGACTTTTGCTCCATCAGACAATCGGATAGATAGTCCACCGCCTCCTCCGGATGTAGCCCGTGAAGATCGATGTAGATCTCTTTGCCGACGCCTTGGTTCTTGTTCCTTGCATCATACAATGCTCGTGCAGCCTCCCGATGCGCTTCACGCATGAGTGCGTTCTCGTTCTGCCCTCGCAGGCTGAGCGCTTTTGCCCCACGAGCATCGTTGCGATTCCAGGCCTGCGCAGCGGATTGAAGGAATTTGTTGCGTTGTCCACCATGCTTGAAGGCTTCTTGGCGTGCCTTGAGGTACGCTTGGTTGGCCTTCTCGCCCGTCTCCAGCCATGGAATCTCGCAAGGCGGTGGGATTTGCATGGCCAGTGTGGAATTTTCGCGCGATGACGTGAAGGAGCGGTTGTTTCGCAGGCCACGGCGAAGCGCATCCCGACTGTTCATTGACGCCAGCGGTTGGGTGGGCGGGTTCATGCGCACCACGTCCGCCAGGTTTGTAGGCTGGTGAGCGACCACGCTGCTCGCTCCCTGATTACCATGCCCGCCACGTTTGCCGTGGTGCCGTTTACTCTGAGGTTTGAAGGCTGCAGCGCTGCCCAATGTAGGAAAAGCCTCGTCGTCTTGGAAGTTGGGCTGACTCGGAGTCGGGGCGCGAGAAGAATGCCGGCTTCCGGGACGAGAGTTTGGTTGGCTTTGACGAGGGCCTGTAGGAATCTGGGTAGGAAACAGACCGGACGAGTTCTGTTGGAAGCCTGTCTCGGCGTTCATGTCTGAACCATCGTCGTAGGGGTTGCTAGAGGTAGGTTGAAGGGCTGGGAAGCTGTCGTAGTCCTGGAGCTGAAAGTTTGGAACGAATTGTTGCGCACTGTTGGCGCCATCATTGGAGATGCTGATTTGGGCCATGAGCGTGGAGGGATCATGAGAGAAGAGGCAGTTTGCTCCTGCAAAGCAGTTACCCTGCAGCCAGTACTTGCAGACGTGGGAGTTTTGCACTTCGTGAGCAAAGCGGCAGTCGGCGCGTGCACAATGCCCGCTTGCTAGCCAATACCGACACACGACCGGAGACTTTTGCTGACCCGCTGGAGTTGTCGGTCGTGCAGCTGGGGCCATGCTCTTTCCAACAAGATAGGTGCGAGGGGTCTCTTGCACAGAGGTGGTGGTTGGGATGAGTCCGGGCGTGGTCATTATGGAGGTGACGGTCTGTCCTAGATCGTAGCCGTTTGCTTCTAGGATTTGCTCGAGCTCTGCATCGGTACTGTGATTCTGCAGGATGGAGCGTAGCATGTCATAAGGGGTCATGTCGGCAGTGGAGGCCGAGAGGAAGTCGGCTCCCGGAGCGAAGTCCACATCGCCCAAAGTGACTGTACTGCTCATATCGTCGTCGTTGGTCAGCCAATCCACCGTGTCACTGCCATAGTCGCCGAAGCTGTCCATTGCGCTGAGAGCAGGAGGTGAAGTTGGGTGATGGGTGCCTGAGTGTGATCCCATGGCCGGCATGGCAAAGGCAAGGCGTGGAGAGGGTTTGGGCGAGGTGAAGGAGCTGGCAGCAGAGGCAGTACGGGCGAGAGGCCCACGGACGGGGATTGCACTCGGCATCCGCGGTGAGGAAGCGGCACTCGCGCTGGGCGTGCCGGAGCGGTGAAGCCAGGGCGCGGGGGACATGGCGCGGTTGGCGGCGCCGGCTGCACCACGGGCGGGCGGGGGTGAGGTGAGTTTCTCATTTGTACTCTTCCATTGCCACAGCGCGCCCAAGACTGCATCTTCGAGGGCCTTGCCTTTCAAGGAGGTTGGTTCACTGCTCAAGATCTCCTCCAGCTTATCCGTCTTCTCTTCCTCCCCTAGCGCCGCATCTGACAGTATGGGCAGGCATAAGTCGTATAGCTTCTCCGAAACCATCTTGTGAAGTGAGGAGCAGATCCCACAGGTCGGGCGGGGGGTAATGGCAGCGATCGATGTCAGGAGTGCTGGCGATAGCCGAGACGCATGATCGCCGGGCAGTCGTGGAATGCGCCGGGCTGCGGAGTTGTGGGACCTGGCCGGGAGGTTATTTGAGACTGGGACACTAGAGAGCAGTCAGAAGGAGGTCTGTGGCCAAGTCGACGGTGGTGGAGTAAGAGTGGTGCGGAGGGAGGAGGATGAAGGGGCAAGACGAGGCTCTCTCGAAGTCGTGATGCGGCGGTTGGAGATGCCCTAACGCCTTCTCCAGCTCCGCGCGGAAGGCGCCGTCCGGAAAGCTTAATTCTAATCAACTGCGGGCGAGTCCAGATTCCACCTGCACTCTTCAGTGAACTTCGTAATCACACTTGTCACACCGAATCGAATTCACTTCCACGCAATCGAAACCTGGATGCTGGCTATCGTGATGTTTGACTAACACCACGAATCTACACGTGCTGTATCCACTTCTCTCAGGAAACGCCATGGCCACCGAAACTGTCTCTCTCGCGCCGTCTGACCAAGTGATTCAACCTGAACGAGCGCCACCACCAGCATTCCATTTCGACGCCTTTCTCAAACAATCGCTGCCCTCGCTTGGAGCGCCCTCCAAAGTCGGCCAACCCATCTGTCAGGACTTCGTCAAAGGCCACTGTCCGAGAGGCGCCGCGTGCCCAGACCGGCATTACGTGCCAAAGGAGGAGCGGAGTGGAATCGGCCATCTGATCTGCAAGCATTACCAGCGCGGCTTGTGCAAAAAGGGCGAGCAATGCGAGTTTGCCCACACCTTCAACTTGAGAGACGAGCGGGAGTGCAAGGAGTTTAGCCGATGGGGCATCTGTCCGCAAGGTGATGACTGCACCTATCTTCACACCCCGCCTACTTCTCATCTCCGACTCCCCGCGTGTCTGCATTATGCGCGGGGCTTCTGCCCCCTAGGCCCGTACTGCGCACTCCGGCACATTCGACACAAACAAATATGTCCCTACTACCTAGCAGGATTCTGCCCACTTGGTCGAGCACATCCTCCAGACCGGGATAATGTTATCGAATGCCAGTACGGAGCGCACCCAAAGTGGACCAAGGACGAGGATATGAATCCGAAAAGGCCGGAAGTGCGTAAACTCAAAGACCCGGAGCAGGAACGAAAGGAGCAAGAAGAACGAGAGGAGGAGTTCTTCGCGGAGGAGGAGCGGAGAAGGGAGCGGTATGAGCGGGGCGAGGGAGGCGCTGGGCGCTGGTCTGGCCGAGGTGGACCGTCAAGACGGAGGGGCGGGCGAGCTGGAATTCCGAGTGGGAGGAGGTATTGATGAGACATGAGATCGAATCTGTTCCGTGGACTATACACCGGGGATCCATGCCAGTCTTGGGCGCCAGTCTGCCGTCAAGATATCCACCACCTCTGCAACATTCTCCTCATCGAAATCGGCGCCTAGTGCGCAATTCGCAGTGGGCACACTCGCATCTTTCCGAGCCAGACCTTCGATGCAAAGGGCGGCAGACTGACCGTACACGTGTTGATATCGAGCAATGACATGATGTCTCCTGGCTTCCTCTCTCAGCTGATCGAGCCACGCGTCCGTTACCGTGTCCATTCCGTCGCGGCTCTGGGTGTATATCAGTGCTGCCTCAGACTTGCCTCATCGCTGCATACCTTCACGCACCTTGTGCGAGGCATCGTACTGCTGCTTCGCGAAGACCAGCGCAAACTGTTTGCGTGAGCTGATGAGCCACGCCCGTTCCGCAGCCGTGGCCTCAAGAGTTGGTGGAGCCACGGCCGGATACCAAGCATCCCACCGGCGGCGTAACAGCTCCTCATACCGCTCCTCTACGCTATTGACTGCGAAGCATTTCATGTGAGCCATCACCAGCCCAGCATCGGCCGAGGCAAGATTCGCGATGCTGTCATTCTCGTTCAACATGTCGTATCGCAAGCATAGCTCTTCGGTATCCAACTCTTGCTTTATCCGCTCAACTTCCATGTCGGCCGCGTTCTCATCATTCGCATGATCTCTTCTTTGCGCATCCCACTTTCGAACATATGCAAGCCCAAGCCTGGCTCGTACGCTGTATAGACATACCCGTTCCTCGTGACTCGTCCGCATTACATGGCGAGTGTGACGGCATGCGGGATCGCCAGCTCCGCTACGTGACCGCATAGCGCCAAAGGGTGGATACAGTGAAATGGAATGCAAATTGATCTGTGACTCAGAACGCAGAACAAAGAGGGGGAGAGGGTCGTTGGAAGCACTCGAGAGTCTCCGGTACCCGGGGGAATGGTAGATGTCTTGCGCCTGCCGCGCGACTAAGTATCCATGTACACGCGCGGCAGCAAACACCTTCTCGGCTCTGGTGACCGCGAGCTACGTGCAACCAGCGGTGGCGTCAAGGACAAGATGCTAGAGCATTGGCAGATATTCATCCACCGACGTCTTGCACGTACGAACATATCGGCGCGAACGGAGGTCAACTGACTGATGCGCAGGCCAATGTGGACATTGACGTGGAGGGAGGAGGCGGAATTGAAATGCGGAGGAGGAGTGGAAAGGAGGCGCCTACAGAAATGCACCATTGTGTGATTCATCGTGAGTCTTGCTGGCAAATTCAAGCGAGCGGCTGAACAGGTGACGCCCTTGTAGATGGAGTGGAGCGATGGAGGGGTCAAGCGACTTAAACAACGCGAAACTGCTTTCCTGTGTGGCTACAGTGACTCACAATATTACTGGAGACCGAGAAAATACTGCAGGTACGTGGTGGATGTGGTCGTATAAATAAGAGCCACAGCATCAGTACGCAGAGAATGCAATGCTCACTCGACCGCTACAGCGCCGAATACAATCCATCATGGGCCCAACACGCATTCGTGACATTGGCTACGCGCCTGGATACTACCGCCCGGGCGAGAAGAATTCCATTCTCGACGTCCCTGGACTGCAAGTCGGGCTCAAGACAATCCACGATGAGGCCGAGGGCGTCCATACCGGCGTCACGCTGATCTACCCTCGTGGCGTGGAGCTCAGTCGAAAACGCCCGTCGTACGCCGCCATGCACTGCTTGAATGGAGGGGGTGAGATGACCAGCGTCCACTTCATCAAGGACTGGGGCTTTACAAGCTCGGTGCGTGCCCGATGGAAATTCACGACTGATACGACTCTGGTAGCTGACTTGGTCCCCGATGACAGCCTATCGCCTTTACCGACTCCATGTCGGCGGGCGCCGTCTATCAGGCTCTGGCCGAGCACAGCTGGACCGTTTCCCGCGCTCTCGGGGAGGACAAGGAGACGGGCTATGCTCACCATGGATGGCCCGTGGTCGGAGAGACGTGGGGCGGCGGAGTCACCGACATTGCTAACCCCAAAAGCATCGTCAAACACGATCAGGTCGTCGAGGCTGTGGAGGATGCAAAGTCACGCGAGAAAGTCGACGAAGGGGCCACGGGAGGAGGCTCGGGCATGCTGTGTATGGGCCATAAAGGCGGAACGGGGACAAGCAGCCGTCTGGTGCCGCACACAGAGGGAGACTTTGTCGTTGGGGTGTTGGTGCAGACTAACTACGGCCAGCTCAAGATGCTCACAATCGGCGGAGTGCCGGTGGGCAGGATATTTGAGCAGCAGAAAGGCAAAGACGAAGGGGAAGAGGTCCCCCGAGAGATCACTACGGGCTCGGAAGGGAGTGAGTTGCGGCGCTGTCAGTGGTCGTGGTGCTCGCCGTGCTGACGATCCTTGCAGGTATTATTGTGTGTGTCGTGACGAACGCCCCGCTGCTGCCTCATCAACTGCGTAGATTGGCGGCACGAGCGTGCTGGGGGATTCATGCAGTTGGCGGGCACGGCACGGCATACAACTCTTCGGGCGATATCATCATTGCGCTGTCGACGTCCGACGCATGCATACCGCAGGTGGTGATGAAGCATGAGTGGAACCGCGACATCCATTTCCGCCGCGCGGTGGAGACGCAAACCGTGCAGACGGTGGCTCACAGCAGCATCGACGCCCTGTTCGTTGCGACGGCCGAGGCCACGGAAGAAGCCATACTCAACTCCCTGTGCGGCGCCGAGGAGACGCGGGGCTTTGACGGCACCGTCTGGAAAGCGTTGGACGCTGGAAGGGTAGAGAAGATTCTACGCGAGCGTGGGGTCATATGATGAGGCAGTTGTGGGCTGATCATAGCATCCTCTGCGGGGCATCGTCGTGGTGGCAAGGGTACTCGGATCACGGATGATGCTAGACGCCTTGGGATGATGTAAAGGGCGACGCACGTGGCGACAGCCTCATCCAGCCACACATATATCATCCAAGCGAGGCGGTGCAGATGTTGCCTCTTCCAGCGGTCACATCATATCCGTGAGATCTCCGTCATCGTAACCCGCTGCACGTGAGGACATATGAATGCATGTGCCGAGGATGTGTAGTGAGTTGTGCTGGCACCACTTGTGTGATGAATGAGCTCCGCTGGGTGGAGATGGTGTCGCAAGCGTGCAAGCGTCGTGGGACAAGTCGCCCCTGATGATACCATTCGAGGCGTCGATTTGTGGCGCGGCACACGATCTGGACTGCTCGATCATCTGCAGATCGGCGCATGCGTGGCTTTGTTGGGAGGCTGAAGGCAGGATGCCACAAAGCATGTGACAGGAGGGGATGATGGCATTCCCGCGCATGACGTGCCCATGACGCCATGGCCAGCCTGCACGGGCCTCAGGCCAGGTGTTGCAAGCTGCCTTCAAATTCGTCCTCCTTTCCCACCTTTATTTCTCTTCACTCACCACAACAACTCTCAATCACCTTCCACTCACCACTTCTCAACACACTACCAAGCAACAAGCAACCCCCCAAACACCAAAATGTCTGCCCCCAACGTTGACAAGCCCAACGAGGGCATCGTCGGCCAAGTCGTCAACTCCGTACGTGCCACCTGTCTGCTGCTTCACTCCTACTTCCCCAATGCTAACACTCATCTACAGGCCAAGAACGCCGCCAACTGTGAGCTCACTTCACCGCCATCCCCTCCTCCCAATCTCCCCATCTAACCTCCTACGTGTTCAGACGTCTCCGAGTCCATCCAAGGCAACAGCGCCGAGGCCAGCAAGGAGGCCAACAAGCAGCAAGCCAAGGGCAACGTCCCGGGCAACGACTCCATCACCGACCGTGTCTCGGGTATGCTCTTCTGCTCGCCCTACCCTGCATGACCAAACCTCTAACAACATCGCAGGTGCATTGGGCGCCGCCGGCGACAAGGTCGACGAGAAGAAGCACGACTCTGCCGCCAAGGCGAACAAGGAGGCCATCTAAGCGATGCTCGACTGTTCTGCCTAACAACCCTTTGAGTGAATGCCACGGGCATCGGCGGTAGCATGAGTTAGATACGACACGAATGATATCCTAGTTCATTTGACTGCAGTTCACTTCGTCTCGTCATGTCCAGCCTGGCTGTCACTCATCTCACCGCCTCTCGTCATTTGGGCTTGATGGGACTTTTTTCAAGCTGGAATGGTCCGCCATTTCTCGAAACACGGGCAGCGTGTGCACGTTGTAGAACCCCTCGCTCTGCAAAGTACTAGCTTCCGGCTCCTACCAGATCCGGACAAGTGCGGGGCAGCTTGCATCTAATCTCTTATCGATAAGATCGTGATCGCTGATGTTGCGTGGCTGTGTAAGGTATTCTTCCAACGATATAGACAGGACTGCTGCAAACGCCGGAGCAAGGAAGTATTGGAGAGGGGGCAAGGTTCTCTCAACAACAAACACTCCTGCACCGCTCATATCCGTCAAGATGGAGGCCACTTGCGTAGCTCGCAAGGCGTTTGCAACACAGAGCAAGTCTTCAAGTCTTGTCGGAGGAGGCTTGGAAAGCTTGATATTTGCGCTCGCATGTACTCGTGTCGCATGTACTGACTGAACTGGGTGCAGGCTCTACGCACACGCTTCCAATGGCTGTAGTCGGAACCCATACTCTGCCTTGGTGCGAGCTGAGAGGGAGGGTTCGACACGACTCTGATGACCGTCGTAAAGCGAGGAAACACGCCTTGCTTCGGCTTGCAGGCCCTCGGTAATTTCAAAACATGCTCCAGATTTATTGTCTAGTACAAACCTGTCCAACTCTACCGGGGGGAAGCGTGCCAGTAGGTTGCGGCTATGTCTTATGCGTTCAATGTTCCAAGCTCGGCGCAGCCTCCCCCGCATGGGGAATGCATGGCGCTGTCACTCAATCTGCGGGGAGTTCGGCTAAATGAGAAGAAGCACTGCGGCAACATCCACTCTGCTACTCTGTTCATTACCGCTTGCGGTGGTGGATCTCACCCACTCGCTCTACTCTGGTTCCGTATATTGCACGTTCCTATAAGGCTGGCCTGACCTTTGATCCCGGAGGAGGTTGATACGCTACGCTGGTAACGTCACTGGCATCCATGCCTGCTGCTGGGCCCCCAACAACTCGATGAAACAAGATGCCACCAAAGATCTACGAGCCCAGCAACGAGTTTATCGAGAAGAGCTACCTCACTGACTATCGCCGATACGTGAACAAAACCTATGGCCTCTCGCTCGAGACCTACGAGGACCTGCACAAATTCTCGGTGGACCGACCAAACGACTTTTGGCTGTCGCTATGGAACTACCTACCCGTCAAGGCTTCTGTGCGGCCTAAGCGAGCAATCGACGAGTCCATCCCTATCGACGAGTTCCCTGAATTCTACGAAGGTGCTCGTTTGAACTATGCGGAGAATCTCTTGTCAAGGACCGGCTCGGACATTGCTGTCAAGGCGCTGAACGAGCTCACGCTAGACCGTCCGGAAGAGATATCATGGGACGACCTGCGAGAGCGTGTGCGACTGTATGCTGATGCACTCAAGGCAACCGGCTACCAGAAAGGTGACGTGATGTGTGTTATTGGAGGGAGTACTATCAAGTCTCTCGCCCTCTACCTTGCCGCTGGCTCCATCGGAGGCATCATTGCTTCGTTTGCCCATGATGCTGGCGAGCGAGTTCTCCTTGATCGTGTTGGTCAACTGAAGCCAAAGCTGCTCTTCGCTCAACCGAATTACCAATACAATGGCAAGACGCATGAAATTACCGATCGTGTTCAAGGCGTCTGGGACGCTGTCGAAAAGCCTTCAGGCGCTCAGCTGGTCTGCACAGGAGATGAGACGCCAAAAGGATGGAAGAGCTTCGATGAGTTTCTCAATCAAGCGACAGGCAAGGCGCTGGAGTTCGCACAACTCCCCTTTCACACTCCTTACGTCGTCATGTTCTCGTCTGGCACGACCGGAACCCCGAAAGGCATCGTTCACTCTCAAGGCGGCCTGATTATCAACGGTATGAAGGAACATCTCCTGCATTACAACCATGATCTGCGCGCAGTGCACTACCACTATGCCGGAATCGGCTGGACGCTGTGGAATATCATGGTCGGCGCACTGTTCTGTGGCAGCCAGATCGTGCTATACGACGGCTCTCCCTTTTACCCATCGCCGGAGAAGTTGTTGAAGGCCGTCATGGCTACCGGTGTGACCTCGTTCGGTGCCGGCCCGCGCTACTTTACAGAATTGCAGAAGGCGGGCGTCAATGCGAAGCCCTACACCAAGAACGTCGACAAGATCCCGTCTGCCGGCGCCTTGCTCACCGAGGCCATGGCTCTGTGGGTTAGAGACTCATTTGGATCCGACAAATGCCAGATCTCGACTTCTGGCGGTACGGAGTTGTGTGGGAACTTTGTGCATGGATGGCAGGGCAAGCCGGTATGTTATTTGGTTGTCCAAGCCACGGCTTAGCTCGCTAACATACAGCTTACCAGGTCTACGCCGGGGAGAACGCAGTCATCAATCTGGGGATGGATGTTGACATCTTCACGCCGGAGGGCAAATCGGCGCCCATGGGCGAGAGTGGAGAACTCGTATGCCGCAAGCCCTTTCCCAACATGCCCGCCATGTTCTGGAACGACCCTGGGAAGAAGCGATATCACGCCACCTACTTCGAGAGCTTCCCCCACGTCTGGACGCATGGCGACTTCATCCGCAAGAATCCAGAGACGGGGGGCTATGTCATCTCCGGTAGAAGCGATGGCGTTCTCAACCCCTCTGGAATCCGCTTTGGCTCTGGCGAAATCTACACCATTTTAGAACGAGAGGCGTCTGGAGAAGTCGTCGACTCCATCTGCGTTGGCCAGCAACGAGAGCAGGATCAAAGTGAGCGCGTCTTCCTTTTCTTGCTCACCAAGGATGGAGCGGTGTCCCCCAAACTCGAGAAGAAGATCCGCGATGCCGTCTCGAGAGATTTGAGCCGCCGGCACGTGCCACACTTTTTCTTTGCCGTCTCGCAAATCCCGTACAACGTGAATGGAAAGAAGCTGGAGATTCCTCTGCGGGCAGTGTTGTCAGAAGGAAAGACTGCTTTCACCAGGCGCAAGTTTACAGCGGAGGAGATACAGTTGCTTGAGCTGTATTTGCCATATTTCGAGGTGGAGAAATTGACCGAAGGTAACGAGGGCAAGGTGAAGAGCAAATTGTGAATAAGTACTTCCGATGTTGTGAGAAACTATGTTCACAACTTGCTTGCACCACCCTTTCCCCCTCCAACCTCCGCGATCCCCTCCCCTTCCCATCCTGCAATCATGTCTTCGACGACCGCAATCTCATCTTGACCCCAAACAAGCTCCCCCGACATCTTCCACGCATCTTCGCCCTGTCCTTGCTTCCGCCGGAAGACGCGATAACTAGGGACGCCGCAGAGACCGGCTTCCTTGGCCTCGGCCGTGCGTGCTCGCAGTTCAGCCTTGCACTCCGGTCCGTTGGAGCGCTTGAGGATGTCGGCACCGTCGTAGCCCGCCTCGTCGATGACCTTTTGCACAACGTCGTCGGAAGACATGTCCAAGTTTCGCTCCCAGCAGCCTCGATCTGTGGGGGTGAGTAGTTAGCAACACAAGTGAGGTAGTAACGGGAAGTAGATTGACGTACACAAAGGCTCAACGAGTCGTGGTTCGATGAGGGCGGCTCTCAAGAGCGTCGGGGTCCTGATGGGGAACTTGTCCGCCCAGTGGAACTCGATGTTTTTGTCCAGGTTTCCGGCTTGGGCGTTCACCGCGTTCCAAAATCGAACCCAATCCATGTGGTCATGCCGATTGTATGTCTGACGCTGCTTTGATACTGCCGATCCAGGCGTGTCTGGAGCTCCAATTCTGTAACAGCCATGATTTTCAGCAAGGGCGCAGATTGGTCTGTGGTCCTGAAAGACTTACTGGCGGAACAATATGCCTAGCAGAAACGGCTTCATCTCAATCTGAAGGCTTTGCCCGAATTGACGCTGCAGTCTCGCGAGCTGCGTCCAGCCTAGGTATGCCCATGGGCTGCTGAAGTCGTACCTGATTCCAGTGATCACGGTCAGCCAGCTCTTCGCGAAATCATCGAGAATGATATTCAGTCCAAGAGCTGCGGGACTCACCAGAACTGTAACTTGACCTCCTCTCCTTTAGGAATGTTCTTTCCACCACACCTAGGTATGAGGCTCAGTAGATCTTTGGAGCCTGACTGCAGATCATGTCCATCGCCACCAGATCGTAGCGAGTTCAGCGCCGCTTCAACAAAGTGCATTCGATCTTGGCCCCAGTAAAGCCTTCCAGTAGTGCTCTCACCAGACTTGTCGACCCATTTTTCATCCGGAACCCAGAATCCAGGCACGCCGGGGGCACCTCTCTCAACAGCCAGATCCGTAGACTTCTCCAGCTCCCGGCGCTGCTTGTCGCCTTCGAAGCTTCCGTCTTCGATGGCCTTCACGACATCGGAGCCGAGAGCTTGGCGGGCGACGTTGGCGAGGACGGCTCTGTTGCTGACGTCCTGGCCGTCTACCCAGTACGCTTTGAACAGAGCGTGCGTCAATTTTGGCCGCTGGTCTTCGCTTACAAAGTAGAGGAGGCGCAGCGGAGCAGTTGTCTTGATCGGGTGTTTCGGTGGCTCATTGTACGGAATATCCAGACGTCGAAGAGTTCTCCGGAAGGATTGCGAGGAGATGGTCTTTTTGGTCGGGTTGAAGACATCCGAGGCCGAGCCGGCGGCGCCTTGCGGGGCGGCGGTGGCACGGTAGATGGCTCCTAGCAGTACGGGGCGCCAGCTGAGGCGAGCATTCGTCCGAGTTGCTAATGCTTCTATCCTGGACTTGCCATCAGCACGCATTGGGAGAGTAGTAAGGGCGAGATCGGCGTACCTTCGCGAGGCGATGTAGGCGAATGGACACGATATCTGATTGATGGTCAGTCCATGCGCTGATTGGCGTTTCAACAGCGATGCTCACGTCGTAGTAGAACTCGATTGATGGTCGAGCCATTTTCAGGTCAATGTGAGCGTATTAGCGCAGTGTCAGTCGGTCAATCTGGCGGAACAGCGCAGTCGAGGAAGACTGAGGTGCGAAGTAGGTTGTTAGCCATTCACTTCTTGCCCCGCTTCCGCCTATTCCGTGATTGCCGATCTGGGGAAGCATTACAAAGCATTCGAGGTTTCGTGCGGGCATGTGGAATCTTGAGATGGGTGCATACCCAGGTGATATGAACGAAACATTGGAGCAATGCGCTCGGATTATTGAGCCATGGGTTGTGTCTCATCGAAAGACAACTGGCTGCCATCTGCCACCTTCTACTCGTTTGCTCTATCGCAGCTCATGAACACCAGTGCCGCCGCCGCCATCGCTATGCAGTCAATCAAGCAAGCAAGCAAAGCATTGCGCTTCATTCCGCCTAAGAGAACCGGACCTTGTAGCGGAAGTCGATCGCAAAGGCGGGATCGCTGACCGCCATCTCCTCCCCGTCGGCGAGCAGTTCGCTTAGCTTCCTCTTCAGGTTGCCCTCGGTCTGCATCCTCAGACTCTCCGGGGCGGAGTAGTAGAGCGTCTTCTCCTCCGTCCGCATGTTGGGTTTCTTGAGTTGGCTTTCGGGGCGCTCGGCGAAACTATCGACCAGCTCCTGAAGCGTAGTGTCCGGGTTGATGGTCAGATCGCGGGGAAGATTGCCACACACTGGACAAGCCGGGTTCTGCTCGTGCTCGAAGGTGTAGGTGTAGACGCCGCTGTCGCCAGTGTATTGCATGTAGTTGTTCGTGCCGGGTGCGCCGAGGAAAGGGGCAGAGGATGTGGCGAGTTTGAAGGCTTCGTTGCAGCAGCTGGCAGCGATGATGGCGTTGGTGCTGGCAATGGCGGGGATGATGTTTTTGACCACGCCCTGCGTCAGGCTGTACGTGACACCTTGGATGCCGAATTCCTGGGCACGCAGAAGAGCTTTTTGGTAGAGCCAGGTGATGTGCTCGGGGTCGTCGGTGTCGAGGGGAATGTCTTTTCGGTCCTCTTCCCACTTGATGATGTGTGCCCACTCGATACAATGTTGGGGTTGACGTGGAATGGTGGCCAGGGTGCACAGCGGGACGGCTGCTCGTGGCGCATGCATGTCGAGCTGACACTCGATGCACGAGGTCATGGTGGGCAAGATGACCCTCGACTGGCCTTTGAAGCCTTCCGTACCGCCATCGATGAGCGGCTTGAGGCTGTCGGGGTTTCCCATGTCGATCATGCCAACCAGCGTGGCGTTGATCCATCGCCGGGCCTCGATGCTGTCGAGGCCACAGATGATGATGTTGAATTGCATGTAGTAGTCCTCGTCCTTGTCCTGGATCTTACCGACGTATGCATTGATTTTGCAACTGGGCACCCGCCTGGAGACAAATTCGGCAGCAACGGTGGCCTTGGGCTTGCCCACGTCTTTTTCGCGAAAGAGGAACTGGCGGTTGAGATTGGAGACGTCGATGGTGTCCATGTCGATCACATCAATCTTGCGGAAGCCGCTTAACGCCAGATTCTTGAGGATCTCGCAGCCCAAACCGCCAGCACCGATGACCAGGACTCGGAAGTTTTCGATATTGCTGATGGGGATGGCGCCAGGCTCGTATTCGTCTTCAGTGAATCCACCTGGTCGGGAGAGCAAACGGTCCATGTACTTCCAGCGAGCTCGAGGATTTGCTTCACCGTTGACGGTAGCTGTCGGCGCAACCGCTTCCGGCTGCAGGACCGCGGCCATGTTGGAGACGATGAGGTTGGGGTTGATGGTTGACCCAAACGAGCGAGTGTTGTCGATACAGCGATGCAGTAAGGTGGAGGAGGCTGTTATCGATAAGGGTTAGGGTTGGAAGACATGTGACAATCTTCGTCGGGACTTCACCCATTCACCTTGACAATCTGTACTTCTTCCCCCGCAGGCCATTCTCCAAACAGCATGTGCCCGAGTAGAGGATGGCGGACTTTCTGACCGCTGTCAAATCGGTGCGCACGCATGAAGATGTCGACTCTGGAGACACTCTTCTCACCGCCGTGCGAACGAGACCTGCCGCTCCCCAGCCTAGATCTCGCGACCACTCAGACCCGACGATCGACGCGGTAACACACTCTCACGATGATACAAAAACGGTAGATCAATCAGCGATCTCATCAGTAGCAGCTGCACCTCTCGAACAAACTCTCCATGCTCTACGCTCCCAGCCCAACTTGGACCAACTCATCCCGCTCCTGCGCCAGCTCTCTCAAGATCAACCGCCAGATGCGCATCTCTCCCTGCACGAACCTGGCCCTGTACAAGCTCAGATCATCAACACCCTCCTCACTGCCACATTCTCTGACTACTGGTCCGTCTTCAGTAAGCAACAACGCCGCGAATTCGCCGCCTGTCTGCGGAACGTCGCTGGACTAAACGCCATCGTAACCCACCTGAGGCTCACGGATCCCCTCGCGAAAGACCGACCGAATCCGAGCAATGCCTCGACCGTCGACTTGTTGCAACTTGTCCATCTAGTGTTAGCAGGGGAAGACGCAGTGGCCAAGATCTGGCTTAGCTCCCAGGCCGCCGTCAAGGATGGTGTGAAGCTGGACATGCTCTGGAAGCAACTCACTGCTCTTCTCGCCTCCGGAAAGGTCATTTCCGCCGTCGCACAGGCCGAGGATTCAATCAAGCGTGCATCTGGGGAGTGGCACTGGCTGTCAAATGCAGCCGATTATGCTGCATGGCTGGGTCGGAGTATCGCCGCGCTCCTGGAGCATTCTTCAAGTGCTGCAGCACAGCTCCTCGCGAGAGCCCTGAACCTGACACCTTTCAATGCCATCTGCGATGGCCTGTACACCACTGCACTGTCCCGCAACGAACCCGGTGGGCGAGCACCTGTCCTCATCACAGACCTCCTCAGCCACGTCCCGGCATACTCAATGCGAACGCTTGTTGAGCAGTCCCTTCGCTGGCTTTCCTCCCTGAGCATGGCTCCCACAGGGCCAACTGAACAGCAACGAATGGTCGCCGCAATCACAGGCCTGCTGTCGACACTCATCCAAAACGAGAATACACAGCAAGATCTGGTCTCCTTGCTGCATGACCCGATCGCTTCCAGCGCCCTTTCATACCCCGCTCGGCGAGCGTCTATTGCCTCAATCGCACAGCTGGACAACACCGATCACTTGTACCGATTGCTTGAAAAGCTTTTCGCGACTTTCTGTGATCCTCTTTTCATCAATCATGCTCCTATTCGCCAGCAGGAGAGCATCATCCAGACCCTGCTCCTAGCTTCAGGCTACCTTAACCGCCAAAATTCAGTGGCGTTTCTCGTCATCGGAAGGTCGTCTAACGGCATCCAGGGTGTCAGTAATCGGCTCGACAGTTCCAATACTCGGGCACGATGGTTGGGGATGGTCGTTGCTACTGCTGTTTCAAGATTGACGGATCGCGAGAGCTCAAGGATGAATTTTGGAACGGATGAAATGGATACTGACGACGCTCGTTGGTACTTGCATCTCCCCGACATTCGCGACCGATGTGGCAACTTGAGGCTTTTCTCAGAGCTGTTGCAGGCGCATCAAATGCAGTCCAAGTCTCCCAGGCCTGTACAACAACCACCAGCGAGAGAGAAGCAACAGATACTGAATGGCAAGCCGGTATTTGGTCCTCCACGGCCGCCCGCTCAGACCGAAGTGATTGGTGATAGGATTACAGAGATTCTCGATGACGACGGTGCTTCGGAGATCGATGATTTCAAGCCGTATGCAAAACCAGACAGCGACCCTGAAGATAGTGACGAGGATGCCACGCTGGTGAACCGTGACAAAGTGAGACCACCGGCCTACATCCGCGATCTCATCTCCATGCTGCGAGACGACAAGAACCATGATCGATTCGAAATGGGCATCCGCTCAGCCGCTCCGCTGATACGACGCAAGCGAGACTTTGGTTCGGAGGTGACAGACCACGCCGAAGAGCTTGCCGGGATGTTCTGCAACCTACAAGACCCCTTTGAGACTGACAACTTCGACGAGCTCAAACTGCAGGCGCTGATTGCCGTTTTACTCTCTGACATTGCAGTGCTAGCGCCGTGGCTCAGCAGACAAGCCTTTTCAGGGGATTACTCGTTGTCTCAACGTTGCACTGTGCTCTCAGCTCTCGGCTTGGGAGGCCGCGAGCTCGCTGGTCTTGTTGTTGAGGACCAACTGAATCCCTCCCTGCCAGATACGAAGTTTCCCAGCAAGCAACTCCCACCCCGCCTTCACTCTCTGTACGGTGGAGTAGGCTCCTCCACAAAGAGTCTAGATGCCGCCAGCACCTCGACGGAGCGGGCACTCATCCAACCGCTCGCCCTTCGAGCCGCAGACCAATCAACCGCCGAACTGAACGCCGTCAAAGTCCGGACGTTCTCGAGCCGTATGGCCGTCGAGCGCACCAAGCGCAAAGCACCGCCGAATCGACTGGCGAAGATCTTCGGCCAAGCGTTCTTCTTCCCCCTCGCGAATCGATATCAGCAGGAAGTCGCCGCATATGGCTCGGCGAGCGTGTTTGCCTCTGTGCCAGTCGTGCTCGTTACGTTTCTCAAGACACTAACGCTCTTACTCCATGCCTCCGGCCCAGCCACGCTCGCTCTCCCTCAGATCACCGCTGAGTTCTGGGAACTTCTTCTCTCGTTGCGAGTCCGAGCTGTTTCGGACATCACCATCCTGCAGACCGTCCTCTTTGCTCTGCTCACCTTGTTGGAAATGAACACCGACAAGCGGCGCATAGCCGAGGAGCACCCGCGCGAATTGATGGAAACGCAGCGATGGGTGGACATGGTGTTCGATCGAACGGGCGGAGGCAATTTCATCGCGGAAAACGAGAACACTGACGAAGCAAAGGTGCGCACGCTCGCTGCGGCTGTGCTGGTCAAGACCAAGGAGGTGATTGATGCATATCAGAAGCAGCTCGTTGGGTATGGCCAATGATGCGGAGGGAGGGAATGCGCTCTGTCAATGTGGAGGCCAATAGTACATTCGATATTGATACAACGAAGAGACGGACGTGATTCCCTCATCATCACCCTCTATGCTACTAACCGAGCCCATACTCGCTCCAAAAAAACTCCTCGCTTGAACGGTAATACTACAACGCCCGTCCCTCTATCAACACATCCAAGGAAGCTGCTCCAGTCCCTCCCTTTAAGCCGGTGAGCCAGCGTCACCCGTCGACTTCCGGCTCCCAAGTTTCAACGTCAGCTTTGGCCTGGGAGGCGGTGGCATAGCCGGCTTGCTTTCCACCGCGGACGGCTCCTCCATCTTGACATCAGCAACGTCGGCTGTAGAGGGGATGTCGTTCTGAATGCCGACCGGGGTCTCCACAGTCTCAACGCTCTCGCTTTTGATCGCGGCAGCTGGCGCATCAGCAACAGGAGCGGGACCGTAAGTTCTGAACAAGCCAAGGTTCGACGCGGCATCAGCTACTACCGGGGTGTCGAAATAGTTCATGCTGTTCGTCGGTGACTGGAAGGCAGGGAAGGAAGAAGAAGGAGGCACTGTTGGCGTGATGGATCGCGAGGGCTGCGTAATTGATGGTGGCACAATGGTAGCACCGTTCTGAGGCCGAGGAGAGGAGAGTAGGATACGCTGAGCCTCAGCTGCGTTACGGCCGAGGCGGAGGATGACTGTCCTTGAGCCCTTTGGCTTGCCTGCAGCCGATCGTGCAGCTGGCGTTGTCGATCGTTTTCGATTGCCAGCTGGGCTACCCTTGCGATTCGGCGAGGCAACGGATTCCGTCGGCGTTGGCTGTCTCGACAACTTCGGCGCCTTGGGACTGCCTGCCCCGCCAGGAGCGTCAAGATCCATGCTCTGCTTTCGCTTTACGCCGAAGTTCAGCTTGATCCGGGCCTTCTCCGTCGTCGGTGTAGGGAGCTGAGGAGGCGCTGCGGCTGGGATCGCGGCTTCCTGGGCCGCAATCTTCGCTTGGAGTTCTTGTTCCTTCTTCGCAATCATGAGCTTCAATTGAGCCTGTTGTTGGATGTCTTCTTTCTGCTTGTCATGGACTTCCTTGGACAGACGACCGGCGTACTTCAGATCGAGCTGCTGCATTTTCTGCCAATGTGGCAGAGACAAGCCCTTTCGCGGCTCGGTTCTGTACTTGCCGTGGGGGATGAATTTGATTTGCCCCTGGCCCATGTTCTTGCATCGCCACATCCGGGGCAGTGTCAAAGAGACAATGTGCGAATCGACCGGCTCATACACGAGAGCCGCGATATCACATAAAGCCGCCACCTCCTCCATCGATAGATCTGTCGAGGTAGTAGCATCCCACAACGCATCTTTGAAACTGCTCTCGTTTTCAAGCGTGGCTTTGAGTGCCACAAGTGCACCATCCGGCGTGGTCTTCCGCGTGGCTTCTAACCTCTTGGCTTCGGCACTGGGCTCGTGCTCGATGATCAGTCCAGCATCCGCCATGGGTTGTGGCGGCGCCTTCACAGGCTCGGGATCTCCGAGCGCAATGTGACCAAGAGCTTCGCCGAGAACGATGAGCAGGCCATCTCGGAACGACGCGGAGTTGTCCGCGCCGAGACAGTGAAGCAGATAGCTCAAAGCACTCATCTTGCGCAGGACGCCAATCTCCGATAGGCAGCGCCAGGCTGCTAAGCGCACGCTCTCCGCATTGCCACTGCGAACGTACTGCATCAGCTCCTTGGTCTTGTCCTTGACGATGCCCGCCTTGGTGAGCTCTTGCAAACAACCGAGGGCAGTGACTGAATAGACATTGTGGTAGCTCGGATCCCATTCATCGATTCGCCGATGGCGTTCGATTTGCGCAATGGCGAGGTGCTGGAACTCGACATCTGAATGGTCTTCGGCTTCCATCGGCTCGTCCTCGTCGAAGTTGAAGCTGTACGTCGGTTGCACCTCTCGATGCGAGGCAATCAGAGAGTCCGATAGACAAGTCATCAGCGTCGCGATATAGTGGCTGTCGGAGATGATTGCGCTCTCGTTGTCATCATCGTGTATGGTGTTGTTCGAGTTGTCGTTGAACTTGAGCAGATCAACGAAGAATCGTCTGATTTCCAGCGGGACTTTACCGTCCTCGTCCCTCAGCTGAGCCATGGCCTTCGGGATTGCACACTGGATGATGAAGTTGCGGCGGTCCGAGAAGAAGTTTGACTTGGGCATATTTGTACCAGCAATGCAAAACAGCTCCCGGAAGGCCTTCATGAGGTGGAACTGACCAATCTCTCTCCATCGATCCTTGGCGCAGATGGCAAGGCCCTCGGCAGCCATTTCGCGGATGCCCCAGAAGTACTTGTCGTCCATCAGGGTCCTCACGAGGATGGAGAGGCTGACGTGGTGCGGATTAGAGCCCAGAAGATATCTCATGGACTCGTACTGCGCCACGATGTCGCGGTCCTGCTGGAGTTGAGAGACGTACATGTACAATGGCATGACAAGATGAATCTTGCCGATCCATTCGAAATCGGCGTCCATCCGGATCCACTCATAGCTCTCCTGTCCCATCTTCTCCTCGTCCTCTTCCGTCCAGTCAACCAGATTCCACTCGTTCTTCTCCTCTTCGGTCTGGTATTTGTCGCCCAGGCAGAAGAGCAGGGCATCCTCGCCACCCTCGACGTTGACACCTTCGGCCATTTGGCGCTCCTTTTGTCGCCTGGAACGCTTGAGTCGCTTGTACTTGGTGTTGTAAGGGATTTCGAGCTTGGTGACGGCTTCCTTGATCTCCACTATGTGCTCGTAAGGCGTGCCGTCCGCTTCGTGAATCCTAATAGTCATGGGGCCGGTGAACACAGGGTTAGTCTCAGGCGCCCACACATCGTTGACGTGTTCCTTCACCTCTCTCATGAAGTTGCTGGGTTCGAAAGGCGGCTTGGTCACACGCTCGAGCTGCTTTTGCACAATCGACATCTCCACTACCAGCTTCTTCTTGTTGAAGCGCTGGGTGGCATAAAAGATGGGACAGCCACTTTGAAAGACCCATTGGCGGAAGAATGATTCGAGCTTGTGATGGCCCAGTCTCTCGCAAGTCCGCTGGAAATCCAGCGTGGACAGTTCGCCGTTATTCAACGCACCCGTCCTGGCGTTGAGAAAGATTTTGTTGATGATACGCTGCACACCAGTCTGTCCGGTCGTCTTCATCAATCGTCGATCCAGAATGAAGAGCACCAACGCAGACTTGACATTCACAAACTCGCGGATGGTGTGATCGAGATGATACAGCTGGCCAAGAGTGACCATTGATGGCCGATCGACGTCCAGCTCGTAGACCTTTTCGGCGGCAAGCTTCTGTTGCCAGCGAAACTCGTTGTTACCGCAGAGGTCTTTCATGTAGGCGTCTGTCATAAAGCCTGCGATGCCAGCGACGACCCAATGGTCTGCCGCTTCTTTGGCGATGACATTGACGCCCATCCATTGATCAGCCAGCGCCCGGATCAGGATGCGAGTATTGCGGTAGATGGGCTCGATGATCGTCTTGGGAAAGAGAAGACGAGCGCTGCAGAAGGACAGACCGGCGGTGGCCATTGTATCGGGGACCAGATCATCCACGAAGAGCATTTGGTAAGTGGTGAACGGGAATGATCCATACTTGATCGCCATGTTGTCGACTGCCCACGCGATTGTGTAGGAAGTGTTGAGGAGTTCCTTGCTTTGGCCTGGTAAGCAGAATCCTTCGACCTTGATTGCAGTTTGTCCCAGTCTCTCCTCTTCCTCGGATTCGCGTGCGGCGGACAGATCAACATGTTCGAACGGGCCGATGGCGAACCCGATGTGTCTGGCGGCCACGGGTTGAGCGAGATTGAACGAGACTGTGTGTCGGGTATCATCGTCGGAGTCCACCACATCGTCGACTAAGTCTCCAACGCAGACCACTGTCAGTTCAAGCGCCGCCTCATCCTCCGCGAGGTCGACGAGGTAGTGGTCAGAAGCGTGGCTGCTGACCCCGGTACCGTTCGCCGCATTCGCAGCCCCGGTCGCGCTCGTTGCACTCGTACCATTTGCATGAGCTTGGTTGCTTTCCGGGTGCTTTGGCAGCCTGAAGGCATCTCCGAGGGTACGTGGAGTCCTGATGGAGATTTCCCAGCTGCAACGAGTGGTCGCGTCGTCAATACACGGAAAGATACAAGAGGTATTCCCTGGTAGCAGCTCGGCCTTGGTGTACATGTATGGGTATCGTCGATCACCCTCCGCACACCCAATCCATTGCAAGCCGTCGCGGAATGTATGCACGCCGAACTCGATGGTGATTTTGATCGGGGCAAGCAGAGGGGCCCCGGATGCGACGTCAAGTTTCTCGCCATTTCCTGCCTGAAGTGGCTGAGCTTGTAGCTCTTTGATGAGTTTCGCCGGAAGAGTAACCGTGAGTTCGGGTGCTGGAGTGGGCCGGAGAGACTGCGCAATCTTGTCTTTCAGCAGGCCATGTTGATGCACCGTTGACTGATATGGCATCTGGAGTCGTTGGTACGGATCGGTGTACTCCCACTTGGCCCGGATGCCTCCCACTTCGATGGACGTGACGCTGCATTGCCGGCAGTGCAGTTTGACAACTTTCACGTCGTTGATCAACGGCAGGATGGTAATCTCCGTACTGCCCTTCACTGATCGAGCGGCGAAATCGATGTCCAAGTCCACCTTCTGCTTCAAGATACTGAGCTCCGTTTCCTCTGATACTGGAGCTGGCCCCTCTGCCGCCACCACCTCTTCGAGGGAGGGGGCCATGATGGCGCGCCCAACCTCTTCACTTTGCTATTGCCGTGAATGTGATCATGCCAGCGCAGTTGCGTATGCGACCGTCGGCGGGAGACGTAGAGGGCAACGACGTCAGGATGTCTTGGGTGATGTTGCGATCAGGGGGAGAGGCGCGTGTGAGGCAGATGGCGGTATCGCTGAGGCAGAAGTTGATGAGAACGGCGAAGGCGTAAGCTTGGAGGAAGGTGGGTTGTGAATAGTCTGGTAACTGGTGCGGCGCATTCACTTGCTGATGCGAGTGGAGGAAGCAGATGGACAACTCCAACACCAGTCGGAAGTAGCCGAAAGCTTAAATCTGTACGGCAATATCGGAAGTGAAACCCGAGGACAGTCTTCCCTTCAACACTTCCCACATACTGCAGGAAATCAAGCTACACGACGCAAGCCGTCTGGCCATCACTGTCCACGCTCAATAGCCGCGAGAAAGTCCTGCTACGGATGCTCTTGACGCAGGACATCGACGTTTTCTCGATGCACTATCCCCTTTTCCCCGTGCTTTATTGTGCCCGACAGGCGTAGGTGTACAAGACCATGACGGAACATATCGAATATGGGTTGTAGTAGAGGCGGTGGGTGTAGTTCGGGGAAATCAGATTGATCGAAGGGCAGCACGATGCGCTTGTGAAATGGATACATGTAGTCGAGCAGGCCAGAGTAGTGTAATGCTCAGATGATGCTCCACCATCACCGAACCTGAACCCTCTTCGGCCTACATATCGGTTCCACGCGCATCGCCACGAAGGTGAATCGAGAAGGATCAAGTCGATCCTCTGGGTTTTGCTTCAGGCTTGGATTTAGGCTATGGAGAGAGGTATATGAGGATGGAGAAAGCCGGATTTCGAGATGGTGCAACAATTTCAAAGGAAATCGCTTGCTGAACAGATGGGTATCGAGCAAAATGGACAACGCTGAAACGCTGCGTAGCAAAAAGAGACGAGTGTGCTGCCGTGTCTAGAGGATGACACAGCGCGCAGGATGCAGGTCGGATGAAGATAAGACAACCCGGAATTCGTTGTCATCGGTCGGAGAAGCGTATCGTCGTGGAGAGGGTGCGAAGCGTACGATCTTCTTGCTCGCGACCTGGGGGCAAGGTGCCGCTGTCGTATTCGCAACATCTGCGCAACTCTGGTTACTGAACAGTGGTGCAATTGCTGTCATGACGTTACTAACATGTCTCAACTGGCAAGCAGTTCCAGCGCACTTTTGAAGGCATCGACCACTTTGATGTCTGAAGAACGCAGGGTTAGCAACGCGGAATGCGGCGCAGACTGGGCTGACTTACAATGTTGACGCTTCGCTGCGAGCCCGTCTTCGTGGTGCTGCACCAGGGTCATTTGGGTTTTCAGCCTTGCGGGGTTGTCAGTAAAACACCATGCCGCCATTTTGGAGAAACATTACCGCTTGAAAGTCCGATTGGACTCTTGATTCGATCCGGCGGCCGCCCACATGCCGAAGGACTAATCGGTGTCAGGTAAAAAGGCAGAAGTGATGCTGAAGGTCAACTCACCTGGGAAAGGCCCTGGAATTCGTCCACTATCGCTTGTTCTTTTGCAGCGAACTCGGCCTGTTTCTCGTGAAATCGCGCTTCCAGCTCCCTCCAGTCGAAAGCTTCCATGTTCTCCAGCGGGTCATCGACGAGCGATTGAGAGGACTGAGAGTTCTCGCTTTTCGCTTCTTTCATGCTCGACGAATGAGGTGGCAGATGGGGGTGATCACTGCTAGCGGAAGGCTGCAGTTTGACAGTCTCTGTTGTTGAAGGCTGTGCTTCTTCCCCGGAACGTGGACCATAGTGCGGTACGGCAACCGAATGATGCGTAGGAGCCTGAGATGGATCTTCTTTGACGGACTCGTGGGTTGGATCGTCGTCTGAGGTCACCTGAACGACTCCGTCAAGAGCCATGGAATGCTCGTCCTCCAGCGGGTTTTCAGCGGTGTTCTTGTTTGCTGAGGTGTTGGCATGAGACTCTTCGGGCTCGATAGACTGTTCTCGAGATGGTCCAGGAGAATGGGACAGGTCTACGGTGTTGATCATGTTGTACCTCTCCGCATGCGGACGCTCTTGCAATCACCATGGCGGCGTAAAGCTCCGGCGCCGGGAAGTCGCGATTTAACCTTTCAAGAAACGCGCTTGCTGAGTCAGATTCGCGCGGTCACATGTCGACTATTGTGGTGGTGATGTGCAAGTTGCATACCTCGCAGACATCGACCCGCCTTCACTACGCTGCTTGTCAGTTACGAGCACCAGCCGTAGTATGTCTGCTCCTGTATACGATGTTTCTTTCCAAGCCAACCATGCAGGGCCGCGAGCTGCGGTGACTTACCGAGTGATCTCATCGCCATCCTTGGACGATACGCCATGATTCAGCCTTGCTATTCGCTGTTCCTCGACCGAACAAGTGTCAGCAGCGGGAGAGTGAAAGATGCAGTGCGGTATCTGTGAGAAGGACTTTGGAGCGCGACGAAAAGCACACTGCGCATCATGCGCTCGAGCAGTGCTATACAAGAGCAGGGTCGAACAGGCGAGTGCACTCTTGGATCGAGAGAAGTGGCACACACACGTCGAAGCCATCACTCGCCCTGGGAACGATGGTGTCCTAGCAGCCCTGCCAGTTGATGCGGACTGGGACAGCATCACGACGGGCATCAAAGCCCACAGCCTGGAGGGCGTGAGGATAGAGCTTGCGGTGGCCGGAGAGAAGATCAAGGGCATCGCGGCGAATGCGGACAGATTGAGACAAACGATCGAGTCCTACAAAGCCTCAGTCGAGAAGAAGAAGGCTTCCAATCAACGTCGCCGGCAACAGCTGTCGCTTGAGCGGGAGCAGCTGGAAAAGCGGAAGCTTCGCGCGAGGGAATCGGTGCAGGCGGCGGTCATGAAATCGAATCATCGGCTGGGCAAGCTGCAAAAGCGCGCTGCTGATGCGAGAGAGCTGCTTTGCGGTGAAGTGGCATCCTTGAGCGGACTCCACAGGATCACCAGGGACGATGGCAAGACCGAGTATCACTTGGCTGGAGTGATGGTGCCGGATCTCCGAGACCTGAATGGCATCAACGGCAGGATCCGCAGCGAAATCATAGACACCACGACGGCTTCCAAGCCCCTCGCCGAGACTCACGAGATAGTGTCAGCTGCGTTCGACAACGTTTGTCGTCTCGTCGGAATTGCCTGTCACTACTTATCTGTTCGGCTGCCTTCGGAGGTAATACTACCCCATAACGACTTTCCACACGCCGCCGTTGTGCCCAGGGGCTCATCGTACCAGTCCAACAACCCTCGCTATCCGGTCTCCCTATCAAGTCGATCCTCAAGCCCTGTCGCATCTCGCATACTGCAACGGAGTGATCTCTCACGGCCCCGGCTGCTGTGCCTCGACCGGCCTCTGCCACAACTGCAAAAGGAAGAGCCCAAGACAGCCATGCTGTTTCTGGAAGCGGTGACGCTGCTGGCGTACGATGTTGCGTGGTTGTGTCGCAGCCAAGGGATGGATGACACAAGTTCGTTTGCGGACATTTGTGCCATTGGCCAGAACCTACATCACCTCTTCTACGGTAAGGATGAGAAGAAACTAGCCAGGCCATTACTCATCAGAGCGCCATCCTCAGCAACTACAATCACCGGACCATCCGCCACACCAGGTGCAGACGGAGTGCCGTCATTCGGGCTATACAGTCACGGCAGCGCTCACCACTCCCTGGCCGGACACCAGGGAGCTTCGCTCTTCACTTCCGACTCCTTTCCTGTTCGTCAGACCCGACTCACAGATCAGCTCAAGTCGTATCTACGCCAAGAGACGGCGCGGGCGGAATGGCATTTCATCGACGAGACGGAATGGGACGAACAACGCGAAGATGAAAGGGCAGTGTTGGTGGGAGGTTCACGGGCATTACAAGATCCCAATGGGCCTGCTATGAGTGTTTTGAGCGTCAGACCGAGCGACGGCACGGACGAAGCCAACCTTCCGGTGCGCGAAAGAGGCAGTCGGGGATGGATGAAGGTGAGGGGACGCGACGGGGCAGAGTGAAGGGTAGTAGAGCTTCAAACATTGCTATTGTCTGCTTGCATTCCCCATAACCCTTTTCTCGACGATGATCTCGTCCGTAGTTTCACTGCAGCATTACGTGACACGCACGTGCGAGACTCTTCCTGTCCTTAGCGGCCAGTTGCCGGCTTCGTTGCATCGTCGCCAAGATTGCCCGCCTGTTGATTCATGAGACCGCGAGCAGCATTGTAAGTGGGGAGTTCGGGTACTCACGAATTTGCCCAGGGGGTTCTGCAAGCCTTCGCCCATGATGTCTTTGACGCCGCTGCGGAGACCTTTGATCTCCTACGTCGCCGTTAGTCAGGTGTACCGTTTGATGATGGAGGAGAGGCGCACGTCTTGATCGGCGGCAGGTAGCTTGTCGACGGCAGACTTGGCCATGTACGACGCTTTATTCTCGCCCATCTTCTCCAACACTTCCTCCTCGAGCCAGCGCTTGAGGGAGGGTGGAATGCCAAAGCTGGAAAGGTCGACAGTGTCAATTCGATTCAGTGGATGGATGATGGCGAGCTGTACTTACAGGAAGATGTAGCCCGCAAGAAGAGCTGCCGAAGAGAGGATAATGGCGAGAAGGATGGTGGATGGGTGCCACATGGTTATGATCGTGATGGAATTGACCTTCTCTTACTAAATCGATGTTGTGGAAAGGTCGATGAGAACGAGAAGGAGAAGGTGAAAAGCAAGACACGAGAAGATGAAATATCATTGCCAATACATACCACAACCCCATCCCTACCTGACCTCTTCCTTGCCTCATCATTCTTCCCCTGCAAGATTGCTGGGGGAAAGCAGGATTTGTGAGACGCGCGAGGCTTCACATGCCAGCGCCCGGCTGCACCTGCACCCTTGCTCCAAACATGAGCTTGCCGTCCCTGAGCTGAACCCCGCCACAATGCTCCACGTCATTGGTGGGGCACGGGGGTTTTACGGGCTAGCTGGCCTGGCCAGGTACCTGATCAACCAAGCTTCATTTTCTATTCTTCATCACTCTTTTCTCAACCTGTCAAATTACCTCAATACAGCCGAGTGACGATATTGCACAAGTTTCATCAACCCTCAAGTGAGTGTGGCATTTCAGCATGCTGTGAAACGTGCCAGACATATTGACTGACCATTGTTCCCCCGGCAAAGTACCATGCCTCACCATCGCCGAGAGGAAGAGGAAGGAGGAGACTCCTACGGAGGTGGAAACAACGGTGGAGGGGACTCGTACGGAGGCGGCCGTGACAACTACGGAGGCGGTGGGCAGCAACAATACGGCGGAAGAGACAACTACGGTGGTGGTGGGCAACAGCAATACGGCGGTGGAGACAATTACGGCGGTGGCCAGCAGCAATACGGTGGCGGAGACAACTACGGAGGAGGTGGTGGCCGAAACGAATATGGCGGCGGAGGAGGTCCTGGACGCCGAGACGACTACGGTGGCGGGGGAAACTACGGAGGTGGTGATTCGTATGGCCAAGGTGGTGGTGGCGGAGATTCGTACGGCGGAGGCGATTCATATGGACAACAAGGTGGGGGAGGGGACTCCTATGAGCAAGGGTACGGGGGAGAGGGGCGCGGTGGGGGATATGGCGGTGGGCGTGGCGGAAGAGGAGGCGGCGGAGAAGGCCGTGGGGGCGGGCGAGGAGGACAAGAATACGGAGGCGGAGGGCACGGCGGCGGCGGTGGCGGCTTCGACTTTAACCAGGTCGAGCAATACGCTCACGAGCATGCCGGTGGGAGTGGGGACAGCAGCATGTTCAGCAACGCCATGAACCACATCTCTGGCAACGCCTCCCACCTGCAGAACCAGGGCGTGGACGAAGATAACATGGTCCAGGCACACCAGTCCTTTTTCGGCGGTGGGGGAGGCGGAGGAGGCCCGGCCACTAGCGGAGGAATGGGCTCGGCCGCGGCGATGCAAGCCTTGAAGATGTTTGGATCGGGAGGAGGAAGCTCAGGCAGTGGAGGCGCGAGCAGCGGAGGCGGGATGCAGCAACAGTTTATGGGCATGGCTATGGGCCAGGCTGCCAAGCTGTTTGGTGAGTTCATGCACATCTCTGCGTCTTGGGGGTGAACAGAAACTAATGTGTCTCGCAGATCAGCAATCCGCCTCTGGCAATGTGGCAAGTGGTGCTTCGAAAGAGAGCGCTATTCAGCAGGCGGCCGAACAAGCATTCAAGATGTACATGGGATCAAGCGGAGGCGGGGGTTCTGGTGGTGGACTGATGAGCCTGGCATCCAAATTTCTATAGTCGTTACGTGAGATAGACGATATAGCCATTGACTAGGACTGTCATCCAGCACTTAAATATAAAGCCCATCGCGATATGTGGATGTTTGAGGGTGCATGTGGAAATAAAAGTTTCCAGGGTCCACGAAGCGGCGCGGAAAAAGGGAAAGCGCAGACCACCCAAGCCGCGGCGCGATGATGATTTTTGGGAAGGAGCAGAGCAGGGCCAGAGCAAAGCAATCATCAGAATTGTATTCCCTTCCAAAACACCCCACCAACGCGTCCCTTTTCCCTCGTGCAGCCCGGCAGCATGCCCGACACCACCTCGTCGTCGCCTCCGAGATGATCGACGAGGCAAAACATGGCCCTTCTCTCGCGTTCTCGCGTGCCGAAGATCTCCGCGGATGGGCGGCGGGCGCGCGTTGCTGCATCACGCCGCCATCGTCCCCCTCCCTCCCACCACCCCAACGCCCATAACGCCTCCTCCCTCCCCCCGACCTCTCCCTCACGCGACCACGACGACCATCAGCCCCCGGCCAAGCGCCGCAAACTCTCCATCCGCACCAAACAGACCACGCTGGATGACTACGCCTCCATCCGCCAATCAGCGCCGCCACACCCTCCGACACGAGTCACGGTCACACAACCACATGGGCCACTCATACAAAACACCAACGGCGTGCAGACCTTGCTCGACGCCGACGAGGATGAACTGGCTTTGCCTGCCCCCACCAAGCCGCTTCCCAAGCCTGCTTCTTCCTTGAAGACCGACGACAAACGAACCCTACGATCCCAAGATGAGGGCCCGCGATTGAAGAGCGAGCTCGCCATATACTTCCCCAACTACGAGGACATCATCTTCGATGCTCCAAAAGATCTCGACTTTCTCACGGTCGACTCCACTCTCTATGTCACCGACGACACTGCCCGGCCACCCTCTGAACCAAATACCCCCAACAAAGGCAGCAAGCATGTCAAGTCAACACCAGGGCATGCTCGCAAGGGGTCGGCGAATGGAGCACCACTCCAATCGACGCCACGGAGAAGCTCTTCCAACCAATTCAACGGCAGTCCCAGTTTGAACTTGGAGATGATCGCCCGCAGTCTGCCCACCTTACCCGAAGACCCCCTCACCGATGAGCATTACAACAAGTCCCACCGACGCGCCGAGCGGAAAGAGAAGCAACTCCGCAATATTGAGAAGGAACGGGCGATGCATGAGAAGGTGCAGCTCGATCGATTGCTCGAAGGCTTGCAGGGTCACGATTGGTTGAAGGTGCTCGGCGTGACGGGCATTACAGATGGAGAGGCGAAGAAGTATGAGCCGAAGCGGGACTACTTCATTGCCGAAGTACGTGCCTTGGTGGACAAGTTCAAGCAATGGAGGGAGCAGGAGCGTCGACAAAAGCTAGACAAAGAGGCTGCTGTGGCTGCACGAGAAGAAGAGATGATGGAGGATGGCGGCGAGGAGGAGGAAGAGTCTGAGCTGTTTGACTCCGAAGCGGCCAGCAGCACCGGCCCTCCCAGCAGCGATCTCAATGCGTCGGCGGCAAGACAGCTCCAGCAAGAGACGGCGATTGCCCTCAAATCTCTCGCTGCTAGCACATCCACTCCCAGAGGCAAAGAGCTGGCTGCCAACCCGCTACCACCCGTCTTTGTTGAGCCCCCACCCGAAGTCCCTTTTGTCAGCTTTTACGACAAACCACACCTCCGCGATGCAGCTCTGGGCAAGGCGAGGTCTGGCCGCAGCGTGACTGCTTTCGGGCATCCGGTGCCTGAACTGGAGGAGCGGGAGTTTGAGCTGCCGGACGAATACGCAACTCAAGACGCCATTCGAGCCAACGCGCGAGAGAAGAGGCGACGGAAACGGGAAAGCGTTGCGAATGCTTCGAATTGAGTGGGCTATCGTGTTATCCATCCATCCTCGCCGCTCGTCTAGACGCTTCGCTGGATACTCCTGTACTGTAACATCCTTTCAATTCAACTGCAGTCGGTGAGATCATGGGGTCTTATTCTGAGTGCTGCTCATCTTTATCTGTCCAGACTATTCTATGTGGGTAATCGCGAAATGTGAATCGACCAAAATCTACAGCAGTGGATTCGAACGGTACTCAGGCACCACACCGTTTGCATGGCCCTGGCCCTTCTTCGCCTCCGACACGTTTTCCGGCCCGTCCTCGACGACTTCTTGCTCTGCCAACCACTTCTCTGCTTCGAGCGCTGCCATGCATCCCGAGCCTGCAATAAGAGTTAGCACCTGTAGTGAAGACGGATGAAGGATAAACAAGACTCACCAGCCGAAGTAACGGCTTGTCGATAAATCTTGTCCTGCACATCGCCCGCCGCAAAGACACCTGCGATATTCGTTTCGGCCGTGCCAGGCGTGGTAATGAGATAGCCATCATCGTCCATCTTCAACTGCCCCTTGAACAGGTGGGTTGCCGGCTCGTGGCCCACGGCGTAAAACAAGCCGTTGGCCGGAATCTCCTCCGTCTCACCGGTCTTGGTGTTCTTGACGACCATGCTTCGCATCAGACCACGGGGGCCGTCATCGCCCTTGATCTCCACGCCTTGGTGGTTGTATTTGATTTCAATCTTGGGATTGGTCGAAAGACGTCGGGCGTTCACCTTGCTGGCGCGCAGCACGTCTCGCCGCACAAGCACGATGACTTTGGACGCCTTTTTGGCGAGGTAGAGAGATTCTTCCACCGCGCTGTCGCCGCCTCCGATGACCACCAGAGGCTTCTCCCGGAAAATCGGCAGGGATCCATCGCAGACTGCGCATGCAGAGACGCCATTGCCCCAGTACTTCTCCTCGCCATCCAAGCCCAATCTCCTCGCTTTGGCGCCTGTGGCTATTATGATGCTGTCGGCGGTGTGTGTCTCCTCCTCGAGCGCGTCATCGTCTCCCATCGGGTGTAGCCAGAACTTGAATGGCCGTTGGGAAAAGTCCACCTTGCCGACGGTCTGCGTGATAATCTCCGTCCCGCATGCCTCGGATTGTTTCCTCATTTCGTCCATCAGAACGGTGCCCTTGATCATCTCGTAGCCCGGGTAGTTTTCGACTTCGTCGGTGGTGGTGAGCTGGCCGCCGGCTGCGATGCCGAGGGCGAGGAAACCCTCGTACATGACGGGTTTGAGGTCGGCGCGTGCAGCATAGATGGCGGCGGTGTGGCCGGCGGGCCCGGAGCCGATGATGACGAGTTTGGAGTGCATTTTGCGGGTTTGCTGGAGGGCGGAGGTGGTGGGAGAGAGGGCCGGGTTGGTGGCAAGCAAGGGAGCGCTGGTGCTGTTGGCGGGGCGGTAGAAGGACGCGGCGGCGAGGAAGGGCAGGCCGATACTGGAGCGGAGCGGTCGAGAGCCTGCGCGGCGGAAAGCGTTGGAGAACACTTTGGCGATGCGGAGGGGAGGGGAGGGGATTTGTAGGTGGTGGAGTGAGGTCGCCGGTGGTTGTCGGCGGGTGGCGTATGTAGGTGCTGCTTCAGCAATGACTAACCCGAGTATTTATAACGGGCGGCGCGCGAGATGTTGCTCGGGATGCGTCATGTGGAAGCGGCAGGAACTGGCGGGTGTGGATGTGGATGTCGTGGTGTTTAGTCAGGCCGCATGCGTTCAATGCAGAAGAATTTCTAATTGCGGAAGGAGATTCTAGAATCACGCATCGCCGTGCGCCGCGCTCATTAGTCAGGCTGCCGTCAGCGACGACACCCCTTCGCTGTCAACCATTCGGTGTCACATTCAATTCGTTTTCGTCTGTTCTACATTTTGGTCTCGTCGTCTCGAGATATGAGGACCTGAGACTGGGGCATGGCTATACCATATAGCTTTGTCCCGTCATCGTAAGACGAACGCTGACCAACTCGCCGCTCTGATAGGAGCATGTTGCCTAGTAAGATGTCGTCTCGTTTCTTGGCTCTCATGCTCCTTTTTTCCCTGTTCGTCTCATCGCAAATCTCTGTCATTGTCTCTGGAGCAGTGGATGGAAGAAGAGGCTGCACAATCATGGCTCGTCGTAAGAAATCGAGCAGACCCGAGGTGTACATCAGGTGGAACGAAGACCTTCGGTGTGTTGGCTGCAGTCACAGGCTGAGATGGTTGAATTGACTGTCTTCCAGGCTCCTTCTTCACTCAATAAAGACAAACTTCAATCTCACCCCTTCCGAAGAAGTGGAGGTCTTTGAAAGGATCTCCGGACGTGCCGGCATCAAGCAGTCCCTGCTTGCTGCGCAGTTCAACCTCCGCTCCCACCCCAATGGTCGGCATCATTGGTGCTTTCTAGACGCGGAGACTGTTGCACACCTTCGACGAATCAAGGCTATGACGACACAGATCAGGCAGGCTTGCCACCAGCTTGGAATTCGGGAGCAGCAAAGCACCCCATTTGAACCATCGTGCGCGGTCACTACGACAGGCACAAAACGGAGGGTATTGCAAGCGGTGGTGATTAGAAGGCAGCCAAACGAAGCCAGCCTCGTTCCCCGGTCCGCGGCAGCTCTTGGGCACCCAACATGGCCGGAGCGCTTGTCGTTGCCCAAGGGCAGCATCCTCTATCGGTGAGAAGTAAGTTCCAGTAAGCTATTGGAAGCAAGAAACCTTGACGTCTGGCGTCAGGTATAATGTGCCTAGCAAGAGTCAGACGTTTCTTACTCCCGATGGCTGCTTTGTTGCTGGACGATTCAGAGAAACTTTCGGCTTCCTGGACATTCCAACGACACCTCCATCCGAAAGCGACATTTCTTTCTGGCATGATGTCTGTCTACATTTCAATAGACGCCCAACAGCGACGCCACTAATCTCAGCATCATCCTCTTTAAGCTGGATTCTGGGGCTGGCGGTTGGTGTTCGATAGACGGGTAACGCTGGAGGCTCCGTGGCTAATAACAAGGTCACAGATCAAGGCCTCCATCAAAGGTGATCAGAACGGCACGATATCACTCATCTTTGTGGATGACAGCATGACTTTGTACCATGCGCGAAGCTTTCACGCAAAGCTTCTGCCATTCAGGTGCTGTATCGAGGGGAACTGGCGCGGAAATCATAACAGTGAATGGGTGGTGTACGGCAAGGCCAAGACGGCGGTCACCTTGCCCGTCGCTTACATCTTGACTGAGGCTGCAAAGCACCAAACAGTGGGACGCTTACTACAGAAGACCACTTTATTGGGGAGCGGTGTTGGCGAAAGCCTGCCACGATCGCCTTCGAAGCAGAAGCCATTTGAGGTCGACCAGTATCTCGTTGACCAAGCCTATGCTTGCTTTATGCGCGCCGTTCTAAGGAAGGAAGGGGAGACCGTGCGAGCTTCGATGGCTTAGTTACGGACGGTGTGCGCTGTAGTAGAGATTGAGAGATAATCAATCGTTGGGAGCTGGTCTTGGGAACGAGTCATTCGTTTGGGATCTTTCAAAGGACCAATCAAGGGGTTGGAACTATGACCATGTTCATTCATTCCTCGGCATCAATCATCTTCCTCTGTGCTGCATCGAGGTCGTCAGGATAAAGAACACGAGGCGAGCCGAAAAAGCGCCTGCTGCAGCACAAGTATGTGAATCTCGCGCTCTTTAGCCTTGCACGATCGTAGATGTGGATGAGATCCACCTGGTCCTTGACTTTGGCGATACTTCCGTCGCTTGGTACTCGGCGGATGGAGTAGTAGTAGAATTGCTGGACTTGGTCCCGAACTCTCACATCTCACCACACTGCGCAATCACCACATCCTGCGCCGGCTTCTCTGACCTCGTGCGGACATTCTCAATCTTCTTGACCGTGTCCAAGCCGTCGATGACCTTGCCGAAGACGCAATGCTTCCCGTTCAGGAAGGGGGTCGGCACGGTAGTGATGAAGAACTGGCAGCCGTTCGAGTTTGGGCCACCATTCTGTACAGCAGATCGTCAGAGAGGTACTCGAAACTGGAAAAGGGGAGATTCACTCACAGCCATGGACAACAACCCAGCGGTATCGTGGCCCAGCTTGAAATTCTCATCGGCAAACGTCTTTGTTCCGTAGATGCTAATCGACCCCGTGCCATCGCCGTTGATAAAGTCGCCGCCCTGAATGACGAAGTCTTTGACGACTCGGTGGAACTTGCAGCCTTTGTATCCCTGCGGTCGGCCAAGGTGGTTCTTCGTTTCGCCCGTGCAGAATTGGCGGAAGTTTTCTGCGGTGCGCGGAGTGATGTCTGCGAACAACTCCATTTTGATGCGGCCGAGCGGCTCGCCGCCGAGAGTGATGTCGAAGAAGACGATCGGATTCGGTTCGTTTGTGGCCATCTTGAGGCTGGTTGTTTGTGTCTGTAAGGTGGTAAGTTGGTGTCGGCGCGGTAAGTTAGGGTGAGGGTTCATGTTTTGACGGCTCGCCCCACCCGTGACGGACGACGAAAAGCAACGGTCTGATGGACATCAACACCACCATCCGCTGACCGTCTACAATCAACTCCACATCATCAGATCGTACAATGGCGAGTTTTGCCGTCAAAGCAATCGATCACGTGGTGCTCACGGTGAAGAGCATACCCAAAACAGTGGACTTTTATACCACTCGGTTGGTCTAATCACGGCAGTAATGCCCGATGAACATGCTGATATTCAAGACGACAGACTGGGAATGCGACATGAGGTCTTTACATCAAAGGGATCTGAAAGGTAGGCTATCTTTCCATCGTATAGTTTCATCCGCACTGACCGCGAAAGACACGCCCTCATCTTTGGCAGACAAAAGCTCAACCTACATCAATCCGGCGCGGAATTCGAGCCCAAGGCGGGCAAGGTACAACCCGGCAGTGAAGATCTCTGCTTCATCACCGATCACCCAGTGGACGAAGTGCTCAAGATCTGGCAGTCCGCTGGAATCGAGGTAAGCCCCCACTCGCTGCGGGCCCGGCACCGCGCACATCCTCTGACCACCGATGTAGATACTGGAAGGTGGAAAAGTAGTCGATCGCACCGGAGCGGCAGGTAAATTGCGCAGTGTGTACTGCCGCGACCCAGACGAGAATCTTATCGAGTGAGTGACCGGAGTCCTGTGCTTTCTGCCGACAAGGATTATCCTGACATCCCCATTCTCAGAGTTTCCAACTACGTCTGATCCAGACACGGTGCCACCTTGTACCGACTGAGGAAACGCAGGCGAAGGATGTAGAGGAACGCGGGTTGAACGAGACAGCTTCAGATATGGGAATGATGCATTCGATTAACTATACACTTCATGATGGGAGAGACACATGACGTATCTGGCTTCCCACACAGACACGCCGCGCACCCTGTCCAATGCGATCCTACCTAGTAACCACAGCTCACAACTTAGCAGGCAAAGGTGTCTTCATGTTGATGTGAATCGTCTTCGGCTGTAGGTATGCGTGCAGCCCGGCATAACCGCTTTCCCGACCCAGCCCAGAGTGTTTATACCCTCCAAACGGCGTTTGAGGGGACGTATTGAAGGCGGAGTTGATGCCTACCGTGCCAGCTTCGATTTCGTCTGCGACTCTCAACGCTCGGGCGATGTCGGATGTGTAGATGGTCGCTGGACACGTGGTCAGTCGCCAGGCTTTGGGGAAATGCGAGGGGGAGCGCAGGTCTCAACTTACAGCCCAAACCATATGTTGTGTCGTTTGCCAACTTGATCGCTTCCGCCTCATCCTTGAAAGTTGTCACGCTAATAACCGGACCAAAGATCTCCTCGGTATACACTTTGGATTTGAGGTCAGGGTTCAGGAAGACAGTAGGCTGCACGAAGGCACCCTTGTCGCCCTTGCGCTCGCCACCGACCAAGACTTGAACTCCTTCTTGCTGGGCGTCTCGGAGAAAGCCCATCACCCGTTCAAATTGCTTCTGGTCGGCCAGGGGGCCAAATGCGGTCTCTTTGAGCGACGGATCACCCATCATCTTCTCCGCATTTTGGAACGACTTCTTCACAGCTTCAATGTACTTCGGGGCGATTCCTTCTTGCACCAAAACCCGTGTACTCGCGAAACAGATCTGGCCGCTGTTCATCAGAAACGAGATGGACGTATGCTTGACCGCATTTTCGAGATGGGCATCGTCAAAGATCAGAGCAGGCGATTTCCCACCGAGTTCCAACGAAACATGCTTGAGATTGGACTTGGCTGCTGCCTCCATCACCTTCCTACCGGCTTGGGCAGAGCCAGTGAATGCGATTTTTTCGACGTCCATGTGGCTAGCTAAAACAGCTCCAGTTGGTCCGGCCCCGGTAAGGATGTTGATGACTCCAGGGGGGAAGCCAGCCTCATTTAGGAGATCTCCGTAGGCAGCTGCACTGAGGGGTGATTTTTCAGAGGTCTTGAGCACGAAGGTGTTCCCGGCGGCCATTGCGGGGGCCATTTTCCAAGCTGCCAGGACTGTGTGGAAGTGTTAGCGATGGCAGGGAGTGCGAGACTTCGGGGAATCTTACCATGGGTGCCATTCCACGCGCAAATGCCTGAAAACGTCAGCCCAAGATGCCAGCGGTCTGAGGAAGTTGAGAATACTAACCACCACAGACGCCGAGCGGCTCGTACTTCACAATCTTGTATGTGCCATCTTCGTCCGGGGGAAATGACTGTCCAGCTATCTTGCCGGCGAATCCAGCGTAGAAGCTGGCCATGACAAAGTCAGTATATCTGGTCAATCAATTTGCGCAAGCAGTACCGCACCGCCATAGAGCTGCTGGACCCCTAATCATCCCCTTCGCCATACTAATCGGCTGTCCCATTGCAACGGACTCCAGCTTTGCGAGTTTGTCGATGTTCTTCTCCAGTAGATCGGCGAACTTCAGCATAATGGCCGCGCGCCTATGTCCCGCCATCCGACTCCACTTGGGGAAAGCGGCCTTTGCGGCAGCGACTGCATCGTTGACATCTTTCTCGCTGGCTACATGGACTTGATCGGTGACCAGAGAATCGTCGTTGGGATTGTAGATGGACAACGTCTCGCCACTGCTCGACTTCCGGTACTGGAAGATGGGCGGTAAGCAAGCAGTCTCACGTCATTGCCGGCTGTCTTACCTTGCCATTGATGAACAGTTCCGCTTTGATATCAGACATGGTTGCAAAGATGCGACGGACGCTTGCAGATATAGAACGTTGGGTATTGGATGTCCGAGTGAAGCTGTACGATTAACGTCTTGGTTGGATACAGCCGGCATGAGGTCGGCTTCGGCCACTCGGGGCGGGGAAAGTTTATTGCGGACAGTCACGTGACTGTATGACTACTTCGCGAGCGGGCCAAGTTGGCGGACTCCATTTATTACAACGACCGTCTGGGCACGGCAGCTCACTCCGACGACAACCGCTGATCGAACACTGCTCCTTTTGGCCGCATTACCTGGCAGATCCGTGGCAACGTAGATAGGTACTTTAGGCAGGTACCTCGTTCTCAAATCGCTTCCCCGTACAACCTCGGCAATCTCGCCATTTCGACGCGTCGCTCCATGCGATCCGTGACCTGCATCGCCGGAGTGGGGTAGAAGGGAGACCAAAGCTCTGGACTGTATACGCTCATATCGGACAACCACATTCGCACGACGTGCAAGACCCAAGATGGCGCCTTTGACGAGGGAGGAAGTCGCCAAGGTAATCACATGTGTTCGCAAGCAGGACATCCACATTCTGACCGCTGAGAGCACACCTCCGACGAAGGCCTCTGGACGATTGTCGATCATAAGGTCTACGATGTATCCGACTTCCAAGATGCACATCCCGGTGGCTCCGTTGTCTTGCGGCAATTCGCTGGCAAAGATGCAACTCAAGCATTCTACAACCTTCATCGGCATGAAGTGCTCGAACAGTACTCGAAGTTGTGCGTGGGAACGATAGAGGGAGAGACGCCGGAAGTGATTGATCCCCAAGTTGGAGATTTGAGCTCGGTGCCTTACGGGGAAGCACTGTGGCTCACTCCGCAATTCACTTCACCGTACTACAACTCGGCCCATCGCTCACTCCGAAAGGCGATGAGGACGTTTGTGGAGACTCACATCAAGCCGGAGGCCCAAGAAAAGGAAGAAAGTGGCGAATATATTAGCCAAGAGCTCATCGACAAGATGGCGGAAGCGAACATTCTTGCAATGCGCATGGGACCCGGGAAACACCTCCACAATCGGAAGCTGTTGGACGGGGCAATCGATGGGAAAGATTTCGACTTCTTCTCCGACCTCATCATCAACCAAGAGCTCGTCCGGGCCAATGCGCGAGGATTTCAAGACGGCAACATGGCTGGGATGTCGATTTCACTCTCGGTCATCATCCAATGGGCCAACGATGAGGAACTGAAGAAGCGCGTTACGGAGGAGGTATTTTCTGGTCAGAAGAAAATCTGTCTCGCGGTTACAGAGGCCTTTGCCGGATCGGACGTGGCTGGAATTCAGACCACTGCCAAGCTCAGTGACGATGGCTCGCACTATATCGTGAACGGGACGAAGAAGTGGATATCTAACGCTGTTTGGTCGGATTACTTTGTGACGGGATGCAGGACTGACGGAGGCTTCTCGGTGTTGTTGGTGGAGAAGCAGGAGGGAGTCAATACTCGTACCATTCGCACCTCCTACTCCGCTGCCGCCGCGACGAGTTTCATCGAATTCGACAACGTCAAGGTGCCGGCGAAGAATCTCCTTGGAAAGGAAAAGCAAGGCTTCACCGTGATCATGAGCAATTTCAATCACGAGAGATGGTAAGTCGAAGTCGAGCATGATTCGAGGATCTTGCTGATTTTGAGCAACAGGATGATTGTTTGCTGGGTGTGTCAATGGAACCGCACTGTCCTCGAGGAGTGCCTGAAATGGACGAACCAGAGGATGGTCTTTGGGAAGCCGCTGGTGTCGCAGCCCGTCATCCGACAAAAACTTGCCCGGATGATTACTCTCGTGGAGTCGGCGCAGGCCTGGCTGGAACAGATTACATATCAGATGAACCATATGAGTTACCAGGATCAAGCGAAACACCTGAGCGGCCCTATTGCTCTGCTCAAGACGTATTCAACACGATGCTCACAGGAGATTGCGGACGACGCGACGAACATGTTTGGCGGCCGAGGCTTGACAGCGACGGGGATGGGCAAGGTCATTGAGCATTTTCAGAGAGTATACAAGTTTGATGCCATTCTTGGAGGTGCGGAAGAGGTCATGAATGATCTCGGTGTGAGACAGGCGATGAGGTTCATGCCGAACTCGAAGCTGTGAGATGGCGGATGTATATCGCTGGGGCGTTTCATTGGGACGGTCTATATATCCACCGGGTACTTGTTGTATCGTTCCTTCACTGCTCACACTCTTGATTGACCCCAACGCGCATAGTCAAACAGTTTGAGAGGCTACTGCATCGAGGTGGGTGGCATCAATGGCGGAGGGGTTGTTGAGAGGCAGCATGCGCCTCGTGCTGAGGAATAAGAGCGCAATCATGGCCTACGGACTGGAGAGAGAAGAATCAGCACCAACCCGTCCCTCCAATGCCCGGCTAAACGACCAGACGACGCACAAGCCCACGCGCGATTGATTAGCCGGGGATCATTCGGGCCGCTGGCCGCCTCCGCATGATGCGGGGTTCGGCATCATGCTCCCCAGCCCTCCTCGTCCACCACGGCTGCGCTGTAGAAAGGTACCCATCTGGCAACCAGTCGATCCGACAATACCATCTGCACTTATCCAGATCTGCGAGGACATACAGCTAGATTCAGATTGGGGCTCGGGCGCAATGAAGGTCTACAAATCCCCGGCGAAAGACATCAACCTTCCCGAGCTTGATGTCTTGACCTTTTTGTTTGGTAAGTCGTTGGACTCGCGGTGTAGCATATGAGCTGCGACGGGGCGAACATTATCATCGCTGCATCTTCTTGTGATGATTGTGCTCTGTGCCTAACCACTCAATCAGAATCCAAATCGGTACTGGCGAAGGAGGACACCGTGCTCCATGTCGAGGCCGCAAACCCAAAGAACAGCATCACCAAGGCAGAAGCCCGTGAGTTGACGAAGCATATGAGCCATGTGCTCCGAACCAAGTATGGAATCGGAGCAAATGGACCTAGCAAGGACATTGTCCTCTGCGTCGTCAACGGAAATCCGATGGACCCGCTGCTGTTTTACTCCACTCTGGGTGCCGGAGGGATCTGGAGCGGCGCATCTACAGCTTTTACCGTACCCGAGCTGGTACGGCAGATCAAGGATGCTGATGCGAAGTTGTTGATGTGTACCGCGGAATACGAAGAGAACATGGTGGCGGCGGCAAAGCAGTGTGGCATTCCCCTTGACCGCATACTTCGGGTTGATCCAAGCACTCCCAAGGACTGGAAGCTCATCAACCTGAAGGATGGGAAAAACGTTCTTGATCCCGTCAATGGCGGAAAGCTGGAGTGGCAGCGACTGACAACCAAGGAAGAATGCCACAAAACTACCGGCTGCCTGCTCTACTCTTCCGGAACGACCGGCCTGCCCAAAGGTGTCAGGCTGTCACACTGGGTGAGTGTTTTTCAGGCTCAATGCGTCGATACTTGGGACTGCCTGCTAACGCCACGTAGAACCTGATGGCGTGCAATCCCATCTGCATGTCGGTCGCCGACAACTATCGAGCACGCTGCAAGCAAGAAGGGCGAGAATTCGTCTGGAATGTCATTGCGCATCTGCCCATGGCCCATATTGCGGGCATTGCATGGTACTCCATGAACCCGTTCTTCATGGGAGGGACTTGTTATTGGATGCCAAAGTATGATTTTGACGGCTTCATCGAAAATAACCGGAAATATCGCACCACCATCGTCATGACTGTCCCCCCGATCTGGTTGCAGATTGCGAAAAGCCCCAAAGTCACGGATCACTTTGATAGCGTCGAGGCGGCGGCGACTGGCGCGGCACCAATGGGCATGGAACTGGCAAAAGACGTACAGAAGAAGATTGGAAAGGGTAAGGTCCGGCCCGCGCAGTGCTGGGGCACGACGGAGACTACAGGTTCGATGACGGGAAACAATTTTGGAGAGCTGGACGAGACGTTCAGCGTCGGCAGTATCTTTCCAAACCTCCAACTCCGGCTGGTAGATGATAACGATCAGGATGTGAAAGAGGGGGAGCCCGGGGAGCTCCTGGTCAAAGGGCCTGTCGTGTTTCAAGAATATCACAATAGGCCAGAAGCGACACGAGATGCATTCTTGGATGGATGGTACCGTACGGGCGATGTTGGCATCTTCAAGGATGGCCTGAACTACATTGTCGATCGGAAGAAGGAACTCATCAAATACAAAGGCCTGCAGGTCGCGCCCGCGGAGCTGGAGGATACTCTTCTCGCTCATCCCGAGGTGGCTGACGCGGCGGTCATTGGCGTGCAGGATGAAGCTGCGGGTGAGGTTCCACGAGGGTATGTGGTGAGGGCGGCGAATTCCAAAGTCACCGAAAAGGAGATTCAGGAGTTTTTCAAGAAGAACCTGGCGCAACACAAGCAATTGCGTGGTATGTATCCCCTACTCATCTGGTCTGAACCATATGCTTACCATGCATACTCAGGGGGTGTGGTATTCATAAACGAGATCCCAAAGAGTCCGTCTGGCAAGATTCTGCGCAAGAATATCAGGCAGTGGGTTGCAGACGAACAGGCGGCGGGACGGTCCAAGGCGAGACTTTGAAGGACAGCAGGCGGGGGCTAATAGGAGAATGCGAGGCCGAGTTGACAAGGCTTACGCTCACGTTCGATCGTCGTATATCATGCGCTCGTAGAAAGACAACGTCGAAATCCTCTGTATCGTTCTATCTCTGTATTGTGTGTTCGGCTAGGTCGTTCTCTTGATTCCGAGATCCCCACTGATGATATCAGCGGCCTTTTCAGCTACGGCGAAGACGGTGGTGAGGATGTTTCCACGTGGGATAATCGGCATAATGCTCGCATCAACCACGCGCACATTCCTCGTACCATAGACTCGCAGTCGGTCATCCACAACACCACCGATTTGCTCGGGCATCATACTACAAGTTCCGCAAGGGTGGTAATTCGTCGTCGCATACTCTTTGATAAACTCTTTTGCCTGCTCAATAGAGATGTCGGTGAACTTGATCGGAACCTGTGCACCATCCGCCTTAATGGCATCAGCAAAAGGTTGCGTCTGGGTGAGCTTGACGAGAGTCTGGATGTGTCGCGCGTGCACCTCGAGGTCGAGCGGATGAGTGTAGTACCCAGGATCGATCCGCGGCTTCGCAGCAGCGTCGCTGGAAGCAATGTGGCAACTACCCTGCGAGAAGGGGTGGGAAAGCATGGCGAGAAAGGTGAAGAAATTGCCTTGCGTCGAGTCGGTGCCAGCCGGTCGTCGAGCGAAGAAAGCTGTCGCGCTGGCTTCGAATGGCGAGAGGATCATTTGCTTGATGAAGGCGTTTCGTTTTTGCTGGAACTCAGGCAGTGTTCTGTCGTTCAGATGCTCGTCCAGGATGTTGGAGAGCTCCTGCTTCTCAGCCGAAGACATGAAATGATGCAAAGGCATGTAAGCAAAGGTGTAACATGCTCGATCAACCCATGGACCCTTGCTGTCACTCTCGTATAGCTTTTGGGCATCCGAAGGCGGTAGAGGATCGCGCGACCCGATGGAATCGGCCACTTCGAAGGAAAGGCCTGGTCGGATGTGGTCCTGGAGATTCTCGCCAACATTGGGGTTGTCGTAGACTGTGGCAATCCCATGCCGTTGCAAAGACGTTGAGTCACCGATTCCGGAGAGTTCGAGAATCTGGGGCGTTGCAAATGCGCCAGCTGCAAGTAAGATTTCTTTACGGGCCGCGGCGTAGCAAGAGATGCCATCTTTGATGTACGCGACTCCTGTAGCCAATGCGTCATTTCCACTCGAGGTGTCAAAGGTGATGTTCTGGACGAGTGCACCAGTGACGAGTTTCAAGTTCGGCCGGCCTCGCACGGGTTCATAGTAGGCGAGCCCAGCATGACTCCTTTCGCGCTTGTCGATTGATATGTGGTTGGTGGTGATGTGCCCACCGATCGCCGCGCCGTCGAGAGGATCGCTCGTGTTTTCCAATCCGAGAGATTTGAAGGCCTGCAACCATAGCCTTTGCGCCTGTGAGACGGTGAAGGGATACGACGCTTGAATTGGTCCGTTGGTCCCCTCGCCGCTGATGACCGGTCTCAGCTCCCTCTTCACAATGTCGGGAGCAGGACAAACGGTCTGGAACTTGCGAAAATAATCCTTCGTGCCCTCCCAGTCCCATCCTTTGTTACCCAAGTCTGCCCAAACATCCATGCCCGCTCTCGATGGATAGATGAGAGCGAACGAGTTGATCACGCTGCTACCTCCCAGCACTTTCCCCCGAGGCTGTTTCATGCGCCGGCCATTGATGCCATGCTGCGGCTCTGAAACATACTGCCAGTCAAACTCCGGATTGTCGACGAGTTGCCCGGGCACGGGCGTGGCCACTCTTTTGTCATCGTTTCTGTCTTGACCTGCTTCAAGGATGAGGACAGAGATGCTGGGGTCTTCGCTCAGCCGATTTGCAAGAACACAGCCAGCGGTGCCCGCCCCCACGATGACAATGTCGTACTCCTCCGCCATCTCGCCAGTCTGCAGTGAATGCAAGCGTAAGTGTGCAAAAGTGGGAGCTCGTTCAGCCTCACTTGAAGATGAGCTCACCATTAGTGCTAACGTCGGTTCGATTGACCGTTTTTGAGCTCCGATCACGTAGGGCTTGGTTTAACACGAGCGTACTGGACATAGCCCCGCGAATCAACATCACGAGCATGAACAATCCCAGGCTCCTCTCACACCTCGCATTCTATATAGTATCTTGATGGGGCTTTACAAATATCGATTCTCCTCAAACATCATGAAGCCATTCCGCAAAGAACCCGACGGCCGCATTTTTGGCCCGCGTCATGGCGCGACGTTCGCCTGGCTTGTTTGGATCTCCTCGAACGAGAGCGCCATGCTGCATGCCGGCGAAGTGATGGTAGTCAAAGACCAAGTCTCCTCGAGCCTGCATGACCTGCCAGAAATGATTCTTGAGTTCTGGCGTGAATGCCGCGTCATGTTCTGGAGCAAGCAACTGAACAGGAACGTCGACCGTGTCAATGTCCTCCTTGGTCAGAAGACTCGGATGCCCGGTGATGATGCAGTCGACCAAGTTGTTGCCTTTTGCCCCCAGTTGAAAGACTGCCCATCCTTGGTCTTGTCAGTGACGTTTTGTGAGGGTTGGAGATGTTCCCTACCGCCCCAGCAAAACCCAATCGCCCCCACCTTCTTGTACTCCGAACGAAGCTTCTTTGCGCTCGCAAAGATCTCTGGCTGTCGGATTTGGCGGCTGTTTCTCTCCACCATACCCCAAACGTCGATGCCGTTCGAAGCCCACTCTTCCGGTTCCAGTTCGAGGACTCGTTTATCGATTTCTTCGCCGTTCAAGCTGGGGATGGTCAGCGTCAGTGGAAGCGGCCAATCGTGACAGCAACTGACAAGTCCGGCAAGAACACCGTGGCATCAATCTCTTTCGCAAAATGGTCTGCCAGTAATCTGGCATTTCCAAAGCTCCAACCTACAAGGTCGTGTACGAAGAGAATGGCGACATCTGGATTGGTACCCGTCTTGTATGCCTGGTTGGAGGAGGTTGGAAACGGAACGACTTCGCCATCAGGCTGGCCATCCCATTCGAAGCCGTTGAAGCAGCAGCGTGATGCGGACATTGTGAGGTGGTGTAGAACGGAATGGGATTGAAAGGGAGAGCAGCGGAGAATATGTATTGCTCTGGATCCTTTACATCCTCGTTTGTTGTATCTTTAATGTATTTCGGAGAGCAGGCACCCATTGCTGAGGTGTTGCGCTCGGCAGCTTGAGCCGAACTGCTCACGTAATACTTCATCTTCATGTTCCAGTGCACTCCTTCCCGCGCGTCACACAACTTTGCCCACCCATCGCGCCGACACGTGCCTGGAAATGATGGTTCGAGGACGATGAGATACCTAGAGTATCGGCTGGAAGATCTCTGAGCGAACCCTCCCGATTTCTGTACAGCACCACCGGTTCAATCCTCTTGATGATCATCTCCCTGGATCGCATCGATGCCGCAAGCCAATGGCTCAGCGACGGCCTCCTCTCTAGACTCTGGTAAGACTGCTCGAACCCCTACACCAAGCTGCCTACCTGCTGACTGACCCCCAGCCGACTATGACCCCATCGAACACCTCAACGCCATCTTCTCCACCCCCTCTTCCCTCGCCTTCGTTCCCGATGTCTCGTCCTCCCTTGAGCGCTACCAGCGCGACTTGGACGTCGACATCTCCGCCCTCATCACCACCCAAACCACTTCCGATGCCGATAGTGTACGGCGGATTCAAGATGCCAAAGCCGAACTTGCAGAGCTGTTTGCCAAGATTGACAATGTGCGCGAGAGAGCTTTACAAACCGAGCGCACCATCATGGAGATGACGGCGGACATCAAGAAGCTGGACAGCACCAAGAAGAACCTCACCCTGTCCATGACTGCGTTGAAGCGGCTACAGATGCTCACCACCGCCTACGAACAACTTCGTGCCCTCATCCAGACCAAACAATATCGCGAATGTGCCCAACTGTTGCAGGTGGTGATCCAGCTGATGGAGCACTTCAAGCGCTATCGAAGCATCGATCAGATTGCCGCACTGAGCAAGAGCGTGGCCGATCTTCAGAGAGAGCTTCTGGAGCAGGTCTGCGAGGATTTTGAGGTCACCTTTGCAAGAGCAGAGGTGCAGCAAAAGAGGACGATGCTGGCCGAAGCATGTCAGGTCATGGATGCGCTCGGGGATCATGCCCGCACACGCTTGACCACCTGGTATTGTAACACACAGCTACGAGAGTATCGACAGGTCTTCCGGGGCAACGACGAAGCTGGCTCGCTCGACAACATCTCCCGACGATATTCGTGGTTCAATCGCATGCTCAAGACTTACGATAGCGAGCACGCCACACTCTTCCCACCCCACTGGCGCGTTAATGAAATGCTCGCCAATGCATTTTGCGAAAACACAAGAGACGACTACCGAGGGATCTTGCAGCGTTCCATGCGAAGAGCGGACGGCCAGCCACCGGATGTTGAGCTATTGCTCTCCTGTCTGCAAGAGACCTTGGACTTTGAGCATAGCCTGGAGAAGAGATTTGCGGCTGGAGAGTCGAGATCTTCCATAGACACCGTCAACTCCTCCGACAACGACAAGCGCCAGGGCTTCAGCCAGGCGATTTCCGAAGCTTTCGAGCCGTACCTTAGCATCTGGGTGGAGTCGCAAGACAAGCAGCTCTCGACATTGATCCCCAAGTACCGCCAACAGCCAATTCGCAATCCCGAGGAAGAATTCCACCCCCAACTCGTCATCCCCTCCTCCACCGAGCTCTTCCACCACTACCGTGTCACGCTTGCACAGTGTGCCAAATTGTCCACTGGCGGCAGATTGCTGGAGCTGTCGCAGACATTCGGCAGATACCTGGACCGGTATTCTCAGCAAGTTCTTGCATATCATCTCTCTGACAAGACCGGTGGCGCATCGGTGGAGGATGCCGTCATCATTTTGAACACCGCCGACTACTGCTATCAGACCACAAATCAGCTAGAAGAGAAGATTAAAGCCCGTATCGATGAGGATTTGCGGCCAAAAGTGGATTTGTCCACACAAGCCGATGCTTTCATCGGCGTTGCATCCACCGCCTTGCGTTCGCTGGTGACCAAGACTGAGGTTGATTGTGCCGCGGCATGGCGCGAGATGCGGAACGTACCCTGGGGAAAGATGGATAGCGTGGGAGATCAGAGCACATACGTCTCGTATCTGCTGCAGCGCATCCACGATCGCAGCAAGGAGATCCTCAAATATCTGCAAAAGCCGCAGTACTCCCGAGCATACTGCGACAATGTCGTCGACAGCGTGACGAACGCTTACCTGAACAACATTGTTGCCGTGAAGCCGGTGTCGGAGACGGGAGCGGAACAGATGCTGTTGGATTTCTATGTGCTGAAGAAGGGACTCGCCGAGCTTGCAACAATCAATGCGGACCCAGGCACGGCTCCCAATGCTGCATTTGTCAAGCGCGTGAACCAAAGCACAGCAAAGCTCGATCCCGTGCTCAAAACCCTACAAGTGCGATCTTCACCCGCAGAAGGGCTGGTGCAAGCATACCTCATCCACATTCGTGATCAGAGTGAGACGAACTTCCGCAAGATTCTCGAGCTCAAGGGGATCGTGAAGAAGGACCAAGCTCACCTTGTGGAGCTGTTCAATGCTCACAAGGCCTCACCGACTAATGAGGGCTTGCAGGCCAGTAACCCGCTCATCGCTGGACTGAATCTCACGGCTCCGCAATCGTCCACATCGATGAGTGGGCTCGCAGCTCTGAAGGATAGTGCGGTGATCCCCGCTGCGCCGTCACTGCCTTCGCGGTTTGACCCGTCGAATTTCGGCACGGCAATCATGAATGCCGCCAGAGATGCCGGCGATCGATTTGGTAGTCCGGGATTGGTGGCGGGCAGTGGTGCAAATACCACGACTGTGGCGAGTCGCGCTACGTCTCCGCCTGTGGGCGAAGGGGTGGTGACGGGGGGTGCGGAAGGCGGGGCTGAGAAGGCGTCGATGAATGAGAACTGGCAGAAGTTTGGCAAGTTTTTCCGCCGAGAGGGCTCGACGACGTTTGGCGGATTCGGGGGCTTTGGAAAGAAGGAGGACGGTGGGGAGAAGAAGTAGTCTGGCATCCACACTGTCAATCTCTGCCATTGTCGAATCATCTTCCACCTTTATTCAATGGGCGGGTTCGTCAGCAAAAACCTCCCTGGAGCGGCCTTTCCGGCAGAAAGGCCAATCTCATCGTCGAACTCATGTACATCATCTCGTGCTATCCCAATTCTGACAGCATTTGCTCTCCCCATTCGGCAATGCCATATCGTGAGGAGAGTCTGAGTTTTACTCGCACCCTCGAATCGGAAAGTTCTAGACCATGGCGTGTATATGTCTACATATGGTGCGAGACACTTCGTTCTGACGGGGAGGAATCCGCCGCGATCAGACTTGCGGGGTAGAGGAAATGTGCGCGATCTGCGAGAGGACAATGAAGCGAGAAAGGGTGGGATGGAGTGTATGTGCTACTTTCCAGCGAGCCTCCAGGTGGGCACTGTTCGACAGAGACATATTTGGTCGCAGAGTGGAGGGAAGTGTCGCACTCTGATGATCCTCTCGAGTGGACGATGGAGTGCATGGCGGTAGCATGACCAACCCTCAGCCATCCGTCTCAGTGCCTCCTCTTTCTTGCCTTCTCTTGAATGGTGGATGATGCGCTATAGCCGTCCTCACACGCTAATCGAAGGGTCTGCCGCGGGCTGAGTGGGCGCCAAAAGACGGTGGTGTTGTTGGAAGGGATGGGATGAAGTCGGGTACAAAGTCACGCCTTTGCCGAAACGGGGCAGAAGTGGAGCCGCCGGTGCAGGCGCAGGAAGGAGCGAGCGAGCGAGCAGAGCAGGAGGGATTTTGCATGGCATGATCACCATCTCTCAGCATCTCCCCCTCCAATCACCACCCTCGTCGCCGATGAAGCTGCAAAGAAGACACCGTCCTTGACTTCCACCGCGGCGAGCCCCGATTTCCCCCGTCTCGACATCACCCTATCCCCCAGCGGGCGCTCGGCTTATTGCGATGACCAAGCTCCGCCCGTCCAGCACTCCCCAATGATATGAGCAAAGCCTCCAGAAAAGACGCAGACAATGGGCCCCGCTCACTCCTTGCATACAATGCAATGACCAAAAACACATTGGGCTCTCCAATGGCGCAGGAGGTCGACGTTGCCCGGCGTGCCGAGCTGGCTACTCGCGATATCTCCACCCTGCTACAACCCCACCACGGTGAAGAAGATGATTCCAGCCAGTCCTCCTCCGGCACAGATCCCTTCGACCAAAGCACCGCCAGCTCTGCCTCTCACAAACACTCATGGACGGTGGGCATTGGGGGTCATTGGCGGCGAGATGGCTCGCTCGAGTCCGCCACCAGCACCGACATCTCCTCCATGAGTCCTGCCGTTTACGCCTCTGACAGATCTCGCAATCAATCTCTGCCCCACCAGACTACTCCATCGAAGAAGCGATTGTCGGACGGAACGATCAAGCCAACCACCATTCGACTCCACTCCATTTCCGCTCGGCCTCCCCAAGCACCCTCCGCCCCTCCAACCCAGCATCCCACCCTCCCTCCCACAACTCCGCAAGATCCTCCCAAAAAGCGGCGAGGACGACCACCGAAAGTGAAACCAGCCGGGAGTGCTGACGTGACGCCGAAAGCTGCGCAACCCTCGATCGTCTCCAAGCCAGTCACCGAAATCCGACCACGTTCGTCCATTCCATATAGACTGCCTGCCAACGTCTTTGCCGGACAATGTATCGACGCCGCTTACGCAGCCCGGCTGAATCCATACGCACTGCATCCCAGTGAGCATGCCCTGCTGCTGCACCTGCTGATGAAGCAGGAAATCACCGTCTACCTCAACATCCGCAACGCCATCCTGCGCTTGTGGCACCAAAACCCGCTGTGCAGCATCACGGCAGAGGAAGCCGCTGGCTGTGCGAAAGAAGCTCGCTTTTTCGGCCTGGCCGACGTCGCATACAAATGGCTCGTCCGACATGGTTACATCAACTTTGGCTGCGTTCGAGTCCCACGCGCGGCAACAGTCAACCCCCGAGCGAGAAGGAATACCCGTCCCAAAACGGTGGTGGTGATTGGAGCGGGCGTGTCCGGTCTGACGACGGCACGCCAACTTGAAGGGCTGTTCATACAAGAGTCTACCAAGTGGACCGATGCAGGCGAGCAGCCTCCAAGAGTCATTGTGCTGGAAGGAAGGAGTCGGATCGGCGGGAGAGTGTACTCCAAGCCACTTCGAGACCAAACGTCGATATCGCTGCCCGACAATTTAAGGTGCACGGCGGAGATGGGAGCGATGATCGTCACAGGATTCGAGCACGGCAACCCTCTCGACCCCGTTATTCGCGGCCAGCTGGGTCTGCGGTATCACTTGATGAAAGATGCGCTTACAATTTACGACGTGGACGGCAAGCCGATTGATGAGAAAAGAGACATGTTGAACACCGATCTATACACCGACATCTCCGATCGTGCCGGTGACTTTCGGGCCACGCCGCAAGCCGTCGAGACGCTGAAGGGAGACGAAGACCTGATCAATCGATGTCGCGACCCTGCACCCGACGGCCTGGAGCATTTCCAGCTGGAGCCTCTCGACGCAGTTGGCAATATAAGGCAGCAAAAGCCGGCGACGAGGCGAGGCAGACGACGAAACGCGCCGCCAGGGACAGAGAAGCTGACGGGTAGGACGCAAGTTGTAGAAGGGAGTAGTGCGACACAGTCAGCAGCAAGAGCAGCGCGATCGATGGGATGGGAGCTCAAAGAGGGTGTTGCCAAGAACCAGTCCGTCTCCCTTCGGGGCATCGCATCGGCGTCGGCCCATCCATCACTGGGGTCGGTCATGGACGACGCAATCCGGCAGTATCAAGACCTGGTCCAACTCACTCCCCAAGACATGCGGCTTCTCAACTGGCATCACGCCAACCTGGAATACGCAAACGCCGCTCCCATCACCTCCCTCAGCTTGAGCGGTCACGATCAGGACACTGGTAACGAATTCGAAGGCGCCCACTCCGAGATCATCGGCGGATATAACCAGCTGCCTCGCGGACTCATGAACTTGCCGTCCAAGCTCGACGTCCGCGTTGACCGCGTCATTGACAGCATTCACTACAACCAGGATGCCTTTAGCGAGAGCGATTACTCTACCAAAGTCGTCTGTACTGATGGGGAGGTGATTGAAGCGGACGAGGTCGTCCTCACGGTGCCTTTGGGTGTGTTGAAGTCGGATATGATTGACTTTGACCCTCCGTTGCCGGCTTGGAAGCGAGGTGCGATTGACCGGATGGGATTTGGCTTGCTGAATAAGGTGGGTTTTGAGGGGTCTTGTGGTGAGAATGAACTAATGGATTTCAACCAGGTTGTCCTCCTCTACGACGAAGCATTCTGGGACGATGAACGTGACATGTTTGGCCTACTGAATGAAGCCAACGATGCTGGCAGCCTCGATCCGAAAGACTACGAGAAGAGAAGGGGGCAGTTCTATCTGATATGGAATGCATCCAAGACATCCGGCAAACCGATGCTCGTGGCGCTGATGGCGGGTCACGCGGCGCATGAGACGGAGAAGACCGACACCGGGCAGCTGCTTGCGGAGATTACGAAGCGGCTTCACAGCATCTACCCCACGGAGAAAGCGCTTAATCCGCGGGAGGTGATTGTGACGAGATGGAGGCGGGACCCATTCAGCCGCGGCACGTATTCGTACGTTGCGCCCGAGACTCTGCCGGGGGATTACGATCTTATGGCGCAGTCGGTGGGTAATCTTCATTTCGCCGGCGAAGCTACATGTGGTACGCATCCGGCGACGGTCCATGGGGCCTTCTTGTCGGGACTGAGGGTTGCGGCGGAGGTGGTGGATGCCATGGCCGGGCCGATCATTCTGCCTACACCACTTGTTGGTCCGGCGCCGGTGAAGCAGGAGATGTTGCCGCGCTTTCCTTTGATGGCCGCAGCTCCTTCAAGACGGAATACGACAACGCAAGACCCTGGACAAGCGATCAAAATCGAGCCGGTAGCGCCGTCGCTGACCGCACCTCCAATGTTGGCCAGCGGTCCGCCCAAGCAAAGCGTATGTGCAGGCGATTCCAGCTTTTGGGTGCAACCGACGTCGGCAGTGCAAGATACGAATCCAGAAGCGACCATCATGGCAGCCATCTTTGCTGAACTCGGCGAGCGGCCCGTCAAGCCTAGCAGGCCTGGCGTCAATCCTTTTCTCCTCTACGCCAAGGACAAATGGGAGGAATGCAAGGCTTATCTGGCGCAGACTAAACCGGCCAAGGCAAAACCATCGGCGGGTGGCAGGGAGGACGTGCGTGCTACTCTGGGACGGTGGTGGAAGGGACTGAGTGAGGATGAGAAGGGGCCGTATCTGGTGCAGAGTCAGGTTGCGCAGGAGCTGGCGGATCATGGACGACGGGAGTGGGGAGAAAAGGTGGCGAAGTGGGATGCGGAGGCTGCGAGGATTCGGGAGGAGTACAGACGAGGCCTGTCTACTGCAGCAGTGATGCCTCCCGCGGAGCCGACGCAGCTGGAGGCGGGGCTTGGGGTGAGCAAGCGAAAGACGAATGTGAGCAACTGTGTGGTGTTGGATCATGTATAGGTGAGTAGGTAGTGTTGATGGCTTGGTCGAAGAAGACGCTGTCGCGGCTCAAGTCTCATCATGTACATTGCCGTACTTGTACTCACGTGGAGGCACGTGGGGTTGTCCCCACTTTTCCGCGTCTTCCCCTCTGTCGGGCTGTCTTTTGAATCGCCGGCCGACGGAGTGCTCACCCTCTGCCTGCTCCGTTGTCTTGGCCTGTGTGTATCTTTCCCTCTTCGAGGATTCGCGAGTGACAGTACCTTATGCACTTCTGCCGCCCTCCTGACTGATGTAACTTCAAGCCCGCAGTCCAGCAAGCCTCCCGCTCCTCCACCTCCCCACCGACCAACGTTACGTTACCTTGCCCTTTTTCCCCTACCGCCTGTGCCGCATTTCCCACCCCTCGACTATTCTTACCCCTTCTGGGGATAAACTACCTCCACCTCCCCTCTTCCCGTGTCTACTCCATTCTTACGTCTCTTCGTCCATTCTGCGACAACCGGCATGCTCTTCGCCTTCGCCCCTGCCCTCTACCATCGTGTACCCAGATGATGTCCCCCCAATGACACGAGACGTCGCCTCCGCCGAGTCTCACCTACCATCTCTACGCCGACTGCCTCGCGCCAGGTGCCCGTGTCCAGCAGAGCCCTTGTGAGCGGGTGGCGCGCGCCGCCACGCCTCCGGCGCCATGTCTTTCTTGAGCAAATTCAAAGGAGGAGCAGTATGTCTCCCTCCTCCGCCGATGCGACTCCGCGGCTAATCCTCCTCCACAGAGCACATCTACCCCAGCGAATGCCTCGAGCGCAGGAAAGAAAGACCCACACACCACCCCCGCGACTCCCTTGGAGAAGCACCTCCGAGACGTCGCCGGCCCCCTGCGAACGGATGGCAGTGACAAGTTTTTTGGCTTCGAAAATGTGCGTCCATCCCGGCTCCCACCCGTCTGCATTGTGTTACTAATTCGAGTCCGACAGTACGGGTCTACATGGTACGCATCTTGCGTCCTGGATTGCTAATCGGCATCTCCCCGCTGACCCCTCGACAGCTACAGCAACTCCATCGTACAATGCCTCTACTACTCTGCCCCCTTTCGATCACACGTCATCAACTTCCCTCCGAGCGAATACCTCCCCAAGCCGCCGTCCGCAAACGATCGTCCCGTCGCCCCTCGATCCACCAGCGCCATCCCATGGCCCAACCTCACCTCACCCGCGCGCAAAGTGCCGCCCGTGCCAGGGACTCCAGCCGCAGCAGGCCAAAAGGAAGAGACAAAGGACTCGCCCGAGTATCGGAAGAGAATGGCGTTGCAAGCCGGGCCGGTCTTGGACATGATTCATGATAATTCCAACCGCTACGGCATGGAGGAGTCGCTCTTTACCGGGCTGAAGGACATTTTCGAGGCCATCCTGACAAACTCGTCGCGCATGGGCGTGGTGAGTCCCCACAAATTCCTCGAGATTCTCCGACGGGAGAATGAGATGTTTCGCTCGGCAATGCACCAAGACGCACACGAGTTCTTGAACCTCCTCCTTAATGAAGTGGTGGAGAATGTGGAGGCTTTCTCCAAACAGCATCCCCCCATCAACGGAGTGGCTCACGCGAATGGCGCGCCAGTGGAGAATGGGTTGGCGAGGAAAGAGACGGCGACGAATGGGATTGACACAAGATGGGTTCATGATCTGTTCGAAGGGCTCCTCACCTCGGAGACTCGTTGTCTTACGTGCGAGAACACGTCGCAACGGGACGAGCCCTTTCTCGACCTCTCTGTCGATCTGGCCGCGCACACCTCTGTGACTTCGTGCCTGCGCAAGTTCTCCGCAGAGGAGATGCTGTGCGAGCGCAACAAGTTTCACTGCGACAATTGCGGTGGCTTGCAGGAAGCGGAGAAGCGCATGAAGATCAAGCGCCTCCCGCGCGTGCTGGCCTTGCATCTGAAACGCTTCAAATACACCGAGGACCTGCAGCGGTTGCAGAAGCTCTTCCATCGCGTGGTGTATCCCTTTTACCTCCGCCTGTTCAACACGTCTGATGACGCCGAGGATCCGGATCGATTGTACGAGTTATATGCCGTGGTTGTACATATTGGCGGCGGCCCATACCATGGCCACTACGTGAGCATCATCAAGACGCAGGATCGCGGGTGGTTGTTGTTTGACGACGAGCTGGTGGAACCCGTGGACAAGAGCTATGTGCTGAACTTTTTCGGCGGCGAGCCGATTCCAGGCTTGCAGGATGCGAAGCAGCTGGCATGCGCTTACGTTTTGTTTTATCAAGAGACGACGCTGGAGGCGATGCTGAAAGAGCAGGAGATGGAGGGGCAGAAGCCGGTGCCGACAAGGACATCGGAGGGCGAGGTGGCCAAGGATGTTGGACTGAATAATCTGCGGAATGGAGTCACTGCTCATCCTCCGGCCGTTGCGACGCCAATCATACCCGACGAGACGGATGGGCTTGAAAGCCTGGCGCACGCAGTTACGATGCCCAGTGTCGCTGCGCCAGCTGTGCAAGCGCCCCTCGAGCCGACGCAGACGACACCTGCGGAGGGTCTTGCTGCTACCAACAAGTCGTGGAAGGAACGCCGGCTGGAAGCGAAAGAGAAGAAGGCGGCGGCAAAGGCGGCGGAGAAGGAGCTGGACGAAAAGCGAAAAGAGGCTTCAGCAAAACGTGTCGAGGCGTGGAAGAAGGCGGATGCCGAGTTGAAGTCGGCGATTGAGGCCAGCAAGATGTCGGCTGTTGATGAGGCGTCGAAGCGAGGGGACGAGGTTCCCAAAGGACTTGCGGAGAACACGGCACCACCAGGAGGCGGGTTGAGTCGCTTCCGGACCACCAGTCTGAACCTCAAGAACAAACCAAAGTTTCTCAGCGGGAAGGACAGAGGGCCGGCGAGCATGGAGAAACTCCCGTCGGTGCGGCAGGAAGTGGGGGGGCAGCAGGCGGTTGATGGTAATGGTGTTGCGGACGCAGGGGAGCTGAGTCCTGCCACGACGCCAGAGATGAAGAGCCCGCCGGTGACGACTCCAATGTCTCCCGATTCTGCGAGGAGTCCAATGTCACCCGACTCCGCATCGAAACGATATCGATTCAGCATCAGGAAGAAGGAGTCGCAGGGTGTTACATGAGGTGGAATGCATGTTGATTCGAACGTGTCTGTCTATAGCATCTTGTCTTTTTTTCATAGCGTGCGCTGATGAATGGATGATGAGCGTGTTGCTGCCTTCGTACGTCTTCTTGGGACGTGATACGGCGTCCTCGTGGCCTCGACGCTGAGGCGGGTGGGATGATGCTGGGCTCCATCTCGCAGGCCATCCTGGAAGCAACTGCTCTTGTACCGTGTCCGCTGCAATGTATTCCTCCTCTTTCACCCAAATGTAATGGCCCAGATGATGATGAGTAGGTTGACGAAAATTAGCGGTACTGGGTGAGGTCCGTGAGCATCAATCTTGCAATTGGTGGGTGCAGCAGCTCTCACCTCTCATCAGCGTGCGCACCGAGTTGATCAGATTAATCATCTTCGCCTTGACGCTCGCACTGTCTTGCGATGAGCCACCAAAGCCCGCCGGTTCATTTTGTGTACTGCCCCAGCCGACTGTTTGAAATGAGGTGTGGTTAGTGTTGCTGAGAGCAGAGGGAGTGGGAGCTCTGTGAAAGCGTGCAACGTACTTCGTGCGAGGAAGCGGTCTTCGGAGAGTATGGCGATGGCGTTGACGAGGAGGACGGAGACTGGTGGGGGAGATTGGTTAGACGTGGTGGGAGACGAGAGGATGGGTCGTAAACTTGCCTTGGAAAAGCCCGCCGAAGCTGGGAATGAGCGTGGCCATCTTCCGGGTTGTGTGCGGGTAGATGTCAGGGAGGGATGTGAAGTTGTTCAAGGTTGGTTGCGGCTGCGTGGCTTGACAACCCTAATGACATAACCCTAGTCTACCACCGTCCATCCCGATTGTCATTGCAATCAAGACAAAGCATGGCACGAACATGTCCCTCGCCCAGTTCAACCGTTGGAGAGCTTTGCAACTGAGACTCGCTGAAAGGATCGAGAGGAGGACGGGGCGCGAGATGGGCGGCATGTTGGGTCAGTACCGTGAGCACAACTTGATGATCAAATCGCTGACTGGAGTCAAAGATCGAGGACTCGACTTGCTCGTCCCATCCATCGTTCTACTCCATCTCTTTGCTTCGCCCTACACCAAAGTCGAGGAGTCGTTCAATGTCCAAGCCACATACGATCTCGTCCATTATGGCCTCCCCTTGCGCAACTCGTCTTCTGTTCTGGCCGACCACTTCGACCACTCTACCTTTCCCGGCTCCGTTCCTCGCACATTCACTGGCGCAGCGATATTGGCAGGCTTGTCGACGCCATTTCGGTACCTCTGTTCCTCGCCAGATCAAATGCAACTGGTCGTTCGTGCCGTCCTCGGCCTCGCCAATGCCACCGCTCTCTGGTCTCTGAAGCACGCAGTCAACACCGCATATGGGCAAGCTGCGGGGCGATGGTTCACGATTCTCCTCATCGGCCAATTCCACACCATGTACTACGCTTCTCGACCCCTGCCGAACATGTTCGCCTTTGTCCTCACCACTGTCGCCCAACGGAACTTGATCCTCGTCAAATCCGTCACTTCTCGTACTCGGAAGGGTGCTCGTCGAAGGCAATGGACGATATATCTGCTGACCTTTGCCGGGGTGGTCTTTCGCTCGGAAGTCGCCCTGATTCTCGCCGCGGAGGTGGGCTACCTTCTCTTGCACCAGCGCGTTTCTTTGACCAGAGAGATCATCCCTGCCGGCCTCAAAGGCGCAATCATCGGCCTCCTGACAACCGTCTCCCTCGACTCATTCCTCTGGCAGCGTTTCCCGCTGTGGCCGGAGTGGGTGGCATTCTACTACAACACTATCCTGGGCAAATCCTCCGAATGGGGCACCAGTCCGTTTCACTTCTACTTCCTCAATGCTCTGCCGCGACTGCTGTTGAATCCTGTCGTCTACATGCTCTGCATTCCCTTTGCCTTGCAGTCCAAGGTGCTGCAGCGGACGAGTCGCGACATCCTCGGCCCACACGTGCTCTTCATCGCCGTGTTCAGTCTTCTTCCGCACAAGGAAGCTCGATTCATCATCTACAGCATCCCTGCTTTCACCGCGGTGGCTTCGGCTGCCGCGGGCTGGCTCTGGACTCGGCGGGCAAAATCATCGTTACACCACGCTGCGGTCTGGCTCTTGGCTGCGTCTTGTCTTGGGTCGTGCGTCGTCAGCCTTGCCTCGTTGTACATCTCCAGCCTGAACTACCCAGGCGGAGAGGCTCTGCATCGACTGCATCAACTCGCCTCAGCGGATCACAACGTGACCGTACACTTGGGCAATTTGGCATGTCAGACGGGCGTCACTCGTTTCCAACAGCTGCACCCGCAATGGACTTACGACAAGACGGAGAATGAGACGGAATTTTTGCATCCACTTTTCTGGCAGCAATTCGACTATGTCTTGGCCGAGCAGCCCGAGCAAGTGATTGGGAGTTGGAGGCCGATTGACGTTATCGGAGGGTATGGCGGGATAAGTTGGAGGCCCGGCACGGACGACGATCTCCTTCCCCTACCGTCTGCATACGCTACACTCTTCCGCGGGCCGAAACGAGCATATACCACAGCTGCATCCTTCCTTCGGCATACCTTCACCAAAGGATACTGGCCCGCGGTACGCATGACGCCAAAAATCTATATCCTCGACCGTGCACCAATCATGTGAGTCGCGTATAGCCTGGGCATAGCCGTGGGAACCCTGTAGATCGCAATTGCGAAACCCCGCAGTTGGCGGGGAGCACTTATTCTGGGGTTGCGGATTGGCGGGGTGGCTGCATATATATGTAACCGAGGAGCTCTCTACATCTCTCAACTCCTTCCCTCCCGTTTGACCGCAGAGTCGCACTGAGCATCATCAACATGTCGCAACAAACCGAATTCGACGCCATTGTGGTGGGAGCCGGCTTCGGCGGCATCTACCAGCTCTACTCGCTGCTGAAGCTGGGCCTGTCTGTCCGAGCGATTGACGCCGCCAGCGATGTGGGCGGCACCTGGTACTGGAACCGCTATCCCGGCGCAATGTCGGACACAAACTCCTTCATCTACCGCTACTCGTGGGACAAGGAAGACCTCCTCGAGTATCCGTGGCCCGAGCATTACGTGAAGCAGCCCGAGGTGCTCAAGTACCTCCAACACGTCGTCGAGAAACACGACTTGCGCAAATACTTTCTCTTCAACACCGAGATGAGGAGTGCGGACTTTGACGAGGACAAGAATGTCTGGAAGATCAAGACCAAGGACGGCACGATCTACACCGCCCGTTACGTCGTCACCGCGCTGGGGCTACTGTCGAAGAGGAACTTTCCCGACTACCCCGGCGTGCATTCCTTCAAGGGGGAGATGCACCATACCGGCGCCTTCCCCCGAGAGTATGACTTTCGAAACAAGCGTGTCGGCGTGATTGGGAGTGGATCGACGGGAGTTCAAGTCATCACGGCGCTTGGAAAGCCGGGCCAGGTGAAGCAGCTGACTTCCTTCCAACGCAGCCCGCAGTACTCTGTGCCGTCCGGCGACGGGCCGGTCAGCAAGGAAGAGAGGGAGAAGTTCAACCAAGGGTACAAAGACGGTTCAGTGTACGACCAAGTCTTCAACTCGCTCGTTGCCTTTGGATTCGACGAAAGCACGATCCCCACCTTTAGCGTTTCGGAGGAGGAGCGCCAACGCATCTACCAGGAGAACTGGGACAAGGGCAACGGCTTCAGGTTCATGTTTGGCACCTTCTGCGACATCACCTACGACCGCGCTGCCAACGACGCCGCTTGCAACTTCATCAAGAGCAAGATCAAGGAGACTGTCAAGGATCCGGAGAAGGCGAGGAAGCTGCTGCCCGATGAGCCTTATGCGAGGAGACCGGTATGTATGGTCTGCTTTGTCTCGTGACTTGCGCTGACTGCTGCAGCTCTGCGACGGCGGCTACTACCAAACGTTCAACAACGACCACGTCGACGTCGTCCACCTCAAGGAAACCCCCATCACCGAATTCAACGAAAACGGCATTCGCACCTCCGACGGCAAGCAGCACGACCTCGACGTCATCATCCTGGCCACCGGCTTCGACGCAATGGACGCCAACTACATGCGTGTCAGCATCAAGGGCCGCAACCGCGAGTCGCTGCAGGACCACTGGGACAAGAAGAACGGACCGTCGACGTACATTGGCATGGCCGTGCCCGACTTCCCCAACTGGTTCATGATCACCGGGCCCATGGGCGCGTTTGCGAACCTGCCGCCCGTGATTGACACGCAGGTCGAATGGATCACCGACGCGATCAAGGCACAGATGGAGCGCGACAACGAGAAGAGCGTCGGAGCGGGCGGGACGGCCGAGGGTAAAAAGACCATCGAGGCCAGCCAGGCCGCCGAGGACGGCTGGCTGGAGGGATGCTACAAGCTCGCGGCAGGCACGCTCTTCACCGAGGCCAACTCCTGGATCTTTGGCACCAACATCCCCGGCAAGCGCTACGCCAAAGCCCTGACCTTTTTCTTCGGAGGCCTCAAGACGTACCGCCAGATCATCGACAAGGAGGCGCAGGATGGATACCCCGGGTTCGAGAATCGTGCGCCTCTCGCGGCTTGATGCTTCGAATACATGTCCCGGCTGAGCTGCAGCGCGGGCGTCCAATCTTCCAGCATTCCAGGACACAGGCCGTATTCAACGCCAATCTGCTCTGCATGTTAGACCAGCCATATTATACTCACTCTCCCACACTTATCGTCTCCGCCACTTTCTCCCGCAAGTAGTCTCCACTACTGTCGCCAACTTGTCCGCGATTGCCCGCTACTTTGCGAGCGGCCTCACCATTCTACAGCCTTTTCGCAATCCATCGACGGGCCCCAAACTTTCTCCCTTGTCACTTATGCTCTTGCGCATGGCGCTGTATTGCAAGTCTCTGTCGAGGCGTTCGTTATGATTTCTTCAAAATGAAAATCTTCAAAATGAAGGCCTTCAAA